TCGGGACCACTCTAGTCAGGTACTAGTTTCCAAGCCATCTGGGCGAGCTCGTGTAGACACCCTGTCGGAGTCCCTTTTATGTACATCGTACATCGCATTAAGGAGTTGCTAATTTGATACTGATACTGTGCGTGTGCCCCGTCATGACCACGTACTTGCTGCATGGCTTGGTCCGTCCACGGAGCCCCTTTTTCCTGGGCCGCTTTGCAAAGATGACATCCAAACCAATTGTTTCTTACAGTTCGGTGAATGGCGTTTATATGGCTTTCCGATGACTTTCGAGGGTGTGCGCTCTGTATCAGGTTTATTCCAGGTGGTGGGACATGTTCCTATGGATGTATTTGATATTACCGTTTTGCTGGGTTGTACAGCTCGTTCCCCCGCCATTTGGGAGTGGGATAATTGGATAGCTAGGAAACAGCGTATTAACTAAGGTCTATGCAATGATATTCATAACCTGGTAATATCGAGAGAACTCTTGGGTATCCAGCATTCAGCCTAAAGGAGAGTGTTTGAATAGGGGTATCGAGCCTAGATCGACGTAATGCAAGGTGCCATTCGAACTTCTCTCCGGCTTGAGGGATAGCCGTGTGCCTCTTGATGTACATTGTATGCAGCCGATGGATTCGAAAGAATGAAGAAGTACATTTAGTTATCCAGATCGCGAAGAGTAATGAAAGTCGATCATCGGTATGGTGCAACCAGTGTCCCTGGCATGCTATGAGCTATGATTTCCCACAAGACGCTCCAGCTGTCGGCCAAGTGGGTTTGTGATCTGCTTCTGCAAATAAGCTGTGTCTAACATTCATTTTCCTCATTTGGGTGTCCCTTGCTTTCACGACGTTGTACAGTCCCGAGAACACCCTTCAATCGCCATCGCTTATCTCTTCCCCTTTCCTGTCTTGGTCTCGCACGAGGCGGGAAACCTCCGTTGACGATAGGGCGATCATTGCTTAGGCAACTCAAACGAAGAGCCCTGGAGACACCCTCGATTGAAGTGCATTCCTTGAAGTTAAACAATTGAACCGAATGGAACCACTCTTTAGGGGGCTTTATGCACCCTGGCATATCGAACTGCAATGTTCGTGACTGATGAATTATACTTATCTCCTTCGAAACGTCTTGAGACATCCTGTGCATGCCATTGAGAAACGGTCGAGTCGCATGATGATCGATATTCTTTAGGTCTGTATGATGGAGAGGGCGATCAATCGAGTGGCTGAAGTAAATCACTGGGGAGAGGGACCCTACGACCATTTAACTTGTAAGGGGACAAGCAAGGAGAAACAGTGCTAAAAGCTCCGGGACGCAAATGTGTCAATTACAATGTCTTGATTTGCAGAAAGTGATCTGGAGAAAGTCGGCTCACTGCTAATCCAGTCAATGAGACGAGACGTCTCCAAACCTTGTCTCGGGTCGAGAAGCTGGGGGACAAATCAAGTGCATCTCCAGAGTCTCACGGATGTCGAACTGTAAAAGTGGTACACTGAATTGCAATTGGAAATTTTGCAGTTTAGTGTTTTTGTATGTAGAAATAGGGGAATTAATCAAAGTGAATTAAAGGTACTCCAAACCATCCAAAGTCCCGAGGAGAATGGAAAGGATCAGGAAATGTGCCCAATTTACTGGGGGGGAGAACCTGCTTTCGCGAAATAATCATTCCCCCCACATTGACTGGCAAGGTGAGATCCCTGCAAGACAAAGGAGGCTCGGGGTTATCGGCGGAAGCAATCTAGGGAAGCTCTCAGCCAAGCGCATCCACCCCAGCTGAGGACGCGAATGGGCCTAGAAACACGCGAGATGAAGTCAACGCCAGGACCATCCCAGGCTTCTGGACCAGTCAGCGCCCACCGACTGCAGGAGACCCAGGGACGCGACCGTATCGGAGGCTTTTTAGAGTAAGAGAGCCCAGCCCGGTGCAGCACTAGTAGCCAAGGTGTTGGATGACGAGCCAACAATGGCGGAGGATTGGTCTTGATTACTGGTCGATCAGGAGCCTTTCTGGGGCCGGAACTCGCGTGTCCGTGGCCCCATGTATGGTCTTTACAGTGTATGCTGCTACATGTGGTTATCGGGAATAATATGCATCAGAGTGTCAATGATCTATAGAGTTTCTAGATGACTGCATAGGATACATTGAATCAAGAAGGAGTAAAAAAAGAAGTCAAGAGGAACCTGGAAGACGAAAAGTACCTAAATCAAGGGGAAAAGATGGGCTATTGAAAGGTACTGAAATCTGTCTCGGTAGCGACGGAGATCTCTCCACCATCGCGAATCCTCTTTCAAATTACTAGTTCAAGGAACAAAAATGACTGGGTCGCGGCATACGGTTGAAAACGCAATTCGAGTTTCGAAAGTCAATATGCAACCTAGATTATGCGATGTAGACACATCGGATTTCTAGTCAAAGTGGCTGAAAGGACATCAGAGTGGTAACTATGTTAAATGGTGAAGTGTACGTAGAAATCCCTATATTTGAAGCCTTGTATCAGGTCCAAAATATCACCCTTTTCCAGAGTTATTCATGAAATATGATAGAATTGATAATGAATAACACTAGAAGTGAGTAGATGACATGTTCTATGCCGAAGCATCAAGGTAAATACTCAATATTCGATATTCAGATTCAAATTCAGATTCAATCTCCAACCTGCAATTTTGTGGAGTCCTGTATTCGACCGGTGCCTGTTTCTGTTTCTGTTCCTGTGCCTGTTCCCACATGTCTTTGAAACACTCCGAACAAGTGCTTAAACATTGAATTTAGGTAGAATAGATTTCAAGCAGCTTTGCAGGTTTCAACTCCTGTCTTATGTCCTTGCAGAGAAGCCCTGGTTTACCTATCAAAAATTACCGACGGTACATTCGCGAATAAGGGAAATCATACCTCCAGTACAATACCGCCAATTGTAAATTTCCACCTTTACCTTCAGCCTCCACTCTTTTCGTCTTGGGGATTACCATACCACAGCTCTCCGTGCTGTGTATCTCCGTGTCTTTTGTCTCAGCTTCTTAACCTCGTCCTTTTCCTTTTCTCTCCCACACCCGCCTGGAGAGAGAAATCAAAACCCTCCTCCTTGTACCTCTCTCCTTCTCTTCTTCATACCCTTTTCTCTTCTCCCCTTTTCTCTCTCTCCTCCCCCTGACAATCTGCGGAGTCCCCAGAGTCTGGTCTACTGGCTGAATTACGGTTCATCGACATTCCAGTCGACGTAAATACCGTTCAGCCCGCTGCACTAGCACTCAAGTCGAGTCGATTCATTTTCGATCTTGACCTCCCTTCCAATTCGACGTTTGTTAACTCAAACGGCGATCCACCCCCGTTCCTGTCCGCCCGGTGCCTCCCTGATCCTCGGACCTTGACGACTTGGACCCTCCTGCTCTAGCTCCTGCCGGTTAGACGAGCGACAGCGAAGGAAACCAATTCAGCTTTTTTGTCGATACGAATTAGCTTTCTGTATCAGATTGACATTGAGCTTTATAAGTTGGGTAAGTGAAAGGCTTTTTCTTCTCTGGTGTTTTCAGTGTGTGTATGGTGTCAAGGTCGGAGCGTCCCGACGAATAAACGAGCTACCGATGATCTATACTCCTCGACATTCTGCAAGAGATTGAATGAATATCCACACGAAAAGAGAAATCTGTTTATAAGTGCATCGAAAATGAGCCCACGAGGTGTCTCAATTGTGTGGCCCCAGGGCTAGATCGAAACATTCATCGGCCCCAACCTCATATACCTCCAATATTGCTTCGTTCCCCCTTCCAGACGATACACACCGACGGCCAGATATAGGGGAAACCGGATTTTGAGCGATGAAGGTTGGACGTTCAGGCAGACGGGAAATTATGTTTTCAGACACAACTGCACAATGCATCCTAGCTTTGACATCCCATGTCGTGCCAAGGTCCAACCAGCTCTTAAACTGCTTCTATATCGCCCGGTGTGGGAAATTTGGGCCAATGAAAACCATACGCTCTTGTTCAACATACCGGACATCGGGACGACGATCTTAGGCCGCGGCACCACATACCTCATAGCACTCGATCATGGGCTCTCGTCAATCTTTGACTGGCATTGTCGTTGAACAGTTGACACTTGTGAAAGGACTGCAGATCAGTGACTGACTTCATCCCCTGTTATAGGACTTGCTCCTCTGGTTTTTTTATGATATACCACTTGTCACATTCGACGTGGGCTTCATCTCTTTCATAATCTTGAAGACACGTTCTCTTCCAACAAACGCTTTCAATCTCTTGACCGAGGCTTGTTCGTTCAATTCATTAATTCGTGAACCGTGAGTGATGACTGTTCCGTTACCAAGACATTTCCCCCTGATGATCGTGGCCCCCTTCATAGGGTTGTTCTCTTGCACTCCACATTCCGCAGCACCAGCCTAGGGGTGAAGACGTTGACTCGTACTTCATCTCTTTGTTGGTATCCAACAGAATCCTAATTCATCGGATCATTCCTGCCTAGATGCCAGTCTTGCCGTCACGGTAAGGGTTGCATTGTGCCCTCTGCCGAAGGCTCTTTCTGGGTTAGTATCTCTCGAGGAGTGTTTACCCTTTCCATCTTCTTGATGGTTAACAAGTCTCTCTCCTCCACACCCTACCTCGTTGTGCTTTCCCTTGTCTTCCTCGCTTCATCCACACACTCTTTTCCTCTTCCCGGTCACTCGAAGCTCACTTGATCATTACTATCTTTTAATGCTTTATGCCGGCATCCACTAATCTTAATATCGCTTCAGCCTTTGCCCTTTGAGACTTCTTCCTCGAATCTACCGGCCACTTTCCCAGCATTGACTCCTGTCCTACGCTGGTCCATTCATTAATTCGTTGCGACCTTTCCGTCATTCATTCCAATATATTAATTTCACGACTGTCACTCTCTTAATTCCGTCGTTGCCTGATACCCTCGTTCAGGCTTCCTTTCATTGAACTTCAGCAAAATCAAGCTCATACAATCAACTTGTGTTTCATCTTTCGACCCGAAGACGTGAGCAATCATGGATTACCACCGCAACTACCGTCCCTGTCCTACCTTTTTCGTTGAAGAAGACTATGGCATGGAGAGTCGGTTGAGACAAGAGCGGCAGGCGAAGCAGGCCCATGACAAACAGTTGGCGCGTGAGCGTCAGTTTGTTATGGCAGATGAGCTGTCGACTCTCACTAGTGAGCAGCTCCGGGACGATGTCCTCAGTCACATGTTGGAGATGGATGTAAGTTTTGCCTTATCTTCGTTGCTCATTTCGAGGGTTTATACATGTTATGTCGTGCTAATCTTGTTTGCCGTCTAGAGCCAAACCGTGCCTGATGTTGAGTCGATTGACATCCAGACTGAGATTCAGTGGTTCATGCGACCGTACCTTCTTGACTTCTTGATTGAGGCTCACACTGCGTTCCAGCTGCTGCCCTCCACTCTGTTCCTGGCGATCAACCTTTTGGACCGATACTGCTCCAAGCGTGTTGTCTACAAGCGTCACTACCAGCTGGTTGGCTGTGCGGCTCTGCTCATTGCGGCCAAGTACAACGACAAGAAGGATCGCGTTCCCACAATCAAGGAATTGAAGTCGATGTGTTGTTCGCTCTACGATGATGACATGTTCACTCAGATGGAGTGGCACGTTCTTCAGACTCTTGGTTGGTCCATCGGCCATCCCACTGTGGATGCCTTTTTGCAGCACGCTGTTTTGGACGATCCTTACGATCCTGAGGTGGAACACATGGCTCTCTACATCCTTGAGATTGCCTTGTTCCACCGGGACTTCGTGGCCAAGCTGTCATCCGAGCTTGCTCGCGCCGCCCTCGCGTTGGCTCGCTGCGTTCTTAACCGACCGCAGCCTCGTCACACGCATTGGGCGTCGCAGTATGACTCGATGACTCTTGTCGCCTTGTCCCAACAGTTGCACCAACCGTCGACCGTTGTCTCCCGCAAATACGCCTCAGCTCACTACTCCCGTGTCTCCAAGATCATGGAACACTTCCTCAGCCGCCAGGCTTCGATGGCGTCATATGCCCGTTGCACCCCGCCGGTGGACATTCCTATGGAATCCAAGCCGTACAATGGGGAAATCGGTCTTGCGACCCCTCAGAAGTCTCAGCAGTTGACAGCGGTCCATCACGGGTACCTAACGCCTCCCATCACTCCGGACAATTTGGGACTCTTGCATGTGCATCATTCCGATGTCCCTATGGCGAACCACGATCTGTCTAACAAGATGTCGGTTGGCCACCTTGGTTGCTCCCCTTCCCCGGGCCCATCCGCTGAGATGCGATACATGAACAGTGAAGCATATCAGCAACAGCAGGAGGCTATGTACATGGCTCAACAAGCAGTGCCCCAGCAGTTCCCTTCGGCACCCACCCACATGGGAATGACTCAGACCTATCAGGGTGGGATGTAAAGAGGCCCGACGGAACGTACAGCAACCCCAAGTGCCATTTGCATTTGGATACTTGCACATATTTCCATCAGATCACTTCAGCCTCTCACCCTCATGGACATCTAGCAAATCAGCATCAGCGTTGATTCACTTCGATGTGGTCTGCTGATCCTCAATGCTTCCGACCAGCTGTCTAACTGTGCCATATCCCTCGAACTCGACCGCATCTACTCTCGTCTTTTACGCTTTGCATTCCACTCCGGTTCTACAGAGCCGGAGTTGTGACCAGCCCTTCACTTCCTGTTCCAAAAATTGCATACCCATTTGCTTCCCATACCCATTTAGTTTTGGGTCACCAGTTGCACTTGATTCAACCATCTAGCATTGCGAGCGCGAACCATGTTGATTTATTTGTTTCTCAAGAATACATTTTGCTGTCCCCATCACCTCATCATAACTTCTCTTCTCTCTGTCAAGGGACAACAAACCCCCTTTGACACCATTTCTTGCATTACTGCGCGTCAGTTGGCGCTGCGCCTTTGATATCCCATCCCCCAACCTCACCCCTTCACGATCTTTAGCAGCACACCTCACCCTTACCCCATCACACAAATTCCCCCAAAACCGTTTTTAATGTGCCTCGTTCATCTTCGCGATGCCAACCTGTCATCAGACCAGAGAGCTGATTCACAGAGGTCACAAAAAAAGCAGAAAAAGTGAGAAAAGCCGGAAAAAATAATGTCTTCTGGGGTGGAAAGAGTACCGAGTCCCTTACTGTGGCTTCACAACGGTACTCTTTCTTCCCTTTGCTCTCCCCTTCCTTTGTATCTAGCCCTTGACCCCCTGCCCTCAAAGCCTGCCCGTCACAACACACTACTGGTGACAGGAGGCGAGGCGCCTTTTTTTTTCTTGACATCTTGTGTGGATTTGAAGCCTCGTGCCCTTTGGCCCTGAATTATATCCCCTATTTCAATGAACTTTCGGGTGTACAAAGTAGACCTGTAATATCTTTTGATCTTCATGCTCGTAGTCTACCCATCTCTGGCGATGTACCTACTGGCATACGAACCGACGTATTAGGGGATCGGAGAACTATGACTAGTTATGTACATCATTACAAAGTACGAAGACAACACTGCAAGATCTCATTTAATCCATTCCATCGTTATGTATATGCCCATGTGTGAACAGACAAAAGAGACAAAGAAAAATAACCCAGCCTCGGGCAACAGACGTAGATGCAAGACGCAAGCCCTAAGAATCTCAGGAATGCAATAGCAATAGTGACAGCAAGAAGAGAACCAAAAGAGCAAAGAAAACCGAGATCAAAAAAAAAGACAATGAAACCCCTAGGCCAGGTGAAGATGCACAATGACACAAAACCACCCAGTAAAAGTGATATTCACAGAGACGCCGCCGATGGTAGGTTTTGTACATGAGAGAGGCACCACTGTGGCAAAACGGGATCACAGTCCATGAGATGGATGTCCGATATCAGGACACATCTACATAGACGATGACCCTCGAGAAGAATGTAGATAGAATAAACCCGTGTAATGTGCGTAATGAAAGCTGGAAGAAAATGCACAGAAAAGATTCGTTAGAATGCGCGGTGCGATGTTTACGCAGCCGGCAAGAGGTGGACTTGCAGACCGCCCAATATGCATATAACAAGGTCTTTGTGAAGAACAGAACGCCAATATCCCGAAGGAACAGGATCAGATGCGGGGATGTCGCTGCGTTAAAACAAATGGCGTAACCGAGTCGGCGGTTGGCATGCATTATGGCGGGGAGACGTTAGTCGATGCTGTCATCGAGGTTTACATTGTTGTTTGGGGTTGCCGGGGCGCGGTTTCGAAGACCGAATCTTCGTGCGCCTAGGCTGTTCGTGCGCAGTCGTGGGGATTGGAGGGGTGTGTAACTGGTGGCCATTTTGCTTGATGGCGTCGAGATTCGGGTCTGGGAATGCTCCATTTGGAGGGGCGTTCGGGGACTGTCTTCGACTGCGGAGCTTTGGACGTTGTTGGTAGAGAAGCTGGACGTTAGGCCGTAACGGCGAGATCCAGCTTGAATGTTTGCGCGGGACGTTGCGGGTGTGTATGAAGCAGGACTCAGGTAGCTGCGGCGGAATGAGAGGTTGGATGAGAGAGTCGGGGACCGAGGTAGCGGCTGCGCCTGCGGCTGCGGGACTTGGGATTGTTGGTATTGCGGAGAGCGCGGGGATAATCCGTGGTCCTGCTGCATGCCGGAGACTGAGCGGGACACGGTATGGCCCTGGGAGAACCGTTGCCGGGGAGGGGGGATGCTCTGAGAAGCAATGGGTGTGCCAATTTCGGTGTTGGCTCTGGAGACTGAGCGACTATGCGGGCTTTCAGTCTCTCCGCTGTCTTCGCCAATGGTCTGTCTACGGGTGCGGAGAGAAGTCGACATGCGGTTCAGGCGACTGGTCGGGGTAGGTATTCCGGGAGATTGGGTTGGGCTCTGCTTCGTATCCATCGTATTTCCAGGGCTGGCGTTGATGAGGGATGCTCGACGTGCTTCCAGCCGACTGGAGATGCGAGTAGTACTATGGCGCCGCTCGATTCCTTCGGAATCCTGAATCTCATTCCGCTGATACGTTGGCATGGACATCCGAGAGTCAAGATCTGAACCATTCGCCAATTGAGGCTGCATGCCCGCCCCGCGGCTCGACGATGGCCGGTGGTTCCTCAATTGCTCATCAGTCAAGGCCAGGCAAAGCTCAGTCAGGCTGCGACACACACTGTCCGCTTTGCGGCGAGCATGTCGCTCTGGTGAGCTGTATCCCCCATTCACAACGGAGACGCTGCCCGACGGGGCGGCATTGACGCCCAACGCGGTGGAAAGGTTCAAAGCATCGGTGATCGTTGCTTCGAGGGAGCTGTACACGTCACCACTTAGAACGCCTTTTGCTTTGGCCAGTGCCGACTGCAGAATAGGATGCACCGGACTTTTTTCGGTGTCCGCAGGTGACAGGCTAGCTTTGCGGTAGTTCTTCGGTGAGGAGGACAAGGTGGTAATGGCGGTGTTTGCTGTTCGAGGTCTCTCATTGGTAGGGGAGTACATTGCCGCAGAAGAGGACGGAGGCAGCCTGCCTGTCAGTTCAAGTTTTTTGATCCGATCTTTGAGGTCATCTAGTTCATCCCAGACAGTTGATGGCGCCGTGGTAGACAATGTCGACTCAGTTCCATCCGCGCCCGCGCGCGATCGTGCGGTGTCGGCTCGCGGTCGCCCGATTGCTTCAGAGGCAGATGGCTGCCGACTGCTGTGGATTGTAGAAAGCGATGAGCGATTGTTGCGTGAATCGTGCAAAGAAGATCGGCGATCTTCTGCAACGGAGGGTGTGCGCGGCGAAGTCTCTGGGCTCGTCCGACTGAAGCGACTTCGAGGAACACCGAAAACCGATCGCGATCCAGATCCCAGGCTGCTGTAGCGGAAGCGACTTGGATCATCTAGAGGATGGGCGGATGATGCCGGAGTGTGAATGGAGCTGTAGGGGGCAGTCGGAGAATCATTTTGAGAAAGCAAGGGGTTGTCGGCATTGCTGTATCGCTGATCGGGTGAGGGGGTCTGATCTGTCGTTGGTGACCGGAGACTTTGACTAGAATATCCAAGCCGTGACTGAATTCATGTCGTCACATTAGCTATCAGCAATTCACAAAGTTGAAGCGAATGCGACCGTGGTGCATGGCTGGGCGATCAGGAATGCGATCGGCCTTCGACTTCCAGGATTGTTCTCTTCTCACTCACCCGTCTAAAATCCGAGCGACCGATTGAATCGCGACGACCATAATCAGTTCTCGCGATGTTTAGGAATACATCCTCATTCTTCGGGCGGCCCTCGTCCATCGAGGACAAGTCCTCGAATCCTACTCGACTGCCACTCAGAGAGCCGTTGTGCGAACGCGCATTTTCATTTAATGTTCTGGTCGCAGAGGCTCCAGAATAAGCCAGACTTGATGGCATTGTTCTTTTCACATCAGGGCGATGAGAGTCGTCCTGAATGGGCCTCTTTGGGGCATTGGAAGCCGGAAGGTCAAAAGCTTGGGGGCTGGGTGAGCTGAAGCTTAGGACGGATCGCCGGGCGCGGTGCAATAAGGAGCGTTTGGTTGTTAGAGGCGTTTCATCACCAGTGGGGCCATCGAAGCGAGTGTGTAGCGACAAAGAACGCGAGTGAGGAAAATGTTGGAAAGGTTGGAAAGGTTCCTGACTGAGCTGGTTGGGCTCCGAATGATCACGGGAACTTGCAGCCATAGTTCCGCTGATCTTAAGGATCTTTGGGATCGCCTCGGATTAGATTAGGTTGACGTTTCTGGGGAAAATCTAGTGAGTTGAGCATGTAGTCCCCTGGGATTATGCAACAGGGTCATAACTGCAGGATGTCTGAAGTTGACCTGTCAAAAGAGAAGCAAATAAATATGGATTTTACGGGTATATACTGAAGAGAATTTCAATCTAGACGAGCCCCATGTTCTATCTATTGACTGAGTATTGCCTATTGCTGTCTGTTCTTTCCAATTTGTTTCCGGCTGTTTCGGCTATCGCAACTTCTCTTCATCGCATGATTCTGCTTGAAGTAGAAGGCACGAGATAGCAGTATTATGACCAGTGATTCAGGGTTATGGCTGCATCTGTAGGTATCCTCCTAGATCCGATACCGATTGGCACCGTGCTACTGGTATTCTCGTCTCTACTGTGTAGAAAGAAAAGAAACATTGTTCCATGCCCTAAGTGGGGGGAAGGAAGAATTTGGTGTTGATGGAACTTTGAGGCCATTTCCGAAGAAAAACAAATAAAGCTCTGAACCATGGTTTGGCTTATGGTGAACCATGGCTATATTGGAATGAACCAAACTCCAATCTTTCAATCGGATGGTCGGCACTATACCTATATCGGCCTGAAGACATTGAGAAGCAGCATTATTCCAGATTCCAACATATGTTTCTGATTGCAAATAACAATTGTACTGTGTAGGTACAATAGAGCGGGAACCATGCATTCTAGAGCGATGCCATGTTCCTAGTCCTAGGATATATTCCATATGACGATCACATATTCTGATACCAATCACATGGCAGGTAATCAGTGCAATATCGAACCATCTCGGCCCCGTAGCTACAGCCGTACGTGTACGGAGTACGGGGGAAATAAACATTGTGATGTTGTACTTCTGTCATGGTCGGCTCGGTCAGAGAATATACCCAAGTATATTAACTCGAGACAGGACCAGGTAGCGAGTCGCCCCATGTCCGCCTCGATAGAACAAGCCGTGTGCAATACGGGATTCTCCGTATATATTGTCCCACAGACCAATGGAACGAGGTCACGAAGTCCGAAACTCAACTAAGTAGTTAGGCCAAACGTAAGCTCTTCACATTGCAATTTGGAAAATTTAATTTTAGAAGCGAGCTCGTAGTGAAACGTCTAAATGTCCCCTAGGAGTGTTTAAGAATGCCAGGGGAATGAGCCGATCTATCTGGAACTTTTCTGGAACAACCCAGGATTCGGTGTTTATTGGCCGACGGTAGAGAAGGTACCGTACATACTGTAGATGGTATCGTGTGTATCAGAGGGCATTCGTACACGTTGCGGTTATTTAATATTGATTCCTGGAAGTGTCGATCGATTACTTGGTTAGATCACCAACACGACAATGTGATACATACATTGTAGCAGCCCCGAAGCACAACAGTACATCATACACAGGGTGCATGTAGTGGAGATGTCCTGTACCCCGACGTTAGGTACGCCATATGGTAGGCACCGCATGAATATCGCCTCCAGACTCGGTAACATGACCAACTGAGGATCCAGTTTCAGGATCGTTACGAATCCCACGTGGGAAGAGCCGATCATTCATCCATTCGGGGTCATCGAAACCAGAGTGGGGCTCAAGCTTCAATAACGCACCGTAAGCTCTCTTCTTCAGGAATTCCTCCAAAGACACAACTCAGAGTGATGAAATGGATCTTCCTCTGTGATATCATTATCGAAACATTCATTGACATGTTAAATTCACCGAATATTACAGACGATCTACGATGTCAAAGACATCAAGATGTAAGAGAGGGACTAGTGGGCGACTAGTGCGAATTTGGCGTGTTTCACCCTGCATCAAACCCAGATCCATGGGGTTTCAGGATTGTGTCTGTTCCTGATCTCGTCCAATCAGCGCTTGCCCCCTTAAAATGCTGGATGGTCCAATGGATATCTGATCCATGGTTCAGCCCACCGTTCACCCGGCCGAAGTGATGGAATCATGGAAATCTCAATTAAGGTGTTGTTTAGAAGTATATCGACTGTATAAGACGCAGTTATAGACTGACTGTCGATCTACTCGTAGCGATGTATCGTCTATTTTTACGTTGATGAAGGAGTTCCTCTAAGATGGGAGACACGGGAAAGTGGATTTGGAATGGACCGAATCGAATATCTCCCTTTCGGGTTACTACGCACAGCACATCTCCACCACATCCCGTCTCAACGTCTCCCCCTTGTCATCTCGGGTTTGAGTCGTTTGTGTATTGTGCGACTGTGGTCGATGTCCTTCAATGTTCTGAACTTGGGTCCTTCTCTAATAAGTGTACATTTATATGTTAGATATTTATCATTTCCTAATACTGTGTACAGTACAATCAACAAGGCTCAGCTGAAGTGGAGACTCGGTGGGACCTGGGCTGTGCGAAGGAGATATTCGGCCCGGGGGGGGAAGATGAGACGATGTTTGATCTGTTATTTTCATGATTCCAGGCGAGTCTTCCAAGCAAAGTACCTGACTACCTGTAACCAACAGTTTCCATAAGATACAACTAAGGTGGGAGAGGCACACACTCGAGCCTCTCATTTACGTGCGTTTGACGCCGACGGGACATTCCCCAGCGGCTAAAATTAGAGCAGACGGCATGATTGGTTTCATGTTTCTCAAACTTGTTAGATCGTCCATTACGTGTATTGTAATTTGTATTCAATTCTTTGAAACTGAGGAGATCTCTAAAGAACATTAGGCTGGCCGTATATACTGATCTCTTTTATTTTGATTTTTTATTCTTTCATCTTTCCCTTCTACACACTCTCAGATCGTATCTTTCGCACTTCCCTCTACTTCCTTTCTCTTTATACTCTTCTCTCACTCTCCTTCCCACATTCCAAGTTCCCCGGAGGAACTTGGATTTCTATGCGCGGCTGAGATCCCCCCGCCCCCAATTGGATCCATACACTTGTTGTTTTGTTTATTCTTTCTTCTACCTTGATCTTGAATCTTGGTCTTTGGACTTCCTTTGGACTTTGGATTTGGAATATTTGGTCGTTCCTGTCATTCCTTTCATATTGTCTCACAGTGGGAGAAAGAACATACCCCCCCCACCTTGTGTGATCCGGTATGTGGCCCTCTCGAACCGACCTCTACGATGTCTCCTTCCCACTGGTTCTCCTTCATGACATCGTAGATCGTGTGGATGCTTTTCCCCTTGTGATGTGCATGATCGCCCGGATCATTAGTCTCAGCCCTTGCATTGCCCTGGATTCAAGCTAATGCCCTCGCCCAGACCATTTGCGCCGGCAGCAAGTGCATATTCAATTCGAATGCCATTCTAGCCTCTCTGGATCACGCGAGTCTGGAGAGAGCCGGTGTGAAAGGATCATCGTGTAGTATCGACTCCGAATCATGCCAGTGCAAACCAGCCCGCCGTCCTTTCCGGACTCATTTCCATCCTTCATGTCGGTATTCGGTGGACCCCTTCCACGATACAAAGAAGAAGAAACTATCATTCACCCGCTGCAATACCCAACCCATGTCCCTGTCAATACACGCCAATCACCTTCTGCCCACCGTGAAAGTGTCTCATCCATGACCACGGCCTCGACCGAATCCTCCCCGACCACGACCATCTCGCCCTTTGATTCGCCTGGCGGAGGTGACATCTCTCCGAGCTCATCCCCGGAATCTCCCTCGGCGATGACCGTTTCCTACCCGAAGTTCATACCCTCTACACGGCCCGTGGAGCTTGCTCCGCGCCTGTCACAACCCGCTCCTCATAATACGCGTCCAGAGTCCCCGAACCGCCGTGCGCGTAACTTGAAGAACTTATCATTGCGGATGCCGCCGCCATCCAATGCACGTCCACCTATCGCTACTGCATCCGTGGTTGAGACCACGTCAAGGCACCACTTCGATAGCCCCTCACCTCCCATCCCCATTCCTTCGAAGAGCACGCGGCGGCGCCCCGCCAACCTCACTATCCAGACCCCCACTTTCAACAATTTCAACAAATCCTTCTCTACTACCGCTCAAGATGGAGTGCCCCCGACTCCATCGCTCCGTCATGCAGAATCCTCACCTTCGCTTGCCCTGATTACATCGCCCTCGTTTGCCCCACAAGGAGGTATGCAGTTACCCCGACCAATGACACAACATGGTGTGGGCCATTCATCCGGTGGATTCCCCGACAACACTGCGCTGCCCTTGATGCCGAGTGATGAGCCTGCTTTGTCTCGACGTATACTCCCCGGCTTGGAAGAAGAAGATGACCACCTCGATTCACGCGAATCAACTCGCAAGAAGGATCGTGGCTACCCAGATGGTCCGATTCGAATTCATGACTCCGGAGTTTATCTGTATTTGGAGCCAACAGCGGACGAAGCGTCGAAATTCGATGTGGTGATCAACGTTGCCAAAGAAGTAGCGAACCCATTTAGCGCCAACAAGGAGGAGCGGAACGACACGGTGATGAGCACATGGCGGAACACCTCCATGGCCTCGAAACGCCTTTCTCGCAGTGAGCCCCAGACTGCGGTCTCAGAAATGTCCTTCAAATCCGCCTGGGAATTCCAGCCCTCGGATTCCGAGTCGGCAACACCTACTATCTCGAGTCCTGTAACCCCTACGCCGGAGTACATCCATGTCGGTTGGGATCACAATTCTGAAATCCTTGAAGATCTGCTCCCGCTCTGCGAGCTTATTGACGACCGGATTGCTCAAGGGAAGAAAGTCCTTGTGCATTGCCAACTGGGTGCCAGCCGCTCGGCATCGCTAGTGATCGCCTACGGACTGTACAAAAGCCGACACCTGGATTTCAACTCCATGTACGAAGCGGTTAAAAGTCGCAGTCAATGGGTGGGCCCGAACATGAGTCTCATCTATCAGCTCACAGACTTCCGGTCCAAACTGATGCGGGGATCCACCTCGAAGCCCCCGCCACAGGAGTGGTTCGTGCAAAATGGCAGACGAAGCTCAGAGCCTCAGGTTGCACGAGCTGAGCGCCCTGCCCCTAACGACTCAACTCGACCAGCGTTCCGTGGATTATCCCAGGCACCTTCGACGAGCTGCCTTTCTATCCCAGAAACGACTTCGACTCGTCCTACCACCAGTGGCACCGAATGCTATTCCAAATTCAAGTCTAACTCGCCCAAGCGGAGTTTATCCCCCCGACCTCTTCCCTTCCGACAGAAGTTCCAGTCTCTCGGCCCTGCATCGGGTCGATCACGGGGGATGTTGCGCAGCGTTAGCAGTTGCGAACCGCTTGTTCAGGCCAATGCGTTCGGGCGTGATACGCGGGACTCTCTTGATGGTCTATTCTCGCCGAGGACCAGCGAGTTCCTCGCGCCAACTCCTTTAGCACCACTGTCATTCCACCGAATAGATCGCTCTGCTGCCTTATCCCCACCCCCAATCCCTCAAGGCAGCCCGTTCGCTGCCGAGCCGGTTGATCCTCGTTCGCCCCCCTCTGGCGGGGAGCCCCTTATTATGAGATCCATTGATGAATTTTTGTGATCTCCGCCTTGCGTCCATTGACACTAGGCATGAAATGATTCCACGACCATATCTCTTCTGATTCGAAGACCATCTGCTCAGCCCGGCTTTTGCCTGGGGAGTCGATGCAGCTTCTGTATCGACCTATCTAATTTCTTCCACTCATCCGTATCAGATGGCTGGCTTGATGAACCTTACGACCAAAGCGGGCTTTGGCTGTCACTCATCGCCAATTTCTTCTTTCTCATTGCATACTCATTGCATATTTTCGTCTTTTGAACCCACGGGTCCTGCCAGCACCACTGGTCACCATCGCTTTACACAACTTTTTCTACCTCTTTACACCATTGGCGTCTCGGGTGTCCCAAAAGGACGAGATTTTGATACCATCACCGGACCATGAATACAGGAGCGATTTTGGCTCCATTCACATGCCCTGGTACCTGTAATATTATTGAGAACCCCCCCCCCCATGTTTTCTGGGTTCCCTTCCACTTTTGGCTTTCGTCTATCAACCTCTCGCTTGTCTCTTTCACATCTCTTCTGGCTTTTCGTCTTGTCGTGCAGACAAGGCTCTTGCCCTGGCTTTCTGTGCATTCAGCACTTTGATAAAGCGGGTTGGTTGGACCTTCCGGCATATTTGATTTACGGGAGGAAGAAGGCATGGTAAATACCCCCTTTGCGCAGTCTCTAATAGAGATCGACCTCAAGCTTCAATTGTTTTGTCAATTCGTAAAGTCATCAAGTGTAGTTGTAGTAAATGCAATGTTGATAATGGCGGTTGATCAGGACGGAGATAGCGATAAGCCCGCAATCTCTCCTCCCCAAATTTTCCCTTGCGCTGTCAACTCCTCCACACGCGCAACAATGGCTGAAGACTCTCATCCAGCATACCTGTCGCCCAGCGAGCTGGGCACAAAAGACTAGTATGTCCCCTGTCAACCACACTTCCCCATTTTTACCACATTCTCCCCGCAAGAACCAAATCTATCCTCCCCCCACCCCACATTTCTACCCCTCCACCACCATTGTATACATCTATAGAAACGCTCGCAGCCCAATTACACCACCAGTTACCCAATGTACTAACTCTCCCCCCAGCTGGGAGTCCTACTACGCACGCACACTAGCCCACATCTCTCACGACACACCCACCTCCAATGCGCAAGACCAAGACAAAGACGATGCCTCGACAACGTCCGACCTAAACGACGAAGACGACCCGGGTACATCGTGGTTCTCAGAACACAACGCCCCGCAAAAAGTCCTCCATTTCCTAACGCGCAAGTCCTTCCCCCTGTCGCCGCGCAACACGCGCAAGCAGCCGCAGCCCAGCGTCCTCGATCTCGGGACCGGCAATGGGAGTATGCTCGCATTGCTGAGGAAGAAGGGCGGGTACAGCGGACGACTTGTTGGCGTTGATTACTCGCGGCAGAGTGTTGAGCTTGCGCGGGAGTTGCAGCGTGTTAGGGGGCATTCTGCTTATCGGAGTGATTCTGAGGATGAGGACGAAGAAGAAGAAGAAGAAGAAGAGGGAGAGGATGGGGAAGACAAGGCGGGGATAGGTGCTGGTTCTGATGTCAAGGAAAATCCCATCCAGTTTGAAGAGTGGGATATCCTCGGGTCCAAGGCGCTGCTTTCAGAGACGGGGGTTGAGATACACCCCTCCGAGACTGATGAGACTATCCCCTGGTTTCCGTATCAGCAGGGTGGGTTCGATATCGTGCTTGATAAGGGCACGTTCGACGCGGTCTCGCTGGCGGATGATGCGAAGACTAGTCGGGTCTGCGAGCGGTATCCGGATATTGCGAGGCGGTTGGTGCGTCGTGGCGGGTTCTTGATTGTTACTACGTGCAACTGGACGGAAGAGGAGCTTGTGCATTGGTTTACTGGGGGTCGGAACGATGGGGATAGGTTGGGGGTTTGGGGTCGTGTTGAGTATCCCCGGTTCCGGTTTGGGGGACATGAGGGACAGGGTGTCTGTACTGTTTGTTTCCAGAGGCTTGGGGATAATGCTTAGGAGGCTAGCGATTGAGGGCCGTATGTAGATAATCGAAGATACTTATCTTCATCTCACGTCATTCATAATGCATCAACTTTATCAACTAGTCATGCAAAGCAAATGCGATATCGCTCAAAATGCAACCCACTAACCACCATCAACTACCTTCTACTCCCCAACCCTCCTCAAAACAGCAATAACACACCACCTCTTCTGATTCTCCCTCCCCTCCCCCTCCCTAACAGCCGCCCACTCCCTCCTAACCTCACCACCATCCTCCCTCCTGGAAACCAAATCCCTCTCAAAAATCCTCTCAACAACAAACCCATTCTCAAGCACCGTCTCGAAAAACCCAGCAACAATCGCTCTTCCAGTATGGAATCCCGCAACAACCCAGACTTTCCCACCTGGCGCAAGGAACCACTGCATCGTGCGCGCAAGGTTCTCATGCTGCGAGGGCATCCAGAAACAATCCGCCGCAACGATGCGCGAGAAAGCGCCCTTATTCGCGACCGAGAAGTCGTCGCTCAGTACGCCCCATTCGTGCGGCTGCATTGAGACATTCCCTGTGACTGAAGGCGTGCGCTTTTTCAAGTTGTACTCAATGTTGAAGGTTATTGCGCCGGTGAGGGCGGGGGAGGAGGGGTGGTCTGTTGCAACGACGGTTGAAGCGTTCGCTAGGGCGCAGACGACGGATGGAAGGGCGGCGCCTGCGGTAGTAGATATGTTAGTAAGAATAGCTCTTTCCTTTCTTATTTTGGACCTTAAAAATTTTGCGCAGATCAAAACAAAAGCCAGGAAGGAGCGAACTGCAAACAACCCCCACCAACGCACTTACCAGCGCCTAACTCAAGCACAGTCTCGCCTGCAACACTCCACAACTCTCTTGCCTCCTTCTTATCCTCCGTCTCAATCTGACCTTCTGGCGTCGGTGTATCCGCCTCCTCAACACCCTCAGCGACGACCATCGCCGCGCTCCACAGGAAGTGCGCGAACAGCTTGCGGCCCTCGTCGACCTGGTTCACGGAGCCATCTGGATTGGCTTGGCCGGCAGCTATCTCCTCCGAGCGCTTCTCGCTTGAGCTTGGGTAGCTAGGGACCATGATGTTTAGGTCGCCATAGCGGGGGGAGCTGTAGAGGAGGTGTTGGCCTGGGTCGCCGTGGAAGGAGGGTGCGTCGTCTGGGAATAGGTGGGGGAGGAATGCACCGAAGAGGTCTTCGGAGGATTCGTCTTCGATCTCGTTGGCGTCTTCGTTTTGCAGGTCTGGTGCTGGCGCGCTGGGTGTGTTGGTGGAATAGTGGCGGCGGGGGAGGGGCCGCAGGCGGGATTGGAGCATGGTTGCGTCGTTGTGGGAGCTTCGGGGGCGAATAAATGGATGTATGGTGAGATTGGTCGGTCTGGTTTATGACATTCGTATGATCCACACGCCGATTCACCTAGGGTTTGTGGCTGTTGGGATCTGATCTTCTATCTTGGATCTTCTGTTTTGGATATTTTTCTTATCACGGATCATGTTTGCTTTGTTTGTTCCCTGGGTGTTCGCCAGGCGGGCTTGGCAATATTTACTCCGCTTTTCAGCACTGAAGGTCTGACCACGTCATGGATGGGACCTGGGGAGCACGAAAATGGGGTAAAAAAGTTAGTTGACTTGCATTGGCTTCGTCTGAAAGAAGGCAATAATGGAAGCGAAGACATCAAAAACACCTGGATTACCAACTCTCCAACACCGGCAGATAGCTCTATTGTAAGGATTGGATCGACACAATCCAACTTCTCGCCCAATAAACACTGACAACAAACAATGCCCCAGTTTCTCAGCCGCAGGGCAACAAAGGCGGGCCAGGAATCTCGGAGAAATGATCAGGGAGCCATGACCTTTGTTGGCCTTGAGGGCGCTAAAAATACGCAGTAATTCCGCACAGATGCTCGTGCGCAGAAGGGACTCAGGGTCCCAGGGAGTGATCTTCAGAGTAATGATCCTCTCCTGCAAGAATTAGCGTGCAAGATGGCGCGACCTGATCATAGCAATGTGGTGACACAGACTGACACTGAGCAATTACCAACTAATATCGCCAAGTCCCTGGGACCTTGGGCACTATTGGAGGCTTAGACTCGGGCCTTTTCATGCCTAGACTGCCGCTGCTTTATGAGCCCTGGCGCTCGAGCTTACCTAGCGCTGAAGATCCCTGAGTAAATGTCAGCACGGGAAGAAAATGGGTGATCCCTCGTGAACTGTGAACAATGGAGCAAGTAACTACGGAGTACTACGTACTAACGTTAACTACTGTAGAATCGAAAAAAAAAATAAACACAAAAAAGAAAAGGTCCCGCCCGGGATCGAACCGGGATTACTGGTATCAGAAACCAGGGTGATGACCATTACACTACGGAACCCAACTTGTTGAAAAATGGATCCACTTTTGTCTTCTTGAGCCAGAATAGCAAATTGGCTGTTCCTGTCTTCCAAGTGATTAGCGGATAAGGTTTATGAGGTGCGGATCAGGAACCAAGCCGAACCATCGGAATTACTCCCGAAGTATGTACTCCATATCTGTGTCTTTCAGCTTGCCCACCCGGGAGTTTTGCAGTTATAAGGCCGAGATGCACATATACAGAGTTGTAGCGATTCTAGCTGCTTGCCCACACTCTAATACTGGAAAATAACACTCGCACTGAGAGCCACCAAGTACATAGCGAGGAAACCACCTAACCATGCATTTGCATTTGGAGCAACTCTTGAGGCGGAGCTAGTAGGTGATGCAGTCTTGCTGGATGTAGCAGTTGGTAGGTCGGACTGATGATGCACAAGTGATAACATAGGCAATATCGAAACTGCGACGAGCCGAGAGGCTTCCGACGGACTGAAAGTCCGCGACGTGACACTGATTGGCTGCACATCGGTGATAATATTGTTGAGCTGCGTGGAAGTACTCCCCCCAACAATGATGGTTTTGGTTGAGATGCCTATGTCCGTCGCAGGGAGCACACGCACGTGTCCCTCCGTGATTTTGTAACCAGAGACGGTAGAGTAGCATCCGTACGCGAGATCCGCGGTCATCGAGCTAGAACGATGAATTAGGAGACGAACTCATATGCCAGTATTGGAAAGTTTGACTTACTCTGGACAGCACATCACGAGAGTCTCGCTCGGGTCCAAAAGATCCATCAACAACGTAGCTGGGTTCTGCCACTGGGGCACGAAGGTAGGCATCGTGGCTGTGGTGCTAGGACTTAGGATACCCGATGAGCTAAGACTCTTGTCGGCATCGCGTACTGCAATCCCCTTTGTAGCCCATCCAGAAGGGCAGTACAGGCCAGGTGAGAGATACGCCTGACTGTAAATAATCGTCGGGTCGTCATTTGCAGTGGTTGTAGGGGATATTGTCCCACTTGGAATACAGTCGCCATAACCTGCCGTAGAGCACTGGACTTCATAGTCAAACACAGGGAATGTCGTGTTAAGTCCAATCTGATAGTTTCCCGTCGCGGTGGCGCAACTGGCGGGTGCCGTGAAAGTCGTTGTCAACGGACCCCAATTTGTGAAGGTATATCCTTCGGTTATGGAAATGCTGGGCATGGTTCCTATGGCGACTCAAACACGGTGATAAAATTCTTAGGAGGACGATTGACCTCAGGAAGCAGGTTTCGCCAAGGGTGGGAAGTTGGGAACAGAAAATCCACTCTGGGAATGGGAAATAGCGTAAAAGGGGGTTGACTTTGGCCTCATGACTCTGGTGCGCCTCGCTTAAGCCAGAAGTTTCCAAACTGACGCACCTTGCACATTTGCTGGGACTAAGCCCAATGCCGGTTAGCCGTAGTCTGCGGAGATGAAGCCGTGAGGAGGGAGTTCTTTGCGAGATTTCAGGACTGCACCGAGACGTCTGTGTCTGAAGAAATCATGGTTTGACGGCCTGCTAGAGGTGTGGACGAACACTATTCTGAATGGCAGCAATCGGTTCGCAACGAGACTTGCTGGGAGAACATCAACAAAGCTTGTCTCGACCTCATGCAGATTTATGGGTCCCCACTTGAGACATACTGGGGCTAGTCTCCGCATCCATTCCTACAGTACTAGGAGCTTCTACACAGTAGCAACTTAGACCTGTTATCGATCCTCTTGGTGCGCCCGCATAATGCACTTTGCTACACAAGCTTCCAGCCTTCCGTTACTGTGTGAGAATCAATCGGGCCGACGTTTAGCCTGATATCGGTCAGCTCATCACATGCCACCTTCACCATCTTCCTCGCCCTCGCCATAAGGCCGGCAAGTTCCCAGCGATGGCGACTCACCTAGAGGGGGTCTTGGACATCTCAATACCCTTACCCATTAAGACCACAACAGCATGAGACACAGTTACCGCCCTCCCCACCATCAGCGACGGTGAGTCATTTGTTGTTACAAGTTCGTTCCATCTTCATCACCTTTCATCAAGCCTAGTCACTCACAGCAGTGACTCACCAGTCATCATTCCCTTCTTCCGAGGTTGCCTGGTCTCTCTGTGTGTAACAGGCTCATTGCTCACATCAGGCGTGGATTTTAGCTGAGGCTCATCAATATCATCCACGGGCAGGACTTCCACGGGCAGGACTTCCAGAGTAGACGGTGCCCATGGCTCAAGGCCAGGGTTGAGAGGTGGAAGTTGCTCAACCTCAGTGGTAGAGACTTCTCCCGGAGGAAAGTAGCTCGGTGGTTGTTCTGTAATGCCAGTGGACCGATGCGCCGCCGGGGGACGGTATTCGACGAATCTCAGGGGTTCTGCAGCGCGTGCAGCCTGGCGCTTCTTCCACGCTCGGGCTGACCTCGCCGCTTTTCTTTCTTCAACAGAGGCGTATTTTCGAGGTCGGCCCATTTTTGGCTTAACAAGAATACGAGCAAGAAATGATTGATCCATAACGATGTAATAGGGGTTTGCTGTTACTCAGTTAATAGACCGGTTTGTTACTGGGGGAATGACTGCTGGCTCGCTATCTGTGCCTTTGAGCTTCCCACACTCTCTGCCCTCCTGCCGGCGTTCTACCAATGATCCTGTTTTATAATGCACATTACTGCTCTCTACATCAACAAGCTGGGTTCCGTAGTGTAATGGCTATCACCCTGGTTTCTGATACCAGTAATCCCGGTTCGATCCCGGGCGGGACCTCTTCTTTTTCTTTTTCTTAATTCTGTTTGTTCGTTGAATGTTTTTAACCTTTTTTTTATGAGTATCTGTTGGTTTTACACTGCAATATTGCTTGTATGCGAAACGTCGAAGACTAGCACCTACCCACCCAGATTCGCGACCAGTACCCGGCCGGCACCGTCATGCGTGTGATCAAGCCTCTGTATGGGATCGCCGAGGTAGGAACCCACTGGTGGGCGACGTACCACTCCCACCACATAAAGAAGCTCCAGATGGTTACTTCTTCGTACGGCCCCTGCCTGCTGATCTCGTCTTCGGAGAACGCTGAATTCGCCATGGTGGGCATGCAAACGGATGACACGATCGGTTTGACGACCCTCGCTTTCTCCCAACGCGAGGACGAGAAGCTGGCAGAAGCCGCCTTCAAGGCCAAGCCCAAGGAGGCCCTAGAGGAAGGGAAGCCGCTCATTTTCAACGGCGGCATTGTCTCCCTGGAAGGAGAAATCCTGACCCTCCGGCAAAAGGGTCAGGGTAAGCGCCTAGAGGTTGCTGCCACGAAGCAACAGTACGTGGACCAACGCGCCCGAGGCGCCTACATCGCCTCAATCTGCCAGCCCGAACGAAGCCTGCTTCGACTTGTCAAGCGCTGCCCAGCACCAGGACCCCACCGAGGGAGATACGAAGGCGCTCAACAAGCGCATAAGGTGGCAAATGGAGAACCAGGAACGAGGCCTACACTTCCTTCCTTTGGACCTCTCCGCGGCCCGTATCTTCGTCTTTGTGGACGGCTCCTTCGCCAACAACCGAGACCTCACCTCGCAGCTCGGCTTTGCCATTATCCTCGCCAATGAGGAGATGCGAAGCGATGAGGGCACCTTCAAGATCCGAAGTAACCTGATCCACTTCAGTAGCACCAAGAGCAAGCGGGTTACTCGCAGTGTACTCGCCTCGGAAGTCTACGGCATGGTGGCCGGCGTGGACATGGCTTACGCTATTTCCTCCACCTTGAAGATGGTCACTGACCATCTCAACCTACCGCTTATTCCCACTGTTGTCTGTACAGACTCATACTCCCTTTACGAGTGCCTTGTGAAGTTGGGTACTACGAAACAGAAAAGGCTGATGATAGACATCATGGCCTTACGCCAATCATACGAGCGCCGGGAGTTACAGGAGGTTCGCTGGATCCACGGAGACGATAACCTGGCAGACGCCTTCACCAAGGGCGACCCAGCCCTCTACACGCACGGTTGCCTGGTTCGTGTCAACAAAACCTTCCAGAGCCTTGTTCGGGTTGCCCTTGGAGAAGGCGTCTGCCAGGTTATCGTCTCCGTGGATCCAGCGAACCTCCTGTAACTCCCGGCGCTCGTATGATTGGCGTAAGGCCATGATGTCTATCATCAGCCTTTTCTGTTTCGTAGTACCCAACTTCACAAGGCACTCGTAAAGGGAGTATGAGTCTGTACAGACAACAGTGGGAATAAGCGGTAGGTTGAGATGGTCAGTGACCATCTTCAAGGTGGAGGAAATAGCGTAAGCCATGTCCACGAAAGTTTCGCGATGAGCCTTGTTGATCTGTAGGTTGAGTAGGTTCAAGCACTGATCAGTGTTGGTTTTACACTGCAATATTGCTAGTGTGCGAAACGTCGAAGACTACGGCGATTACTGGGCAGATGGCCTACTCTCGTGGAGGCTCCTGCTCGGTGTAATCTTGTGTAGTATTCGTTGTTGTTTTTCCTAAGAATGCCAGCGTCGTGGGATATCCCTTAGACGCGTGAACGAATGCTAGATCACATGACTCCTCCCGTGCTTGCTTGTTGCACCAGTTCCAACAGTATCCAAAAAAATTTAAAAATGAAACAGCAAATGATAGGTCCCGCCCGGGATCGAACCGGGATTACTGGTATCAGAAACCAGGGTGATAGCCATTACACTACGGAACCCAATCTGTGGGACCATGAGGCAAAAGTTGGTTCTATAAGCCTGCGATCCATGGACTGACTGACTTTCAGCGATCATGCATAGAAATCTGATGTTGAGGCGTGGCCTCGGGCAAAAAATAATCAACTCCCCAATGTTTGCAATCCGTTCTGTCTCTCTCCTCCTTTCTTGATTCTTCCTCTGCTTTTTGCTTCGGTCCACGCAAGACGGTTAATTGGCTTGCAGCCTTCGTCTAGTCTACCCTCTGTATGGAAGATTATGTTAGGGCACATCGAACCGGACCAAAATATAAAAAAGAAAAGGTCCCGCCCGGGATCGAACCGGGATTACTGGTATCAGAAACCAGGGTGATGACCATTACACTACGGAACCCAACTTGATGAATTTGTCGATACTAAAGTATCCATTTAGGATATTGTGTATGAGCAGATTGGTCCATCAGGAGATTTGGGGGAGTATTGATCATGCCGTGCAATACAACCTAGCAATAGGTAGAGCCTTCTTTGGAACATCCATGATGGGTAGGACCTAGGTACTCGAACTGTTAGCTTTCCTTTCATCCCAAGTCAGCTAGTTGCTTTTGTAATGTCTTGGTCGCCGGAACAAAGAGCAATTGACGATGTGGGCCTTTGGTGTGTTGTGTTGGTATATATCCGAACAAGGAACCGGACAAAGGCGGCACATAAAGAGGTAAGGTAGGCATCACATCGAGTGGTACCCATCTAACTTGTTACAGTAGAACAATCGTAGTTGCTGGGAATTTATTGTAACCGAAGTCAAAGGGTTGATTCGTAGCCAAGGTAGACAGCAGTGATAGATCAAACCAGGGCAGTATCAATGCACAGTGGTATCCTCTCAAGAAGACAACCTTCCTAGCATCGATCTCCTAGCTCTGTGCTCCTCGTGTCGCCCATAGTATGATAGTCTATAGATAAGCATATCCCCTGTACGTACTACCTAGATAAGTACAGTAGTCAGACCTGCCCTAACCTAGTAGGGAGTAGTAACCTTGGAGTTGCAGAGGTTTTGGTAAGGTCAAGCATCTATAGATTTATATTGTCAATTATGCTTTGGTGATTCAACAAATCAGGTTCCGTAGTGTAATGGTCATCACCCTGGTTTCTGATACCAGTAATCCCGGTTCGATCCCGGGCGGGACCTTTCTTTTTACAAATTTTTTTTATTCCACACAAATTTGACTGAGTATGAGGCTTAGAAAGGACAGTAAGACAGGGTAACTACTGCACCATAGTGACCGCCTTGAATGCCTACAGCCCAATTGATGAAACACTCTCCATGTATGCTCTTTGATACAATGTACTTGCCCCGATCTTTATGCCGCACAAGCGTACGGAGTAGGGCCCAGGGACTTTGGTCCACCCACGAATACGATGATTAACCAACTAGTTACAGTAGTTGGTTAAGCTAAATCATACTAGGGCTGCCTTATCGCAAATATTTCGTAGGTGAATCACGCAATTCCCAGTGGAATACAGTAACTAGGCATATCACGTTGACTAACTATTTGGTGATAAGGTTGGCCAGGGCATGCTCGGTTTTACTCGGTAGTCAAAAAGCGGCAAGAGAGGAGCACTAAAATGGAAATGGGAAAGTATCGACATCCGGAGGAGTGTGTGCGCAGTAAGTAGCCTTCTTGTGATGCGATACCAGTGGCTCCACACTTATCCGAGAGACAGATGTCTGTTCACCCCTTTGAATGGCGAAATACCAGGCTCGAATGTTCAAGAATCACTAGGGCATAATCCTTTCATGCCCTTTGATGGCCGTGTCTGGATCGCGTTCCGCACGGGCAGTAGGGTATGCGCCCTGGTTTGAAAGGGCAGTGCCATGGTCCAGGGCCCAGGCTTAGATAAAGGAAATCTCACCCCGTAGACATGAATTTCACAGTAACTAGTTATCGGATTGGATTTATTAATAGTAATTATAACACATTACTGTGAAATACTGTGAAATACTGTACTGCATAATAGGACTTACCTTCAAAGAATGTTGATAAATGACAAGAAGAAGAATAATAAAGGATAAAAATATCCGTTGCCTGACGATCAGCCAGGGTCACAAGATAGGATAGGTGGACTCTGTACCAAGAAGCAAGTACCAATCAAGTCACTCGATTGATAGCCGCGGCCATGACGATAGAGGGCAAAGAACCTGAACTACTCCGTAGTGAGACTTGGAAAGTACCAGTTTCCACGTATCGGCCAGATCACCTGCATCGTATCGACCGTTCTAGCACTTGGAATGGAGTGGCCCGAGTGGACGAGTGGAGCGAATGATGTCACTTACACGGCTTAGTCAATATAATCACCTGATGCCTTGATACGGAATCATTCGGTGGATATTATTCCCGTGGATGAGTATCATACGAAGTAGTAGCCTGCAACCGTTTTGTGGCAACAGAGATCGTGGCTGACTCTCACTACAACTTAAGACCAAGGCAAAGTCCAAGACATGTCCAAGCCGAGAAGGTGCCGCCAGGCGGCGGGGGCCTAGATGGAGTTAGGTAATCACTCAGGTCAGCCCTGAGAGCTGTGCACATTTAGAGGCAATTCAAAGGGAATGTGCAATTGAACAGTGAATTAACATAGACTATTATACATAGATACATAATCAAAAGGTAGAAGCAAATATCGATATAAATGAAATATTAACTTCGTATGTGTGACCGGTGATCGGTCCCCCCCCGCATGCTCAAAGGGAAAGGGCCCCCGCAAAGCTGAGCGATTTTGGCTCATACCGACCCTGACTCTTTCTCCTTCTTTCTCCTCTTTTTTCCCCCTTCCACCTTTCTTTTTTTTTTCTGGATTCCCTGAACTCTTTTTTTTTAACTTCCTTCATTTTCTCTCTCTCTTCATTCCCTCTGCTTCTTGCATTCGTTGCTCCCACTCAATTAACACATACCCGTTCCGTGACTCCGCCCTATTCTATCGGATACTTCGAATTGAGGCCAGCTTGTGTCCCAGAGGGCTGTCAATTCAGTTGGAAGCTTCCTCACAGATCTTACCACCATGGCTTCTTTCAAAGTAAATATATCTCCTGACACGTTTGAATCCTTTTTTTTTTTGGATTCCCCATACTAATGTATCGGCCCCTGGGGCCATTTACAGGAATTGTCCATGTCGCGTCCTCTCCCCAACCCCAGCCAGCGGCACCACACACACTCGATCTCGCTCGGTGCCCTCAACTCTAACCACCGTGTAACTCGCCGAAAGAGTGTGACCACAGCTGCTGCCAATGCCGCCGCCGCAGCCGTTGCCGCCTCTATGGAGGGCGGCGAATCCACCTCCCTCCCCATGGGCGCGCACCGCCGCAGCCTAGCAGGACGCAAGGGACAAGAATCAGGCTCCATCGGAAACGTGTCTGGTTTTAGTTCCTACCTTTCGCGCACCATCAACGACGCCAGTCAGGAATCGCCGGCCGCCCGAAAGGATTCTCCGGGATCGGACCACTCCGATGGCAAGCTCAAGAACCGAAATCGTCGAGCCAGCGAGGGTGCTCAACTGAAGACCGAAGGGAAGCGTGCTGCGGCAGCCATACGGTGCGATCGCTGCGGAAAAGGGTATAAGCATGGCAGCTGCTTGTCTAAGCATATGTGTGTATCCCCCCTACCGCTCGGCCGTCTTCCTTTAGCTCCATCGGGAATATGCACCATGCCGGCTCTGTGCAGGTCGCCCTCGTGGTCATTCATTTCCCACCCGCTCTTCACTACCCCCTTTCTTCCATCCCTTTCATCAGCATTTGATTGACGTATTTTTTTCTGGTGTCTTAGGTGGGAACACGACCCAGCATGGGCCGTTACATCGAAGCTTCTCATTTCCAAGCACCAGCAGGTTCAACTGCTGGAGGCTGCCTCTGTTTTGGTCACCATGAACCATGACGATCCCCCCGATGAGTCCGCTGAGTTGGAATTGGAGTCGGAGTTGTCGTCTGGATCGCCGGACGCACTGTCAGAAATGCGGGATGGCATCAGCTCTACCGAGACCACTCCACCCCCGATGGATTCCGAGGAAGACGATGACTTTGAGATGTCGGGTGTGCCGGCACAGTGGGCCAAGCGCCCAAGCGTTAGCAACGTCTCCGGTTTCTCTCACTCCTACCAGTCCATTCCTTCCAGCTCGTACAATGACAGCGCGCCGCTGCACTCGCCTACCTTCTCCCACTTCCGCAACTCGAGCATCGACACCCGTCCGTCGACCGCGGATACCCGGCTACACGAGGATGATGAGGCGGATCTTGCGGCAGCCATTGGTCTCTGCAATTTCGGGACTCCCCGTACAGGGCCTGTCTCCATGACCCCCGACGTACCACCCGTGCCTCCGCTGCCGGCGCGCTACTTGGATTCAAGCAGCCAACCGAGTAACCGGGGAATGCTCTCCCCTCGGCAACGCCCTGCCGACGAGGCCGCTCGCCGAGACTCCCAGGCCAGCATCTTCCTGTCGAGGTCGCTCAACCCCTCGCTGTCCTACAAGGTTTCCGATGAGCGTGAAGATCGGACGGGCGGTGGCGATGAGGCCCAAAAGTCCCGACAACGCCGCAACGCCGACGTGGACTTCAGCAACCGCTCAGTGCCCGCTGACGACGACGATGACGGTGTGTTTGGTCACATGGAGGAATAATTCTTCCAGCAGCCAGTACGTCCCCGCGCCTCCGAGGCAGTTCTTGGGTCAAATCGGTCTATCCACGCCGAGCTACGACCCCCTTCACGATCTCATGTACGAGCCTGAGCGAATTTTTGAAACTTTCTTGTTTACACGTTTATAACCACTCCAGGTGGAGCTCGGAGCCGAAATTGAACAATTAAAGTTCTTTTCTCACCGGAGTGGCACAATTCTCGGGACCTTTTCTCCTACTGTCTGAGATCCCATGTATCAATCATGTCTCCTTGGCCCGCTTTGTGCTCTTTTTGTTGTTTCGTTTCTCTGCTTTCTTCCTCACTGCTTAACTTTCCAGGAAACCTATATAAATGCCCTAACGCTGTATGGCGGGCGCATATTCATCACCCCCCCGTCATTCCTCATATCCCATAGGGACGTGACATACCACCCCCATGTCCTCTATGCCGTCTCGTTTGTCTGGTCTTTTTTGGTCTTCTGTTTTGGACTGTTTCTGGACTCTTTTCGCTCGCATCGCACATATATACCAAACCTACAAATTCTACCATCCGCTGCGCTACTTTTCACACATGTGTATATCGTCCGTTCCTTTATTCTCTCCTTGTCGGCTTTCTTCTCTCTCTCTCTCCGCCTACGATCCCTCTTGTGGACTCAATTGACCCTCGGACGGGGCATACAATGAATATAACTCATGAAACTACGACTGGTCCTTGGAATCGTATGTAGATCTATTGTCTCCTGAATGTGCTCGATCTTACCGTCAGCACTTCACATAGAATAACCCATACTAATAGAGCGATACTACATCACAACCCACATCATCCTACCTCGGAACGGATACACCCGTCCTGATCAATCGATCGACAGGCCATGGCTATCCGTGTGCATCACAAGCGGGGAAAAGACCCACTATGGGGTAAAGGTTTCATATTTTTGCGGAGTATGTTTCGTCATACGAGTTGTCCAATAGGGTGAATGGATGGGATTCCATGCTGTGGGTGTTGTATTGTCTTTTGGTCCCTGTAGATTTCTAAAAGATGGTTTATCAGACGTATCAAATCGGCGGACTGCACAGAAAGTAAAGACATGAAGAAGAAGGTATTGATACTGATAGGTATGTGTAAGTAGTAATAACAATGCTTGAAGATCGAGACCGGCAGAGATGCAGTACCACTTGTAAAACTATGCCCAGTTAAGATATATGCTAGCTCCAGTTTGTCAATTGTGTCTCTGTCTCCATGATAGCAAAGTAAGAATGTGGGAGCCGTCTCAATGACGGTTGGTTCAGCAAGTTGGGGACGATTGATGGAGACAGAGACAGCAAGCACGGCACTCTGCTGGCACCCTACTCGGGGACCCTATTTGATACGACTGTCGGTCGTATCATCTCGACGAGCTGGGCCTGCAATTCGAGGCATTTTCCGTAGATCCCAAAAACTGCGCTGTGAACCTGGTAGTCGGGTCACCCTGAGACAGCGGCATCGACAATCCACACAGGTAATCCAGGACGGTCTCGACGTAAATAGGATAAAACTGGCCATCAGCGAACACCAGTAAGCGAACACACTCGCGTGGCGAGAAGACCATGTTGAACAGTGTCTCAAAAGATCTCGCGTGGGTGGTGAACCCGCTCCAACCAACGACAACCAAGCAGATCCTCCCATTTGTTCTGGATGATTCGCGTATGTACCCTCTCATATCATTGAGATTGTGCTCGTTGAGCTGCATCCTGGGGTCTTGGACAATGTGGAGATCTCTAATCAAGCTGCCGGCCGTGATACCATATTGCATCGCGTACCGCCCGAGTGCACTGTATGTGCACCTCTGGAGATGGATGTAGGTACTTGTAGCATCTGAAGCGTATTCTGAAGCCCGTGCAATGAAGATAAACGTCTCGGGTGGGTCATGGGGGTCATCATCGGTATCTGTGACCCTGTAAGACACGGCGCGAGGGGGCATGGTGGTAGTAGAGAGGCTTTTAGTTGAATGAAGGAAGTGATTTCCGGATCAGAGATGTTGATGCAATAAGATTAAGATGATGATCCCCGAGGGGTCGACCGGTCGAGGCTTTGGTCTGAGCGGTGCGCAAAGAAAGATGACCAGTGAGTCTGAACTGATGGAAGGTTTTGATCAGCCTCCAGTCGACGGTGGACTTTGAAATAGGGCACGTGGTGCCATACTGAAAATAGAAAGAGCGATGGAGTCCTGGGGGATATTTCGCGCCTTCCATTTCTGGTCACAAGTCACGGGGTATATAAACGTTGTTGGTCGAATGCAGCCAGTTGATTTGGTCCATGTTCTCTACACAAATGTTATCTGTCTCATAGCTTGTCCTCAAGCTTCTCCTTCAGTAGAGTGATGTCTTGACACCATTCCACTCGACCATGAATGAACTTTATTAAGTCCTCCCCAGCGGCCTGGATGAGTCGCGTTGGAAAGAGCATTCAAACCTAGTGGTTGCAGTTCCAGAGATGGCTGCTCGACTTGCTGGGCAACATAAAGAGGTGATCGTGCATAGTAAAAAGGTGGTCGTTCACAGGATTGCTTGGACACATCCTGGGATCTGTAGGTTACCGGTGGACACATCCGTGTTCGTGTTGAATGGCATAGTAACACCTTAGTGATTCAAGCTAGACGATGGCCAGGAACGGTGAACCCTTCGTACCAGTCTGCTCGACATTGGAAATTGGAAGCACTGCCTCAGCAACAGTAGGGCGGGGATACAACCCTGCAGTAGTATGGCTCCCGACTGCTTGATGATCATGATCTCGTGCATTTAGGGGTAAGTGCTATTGTAGAAGGAGCTTTGGTAAGTCTATAGTGCATTTCCACATGGCTGTACTTGGCAAAACTCTGGCTATTGAAACAGTCAATCCAAGGTCTCCAGATGTAGGCAGTACTGCGTATATTCATCTGAGGTACATCATCGTACATCATTCAACGTTGTCGCCCTGGCGCCCATATTAGGATCACGTGGCACATGGCAAACCGCTAGACACGTGACAAGTAAAAACTTCCAATCAAATTTCAATGTAACATGCCCCCCAGTCAGGTGACAAGCCCCGCTGCGCTGACTCATCGTATTCCGGAAAGAAGTGCCCTCACCGAATAGAACGAGAAAGTGGTAACGGTTTTGTTGGAGAGTGAGAGCGAGAGACCATACGAGACAAAGCGAGCCGGACAAAACCGCACTGCCCGAGTACACCTCTACAAAGGGTGTCTGCAAGCTCGATTAAAAGTTTTTCGCCTTCCGGAACCACGATCCTGAGCAGCGAAAACGTCATTCAGCCTGGCTTCTGTTGGACGATCAAACGGGATTGGAGAGGGCCAGGCCCGAACTCTTGAACCAGTTGCGGCTATTGATAATGCTTCTGCTGGCACCAGTCCCGTAATGGCGGGTGTAAATCAGATGTCTGTCTCAGCTGGCGCCGATGGCATGCATGGTCGCAAACGCAATACGACCATTGCGGGGATGGACAGTTCCCCGGGGAGTATTGATGATATGGAAGACAATGAGTCGCGCGAGGAAAAGAGACGTCAGCCGGTGAAGCGCGCATGCAACGAATGTCGGCAGCAAAAGGTATGCCAAGGAGAATGCTGAAAGTTTTTATGGTTCGCCTTTTGGCTAACGATTGAATTGCGACAGCTCCGATGCGATGTCATTCAAGATCCATGGACAGATTGTTCGCGATGCCGTCGATTAAGGCTTAGTTGTAAAATCGAGTCGAACTTCAAACGTGTCGGAAAGCGCAGCCGCAATGCGGAGATGGAGAGGGAAATCATGGAACTCAGGAAGCAGATTGCTAGTGGCCAAAACGTGCCCAGGATGTCTCAGAAGCAACAAGCGTTGGCCGACCAATTGACTCCGAAACAAGAGTCCAATCAAGTCAGTCCTGCGGTTTATCAAACCCCGTCAGCCATGTCCGCAGATCAGTATATGGGATCTCAAGAAGCCGTTGCATCTCTGCTGGACCTACGCTCGGGCTTCGATGGTTCCAACTTTATGAGGAACGGGGTACAAATCAAACGCATCGAGGATGTCATGGTCGTTCCTGAGAAGGTGTCGGAATTGTTCAATTTGTGAGTCCTGGTCTTCTGTGTTTATGAGATTGCATCTAACGTGTTGCTCGGCAGATTCTTCACATATTACCACCCGTTCCTCCCATTCTTAGATCGGACGCAGTCTCCTGATGAATACTACAATGCTTCCTCATTGCTTTTCTGGACGATTATCAGTGTCGGTGCCCGACGCTACCAAGGTGATTCGAATTTGTTGACTGCTCTCGCGGGTCCCGTCACCCGGCTAGTCTGGAGCACTCTGGCAGATATTCCCCAAAGCTACCATGTCGTGAAGGCTCTCGCTTTACTATGCTCATGGCCTTTCCCCACAAGCAGTACTTCGACCGATCCAACTTTTATGCTGTGTGGAATGATGATACAAGTTGCTATGCAACTAGGGCTCCACCGGCCTTCTCATACCCAGGACTTTAGCAAGTTCAGAGTGGAACTCATTGAAGACGAGCTCAGAGACAAGGTTCGAACTTGGGCCATCTGTAATATTGTTGCTCAGAGGTAAGCAAGATCTTTACCTGCTACTAGCCTGAGACTTATCTTTTCTCGTCACAGGGTTTCCACCGGCTATGGACAGCCATCATCCACTCTTTACGACTGGACATTGTCTTCAAGCGATTCGCTAGACCCTAACTTCAAGCTTCCCCCGATATCAGGCGAAGATTGGAGATCGAAATGTTTTGCGACCGGATTACCCGAGCGCTTTATACAAATCGACGCGATCCCGTTGGTTTAACCAGTGATCACGAGCGATCCACAATGATCTCCTTTTTGTCGCGAGACTTTGAGGAGTTAGAGGAACAGCTGAAATCACAGAATGACTGTAAGCCTTTCTGGACTTGTAGCTTGCGGGACACCGTACTAATGACAGCAGGTATCACTGACTTGTTTCTGCGTGCTGCGAACCTTCACCTGCACCTTTCGGCATTCTTCGACGAGCCAACAGCCAAAAATTATCGCGAACGAGTCTTATCTCTGTATGTTGCGACGACATCGTTCCTTGAATTTGTCTTGAAACTCGAGACGGAGGTTGGCCCAGCCATCTCCTATACACCGTACTATATCTACCAGATGATGGTTGCTGCTGGTTGCACTCTTTTGAAGCTTTGCAAGAGCTTCTTCGCCTCTCACATCGACATGGAATATACCAGGAACCTTTTCAACCGCACAATCTGGGCCATCCGGGGAGTTTCTGCGTCCAGCAACGATCTACCCGAACGACTTGCCGAGGTGTTAGCCCAGATGTGGAGACTAGGAGGCGCCACTCAAAGATCCAACAATAGTACCGATCTCGACGATTCTCTCCGACTCAAAGTGCGCTGCCGGATGAGTATGTCTCTACTGTTCGACTCCGTGTGGCGCTGGCGGGAGGATGCGCGCACTAAAGGCCGAAATATTGAAGGTCAGTATCCCATTTCGAATTTAGTAAACCCGTCTTCTAACTTTTGAACTTATAGCCTATCTGCAAAACCCGACAAATCCTGACTCGGCAGCTGATTCTTCGGCCACCCCGTCTGTCGGGCCTGTGCACCCATCTACAACCACTCCCGGAATCTCTGGGAATGATCCAAGCCTTGCACCAGCACCGCTACTGTCACAGGCTAGCCTTGGGATCCAAGCACCTGCAGACCAGCCCAACGGTCTTCCAAGCGGCTTCATGGAGCCTAACTATGAAGTATTCGATCCGTTGAACTGGTTACTCGACGGCCTGGTAGACTTGCCATATTCATACTCAACAGTGGGTGAAATAGAGCCCCAGACCATCGTATAGATTTCAGCTTGTCTATTATTTAAGTGGAGTTATTGCTGGGTCTTTTTTTTGCGGGCGTGACTGCGTGCTTGTATCATTATACCACCCATTCGACCGCTGATACCTCCAATCGATATTTTATTCGTGTCTGTTTATACTCATGGTGTACGATGCTTTTGGTTATTATTCATTTCACTATATTCGGCCCAATATACTTGTTTAGTAGTCTCCTGCAATTATAAAGTCCGGTACCTTGTGCAATGTACTATCACACCGACACCGAGTCCTTTGTCGCTAGCGGCTTTTTGCGAGTCCAGATTCGTTCCGTAGAATCCGTAGAAGCAATTTCATTCATTTCAATCACAGTTATTGCTTCTCTCACACCTCATCTATTTACTCCATGAGACCCCTATATATTGGCTCATCGGTGCTCTCGTCCGTTTCGTGCCTACTATTTTTGTCACCGTCAAAACAAGATGTCTCTGGTATACCCGATGACTTGGACCGGGGAATTGAGCCCTCGTGACCTAGTCATTGCACTCTCCCTAGTGCTCACGACGTTCTGCTTCGTGGCTGCGGCCGGTTTGGTCCTTACTTCTTCTCGTATAGCGAATGTTGGTCATCACTCCGTTCCTCTCTACTCCTGTGATATGTGGCCAGTTTACAAGACCTAAATGCTGATTAGATGGCTTCCGGCAGTATCACGTCCCTTTCCCTGGGCGCAAGGATTATTTCTCGATATTGTATCAGCAGTACAAATTCGTCGTTGATGGGCCGGGTATAATCAAGAAGGGTTATGAGCAGTTTACCAACGGTTTGTTCGAAATCCCACGAACGTTCCGCTTCGGACAGGTCATTCTATGCCAGCAAGACTTGATTGAGGAACTGAAGAATAAACGAAGTACTCTGGTCTCACCTGAGCCGTGGATTGATCAGGTATGGTTCTTTTTCGTCTTAGTTGTGGTGGCCTTCGCATTTCGACTGACTGGTAATCTGAAAACATTGCTATAGCTCCTTCAAATCTCGCATGTTATGCCTGGATACTTCCCCCTGAAATGGGATGGCCAAAAATAGCCAAAACCACACCGGGCGTGATTCGAAACACCGTCCACAAGAAGCTGCATCGGTATATGCCTTCTATGAACCAGGCAATTCTTGCGCAACTGAAAACACTAGACTTCAAGAATGGAGGTATGTTTGGGCGGCCTTCTAATCGGGAAAGAGTATTAATGTCTTTCAGAATGCAACGTCGGCTGCTTCGATCTCGCATACTCGATTGTGGCACGCAGCGGCAGCTTTTCTATGGTTGGCTCGCGACTTTCCCAGGACGACGAGTACCTTGAGGCTATCAAAAATCATATCCTTGGAATGATTGTGACCACTCGTGTACAGTTCCTTCTTCCAGATTGGTTGAAGCAGTGGGTTGATGCCGCATTCATTGTGTATAATTTGGGCTAATTGAAGCCCTAGATACATTGGAGGAATCACCGGCCGCCTCGCCACATTGGGGACTGGTTGGGATATGCATGCCTCGCGTAAGATTCTGCTGAAGCACTTTAATGCACGCGCAGAAGAATACCATGCCGAGATATTCAGTAAGGACGACCCCGCTCGAGAAAGCAAATTGGAGGAAACGGAAGCCCCGGTATGTGTGTATTCGTTCAGTTCCCAAATCCATTACTGAGGTTTTCATAGGAAGAGATATTCCGCTGGCTGTATGAGGGCTGCGTGCTTCGAGGAAAATGGAAATATACAGAGGTGATAGGTGAAATGTTGCTTCTGCAATTTGCCTTCATCTACACCACTTCCTATGTGAGTACGCACGAGGCCAGGCTTGGATATTTGCTAATCCAAACTATCGTTAGGGACTTTACGGTGCATTAGCTGAGCTTGCCCGACGGCCTGAGTACATTCAACCCCTGCGCGAGGAGATCAATACGGTATTCTCCAAAGAGGGACCCACCGTTGCAGCCTGTGATGGTATGGTTATGATGGATAGCTTCTTGAAGGAGTGCCAGCGACTGCATCCCCCATCAGCACGTATGTCCACTCTGATCCCTTGGGAAGTTCGCATGGTTAACGAACCAAATGCAAATATAGTGTCTGCCCACCGGGTCTGCATTAGCGACCTCGCACTTTCCAATGGTTTGTTCTCATACAATAAACCAAGGGGTAGCCAAAATCCAGCTGACCGAGAACATGTAACGAACAGGTATCACACTGAAGCGGGGATCCCACGTGGCAGTTCCAAGTGGAATCATCCAACAATCAAGCGAGCACTACGTGAACCCAGAATCTTTCGACGGGTTCAGGTTCGTAAAGCGTGCAGCAGCCGGGGCCAAAGATTCTCGATTGGTCGACCTGAGCCCTGACTATCTGGTCTTCGGGATGGGCGCACATGCCTGGTAAGTCTTCTTACCTGCGTATTGATTTCGCAGTTTAGAATTCCCGGCCTTCGGTTTTAAATCCAGCCGGCCTGCATATCATCGGCTGACATTCGCTCGTGTTTTTATAGCCCTGGACGATGGATGGCCAGTGCGCTCATGAAACTGTCCTTCGCTCATATCCTAAGTAGTTACGATATACTGCTGCCCAATTCGTCCACTGGGCCCTTGACGGGCTCGCTTTCATTCGAGGAATTCTATGTACCTAACTTCGGGCTGAAGATTACTTTGCGCCATCGCGAATGAGGGTCGGCGGGCTGTTGAACGTCACAAAGGCCATAGTGATCATTTTGAGCTAGTGAGATTCATATTATCCCAAGTCATTGTTTTCCTTCCTACAATGTATGCGTGCATCTTGACTCTCCGATATTTTCGGGTTAAGGTCGGAGCCGTCGACCTAAGAGCGACATTCATGTTGTTTCAATATCCAACAACGTTATTACCTACTGTGTCCATATACTTCGATTCTAAGAGTGGAATGTTCGGCGGCTCTCAGCATTTCCTTTCCGGCCCTGAGGGTACCGAATTCAATATATCCAACTCCTATTAGCTCAAAATCTGCGACAATACATCCATGGCTGGGTGATCGATAGTCTCGCAATATCACGCGGAGGACTATGGCCAATTGGTCATTGACTGTCATCTTTGAACTGAGCCATTTTATAAGGCATAATTAAACAACAAATCAGATGCTGCACGTGTCACCGTGGGTGATGATTATGATTTTCTCATTAATCCGATTTAGCTCGCTTTACATGCTGTCGCTGTGGTTTTATAGGGCAATTCGTGGGTAGGAAGATAGGTTTGCCAGTTGGCGGAAGGTTTGCCAGTTGGCGGAAGGTTTGCCAGTTGGCGGAAGGTTTGCCAGTTGGCGGAAGGTTTGCCAGTTGACGGAAGGTCTGCCAGTTGACGGAAGGTTTGCCAGTTGACGGGAGGCTTGCCAGTTGACTGGAGGCTTGCCAGTTGACGGGAAGCTCGCTAATACCCGTTCTGGCACTCGGCACCCACCAGGATCCAGCACGCAGTTCGACTTCATGGGGTTGAACTTCGCGTGCAGGTGGAGATGACCCACCTCCGGGTGCTCGGTAAAATATTAGACCCGACGTAACCCATGATAACCGCTTGGTTTCCTGATAAATTTACCTCAGTAGTTTCTCAGCCGTCCCCCTTTCAAAAGGCGGTGGACATGGCTATCCACCGCCTGCTACTTTCAGCGCTAAGCAATCCGATTAGGTTTAGCGCGCCAAAAACCCGGCAGAACTTTTGGATCATGTGATCATTATAGTCTGAGACACTGAGGTAATGATAAATTGGTTTCTTCTAACTATTTTTTTCCCTTGTCAATAATCCCCTACATCTACCTATGCACAATGGTCAATGGATGAAGAAACAAACATCCTAGGCTCTACACAGGCTCAAACCATATTGGACCTACTTCCACCGCCACATATACCACGAGAAGAACCGTCTGACTGGTTTCCGCGCGTGAAGGTTGAGCTTCGATCCGAGCGTGTGATATGACATTATCAGCACCATGAGCGAGAGCTAACCAGTCAGACGGAATATTTTTGAATCGGGAAATAACTAATTATCAATTGATTTAGGGGCTGGAGCCTGATATGCCCTTTCCCGTCAAATGATGATACTTTAGTTAGAAAGTCACTGTACACACAGGGGCGTCGCTCTCGACCTGTCTAGATTGGGGATGACGGCATCCGTGGCAGCTTTTGAGCTCGACATTTCTGTCGTTGAGGAACGCAGTCAGCGGTCGAATGTTATGGCACCGGCTACAGCGCTTGGTCGGCGGCGATGCATTTACATCCGCGGCGAGATTTTCAGCAGTGTGCACAGGGGCGTCGCTCTCCTGCGTTAGCGTTCCGCCGCCGATTCAAACACCCGTCCGCCGACCAAGCGCTGTCCGGTGCCCTAACATTCGACCGCTGAGTGCATTCCTCAACGACATTTCTGTCGAGCTCAAAAGCTGCCATGAATGCCGTTGTCTCCAGTCTCGACATGTTCAGAGCGACGCCCCTGTGCATGCCAATCCTGTCAATACTGCTGCAGGGGCCACGCCCGTTCCATTTCGCTCCCAGTACCGCCCTGGCACCGTGCAGAGACATGATCTTGGGCGTATGGAGCACGCCTACCGGTTCTGCAAGGCTCTTGATTGGCTCGCAGAGCGGTACACTAACTCATCCCAGAGCACCCCCCTTTTTGCAGCAGCGAGTAAAAAGAGGCTTGCTCTGGGATGAGTTAGTTTCGCGCTCTGCGAGCCAATGAAGAGCAACCCTAAACCTAACCTACGTCAAGAGGACGGCTCTGCAACGGCACCCGTCTCATCATCACGGGTCTGTATGATTGGACTATCACCGCCCGTATCATCGCAGGCGACTATAAAGGCGCGGAGCACACGATCCCGCATGTGCCATTGGAGATGACCGAGGGCCACGGTCCTACACGTAGAGGGCTCGGATGCAACAGAAAATGTGGTATTTCCAGAGGTCGTACAGCGCTTCCATACAAGGGAGTCAGCTAGCTGTACAAGTTAATTAGTTATTAGATGCATGGTTATAACCAATAATATCGAAAATGAGGATATCTTATCCACTTCCTGCGATTAGCTTACTGACTACGGACTTCGCCTTCAAGCCGCCCGAGCGAAGCGAGGGTAAACGGCTTGTGACACGATAAGGGGAATTGATACAGACACCACACGTTTTTACTAGCGGCACCACACCGGATCACATAATCAATTTTACCCAAAATTGTTACCATACATTACCACACCACTCCATGACTTACTACTGTAGCAACATGGTGATGATTAGTGTTTCTTACCTAGAGTTCCCATTGATCAGAATCAATAGTTAAGCTTCTTTGCATATGGCAAAAGGGGCAATTTATGAGACCTCGTGCTAGGCCCCCCGCGTTTCGCCCAGTCCGGGCATTAATATGATCATTGATCATGGTGAAGTTTGAAGTTTGAACGCCCCTTCCATCACAGCCAAGAGAGATATCCTTCCTGGACTGCTATCAGCTTACAAGTCGGTGTCTTGGGCGACGTGCACTGCGATCCCCGCGTCTACCTTATCAACTGCCAAGCAGACTAGCATGGCGAGGGTTAAAGAAGAGGTTGTTAGATACCAGTGGGTGGTAGTTGACACTCATGACAGTTGTCAAGTCTTAGTCCAGATCCCCCCGTTCATTCCGCCAGATCGGCGTTTAGCGAGAGATACGGGAGCTAAGATGGTTGCACTTCGAGATAGAGTATGCTCCTGGATAGAAGCAAGCCACTGGTCTCTAGTCTCAAAGACCTCTTGTCCTCTTCCATAATGAAGTTCCATTGGTGGCTCTATCGTCCATGATCAGATGGAATCAGCGAAGAATCAAAAAAAAATTGGATGAAGAATCAGATGAAGAATGACCTGATGAAGAATCAAACAACAAGCAGGAAGAGAAGTTTATGTAGTAGTAGATAGAATGTAGTTGCTACTGTAGTAAGTCATGCAGTTGCTCTGGTAATGTATGGTAACAATTGTGCGTAAAATTGATTATGTGATCCGGAATTACGTAAGGTGTGGTGCCGCTAGTAAAATGGTGTGGTGTCTGTATCAATTCCCCACGATAAGATATCAGTTAGATAAGATCTTTATCCAACTTTCCTCTCTTCATCTCAACGTCATCTCTTCCTCTTCACATTGACACCTTAATTCAATTCAACATCATGGCCACGTCAACCCCATCCGAAACATTACGACCTATAACATCAAAGAGGCGCCATCTAATACCACCGCACAAACCAACATCCCCCAAAGTATCCAAAGTCCTCAATCCCAGCGCCAGCCCGCCAGAAACGCGCATCAAACCGTCCCACGACGAGATCGCCGAAAACAGAAGAAAAACCAGTTCAACCGAACACGAAGCGGAAAAAGATTATGAACCTTCCCGCTTCGAGATCTCCTTCTCGATGCCACCACAGCCTTTCCTCGATCCACCGATCTGGGAAGCTAGTCTCAACCGTGCGCGAGAGAGACTAGCACAGCGGCCATTGAATGAGATACCGGCTGCTGGGGTCGGCGAATCGGCAGAGAGGCGGAGACAGCGGTTGGAGCAAGAATTGGAGTATGGATCTATGGCAATTCGGGGGCGGTCGAGTGTGAGTGGCCGTGGGAGGAGGGGGAGGGGTGCCCAGGGGGGAACGGGGAATGTATATTGGGGAGGGAGGCGGTGACATTCAATTTAGTGTGTACGGAGTACTGCATAAGGCATTGTTTCCCACCACCTCTTCATTGATAGTCATGGCCAAGGCTTCTTGTGCAGCTCCCTTCAGACTTCTTCCATACTGTGGCTGTGCTTAATATGCTGATTCCCCCCAGCCCGAGCCACATCAGCCTCAGAACCGGTGTATGAACCCCTTGTTTTCTCCTATCCATTCATTCTTTGAATCTCGGACACAAGTCTATTCCTCGCTCTTCGATATGCTCAACACGATCCTCGGTCACCATCAGTCCACCACGGCTTTCATCGGTTGGTTCCTGTAGTATTTCCTGGAAGAAATACGCGCTGGTTTGCCTGGTTTGGATTGTCGAGAATGCCAACATCCTCCAGCTCCAGAAAAGCGAAGTGATGAGGCGCTGGAAAAGAGCCGGGATCCGGGGATTATTGGTATCGCCTCGCATCAATAGCCAGCACCTATTGGGATCATGGCCCGCGGAGTATACAAATCCGCGCCTCACCCTCCATAGGATACCAAAATTCCAAGGCCGGCCCAGAGAAGTCCATGCTCGCCCTTATGGGTTTTTCTCTCCACTTGTCGTGCTTTGCATGGAGGCCTCTTCTACTTGGGAAGTGGTAGGAAACCCGAACTGCGACGTGATCGAGAAAGAAATTACAAATCCTGCCCAACTGAGAATTGGCACCCCTTTTCTATTCCCTACAGTTTTTGTGGGCGAGTCTTCATTTCTTGGTGAAGAATTGACGATCGTAATGCTTCCATGTGTCTAGATTTATCTCTCTTCCATCCTGCCTTGACGACAACGACGAATTAAGATTGTTGCTTCTTGCAGTTGTTCTTTTGATGTTCCTACCGAAAGAGGAGAGTACTGTTCCATATAGTATGACCACTAGCTAGTTAGCATCTTTTTATCTCATGTCATGCACAATCTTTACTGATCTCGTCAACGCCTCGATGGGCATCTCACTTTGATTTCTTCCATCTATCAATTACATCTTCATTGACGTCCCTCGATCCTCGCTATCTCGGCCTGAACCGTGGCCCTCTTACTCTATCATTATCATCGCCACCACTGAATCCCCCGAGTCAAAGACCAGTATCATTTTATTCCGTTGCTGAGCAATCCTTGCTACATCATGCCTTCGGACAAGAAAACAAAAAAGGACGAGCAGACCAGCCGCAAAGCCGAGGAGGATACCCGCAATGAACTGGAGGCCCTCCGAGAGGAGCTTGCGCGGAAGAACGAAGCACTGCAAGCCGCAATGGCACAGCTGAACGCTGCAGAGACCAAGACGCAACAAGAGCAGCGCCCCAAGGCTCAGAGAAGCAGCCGCAGCAATCGAAAACTCGTCCGTTGGGATACAGACATTGATATTCAACTAATGCTTGCAATCCACTGCGCCTGCAACGAGAAAGGTACCAAGATTCCCTGGAAAAAAGTGGCGGAAGAGTTGGGTCCAGAATTCACGGAGGGAGCAATTGTGCAGCATCTGGGGGAGTTACGGAACGAAAGAGAAGAGCTGAACAAGCCCGTTCCTACTATGCCCAAGCGCGGTGCGGCCATTCCCACCCGGGTCCAGGAGGAACATGTCAAGAAAAAACCCACGCCTTCCTCGCCCCCAAGTGCTAGTAAAAGGAAGAGCCGCGACCCTTCCACTGGCCGAGATTCCGGCGATGGATTCTATGCTTTGGATAAAAAGCGCCAGCAGACACCTTCTCGAGGGTGATCAAGCTGGCATAACACGCTTCCTTCTTCGGTTTTATCACCATCACATCAGGTTTGCTTCGCCGAGGCTCACCTTGTCTTCGATCACCGCCAGCTTCTCTGGGTTCCTCTAGCCCGTTTCTCTTAGGACCTTACGTTTCTCCCTCGCTTTTCTCAACTCCTTCACAAGGTGTTCGGGAATACAGAATCTCATATCTATACCCTTATTATCCTCGTAGATTTCGGTAGTATCTAAGGGCCTTCAACAAAAACCTTAACTAGTAAGTTGGAATCTAAAACAGGCCAAACATTGGGACGCAGCCAAGGAAGATGCAACTTCTGCCATCTGATTGGCTAACACGCATAGCTCGGATAGATCCGTGGAGTGGACCATGGATCTCACCAAAGTTACCGGGGACCCTACTTACTGCCCGGGTGCTAATGACGAACTCGTCTGCATCCAACCGAGAGATGATTGCCTCATAGACCATCTTACGTCGCACAATGCGAACACAGCAAGGGGGTAACTCGGATTCAGGTTTGGACTGTAAACAAGCTGGCAAAGTTCCAAATACTGGAAGTAAACAAACCAGGCTGAGCTAATGGTACATCTGAGAAGCCAACAAGAGCAGAGAACAAACAGAACAAAAACATCAGAATCATCATCATGGGGTTCGTGTATCGTAATCATCATAAAATCTGAGGTCATATCAAAAGATCATAGCAGGGGCATTGTGAAAGTGTCAAAAAAGCCAAAAGAAAAAACAAAAAACAAAAGCAAATAAATGACTTCAGATGCATCGTAAAATCGTCGGGCAAGTGCTTGAAATGGGTGAAACATACCCAATCATAAATATGAACATGACAAGGCCAAAGAGGCAAAAGGGTCATCATTTGATCATCCAGCAGCCACCCCAGTCGTAGCACTCGCACTGGAGGCTATATAAACAGGGCCGCCGATACTCTGTTTAAGGGTTTCCCTCCGAACAGCCCGTTTCCTCTCATCCCTGCGCTGGCGTACACGCCGCAGACGATTGCGCATATTGCGCCATGAAACCGACTGCAGTCGCACTCCCCAGCGTGAGAGAGCTCGGAATCGTCTCGGGTGGAGTGGAGTTCCACTTCGGAACATGCCTTGGTCAACCAAGCTTCCGTGGCTGGTCATCCCGTCGAAGAGACGTTTTAGTTCCGGACTGCGGCGTGCGAGGGAGGGCGGGCCATCGAAGATGATGCGTCGCTGGGGTAGGCCGAGCGAGTTGCTGATGACCATGGATTCGTCGGGCCCCGGAGCAGGCTGCCGCGAGGGTTCCTTCTCCGGGGAGCTGGGGACATCTTCCCAGAATCCGCGGGGGCGCCAGAATGGGTGAAGACGACTGTCCAGGTCTTTTCCTGTGGTTCGGTTCTTGGCTGAGTGCATGGAGAATGACCGCGCGATGGAGTTGAACGAATCTGATCGAGGGCGCCAGGGACGACGGACGGAGCTCCATCGTCGGCTGAGACCTTGGTTCTCATTTTGGGCGACTTGCGAAGGGATAGGAGGGAGAGGCTTAGTGATTGGGGGCTTAGGCGGGGTGCGAGGATTCTTTAAGGGAGAGTAGACGCTGATTATCCCCATTGGAGATGGTTTGCGGTCGGGTGTGCGAGGGTGGACCTGATCCGGAGATATCCTACGCGCTTGGAGAGGACGTTGCGAGGAAGGCTGTCCCCGAGGATCGACAAGCAGCAGAGATCGATTGTTGTGCGCGAACAGACTGATGGCAGTAGCCTCCTGTATCTCGATGGGCCCGGGAGAAGATGAGGGAATCGAGCTTTGGGTGAAGGGCAAAGATGGAGGATGCAGGGTCGCCAAATCATCGTCGGAACCACCAAAGACGTTGTGCATAGTGGGAACCTCGAGTAGACCATGCCGGTCAGGCGAAGCTAAAACATTGTGGCGAGGCGGGGATACCGGCTGATTATCGCGCCGCTTTTGCATCTCAAGATCTATAGCCAAGTCGTGGCTTCGCAAACTGTCGGTGGTAAGAGATGTCGTGCGAGACGTATTCCGATTTGTCGGTGCCGAAAGCGAAGAGCTTCGACGTGGCACGACAGGACGCTCTATGGGGCGAGATTGCACGACATTGGAAGTGAGAGAAGGCGCTCGAGAATTGTCCCTACTCGTGGGTGCAGATAGTGACGAACTCCGGGGTGGAATGGCGGGTCTTCTCATTGAACGACTCCTAGAGTCGGTCTCACGGGATTGGATCGACAACGAGTCTGACATGGTACGTTTCGTTTGTCGTGAGACCTCTGTGTGAACAGTCGATATTGTCGGAGGGCGACGAACTGACCGTTGAGATTCCGGCTTTGAAGAGGAATAACTGTTCGGGCGCGAGTTGAGAGATGACCTCCTTTCCGGTATGACTACCACGTTGATGGTTTCAATATCGGGATTTATTATTGCACTGTTGCTGGTCCTGGCTGAAGGCGACACCTTTAATGACTGATCAGAAATGCGAGCAGCTTTATGAATCAGGCGATGCTGTGATCCTGGGAGAGACCCATAAGATGTACGCTCAGATCTTGTTATTGGGGAACTGGCAGATCGCAGGGAGCTCCTTTTTTCGGTGTGCCGGAGCATTCGCTGAGCTCGCTTGGGAGAATCAATGATCATGGCCTCGACAGTTGAAGTTGAGGAGACGGCCGACAAAGGGCGGGCTTCGGGGCCATTGTGTCTCCCCGGGCCCTCTGATGATGGCCACCCAATGTCCTCACGAAACTGCTCCATGGAAGGACTTGCTTTGAGTTCGTGCGCCGAAACATCAATCCGGTCTCGCAGACTCTTCTCCCGCATCAATGATGCATCTAAACGCTTTATATTTAGCGCATCCCCTTCGAGTTGACGGACTGATTGACTGTTGTTCTGCGTAGACTTTCGCTTTCTAGCTAACGGTGTTGGCGACCCATCGACCGGTGTTGCGGCCCAATCCCCATCAAGAGACGCGACTGGAGTGTCCTCTTTGACGTCAGTATGTTTTTGGGAATTAGCCTGTGGAGTTCCTTTTATATTTGCAGAATGTGGCTTTGGAGGTTGCCTTCTTTGTCTTGCCGACTGGGTCGCGGTCTCAGACATGCGCACCGGGGTATCCATATCTTCTTCCGACGAAATACTCTCCAAAGCCGTTTGGAATGAATCTGCCCGAGACGACGAGGACAAATGACCGAACTGGTTCAACATAGGTCGCTTATTCGAGTTCGTTCGCGGGGGTGTCACGTCGGGCGTCGGAGGCTTGGAGGGCTGGCGAGGAGTCAGCATCCCAGATGTTGGAAGATCTGAGACGGAGGAATCCATCTTTTGGAGCGTGCGTTCGTTACCCGCGACTTGATCTGGGCCCGCACCCGGGGGTGTCAAGGGAGGCGCGGGTGTTGCTGTAGGTTTCGCATTCTGATCCGGAGAGACCGGTTGGATGACTTCGATGGTAGGAACGATTACACCCCGCCGTGGGAGTGTCTTGCGAGACCTCAGGCGTGGTCGTTCGAGTCCTTGCGAATCCTCCGACGGCCCCATCACTTCCAAGCTCGGCATCTCGGAGACAGATAGAGAGAACTATCATAAGCACCCACGGTCGCTTTCGGGGATTTGATGAGTGTTTAGATATCTTTCGGTATCATGGCACTGATTAGAATGTCTCGTTCAAGGGTCGCAAGGGTGTCATCGCGCGCACCACTTTGCGACCAAAATGCGACCAAAATGCGACCAAGCGACCAATCGTCGAGTTGGCGGATCTCAAAGCGCAAAGCCTTTGGTTCTGGATTATGCAGGGGGGCCGATCGTCCGAGGGATCCAAGTCAACTCCAACGGGTATGCAGCAATCTCGATATGGGTTTTGACTTTCACGGTCAAGCAGAGGTTCTTGCTGGCTCGTTCTGTCTCTGTGCGATGTGAGCCGTAAGGGTGGGGAGATAGACAATATCCACAAGTGGCTGGGGAGTTAGTCTCGAGTCGTCTTGTCCTCGCAGTCAATCATAAATCATGAGGTAATAAGGTAATTAAACAAAAAGCAGAGACAAGAAGAAACAGATTAACAGAATAACAGAATAACCAGTAATGAACATGAGAGTGAGAGAAGGAACAAAGAAGATCGGAATATTTCGTGCCACTGCGCCCGTTCTAACTAACGTTAGCGCTTTGTTTCTTCTTAAATGTTGATGCCTTGTCGCCTGATTTCATACTTCATCATGCAGCCGAGTTAGTTACATTTGGTTCTACTTCCCTTCTTAAACTCCCGTCCTTCCACCATTGAAGTATGGGGATTCTATGCGCATCAGTCCATACCAACGAATATATTATGTTATTGACAGCAAACCGGCCCTGGCAGTGGGTGTGTTCTGCAATGTACACTGCCAACTGGTGACTGTAGTTACTCGACCCACAACCTACTGACACCATTGCAGCCAAATTATCAGATAAATTGGGGCTATGTGGAGCTTCCAGCTTTGACACGTCAAAAGGCTCGAACATGCCTGGTACAATGGCTTAGAATCTCATTTCTTCTCTCACCACCCTTACTTGGCATGTTTGGCCCTTGATGCGGGTCTTACACATACATACGGAGTACATTCCAATACTGCATCTCGTCTAGTACGACAGCCTCTAGCACCGCGACGTCCAGCTGTGAAAGCTATTACAAGACACAAGAGACAGACGACTGCATTGAGTGTTTCTACTATTACTTACTACAAGCTAATAGTTAAGTTGGGTCTCTACTGTCAAGACTTTTGCGGCGAAAGTGAACCAGATACTCTGTGTCTCTCTCGCAGTGTACCACGTATACATACATGAGAGGCTGATGACACTTGCGATAGTGTCGTCGGTGCCCTTGAAAATCTGACTCTTCCGCAGTTCTTCTCTTGGGACTCCAACATCAACTCTCTCTCTGTCGAATGCTCCTTTCTTTATTGGATATGAGGCCTGCTTGAGGGCAGTAACTCTGATATTCTTCCTTCACCCTGAAGCTGAATCATGGCAGAGCTTGGGCAGAGACTGATATTGCTATCAACAGCCCCCTGATGGCTATCTGAATCATACCATGAGTGCATCCGACTCATGCGCCAACACAACAACAGCAGCGACTTCAATAGCCACCGGTCTTGCAGCGTCCCAGCGAACGCTATGGACAACAGTAACCGCAACTGCGGCCAGTGATATTCAGTAAGTAGTCGCCGCGTATTTTGTTTTCCAGGGCCTGGGGCCTGTGATTCTTTTCTTCAAACGTTTATGCTCCTCCAGGTTCAAGAAGGGGATACCTGTACGCAAGTCTCTCTTGCTCAGTCTAACAGATTTCTATTTCCTCACTCCACTATACTAGCATCGAGCTTGACGAGGCATACTGGGTCAATGCCGTTGACTCAATCACCAGCTACCGGAAATACACAGTGACTGGTTAACTAACGTTAGTTACCTAGTGCTTTGCACTTCGCAGTTTCGAAGCGAAGCTCCGAGCCTGCCCGGGTACGAATTCAATGCGCCCGAAGTCAGGTTTAGTACGCCTCAATGACTGAGGCGCTCCCACAGTAAAAAAGAAGGTACATTCAGGAATCATGTGACCCTCCGAAAGGGGTATATACGGCTGCACTGGGTGCCAAAAAGCAGAACCTTATGGATTTGCCCTGTATTCATGATGTGTTCTAGACTCCAGACTGACTCCTAGAGCAGCGTACATCGATAGAGATCAACAACATAGTTAGCTCAATCCAGGATAGTGATACAAATAGAGCATCTAACTACTGGTTATCATTTTCTAGGTCAAAACAAGTTTCTGGGGTGCATATAGCTTCACATCTTTATGTGGAGAAGTGCATTGACGGAATGTATCCGTCATTGTAGGTGCGAAGAAAATGTACTGTGTATAAGTGTCCCTTGATGCGGATAGCCTGCATAGGAGTCCGACCTAAAACTCCCCATGCGACAAGTCAAGTCAATCGCGGTAACGTCAATTCGCCAGAGAAAGTGGTGATTAGAGCCAAGGCGTCTTCCAATAGACTAGATTTTTACCAGGGATAGTCTAGGCCGAGCGTTCATTTGAAGCTCTCCGTTCAACCTGATCTACATCGTGAGACCAAGCCGAGCCATGTGGAGTCCAGCAGCCAAATTTAATCTGCAAAAGGGTTCGGATAGTTGAGATCGCCCCTGGAGCTCCACGGCTCTCATATAGCGATGACTCCTCCCTTGGAATATTTGCCTTTGATGCAGGCCTTTTTCGAATCCAACAATCCCAGTTTGGGAGAAGGGTCGAGGCCCATGTCCTCAATCTCGAGGCTCTCCGCAGGAATGGGAGACTCGAAACTTGGTCTCAGATTGCAATGCGACACGGTCATCGCAATTGATAGGAGAATGGTAATGGTCAATCCGGAATTCCCAGTACGATTCCAAGCATGTGGCGACGGGCGATGACGATATCCACCCCCCACCCCGCGAGCAGGGTGCGGAAACCAGCATATGCTGGGAGGACAGCTTACCAGGTACCTTGATTGTTGTGCACGGTGATAATTTAATATTTGGGTGAGTCCCCAGAACCTAACCTGGGCAGTTCTTCAATGTGGACTGAAGGGATCTCCGAGGTCCAAGCCTGGAGAGAAGAAAACCCGCGCTAGTAACTCTAACACAGAGGTAGTTATACACGTCTGAGATCAGTACAATTGTAGACAGTACAAGCAGCAGCAAGCTAAGTGAATTGAGCTCATTAGCACAAGTGGATCAGTGGCGTACCATGACGTCCTGCGATATTGAACCAGGATAGGTGAAGTCGGGAGTCTTGGCAGATGACATCGCAGGGAAGACTGTCACATTTCGTCATAGCTCTCCCCCGCCATCATCTCCTTTCTCTTCTCTCCCCTTTTCCCTTTTCTTGATCTGTTGGCTTTTCGGTCTTGCTTTTCTCCAAATATTCTCTTTCTCCTTTTTCTCACTCTCAAGATTTTCTGTGGGGTAATTTCGTTATACAATTACTGCCCTGAAACACCCGCTTTCTTGGAGAAAATCCCTGATTCGATTGCAACATTCTCCTTCTCTTCATTCATCCTTCGACTTTCCTTCTCTCCCCTTTGAAATTCATCCTCTTTGACACGAATAACGATTCATATCCGACATCATGAGTACGATACAGAATATCAAGAATTTCATTCGTCATGGCAAGCAGGCCCGTCTGGTCACCCCTCATTCTGAGCCTACCACCGACGTTTCCACGATCAATGCAGAGCCCCAACGTCAACCGCCAGGCCAATATACACCCGGTCTCGAGGCATTTGGGCCCGAAGGCCGAGCCAATGCCATTCACAAGCCTGACTCTCAAGTGAGACACGATCGATCCGTCGAAATCGAACGTCTAGTCGCGGAAGAGAACATGAATAGGTCAAAAATGCCCAAATATCCCGGGCTAGAGCGCTGGATCTTGGTGGAGAAGATGGGCGACGGCGCCTTCAGCAACGTCTATCGCGCCAAGGATACTACAACGGAGTATGGTGAGGTGGCTATCAAAGTTGTCCGCAAATTCGAAATGAACAGCAATCAGGTAGGTTAAACCCCAAGGTTTCCCTTCTTGTTTCCTCCCTGCGTCGCTTTCTGTCGTCGTTTTTTTATCGTTACCTGCTTTTGCGACTTGTCAAACCGTGCCAATACCTTTCCGTAGAACGATCCTCAATATCCAACGGTCAAAAAAGTCCCAAAGGCGGCGGAGGTGCGCATCACAATTTTTTCCTGACGCTCGATCGTGGCAATGTTTATTACGCGTCATGCGGCGGAAACTACACACTACCCTTGCGACTGCCTTTATGCGGCGCTGCGTGTTCTATGTTGTGGTTGCTAACAGTTCCGTTCTACAGCGAGCAAATATCCTCAAAGAAGTGCAAATTATGCGCAACCTTGATCACCCCAACATCGTTAAATTGATCGATTTCTCCGAGTCCCGACAATACTACTACATCGTCCTCGAACTATGCCCCGGAGGTGAATTGTTCCACCAAATTGTGCGATTGACATACTTCAGCGAAGACCTCAGCCGTCATGTCATTCGGCAGGTTGCGGATTCTATTGAATATCTTCACGAGACATCAGGCGTCGTCCATCGGTAAGTGGTCACACCAAAAGAGTATCGGAAATTGCAACCAAAAACTAACATCAGGAAAAGTGATATTAAACCAGAAAATCTCCTATTTTATCCAATTGAGCATGTTCCCAGCAAGACTCCCAAACCTCGACAAGCAGGCGACGAAGACAAGGAAGACGAGGGCGAATTCATTCCTGGGGTGGGCTCTGGTGGTATTGGAAAGATCAAGCTTGCCGATTTCGGTCTATCTAAAGTGATCTGGGATAGCCAGACGATGACCCCTTGTGGTACTGTTGGATACACAGCCCCAGAAATTGTCAAGGATGAGCGTTATTCCAAGAGCGTGGACATGTGGGCCATGGGCTGCGTGCTTTACACACTCCTTTGTGGCTTCCCTCCCTTCTACGACGAGAGCATTCAGGTTCTCACCGAGAAGGTGGCACGGGGCCAGTACACCTTCTTGTCACCCTGGTGGGACGATATCTCCAAGTCAGCTCAGGACCTAATCTCGCATCTCCTCACCGTGGACCCCGAGAAGCGATACACCATCCAGGAGTTCCTCGCACATCCCTGGATTAAGGGTACCGATGAAGAGACTACCGCCGCTGCTGACGCACCTCCTCTGGCAACACCTTTGACCAGAGACCCTGAGAAGGGTCAGGGACTCGCCTCCGCCTCCGCCGAGCATGGCCCCTACCAGCCAGCCAGTGCTCGCTTCCTCGACCAGCCGTCTGTTGCATCTGAGCGTCGCATGGACTTCCGATCTCCAGGCGCATTCAATCTCCGCGAAGTCTTCGATGTCGGCTACGCGGTGCACAGACAAGAAGAGGAAGGAAAGCGCCGTGCTAACGTGCGCCAAGCCAACCGCGGCGGCACCGCAGGGTTCCAGTCCGCACTCGGTGCTCTCAACGAAGGATACGACGAGGAGCAGGAATACAGCCAAGATCTTGGTAGTCAACAACCTACTAAGGCAGGCAAGAATCCAGGCGACATGGCCGGTATGGAAGCCAAGCTCCGACACACCAACCTCGGCGCCCAGAGCAGTGCCGCACAGGCAAGGCAAGCGCACCAGAAGCCCAAACAAGGATATGGAATGCACGATGCCACCGTGGCTAGTGCTGCCAAGAGCTCTATCCGCAAGCCACAGCAACCATTCGAGCTCACTTTGAACGGTGCGACTCTGCTCGAGAAGCGCGGCCGCCGTAACCAACCGGTGGCATAGACGAGATGTATTTTCATCAGGGCCATGATATGATGTCTTCATACCTTCTTTGCACTTGCTGATGAGCGATATTTTCCATGGATCTTCTTTCTGTTCTTTACCTTTCTTTCTGGTCATGGCTCTTTTATCTTTTGGCTTTTCTGTTTTTCGAGCTTTTTGTTTACTGATCGGTCCCGGCGGGGAATATGCATGCTACATGGTCACGATTGGAAAATTTGGAAAATTGGGGAAGTGGGTTGAGCTGTCACGCAGCTTGCTTGGACTGGAATGGAGTTTTATCTTCTGGGACCTTGCTCTTTTTTACCCTTTTCGTGGTTATTACAGGGATTACATACGTGTTCCAGGATATCCAGCATCTTCTACCTCAATAGACCTTTCTTTGATAATATCTCGTACTCTGTAGTTTCATTTTCTGTCATTATCGCGAGACCCAGTCCCACGGTTGTACAAAATCAGAACCTGATCAGGAATGTACCGTCTAAAAACAGAATGGTATCTTGGATTTTTATACAAGTATATACGCTCTTCACGCTCCAACCAGGAAGTTGAAGAGAATCATTATGGTACATAAGCCACAGCAGTCTGTCCGATCTATACTTTGCCCGATAAAAAAGCCGGAAGCTCTGTCAACCTAAATGGTTGACCTTGGTATATTCAAATCGCAACGGAGAAGGGGGCATGACATGTGAAAACGCTGTCTTTTTGGAGCGGGAGAGTGGTAGTACCTCCCTCTTACACTGTACAGCTCAGCAAAGAGCTACACAAGAAATGTGCAAGGTGAACTTTCGGTCCTCACAGAGTTTGTCTGCCGCGAGTCTCAATGGGCAGAAGACACATTGCGACAAACGAAGCGAGGATCAAGGCGCCAGAGGCATAAATGGGCGAATTGGGGTTCGCACTGCCAGCATAAATAGCAACGAGAGGCGCACACAGACCCGTAATGCGATTCAAGCAGCTGGAGATACCGGTACCAGTGCCGCGGTTTGGTGCAGGGAAGGTCTCAGGCGTGTAGGCGTACAGGACACCGTACATGATGTTCTGGAAGAAGGCCTCGAGACAACTACACAGGAGCTGGATGTCTGAGTTGGTGGAGGCGGTGAAGCAGAAGAGCAACACACCCGTGATGACAGTGGAGATTGCCATTGTGCCCTTGCGGCCGATGTACTTGATCTCGACTGTGTAGCAGGCCAGGATGGAGCCGGGGAGACCGACGATGGAGGTGATGGCGTAGTTGCGGTAGGTGATGTAGTTGGAGTTTGTCACGCCGCCGGACTGGGAGAGATATTGGGGGAGGAAAGCGTTGAAGAGAGGGTAGCCCATGCCGATTGTGGCCCAGCAGAACCAGAGGAGAGCGGTGTTCAGGCCCATGCGCTTGTTTGCGAACAGGGGCGCGATGCGTTCGAGCGAGAATTTAGAGAAGAAGCGGCCCACGATTTGGGTGTATGTGAGGCCGGTCTTCTCATTGGCTGCCTCGGCGTAGCCGCCGATTTCGTTGAGGATCTCGCTTGTCAGCCAGGTCTTGGTGCCGTTCTTGTGGGCGATGCCGTGGACGGAGGCGACGGCTTCTTCCTGGCGACCGCGGGAGAGCAGGTACTTGGGCGACTCGTACAGGTGGAAGAAGAAGAAACGCAGAATGAACATGACGAATGTGATGGCGCCCAGAGTGAGCACCAGGTAGCGCCAGCCCATGTTCTTCTCCTTGGTGCAGCCTTCATACCCGTCGCAGCTGAAGTTCGGGATGTAGGCCCAGGCGAGCAGACTTCCGATCAGCTGGCCAAAGGGCCACCAGATACTCAACATGGTCAAGAGGTTTCCGGAGACAACAGGGAGGAACTCCAGGAAGAGCGCACCATCAACAGGCAGGTTACCACCCACACCAAGACCCAAGCAAGCATACAGAGCACATGTTCTGTGGTTATTTGTTAGTGACCATGCAGAGCACAGGTCAATTGGAAGGACTTACCCAATCCAGGTGGGGCCACCACCAGCGGCCAGGCCAAAGACACCAGCCAAAAACAGAGTCATGTTAAATGCGAGACGACGACCAACGATATCAGAAGCAACACCCCAGAAAGAGGCACCGACGCAGAGACCAACAAACAACGAGCAAGTGGTGAAACGCACCCACGTATCGGAGAGTCCGAACTCGTAAGAGATGGGGGTCAAAGTTAGAGCAACACCCTACACATGATCAGTTTCAATGCAGATATAGCCCGCTCAAATTTTGTCTTTCTCACCTGAAGCCAGAGGCTGAGAATTGTTAGTCAATTGATCGTAAGGAACCAGAAAAGAAAGACTCACTTGTCTGCGGTCCATCCAAATCCACAAAGGAAGAACAGTTGCCACTGGTACTTGCCCATTCCAATATCGTGCAGTGCCCTGTTGATCACCTTTGCCTTGCCTGTGTATCAAATTAGATGGAAACTTTCAATCTCACGAAACTTCCACCCAGGAAATAATCGGAAACATACGATCATAGGCCGAGTCATCAGTAGCCGTGGCGATATCAGCCTCGATTTCTGCACGAAGGGCTTTCAGAGTCAGCTGAGTGGAGTGCTTGTGTATGCCGGCCGCGCCATTCTCCGAGGAAGGCGCGCGATCCAAGCTATTGTTGTCCTCCGTTCCTGTCTTCTCGGAAAGGTCGTGGTTGTGAGCAGGTTCCTCGGCAAGCGGAATGACAACACTGGGGAAATCATGATGGTCCTTCTTGAAGGGGTTAAATAGTGCAAATCCCATAATGACGGCTTATATTGGCGCTTTGGAAAGTTTTCGGGTGGATTTCAATCGCCTAGGAATTTGCTGCTTTCTGTTCAATTGTCGCTTTTCGCAGGGGATTGATCGCAAGGAATTTCGTCCGTTGAATCTACAGATGTCGGGATGGTGTTGCAATGGGGTGTCGTAAAATCTCGGGCAATGCGCTGGGGCCGTATATGTATACTGCTGTCGAGGCTTGCGATTGGGCTTATCAGGAAGTGCTGGATTTGTCGCAATCGCTGTTGGTAGATGTCGGTCTGGTAAAATGCAAGATCGCTTGCTACTGTATATGGCGGAGCTGCAGTGATTTTCGTGCGACGAAACAAATTGCTTTTCAAGTGGTGAATAGAAACGATGCGCGGGTATGCACAAATGGCTCTGAGATGGGATCAAACGCTAGGAAATGAAGTTCTAGCAAGAATTTAGGAAGAGTTGAGGCAAGCTAGAGATAGCTATACCTCGTCTCGGGGTGGTTGAGAGGGAGAGGAGAGGAAGTGTTTGGGATTGACGCAAGAGGAAGGAGAAGGGAAGGAAATGAGATGGGATGGCCAAGTCGCTTTATACAGTACTACATCGGCACATCGCCACGGCGTCTGTCTGGTACTCTTTGTTTTCTCGGCTTTTCTTTTCATCTTTTTTTTTCCTCATTACGTTGAATTCTAGTACAACGAGATTCGATTGAGATACAATTGGCTGAAGCCCTAAAGCGGGACTGCAAAAGCAACAGGATATACATTTGGAACTTCCGTTTCAGGTTAGACCCTTCCCGTTTGGGGTTAGCCCCAGCGTATTGTAATTACCCGCCACCACCTGGACTACATCAACATGTGAACTACCTACCTCTGCCAGTGACTCGGGTTGTCCAACTTGATCGTGACTTCCTCGTCGCTGAAGGGAGAAACTAGGATTCTCTGACTCGTTGATTTCATACCAATTCTCATCCATCATTAGTATGATCATTCTCAAGGCGAGGAGATGCAGCTGTCAGGCAGCAGGCTATGCCGGTTCTGGTTCACTCGGCCTACAGTTGTCCACAGATCTCAGTCGGGGAATCCTAGTGGAGGCTTTTGTATATCCGCTCTGTATGCCCTCATCGTTCTTTTCTGCAGGATCGAATAGCTGGAATGAGCCGGGTCAGCGCCAGAAAACTACATATTACCTGAAGCCCGCCAGGCGATACATCATACGATCTCTATTTGCATTATTCATACCATTCCTACCATCCAAACAGAAAGTCCCGAGCTGCAGACAACGTCACAACTCGACCCTATGGGTCTATAGTTTGAAACATTTGATACAGTTCTCGATATCTAAGCTGTGAGGTAGTTATGCTGCATATGGATAGTGCAAATGATGTTCGGGTTCGGGAATAGGTCGAAAATATCCCGAACCCTTGCCGTGAGGACTCGGGACGCCACGACGCCACAGCATCACTTTATTCTAGTATTCCATACTCCATGATTCTTTTTACGTACCTGAACAGACATCAACACAGCTGCCAAAGAACTATCTGCAATTGTCAATATACAATACACATGTTACTCCGTACAAACAAAACAGTCGGAAAGGGCCGAAAAGGCGATTTCGCTCCCTGACGTACCCTGACACCCTACCCCATTGGACCCACACTCCACCAAAAAATTTTCGCCGGAAGACCACTTTACCATCCGAACCGATATCTTGTTTTGGGGCATAATATGGAGTAATGGAGACCGAGTATACCCGCATGCGATGTGCTCCAGTTGGCATTTCATCTTTCACAGTAGCCTTATCGACACGTATCTTGTCCTTCTCCCAGGCACTTGAACATGTCACTAAATGCATCAGCACGGGGATAATATTAGCCCTTCAAAGAACTCTAGAACTCAAGGAAACAGAAAAGAATTGCGACACCTTCAATCACTCCACGTTCGGGTCGAGGGGCCTTCTGTCTTGGCGGGCGCATATCTATTCCGCATTCAGACCGATCGTTGGAATGCGCTTTTCCGGTGCGCCAATCACAGGCTTTGCTTTTAGTGCCCTCGAGTATTTTCGTACAGACAGGTAAAATTACCTCGCTAAGCTCGATTTGGAATTGGACGGTCCATAACTCCAGTGGATAGACCTACACTGTAGTGTTCATCCCTGAATACTCCCTCAGGAGTCAGGATGTGTCTCGCTTTATGAATATGCTAACGTTAGATCCATGGATATTGTGCGCGCGAAGATGATCCTGAGTAGGTTATCGCCGAGTTTGAAGTCATGCAATGTGAATAAGGACTCTTCTATGCATTATATGCGTTGATTCAATCGACATATCCAGTCACAGCCCGGAGATCCAAGATATATACTACAGAACTAAATCTCCTCAGTGCGTCTAAGCAGCCACTCAAGGTGACGATACGCCACACGAGGCTGGTACTGCGGCTGCATATGACCAGACTGATAAGTCTGAGCCCACATGAGACCACGCTCATAGTGCTGAACACCCATAATACCCTGAGGCCCATCGAGGTCCGAAGCACGGTTCTCGGCAAAGACATCCGCGTACATCAAATCCTTCATTGTGATATCGATAGGCGTGGAAGGCTTTTCCTGGAATCCGAGCTGCCCATTCCAGGTCATGTTCTGAATAGCCAGGAGCGTGCCGTTGGTGATAATGACCATGTCAAAGTCGCCGTTGCCGATGAGCACGCGGTTGGTCGCCTCGATAACCTGCGGCAAGACATGCTCGATCGGATTCGCGGAGATATCGCCTTCCTGTTCTGGGCCGGCGTTGCGGCCGGTGAATACGGGCTCGACGGAGCATCCGTGCCAGGTGTCGTGGGGTGCGTGGAGGGCGCGCTTGACGTCTGAACGGTCGAAGTAGACGGTTGAGCCGGGGGCTTGGTAGTCGAGGGAGGTGGGGAAGGCGAGGACGTCCCAGAGGAGTGGGCACATTAGGTTGATCTCGTAGAGGTCGAAGCAGGGGTTGATGTGGAAGACTTCATCGTAAACGAGGTCGAATAGATCGCAATCAGCCATGGTGGTGTAATTGAAGATCATGGGTGGTTGGACTTCCGGTGGTGGGAAGGTGAGATACTTGTCGATGAACTCCTCGTATCCGCAGGACTTGTGCTTGCTTTCAAGCTCGGCCATGAAGGATTCGTTGAAGTTGAAGAGGTTCGCGTTTTGCTGGACGAAGGGCACAACGGGCACTTCTTCCTGGATGTAGTCGAATTGTCCAATGCATGGATCGTATACCAGCGCACCTGGCGACAGTCAGATATGTACATATCAGTCCTGAAAGTGTGCCACGGCTTACCATCTAAATCAAAGTACTCCTTGTCTTCCTCATCTAGCATCGCAGCCGAGATATAGGGCACATAACGCCCGGCATAACTCTCACCGGTGACATAGATCTTGAAGTTCTTAATCCCGAAGGTCTTCTGGAAGTTCTTGAAGAACTTGACAAAATCCTGAGCAGTTTCCTCCTCAGAATCAGCAGTTGGTGTGCCGACAGAATAACCCGTTCCAATCGGTTGATCAACCCTAAGAGATGTTAACCATTGTCCACTTCTCTCGTAATTATGATACCCACCACAGCATATTGGTCAGATTCACCCAAGAATAAGGGTTCTCCACCGGTGCAAAGGTACCAGGTTGCCATATGAACCGACCAGTTTCCTGCAAGAAACTCTCCATCGAGCTACATCCAGGACCACCATTAAGCCAGATAGTCACTTCGTCGACAGGCTCATTGATGGTAGGCTGAAAGATGAAAAACAACGATCTGGAGCTGTTGTGTTCATCGATTGGCACCAAACCGGAATACATCTCGCCGATATCAAATGGGACATCGGGCAGGGAGTCCACCAGGTAAGCTATAGGTCCATCAGTCTCGCTCCTGTTAAATGACATACACCCACACTCACGCTTGGTCTTCTTATTCAAGAAGCGGTAATCCTTATTCGACTTTACATGGTTATGGTTGCGAGCCTCAATGGCTCGTTTCGCCTTCTCCTGTGGCGCACGAGCTTTCTGGGCGAAGCGTCCATGCTTGGAAGCTGTCACCACATCCGACCCAAGCGAAAGGGCCAGGAGAGCGGACGTGAGGACTGATTTGAGCAACATCCTGGATCGTCCAAAGCTAGAAGAACTGGATGTGAGTCTTTCTCTCCCGTCGGGGGATATTAAACCTATATACCCGTACGACAGCGAATTGGCTAACCAATAACCCCTAATCAAAGGCCGAGTCTAATGGACCCCTCTTCACCAAAAGAGATTACCACTAATTGATTGGCGAAAAGGCTTAGCCGATGCTTCTTCTGCGCCACCGCCCCTGTTGATAGCGCGCGGGCCTCCGGACCTACCCTGTAAACAGTAAACACTGACATCGGCTTCGGCCACTTGCCCCGGAAACGGACGATGGCCTGCCAAGCCACTCCTTCTGAAGCATTCTCAATCTGCAGTTCTAACATTCATTCCAACTGCACCTGTAAGATGGAAAAATCCATCAACGATTGGCAGGTTGTTGCTGCAATGTTTATGTAGGCCCTCAATGCACAGAAATCTCCGGTCCGGACGAGCGACGGATTCCGGCGGGATCGACGATTATCGCTCGATTTTGGACATTGAGCTCCATGCACAAAAGAGGGGAGAACAGCTCGCAATTGGTCTGGCTTGTTTGCTTATCCCCGTCTCTTGGGGTCGCTGATAAGCATTGTTGCCTCCACAGTTATGCAGCAGCCCCCGCTCCGATGAGGTTACATAGTCGTGCGGAGTGAGCAGGAGCTGCTCGCAAAAGTGATGTCGGTGTAAGACGGGGATTTCAAAATAGAAGCGATCGTACTATCAAACAAAACCTGTCTACCATCTGGAGCCAAGCTTTTGCAGTCACGACTGAAGCTGTAAAAACAAAAAAAGATGGACTCGCGGGGAATCGAACCCCGGACCACTCCCATGCTAAGGGAGTATTATACCACTAAACCACAAGCCCATTTGATGAAAGTACTCGGTCATAGTGGCTTTATAAGTATAAGGACTGATTACTATCACTTGCGACGGTTCTTGAACTTTGAAGAGTTTGGCGAATTGGCGAATATTCACCTACGCTCAGGCAAATCTTCATTCTCTATGTCCCTCCAATATTCACAGACCTATAAGTTACGAAGCATCGAAGAATGAAGTACTAACCTGACAAGCTCAGGCTTTGACAATGCCGGCGAGAAATATAAAAACCCGAAAGCTTGCTCGATTCAGTCTGCTCGGTCTTGAGACCAAGAGTAGCTATATAAAAACGAGGGGAAAAGTTCAAGGAAGCAATTATAATGAATTGCACTTCCAGCAAGCCCGAGGACTGAAAGCAGACCATGACGCCTTAACACCCCGAGGATCCGACCTGTTCACATGCAAGCCCAGCAAATACTGCAACAGGCTATAAAGATAATGAGTAACAAGTATAGACCACTAGCATTCATGTGCTAGTTTTGTGCAAGAAACAAAGCCAAAAATGAAGCGAAAGGAAACCCAAAAGGAGAACCGCGTACATGAACGGTATTGCCTAGCACTGTCCGGGGAATTGACGATCAGTCACAGGGTTAGGGAAGACCCCGGCGGCGAGTTGCTCTTGCATATCCCACTCGGGAGCACCCTCGGTCTTCCAGGTCCAGTACAGCCAGCCGTTACCCTTCTCATAAGCGTCAAGCTGGCCTTCAATGAAGCGACGAGTGTTGGCACGGTCAGTCTCCGACAGAGCCTCCACCGTTCCACTAGACTTGCCTGCGCAGCTACCGATGGCCTGGCTGTTGGGGAAAGTTCCATCGTAGCGGGCCCCAACGCCCTTGCCGTTCAGGTACTTGGCGCAGTCGGTCATGGCACCAGTCCACTCGCCAACGACAGTCCACTTATCGGTTGTCTTAACGTGGTCATTGGCAAAGCTGCAAACGTTGTTGACGTGTGCGGTGGTGTCGAGGGTAAGAATACTGCTGTCGAACACCTCGTAGTGGTGGGTATCCATCATCACATACCAGACACCAGAGTTCTGGTTCATGAAACCGTTCCATGATTCAGGTGCCACGAACCCGTCGTGCAGCACAAGCGTGGTGTCCTGGCTGTACTTGCGGAGGAGGCCCCATGAGTCATAGTAGTATTGCTTCAGACCGTCCTGGTTGACTCCGCCGGGAATGCTGGGCTCGTTCAGGGCCTCGATCGCAGTCACAACGTCTCCATCGTCTTTGTAGCGCGCAGCCAAAGCGTCCAGTGCATCCTTGGTGTTCTCAACAGTGTTGCCCTGTTGCCATGCGATAGGACCACGCCTTCCGCTGTTGTCGAAGCCGTTCTGGGAGCCAGGAGCTGCATCTTTTGTCAGAAACATTTTATGCGAGAATCAGAATTGCGAATACTTACCGCCATGTAGGTCGACAATGACCTTAAGACCGGCAGCACGAGCCCAGGCGATTGCCTGATCAAGGTATTTGAGCTGACCGTCGATATATGGGTCACCATCTAGGTGCTTCACGGCCCAGTATCCAATGGGAATTCTGACATGGTTCATACCCGTACTGGCGATCTGACTAAAGTCATCGGCAGTGATGAAAGTGCCCCAGTGCTGGTCAAGTACAAATCGGCATTCGTCTGAGCCCAAAGTTTCGCACAGAGTCCACTCATCAACAGCAGCATCGCCAGCTGCTTCAAAAATTGATGGAGTAATCCAGGGTTCCGTGACAAGCCAGCCACCGAGGTTGACGCCCCGAACCTTCTTGGCACTGTAGTCAAATTTGAGGCTTCTATTTACCGAAGTGTTAGTATATGTTGCCTATAGTCGAGTACTATCGATATAAGACATCACTTACGCTGAAGGTGCGGCCTGGACTAGGGCTGCCAGCAAAGACAGCGCGAAGACCGACTTCTGTGCGAACTTGGACATGGACGGCATACTGACGGATCCTGACTTGGTCAGACTCAAAGAAAAGTCAGGAGGCTGGGAATGAGGAATGAGGAATGATGAAAGTTGTGATAATTGGCATGGAGATCAGCTGCTATAAGTAAGAGGGATGTCGATGGGTGCTTGATTGGATGCCCGCATGCAGGCAAAGCGACTCGTAACCTGAGCGCGAGCAGGGATCTCCACAGAGCTAGCTGCGGGGATTTCAAAAAGCCAAATCAGAAGCGACATACTTGTGTGTGAGTTCTTTCAAAGATTCGCGCAGCAGCCCGAGACAAGTTGTTGATCGCAGAGGAAGATGGGGTGGCCGAAAACAGTTGTGGTGGGTCGAGGCGTTCTGGGGTATGGGGTTGATAAATAGACAAAGGCCTTCTTCCCTCAAGGAAAGTAACGCTATCTAGCTGACTCCGGGTAGTGGAGCTCAAGCTGACGCCTCTTCGACGGGGCTGAAGGTCACAAAGAATATGGATATTGTCTAGACTCTGCCTGGACCGATAATGTAGTAGGGGGAGATAGTTGAGGCATGGAGACGGACAAGACATGAAAGCGGCTTAAGCGTCGTCACTATTTGTTCGACAGGGGAAGCTGCGACCTGACGAAAATCCGGGGAAACTACACTACATATCAACATTTTGCCCTACATCCAACTTACTCTGTACCAGGACTCATTTCCATAGACTGAATAGTTGAATAGTTTCTTCTTTTTACTAAGCTTGCCCCGATAACTTCCACACAGTATGATTTATTATTGAGAAGTAATTTCAAAGGGGAAGAAGTAAATCTGTTTGCAGAAAAATCTGCCATCTGGCATTCCGTGATGTGATGGTGATCACGGCACGTGGCCAGCATTCCAGAACTTCCAGAATGTGAGGACTTCCAAAGTTGGTAGCTTCGTAGCATCTAGAGTTCGATCGAACTTGTATTCGAACTAAAGACTCGTGCAGTGCTGGTGCCACAACTTGTTATTTTAGCCTAAATAATATTAAACTATGCTTGTTTTATGCTTGTTGGCAGTATGTTGTTGTGTCTTGGCAGGATTAGCGGTGGACGTTGAAAAGCAAACAGCTTCACGTGTACGGAAGCCGCCACGAGGACGACCTCCATTCTCGGGAAGCCCATTCGAGAAAACCGGCATGATTCCAAGAGCTACCTGTTCAGTACAGCCCGAGTGAGTATGTATGCATGAACAAGGTAAACGGGCCTCGACCGACGACGGGTATCCACTTTGACTCCTGTTCCCGGCGATAAGCCCATTGTGTCGGAGATAAACAGACAATGCATGACCGGCGACGGCCATTGTTCCAAGGTTACACTCTCACATCCGTCCCAGGTGTTAATTGCTCCCGAAGTCCATTCCATGGGTTGTTCGCGGCCCGTCGACCGACGACGAGTCGGGTAGAATATGGGGCGGCACATGGTTGTACATGGCCCCTGCAGATTTGCGATCTTAGAGTTGTATACGAATTACGAACACAAGACTCGGGAATTTTAATAGGTCCCGAGGTCAGGGACTCAGGGGATAGTAGGAGTGTACATCCTCACGTTTCACTGGCGAGGTATGAGCAATATCACAAGTCCAGTGGCTTGTGTCAACTAAAACCGGAAGCGAATACGCAGTGGGTTTTCCTCTAACTTCCCAGAGAGGCTAAATATTATGACTAGAAAGCATTAGGCTGTAGGCTAAAGCTTATACAGACAGTTAACCGTTGTTGAAATAGTGTGTTGTAATTTATTTCTTTGACTACTGTGTAGCTATGTGTTTTGGGGGGGGGGGGGGCGGCTTGGTAGTGAAATAGGTTATTCGTGATCGGCCGCATTCTTATCGAGTCAGCGCGCTCAATCTTCTTATTTTTGTGAGCCTGATGACCGTGTAGTCCTCACCAGTCAGAAACCATGAAAGTAGACCTCTAAAACGATGCTCTATCCACTGCGCTTGACCCGGTTTTGATCTCTGAACGGCGATCTCCATTCGGTATCCCCCGAAGTAAGTCATAACTGGTCGGTAAAACGTTAACCAGAAAGGGAAGATCATAATCCGGGGTACGGCTAAATAGTACTCCGTAAAACCCTGGACATCGTAGACACATCACTCGGTTCAATCCGCCGGAGTGTTGCCGAATGAAGCTGGAGCACGCGAACACTTACTAAGTTAGACAAGCACGAAAGCTTTGTCTGATCACTAGTCCCTTTCAAGTTTTCAGTTCAAGCTTAGCACATCTTATTGGGTCCTCAAGTCAAAGCTCCAGAGATGATCATCACCCCGCGTATAACACGCGGGGAAACGCACGGCTACTTGGTGTATGTACTCCGTAGTCCGTAGTCCGTACAGGTCCATGTATATGGGGGTGGCCAAGCCCAAAAAGCAGCTCAAGCCCAAGCTTGGGCGGAGACACCCCATCGCCTGAATACCCACCAATAAAGCCGGGGGGATCGTCGCGCCAAGCCTGCCCCTGAGGGGGGAAGAGCGGGATTTTATACGCGGTGTACTCTTAATATTGATGCTGATGCAACCTCGATCTACCACATCGGCGCAGACAGCGCAGTGGCGAGACCCTGGTCATTGGAGAATTTGAAGGATGAATAAGAAAGAACAATTTGTGACCAAATGATGACCCTCTTCTGAAATATTCCGCTCAGGGCGGGGACACCGGTGATCGGAGTGCCATGCAAATCGGACGCAAGGGATTATTGCAGTGAGCGCGATCCTGGCTAGGCGGACTAACAATGCAAGTAGGTGCATTCTCAGCAAACATGATTTCATTCCTGGACTCGGCTCGGACATGCAGATGAGACAGCAGCGCGGATTTCCTTGCACGAGTCCTGTAAGTACGGGGTAAAGACAGCTCGGCTGTTTACTGTGTTAGCGATCGTCGATCGGCGCTGGGATCTCCGCAATATCGAATACGACCAGTAGACAGAGCAGCAGAGCAGTCGGCATCCATTGAACCGAACATTCCGTCGCGTGAGAAAGTAAATCCCATTGAAGCTAGAGACTGTGTTATGCTTGGTGAGAAATGCTCCACCCAGCAGCGCTATGATTTGCCGCTTCCTAGACCAGGCCCGAACATGGCGTTAGGCCGTGAAAACAGGTACAACAGGTATCGAGTTACTAGCTTGATATTGTGATAATTCCGGATTATCTCGTGTATCCACAGCCTGCCCTGATCGCAACTCAGTTTCGTAATGTGTTCTTTTATTCACTCTGTGCACATCGACATAGCTGTTCACCAGCTCTCGGCTCCTGCATGGCACATAGTGCCAAGCATTGGCTCATACTCCGTGTGATCGGGCCACCAGCCAGCGACCGACACGCTCGCAGGCACTTACATCGGCATTTCGGGGCTACCTGCGTTCTTGCTGCGGGGTCTACTGTAAAAGCCCTTGTGGAGACGTCCCCGCCAAGTGGGCAATGCTCTTGAAGATGTTGCTTGGCGAGTCAAAGGGGGGCCTGAGGGTCGGGCCTCCTTGTGTTTTTCTTTCTTGTTCCTATGCAGGGAAGCTCCGTGCCATGAATCTGTCTGTCCCGCGTGCGCAGGGCCCGATGTATTTAAATCCAGGGACTGACCCAATCATGCTCAGAATGTGAAATCCCATTCTGAAGATCTTCGATCAACATGCATTTGGCTCGGAGCTTTGTGGTCTCCTGTCTGGTGGCGACGGGTCTTGCTTTGCCTAGTAGTGATATTACCAAGGAGGCACGCAGTGTGAAGTACGCACCTAAAGTGCCTCCCTTGACGACACCGTGGACCGACAAGGTGGGAACGAACCCCTGGCCCGAATATCCCCGGCCGTTGCTGCAGCGAAAGCAGTGGAAGAACCTCAATGGAATCTGGAAGTACCAGAGTGCAGCAAATCTCGATGCTGTTCAGAGCCCGCCTTTTGGGCAAGAGCTTGAACAGGAGGTGTTGATTCCATCTTGTCTTGAGAGTGCATTGTCCGGTAGGTTGCCTTGCTCGCTGCATATTTGTGACAGTATTAACAGATTTGTGCAGGGATCCAAGCCGATTCGGCTTTATATTCCTGGTTTTCAACCTCATTCGATGTCTCTCCTGCATGGAAGGGTGAGCAGGTTGTGCTGAACTTCGGAGCTGTAGACTACGAAGCCACAGTCTTTGTCAATGGAAAGGAGGCAGGCTTCCACCGTGGTGGATACTTCCGTTTCTCCTTGGATGTGACAGAGCACCTAAAGTTCGGCGAGAAGAATGAGCTGTGAGTCCCCTTAATTCGGGAAGCAGTGGACCTATTTTCTGACCATAAGCATAGGCTGGTCTTCGCGCATGACCCCACAGATTCTGATGACTATGTCATCCCCATTGGAAAGCAGACCCTGAGGCCAAGTCACATCTTCTATACTCCTTGTAGTGGAATCTGGCAAAGTGTCTGGCTCGAGGCTGCTCCCTCCAACCACATTACCAACCTGGATATCGACGCAAACATGCATGGTCAAGGTGAGTCTGCGGTGGAATTTCGAATATGCGGAAACGTTGTCTGACAGCAAATAGTCAACATCACTGTGCACAGCTCCGCCAAGGATACATCTGCCCAGGCTGAGGTCACCGTCCACAAGGATGGAAAGACCGTTGCAACTCACAAAGGCCCCACCAACAAGCCGTTCCAGTTCAAGGTGTCCTCACCTAAGCTTTGGTCCCCAGACTCTCCTGAATTGTACGATGTGACCGTCAAACTAGGCAACGACAAGGTGGAGAGTTATACCGGCTTCCGTACAATCTCCCGCGGCAAGGTTGACGGAATCGAGCGACCTTTGCTTAATGGAGAATTCATTTTCATGTTCGGTACCCTGGACCAAGGTTATTGGCCCGACGGACTCTACACACCCCCGAATCTGGAGGCGATGGTGTACGATCTGAAGTTCCTCAAGAAATTGGGTTTCAACATGGTCCGCAAGCACGTGAGTATCGCCGCATGAAATCCCACCTCATATTTCCCCCCTATTTACACGATGACCTATAGATCAAAGTCGAGACCGACCTCTTCTACCGAGCATGCGATGAGATTGGCCTACTCGTGATCCAGGACATGCCCTCCCTGCGCCCGCTCCAGAATGTTCTACCGAATGAGGAGCAGCAGGTCGAGTTCGGACGGCAGATGGACCTCTTGGTTAACCAGTTCAAGAGCTACCCCAGTATCGTGTCTTGGGTAAGTTTAAGCGTTTCCTGAAGCAGAATCCCATCTAATAATCGCCAATCACAGGTCGTTTACAACGAAGGCTGGGGCCAAATCACCGACTACTTCCCCGAGTTCGCCTTAACCGAGCGAGTGAGACAGCTGGACCCCACTCGCCTCGTGGACTCAACAACCGGCTGGTTCGACCACGGCGCAGGAGACTTTAGCGTACGCCTCTCGTGAAAACCCACAGCCACAGGAGAACACATAGCTAAAATCTCACAGGACAACCACCACTACGCTAACCCACAATGCGGCACGCCCTTCTACTCCACACAGTCGAGCCCCTACGACCCCAGCCGGATCGGGTTCCAAGGTGAATTCGGCGGCATTGGCACCAATGTTTCCATCGAGCACCTCTGGAACAACCAGGCAGCCATCGACACGATCGACCAAACCTATGAGATTGATGAGACCATCGACGCATGGAATTATCGCAGTCACCGTCTGCTCGATGAGCTCGAGGACCAGATCCGGTTGTATGCTTGCAGCGGTGGTGTCTGGACCCAGACCACCGATGTCGAAGGTGAGGTCAATGGGTTGATGACCTACGACCGGCGCTTGGAGAGAGTCGACGTCAAGCAGTGGAAGGAGGATATCAAGGCTCTGTATGAGGCTGCGGCTGCGCGCTCATAATGTATTTAGTGCAAAGTGTATATCCCGCGCCATCCAATAGTGTTGGATGAGTGCGAATGAGTATATAATCTCATTTCCCAGAACAAACCAATGGCCATGATAGCGCCTGCTCAATCTCACCCCGCGTTGCTCAATCTAACCCCGCAACGCATTGAATGTGGGCTATCGACTTTTGACTTCAAGTTATGGCATTCGCGTTCCACAATGAGCATTTAGAATTCAGCCATCGCCTCGGCAGATGTCGAACACAAATGAGCTGGGACTTTTTACGGCGTATCCATGGTACCCGCCCCTTAATCTGTAGAACGCGGGGGCCTCCTCACGAGCTCGGAACCAGCAAATGGCAGTGTGGCGGCCCTGTTCTAGAACAAAATCTGTAGGAATTCGAAGTCTTGGAAAAATACCTAAGGCGGCAAATATCCGACAGATGCGGTGCAAAGACGCGGGCTGTTTAGTCTATTAGCGGAACCGCAGAAAAGCAAGGAAACTGCACATTCAACACTTCTCTTGGTATCACGTCAATTCAAAGCAACTCAGGGATCGAGGGCAAGTGATTTAGTCTGCAGACTGCCTACCCTTCTTTTGATGTTAGAACGCATTTGTTTGCTTCAGAGAAAAATAGAAGTTTTCCGCGTCTTTCCGTTCATTCATTCATCAGACGGTTCAGACCCATTCACCTGTCATGCCATATCCACAATCCACAATCCACAATCCACCCGAGTCAGACCATCAGCCCATATCAGCCCCACGATGGTCTGCTGATATGCAAGTGTATCCTGATTCCCACACTATCGCGTCTTGGCTCCCACTAGTGGTAGTGGTACTTTCGTCAACCACGTTGTCGGCTCAAACCTTCCTCTGGGCGTTTTTGAGAAGTATAACTTATTAAGGGGTGTTGGGAGTGCTTTCTCGAGGACAATGTAGTGCTCTCTGGTTGAGATTATTCATTGGAATCTGCAGTCTTCCAAAGAAGCACTAGAGGTTACTAGCAAGGTGAAGCACATAGATTGTTTGTTTCTCCCAACATGTAAAATGGTCTAAGGATCAGATCATCAGGCCCACAAACGTGGCCGGACGGAAGGGAATCCACTTCGAAGCTCGTCGTGGGTTCTAGATGAAACCGTTGAGTTTGTGGTGGAGTCTTGCGGGAGTATGACCAGTGAGCTGTACCCAGTTAGATCGAAGTGAATTTGTTCTGGACATGGACTGGTGAGGGTTGACAGATTTGACGTGTATGATTTTGCTTTGTTGCTAGAATGCCAAGTGCTCATTGTCTCCGTACGGGCTGAGAGAACCCCAAGTTTCTACACAGTACGTTAGGCTGGCGTTTCAAATTGCCGAATATGGCAGTTCTACGTAGTACAGACGAGGGATCAATTCTCTGCTTGGTGGAGATTACAGGGGTCGTTAATATATGCCTGTTAAACTTGACGAATCCATCCCGACCACCTGGGAACACCTGCCCATGCTCAGATCTGACCATTTGCAGTCTCCTTATTGATCGGAATGACGCCCCATTGGGGGCCCCTCTTGGGTCCCTCTTGGCTTGGCCCTATCGTTGTCTCTACCTGATATTAGGCAAGACCGCTTTCTGGATCATGACGCTGGCACTCTGGGTCCAAAGGTACCGAGGCAGTCTAGAGCCGATTCCCGATAGGGGGTCTGTTTACGGTTCGGTGGCGCCAGACCCCAAGCGATGTATTGGAGAATCTTTGGATCGAGCCATATAAATACTGGATCAGTGGGCTGCCACGAGGTACCCCGGTTTTATTTCTTCTTTTCTTCACGTTCCATTTCTGATATCTCTGAATTGAATACTTCTCCTCAATACTCATCAAGAAGAAAACCCCAGACGTTCGTCTCGTTCATTGCAAAGCCCTATAAATCATATCAAAAGTCGCTAGGACACTTCACAACCATGGAGTACACTAAGGGGGCAGACTTTGAGCCAAAGCATGTCGACCGAAAACTGCTCTATACGAGCCTAGAGGAGCGGATCAAGTACCTCCATCAGTTCCTCGACTTCAACTCCAGTAAGCCCTCACCACCCTCTCTCGCGGGTTTGCCATAGCCACTAATGTCACTGCAGGCGACATCGAAGCACTGATGACCGGCACTAAATATATCAAGCAATTGATCCCTGCTGTAGTCAACTTGGTATATAAAAAGATTCTCCAATTCGACATCACATCACGCGCCTTCCACACACGGACAACAGTCGACGAAACCGAGCCCGAAGAAGACTACCTCAACGAAGAGTCGCCGAAGATCACGCGGCGCAAGATGTTCCTGCGATGGTACCTGACGCGTCTGTGCCAGGATCCGACAACAATGGACTTCTGGCGGTACTTGAATAAGGTCGGGTAAGTCTTTGCCACCCCCATCCTTTTGGTTCCAAATTCCCGGGGCACACTTTCGAGCAAGGTGCTAATTTGGGGGTTCCTTACACAGCATGATGCACAGCGGACAAGTACGCATGTCACCGCTGAATGTCGAGTATATTCATATCGGTGCCTGCTTGGGATATATTCAAGATATCTGGATCGAAGCGATGATGTCGCACCCGCACCTGTCGCTGCGGCGCAAGATCGCCCTCGTGCGCGCTGTCAATAAAGTCCTTTGGATTCAAAATGATCTCTTTGCCCGATACCACTCAAGCGATGGCGAGGAGTTCACGGATCAAATGTCCGACTTCGACTACAACGTGGGTCAAGAGGGGTATCTTGGCGACAAGCGAGTTCTTGGGGGTAGCACGAGGGACGATGACGCGGAAAGCATCGCGCCTTCTATAAACAGTACCGCGCCTTCTGTGGATAGTGCGGCGCAGTCTACCATTGGTGCATCGTCTATGAGATCGGTTTGTCCTTTTGCGGAGATGGGGAAGAGCAACTCGACGGAGACAAAGATTTGGGCCAACTGAGGGCCTCGCTGGATTTTGTGCGGGTCATATTTTGCATCATTCGGGCGCTTGGAGCGATGGGGGTTTCGTTTGAAGTGGATTTTGGCAGTCGTTGATACCTCAGTATACGTAGTTAGATGGTGTTTACAATTGAAAGACCAGACGTTTCATCAACTAGAGAAATCCCACCTGTCATATCACGGGCTGGCGGACGGGACCGGGAGTATTTCCGGCTTAGTCAATGTTTATCCGGACCACCGGCGTGTTTCCTCCGGGATTTTCTCCCCCACTCGGCTCGCGGTCAAGGGAGTTGGGTCTGGCTTTGGGTCATACATCCGAATATAAACCGGAGTTATTTGGTTGATTTGTGTATTGCCATAAAATACTCCGGACTTAAGTCCCGGTCTCCAGACGGTGCTTCAATAGACGTGTGGGCTATCGAAGTCTACCCCACAACCACCCCGGCCCTTTTCTACTGTATCGGGTTAAGATACAGAAAATCTATTAAATAGTTACCCAGCCCCGCCATTCGACAATTTTGGACCTTTAAGGACAGATCCCTCATACTCTCCTCCTCGAACCTCCCACACTCGCCCACAATGACGCAATCGAACAAGCCGGTCACACCGCTCATTATCGACAATGAATCAATTGAGACCGATATCAAATTCGAGGTTCACGCCCCCGCCACCGGTGAGCTGAGTGGCTACTGTGCTGGTGTGTCGGTCGACGAGGCCAACCGGGCAGTCGACTCGGCACAGGCTGCCTTCCGCGGATGGAGCAAGACCTCAGCATACGACCGCCGCGACCTCCTGATGCGGGCCGCCGATATCATGGCCGAGCGCAAAGAGGAGTTGATCCAGTACCAGCGGGAGGAAACAGGTGCAGGACGACCTTTCTCGGAGTTCACCTTCAATCTGGGTGTTGCATTCATCAAGGACTTCGCGGCTCGGATTCCTACAATCGAGGGTGTCGTGCCCAACATCAACCGGGAGGGTGAGGGTGCCATGGTATACAAGGAGCCGTATGGAGTGATTCTGTCAATTGCGCCTTGGTGAGTATCGCGGTTTGTGGCATATTATGCAAGGCATTGGCATTCTTGGAAATGGTTCTGATCGTTTGCAGGAACGCCCCTTATATCCTAGGCACACGCGCCGTTGCGCTTCCTCTGGCGGCCGGTAACACTGTCGTTCTCAAGGGCTCTGAGCTCTCACCCAAGTGCTTCTGGGCTTTGGGTGATGTCTTCCGGCAAGCTGGTCTTCCGGCAGGATGTTTGAACGTCATCTTCCACCGGCCCTCCGACGCTCCGGTCATCACCAATGCGCTGATCGCCCACAAGGCTGTGCGCAAGATCAACTTCACCGGTAGCACAATGGTCGGCTCGATCATTGCCTCTACTGCTGGAAAGCACATCAAGCCCGTGTTGCTCGAGCTAGGCGGAAAAGCTGCCGCAGTCATTTTGGATGATGCGGACTTGGACAAGGCTGCCATGAACTGTGCTCTTGGATCCTTCATGCACGTATGTAACATCGACCCGATTGATACGATGTTCTAAACTGATTTCTCAATAAACAGTCCGGTCAAATCTGCATGTCGACCGAGCGACTTGTCGTGCAGCGCTCGATCGCAGACAAGTTCCGTCAAAAGCTCGTCGCTACCACCGAGAAGCTTTTCGGCAAGGATGCACCCGCGCTGGTTTTGGTCAACGCTGCAGCTGCCTCAAAGAACAAGAAGCTCGTGGCGGATGCCGTCTCCCGCGGAGCCAAGGTCCTCTTCGGTGACGCCGAGACCAATGAGTCCATCAACACCAGTATGCGGCCGATCATCGTCGACGGTGTTACCAAGGAGATGGACATGTATGCGACCGAGTCATTCGGCCCGACTGTGTCTCTCATCGTGGTCGACACCGAAGAGGATGCGATCGCCCAGGCTAATGACACGGAATACGGCCTCACTGCGGCTGTGTACACAAGCAACCTCTTCCGCGGCTTGCGGGTGGCCAAGCAAATTGAATCTGGGTGAGTCTTTTTTCCGAACACGCTCACATCATCGTGTGGAGATTTGAACAATTCTAACATTCTCCGTTTCCAGTGCCGTCCACATTAACTCCATGACCGTGCATGACGAGGCTATTCTCCCCCACGGCGGCTGGAAGAGCAGCGGCTTCGGTCGCTTCGGAGGCATTTCGGGATATGACGAATTCGTCCAGACTAAGACTGTGACCTGGCAGGAGTAGACGTGGCTAAACTCAGGTACAGTCTTTACTACGAGTATATGCATACATGCCTTCTTGGTCTGGTCCCGTTAGGCGCCCCGGATTGGGCCGCCACCGGCGTCTGTTTTTATGGGTCGGCTTGGAAGGGCTTGTTCTGGACTTACTCGGCGCTATGTGGGCTTTCCTACAAGCTCCGAAGCCACTGCAGCTGATGCAGCCAATGACGGAGATTTTCTCCGTCGCCTAGAAGTGCTCCAAACGGATGCGGTCTGAATACCGGGCTTTCATGAGAGTGGACGGAGCGAATAGCCTGCGAGGATACCATTTTATGCGATGTGTGTGATATGTTGCATCTCGATTTTGGCATGGATCGCGTAGTTCCGGGTATTAGATCATTTGGTGTTTGTCTTATTTTCTTTGTTTCTTTTTCTCGGAGCCTCCTCCGTCTCAGTATTCGCCATGAGGCTGAATATCATGTGCCTGTCATTTTGCCCAGAAACATGTCCACTCTGTATCATTAAACCAGGCTAAAAATACTTCCAAGGCAACGAGCTTGAAGGAATAAATATAGTACAAATACTCGGTAGTCTATGTAATAGCATAACTTTCAACCCACAGTCGGGATTAAACCAACTCCGATTGTCGCGCAGTGAGAGAAGCCTCGTCCCACCCTAAATTCAGGAACAGGAACGGAGCCCGACGTGTTAATTAATAACGCCAACAAATCACCGCTCAGCGCCCGAGTGAGACAGAGTCGCATTCCCGTTTGTTACCAGGAGATCAATAATAAATTACTACAACACAACAGTTGTAAGTACGATGACATCGTGTAAGTTGGTAAACTTCCACCCCTGACTATCAAGCCGTTGATCTTTCCCACGGACATCGAACCCTCCCGATGAACCGGTGAGATCGGCGACATGATCGCATCTGATACGGCCATCCCCACGGCCCTGCCGGTGTGGAGCCCGGTGGTTCTGGTCTATTCATGAATATCATTGAACATCAGTGATTATCAGAATCTACTGTGCAGGTGGAAGTTGGGAAAAACTGTTCGGTTCCCCCGTGGATGGAGAACACATGGTGCCTCGTTCCTTACCGTACCTGTAAGACACTCCGTCACAGGTTGAAGTCCCGGAGGCTCGAGGGCGCAACCTCGCAATTTGCGCCACTTTTATGGTAACCCTTCACAATTTGGCTTTTTTTTTCTTTCTACTGTGTATTTTCCTTTCATTCTTTTCTAGAACCTTGGTGGCGTTCATTTAAATTCAAAGGATACCTTCATTATGTGTCATCTATGGAGTCCTATAAATATGTGCAACATAAGACATAGAGGAATTGGGTTATTAGCCGAGATGTTCCAAGAGGCTCGAGGCTACCATGGGTAAATGTCGGACTATCTTTGTTGGCCAAGCGCTCCACAGCTCCACTTTATTGAGGGGAAAGCACAAAAAGTAAACAAACATAGAAATGCACCGTGGCATCACTTGAACAGGGTCATGATCAAAAATTAATGTGTGTCTACATTCCTTCGACTCCTTCTAATGTCTCTCCCTTGGAACAAACTTGGCAGTTCCATTCTTACAAGTTTGACCGGGACATTCTCCATGAGGGTCTGCCGTTAGGAATTAAAATTAACTTCTGGGGTCAACCAATTAGAACCCGGTGCCTGAGATTATGTTTTTCTATTTGACCACTTGTATTGCATCGCCTGTTAAATTACGCTCTGAGCCACAGCCGGGCCGCATGCCCCACGAGGAGAAGTCAGTCGGAACAGGGCATGAGACTGTCGCATCGACTCGTGTCGCCTCTGTACAGCCCTAGTATGTGATGGGTTGGAAACGCTCCGATGTACCGAGTTACTTAGATTCGTATTCACTAGACAGGGAAGTTGCAGCCACATCTCGCTTGGAGGTGGAAAGTATCCGAGGAAATGAGGTGAGAATGGATTGTGGTTGGCCTACGTGGTCGGTCTTTGAGCTTGGATGGTCAGACTCGACCCACCATGGACAATGGGCCTAAAATGTAGTTCATCTCCCCTCCTTCTTCCTTTTCTTCTTCTTCCTCTCCATTTCACTCTTTGTCAATCTTTCTTCAATTTTTTCGTTCTTTAACGATAGTCACTCATTTCCCCCTCATATCCCACCCTCAGTCACTCTTTGTCAATCCAGACATATCCATCAACATGCGTTTCTCCATCGCCACTGTCTTCACCGGCCTCGCCGCCTTGGCGACTGCCTACACCACCCCTGACTACACCAAGGACCCCAGCGGTAATGCCATCGTCTCCCCCGGTCTGAACGAGATCGTTCCCGAGGGCAAGACCTACACCATCAAGTGGGAGCCCACCACCCAGGGCCCCGTCTCCTTGATCCTCCTCCGCGGTCCTTCCACCAACGTGAAGCCCCTCAAGACCCTCGCCGAGTCCATCCCCAACAGCGGTTCCTTCAAGTGGACCCCCGGCACCGATCTCGAGGCCGACACCACCCACTACGGTCTCCTTCTCGTTGTCGAGGGTACCGGCCAGTACCAGTACTCCACCCAGTTCGGTATCTCCGCCCCTGCCGGCAGCCACACCATCGAGACCACCGAGACCACCACCATCTGCCCGGAGACCGAGACCACCGCCGCTCCTACCGCCCCCGCTGCCGCCACCACCACCATCGAGGTCACCGAGAGCACCACCTACTGCCCGGAGTCTGAGTCCACCACCGCTCCCGCCGTGACCTCTACTCCCCTTGCTCCCGTTCCCGTTCCTCAGACCACCATCACCAAGAGCACTGAGATCACCACCACCATCTGCCCCGAGTCCGAGACCCAGTCCGTCAAGCCCACTCCCGGCCCTCACACTCCCGTCTCCCCTATCTCCCCCGTTGGTCCTACCAGCCGCCCCTGGAGCTCTATCCGTCTCACCACCAGCGCCGCTACCGGCGTTGCTACCGCTGCTCCTTCGACTTCCTCCCCTGCCTACACCGGTGCTGCTGGCCGCAACGTCATCAGCCTCGGCGCTGTCATGGTCGGTGTCCTTGCTGCTTTCGCCCTCTAAGCGCTTTTCCGGATGGAATTGTGCTCATGGCTTTTTTTTCTTCCTTTCTTTCTGGTTAAACCCGTGAAATAATGTTTGGTTCTTTTCATGTGGCTTAATCTTTTGATCTGAAATTTTGATAGGGACTATTTTGATTCTGTCGAATGAGTTCTGCACCTTATACCATGTGTTTTTCTTTATGCCATTTGCCTTTTCTGCTTCTCTCAGCTATGCTTGGGTAATGTGAGATTCATGTCTTTATGCCATCTGCTTCGTAGTCTACTTGTAGATACTGGGCATAGTTGAGACTTCACGATAACATGCTCGCTGTACATCTCACTGTTTAGAATACGAGTCTTGGGGAATGGATCTTTACAAAACAACAGTTCAATTCAAGAAATTGCCCTGGAGCATACGAGTACCTGCCTACCGTCCAGGCTTCATCTGTATCCGCCAATGAGACATCAGCTGGTGGCGATCCTCTTACTGCGTAGGTCTGGTTCAACTGAAAAGTGACTTAGCTGAGGAAGCCCAGAACAGGACGGACTCCTAAAGCTTTGCACGCTGGAATTTGATATAGCCATTGCCATGAAAAATTTTGTCATTTGTCGTTATCGAAGTATGGCAGTTGCAGCAAATCCACAGCCACTAGTTATGGAACGGCATCTCATTCGTGTTACGAGCCAGGTCTTTTGGGAAAAAGAGCGCATTCAACGAGAACAACTATGGAGGAAGACGAGAGAAGAACAAGAAGGGAATCGGCGAAGAAGCTAACTATTCATCCTACTTGTTGTCACAGGACTTCAAGACAACAGCCACATGCCTAGTCCATGCTCTCGACCTACTCTGAGCTGACTGATCGTCATATTTCGTAGTCCTCGACTTCACCTGCATATTCCGCGAGCACCTGCCTCATGAAGTCGTCCGCTTCCCAATCATATTCATCCGACCAGGGTTGCTCGTGACGTTCATCACCATGTCCGTAATCTCTTCCGAGATCAATGTCTTCATATTCGCTTTAGAGATCAATGGGAGGCAAGGGAATTCTGTGGAAGAGCCACAGCTGGTCGCAGGGACACAACTTGTATTTGGGTGCCCAGGTCGGGTACTCTTCGAACGGCAAGATTTCCGTGCGCAGCTCCACATTGAACGCCTCGAACCGGGGTTGCCAGGTGTCGATATCCCGGCAGAGGTGCGTGGAACGCGGGGGCTTGGTCGGCTCCACACTGAAGTTGTCGTACTTTTCTTGCCAGGCGTCCGGACTCGTACTCCTTACCGTGCAGGCGAAGAGACGCAGGTTCGGGAGCTGCTTGTCCTCCACAAGTCCGAAGATGTATTGAGGCACCCAGTATTTCAGCTCGTCATAATGTATTGTGAGACTCTCAAGATTCTCTGGCAAAAGATCATACTCAGGGTCCAACTCAGTGCATTCTTCGCCTGCCAGTGATTTGAGCGCGACGGTGAGATGCTTAACATTGGTGAATATAGAGAAGTTTGCGGCATCTTCGCTGCCCCACTCGAGATCGTAATCTATGTACTCCAGTGAATCCCGATGCTTGACCAGCGCTGCAACATAGTCATTCACAACATACTCAATCTCTGGATCATCCTCCGCGGGCAGGGGGTAAGCCCCTCTCCAAGTAAACCGCTTCAAGGCTTGCGGATGTTCGAGCAATATCTCCAGATCTGAGGCCTGAATGGTGCACTTCAAAAGAGTCAAATCTTCAAGCGGCGTGTCGGTGCGTCTCAAAGGGTAAGATGCACTCTCAACCGGTTGGAATATAGCCCCTCTGATACAGAGCACCCGTAGACCTGGATGACGGAAAATGGCCTCGTTGAATCGCGGTATGCAAGGACAGTCCCTGGCGTTACTTGGTCCACAAAGGTTCCTGTCGCTTCCAATGTGACCTGCATTTCATTAGCCCCCAGTACGTTGGGAAGTACTCAAGATAGAAAACTCTCACAGACACGCAGTGCGGGCATTCCTGGCGGGTTTTGGAGAAGTGCATGCCCGAATAGGGTTTCGTTGCCACGATCGAATTCCCAGGGAATCGTGGGGGTATCTGGAGGACTGAACTGTGACTGTCCTGGAGGTCCAACCCCTAAGTCGCGGTATTCTTTGACAGTCCGGGCTAATTTGACCACCGGATATGCCCCATACGGCGTTCGTGCCTGATAGGAGGTGTACTGAGTAGCCTTATGAGGTCTGAGTTTTCCCCTCAAAATCAGCGTCTCCACATTCGGCAAACCCGCGGCCATTTTGTAAAATTTCAGATGACGACCAGAGAACACTTCTAAGCCACTGTCTTCCTTGTGTCGAATTTCATGGATGAGTTCTGCCAACTCTGGGCGTTGTTCTATCGCAACAGCAAGATGAGCACCGCTTTCCGAGTTGGAAAGGCGTACTAGACTGTAGAGACGAGGTACAGTTCTCTGGTGAAGCACATGGCATGTTTGCGCGAGTCGGCCTAGGTGCTGGGCAGACTCTTCATGTTTTAGCTGCTCGATGATCATATCCCAGATCTCCAAGGGGAAGCGCAGAGAGCCTCCTAAACGAATAGACATGGTGGAATCGAAAATACTTGCATCAGGTAGGTGTATGGTGTAAGTTGTAACATACATAGTTGTGCACTGTCAGTCTCATTGAAGTCTATGGAAGTGCCAAGAAATTGAACGCGTATGATTGGCTGCCCCACGTCGCCCCACTCAATACCCCTGACAACTGACAAGTGACAACGCGTGACTTCGCGTGTTTTCGCGTACCCTACGGAATAGTAGGTATGGAGAGAGAGAGAGAGAGAGAGAAATTCATTTGCCCGATGTAGCTCGCTCTAAGACGTCTAAGTATAAGCTGCTATGCGGGGTTGCTATCAGGCCTGCCGACAGCTGGAAAGTGTGGGCGCCAGCCCACTGGACGACTGTTGGAAACTCGCTTTGCGCATTTCCGACCAGTCGCCCTCAGAATAGAAAAATATAGACCATGACAAAGGAAAGAACAAAAACAGAAAAATGAGTGTCGCACTCCTGGCCTAGGGACCAGAATCACATCTCACCACGTAACATCCCCGTATCCCCTTCGTTCCAGCCGCTCATCCTTGTCGGCTGCCGCTCGTGTGCCCGCTTGGATCAAGGGAATACAGTGGACCTGGCACTGCACTCCTAAATGGCGTCATCCTTCTTCTTCTTCTCCAATCGCACTGCACTAAGGTGTTCTAGTTTTTCCTCTCCCGTCATCCCCTATTTCCTCGCCCAGCGCCGCGGGATCGACCGTCTCGAACTGGCCCAGTAGACCGGTCTTGACCATAAATTCGGCCACAGTCGTGCGGGCCTCCGGCCTTGTCAGGAGCTCATCCCGATGGAGAGTTATTCCTTTGTCGGAGAGAGCGCGTCTCATCCAGTCGCGCTCGTCCTGGTGCAGGGGACATTCCAGCAGGACGTGTGCAATCGTTTGATTGCCAAGATCGCAATCGCACCGCGCAGATTCGCGTCGGTTGATGCGGTGTAGGTAGGCGCCTAGGCCAATTCGACCAGTTCTGAGTTGTATCAGAATCGACGACGTGGCTTTGCGTAGCCCTGGCCAGTACTCGAGCGTTTTCTTTGTCGGTATCTCGATCAGGCGCTTCGTCGGTCGACTGGTGGTTTCCTTTGCCCACAACGTCTCCCACTCCAACTTCGCTTTACTGTGTATTCGCCTTTTCGCCGCGGCGGCAAGGCGTATCCCTCTGTTGAGAGAGTTTTGTGGTCCTTCCGGGCCCTGCGCTGCGTCTTTGGCATGTTGATCCGCGATCTCATTGCCAATGACCCCTTCGTGCGCAGGGATCCATCTCAGTTCTGTCCAGACCCCTTTGTCTGCGAACTGCTGGATCAGGTCGAGACATCCTGACAGATAAACCTGTCCTGATGGCATGCGTGGTCGTTGCAGCGCCCTCAGCGCTGCCTGACTGTCCGCGAAGATGACAATTCCATTCTTCGCCTGCTCAGCCCATGGTTCTGTGCTTTCCTGGGCCATTGTGAGTGCCATCTCAATGGCTCGGAGTTCCGCGGCATATACGGTAGACGTATCATCATCCCCCATTTGGCTGTGGGCATGTCGGTTTTCGAGATCCACGACCGCCGCCGCTCCAATCTTTCCATCAATTCCGCTCCCGTCAGTGTACATGATGAGAGGTCTCTTGTCTGGAATCGCAAGGGTCTGGTTATGGTGGTTGCCTGCGGTTTCTCTATCCTCGATGATCACCTTTGGCGGCGTATAGTAGGTATGGACCTAATAAGTCAAGATATTCCTATTTGTTTGAGCTGATAGCAGCTCTTAGCAATTCCAGCAGAGGTTGGGAGTTTATGCAACGAAGATACTCGGCTTCCACCAATGAATAGAGACAGGTCTAGACTCTTGCTCTTCAATTGAGCCCACTCCTTCAGAAGTACAGAATTGGGTCACACTGCATGTGGAATATACGATACTTTTGGGCTGACATGCAGAGTCAATTCACTTGTTACCTATGCTTTGTTAGTTTTCATACCATGCACACTCTTCATTGTATCTGTTCTCACAGATGCAAGCATTTTACACAGCAGCCAGAGTTGCTGCCCAAACACGTCACTCGACATACTGTTTGACCAATAGCTTCATATAATACAGCAACACCCTGCCAAAATGACCACTTTCCCAACATCTACTATAGTCTACTATAGTATCATCTCCAGCTGTTTCCTCCCCGGGGCCTCACTCATACAAAACAACCCACAACACCCAATGCACCAAGAAACCATCCATTCCCTCCTCTTCCTCGCTCTCACCCTCCTCCTCTTCCTAGCATTCATAAACCACTTCCTCATCCCAATCCTAGGCCTCCTGCTCTTCATCACCCCGGACATAACACACGGACTCTCAACCCGATTCCGCCCCTTCATCCAAATCTAAATCTAAGGAACCGTCCTCCCCCAGTTCCAAGCACTACTCTGGTCATCGGGTATCAAATTGAACATCACTGGAATTCCCGTCAGTTCAACAGTCATTTCAACTCCCAAATTGCAAAATAAGAACACGATCCCACTTACGCTCACCAAACGCCCCAAACGTATCATCAAGCTGTTCAAATATATGCGCAGACGGATACTCCGTCTGAATCGGCACCTGCATCCCATCATTCGACCGTGGGTGTCCAGGCATAGTCTGCGGTATATCCATCTGTCTCAAATGCAGCGATGGATATGCAGTCTCTGTATTCTCAAGGTCATCTCGAGCAAACGTCTCTCTCCTGTGTAAAGCCGGATCTACACCATCACCCCTGGAAATTCCCATCTCCGGCCCCCCTCGCAACGCACCAGACATCTCCCGCTCAACCGTCACTTTCAGTAACTCAGTCAACAGCTGCGCCGTCTGCGCGGCGATGCGATTATGAGGGCCGAATGCCGTGCTGGAATGTATAATTCGCATGATCCCCGCTTTAGCCTCGTGCGCCGCGGCTGTAAACGGTTGACTCGTCGGCGTGATGCAGAGGATTACTCCCGCGGTGAATTGGTGGAGTGATGCAAAGGATTCAGCAAAATGATGCTTAAATCGCAGGACCGGGATGCGCGATATGCGTAGTGCGGCTGCCGTTGCGACACGCAGGGAGAGGCGGATAGCGTCGACGACTAGACGGGAACAGGAGGATGTGATTTTTTGTTCGAGGAGGGGTCGACGGGCCTGGATGAGGGCTCCGTCGTAGGTTAATTGGAGGGTGGCTGCTTGGAGGATGATTGTTTCCGCTTGGTCTTTTGTGCGTTGGGGGAGGTCTTGTTCTTGTAGGTAGTTGTGGAAGCGATCGAGACGGTTCTCGGTGGTCCAGAATTCGAAGTCGAAAAGACGGGGGACTCGGCTTCGCCAGGATCGCAATTGGTCTTCTGAGTCTTGGGCTGCTTCGGCGATTGCCACGAGGTCGGATTCTAGGGATTCTCTGCGGAGTTGCAGACGGCGGAAGCGGGAGAGGATGTGGCGGATTATATTGTAAATGTCGTATTTCATGGTGAAGAAACCGGCTGTTGTCGTTGGGTTTCCGTCGCCGGATATCCATTCATTTTTTAGTAGGAGCGGATCGATGGCTAGATCGTCCATGTCGCGGAGCGAATGTAGCGCCACGAGTCCGGTGTCGATGGAGGAAGGACGGCCGTAGATGATAGAAGTAAAAGTATCGCCAACGATAGCGTGATTCCAACATCGAGACCGAATTTCATCCACAATCGGAGACTCGTATTGCGCAGACTTCGTATGGAGATCCAGTGCATACGCCGACCTCACAGCCATACCGGAAACCGTCCACGCAAGACTGGGCGAACTGTGATAGAGATAGTACGAGGAGACCAAGAAACAAACCTGCACAGCCTCAATCCGACAATCAATCGAGATATCTAGCAAATTCCGTCGGATCTCATTGATCAACCCTTGCATCAACTTCTTCCCGTCAATACCGTGCTCGCGCAGCAGTTCATGGCCACACCATCGCTCATCGGGTAGCGCAGAATGCAGACCGATCATCGCAACCGCCAAAACAGCCATGATCGGACTGAGATCTTGCCGGCGCCACGACCGCTGGGAAATGATCCGGCGCGCTGTTCGTCGGAATGACGGTTCGTGGAATATTATGATGAACCATTGCATTCGGTCAAAGTAGACGTCGATCAGCGCCAGCATCACGGCTTCGGGTGGTAGTTCGACTTCTGTCAACTGCCATAGTGAATTGTCCAGCGTTGGTGCGCCGGTATCACCGGGGATTGAGGCGCCTGTTAGCGTCCGGCCGGCGGCTTCTTCGTTGAAGACTCGTCTGGCAAAGTCTATTGCTGAAGCGTTTGCTCCGAACTGGGGTTCTTTTGGTGAGCGCTCTGGGTAGAATGCTGAGCTCGGTGTTGCATCGGATGATGTCGGTTCGTCATGACGGTTGCTGGTATTTGTGTGTTTGGCCGGTGCGATGGCTTTGTGAACACCAGAATACTTGTGGTCTCTGGAGTCTGTTCTTCGAGTGCGAGTCCGCGTCGCTGCGCGGTGAGTTGTCTCGCATTTGTGTCCTGCGCGAATACAGAGTACACACGGTCGAGAGCTGTCACACTATATCCGTTGTATCAGGGCTATTGTCTTATTGTCTGGTTCGAAAAGCGTCATCAGGGGATCTCCCAACCTTGAGCTTTTGGCGACGGCATCTGTCACATGCTCGTGATGTGCGAGATTGCTTCCGAGATGGGCCAGAGGACTCTTCCATCGATCCTAAGCTTGGTTCTCAGTCGGGTCAGCCTGTTTGAGATCGCCCACGGGTGTTGCTCGGTCTCCGTCTAAAGCTGGGGTCCCCGCAAAGTGGTTCGGGAGACGGGAGGATAGCCGAGTCCCGCGGTCCCGAGCCCCAGAATCCTTCGGCCACGCCAATCTTAAATTTGAGCTTAAGACATTTTGGTAGGTAACTGTTACCTCTTCTCTTTTACTCCGAATGATCACTTGGTCTCATATCGTGTCTCATGTCCATTCTGTATATGCCAAATCTAGATCATTTTACAATTCCGCTCAAATAGCCGTCAACCCCAGTAGATGCCCACGGGCATTCTGCGCCTGCGAAAGAACAATTTCGGCCGCAGGATATGTCTGCAATAAGTGTCCAGCCGCTTCCTCACACGTGTACAAATTCGACATGGCCTGCATCCTCACAATGTCATCCGCAACCTTGAGATCCGGAAGACTCGCTTCAAGAATAATGGCCAGGATAGTAATGCTGGTCCCCGGCAGATAATGAAGCATTCTGCAGTCGTGCAATTCATTGAGAATCTCATTGACTTGAGAAGTCAAGCGTCTCATTTCCGGCATAATGGTCGTGCGAAGACTATCTCCACCATTGGACGCGGCTTGGTAGAGGATGGACATCGCAGTGAGATGTAGGAGATACAGGAACGCTTGATGAACGAGAAGGACAGTCTCTGGGGCTTCTTTGTGGAAGCCATGCAAAAGTGACGGGGAGAAGTAATGCGCTGGCGCAGGAAGATCCTTTATCCAAGTCTTCAGAAGCTGTTCGCATCCAGTAATAGTAACTTGTGAGACATCGGACTTGGGAACGAAAGAGTATTGCCAGTCTCCTGATGGCGATGGTGACCAGGCGTCTTGGTAAAGATGCGCCAGAATGACTCCCACGCAATGGGCGAGTTTAATCTCTTGGATGAATAGAAGCATCATTCGTTCTTGGTTTTCCCAGTTCAGCATGGCCGATGCTTCTCCGAGCATTGCTAGCACGAGATCGTGGTAGGGTTCCGAGGAGTAGTATTTTGTGGATTCTAGTAGGGACATCCTGACATCGCTGTGGGGGATTCGGGGGGGTCGACGGAAGCCGAGGGAGAGAATGCGATCGCGCACATAGAGACACCACCACAACCGATGTTTGTGAGAGAAACTACCCGTTTCAAGACTTTCGAGCAGACCAATGCGCTCTGCTGTCGAGTAGGCGAGATCGAACCAGTATGTCGGGACTTTGTGACCAACTCCACTTCCGTGCCACTGCATCATGAGCAATAGTGCTTGGATCTGAATGTATGCGTCGGGTTCGGTCTCGAATTCATATAGAAGCTAAAAATCAACGTCGGGATTAGATATGTGTTTACCAGTCACTAGGCTCGGAGGGTCTCACCTTGGCTCGCCCGAATAGCGTTCTTCGCAACGCTTTGCGCGATGAGAACCCAGCTTTGACAGCTGTTTCTTGTTCAATGAACGCACTTCCAGCTAGCATGACGGCCTGATGAAGAAGAGGACTCGCGAACTGGGATTCGTCCCCTACCATGACATTTGATAAAAACCATTGTAGATCGATAATCGGCAGGAGAGGGTGAACGTATTTGATATATGCCCCAAGCAACTCATTCCGGAGGTTGATCGGAACAATTTTGAGAGTGCCTTTCAACTTCAGATATTCTTTGGTTTCTTCGGAGATGGGGAGTCGAGTCGTGAAAGACCTTTGCAGATCGAGAAGTTGATTCTGCTCCCCTAGGATGTGTTCAGGGGACTGCGGTGAGAGCAGCTCATTGATTGTTGTAAGCCAGCTGTCTAGGGGATATGTTTGGGGTACGTTATGTGTTAAAGTCATGTGCGGTTGATCGGATATCGGCTTGCTGCCCGATGTGATAAAATGCGCAAAACATTCTAGGGATGTCAGTAACTATGCAAATCCAGGAGTTCTGCTTAGCATGCAACTGATCTTGAATCATACCTAGACCATCTCGACCCCTTTCCAACCGATCTATATCCTCGGAATTGGAAAACGCCTCGAGGAGACCACTGACAGATGATGCGAAGTCCATCTGCACGGAATCTGCTTACTGCCTCGTTCTGCTACCGGGATTAGCGTCTGCTTAGCGTCTTTTCGGCAATTGTTCCATCAATGCCGCATGGGAGCATTTACCTTCACTATTTTGGGGGACAGCTTTTCTAAGAATGTCAATTCACGCTTGCGACGAACACGTGTTATTGTGCCGCTTTCACACCCCAGCTGAGATCGGTGCTTGCGATGCTGTCTGTGTCACTCTTTTCGTGCTAATGACACAATGAACTCCGCGCAAGTCTGCTGGTAGCCCGCTTGTAAATAGAGGAATTGCCCGCCATATGAACCAGGGGGGTACGAGAATAGCCCAAGCCATCAGTCATCATGGGAATCTTGGGGCCCCACACACCCCGCATCTCTGCGCATCTCATACAGTACAACTGTACAGTAGAAGATCATCTGGCGACAATTGGTCGCTTGCGATGTCCTTCCAGCTCCTTCCTGGAGATCGAGACCCAGAGGCGCAGAGGGGTGGCAGCTCGATTGGCAGCGAAGGAGCAATTAACTTCCACCGGACGAAGGGGAAACCTCCACCGGAACTTAACCAACCAATCAAATTCCCCCTACGAGTCTACCCCGGAATTTGTCTTGAAGGATCTGAAGCTACCAGAACTTACGATGTACTCAAAATCATCAGTTAACGTTTTATCTCTGTGGCGAATATCACATCTATGGAAATCCTTCCCGAGGTGATCGCTAAATACCGGCTCCCCTTTGCCACCATCTACCACGGATAGCTACCGCCGACATGACGAACAAACCCACCAGCCTCCTCATCCCTCTCCCCAACTACAATCCTCAGAATGCCCCTACCAGAGTCCAACGGATCCCCAGCAGTTCCATTAACAGTAACGGACGCCTCATCCGTACCCCTCAGGTTGCTCCTCACCAATCCCGGACAGAACGCGAAAACCCGCACTTGACCCTGCAGCCGTTTGTGCATTTGAATAGTCATCATGTCGAGAGCCGCCTTGCTCATACGGTACTCATCATAGGACACCGCATAAGAGATATTGCTCGGGTCATTTGCCAGAGCCAGTGAGCCCAGACCACTGGAGACCTGGATCATGTACGGCTTTTCCGACTTGAGGAGAAGCGGGATGAACGCCTCTGTGACGAGCATGGCGCCGATGACATTGGTCGAGAAGATCTGTTGCAGCTTTGCGCGGCCACTGAGGTGCACTGCGCCTGTGCCGGCGTTGCTGATTAAGACGTCGAGGCGGTTGAACTTCTGCGTGACGGTGTCGACTGCTTTCGCGATGGAGGTGTCGTCTTCCACATCTAGTTGGATGAGGGAGATGGTGCCCTTGGGATTGGTGGATTGCAGTTGTGAGAGGGCCTTTTCGCCCTTTTCTTGGTCACGGCAGCCCATGATAACATGGTAGTTCGGGTGCTCGGTGAGGATTTGGGTTGTTGCGTAGCCGATGCCGGAATTGGCACCTGGGACGAGTTAGGTCTGCGGTTGTAGACTACGCTTGGGCTGGTGACTTACCGGTGATCAGGATGATTGTCTGCTCCGACATGGCGTTGTAGTTGCTTTCAGTTACAAACAGTTGGCTTCTTCCAGGCAGTATGAGGTTGAAAAATTGGGATAGAGTCGAGTGGATGAGAACAAGGCCGACATCACTTCAACCTGGCACATTGCAGTCCTATATATAGTATTTTCTTTTCACTCTGAACGTTACTCACCATCGCCGTTACGCAGTCCCCATAGAGATTTGATATAGATCGGAGATAAGCCTCTATCGCCGTGACATTAGATCTCGGGGATAGAACTGCGTATCAGTGCGGATCACGGGGTTAAGCCGGCCATCACCGACCAGTGCTCTGCCAAGATCCCGAGAAGGACCAAGTGATACCGAATTGTGTCACTATTGTGCAGCAGTAATTGAGCATAATAGTTCAGAAAAAAAGAAGAGGAAGGCTGGAAGCATCAATGCATGTTCGGACATAAACAATGATGAAACCCAGAAAGGTGTATCCACATAACAGTAACCACCGGTACACTCCCGGATTGGGTACCAAGGTTGTGGTTAAATTTCCCCTGAGACCATCCAAGGTTAGTCCGTGCTCTGATGTGTGGTGAATATGTGTGACACCGGGCATTCTGATTTATCAAGACCCTCGTTTTCTGGGAAGGTATCAAAGCAGACATTGAGAGTCAGCTCAGTAGTCCCAGTCCTTTAGTTTTCTTGGAGTGGCTCCGCGAAGAACAAGACACCTGTGGAAGACATGTCTTAGCAGACTTCAATTTCACATCGAAGACGATCTAATGTAGGTATTTCCTATGAATGCCGTACAACAAATCCATACCACTCACCGAGTTGATAACCCCCCGCCCTTCCACGCCTGGATAATTACCACCCCTGACCAGAGCCACACGTACATTCCATGAGCATACGTCTATCCAGAAGAGTGGCTTTGTGGCATAGTCTACATGTAGATATATCTCTACAGAGACAAGATGTACGTACATATTAGCCTATTGCTACGATAGCCCGTTTAGCCTTAGCCTTTAGCTTTTAGCCTACTGGCTATGATGTCATCCGAATCACGCAGTGACACTACATGTTCGAACCCCCGGCTTTCCACCAGGCAGCCAATCACCGGCAAGAAATGTGACTGGTCTCGGAAGTTACATCGCATGCTAAGCTTTTTGAGAGACGTCGGGTCCAAGCATGTGTTTTAGCCGTACGGGTCTAGACAACCTCGGCAGTATGTACAGCTGCAGGATGGTACATGGTAACTATTCAGGATGGTAGTAGTCTTTCAACTTCAAGTACTTTAGGAGGGTCGAAGACAATCGCATTTGGGGTTGGATTATTTTACCAAATTTCCAGATTATATGATTTATATCCTTCCGCCGAAAGCAAACATAAATAACTGAAACACATCGCCAATGGAGGTATCACCGCTGTGCAATTTGTACAGGCAAAGGGAGAAAAAACACAGAGAGGGACGGGGTCGAGGAAAAGGGTAAATCTCCATATAACCCGGATGAAAGTAGGGTAGAACATGACGAATTCACTTTTGCGGGATCTTTGAGAATAGGGAGGCATGCAGATCGATGGTTATACCTGCCCAGTCTAAAGGAGAAGGGCAGGTTGAGTGCACCGCATTCCTAAAGAAATACCACCTGCAGGAAGGCCATGCCAGTGACCTTTTTTCCCCTAGCAGAGGTGGAGACAAGAGCAAGAGAGATTAAGGGTATAGGGAAAGGTGTAGGAAAAAGAGTAGGAAAACAAGAGAGAACAGAATGAAACAGCTCTGCTGTCTATCTCAAAGCCACCACAACAGGTCTCACGGCCGTGACCAAGCTCCCTGCATTGGCGGCAACGGGTTCCCAGATAGCGCCGGCGACCCGGTAGGGGGCCCAGCAACCGCACGTCCGACGGGTGCGACGGGATTTGAGGAATATGGGGGACTCGCCGGCCAACCAGGCTGGGACTGGGCCGGTTCGTGCGTCCTATGTGGAGCAGGACTGGTCGCGGGGGGTTGTGTGCCTGAAGTAGGTCGGGCAGCATCGGCGCCCGACCACGTCGCCGAGGGGCCTGGATCGGATGCTGGGAGGGGAGTTGGTTGGGTGAGGCGTGGGGAAGGAGGTCTTGGGCCAAGGGCGCTTAAGGACATGGTGCGGCCGAGTTGATTGCGGTAGAAGTCTCGCTCGGAGCGATAGTGGTCTCGTTGTTGGAGAAGGGCTCGGAGCTCTTCGCTTTGGCGACGGACTGTTTCCATGCTACGTTGGATTTCTTCCTGCTGGGCACTAAGCCGCTGCTCGAGTTGCATTTCGTTGCGCTTGCGGTTGCGGAAACGGCGTGAGGCGTCGCTGTTGGCTTTGCGCTTTTCTGCTTGGCTGGAGGAGCCGGAACGCATGTCTAGGACGCAGGGAATCATTCCTGGTGGGGTTTGGGTGGACTGGGGTGTTCCGGCTCGTGAAGCGGCTGTTTCGGGTTGGGCTTGGGGATCTTTCGTTGCGGGGATGGTACGGGACAAAGGGTCCATTGTCATGTATGGAGGTGCAGTAGGGTACGACGCCACACTTTGCGGGAGGGAGACATCGGCAACTGCTGGTGATACACCGAATGGGCTGAAGGTTGGACGAGGCGTGCTGGGGCTCGTTTCTTGGGAGCTTGGATTGGTCAGAGGCCCTGGGTTGGAACTGGTCCGTCGAGAGTGTACACTGGGTGCAGAATGTAGTGAATGTAGTGGCGTTAGCGCAGGATGCTGCGTGCTTGTGAGGGATGCGATTGGACGTAAGCCCGTCTCTAGTGGCAGAGGCGAACTCGTGGCAGGCAGACGTGGGCCCACCAGAGATTCATGGGGAAGTAGCGGTGATTGTGCGACACTTGAATGACCAGAAGCCCTGCCGCCCCCACCAGCAAACCGGACCGAAGGCGATGCTGGGTTCATCAGAGGGCGTGAATGAGATCTCGGAGATAACGCCTGTGGCAATGGGTAACCGGGGCGCGTTGTGGGTGAAGAGACTTGGGGTCGAGGCGAGGACGAGGACACTGGTTGACCCAATGGCTCACGTCCGCTGAGTGCGGCCAGGTCGGCTGTTGTCTGTGATGGATGGTTCAGGATGGCATGGACACCAATAGGTCGGGATGACATCCGTTCTAGTGGTGGCTCCACGGGTCCATATGGATGCCATGACTGAGGTCGGGGCCGCTGAGGCGGCCGGCGAGTAAGATGTCGGCTTCCTGTCAGCCTCCGGTCATTGTCGAGTGCACGGTCATCTTGCTGAGGCGCATTTCTGGGCAATGAACCTGGATGTCCAGACTCCTGTGACATAGAGACCGAATCTCCCACGACGGGATGGGTGTTAGGGCATGGCCGAGACCCCCCTCTCTCCTCGTCGCTGGGTTCTCGAAGAGTATGAGAGAGGGAAGGTGAAGGAGATGGATAACGATCTGTATAGAGTGAAACGTTGGATGAATGTAAATCAGAATACGGCGCGGTTAACACGCTGATTCCTAAGGCAGCCACGATGAATAGATAACGTAGGGTATAACTAGAACAAAAGCACGACCACCTCTCAATTGAGGTAATCGAAAGATATATAAGCAATAAATGGAAGAAGATCCGAGGCCGCTAAAGAAGCTAAGAGGAGAGGAAATCGGCAAAGTTAAGTGAAACGGGGAAAACGGGGTCAAGCTTAAGAAGAAGCGACGAAACAGCAGCGGTGAGAGAATGATCCATCACCTGGTCTGGATGGCTCCAAGACAAGTAAGTTGTCTCTCTGTCCGACCCAGTCTGGTGGAATACATAGCGTTGGGCAGGATCTCCTATGGAGACACACACCCTAGTCTAACCCCCGGAGTGCCAGTTGGGCTTCGTTTTTTTGACTTTTTATTTTATTTTTGGTTTATTGTCGTTTTGGGTTTCTTTTTTTCTTTTTCCATTTTTTCCCCTGTGCCTGATAGATAATAAGTCATAATATTCTCATGACATACTAAAAAGAAAATAATTCAGGGCGAAAGTGAAGCAGACAGATGTCCAACATATATGACATGCTGATATCAAACCCCCTATCATGTGCAGCCAATCCTACAGCACATCGTATACATCGTTCATGAGACCACTTTCGAACCCATCACCACCTGAGTAACCGGGGAAAGCGATCGTCATGCACAGCACGAATCATCGGGAGCTGCAAGTGCGCGGCGCCGTCACCATGGACATGGACAGGGACAGGTGGAGACCTTCCCTTTTTCTCTGTCCCGTTCTGTCATTGGACTCAATTTCTTTGCTTCCATGTATTTATTTATTTTATTTTTGGTTTATTTCCCCATGACAATGGCTCGTTAAGCTCGGATGGTTTGGTGGCCTTGAGAACCTTAGAAGGTTCCATGGCTCGCAATAGTATGACAGTTGAAACCTCCTTTTCCATTCTTCGCTTTCAAGATTTTCAGGGCCGATGATGCGTTTTGGCAAAGCGAAACGCCAAACAACTTAAATCCCCAACCGATCCATAGTTACCTTCTTGGGGTAAGTGAGGCAATCCTCCGAAAGTTGCTTAGCCTTGTCATGTCAATTTCCGAGAGTTTGGTGCTTGGAGAGATTAAACTCGAAGTATGTCATTAATCTTGGAACTTGGAAGGCCTTGAAATCCGGAAGGCAACTAGAAGCCCTGAAAAGGTGTGTAGGATTTGAAACTCGAAATCAAAGAGAAAAACTCAAAAAGTAGACCAAGTCAAACCCACTCTGGCAAGGTGCAAAGTTAATTCCACCTGGATGTTGTGCATCAGCACAGTTCCCCGTGTCCCGGTAAAAGGGGCCGTTGCCGTTGACCGTTAGGGGCTAGGACCTCGGAACGCTATTGGGCTTCCGAGGTCCAGAGGAGTTACTAGTTAGTGGGGGCTTTGAGCAGGTCCCGAGTTGGAACTTGGATGACACTTGTCGCGAGGCTTTGACCTTATGATGTCGTTTCTTTATGATAACTATGGATGACCTACAACTGGGTTACGAAGGAGTATGTACTATAAGGATCTACGTAGAGGTTGTCAATGACTCCCTACGTCATTGAACGAGGTTACGCAAACCGAAACTGAGAACACACCCGACGCTGCAGTATCCAAGACCGAGTTAAAAGGTCTTTGTTCACCCCCAAGTCTTCACTCGTACGACATCGAGCTGTGGTGGAACGACTGAAAGGGTAACAGGATTCATGATGTCATTCAGGTCCGCTCAAAGAAAAAGTAAACAAACAGAAGACAGCGGAGTACTCCGTAGAAATCGAACAGGTGACAGTCGACAGTCGACACTCTTATCACAATCTGGTAGATGCTCCACGATCAGGACAAGCGGAAAGGGATCCGGTGGAAAAGGGATCCCCCTAGCCTCACGATGTGAGATGCATGAACGAGGGTGGAGCACTCTAGCATCTTTTCCGGGCTGTCTGGCAGTCTGCTGTGATCACGGGATACAAGTAGTACTCCGCGTGGCAATCGTCAAATAAGCAGCGGAGATCGATTTAGTGGTGTCCACTGCGTCAAAGTGGATGTGACGCGGGAAAATTGGGAAAATCCAAGATAATAATCGTGGAACGCAGTCAATAGGCTAGTGTTTATTGACATTGATCGGCGATCCCAATGCCAATTTCGCCATTAAGAGACTTTTTATGTGGGTTTGCGATAGATCGCTGGGTTTTTCAATCTGCATGAAGTCCCGAGAGCTGCGTCCGACAGAGTTTGGAGAGGGAGCTGTCAGTCCTTTGATGCAATGTACCCGCTATTATGTGGTTCTTTTTATCATCATTGACGAATCATTGCCCTTGCTAGAAACACAATTGCGGTCTGATAGATCCAGGGGCTTTCACTGGTCCAAAGTAAAGGGCTAAAGGCCAATGTTACTGTGCATTGTACCATTGTTTCGTTGTCTGGGGAGAGATTCCTCTCCAGGTCATCTTACCGGTCCACTTGTGGCGTGCAACCTCAAACCATTTTCCCAGACTATCGGAATTCTTTTTATTAATAAAATTAAAATTAAATATCAAGCTTCTATTCTAGGCAGGTCCCAAGTATTTTCACGAATTCTCGTGTCACCATACTATTCGGGAGCTGCAGAATGGGGGCCTCTTTCAAATGTTAGTAGAGTTCAATGTTAATCCTCCGTATACAAGTCTCCACTTGACACTTAATACCGTTTACTCTCTTAGGTGGACATGTTGACAGCTTCAAGCTTCCGTCTTCTCCGTAGTGGAGACATTGCCCCCTTTTCCATGATCTACTGCTCTTCACCGCAAGGATCAACATCTCGTGTCCGCTGCAGCCGCACTTACCTTTCAAAGGCAAAAGAATGGCCTTGTTAAGATCAGGAGCAAAGGATCTCCCTGCCGAGAGCCTCCACCAGTTGTCAATAGATCGCTCATTGCACATCCCATATCTCCAATTGCCCCCATGTCGTCACTACAACACCCACAACATCATCGCACACCGATATAGTACCTCTAGCGCCAAAACCAGCACAAAAAGTACACCGAACTCCCCCGCGCACATCTATGTATCACTTTACTTCGTGCCTGCATCGCCCTGCCGGGCAGATCCGCCAGCCAAAAGAAAAAAAAGGGCAGCAGCGCTGATCCTGCCCACGCGTTGCCTAGCCTGGACCGAGATACGGCCGAATTGGCAATCGGACCAAGAAAGATGCAGACAAAAAAAGCAAAAAAGCAAGAAGAACGTAGTATGGTCTACATAATGTGAGATCGATATGCAAGTGCTGATTCGATCTATAACCTCGCCTTTTGCTTTTTTAAACCCGTCCCTTGCGCGGGCTGCAGTGTGACGACCACCATAACCCAGGTTGCCGGACTGTGACAGCGCGGACCGTCGGCCGTCGTGCTCGCCCGTTTGCTGATCGGATCCACATGAAGCGCTGGAGAGAGTGCGGAGGTACAGGCTGCATATCCGGACCTGTGGTCTGCGCCTCGGGGTACTTTTTTTTGAGCGCGGATGGGGCGATTAGATGACCGCTTTTTGGGATGCTTTTCGGAAGAACGCTAGCTTGTTGGACATTGATTGTACAACATAGTGATGCGTCGTCGATCTTTCTGAGGAATCCTGATTAGCGCTGTAGTGCCGGTCTATTGTTTGCATGAACGTATGCGTCTAAATGCTCAGAAGAGTAGATCTAGAATTGGACAAAGCATGTCCGAAGAAGTATGTACCGAGAGTAGATCGGTTCTAGAGGTGTCCGTACTATCTATCCATGCCCGGACTGTCTATAAGTTATAGTGCACATTCAAAAGAGACAAAGCCTCACATCCTAGTCCTGAAACCGAAACTCATGCTTAGGCATGCCTCGGATCCCAACGTCAACCCTGTAAACCCGGCCCCCATACCTCACCGACTGCGGCAACCGTTCATCATTACGATCATCCTTGGCAGTGGTGATGAACAACTCCGTACCAACAAAAGTTGGACAGGTCACGTTCCGCGTCGGCAGGTCAATCTGACCGATAACCTCTCCGGCAGGGGAGATACGCACCACCTTCGCGCCACCGTAGACAGCACTCCAGATGCACCCCTCAACATCAATAGCGAAGCCATCGGGATCCGTCCCATCGCCGATATCAAAGTGCACACGCTGGTTGCTGATTGCACCGGTAGAGGCATCGAAATCAAAGGCAAAGATCTTGCCCGTTGTCGAGTCAGTAAAGTACATCACGTCGTTGGTAAGATTCCATCCTATCCCGTTGGGGATTGTCACTGGCGCCAGCATGCGATGCACGCTTTGGTCTGGGTCCAGTCTGAAGAGGACGCCTTCTGCTTCGATCTTCTTGACTTTTGGATCATTCATTGCTCCGGCCCAGAACCGGCCGTGGCTGTCGACGGCGCCGTCGTTGAAACGCATTCTTCATTGGTCATTAGCATCTTATTTTTTAAATTTTTTAAATACTTCCCCCCAATTGATTGTGTTTCTTCATTCATTTCAAACATTGAGGTCTGGGATTATGCTTACCTCTCCACTTGTCCTTCATCCTCCCAGACCTTTCGAATGTAGGATAGTTTTCCGGTGGTTCGGTCCAGCCGAGCGAATCCTTGTTTGGCCCCAACAATCAGCTGACTCTCAGATCCCTGAACATTGGCGGTCACGCTAAGAACCACGTGGAATTCCCGTCAGCAGAAAGAACGGAAATGGGCTAAGTCTCCCATGGGAACGGTTAAAAACCCACCCAACAGCTTCTTCGGTATCGACCACACTCAGAGACTCAGCTCCCTTGGCGAGATCAACACGGTATAGTTTGTGATCCCAGATATCCACGAAGCGGAATTCATTGTTAGCCACATCGTGATACGGCCCCTCGAGCAATGTACCCGGGATATCCAGGTACGGCTGATTGGACGAGTTAGTTGTTTACTTGCATGTGCGAATTTGTGATTGGCGGTGTATATTTTTCTTTTCTTTTTTTGTGAGAGGATCGGGAGGAGATTCTTCATGTCTGACCGACACGAGAATCAGATCGCCGAGGGAAGGAAAAGAAAACAAAACAAAAATAATAAGAAAGCAAGCGAATCACAAAATGACGGCCAATTGCATGCGCACAATACGATGGACTCACCTCGTTGACCGTCCATCTCTGAATTTCGGACATGCTGATCGCCAACCAACAAGGTCACTGGACACCGCTATTTGGGAGAGCTGCGGAAGAGGGGTGATGTGTTAGCCTTGCACGAAACGGTCAGAGATTCCTACTTTAGGTGGAGAGACGAACCTTCAAGTCAAGAAATGGCACCGCCGATCACGGTATTAAACCCGTTTAACCTTGAAAAAGACAATTGTCGGATTCCCAGGATACTCCGTCAGTCCGCTGTCTCGAGCGAATTGAACGGAATCTCGTAGTTTATGAGAAGAGGTGGGATTCAGATGCCAAGACAGTTCCCCCACAGTCCGAGGGGGCGCCATTTGCTTACTTTTCCACTTTTCCCTACTTTTCCACTTTGACCACGGATCACTCCGTACTTCGTACACTCCCTACCTTGGTTAGGTACTATGTACGGCACCGTGCTACATCATTGCGAACTCGTAGGACGAGGAGATGCAGGGTATCTCCGCCCATTCGGCAATTCAATCTGCATATGAAAAGAGTCTCTTGGTCTCGGGCCATTCCACCACGCTATTGGATCTCTCCTGCAGCATTCCCGTGTCTGCAATGCGAATCATCGCACACTCGAGTCTGGACTTATCCCATCACTTACTGTATATCCAATCTGCGTCACATAGTGCAGTCAACCGGCAAGCTACATCCAACAATTCAAATACAAGTCCACCCAATCACCAACCAGAACAAATATTGTTTACCTAGCCGCCGCACCCATCACCAAGAACCCCTGTACTTCGTACCCCAAGTTTCCAGATCGTCACTCCATAAAACGCGGTGGCTTTTCACATGACCTTGGAACTCTGCATGCAGATGCAAGAGATTCCTGCATGTGTGTGCTGGTGGGCGCTTAGGACCTAGATCCTGGCCTTATATGTACAACGTAGGTACCCCCGACTACCAATCCCGGCCAAAGGATCGAAGTACGAAATCCCAACTTCCCTGCCTGACCGTGTAAAGCGAATTGGGCGCTAATACAAATATAAATCCTGGCGTTAAAGTTTCAATGTCGTGTCATGCAGATTCGTGGCGATGTGCCTGCAGATGACTTGTATCCCCTTGATTGAGTGTTGATTCCAATCGGTGAGTGTGGAATAGGTATACCTGGATTATGAGGTTTTAGTAATGGAAAGTGTTGTAAAGAAGTTTGCTAAGTCTCTACCTCCGGTGGCCTGAACACGATAATCCAGATCGAGGTTCATTGGAACCAAGGTTTGGAAATAAGTGTAGACTTGAACCATGGGAAGGATTATACTTCCCGTTCTTCTCCGTATGCCAATCGACATCAGCGGCACAACTCACCCTCTCCGATATGCTCCAGGTAAGGCTTGCATGCAGATCGGGCCTGCAGACCAGTCGTCGTAGCTGTGGGGAGAAACGGAGTTGGGCATCAATGGTGTCTCGGGTCTGGTCTTCTAACACGAAGTGATAGACATGGCATGGAGTCTGTGAAAGCCATTTTTTCGGTGTTGGTTTTCATTTGGTGAACACGGATACTGTTCTTGGCCGTCATATAACTGCAGCGTGCAGCTTGTGTATGTGAGTTTGACAGGCCCGATCAACAGCAAGTGATCGCGAGTGACGTTGACTGGGCCTGTGTGCCCCGCCGACGGAGAGTTTAGATTGTTGCCCTTTAGCGATCTTCCTACTTTTTGCGGAGAGTTTGGTGTTCGTTGATGGATGTGGGTACGTGTATGCAGGGCGAAAACACAAAGCGAGACATGGGATGCTGTTGATGTTTCGGACTGTCGAATGTGAGGTAGTCGTAGCGACCTGCCTAGGATCTACATCTAGGCGAGGTCGATGGGCATGGGCTAGTGAATATGTTGTATACAGGCCAAAGCTGGTATAGAGTGCGCAGAGGTTGCAAGGATGAGAAAAGGAAGATTTGGTCATTAAACATAACAGCTCAGTTTGTTACATGATAAGGGATCATACACATTTCGCATAAATCTAGGCAGCTTACAGCTTGGTGCCCATGTTGACGTGGACGGCCTTGACCTGCGAGTACGCGTCCAAACCAGCCTCGCCGAGCTCGCGACCAATACCACTCTGCTTGACACCACCGAAGGGCACGCGGAAGTCGCTGTCGTTGCTGCTGTTGATCCAGACCATACCGGCCTCGATATCCGAGGCGACACGGTGGGCGCGCTCAATGTCGCGGGTGAAGACAGCGGCGCCGAGACCGTAGGTGGTGTCGTTGGCGCGGGTGACGGCCTCATCCTCGGTGGTAAAGCTGGCAATAGCGACGAAGGGACCGAACACCTCCTCGCGATAAATGCGCATGTGGTCCTTCACATTGGTGAAGATTGTGGGCTCAATGAAGAAACCGCGACCATCGCCGACGTTCTTGTGGGGCACACCACCGGAAGCGAGGGTCGCGCCCTCGGACTTGCCGGCCTCGATGTAGGAGAGGACACGCTCGTACTGAGCCTTAGTGACCTGGGGACCCTGGAAGGTGTCGTCGGAGAAGGGGTCGCCGACCTTGCTGGTAGAGCGAACGGTCTCCTTGAAGAGCTCAACGAACTTCTCATACACAGACTCGTGAACGAGAATACGCGATGTGGCAGTGCACACCTGACCCTGGTTATACATGATACCGATGTGTGCCCACTTGGCAGCCTGCTCGAGGTCGGCATCTTCGAAGACAACTAGTGGAGACTTACCGCCGGTCTCGAGAGTGACGTTCTTCAGGGTGCCAGCGGCCATCTTCATGATCTCGCGGCCGGTGAGGGTGGAGCCGGTAAAGGCAACCTTGTCGACGCCGGGGTGGTTTACCAACGCACCGCCGGCAACACGACCGTGACCGTTGACAATGTTGATAACACCAGGGGGAAACCAGCCTCCTTGATGAGTCCTGCCAGGTAGAGAATGCTGAGAGGGGTCTGCTCAGCGGGCTTGAGGACAATGGTGTTACCGCACGCAAGTGCAGGACCCAGCTTCCAAGCGGCCATGGCCAAGGGGAAGTTCCAGGGGATGATCTGGCCAACAACACCAATAGGCTGGCGGAGGGTGTAAGCGAATTTGGCGGGGGTGGTACTAATGGTCTGGCCGAAGACCTTGTCGGCCCAGCCGGCATAATAACGGAGAGTGTTGATGACCTCGCCGAGATCATCATTCAAAGAAACCTGGTAAGGTTTGCCTACAGGACAGTCAGTACTCCATTTTTATCATTGATTGCTCCTCCGTTCAAGTCACTTGCCGTTGTCCCAGGTTTCAATGGTGGCAAGAGTCTCCTTGTGCTCCTCAATCAACTCGGCCAACTTAATCATCAAGAGACCACGATCAGTGGCGGGAAGAAGCTTCCAGGAGGGATCCTTAAGAGCTTTGCGAGCAGCCTTGACGGCGATATCGATATCTTCCTCGCCAGCGGCATACACGGATGTGATCTCGGTCTCATCACTGGGAACCTTGTCAGCTTCTTCAAACGCGCGCAATACAGTTTTGAAGGTACATACGCAGGGTTCACAGTGGCAAACTTCTCGCCGGACTTGGCAGCCACAAACTCATTGTTGATGAACAGACCAATGGGCTGAGTGTAGCTGCGCCCGTTTGGGGCAGTCAGTTGAACGGAGATGTCGGACATGACGAAGGGAGATGTGTGGAATAGGCGGCGCGGGGTTGAATAGAAAGCAAGGATTGGAGATTTATATATTCCGCGCAAAGGCCGGAGGGAGAAAGCGCTACAGAACATGGAAGGGTAGAGATGATAGGAGGGGAAGAAGCCCTGGAGAAAGGTCCAGGTAAGCTCCGCTGCTCCAGGCTCTCCCCGCCTGATAACGAGCGATAATGATGCTCCACTTTACGGATACACTTACTCTTTTGAGTTAAGTGTTTACCACATGCATGCTTGTTTGTCTTCTTTGCATCCTTCATCGTCTCTAATTGGCGGGGCCGTCCGTACTCGGCGCTGTAGGTCTTGGCCACGAACAGGTGTCTCGTCCGGATTAGGAAACTAATTCGGCCAGGCATACGACGAGTGCGGAACCCTGGAGATCTCGAACCCTTCCCCTCATTCTTCCCAGCCTTACAAGGCATAGCCTTTTGCTTTTTAATAGCTCCGAGGTTCAGCAAGTTCTCTCTCATAATGAACTCTTGAAAAGTCCCGGCTCGCAGCGGCACGGCTGGAGCCAACGATTATCAACCTGAGCAGCTGCTGACTCTTCTCCAACATTCCTACCATGCCCGAACGAATATCAATTGCTCTAATCTTGCTAGATCGGACAATCCGAATTGTGTCTGCGGCATATATACAATGCATCTGTCAATAAGCCTTTGAGCATGACAGCCTCCCACTGGCTCCCAGTGATACAGTGGACGGTCGCACATATCGAGAACGTGGAGAACACAGCTGGGAACTAGATACGTGGATGCATGCGAGGGTGAGGGTATGCAGGTAGCGCAGTGCCGAAAGCGAGGTGACACCATCCCGGACACACCACCTATCGGGGCGTCTGTGGCACCGCTCCGAATCCAAGGTCCTCGTGCCGGTCACCGGGAGCTAGAAAGCCAATAGACCCAGGCCAAAGGCGAGGACATTGACTGCTGTTACGGATGTGCCCACAAGAGCCGAAAGGGTCCCATGAAAATATACGTTGCACACGTTTCCAGAGAACATCTGAGTCAAGTAAATGTGCTTCAATTCGCTTGTGCTGATAACCCATATCCAACCGACAACGCCATCGATAGAATACCCCGGAGTCTCTCAATTAAACCCCTCGCTGCATAGGTAGCTTGCAACCAGCAGCTCGTTGTCTCAAGCCTCTTCCTCCTCGCCACTGGACTCTCTGGTGAATTCCTCTTGCGGTTCCTCGCCTGCTAGCTCTAGTATATACTTCCATTGTGCCGGAGTCACAGATGAAACGCTAAGTCGGGATTGCTTGATCATTTGAAGATTCTCGAGTGGCTTTCCAGGTTGGCCGTGAGACTTGAGCTCATGGAGCGTGACCTGTTTTCCGAGTTTGCGGCGATATTCAACATGGACGACCACCCACTTTGGATCCTCTCGCTTGGACTTTGGGTCGTAGTATGGGTGGTTGGTATCGAAGGCGGACTCTGTCATGACCAGTGCATTAGCAAAAAGGTCAGACGTGGGGAATCGGGGATGACACACCGTCAGTGGAGTGCTCCCGGACAATCTCCATCACTCCGACAATCCCGGGGACTTTGCAGTTGGAGTGGTAGAAGAATGCATAGTCTCCCTTCCTCATATCTCGCATGAGGTTTTTGGCTGTTTCACAGTGAGCAAATCGCCGAGGCAAACGGTATCATCCATAACAGGAAAGCCTACCAACGTGATTGCGCACACCTATTCGACTATTAGAAGGTGAGACCTAAGTGAGAGTTTCAAAACAGATCACGTACCGTCCCAAGGCTCCGGTACATCTGCAGCAGCCAAATCGTCAATTGAGAACTTGACATCCTTGCCCTTCTCAATACGAGATTCGGGTTCCGCCTTCATCAACCAGAAAGAGCGGCCAGTGTCAGGGTTACTGTTGACCGCAGGTTTCGACTCCGCAGTCTCAGCTTCTCCATTTGGCAAAGGGTTCTTGCGAGGTCTTCCACGACCATCTTTCTTCTTAATCTTTGGGGTAACCGGGGTTGTAGAATCTAAAAGCATAGCACCATAGTCAGAATAGAGCCTCGGCATCATATCAAAAGTGGTTCCATACCCGGTTCCTTGCGGGGACGTCCGCGGCCTCTCTTCGGTACTGATGGAGTTGCGACCTCAGGCTCCTGCTCTGAAACAATTTTCCGTGGGCGACCACGGCCACGCTTAGGGCCGTCAGGGACAGGCTTAGGAGTAGAATCAATGGGGTATTTGCGTGGACGGCCACGACCTCTTTTTTCGCTTGACTGGGGTATCACATCGGACTATTTCAAGGAGGTCAGCCATGTACATCCTACCAACGGTTGGAGTGGAGAAGCCACGGGACGCGTCGATCAGCCCCTGCATAATGCACTCACAACTGGAGCAGATGCAGCGAATGCAGCAGATGCTGGAGTTGCATCTACGGTGTTTTTGACCCTCTTAGAAGGGGTTGCGGTGGTATCATTTGCGCTCACGGCGCGTTCAGATTTGCGCTTAGGAGGCATAATCGTTTGACGCTGGGTGAACGATAGTTCAAAGTAGTAAGTATTTGCAGGTAAATTGAACTTTAGGTAAAATCTGTGCAATGAATGAAACCGCCCCTCTTGAACTGCTGAAAAAGAAACTCAATACGCAGTAAAATTATGTCAAGCACCAGAAGCTTTTGTTTGCACTGAGACTTGAGCTTGACGCGGCTGTGGGTCTGGGGGTGCACGTGATGGGTCGATCGTGATTGATCGGCACGGAAATCGTACCTGAACTTGAGATGACCTCGAGACATCTCACTTCTCTTTGCCCTCATTTACTCCAAGTGTTCCAAGGTTACTAGCTATGCTGCTTATGCTATTAGCTGATAGTGCCTGATGATCTGGAGACTTTGTACTCGAGACGAAGCTCCCTAAGGTTTAAGCTTCAATGGATACTTCTAGATCGAGCCTTCCACTTTTGCTGTGTAGTTGCCTCAGCTCCATCGTCCCTTCCTGAATGAGTGGTGACAAACATCGCGCCCCTTTCACTTCTAGTCATGTGCAGAGCATAAATATCTCCTTTCAGTTTTAACTTTTTCAACCTTCACCTTCTTCTCTTTCTTCTCTCCCCTCACCACACACATCCTCCACATCCTTCATTGGAAGTTTCTCCTCACATAATGGAACTTCCATATATATGAATCCAAATCCAAGGACTGAAGCACACCTACCAACCTTGTCAGAATGTCCAGAGATGACTTCGGAGTTCGGACACCATGTTGGTTCTGTCATGTCATGTGACCTTGTGGTTCTCCCTGCCATGGCATGGATCCTAAGAATGACCGTGCAGGTATTGTGGAGGTAGGCTAGGCAGTTAGAGAACAATTGTCCTCTGGATCAAGAAACACTTCTCCATGAACTATGTGCCGATGTTGAACCCTACCAGCAAGGAACATGATATTCCGTGCTTGCGCTGCACAATGACTTCGTAAGTTGTCAGGTCGAGGATAGAAGCCAAAGGAATCCATCGTTATGAAGATCTCATTGACAGTTGATATTGCATCAGCCACGCTAAACAGCCCACGTTCTAGGATTGGCCAATCAGATGCATTCTGCCTGGGCGGAGAGAGTATCACGCCATCGTATGGGGAAGGCGACGGAAGCGTCGATCAGATAACTAGCTAGAGGGGAAGCATCATTGAGGGGTCTCGTATTTGAACCCGTGCCCCTCCTCCATTTTTCATCTCTCTCTTTGATTCCTCATCTATTCATCCATCTTCATATACACAATGGCTGGTGAACGTGCTGCTCCGTAAGTCACTCAGCTCTTTAGAGCTCTTCCACTTTCCGTACTGACCATCGTCATAGTCTCCGCCTGGGCTCTGTTGCCCCCAACTTCAAGGCTCAGACCACTCAGGGTGAAATTGACTTCCACGAGTTCATTGGTGACAAGTGGACTGTCCTCTTTTCCCACCCTGCTGATTTCACTCCCGTATGTACGCAAGTTACCTCATTATCAAGGATCCTCGCTAACCTGGACTCGCATTAGGTCTGCACCACTGAGTTGGGCGCTTTTGCTCGCCTCCAGGGCGAGTTCGACAAGCGTGATGTTAAGATGATTGGACTGGTAAGGCCGCCGCCTCCTCGTTACTTCGAAGCCTAGCTGACCCGAATACTTCTCTATAGAGTGCCAACGACCTCAACTCCCACGATGACTGGATCAAGGACATCAACGAGGTCGGCTCGACCCAGGTCCAGTTCCCTATCATCGCCGACGCCGACCGCAAGGTCGCCTACCTTTTCGACATGATTGATCAGCAGGATCTTACCGTATGCGACCCAAGTTTCAACATAATGCGAGATGTACTAACATGTCACAGAACATCGACGAGAAGGGTCTTCCTCTGACCATCCGCTCCGTGTTCATCATCGACCCTGCCAAGAAGATCCGTCTGATCATGGCCTACCCCGCCTCCACTGGCCGCAACACCGCTGAGGTTCTGCGTGTTATCGACTCCCTGCAGACCGGTGACAAGCGCGGTGTCACCACCCCTATCAACTGGCTGGTATGTTTCTCCTACCTGTGAAGCCAAAAACCAAAATAACTTACTAACTAATGAACTAGCCCAACGATGATGTGATTGTCCCTCCCACCGTCAGCACCGAGGATGCCAAGAAGAAGTTCGGTGAGATCCGTGAAGTGAAGCCGTAAGTCTTGTCGTCCATCCACCACTACCATGGCAAAATACTGATATGTCACAGTTACCTTCGCTTCACCACCCTCAAGGAGTAGATTCTCTCATAAGATGACGCAACAATAATACGATGGATTCCGGGGTTATCTGGAAAGCCACTAAAGGATCTGAGAAGTCTACAGATCGACCTTATTCCCAAAACTAGCGAATTTGCCTTAAATTTCCTGGCCCAAATACCATGAATATTTTATGATCAGTCTTCCGTTGTAGTGGGTTTTCATCTGACCTGATCTCCTCTACATCCTTGCCCCGGAATGCAAGGATGTGGGGACGTACATTTACACCATCCAACGCCTCGAATAATGCGTCTCTTCCTAGGAATCCAGATGCCCCAAATATTCGAGGCATCATATCCCACGAGAGGTATCGATTCATGATCTACGGAGTAGAGTCTGGGAACGAGATTCAATTGAAGCCAGACCAAACTCACCAACCTGCTGTGGATATCCCATGGTACGTTCAATCCGTGTAGTAGTAGTTTTTTGACCCCCACATCTCGTAGCTGATACTACTGGGTGATCCTCGTTCGAATGTTATACATATCATCAGCAACTTTCCTCTCCTGAGGTTCTCCTAAAGGAAAATAATGTGATGATCTGATCTTCAAGGTTGTACAATATCGAGTGGAGGGGCCGTCCTGAAAGGAGAAAAGCGGTAAACGGTTTTTATGCCGATCTCCAACCTCAACGGCTGACACTTTCGACAAGAGTGTGCGCTCATCCAACATACAAATGGCCTCAGTCTGTTCGGTCTGAATTCCGTTCTTTTGTCCTCCCCACTACGAAAGTCTGGCACCAAATTGCGGCGTCGCGGGGAAGCACCCCTTTTCCGGCCCCCCACAAACGAGTCATTCTTACGATCGCCGAACGAACACGCGGCACGCCTGCAGTCAGCGCGGGGGAAAGGTTTCTGGGAATTACATATTCGACATCTGAAAAGCCCGCTGCAAGCGAGCTATATTGGTGGACTGAAATACGGGGTTACCGGTCGCCCACAGGCTGAACACTCACTCACTAATCGAGACCGTTGAAGGTGGATAATTTGCTCGTCATGATGTCGCGAAGCCAGTCGAGTCTGGGGTATTTGGACGCAGGGCGGGAGGATTCTGCGCCGGGGGCCTCTCCGTCTCTGAACCAGCAGTCTGCCTCTGGGCCCATCAACCTCTCAGGCCTAGTGTGCAACGTTCGACGAACCACCGGCAAAGAGCCGCATCCCCTCGTCGGTGCCACCACAACTATATTGGGGGATAAGCTATACGTATTCGGAGGCCGGATCCTCTCGCGCAGCCGCCCTCAGTTGACCTCGGACTTGTACGAACTCGATCTGATTCGACGACATTGGACGAAGATCGAGCCCGCTGGAGATGTTCCGCCGCCGCGGTACTTCCATAGTATGTGTGCTCTGGGGGATAACAAGTTGGTCTGCTATGGAGGCATGTCGCCCGCTCCGAGTACGCCGAACGACCCCGAGGACCCCGCGGAACCACAGGCGCAGTCGCAATCGGAAGTAGTGGTCATGTCAGACATTCACATATTCGATGTACCGTCGCGGACATGGACCCGTGTTGCTGCGCATGAATCTCCCCAGGGGCGATATGCACACTGTGCCACGATATTGCCGTCGAGTGCATGCTTTACCTCTGCAAGTGCACCTTTGTCCGCCATCCACCACAACCCCCAGTCGTCCGCCCATCAGGGGTCACTCGGGGTGGATATCGACGGGTTCGGAGGTGCAGAGATGGTAGTAGTTGGAGGCCAGGACAGCTCCAATCACTACATCGAACAGATTAGTGTTTTCAACCTGCGGAGTCTCAAATGGACTAACACTAGCCCCTTGGGAAGGAGCTGTGGCGCTTACCGCAGTGTCGTGGCCCCCCTAGTGGGAATGGACGTATCCGAAATCGGATCATCGGCTCCAGATCGCGAATTACACGACCCGATCCAGGGCAACACTGAGTCTCCAGGCTGCCCTATGCTCATTTATTCTAATTACAATTTCCTTGACGTCAAGCTGGAGCTGCAGGTGCGCTTGCCGGACGGGCGTCTTGTCGAACGACCGATGCAGAGCCAAGCTTCCCCTCCGGGACTGCGTTTCCCGAACGGTGGTATCATCAATGGCCACTTCGTTGTTAGTGGCACCTACTTGACTTCATCGAAGCAAGAATATGCACTGTGGGCTCTCGACCTGAAGACGTTGACTTGGGGCCGTATTGATGCTGGAGGATCCGTATTCGGGCAAGGTAGTTGGAACCGAGGAGTGCTTTGGCCTCGTCGCAATTCCTTCGTGATTCTTGGACATCGGAAGCGAAGTCTCGTCGATGATTATAACCATCGGCGAATCAACTTCTCGCATGTTTGTTTGGTCGAGCTGGAGGCATTTGGACTTTACAACAATCCCTGTCGCACTTCCCCAACCTCAGGGTACAAGTCGTACAGTTCTTCCTCTGTCCCAGCATCTCTGCAGAAGAAGCTGGTGCAGTTGACTTCAGGTGGACGGCCTTTATCTGCCGTATCCGATGAGCTTGGCAAGCTCGCACAATCCTTACCAGAGATGGCCGACATGGAATTGCAGGCCATGGGTGGAGAGCGCATATCTGTCAACTCCCGAATCTTGACTCGGCGATGGGGCCCTTACTTTATCCAACTCCTTCGTGAGTCTTCAGAAGGAGGTATTGCAGACACTGCAACCCTTCGTCCAGCCCAGATGCACCCGAGCCGCAACTCGAGTATTACCATCACCCCGTCGGTGGGCCAGAACAGTACCTATTCCGATGCGACAACTCTCGTCAATCAACCCGTACCTTCGAAATCCCTGCTCGAGAATCTCGAAACGCCGTCGGCCCACAGCCTCGCCCCCACCGCACGACCGCGTGTGCTATACCTCCCTCATACGATTTTGACTCTTCAAGTACTTGTGCAATACCTCTACACCTCAGCGCTCCCATCTCCCGGCAGCTCGCTATGCACACCACAAATCCTCTGCTCGCTTCTGCAGCTTGCACGCCCGTACCAGATCGACGGATTACTAGAAGCAACCGTCGAGAGACTCCATCAGGTCCTCGACGGGCGCAACGCGGCTGCTGTATTCAACGCAGCCGCTATGGCTGCAGGAGGTGGCCGTGGTACCGGATTCACTGGTGGACCAGGGGGTACCCTCGCAGCGCTTAACGGAGCTCATACCGACAACAACGGCACTGCCCCCACAATCGACGAGAACAGCAACTCGCAACACGATGCCTCAAACTCGTCCGATACAGAGCATGGCGGTACCTCTATGTCAGCTACCAGCAGCACGAGCGATCTCACCAATCTCGCTCGAGGCCTCCCATCCCTCCGCATCGACACAAACGTCTCACATCATTCCCGGCAGCACAGTGCCAACCGCGATCGTGGAGATTCCGTCAGCAACGCGAGCACCGCAACGTCCGCCTCCAGCGCCAGTTTCAACCAGTCCGACTCCGAATGGGTCAGCGGCGACGAAAGTCGCTCGCAATCTCGCGCTACCCGTGGCCGCCGTGGCACCGATTCTGAGCTGCGGCGCCCACAGCGTGAGCTCTGGACTGGAGATCTGAGCAGCGTTATCGGTCTTCAGAAGCGTGGCCTGCGTGGTCTCATGGAAGGCCGTCGTATGCGCGAGCGTAGCTCGAAGCCTGCTGGCACTGGAAGTGGCTCGATCTCCATGCCGCCTTCGGCTGGTTCGGGCGATCACGCAGTCTCTTCCCAGGGTGTTGCAGCCTGATTGATACAGTGAGCCGTGATTCGACTTACTGTGGCCCTAATATGATGTCTTTTTTCCCTCCGCTTGCTTGTTTCTGCTACTTCGATTTTGTAGATGATATCTTCTGGGTACCGTATTTGGATTATGTATATATCTTTTTCTTCTGTCTTTTCACCCCAGCGGGCTGGCAAGGTGGGGAGGATATAGGAGAGGGCTTCCAAGCTCGTGACCCGTGTATCTGGATTTGTGCCTTTGTTCTGTTTATGTTTTTTAGGCGGGTGGGTTGTTCTCGCCCATCTACAGCCATGGATATAGGTACTGAGACCTAAGGCGTTGGATCTTCATAATGCGTAATGCGTCCATGTAACGCGTGCAATGCGAGGCATCCGAGCTTAATCCTAGACCTACCGTATCCTCCTGAGAGACACCTATTGGATGCAAGTAGCGACGAGAGAATGAGATGAGACCGGCACTTTGGGGCTTCCTATTTACAGTTGTAAAAGTATTACCTTGAGATTGTATACATGCAACTTCGCTTCCAGAAAACAAGAAAAAAAGTGTGAAGGGATACCTAGAACTGAACTATTCATCCTTCTTCTTCGCCAGATCAGCAAGCCTCTTAGGACTCTTGCCACCATAAACTAAGTAGAAAACACTGTCAGCGCCATATACACCCAGACGCAAAAAGCAAAGGACCCCAAGATAGCCCAATGGGAAAGTAAGGAACTTACGCCTCTCATAAAGAATCCACGATGTGTACATCACAATCGGAAGTCCGACAATAGTCGCCGTCCATCTAGGAACACATTAGCTTTCTTGATACCAAGCCAAAGCAGACGCAACCACTTGTGAGTCAGGAAAAGTCAAACACTTACCTCCGCGCAGCAGCCTTATACTCCTTCGTCTTCCGAATATCATCAACCCCCTTGGGCAACGGAGCAGCGGGCTGGACCGGGCGCGTAGGACGGGTGTTGGGGTCCACGGACCGGTATTTGTGTTGGTCTTTTAGTGGCATTTCTTGTTGTGATGGAGAAAGGCCAAAGGGCTTTGCTGGGGCTTTGGCGTGGTTCTGGTTGTTGGTGGGTTGGGAAATCTTGGTTGGTTTCCGAGATGTTGGTGCCTGAGGCTGAAATATCAGGTTTCAATCAGTGGATGGAAGGAATAAGGATGGGAAAGGGAATTATCAAGATTTGACGTATCATTCACGACTTCACGTTCGATTTATTCCTGGTAGACTTGATATCGCAGTCTGTCTGGGTGATTTCTGTCTCTACACTGGCTTGTATCTTGTTGTCATGGACTTTCAAGTTTCAAATATGGTTATATTCCCTCCTTTGTTAACTATCTCTCTTGGTCTTGTTATTTGTTAATTCAACAAATTGACTGCAGTGATTGACAACACTAGTGGTAGTAAGCTCCCCGATCGAGTTTCAGGGGAGTCTCATCCGGCCACAATTTACGAATGGCAGCAATTGCAGCCGAAACCTGCGAGTACGAGCCGTCCTTGATAAGTTCAACTATAAGCTGATGCCATTGTAGCAGGTGGATCTGTTCCGTTATCCACGATCTGCACCCAACGCCATTTGAGTCAAACTCATATTTATGACTTCCATGGGTGATCAGCAGAGAGTAAACATCTTTGACCGTCAAACCAGGAGCCACAGGGAGAGGGAACTGTGCTAGAGCGTCCGTGGCCACGGTACATGACAGCTCAGAGATGATAAGAATCGCTTTGGAGCCTCCGGGGAGAATGGTGCTTGGGATCGTGTAACTCGGCTGGCAATCGATTGCGACTGAGCTTTGGTCGGATGTCAGGAGGTAGAAACACCAGTGGTTTGTGCCTGCGTTTTGGCTGTGCGGCGCGGCAATTATGGATCGCACTGGTAACTCCAAGATCTGCGTCTGACGGTCCTTTGGTATGAAATGGATAAATTGGGAGTTTGCCATTTCTTCGGACTGTGCGTCGGATGGTCCTGGTACGTGTTAAAACTTATTGAATGCATATCAATAGTCACCATATGAGCGCATACCTAGTGATGTAGCAGGTGGAATGGGAAGTTCTGGGTAGGGAGAGGTGAGAACGATTTGTTTCGCCTAAGTCGGTCAAAGGAAGGGCTGGAGCAGGGAGTGGGTGCGCTTAAATAGTATCCCAAGCCGCCTAAGCGCCTTGCTAGCCGTCATCGTGATGGACTGTTTCAGGACTCGTCATGTGCATGCTCAAGGAATGTCCAAAGATGAATTATTGTAATTAGGCGTTGGAAGCTGCAGTCACCGACTCAGTGCATAGAGGAGCCTATCAACAACGATAGAGACCAACACTTCCATTATTGAAGAGTGGCAAGGTTGCCAAAGACGGGGTTTCTAAGCAACCCCCCAAGAAGACTGGAAGCTCGAAAGAGTCTCCAACTTCACCACGCAGAAGAAAGCCATGCTGATCGGTCATAATATCGATGTGAAGGCCGACGGCCTGAGAAATGTAATTTAATAGGAAACTCTGGGGCACCAGAGTTTTCCTCATTCTGTCGACAGAAGAAGTCACTGCGCACACTCTCCCAGAACCCAGGAAAATGTAATTCAACGGGGAGGCTCTGGGGCATTGGCGGCCATTCGATATAGCCTCAGGCCGGCGGCCTTCACATCGATACCATGACCCATCAGCATGGCTTTCTCCTGCGTGGTAAAGTTGGAGACTCTTTCGAGCTTGAGATGGAAGATGGGAAGTTGAAGGAGAAAAAAAAAAAGAGGGAAAGTTGGGGAGGGAGATTATATAGATTGGTGGTTTCCTGTTCAGGAAGGCACGTACTTACACCAGTGGGAAGGGACAACCCACCCATCATATGATCTCCTCAATGGAAATTCACCCACGTACTTAACTATGACTTGTATTCTTCAAGCCTCTGAGAGAATATTCACAGTGCCATGTACTACTATGTACTATGATCAGTGTTGAATATTTCATATTTTCATTATCCTTGCTAATTCCAGCACAGAAACATAAGAATAAAACTGTATGTATGCCATCGAGGGTCCCACGGCAACACTTGCTTTTACAAGCGGGGGGACGGCACATCTAAGACATAAGATAGCGCGGGGGGGTGGGAAGAGGAATAGGGACTGAACGGCTGCCATCCTGTCTGACATCGAAGGGGTCCCACGGCAACACTTGCTTCGACAAGCTAGACAAGCGGGGGGACAACACTTCCACAACGGCGGGACAGAACGGGGGCCAACAGGGCCAGAGACTCCTCACAAGACCTAATGTTTGGAGGCCTTGGAGGTCTTGGAGGTCTTCGTGACCTTGGAGACCTTTGAGTCCTTGGAGACCTTTGAGTCCTTGGAGACCTTTGAGTCCTTGGAGACCTTGGAGTCCTTCGAAACCTTGGAGTCCTTCGAGACCTTGGAGTCCTTCGAGACCTTGGAGTCCTTCGAGGCCTTGGAGTCCTTCGAGACCTTGGAGTCCTTCGAGACCTTGGAGTCCTTAGCCTGGCCTTCTGGCTTGAGAGTCAGCTTCAACCGCTGCTGCACCTTGGCCTCCTTGGGCTTGGTGGCAGCAGCGGGAGGGACGTCGGCAGCGGAACCAGAAGACTTGGCCTGAGTCTCGGTGGCAGGAGGGGCGGAAGGACCGGTAAGAGAGAGTTTGAGGGAAGCGGCCTTACGGCGCTGTGACTTGCGTCCACCAGCCTCAGGGGCAGGGGCAGCAGCAGCAGCAGGCTCGGGAGCGGCAACAGTGGCAGGGGCGGTGGTAGCAGCAGGCTCGGGAGCGGCACCTGTGGCAGGGGTGGTGGTAGCAGCAGGCTCGGGAGCGGCACCTGTGGCAGCAGCAACAGTGGCAGCGGCGACGGCAGCATCCTTGGCGGGAGATGTGACGGTGGTCGGACGGGTCTTTCGGGAACGGGTCTTCTTGGTAATTTTTGAAGGGGCATGTGGACGCATTCGCGACAGGGCGATGGCCTTCTCCTTTGCCACGTCCTCAATGACGAACGGGGCTCGACCGGTTGGGACATTACGGTCTCCCATGAGCGGGGGAAACCCGTAGGTATGGGCAGCCTCTGCCTGCTGGCTGCTTCGGGCGTACACGGGGGGAAGGGAAGGTTCTCGCTGCCGTAGGTGTGGGGTGGGCAATAAGGGTGGTATTGCTCAGGGGCGAGGATCACCTCCTCGTCGTCGCAGTTGACATACCCTGTGTCGACCCAGCCATCGCCGAGCATCTTTGGCTCGGATTCTTTGTAGAATATCGTCTTCAGTGAGGGGTAGGTGGTTGGACGGAAGGTGTGGGGGCCGGATGGAGTTGGTAGAATAGGGGGAGGGGACAGCACGAAAGATGACGCCCCAGATTTGGTAACGTCGCGAGAAGAAGAAGAGGAAACGAAGGGGTCTGGCAGAGGCATAGAAGAAGAGGAAAAGGTAGTAGTTGAAGGTTCTTGCTCGACCATGCTGGTGTCGTCGGCGACATCGTCGGCGAAATCATCGACTGTCATGTCATTTCCGGCGAGCGTATCCGCACCAGAGTTTTGCTGATTCTGTGCACGGAAGAAGTCACCCCGCACACTCTCCCAGAACCCAGGGAAATTTAATTGGATGGGAAAGTCGGGGGCATCCGCGGCCATTCGATATAGCCTCAGGCCGGCGGCCTTCACATCGATGCCATGACCGATGAGCATGGCCTTCTTCTGCGTATTGAAGTTGGAGACTCTTTTCGAGCTTCCAGTCTTCTTGGTGGGTTTCTTAGAAACTCCATCTTTGGCAACCTTGCCACTCTTCACAGCCTTCTTGGCCACAGGGTCAGCGACGGTGCGTCCCGCTTGATTCTCTCTGCGAGCTTCAATGGCCTTCATGCTCGCATCACGGATACGGGTTGACTGCCGCATTTCGGTGGCGCTGGTGGAGGGCGATTGGCTGATGTGAACTGTGGAAAGGCGAGATGGACGAGACTGGAAGGTTCGTCGACGCGAAGACGGTGTTTCCGGAGAATTAACACGTGAATTAGAAGTTGAGGTAGCCGAAGGAGGAGTTGGAGTAACAGAAGTAGAAAGTTTTGGGGTGTAGAAACGAATGTTGATAGAACTGTCAGAGGAGGAGGGAGATGAAAGGTTGGAAGTTTTGGTGGGCTGCACGCTCTCATTTGAACTTTTTGAAGGGACCCGTGGGGATCGCCTAGAAGGTGCCAATGTTGTCTTGTCAATGCGTGCAGGCATCGACTTACGCTGGCCCTTCGGAGGCATTGTGAATTAGAGCTAAATGACCCGAATTGTCAGCCACCCTATTCAATGATTATTCAGGTGAATACAATAGCCATCAATAAGAGCAATTGGGCAATACAAATAATAGACTAATTATTGTCCCCATCAATGCAGCTATTGTGGCAATATATGGGGTTGTTCTCAGCAGGGCAAGCCGACGTCAGAAGACCGCAGTGCGCGGAAGGGAGAAGTTCGGGTTTAGGGCAGACGTAAAGGTGTAGAACTCACGGTTTGAGGGATGTACCCTTCCACTCTTATGTCTAAATAGTTTATAGACTGCCTTTTGTGACCTAGGCGGAGGCCAGAGGCGTATTTGTGGCGGAGAAGGCGAAGTCAAGTGATGGAGGATGCCCCGGTGCTGGCGATCGAGCAGAAAAGAAATTAGGGCTACGCTGATCGGCGCTTATCGGCAGCAGCTGTCCGCCTTATTCTGCACCTTCTTCATCCTCCACCTACCCAGCTCAATAGCTGTTTATTGTCCGTTGCTTCTTTTGATTACTTTTTCTGATTTTACAATGCATCTGTGGCAGGCCACTGTTCCTTTCTGCCTTCTGGCCGCGGCTTCCTTGCCTGGCGCCACAGCCACAGCTTGGGGCTTTACTGATGCCACCGTGGCCGTTCAACCTAAGGGTGCTGGTGTGAATGGAGGGTTCAAGGAACAGTATGTACTAGGAACTGGACAGAAGTACATGATACTAATTTTTAAACTCGGAATAGATTCGTTGCATCTAAGCCGCTCTCCCGTCCAGTCTCCCTTGCCGGCGCCGATACCCTACGCGTCACCTTGACAGCTCAGGAAGGAAGCTCCGCAAAGCGGCCAGATCAGGCTTTCCTCCTGCTGAAGGATGCCCAGACTGGATTGGATATTTCTTACCCTTTCAACGCCAAAGAAAATGGCAAATCAAGAGTCGAATTGGTATGCTACCTTCAAAACAACTCCCCGCAGCACAGCTAACACAGCCATCTAGACTCAGAAAGACCTCCCAATTCAATTCCTCTCCTTGTCCGACCCCGTTGATGCGCGTATCATTATTGGTGGATTTGGTGGCTCTGCTGCATACGACAGTTCTGCCTTCCAATTGTCGATTGACCGTAACCCCAACGAGCCCGTGCCAACCGTCGAGACTCAGCGATACGGCAAGAAGCCCGAGATCCACCACATTTTCAAGGAGTCTGCGTCTAACCCGCCGTTTATCATTACTCTGGCATTTGTTGCCATGGTTGGCGCTGCTATTCCCGCCCTTGCTGGCTTGGTAAGTCGATCAGATCACATCACTGCGCCAAATGTCGCTAATCGGTTCCTCTTAGTGGTTCTTCCTCGGTGCCAACATTAACCACCTACCCTCCGCCCTTAAATCTGCCCCTCTTCCTCACGCCGTCTTCCTCGGATCGTTGGTTGCGTTTGAGGGAATATTCTTCCTCTACTATACTTGTTGGAACCTGTTCCAGGTCCTCCCGGCGGTGGCAGTTGTCGGCGTGGTCGCGTTCATCAGTGGCAGTCGTGCTCTAGGTGAAGTGCAGGGCCGACGCCTTGCTGGCCTCCGGTAAACTTCTGAAATGTTGATGAAATTCCTCTGTTGTGGTCTTAGTCTCCTCTTGTGGTGCTCCCAAACTACGATGAGATATGATACCACGATAGTGTTGTATCTTAGCTCTTTGATACCTTGCATCTTTTCCCTTGTGCGAAATATAGACCCTCAAACTCAGAATTTATGGGTCTCACTGGCTCTGTCTCCAAATGGCTTGTCCTACATAGGGGTTCCCGTTTTGAGCTCCCCAGAAAAGGACCGTGAACCCCGGCGGTCCAGGAAACATCAGTCGTAAACTGCGTATGTCGACTAGAAGTTTAGAACACATTTTCAATCAAATTTCTATTCACCGGGCTACTTGTTGATAAGTATGTTTTGACGTCACAATAGTAATGGTGTCAGCGGATCAAATGCCAAGGCGACCTCAGGACCTCCGCGATTTTCCCCGAGCTCCGCCGCAAAAAGCTTCACCTCCCACCACAATCCCACTTCCACAACCTACAATCCTCAATGGGTTCCGCTGCTTCGAAGCCAGCTAAGTCAGCGGCTGGCGCAGCCGCACGGCGCCAATATCCCAAACAACCAGCTCCTCCACCGCGGGGTCCGCGCAAAGCTCCGCAAGACACCACAGCAGCGCCTACATCTGGGCCTACTCCGCCCCCCAAGTCGGAAGCCAGCTATTCACCTCCAGCACCAGCACCTTCCTCTCAAGGTCCGACATACCATTCAAAAGAGAAGGCCTCCGGCGTGAAATCTGATGGTGCGTATACCCCGCCGCCAACATCCGAACAAGCGAACATGATTTCGTCAAGCATCAAGCAATACTGACAAAGGCCTACAGCAATTGACATGGATGGCCGAGACCCTGACTTTGCCGCCTCGCTCCGCTCCATCGGCCCTGTAACTCCTTCTCCCACACTCTCAAACTCAAGCACCTTCAACCGTCCCGGCTCCATGCAAACCGTCTTCCCGCAAGCTTCCAACCCGGCATTGCTAGCTGTCACCTCTCGCCAACGTCTGACCGAGGCTGCGGAGAGGGAGGCGGAGGATTTTGGTCGGGCGGGCCACCCGGGCAGATCGTTCCTGGATGCATTGACTATTCAGCAGGTGTTGACCATGCGGGATAGGCAGGGTATGCGTCCGGGGGATATTGAGCGGTTCCTTGGGTTGAAGAAGGGGGTTCTAGCGCGGCTGGGGAAAGACGAGATTGTGTCGCGCATAGGTTGATTCTCGTTCTTCAGGTTTGAGGGTTTTGTGCAGCGCTTGGTTTACTGTGTCTGGTGTACTTGGGTGTTTTGGATCATTGGTTGGCGTTCACTCCATTCGTTTATTCAATCAGTTGTATAGTAGTTTCAATCATCCCTACTCATAATACCAGACTTCTTGGCGAGGCAAACTGCTCCGTTTTATTCCAACGAAATCCGACTCGAGATAGTCCGTCCAAGGTTCACTATGACGCTTTGTCTTGTGTAGCTGCAGATGACTCAAAGCAATGACGCTTTTCATTCAGGATTGACACGCCTCAAGGGCCGTTGTGGATAGAACCCGAACATTGGCCAATGTAGCTCCAAGAGTTAATGCCATTGCGCCCTGTGAGAATCCACTCGGAAGCATATCTGATCCGATTCGCGATGATATTACGGCGCCGACTGCCAATCACACAGCACAGATACGAAATGACAAGAACTACATCTACGGAGTAACATTAGTCTACGATCTAAACTGCCCCATCGAGCAGATAATAAGACACCCCGCACCCCGCATCCATTTGAATCTTCCTTGTCCTACCAATTAACCATTACTACATATCGACCACCTCTCACCATGTATCTCCGCGCCGTGCACGCCGAGGGCCAAATCCCCATCCTCCACCAATTCCTCCGCGACAACCCCCTCGGCATCCTGACAACAGCAATTAAATCACCCAGCTACCCTTTCATCCAATCCAGCCACATCCCCTTTGTCCTCGACGTACCCCCATCCAGCGATGAAACCCCCGGCACACTCCGCGGCCACATCGCAAAACAGAACCCACAAGCCAAAGCGCTGATGGAAGCGCTTGCCGAGCAGCAAGCCGCTGGAAACCCCAAGCTCGAGCTCAACGACGAAGTGCTGATCCTCTTCAACGGGCCGCACCACCACTACGTCACGCCCAAGTTCTACACGGAAACCAAGCCGGTCTCTGGCAAGGTTGTCCCGACGTGGAATTACTCGGCCGTGCAGGCGTACGGCAAGATCAGCGTGTACTGTAACAGCAAGGCGGAAGAGACGGGGGCGTTCTTGCAGACACAGATTGAGGATTTGTCGCGGCAGTCGGAGACGGGGATTATGGGGTATACTGGAGGCGAGAAGAAGAGTGCTTGGAATGTGGGGGAGGCGCCGGTTAGTTATGTGGAGTTGTTGAAGAAGAATATTATTGGGATTGAGGTGAGGATTGAGCGGTTGCAGGGGAAGTTTAAGATGAGTCAGGAGATGGGGGAGGGGGATCGAGAGGGGGTTGTGAGAGGCTTTGAAGAGTTGGGATCGGATGTTGGGAAGGGGATTGCTGAGACTGTTAGGGAGAGTGGGCAGAAGGCTCGTTGATGCTTGATTTGTGTTGTGATACCCTGTGATTATGAAGGATGAGTACCTACCTAGTATAAGACTGATACTGGAACCCTTTCACCTTAGATGACCTCAAAGAGAACAATAGCGATAGGATTAACTAACTAGCTAAAAGTAAACTAACTTAGTTAACTAGTTAGTTAATCTGCCGGGATAAGGGTAGAGTCCTAGCTATAAGCGAAAACAATATGAGGGATCTGTCACGTGTGACAGGTTTGCTTTCTATTATTACTTTTGTTGTTTGCTTCTCAAGGTGCATTGAACTAGACGGAGGGATGAGAACACATGACGTGAGGATCTATGTCAAGGCCCCATCTCTCACTTCCCTTCTTCCTTCTTCTCCTTCCCTCTCTGTCTTCAATATTCTAGTTCAAATGCACTCTTCTATCTTTGAGGAATTGGCATCATCGTAACAGGATCAAGCAGACGAGAGCTAAGAGCTCTATCAAACCTATCAAAGCTGTAGCTCGCTTCACGGCGCAGTGCTTGCTCCTTCCTAGGAATGCTTCGCTTCTAGGTTCCCTTAGCTGTCGTTTGTTCGTCACATGTGATCATGTGATGGGAATAGAGAAGGAAGGAGGGTGAGGACAAGGTGTTGAGCGCATAATTAGCAGCATCTATGTAATTAGGCGTCCCGAGCTAAATCGGGTTATTGAGAACATCATCAAGGTGCATCACACCCACAGAGTAGATAGTCCACTTCCTTCTTCCTTCTCCTTCTCTTCCCCAGTCCACTAATACTATCATCTGTTGCTAGTGCCAATCTCATCTGCTTCACACAGTAGTTCATCAAGATCTTGATTCACTAGCCTCTCTAGAACCGGGCTTCGGCACATGCGAATGATTCAGACTCGTCAGCTGGGGGCCGTTTGCACTAAGAATAGACCTCGGAATCTGTGCATGAAAATCTCCATGGGACCGACAAGCGGGAATATTCGCGTCAATTGATGACTGCCAACTGTAATAAAACCACAGAACTGCATCGGTATCTACATGCTTGACGTACTGCGTACAGAAGTCACCAAACTCCCCAGAAGTAATCTGCTTCTATCGCCAAGAAAACTTGAAAATTTGCTTCCCTCGACCCCTTAACCTTTTCTTGTTACTTCTAGGCAAAGTCTTATGCAGAGAGCATTGAGACTGACTGGTTAGTTTTGTTTTATCACGAAAGGGCCAAATACTGTACGACATATGTATTGCACGAGAGACAAAGTGGAATTACTTTACCCACATATGAGTATGAGATCAACACTTCGCCACAAGGCTTAGATCTCAACAGATTCACAAGCCCCATAAGCGACGGGACCTCCGACGATCAAGAAGATCATGGTGCCCATGAACACGGCCCTATCCCAGGGCTGAAGGTTAGTACTGTCCTCATCAGTGGCAAGCAAATCTATCTCATGAACCTGATACACAGTAAAAAGGGGGAGCCTCAACGTCACCCATGGTGTCCATGGGTGAGAGTGGATTTTGTAAGCGGGGGCAAGAGTCGGAGACAGGTCACCCTCCGAGATCTTTTCAGGGTCGTATCGGCCTCTAAACTGAACGTGCCTTCTTCCCCGGATTTTCCAAGTGGAAAGGAATAACTTTCACACGAGGTTGCGTGCCGTGTTCCCCTTTTTCGCAGTTGGGCGGACAAGGGGCTCTGTTAGGAAGGGAGTTCCCACGGATGAGGCAATGAGACCCAGTTTTGTCTCAGCTGGGAGGGCGAGGCGGGACGAATCATCGTGAGTGTTGGTGTCTGGAAAAGCCTCCAAGTTCCATCGCTGGACATAGCGTGATGCAGGGTCCACTTGGTTCCCCCGCTTGGCTGGACATAATTGTACAGTTGTACGCAGTACTGGCTGTTGGTTCGTACAGAATACGTACAATGTACAGCCTTCGGTCTTTTATGAATCCTTCTGGCTGACTCTTGAAATAACAGTCTAACCTTAAAAGGGGTTCCACGGTTGAGGTAGGCACAAGAGTATAGAAAAGTTTACATAGTATTAGCATTAGAATGAATAAAAGATGGACCAGATGGAGATCAAGTAAAAATAAAAGTGGTTCTCACATCGAGAACTGTGTCAAGGGGACCCACGTAAATTAAATAAAAAAGACGAGAAAAAAAAAAGCAATCGAAACAAGCATTTTGGGGTTCATTTGGAGCCTCTTTTAAGTTGCACAATTCCCCCAATCGCTAATTCGGTCTCGTTCAGTCCCCTTGGTATTTCTCAAATACGAAAAAACAATCTAAGAATAGTCTTTTTAAGACCTTACTCCTTCCTCTCTTCTCCCCTGATTCTTTCCCTCTGACTCTTTTCGTCTTTCGTCTCAGCCCCGTCTCTCTCTCGTTTATTCTTTTTCGACTGGCTGTTGACTTTCATTCCACCCCTTCGTTCATATCGCCTAATTTCGCATCTCCCCATACCATGAAATGATTCCAACATGTCTATCTTCGCCTACTTACCACCGCTGCCGCCGTTCCTTTTCTCGGCCCTCGTCGTGAGCGGTCTCGCCTCCAAGGCTTTACACATTGCTTTGCATTTTCACTCATTACCATTCCTCCTCCTCGTTCTCTACTCGCCAACCCTGATTCTACCCGATGTACTGGTCATTATAGCCGTGCGGGTGTTGTTGCGTTTCCCTGCGCCGGAAAATAAATGGCAATGGCTCTCGACTGTGGTGGGTGGGGCACTATCGTATGTTTCCCCCGAATGTCCTCGGTCGAAGACAAAGGAAATGAGTTTGTGGAACCATTACTAACGTCAGAATCAGCCTGATCACATGGGGTGCCTCGTCCATCCAGTTCGGGTTCTTCATGCAGACCGGTGCCGAGGTCGCCTGGGCAGCTGGCGGTAGCTTCCTAAGCGACCCAGCAGCGATGAAAATCCTCCTCAGCGGTATCTCGACAGTGACCGCTGCGGCCACTGTCCTCGGATTGGTATCGTGGTTGCTTCATTCGCATTTGTACAACCTTATCGGACTTGGGTTGCAGGCAATCCGAGACCTGTGCATGGGAGGATACAACGCCCGTTATACATTGATCGCCGCCCCCAGCAAGTCGTGCATGGCCTTTACCGACCTCCGATCCCTCCGTCGCATTATTCCCGCAGTCATAATCAGTGTCTCACTGCTTTTCTTGGAACTCAGTCGACCCGCCATACCGTATGACCATTTATCCGGAGCTCTCCCGCTGACGCTACTCGAGGCTTTCCACCGAAAGTCGCCTACAGTGGAAGGATGTCGTGAGCCTGCGGTGCCGTTCCCCTTGATGGTCACGGATCTTAATGGCGAAACCCGTCCTCAGTTCGAACCGGACTCGTCCTTTGTGGAACAATGGTCACGAGCTAGCTGGCTCCCCGAGAACCCGCCCCCGGGTTTCACCCGCTGGCATCTCAGCCCCAACGAGCGTGCGGAGAAAGACAACCAATTTGCTTTTGTTTGCGGTGGTGATGAGGGTGGATTCTACAACCCGAAGAATGATCCGCTCATGATTTCGAATTTGGGCGGTGACATCTACGAACCGCTGAAAAAAGCCTTTGATGAGCACTCCGTTCAGGTCAACCATGTAATTTTATTAACACTTGAAAGTGGTCGCAAAGAGCTTTTCCCCATGCAACAGGGCACTCCTATGTTTGAAGGTCTCCTCGCCTCCCACAAGAAGCAAAATGTCAAGGAGGCAATCGATCGTCTGGTGACAATGACCCCGGTCGCTCAGCAGCTCACCGGCGAGTTTGCAACCGACAGCAACGGAACCAAGGTCGACCTGAGCCACTCTCCGTGGAGAACACCGCCACAAGAAGGAATGGGAGGACTCAATGTGCGTGGCGCTTTGACGGGTAGCTCCTTGACCTTCAAGAGTATCTTGGGAAGCCACTGTGGTGTCAACCCTTTGCCAGTGGATCTTCTGGAGGAGTCCGGACTTCAAATCTACCAGCCATGCTTGCCCCAGATCTTCGATCTGTTCAATGAAGGCAAGTCGCAATCGCCGCAGCGCCGCCAAAACGATTCTCAGACCCAGTCCGAAGCGCTCAGTCATCCTTGGAAGTCCGTCTTCATGCAGTCGATTACCGACAACTATGATCGCCAAGACATCCTTAACCAAAACATGGGCTTCAAGCATAAGGTTGTCAAGAGTGACCTCGAATCCCCCGACGCGAAACATAAGGTACAAGGCAAGGAGATCAACTACTTCGGATACGCTGAAAATGAGCTTGCGCCGTACGTCTTGGACCTCTTCGAGGAGGTTGCAAACAACAAGACACGCATGTTCCTTTCCCACGTCACCAGCACGACTCACCACCCCTGGGGCACACCAGATGACTTTAAGAAAGAACCATACATGAGCGACCAAGGAAACATCAACCACGACCTGATGAACAACTACCTGAACGCCGCACGATTTGTCGATATCTGGCTTGGTGACATCATGAACATGCTTGACAAGACAGGCATTGCAAACGAGACTCTTGTCGTTGTCGTCGGAGACCACGGTCAAGCATTCGGCGAAGACAACAAGGAGATGACGGGCACGTACGAAAACGGCCATATCAGCAACTTCCGCGTGCCTTTGGTCTTCCACCACCCGCAGATGCCTCGAGTGGACATAACTGCCAACGCCACCTCCCTCGCCATCATCCCCACCATCCTCGATCTCCTCGTCGAGTCCCACTCGCTCGACGAACGTGACTCCGAGATCGCCTCCGCTCTTCTTCCCGAGTACCAAGGCCAGTCGCTCTTGCGACCATTCCTCTCCTCCGTCCAGGAACCGCTTCAGCGCCGTGATCAACCCCAGCCCGAAGCGCACAAGGGCGCGGACCAGGTTGAATCTCGGTCTCAACCAGATGGCTTTTCGAAGCGACTTGCCTGGAACATGGGACTGATCAACGCCGGTGGCTCGATGCTCTCGGTCACCTCCGCCGACATTCCCTACCGCCTCATCCTCCCTCTGAAGGATGACTTCGAGTATACCTTCACCCACCTCGGCGAGGACCCCGGAGAGAAACACCTCACGAAGGCATGGACTCTGGAAAGTTTGATCGAGGCAGTCGAACCCAAGTATGGCGAAGAGTCCATTGCTTGGCTCAAGGATGCCGAACAAGTCGGCAAGTGGTGGGTGAGCGAACAGAAGCGCATCTGGGGTTACCGGGAAGCCTAGTCATATCCCGGCTTTCCACCAACACTAAAGACGAATACCAACTCCTGCCCAGACTATGGTACTCTTCCTCGTTTATATTGCATCACATTCCCCTCCTTCTTTCCTTTGGCCCTTTGCCCTTTCTTACATCTCATGATATCTACCACATTTGCCTTTGAATCGGCGTTTACTCGGAGTCATCTGTTCTTCATTTATTTACGCCCTGTATGGTCTTCAACCTCGATTCTCCGAGACAATTTCCTGCGGCTGAACGGCCTTTTGTTTCCTCATGTTTCCCACGTGAATCTGCATCGAGCGTGATTGCCATGTTTTTATTCCGACTCCTTTCTTCTGCCCTTGAGATTCCCCTCCATTTTGGCTACTGTACTTGTATGGAATTGGAAAGAACAAATCATTGTACATAGCTCCGGAAAGCCACTTTCGGTATTCTGGTGACTGTCTTGTTCGTGGGCTATTCTGCGTTGGATGGCTGATTGGCCGGGTATTCTATCTAAGTCAATCTAATCCCTTCCATTTGCCTGAGAGAGTTCTGACTGCATTGTATGCAGTGCAGTATCCGTCTTCGACCCTGAGCCACAATGTTTTCCGGACTTTAGCAGTGAGATACGAGGATCAAGCATGACACAATGGTACCTAGGGGTCAACTTCCCTGTTTACTTGAATATCCGTCGTACTATCGTACAGATAAACAGTGAGGCTAATATCGAGCCCATGGATGCATTCGCCTCCTAGCTGGCCCTAATCTCCGAGTGGTAATGAAGTTCCCTATTCTGGACGAATACTGGTTCATTTCTAGCAGTTAACTACATCGAAGATAATAGTCTATAGCAAGAGTCAAGACACAAGAAAGCAAGATGTAATGAGGATCAATCGAACATGTCCACAAACAAATTTGCCGAAGCGCATGGCGCACTCCAACTCCAACATGTGTATTTTGCCCAGTCAGGTTCCACAGAGGCCCAGAACCCCATGCTCCACGCCAATGTGAGATACCTAATTCTTGACGAAGAGTCGTATCTTGGCTACGCAGCTCTTCACCGATATCATTGACCCCATGCATATCCACGAACAGTCAGTTCGTGAGGATTGCGGCCCATTCGAAGCGGGATGGGCAAAGGCGCACGACAGGGTCAATAGAAGAGCCGGACCTGATAGAAGAACCGGCCAGGCCAGATTCTAATTAGGATTCAAAGAAAGTACATGCACAGACCGTGTTCATAGATCTTGGGTTTGCTTTTTTAGTCCGTAGGAATCTCCACCCTCCCCACAACCCCTGGGCCCAACCCTGGGGGTCTGGACCCTTGGGTAGATAAAGAGTCATGGTCGGAGATGCTCCGGAGGTAGTGACCCCGATACCGGGAGAGGTCGAATCTAGGGGAAATAAAATAAGAATTGGGGAGATGTAGATCATGTGTTCACGAGACTGAAGAAAAAGTGGGGAGTGGCCGGAAGCTCCTCATTGAGTAAGGAGCTTGGAAGGTTGGGAAAATGGAAGACTCTGATGGTCACGAGTTGCTATAAAAAAGAAATTCCGATTAAAGGTAGTCAAATAAGCTATTTCGAAGGTTCTGGACTGGAATCGATTTTCCCCGGGGGGCCCCGCATTTCGTATGAAGAGTCGAGGTAATAACTACCTTATCTGAGATCTAGTTGCGATGAAACAAGGTTTGTTTCTTCATAAATAATAGATGGTGATATAGTATTCGATCTAAGATCTGAGTATAAAAAGAACAGTTCATGAATTGGCCAATGAATCCTCATCGCTTCGGCGATCGGACAGGAACAGAACTAGGACTTTAATCTGCGATCAGCTGACTCCGGATACCGTTGAGGCTGACATTCTCTAAGAGACCGTACACGTACACGTTTCCAAGGGGGAGATTGGAAAAGTCCAGAGGTCACCTGGAGCATCGAGTGGCGTTTGAAAGTTCCCCGGCTTTCCAGACCCCCGGGATTCCCAAATAAGAAATCCGAACCCTTAAATCATGTTCTGGGGATAGACCATCCCTGATTTTCAAGGCTTGCCAACTTCTCTGAATATGACTGTTGGTTCATGAGGCAAATCTAAACAAGCCGTACAGGGATCGCATCAAGAGAAATCCAGTCTGTTGAATCTCATTCCTTGTTGCTGTCAATTCATAGCATAGCCAAGTCTCGTAACTTGTATGTGTAGGTCGTCATTCTATAATTTTCCATTTAGCCAGATTAGAGAGGGTTGCGTATGCATTGCCACGGCCGTTTGGCTTGCATTCTAAGAGGTCTGGACCAAAAATATCCCGGTCCAGGTCTGGATTTCCTCTTTGGGCGGTCCTTGGGTAGTTTTCTTCTGCTCACGAGGACACATCGTGAACCTAGCGCCGTGGATGGCTCGGCTTGACATGCCGGATGCCACAAAAGATATAAAAACAGTGTCCATTCTCCAGTTCCTGGCTCCTCATCAATTGATTCATCCATCGTCCTTCTTGATCTTTGAAGTCCATCTTATACCATCTATTAATATCCTATATCGCCCTTCCTATCACTACTCTCATCTAATACTTTAATACCTTACATCACGATGTCAGTCGCCATCGAAACCGAAGTTCCCACCGCTCCTATGACCGCCCAACCCGTCGTGCTGGGCCACAAGGCTAGAATCCCCGAGTTCAGTCTCGCCGGCAAGGTGGTACTGGTCTCAGGCGCCGCCCGCGGTCTCGGATTGACCCAAGCAGAGGCACTTCTGGAAGCCGGCGCAAAGGTGTACGCACTCGACCGTCTAGAGGAGCCGGTATGTTCAAACTCCCCTCGAATCTAGTTCACACTCTCCATCCAATCTATCACGTTCACTTCGAACAAAAGCTAACAAGTCAATTTCTGGTCACCAGGCCCCGGAGTTTGCACGGATTCAGCAGCGCGCAAAGGAACTCGGCACAGAGTTGCACTACCGTCGCATTGACGTGCGTGACACAGAACTTCTGAACAGCGTGGTTGAGACCATCGCCAATGAAGAGGGTCGCATGGATGGTCTCGTTGCTGCCGCAGGTATCCAGCAGGAGACTCCGGCGCTCGAGTACTCGGCCCAGGATAGTAATAGGATGTTCGAGGTGAATGTCACGGGGGTGTTCATGACCTCCCAGGCTGTGGCTAAGCAGATGATTCGCTTCGGCAATGGTGGTAGCATTGCGATGATTGCCTCTATGAGTGGCACCGTTGCCAATCGGGTACGTTTCCCGACCCCCTTCGTCTCGTCCTACCCTCTCAACTTTATCTAACAATTCTTTTCTACAGGGTCTGATCTGCCCTGCATACAATGCCAGCAAAGCCGCTGTCATCCAGCTTGCTCGCAACCTCGCCGCTGAATGGGGTACCTACAACATCCGCGTTAATACCATCTCCCCCGGCTACATCGTCACCTCTATGGTGGAAAACCTGTTCATCGACTTCCCCGAGCGCCGCGAACAGTGGCCCAAGGAGAACATGCTTGGTCGCCTCTCCCGACCGGAGGAGTACCGTGGCGCCGCCGTCTTCTTGCTTAGCGATGCTAGCAGCTTCATGACTGGCAGTGATCTGCGCATCGATGGTGGCCACACCGCGTGGTAGATGTGATTTTGGCTAATATCCAAAATTTTGCGTTGTCATTCACTGCGTGTGACCATCTTCTTTGGCTCCTCATTGCACGGCGTTATCTTCTTTTGTTGGTGGAATAGCGAAGCGTGGACTGTATGGGGGTAATTTTCTGATCCTTGCTTTCTTGGACGGCGATAATTGGCTCTCGAGTCTTATAATGACGTTAGACTACAGATCGGATAATGATTGTTATGGACTTATTACATTTGTTATGGTCAACTTGTTACTCCAAAATAGTGTTTAGCTGCATGGAAATCTTGACCCACTTTCATTGATCGAAGATATTAACGTGGCACCTAGGTAGAAGTCACACGCTCGTTGCCCGGCACGAACTCCCGAGTCCCATTTATCCCTAAATACCCTCCAGCCAGTCGGAATATACCAAGGCGTCTGGGGAAGCAACCACCTGACCTCACGACGATCTCCATTTCAGTTCGTATTCAGAGATCAACCAAAGATCAGAACAGAGAGACGCACATTCAAAGAATCAAAGAAGAATCTGCGCTAATTCTAGGAAAGAAAACCTCGTATTGTCGTGTGATGTGTGATGTACTCGTCATCAGTGTAGCCCAGAATAGTCGAAATGCCATTCTCCGTACTCCGTACAGCCGCCAAGAACCGCGGAAAAGCTGGACTCGGCTATTTGTGTTTCTTGCTTTGTTTCCCTGCATGTCCTGCACTTTCTATTGTGTCCAAGACAACTGTCTCAGACCATGGATATGATCTCAAGGCCCGTTGGAACTTGGTGAGTTCGTGTACGTCAACTGCGCTAATCCCAGCTCTAGAAATTGTTCTCTCCGCGGCTCACGATTCCGCCGTTGACGATGAGACCTTCCCGTATTAGCTCAGGACACTCGGCCGCCGGCTTTGACTCGTCGATTTGTTTTTGAAGTCGAAATAAAGCTCGCCGGGCTGAGCAAATGGTGCTCTCGCCACAGAATCCAGTCCCCTCAAATGGAGCGTGGAGACCGTATTGCGTCACGGACTTAACCTTGGTGCTCTCGTTTGATCTTTTGGTTTCTGGTTTTTGGTTAACAACGCGTTCTTCTGGTGGGTGTTTATGTTCTTACAGACTGCTGGAGACCTGACATGTTCACATAGATTGCAGTCTGTTCTACTACAGTAACTTAGTTAGACCAAGTTAGTTATTGTTGGATGCCTGAGACATCAAAATGTAATTGTAGTCACATGTTCGATAGCTCTCTATCTTCTCCTTCTCTTCCTCCTCTCGCCTTGTGCGAGACAGTCAGTGTTCTCTCCATTGATATTTGATTCTTCATCTATATCGCGTCTCTATTAGTTATGGCTGCCTCGGCCCTTCCGCTGTAGATCACAAACCACCCTGTTGCTTCGGCTTATCCAACCTTGTGGGGCTTGATAACCACGGGCCCGGTGCTGGTGGCTTCGGCCTGATTTTGAGCTGTTATTTATGACTGGCCTTTCTCTTGCCAGGTGTAGGACTAGGGGTGTTCGTCTCCGGCGGCATCTTATGGCCCTCTAGCATCAAAGTATCCAGGATGCATGAATCGATACAGGACAACTCACCCTCGATCAAATTCGAAGATCGGATCGGGGTAGTTGTGCAGCTTGTAGCCTTGTGCTGCCCAATTCCAGCAACCAAAGACGCAATTATTTCTATTTAGAGATCTCGTTCCTGCAATCGGGTCCACCTCGGGACCTCGGGAGTCGGGACCCAAGGGCTCTCCACAGTTCTACGGAATACACAGTCCGAGACTTGTGAATCACAGCCCTAGGGCGTTGGGTTTTGATTGGATCGATCTGAAATGAGTCCACTCTTTGGCATCCACCTGGGCATGAGACATGGGCATAAAAATGTTGCATTAATCGTATCCAACGAAGGCTGAAATATGGATGCCTATCAGCCCCAGGGGGCTGAGATCGTAAGATACAGACTGCGTATAACGATGTCAGTCAATTCCAATCAACGTCGTGTCAACCGATGATCGAACCGATTCAGGACATATGAGCCCCTGCCCAGCCTCGGCGCCTATACACAGTAGAAGAGAAGATGGAATTGCGTTACTTGCATCACTGCCTAGATAGAGGGTTACTTCAATGTTACCACCAAGGCAGAGCTCTCAGCCTCGCTGTTATTTGACATTACTGCATACAACATTATTCAGAAATTAAATCACAGGCCTTGAACATGCCTCGGACAGCCCCATTTTCTAGAAGATCGGAGCCTTGGCTGATCTTCCGGCGGGCCCGGCGCATAAGAACGGAGGGATCCCCCTACTGATTGACAGGAGGAATCACAACATTGTTGTGCGCTATCCCTGCAGTCTGTTGTGATACCGTCATGAAGGCTTCTGCGCTACTTTCTATTGCTCTAGGTGTATTGCCTGGTAAGTGCACCTTCCCTCGGTCGCAGGTCTTTCGCGTGTGGGGGTAATTCCAGCCACAGCGTCCTTTAACTTACTTTAAATGGTCGCATACGCGTGCGCAAAAACATTGCCATCAGAAACCTAATCATTACTTTCCTTCAGGCGCAATTGCTGTTTCCGGTGTCAGTCCCGATATCACATATGCCGGTGTGCAACGAGCCCTTCCCGACGCGCCCGACGGGTACAAACCGACAGCCGTCAGCTGCCCAGCAAGCCGACCGACAATCCGCAGCGCGGCGAAACTCTCCCCGAACGAAACATCATGGTTAAAAGGCCGCCGCGAAAAGACCCTTCCGGCGATGAAGGAGTTCTTCGGCCATGTGAACGTCGGCGATTTTGACGTGGTTGGGTATCTCGACAAACACTCCGGGAACTCGTCAAACCTTCCCAATGTCGGCATTGCCCTGTCCGGCGGCGGATACCGTGCGCTGATGAACGGCGCCGGTGCGGTCAAGGCTTTCGACAGCCGGTCGTTCAATGCGTCGACCGCTGGGCATTTGGGTGGTCTGCTGCAGTCCGCTACCTATATTGCTGGCTTGAGTGGGGGCAGCTGGTTGCTGGGTTCAATCTTTATCAACAACTTCACCACAATCGATAAGCTGCAGACGCATAAGGCAGGCGCCGTATGGCAGTTTGGGAACTCGATCATCAAGGGCCCTGATACCGGTGGTATCCAGCTTTTGGACTCCGCCAGCTATTATAAGGATCTAGCTGAGGCTGTCGACGCGAAGAAGAAGGCCGGCTTTGAGACTTCACTCACTGATATTTGGTACGTGGTTCTTGTTCGTGGGGGCTGAAGGCATGCTTGCTGACTTGGGTATAGGGGCCGCGCTCTGGCCTATCAAATGTTCAATGCTACCGGTGGTGGTATCAGCTACACCTGGTCGTCCATCGCCGACACCGCCGATTTCCAAGATGGAAACTATCCCATGCCGCTGGTTGTTGCAGATGGACGCAATCCCGATGAGCTGGTGGTTGGCAGCAATTCGACCGTCTATGAGTTCAACCCGTGGGAGTTTGGCACCTTTGATCCTACAATCTTTGGTTTCGTCCCGCTTAAGTACCTGGGCTCTCGGTTCGAGGGGGGGCTTCTTCCTAAAAATGAGAGCTGCATCGCTGGCTTCGACAGTGCTGGCTTCGTGATTGGAACTTCCTCCACTTTGTTCAATCAGTTCCTCCTCCAGATCAACACCACCACCCTCCCCGACTTCATCAAAAGCGTTTTCAACAACATCTTCTCCGAGCTAGACAAGTCGCAAGACGACATCGCCGTCTACGACCCTAACCCATTCTACCAATACAACAAAGAATCCTCGCCGTATGCTGACCAGACAGCACTGGATGTCGTCGACGGAGGCGAAGATTTGCAGAACCTCCCCCTCCACCCTCTCATCCAGCCCGAGCGCCATGTCGACGTCATCTTCGCTGTCGATTCCTCGGCAGACACCACATACTTCTGGCCCAACGGCACCTCCCTCGTTGCGACCTACGAGCGCAGCTTGAACAGCACTGGAATCGGCAACGGCACCGTCTTCCCCGCCGTTCCAGATCAGAACACCTTCGTTAACTTGGGACTCAACACCCGTCCGACTTTCTTCGGCTGTGACACCTCCAACCTGACCGGACCTGCGCCTCTGGTTGTGTACATCCCCAATGCCCCTTACACCTTCCACTCCAACGTTTCAACCTTCCAGCTGTCTACCGACGACCAGCAGCGCGACAACATCATCCTCAACGGTTACGAGGTCGCCACCATGGGTAACAGTACCCTCGACGCCGACTGGTCGTCGTGCGTTGGCTGCGCTGTGCTTAGCCGCTCCTTCGAGCGTACGGGAACCACCCTCCCGGATATCTGCAACCGGTGCTTCGATCGCTACTGCTGGAATGGCACTGTGAACTCCACCACACCCCACAACTACGAGCCCAGTTTCTTCCTGGCTGATAGTGCTGCCTCCGCAAGTCTTCCTACTGTGCTGTCCACGATCGTTGCTTCCGCCGTGACGATTCTCAGCTTTGTGTAGTGTAAGATGGAGGTTTCAGTCTTTCTTCTTTCTTTTCATGCCAAATTCAAGCATTTTGATCTTGATCTATGAGATTTTTTTTTCTTTCTTGTCATATTATATCCTTTCTCCGGGCACGGTCGAGGTGTCATCAGGCCATCGTCGTGTCCTTTTCTCTTCTAGATCTCTGGGTGTCCTGTATTGTCCTGTATCCATCCGTAGTCATGCATAATGCGTCATTCCATTATTCGCTCATGGGCTACGTGATACACCATTGGTGATGATAACCTTCGTATTGACACTCTACCTTGGGAATTCAAATATTGATGACGTGCCTGATGTCTACTTCGTATGGTTGATACATGGGGTTGTATATCAGTTCCAAACAACTTGTCCTGCGTGAATTCTATCAAGCTTCTGTCCCAATATCACATAGATTCAACAAGTTACAAAGTCAAGCTCCTGATGGGTCTGCTGTCTGCCTCTTGGTGCATATTTATGCCTTGGCACTGCCTGGTCATTACTGGGGGTGATCTCCATGTTGATTTTACTAACTGCATATCCTGAGTCACTCTAAGTAACCGGTGGCATATAACTACAGATAATTCAAAGATTACATACAAATAAGTCTCTTTACTCTCTTCTAAGGCTCATTGTAACTCACTGTGTTGTACTAGTTATTGGTTGTTTTGAATTGTGTAGACAAAGTCACGTGCGTTGCCATGGAGACGCGCGACAACAATCAACCTCGGATCGACCTCCACCTCCACAGTGATGATTTGCTTATCCATGCTTCATTTTCATGCAACCATTCGACAACCCCCGGTAACCTGCGACGACAGTTTTCGGGCCAAGATTTTTTCTCTGACCGATTGAACCCGCCATGAGCGCCGCTTACCAAAACTGACTGCGACAACCACACAACACACAACGCGCAAAAACATCAGCATGGCGCGCGCTGCGGTGATCCCTCAGTCCCCCGCGAAACGGGCGGGACGGCCATCGACCAAATCCACAGCTGCGACCGAGGCAAAGAAGAAAGCACCTCGAAAAGTGACACCCGCACCACGGACCGCAACCCCCGCTCTCGATACCGATGCGGACTCCGATGATGAACTGGGCTTCATCACAACGAAACCGACGAAACCTAGCGGGCGACCCCCGGGCGTCCAGCTACCAAGCCAAAAGTGGCCGCGACAGCTCGAGGAAAGAAGGCTTCTTCAGCGCCTACGACCGACGAGTCAAGAGGCCAACACAATGACAGCAAAGAGCAGCTAGCACAACAAGAGCCGCCAAAGAAGCGCGTCGGAAGACCCAGGAAGAACCCACTTCCAACAGAAGCTACCGCGTCCAAGCCTGAGGTTGCGCCTAAGCCCAGGGGACGACCAAGAGCGGGTACAACAGCCAAGGCCCCCGCGACTCGTGAAACGGCGGCATCGAGCAGGCGGACGCGAGCAGCTGCTGATACGACTGAGACGAAACCGAATACCATCAAAATTGCGACTAATTCGACCACCATGCGATCGAATCTTCTGCGTGGACCCGCTAAGAAGAAGACAGTGAAATTCCAAGACGTTGCTGGTTCTGACGCCGAGGACACCGAGCCCGAGGTTCCCCCTGCTGGCCGTAGGCGGGTAGCCGCTAATGGTGCAGGTGCTGGCAAGACCGGTCTTGCGGCGACCCCCGTCCGCAAGGCGGCTACAACTACTCGCGGAAGAAAGCCGGCGGCGAAGAAGGCTGCGCCTCAACCGTTGTCCCCTAAGAAGGCCAAGCAAGTGGCCAAGACATTGTCGGCATACGCAAGCTCCGATTCAGAAGACGATGAACTGAACACAATCAAGGATGACACTAAGCAATCCGTCAAACTGCTTGTTCACTCGCCCGTGAAACATGGGCTAGGGACCGCCGGACTGAGCTCTCCCGTGCGGAAGATCAACTTTACCCCCAAGAAGGCTACCAGCTTTGTAGACGAGAATGGCGAGCCGAAACTACCAACCCCCAAACACGGATCAGAAGGCGTTGGCCTCAATTCTCCAGTCAGGAAGATCAATTTCACTCCCAACCGCAGCCAGACCACAATCGCAGACCACGGCCATCTCGCTCTTCCACCTGGCAATTCAGTTGTTTTCAGCGACTCTATGTTCATGTCTAGCCCTGCTAGAAGGCCACCGCAATCATCACCATTCCGATTCTCCATCAAAGAGACCCCTAATCGCGGGGTTTCCCTTTTCCAGGACAGCGTGAACCCGATTTCCGCCCCTGATTTCACACCTGGACGCCCTTCTCCGCTGAAGATGTCACCGAAGAAAGGGTTATTAGGCGCTTCTTTCTCGCAGTCGCCGTTCAAGGCTTCTACGGCAGCAGCCCCGGCTCGAACCCCTTTGTTTCAAAGCCCTGCTAAGAGGATAGCCTCGCCATTCAAAAGCTCAATGTTTTCAGCCCGTGCATCAGTCAGTGAGCCCAAACCAACCGACAATGATAGGACTCCGACCGAATCAGTTGAGCTCGATGAAACGACCAGCCCTATTGCTTCGCCAAGGGAAAGCCACTTTGACGAGACTGATTTCCAGAGGGACACTGAAATGGTCGAAGATGTGGCTCGAGACATCTTCGGAATTGAGCTGTCTTTTAATGGAAAGTCATCATCGAGCCCTCCTGAGCGGGGAGATGACGTGGCTACCGAAGCAGCCCAATGTTCAGAGGACGAACTAAATGCCGATGATCTGTGTGCGGAGGTTGAGGCTGAGACTGAAGCCGAGGGGGACTCAGGTCCCGAAGAGTATGAGAACGAACAACTTCAGACTGGGGATGAAGAGCTTGAAACCATTTGCTTCGATGTCATGGAAGATGCCAATATGGCTCAAGCCCCTTATGAGCAAGCTCCTCAGGAATACTCTGAAGTCGACGAAGATTCTGAAGAGACGGAAGAACTGGAAGAACACGACCAACCTGAATATGATGAGATTGATACTGTTTGCTTCGATACTATGGAAGGTGCCAATATGCCTCAGCAAGACCCTTATGGGCGAGACCTCCAGGAATACTCCGAAGCCGACGGAGATCCTGAGGACACGGAGGAACACGACCACCTTGAATACGAAGAGGCTGATACTATTTGCTTCGATGCTATGGAAGATGCTCACACTGCTGCAAAAACTTTCTGTGACGAACAACTACAGGAAGCCTCGGAGTCCGAGACAGACAAATACATCCAAGATGAGGCTGATTATGAGTACGAAGAGCTTGAAACAATCTGCTTTGATGCCATGGAAGATGCGCACGTCGCAGGGGATGACTCGCATGAAGCAACGGCCCAGACAACAGATTCAGTGATGGAGGACATGAATGACCCCGAAGAAGAACTGGCCGAGCTGGAGAAGGAGATTGAGAATGAAGAGCTTTATGACCTCACTACTGGATCCCGACTCCAAGAATCAACGCCAGAGCCCACGATGGCGGAAATGGGGACTCAAACACAAATGGAGGAACTTGTTTCGCCTCCAGTGTCGCCATTTAAGTTTGCTTACAAGGAGGAGACCCAATCGCCAGCTGCTTCGAATTATTCACTGGAAAATGAAGGCGAAGGCGAAGGCCAAGATGACGCTATGAAAGACCCCCAGGAAGAGGACCAAGTCATGAGCGATAACATCGAGGTGGAAGACACCGAGCCTACACCCATCAAGTCTGAGCTTTCTACAATCCACTCCCAATTTGCTCCGCCACTTGAGAACATTCACGTGGAGGATATCGCGAGTCCGCTCCAAGGAGAGCAAGCAATCCCTTCGCCACTGCTGAGTCCCGCAGTCGGTGAATCAACGCCCTTGTTCTTGAATCGCCCAGCCAACATCGAGAATGACACTGGATCCACTCTCGATGCCAAGAATGCCAAGAATGATAACATTGACATGCCCCTGCATGAAGCAAATAGCCCGACGCCAAGCACTCAGTTCAACAGCCCTGCGTTGATGGCACCGAGTCTCTCCAACACTCCCAGCCTTGTCGACCAGCACCAATCTCCTGCCAAGCGTAGCTTAGGCTTCACGCCGTTGGCACAGAAATTTAGCCGGTGGGAACAGGATACCCCTTCTCAGGCTAGATCACTCCGGCCGCGTCGCCGTGGTGTTTTCTCGTTGGTAGGACCCTTGGACCGCACCAACACTGAAACTCCAAAAGACTCCGGTGGTGTTTCCTATCCCGATCTGTCAAGAAGCCCACTGTTGAACACTCCATCTTTGTTTGCTGAATTGCCACTCCAGCCACAAAGTGACGTGGCTGGGATGAGCCCTGAGCATGAGCAAACTTCACGGCGGTCTTCAATTTACGAGGGCAATCAAATAATAGAATTGCCCTGCAGAAGCACGGATATCTTCGAGGATCCTGATTCGGGTTCGAACGATCTGGAGCATGCTCTTGCTTCCCAAGCCCCGCAAGAACGAAACAACGAGCTTGATGCAATCGAAGACAAGGAAAACCACGGCCCTGCAATTGCCCCGTCGACCCCAATGAAAGTTCACCGCGACGAACTTCGCACTATCCACACGGTATCAAAAGTGCCTTTGAAAGCCGAAGGCGACGTATCGCCTCTCAAACTGTCGCGCAAGAGAGGTCTGTCCCTGTCGAGTACCTCTCCTACTCGTTCTTCCCCCCGTGTTCGCAAACCAGCCTTCATGACGCTCAAGGACAATGCCCCTGTTCTGACTCCCTCCCGGAAGGTTCCACGGGCGAGCAAAAGCCCAACACCCAAACGACGCTCCATCACGGCTCGACGTAGTAGTGGGAAGGCACCCGTGATGGCTTCACCGAGTGCAGCCAGCCCGGCTAAAAAGCCTCGTCGTAGCCTGCCCGCTGAACAAAAGGCTTTGCATGGCGCGGTCGTGCATGTGGATGTCCACACCACCGAGGGCGAGGATGCCTCGGGTATCTTTGTGGAGCTTTTGCAGCAAATGGGTGCCCGTTGCGTGAAATCCTGGTCTTGGAACCCCCGTTCCAGTCTCTCACCATCTGATGGTCCGGAGCTCAAGGATTTCAGGGTTGGCATCACCCACGTCGTGTACAAGGATGGTGGTCTTCGAACTCTGGAGAAGGTGAAGAAGGCAGCTGGCCTGGTTAAATGTGTTGGAGTCGGCTGGGTCCTCGAGTAAGTTTCCATTCCTATATTCATTCAATTTGTATTTCTAACATCTTCGTTCTAGCTGCGAACGCGAGAACCAATGGCTCGACGAAACTCCCTACGCGGTTGACAGCTCCATTGTCCCACGCGGAGGCGCCAAGCGCCGCAAGAGCATGGAGCCTCGCGCACTAAGCAACGTGAACGGCACGCTCGTGCGCGTTTCCGAGTCACCCGCTCCATCTGCCGGTCGACGTCGCAGTGGTGTCAACCCAGGCGCCGTCGAGGGTTTCCGAAAGATCACACCTCCAACTCACAAGCAACCGGCTACACCCCCACAACAAATATCTGCTGATAGTTACAAATTCCCCGCTACTCCAGGGTACAACTTTGCCAATCTGGATGCCATTGGCATGTCCCCTGCTACTCCCGCCTTCCTTGGAAATCGATCCAAGCTTGTGCAGCAGTCTTGCCCGCCGAAACAGACAAATCGGGGTCTTTTCCCGAGTTCTAGGCCTACTGGTCGTCTGTCTGATGAGGGGGATGATGAAGAATCGAGGCGTCAGCGTCGGTTCCGCATGGAGGCTGCACGCCGTAAGAGCCTTGTTTACAAGCCTGCCGTTGGTAGCCCGCTTGCTCCATGATTTGGTTTAATCGTGTTTTATTTGATTTTGTACATTCATACCCGGTCACTGTAAATATGGGGACTATCTGTTTTGCTTTTCTCGTGGCGAGCTGATCAATTGAATTGTTTTTGTGCATATCTCAGTTTAAACTATTCAATCCCAGTACATCTGCATGCATATTACACCACAACGCTAGGTGACGGTAAATTGGGTGCTGAAAACAGTTACGTGCTCAGGGTAGACGCTCAGATGTCTCATAATGGCCAGCCTTGTCCGTTCTCCGCTTGTAGCCGCTTTGCCAAAGTAGAATAGTCCATTTTGGTGCTGAATCCTCTTCTATGATTGCCATACCAAATCATCAATACTAGTCCCTAAGTCCCATCTCCTATTGTAAATGTTGTATCCTTGAGCAAACACCAGGCTGTCTTAGATGACGAATATTTCGAAACCAGCGCAGTTATTAGGAACATATTCCAAGTTATTGATCTTTGAGAAATTGCAACACATGAACTTTTGATTCAAAGAAATAGCCGAACATCTCTAGTTGCTTCGAAAATCGGACATGTCGTATTGAAATCCGTATATGATACCAACGAAGTTTCGTCCAAATCATGGCAATAAGAAGGCTAATCCTGCGACTCCTCACGGTAGAACCCAGCAACCAAGAACGCCAACTCCAAAGCCTGCTTCTCATTTAAGCGCGGGTCACAGAAAGTCGTATAGCGCTCTCCAAGCCCCTCCTCAGTCAAGCCACCCGCACCACCCACACACTCAGTAACAGCCTCGCCAGTAAGTTCAAGATGCATACCACCAAGGAACGAGCCGGCCGCGCGATGAATCTCCAACGCCTGCTTCAACTCGGACAAAATATCCGTAAAGTGACGAGTCTTCACACCGGACGGTGTACTCTGCCCATTGCCATGCATAGGATCACACTGCCAGACAGGAATATGGCCGGAAGCCTGCACAGCGGCGATATGAGCCGGCAGGAACTGAGCGATCTTGGCCGCTCCATACCGCGAGATCAGGGTCACTTTGCCGACCTCGCGATCCGGGTTCACAACGTCAAGCAGCTGTACCAGCTCCTCGGGGGCCATGGTGGGACCGATCTTGATACCGATGGGATTGGCGATTCCGCGGAAGAACTCGACGTGCGCACCGCCGAGCTGGCGCGTGCGATCCCCGATCCAGAGGAAGTGGCTGGATGTCGCGTAGTAGCCTAATCCGGCGGTTGCGCCGCTTCCTGGTTCGACGGGGTGGCGGAGGAGACGGGTGAGAGTCTGCTCGTATTCTAGGGAGAGGCCTTCGTGGCTGGTGAAGATGTCGGCTGTTTCGAAGCCGCGGTCTTTGTCGATTCCGACTGTGTGCATGAACCGTAGAGCATCTTTTACTGCGGTCACGGTTTTGGTGTATTGCTCTTTGATTGAGGGGGTTTTTACGTGGCCGAGGCCCCAGTCTAGAGGGGAGTGCAGGTCTGCTAGGCCTGAGGAGAGGGAGGCGCGGAGGTAGTTTAGGGTTGCTGCGGAGTGGAAGTAGGCTGAGACTAGACGGGATGGGTCTGGTTGGCGGGAGATGGGGTCGGCTGCGAAGCCGTTGATGTTGTCGCCGCGGAAAGAGGGCATTTCAACCCCGTTCACGGTTTCTGTTGGACTTGAGCGTGGCCTGGGGTTGATGTTAGATTTGTGATGATGAGTTCGATCGACTGGTGGAGTTCCTTACTTGGCGAACTGGCCTGCGATCCGAGCAATGCGGATTACGGGCTTGTTGGCACCTAATTGGTGAATTAGTTGGGAGCTTCTTTGCTTTTGGTGGGGTTATATCATACCCCAGATGAGAACCAAGCTCATTTGCAGCAAGAGCTTGACCTTGGCTTCGATCATTTCCTGATTGCAGTAATCGAAAAGCTCGGCGCAGTCGCCTAGGAATAACATGAGTCCGACATATCTCGTTTTATGGATGTTTTAGTCCAACATACCACCTTGCAAAACGAATGCTTTGCCCAATGCGACATTTCGGAGATTCTTTTTGAGCCTGATGATCTATGATGCAGGTGAGGATGAGATCTGACATCGTGTGTCGGAGTGAAGAAGACATACCTCTTGCGGGGTCACAAGAGGAGGAAGCTTCTGTAGCTTCTCTAGTGAATCCTTCAAGCCTTGGGCATTTTCGTAGACGACGTCTTGCTTGATGGGCTTTTGCATCCAAGCTATGAGATGGTTAGTGATATCGAATTGGTTAGGTCGACGGTTTGAATTATTTGCTTCTTACAACTAGGGCTCCATTCAGCCATGGCGAATTGATCCCTCAAGGTGGGGGTATTTTAAATGATCGCCGGAAGGGATGGTCCTCACTGGAATCAACAACAGAGAGATACAGGCAGGAATGTCTCGACGTGTGGTGACAAGAATTGATCAAGCAGTCTCCCTAGAAGTGCACTTGGGCCGAATAAGTATCAAAGACTCGAGTATCAAACAAAGAAATCTAAAGTTTGAGTGGACGTGACCTCGGCAAACGCCAAGGCGGGCGCTTATTTGCGGAAATCAGATGACTCATTAGATACATACCTTATTTACTAGGCGGAAAGGCTTGCTTCCTCAGGCCACAACTGCCTGTCTGCTCAGATCGTAAAAGTGGACCTGTGGACAATGGCATTGTCATACCAAAGCTTTACAGTTTGTGACATGGAAAAATTGTACACGTAGGTCTCTGAAGCTAGACCTAACGACTTACGACGATAAGGTTCTGATCTGTGGGGAAATTTTCCAGGATGAGTAAAGTCATGATCTCTGTGCGTCAACACCAAGGAGGTTACTGTAAAACGCATATGTAGAACGTGTATGTGAACTCGCGGGCAGTTACCATAACCCCGGACTAAACTTATATTCCTGCAGGGCTATTTAATAATAAGTCGGACCACGGAAGCAGAGGAAAGGGGTCAAGTCAAAATGGGACGTAATTTCAATGCTGACCGGAACACGAGTTAGCCTAAGCCATGGCGTCCACTGTATCCAATGTGGAAAAACACGAGGATATGGGACGCCTAGCGGCGAGAACCTTGAGCTGATCGGGCCGAGCAGGCGAGCCTCGCCAGCCGCGATTGGCCAGGTCTCGGAACTATCCGTAGCGTGGCCATCTGCGGTTAGCGTGAGTGCGTTGGATTTGGCTCGGTTTGCGCTAAGGCAGGCAACCAAGGGCCCCTCCACGGCTCAAGAGCCTCAATTGGATTTTTATTTTGGGTTCTCGGCTCCTAAGGAAACATACTTAAGGTATTCAGGAGTCAGCATGTTCGTTCCGTTCGCTTTTTCCCGTCAATTTCTCTTCACCTCTCCACATCCTATACTCTTCGAACCGCTATAATGCAGTACAAGTTCCTCACTGCTCTCTTCCTGGCTACCACAGCCCTGGCGGTCCCTACTGCGGACTCCACACCCACAGAGTCGAACTCCGAAATCACATCTTCGGACTACGATAACTACGATGACTTCGATTACGATGACGCCTATTACGGCGACTACGGCGACTACGGCGCTGACCTGCTCGGCGATATTCCTCCCTCCATCATCGCTGTCATGGCCACAGCCATCCCGGCTTCATGGTACAGCGATATCTTGGACCCGGCCTCCCGCGACTCAATCATGAGCGACATTGCTGCTGGAACACTCCCTGCTTGGTACAATGCTTTGCCAAGCAGCGTCAAGGCATGGGCTACCGCAGACTTTGTGGGCGGTTTTGCCGATGCATCGGCAACTGCTGAGAGCAGCCCAACCAAGACCGCTGGCAGCAGTCCCATCGAGACTGGCTCTGGCAGCCAGACTGCTGCTCGCGAGACTTCTGCTTCTTCTACTGAGACTCCTTCCAGCGAGTCTTCCACCGAGGCTTCTTCTAGCCAGGTTTCTTCCACTGCTGTTGAGACTACTACAGCTTCATCCACCATCGTCGTCTCTAGCACTGCAACACCTTCCCCCTCTTCTACAGAGTCCACCGGTGGTGCTCCTGCTCCCACTGGCGCCGTTGCCATGGGTGTTGCTGGCGCAGCTGGTATCTTGGCGCTTGCTCTTGCCCTGTAGAGCATTTCTTCATTTCTATACGTTTGTCATTGTTTATACCTGACTCATTAGGTTGATATTATACTTCTTGTGCATAATAGAATCCAAAATATTCCAATTCTTTTAAAAGTGCAGTGGATCTACAGACCAACAATAGTTGCGTAGAATGGGTGGTTGTGCTATCTCATGCCCTGTTGCTGTCGTTCATTTAGAGGATTGCATGGAAGGAGAAGTCGCACCGTCGTCAGTGGACAACAATTACATTATTTACCCCCGTTCGATCACCTGAACAAACAATTACGTCATCGCCTAACTACCGTATGTTAAAAAAGACCCCGGGGCTTATCAGTGACGTCGTGTTGTCAACACCAGCATCAACACGTCTCAATTAACGCCAACTCCATCTCCCACCGCAGACCAATAACGCAGATATGTCTGATCCGATACCATCCGCAACAGCCGACCCAGGCGCCGTGGATCAAGCTCACCCCTCGAACGCGGAGGACCGCAAAGCCGCCGCCGCCCTCTCCTCCCTCAACACAAATGAGATCACTACGGAAGGCACCCCTGCGGGCGCACAGATTACTGGAGACCAGGAGGCATTAGGAAAAGCTATGAGTAGGCTTGAGATAACAGCTGGACAGAACTCAGCCGGAAAGCAGGCGGCCGGGTCGATTGGTGATCAGGTTAGAAAGAAGGCGGTTAAGGTTGCTCAGGCTGATATCACACTACTGGTATGTTGCTGAATTGAATGAGTTTCTTTCCGATGCATTCGCCAACAACCCCGTTAGGTTGACCAGCTGGATTTAAGTAAGACAAAGGCCACGGAGTTGCTCAAGGCTCATGATGGAGATGCTACGAGGGCGATAAAGGCGTTTGTTGCGCCACCTGTGCTTGGTTAAGGCCGAGATTACTCCCGCCATGGCTGGCTTATGATTTTATGATGCAAGACTTGAATGAGTCGAATGATAACGCAACTTGTTTATATACGTGTTAGGAGTCGCTTGCCAGCTGGGTGTCTATGGCGTAGTGTGCAAGTGTACCATATCCATTATCACGACCCGACCCAATATATCATTCCTCGTCTTCCACATCGTCCCCTTTACGCTCGATCCCTTTACCTTCATCGATACTCCACAACATAAACCAACCAATCAAAGCTTCAACAGCCAGCGCCCACCAGACGGCCCCAACCATATTGTATTCAAGACCCAGACCCAACCCCCAGCCACCGAGGAATGGCCCCAGTGTCCGAGCTGCGCTAGAGATACTCTGAGCCACTCCGTGAACCGTACCTAGGATAGATGGATCCGTGACACAGTTGTTGACCAGAATGATAGCAGCAGGTAGAATGAATGTCCGCGAGATAACCTGCAAGGTGATGACGAAAGTAAAGGAGGGCCAAACAATCCATGTTATGCGAGGCAGAATAACAAGGAAGGGCATCAACACATAGGCGATCTGCGAAAATGGTAGGAAGACTCGGAACGACGTGAGGGTGCCGAGTTTCGCCTGGACCGCCGGGTAGAGGAAAATTTGGAGCGGCAGTCCAATGAACCCAATGATGGCGGTCGCGAGGCCGACCCGCGAGGATGGAAGACCCAGTCCTCCGCCGAAATGGAAAAGGCCTTGCTGAGAGCCCTCTGGGGCACGGGGGGCGGGCAAGAACACGAACGTCATGGAGTTGAAAGCGCTCGTGTGGAAGGCGAGCAGGAAGTGAACGAACAGAGTCAAAAGGATGTTGCGCGTCCAGATCTGACGCACCTTTGATCTTTTGGGCGGTCGGGAATGCACGCGAGAACGGGTTGGAGTTGATGGTGTAGACAAGGTACCGACGCTACCATCCAGATAGACGGAGCCGTCGTTGCTGGAGCGTGGGAGTGGACGGTAGTGTCGGTGTTTTCGGGTTAGAGCTCTTGTAAGCCGCTTGCCCAATTGGCGACCCCAGTCCTTTCTATAACGTGCGACTTCATGGGTCTGGATGGATTATTCGTTAGCAGGGATATGAGGATGACCAATCTGGACAGAAATGATCTCACCTCATCGAGACCGAAGAATACTGCCAAGAAGGAAGCCAATATGAACATTGCACTTAACACGTTTGGCAATGCATATGGCCAGTGCTGCATCCACCAGACACCTTCTTTACCCCCAAGCAAAGATCCCGGGCCAAAGATCTGCGGAAAGCCGTTGACGGGGTCGGCCAAGGTGCCTCCCAGGATTGGGCCGATGATGACACCGATATTAAAGCACATAGGCAGGAGCAAGAATGCTCGGGATTGAAACCTGAACGATCAGTTAGAGAATAGGTAATACAACTGTAAGTAGTAATCGGCTTACCTTTTCTCGGCTATGATCTCCGCAATCAACGTCCTCATCACTCCTATATTGCTGTTTAATACTCCACCTAGAGTCCGAAAGACCATGGCCGTCGCAAAAGACCGGGAGAACCCAAAACCTATACAAGACAAACAAGTGCCCATCAATCCGATCAAAAGCACTCTCTTGCGCCCCATCCAGTCGGCATCAGCCAGCCGGCCCCACCAAACAGCCGTGATGAACTGCGCAGCTGTAAAACAGCCCTGGAGGATACCCGCCTGCTCCGAGATCTTTGAGTCCGGCAAAGATGGATCAAATGATTTCAACTGATAGAACATGTATGCCTGCAGCGAAGTCTGAGTCAACGGCTCCGACAGCCGCGCGAAGGTCAGGATCGCCAGTTGGCCCTTCTTCGGTAGTGAGCTCCATGTCACTGGTTTCTCCTCGTCCTCTCCATCCGGTTTGAGCATGTCGTTATCATCGTGATTGCTATCATCGCGATCACCAGAGGGAATATGTCGGTGACTGGTTATCAGCGGCGCGGTTTCTAGTCTCCTTCTCTGCTGAGAGACGCCTTCCAGAGCTGGGGCACCATCGCTCCCCAGATCGCTGTCGCTATCGGAACTTGACAAGTCTGTATAATAACCTGTCAATTCAGAGGTATCCAGAGACGTGTTATGGACATCTTCTGATATCTGGTGGCGGTCTTGGCCGGAATGCTGGGGCGGGGAAGACCGCATCAACAGAGATCCCGGTTCGGGAGGATGTCACGCGAGGAGGGTTGCGGGGATGCCGACCGTACAACACAGCCGATGAGCTTAAGTTTAGGATTCTCGCGGGATTTTACTAGTCTGACAACAGACCGGATACTTGTTGGATGGGGGAAGGTAGAGGTGAAAAATCGGCATCACACTATTTCACCGAGTATGGCGCGTCAATGCGGAGATCTTGCCGACTCCCGAGTAAGGAGGATTTGGGGCCCATCACAGCAACAAGATACTCAGTCGACAAGGAAAAGCACTTATTCTAATCCATACCCTTACATATTGGCATGAGGAGGGTCTTCATATTTTAAGCTGTCATAATCAACCTTGGAAATTTCACCTCTCGACCTGGGCGATCCGTCAGATTCGTTGAGGATGTTTATATTCGTCTTGTTGAAGACACATAAATTGGGTGAATATAGGGAAGATACCCCAGGAAATAGTGTAAGATCGCGCCGATGGTCAAGTGGTTACGATGCCTCCCTCCCATGATTTTATGGTTGCCAGGTGGCGGCCCGGGTTCGAATCCCGGTCGGCGCACATCTTTTTATTTTTTATTCTTTATATTTTTTCGATACTGTGTAAATCACGGATGGCATCATACGGGCAACTGTACCTACCCTTCGTGGCTACAGTAGATGATAGTTGGCTACTCTTGAATACCGCTTTCTCTGGAAATCTGCCATACCGCCATGCTTGTACCAACCTGGGATAAGTACTAGCTCCTATGAGCATCGAGTAGCAGTCGTTCGGTTGTATTGGGTCATAACCATCATCTTATTGATTCTGCAGATGTAGGATTCAGGATATATCTTGTGTATTGGATGGATTGATCAACTAGAAGCCGTCAGGGGGCTAGGGTGTTTTGGCCAGTGCACGGAAGAGTGGTTCTTCTGTGCCGGTCACATGCCGTAGCCTTCAACACAACACATCTAGCCCTGACTCTCACGCCTTGTGGAATCTGATTCAATGCCCTCTCGGACCTCATGTCCCCCTCGACTACATGTATGCAGCAGTGCAATCATATGGATGTTTGAGTTGTTTCTGCCCTGGTGAAGTTGTAGTTCCCTTTCGTCGTTGCCCTAATCACTCAGTATCCATGGCCACCCAACCTAGTACTCTGTATAACTACCTTGTTGTTTACCTACTCAATCAATCCATAGATCTAAGATATTCCTGCCCGGAGACGCCATACCTTCGTGTTTCCTTGTCGTGACTACTTCGTTACCGTGGCCACCCTCACACCTTGGTAGGTTGTCTAACTTCTTCATTCCTCAGCCATGTAGATGTTTCTGCCCAGGTGAAGACCTCTCTGTTTCCTTAACCTAGTCACTGTTTTTCATGGCATGTACATGGGTACCCTCACATCTAGCTCGTATACCAAGTTTCGTGTTTACTTAATATAGATGTTCCAATATCTGATGGTTCCTGCCCTGGCGAAGTCGTAGTTTCCTTACCGTAATCACTCTCCATGGCGTTTCCATGGCCACCACCGCACCTGCCTTGGTATAACTTCAGTTTGCTGTGCCTTCCTGTTTAGTTGCTCGTCGCCATGGACGGTCCCAAACAATATTTATTCCCCCATTTCCTCTGAATCTTTGCTTCTTTTCTCCTTTCTCCTCTCTCCATTGCCACTGGCTTTTTCTCATTTGCTTCATAGCATCTGATATTACAAAGCAACTGCAATACTTCATATCATTCTTCATAATGTACTTCACCTATCTTCCTCCCCCCGCTCACCTCATGCCCCGCTGCTGCGACGCTCCCCCACCTCTGAAGTCCTGCCTTGTCAATGTGGATGAGGACCTGGAGGAGCTCCCATCTGATGAGCCATTCGTCCGGAAGTCTGTCCACTTCGCGGATGATGTGGACCTCGCTCAGGTGCGAGTGATTCCAGCCCGTAACCTCCCCCCGCGTTGCTGGCGTGAGAGCACCCCGCTCCTCGGGAGGGTGGCTGAAGACAAGTGGCGGAAGGACTTGATCAATTATTCGCCGCATCGGTCAATCATCAACAATCGGTTCCCCAGCCAGAACCTGAAACCGAAACGCCAAAGGCGCAAAGCACGCTCTGCTCGGCCGCACGTGCGACGTCCTGGTAGTTTCGGTGGTGCGTATGCCACTGAACCACGTTCTCACCGGTTCGAACCTTCCTCGGAAGGTTCCCAGGCTACGCCGGCAGCCGATTGTTCCAGTGATGCGGCGACTTCCTTCCGTGGGCAACCACTAGCGACAGCTAAGTGCGGACCACTGCCAGAGACCATCCGTCAGGGCTCAACCATTGAACCTGCCATGGACGGTTCACATGCTCCGGCTTTTGACATGTCGAGATTGACAAGTGCGCTTCCTGAGAGCCACACCTTCGATATGTCAGCGCTGCAGCATGCACTCCCTGATCTGGAGGCTACTGGTAGCGCCTTCGACTTGGCTGCGCTGGTGGAAGCCCTGCCCGATCTAGATGGGTCATCCGGTACATTGCCCCTAACGCCTGTACCCAAGTCCTTGGCTGCGCCATCCACAACCAACTCTCCTTCTGAGGCTGGGCATTCACGTGTGGTCGTCCAGACCCACGTCCAGGTTGGGCCCATGGTCCACACCTGGTCCAGCCACCTTAGTTGGGCCTTGTTTGTGCTGGCGTTCATCTTCCTAAGACTTGCGCCAGCCTTGCCAGTCGTACTTGCGTTCCTTCTCATTGTTGGGGCATGTACCCGATCCTGATAGCCAGTTCCCAGGGTCCACTTCCTCGTCCACAAGGTAAGGCATGATTTCAACTCCCTTTTGTTCCTGTTTTTTGTTGTTTTTTGTTCTTGTTCCGAGGCTTTTGCCGTTTGCTTTGGGCTTTTGCCCTTTAACTTCTATTTAGGATCGAAGGCGAGAGTTTCTGTCTGTGATTGTGCGGAAGGCAGCAGAACGTGTGGTGGCTTGATTGTGTGGCGACAGGGGTAAGTATCTTTCCTATGTCTGATGCTTCCGTGAGCTGACATGAGAAACAATTGTAGGTGGTTGGTGGGTGTCGCTGCTGCGGGTCGGACCCATTGAACGTCTCTGTCTGTGAACATGCGGAAGGCAACAGAGCGTGGGGAGGCTCAATTCGATGGTGACGGGGGTGAGTATCTTGCCTATATCTGATGCTTCTGTGAGCTGACTGGAATGAATACAGGTAGCTGGTGGGTGTCGCTGCTGCAGGTCGGACCAATTGAACGTCTCTGTCTGTGAATATGCGGAAGGCAACAGAGCGTGGGGAGGCTCAATTGGATGGTGACGGGGGTAAGTATCTTTCCTATATCGGATGTGTCTGTGAGCTGACATGAGAATCAATCGTAGGTGGCTGGTGGGTACCGTCGCCAAACTCGATCGATCGAACGTCTCTGTCTGTGAACGTGCGGAAGACAGCAGGGACGTGTGGTGAGACCGAGCCGAGGATGTGGTTGTATCTGTGCCTCATAGTTCATGTACAGAAATTGAAAAGTACTTTCCGATGTGTGATCTTCTCTCACAGTAAATAAGGCACAGATCCCCTTTGCGCTTCCACTGCAGACATCTACCTATGAGGATCCATGGGTCCTCATGATCTTCGTCTACCTACTAGGAACTCACAACCTACCTATGGAAATGGGGTTTGGTTCAATGTTATTTGCAGGTCACGTTAGAGGTGCGATATCAACATCGGATGGAAAGTCTCATTGACGAGGAAAAGGATGAGAGATGGCACGCTTGACTACCGGTGTAAGACAGAATATCAGAAAGCCACCAAAGGGACAGCAGAAATCCAATAGAATATAGCGCCTGACGTTTACAAGCAAGAAGCGGCAGACACTGGGCCAGTATATCATCAACAAGGGGAGTGTGCATGTTTCCGGTCAAACTGTGTATCATATCCTTCCTCCGAATCCATGATGTCCTCCTGATGGAACTCATGCGTCTTTGGATGTTTCCCCATCGACTTGAGCGGGCCTCGCGTTGCTGAAGCATCAGCCCCGCCTGTCGTCCACTCTTCCAGCGGAACAGCCTCGGCACGATACATATCGTTCATGGACTCCTCGTTTGGTTTGTTAATGGCCTCGGTACTGGAACGCTGGGCATCGCTATACTCGCGAGGGGCTGGTTTGTTTCCTCGACGACAAGGCGGTTTCCAAGAGCGAGGGAAAGAAAATGAAGGACGAGATTGCGAGGTGGAAGAGTAATAGCCATTGCTGTCCTTGTTTTGGTTGTTGTTGTTCCGCTGACCACGGTTGCTGTTGTACTGGAAGGCCTTGAGACCGAAGAGCTTGCGCAGTAGTGGCCACCAGCACATGAGATTGGCAACATAAACGGCAGTGCTGGCTTCACGGATGTACCAGATTTGGTAGGTTGTTGTGAGCGGGGAGGCGAAGTTGAAATATTTGTTGAGGATGGCAGCGATGATGGTGAACAATCCCAAACTCATGACGCCAATGAGGACGACCTTTCTGCGGCTCTTGAGCTGGGCTCTGATGAGGAGAGGAATTGGGATAGCAAACATGACTGCATCGGAGGAGATGTTGAAGACGGCTTGGGTGATTGAGTAGTGTTGGTATGTTGCGCATTGCATGTTGGTCACGGGCATAGCCCAGTATTGTGAGAATGGCCGGCAGTAGACCCCGTAGTAAGTGACTTCTATGACGACAAATCCGACGGCGATGTAAACGGCAAGGATCTTGATGTAGAGGTTCGATTTGAGATTTTGGGTGATTCGCCAATAGAGCATCAGCATGCATATCTTGACCCCCCAAGTCGAGATCAACATGCATTGCTCCAGTCCGATCACGATTTTGCTTCCATAGATCCGATCGCTGACTTGCTTGGGGTCTGCCAACACCTCGTCGTAGTCCTTCGGGTCCATGAGGTTTGTGGCATAGCGGGCGGATATTTGAATGAGCACTAGGAGTGTGGTATAAATCGCCTTCTAGTCCGTCAGTCGGGAGCAGTCAATCGATTCTCAATGATGACACTTACAAAAGTCGCAGTCATGACATAGTCATCCACTACAAAGCGAATGATTAGCACAATCCAAAGCAAAAGAGTCGAGGAGTATTACCGAACAAACGCTTGAATGATCCATTGGCGATGATTCGAGACACGCTTTGTTCCAGTTAGTATCACGCCGTCTCCGTACTTTGGATGCAAACTTACATTCGACCGATATAGATAACGAGAGCAATGGACCAGAATACAATTGCTTCTGTGAAGAGCTGTTGAGGTGTGGGCGACGCATCCCCCATCTTGATATACACAGCAAGCCTCACTCCAACGAAACCTCAAGTTCTCAGCAAGACTCAAGCTTTGTCTTCCATGTATGTTGACAGAACGATCTAGTTATTGAGGCGTTCTGACTAGAATCATCAGTGAGTGTAGTGAGCTGTTTCCATGCTTTGTATAGTACCAGCCATCTGAGCAGATCTATAAGGATGTATCAAGGGCAGGTTACTGCACCGACGAGAGCGATCATTTCATCTTTTCATTGATAAGGACCAAAGTCAAAAACCCGTGGCCAGATTCTAATGCTGCTAAGCGAGGAAAGTGCTGCCATGAGTCTTGGCCTCGAAATGTCGGAGCTGGGCTTGAGTTTACTGACAAGCAAGGAAGAATGGGGGCGCAAATGCAAGGGATCGCCTTGAAGCGCCAACTCGATGAATGGCAGTTCGGATTGGAATGTTGATCGTCTTGGTAAAAGAGCCATAATGCATCACATTCCGCCATTTTGTCTCAGAGGCCTTCTGCTCGGAGGCTGAGTAGGTTATGGCGAGTTGGGCGATTGTCCAGTGTAGTGCAAGCTGTGACGCAGGAAGTATGCGCGATATCTGCAATAGGACAGTTTTAAGCGAGGTCGGTGTAACCAAGAATAAGCACGTTTGGATGGACGCGATCGCCCTCATAATTTGGATAATTACTGTGTAATGCGGTCGAACTCCCCCGTATGCACGGTGCCGATAGCTTTGTGATCTCCGCCGACTTGGAAGACGGGAAGCAGCAATCGGGCTGACAGATCACATTTATTTGTGGATAAGTATGGAGTAAGATGCGTGAGATTTATCTGATTGGAGGGTTCGGAAGGTTGATCTGCAAGACGATCCTGGCCCGCAACAATAGTTCATGCCCAGATATGATCCCTGACGAAAATAGACTCATTCGAACTTATATACTCCGTAGGGCCGACAACTACACAGTACCTCTCACGATTCAACTGCGCCTTTGTCGAAGTTTAAATCGTCTTCGTGCATCATCTTGAAATTCTAATGGCTGGGTTGCAATCAAAGAGCAGCTCATAGTGAGGTTTGATGTGATTCGTTTGAGAGTAGAAACACAAGGCTGTTATCCTCCATTCATACATGTTAGCCGAGGAAGTCTCAGTGAAACTTTCACTGAGGCTTTTGAGTGTCCGAGGCGACTTCGTGGACTCTGAGCTGACCAGATGAAGAGCGTTTATGGTTAAGTGAAGCAGCAAGGGATGTACCACTTGTGCGTTTAGCGGTTGCCCCATAAGGCCGATGGCTCGCTGAGGAATCTGACAGTCTCCCACTTATACACCTGTAGAAGTGCTGCAGTAGAGGCATATCATATTGAAGCATATCGCCAGCTTGGCTCTTCAGTCTCCCTTCACCGCAGGTCCTGATCCCGCAAAGAGCTTTCTTGCTGTAACTATGGGCCTAGGTAATAAGCGCATGTATTTTGGACACATTTTAGAATCCGATCTTCTTCGACCCAACGGACCAGCACTCTCTGCATAGCTGAATAGCTGGCTGGCAGTCTTGACAAAACAGCGGGAGTTACCCGAGCGATTGTGGGATCACGTCGAGTGCTCAGCTCAACAGAGTTGTCCGGCAATGCCTCAACATGCTCATTCACACATTGGATTTGTTCAGACCAGCAGCGATAGTTCCCCGACGCAACAAGGGCATTGCCGCCTGTGCCAGTACAACAACTTTTGAGTGAAGCTCGTCATTGGTATTGGTATTCACGCTACAACTCTCCAACTCACGGGTGTCTCTTCCCCGGTGTCAGCTCTTTCATCCTGTTGCAGATTCTCTATGTGCACGGTAGGAAAGACAATGCCAAGAAGACCGTAGGAAGCAACAAATCGAAGTAACTTGATTGAGAGTAATAAGAGGCTCTTCACAAATCGTTACTGGTATATTATGATCGCTAGGGCCCAACAGATGCGCAAACTGAAAAGAGAAGAAGAGAATGGAAAGTGCTAGTTAGCCGAACATGCGTACTACACAGTATGTGAGCCTCGGTTAAGGGAAGCTGCCATCGTGCTTGACCTTGTTAGCGCCGATATCACATCCCCCTCATATTCACCTGACCTGCATCTGAAATCAGACCAGCTCTCTGACTTTGCCTGTACCGTATCATTGAACCTGCTTGGTTGCCATCCTGATTCATCCATGAGCCATAACGTGCTGTAGGTTCACATCCACCACATAAAATGCTCTGCCTGACTTCGCTTGGTTCTCGGCCGCTTGGACTCATTCACAACTCTCTTCAACACTGTTGGTATCTCAGAAGCTAAACCTCACCAGAGACACTTCTTTCTGACCTACCCAGTGGCGTTCATCTTGAAAACTTCTATCACTCGAGATCAGTCATGGAAATGCGTTGCTAAACTTCCTTACGACCGGGTGAGGTGATACTGCAATTCCAGTGTCCTGAAAGTTTGAGCGCGTTGGCCTGGAGGACATCTGCCCAGCCATCTGCCCAGCCATCTACCCAGCCATCTACTTGGCTATACCTCGGACAAGATAGTCTTAAGGTTGTGACTTGGCTCAACTTGTGGACCCATAGAGTGCTGTCTCAGCCAATTTACAAATGATTGAAGATATCAGAAGGATATTGAGCACTCAGGACAAAAACTAAAATAATTGAGCTCCGCTTGTGCAAAGGTTGCTAGTATGTGTACCCGCCAGTTTGCGCTCGTGGTAATTGCAGTGTGGAACCAACTGGCGAGTGTGCCTGTCGTACTCGCCAGTTGGTTCGCCAGTTGGTTCGCGACCAACATTCAAGATGAAGTTTCGGAGATAGAAGGTTATCTCTGGCATTGTTTGTCAAACAACGACAATATAGTTACTACATCAATGACATGTACAAGTCTGGGCGCCGTCATTGCAAATTGATCGATCACCATTCTGATTCACACGGACCACATGAGGCCATGTGGGCCATCAAGGGGATCGCGATTACATGCATGGCGCAGGCGAATTGGATGTCGTGCAGAAAGTCCTTGACATTAGAAGACGGAAGATAGGCAGTACAGTTCGGAAACACAATTTAAGAAGTCAAATTCATGATCTCGAACATGGATCTGCCGTTGGCCTGGATGTTCTCAAAAACCAGCCCATCGGATCGCCCGATCGACGCCCGGCTAACCCTAAAGCCGGGATTTGTGCCGCGAACCCCTTGCTTAGCCTGCGGTGTATCAACACATTTAACATTTAGGGAAGGTCCCAAGAGAAAGAGTTCTGACAAGTCCAATCAGAGGGGAATACTGTATCAGAAAGTGTTGAGCAGTTTAGCGCGAGTTCTATCCTGAATCGTCTCAGCAGATTGCAAGACTTATGGCCAATAGCAACATCTAGCTCGACAATTCTCTACCAAATCAAGAAAGCAGCATACCTGTCGGAAAATTGGAGGCCAAGCTCAATTAAACCTTTCCATTCCATGTATGTACTGTATCACACGTGGTTGCCATGAGGCATCGGCTACATCGGCCCTCGCATCTCACATTCCGGGGGATGCGACACGCCTGATTCTCTCTGTGTGCCCTGAACCTAGTGGTGTGGCGTATCTCCTTTTTATTCTCTCCGTCTTCCATATTATTATGGCTCAATCCCATTGTTGAATCTTAGCTGCAACATCCTCAATGACAGACGACAAAATGGTAGTGTTTGCTCGGCAAATCTGTCGGGAGAATGAAAAACCTCCGAAAAAGGATACAGCAATCGACGCAGTAAGGCTGGAGACTGCACTGGGTCATAAGCAAGAGCTGTCGAGGAACTTCGGATTATGGAGTTTGACCAGTCTGGGGATTGTCATTGCAAAGTAAGGAAAACTTGAGGCTTGCTCGAACCGCACTTCTATCGAACTAACATGCCGAAAGTTCCTGGGCTGCAACAGGAGGTACCATTGTTGCGGCGCTCCAGAATGGCGGTCCGATGGCGGTATTGTACGGTCTCATCCTGGTCAGCATCTTTTATACGACCATCTCTGCTTCCCTTGCCGAGCTCGCCTCGTCTATGCCCTCTGCCGGAGGTGTGTACTACTGGTCGTCAGTACTAAGCCGCAGTCGCGGGAAGACGGCGGGATTCTTTACAGGCTACTTGAATGCTTGCGCGTGGTTGTTGTCTGCGTCCTCGATGAGTTCCATGCTGGGAAATGAGGGCGTGGCCATGTATCTTCTCAACAATCCAACAATAAAGTGGCAATCCTGGCAAGTATTTATTGTGTTCCAGATCGTCAATTGGACCTGCTGTGGTATTGTGTGCATGGGGAACCGGTTTATCCCTCTCATCAACCGCGTTGCCCTCATTCTCTCGATGTGCGGGCTGGTCACGACTGTGGTGGTTCTCACGGTGCTACCGAAGAAGCATGCCAGCAATGCGCAGGTCTGGACCGAGTACCATAACAACACAGGCGGCTGGTCCGATGGAGTGTGTTTCATGACTGGGCTGTTGAATGCTGCATTCGCCGTTGGAGTCCCAGACTGTATCAGCCATCTATCAGAAGAAGGTAACGTCGGCCATTAGAAAGAAAAGTTGTTGAGAACACCGAATAACACATTATGCAGTGCCCAAGCCCGAGATCAAGGTACCGCAAGGCATAATGCTGCAGATGCTCACAGCCTTCGTGACATCATTCGTCTACCTGATCGCCCTCTTCTACTCTATCCAAGACCTCGACGCCGTCTTCCAAAGCAGCATCGGCTTCTTCCCCACTGCCGAAATCTACCGCCAAGCAACAGGCTCAAACGCAGGCGCCATCGCTCTGATCGCCGTGCTCTTCCTCGCAACCTTCCCAACCCTGATCGGGACATTCGTGACGGGCGGCCGAATGTGGTGGAGTCTAGCGCGTGACAACGCAACGCCCTTTTCGAGCTATTTCGCCCAAGTCCACCCGACATTGAACTGCCCTGTACGTGCGACGGTCGCAATGAGCGGGCTCGTCACTTGTCTGGGGTGTATATACATTGGAAGCACGACGGCGTTCCAAGCGCTGATCTCGTCGTTTATTGTGCTTAGCTCGTTGTCGTATTTTGGAGCTATACTTCCGCATGTTCTGTCTGGTCGGCGGAATATGGTTCCTGGGCCGTTTTATATGGGTCAGAACCTTGGGATGCTGGTTAATCTGGTTTCTCTCATGTATATTGCTGTTACTGTGGTTTTCTTCTGTTTCCCCTTCGTCTTGCCAGTGACGGTTCAGAATATGAACTATACCAGTGTGATAACTGTGGGGCTGATGGCTCTCACTGCTTTGTGGTGGCTCTTCCGTGGAAGGCGGCAATATCATGGGCCGCAGTATAGCTTTGAGGCTGCTGAGCGGTTGGCTGCTTTCCAGGAGGGTAAGGAAGGTCGTCGGTCATTCATTGATACGGTGGATGGTCAGCCCCAAGGTCAGGAAAATGTTTGACGATAATGAGAAACGGGCAAATTGGCAGGTATACGGAGGATTTTTGGTTGTTGATATTATTTGATCTGGACAGAACATGTATCACTTTGGAACGCTTGATGAATATGACGTTGATTTATGTGTCAAATACGCAGTCTTCAAGGCCTACATTCGAAAAAGAATGAAGATCTGACATGGCCACTTGGCCGTTCAGTAGAAATTCTGGGAATAGTGTTTTAAGGTCATAACTATCATGGAGCTCACTAGAAGTGACAAGGTATCTCCTCTTCACAGACGTGCTTGAATGCTTTGTCCTCCCTCCCAGGTATCTCCAGCCTCGAGGGTCTGCCAGCCAGAGACTGAGCCAGCCTCCACACAAATCATGTTCTTGTAAGCCTCATCAGGGCCAAAGTCAGCCATCCCCTTGGCCTTTTCAATCCATGGGTTCCAAACAACAACATCAGACAAAGCCTCCCGAGTGATGGAGAACAGAGGCTTGTCATCGGCAGATGCGACAATAACTGGAACAGCGGGGTCAAGATTTTGGTAAACGCGGTCAGTTTCTTGTGTGATCGCCAATGCAGGGGACGATTCGGTGTGAGAAGTCGCCTGGAGAGTCTTATCGATGTAGGTCTTTGATTCAAGACCCTTCACACGGACGTCAGAGATATCCTATATGTAGAATCTCAGGTCAGTGGGACAGAATGAAACGTAAAGCTGCAGTGTCATAACATACCGCAACCTTGAGGTAGGTGTGCATCAGAACCTGGAACTCGAAGTTCTTCTGACCATCATTGCGAACCTGCAATGCCGTCTCTAATGTATCCTTCGTGAGCGTAACACTGTATACCAGACCAAATTCATGTGGCCACATCTGACGGAACTCATCGGTCAACATGGAGTGTGACAGTCCGAAATCCAATTTGACGTTCATATGGCTCTGGTCGCTATTGCTTCCGGGCGCTTCAAAAGCGGACTTGCCCAAGAACTCCCAGTTGGAGTTCCGTGCGAAGCCATGTTGTGGGAGGCTGGAGGTGTCGTGGTTCTGAGGCGGGGGACCGAAGACCTGGAGATCGAAGCAGGGCGCTTAGCTGTAGGTCGAATAGCGGAGAGTAGGATTTCACATACCGGGAACACCAGCGGAATGCCACCACGGATAGGTTTGGAGCCATCGAGATGGGCCTTCTCACTGACAAACAGGTGCTCCTTGCCATTGACCTTCCAGGAGGTCACAGTAGCGCCGTACAAGTTCACAGCAACTGACTGACCGGTGGGCAAGGACGCTTCGATAACGTTGTCCTTGATGGACAGAGAAGGTTGTGGGAGGGAAGCTCCCACTCCGATAGCAGAAGGCTTCTTGGATCGGTCCATGATGTTATTGAGTAGGGAATTGGGGGTGTGTAGGTGTGTTGGAAGAGGAAGAAATGGGGCTGACTGGTGTTTCACGTTGAAGTCATGGCGCGGGGCGATCTTATCGCGCCCCTACCGCCCCACTGTTATATTGACGCCAGCCTCACCCATGCGTCGAAGGAGAGTGGACTATCTGTCTACGTCTGGATTATTTTGATTCTCACGATTGTCATGTCCAATGTTGTTATTATGCACGCAGAAACCCCGTAGAAAGAATAATAAAAGTTACATCAAAAGTGAAGAGGCCCGGGTCCAAGCATTCCCAGACAATGACAAACGCGCTGTGTGTCAAGTTATGAAGACACATAGGATGCAGGTGGGGAATAATTAGAAGCTGTTCAATGTCAAAAAATGTCGTGCCCAAGGGGTCTCGCTCTAAACGCCATTCGCTATGCTGAAGTATTGTGTCGCATCGATGCATTCTGCGCTTCGCAACGAAGTTTGAAAAGAAGATCATCGATTTCGCGGAAAGCTTTGGGGCCAATTGACGCCAGTTTCATTTCACTCAGGATTTTCTCCAGAGAATTGGTGACGCCTTCTTCGCTGATGTCTATTTCGGGGGGCGTTTCTTGGGTTTGGGTGCCCGTCGTGGAAACATTTGTGTTTTGCTCGACTTTGTCGCTGGATTGCTGTGGAGCATCCACCTCGAGATCCATTTCAAGATCTGGTTTAATCGCCTCTCCGACCAGTTTCTCCATCTCGGAACCAGGAGTGGGAGTTGCTTCTTCGGTAGAGACAAGAGGGATGTTCTGCTCCGCCCGGTCTTCTGTATTGACGCTCTCAGGCACAATGCCGATGTCAAGATCGGGCTGAGATGGGAAGTGGTTGCTATCGCTATGGTCTTCGGATACAGTACTTGGGATTGCTGGTTGAACTTCCACCACAGGTTGCTGAGACCGCGTTTTGCGGGAGCGCGTTCCTCGAGCGACACTTTGAGGGGTGTTGACCGTGGAATTGGGATTGGACTGGTCATCCAGACGCAGCGATTTGCGAGGTCGTTTTGACGGTCGCGGGGTCTCAGCTTCCTGTGTAGGCTCTGGTGCAGCAGATCCCTGAGTTGCAGGGAGCGAGTCTGCAGATGCATCATCGGCCTCTTTTCGTTGGGAACTGCGGGTGGATCGGCGAGTCATAGTCGGCGACAATGATTTAGCCGGAGAGACGGGCTGAGAATTGACAGATTGCGAGTGTGAATCAATGGGCTGTGATGAGTCGACATCATCCCCATCTTTGAAGGCGGAGAGTCGCATCGACCGGCGCCTGTCTGTTCTATTTGACGAAGGAGCATCCTCGTCTCGCTTTCTCTTCTTCATGGGTGATTTCTCGGCTGGCTGTGCTCGGTCTGCGGAACCCCTCCTGTCCACAGCTAGTTCCAAATCCAGTCCAAGCTGAGATGCGATTTGCGACTCGGTCTCCTCACTTGAGTCCATGACACTATCCGGAATATTGTCGGGGGGTGTCGGAATGGCTTGTTCAGGTTGATCGTCGCCAGGCTTTGAATGGCCTTGATTTCGTTTCTTCTTGGAACTTGAGTTTGAGATCGACTTGTTCTTGCGAGTAGGCTGTTGGACTGGCGTCTTGTCAGGGTCACCCAGTGCTGAAGTAGGCTCTGTCGTAGGGCGGTCTTCTCCGAGCGCAGACCGTAGACCGCGACTGGGTGTTGTTCCCTCTGCTCGAGGTGTAACGTCGGAATTTTTGCGGTCTTGATCATGAGCCTCAGTCATAGGAGTGTCTGTGTTTTCTGTAGCGAGGCGGGAAGTAGCTGGGCTGTTCACTGTTGACTGATTACTCGCAAGAGCCTTTTTTGCCTTCGCCGCCCTCCTCCGTGCACTCTTCGTGAGGGATTTGCGAGGGCTGGGGCTCCGTGAGTGGATTTCAGGCGGAGAGGATGGAGGATCAATTTCCAGGCCTCCATGAGGTTGATTCAAGGTGAGGGCCTTGGATTTCGTGGCAGGTGTCGGGTCTCGGGTTCCAGGCGTGGGAGATGAGCCAATGAATCCTTCGTCATTCTCAGTAGGGGCGAGGGTCGGCGTCAGAGGAATTTCGGCAAGAGGATCCCCATGTATTTTGCGTAACTGAGTAGGCGTATCAAAACCTAACTTCCGTGGTGTACTGGCCGGTGACGATGATTGAATAGACTCAATCATCGAAAATATTTCACGGTGATCTCTGGGCTTGTATGATGCAGAAACACCATCAACGATCTGCGCATCCGTGGGCTGCGGGAAGGTGTCTGGTAACTGGGGCTCATTCAACCGCGTAGACGCCTTGAAGTCCATGGAATCTTGGATCTGCCTTACCGGCGAGGAAAGCTGGGTGTCTTGAGCTTGAGCCGGATGATCAACTGCGTCCGGTGAAATGGGCCGAGCCGACATCCCCATGGCCTGATCACCCCCTTGCACAGGTAACGTTGCACTCTGAACTCGAGACTCGGAAATTTGCACAGCCTGTAGGATGGCGGTTGGACTGACAAAAGCCAGTGGAGCAAATGTCATAGCCCAAAGCTCGACATATCTCTTGGTTGTCGACATGTGCGAGGACTCCAAGCCCGCACAGAGAATGTGTTCGAATTTCACTAAAGAGGGGAAATCATGGGACACCGCGGTTTGCAGGATATTGAGCGTGGCCGACGAGAGAGCACGACACGCTGTCAGTATCCTGCTGTCAACACCGCAATCGAGATTGATTTTGCGAGATTCATCTTTCAACCACAGACCCAGTGACAATTGCAAAGACTCAAGAACTTGGCATTGGAACTGCGCAATACCAGAACCCAGGAAAGAAGTCAGTCCCTCGATGAATTCGGCAAGACCGTGGGCAGTTGATGAGTGGAAGTCTTCGTATGCACCTTGCAGTGTCTGGGCAATCGACTCGAGAAGTTTGTGAGGGAAAATATGATTATCGCCTGACCGGGTGCCATCACGATCAACCCCTAGCCCAGAACCTTGCAGAAAAGGGATAGAGAGGGAGTGACCAAGGAGTGAAGTTGAGGGCAGATATGTCTCGGCAGCAGAAACATGCATTAAGCGTTCGGCCATGGGTTCCACAATCGTTATGGCGACAGCTTGGTTTCCCTTTTCTGTGCGAACCACGCGAACAAATGAGTCAAGCAAATGAGACCACTCCTGGAAAGAGGAGGCGAACGAAAGGCCGAACGACAAAATCTTGATGATATTTTCATAGTCTCGAGACACAGAGCCATCGCGCTCACGTGCAGACTCGATAGGGAAAGACTGTAAAGCGTTTGCGGCTGCCTGAGCAGTGGCACTCCAAACCATTGCCGACAGGTGAGGTGCACAGGGACTGCCGCTGGGGCTCGTAGCGCTCAATTCCCCACATTGTTGAAGAAGCTCGAGACGGGAACCACGGGTCACTTTGCCGTTGCATGCAGCTTCGATACTACCCAAAGCTAGCCGTAGGTAGGATTGGTTTGGTGATATTGGAACTGCGGTGCTACTGATGAGTCGAAGCATGTGGATGATGGGGCTTTCCGGGGACGTGTTTGGGTGCGGGTTTGCGGGAGTATTCGCGGCTTCCTCCGCATTTCTCAAGAGAAGCTTTTCTGTAAATGGAATACCCCCAATGGAAACAATCATTGTCGTGGATAAGAACTGGAACCTCCCGAAGAAAAGATCTATTGTCTCGGCGTTCAAAGAGGAAGGCCCCGTGGCCCAGACGCGACGCAATAAACCCCAAACGCTGGCAGCAGCTTGCATTGATTCGCCAGAGGGAGTGATCTCTTTGCTAGAGGCAAGCGATAGAGCATTGGACAGACTCGTCCAGGCCAATGCCACGTGGGACTGGCCCACTGCGTCATCATCCCAGACCGAAGCTTTGAAAACATGCTCAAAGACCCTCAGGATTGGAGTGATTCTCGATCGAACCCATCTGCTATCGGCCGCAGGAAGTTCCTCCGCTTCTATCTTGGTGGACTCATTGATGCGATTTTCTGTCCAGAGCTTGGGCTGGGCGCTCCACAGCAAGTTTGTCAATATGCGCGCGAGGGAGTCGCTGAGAACTGGAGCTGATGAGAAAATGCCCGCAGACGGAGTAGCCACATATTCCTCCCATATGATATCCAGATGTCGAAAAGAAGCCGAAGGGCGGAAGGTGTAGTATAGTAAGTTACAATAACTGGCCAAAGCCAACGGAGAGGGGGGTAACCCTAACTTGTCTGTCTTCTTGCGGTCGAATTGAGATAACACCGGTTTTCCCAGCATTTTGAGCAGAGAACGACTCGTCGATTCGTTGGGGCTGACAGCAAAGACAAAACGATTCCATCCGAGAATAGCCTGTGCTTTGATTGCCGGTTCACTGCAGTTAAAGCATTTTTGGAGAACTAGAACCCATTCTCTGAAATGGTCCCATTGCTCTAGACTCCATCTTTTGCTTCGGAGAAACAGAACGATAATGCTCCAAATCTGGGGGATGTGCACACCGCTCTCCACAGATGGCATCATGCGAGTCATGCGTTCACGAACCTCCGTCACAAGTTTTCGGTCGTGGTCTAGTGGCCGGTCGAAGAGATCACGGATGTTTTTCGACAGTATTGGGTTCGGACCGGCTTCCATGGTCACCTGAAAACCAAAGGCGATCGCTTTTGACCTGGTGTCCTTCAAATGGTGAAGCAATCCAAATATCAAATGTTCAACCCACAAGCTTGCTTGTGAGATGAAAGTCGACTTAGCTTGGCCCATCAGTCGTTGGTAGATGTTCAATCGGTAGGAAACGATTGCATTGCCACTGATTTTCTTGGTAATGTCTTGCAGCACAGCCAGGAGACGGGTAACCCGCGCAGTAGTCATAACTTTGGGGCCGAAATTTTGAGTGGAGAGTATGGACATGTAGTGCGTCAAAACGGATTTGGGTACCTTGGCCTCATAAAGACAAGAGATGGAGTGGTCTATCAGGAATACTTTGAACTCCTCCGAGAGCTGTGTCGAGATCTGCGCGTGCCAAACAAAAGCAGCCGATAACTTGAGAGCTTGATTGGCAAGGTTTGTGTCAAGAGGGAGGCCGTCTGCAAGATCCCGGCTTACATCTCGCTGAATGAACTCGGTGATCAAATTGAGCTTGTCAGCGATCTCCTGACCAGCTGGAAGACCGTCATATGTGCGCAATGCGCCAAAGAACTGCATGTAGGCATCGAGGCGAGAACTGATGGACTCGCCAGCCAGTTGTTGGATGACTGATTCGAGCAGCATGGCGAGCGATTCGGCGGTGAATGTATCGACATTGGGGGACCAAACGGGGATTGGTGACTGGGTAGCTTTCAAAATCGATTTCGTAGGCTTGGATTCCGTGGATGAAGGGGTGTTGTTCGTGTCGGGGGCCGACGTCAAGGCACTAGTAAAGGACGGCGGTTTGATGAACTTGGGCCATGGCGAGAAGTTCACTTTCTTCGAGCTTCGACTGGAGGGGCCGGCTCCAACCGATCCCAACGTCGAGAACGGCGATTCCTTGGGCGTTTGAACAGGCAGAGGCGACTCGGTGTTGTCAATCACGATGCGCGAAGCTGTTCTTGGGGGTGTAGGCGGACGAGCAGAGATCATCTCCACCATGATTTAGAGAAAATGCGGGAATGAGACAAAGGAGCCAGTATCATAGATCATTGCTGAAAGGGATACGATTCAGGCCCTGTCCATGATCCGTTGAAATGATGAGTAGGATTCAAGAAGCCACCTGATCGAAACCTGAGAAAACTAAGTTCAGCTTCCGACGCGCCGCGATGCGCGTAAAGTGTCACCGCCTGAGGCGACGAGGCACCAATACGCGGACTATTATTGCGAATTGTGGTCGCAGCTTTGATGAGTCCAAGGTTCTATACGCAATTTTTCAATCTCTGGCCATAGTTAGTCCGTATACAGCAGTACATAGCGTACAATACTCAGTAGTTGAGGCAGTTACAGTTCAGCGCCACACTCTTCAGGTACCTCTGTGGCGCGCGCGAGCACAAAATTTACAGGGGTCCGCGTCTACGATGTATTGGAGATGAAGCCGGGGATTGTATGGAGTAAGGAAACGTTCGCCAGGCTAAAGCTACACCATTGCTACACGGAGGATTTGCCAAGCTGGAGGAGCTCACCTGAAGTGGGGTGTTGCTCAATCGATCATCACGAGTTGCGCCTCACTTCCCCGCGTCACTGCTTTTCCTTTCTTTCATTCCTTCGTCAATAACCACCGAGCAAAGCTGCAGTCCTGCCCTTACTCTTCTGCGCGAGTCGGAAATTTTGCTTCAGCACGAGACATCAGCGACATTTCACGTGCAGCCCTCGATTCGGTCCGAGGTCAGATCAGCATGGCGTTTCTTCAGACGCAAGGATCGGGTGCGTCGGGGCAATTGAACTACTCCAACGCAGCGAAATATGGACTGACCCAATTTTGAGGATACAGCGAAGCTAGAGCAGGTCACGCAGCTGCTAAATCGTCTTGAAGACGACCTAAAAGAGAGCAACCTCTCGACAGCTGGTATGCCGGATGTGACAACCCACCTATAATGAATCAACTCTAACCCTTACTCATTAGACAGAGTCCAAACCCTCCTACAGCTCCGACAACATGGCACGAGCCCCGCCAACGCAGAACCGATTTATTCACAGAATGTACGCGCACAACAATTGAAGCTGCCCACCGAGGAATACAATTGGTTCTCATATTTTCTAGGGCATGAATGTTTTGGTACGCTATGGAGTTGAGGGAGAGACTCATGACGTGCGACGAGCGGCCTTGCGCTGTGTTGCAAATGCGCTTCTGCTTGTTCCCAGAATGCGTCAGAATTTTGTCGACACGGGATACAGTGGAAAGCTAGCAGAGAAGCTCAAGGTGCGCCCGCAGGAGACAAACTGTCGAGTCAAGGGCTAATGACCCGTAGACTGATGAATCGGAAGACGAAATGATCACCAGTCGTATATTGTTCTACGCAACCTATGACACCACGCTGGACTTCAAAGACTTGATCACGACACATGCACTTGCAGACAACGTCAACTATGTGAGTGGATTGGACAAAGTCAAGGATGACCAGATGTGCTAATCCACGTAGCAACTGAGCCGTCACGCAGACCAGTTTCCCAAGTCAGGAAGGAAGCCTTTGTCACAGATGGACGAATTGGCACTGACAGACACATTGAAGTTGATATACAACATCTCCAAGATTTTTTCTGATCTCGCCGTTCACTTCTCCCCCTCTATCTCCCACATCTTGAAAATCATCAGCCGCATTGATATCCCGGCAAAGCCCCTGGATGGGCTTGTGGGCTATTTGCTCAATGCGTTGTCTATTCTTGACTTGGAGGAAAAGAAAGGCAAGGCTTTCGAGAGCAGCCCCCTTTTCCCGACATTTGACCAGAACTGCAACGTGGAGAGATTGATCAAGATTTTGGACCAGGCAGTTTCTTCGTATAGCACCGAGGAGCTGAATTCCAAGGCTATCCCATTACTATATTCACTCATCGCAATGTACGAAGTGGCACCCGATGCGCCCCGCGAAAAGATGCAGCACCTTCTTTTGCCTGAAGGCGACGGCAGCGTGCCCATTGGCCAGTCTGACACGCTTTCCTCAAAACTACTAAAACTCTCAACAAGCCACTTTGCCGACCTCAAAGTTACAATCTCCGAACTGATGTTTGTGCTGTCGGGTAAGGATGCTGAGAAATTCACTAAAAACATTGGCTATGGCTTTGCTGCTGGTTTCTTGGCGGCACGGGGCATTGAGATGCCAAAGAGCGCAAGTGAAAAGTATGCAGTCAACGAGGACCCTGAAACAGCTCGCAACCCGATCACTGGGCAACGGTGGGCCGCTGAGCCACAGGATACGGGTCCCCCTATGACGATGGAGGAGAAGGAGCGTGAGGCAGAGAGACTCTTTGTGCTGTTCGAGAGGTATGTATACCGTCAGGCCTATTGAGTGCCACTGCTGACAAGTGTCGTGACAGAGCGAGAGCCAATGGTCTCATCAATGTTGAAAACCCCGTGACCAAGGCTCTCCACGAGGGGAGGTTCGAAGAACTATCGGATGATGCCGATAGCGACTGAGCGTCATTAATGCGGTTATTGCGGCTATTAGCGACTTCCTTATCATCGATTGCTGGAGTTCGTTGGGGTTGATTTTCTTCTTTGGCCTCTCACAGCATGCTGCACGATGTACGACCATACCCTTTAGTAAATCTGTAGGGATGCTGGCATCCATCTATTGCTTAAATGAATAAATGGGATGACTTCTGCTTGGTCCAATGCTGAAATTCATGCGCATTAAGATTCTACAATACTTCAGTATAGTTGAGCTGGGGGTGGGTAGTGTTTATGCATCCCTTGGCGGGCGGAATGACGTTGTGCAGGGCGGAGGCGGCGACCAGGCTCTCCGCCCGTCAAAAAAATTATGCGCGGGGCATTAACACATCAGCCCACTTGACCTTCTCCCCACTCGTCATATCACCGTTGTCCTATTCATACAAGCGCCAACATGTCGAAAGCATTCAACCCCGAGGAGGCGGAGAACCTCGAAGATGTACGACCCTTCCATACGGCCTTGTGAAGATCCTTGATCGCTAACAGTCGCAACAGATGGAGAAGCAATTCGCTGTCAAAGGTCAGTCGCACGTCGACCACATTTCAAGTCAATTCTCAGGCAAGACCATTATACTGACATTCTATCCCTAGCGGTTGAACATCTCATGACATATTGGGCCATTTTGGAAAAGGTCAAGGGTTCGCAGCTCCGCTTGACCAAGCAAGACAACGAGATCTACGAGTCTTTTAAGGAGGCATTCCCCGATTTCGACCCCGCCGCAACTCTTTCCGAGGATGAGATGAAGAGCAAGGCCGGCAAGGAGAAGTGGCGGAATTGGATGATGCAGTGGGAGAAGGTCGAGGACTTCAATTTCGGCACAATCATTCGCACCCGCGCGGACGCCGAGTATGACCAGGACACCACCATCTTCGGCGTGCGCATGCAGTTCTACGCTATTGAGATTGCCAGGTGAGTGGCGAGTGGAATTGGTTGAGCGCATAGAATCTGACAGAATCTTCTAGAAACCGCGCTGGTCTGAACGATTGGATTTACGAGAAGGCCCAGAAGGCCAGCTCTTGATTATAGAGCATGCTTTATTGCTGTTCTTTCAATCGAGGAGCGTTCCACATCCGGTCTGATTCGCCGACGCCATACAATGTGGCGCGGATGATGAACGACCTTGAGATTGCGATATGGATCTGAGAGGCTTGGTGTATCATGGTCCGCGTTCAATCAACACACGATAGAATCTTGATCATACCCCAGATATTTGTGGTACTGATAACCATCGAACCATCTCATCGATCGCGACCTAAATGTAGATAGGCTGTCTGCCGAGAGTTGGGCAGCTGTTGAACATTGGACCCGAAATATACCCAGAATAAATGTTACTCTCAATGGTTTATTGTCTGTTTCACCGAATTGCTGGTATACACATTATTAGCTGGTTGGCTTGCGAAATCATAGTTGGAGATGGTCGCCATCGACGGGATACCACTCATTCGGTAGGTCTGATTTACTCTCATTTGGCCGGTGGGCAAACCTTCGTCTTCTGCCCAGATGAAGTGAGGGTTGTGTGTGTTGTTTCAAAGGAAAGGCCGATGCGTGATAGAATCATTCCATGTTCCTGCTTACAATGTCGGAGCAATAGATCGGGCTCTTTGTTCTCGCCCCCCTTCAATGTTACCCCGTTCGGAAGTTTTTTAGTATTGTTCTTTTTGTGAATGAATCATTTCCTGGAACATAATGACTCGACCATGGCTATCTTCTGCTGATCTCTAGGTAAAACTCTCACCTCACTGTTGTGATACTACGGCACGTCAACAGAAGTATCTTCGAGCCAACCCAAGTCTTTCACGTAACTTTCAACCATTGCGCCAAACATGTGGACCATATGGAGAATCTTCAAACGGAGTGACACCATCAAGGAAAAGCATCCAGGTTGGAGCTCGCTATTCGAATTCACGACTCGGCGACACCTGCCGACTCTCATATTCGGGTCCATCTTCGCCATCGCTGCTAGTTGCGTGACGCCAGCACTTGCAATCTTCCTCGGCAATGTTTTCGACGCGTTCAATTCTTTCGGAGCTCATCTGACAGATGCACAAGGGCTTCGCAGCCACATCCTCACGAATTGTTTCGGAATGATAGGTTTGGGCGCGGCGGGTTGGTTCCTGAATGGTGCATACTTTGCCACGTTTGTTGCATTCGGTGAGATGCAGGCCTCTAATATTCGCAGCAAGGTGTTCTTAGAGCTGCTAAAACACGACGTTGAGTGGTTTGAAGCTAAAAGTGAGGGCTCTGGCGCATTGCTGACGGGGATACAAGCGTGGGTTTGATATTGAAATTCCGGTGCGTCTTTCTCTAACAGGACTCTCTCCAGGCACATACATGAAATGCAGATGGCAACATCACAGCCACTCGGACTTGTACTGCAATACTCGTGTCGCTCACTCGCTTCGCTCGGGCTGGGCTTCTACACATCATGGAGGCTCTCTCTTGTAACACTTGCCGGCATCCCCGTGTTTTCCTCCATCATTGCATTCCTTGCTTCAAGAATGAAATACAGCATCACAGCACAACAAGAGGAGCTTACGGAGGCATCTAAGGTTGCCAACAATGCCATTACCAATATCGATACGGTCAAATGTCTCAATGGACAAGCCTTTGAGCATCGGAGCTTCGCTGAGCGCATCGAAAAGTCCGCCACCCACTATCTTCGACAAGCTCGGTTGAACTCCTTGCAAATCGCATTTATTCGGTGGATGATGTTCGCTATGTTTGTCCAGGGGTTTTGGTATGGTAGCTCTCTTGCCCGTGCCGGAACACTTACGTCGGGAGAGGTTCTCAGAACGTTTTGGGCCTGCTTAACTGCAGCTCAATCTATCGAGCAAATCCTGCCACAGATGATTGTGATGGAAAAGGGCAAGGTCGCTGGTATTGCCCTGAAATCAATCATCCAGAGCCGGAAAGCAGACAAGGCTAGGAATGAGGCGAAGGGGGCTAGTTATCCGCAGCACTGTGAAGGTGATATCGAGATCAAGAACGTGAGTCACTCTTTTCCTAGTCTTCGCTATAACCCGAGCACTAACAAAAGCCCATAAAGGTTTCATTTTCATATCCCAGTCAGCCAGACCAATGCGTTCTCAAACCGTCAAGCTTTTTCTTCCCTGCCGGGGAAACGACATTCGTGATAGGGAAGAGTGGCTCTGGCAAAAGCACTCTGAGCCAATTGCTGATGCGGTTCTACTTGCCAAACTCAGGCGAGATCCTCATCGATAACAATCCAATCGAAGATCTCGACATCAAGTGGATTCGCAACAACATTACTCTTCTAGAGCAAAGGAGTGTCCTATTCAATGAGTCTGTACTCACGAATATCGCCTTCGGTCGACAGGATCATGAGTCTGTGACCATGCAAGATGTACAAGATCCAATTGACCTGGCCCAGCTCGGAAACACCATCGACGGTCTCCCAAACGGAATCAATACTTGCGTTGGCCCAGGTGGAAGCTTCTTGAGTGGAGGTCAAAGGCAGCGCGTTGCCATCGCCAGAGCAAAGCTACGCGACAGCCCAATACTAATCTTGGATGAGCCAACTAGTGCTCTAGATCACACCAACCGGGTTGCAGTGATGAAAGCAATCCGCGAGTGGAGGAAAGGAAAGACTACGATAATCATCACCCATGACATGTCGCACATCCAGGACCAAGACTACCTCTACATCCTCGAACAAGGTTCAATCGCAAAGTCAGGCTACAGATATGCGGTTGAAGCCAGCCCTGGCAGCGAGAAGTATTTTCCTGCAAGGGTCGACGATGGACTGGGAACCAAGCCTCGGATGGATCTCCCAGTGGACAACTCGTTATCTGAGAATTTAGAGGGCTTATGGCCCCCAATGGCTCTGCTGGGCCATCATCGCGCCAGGACATCCTGGGCTCATGGCCACATTCCGCTTAGCTTTCGCTCCGCGTCTCTGGACTTGACTTCAAGAAGGAATTCCGAATATGTGGTCAGGGATGGAGAGTTCCCGGGATTGCCGTTGCGAGATTGGGGCCGACGCGTGTCCTTCACGGCAGACACACCACACCAGCAGAAAGGCCAGGACGCCGTATCTATCCATGTTCCTACGGAGGAACTCGAAATGGGTCATCTCAGTGGTGAAGTATCAAACTCCGACGGATGGCCTCAGGAAGTTACCCCTCTGGATCGGTCACATTCACAACGCCGCAGTAGGCCCCATCGACGCCGAGATAGACCGAAAAAGCAGCAAGCGCCCAAAGAGGATATGACTCCGCTCTCCCACATTATGGGTACCATATATCCAACTTTGACCCTTAAGCAGCGGATAATTCTTTTCCTAGGATTTGCAGCAGCAATAGCCCATGCAAGTGCAACTCCGATATTCTCATTCTGCTTGTCGCAACTGTTCGGAACCTTCTACGCCGGATCAAACAGTGAACATTTGACAATGACATGGTCACTTGCCGTACTGGGTGTCTCATTCGGAGACGGTCTTGCATCCTATTTCATGCATTATTTCCTAGAGCTATGCGCCGAGGCCTGGATGAACTCCTTCAGGAAGACTGCGTTCGAACGCATCCTCGACCAGCCACGAGCCTGGTTCGAAAAAGATGCCAACGCATCTCTGCGACTCACAATCTCCCTCGACCAGAACGGCGAAGACATGCGAAACTTGCTCGGCCGTTTCGCCGGGTTCGTGGTCGTCGCTGCTGCAATTACCGTTATGGCGATTATCTGGAGCTTCATAGTTTGCTGGAAACTAACACTCGTTGCTCTTTCCTGTGGACCGGTGATATACATTATCACCCGGGGCTTCGAGGGAACGAATGGATTGTGGGAAAGGCGATGTAACCATGTGAACAGTATGGCCGCGGATGTCTTTACTGAGACTTTTTCGGAAATCCGTACTGTGAGGACGTTGACATTGGAAGGTCATTTCCATCGGAAACATGCCAATGTCATTGCGCGGTGCTTGTATTTGGGGCTGAAGCGCGCCATATACACGGGCATGCTGTTTGGTATGGTGGAATCAACTGTCATATTTTCAACTGGTAAGCGTTATATTCCTCTTAGCGACTGACATTCTGACTCTTTTCAGCCTTGATCTTCTATTACGGAGCGGTACTTGCAGCATCAGGCGAGTTCAACGTGAACGATGTGATGATGGTGTTTTCAATGCTCCTATTCAGCATTGGATATGCGGCCCAAATTCTCTCCTGGAGTTCGTATGCTCCTGCAACACTCTTAAGAAACATCGGACTTACCTTTTCCACAGTTCCCCAGATCAACTCCTCTCGAGAGATAGCGACGCAACTTATTCGTCTCGCAAGGCTGCCACAAAATGCATCCCACGAGCACATAGGCAGCCTGACACTCTCCAATCTTACCCCAATCAAGCTCACGAACCTGAATTTCCGATATCCCTCACGACCAGAAACGACAGTCTTAAAGAACGTTTCAATATCAATCCCTGCCAATTCCTGCACGGCACTTGTAGGACGATCTGGATCAGGAAAATCCACCATTGCATCACTACTTCTAGCCCTCTACGAAGCCCCAGTCTCCGAAATAGGCCGACCGACAGTGACACTCGGCGGCGCAGATATCCTACGCTTGCACGTGCCAACCCTGCGCTCGCAAATATCCATCGTATCCCAGCAGCCAACTATTTTCCCAGGCACCATACACGAAAACATCACCTACGGCCTCGACCGACACTCATCTCTTGCTACATCTCACAGTGTGCGTATCGCCGCTCAAGGGGCGGGAATTGACGACTTCATCTCTTCCCTCCCTGCTGGCTACAATACGGTCGTTGGAGATGGCGGTGTTGGTCTTTCGGGTGGACAAAAACAGCGCATCGTCATTGCACGGGCGCTTTTACGCCGGCCACAAATTTTGATTCTCGACGAAGCTACTTCGAGTCTGGATCCGGCTGGCGCGGAGGTTGTGCGCCAGACGGTAAGGAAATTGGTGGCGGTGCGGAAGGAGCTTACGGTCATTATTATCACGCATGCAAAGGAAATGATTGAGATTGCGGGTCATGTCGTTCTTCTTGATCAGGGGGTTGTTGTTGAGGATGGTCCATATCGTCAACTGGTGAATTTGCCGGGTGGGAAGTTGAATGCTTTACTTAGGGATCCTGAAGTCGATTAAATCATCTGTTATTCTGTTCATATATTCCACGTGGCTTTTGGTTTCTTAAATCTTCCCTATTTAACTTGATTGTAGTGTTGTCATGAAACTGTTCCATCTGTTGCATCTATGAGACTATGATGGTGGTAAAAGTGTGCCAGGAATCGGATCAACATCTCCAATTTCTTGGCGTTGATATCCACCCCCTGCAACGCCTCACAGAAAGCGCCTCCATCAATTCCCTTCTTCTCAACCAGAGTAATCTCAAAATACCAACGATTTCCACAGAAGGGAGAAAGAGAAAAAATGCCACCGACTCTAATCTTCGCACCGGGCGCATGGTACCCACCCACCATATTCAACCCAATCATCAAACAGCTCGCCAACTACACATGCCACACCATCAACTTTCCCTCCATCGAGCAAGCCAGCACAGTCGTCGATCTCCAATCCGACATTGACGCGGTGCGATCAATCGCGCAGCAAGAAGCAGATGCCAGTAATGACATCATTATCGTCGCGCACGACTGGGCCGGACTACCAGTGAGCAGCGCCTTAGAGGGCCTAAGCAAGACCGAGCGCGAAGCAGCCGGACAGAAAGGCGGCGTGGTGAAACTCATCTTCATCGCCGCCTTCTTGCCGCGCGTTGGGGAGGGGTTGATCGACGCGTTTGGTGGGATGGCGCCACCGTGGTATGTGCGCGATGTAAGTTATTTACCGATACTTGCAAATTAGATATTGCGAGGCCTTTTTTGATGAATGTTTGTGAATGCTTACATTGATTCTAGGAAGAGAATGGAACTGTGACGACTAGCGATCCACTGCTTTTGTTCTTCGGGGATGTCCCCGATGGAGCGGAGTGGGTTAAGCTTCTCAAGCCTCATTCTTGGGCTACGCAGAATGCGCCTGCTACTGGGGCGGCGTATATGAGTATCAATTCTAGTTATCTTTTGACGGAGGGGGATTGCGCGATTCCTTTCCCTGTTCAGCGGGTGCTGGTGGAGCGGGCAAGACGGAATGGGGCGCAGATTGAAACTGAGAATATCAACACTGGACATACGCCGTGGTTGGTTGTGCCGGACCAGGTAGTGGCTTATATTAGGAAGCATGCTGGGGAATCAGAATCATCATAGGGAATAAATGTCATTCACAATGCAGGCCGTATTCGGTGCAATCTGACAAAAACACAATATCATGTTGAATCCCCTAATCATATTGCCAGGCCCATATCTCCAACGGAATCCAAAAGACGAGTGCGAATGAAAGCAGCATAACGTATATACACAAGCGGTTCATGACATACGAAGGAATAACGCAGAAGTTATCAAAACACATATGTGCTTGTCCAGGACTAGTTTCAGTGGGAAAACTTGTCCACAAGTCTCTGGAACCGACTCGGCTTCTTAACTTCGTGCTGAGTCTGCGGCTCCTCTGTTGGTTGCGGAACTAGAGGTGACTGTTCCTCAGCATCAGACTTCATGACAGATTGATTAGCTCCGCCACCAATGGTAACAGTCAAAAGCCTTGGGCTGCCATCATAGACACTACCAGACTGGTCGGCACCACCGTTCGGCGCAACATCGTCATAGGGGAAGGCATATCCCCGTGCATCAAGGCTCACAGAGTGGCAGATGCGCGAGTAGTGGTTTGTCACGGAGTTGCGGTAATAGTCAGAGACATTCTCGCCATTCGGCTGCCTGCCATTGATCAACAAGGTGGAGCGGTTGAAAGCAGCAGCCAGACGTGCCGTGATGGCATCTTTGGTGCCATTTCCCGAGGGAGCAAAGGGCCCACTGCTGTTGCTGAAGATGTCCCCGGTAGACGGCTTGGTGTAGGAAATACCTGGGACGGAGAAGTACATCGTGTCGGAAGCTGTCTTGGCAGTAACGTCACCGGCAGCCGCCTGCGTGTTGACCGTCAAGATATTGTTGCTGCTGTTCTCGTAGTAAGACCAGACTTGGTTTACATAGGGTTCGTAATAACCGTTGAACAGGGAGTTATTCAGAGTGCGGCCCGTGTTTGGAGACAATGCGCGCAGATTGACACCATTCTTCTGGATTACCAGCTGGTCCCAGCCGGCATTGTCCCTTTGATGTTGCTCTTTGAGCGCGTTGCAGACCTGTTCGAGACCGTTGGCTGGTAGACCCCGGACGGTTTGAGTGGCGCCAGATGTATTGGTCAGCGACATGGCGATTGGCATTGATACGAAGTCGACATAGCTGAGGTTGGCGTAGAGCTGGTAGTCGTTCCAGGTAAACTCGCAGAAGGCCCAGTTCAGATTGTAGTTGGCGTCTGATGTGTTAGAAACCGAGGGCTCGACGAGAGCAGGACCCGGGTTCAGAAAGAAGGTCAATTTGCTGTCCTGCGAGAACCACAACCGAGCACCGGCAAGATGCGGGATGGTAATGGTAGTGGTATTGCCAGGACTACCTAGCGGAATTGCACAGTCGTAGGCCAGATTGCTCAGAATGTTAGACGGCGAGGTTGGGTAGTAGGCTGTCCTGCCATCTGATCGCAAGAGGAACAGCGCACTGTTGTTATCCAGTGCCCGGCCGGTGATGTAGGCATAGACCTGGCTGGAACTGGTGTTGTTTCTCAAGGCGAAATTCAATGTCGCCATTTTAATTGATGTCGGTTGTTTAGTGGGTTGAAGATGAAGTCTTGAGATAACTGGTGCTGATGCCCAATAAGAAAGTCGTGTCAAGATCCACACTGCCGATGAGAGGGGGCGCTGAAAGTGTCATATTCCAGCTTGCAATAGGGCCCTTAATATATGTTCATCTCAACTCTCTATTGTTGAAGCTTTGTTAACCTCGTGGCTTCAAGTAGGGCAGGATGATAAGATCCTGTGATGAAGCGTGGCGATGACCTCAATATGGCTTCTCGCGGCGTTGTCCCCATTGGGCGGGGCCACGCGTTTAAGCCGAGGAACATGTCCATCTTGGTCGAGAACAATATCTGATATCAACCTCAATGGATGCTAAACTCGATCTGGGAAACGCTGCAGGACGAGGCAATCATGTTGCGTCTGCAGGTGATCCTATTCTCAGGGGTCAGGGTCGATCTTGCCCTCTTCGTGCGGGGCGCCAGGTTCGAGTCAATCATGATGACGAGCCCCCATGGTCTGTAAAAGGCTTGTCCAGTATCTGCCGTTGAGAATGCCGAATCGTGAATATGCATCATCACCTCGGCCGGGGATGCATGAATGATGAGCATTGGCCATTCGGTCAGCGTCAGGCTGTCTCTTCCTATACCTTCCCTGGCTCATATCAGCGTTGAATATGCGTCGAAGTCTGCGCCACTCTCGCAATTCAAGATTTTGCGATCTGGAAGTAGATGTTTCTTGTTTTCTTGTTCTCGTCTTCAGTCACACGCCATGCTAATGAGTCCTCGAGACCGAGGGTCCTGAGGCTGAAGAGCGTCGCGACGCACAACGACCCCACTTCGAGTCTGAACCATGTCGCGCATATATTTTGGACTAACTCTTAAGATAGTTTAATCTCTACAAGTGACCCTTTGATAGAGAGGGGTTGGTCTACTATCACGCGGTGGTTGGAAGGCGAGACTGAATTGCCGTTCGAGATGACCAGATGCTGACAACCTAGTCCTGGGGATCCCTGTAGCTTCTACTTAGTAGGTCAACTGATCAACACTACCAAGATTCACACATATTAGCTCACGTATGTACTTGACATGCTGAAGAGATAGTCGAGAGAGAGCGGATGTCTTTTGTCCGAGCTGGGAGTTTTGTCGTTTGTTTTGCTGAAATGCTGTCAATGATATCTCCGGGCAGGATATAGCGAAATGTAGTTAGGCCTAATGCTACTTGAGCTCTGTATCTGGGCACGGAGCAAAAGATCAAGCCCGACGGGATCATTAATGTCGTACCTAGGCTCCCTCTGTCGTGGATTTCCAAATGACCCAGAAACCAGATAATGGGGACGATATTCCACACCTACCCTGAACTCCGGTCACATGTCCCTGTCGCAATATACTAAAGCAGCAAAAGAGAGAGAGAGACAATCGCAAATGGCGTACTTTTGTCTGTGCCTGTTTCTCTCAAGGCAAACCTTTTGTGGGCCGTGGACCATATAAGTATCGTCATCCGTCGATGCGAGTTGATACTCCGATCCATATAAAGGTTCAAGACATTCCAAAGAGTTAACTACCTAGACAGCGTTATGTCTAGAACTCTCTAAAGACCCCCACCTGGCGGTCTATAAAGTTGGTGTCTGTACGACGAAGACGATTCGAGAACCGAGTCAGGGACCAACATCACTCATCCTCATGACAGTCACACTGAGAGCCTAATCTGCCGAGAACTCCGATTATAGGTCTCTACTGACATAGTGACAAGGGTCTTGACGGATGCAAATGAGCAGCCTATACTTTGCTCTCCAGGTTGGGTCGGCGCGCCCAGGATTAACTTTCAATCTTTGCTAGTTATACACTCATCTTTGAGGGCTACTGACTTGACATCAGCGGGTATCTCGCTCTATCAGCCGCGGACTAATGTTTTGTTATCATGCGAGGCCGATTTACAGCCAGAACTGACAACTCCGAACTCCGTGTCGTGTTCCGAGCTCCCAGATGACCCACATTGAGGACCAAGCACACAATTGCCTGAAATGGCATCATGCCAATTTGCTGGAAAACACAGACAAGCACCTGCACAGCACATTTCCTTTGCAGAGCACGCTAGTCCATGAGCCACCACGGTCTACATCGACGCAAGTACCACCAAGTGCTTGTCAGACGCAGCGGTTCAAGCAGGGACCATCGTTTGTTGTGCTAAGTACTATTGTTAGCATTGGCTTGACCTGGTTTCCAGATCTTGCGTACCTATTTGAGTAGCCTATTCTGCGAGGGGTGAACAGCGGGGCTACATATATGTTCCAGAGAAACGGTATTGAGGGTCTTTTCCCCACCAGTGCAGTGCGCATGGGCAATTGGAAGCCGCCCCGCCGGGTTATGTCTCGAGGCCTTGTGAGATGGCCTGTACGACCGGACCACCGTTCAAGGCAAGATCCACCTTCTGTCGGACAACCGAGACAAGTTGGTACAGACGGTCCGGTATATTCGGTGCCTATTCGTCCATTCAGGCTGCATTGGAAAGAAGGGGCAATGTGGGATGGTAGGGCGAGTCGAAAGGGAGCGATGTCTCAATCTCAAGCTTCACCGGCCGAGTTACTATTGACGGAGCGGGCCGAGGTTGGCGGAAATGTCGGAAGGGGGGATTCCATTGTGTTGAAGAGTTGAAGAACTAGCACTTGGAGATTAGACTTGCGATCGTGGGTGAATGAAGCGACACGAGCTCCCGTTTTACCATGAAGGTTCGAACGCAAGGGCGCATCTATTTTTGTGCCCATGTCAGATCTTCAAGCCCTTACTGCCAAGTGAAGGGACTCGTGCAGTTCATCTCCCACGGGCGATCGAAACTCAATAATGAGGTCAGTCTTGGTTTCAGATTTGATGGTGAAAAGGGTTGAAACTGCTATTCAATGTTTTCTTGTGCGACGAAGACAACAATTGCTGGGGAAACAAGTCTCAAGATAATATTGAATGTGCTGATTTGTAGACAATCGACGATCTGTGATCTCAGAGAAGATCAACGCAGAACTTACTCCGTAATATTCACAAAGGAGACGATTTGATTGAAGGAAGAAGCAAAGATGTGCCCCAGGCCCCCAGCCTCCACCGGGATCCACGGCCAGCGTATTAATTCTTGGCGTACAGCGTATAATAATAGCAGCCTAGAAGCCTTTTTGTGTCTCGGACGCCTGACGGCCTTTGTCTTTTCTCTCATTCCTCGAAGATCCGGGGAGTTTCATTCCATGCCTTCCAGGAATTCTCGGGGAAGTTGATGGTCCGCCATGTATATTCCACAGAAACGTTCAGATGGCCAAAGGACTAAGGACAAGATATTCATCATTGTAGGTTATCTCCGCTCCGTCAGCATTGTGTTCCCCCCTGACTCTCCCATTTAGATTGCTGTCTCCATAATCTTCGCGATCGCAGTTTGCGTGAGCACCTACTTTCTATTCCGGTATCTCCGACAACGTCAATACGCACCAAAATACCTCCCGGGAAAGTTCCTCAAGCAAAAATGGCAAAAGTGGTCCCCAGGAAGTGCCTCGTACGGCCAGGTCCCGAACCAAACGGCAAATGGACAAGACACCTCGTATCCCGGAGCCGCTGGAGCTGCGGCAGCACCGGAAATGCAAACCGCTGATGTCCGCCGTGAAACATCCATTCGGTCTATCATGACCCTGCCCTCCTATTCCCTCAGCCCCAAGCCGACCGAACAAGTCATCGCGCGCGAAGGGGAACGCGCGGGAATGGACATGGTGGTGGAATACCCGGAGACCACGGAAGAGCAGGAAGCTCGTCGGGAGGAACAAATGGATTCGCTATATCAGATCCGTCTGCAGCGCCGACAGGCACTTGCCGATCGCGAAGCCCGCCGTCGGGAACGACAAGAAGCCCGGGAGCGTGGAGATTTCGCACGTCTCGAGGAGCTCAACGCCGAAGCGCGCGACCGGGCGCGACGCCGCCGGGCAGGAACCAACGGTGCCGCCGATATCGAGATAGACACAGCCGCCGCTCTAGCTGAACATCGATCGCGGGAGCGAGGACGTCGCGTCTCCAGTGTCAGCTATGCGGAAATTGGCCATGTTCGCCACGATGGCTCGCGACTTCGAGCCGACTCGCACAATTCTGACACGCACGATTCCGATCGCCGACCGCTGCTGCAAGGTGACGCTGGCAGCTTCTCCGCACCATCCTTTGAACCATCCAGCCTCGACTCGCGCGGTCGCTCTGTCGCTTCGTCGATCGTGAGTCAATCCAGCCTCGGCGGGGAGCTTGAACCATTATCTCTCGCTCCAACCACGACACACGGATCAAGTCGACCGGTTTCGCAAGGCGATGACGGGGATTTGGGAATGCTTAATATACCTCCACCTCCAGAGTACGATCAACTGGAATGGGGCGATGCTCCTGCGTATCAAAGTCCTGTCACGGGGCAAACCGATCACAGCCGGCAACTACCAACTATCAACCGCTTACCTTCTATCCACGTCAATTTGCCGAATTCCATGCCTGTTTCCCCCGTGACCCCGACCCAATCGCAGTATAACCAGGGCTTCCCAACGCCGAGAGGGCCGGCGCATACTACAACCGAGACTTCATAAGACGGCATCACCCACTCAGAGCACCCTATAACCTATCGTTACATACGACCACGATTCACGACCTGTATTAGCATCTTCCTTCGGACCCTGGTTCTTCGTCGTCACTCGCTTTTGTCGCTTGTCTCCCAACAGTGCTTTTCTTTATTTTTATCTTTATTATCATGTTCTGGCTAGCAAGGCGTAACGAGTTCTGGTGCAGCAAACAATCTTGATTTTATCTACCCATCGTGGAGTGCTTCTTATAGCTACCTATATCTACAATATACCATCGATATACACGTACGTGAGAAATGGACACAGCCAGTACCTGTAGCAGTCACACCATCATGCCCAAGTCCACAGTGGGCATCGTGGACCTTCGGAAGACACCGGCACAGTGCGTCGGAATCAGCGGTGGGAAGCCACTCCGCTAAAACCTACGTCCAGCTCCAACGAATGCTGGTATGCGATCTGAAACGCGTACAGGCATAACAGATCCGATATGCGGAAACACCGAAATTTCCTCAATTGACGTCCTACGACGTGCTCTAGGTTACCTCTGTCTGGCAGGCGTCCGATCACAATGTGGACCCGGTACCTGGCTTCAAGTCTGGTCGAGGTGGACACCTCACATCAATCCGGTTTATGCTTCTATGTACGGCAGTTAGTGATCAGATCGGGTGTCGGCATCTGTATAGTGGGACTTGAAAGTCCACAGATTATGACGCTAGTCCCTGATTTCACCTTCTGTCAAGCATACCTATCATCATATGCCTTGTCATTTTCTTTTTGTTCTACAACGCAGCATAGATCCTGTGTCGTATGCGGTAGCCCTGAGGTCGGCACAACAACCACACTTCCTTATCTGGCTAGTTGGTCCCATGGAGATCGACATGACATGCTGCATCTTGGTGGGCATTCTGGCGATCGATCTAACGGCTTTGCTAGTTATTCTATATCGGGTTAATGGAAGGATTAATTTAGTAACGTGATGTCAACCTGGGACTACTGGAAAATATCATCTCCCTATCCACAATGTAATAGAACCAGTTCTGTGAAGAGGCTGTGGCTTTCAAATTGTTCGATCGGTCAGTGTGAGACTGGTAGGTTCCTGGAGATAATTTGTCCCTGCGCAGCCACACTACATCGCTGTGCGAGCTCCCGGTGTCAGACCAGTTCATGTTGTACAGACCACGATGCAGTGTACCATCTATTGTGTTCTACTACAATCGGTCAATAAAGGTGCATTCTAAAGTAGAACATCAAATGGTGGTCTTATTTTAGATGGATCTACGGAGTAGTGCTTGACGCGCGTTCCAGCGACATGGACTATCATCTCCGCAATGAGAGCTATGGGGTAACTATGATGTATGTTATATCCTACTGGGAGGTGTACATAAGGGTGCTATGTAAACAGCCAACTGACAGATATGACGTGGTCCCTCGCAGGTTTGTTGGAATGATTAATTTGGGTGCCCGTGGTTGAAATACTGTAACATCAATTGGCCGTTGGACTATTGTTGGCCGTCAGCGCAAATTAGGGCCCACTCCCTTGTACAATGATGATTGAGTGCGGGTACGGAGTGCGGGCTCTTCGAGCGATCCGATCCAATCTCTTTGTTTGAATTTTTCCAAATTCCATTTCCCATCAAAGATGTCGGCGCAATGTTTTCTGCGATGCGTACATACAAAAGTTCTCTCTGCCTTGTTTGATGCTCGTTCAACTATATTAACTATGCCGTGTGTGATACAATGATGCAGGTCTCATAGGTGACAGCCTTATCATGGCCCCACCACTAAGCCCTGGGATAAGGACTTTGTTTGGAGATCAGCAGTCATTTCCAGTAAGCACATAGTCTGGTCCTACAGCATGTTGTTATGTGTGGTCTGCTGTTTGCTTTGTTTGGAGTTGAATAAGACCCAGTGCTCATTTTCTTAGTACTAAAAGACACCCACTATTAAGATCTTGAAATGCATTTGGCAAGAGATTGCATCTAATACCTTGACCTACATACTCCCGACCACCTGGTAAGATCGGTTGTATACAATGAAAGTTGCGTGCTCCCGTGGTCTACTGCGGAAGAGGCTGCATTTTTATCTGTTCCATCCAAAAGTTGAACCTCTGAGCCAATCGGGGGTCATAATGAGAAGGTGATCCATGGAAGACTAGATGTTGCCACAATCGAGTTGCCTGGACCATCTGTACCTGGGTTGGTCTTGGAGAAGGATGACCCACATTATACTCATCCTCGACCAGTGACATTGTCCATATCTTCATACCCGGCTTCTGAGAGGAGACCCTGCATGGCTTCTTTATCCATCTCAACTCCACATCACAAAGAAAGGCATCTCCATCTGAAAATGACGTTGAATCTGCCGCGCATTTCACTCCGGCTGGTTCGGACCTACGACTGTCTACTTTCCGAGACCAAGGCATTGGTCCTCCAGTGGGTCTCATGGACGGTCAATGGCATGAAAGACTGGCAGCATACAGTTGTTCTATTTTTGTTGACCTTGTGCTTTCGGGGTCTTTTGCCGGTCATTCATGCTGTAGTATATCCTTGATTCGGAATGCTGGAGCTTGAATCCACCGCTTGTTATAAAGAAATCCTTCCCCTGGCCTCAGTTACTTCCGCTAAAACCGCACCTGGCACGATATTCCACTGGGGTATATCAAGAACATCATTGAATCGTTGAGGATATTTTAGCAAGCGGTATCATTCGTTACAATCACCACATATCAACGACGATGAAGAGCTTCATTGCCCTAGCGGCATTGGCTGCTGGCACCAATGCCCTTGTCAGTCGTACTGACAGCTGCTGCTTCCATCTCACATCCTCCGGCGGTGCCTCCGGCAAGCTTGGCCAGCTGGACGATGGCCAGAACCGCATCGGTGATAACAAGTTGTCGCCTGCCCAGTACTGCATCAATCCCAAGGGCGAGATCACCGACGCCAACGGCCGTGGATGCATTTTGACCCGTGAGTATCCCTCAATTCCAAGTTATTTGTCTATGGAAGGAAGAGTCTGACTGTATAACAGCGCCTACCACTCAATTCCAGTGTGATGAGGGCTCGCCTTCTACCCCGGGCTTCTCTATCAGCTCCAAGGGCGAGCTCGAGCACAACGGCAACAAAGACTTTGTCGCCTGCGCTACAGGCCAGAATGGAGGTCTGAATGTCTATACCCACCCTAACAAGAAGGATGTCACCGGCTGCGTGAAAGTGAAATTGAGCGCGGACGCTTGCTCACACTCGGGCTCTATTTCCGGCAACGGCGCGTCATCTTCTGCTGCGGCACCTTCTTCCTCCAGTGTATCATCCCCTAGCGCAGCTGCGGGAACTGGAGGTGTTCCTGCTCCCTCTGGAGCCACTGGCTCTACTTTGCCCGGCTCGCCTCAAACTGTCGTGAGCACCGTCACTGTTACCGACTGCAGCTGCACTGCTTCTGGCGCTCCCGGTGTTCCTGGCGCTGTTGGATCATCGGCCCCTGGGGCACAAACCTCTGTTCCTAGCGGCGAGGGAGCCACCGGTGGGGCGAAGCCCCTGGGCAGTATGCCTGCTCCATCTGGCGGCGTTGGAATCAAACCCTCCACTGCTGCCCCCGCTCCCTCTGGCGGCGGCGGCGGCGGCTTGATGCCCTCCCAGTCTAGCAGTGTGTCTGCTCCCGCTGCTGGGGGTGGTCTTACCACTCCCACTGGCGGCTCGGCTTCCGCACCCTCCACCGGTAGCGGTGTTGGTACACAACCTGCCGGTACAGCTAGTACTTCTGGTCCGCTAGTCGGCGGTGGTGGTGCCGTCTCTACCAGATCGGCCTCGGCTTCTTCTGTCCCGGTTTCGTCTGCCTCGGTTTCATCTGTCCCGGTTTCGTCTACTCCTGTCCGGTCTTCCACCGGAGCCAACGGTGCTAGTTCGCAACCCATCAGATCCTCAAGTGGATCGGTCCCTGCCAGCTCTGCCTCTCCTACTCCCTCCGCCACCGAGTCTGCCAGCGCCGCCTGTCCAACTACTCTGGAGTCGGGCGAGTATGAGATCCCCCACCTGATCATCCCAGTCGACTCGTCTTCCCCCGACGCTGCTCCCGGCACTTCGATGAATGGCACTGTGACCTCGACCATCTCATCAGTGTTCAATTTCGATATCCCCGCCTCCGACTCCGGAAAGACCTGCAGTCTCGTGTTCCTGTTCCCTGAACTCAAGGACCTTGAGACTTCATCGTACAGCTTGAGCGGTGATGGCAAGATTGACTTCGCCAAGCTCACCGCCGTTGCCCAGCAATCGACAAGTTTCAAGAACGTTCCCTCTGTCTCCCAGGACCTTGGCACTATCTCTGTCTCCCCGGGGAACTCTTATGTTGTCTCTACGTTCGACTGTCCGGCTGGTGAGGCTGTCTCCTACGAGATGAAGAATGCTGGCAGCACCGACCTCAATTTCTTCCAGGACTGGAACCCCTCTCCGTAAGTCTTTTGCCTTCTCTGCTCCCTGTATATCTGCTAACAACTCTTTTCAGCCTCGGACTGTTCATTACCACCTGTTAAATCAACGCATTTCATGCGCTGTCACATTAAATGACTCTGGACTTTGAATGACCCTGAACATGTGGTTTGGCTATACTTCATGCCATGTAAAGTTCCTTACAATGTCAATAATCGTACCAAGCGCCCCAACACACCGTGTTTTGGTACCCACTCAATACATTTTTCGTCGATAGATTTAATTGTATTCAAAGCACTGTTTTCATTCCTGCTCAGCCGTACTTAAGCCACATATTCTGCACAGTCAATACTCAATATGCCTCCAGCACCCAAGCGGCACTCCAGGGCGAGCGCGGGTGATATGGATGAGAAGTTTTGAGACTAGGGTGAGAGGAGTCCTCGAAGACTGGAGACTCAACCATGAAGGAATCCCGACATGCACGCAGACAGAGACAATTTTCCCAATGCCAGCTGGTGACCCGCCGTCCCGCCTCAGCCCCTTAACATTCGAAGTCGCGATCTGTACCCTGTCCAGCCTCCGCGCGACCCGAACGAGAACTTCCCTCTAGAGGTCAGCCGCTTACGCCATCACGCTGTCTCGCGAAGCGCTGCACGGTCTGAGGCGGGTGGAATTGCAGCTTGAGGAGTTATGGTGACTTGGGAGTGGCGTCTCTCGTTCATCGACATCGCAGTTCGCCTGGGTCACGACACGTTCTTCCGCCAAAGATGCCAGTATCATACACGCCTTTAGGTCGAAGCGTGTCACCGAGTCCTGTCTCTCCGGCCAATACAGCGAGTATCCCGTCAGAATGAAAGCATTGAGTCAAATAAAGGATGATGGTGTACACTAAGTTGTACCCCTGCCATTCTCCCTTGGTACTCTTTCATCCGCTCACAGGCCCGTGTTCGAGATCCTCCTCGACGTCCCAGATGTAGTCCTCCCAGTCTGGGGGCGCTTCCGTAATCACGAGCTGATGGAAGCTCGTCACGTCGTGGAATAAAAGTCCGAACAGCCTCCTCAAACTGGGGCTGTATCTTGAACTTGTTCGCAGACATCACAGTTTGCGATGAAGGGATTGGGGGAGTTACGGAAGGGCAGACATGGTGAAAAATACAGAAGTGCGAGGCAAGTGAGGGGAAGAGTTGAGCAGGAGATGCGGTGATCAAGAGCTTGTGTTGGGATGGAGTGTTTGTTACGATGAAGGTTATCAGAAACAAATCGACTCCTTTAGCCAAAACAACAAGACTGAGAAAAAAAGAGAAAAGAAACAAGAGGAAGAAAGAGATAAAAAGCACTACAGCCAGTTCCTCCCATCATGTGACAACCCTCTCAGTCCTAGTTCCATCATCCATGTGCTCGTCACAGCGTTCACCACAATGTGTCGTCATACCACTAGATCATGGAACCTTGGGAAGGGGCGTGTTCCAGTCTTCCAGCATGCTCTTCTAGTATCTTGCTGTATACTGACCGGTCTCAAAGCACTAGGTCTTGATGGTTGAAGAATGGAAGGGATAATTGCGAGAGAGGAACGTAGCCAAAATGAGTTAAGTGTTGTTAGGATACAGCCTCTACAGTCTACAGAACCAGGAATCGATCCTTATCTTGGCTTATCTGCCTTTGCTTTGGAGCAGTGGAGCCTTCGCCAAATCGTACCGAAACACGGAGTTATCGGCCACCTGGATTTTTCTTGCCTTTTAGCCATTCCGCATCTTGAAGTCATGGGCTTTCCACTACCACCGGAGTTGATAGACATTGTGTTGGAGTTCATTATTGCCGAGAAAATCAACGTTCCCCCATCTGTCACTCAGAACACCAATTTGGCCCAATATGCCACTATCAACCGCAACTGGCAGGCAATTATCGAGAGGCGAACCTTTTCAACCATCAATATCAACACAAACAAGCGACTAGCAGAGTTCACACAATTTCCATGGGACCAGTTATCATGGAGCCAAAGAAGAAGCCATATACGGAAAATCAATCTCATCGTGGAGCTCGAGTCGTTCGATGCCGAGGCTCGCGTACGGTACGAAACTGAAGAGGAGAATCAGCGAAACAGCAAAGTTTTTACCGCTTCAATTCAGTCACTATTCAATACTCTATCCGAATGGCCGGTCACCGAAGCGGGCATCAGTCTTTTGATCAGGGCGGAGTCCCCCAGCGATCTTCGTGTCCATCTTCGTGTCCATCTTCGTATCCATGGTCGCGAGATAAAGAAGCATCCTGGGTGGGATCTCGAATTTGAACACCTCTGGGCCAAGCGACTCGAAAGATCGTATCTCCAATTCAACGAGGAAGCCGTCGGTGCTCAATGCCGTGCTGTCCCGATAATCACCAGTCTTGACATTCTGGGAGCTGATGAGGTTGGGTGGGAGCAGATAGGATATAGGAAAATCGAACCAGCCTCCAGTTGTCTCATCGCGTCGAAGTTGCCTCGATTACACGATCTGCGCCTTGAATTGAATGATATCGGCAAATGGGATCCCCAAGCAAGAGAACGTCGACGAAATGGTATGCCAGATACAGATCCCAGGAAGATGCCCGAATAAGTGGGTGTATACTAATAATCAATATAGAATTTGCGGACTCTATTCAGTTTTTACCTGTTACTATACGCGATCTCGATTTTGGGTTCGCCTATTCACTCCCACGAGATGAAACATATTCTCCAGCGGCTTCAACGGCAGAGGGAACCACGGATCCTCTAAGCTCGCGTCTACGAGAATTTTCCCAACAATTAACAGTGATGAGTGGGCACCGATGTGTCTTGGGAAAAGAACTTTTCTGGCCGTTGAATCGTGATAACCCTGAACCTCCCTTTTGGCCACATCTAACTGACATGCGCCTATATTACTTACCAGCCACGCCATGTGGGAAATGGATGTTTGAACGGGACGATGACGCCGAGGAGCCCTTTTATGATTCAGATGGTAATGAGTCTATTGGCGACTACTATGATACTCTGGATGTCACCCATCCGAATTGGGATCCTCCAGAGGACCGCAAGCGCAGACAATTCCGAACCGAATTCGTGCATGAATTGTTCAACCAATTTTTTCTATCAGCTGGCAAGGCTGCTCTTCAGATGCCTAAACTAAATTCCATGTTACTGGACATTTCGCACCGACGTGGAATCTTCCCATCGGAGGACCATTTGCACCGACCTCAAATCAAGTTTCTGTATAAGGTGAAGAACGTAGTGGCGAATGCGAGATGGACGGTATCATCATCGGTATGGACCAGTGAGAGTGCCCTCAAATCATTTAGACCAAGCGATGAGGTCTTGCGAATCTGGCATCGAGTCGCAAGGGAACACACGGGTCATGCCCTAGTGGCTGAACTCGAATGGTGCCACTTCTGAGGTAGGAAATCGAGAGATAAGCCAGGGCAGAAATAAGCGTGTGTTCGTGCTGGATCTGATGTTGCAATGGAAGTTGGAGAGAGAAATAGGTATGATGACAGCTATATATTAGGTACTGCGTATAGACGGATTTGAAATGCAAGATGGGCCAGATAACTTATAAGCTCCAGTTAGGTACTACTGCTACATGGTTCGTGGCCTGGAACAGCGGGCGCTTTCCAGGATAGGTAGGTCTAACTTGATAGGCAAGAGAATTAGAGGCCATCGCTCTTCATCATTCCAAGGATGCGATTTTCACGCGCACAGGAAACAAACAAAGCAAAAACAATGAATAGATGCGCATCAAAAAAGAACTTCGATACCGGGAATCGAACCCGGGGCTGCGGAGTACACATGATCCTCGAAAGGAGAAACTGAAAATCCGCCAGGTTAACCACTACCCCATATCGAATTTGGTTGATATTTTGTAACCGCTTTGGTCTTATGAAGAGATAAGTGGTTGTCCAGCAACAGCAAGGCTCTCGACCCGTGTAAAATATTCAGTGATCAAATACGCTACCCTCTGCAGAATCAGAGACAGCCCCTCCTAGCTCCTTTTGTCTTTCCAATATGCGTGCCAGGCAAGTAGAGCGTATATGCCACCTGGCCTGATCTCGACCTTGTTACTTGTACCGTTATGCTTCAACGAAACACACTTCACACGGACTACAATTGCTGAATGAGGAATCGATCAAACGAAGGCTTGTCACAGACGCCGAGCTCAACTTGCCGCCCAGATGGTGTTGGTCAGAAGTCAATGACATTGTTAATTCTGCAGAGGGAAATGTATGTTGCTGGAAGCGGAAAGCCTCATTCTCCAACCCTGATTCTGTTTATATATCAGAAACTAGGCAGAAACTAATGATGCCGTCTGTCATGAGTATTGACAGGACTCCGTGGACACACCCGCAATAATGGATGTGGAGAGGGTTCAGGGGAAATGGAGATCTGCACTAATGTTCTGGGCTGGAACAGCCCAGCCAAGTACTCGGTACTGGTTACACAGTAGCGCAGGGCTTACATTGTCCGGTAGTAGGTACATTGCTACTTTGTGCTACATCTGAAGCATCTACTCAGCCACTTTGAGTGACAATCGACAATCCCAGGCGCCAATCATATGATGATCAGTGCCTTTAAGTTTAGCAGAAGAAAGAGAAGGTGCCTGGGATTGCCGCTGTTGGTGCCAAGCAATGATTATGCGCTTAGGCAGAGGTGTTTTATAAGTCCACACCGGCCTTTCTTTATCACGGCGAGATCGTTCATGGGATTCATCTTGGATTTCTTCTTCTTTCACTGATGTTTCGGAGGAAGAAAGTGAACATGGCGATCCCCGCAAAACTTCCATTCTCCAAGCGGCGGCTCCGCCCGCGTGTTATTGTTTCGTGGGTAGCTCGACTTTCCCCGGTTCCCGCTATCCTGGACTAACATTCATTCAGCTACATCTTCGACTATGTGATCATTATGTACCGCATCCCTCCTAACCCTCTTTGGGCTCGCGACTAATCTTGGCCTAACCCGAAATAGTGCCTGCGTTGTCGGCTTCTGGATCCTCGACTCGATCGAGCCGTATCATCAGCATTTCTCCCTCACCAACACCTCCATCCAGTATCCCTACGCCGTACACGAACGAATTCCGATCCCTTATGCCCTTTGCATTTCCGGTGCATTTCCGATCGCTCTTATCCTCGTCTACACCCTATTCATCGACGGCTTATTCTCGCACAACAAGCCGCAGGACGCGGTGTCTGGGAAGCGGAAGCTGAGAGGTCCACATCGCTGGAAGGACAGACTGTGGGAGCTAAACTGTGGTGTTCTCGGCTTGTTGCTAGCCCAGGGTCTAGCTTTTGTGATCACACAGGCGCTGAAGAACGCATGTGGGAAGCCGAGACCCGACATCATCGATCGTTGCCAACCGCGCGATGGCAGCAAGGACCTTTTTCCTGGATTGTCGAACTCCTCTATCTGTACCGGCGATCCGGCGTTGCTTAAAGATGGATTCCGATCGTGGCCATCCGGTAAGTGATATATGTCTGATGACTTTGTATAGGCGCCAAGTGCTAATTTGTTTATTTCTTCTAGGCCACAGCAGTTGTGCGTAACCCCGTTCTTGATGACCATTCATGATCCTCCTGTGCTTTACCGCCATCCTTGTTACTAACACTCTCGATATGATAGCCTCTTTCGCCGGTCTCTTCTACACATCGCTCTGGTTAGGTGGAAAGCTACACATCATGGACAACCGCGGCGAGGCCTGGAAAGCCCTTCTCGTCACAGTTCCGATCCTTGCAGCGACACTCGTAGCCGTGTCGCGTATTATGGATGCGCGCCACCACCCCTTCGACGTGATCACCGGGTCCATGCTGGGAATCGCCTGTGCCTTCGTCGCATACCGCCAGTACTTCCCACCGCTCAGCGAAGCCTGGCGCAAAGGCCGCGCCTACCCAATCAGAACCTGGGGTACCGACCCTTCCATGCCAAATGCCGCTCGGCTCGTCAATTCCAGTGGCGAAAGCTCGACTGCTCTCCGTAATACGGAAAACGAGCGCATGAATCAACCCGAACTCCCCATCTCAGAACGCGTTAGCCCAAACGCTTCTCCATACCTCAACTCTAACCCCTATGCATCCAACATGTACAATCGTCGCCCACATGACCATGATGCTGATGGAGGGAATTGGTCTTCCAGCGAGGACGACGTCACCGATGGGTACGAGATGGGACAGGGCTATAGTACGGGGCAGAGCCGCAGTGCCGGCCACCAAACTCCTCAGTATGGCTCTAGTACTGCCTACGTATCCCAGACGCAACCGTTGACTGCTGACGTGGGACTTCATGCTCCCCGGAGTCCCATCGATGCAATGGCAGGCCCCGGGCGCCCGTTGACGGGTATGCCTGGCCAGGCCATCTAGTGGTGACTAACGCGATGCATTGACGATTACAAATTATTCCGGAGCGATTGGCGGCATCATTTGCTTGGGTATCATTTTGACAAACTCATGGTTTAGACGGATGACACGTGACTCCATGTATGATAATGGGCAGGGCGTTTAAAACGGCAGAACATGCATTTATTGCCGACTACCGAGACCAATGAGCAGGCATTTCATAACATTTCATGCAATTACTGTGTAGTTAGTTCATTAAAAAGTACTTTGGTGGGATCAACTCAGGATAAAGTCCAGTGGAGTTTAGTTTGAGCTCCACTTCACTGTGGTTGGCTTGACAACACGCTCCAAATGTATGTATGGAGTATGCCCTCGACAACACTCTTTGTATGGAAACAGATCAATTAAATGCAGGTCATAGAGTAGTGTAGTGACGGCTCATGCATCTGCCGAAATTGATCAATGAAACAACAGTCTCGAGACCAACACTGGGGCCCCCTGTAGCCCCAGCCACCTCCATCCCGCATCGTGAGTCGCCCAGCCTCCTCATCAGCCTAAGATGATGCTGGAGACAGCTTTTTTTTCTATTTCCCCCCTCTTATGTGCCTTGCTTCATCCTTTTCTTTTTGTGTCCTGCATCTGTATATCTTCGACATCGTGCATCCTGCAACTTAATCGCAACTGCGTGAGCTTCTTCGCCGGTGCTGACGGTGGACGATTGTACACAGTACATTTGACATATCCCAAGGGGAAAGTCGCACATTCCAAACATCTCAGACCGAAACTTTCCCTGAACCGGCAAGATGATTGGCAGTGTCTTCTTCATCTTCAACCGCATGGTCGAGATCGTCTTCCTGATCCCGATCATTGGCATGCTGGTATGTCCTCACCACGTTGTCAACCAGTCCGATCAGCAATGATCCAACGTTTCGCAACAATTGCGCCTCAAGAGACCCCCACTGACAAAACATTATTCGCAACACAGGCCTACTTCGTCGACGGCTACCTAAAAGCAAACCAGCTAACACCAGCCTACATCCTGGTCCTGTTTATCGTCAGCACCATCGCGATTTTCTGGGCCGTCGACACGCTGATCCGCTTCTCAACAACGAAGCGCTCCGCAATCTTCGTCGCCTTCGTCGACATGCTCTTCTTCGGCGCCTTCGTCGCAAGCGTCTACCAACTCCGCTTCATCGCCAAAGCAGACTGCGTCAGCTGGCGCGGTGGCTCTGTCTGGGTCTCACTGGGTCCGTTTGGCTCCTATGGGCGGATCACAGATAATCCGCTCGCACTGGATGTCAAGAAGACTTGTTCCATGCTCAAGGCCTCGTTCGCGTTCGGTATCATGGAAGCGGTGTTTTTCTTCTGGACTGGGCTGTTGGCATTGTTCTTGCACCACTCGCATCGTCCGGCTGTTGTTAAGGAGACTACTGTGAGGAGACGCAGTCATTCGAGTCGTCGTGGACATGGTTCTGGCTCGCACCACTCTCGTCACCGCAGTTCTAGTCGCAGACCTGCGAATTATGTTGTTTGATCTGTGGTTTATAATTTTCTTTCTCTTTGCTTTTATGGGCGTGCTTATGAGTTTATGAAGTCCATATGCCTTGATGAGTCACGGATTGGGATGTTTTCTTTCAGGGATGAGGACCTCGAAATGGGTTCAGGCATTGAATGAATACTGTGATGATATCATGTCAGATGTGGTTTATGTGTTGATAAGAACGATTTTCTCGAGCCTTGGGTTGTCTTCTAATCATATCTATTCGTTATTTCTCACTTAGGCTGGTGAGCTGTTTCCTTACCTAATGCTCAGTAGCAGATTCACCGAAATAGAGGATTTGACCGAACACAAGGCTTGTCCGAGGTATGATATCTCAAGGTTGCATCTCCAGTTGACCTGAAACTATTGTTAGCCTCAATACGAGAAGCTAAGCACCGATTGTGGGCAGGATCAGCCTGTCTCTTCGTATCTCCCGCAGATCTCTCGGAGCCCTCCTCACCATAAATACTACATCAGACTCGATCTCCCCTACTTTCTATAGCCGATATCTGTGACATCTTCACCATGACCCCCTTGAAGTGCTGGGGCTCTCTCCGCCCCGCTACTCTCCTCCTTGCATTGATCTTTTTGGTATGCAATATCCAGCACGTGCAAGCAACGATACCTACCTCTAAACGCTTCGATCTGTCGAAACCATCCTACGATCTCTTCCGCAGCAAGTCCCTACACGATGTGACCGTCCAGCAAGGCTTTGCATTTGACAACACCAATCGCCGACTATTTGTCGCGCAGCGACGTGACGGGTCCTCCGAGAAAGCAGGGGACCTATGCATTACCCAACTTGACTTCGACGGCAACTATGTGGGATACATGCATCTTACCGGCTTCGGGCACGGTGTTTCTTTCGGCGTCCAAGCAGTCGGCTCGTCCTCTTACCTGTGGACGGAAGTCGAGGCCAACGGTAACGGATATGGCAAGAAACTCGCGCGGTTCAAGTTTGCCAGCGGAACTACCCTATCCTCATCCTCCTCATCCCTCAAGAAGTATACGCCCATCAGTGGAGCCACTGAGCATACTTGCTCCATCGATCCGGTGAATAACCGTCTCATTGTCCGTGCTCAGCTCAGCGGGAGCAAGCACATTGCTGTGTTCGATTTGGATAAGGCAACTGATGGAGACTTCTCCACTCCTCTGGCCAATTTCAAGCATCCGTCGTTGAAGACGGCATCCCCCACTTTCCAGGGCTACGCAGCTTATGGGCAATACATCTACTTGTTGTACGGCACCTCGTACGATGCCAGCGGTGGGAAGGTTAACTCTGATATAACCACTGTGAACATGAATACTGGCGCTGTCGTCCAGGGTCCTACCCTGACAAAGGCTGGTTCGACACTGAAATTCCGTGAACCCGAAGGATTGGCCATTTATAAAACTGCAGGTGGGGAAGTCCGGCTTTTCTTGGGATTCGCTTCGGGTGATCCAGGTGATCGGCGATCAAACTTGTTCTACAAGAATGCGCTAGTTTAGTGCATAACTTCTCACTCGAGACAGTGGAAGGACTGTGTATACCAAGAGAGACCGTCCATTGACTCGTCTCATCAACACTGCACCAGATTCCATTGACATTATGGCGGGATAGTTTGCGGTGAGCCGCCGATGGCTATTTAGCGTTCTTGCAATTTATAGCTTCCTTCTAGACTTCGGAGACGAACCCATCTCATTTATAGCGCAAGAATCTTTGGTCGGGCCATCGTCAAATAGCTGTTGGATGAGATGCCTCTAATCCGCAAGTAGATATGTAGGCTCAGCTTGACTTTTGACTCGAGTTGGCTCGGAATTGGCCGGTTTCGAGCCCTGGGGTCTGCCGAGAAAGTACCTGAACTGGCGGATCTGTTGCTAAAACCACCCGCCATTTCATCGCTGATCGGCTTAATCCCAGCGTGGGTCAATCGGTTCGGCATGTTCGGGTGAAATGTGCAGCGTGGCTGTCACCGCACCCCATGGAATGGCCCGACTAGCCTTCAAAGGGCTTGACCAAAGATTCGCACAATCGCGTGTAGCTAGCCTGATACAGCCACATATATCAAGAGCCCCCAAATAACTTGGGGTACATAGACGTGATGTCTCACAGGAATATCCTCACGGCGTGTCACAAGATTGACATCAGTCGTCACCCTCGGTATCCAAATCCGTTATAGCAGAGCTAGAACGAGCCAATTTGCGTCGTTTTGATCCTTTCCGGACACCGCTATTGGCGCGTTTCCTCCGTGCAACTCGCGTGGCTGATTGGGTTGTGGTATCGCTCTCGCCACCGGTCTTCGCATCCTCTTCCTCCGACAGCTCGTGTCCTTCAACTAAAGCCAGATCCCCTGTCTCGCCTAGTTCTTCTTTGGCCATCTCTTCGATTAGAATCCCCATTGCAAGCAATGCCGTCTCGTCCATGGTTTGTATGTCATCTTTGCCGTTATCTGCTGTGGCGTATTGGTAATAATCGGCCGCGTACGCATGTATCGTCTCAAGGAGCTCGGAGCTCGGCAGAGCCTTATCAGATGGTAAAGTCTCGTGCGCAAAGTAATTTTGGTCCTCGATTGATTCGACAGGCTTGTTATGCCGACGAAAGAGAAGCTCCTCGGGGCGTAAACTTCGGGCGGTTGACGAAGTCGTATCACGGTATTGAGAGGCATCTAGCCGGCGTATGCCGATACCACGGCGATTGACGCGACCTAGCCCCAGTTAGTATCACCCAAGTGAGAAAATCAGGTATACCAGGAAACCTACCAGCTACCGCATCGTAGACGTTGGCGTGGCTGTGCCTCAAACGCTTATCGACCGGCGGTTCCTGCTCATCTTCGGCTGGCTCGACAAAATTGTCTTCATCTGAGTCGAGTTGACTGGCAGCAGACATACTTCAAGTTTGCCAGGAAGACCAATCAAGGTTTGGCAAATCGAAGAGTGATGCACAACAGACTGTGGATGGTGAGGGAAGAAGATCTTCGGATTCAACAAATGCGCCGGCATATTGTTAATCCGGAGGAGCATAGCATCATCGCCGCGGAATGCTGCCAGATTATCCCATGTACACCAGCGCCGATGTATGAATGAATTCCTACCTTCTTAACAGAGCTCTCGGGTCTATAACACCAAATGACTTTCATGTTGCTCAGACAACCCGGCTAGTTCACAACCTTGAGCCGGCTCCGGGCATACGGTTCTCCAGCCGCAAAGCCGCGCCAACAGAACGGTCCGAAGATGTGGCGCCCCTCGATCAAGAGCTAGGTGCTATTGCAGATGTGTTCGCTCATAAGTCTGGGGTGAACTGCTTGGCTATTGATCAATTCGAAGGCCGATAGTGCGTGTCACACCCCTTTGCATTCCATTATCAATCTAACTTGGACTGTAGTATGATATCTGGAGGTGCCGATCCATCGATTCATCTTTGGGACCTTGAATCAAGAGGCTCAGAAGCTGAACATGTTCATCAGTCTTGTGCGTCTGTCAGCAAATCTTCTCACGTTGACGCGCATACACATGCGATTACCTCGCTTTCAATATACCCATTTGATCCAGTCCCATCAACAATCTTTTCGACGGCACATGATGGTACGTTGAAACTGTCGGCGCTACAACCCCCAGCTATCATCCCTGTACATACATTCAGTCTCGATTGTACACCATACTCGCACTCATTCTCCTCCAAGCCTGGGTCTACACTACTCGTCGCAGTAGGCACATCTGACCGATCAGTCCGGCTAGTGGACTTGCGGTCTGGATTGTCGACGCAAGGACTCCCAGGCCACAATGGCGCAGTGTTATCGGTAGCATGGGCGCCTCACCGACCGTATCTCTTGGCTTCTGCTTCAGTGGACAATCGGGTGATCATATTTGATGTCCGTCGCGGAGGTCATAATTCAGCCATCGCGACCTTAGATATGGACGATCCAGTAGGACTGGTGGCTCCGGGGACAGGGCCAGTACCCGCCTCATTTGAGAGCCGCGCAGCATTTTCTCGAAGTGCTCGTGCCCATAACGGGCCCGTGACTGGAGTCCGATGGACATCTACTGGCAGCCACATCGTAACAACCGGACAAGACTCACGGATCCGAGTCTGGGACTCTGCGACAGGCGCCAACACTCTAGTTCATTTCGGTCCTCGCGTCCGCAATGCCTCTTCCTCGCACCTGGCTGAACGGGTACCGTTGATTGTGCCAAGAGGCGCCATGAGTCCAGGGAACGAGACGTTGCTGTGGCCGAACTTCAATGAGCAGGATGATCGTGGAGAGATTTTCATGTTCGGGCTGCGTGAGGGGACATTCATCAAGCGTCTTCGGGTCCCGGGTCTCATGGCCGGGTCACAGCATGTTCGGGGCCGGTCGAGTGCTTTGAGCGCTGCGCGTATCAACGATCTCGTCTGGCGAGGTAATGGTGCCTCTGGAGGGGGAATCGAGCTGTTTTCTGCGCACGGCGATGGAACGATCAGGGCCTGGGTGTCTCATGACCCAGACGGCGAACCGAGCGAAACAGAAGAAGCAGCCCAAGCGGATCGCAAGAGGAAGCGGGATGTTCTTGACGAGATCTACCATGGTTTTCTTCGGCCTGATCAGTCCAGCCTACGAGGATAGACGGTATATTAAGAATTCCTCTACGCATGGAAGCCTTGTAATATCATTCGAGTAGCATTGGATTGTTTTACACATTCATAACATCATACACTGGATAGCGGCGCCAAAAGCACACAACTATCTTATCGAAACACTGGAACGTCACGCCAGTGCATCACCCTGCGTATTGCGCGTGGCGAATTCGCCACAACTGACCAGGGACCCTCTACGACTGGTAGCGCTCATATTCACTTCGCTCATACTTGGCATGCTTGAAGCCGCGAGTATCACCGTGGCCAGCGTGGTGGTTCGTGCCCATGTAGTTATGCTTGGACTCAATGCCGGCCGGCATAGAGTTCCCAGTCCCGCTGATGACTTCGCCACTCTGGCCGATGTCGCGGGTCGAGCGTGGCATGTCGGTGGTGTTGTCGGCGGCCATTGCTGCTGACGGCTCTGCAATGCCGGCGTTGTCGAAGCCGAAGTGGTCGGCACGCTGGTCTGGACGGGGTACTGAGGGAATGGTGTTCATTTTGCCCGCGTCGTTGGGGATGTTTGTGCCTTGGGCGGCCATTTCAGAAAGGCTACCGCCTTGGTGAGGGTCTTGTCCAACCATTGTGAAGGAGGCGATTGTAATTGTTGAACTTTGGAAGATTGAGATGATGTCCGGTCGGACTTGAGAGATGCAGAGTAGTAAATGGAGAAAATCAGTTAGGTAGGAGGTTGTGATGTGCTTGAACTGGAGTCGACCAGACTGGTCTCTTATATTTCGTTCTAGATGACTTCGCCTTGATCTACTGGGACTGATGTCACAACGTTGGATGTGTGTCTGGGGATGATGGGCAATGATATCACAGCATCCTTGATTGGTTCTCGATGCTACCCACAAAGAACAAGGGTGCAAGATGTCGAACACTTGCAATCGCGCAGATTGAAGGTTATAAACTTGAATTTATGTGGGGTTTGCTATCATTAGCGTTGAAAATCGTGGTGATCCAACCGACTGACAACTTTTGACTTGACGTTGCTGGTAAGTTAGGGTTCGCCCCACCGGAGCCTAGATGTTCGGGACCACGAACCACAAATAAGAGGCTGTCTACGATTGAGGCCAAGTCAAACAAGGAATTGACCTCCCGAGGTATGTGTACTGCTTGCTACTGGAGGAATAGGTCACGGAGCTTGAAATGAGATAGAAGTTGAATTGTTTCAAATTGGAATACTGAGAAACATGAAGACAATACAAGTAATTAAATGTCAGATGGGGAACATAAAGTACAAAAGCGTACGACAAACCACATGGGTGAAGGAAGAAGGCACATAACCCAGAATGAGTGACAAGAAAATACTGGGACACCGCCATTGGGGTTCAGGACTTATCATCAATTTAGATGATGAAGGCAAGGACACCCATGACAGCAGCAGCAGCGGAGACAATACCACCAGAGAGACGAGCGGCATCACCAGTGAACATGACTCCGTGGGAAGCAGATGCATGCGCGGAAGAAGAAGGCGAAGCAAGGTGCTGAGGGGAGACACCGCTGGGCATCATCTTACCCATGCTGTTGGAGGGAGTAGCCATGGAGTAGGCTCCGGAAGAGGCGGGGGTAGCCATGGGCACGTGAACAGCGATCATGGAGTAAGAGGGGGCCTGGCCGTGAGGACGCTGGGAGGCGTAGCTGTACTCCGAGCGGACAGCGGAGGGAATAGGTGCGGAAGCCGAGGGGGCGTACAGCATGTTGGGATCCAAAACCACAGCGCTGCTCTCACTGACAGGAGCGGACTGGTACACCACACGGGTGGCCTCGGCGGTCTTGTACTGGGTCTTGGTCACAGTGCGGACAACCTCGTGCACCTGGGCAGCGCACTGGGGAGTATCGACGTGGTTCTCACGGGCGGTAGACTCCTCCTGTGGGGTAAAGCCAGCGGAAGGGGCTTCCTTGGGGGCCTGGTAGTAAGACTCGTGGTGGTCCTCGGGAGCGTGAACATGTTCGTACTCGGCCTCAATGGAGTGGTCGTCCTCATTGTGCTCATTCACTCCAGTGTCAACGTCCACATTGGTGGGGGCTGAGAAGGAAGTCCCTTCATCATCGCCGGAGGGACCACCAATGGCGGTGCCACCGCCACCACCGGAGGTCTCACGGGTAGGTGCGAAGGCACGACGAGCAAATGGAACGCTTCCCACGGCAGGGCCGTTGTTGACACCGTGGAGCGCGGTGAACTCGGTGTCGACCGATGTGTGCGGCGCGTAGTGAGGCGCGTAGCTTGGGCTGTAGTGGGGCTCGAAGTGGGGTTCGGGGTGGTTCTCGACGTGAGGCTCAGGGTGGTTCTCGAAGTGAGGCTCGGAGTGAGACTCATAGTGCGGCTCCGGGTGAGGCTCGATGTGAGACTCGGTGTGAGGCTCAAAGTGAGACTCCGGGTGAGGCTCGAAGTGACCAGCTGGAGGGGCAGGGAATCCACGGCGACCGAACTGGATGCTACCGGCAGAGGGGCCGTTATTGACATCCTCGAGGGCTGTGATCTCATTCTTCAAGGAGTGGTGGGGCTCATAGTGAGGCTCGTAGTGAGGGCTGTAGTGAGGCTCATAGTGGGGCTCCGGGTGGTTATGGATGTGAGGCTCAGGGTGGTTCTCATAGTGAGGCTCGGAGTGAGTCTGATAGTGCGGCTCCGGGTGAGGCTCAAAGTGGGACTCGGTGTGAGGCGCGTAGTGAGACTCCGGGTGAGGCTCAAAGTGGGGCCCAGGAGGGCCACCACGGCGACCGAATTTGATGCTGCCCGCGGCAGGTCCATTGTTCACGTTCTTAAGCGACGTGATCTCGTTCTCGAGCGAAGTGTGAGGCTCGTAGTGCGGCTCGTAGTGAGGGCTGTAGTGGGGAGCGAAGTGGGGCTCGGGGTGGTTCTCGACGTGAGGCTCGGGGTGGTTTTCATAGTGAGGCTCTGAGTGAGACTCATAATGAGGCTCCGGGTGAGGCTCGAAGTGAGAACTGGTGTGAGGCTCGTAGTGAGATTCCGGGTGAGGCTCAAAGTGGGCACCAGGAGGAGGACCGCCATGAGGACCGCCGTGGGGAGGACCGCCCTGATGCGGCGGGCCAAAGTTCTCCGAGCGTCGGAAGTGACCGTGGTGGGGAGGAACATAAACATCCTCATGCTTCAGTTTAATGGAGTGGTCATCCTCATTGTGCTCGTCGATGCCGGTGGTGGTGACAATGGTGATGGGAGCGCTGAAGCTCTGGCCACCATCGTTTCCGGATGGCCCACCGATCGCAGTTCCACCCTGGGGAGCAGGACGGAAGTACTCAGGACCATGGGGGCGGTGGGAGCCGCCTCCGGGGCCACCAATGGCGGTACCACCTGGGTGAGGGCCGAAGCGCTTCTCAAACCCGTCAGGCCCAGCAGGACCGCGGTGGCCACCATGAGGTGGGCCGAAGTAGGGTGCAGGGTGCACATCCTTGTGCTTGACCTCGATCGAGTGGTCATCCTTGTTGAAGTCGTTGACCTGGGTGTTGAAGATACCAGTTATCGGCATATCGAAAGACTGGCCCTCGTCGTTACCTGAGGGGCCGCCGATGGCAGTGCCTCCTACTGGGGCACCACGCTTGCCGAAAGGTCCGTGGTACACATTCTTGTGCTTGATATCAATGTGGTGGTCATCCTGGTTCCACTCATTCACCTGGGTGTCCGTCTTGATGTTGACAGAGTAGGGACTGACGAAACCACCGTCGTCGTCATTGCCCGAGGGGCCGCCAATGGCGGTGCCACCAGCCTGGGGGTAGAAACCATCGCCGTGCTGTACATTGCGTTAGCTTGCATCTCTCCAAAGACTGGATTTCGACGTACGCGCTCAGCATACTTGGCCTGGGCAGCGACTGCCAGCAGTGCCACGGGGAATCCTCCAATGAATCCCTTCATGATCGCGGTAGTTGGTAGATATTACTGTATATGCTTTTGTCCGTGGGAGTTAAAAGAGTGACTGGAAGCGAGTGCTACGGGAGCATATGAAAGAATGGCTCGATAGATCGAATATTCTCCCTTGAACGAACGAGTAGCGATCCAGCATCAGGAGATGTGCAGACCTTTAGTAGTTCTTTGCATTCAAGAACACTGGGCCAAGAAGTGGGCAGGAATGTCGATGCATCAACAAGAGCTGGGTCTCGACGTGGGATGACGGCGCGGGTACCCCCATCAGAATGTCGCCGAGAATGAAAAACACTACCAGGAAGAAACGAGGCGCTGCTCGAACCTGCCCGAAAGGTACCCCTCTTCTCTGTCATCGTGGGAAAGGTGGTGCTGCCGCATTCCAGGAAATCCAGGACGCGGGTCGATCACAAGGAGTCGCGGCATTCACAGACGGGTTTTCGCCAGCCAAGCAAGCCCCTTGGCTCAATTGAATATTTCACTTTATGGATTCACACGACTGGTCCGGGGGTAATGCCATTGATGGCCCTGTCGGTCTTTTCTCAAAGAGACTGAAGTATGGTCGATCTTGGGAATGCCCTCCTTCGTTCACCTTTTTTTGGCCGCGGCAGGCTGAGCCTCCACCCGCCAAGCCAAATTCTCAGTGATGTCAGTACGTAAATAACGGAGACCAGCTCAATCGCACCCCTCAAAGGTCATGTCGATGCTAGTGGAGTTCCCGATGTCGTTGAGTAAAAGGAATGCGTACGTTGAGAGAATGATTAATGGATGGTAATGGGAGTTGAATTGACATTTATGCTGAGTTACGCCGCGCGAGATCCAGTTTCCGGGTACTCCTCGAGCGCTTCTGGTATCAACCTATTTGGACATAACACACATCAGTGCTTGGATATCTACATGCGCTCAACTGCAAAGAAGAGTTGAGGCGAAGGAATGTATCCCGTCTTCGACATTCAAATCCCACCGCTCTCACTGAAGAGAACACAGAGGGGAAACGAACTTCCTATCGGGGAACATCTATCTCCTGAGCCGATCAGTCCCGAAAGACCGAAGGCAACACATCGCCGTGGGTTTTGTCGTGAAGACAGAACGATGGTCGTGGCGGGCTCAGTTGCTTTTTTTCGATGAAAAAGAAAAGAAAAAGAAGAAGGGGAGCAAAAAAGTTTGCGGTGTTTTATACCGCTTGTGGGTCACGGAACCGGGTCAACAATTCTTCCTTCGGTCCCGAAGTCGGTCCGGTCCTGCTACGCTACAGCCTGGAATCTAAGGCGCGAAAACAGATCACCCACGAGTTGACTTGTTGCGTCTCTTTTCTTGATGAACGACACAGCCTAAGTCATATACAAAGCTCCGATTCTAGCATGGCCACAAGACATTGATTAGGTATTACTAACCCACGGCACCGCTCTGCTTTCTTCTCACAGGCTGAATGTGGTGCGTCACAGATGTAAACAAGGGGATAACTGCGATCCATGCATAAAAAATGCCAGCGCCCAAGCGCCAGCCCTCAGCAACGCCTGCAAACGGAACCAAAATGGATACACTGCACCCACGGTCCACCACATTCGGCACGAGGTCTTAGTGTGGATCGCAATGAATAGCCTGTCAGCCTGCCGTTCATTTCGAATCATAGGCGATAGGGATGACTGGAATCTTCAAACCTATTAGCGGTCGATCCAATTTCGTTATCAAAGAGAGGCAAAGGTCTCACCTATTCTCTACCTGCCATGTCCTCAGCACTGGTTTTCCAAGCCGATCCTCCAACCGCCGCCGTGATTCCCAAGGCAATTGCAATCATAGTCCCCACCGTCACGATCGCCACGACTGCCTTCAATGCCATCAGTTGTCTGCTGGTCAAAGACTGCAGCCATGGGACTGGTTTGTTCTCCTCTTCCCATAGCTTGGACCTTCGTGGACTATCCGTTCGGCACGCTGCATATGGTCCCGCGTTTTCGAGATCTCTGAGGTGACTTTGACTCCGATTGGCGTTCTTGGTTTCGTACGTCAGTTGCTCATATGAGATTGTGGGACTTCCGTGACGATAGAAAGGTGAGCATGGCTTGGCACCGATTGTTGGATCGAAGTCGCAACTGTGAGCCCCAGGTGAAGATGTGATAGAACAGCGTGGGGAGGCGATCTTTGGCGTGGCAGGGCTTTTCTGGTCATTGCTCTTGATTGATGCCGCCACTTGGGCCCCAATCACGCCAAGTCCATGTAAACTCATCGCGACGTCCCAACGGGGCTAGGAAGGGAGGGTGGGTGGTTCCCAAATCAGAAGATCTTGGACAGTGACCTCTTCAGGCTTTCTCGCTTGGATTTGGATCGTTGTAGAGGGCGTGTTTCTTTGGTCTTGGGTGCCTGTGTTGTAATGGCCTCGACGGGGATGGCGACGGTCGAGACACCGCCGTACATAAACAATGCCGTGTCAACCTGGAATGCACTCCAAGCCCAGGCGGACCGCGGCAGTCTCATCACTCGGGTTCGTGATCACGGTAAGAGATATATATTGAATAAAGATAGTGTACAGGCAGATTTGTGCCAGTTGGATCAATGTTCGTATAGATTTGTGTTGGAATAGTCGTTCTCTGAGATCGAAGCGGGCCTGGTTGGTTTTGGGGCAGCTTCACTTCAGCTGCAGTTTCGAGTCTCTGGAACAAAAGAATTTCCAGTCCCTACATTCAAGACACCCCTTTAGAACAAATGAACTGTTCTCTTGGGGATGTAAGGCTCCCTATTTGCTCAAGTGGTGGTTTTCATCCCTTGATTGGGATATCGTGCCTTGACCAGCATTCTCAGGCCCTTCGCGATGCCAATTGTAATTTCGTGCAGCAAAGCAACCTTGCTGTTGGTAAATCATTGCTTCAATGACATTCTTGTCTGTTGACCCTGCAGGCCCCTGTTCTAAATCGCATCTCCATAGGCTGTGTCTGTAACCCTGTACCCACATCGATATGCGGATCGCGCCCTCGCATATGACAATCCTCCTACGGGACATCGGGATATTTTTGTGTTACAATATGCATACATTCAGAGTCGTTGGTAGGTTGAACAATGCAGCAACAGGGACACATCAGGTCTCCAATCAGTGCCTCGGTCAGTCTGTCTCGGCAGATGTACTATGCACAGACTTTCATAACTCGATGCCATCTCGAATCAACCGCTCCCGCTACAAGCCAATAGGTTATGACTTTAGACAATTCCCCACGGCTGCAAATTGGACAATTTCTACTTTTGAGTTCTAATTGGACAAAATCCGCCTCTCTCCCAACTCAAGATGCCAATGTAGCTCGCGTTTGAATGAGACGGCTTTTCGAGGCATCCGCAAAATACCTCGAGTCCTCGACTTTCCAGATCTCTGGGTATGCCTCTATCTGTTAAGGATTGGCGGCCGGCGGCTCGAGCTATGTCGCGCATTGCATCATCCCATTCGAGTACAGATCTCCATCCAAAGTAGAGATGTCTTCATCGGCATAAAACCACAAAATCCCCAGTTCGTTCACGTCGTGTTCAAAGCCACAACCTTCCGAGCCTAAGCCCGGTACTAGGCAATTAGTACCGTACCCCGAACTTGAACTTGAGGAATGGCCCATCGTAGTCGCTCGTACATCAAATTGATTCATTGAACACATACTAGGTTACAGCATAAGATGTTTGATAACTATATTTGCGCTAGTTAGTTAGCAGAAAGTCGAGGCATCCGACTCATATCTATTCACATGCGCAGATTAAACGTAATGGATCCTCTTTGTCATTGATAGGCTGCCGCAAACCCGCAACCAGGTAGCACTTTGCTCCTCGTCGCCCATACCCGCAAAATAAGGCCATGAGTTGTAGATCTCCTACCCACCCCAAACCCGCATAATCGCATTTTGCGACCGTACAGACGCCTAGCCATGAATGATGAAGATATCTCTTAATGCTCAAATTCAGTTATTGAGCTGTTGACTGCCCGTGGCTGTAAGTGAATCTGGTCCATCAGGTGGACCTATGTATCCAGGAACATGGGGAATATATATTTTCATCCATACCTAGGCCCACGGGCAGGTACATAGAACAGTTTCTACCAACATTATCTAGCACCTAAACCTACCTTCCAGGTTATCACCTTAGATGGATATGATATTACCTAGTACTACCCGCCTGGGCTAACGTTAGATCAAGCCCTCATCTATTTAAATTTAAGTACTGAACCCAGATCATTCGAAGCCTCTAGGAAAAACAGCATGATCCTTGATAAATGACACAGTAGTACTACTACTGTGTAGGTAATCATTGGCGCGAAACTAGGTATCTCGGGCCTCTGCATCAAGACAAGCGAATACTACACAATACCGCGTAAAAGCGCGCATCTATGAATTACTACTGCACAATTTCAAGGTTTAGTAGTAGTTACCTGTAAGGCTGTAACAGGCCAGGGAGGCGGGAGTCGGGAGCCTCGGCCCGACCCCGGGACCGACTAGGGTCACGTGCATATTTACACGATTTCCACTTTCCCCGCTCTGCCAACTTTAGTTCATGTTTCTTGAAGCTTCCCTTTGATAACTACACAGTAGATTGCACCTGGCCTAGCTGAATTGGATCAAGTTTGGCTTCAACCCTTCACATATCAAAGGCTTCATTTTCCCCCTTCTTCGAGCAACCTTATTACCGGAACTGCCGAATGAACCATTCAGAGCTGGACCACTTGACGGACAAACCCAGGCCTGCCGACATTCAGAAGCCTACTATGCGTGATCTGTTAGGCAGAATCGAACCCGAGCAACCTGCCGAAAATCAGGAGCCTATCATGCGTGATGCGTTCGGCAGAATCGAGCCCGGGAAATCTAACTCTATGCGAACTTTGGGAATCCTACTCGTATGGGGTTTTCAGTCAGACCCGAGCCACCCGCGCTACCCCCGTGGTTCGACGAACTTGTTAAGCGTCTTTCCAACCAGAACGAGGCCGCTTTGAAAGAACAAGCTGCCGCCCAGAACGCACGCATGCAGCAGCTTGAAGACTTGCTTGTTGAGCGTCTTGCCAATCAGAACCGAACCGCTTTGCAAGAACAAGCCGCCGCCAATGCCGAGGCGTCGCAACAACTCGTTGCCGCCCTGAATGCACGCGTGGAGAAGCTAGAAGCCCTGCTTCAGCGCCAACAGACAGTCCACAGAGCCGCCTCCGCTGCCCATGCACACCCCGACGTGACAGACGGCCCCCCACAGCAGCACGCCGCTGCCGACCTCCCTGCCGCTGCTGACCTCCCTGCCGCTGCTGACCTCCCTGCCGCTGCTGACCTCCCTGCCGCTGCTGACCTCCCTGCCGCTGCTGACCTCCCTGCCGCTGCTGACCTTCCTGCCTCTGCTGGAGGTCAGGTCCCACTTCCGCCTCGTCGCCCCCGCGCATGTCTACCGGACCCTCCTCTCTTCGGGGGCCGGCGCTCCGATTGGCGTACCTGGCGCATCACGATGGAAATTAAACTGGAAGTTGACAGGGCTGCCCTCGGCGGCCCCAAGGTGCAGCTCTGCTACGTCTTCGCCCACCTGAAGAATGATGCTTTGAAAAGCGTGGCGACGCTCGTTCGCGAGAACCGTGACACATGGGGCCCGCTGGATCTCATCCTGTACCTCGAGCGTATCTACGGCGAGCCGGACTTCACTGCCCGGGCCGTCCAACGCCTCCTAAGCCTCCGCCAGGGCGAAGAAGTACCCTTCCCGGAATTCCTGCCGACACTCGAGTGTCAATTTGCGGATGCTGGTGCCATGGATTGGCCTAATAATGCCAAACGAGCGATACTCCTCAACATGCTGAATAGCACGATGAAGACCGCACTTGTGCAGCGAGGTATTCCGGACTCGTTCCGTGACATAATCACCAGCCTCAGGCAGATAGATACTGACATGGAGCTGTTGGGCTTGGACAAGCCACGTACGCCCCTCCCCAGTACCGGGGGAGATGATACCGCAGCTGAGGAGGTGCACAACCCGCTGAATTGGACATCCAGGAACGGGAGTGTCACTGCTGCGAGGCCCCAAGGTATTACCAGCAAGGATGGATACCCTTCCACGCGCCCCGAAGATCGGGACCTTGTTGGGAAGAGGGCCAAGTGGGTTCCCAAGGAAGTGATTGACCAACGGCGCGCCGAAGGCCGCTGCCTGCGCTGTGGGCGTGACGGCTGCTGGCTGAACCAATGCCCTCTGAAGGTCGCCCGTGACCCGGCTCGTTAGCCTACGCGGGGGGATCGCATCGCCGCTGCCACGGTTGAAGAACCCCGAGAGGCCCCGAGCCGTGGTCCCTCGTACGCTATGGCTTCCCAACCCGGCGACAAAGTGTGTCTGAACCTCAAGAACCCACGGATACGAAGCTACTTAAAGAAACTAGACTGGCTGCAAGCAAGGTATACAGTCCTCGAAACGCCAATACCTCACACGTGATTGGTGGCTTAGGGATCAGGTAACGACCCATCGGGATAGTTTGATAGTTCGGAGTTTGCTCATTTCCCAATACAATACAACTTTCTCCCTCCAGTTTTCCGAGCCTGTAGTCTCAACACAAGTTATGAATGACACGCAACACCCACCGTAGAAGTGGATAACGAGGAGGAATGGCAAGTGGAAGAGATCCTCGCAGCACGGACAAAGGGACGAGGGCGGCAGGTGCTCGTGACTGTGAGAGGCAGGGTATGCTGACCTCACGTGGCACAATGCGGGTCTGCTCCAAGATTGCGTTGACGACATTGATGGGAGTTTGGCGATATATTAACAAATGATGGCCCCCTCCATTTCAATATGGCGGACACCCTCAAGCATTTCAGTACCGTGACTACCGGGCCAGAGCGAGCGCGCTAGGTACGACCGACATCACAAGATTAGCTGGTCCCCAAGAAGGGGAAGAGGGGGCTACCATAGTCGGCAGATAGCCATATCACGAAGAATGCACTCCTACACCTCCCTGATTTGACTTCTTGAGCGCAAGCGCCCAATCTCTTTGGTCTTTCAAATCACAAGAACCAACCGAGGAAAGCCGTGGTCAATTTAAGGTGACTGAGCATCGTGTTGAGCACATTTGAGAGTAAGTAAAAGACTTCCTTGCGTTGAAGTTTGAAGAAGAATTAGACAGGGGAAAAAAAGAACCTAAGTAAACAAGGGGTATACACAGTGCAAGACCCAGCCCCGGGTCTACGGCCCTTCGAGAGATAACTAAATCATCCAAGTAACACTTGAAGCGTGTACCTGAGGGACTAGCTAGTGAGCACGTACATGTCGACGGAATACCCGGGACGTAGGTGGGTGCGGAGTTCCAGACGCGTGTCCGCCAACTGGCAAGGTTATATTCCTACGATTTACCCGTATGTAAAGCGAGCTAAATCGGGTTAATGAGAACATCATCATCATTATCCCACAGCGACACGTGTCGCTCTGATCTGGTGTTTAGTTCTATGGCAAAGGTATCAATTTTTCGAGGTTGGTTCACAAACTGCTTAATCTCATCGACCTTGAACTCAGCGGTACCTACCTATAATACAGTGTAGGAAGAAGAGAGCAGACATTACGGGCGACAACAGCCGCCACGCTTGAGTCTAATCCTGTTAGCTTCATACATACATAAAAATCAGGTGGTTTTGATATGGATATCAAAAAGTCGATCAACCAGCCAACGTATCGGAAATTGCAGCGGGGAGATACTCGCCGGCAAGTAGAGATACCAATCGTCTTCCTCCGTCAGACTCATTGTTCTCGTCAATTCAGTACATTCATGATACTCTGGATAGAATCCACTGTCTTCCCAATCAATGATTCCAGTGACAATCCAGACATTGTCTTGATTCAGCTTCACTAAGATATTATCTTGTCTGACATCACCATGAGTGAAGACCGAACCTTGAACTGGATCTGTGAGAAAAGAGCGAAGGAAATTGGCGTATGTAGTGCTGCCGTGATGGGGGGCGGAGTATCTGAAATCCTCAAATTCAGCAGCTGTGCTGACGGTTGTATTGGGTTCGTGTCCCTTCACTCCTTCGCCACCGACCCCCCCAAGAGAGTGACCATCTCCCCTACGAACAGTCCTCAACCTCCTGAAGATGTCATCTAGTTGATGCTGCACGGAAATCTTCTGTTCGTGCGAGAGACTCGGCCATGCCTCAGTCAATGTCATGGACGGAATATAGGACATGAAAATCATGCAAAAAGACCCAAACACGATCATGCCATAGGGCCTAGGAGCAGGTATTTCAGGAATCTGTTCTGCAAGGTATCGTAAAGCCGTATACTCTGTGTAGTCGCCGTTCGTCCCGATGACTTTTGCGACAATGTCATCATTGCATTGAACGACGATTCCCCGTATCGGACTTTCCCATAGTATTTTGGATTCCCAAAGCAACCGCCGTATTGCTGAGAGAAGCGACTGCTCTGTACCAATATACCCATTAGAAGCATCCGAGAATGCTGCCAGCAAGGCAGTCACATCATTCGAAAGTGGGAAGATGATTTCAGCTGTCTCCGCAGCATCGAGACGTGTCCGAAAGTCTGGAGGTTTCGGTAGTTCCTTCCTACCAGACCCTGCCATTCCTTCACTGATTTGGGCTGCGAATCCCCGCCGACGAGAATAGTCTGGAGGAAAAATTGAAAGCAAGTCCACCTCAGGATTATCTCTCAGGAAGCACTGAATCTCATCGAGAGTCCTTCGATTGAGCTCAGCTGTAGCTGTCTCTGGACGTTGTGATTGTGCATCGACATGGGTTTGAACATAAGAATCAGGAATGAGAGCCTTCAAGTTGACTGCCGGATTTATCTCGAGCGCCCTTTCAAATTCTCTCATAAGGTCTCGATTGCGCTGTATAGCGGAAGGATCAGCTGTCTCCATGGTCATGATGATAGTTTTGGTTGCAACATGAAAGTTGATGGTCAAGCGAGAATGACGGGCGTCGGGCGGCCGGGGCGGGAGCTCAAGCAGTAAAATCAGAGAATGAGGTGTATGTAGAGAGTATTGAGGTGTACTCCGTGTGTATTGCTCATGATATGGGGCCTTATGGATCGGGCTCAGATAAGACCTTATCACATGATCCAAAATTCTGCCCGGTTTTTGGATGGGACTGCCCCTATCTGTCGTTTCCGCGTTGCTATTAGTGCGCACTTTTGTCTACTGGCCCTTATCCACGTGATCGCACTAATTCCAACCCCTTATTGAGTACTGTGTACTCCGTACGGAGTACAGCTTGCTCTTTGCACCTCTTTCATTTTGAATTATCTGTCTCCCATGTCTACCCAGGCCTCTCCCATGCCTCTCCCATGCCTCTCCCATGCCTCTCCCATGCCTCTCCCATGCCTCTCCCATGCCTCTCCCATGCCTCTCCCATGCCTCTCCCATGCCTCTCCCATGCCTGCAGAAGCCCTTGGTTTCGGCACTCGCGATGAGGCTATGCAGTCCATCAACGCGTCTGCCAAAGATCGGCCACGCAATTACAATCAAGCGGTTTGCAAGGGATAAGCCTACCCATCTACACTGCTCGCGGAGCCCGGTGTACGAGATCGGGGTGCGATAGTAAGGACGGCCTATACCCGCTCTACTGAGTGCCCGTTCCGGGCCACACTACGGCTTAGCAGTGGCGATTGTAGATGGCGGTATGAAGTGAAGGATCACCACCATCCTTACCCCGTAACTACGCATATACGCCACCGCCAGCAGGAACTTCGCGAGAACCGGAACGTCATACAGAGCCAAATACGCCTGGGTATCGCAAGCCCGCTGATTATAACGGGGCTTCGTCTATCTGCCCAAGAAGACGGCAGGGATTCGAGGCTCCGGCCTAAGGATATACCAATCTCAAGCGTAGGACTCAGGATAAGTCCTTGGGTGGCCGCACCACAGTACAGGCAGATCTTGAGTCCTACGCTTGAAATTGGCGATGTCCTTAGCCCGGAGCCCTGAATTCCTACCATCTTGTGGAGAGAGACAAAGCCCCGTGGGCCGTTATAATCAGCAATCAATATCATGTAGAAATAAGGGCGCTTACCATATAGGACTAGCTAGCGGTGGTGGAAACAACAGCTAGGTCCGCAGTCTGTCCCTTTTTGGATTCCCAAGCCCAGCCTCCGAATCACCTCACCCATTCCACTGAAGTCTAGAATAGCATATGGTGCTGTACAGGCGGTATGGCAAGCGGAGCAGTGCTTAAGTATGCGGGGATTCATTCAATTACATAACCTTCCCACTGACTAACTAAAGCGTACGGAGCCTCTACCTACTATTTCCTGATTCCAGTCAGTCGACCCTTTCCCCACTAGGCCGCAAAAAACGGGAGTAGCAAGATTCCTGCCCCCGGGCCTACTTATGATGTTGCCGCCCAATTGCTACTTTAATTGGCCGGACAGGCGCTTCACCTGGCAAGTGCATGGACACTCAAGTGCAGTGAAGCTCGCCTCCGTCGTGCGTATGGCAGTTCTATTTGATTCAGTCTTGTGTCATCACGCGGGATCTTATCTAGCACTCACGGCAGGTACTTCGGAAGTCGTCGAAGGAGCATCGCTACTGGTTGCCGTAGGAGTCGGCTGAATATTCGTAGCCTCGGATGTTGTATGATCAGCATGGTCATGGGAATGCTCATTCTGGACACCCGAACACCCAGTCCCCGGGACGGCAATGTCGTATGCGTACACCTCCAACGCAAAGTACTGAAGGGTCTCCGAATCGTGTGTTGACAGTGTTGCGTTTTTCTTCGCCTGGTCGATGACTTCTTCATAACCGTCTGCAAAATGGTCGATCCAGTTCTGTCCAATTGCGGGAACGTGGTACAAGCGGTGCAGAAGATCCGCAGCCCAGAAGGTATTTGTCTCTGACTCTGAGACTGTGTATCCTAGGCTGCACATTGTTGAGAGAGAGCGACGGGTTTGGTAGCTCAAGTTGCAGATGACTGTCTCGTCCGTAGCATTTTCGCCCCGCCAGTGTCCGGCATAACCTATGCAAATGAGATTTTCCGTCAAGTGTATCAAAATGTCGGACATGGGCACGTACCTTCAATCTCGCAGTTCCCATCCGGGTTGTCACATCGGAACAAGATGTCTTTCTTGTCGCCGTTGACGACGATATCGAATGCGCCGATTGCTTCCATGGAGGGACGATCACCGAAATACTTCCGGTAGATCTCACTCTCGTTTCTCCATCTCAAAATGTGGTCTTTGGCGTGTTCAGCAAGAGTAATGGTCTCATTGAGACCTAGTTCAATCTGGCGACGCTGTGTTGCATTACAGCTTGAGTGAATGGGGAATTGGTTCACAGCGCCGGCATTCCAAGGTGCAAGTCCCTCCCAAGAAAAAGGCTGGGAATGATTGCTCTCGGAGTCGTCAGGAGTGGGAAGAGCAGTAGCAAATGCTGCAGAAGAAAGAAGGAGCTTGAGTAAAAGCATCTTGTGTGATTGAGGCAAACGGCTTGGAACCTATGGAATCATGAAATCAGATCCCAATAAACAGCAGTGGCAGCTTTTATATCTATTGCTAAAGAAACTTTTCAGGGCTGCTATACACAATGTGATCTTAACTTCAACTGATTGCCAAGTATGGCTTCGGTGTCCATCATTGCTATTTTTGCAGAGAATCTCACAAGAAGCGGGATAATGCCTCCGACTTGCTTGATACATGGCTGATGCAATCTGCCAAGAGGGGACCTTGATAGCTTCTTCTCTCGCTTTTCCCATGGAGGTTATGTTTCTGTTCAGCAATCAGAACGAAAGCCCTGATTGATGCCAAGAGAAAGGCTCGGCGGAGGGTCGCCAAGAGGCTCAAGCGGGAGTACCTTGAGGGAAGAACAGTTGCACACGACGCGGTCTCGTCCGGAAAATATCTGGATTTGACATTTAGACCCGCTCTTGGCAGATAGCTGGCAGGGTCCTTCACTTGGCATTGAGAACCTTGCGGGTTAGATCCTCACGTATGAGGTTCTCCCCATATAACGGTTCATAAGAGAGGGCTCGGCCCAGATGCTGCCAGTGAAAAAAGTTCTTCGCTCATGACAGCTTTTTCGCATCAATCGCAATTAGGATTATTCTCTTCATATTCGCAATTGGGTAGAATAACAGCTTCACCATGCTCATTTCCAGACCCTTCCTTGTGTCACTAGGCATTGCCGGGGTATATGCCGCCAGCCCAACGACATCGGCACAGACTTCATCTGTCACTGGCTGTCATAGCCACGGGTCAAGCATTTACTGTATTGATGGCGATGGTCATGAAGTTTTGGTCTCGGCCACATCCACCCCCACAACAGGAGTACCAGCACAGTATACTGGGTGTCACTCCCATGGAAGTGAATCGTGAGTCCCCTTACATGCGCATCAGTAACGATATAGTACTCACGCACAAGGCTTGAAGATATTGTGTGGATTCAGATGGAAACGATGTCCTGATTCAAGAAGAAGAAACGGCAACGGGGACCGAGAGTGAACACAATCACAGTGGACACGATGAACATGAGCACAATGAACATGGGCACGATGAACACGGGCACGACGAACATGAGCACGAGGAATCCTCAAGCGGAGCCAAACAAAACTGCCATTTCCATGCCGGTGTAGAGTGAGTCGATGGCTCGATAGTGTTTTTTCCCAAGTTAAACATTTCTGACATTTGTCCAGACACTGCGTCGGGGAAGGTGAATCAAAGGGACATAGTGAGGCATCGTGCGGCAGCAAAGCAAGAGACTATGACGTGCCTCTGCGCATTGGCACTCTATTTGTTGTCCTCGCAACTAGTGCAATTGGTGTTTTTGCCCCAATCCTGTTGATGAAACTTCCAAATGCCTCCATCAATGGGGTGGTCTCAACTGTCATTAAACAGTTCGGAACCGGCATCATCATCGCCACGGCTTTTATTCATGTGAGTGGCCCTTGTACCGGGAGAGGCAACGATTATACCACCTGCTAACCGCTCTTACCAGCTGTACACACATGCAAACCTCATGTTTACCAACGATTGCCTGGGGGAGCTCGAGTATGAAGCGACTACCTCCGCGGTAGTCATGGCTGGCATATTCCTTGCGTTTTTGTTGGAATTCGTCGGCCACAGGGTCATAGTTGCTCGCAACAAGAAGAGCATTGCTGCGGATACCACGCCGTCCGAGTCGTCCGATTCCCAGCAAGCACCACATAAGGGACATGACGGCTACCCTCAGAACCAGCAGCAACAGCCCACACTGGCCTGCCTCGGGCACAGCCACGGCTCCGATCCCACCGGACCCAACAGCAAATTCTCCGTCCTTGTCATGGAAGCGGGTGTTCTCTTCCACAGTATTTTGATCGGTCTGACCCTGGTCGTCGCTGGCGACTCCTTCTACAAGACTCTTTTGGTCGTGATTGTGTTTCATCAGTTCTTTGAAGGATTGGCACTCGGCGCTCGTATTGCAACACTTCCAGGAGCCATATTCCCTTCCAAGGCTGGTATGGCAGCAGCATTCGCCTTGATCACACCAGTTGGTATGGCTATCGGGCTTGGCGTCCTCCACAGCTTTAACGGTAACGCGAGAAGCACTTTGATTGCACTGGGCACACTGGATGCGCTCTCTGCAGGCATTCTCGTGTGGGTTGGGGTCGTGGATATGTGGGCGCGCGACTGGGTTATTGAGGGAGGTGAGATGTTGCATGCAAACATAGGAAGAGTTTTGACTGGTGGTGTATCTTTGATCACTGGACTGGTGTTGATGGGACTGCTGGGTAAATGGGCTTAATCATGGAAGTAATATAATAACAGTTAAACGAGGTAGAGGTAATACCTTGAGGCTATCCAATCTAGACGAGTCGATGAACTGGTCCACAAACATAAGTGCATAGGATTGGACTACCTAACAAAATCGTGTATCTCATATTAAGCTCCCGGCAAATCTGAAGCCACGAATAGCATGACTCGGAATAATCTAATCACTGGATTCTTATTCTTTGGTCTTCGGGTTGCGAGTCATGCAATAGAGCTGAAAATAAAGTCAGTAATCCAGTTCGAGGATTCTAGCGAGAATGAATTTGGTACCTTGCATACGTCCCCTTCATCGACGCATTCAATCTCCTTGACCAACTCAAACCCCATTCTCTCATAGATACCCACATTGGGATACCCCTTGGAGCTCTCGAGGTAGCACGGCATATTCTCCCGATCTGCCTTCTCCATGACAGTTTGCATGAGCTTCTTGCCCACGCCCATACCGCGCGCCTGCGAGCTGACACCGACAACGTTGCAGAAGTAATACCCCCGAGGGTCCTGCCAGATCGCATCATGTGCGGTTTTCTGCACTTCCTTCCAAATCCAATAGCGGTGCACATTCAGACCGCCGCGGCCAAAGAAGCGGATATTGTTCATGAGCTGGCGGAAGGAGAGGAGCCAATCCTGAGCCCACACGGACCAGGTTTGCGGCAGGGACGGCGCTTGTGGTGAATACCACCAGGCGACACCGACCACGGTACCGGCTGGGAGGCGAATCTCGTTGTCGCTCTTGGTTTCATTTGCGGCGCGAGTAACTTTGGCGACAGAGATGGGGCAGCCACAGCTGATACCGTATCGGAGATGATCGGCGAGAGAGGCTGCATTTCGTTGGATATTGAACTATCAGATTCCGTCAATTGTTGATTCTATAACCACTATAACCGCCGCGTGAATTGATCTTTTCATGTTGGGTTCTTTTTTTTGGAGCCGCAACAAAAACTTCACAGCTTTGCAGGACAAGAACTCTCGTACCTTTGATGGATCATCAAATACCCAGCGAAAGTAAGGATCGTCGGCAAATGCTTTTTGCACGCAGTCTACAGCGCTAGGTATATCGGCTTGAGTCAAGGGGACGATTTCGATTGACATTGCTCTTGTTTCGGGCTTGTCACTACAGTTTTTGCGAACAGCGACACTCGGATTCAGCGAACGGGTTTAGATATCCGGGTACTTTTTCTACTAGCTCGGCGAATAGCTTGAGACAGAGATATAGTATAAGAATGACAATGAAGCCGTTGGGGACAGTGAGAGACAACCGCCATCTAAGTATAATTGAGGTGGTGATGGTCCACGAGTTGAGGAGAAAACAGGAGAGCAGATGAAGTGTTTGTTCAGTAAAAGGGTGTCAGGAATCCAGGTGACGATGAGTTGAAAGTATCTCCAGGTCCCGGAGGACGGGGTTCATATACTCCGTAGGACTGGGCGATCCACCTGACCCTCTCTCTTATCCTCCGCCTATCTTGCTAGCCTTATTAGGCAGCTCCAACCGGTACAGCACACACTGTGCAGGTGTTACACGGCCTTCCATAATTCTCACTTTTTTCTAGATCCCGCAGTAGCCGCAGAAGGAGGGGTCTAACGAGAGTTCACATGACCATCTACATAGATTCAGTGTAGAGACTTGATTTCAGCACAATTCATTTGGTGCACTGATCTCATATGCGCTTTGGATGCGGGGGGCCAAAGGCGCGTATTGGATCATGTGGGGAGGCCAATCCTAATAGGGCAGGTTGTTGCGGCACGGGGCGGCTAAATGTGGAGCATATCGGTGTTATCGCTGTTATCATGATAAGACTTGTCACATGCTGGTCACATCGAGATGTCAACAACGTAGTGGAGTGTGGGCTGTGAAGGTAAATGCCACTCAAGCTCTCGTAGGGCCAATTTATTAATTTAGATACCTTTAGATACCAAAGCCTCAAAGGGACCGTGGGACGCTGTGGGGCAGTTTTCTACACAGTATATAAACCCTTTGTCTGGTGCTCAGGTAGGGTAATGCTGCCAGATCTTGGTTCAGCAATGGCCAACTCCTGCCCTTTGTGTCTTCCTCCCTTTGTTGGTCGAGTCGACTCTATCAGACAAAGTGCACATGCCTGTTGTCTCTTTCCGTTCATCATTTGCTAGAATATAATTGGTGCTTTAAGAATAGGAGCAAAGGCAGGGTGGTTTCTTTCTCGTGCTATAAAGCATGATTAGGGATCCGATGTGCTTGGATAAACATCTATGGATCTCTGAGACTCTTTGTTGAAGCGTAAGGCCTTTCTTCCAGAGCTTGTCAGGCAGTTGGGACATTGTCAAGCGAGAAGACATAAATACCTCCGATCACATTGCTTTCCCAAGTCATCATTCAATCATACCAGTGATATCTATCATTCAATCTTGGAAGACGACCTAACCAGACTTTGTTCATCTCATTCCTGTGTCTCACTGGTCAAATCGCTCTCAACACACGCCCTTCAGTTGATATAGTCCCGGCTGTGCCAAGCCCTCATCTGTCGCAACAAGTCAGCATCATCCCCTCCCAAGGGTACCTGTCTCATTCGCCCACGATGTCTCATCCCGTACTAGCTCATGACCCCTATAATAAGCGGCGTATTCACATTTTGCAATGCGTGCACGATGCAATCTACTACCTTCGTCATGGACCGCATCGCCGGAAGGATGTGATTGAAACGCTAGAGGAGATCGCTGGTGAAACATCCATCGGCATCTCCAGTGCCGTTATTGAACGTGATCATCAGTTCGAACGTCTTTGTCGTAATTTCGAGCTTCTATTGCCAGTCGCGATCAGAATCCTTAACAAGCATAATGACCGCGAAACTGACAGAGACGTGGCTGATGATCTCATTAGCTGCATCCCCACCGCTCTGCAGAAACCTGAGAAGTGGGACCCTATAATTGAGGAGATCTCGGACGAGGAAGAGTTTGAGCGTCAGAATAGGCGTCGTAATCGTCACCGATAGTATAGAGAGATATAGTGCCGGTTTTGGCGGAGGCGGAGATTGCGCATAGGGCAACCAGTTTGATCAGTTCCAGGATTTCGAAATGCTCATAGCTTGCTACAGGAACTGGATTCAATCGCCTTGAATTCGCCAGCGCCGCAACCGCGCGCTCTACCCTTTATTGACGGACCATTAGAAATAGCGATGTAGAAGATTTGAATATTCTGCTCGGTGTTCATCAGCGGATCTATTTTACACTTTCCAATGAAAGATACTCATCGATCCCAGGATCCTAGTAGCCTTCATGAGGTATTAACAATAGAGGGTTGGTTAGCGATATACCCAGTCAGTCAAGCACGAAAGACGGGAGCGAGGGGTAAGGGAATAGCCAACAGCACAGTCAAGCAAAAGAAAGGAAAATCCGAGTATTACTCCGTAGGAGAATAAGAGTCAAGTGAGGAAAAGACGGGCTCATATCGCCTGACGACATCATTCGTAGTAAATCCGGGTCCCAACACCCACTCGGTATATTCGCCGCACAATTCTGTTGATTCGGGTATTCCAGTCTGACCAGTAGCCTCACCCTTGGCCTTCACAGGCCCCGACTCACCATTGCTAGAGACTTCCAGCTGATGCTTTTGGCTTGTCTCGGCTTGTGGTCGATACACGACACGCAGAGAAGCTTGCTCAGGGGGAAGGTCATGATCACTGAAATAAAGTCGTCGCAGCTCTTCAAGCATGTTTCGAATTTTAGGATCCACAATGAGAAAGAAACGAGGGCTTCCAAGAGCTGCGAAGGCACGGCGAATGGACGCAATGGGGGCACCGTGCCATTCTTTTGGACTTGAGTATTGTTTCTCGATTCCCGGAATTTCGCCATTGTGTAGGAATTGTTTCAAGAACACACGGCTGTATCGGCCACCAACCGCGGTAGGTAAGATCATTTTCTTGTCAATTCCATGTTGCTTATACTCCTCATTCGTTGGTACCTGCCGTGAGAGAGACGACATAGGAATCCTAGTTTCCGTCGCAATTCGCGCTCGCCGAGAACGATCCTGACTCTCGAAATCAATGAAGTACTGTATATCTGTTGGAAAAAAGACGTATCCAGGGTCGAGAGGCATATCAAACTCTGTATGGCAGGCTCCACAGAGGGGAATCGAGTTGTGTGTGGTCTTAAAGTTGAATGTGAATAGGCCTATCTGTTCCCATACTGGAATCTGGACAGAATGGGGCTGATTAGCTTATCGTTCAAAAAGTCAGGATAGTCCGGAGTAACCTGTGGATCATGGTTAAGCACGACCTGGCAGATATCTGGCATTCTTGTTGAGCAGGCCCAACATTCAGTACCGGCGAGTCTTAAAGTCTCTGACTTTGTCGCTGCCGAGAAGACCCCCGATGGCCCCGACGATGCGATGCTGGAGCTTGAGGAAGAAGCTGCCATAATATGAGCAGATATCCAGAATGTGTGGAGACTGATAAACGGCGTATGGACTGCGGAACTAGGTAACTAGATGGTGGAGATAGTTGTGTAATCATGAGGTAGGTCTACGTTGGGCTGGTCGCGGGTTAGCTCCCCTGCACGTGATGTCGATCCTTGGCGGACTGCGAAAAGGGGATCCCATGCCTGCTCTCAAAATCAGATCAAACCCCTATCGTCTTTCTTTTTTATTTGTTTAACATCAATTTCGCCCTTACTTACATCAATTTCACCGCCCAATGTTGGCTTCCACGAAGCTGACGCGCCGTCTTCTCCATGGAGAGATTACATATTCTGCAGCAAAAGAACTCGAAACAAATGTCTTACACGCATTGACATATCCGGACCAGCAGGATAGATATTTGCAAGGCTTACTCCAAAAGAGCCATATCATTGAAGCCGTGGTGGCACACCATCTCAATTTGGGTTCGACACGCTACCACGTTAGTGATCCAAGGGAGTGGCTCTCTGGAACATTTAATGTTTGCATCCCAATCTATGTTGATAACAAACAGGATCCCAGTTTTCTTCTCCGTCTCCCTCTACCACATAGGGTGGGAGAAAACGTCAGCACGGGAAACGCTGATGAGAAGATCCGATGCGAAGTTGGCACTTATTCCTGGCTCCAGCACCACTGCCCAGAAGTCCTTATCCCCCGCCTGCATGGGTACGGGTTATCAACAGGACAGAAGGTAAGTGAACCACCTTTTCTGGCCGGCTTCCGCTAAGAATTAGTTTACCTCTCTCAACAATCTGCCTTTCGTCTCTCGTTTATTCGAATCCTTCCGTCGCTACGTTTTAAAGTTCCTTGGGTACCCAATCCCGTCCGAGTATGTCGTTCACAAGAGCACGTTGAGAGAGTCACTAGGAGTTGGATATCTCCTGATCGAATACATTGATACCTCTCGAGGCAAAATGCTGTCTGAATCGTGGGACCAAGGACGGCACAATCCCCAATTACGAGCGAACCTCTTCCGAAGCTTGTCTGATATCATGCTGGCTGTTGCGCGTACTCCTCTACCGAAGATTGGTTCTTTCATTGTGGACGAGAAAGGGTTTTTAAAACTACGGAACCGTCCGCTTACCCTTGAGATTCAGGGGCTTGAAAACGAGCATATTCCAGTGGATATCCCTCGTGGATTTACCTATTCTACCGTTGATGCTTACACCAATGACATCCTTGCTTACCATGAGAGCCGCCTCCATCACCAAGCTAATGCGGTCAATGACGTCCAAGACTCTTTATTCCAGATGGCTGCTCTGACAGTGATGAGAGCTGTTCGACACATATTCTTCCGCCCTGACCTTCGCCGCGGCCCTTTTTTCATGAGCTTTACAGACCTACACCAAAGCAATATTTTTGTCGATGATAGGTGGAACATAACGTGCCTAGTTGACCTCGAATGGGCCTGCTCTCGTCCAGCAGAAATGATTCATCCTCCGTATTGGTTGACAAACCAACCCGTCGATGGTATTAGTCTTGGCGAATACGAGGACCTCCACAAGGAATTCATGCGAGCTTTCACAGAACAGATGCTAGAACACCCTCACCAGTCCAGCGGGCAACTCTACTCCATACTCCAGGAAGGGTGGAACAAAGGCACGTTCTGGTACGCCCTTGCACTTGATAGCCCGACTGGGCTCTTCCGAATTTTTTACGACCACATACAACCACGATTCTCAAGGGATCATATAAACGACGCAGCATTTTTCCGGATCACCATGGAATACTGGACTACCCATGCCGCCAAATTCATCCAACAAAAAGTGAAAGACAAAGAAAAATATGATCATCATCTTCTCAAAGCCTTTGAACAGTCTCCCGCGGACCAGCGTGTGTATCAATAATGCCAATCATCTTCCTGCTGCACCATGTTGCTGAGTTTGTCCATTCCCACTGCTACCCTGAGCATTTTCGCGAGCTTGCAGATCTCTTGCTGCAGTGTCGAGAGACGCCAGTGCATTTTGGACTCTTCTATTCTGGGCGGCTTTTCCTGAAGAAGAAAGTTGGTTGAGGGTTTTGGGGTCGGCTTTAATGCCCACTTGCGCTTCTTCGATGGTAGCATTATAAGATGAGTCCGACCGGCGATCCGCCATTTCCCGCAGCAGTGTTAGCATGGAACTTTCCCCCCTCATATCTCCTATAACTGTAACCTAAGAAGCGTACCTCGAATTGCTATTCGTACCGAACCAGAAGAGATCACAAGAGGTGGCTGGAAGAGACTATATGAAGTTCAGCGAACAAGAGCTCAAGTATTCTCTGATGAGCGGTTTGATCTCTTTATACCCATTTGCAGTACAATAAAATATCTCTCCAGTCTGTAGTTTCATCGGGTCTGGACTAACCTAGATTCAACAGTGTTGGGAAAGTCGTATGCAGTCAGACGGCGACAGGGCTCGTACCGCCGCTCAAGTGCCACGTATGATATCTATGGAATGATCGAATCCAATAGACCTCTGGATTCCTGGACCGAGTCTAACTATTTAGATGGCTGTGCTAAGGGCCGGGGGAGGGGGGGGAACTGTGCCTCCCATGAACGTGCCACTGAGCCAATGGATTTTACGTACGCTCGTGTCATCTGCAGGCGCTAGTCTCCCTGTGAACGTCATTAATCCACCTGCACAAGTTGACGTGGCATTAGCATAAACCGGATGGGTTGACACATGATATGATGATCGAGGGCAGGAACAAACCCAACTTCTGTAAACCCAACTTTTCCCGGCCTGACTGAGCCAACTCCAACCACATAAAGAGGCTCTGAGCACGGAGGGAATGCGCTGGCCAATGAGAGGGCGGTGGGCTCCACATGAGGTGTACCCGCTAAGTTACCCTATTGGCGGGCGGGGTTCAACAATTGTGCTATGTACTATGACTATTTCCTGCTGGCATGAGTATCACGTCTCCTGCCATCTGACACGCGCCTGCTGGTGAGTCCGGGCGATTTAGCCCGCTAGTCGCTAATCGTGCCTATTAGCTCACCTTCAAGGGCGTCGGACACAGCCTGGTTTGCTTTCTCCATGAAGCGTAGTGATGGCCGTTTGCTTTCAGATAGAGCGTTAGAATAGGCGACAGGATTCTCCTGAAGGCGGAGCATTATGTTATAAAAGGGGACGTTATGCACGGACCCACGCATACTGCCGTAGCAACAAACTGGTCTCAAGTCTCAACAGTCTCACTTCCACAACTTATCCGCAATGGGTGAACCAGTCGACAAGAGTTGTAACGCCTGCGGGTGGACACTTGACAAAGAAAAACAGTGTCATTATACTAGCCACCTCAAACTCTTCTACGGCGCATCTACAAGGGGCGTCTGGTCCATCGGTTCAGATGTGATTCTGAAAGATCGGCCGGACGAGGGTTCAAAAGCGAAAATAGAAGTCAAAACATTGAACTATCTGGCGACATATACCGACGTCCCAGTCCCAAAGGTTATACGTGACTGGGTCGATCGCGATGGGCGATACTTCGTTTTGACTGAACGTATAGATGGTCAAACGCTTGAGGAGGCATGGCCTTCTCTGTCAGTGCACCAGAAAACAGATATCGCGGATCAAGTCGTCAAAATCCGAAAGCAGCTTCGGTCCGTCACCTCAACTTCCATTCAGTGTATCGATCAAAGCACATGCTATCCAGGCTTACTATTTTTCGACCTTGAGCCCCGCGGACCGTTTCATTCCGACCAAGAGCTTTGGGATGCCCTGGCCCTTAATCTTCACCACCTCCCTCAACAAGTTTTAGAGAACTTGAAGCAGCGCCTGCCAAAATGTGAGCCCTATGTGCTCACTCATTGCGATCTCAATCTGGGGAATATCATGGTCCATGACGGAAGGGTCGTCGGTATACTCGACTGGGAATACGCTGCCTTTCACCCGATTTGGTACGAGTATGTTTCGGCCTCTTTCGGGTTTACAGATATGGATGTCGAATGGAAAAAGTTGCTCCAGGAGCGCTTAGGCGTACACGGCGAGGCGTATGAAGATGCCAAGGCGTTTTGGACAGATTTGTGTAATCTAAGACTATCCTCTCGCTGATTGATAGTGTTGACATACAAAGGACAAGATTTTGCAGGCCCGGTGAGACATGAACCACCCAAGACGTGGACCTAGCATGTACGCGTAAGTTTTATCTATATGCAAATTACAAAAGGTGAACAGGGCAGGTGTACAGTGCCTTGTAAATAAAATATGAACAGAATATTCTGTCCAGTTGACTGTATTCAATCCACTCGTGGGTGCCAAATCCCAGACGCGTGTTTAGCGAGCTTTCCGTCAACTGGCGAGCCTCCAGCCAACTGGCAAGTCTATCCCTACAAATTGCCCCAATAAGCCCACAGTGACAGCATGTATATAGCGCGAGCTAAATTGTGTCAATGAGAACATTACTATCATCATCATCCCACAGCGACACGTGCTCTAGTGTGTAATTCTATGGCAAAAGGTATCAATTTTTCAGAGGTTGGTTCACAATGCAACTGCATAATCTCATCGAACTCGAACTCAGCAGTAGCTAGTTAGGTAGTGCGATCAATAGCGTTAAAATTATAGTTAACTATTTGTTACGTATAGTTTAGAACAGCAATTAATTTCAAGAATAGGTAAGTTTAGGTAGTCATGGTAAATCAACCCTTGACAGTACCATAAGAAAGGCTATCATCTATCAGGTAAAATAGCTCCAGAAAGAGCCAACGCCCAAATTGAAGAGAAAATAGGCAGACCGTCATTGCTAACGTTCAGGTCATTGTGTCTTCTTTGCCTCCACCTTTTTCCCTCTTCGGCGCTTCAGGGCATCCGGAGTGTATTCGGTGTCAAGGAGGTAGTCCCACCAGCGGAAGCTGCTTGCGTAGTTCCCAATGAATTTCTCATGGTGGAGGTCGTGATGATCAGCACCAGCCCAGAAAGGCAAGAAATGGTGAAGACTCCAAGGAAATTCGTAGCCACTGTGGGCATCGATAGCCTGGAACAAGCGCAACACAATCCAGGTATACATAGTGAGAATATGCAGGTTACCGGTGAAAGCACACCAGAGGATCGGGCAGCTGACAGTCCCGAAGCCGAGAATCATCACTTCAATAGGAGAAGCATATTCGGCGGCCAAACCAAATGGTGCGGAATACTGATGGTGAACTTTGTGAATAGCCTTGTAGAGTGGACCCCAATGAAGAGCTCGGTGGATAAAATAGTGCCAAGTGTCCTCCATCACGAAAAATATTGCAATCTGATATGTCATAGTCCAGAGAGACGGAAAAGGAATCGATGTTGATAGACCGCAGAACTGGGCCATCGGGTGGAAAAGCCTACAAGAGCCGTTACTACTCAATCGGGCCCGAGAGGCAAACGTCGGGTAGAATACCACTCCGTCGAGGGAGGAAAATACCAGATTTGAGGAAGTTCGACGGTGAAGTGGCTCAGAAGCACAAATTTGGCGCAATCCCATTGCTCGCGTAATGAAGGTACTTTGCTCTGAAGCAGAATGTTAGTTTCGATGGCGCTGGAACTGGGTTTATTTCGGCTAGTGCCAGGTGTTAGGCTTGCCACTTACACTTTGAATCTTGTATCCCTTGAAGAAACCCAAGCTATCGATGAAGATCCACGGAAGAGAGCGGCCGAAGTAGAACAACTCGTGGATGACGAAGGACATGATGCCGGTGGCCAGGACATCATTCTGCAGCCACGCATACCATGCGGCCCACAATCTCTCTGCCACGCTCAGGTGGGGATTGGATTCGGTGATATCCTGATACTGGCCCCAATAGGTGCCGGGGGGCAGCACGGTAGAATTCCTAGGAGAAAACAGGTCAGTATGCGACAAATCCCACAAAAGAGTATAATTCAACCACCCAGGATTGGGGGGTACAAAAAGAGGAGACACAGACATTGTGGTTCCTAGCAGGTCTTGAATAAGAGAGAAGAAGCAGAGGCTGCGGGAGAGAAGGAAGACTATTTTGTGAAGAGGGTAGTAAAAAAAGATAGGATCTGGGCGAGAATACCATGCGCTATGTAGTGTACAGTAGTTGCATTCCCTACTATTGAATCGTAATCCTGCTAAATTGAACATACAGTTATAGCCGATATGTTCCTTTGCAAGGGGGTTCCAGGCAGCCAACCACAGGCGGGCAAATGCGCATTATCCAGTTTGGTGGGGCTCGGATGGCTATCGGGCCGTATTGGCCCATCTGTGGCCTGACCATTGCGGTGCTGATGGCTTTTGTGTTCCGGCTCCCGGTACCACCACTTCGGGAATGGCCTGCTCCGAGTGATCGAAAGCAGCACTGGTGATTACAGTATTTGCAAAATCTGCCAGGGCCAACAGTTTCCGCAGGTGCCGTTCACAACCGTGATCCTAGTCTGTTCCATCGTCGTCATACACGAAAATCCGCAGTATAGCCTTGGCAACCTCGACGCCATCGTGCTCCAGATGCGCTGTCTCGGCCGCCCGATCCGCATGCTCGAGGTCCTTGATCCCGCCGCTATCCACCCTGATCTGGATCTGACGTCTCACCATGTCCTCGTCAAACGCAAGATGTGCCTGCGTAGTGAATAGCCGGTTCGGGATGTACAGGCCCTGAACAGGTGTATGCTCACTACGGCCCCAGCACGCGATCTCGGTGTCCGCGGAGAGCATGTCGGGTCCCGCGGACGCAGCTGTGGGCACCGAGACGACTTGATCCTGGTGCATCTGGTGCAGATGGATGTGGTCATCGCGCGTTCGGAAGAGGCGCTGGCCGACGGGTGTGAGCATGATACGAGAGTGACCGAGCTCCCAGTCTTGCGAGGGCGCAGGCCTGACAGAGCCGCCGAGGAGGCGGGCGAGGAGCTGGTGGCCGAAGCAGACTCCCAAAAAGCGGAAGTCGGGGCGCTTAATCCAGAGTGTCTTAAGGAGCTCCAGCAGCTTCAGGATCCATTCGTTGTTCCCGTGGGCATCGTAGACGCTCCCCGTAATGAGCAACCCGTCAAAGCGGTCGAAATCTTGCACGGCTGGGATATGGCCACCTTGTTCGGACACGACAAAGACTTGATCTGTCTCTACGCCCAGAGGCGGGTGATGGGCGGCTCCAGCCTTAGAAAAGTGATGATGTACAATCCGGCCAAAGGAGCCACGCTCCGAGTACGTGTCTGGGTGAGGCTTGTCGGTCTCGAGGACCATAAGGCGTACAACAGGTGCCGATTGGGTCGGCTTATCACAGTAGGTCTGATCCATGTTGCGTGCTCATTTGGTAAGTATGGTCCATGGTCTTTCCTAGCGGAAAATCCGCGACTAATGGGAGCAAGACGATTGCCAAGTAAATACGTCATTGTGACGCTCTCCGTCGTCTTCTAACCAATTGTACTTTACCTCGGTTTCCTCAGACCACCGCCTATGATTCTGCCGAATCCTCAGAATCCTGCCACGCTAACCCGATTGGGATGCTTCATCAGCCTGCCAGATTATTGTCGGGGCCTACGGAGTACACAGTACATCATTAATTGGGACCGTGGTCAGTTGGTGTCTGTACACAGCCATGCGGATATCCAATTGAACATTACATTGATGATTGAAGGCTGTATTCATGTTCTATGTAGCTTGGCCACTGCTTTTGGTAACACTTCTACTATGTCACATGTGCTCGGCAGAGAGTCTGGCCGCTGTCGAGTTTGAGCGGTGAAAGCCGGTGTCTGCCTATTTGTTCTCACTCCTCTCTCACCCCTCTTTTCCATCGCGTCTTCACGTCTAACAATTGCACTCTGTATTCATTTGACAATCTATTATCTTCGTTTGTTCTTAGACCCTTGATGGGTGCTTCTTGTCGCACTCAATATCTCCTCTGAACGTCTCTATCGAGCGTGCAAAACATAGAATCGGCATCCAAAGCCAGCTCCCGACGTCAACAACGACAATTCCCCCACATTGCAGAGAACACCTCTGCTCACTCCACTTCGAGTATGTTATCCTCTTGGATTTAGGCTCTACACTCTACATTCCACGCGTATGCTATTGGGATTAGTACATTACGTTCAAAAAGTTTCCCGACACCCGCTAATTTTTAGCGCGTTTTTATAGAACGCGTCCCAACCCCCACTTCTATTTTTTGTCCTACACAACCATGGAACGCTCTTTTGGCACCGTTATTAGTGGCAATAGGAGACCAAATGCGGAGCTATCGCCTGAGCAGCGCGCTGCTATCATATCCAAGCATGAGGACGGCCACAAGCCTACTGAACTTGCGAGCGAATTCGGCTGCGCGCGCAGCACAATTTACGACACCCTCAATCGCTTCAAGCAACATAACGCGGTCAAATCCCTACCTCGCAGCGGGTGCCCTGTAAAGATTAGCCGTCGCGCTGAATGCCAGATCTATCGATTAGCTCGCCGGCACCCTAATTGGAGCTACCACGCGCTTCGCTCGCAGCTACCCAATCCGCCATCCAAATCGACCATTCGGTCGATTCTCATCAGGTACGGGCTTCGGAAACGACGTTCGAGGAACCGAATACCTTTAACACCCTCTGGAGCGCGCAAGCGCTACAATTTTGCCTTGAAATATCGCCGGTTTTAAGCGTGGGAGACGTGGATATTTTCGGATGAATGTTCCGTCGAAAGGCACTCCAAAACTATCGGTTCTGGTAGCAATTGGGTGTGGCGGTTATCCTCTGAGGCCTACAGACGTGATCTTGTGAACATTGTGCCTCACGTACGGGATATATCACAGATGGTTTGGGCGGCTATCTGGCTAGGTGGCCGCTCAGATCTAGTGATCATGGAGCGTGATCCATCGGCGGCGAGGAACGGCTACACCGCGAGATCTTACATCGATGCGCTTGATGAGGGTCTAGTTCCACACTATACCCCCGGCACTATCTTCCAGCAAGATAACGCGAGAATCCATACAGCCGATATCGCGAAATCGTGGTTTGAATCGCACGGTATCGAGGTGGTCGACTGGCCGGCACACTCGCCTGATATGAACCCCATTGAGCCGGTGTGGCGCATGTTAAAACTGAAGGTGTTTAGTATGTTTCCAGAGCTGATTGGCATGGGTCAATCTGAGGCAGAGTGGCAGTACTTCAAAGAGTGTTTAAAGGCTGCATGGGCTGCGTTGGATCAGGCTAAAATTGATAGTCTAATTCTCAGCATGCCTAGGCGTTTGGAGGCCCTGCGTGTTGCTAAAGGGTGGTACACCAAATATTAGATAATTAATTCGTTCAGTTCAAGAGCGCGCCTGCGCCGAGACACTCGCAAAGGGATGGAAACCAGCCCGCCGGCACAACTCCGCGAGAAGCCCACGGGTCGGGGCGAGGAACGTGGGTCACCGCTATAGAACGAGTTTTTCTGAGGAACGGGGCGCTGTAACTAATGATACTATAATAAAATAAAGATCTCCGGGTTATCTTGAGACTAACTAATGGCGTCAAAGTACGGAGTAATGAACCCGAAGAGATGTCAAGAATAGGATCCTGGCTCGGCCTCAACGGTCATTCTTATCACTTGCCCTATCTTTCAACCGTTGAGTGTAACCTTACTAAAGTACACAGGCTAACCCCTTCTGGCTTTCATAGGATAACGTTTGAACATCTAACTGAATTTAGAGGGCTCTTGTAGGTTCTCTTCGCACTTATATACCCCTTTACAAGGGCAATGTCTTACAGCCCCATAATCATCGCTACCCGAATCAAAAGTGGGAAGGCAATTGCAGCACACGAAATTGGGGGCTGATCTACCTATCCTAAGCTTTCTTAGGCTATCTCAAGCTATCTTGAGCAAAGCTAAGCTAAGTTGGGCTGATCCACTGGGCAATCAACCGTCGGACTGCCTTATCTCTGTTTCCCCTCACGTCGGGGTAGATTCGCGCCGGTTATAACTAATTAAATCAGCCATGGGGAAAAAGGTATTCATACGTGCCTAACCAGTCTTATTTTCTCCCCAGGAGTGCAACGACGCGAGCTCCGCAATATCTATACCATGTACTCCAAAGAGCCAGATACCGACGCAATCAAACCTGCGCTCGTCGGAGCGGATGAAGAGGTAGTCGAAGGCCGCTTGGACGATCTCAATCTAGAGAAAGACGACGAATTTAAAAATGAAGAGCTTAGCTATGATTCGCACCGCTCCCCATTCCCTGAAGGTGTGTAAAGGTGCCTGTGTAGCTCACAGCTCATCTATGGTAATGGACTAACAGTTACACAGTTAGGGCTGTCGTCCCCGAGACAGATGACCCCGGTATGCCAGTCAACACTGTGCGGATGTGGCTGCTAGGAATTGTTTTCACTGTCCTCGGATCCGGAATCAACCAATTCTTTTCGCTGCGGTATCCGTCGGTTCATATTGTGGCTCTAGTAGCAGAGCTACTTGCCTATCCGATGGGTGTGTTCCTGGCGAAGACCCTCCCCCTGACATCCATCCGACTCGGGCCTTTGGGCACGTTCGTTATCAACCCAGACAGGTCCTTTAATATCAAAGAACACGCACTTATCGTTATTATGAGCAATGTGTCTTTTGGATATGCTTCAGCGGACGCGACGAACATCATCCAAGCGGCCAGCAAGAACTTCTACAATTTTAATCTCAAACCGGGCTTCTACGTGCTCATAGTTCTCGTCGCACAACTTCTTGGATTTGGCGTCGCAGGCCTTGCAGCTCCATGGCTCGTCGAACCGGCTCGCATCATCTGGCCAGGTGTATTATCCAACTGTGCTATGCTAGAGACGTTGCATTCACGAGCAAACTCTATCGCAGACGGGTGGCGCATAACCCGTCTCCGATTCTTCTTATACGTTATGACTGGTGCCTTTGTCTGGTACTTCTTCCCCGGCCTTATGTTCACCGCACTCTCATATTTCACTTGGGTTTGCTGGATTGCACCAAAGAACGTCATTGTCAACCATCTCTTCGGCATGCAAACAGGTCTCGGTCTGAGTCCAATTACCTTCGACTGGAGCCAGATCGCCTACAACACCAACCCTCTCCTATCACCATCATGGGCTGCGTTGAATGTCTTCGCTGGCTTCGCGTTTTTCTACTGGATTGTCACACCAGCCCTCTACTACACCAATACCTGGTTTACGGCTTATCTCCCACTCATGACAGCCGACGTGTACGATAACATGGGCGCCCTATACGACACCGCTCGAGTCATTTCTACGGATAATACCCTGGATACGGCGGCTTACCGAAAGTACTCACCTCCATACCTGAGCGCAACCTTTGCCTTCGTATACGGACTTTCATTTGCTGCCATCACCTCGGTACTATCACACATCGCCCTGTGGCATAGTCGCGACTTGTGGGCTGCTCTCAGAGGCCGGAATAAACTCGATATTCATGCTCGGCTCATCCGTGCCTCGTATCGCCGTACACCGTGGTACTGGTACGCTGGCATCATCGTGGTTATCATGGCAATGGCCATCGCCCTAGTCGAAGTCTATGAGACTAAACTTCCAGTTTACGGCGTGTTTCTAGCTTTGCTCATCCCGGTTGTGTATATGATTCCCTGTGGTATCGTACAGGGCATTACGAACGTGGACGCGAATCAGCTGAATGTTTTGGCTGAGTTCATTGGTGGCTATATGTTCGAAGGAAAGCCACTCGCGAATATGATATTCAAGATAATTTCGACGGATGTCGTGGGACAAGGCGTTTACTTTGCTATGGATATGAAATTGGCTCACTATCTGAAAGTGCCGCCACGTACCTGCTTCATGGCGCAGGGTGTAGCCACTATCCTGGGAGCACTCACCCAGGCGGGTGTCACACTGTGGATGCTCGGTAATATTTCGGGGATTTGCGAATCCGACCAGGCGAGTGGCTTTACTTGTCCGAATGGCCGGACAGTGTATTCGTCCTCTGTTATCTGGGGTCTTGTTGGGCCTGGTCGGCTCTACTCCGCAGGAAAGATCTACTCTCCTCTGTTGCATTTCTTCTGGATTGGTGCTATCGCTCCAGTTGTGACTTTCCTCCTCTACCGTTATACCAGACGGCAGTTTTGGAAGTATATCAACTGGCCACTCATTTTTGTCGGAACTTATAACGTTCCACCTGGTATGTCCCGCAGCTGTAAGGGCCTCTTTTTACTTTTCTTTTGATCGCTAACTCGAAGACCTTTAGCCACCGGAATCAACTATTCCAGCTGGGCGCTGGTCAACTTCGCCTTCAATCACTTCATTAAGCGCTGGTTCTTTGCGTGGTGGACTAAGTACAATTATATCTTGGCGGCTGCACTTGATACAGGTCTTGCACTCAGTGGCATTGTCATTTTCTTTTGCATCTCATACCCTGGTGCGACTTTCCCTGATTGGTGGGGGAATAATGTGTATCTGAATACTGCAGATGCCCAGGGTGTACCATACATGTCGATGCCCGATGTTGGATATTTCGGGCCTACCAATGGAACGTGGAGTTGAGGCCAGCTAGGTCTGTTCAATACTGCATGCATCATAATCCATATACAGGCTTTCACGTATTGGGTAATCTCGGATAATCCGAGTGAGAGCACTAATCGGTTGAGTGCAGTATGTCTTCTCAGACTAAAGGGATCAATATTTATCAGAATGATACCTTGAGCAGCTCAAGTAGATAAGAAGTCAAAGTGAATCTTCTGGCTTAAATACTTCCTAATATTATCTGCAACTGACAGGTGGAAAACTGGAGAGAAAGATGTGCAATTTCTGAAGGACTCTGGAGGATGTGTTCTAACCAGCGGCTGCTAAGGTTTTGATGTCGGTAGCGGGCTTGTCCCAGCGATCAAATGCCATCGACTGAACTCTGCCCTACCCAAGGATGTCCCTGTACTCGGGGTCAATCACAGTCAACGCTGCGGGACCGCCCTTCTCAAGCACCTCCGTGTCCACTACCAAACTCACGAGCAGCTGAGCCGGTTCAGAATTGCTGTAGTTGTCACTTATTTTATGGTGGCATCCTGGGGCCTCAAAGAAGGTCCCTCCAGCTTCGATGACGCGCGTTGGTTCGTCATTCATCTTGTTGATGATGGTGCCTTTCAGCACGTAGGCCGAGACAGATGCTCCGGCGTGACGATGTGGGGGCGTAGCGGCGTTTGGAGGAAAGTCCACGATGAGACCAACCTGGGATTTACCCGGGCAGTTAGGGAGCTTGTTTTGGTAAATGAGTGAAGGTACCGTGAGAGGTCGCCTGAAGCAGCCCAGGTTAGTGTGTTGCATATTTATGAGGCACGAAATGACAAGACTCGCCTTCGGTCATATGGGGCAGGGTCAGGAATAATTCGTGGGCTTGACATTTTGTTGCAAATAGGTATATCCAGTTGTCGATGTTTGAGTATGAGTAGGTATTGGAAAGGTGGCACGCCAATGTATTTATATGCTTCTCAGAGGCTGGCGTTGAGCCGTTGACTTGACTTAGTAATTCGATTCGGGTCGGAATTTCAGACGACTTTCATTGCTACCGTCTTCGGTCGTGTTAGCGTTGCAGCTTCGCAGCGTGAGCACCGGGTCGGGTACACCGGGTCGGGGACTCGGGATCGAAGAGTACGACCCGAAGTCTGGGTTGCACCTCCCGTGGGCGACCCACAAAGGCCACAATCATGAGGCGGCCAGTGGGGCCAACTTCCTTGCGGTTCGTTCTGCGATAGCCTATGCATAGCGATAGCCTATAGGCATAGCGATAGCCTATAGGCATAGCGATAGCCTATAGGCATAGCGATAGCCTATAGGCATAGCCGAAAAAGCACTAGGAACGACTCACATATCGGAGCCTCGGGCTACGGGGCAGGCGGAGAGCAAAAGCGAACTGAGATTCCAAAGTTTTGCCCATACAGTGACGGTCCATAAGTTTGGACACCTGCCCCACTCCCGGGCCTTACTGTGTATTTGAGTGGTTGAGTTAATTGGTGATGAGTGCTGGTCCGTGCGAGTTAAGCCGACCCGACACTGCGGGGAAGGCCATCATAAGAATCATAAGAATAAGAATACTTAGCGAACATGCTCCACCACCCTTCTACTCCAATCATACTCCCAATTTTCTGTCTGCACCAATCAGTATTTTGCGGCCCCTTTCTACCGCTTTCCTTTTTCTCCCTTTTCTGCCTCCTCTTCTCCAATCACTGTTCTGTCCATCGTTGCGTACTGTAGCTTGTATGTACATAGCCTTCTCGGCACTCGGATTAACATCTGGCCGACAAATTGCCTAGACAAAACATGCGCGATCACCATACCATTATCACCAGCTTGAACCGTCGCAGCATCGCCGGCTACTTATTAATACCCAAGTCTCCTCAAGAAAAACCTTGTTGCAACACGTCAAGACCGGCTAACAAAACATAGTGTTGCGACACACCTGCACAGGCCTAGGTGACTAGGTCTCACCTTCACTACAGCGCGATGGAGTTTATCTGCTCCAATACGCTCCGCCTCTCCCAACAGAGGTATGTGCCCCTGGAGAAAGGCATCATGAAAAACACACACATGAGGCTATTCGTGCGGCCATCGCATTTATCGACTTACTCACAGTACCTGCACCCGCAACTCGACTGTGCATGGGGTCTATGGCCATGGCGACGCACATGTCTGCTTGCGAGTCGCTCCTCCGCGGCACTGACTACGCACATGCACGAGACCGTGTGCGGTTATTTCTCGGCATCCTGCGGGTGTTTGAAGGAGTGTGGCCGGAGGCTAACAAATGGTCTCTTGAGATGAGACTCATGGCCAAGGCAGTGTTTGACAACCGGGATAAGGCTGGGAACCTAATTGCAGATCCACTGGGAGCTTTAACGCAGATCGGGGACGATGGGAGTATTGAACAACGCGTGAATGACGGCAGCGCTGGCAGTATTGTGGAAAGTGTAGGTGTTTTTCTCGGCGATGCATATCTTGGTGATGCTACCTAAATTACCTACGTACCTAGAACTATATACTTATATTTCGCAGTCCCCACGGTGCTTGCACTGGAGGCGCTTGGAGAAGCCGCAATCGCCGTGGATTTCGTCCATGACCGCGGGATTCGTGCCGTTGGGGAGCCACCGAAGCGACGTACTTCTCTCGACATAACCGCACCTGCCATGGAACTTTTGGAGCTAGGTATGGTTGCGCTAGGTACTTGAGTGGATGGATATCGTGATGCACCACCGGGGCTTTACAGGGGAGGTGTTTGTGGGGCAACTGGGAATGTGCTGCCCGTTTCTGCTCCGTCACTGACTTCAATCTCAGCTCCAAGCAAAAACCAGAAGTCATATGACAATCCCCAGCCGAGGCTGTCGATCATCCCATCCTCTTCTTCTATCTTCTTAAAAGCATCAACCACCATCACCCAGTCTCCAACAACCATCATCTCCATCAATCCACGCAAAACCCAAAAACATCAAATCCTCTCAATACTTCTCTGATTCTCCTCTATCAATCCAAAAATAATCAAAATGGCCACCGTTTCAACCAAACCCGCAACCGCCATCTCCCCCTCCTTCGACACAATGTCCCAGAACATCTCCCGCGCCGCCTCCCTCCCCGGTCACCTTCGCCAAGAAGGGCTCTTACGAGCATATTCCCAGTTTCAATCTGGAGTGAATCTCGACGGATTCGATTCGGCTTCTCGGTTTAATCCGGGGAGATTTGTACTACCGTCGACTATTGCTTGTTCTCTGCTACTTGGCCTGGTCTGTTCTTTCGCGGTGCTTAGCCTTCTTCTCTCCTTTTCTTTGCTTGTGCTGAATCAGCGTATGGCGGCGCGGATATTATTATTTCGGTTCTGAGGGTTTCAAAATGGGATTCATTCGGTGCTATTAATTGCTTAATGAGCTTTGGGTTAAAAATTGATTCATTTGTGACCTCCATATTTCATCTTTCCTGTTGCGGCATGATAAATATGATATGGATGGATTTTCTAGTACTATCCTTGTATTGCGAGTTGCGACCAGGCAGCAACCTTTGTCTGCATATATCAATGGCTGCCTACCTCGGCTACCTACCACAGGGGCTACAGTTTTCCCTAGATATTCCGGTCAAAACTAAAGCCACTCTCATTTTAGCCCGAGATACCTAAGCAATTAATTTTGAGTCGCGCAATTAGAGTTCCTCGCCCGAATGCTTGGCATTCGGGTCATTCGGGCCATTCCCCATCAACACTGAGATAGCTGCGTTTGAAGCTGAGTTAGGGGCTATGCATGATGAAACCTTCCTTATCCTGACACTCTCCTCCCTAGTAAGACTGAGCCTTGCACCCAGACCGAGCAGGCTGAACAAGCTGAGCAAGCTGAGCAGCCTGGTATAGGAAGAAAATGTCATCGTTCCTCGGGGCCCAGCATCCTCCTTTGACGGTGACCTAACAGGGAGGACCTATGATGGGAGGACTGCAGTACAAGAGACAGTAGCAGGGGACGTTCTGAGGCCTACTGGGAACTGACGGCCCGTGACGGCAATTATACCGAAAGACTGATCATGAGGCAAGAGATGCGTGTTCGATACCAATCCATGCCGACCGGCTGTTACGAGTACAGCAGAAATGGGACAGTAGTGTGACTTGGACAGAGCTTGGGGATCCTAAGTGAGAGTTGGGATGTCACATGTGCAAACAAGGCAGAGAGTGCGAGCGTGTTTATCAGAACGCGTCCCCACGCTCTTGGATCTTTTCTTCTTTCTTTCCTCAGCTTCGATACTTTCGTATTAAACTTTCAGATTGTTCTGTTTTTCTCTCAGTTCAACCTTATACCGTACCTCATATAGCCAGCCCATCGGATCCTTCGGTTTCTTGTCTGTCTTCCTACGATAAATTAGCCGCGATCTTCAACGCATTTGTCACTAGGATCAGATTGACTAACGCTTTCGAATCGCCTCCAAGGGGCATATACGTGGTCGCAAAGTCTCTTAACCACCGCCACCACCAGCGAGCTCCCAGCCCTAGCTGACCTGTCCAATAACTCTGCTTGGTCATGCTCCTCGACCTTGGAACCCTAGCTTGGGCATACGCCTCAATCGCTCCAGAGAAATCTAAGCTGCCATTCTCCAACGAGGGCGGGTTATTCAGTAGTTCATTAGCCAAAACGGTGGCATCTTCGATGGCGAATCCCGCTCCTGTGAATGTGTCAATGACTATCACTCTCCTCTTCAAAGATGGAACTTGGTGAAAGCAAAAATAAGGTAAGACTAACCTTGGCCGCTCGTCGGCAGCATCAATCGTGAAGCGTCTCCGATCACAACGATGTTCTTCCCACCAATCTCACTCTCCTCCCAAGCATGATACCACAGAGGGGCTCTAACAATCCTCTCACTCCTCTTATACAACTCCTCAAAATTCCCCGCAATAGGATGAAAGGCATTCTCGTGCCTCTTCAGAATCCCCCGCGTCTCTTGCAGGTCATATCCACCTAGTATTAAGTCCGCACCATAGGCCTTATCCACTTTCTGTTTCTGCAGGTGCTCAGCAGCTGTCATCCTCTTAGGCGGAAGGTTGGAAGGGAAAGAAATAGACCAGAACTGCCTGCCGCCAGGCAGAGCCCATGTTGATGCGGTGCCTGAGTCGAGGAGAACCCAATGAGTGTCTCCGTCTTGCATATCTTCTTCAGATTCAGTCGAGCGGGCCCTGTCCATGGGTTTGGAAACACCGTAAATCCCATCTGCGTATGCAAACTCAGGCTTCCATCTATCAGCACCCTGCCCGCCGTCTGCTGCTGCTGCTGTCGCCATGATATGCCTTCTCACAACCGACCATCCCCCATCCGCACCAACAACAAGATTCGCTTCGGCGTGCGTCCCTCCCTCAAAGCACACCTTAACACCCCCTCCAGTGGCACTCTTCACATCAGTAACCTTCCTCTCCCAAATCACTTCCCCGCCTAACTCCTGCACCCTATCAAGAATGACGCGCTGCAGCCCCGCCCTCTCTACAACCCGGAGGTTCGTCCCCAAGTCCTCCTGCCAGTTCGGATTGTTCAACTGTTGGCAGTACTTATGCTTCCCGGTGTCCCAGGCGCGCCAGATCTTGATTCGTGCCGTTTCAGAGCTAATAGAGTCCAGCGACTCCCTTAGCCCCAGGCTATACAGGGGGTAGAGGGCGTTGGAGGTCAGGGCAACAGCGGCGCCAGCTGCATACGTCGCAGCGCTAGGAGCGTGGGTGGATTCGTTTTCTCCGTGGCTCTTTAAGTCAGGAAATGCGCTTGGTTTGGGGCACGCAAGGCGCTCGTATATCACGGGTTTGTAGCGCTCCTTGAGGACGGGGTTAGAGAGTATTGTCAGGGCGAGGACGGGACCCGCGACGCCACCGCCGATGATGGCTATGGTATACGGAGCTGGTCTGTCGGCCATGGGTTGATACTTGGAAATCCAAAAAAAATCACATCAATTTAGATCGAAGAATTATTTGACCCTGTATAAAACTATAAGTAATTTGCTGCATTTATTAGTTAAGGTATGGGACGGCACAGAACTTGGTTGCCTAGGCAGGATAGTCCCGTGATTACACCCGAAAATATTCGCGTGTGAAGCCACGTGATATGGCACGTGCAAGAAGCTCCTGGACTTCCAAGTCCTCTGTGAGGCACTCGTTGGTAGAGGGGAATTCGTCAGTGACATACTGTTGCAGGCATTTCCTTCTATCTCAAACGGATTCTGTTACTTGAATCAATATACCACAGTAGTTAAGGGTTGTAGGATAAGCGGTTACTGCTCATAGAAGTAGCGACTACTCCGTACAGGCTTCGGGCTATGGGCATTGCGACAATGCAGCTTCAAAGCACGTAAATTCTCCTATCATAAGGAGGATGAAAAAAAAAAACATACAACAGTGAGGATTCGCTGGTGGTCACCCACCCAACTACTAACTCACCGGCGTGTGGCTTAAGTACGGCTGAGCGGACGGGAAGCCCTGTTTTCCACACCCTATGGTCGTATGTACTTGGTAAAATACTACGATAATATATACATGCAATACGCTAACTATTGAATGGATATATAGAAAGCAGAACGCAGATGTGGTTTGTGTTGAACTCCGGGGCCGTGAGATAAGCAAGCGCGGGTTGATGGCAAGAAGGCAGGATGTCAATCACTCGATGCTAAGAGGTTGATGAAGCTACAAGCAGAACAGGCTAGTTAAGCTTTGAGCCTTTGACAACTTGAAGAGCAAGCAGATGAAGGCAGTATGGTAAGTATGTTGACCTCCGTAGCTTTGTTCTGGCCAATTCGAGTTAGTTGGTCTGTCAATGTACTAATTTAGTCTTTCATTTTTGACTCTTTGTTCTTGCTAAAGACTGGTTGTTCTCTTTTACTGGTACTTGCAACATAGCGGCATTGTTTGAACTCTTTGTTGCCTCTCGTGCTTAATGGATCAGCGGGAACTATATAAGCATAGTATGTAGTCGCCCGAGTCTCTTCATCCGTTAACTCCCGCAACAAGAGAAGAACACACCAACAAAGTCATCCTCCAAGATACAACAGACCATTGGCCTTGAAAGCAACTTGTATATCCCCCTATTTAGCCAGATCGACGACTTTGGAGTCGCTTTGTTCCAATGGCCCTTACATACCCCAAGGAATATGAACCGCACGGAGACAGATTGCGACGCTGGATGGAAGATGCCAATGAACCCGGATGTCCGATCCTTAGAAGCTCGCTCACTATCCCTGATAACAAAAGCGTTATCAGCGATCAGGAGTGGTATATTAACTCCGATCCTTTTTATCTAGCTGATGATTGGGCTCTCTGGGCCCAGAGTGTTGGGCTGCCATTTGATGGCCTGGCAGTTGACGAAAGTCTCAGCCAGGGACCTAGTTATTATAATCAGTCAATCATCAAGTTCCTCGGATCCTATGCGTGCTGGATTGGGCGGACTGGACCAGGTGTGATCTTCATTGACAATATCAAGAGAGACCGGGGAAGTACAGATCCACACATGTCCGAGTATGCCAAGGCTTTCTATGAGATGAACTTTGATCTCGCAAGCTTGAAGTATGTTGTTGTGACTACTATTGTGGAGAAAGAAACTAGACCCTTCCTCAACCATCTGTACGAGTCTCGGGGACTCTTCCTTTCACTTAAGGAGGAGTGCACTTGGGAGGCTCCTTCGGCTGAGTTCTGTGGTATTCTCGGTACTCCTATTGGTAAGATGGTGGGTGCCTTGATCTTGGGTGCATATGGCCAGGGGGTGAAGCGTATTGCACGAATCATGAACATCCGGATTGGCGAAGACTACAGTGCATATAACCTACGGTTTGATATCGAGGATGCTGACGGCTGGAATTTTTCTTGATCTGATTAACTGCAGGACCAACATTTTCCCTCCCAACCTATACATGATATTCTTTGGGAACCTGACAATCTCATTGTACGCAGTCTGCTATGACACTTGCAGTTTCCTGTTCAGTTGGGATTCAATTAGATGCGACATTGATCTTTCATTTGAGCTTATTCTACGTAGTTTAGACCTCTCTTTCAAGCACTTAGCAATCCACAAATTGAATACTACTTCCCTGATTTCTCGCCTGGTAGTAGACAGTATAAAATATATAAAGATGAGCCAATGTGCTTTCTAGGGAATCTACAGGTCTCGGGTCTCGACCTGTGCTGTCCAGTACCAACTTGTCTTGGGCTCTTGGCCTTTGTTCCCCGGGCGTATCCGGGTGTTCTACTAGGTTTGCTTTGTTTTCTTCTTAGGTTGTTTCCTTATTGAATTCTGAGATAATTAGATAGCCTTGCCTATTAGGAATTAAATGTACTCAATATCCTCGTAACGTTAATGTTCCTGCAAAAGTGCTATTTTAAGAAGCGTGCACGCAATAGGAGACGATGATTGGTGACAGATCAAAAACACAAAAAAGAGTTGTATGTTTCCAAGGTTGCCAACCCGTTGATTGACCAATGGGATTTGTCCTTTGAAATGTACAATTCAGGCAGCACAGATCAGATTGCAAATCTGAGGTATCGTGACTGTCGTAAGCTCTTGATTTTGATTCTTTCTTTCCCGCCTTCTTTCTCTCTCTCTCTCTCTTCCCCTTCTGTCATCTGCATACTCCTCTCTTTTAACCTGTTTTGTGTGACTCGTCTCTCTCACTCGTTTTCCAGCTGCTTCTTCATCTTGTCACATCGCGAGGAATCTACACCTACCCGATCGCGGAGGCCTCTTCTCCAACCATGCGCTGAGCCAATATTGACGACTCAACTTACTTTTGAGACGCCACCAACATCAACTTCCCCGACACGAGTTGTTATCTCTTCGAATCTATTCCAATATGGGGATCTCCAACTCAGCCATCATTGTCATCGTCCTTGTCGCATGTCTCGCCGTAACTGCATTGGGAGCATCGCTCTTCAAACACTACAATCCAGCCGAGGGAGAGATGCCTTACAGTCCGGGTTACGAGCAGAAGCTGTACATGGCCGAGGTACGAGCACGCGGCTTTGAGCATTTGAGACAAGTGTCTTGGGCGGGAAGGGATATGGACCCTCGGTGTATGTTCCTCGTTAATTTCTCGATCGGCTGATCTTTCCCGGGCCGCTAACCGATGACCTGATCAACAGATCCCCATGCGGGGCCTGGCAACTATCGCCCCCACACCTATACCGAAGACACGAACACAAACACAACCACAAACACAACCACAAACACAACCCCGAAAGACACAGGAAGCTCATAAATTGGCTTCATATCCTCTCCTTCTGTCAAAAGCCTCATGAATACAAATCGACAATGGGCGTCTGCTGAACCGGATGTAGCTACTAGCGTCTCACAATGATTGTTACGCGGCGGAAATGGCGTTACACGGAGTTACAGCGACAATGGGTTACACAAAGAATTGCGACGTAGACCGGTCTGTCTGGTTTCAGACACCAGGTACATTCCTCGGAGCAATTGGACTCGGTCGGTCTCAAGGATCTAGGCGTTCGCTTCACCTTTTTATGAAATTCATGGTTTGGTGGCCCTGGACTCGTGCCCAAGCGATCTTGGACTTGTTGCTCTACAGCCTACTCGCTGACATATGTATCTGATATTCAAGGCATCTTCGATGATAACCAAGGAATACTATTCCAATTTTACCAATCTATGACTTTCCACCGTTGCGCAAAAGCCTCTAAAACATTGGCTATTCAACTTCATGAGATAATACTCGGTAACTGTTCGCTGCAACTTCTTGCTGTATCCTAATCTCGAGTATACAGACTCCTCACCAGATCATGAAGGCATTAGTCTACTAGCCGGTCCAAGTGAGCGAGTCCAACGTTTCACATCATGTGCGCCTTTCCCATGACAGTCGTTCTGACTCTTTCGCCAACGGTTATAACGGCCGAACCCTGAGCCGGCTGTAAGAAACGCCCGCCTGTTTATTTTATTCATGCACGTAAGATTCCTAGGATCTAGTTTAGCGTCACGGGGGGTTCAGCCCTGAGCCGCTGGTCGACCCGTCGAGGTGAGCCTGGTAACGTAGTTGTAGGATTGTGAAAGCGATCATAAACTCGGCTCCAAATGAGTCATGACCAATCAGAGACAGGAAGATTGTAGACATGTCTGCCCAACCATTGCTATGATAAAAAGCCTTCACGGCTGCAGTCTACTTTCTGTCAGCCTTGGCCGCCTGGCCGCCCTGGTGCCCCGAGTAGATCGTCGGAAAAACTTTGAGCCTTGGACCCACTTTCATGCAAATCCCGCGCCCCGAACCACCGAGGTCTTTTAATAGAGCAACCTGGTTACCTGGTTCGGCCTCTTGGCAGTGATTGTGCTGTTTCAAACGGGTTCCGAGATGAGATGATTTAACATGGTGAGGTCACTGGAGAATCTCATCACTAAATATCATGTGGGCGATCAGGGGGAGAACACAGTCGCATCGCCATCTCAATCGTTGAAGCCCTGAGGCTGTGTGCATTGGCCCCCAGGGGGCTGCCACGAACCTCGCACACTAACAATCGGAGCCTCTGTCGATCATCTACTCTCGGATCTTGGGATTCTGGCAGATACTCATGGTTTCGAATCAGTTCTCTGTCGTAAATATTGCGAGGTAAAGGCATACATGCAGCTAGGAAGCTTGTCCCCACGCGTGAAACATAGGCAGCAGAAATGAATATCGCGCTAGCCTCAGGCTAGGTATGTCGACCGTATTCGTACACGTTTCCTACAGTGGAATCGGACCCCGTCCCCCGAGGCCATTCCTGTTCCCCACTTGCACATGGTGGATACGAGTACGGCCGCAGGGCTCAGCTAAGCTCACTATTTATTCCGAAGACATTCCTTTGAGAATTTTCAGCTCACCGTTGCTTCTCTTTGCTTTTCTACATACTTGACTTCTGTTTGCTAGGACACACAAGAATCTGCATGAATTCATCATGGAGTCCCCAGATAACGTCACAAATTATGGGAGCGACACATCAAGCGAAGAACGGTATGTATAGAGGGTTCGGGGATTGAGGAAGATCACATTGGTTCAGTGATTCTACATAGATCCATGTCTAATTCACTCCCCCAGTAGAACACCAAGTGAACCACTCAGTACCAAAATCCATGCGAAGTTCCAGATAGCTCGACCACCTCCAAAATCAAGTCAACGGCTTCGTCTCAGCCCGAAACTACTTCTTCAAGTGCAACAATTGCCCCCGAATCACAGACCAGTGCCAGTACTGGAAATATGGCAGCCACCACTGCGGAAATCAAAATTGACAAGAGAATTTCCGCAACGACCAAAACTCGGCGCGAAAGACATCTACGCAACGCTCAACGAACCGTATATGACCAGCGATTTAAAGCAACAACAAGGGCACTTGAAAGACAACACTACACAGTCAAGCAGTGATGGCAACGCCCAAGAAAAAGACATCGTCGCTGCAATGTGTAACTCATCCAACAACGACAATCCCACCATGGCAATTCACTTCCGTCATACACGATGCATCTGGCAGGCCAGTGCTGGCTCGGCAGGATCCGGTCAGAGCACGTCATGCTACAGATTTCTTATCAAAACTGAGCGACATACGACCGGCTCCGAGCAGCACCGGATGATCATGCAGTGGGAGAAACGAACTATATCTACCAGAGAAAATGGACAACCGGGGACTCCAGAGAACGAACACTTCGTGCTTGTGGCGATTGATCGTAAAGCGCGGCGGAAGAGTCGGATTGCGACTATGAATCGGGGCGGGTTTGAGATTACTGTACGGAAGAGCTCGGTCTTGGAACATCTTCGGACTTGCTTGGCGTTGATGAATCCTGTTTCTGCTGGAAGCACGGACTCTGTGGATTTGGAGACTTGGCTATATACCCTTGTGTTGACGTTAGGTGTCTCCGTGGCTTCCCAAGAAAGGTGGTTGGGTTGAGCCTTCAATAATTGTTCAAATAAATCAGGACTACGTTTTGTAGAATGCTTGGGTGCTATTGACCCGCAGCTGCTGTAGTGGAAGCCCGCATATGTCCTCCGAATGTGTCTGGCTAACTGTAATCCAATAGAAATGTGCTAATTCAATAAACAAAGGTAGTGCTCGCGCTAAAGATCCCTACTGGGACGGAATAGGGGCTATCATAGCCTCATAGACACACCACACTTCACATCATCTACCAGGTAGTCAAGCCCGTTTCGAGTGCTTTGATCTGCAAGGCCAACAAACGCGAATAGTATCTGCTGAGAGCAAGGTTCCCGCCCATGAACCAGAAGCCAGGGTGACCGCTACGTCGCCAGATAGTCCGCATCTCGCCTTCATTGTCAAGACCCCAGACGTCACCCACGCGATCAGCTACTTCGTCGCCAAATATCACCCGAGTCTCTGTTCTCATATTCTGATATCCGGTTGCAAACACAATCTCATCCGCCTCAAGCTCTGAACCATCCGCGAAGCGCAAGCCATGCGGAAGTACCTCACTTATCTCCTGGCCTTGCTTCACCTTAATCTTCCCATCAATGATGAGCTGGCTGCCGCCGACGTCAATATAGTAGCCGCCTCCGCGTTGGTAGTATTTGAACAAGAGACCACTGTCCGCAGATCCCATGTCAACCTTGAAGCCTGCCTTTTCCAGTCCCTCGATGGTCTGTGCATCATTCTGGCAGATGAGCTTAGTGGTTTTGACCTGTTGTGCTTTGAATAGGCGCAACGGAATGCTCGTCAAATAAAGATCGGCATCTTCGGTAGGGGGACCGGTCCCGTCATAAAGCCCTTTGAAGCTGATTTTCAATGTGGACTCTGACGACACGACGCAGGTAGAGCTCCGTTGCACCATAGTGACATCGTACCCTTTCTCGACGAAATCTTGGGCGATATCATGTGCCGAGTTGCACGAACCAACGACAATCGCCTTCTTTCCCTTGGATTCAGGATTCGCACCAGGGAATTCTGCGCTGTGGCACATGCGATCCCCCTTGAAGGTTCCCATTCCTTTGAATTCAGGCAAGTTTTTCTTTCCAGAGTGACCGGTAGCTTGAATGACATGGCGTGGGTGAAAGGTGCGTGTCTCGGTTCCGCTTTCCGTCTGACGCTCAAGAACAACCATCCATTGCTTTTTGCTCTCGTCCCAGGAAGATGACTTGATCTCGGTCTGAGTCCAGACATTGAGTTCGCGGAATTGCACATATGTTTCGAAAAAATCCGCCAGCTTATCCTTGGGTGTGTAGATTGGCCAATCGGACGGGAAGGGCAAGTATGGCATATGATCATACCATACTGGATCGTGGAGGACGAGCTGGTGGTATCTGTTGCGCCAGTTGTCTCCGACTCTCACTTCTCTGTCGATAACGAGAGTATCGACCCCGAGTACCTTTAGACGCGCAGCGGCACCCAAGCCACCCTGACCAGCACCTGCGAGTATGGAGTCAACATCCGTCCTCGACTGGGATAATGGTCACTTACCAACTACCAAGACTGTAGGTTCCTTTTCTACGAAGTTGATCTCATCGTTGCGCCGATCTTTCCAGTTCTTTCTGCCCTGCTGCTCGCCATGGCGGACACCAAATGGTCTTTCGAGCTTCTGCGCATGGCCCTTCACCTCAACCAGTGAAGTGAAGACGGTGAAAATCTTCCACTCGCCATTCTGTTCTGCCAGTCGTATTACGCCATCTCCCTGTCCATTGTCCGTAGTAACCTTAATGAAGAACTCAATACCAAAGACATCACCAAAACCGTCGATGGCAGCCCTATGGGGAGATTTCAGGGCAGATGATCGGTCGATCTCGATTTTGCTAGGTGGTGCCTCAGTGACAAAGGTAGCGATTGCCTGAGCCCCCTCGCGAGTATGAAAGTCCCATGAATAGCATAAATGGTCACGCCAGTAGCTGTCCTTCAGAAAGAGCACGGAAATCGCTTCCTTGTCCGCGATTGCTAGACCTTCGTTAAGCCGCTCAATGGTTTGGTCCGCAAGGATGTCTGGGTTGAAAGGAGATCCAGACATGGTCTCGGGAAATTCACCAAGCGGAATGTTGCAGGATCCCGGGACCACTCGCTCTCGCGAGGGCACAGCTTCAGCATTTGCCATGGTTTCTTGGTATGATATCAGATGTTTGTAAACGGGGGTAGGGAGGAACACAGATGAGGGATAAGTACTACAAGAACAGCCCTGGAGGGAGGTCAGATCATACCCCTCACTGCTCAGCTTTGGTCACACAGCCCCACTTGTTGACACGCTGTATTCGGGGTAGTTCCGCTGCATTTACCCGGAGGTAGCTGAGGTGCATCCATGGATGGATACCACTTTGGAATAAAGCGGGGTTGGTAACTTGGTACCTGGTAGAGTTAACCCACTAGCCGGACCATTCCCGAAGCCTTAATTTACATGTATCCATCTGTAGCACAATACCCAGTCTTTGCGGAGGAAAGCAAGTCGCTATCCATTCGCGATTTCGCGTATGTTTACGTGGATAAGTGTGATTGATCACAGCCTCCAATAGATTATAGTTCCGCTACAAAGGAGGCTCGGTGTTATCCTCTCGGCATTCTTTTCCAGATTCCCTCCGCCTACGCGAACATCTGCACCTGCCCAGCCTGAGCCGCTTTATGTTGCCTTTAAGCGTTATGCGTAATGGCTTGGGCCGCTTAGGCGGAGATCGAGAATATACCTGACCTGGGATAAATCCATTTTTCACACAGTGAGAAAGCTCAAAAGTGGGTCAAAGATGCCTCTAGTAGTAACTCTACGAATCGATCATCTCCAAATTTATCTAAGTTGACCGAATAGTTACCTCAAAATTTTTGTACTTTCTTCCTTAGAGTGTTCATCTTCATCCACAGGATCAGCCGTCGTTGCATCTCGGCATCGCAGCTGGCTACTCGGCATTGAAACATCGCTGCGATCGTAGCCTCATCTCGACTATGCGTTATGCACGGCAGCTGCCAACATCCCGATGGCAGCGTCTACCTTAGTAAATCATCGCACACCCCGCAATGGGGAAAAAAAGAAAGCACCGACCGTGGATTGAACACGGGACTTCAAGATTTGCAATCTTACACTCTACCACTGAGTTACCGGTGCTTTGATAAAAGAAGAGGTCCCGCCCGGGATCGAACCGGGATTACTGGTATCAGAAACCAGGGTGATGACCATTACACTACGGAACCAATGATTGCTTAAAACACCGGCGGAACGTTATATGTAATAGGCTTACTTTCGGCTCTTCAATCGGCAGCATACAACACGACGACCGCACATCCCGGTGCACCCCGTTTTTCGGGACTGTACCAACCTTCCCGAATCGGATATCGGCAAATACTCGGCTCCACATGTGGTTAAGGGTTCTTCCCGGTGGATGAGCGAATCTTCAGCGCAACTCTGCCAGCATGACAGTGGAAGTCATCTCGAAGATCATTAAGCAAGCGGAACTTCGCTGTGCCAGTCTCTCCGCACTGCCTGAATCTACCCTGTGTGCGCGAAAAGAAGTTCGTCCGAACCGGAGAGAAAGACAACTGTCCATGGAGATGATCCTCGCCAGCGTCCCCGTACCTACATTCTTGGACGGCTAAACGCATAAATAGTATTTTGCAATTCTACAAAGTACGTGACATCTTGTTTTTGCGTATTCTCCACTGGTGTAGACCCCATGCAACAATTGTATCAATCTGAGATCTCGAAGCTGTTCGAAAATCATCGAGCAAGTGCCAAGTGCCCTGGAATTAGGGTTCCGTGTTTGATATTCCTTTTAGTTATGGATGCGAATAAAGCTTGGGTAAGCTTGTTGTCCGGCTGAATCTTTCCGGGAGAACGCTACCCCGGCCGATGCCAAAATTGTTCACTGCGGACTTGAAGCTATTGTCCATGCTGTACCATTTCCTCATGCTTAACCATATTGCCCCATATGGGGAATTAGGCGACGTGGGTTTGTGGAGAGCATTTGGTCGGGGAATTTCCACACATTCATTCGAAGAGGAGCTATTATTTCGAGGCTGATTCCACCATCTCTCGATCCTTCTTTGCTCAGTTCTTTTGCGAGTAGCATCTCTTCTTCCCCTTGAAAATTTCGACATTTAACCTCCGTGATACCTGATTGTCATCTCAACAATCATGGGCATCCTGACCCTTGCGGAGGACCGGCCAACACCCAAATCCGTCTATAACTGGCGCATATACGCACTCGCCATCATTGCATCATGCGGTTCCAATATGATCGGTTATACCAGTGCCTTCATCGGTACAACGATTACCCTCAACTCTTTCATGCGAGAGTTCGGCCTCGATGAGATGTCTACCCCACAAAGGAATCTAATCAGCGAAAACATTGTCTCACTTTTTATCGCCGGTGCTTTCTTCGGAGCCCTGGGCACATACGCCCTCGGCCACTTTATCGGCCGCAAATGGAGTTTGGCTGTTGCGGCCGCTATTTTCTTCCTTGGGTCTGGATTGCAGCTCGGCGCTAATAGTGCCCGTGGACTGGGTATTCTCTATGCTGGTCGTGTGTTGTCCGGTCTTGGTACTGGCGTCGCCTCAAATATCATCCCCATTTATCTGTCTGAGCTGTCACCTCCGGCGATTCGGGGACGACTCGTTGGTCTGTATGAGCTTGGTTGGCAGATTGGTGGAATGCTGGGTTTCTGGATTAATGTGAGTCTCGTTGATCCTCCGCCTTGATGTGCTGCGGTGCTGTTTTTGCAGTTGAGCTAACACAGGCATATAAAAGTACGGGGTTGAACAACACATGCCTCAAGATCATCAGCAATGGATTATCCCCTTCGCTATCCAGCTCGTTCCATCCGGTTTGCTGTTCATCGGCGCCCTTTGGATCAAGGAGTCTCCCCGTTGGCTGTTTCTCAAGGACCGGCGGCGCGAAGCAATGGAGAACCTCTGCTGGATTCGCCAATTGGATGCCGATGACATCTACATGACAGAAGAAGTGGCTGCCATCGACCAGGCCCTTGAATGTCAGAAGGCTTCAATTGGAATTGGCTTCTGGAAGCCGTTCCAGGCTCTCGCTACTAATAAGAGCGTCATGTACCGTCTCGTGCTAGGCTGTATGCTCTTCTTCTGGCAGAATGGGTCTGGAATCAACGCTATCAACTACTACTCACCCACAATTTTCAAATCGGTATGGTTACGCCTCTCCGATTCATGCCAAACAAAGCCCCAGAGAAGCGATGATACTAACCCAAGCTTTAGATTGGCATCGACCCCAACACAGTCAATCTGATGACCGGTATCTTCGGTGTAATCAAGGCAATCATGACCTTCGTGTGGCTCTTATTCCTCGTCGACCAATTCGGAAGACGGAAGCTGCTTCTCATTGGTGCCGTGACTGGATCGATTTGCATGTGGATCATCGGTGCTTACATCTGCGTCGTTAAACCCGAAGACAACCCCAACGCATCTCTAAATGGCGGAGGCATCGCAGCTGTCTTCTTCTTCTACCTTTGGACTGCCATTTATACTCCTACCTGGAACGGTACTCCTTGGGTCATTAACTCTGTAAGCCATAACCCTTTTGTTTCGGGGTTGGTCGTTCTTGTTCTAACAATGTACCAGGAATTCTTTGACCCCAACTTCCGTTCACTGGCGCAGGCCGCCACTACTGCCAGCAACTGGCTCTTCAACTTCCTCGTCTCCCGCTTCACCGAGCAAATGTTCGCCACGATGCACTATGGAGTGTACTTTTTCTTCGCTGCGCTGTCGTTCCTGGCATTCTTCTTTGCCTTCTTGCTCATCCCGGAGACCAGTGGTATCCCTCTTGAAAAGGTCGATCGGTTGTTCGATTGCAAGCCCGTCTGGAGAGCAAATGAAATGCTCAAGGCGGCTCTTGCAGAGGAGGAAGAGCAGTTCCGCCACGATGTCAAGGAGACTTCTTACTATGAAGAGCGTTCTGGGGCGGTTTCGCTTGCTTCTGGTGACGGAGAAGCGCATAAATGAACAATATAGCTGGGTCACAGCTGCGAGTGAAGGTATAGATGTTTGATTGATCGAATTCGTACGGATGGCCAGGGTATATAGACGTTGCATATATTCTTGCATATATTGATATGACATTTCAGGAGTTCTATGTTTCGAAACTTCTAGATTGATTTCATGGATAGATCTCGAATCAGATCCATTTCAAAGTTCAGAAAGAGCGTAACACTATAACTCATTATCAAGGGCGGAGAAGGAAGAGGAATGAGAAGACCAAGAGGGCAAGTGGGAGATGAGGCGGGAGAATTGAATTGATAGATCCCTCCCTGTCAAGGCCGTCATGTGATATAAGAACCTCCTTGGCACATCCCTCTGTTCCGCCCCATTGGACTACTCCCATCTGATCTGCAAACCCCTGTCATCCATGACACACCTTCCCGCCGGTGTTCATTTCCAGAGACAAGGATCGCCTAATCCATCAGAATCATCACACACAATACATGACTCCTCAGCTTCTTGAGCTACAATATATTAACAGACGCAATCTAGGGTATCAAACGAGAGAACTCTAAAATGAATCAACACGCCCGTCCTGCACAGTGCTATCATTTTCCCCTGCACCAGCATTTCGCCGCAACATCGCGACAGCAAGCTCATAGGCCTCCATTTTTGCCTCACACTGCGGAGTACCATCAACCGCCTCCTTATCCCACCCATGAGCACAATCCTCCATCCTCCGACAAATCGAATACTTCCCATCAGTATTGTTCAACTTGTCAGAGAACTTCTCCGCCTCAATCGCAAACGGATCCTGCGCCGCAGTAATAATCAGCGTGTTAGCCGGGAAAGTACTCGGATCTGCGAGTATAGGCGACAACATGGGATCCGTCGGATCAACTCGCCCCATATTAAGACACTTATGACACAAGTGCGAGAAAGTTGGGAATATATGACGCATGATCCAGTTCGAGGGGTCCGCCTGCGGCTTCTTGGGTGTTGGAAGGGACATGTCCATGGGCCCGTAGAAGGAAATGACGGAATTGAAGATGTTCTTTCCTTCCGCTTGGAGAAAAAGTTCAGAGGACGATGAGACGGTAAGTGCGATGTTGGCGCCTGCGCTGAATCCTGATAGGGATAGTAGCGATAGGTCGAAGCGCTCTGGTTGTGAGCGTACCCAGGTTATTACGTCTTCGGCATCGTGGAAGGCGGCTGGGAAGGGATTTTCGGGTGCGAGGCGGTACTGCACGTCGATGACGGTGTAGTTTGCTTTGTCGGCGACGAAGCGGCAGTATTCGTCGTCGCCGCCGAAGGTCCCTAGGACGAACCCGCTGCCGCAGAAGTTGATCACGACTGGGGTTGGACCTTGGATGCTTGGCTTGTAGATATGAGCGGTGATTGTGCGGCCCGCGTCTCGAGCGGGGATGAGGGCTACTTCATCGGGTTTGGGGTCCAGGTGGAGTCTGGGCTTGACGAGGAGACGGAGAAAGGAGGCGACACATTTGTGACAGCCGTACTTTACACCCATTGGAATGACAGCATGTATGTTGTTTAGGATTGTTGCTTAGCGATCTCTGATATGCTTGGTGAAAGCCTGAATGGATCATATGCATAGACGAGTCTCATGGTGGAGATGGGTGACATATTGCTATTTAAACGTATCCCTTTCACAGAAGATTTGACCTACGTCGTCGAATATGATCTCGATCGCCCCCTGATCTAAATCGCTGTCAATTCTGTCATTTCATACTTGAATCCAGGGTTGTGGCTTTTGACTACGTCATTAACACCTTGCACGAACCAAGGATGGTATAGATCAGCATCAGCTCGACATGTCGTGACAAGACGATAGAACCCAGGCAAATGAGTTAATTGACAATGAGTACCATAGGTTTGAATGTCTCCAGCACATTCGAAGTATATAAACTTATGTGAGGGGATTTGCTGGGGTTGCCGTGGTGTATCTTGCAACATTTGTTCACTCAAGTTGAAGTCCTGCAAGGGCGGTCAGTCGGTCGGTCCGATCGGTTGGATCTGGGCCCATCAGTGTCAGGGAAAACACAGAATACCAATCCTGCAGACATGGAGGAGCCTTGGGGAAACTCCTGAATATATATGTGCTTAGTTCAATTTCTAAAAAGACAGCTTTTATACTGAACTCCAGATCCCGATCTCGGTGAAGTGGATTTCCACATATGAGATCTGTTGAGCATGGTGGGGTCATAGTGACCAATGAGGTTTAGTCTCGGCAGTTCTAAATTTAGAGGAAGCATCCGATGATCCGATCTTTTCTTTATCTCCAAAATGGAAATGATCGCCCCATTGATCTAGTCCACGGAAGCAGCAGACCCGGACGAACGCTATCTCGTATAAACTCGAAGCTAAGGGTTCCGGCGAATATTATCACGATGTACCTGAATTGAGCAACCCAGGGAACTCAAGACCCTGGTCTGGGACGAGAGATTGCTTGTCTCAGCAAAGGCCGCTTGCGGAGAGCAATTTGGCAACGCTGACCGGTGGCGGCGGAAGACCCCTCGATGTTGCATCTGCGTAATTCCTGTGGCGGATAAGCCATGACTTTTCTCCACTGGCATCGACGTGATCGTGTGGAGCTGTGGAGGTTGGGTGGCTGGGGCAGTGTTGAGACAAAGGTTTGAATCATTGATAGATGTACCTCTAATCGAAATTCATTGATCACGATGGTTGTAGTTTCAGATACAATTAGAATTCTAAGTCAGTTTTACCGAGAATAAGTAATCCAATCAATCGTAATTGTGGTTGCCTGAGAGTGTTTCACTGCACGACCCTCTTGGCGATCGCTTGGCTCCACCTTCGCGCTTACGTCGTACTGTGGAGTTGTGCCCAAGTCGATGATATCAGAAACCAAGGAAAGAAAAAAAGAGAAAACTTACCACTCTTTAACTTCTCTCTTTTGCAACTCACTCGTTTTGTTCGCCATGCACTTGAATGGCACCTGTTTCGGGGCCCTCCTCCTGATTCTTCTTCAGGGCCTCCAGCTCGTGGAAGCAGAGAATCTCCTCCAAGCCAGCGGGCTGACACAATGTTCCGGCAGCAACAGCCACCAAGTGACCGTGAACAACTTCAAAGCAATCTTCACACCGAGCAATAACTCGATCAGCATTGACTTCGATGGCTTCTCTGAAGTGGCCGGGGACGTCTTCATCGACGTGGATCTCTTGGTATACGGATATAAAGCGCTCACGAAGACGTTCGATCCGTGCAGTCTCGATTTGTCCGTTTTCTGTCCTATGAAAGCCATTGAACTGGAAATTCCCACCATCTCTCAGACACTCGGTGACAAGGTGGTCTCACAAATCCCATGTACGTTTCTCCCATGAATTTTTGCACCGATCCTTCGCCGATCCCGAGGTATCCGAGAACGTGCTCTTACTAACACTACGTCATAGCCGTCGCTTATACCATCCCCGACATCGATGCTGTGATCCGTCTGCGACTCAAATACAAAAATGGAGGTCAACAAATTACCTGTTTGGAGACGCGGATTACGAATGGCAAATCAGTTTACCAGTCGGGTGTCGCGTGGGCACTCGCCGTCATAACGGGTCTAGGTCTTGTCACCTCCACGGTGATTTCGCTTCTCGGCCATTCGAATACAGCAGTCCACCTTGCTTTCCGATCGCTTGCCTTCCTTGGATTCATTCAGGCACAGGCAATGGTTGGCATGACCTCAGTCAGAATGCCACCCTTTGTGCAGGCGTGGACGCAGAATATGCAATGGAGCTTGGGAATTGTCCGGTCGAACGCCCTACAGACGATTGCGACTTGGTTTCAACGTGCCACCGGGGGTACTCCCTCATCAATCATGTTAGCATCGAGAACGATGTCTCTCGTCTTGCAGAAGCGGTCCGGCGTACTCCATCGCAGAGCTGCCGAAAAAGGAAGACAAATCATTCTTCGCGGAATTGAACGGGTCGGGATTCGCGATTCCATTGAAGTTTCGAATATCTTCATGACGGGATACCTATTCTTCTACTTCGTCACTACGATCGTCATCATTTGCGTCGGTATCTTCCTGCTGATCCGAAAAGTTCTAGCCAAGAAGCAGACGGCGTATCCTAAACTGAATAGCGCCATCGGTGTCGCTGCCGACTGGAAGATGATTCTGCGAAATACTTTCTTCCGATTGGCATGCATTGGATATCCCCAGATGTGTATTCTGTGTCTCTGGGAACTGACTCGACGGGACTCCGCCGCCGAAGTGGTCCTAGCCATCACGATGTGGCTCGTGACGACCGCTGTCTTAGCCTTCGCCGCATTCAAGGTGTTCCAGCGCGCGCTCCGTTCGAAGCAGCAGCACAATACGGCTGCATACACGCTCTATTCGGACCCTGCGACCCTGAACCAATGGGGGTTCCTGTACATCTATTACCGCGCCCCGGTCTACTTCTTCCTTGTTCCAAGTATGGTCTACACCATTGTCAAGGGCATGGTCATCGCCTTTGCCCAGCCCTCACCGGTTGCACAGTCGATCGTTCTCCTTATCCTGGAACTGATCATGATGCTCGCGACAGCTATCATCAAGCCGTTCATGAGCAAGGCGGCCAACGTTGTAGCAATCACGGCGACAGTGATCACCACGCTCAACACGATCTTCCTACTGGTCTTCTCGGACGTCTTCGACCAACCCGATCTCATGACCGGCATTCTGGGCGTCATCTTCTTTATCTTGAACGCGGTCTTCACCCTCATTCTTCTGATCTATCTCCTCGTCGGCATGTTCTACGCCATCTTCTCCAAGACTCCGGACACTAAGTACCGACCTCTCGCCGATGACCGTAACTCGTTCCGTTGGTCTCGCACCCCCGCTACAACTGAGTTGTCGTCTCTCGAGAAGATCGCAAGAGGAGAGGAAGACACGGAAGGGCATTCCTATCCGCCGCGTGTCGCTACTGCGCCGCCAAGTGACGAAGACGTGTCCATGGCAGCTAGAAGGCCATACAATGATGTTGTGGACCCTTCGCTGCCACTCTTCCCTACCAATACCAGCTATGAACGTGTACGACCACTGTCGTAAGGCCAATTTCCCTTTATTTCAGGCTCGTGATTTGAAAATTTTGAAGCGTCATTTCTCTTTGCTTTTTATGTTAGGCGCTTGGTGTTTTGGGTGACTGTGTACATATCTCCAGACTTTCTATGTGCCCAGGAATTGGGTCAATACTTATCTCCTTTTGCTTGAACTCAAAAATTCCGTGGTAGTCATATTACATTGGCCATTCTCTTGTATATTTCAGGCTTTCTTCCATCCTTGTCGGTTATTTGGGCTCTGTACCTAACTTCATGAATTTACTATGCAGGAGATGTAAGCCCTAAGACTCCCAGGGATGTGGCTGTGTTGCCATCCCTTGATCCAACCAACTTTGGAGCTGTCGTATTTGACATCAACATAGAGCATAGATTTGTCAATGATGCGCTGCCCTATCAATAATTACCGAATTTTACCGAAATGAGATCCAAATGCAGGGCTACATTACCGCCAGTGACCCAACAAAACTGTGTACCCGAACTCGAGCCCGAGGTATGTAATCCCTTCATCGAAGCCATCTTGATCTCGAGTGCTAAATGACATCTAGAGGTGCTCAAGACCTGCATCACGATAACGCAGGTAACCGCACCGATAAAACAGATCGGCCTTACAGGGAACTGCACTGCACATGTAGGTCCCCGTTCAAGCCGCATGGCAGGAACAGCTAAACTATGTAAATCCTGTTTCAGGCTTCGCCTCGCTACTCCGCGTGGCACGGCTGTGTCAGGAGCACCGGTTGCGACGGCAACTAGTTAAGCAGCTGCACTCGCGGCATCTATATAAGCCGACAGCTACAGTGGATACAGTTCAAATTTGGGTTGTGTTTCAGACTGAGACCTGGTCCTGGCATGGCCCCGGCCCCATGGGTCAAACGTTCGGACGATCTGAGGTGTCGATCGCTTCCTCTTCTGTGAATTAGTTCTCTGTTGGTGCCTGCTTTAGCTTTTGTGACAGGTAGATTCCAGGGGAGATTAAACGGTTGATCTAGTTCATGTAGGTTGCAGGGGTAATTGATTTGGGGGAAATTGGGGAAATGAGGAAGAAAGTATAATACAATGATACAATGAGTGGAAGAATAATCCAGTGAACACTTCGAGGGTTAATGGCTGGAAAGAGTAGTGTACATGATTCATGAACAGGGGGCTCACGTGAGACGAACAATGATCTACATGTACTTAAAGGCATTCGGGTTTAGATGATCGACGTTTGGCGTATGGAGATAAGGTTGGAATTCCAGCTTGATGTGCCTTGCATAAGGGGCTCGTTTAACATAGCTCGCTTAGGAAGAATGGAGGCATTATCTCGGAAAAGCAACCTTATTATCTGAAACACTGACCATATGGCTGTGGCTTGAACATTGTAGCCGGAAATTGGAAATCAAACAAGGAAAGCAAGCTTTTTATAACTTCAAGCTGCATACTTCGCTAGTATACGACGGTTGACGGTCCGCAAGGCCATGGACAATACTCCGTTGATTCTGTCTGAGACGATTCTTGGAGATGCTGGATTCTAGGATGTAGTCTTATTCAATCTAGTTGTTTTCAGCCACAGGTCCGTGGGAGATTGCTCTATCTCGTAAACAGCCGTTCCATTGGGGCTAAAAACATGTAATCAGTGAATAGAGCTAGAGTCAGCTCTTAGTGACGCTATTTCCTTCCTAGGGACCTAGACCCAATCCAGCTTCTAGACTCATCACATTCGGTTTGATGAACAAGGCAATCCACGTGCACCCCCTTCCCTCAGGCACGCTACAAATAGGTCATTTGGAGCTTTCTGAAACAAGGCAGTTGAGTGTCGAAGATCCTCAGTCTTCGTACGCCAAGATGCGAGCATTCTTGTCACTGCGATGATGGCAGTGCAGAATAGCTGGGAGCAGTATGCAGGGAAGGCCAGGCGTGGCTGGTATGGAAACCTCGACGTTCAATCTCAGTATTGATCTCAGACTGCCATGCAGCGATTGCGGCCGACATCGCCGTTGAGAGATCTACAGGTTCGATGTCGAAAATGGGAAATGAAGGAAATATGTCACAGCTGCGCGTGGCCCGGGGAATGCAGCATCGTAAGCCTTGTTTGATTTGGGTTTCTCTCCTTCTAGCCACATTAAGATCAAGCCCCTGGCCCACTGCATGAAGCTCCATGTGATCGACCACGTTGGCCCCCGACATTCCAGGGTTGTTTCAGGCTGGGTTGTTTCGTAGTCATACCACGCGGGGATGCCGGGCGTTGCGAAGCGCATTTGCCGCCAAGGATGATAGACCTTCCTGTTTCATGATCCCTTTCGTTTCAAGAGAGCTCTAGACTCTCGTGAAATGACGTACCGACCAGCCCTCCCCATAGGGATCATGATCTCGTCCCTTGTTTGACCCTATTGAGAATCGGATCTGTTTGCAGCACATTTCGAATTTGCTTTTTTGCTTTTCCCCCTCGCTTCATTCCACGGTGTACTTACCGAGTCTGGTTACCTCCCGACCTGAAACATGTGGTTGGCCATGTGCCGACGAAGAATGTTTATATTTACGCTCTGGATGACTGTGAAAAGCGGGTCCCCGTCTACGCACCTTCCTGCATATGGTACCTGCCTCTTGGTCCTAGCTTTGTGCTCTCCAGCCAATGATGGCAGCCGCGTCGCTTGTTTTGCATAGGTGGGCTGTGCGGGCATGTGCTTTTTGCCTACGGAGGCTCGGGTTCGCCCGCTAACGGAATTCCAGACACGGCATGGTTCATGCGGACTGCAGCTGGTTCTTGGCGAGCGTTGAGCTGAAGGGTCGAAATGTCCCGTCACAGACCCATGGCAGGTGGAGTCTATGCTCTTGCGAACTGAAGATCCTCTCCCTCATTCCTTCTTCCGTCTAGCTCGGATTGCCCATGTGGGCCATGAGGCACCTCTCAAGCTCGCGTGCCTGGATGCGAAAGCATGTCGTGTGCATGCATAGCCTCCGACCTGCAGTGTATATATAGGAGCTCCCGCTCAGCTATATCCTCGTCATTATCGAAACATCAAGCCATTAGCCCATTTCACAACGTTCCATCTTGCCAGGGCCAAAGTCATACCTTGCTCTCGAAACATCACGCCGTCATACCTCGCTCTCGAAGCATCGCATTATCCATCCAATCCTTTCTCTTTCCACGAGAACATCTTCCAGTCAAGCTTCACTCTTCGATTCCATTGGACATCATCAGAGTCTCAGAGCTACCTCCAACCACACACAATGTCTATCCCCGAGCCAACAACGAAAAAGTGAGTGTATTCAGATCTCAATTGCTCTTTGCCTTCACTGACTAAGCACCCTTCATTCAGCGCCTCAAACAGCACCAGTGCTAGCCCTTTGAGCAAAGGCAACATCAGCCAAGTACCGGGAAGCAAATACAGTAGCATTGAGCGATTCGCACAAGCACCAGCCTCCGAAGGCACATACTTTGCCAGTGCGCGGATGTCAGACAGATCAGCGCATCTCACGAGACTGTCAAGCCAACTCGATGCTATGGACGAGATCATGAGAGCAAGGAATTAGCAAAGGAAAGCAAAAAGAATAAAAGAAATCATCAACAAAAACTCGCATTCTATAGATAGTGTGTACTGCATATGTCTAACTAGGTATCAGATGTAAAACAGGAGTAACGAATGTGAATACCTCGAACCTTCCGCCAGAAGCTGCATGGAGTTTGCGAAGCTTCTGGATCACAAAAGCTCAGCAATGTAAGCTGCAACTTCCTCGTACTTGGTACTAGGGAACTCATGTCCCGCTTCGTAGAATTTGAAGACAACATTACCACCCAGGGCAGCCGTGGCATCTGGAACAAGCTCACTCTTGACAATGATCGAATCTGTGTTGCCGCACAGAATGTGCACTTTGTTGTCTGATGGCTTCCTCTCTCCGCTACTGGTAGCATTGTTCTGTGCGGTCAGATACTCGCCCAGACGAGCCCAAGTGTTCCATTGGCGTTCTCGCAGGATTGGACCATAACGCATGCTAGACATGAACGCGTGCACAAACCCTGTATGATGATTTACCTGCCACGCCACTGCAGACGGAACACTGATATCGGGGTATTTCCGAGACAATATTTGGACGTCCGCAGCGTTTTGCGAAGGCAGTTCCTCCGTCAGCGCAGACGAGGCATTGAGCTTGGGGCTCTTGAATTTGGGAGTGACCAACGGACCAGCTTTCAATCGACGACTAACCAGATATCCTAGAATATTCTCCGGTACAAGTCCCTTGGAGTAGAGAAGTCTAGTCTGGAAACTGATCTGCGAGTCGCGGATCAAGCCCGAGGGCGCCAGGAGCACCACCGACGAAGTGAGCTGAGGAAGATAGGACGCAAAGCCAGCGGCAATACCGCCGCCCAGAGAGTATCCAACAAGACAGAATTTACCTGACTCAGCACCTGTCCAAGAAATAGGCGATGATGCCAAAGCGAGCAGGATTTGTGTCGAGAACAAGCGGATGTCCTGTGGCAGATCCGCTGGGCAGTCGGAATATCCTCGTCCGAACCTGGTTTGATTCCCTATTAGCAAATCAAACCCCAGTATCGCAATGTGTGTTGTTACCTACAGATCGAATAACATCACACGACAGCCGCGATCGACCAGCGCATGGGCCAACCCGCCGAGCGCAATACACGGCGTGGTTATGCCGTGCACGAATAACACTTTAGGTCCATCTTCGGGGCCCCATTCGTATACTCGCATCGACCCATATGGACTATCGACATCGCGTGCACCGGGGAGAACATCAGGCGGGAGTGGCAGCTCGTGATTCTTTGACTCGGATATCTCGGGTAGAACTGTTGTTCGAGGCGAGACGAGGAGAGGGAGGGGTTCCTTTTGGGGGAGAAGCGATCGAGCAAGCAAGCCAAGTGTAAATGAGGCTCCAGCGGTAGCCAGGATGGGAAGATGGGTCCGGTTGTTCGAGAAGGTTTCGGAGAGGAAATCCACGGTTTGGTTGTACAAGGCCATGGTTGCGACTGCGGTGTTACCCCTGGAACGACCGAACTCGGTGAAGGCTGCGGGGGGAGTTGATACGAAGTGTCTCGATTGAGCTTGAGTTGACCTGACGTAAGGCTTGGTGAACGAGGAAAGACAGGGAGCTAGTTGGTAGGAAGTGATCTGGTGGGTGGCACCGTGGCAGTGTCCCAGGGCTGAAACCGAGGCACTTGCCCTGACCGCACTTATCCGACGCCATGTGGCTGATAAGATAAGATAACGAAGATAAGAACTTTCCAGGATTCCGATCTCAGGTACGCGACGCGTGAACGCGAACCTTCGTGACATCTGTTGACCTCGGACTTATCCAACATCATACATGTTCAATATCATCCTGGCCTGACAGGAAAAATTTTCGACCCTTCATCGTGGATATACGTGAATCTCTTTAGCTTTTTTTGACTGCTTCCTTCCCTCCAGACACGGGGCTGTTTCTCCGGACACATTATCCGCTTTGACTTGCGCTTCAGTCTTCCATACTTCGTCTCGCGACCTACCAACGAGAGTCTGTTCTTTCAGTTCTGTGTCTCTCGCTGGTACATGCATCATGCATGTAGTTGATTGCTGTCAGCAGTCATGTGACCGCTACTCTCCCACAGATAGCTAATTTCCTTCTCTTTTCTCCTTTCCTCTTTAGCGCATATGAGATTACTCGAATGCATCTACCTTCAAGCATCTTTCCATAATTGCATCTTTCTCACTGCGACTTCTTCAGGAAGCAGTACTATTATCAGGACAGCAGCACTTCCTTCACTCGCAGGCACAGGTCTTTACTCCGCATCAATACAACCCTACATTTAGGCTAAAGCAACCGGCGACCAGACGCATAAACTTGGCGCTGCAGGAGTATCATCGCAATAGGAATTGATCCGCATCTTCACTTGACAGACTCTCCGAGAGTCATACTTTGTGCTGCGCATAAGCTAATCCAGGGCAGTTCAATGACAAGCAGACACATTACTGGTTTCATAACATCCACTTTTCATATTCGGGGCTTCGGCTTCGGTTTCAGTCAACGCGGGGTCTTTCTACACAGGAGCTATTGTCCGCACAGGTAATTAACTATTCCCTTGGCTCACATGATGACCGTGTCGAATCTGGCAAGTTGCGCTTCGTAATTCTGCACAAATTAACTTGCGCAGATGTAACCTTAATCCACTATATCCCCAGATTTTCTACACGAGACTGCCAGTGTAGGCAGCGAGTACGAGGACGCATGATGACCATTTTCTCCGGTCGTCAGAGCTGTATTCCTACAAGAGGGATTCCATCCAAACATGTGTGTAGGCGTTGATGTGCCCGCCAGACCGACTGCGACATAATCCCCAGATCCGGAGAGAGCCGAAACTTCCGTTTTGCCAGGCTGTCAGGGTTCAATCTCTCTATCCTGCAAGATCCCCGGAACTACTCATAGACCCCGCGGAGGGATCGGCAGTGCTAGTCAATATTCAGGACATGTCCTTCACTTAACCGTCGTCAACTCAAGAGCTTCGAATTGAGTTGTCCATCCTCCATCCAATGAGCTGTACCACTTTTCAAGTCACATCTTGGCGCTCTTAATTAGTTGTGATCCATCTGGACTCTATCCCAATTCAAGTAGTTATAAACGGTCGTAGTGACTGATGAGAGGTAGCGACGCGTTCTATTGCCGGAAGGGTCTATAGAAGCAGGTAGTTAGAGCCTCAGTTACGTAAAGTGCGTCTACGCAGCCCTGGAAATGACGATGGTTCTAAAGTAGCAAGGATGTCAGATTCCAGACTGCAGGAGTAATGAGAGGGAACAGTATGAAGTCACTACGGACTCACTACCGAGTCCCACAACTGAGCCATCATTGATGGAAGTTCTCTCTTCACAGTATTACCCTGGCTTCGGGCTGAAACGATGCCTGTTGAGTCTGCAGAAAATTTCTCCGGGGCTTAGCGCGGCAGCACGCCTCGCAGGTTGGGCTTGCACAAAACAAGCCAGAAAGCCATCCGGTAGTTTGATGTAAGTGAAAGAGCGCCGTGGCGGCCATCCCATGTAGCGGCGCTCTTGGCGACATTGGACCGCACAATCTCACGTCTCATAATGCTTTAGGGCATATTTGAATCTCATCACCCAGTAAGTATCCGTCCTGTTCGTGTCTTAACTAGAAGATCGACAGGCAACACACCGAAAAGGGCATCAATCTGCAGTCACCAGTACTCCCTGCACAATTGAGTTCCCCGGATATTATACAGCATTCGACAGAACTGGATCGGGGAACTCTCCGTACTCACGGATGTTGAAACAATCTAACCCTGTTCATCTAGTCCGTCTCCGTCAAGCTCTTTCAGGAGACAATGACAACCGCTGTCCAGCGACGATCATTCCCTTCCTTATTCAGGCGCCGGGTCCACTGTCAAATCGATGTACGGCACAGGACGTCCACCCAGTATGGAATTCATCACTGACTGATCGTGTCGGACTCTGTGTCCATTCCAGTTTGGCGACGGCCTGATGGTCCGCCAAGTGAACTCGATATGCAGAAGGTCTTTGGCCAAGCCTCGCATGGCTATGGCCTAGAGCCATGCTTGAAGAAACACATATAAAGATCGACCACCATCTCGAAAGCCTTTTCTTCATCAATCGCAGGTCAGACAACAAAGCAGAAACACATTGCAATCCGACATCTCCGCATTACGAGCAATGTATCAGCGTGCGCTCCTTTTCTCCGCCCTGGCGGCGGCAGCTCGTGCCCAGCAAGCTGGCACATCGACAGCTGAGACCCATCCCTCTTTGTCCTGGCAAAAGTGCAGTGATGGAGGCAGCTGCACTGACCAGCAGGGATCTGTGGTCATTGATGCTAACTGGCGCTGGCTTCACTCCGTCGATGGTTATGACAACTGCTACACTGGCAACGAGGTAGGGTATCCCTACAACGATGACATTGTAACGTATACTGACTGCATCCGTGAAAACAGTGGGATACGTCTCTCTGCCCCGATGACCAGACTTGCGCCGAAAACTGTGCTCTCGACGGCGCAGACTATTCCGGCACGTACGGCATCACCACCTCCGGTGACGCTCTCAGCTTGACCTTCGTCACTGGCGCCAACGTTGGCTCTCGCGTGTTCCTGATGGAGGACGATGAGAACTACCAGATGTTCAAGCTGCTCAACCAGGAGTTCACCTTCGATGTGGATGTCTCCCAGCTGCCTTGCGGACTCAACGGAGCCCTGTACTTCGTCAACATGGATGCGGACGGTGGCATGTCGAAGTATGAGGGCAACAAGGCCGGCGCCAAGTATGGAACTGGTTACTGTGATTCTCAGTGCCCTCGCGACCTGAAGTTCATCAACGGCGAGGTAAGACTTGGAACACTCAGTCAATTCAGAAAACCTGGGATTAAGCTGACTCTCATACGATATAGGCCAACGTGGAGGGCTGGGAGCCTTCCGAGAATGACCAGAACGCTGGTGTGGGCCAGTACGGAGCTTGCTGTCCTGAGATGGATATTTGGGAGGCCAACAGCATTTCCACCGCCTTCACCCCTCACCCTTGCGACGACCAGGAACTCACCAGGTGCGAGGGTGACACCTGCGGTGGAACTTACTCCTCCGACCGCTACGCAGGCACCTGCGATCCCGATGGATGTGACTTCAACTCCTACCGCCTGGGCAACGACTCGTTCTTCGGACCGGGCAGCATGGTCGACACCGGCTCTAAGATCACCGTCGTCACTCAGTTCGTTACCAGCGATGGCACCGACACTGGCAGCCTCAGCGAGATCCGACGTGTCTACGTTCAGAACGGACAGGTCATTGCTAACTCCGCCTCTGAGATCAGCGGTATTACCGGAGACTCTATCACCACGGACTTCTGCTCCGCACAGAAGACTACATTCGGCGATGAGGATATCTTCTCCCAGCACGGTGGTCTCTCTGGCATGGGCAAGGGCTTGGAGCAGGGTATGGTTCTTGTCATGAGCTTGTGGGATGACCACAACTCCAACATGCTCTGGTTGGACAGCGAGGCCTACCCCGTTGATGCCGATCCATCCACCCCTGGTGTTGCTCGCGGCTCATGCGCCACAACCTCTGGCGACCCAGCCACTGTTGAGTCTGAGTCTGGCTCCGCCAAGGTGACCTTCTCCAACATCAAGGTCGGCCCCATTGGCTCCACCTACTCTTCCTAAGTGTCAAAATGGCACTTGCTGACCCTGGCTGCGCCTGACTGAGGCTGGGTTGCTGGAATGCAACCTCCAAGCTGCATGAATCCCTCGAGCTAGTAGCAGCGAATGTCTGTTCTGGAAGAAAGATGTGATCAATACAAATGATCTCTTTGTTTGAAAGTTATCTGTATTCTTGATTTTTGCTTGTCTTGCTTTATTAGAACCAGAGTGATAGTCGGTCATAAATTGAGTCCATTTGCAGATCTGAGAAGTTGAGCTCTGAAGTCTGAACCCTCTTTAGCCAGTAGAGAAGGCGGTCGGAAGATCATCGGCAGAAAAAAAAGGCCGGCTCCGAAGCTTCAGCTTCGACATCGATTCTTTTGCTTCAATTTCATTACTTCAGAGATTTGTCAATCTGCCTTGGTGCTAGAGTCATTATAGCCTACGCCTTTTGTGTTATTTCTGTCACAATTTGCAACCATGTTGGACACGGTCTGCACACTCCCGCTCTCCTCGGACGTGTTCGCGCAGGCTATCCACCCCGAGGAGCCGGTAGTTTCTGTCGGTTTGGCCTCTGGTCATGTTCAAACATTCCGATTGCCTTCTCTAGAGGCTGAAGATGACGAGGATGCTTCTAGCTCTTCAGCCCTGACCGGGAAGGGCCATATCGACACAATGTGGAGAACCCGACGACACAAGGGCAGTTGCCGCACCATAGGGTTCGGTATCGACGGGAAATCACTCTACTCAGCCGGTACAGATGGTCTGGTGAAGGCTGCAAACACAGAGACTGGTCAAGTGCACAATAAGATTGCAATCCCTCTTGAGAAGAACGGGTAAGGATGCTCCTGCGAATTATGAGGCATTGCAATTCTGGGCGTTGCATTGGCTGACTGGTTCCTCCTGGCGTCATATAGCTCTATTGATGCGCCAACCATGATTCATGCTCTCTCCCCTCAAACTCTCCTCCTCGGTACCGACTCGAGCGCTCTACACCTATACGATCTCCGCATTCCCTACTCGAAGGTGTCTGCGCGGCCTGAGCAGTCGCACCACCCACACGACGACTATATCTCCTCTCTTACCCCTCTTCCGGCTTCTGAGACCAGCACGTCAGGTTTCAGCAAGCAGTGGGTCACGACTGGCGGAACAACTCTGGCCGTGACGGATCTACGCAGAGGTGTCCTGGTGCGCAGCGAGAATCAGGAGGAGGAATTGGTAAGCTCGGTTTATATGGGTGGCTTGCCGTCCAGTGGAACCAGTCGAGGCGAAAAGGTGATCGTCGGTGGAGCCAGTGGTATCCTCACTCTGTGGGAGAAGGGCGCGTGGGATGACCAGGATGAGCGGATCTATGTCGACCGTGGTGCTGATGGCGGAGACGCCGTTGAAGCATTGACGGTCGCTCCTGACTACTTGGGCAAGGTCGTTGTGGCAGGTCTCGGAAGCGGAAAAGTGAAGTTTGTGCGCATCGGATCCAACCAAATCATTGGTCAGGTTGTACATGATGAAATTGATGGTGTCGTGGGCTTGGGCTTCGACGTGGAAGGTCGCATGATCTCTGGCGGCGGACAAACTGTCAAGGTTTGGCACGAGGCTGCAGACAATGTCGGGGAGGGATCTGGCGATGAAAACATGGATGATAGCGACGACGGTAGAGATTCCGATGAAAGCGAAGAGGAACGTCGGGAGGATCCCAGAGAGCGCAAGAAGCGCAAGAAGTCCAAGGGCAAGGACCTTAGTGGTGGACAGCATGTCATGGCCTTCCATGACCTCGACTAATGTCTTGATACTCACTTATCTGATACCCACATCTGCAAATCTATTCGTTTGCTCGAAACTAGAAGGGCGCAAGAAGTGTACATAGCGTCGGGCGTTGGTATCTCATATGGAAGAACAGTATCCATCAAGGTTGTCAAGCATAATGCAGAGCCACATTATGAGGGTCTGGGTTTTTGAAGCCTAGTAAAAGGAGATCAAGAACCCCCTCATGGCCAAGATCTGTTGTGAAGCATTAAAGGATATTGGCAACTGTCAATAAATAGCGTGCAGTGGGGAATCTCTCGGACTCTCCGCATTGCCAACCCCGCTACTAACTAGGTTAACTAACTAACTAATGATTCATGAGCCACCATTACATAACTGGGGAGGCGCCGCATGGTAACTTAACTAAATCTCGTCGGGTCATTTCGGACGGAGGTCTGTGAGTATCAGTCTAATATTGACGACGTCGTTGTTGTCTCTCGGAGTATTCCCGAAAATGAACACCGTCGAGTCCAACCCGTCCAAGCATGGAACTGCCATCTTCGATGCCCTGCAACGAGCATTGCCAGGTGCAATCGCTCGCATGAAGCTGAAGGCCCCTCTGGTGCTCTCGACATCACGGCGGGTGGACCTGGCTGAGAAGGTCAAGGAAACTCTCAATGGGCAGATTGCCGGAATATTTAGTGAGGCGACTATGCACACTCCAACGCACGTCACAGACAAGGCCGTTGAATATGCGAAAGCCCAAGGAGCGGACTCGCTCATCTCCATCGGAGGCGGAACTACAGTTGGCCTCGGGAAGGCGATCAGCGTTCGCACTGGACTGCCGCATATCTGTATCCCGACTACCTATTCCGGGAGTGAAGTGACTCCAATTCTCGGTGAGACTGAGGATGGAATTAAGAAGACTCGCTCTGGTCCCAAGATCTTGCCCGACACGGTGATCTACGACTCTAGCCTTACAATGACGGTTCCGGCAGCTGTATCTGCCACGAGCGGTGTCAATGCGATTGCTCATGCCGGTAAGTGCGCTTGATAAGTAAGTATCTATAGTTTGGATACGAATCTAATGTATTGCCGAATAGTCGAGGCGCTCTACTCTCGCCAGGCTAATGACGATATCAGTACGAAGGCCATGGATGGAATCGGTTATCTTGTGAACGGTCTTCCGTTGATTCTTGAGAACCCTGCCCATGAACACGGCCGGTCCATTGTTCAAAAGGGCGCCTGGCTCTGCGGATCGTGCCTGGCCGGTGTAGATATGGCTATCCACCACAAGTTGTGCCATACGCTTGGTGGCAGCTTCAATCTTCCTCATGCCGAAATCCATACCGCTGTTCTTCCCCATGCACTCTCCTACAATGCACCTTATATCCCTGACGCCATGGAGAAGTTGGCTCGCGCTTTTCCAGACAGCAATGGCGACGCAATCCATGGCCTTAACGTTCTCTTGTCTAAGCTCAATGTCAAACGCGCTGCGAAGGACTTTGGAATGAAGGAGGAGGATATCGATAAAGCGGCCGACCTGGCGTTGACCAGACCCTATTGGAACCCTCGTCCTATTGAGCGTGCTCCAATTCGCGAATTGCTTCGCAGAGTCTGGGCCGGAGAGGAGGCACGGGCAGACTTGTAGATATCCCCGTTGTACACCAGCGCCATAACATACTACCTGAATGACTTCAAATCTTGAACTTCTAAATGTAAGTAGTAATGTTTAATTATCAGAAAGTTGTTTTGTTGTCTACCAATGGGCTGTCTCGTAATCTCCGTTATCGAGGGCGGGGTGAAGTGGGGTGCTTTTTTTTTCTCCAACCCTTTCTGCCAAATTCTCATCCTTGTCTCAACCCAACCTCTTTCCCCTCCTAATCTCAAAATGGGGTCTGAAATGAAGTCCGCCCCTGTGCTGTCTACAGCTGATGATCGTATCCTCGAGGAAATCGACCCTGTGGCCTCGCGAGACCCGACAATCGCAGTGTCCGACGATGAACTTTCCATTACATACGATATCGAGCGCACCTTGAAGGAAATTCGCCAAGCACGGTACAAGCGCATTGCTCTCCAGTTCCCAGATGATATGCTCCCCGATGCCCCGCGGGTATTTCAATTGCTCAGCCGTGGCCTCGAGTGCGAGGAAAACAGCGCCAACGATACACAACCTTCGAACCAGGCCGATGCTAGCAGCGCCAACGATAGCCTGGCTCATGCGGTATCTGGGCTCCAGGTGGAGGAGACACCGAGCTCTGCGCCAGCTCGATTGACCATTTTGGCTGATACATCTTACGGGACCTGCTGCGTTGACGAAGTGGCCGCGGAGCATGTGGACGCAGACGTGGTAGTGCATTACGGGAGGTCGTGTCTTTCGCCAACGGCACGGCTACCGGTGATCTATGTCTTCACACATAAGAACCTACCCCTAGAGCCCGTGGTACGAGCTTTCCAGGCCACTTATCCTGACACAACAACCAAAGTGATTCTCGCAGCCGATGTCACTTTCGCCGATCACGTTCCCACTGTATATACTCGCCTGGTCGAAGAGGGATACACCAACTTATATGCGACGGAAATTGTGCATGAGCCCTCATCATCAATTCCCAATCGTACAGTCCCCGAGTCGGTTCAAGAGGCCCCTGAAACGCTGTCCGATTGGCAGTTGTTCCACATTTCCGATCCACCAACGGCTCTCCTGATGACCCTCGCATCCCGCGTTGCTGCGATCCATATTTATCCCACCAATGACCTATCAAACGAGGACGTTAAGCCATTGCCTGCGTCTACTGCTGCAGTTTTGCGACGCCGCTATGGAACACTGGCCTCTCTGACGACTGTGCCTATCTGGGGTATCTTAATCAACACACTGAGTGTCAAGAACTACCTGCATATTGTGGAACATGTCAAGGAGCGCATTGCCGAAGCCGGCAAGAAGAGCTACATGTTCGTAGTTGGCAAGTTGAATGCTGCCAAAGTAGCCAATTTCAGTGAGATTGGTGGCTGGGTGGTCATTGGCTGCTGGGAAAGCTCTTTGGTGGATAGCAAGGATTTCTGGAAGCCAGTGATCACTCCGTTTGAATTGGAGTTGGCTCTGAAAAACGACGCAGATCGGGTGTGGACAGGAGCATGGCAAAGTGATTTCCAAGCAGTCCTTGATGCGCCGGCTCAGGAGGCCAAGGGAGAAGAAGATGACCCGGAGACCTCCAATGGCGCAACCATGTCCGAAGAGGACGACATGTCAGAGCCTGAGTCGGCACCGCCCGAATTCGACTTCCGCACTGGTCGATACGTCTCACACTCTCGTCCAATGCGGAACCCCGCGCCCCGCGCTTCTCAGGTTGATGGATCATCCACGTCCGGCCCATCCGCTGCTAGAGCACTGGCGCGGCGAGCTAAGGGCGACCTAGCTATGATCGGCGGAGCCGTGTCACCAGGCGCAGAATTTTTGCGGTCGCAACGGACATGGAAAGGTCTGGGGAGCGACTTTGATATCAAATATGACGAGGAAGACCCGGAGGATAGTACCTTGGTCAAGGAAGGGCGCAAGGGTATTGCGAGGGGCTACACTGTAGGCGATACAGCTGACAAACATTAATTCACATGGTAGTATAGAAACCATTTGCAATAAGATTCAGGATCATTCAGCGATCAATGCATTCTATTTTCCTCAGAGATTCATATGAAGCGCGCACATCAAAATCCGGGGTTTGACGTCCATCACATGACACTGTCCTAATTAACGGGCGCATCCGGATATCACGTCTCGCGTTGTCTCGCCGACTCGCGCTCCGTCTTCTTTCTTATTCTCTTTCTGTCTCGCTCTTCTTTCTTTTGCTACAATTTGCGCAGTCGCTGGGGCATCATATCTGTGACTTTCTTTACTTTCGCTCCGGGGATTTCATCCTTCCCCTCTTTTAATACCCCTCTCCCTTCCTCCCCTCGCTCCCCCTTCAGATACCCCAATTCGCTAGCCCTTGCAAGCCCAGCTTATCAATTATCGACTGTTCACATCTGATCGCCTTGCATCGTGGCTTAAGTTCTGGGCGACCTGCCCCCTCGTTTGGATGGTCTTCAAGTCATCTTATCATGTGCCGCGTCTCTAGCCGCCGAGCTCGCGACCTCGCGTCACCTCGATCGTCGACCTAGAATTCGGAACCTTTCACTCGTCGCTCAGGGTCTGGATTGAATACTCCAGCACCATGGCTCATGGAGACGGTGCTGGTGAGATTCCCGCATCGCACCAGATGCTGGAAAGCTTGCCGGTCCCTCTCGTCCAGAGGGAACCAGAAGAACGAAGACTCTCAACCTTTGAACAAGTGATAACGACCAACGCACCCATACTCGAGTCTCTCCTACTCCAGATCCCGACCGACTCAATAATAAAGCTCTACCACTCTTCAAGTTACCTACGCACGTTCCTTCGATCATATCCGACCGCATGGATGTCACTCTCGTTCCGTCTACCCTTGCCTTCGGGCACTCTTCCAAACCCTTCAAATCCCGGTTCAAACCTCCCTGAGTCTGTTCCCGCACGTCAATCTCGACCGTATGCCCTGGATATGTTCTTGATGAACGTGGTGGTCCCGTTCAGTGCGTGCCTGAAGAGCATAGAGCTGGACAACACGGCTATTTCGGGGGAGAACCTGATTTCGACCGTGCTGCATGCCCGCCGGGAGACGCTCGTGCATCTCTCTATTCGGGGCTGCAAGAATGTTTCTCTAAAATATCATATCGTTCCATTTCTGACCATGTTTGCACTGCAATGTGACATTGACGTGGGAAGCAACAGCAGCTCTCCTGGGATGAAACGACTCGCTTTGAAGAGTCTCTACGCCTACCGATGTCGCCACCATCGAAGACGCCCATATCTGTCATCTTCATTGCTGCGGAAAGATGCTGACGCAGAGTCGACTCACGAACTTGTCAACGTCTGCCACAAGCTGGGGATTTGGACTGACACCGCTTGGTGCACCACCCCGGCCGGTAGATGCGCTCGCAGGGCCGCCTACGTCAAGTCGAGATTCCCACAGGGAGTAGCAGCGCCGGAGGTCTGGGTCGTCTTTGATAGACTGTGGAGATCTAGGAACTGGATCGGCCCAATCGACTCCACGACCAATTCAACGGGCATATGTGACGCTAAGCTGTGGGAAACCCGTGAGACTGGATGTTACGGGGAGGCGTTAGGAACCGGCGACAGCAACGACTGGGGAGAAGGCAAAATGACACCCGCCCATCTCCGTCGGAGTCATACCCATTTTGTTGACGGAATTCGCTGTGATAACTGTCTAGACGACATAACGGAGCGATGTGAACATTGCAGCGTCTTGATGCATTGTGTCGGGTGCCGCAAGACACTTTGCGCAAGCTGTGCCCATGAACGCCCGTACCTTCACAAATGCGCATCATCGTCTTTTTCTTCTGGGAACAACCAGCCCGCGCCAGATTCCTTCTGGTGGGCGCCTGGGGCGACGCACTCTCCGGGTTCGATGCAGGATCCCGTGGCATTCCCGGTGGGTACCACTCCACCCCAGGGCACCGGGGGAATGGATCCACCCCCTATACTCAATTTCCACTGGTGCTGCACCAAGCCCGATTTTTCTGGTGGAGGCGGCATCAGCATTGGGTCTCAAAATCGAGAGGTGGACCAGGTTCGAGCTGTGCCTTTGCCTCGTGGGCAAGGTTGGGAGAACCTGGAGTATACCGTCAGTGGATGGAGCAAGACATTCCCCACGTACGCATATGGTGATCCAAGCAAGCCAGACTACTCGCTCGAGACGGGTCATCTGGCAATGATGAAATGGCTGCTAGGACCGCCTAATCGACAAGTCTCACCATGCCCGCGCAATCTGTGCCAAGGATGTTACGATTCCCCACAATGGAAGGTGCACTGCAGGAGCTGCTCGAAGTCCCTCTGTATTGAGCATGACCTTCGTGGGCTTCGCTTACGGATATGCGGCTACCGAGACCTCGAGTCAGAAAAGCAGAATATTCAGCACCGACTCGCATTGCACCTGGCTGAGTCACTCGCCTCCGGTCAAGGTCCCCCACACGACCTACCATTCAGAAGCCAACAGCCTCTTGACCCGATGAATATGAGTATCATTGATGACTCGCGGCAAGACATCCTAGTCGAGAGAAATATTGTCTCTTTCCTCAACCACCCAAGTCGCTCCTTTGTGGCCCCAACACCCGACCCTTCCTGTCCTCCGTCATCCTCATCCTCTACGTTCTTTGATTCACCAACCCTCGAACCCCTAAAGTGGCAAGGGTGTCAATCCTTCTTCTGTCCCCCAGAATCCGATCCTTTCACCGGAATAAGCGATCCTAGAATCAGTATCAGAGACCCACGTCCCCGGTGCCCCAGCAATCTCCTAGAATGCAATGGCTGCAAGGTGTATGTTTGCGTCGAATGCATCGATGCGCATCCGCCCTGTAAATGCTCGTATTGCTCCGAGCACTACATGTGCCCCAATTGCGTGGCAGACAAACGTGACACCATGTGCCATCGTCGTCAGGAAGAGGCGCTGCGTGACCGCCAATGGAGAGAACAATTGCAGGCGATCGAAGCCAGTCTGTTGCTCAAATTGGCTGATGAAGCGGCTGAGTATGTAGGCGAGTTCTTTGACCGCATTGAACCGCGCAGTCCTCCGCCCTCGCGGTCTATGGTCCCCGTCGATCCCGGATTGGCTGACCAGATTGCCGACCCTTTCAGAGAAGACCATGCAGCAGCGGAAGCATCCTTCTCGCACCTTGAGCCTGATGACATGGAGTGGTTGACTGAGGACTCCCAGTAGTCTGAGATGTTGCTCACTATTTTCCCTTTTTATCTTTGCGATTTCCATGTCTTTTCTTTGTTTCAGTTTCTTGAGCGATCTCATATCATGGCGTCAAAGGGAAATCATCTAATATTTTATTCAGAGTGTTTATTTTGTCGAGGCAATTACAGCCAGCGGGCTCAATCCCGTGGTGCTTTTACTCGGCGTTCTACCAAGCGAAGTGAATCGGCGCAGTGCGCACTGCTTCTCTTTGCTTCTGCTGTTCAACCCCTCTCCTTGCAAACCGGGCTGGTGCTGCAGATGGGAAGGGACGCTACATCTACCCGGCGGTTCCATGGGAACTACTCACTGCATCGATGACATCGCTGGCCAATTAATGCAGGCACCACGCCAGGGTTTCATGTTTCTTGGGTCTTTTTTTCCGTTATTTTTCTGCTTGCGTTCATCCTTTATCGGGCTTGATGTCCTAACGTGGATGGGGATGAACGTGAAATAGCCGAGTGGACATCTGTACTGCACTTGTTGATCATCTAGTGAGGGGTATGTCCCAAAAGGACTCAGCTATTGTTCTTATCTCCTGCTCCTTACGCTCTAGTTCTCATCCATCTTGCCCTGGGCCAATGATGATACCTCCGTGAGATCAGTTCACCAACCCCAGTTCATCCCAGGTTGTAGAGACAACTTGTAACGCCACACCTAAGCGGCCTGAACAAAACATATCATGGCCAGTAATAATGCACCACATGGGTTGCAACAAGACAATATCTATACCGTCAGATTAGACTAGCGCATATCAAAGGATCGTCGGATGCCAGCTTCCAAGGTTCTCGGCAGCGGGACAACAACCTTAAGAAGTAACACAGGCCCGGTACCGCAAATGAGAATGACCCCCCACGTTCTGATCCGCGAACTCAATATCTCTGAAGTATAACGAACTGTAATATTCCAGGGTTGTTCAAGGTCCAGGCGCAGGCTAGTGGTTTCATCATCTGACATGAGCAAAGCAGGTCCAACCCCCAAACGGTATGTACGTGTCGGGTCGTATCTGGACAGAATGATGCGGTCAAGACCAACGGCTATGCAATTAACGCTAGCGTATGCAAACCGCGTGGGATTCCTCAAGTGACAAGCCTTCCCGGGGCTCTTCTGGGCGGTGAATGCATTGTCGGGCTCTGTGATTGAGTGATCGAGGTCCGTGTGGTATTTCCTATGTACTCATTTTATGTTTTTCCAAGGTCCTCGGGATCTTACAATCCATCCCTGTTTGTTTGTGGCTCGATGCGATGTAAAGATGAGCTTACTGGGATTAATGGAATTGGAGAGTTAGCTCTTCTGGATAGTGAGGTAGATAATAACTATATCTACGCTACATAGATCTCAGAAGTATCAACCCGGGTGGAGTGGATCGGGCGATCATCCATGAAAAATAATAAAGAATAAATCCAATTTTACCCGCTTCCCCGGTTGCCCCTTTTTATTTTAATTTCCATTCTTTTCCGAATGGTACGTATCAATCATTCCACCCCTTATCCCCTTAGTAGACTGCCCTGAGATATCAGATCGCCGCGGATGTAGACCCCAAACCCCCCGATTGGGTGCGGGAGTACTTCGGGAGGTGGGCTGGAAGCCATCCTATTAGCCCGGGGGAAGAAGCTAAGGATTTTCTGGGAATGGTGGAAACTGGGAACCAAAAGTACGATGGCGCTAGATCCCGTTCCTGACATCATACCAGTCAATCTGTCAATTCGTACCTGTGGTGGGACGATGGTTACCCATTCTCTCAAGGGGGTTAGACAAGGAGAAGTAAAATGGAAATGGGTGAAAAAAAAAAAAAAAAATGAGGAGTGGGGGTGACGTTGAGGTTCATCTTGAATCCCCAGTGCACCGGTCACAAACAGCCACACCAATGAGATACGTTCAATATTGAGGGAGATCTCACCATTTCATTATTTACCCTATTCCTTACCCTTCCTTGCCCTTCCTTGTACCCTTCTATCGTTCCTACCCTTCCTACCCTACTTCTGCGCAAGGTTGAGCGGTCCGTTTTCCCGTGCCATTTAGGCTACAACCCAAGATGTCGGTGAACGCGTTCCTTGATCTTTAAACGCGTGACCGGTCTGTTTCCGAAGCAAACATTTGGATAATTTCTAAATTTTTTTTCTATTTTGGTGATTTTCGATCTGTAAAATGCAAACAGGCTTTTTAAGGCTTTTTAAGGCTTTTTAAGGCTTTTTAAGGCTTTTTAAGGCTTTTTAAGGCTTTTTAAGGCTTTTTAATTTTGATTAAATTCAAAATCCTCCTTTCTCCAACTGTTCTACTTATAAAGCCTTCAGCTATCGCTCATCTATTTGAAACTCAAACACAGACTCCTCGCTTCAACCCTTCGGATCAAAGAACTGCCTTCTTCTACACATCCCAACTCTCTCCTCAACCATCCCCCATTCCAGTCATCACATTCAAAATGGACAAAGTCAAGACAACCCAGGAGACCAAAGAGAAGCCGGAGGCTCAACCCATGAGCGTCGAGGAGTATCAGAAGAAATGGGACCAGATGCTCCAAGAAACAGGGAGACAGATCGACAAGATCCGAGGTGAGTTGCTCTTCTGACATATGCACAGGACAAATCTGACAGCTATCATAGAGAATGAGCAGGCGGGAAGGTCAAATCAAACCTCGCAGCGTTGATCGACGCCCATTTTTTTCCAATTGGCCACTTTTTTTCACTTGAGGTGGCCTATGCAAGCCGAGGAGTTATTGGGAACTGACATTTTGGTGTTTGCTTTTTCATGCATGAACGAGGGTGTTGATGAAAGGATCGAGGGCTATGAGATTTAGAGATGTCTTTTATTTTTATTCGGGGATTGATTATACCTTGAAGTTCATCTTCAGTCGTTCGCTTTGTTGCAAGGTAACCTACGTTTTGAGAATATCATGTTTTTCTTAACCACCTTTGGTATATCTACAGTATGTAGATGTCCCTAAGAGAGCAACTTTCCAGTTTTGGAAAGAGAGCCTCGACAGGGGACCTCTGCACTTTCCCGTCCAGTTAGCCTTCTCCTAGCGTACACATCTAACACCAACACTGCACTTGCATTGCCTATCACTTTCATCCCGAATCGCCTATGCATGTCATGGCTGCAGCTAACGACTGGTTCAATCATCCTTGTACGTTCCAAAGCGGCAGGATATGGCTTATCCTAACAACTTCAGGCCCCTCGAAATCGTCGCTCACAATGCCACTGTGCTTATGAGCGGTGTGCTTCTTGGGCTACTTGCCTTTGTCATTTCACGCCTTAGCCGAATGTCCCCCCCACGTTTTCTCGGATATATTGACACAATAATATCGGAGTTACTACATAGGTTCTATTTGAATGCCTTTGCGGTTCATCTCCTATTCTCCGCTTCTGTAGTGACGTTGTTGGTATGCATCAAAACGATGGTGAACCCTTTAATCGGACTGACTCGCTAAAATCAGAGTTCGTGCTAGTACAAGCCTAGTGTGCTCCTCCCCGGGATATTCCCAGCTCTGGATCATGATGTGACTTCCGCGGTCACTATCGGAGGCGCTCAAATGGCCGGTTCGGAAGTTACTGTGGATGACTCAGACTCTTGCAACCTACCGATGCTCCATACTAAATACCCCTGTCAAGCCATGCAGTTAAATGTATTATCTATGATCTTCAAAGGAATATATGACTCCGTATCCTTGTAATAAGAGGCGTCGCGGTGAGAGTCCGAGGCGGTTAGGCAGGCGGTAAATGCGCCAACGGAGAAAAGCCAAGGTCCCCACATTTTTCCATTCCGAGCGTTTGCTTGGTTGCTTGGCTCTCACGGAATACTTTGTTCCCACCCGCTCAACTCTCTCTGACCGACTTTATATTTATCTCTCTGACGTGCTGCCCATCATGTCTGCTGATCTCGACCAAAACCCCTCCCCAGCCGACATAGCCGAACGTGAACGTGAGAACCAAGAGCGCAAGGCCCGCGAGGATGCGGAGCAGGCTCAGCTGCCCTACAAGTGGACACAGACCATTCGTGATGTGGAAGTGACGGCACCGATCCCCAGTAATATCAAGGGTCGCGATTTGGATGTGGTGTTGGCCAAGAACAAGATTCGCGTCGCAATCAAGGGACAAGAACCCCTCATTGAGGTATGCCTTTTCCCCTATCTGCCTACTCATCCCCGGGAGCCCACCGTGGGTTGTGCATATTGCCTGGAGGAAGTACCAAGCAGCAGCTAATCATCCAAATTTATTCTGTAGGGCGACTTTCCCCATGCTATCCTTGTCGATGAATCGTCCTGGACCCTCGAGACCACCCCCACCCCACCCGGCAAGGAAATCACTATTCACCTCGACAAGGTAAACAAGGTCGAATGGTGGCCTCATGTCGTGACCACTGCGCCCAAGATCGATGTTACGAAGATCACGCCAGAAAACTCCAGCTTGAGCGATCTGGATGGCCCCACTCGCGCCATGGTCGAGAAGATGATGTATGATCAGCGGCAGAAGGAAATGGGCGGCCCCAGCAGTGACGAGCAACGGAAGATGGAGCTGTTAAAGAAGTTCCAGGCTGAGCACCCTGGTGAGTTGCTGTCCTTCTTTCCCTTTCTCTTGGCCACTTCGCCAAGCCTCTGGAGATACTCACACGTTCCTTTGGTGTACCTGTTGCTAACCTTGAATCCTCCAGAGATGGACTTCTCCAACGCTAAGATGGGTTAAAGTCAATACCAACGTCCCACGACAGCCTCATGTCCTCCGTGCAAAAGAACTGGTGATGGAGAATGAGCAAAAAGCATTGGTGGATGAACCTCAACGAATGACGAATTACATGGCGTTTCTCGGCCCTTTCCGAGAATGCATTTGAACTTTCAGGTTAATATTTCCTTCGAGATAGACATCTTTATATTCAATTCACGTGTCAACTTCTCTTGCTTCTCTGATCGTTCTGCCAAGCGATGAATACGAGAATTTCCTAATTTGGACTAGCGTTTGTTTGACGAGAGATGATCTACTTACCTTCGCGCTGCCGTCTCCCCGTCTCCTCCGTCACCACTTCTTCATTCTGACTGGACAAATGATAGTGATTCAAGGTAACTACACCCAACAGGGCGCAGTTCCACCTGTTTGAGCCTCCACGCCCGGCCTAGCACATAGCTTGGGGCTTCGCTGGGCAAACTCACAAATCGACATCCTGATGCCTTTATATGCCACCCAGAGAACCGCTTAACCATACACCTCTCGACGTATTCTCGATTATATAGGTTATCACCGGGAGGTTCCCAGATTTGGTTCATACCCTGTAAGACGAATAAACACGATGCAGCCTAAACTCCAGACCCAGCACTCGAACCCGGCCAGGCCCATGCAGGGACAGAACAAGGTCTTCCGGGTTCCGAACTACAGACCGAAACATGCCACACCGCATGGATCTGGGGAACCAACTGAGCACGTCTATCATTCCCGCCGATCCCACCGGAAATCACGTGTCGGCTGCGTGAACTGTAAGCAACGAAGAGTCAAGGTATTTTGTATTCCCCGAGTCTAAAGCATCCCTCTGCTGACGAGTGATCAAGTGCGATGAAACGAAGCCGTGTTGTCTTCGATGCCAGAAATATGGCGTCGAGTGTGATTACTCGGACCGGCCTGTCCGAGCTCCAAAAACAACCAACATCGTCGCCGACTTCATCAAAACCCACCCCGGGCTAATATCAATTGACTCCCTGGCATCTTCAATGTCCCTAATGATGGTAGCAGAGAAGTTGAATGAATTGCTGCTACCAGCCTCCCCTACCAGTACCCAGCTACCAAGGAAACTGAGAGACACCTCTGCATCAATGCGCACTATAGAAGCACTACATCATTTCCACAGAGGCCCAGCATTCACAACCGAACCCCAACATAATGTCCGTATAGTCATGGACAAAATGGTCAAACTTGCCTTCGAAGTAAGCCCCATCCCTTCCCTGCATCCTGCCACCTAGTCCCTATAGCTCGAAAGAAACCACCACTCACAAAGACCAACCTTCCCCCAGACCCCCTTCCTCATGCACGCCATAATAGCCGCATCAACAACACACCTCTGCGCCCACCTCCCAGACAACAAAGACTACCGCCTAGCAGAAGCCTACCACTGGCAAAGAGCAATAACCCAATACTCAACCGAAGTAACCAAGATAACCCGCCACAACACCGATAAACTCTACACCGCCTGCATGCTAATAAGCATGCACTCCTTCCACCAAGAGATCTTCAACCCCGCCGCTTCCTTCGTCTTCACCACAGACCACACAGCCCTAACCTGGCTCCGCATCCAAACAGGCCTCCGCTACCTGCTCGCGCACACAGCCCCCTGGCTGCACCAGAGTATATGGTGGAGCGTCTTCAACGAGTCCCGGAATGCACAGGCGGACTTTGAGGACTCGCGGCCGGGTCGTGTAGGTCTTGATCCGGATTTGGCGGATCTTTGTGGCGTGACAGAGGACTCGACTGTCGAGTCGAATCCGTTTCTTTGGCCATTGCGCATGCTTATGGGGTTGTTGCCGCTTGAGCGGTGTGCGGGCAGTTTCAAGGCTTATAATACTTGGATGGGGAGGTTGGAGGGTCCGTTTTATGAGTGTTTGGAGAGGAAGGAGGTCCCGGCGCTGGTTTTGTTGGCTTGGTGGCTTGGGCTTATGTGTTTTGCTGGGGAGTGGTGGGCGGAGGTTAGGGTGAGGTCGGAGTGTACGGCTATATGTATGTTCCTGGAGGAGAGTGGTGATCCGCTGGTTTTGAGGTTGTTGGAGTTTCCGGCATCCTGTTGTGGGTGTGTACTTAGGCATGGGAAGGGGGCTAGGGTGCTTGAGCTGGATTGATCTTGATTTGCGTTACAGTATCGAGGACTATATGTAGTTAGGTTGTTGCGGTCATACCCTTCTTATAACCTTGTTCTTCCGAGGCTGTTTTTACCTGCATCCATGTGTATGACGGGCGGCTTCGATCCACAGGGAGATGTTCGGGCAGTAGTGGTCCAGAAATAGCAAGTTTATATTCATGTTCGACTGTAGAATGATAATAATGCTATGTATCCGCTAGGATGCAAGTGCCATGTGTTCGAGAATGTCCGTGCCATTCTCTTGAGACTGTGTCCATCCCCAGCAAGCGATTATGTGCACTGCACGATGTGCTGGGCTGTCCATGTGCAGGTCAATATTAAGTATCCAAAACTATCCCAAAGTATGCCCTTTTCCGCACCAAATCCCAGTCATGTCGTAAACATTCGATCCATCGTCGCGTCATGTGCTTTGAAACAGAAATCCAAATATGCGATGAAAGAAGAGAGGGCAATGAAACAATAGTAATAGGAAAAAAAGAGCAATGAAAAGGCGATTCCAGATCGCCTAGGTAGGATGGAAAATGAAAAAAACGCGAGAACAACATATTCACTGACAGCGTAAGCAATCAAATCCTCATCTGAGACGACGCAAATCACCGACTCCCCCAGGAAACCCGCCTATGACGACGAATGGACCGATCATCCTCATCAGAGTACGTAGGCCCCGTCTGCGAACCGCTCAAACGGGCAGCAGGCGGCGGATGAATGATCACCGCCATGGCCGAGGAAATAGACATCGACCGGGACCGACACAGCATAGAAGAGTGACGAGGGGAGTACGGCGGCGGTGGAGTTTCCCTCGTTGCAGTCGATGTATTGCCATAACTGCTTGGAAAGGAAACAGCGGATGAACTATCGGACGTGACTTCTTCATCGTAACGACTATCGGACGTGGATCCTTCGTCGTAACGACTGGCATTTTTTTCGTCCTGGGGGTAAGAGTTCTGGTATTCAGACGATATGGATGGATCACGCATATGGGCTTCCAGAGTCTTCTCGTGGAGGCTCATCGGACGGGCTGTGTACTGCGGGAGCGGGACCACGCTCGCATAGCCCCCATTCTCCGAGTCAGGCGGGGGCCCGTGCTCGTGGCCCCCGGTTGCGGGGGCTGCTGGGCGGATGAATTCGCCTGTCTCCGAGAGCATGAATCGGCCTGTCTGAAGGCCGTTCGCATGGGATCTTTGGGTCATTGATTCTGGGAATGTAGGGCCCCTTGAGGGCTTTTCGACGACGGTCTCTCGGGAAAAGCACCCGCACAATGCTGAGAGGAAGGACATGATTCAATGGAGTAAGTTGGACTCTAGTTGACAGCGTCCAAAATTGGGAGATTCGTTTCTCGTGAGATAAAGTCGTCTTGTAGAGTCCGTAGCAGAAATGCCAGACAACAAGCACTCTACTGTGGATGTCTGCAGCACTTCAGCTATTGAGCCTCAAAACGCCGATCGTGGGTTGTAAACCCCACTTGCGTTGATATGCCCCAGCCCTGAACTGACAAAGACACAGAAAATCAGATATGAAGCTTAAAGAGTCTAAAGAAATATGCTGATACAGAGAAGGGAGGAAAATGAGGGGTGAAAGAAAGGCCAGATGCGAGCTGACAGTACGAGGCACCCGCAGGCACCCGCAGGCATCCAAATTCCTAGAAACTCTAATTGGCTGAGACACGGTGCCTGAGTGAGAATTCCTGTCAGGTTACTGGTTGAATTGGCTAATGTAACATTAATCTAATGACCTTTCACAACAACAGCCCGGGTGGTCTAGTGGTATGATTCGCGCTTAGGGTATTCAAAACCTGAGCATAATTGCGCGAGGTCCCGCGTTCAATCCGCGGCTCGGGCCTGTTATCTTTTTGTCTTTTTTTCCCTTTCTGAAAACTACTGCGTATCTGCTGTCTAGGTTCGATGCAGTTTGATCCTTCGCTAATAATTATGCAAAGAATGGCTAGGTGTCGGCTTACTACCACTGAAGCATTAACTTTTCTCGGATTATCGTACACCTTCAGCGTTCTTCCACAACCTCAGGTTGACAATAGATAAGCGATAAGATCAATGATAACAAAGGCGGTAAACCTCTACAAACCATGATTGGGCGATACAGAAAGCGGAGCGAGGGGCAAGAAAGTATGTGGGCAGTTTAGAGTCATGTGATAGAGTCTCCCCGCCAATCGTGTTGCCGCTTGGAATTTTTTTTGTTCTCCCCGCCTTGACGATCACTTCTTCGGATAACAAATACTCACATATCGCAGAGGCAGAGATTCACCCGAATTCATCATGACGGTTGATCTCAGCATCGAGCAAGTGACCCAGAATGTCGAACCTCCCCAGGTTCCTCCCCATCGGTCCCACGATCCCTCGAACAACATGAAACGGACCGACCCCTTCCAATTCGGCTCGCGATACCTCGAAAAAGGAGACGATGTATTTGAGTTCAACGCCTGGGACCACGTCGAGCCGGATGACGAGTTCAAGGCCTTTGCCGAGACCCAGTATGCGAAACAGCGTGAAACCCGAGTATCGGACTTCGACCGGAACCGATTCAACAGCGATCCCGCCAAATGGTGGGACCTATTCTATAAAAATAACACCTCCAACTTCTTCAAGGACCGCAAATGGCTGCGCCAAGAATTCCCTATTCTGGCCGAAGTGACTCAGAAAGAGGCCGGTCCCCAGGTTGTTTTGGAAGTTGGCGCCGGAGCCGGCAACACTGCGTTCCCATTGCTAGCCAACAACGAGAACGAGCACCTGAAAGTCCATGCCTGCGATTTCTCCAAGTACGCGGTGAAGGTCATGCGAGAGAGCGAACACTATAATGAGAAATACATGTCTGCCGATGTCTGGGATGCAGCCGCTGTGCCCGGTGAAAACGGCGACTCTCTCCCGCCAGGTCTCACGGAAGGTTCAGTCGACGTTGTGATCATGATCTTCATCTTCTCTGCTCTGGCGCCCAACCAATGGGACCATGCAATTCGCAACGTCTATCGTCTCTTAAAGCCCGGTGGTCGTGTGCTATTCCGCGATTACGGCCGCGGCGATCTTGCCCAGGTGCGGTTCAAGAAGGGCCGGTATATGGCTGAGAATTTCTATATTCGAGGCGATGGCACGCGCGTTTATTTCTTCGAAAAGGACCAGCTTGTTGACATGTGGGGCACCTGGAGCGCAGAGAATGGCTTGCAGATTCCCATTGGTGATGAGCATGCTTCTGGAGAGAAGTCCGAGCACAATGAAGATCAAGCCCAGTCGGAGGAGCAATCTACAGAGGCCAAACAGTTGGCAAGGGATGCCGGAGCATTCGAGGTCCTTAACATGGGAGCCGACCGGCGGTTGATTGTCAACCGCGGGACAAAGCAAAAGATGTACCGTTGCTGGATGCAGGGCAACTTCCGGAAGCGTGGTGGAGCTGTCGCCGAGGGAACGCAATGAACATGCACTCGATCAGGTGGTCATCGCACATTACTATTGACCTCCACCTAAATCCCTCAGCAGAAGGGAGATTCTTCACTATCTCCCAATAGACCCGGTGGCACCAGACTTCCACACTGTGCAATCCCGATTCCGTGGTACTCGCCCTGCATTGTCTCAAAAGCCTTTCTTTGTATCTATTTCAAATACCCATCACGCTGAGTTCAATATATAACGCTGTCTGGATGATTTCAACGGGAACAATTGGGGCAGCACTCTTACCTAGAGATCAAGGGAATGGCCCAAACCGAGTTGGATATCGGACAATGCCTCCATTATGGCATTATGAATGTACGCAAAGACTAGAAAATGCCATAGAATCTGCCAATTGGAGCTGGGAAGACATAATTAACAGTTCTCTTGGCCAAGGCCAGCCCCTCTTTTGCTGGCTTTTTCTCTTTTTTATATCCCCCCTCACCAACTGCTCAAGGAATGCATTATTATGCTGGGATACACGACTCTCTACTCCACAACCCCTCGCTCTTTCCTCTTCGCCGTCGTCGCCAATGTCGGTCCCGGCGGCGCCAGCCGCTCCCTGGCCGTGGCCTACCGCCAGCACCACGACGAATACACCCCACAGATATCCTGGGGACGAGTGCACTGTATGGTGACCGACATCCTTGCACTGACCGAAATCCTCTCTGATCCCGCGAACCGCGCGCCGCTGGAGGCCGAGAGGGCGCTCGCGGAGGACTGGTATCGTCGGTCTCAGGGCCACGAGCCTCCGATTCATGAGCGACCCAGCGTGCCTGACACCGCGCAGCCCCCGTTCGTGCCCTGGTACAAGTGGCGGGAGCCAGGGCAACAACAACCCCCACTGCCGTGGCGGGATGATGCGCCCAGCAAGTTTCCCTTCACCGCGACGTGTGTTTTGCTGGCGTTGTTGCGGGATACTCGCGACAACCGCACCCGCTCCGGCGACGTCCAGTTTCAGCCGCTATCGACGCTGTTCCGGGCCGACTGCACTGAGTATGGCCTGGTTATTCTCGACATTTCCGACCTCGACAGCGGCGTCAAGTACGGCATCGTTGCGTTCCCCGTGAACTATATGGCTGAGGTTAGTTACCGCGGCGAGATGATCGGCTGGGATCATGTCGAAGACCCCCAGCCGGAAAAGGAGCCCGATGTTGTGCTTGTGAGCCCACGGCCTCGAGAGCTGTTGCCAATCTCGCAGTGGGTATCGAAGTATTACTACTGGTCGGGCCGGGAAGAGGCGTCTTGCATCCTCAAACTAGAGGAGAGGCCGCTGGCTGATGCGGTAGCTTTGGATTGTACGTCTGTTCACCCGGATGATTTTGCAGGTGCTGACAGGGGAAATAATGGTAGATATCTGGCCACCAGAGCTGGAGGATCCGGCTCGAACATCTTCAGAAGGTGATCTCTGGCGCTATTCCAGGTGAACCCATCTCGATCACATTTGCTAATCTCTCCAACAGACTTCAGACGTTCAAAGATCGCTACCCAATCCTCACCTGAAATGGTAGGCTACACCATGGTAGACCAACCGCCGCAAAATGACCCCGTAGGCATGGTCCGCATCATTGATGATCTGCTTGTTCTCACCCAGGAGTCCGCCTCCGGTCCTCCCGAGAAAGAAGCACTCGCCAACCTTCAAGTACTTGCCCAGTTCCGCGAGCTGCTGCGGCAGCGGCTCGAAGAGGTGCCAGAGAGGCTCGGCTCCTCCCAGATCTCCAGTCATGTGCTGCGCGCGGCATACGCTGGATGCCGTCACCTCAACTGGGTGGTGTTTGGAAACTTGCCGCCTCGCGTGATCGCGGCCGCCATTGCATCGGATGAACTTCAAGGTGCGACTGCGCTCAGCCTCTGCGTCAATCTGTTCCAGCTGGTGGGAGATGAGGAAGATGGAGAATCAGACCTTGGTGATCTCGCCGCGGCCCTGGCACAGTCCACAGCCCTTCAACAGCTCTGCTTCTTGCAGCAGCCAGACCGGAACAGCGACGATGCCTCCGCTCGTCTCTGCTCGCAGCTGCTGCGGCTGTGGCCGAGGGCATCAGGAGAAGACTTGGAGTCGCTCCGGCTGAGAACCATCCATTCGACCTCCGCTTTGTTAAACGGTTTACGCGGCCGCCAATTTCGAGCAATATCCTCGACGACGAATTTGGGTTCTAGCTTGATCTCGGGCGCTCAAGTCGTTCCCATGATCCATCTGTTCACATTTGTCAGCTCCCGGGGCGAAGATGTCCGAGACGCAGCTGCAGGCCACCACGTCGCCCACCCTGATCGTCCCGGGTACAGCGGCTACTACTCTATGGATAATACTGGGTTAAACGCCGAGAGCTTCGCTGTCCGATTCCTGGTATATCTCCGGTCCTTAGGTCCGGATTCGGATCCCGACAAGACCATCTTGCGAGTTGCATATCATGGGGCGTTCTCGTCACTCGCTTCCCTCGACGAGGACGACAACAACAACAACGACGACCCCCCGTCGCCGCCCCGGGGGCCACCGCCGCGGCCACCGCCGCTCCAGTCATGGCCAGATCAATTGGGTGTCAGGCCAATCCCCGCTGGATTTTTCGACGACGAGCTAGCCCCCGACGACCCGTCCCGAGTCCGACTCGGGGAGATCATCCCCGGGAGCTGGGTGGTTCTTATGGATCGACGAGACCGTCGTGGCCGATTAAGCGACGACGGCGCCTTCTTACAATACTCTTTCATCAGAATCCGTCGACCCTCTCCAGAGGCTGCCGCGAAGCAACAACAACCACAAGAACAACAAAGACCGCCGCCCCCGGTCTCTAGTTCAGTCGAGGTGGTCGGCGGGCTGACCGACTTCCTGCGCGAAACCGTGCCAGAGACTCATATTGCCACGTGGGAGAAACGGCTCGAGGAGGTAGAGAGGAATTTGGTTTCAGCTTTGACTAGACCGAGCCCACCCAGTACTCCGTCATCGATGGAGCTCTCACCGGGGGTGAGTCCGATTGACGAGGTGTTGAGGCGCTTGACTTCAGCTGCAACTGAGAGGAGTGCAGACTACGCCTCGCCAGAGACTGATCTTTCCACTGGGGAGGGACTGGTCGTGGAGGTAGAGAGGGAACGCTGCATCGGCGTCCGCATCATGGCTGAGAGCCAGGTCCACACTTTACTGGACCAGTTACTATGACTTTGCCCCTGTTGCTTATGCTGGTTTAGCCTGGCCCGCTATGCGTCAATTTCCCGCCTTTCCATTCGTTGGTCTTTTTCTCTCGCGTTATCATTGGCAGCGCGAAAACTGCAGACCCCCTTTTGGGACCTGGCTTTGTTTACCTGTTCACGCGTTGCTTCCATCTCAAATCTACAGCCTCTTGCCATGTCGAATCCTACCTCCCGTCCAACACCACTGCGTTAGCCTTCCGCCGCCGATCTAAACGCCCCGTTTGTCTACCAAGCACTGTAGCCGGTGCTGTAGCAAACGACCCCTGACTGCGTTCCTCGACAACAGAAACGTACAGCTCAAATCCTGCCACGGATGCCGTCATCCTCAGTCAAGACAGGTCGAGAGCGAGGCCCCCGTGCGTGCCAATACTATTGATACTGCTGAAAATCAAGTCGCGCCGGACGAGGCCAGGACTCGCCAGTGCACTTGCTGCGACGGCATTCACCAGCTATCCGCTTTCATCGACTATTCACGGCGCCCCGAGCCATTCACTAACTGTGCCACATGCAGACCGCATACCCGCCAGCCTGTACCGGTATGCAGTCCTGCTCCAATTGTGGTGCTCAGCTTCCTATAGCCCAATCTATCGACCTGGCGCGCCGCCGCCAGCCGTTCAAGTTGTGTCCCCGTTGCCGACCCGCCGTGGCGACGCCCGTTGCATTTCGCTCCCAGTACCGCCATGGCACCGCGCGGAGACATGATCTTGGCCGTATGGAGCAAGCCTGCCGCTTCTGCAAGGCTCTTCATTGTCTCGCAGAGCGGGACAGTCACTCATCGCTCTGGGCTATAGGAAGCTGATCATGACATCTGGAGCAGGACTGCATACTCGTACGGGCTGGCGGGGGGACTCGACGGATATGCGGTCTGCATGTGACACAGTTCGTGAAGGGCTCGGGGCGCCGTGAAGGGTCGATGAAAGCGGATAGCGGGTGAATGCCGCCGCAGCAAGTGCACTGGCGAGTCCGGGCCTCGTCCGGTGCGACAGGATTTTCGGTATGATCAATGGTATTGGTACGCAGGGGGCCCTCCGGTGCGACGTGATTTGCAGCAGTGTCAATAGTATTAGCACGCACGGAGGCCTCGCTCTCAACCTCTGTTGACTGGGGATGACGGCATGCGTCGCAGGCTTTGAGCTAAGTTTCTGTCGTTGTTGTATTTCGATAATGGGGCAAGACAGTTGATTGCAGAGGGATGAGGGATGTAGGGAGAGAACCTTCATGGGAAAGAACCCTTCACTGTGACGAGAGCACATGGAACTAGGACTGTGAGGGAAGGACTACGTTGTCACATGATGGGAGGAACTGGCTATAGTGCTCTTTATCTCTTTCTTCCTCCTGTTTCTTTTCTCTTTTCCTTTCTCCCCAGTCTTGTTGTTTTAGACAAAGGAATCGGTTTGTTTCTGATAACCTTCATCGTCACATTCACGGTCCTTCCAAAAAGGGAAGGGGAAAGTCACGTCGTGCCTAGCAGACGTGAGATGAACTGAAGTCATTCTCCCCTCGTTTCTCCCGGACACCCTCTCTTTTCCCCGCGCAACCAGCAACTGTCAACCCTACAGCAACAACATCCAACTTTTCGAAGATGTCCTCAAACCAGCCGACCCAGATCCCCTTGGACGTTAAGGAATGAAAAGTAGCCCGGAGAGCAGGGGTCAAATTGAGGACGAGGAGCGTTCACACCAGAGGCCCACTCATGTCAGGCTCTAAGGTAGTTGAAGAAGAATTTCTGCTACTGAGAACAATCTGGCCGAAGGTTCCCTCAGCCGACAGAAGGAATGTTCAAACGAAGCTGGGAATAGATGCCCAGTTTCGCAAAGCTGATGATTACCTGAGCATGACCAAGCCTCACCTCACAGTGGGCGTGAAATGAGAATACGGTCTGATCCCACCTAAGTGAGGAAAATCTGAGCGGATCGACCCTCGTTGAGAGCGTCCAGTCAGAGTCGGAATGTGTTAGAGAGGCATCCAAGAATGCGGCAACTATCTGGACCCAATTGACAAAGCGTTCCCGCCAAAGAACACCGCTGATCTTGGGATTTTTTGGCTCCCTTACGAGCAACAGCAACGGCTGTTTCGGTTACCAAATCCGGGGCCTACAAAAAAGGAGAGGGCCTGCGGTAACAATGAGGAACTTGTCAATGCTTCACTTGTCATGCTGGAGCCCCTATCTCCCGGGCCTCGAAAAAGCAAGCTTATGTTGCGTTGTCCTCTACACAATCCGAATATATCGCACAAGCTCTCGCTACACAAGAAGCGAGGTGGCTTATCCTGCTTCTTACGGAGCTTCGTATGCACCAATCACAACACGCATTGCTAAACAAGCCTGTCACCATTCACGCGGACAACACTGGTGCAGTTGCTCTTGCCAAAAATCCGGAGTACCATGCACGCACAGAGCATATTGCAGTCCGGTATCACTTTCTACGACAGGAAGTTCAGGCAGTTTCTTGCAAGCAGTCTGCGCGAAGCACCGTGATGTGGACAGTGACTGGTATCCGGCTCGAGTGAAGTTGCACCTTCGACTTCAAGAAGGTCAAGGTGGACAAGGAAATCGAAGAACTCGGATCGGATGTCTTTAGCAGTTAGCTGTCTTGCAAGGTAGCCCGTTGCTGCGTGCATTGGGCAAGACCCAGATCCGCAGGAGGTGTTCCCTCTGTGGAAGCCTCACCGACATCGAGCAATTAGCTCAATGGTTCCACGCCCACTTTACTCCCACCGCATTCCTTGAGTGTTTCTCCTGGTGTAAACGAATTCTGGATTTTGAAAGATCCACTGTCGGCGGACAAAATTATTGTCGGAGTACGTTTCTCGTTCATCTTTTCATCTGAGATAAGCTTCGCCATTGCTAATTCTACTTAGACATATTCGCCAACATTTGCGCCCATCTGAAGCTGCACCACGATCTCCTCCAAAGCGGCCAGACTGAGACAGCCGCAGGTCGATGGAAGGTCATCTTGGATTTCTGGGACGGAATGGCGAAGGATAGGGCGTACGCCGGCATCAGCCGGGATGCGTTTGCCCAGCTTGCGCCCAAGCCAAGCCGCCTTCCGCCCAAGGCTTCCAGGCCTATCCGGGCAGCTGTCTATATAGGCGCCCCGGTTACTGAAGGCATAGGGCCGACAGCGCCGTCCCCCACTGCGGGATCACCTTGATCTCCTGGCAGTTTGACTTCCATACTGAGGACAGGCGTATTTTTTAACATATCTTTACAGAGGATAAAGATATTTCCATGTCAACTCCGAGCCGCAACTGGGGAACCCAGGGCATCATGCTCCTGGCAGAGGACAATATCGCCATGGTCGTGCCTATCTTGTGTCTGCAGAACCTATGCCTACAGGCTACGGCCATGTCAGTCACCGCGTCGTCTTCACCTACTGCCTCACTTCCCAATTATGATGGCCCTAGTATCACACAGCCGTCTCGCCTACTATACTTACTACTGTGGTCTCTACAATCCCTTGAGTGACTTTGGGATAAAATTCAGACTTTGTGTTTATCGGCCGAGTATTGAACTGGGTCGACCAGGGTCAATGATAATAGGAGTAGACATGATTATCCCAATGTCCGAATCTCCCAGGCATTAAGGATCGACCGGCTCGACATAACTACTATGAGCGCTTCTTATGTACGGAGCACAAAGTACTAAGTAGTAAGAACATTCTAAGGTGGACGTAATCTTGACACTTTGTATCATTGTATGCGTCCTTCACGTGGATAGTCCCAGCCAAGAGCTTTTCCAAGTCACTTCTGGGGTAAAATTATGTATGATAGACTTGGATTCATTCTTTACTTATGCCTGGACCTAGGCAGGCAAGGGACCTGACGGTATTCTAGCCAGGCGGTACCTAGATACTAGTTGGTGGTAATCTCACCATACCTTGAGTAGACCTTTTATACCTGGATAACGATATCTTCTGTAAATAATAGTATAAGCAGAATGACAGGAACCTGTGGTAGGGAAGATTGGAATTTGTGTCAAACTCTCTATATGTTCTAGCCGAATATCGGCAAAGGTGATCCAGCCCACAGGGCGTATGTTCCCGGAGAAGCAATGCAACAAAAGTGTATGGAACATTCAGATATGTGCACAGTGCATCTATACCTAGTAGTGTCACAGGAAACAAGAGACAATGGGGTTCTGTACAGACCATTGCTCTGATGATTGAAAGAAAAAAAGGCTCAACAACTCCATGCATGCAGGCAAGACAGGTACCAACCGTGTGGCTCCCGTGAGGAAGGCAGGTGTGAAATTTCATCAAGGAGCCAGGGCAAGTCGTGACCTGCAGTAATCCGCGAGTCTAAACATCTAATCGCGAAATGTTGAATAATGAGAACATGTACCTCATGAGACTTGCTCATGAGCGAAGAAATGTACAGCAGTACGTTGGAAGCCTGATCACAGGGACGGGCACTCGCCCTGGGCTCGAATGAAAGCCCCCGCGAACAGGTCCTGCATGGCGTGGTAATGGAAAAAGATGCCACCCAAGACAGCTATATGCCAAATATTGTGGCTGCCGCCGACATAGTCGAAGAAACCCGGCTTCCAGCGCTCGGGGATTTTGGAAGCGTAGATAAGGGCACCGACAAAGTAGACCACCATGCTCTTCACAATAGGAGCGTAGAAATACATCGTCCATGAGAAGCCTCGCGTGTAAGAAAGCTGGGCGATAGGCGAGAAACCAGTGGCGGCGAGGGTGACGAAGAAGCCCACGCGAGCCCAAGCCATGTCGTGGCGGTTAAACGTAGGGTGCCATGGGAGGATAATGCCACCGATACCCAGTGACATGGTGAGTATAATGTACGTCCATCGAGAAATGGGTTCGCAGTAGAACGCGGTGTATTCAGTGGTCACAATCGAGGCAGCGACCAGCATGGAGATTCCAGTGTAATCCACGCAGGCGAATCTTTCCATCAATGACTGTGAGGCGATACTGTTCATGGTGTGCCAGATGGTACTGCAGACCAGGCACTTGCATGCAGCAAAGAAGAAAACAGCAGCAATTGTGATGTCGGACTTTGAGCTCAGTGAGAAATTGGTGTGCAACGGGTAGAAGTAAAAGGCGATAGCAAGAACGATGACGAGGCCGATCATGTGGGACCAAATGTTGAACATCTCGTTCGAGTATGCAAAGACCGACGAGACACATTCCACCTTGGAAGTGGTGAATCGGTAACCTTTGATGATATGTGGATTGACTCGCCATGGGTGAGGCAGTTCATGGTAGTTGATCAATCGCTTTTCCTGGGCTAGTCGAATAGCTTCTTCGACTGTGACTCGGAGTGAGTCACGAGTACGGCGGGCACGTTCCATGCCCTCGTCGACGATTTCTCGGGCAGAAACCAATTTTGAGTCCATGGCTTTCCATCCATCATCCAATGTACCGTAGATCCCGCGATCGCGAACCGCATGTACTCGGTGCTCGAGCTCGGACAGAAATGACTCCATTAACCGGACCCCGGCTTGCGCCTTTTGTTCCAAAGTCTCTTTTGTCACCAGAACCTCGTTGTATCCATCTTCGAGGGTTTCGACTAGAATTCTGGCCCGCTTCTTGCCACTGCCCATCAGCTCATCCGAGGCGAGAGAGCATTGGTCCCTCACGGCCTCGAGAGTAGCATATCCTCGTTTCAAACTAGTGTCGATCTGCACCATATGAGATCTCCGGTATTCCTCAAGCCATTGCATTCGACGTTCCAGTTCGGCTAAGAAGAGTTCGACCTGGAAGTGGGTTAGAAACTATGTCCAGAGATATTCCATGATAGACACATGAAGTCAAGTACACACCCTGATGAAGACTGCATCCGCATCTTGATAATCGCACGAGAGTTTTCTGGAAGCGTGGAATGAATGTCTGCGCCGCCGATCACGGAGAAAACCAGTATCCTCGTTAGGGAGCGCAGTAGCAGAGGCAAACGCCTCTGCTTCGGTAGAAGATTCCACCGCCATTGAAGTAGCGCCGCAAGCCATAGATGTAGTTAAGATTTCACCAGTCCTCAATCGAATGCCATACAGAGTGAAAAACTGGAGTGATAAGTGTTGAGGTGTGATAAGCGTTGAGAGGCAAGGGTGGGGAAGGATCCCGAGAAATGATCAGACAAAGGGAGTGAAAGGAGTGAATGGAGTCAAGAGTCAAGAGTCTTAAGAGCGCGGGGAATAGAAGAGAAGGAGATAACAGGGGAGGGGAAGATGTAAATAGGCAAAAAATAGTGGCTTGCCAGACAAAAAAGGCCCCCAACCACACTCCGAGGCACACATGTGGCTACTCCGTATTACCGCCTGATTGATCCAATCCCGCCTCAACATCCCCACGTCATTCCGACCTTTTTTATTTTCTTCCTCGCCACCCTTCTGTCCGATCCTTTCCACCCACACAAAATGGCCATCAGTGAGATCGTCGCCGATGAATCCCTCCTACCAGTTCTCCAAACTAGCGCCGAGACTCTAGCCCGGTGTCATCAGTTGCTCACTATCCTGAATCCCGATGCCCTTCCCAACGATCCCGCCAAGCTCCAGGAACTATCCTTAGCCGCCTCAAAACAACAAAAACTTCTATTTTCACTATTAGCCCAACTCCGCGGGCAGAATCGAGATGCCGTCATTCGCGTACGCGATACTAAGCAGTCCACTGCGGAGGCACGGCAAGAAATCGACCGGCTGCATCTCCAGCTTCAGAACTTGTATTATGAACAGAGGCATCTGACCGGTGAGATTGCGGCTTGCGAGGCCTATGAGTATGTGGAATTGGTTTCGGGCCTTTTAGAGCGACGAGCTGACGTTTTGCTGCGATAGCCACAAATATCTATCCCTTCCTTTGACCCCGGTGGAAGAGTTCCTGGAGCTTCATCCCGAACACCGCGATTCCAGCGAACATGACCTCATGATCGCTCGCATCGAACATGAGCATGCCGAACGAGAGAAATTGGAACAGGCGCGGCAGGAGCTGTTGAAGCGCAAGCAGGCGTTGATCGCGGAGAACAAGAAAAGAAAGAACGATCTTGCCAATCTCGATCAAGACCTCGAAAAGTTCATCGATGTATGTTGCCGTTACAAAGCCTGCAATACAACAGACTCGCTAACAGACATCTAGGCTGCGAAACCGATCCAGAAGATTTTCGAGAAAGAATACTAGGTTATGCATATGGAGTTACAGCGATTGAGGCCCACTGGCCTATGATTGCTCGGATGGGCGTTACTGGTCACGATACCCCTGTTTTCATGATTTTAAATGACTTCTAGTCGATAATGACAATTCGGCCTCCATTCAGGGCTTCTTTTGCGCCTGTGGTAATCCCTTGAAGAAGCCAGATTAGATGCGTTTTGCGGGAAATTCACTCGTAGGATACAAAGACAGTAAACAGTCGGATATTAGATCAATAGACATGGGAAATAAATCAATGTGTAGGGTCCAATTGCCGCGTTATAGTTGACTCTCGTCCCATAACTCCGCGAGTCCATTGTGTTGATGGTTCTCCCGCAGTCCGCCCGGCTGTCAACTTCCCCCCGTCAACACTCGACCGACCATTCACACCCTTCGTTCTGGTTAACGCAAAGCATGTCCCGACTATGACGACTAAAACAGGAGACCAGGAGTCTCCTCTGGCTTCTCAAGTCGACCCCCAAACCAGCGTTAGCCGCGTTCCGCCCCCAGAGACTCCAGCTGCTGTCCAAACGCGATTTCGAGTGATAGCAGCATTTTGGGCTGTGATTATATTCCTTGGGTTCCCGATATGGTGGAAGACAACGTCAATTTACAGGGCCTCTCTCCCGCTTGAGGAGATGGTGCATTGGGCTGATGGCAAGGTACGGCTTGCGGACCTTTGGCATTGGGGTCAGATGTTGACGATCTTGACAGACATGCCGACCAGTTTTCCCTCTGGAAATCCACCTTTCGACGCCTTCATTGCCATATATTGAGGCGCAGCACCTCCTTCGCACGACACAACATACTCTCGATGACCTCAACGAGTTCGCAGCTCATCACCTTCGGCTCAAGTTGGCCAATGACACGACAGGAGATCATACTGGACAAGACAGCTCGGAACATGTCAACTATGCCGCAAGAGAGACACCGGACACTGCACTGACCGTTCGCTTATTACCCCAGGAGGGCCTGGCGAGCCCTCGATCCGAGCTCCACGCAGCTACTACGCAGCTCGATGTTTTCTACCCGCCGAGCCAGATCCCAGTATCTTCTTCCTCCAACTCTCCCCTCTCGACCTTTATTGCGGCGGAGCTACAGCAATTGTACGGCGAGGAGAAAGCTACTATAGCACACATATTGTCTGGAGACACCGCTAGGCTTGCTTCGACTTCCCCACAACTTGCTGAAGATATCAGCCGAAGACTGCGCCGATCGATGAAATACGCTGAAACCTACCATCTCTCCTTTTCACTCTTCACTCCAGGAGCTGAGCCTTCCTCGTGGGATATTGAGGCAGCAGTGAACGAATATGTCTCCCCTCTCTTGCAGGCATTGTCTCCTATCAGCAACTTCACGGTCGACACGCAGGTGCAGCTCTATGCAAACTTCGCACCTACTGCACCGAAACCCGAGTATGATGAATCCGAGGCAGTTTGGACCCTAAAGAAGGAGGGTCTAAGCGCCTTCGTCAATGCTGCCGAGTGGCCACTGAACCCAAGCATTGGCACTGGTCCGACGATCAACTTCATTCTATATGTCCCAGATCCCTCACAATCTCCACTTGTCGTCAAGGAAAACAGTGCCTCTAGTTGGATAGTCCCTCAATGGGGTGGAGTGTTCCTCCTTAATCCACCGCTCTCCAACGACGAGCAAGGTAGTCGGTCTAATCCTGCCCATCTCTCACTGGGCTCTTTGGGGCCTGCCTTCATGACCTTCTCTCATCAACTACTCACTCTTCTCGGCACTCCAAGTACTCCAGCCTCCCTTCCCCTCCGTCTCCAGACGTCTATCCGCATTCGTGCAGCCACTTTGTTGCTCTCTGCCTCGTCGACGATGGGTTCTCTTGCCCGTCTCACCGAGTCTCTGCCTTCTATTCCTATTCCCGCCACTGTGGCTACCTCCGTTTCCACCACTCTTTCCCATCTGACTGCCACTTGCTCCCATCTGCGAGAGGGCCGTTTTGGCGCTGCGCTGGCCAGTGCCCGGGTTGCGGAGACGGAGGCTGAGCGCAGCTTCTTTGAGAAGAGTATGGTCGGTCAGGTCTATTTCCCGGATGAGCACAAGGTGGCTGTATACTTGCCACTTCTGGGGCCCATTGGTGTCCCCCTTGTTGTTGGGTTGCTCAGAGAGCTCAAGAGAATTGCAGCTAAACGTAAGGCGAAGGCCTCGTAGATTAGCCTTTTTGTCAGTGTATTCTACCAATATACCATTGAATTTGAAATTGTTTTTGTTGGGTTCTGTGTTTTGCCTGGGTAACTGTAGATAAACTGATTTGACTCTTCTCAGAGGGGATTGAAGTATAGAAAGTAGCTCGAATTAACTAACTAACTAAGTGGAAATTTAACCATCTAAGCGATAAAAACAAGTGAAACATAGGAAACAATACAAGCATTACTATGTTGTTACAGCTAGAGGGAACCCTTAGAAAGAGCCCCAAGCAATCCAGCTCGTCCACCTCCAACAATTTAACGTCCAGGATCCCTGAACGGATTTTCTCGGAATTCCTCACCAGTCGGATAGGGGGCCCCCTTTCTGCCCTGGGGAATTCCAGCGACATTCATCAAGTCGGAAAATGTAGTCTCAGGTCTGGCCGCAGTCCTCGGGTATGGCTCAGGCCCCAGGGCATTACGAGACTGTGAATACACCCCAGGCGGCGAATACACCTTGATGCTTTCCGTGCTCTGCTGACGCTGCCGCGGCGGAGTAATTGGGTCCGGTGGCATGGGAACCGGCGGTATATCCCCATCTAGTCTTGGATCCTGCCTTGGATATCCGGAGAACAGACTTCGCACTCTGGTGCCGGTGCGGTGGATCATCGAACGAGTGGAACGTCCTCCCATCGAAGAGCGTCTGGCTCGCGGCGGGCTGCGGAGAAAGTCGGTACGGTAGGAAGTATCATCTTGAGGGATGGGGTTTGATATGCCCAATAATGTCCCTGATGAAGAGCGTTGAGACCAGTGAGGCCTGGATCTGCCCTCTTGGATTTCAGTCTCGTTTTTGCGAGCACGGCGTCTGAGACAGAGAGATATTAAGAGAGCAGCGACAGCTCCAAAAACGGCTCCTGGGAAGAATCCTGCTGCCACAGCGCCGCCTGGGAAGGAGGGACATGAGGTGGCGAGGTGACCTGCGGACGCAGTGGGAAGTGTGGATTTTTCGGATGATGACGATGACACGGGCGTGATTGTTGTCAGCGGAGTCGTAGAGCCGCCGGTTGTCGTTGTAGATGGCGATGTCGTGGAGGTAGAGGAGCCAGATCCAGTGGCTGTTGATGTTGTCGATGCCTTTTCAATCAGAGCACAGGTGTTGCCGCCTTGACAGCTGTAGCCGAATGGGCAGCACGCATCGCCGCACTTGGGAAGACTGTCGCTCAGACGCAGTGTCTTGATGGCACTCTCGGGATAGAGGGTGGCATTTTGTCGCTGGATGTCACATGTAATCGGCGTTATGTAGTCACAGACTTCACCGGCAGGACAGCAGATGGCGGAGCTTGCCTCGTCTAGACTGATGCAGGTGGAGCCTGAAGGACAACAGAAGTCATTTGGGAGTTTCGTACTGCTGCAGCGAGTATATGTAGAAGGACATGTATCTGATCTGGGAAGAAGACCGATTGAGTCAAATGCTTGTCCGGGTCTGATGCTGGCCACCAGGGTTAAGAGTAGCAGAATGGAAGGCCGTCCGCTGGTACCAGCAGTTGACCTCGCCATACTTGGCGGTGCGGAGGATATCGCGAAGAAAGATCGAGGTGCCTCTTAGCTGATCCTAGAAGGGACTTTCCGGGAAGATAGTGATACTCCTTGGTCTTTGGATAGCACGAGCTAAGGTGTAAGTAGAAAAACCAACACTGGAGGAAGATCAGGAGCAGATCACCAGTCAATAAACAAGGGCATTGACTTCCGTCTGAAACAAAAGACTGTGAAAGAGCCAGGATCTGCCATTCTTCAATGAAAGCGCTGCCATAAGAGTCTTGCAAACAAAGAGTTCATACATCTTGCACGCGCTGCAGTCCTAAAATAGGTACCGGACTGTTTCATGGTCGACCGCATGATGGCAATAGTAGCCGTATGGGCGCTAAGTCACAAATCTGTCATACAACAACCATCTTGGACCAGGCAAGACAGGAGGATGATTGGATAAAGACGCAGACACTGCAGATGAGTCGGCGCTAAGAGATGAAGTAGATTCAGACGACGTGATTGGTTGTTATGTGGGCCTGGTTACATAATCCAAACTAATCCTAATCGAGCAACACGCCGGGAGGGAATTTCTTCGACGTCGAAGCTCTGCACGATTAACCCGACCATTCACAGTGCCTCTCGTCATGTTCAGTCGATTTGTCCGGCCGCAGAGCGCCTTGCGCGCAGCGTCCGCTTTCTCCCCTGTGAGATTTGGTTTCTCCGGCTCGATTCGCCTTGACTGACCCGCGTTTCCAGAAACCTACATCCGCCTTCTCACGCTTCCAGACCCGTGCTATTCATCGCATTCCCCAATTGCAGCATGACGCCTATTACAAGGAAAATGGTGTCCCAGAACTCATGTCCCCGGAGGCATTCGACTTTGCCTGGACCCAATACCAGGCTCTGCTCGTTGACAAACTCAATTTGTTGACACAAGGTGAGCCCGGCACTCCGACTCTGCGGAACGACAAATCCGATTCGAAATCGACTTCACTCGAACAATGGAGTACTCTGGCCTACGGAACCATCTAACATTCGAATAGACACCGTCGACGCGGATGCCAAACCCGGAGAATTGCTGGTCAAGTACTCTAAGCGTCCGGAGATGGCCTCGGTGTTCAATTACGCCTCAATGGCTCACAACAACCACTTCTTCTTCAACTGCTTGGTTAGTAACCCAAACTCCTTTATACAATAACCATCCAAGCGCTAACTAGCCCACTCCACCCAGTCTCCCACAGCCACCGCTATCCCCGATAAGTTCGCCAGCGACATCATCGACACCTGCTCTTCCGTCGAATCCTTGAAGTTGGACTTCCTGGCCACCGCAAGCTCAATGTTCGGTCCGGGCTTCGTGTGGCTCGCCAAGAACCTCGAGCGCGAAGGCTTGATGCACATCTTCTGCACCTACAGCGCCGGCTCACCCTACCCAGCCGCCCACTCCCGGCGGCAACCCGTCGACCTGGCCACCCACACCCCGGAGACCCCGCTCGGTAACCAGTTCGCCGGTGCGATGGGCGCCCACGCTCAGAACCAGAAGAGCCTGGCACCCGGTGCCGTCGATGTGCAGCCCATTCTCTGTGTGAACACCTGGGAGCACGCGTGGATGATGGATTACGGTATTGCTGGCAAGGACGAGTACTTGGAGCGCTGGTGGGATCGCATTAACTGGGATGTTGTTTTCGATAACTACAATGCGGTTGGTTCGATGAAGCATTCGCGAAGCTCCATTAACCGCCAACGGAGCATGAGCATGCTTTAAGCTGATTTCTGTGTCGGATAATCTGTATTATATGTGTTTTTATGATTTGTTTTTTTTTGGTCCTCATCCTCACAGGCCTCTGATTGAGCATGTACAGCGATCCATACAATAGAATTGAATTGGCGATGCTCCCGCTGCTCCCCTTCTATTACACAGTAGTCGAGAAGATGCAGATCTAACAGAAATTGTCTAAATACAATAACCAAATTCCCCTAATATACAATGAACCCCAAATCACACATCACAGCCCTTTCCCCTCAACATCCCGTATCCTCTTCTCAAAAGCCTCAATCATAACCCCAGCCATCTTCCCCTCAACAGCACTCATAAGCGTAGCATGCATCTCAGACCGAAACTCAAACCTCACCTCCAAATTAACCTTAGTCAACGGCTTACCACCAGCAGACGCAAGAGGCACAAGCTCCCACCTCGTAGTCAGGTACTCAAACAGACCCTCATCCGCACCGGGGAAGAACCCACTTAACCCAGAAGCACTCTTCCTACTACCCTGGCCAACCGCGCCCCCAGCTTGTACCTCCCCCGCATACTCTGCGCCGCTCTTCGCTTCCACAGTCAGCTTCTCCACATCACAGATCACACGCGACGTGAACGTCTCGCTGAGCGGACCGTACCCGACTGTCAGGAACGCTTGCGTGGGATACCCTGTTTCCGGATCGCGTGCTGTGACAGTCGAGGCTGTCAGGAAGGGGAGGAATTCGCTGTAGGATTCGACGGAGGCGATTACTTTGTAGAGTAGTGCTGGGTTGTAGGGGAGGTTGCGGGTGGCTGTTAGGACGCGGTTCCGGGGGTTGTTGGAGTTGTTGGTTTTGGGGAGGAAGGTGGATAGGTCTGGGAGGCCGAAGGAGCGTGTAGGAGTGTGAGGGCCTTTGTAGGTTGGGTGTGAGCGGGGGAGAGTTGGTCGTTGTTTTGTGGTTGTGGTTATTGGTCGAGTGATTGCGAGGTGGGTGATTGGCTTTATATCCTCCAGGCGCTGGGGGATGGGGGTTGGGCGACTTGGGAGTCGTATTGTGCGGAAAGGTCGCATTGAGGGTGATGTGAGGGAGTTATGTCCAGGTGACAGGTTGGTAAGGTTTGAATGTATGCTGGATTGCTGGTAGAAGATAGGGAAAAAAAAGAAGGTTTAGTTGCGGCCCGCCTCGGCTGGTAACTTGGAAGTGCGATCTAGCAAAGTCATAGTCTCATAGATCAAGCATAACCGTTGATTTTTTTTCAATAAGGTATCCTCTGATTATTTTCTTGGTATTGTGAAATATGTGTCTAGTCCCCATATGCATGGATTAAATTGTACATAATAATCCCAACCATATGCATGGGGTCTACATTCGTCCATCATTGCAACCCTATTGATCCCTTGGAAGATACACCAGGAGGGTACAGGCCAAATCCATATGCCGGAGTCGCTGGGCCATCGGTATACCAGGCGTTGTTGTTGGCCATTCCGACCCCTGAGATGCGACTGTCGTACAGATGCTACATAAGAGTGGTTAATCTCAGTCCAAAGCATAGCCCAAAGTTACTTACCCAGTCAAGTTGAGCAGGTACATCAAGCATATCTTCAATGACCTCCAGGGAATTGTATGATGGCGCCTGGCTGGGGTCAGGGTCAGGTACTGTGGGCTGCACCTCACCAACATAGGGAGTGTACATCGTGTATGGTGGCTGATCGGGGACTGCTTGGCTAGTCGGTTGAAGTGGAATGTCATCTGGAGGATTTTGTCAGTGCAATCTTCTGAGAAGGGAGGCGGGTAGAGCTTACCACTCATGGATGCTGATTGTCCAGCACTCGAGTTCGGATATTGGATGTTACCGGCCTTGACCCGCTTGAGCATGATAGTCAGGGCAGTCACTGCTCGTTGCGTATCCACCGAGCGGTGTCGAGCTTCCATGAAAATGCGATGTGTAGTTTCCAAGAGAAGTAAGAAGTCTGCGCGTTCTTGGGTCGTAAGGCGTGCAGACTCGCCACGATCGGCATCCTGGGAGAGCTCGAGGCAGAGGATCATCGCTGATAGCAAAAAGTCCGAGTTTTGAAGGGAGTTGAGGAAGAATCTTTCCGCATATAATTGACCACCTGGCATGGACTCGACCCAGATATCTGTGTGGTATTGAAGTGCTTCGCGGGCTGCGGCCAGGCAAACTGATCGTGAGTATGCAAACTTGGTATTGGTCTCAGCGATATACCGGCGATGTAGTACCATACGTGCTTTCTGATACAGAAGTTCCAAAGTGAAACGTCGCATGATAAGTTCTGCTGGGTCTGCGATACACTGCGTCATGGGTCGAATTCGCAAGAACGAAGGGACCAGATCATGTGCGGCCTCCAAACGACGGTCAATTTCCAAGATCTCGTCGTATGATGTGTGCTCCCTAGAGAATGCTAGGTCTGTTATGTGGCCGAAGACTTTCATGATGTGAGACTTGGCTTTTGTATACGAACAATCTGTCCGTTCATCCTTTGGCCTCTCGGGTGGCAATTGAGTGGAATCCTCGTCGAAGTCGGTATCCAACAGATTACCAGGCAGCTCGGTGTCATATTGCCAGGGCTGGATTGTTCGAGGTACACCGGCTTGGAACGAGATCAGCGTGTCGAGTTGAACGAGCAAGGCCCAGAGACGTCGCCGCATTTCCCCTTCCAAGGCCGACAGCATTGGGTAATGACGCGGATCACGATGGTAACCCATACGCATAGTCAGGCGAATGGTAATCCCGAGTAGGTAGGATACTCCAATTTGCGCATCTTGGTTCCGATAAAACTCGGTGAGTGAATAAAGGAAGAGTGCTTCTCCTTTGTATCGACCTGGGGTCAAATAGTTTGCTCGGATAAGACACTGTGAAGATCTTTTCCGGAATATGGCCCATGAAGTGATCGGAGCCCTCATGCTGAGCGGCAATGGCTCAGCACTTCGATGGTATATAGAGACAGACAAAGCCATGATCGAATATAGGAGAGATAGCCAGGTAAACGATTTGTCTGCCGGGCGAACCCAGAACTCCTCATACTCTTTTTGGAACGTAGGAACATGTATTGTAACTGCCGCCTTATTAGTATTAGTGAGTCTAGTTTCCAATGAGAATCCCCATACCTCGTGAAGGCTCAGACGTCTTGAGAAAGCGAGAGACCAGGCGATCGGCTATTGACCGAGGAGGGATATCCATAAGCATCTCTTCTTTGCTCACTGAACTGCCACCTCCAAGAAGCAGAATTGGCGACGATTCATCATACGGGTCAGTCTCAACAATGTCTTCCTCGTCGGAAACTTCTCCGTTAGCGTCCAGATATTCCTTCACACCATCAATCTTCACAATGGAGAAACCGTCAGCGTGATCCAGAATGTTTCAAGTGCGCAGATGATCAGATCAAAACGAACCTCTTCCAAGATAGCGCGCCAGTTTGCACTGTCAATATAACTCGTTCCCTCATCCTTCACCACCAGCGTACCCGTATCAACAGGGGTCAACGCAGAATCCCGGTCAGAATCACATGGCGAAGGCGTCGCATAAGCGAGCCTGTTCTGCGGTTGAATCGCGGGATAGGTCTCTCCATTAGGCCTCTGCTTCTGTGCAAGGGACATCACCAGATTTTCAAGGTGGTGTAAGCGGTCCTGGACCAGAGTCGGACTGGAGCGCCCATGCTGAGCCTTGCCTCGAGGCCCACGACCGACATACGTACACGATGCTGCCTCACCTCGCTTCTTGCAATTACCACATGGATAGTTGCGGCAGCATTTTAATCTGTAGCTGATCAGTAGCTGATATACAAGGCCCGTCAGATCGGCTTACTTGCGATATCTGCACGCGGTGCACGAAAATTGCACTCGTGTTCGTTTTTTGGGGGCGGATGACTCCATAGCGGGGTCCAGGGGTTCATCCATTTTCGTATTTTATCGAGCAATGGATGCGAAGTTATTGTTCAGGAGGCCGAGAGCTTTGCAGTTTTGATGTCAAAGGGGAAAAAAAGCGGCCGAGTGGCCGATCATGGGGGGATCTACATCCCACTAACAAGGCTTAGTGATGTTACTCTGAACCAGAACTGGTTAGAAGACTACGTTGATATAGTATGGTTATTTGATTTTAACTCGATCCTTTTCTTTCTACATATCAATGAAATATATATATATATATATATATATATATATGGATATATATTGCTTATTTGTGCCATGTTCAGTGAATTTCAGCCTTCATATGGACCATTCCTCCAGGTCCAATGATTTGCACCTTCGTCCCCTCACCCTCCTCGAGCACAATTCGATACTCCTCCCCGGCATACAGCGGGCTTGTTGCCCGGTAAGAGATACGCTCCGGAACAACCAAGGTAGGATCGGCAACATTTTGGCGGGTATCACGCCAAAGGTCCAGAATGGAGATCAGATTCAACGGACCGTGTACAACAATATCCTTGTGTCCTTCTACATCCCGCGCCCAAGGCAGCGAGTAGTGAATCTTATGAGCGTTGAATGTCAGAGCCGAAAAACGGAAGAGCGTCACAGGTGTTTGCACCAGCGTCCGTGTGTGGGTGTTCCCCTCGGTGGAGATGAGGGAGGAGGTAGCATTCTGAGTTGCGATGTGGGACGTTGATGAGGAAGGAGTGCCGGAGGGTGTGGATGCTGATGGAACAGGTAGTGCTTTACGGAACACCCAGTTGCTATAGACGTTGTCAGTAAGTTTGGGTCTACCCGATTCTTGAAGGAAGGAGGCCGGACCGTCGGTCAATAATCGACACGCCGTACTCGTTGGCAAATTCCTTCTCTACTCCAACCACAATCATATCTTCGCCGGTCTTCTTCACAACTTTGGCCTCGGCGCTCAGCACCCGTGTCGTCTCTTGCACCTGCTGCCCTACCCTCAAGGGATTGGGTTCCCCATCCACGCGCGGCCACAGTACCTCGCCGCCTGCCCACATGCGTCGCGTGAATGGCGCATCGGGATTGTACGAAGCATCGGTACCGTCAGCCCCGAGTTCGCTTTCCATGAATGCGGGCGTGAAATACGCGAGATGGTAGCCCGGCGGCACGGGGACCCCGGTTTGCGGGGCGGATGCGCCATTGGAGAGCGAGGGGGCCCCCGGGAAGAGAGTTGGGCGGTTGATAGTGAGGCTAAGAAGTTGAAGCTGGTTCGCGTCTATCGTTTGTGTACGGGTTTGCGGTCCTAGGGTCTGGAACCGCGATAGGAATGACGAGGCTACCGAGGATGCATCTGGAGAGCGGAGACGCTGAGAAATGCTGAAACTGCGAATTGCGCTGGGTCGGACTCCTTGCGGTCGCATGCACGGGCGCATATGTGCTAGTAAGGATAAAGTGGAAGGCATGATTCCTGATTTGGATGTATACACAGCAGAGGAGAAACACGAAGCCATACACAGACTACAGTGTAGAAGCCGTCTCCAAATTTGTGCGGGGAAGCCGATATGCTTCCAAGGTTCCCGAGTCGGCTTTATTGGTAGCCCACGGGCTATCACCTCGGTAAAGTCCATTGACTGGATCCCCTTAATATATGCTAGCTGTTGAAAATAACTTTATTTGGGACTACAAGGCCATGAATGAAGGAGGCCATCTGGTGAAGTCCTCATCCCTTAATCTCATTCCAAGTGCGTTTCCCCCTAAGGAGTGGAGAAAAGAGTCAAAAGACCGATCCAATCTCCATCAATGATAAGTTGATAACTATTTTGGGTGAATATCTGCTAAGGTGTATCCCAGCCAGGTGTCCTCAAGTAATAATTATTTTGTTGCATTTACTATGTGCTTTGACAGTTTTGGAGATGGCGGCTTGCGTGATTGATTGATTGAAGCTCTTACTCCCGTTGCAGCCTTCCAAGTCTCTTATGTGGACTAGGATGCAGGTCGGGGCGCCCTCTCGGGCACCGGGCTAACCCCTATCCGCCCGGCCTATCCTAAACGCCGCTACGCCGCTTCCTGGAACAATGACTGGCTAGACCCTCAGTGTACCTCAGTGCTTCAAAGCGACTAGTTAGGTGCACCATTTTTAGTTACATTGTGTAATCGCGCCAAGCGCATAACCTCGATCGTTCTCGTTGGTCTTGTCAAGTACCCATGCTGGGGCTGTCTGTCACCCAAAATAAAGCCCACCACACAGAGTACTCCTTGGAAAGTAGTCCGAGTCGTGCGACTAGCGAGAAAATGTCGACAGGTATGCTATTTAAGGTTAGATTTCCCCTTCCGCCTTTTATCGCGTCCAGCGTCCACAGTAAGCTACCCCCACGCAGTATCTACCATCAAGGTCCTAGCCAAGTCAGCCAAGGCATAAGCGTTCTTCGATAGGTCTCTCATAAGTGAAAATTGTGCCGGCGGCAGGATTCGAATGGCCGCTCGCTTATGGTGGCTGCGCATGTGAATACATTGGCAGTTGTGCTGATACCGCAAGAGTTGTATACTCCCCGTTCCAGATATGGAAATTGCTCAACAATCAACCTTTTGCAACGCTTTGGATCATGCAGGGCTCCGCTAGTAAAGGTAAATTTGACTGTTGGGCCGTTGGGACTTGGCGCCATAAGTTCATGATGCGATGATCCACAAAAGCGCCACTTCTGGTCCATATACGGGGCTGCCGCACGAAACTGATAGCGAATTCTGGGAGATTCTCTGATTGATAATCCTCCCAAGGTTTACTACCTCAGGATCTCGGAGGTTCGGACTTCGCTATTGAAAATCAAAGACAATTGTGCGATAGATATCCAGCAGTATGTGTAGTCCAGCAGTATGTGTAGTCCAGCAGTATGTGTAGTCCAGCAGTATATATGGGGTCGTCTGGCAGGCTGTTTGATCCTATCCAGAATCCCAAAGATCATTGAACCCAATAGGTAGCTGCTCATTCGCATCTGTCTCGTGCTCTTCTGTCACTTGTTCAAAAAATTTCCAATTTCGAAAATCAACTATGGCTCCTGTTAATCTCATCTGGGGCGGAGGCTCCATCATGAACGAGGCCGAGTTCCCGACCCTTAAATCCATTCAGGACCTCCTCGATATTCTGCACGCGAAAGGCATCAAGTCCATCGACACTGCCACAATCTATGCCAGTTCCGAGAAACGGCTGGGAGAAACTCACGCCGCCGGACGCTTTGCCATCGATACAAAGTACCCTGGCGGGTTTGGTCCGGAACCCGAAAACTCTGTACAGGAGACTTTTAACACAGTCCTGGGCACGAGTTTGAGTCTCCTTCAAACTGATCAGGTAAGCCAATGACCATCAGGCGTAAATGGATTCCATAAGGACCAGTTCGCTGAACGCGTTTCTAGCTCGACGTCTACTATATCCATGCCCCAGACCGAAGAGTCCCACTCGAAGACTTGCTCGCGGCTGTCAACGCCGCGCACCAGGCTGGGAAATTCAAGCGCTTCGGCCTGTCCAACTACCTGGCCTCGGAGGTCGATGAGGTAGTCCGCATCTGCCGCGAGAAAAACTACGTTCTGCCCAGCGTCTACCAGGGTAATTACTCTGCTGTTGCACGCAAAGTTGAGACAGAGCTTTTCCCGACGCTGCGGAAGCATAACATCTCTTTCTATGCTTATTCGCCCATCGCTGGAGGCTTCCTGACCAAAGACGTCGAGAAATTGGTCGCAGGCGGCGAGGGTCGATGGGATCCGGAATCTCACATCGGTAAGCTGTACCATGCGCTTTACAATAAGCCGACCATGCTGGAAGGCTTGAAGCTGTGGGAAAAGATCTCCACGGAGACTGGTATCCCGAAGGCTGAACTGGCATATCGGTGGGTGGTGCACCATTCAATTTTGGATGGAAAGTTTGGGGATGGCGTGATCTTCGGCTCGCGTACTGTTGAGCAACTCAATCAGACTTTTGAGGGATTGAGCAAGGGTCCTCTTAGTGCGGAGATCGTCGCTCAGGTTGAGCAGGTGTGGAAGGTTGTTGAGGCTGATTCTCCTTTGGATAACTTCAACGCTCTCAATCAGTGAGACATAGTCGGATCGAAGGGGAGAAAGAGACCGGGAAGGATGTATGCTGGCGCTGCATGAAGATGTACCTTAGATCTAATTATTAAGAGACCAATAAGATGTTTTAGCTTTAGACAATCTTTGCAGTTTCCAATTTCCATTGAAACCGCCTCGGAGGATCACGTCGGACTGATCAAATTATCTTTCCAATCTTACCAGGGTGTGTGGCTATGAATGATGCCCGGTGTAGTGTACCTCAAAAGGTCACGGGCACTCGGGAACTAGCCAAGGGCCCAAGGCCAAGTAGTATGCCAAGGTACAGCCAAGGTGCCTAACTTTGGAATCCTTCCATTTGATTACCAATCTATCGTTCCTTCCATGGAAGCTTCCCTCAAGCCTATTGAGGAATGCTCTTGCCTGGAGATACTCATACATACTATTATTGCCTTGCTTTGAATATGGTCCAGCTTAGGCAAATGCTCTCATCAAATTCAAAGGCCCACGCAAGGTTGCATCTACGTCATGAGCTAGTCTTTAGCTATGTGCACGGGCTTAACTTTGTTTACAACTAGAATATGAGGACCTGTGGGATTGACGCCGAAAATGAGTAATTTAAATGACCGCTTTGGAGGCCAAAAATGGGCCTCTTTCCACCCGTAACTTTCGACGTCCAGCCTCCCCTTGACCGCCAACTGCCCTGTAACGTTAACACCTCTATTCTGCACCCGCCCAGCACCGGTCCTGATGTTGACGCTGGACTTGCACACTCACTGATTATCATATGAGCGATCTGATTCGCTCGCAGGCGATCAGTGTGGAGGATTGAGCAAACTGAGTAAGTTACATCAATAAAATGCGACAGGTTAGTTTCATCACGTGCTCCATCTCTCTAAATCGCCCCCATTATCCCATCAAAAAAGGACTGGCGTCATCCACCGGCCGATGTGGGCGCGGTGAGATGATGAGATCCCACAGTCAAATACTCCGAAATTCTTAGGAGATCTTTGACTTCCGGTGTGACTTTCAAACCCGCAAACAAATCACATGACAAGTCAGGTATTGGGAGAAGGCACTCTGGGCATGACATTGACCTTCCTCCCAGGAACAATAAGCAATTCCCAGCTTTGAAGTCAGTTCGAGCAACTGTGTAAACAATAGAAGTGGGGCCGGTAGTTCGACCCACGGACCACCCGATCCCCGCTAAGATACACGTTCTGCAGATCTTCTTCACTTCGGGTCTATCAAGTCTATGCAATACGCCCCTTTCCGAAATGGCAAAGCGAAATCGATCAGCTTCTCCTTCCAATGTGGCGCGTACCCAACGAGCTATACGTCGAGCCGCAGCAAGAGCACCCCTGCCCACAGCACCCCCCACCCACAGTACCCCGCGGACTGTCAACACTCTCCACAGACACTGCGGACCCACTGCCCAGCTTAGAGAAAGACGCCCGGGCCAAGATCCAGGGTTATAAAAATCAGTCTCTTCGCTACGATACGCTGTTGAAAAGCGGCTTGAATGCATTTCTCACGTGGCTACCAGAGGCCGGCAGAACCTCACTTGCGAGGGATGTGATTGAGACAAGCTCCGACCGACAGCTATACGATGTTTTCCTGAATCTTTTCACCGGACTTGCTGCACCGAGTAAGTACGTTCCGTTCAAAAGTATCCGTTGACTTTTCTTAATATTGCTAGATAGTGAAATCCCGATCAAAAACACCCTCTGTTGTGGAAAGTCCTCATTCAAAGCGCCAGGAGCACGTCGATACAGTTGCCTCCACCCTCGATCAACCGGAAAGGCGTGACCCTTCGTTCGCGGCACAGCTCCAACTGCGGGACAATTATCGCTGTGTGATAACGGGTCAACTGAACACCGATCGATGGGAGCACGAAGGGGAACCAGAAAACGTTTTCTATGGCCCGACTGAGGGGACTCACATAATACCTTTTGCGTTTGCCTCTTGGCAAGGAGTGTCCGGAGCGCCAAGAGATATATCAAGCACCTGGACTGTACTGTATAAGTGTTTCCCTACGCTACGCCAAAATCTTTCAGTGGAGGAGATCAACACTCTTCGCAATGGGATCACTCTTCGAGACTCGGTGCATACCCAGTTTGGCAAATTCACAATTGCCTTGAAGCCTACCGTAAGTAGGCAATGATCTACCATGAAACCATTTATGCTCACTCTTCTTATCAGGGCATCAAAAATGAGTACGAGGTGAAGACATACAAGCGCTATCCCCCCGCTGACATCGCCGCCATTCCCTCCGATCGGCGCGTCCGATTTGTGCCAAACACAGAGTATGAGATTCCAAGCCCCGCAATTCTCGATGCGCATTGGAGAATGTGCGAAATTTTCAATGCATCTGCTATGGGAGAGACCATTGAACGACACATTCAGGACTGGGAAGAGTTGAGAGGCTCTGGGTGCGCTGTTGTGAGAGAGGACGGCTCGACCGATCTCGCTAGTCTGCTGGATATCGCGCTATGGGGAGAAACCTTTTATTACACAACATAACTATCGATAGATAGGGAATCTGTACTCCTTGTCAGGGCCCCCTTATGATTGTGTATTGTCGCTATGTAAGTGAATACTTGGTCACAGGCAGTGATGCTAAACCACCGACCCTACATGCGTGTGTTGAATTGAAGGCTGCCAGGGTATCTAAGACTTCAAAGGGCATTGGTTATATGACAGACGAGTGATAGAGATATAAGAGGTCAAGTCATAGAAGACAGAGGGAGGGATAAATACAAAGGAAGTAGAGGATTCAGAGTCGCACTTGACCACCGTTCAACTGTTCCCACTCTTTCTGTCCGAAGGGAACGTAGGAGTTGCCCTGCAGCCAGTACAGCCGATCCTTACTCGAGACACGAGCTGGGTCCACGCCCTCGGTGCGGAGAATATGCTTCATCTGCTTGTTGTTACCCGTCGACTGCACCTCAGGTGCAACTCGCAAGAACAGCGGGATCGCGAAGCGGGGCAAGTTCTGGATAGCATGTGTAGCCAAGCTGTTGAGTACCTCGCTTGAAGGCTCTAGTGCGGCCTCAGAAAGGCTACCGTTTGCTATCTGCTGGTTAAAGATGATGGTTGCGCATCCGGCACGGCCGTCATGATTGGGAAGAGCAACGCCATAGACATTCGCTTCGTGCACCTCGGGATGTGAACCCAGAACCTCGGCAACCTCATTGGTGGAAACATTCTCACTCTTCCACCTGAAGGTATCGCCTATTCGGTCAGAGAAGAACCAGCGACCATCTGTGTCCCATCGAACCATGTCGCCGGTCCGGAAATAGGCGTCGCCCTTCTTGACCACATCGCGAATGATCTTGCCTTCTGTCGCCTTGTCGTTCTGGAAGTAACCCTGGAAAGCAGCTCTGGGATCCGCTGCATCGAGGGCAAACAGCAACTCACCGGGATCACCCCGGGGGACCTTCTTGCAAAGGCCGGTCTTCGGGTCGCGCCACGGTTCTTGGGTCTCGTGGTCGACATCCACAATGGCAGTCGAACGACCAAGGAGGAAATTTCCTATGGCGCCGTTTCGGCCGATGGCACCCGCGGAGAAGTCATTTGACGAGATATTCCAGGAGCCCGCAGTGCCTTCGGTGGCGGCATAAAACTCAGCGATCGTGGGAATGTTAAAGCGCTCCTTGACGCGATTCCAGATATCAGGCCGCAGTCCGTTTCCGAAGGCCAGACGGATGTTGTGCTTCTTATCAAGGTCCTCGCCAGTTACCGGGTCGATCTCGGGAGCTGCGCCCAGGATATAGCGCAGGGTCTCGCCCACATATTGGATGATCGTAGCATTATTATCGCGAGCCTCTTTGATGAAATTACGCGCAGAGAATTTGCGCCCAATGATCAGGGTCGCTCCACTCATCAAACAAGTGACGAAACCAAGCACTGAAGCGGAGCTGTGGTAGAGAGGCATACACTAGCCAATTGTTAGCCTGGAGGGTATCAAAGTCTAAAGTGTCAAGTGGAATTTACCGTGAAGAATCTGTCGGACGGGGTAATGCCCATCCAGTCCTGACTAAACAAACTACCAAACCAGCACTTTCTCCAGCTGACAATGGCAGGCTTAGGAAGCCCAGTGGTCCCACTTGTGTAAATCAAGATGGCCATGTCGCGAGCGATCGCGCCACTTCGGACTGCGTCGTCCTCTCGCGTAGGTTCCATTCCCAATACCTGGGCTTCCACCTCCGGTGTATGATAGACTATCTCGATGGGTCCCTTGCCATCACGGAAGGCCGGAGAAGTTAGAATCTCCTCCTGTTCTGCTGGGAAGCAGGGGCGGACTTCTTCGTCAACCACGAGAAGCCTTGCAGTCGAGGTGCGAATGGAGTGGGTAAGCGGCTTGCCCGTCAGGTTATAGTTGATAAATGCAGGGACTGCCCCAATACTCCAAAGGCCCATCACCATGAAGATGAAAGTGGATGAGTTCATGAAGTCGATTGCGACAATCTCCTTGCGCTGGACGCCGTGGACTTTTTTGAACCAGGCTCCATAGCGGAGAACCATGATATAGGCTTCGTGGAAGGTGGTCGTCTGGCCATTGTAGACAATGAATTGGTTGTTGGCAGTTTTAGGATTGAGCGCGTGGGCTTCTAGTATGTAGAAGAGATTCAAGCGGTCGCCACGTTCGGCGAAGTGGGATTTCATGGACGTCTTCAATCCTCCCTTGACGAGTTTCAAATCATATGAAAGTGACCATTTTGCATTCAGATATGCGAGTGTAGTCGCCACGGCCGGGATCGCAAGACTCAAAGGAATATCTATGAAGCCACGAGCTTGTTAGACAAGTATTCATCCACATCATACGTCATAACTTACCTGGCAGAGGCATGATGGCCCAAAAAAGATCAACTAGCAATTCTCCTCAGGGATATAATGATATGATAGCTATGCAGATGACAAGATTGCACGACCCTGGTATCACGGCTTCGAATGTAGCTTTGGGAGAAGGAACAGTGTTATAGGGTTTGTTAAGCTGACACCTCGGCTGTATTAGGGACCGACGATAGGAGTGACACAGAGTATGACACTGACCAAAGTCAAGAGTGAAGTCACCCTGCTCCAGTCGAAGATGTGTGCTACCGACAGGTCCGACACGGTGAGGAGTATACATGCAACTTGAAGAGGATGATGGTAACGTGCCTCGGCAACGGATGCGCCGACCCCCGACCCCGAGCTAACCAACAAACAAAGACTCAAGAGTCCCACTCAATGTATACTTCTTTCTTGAAACATGAAAGTGGCTACATTCATTGATTAAGGTGAATCTCAATCAACTCATGTGTTATGTATCTTAATATCACAAAATGCAGGGCCTGCGATATGCAGTTGAAAATTGTCGTTCGCGGCTTCACATGGGCTCGGCTTATTTCTGAAGATCGTCACCCCGCACTCTATTCGGAGAGTAAAGCCCACGAGTTTGCATTCGGGATCCCTGAGATGCATCGGCGACCACAGCCCTTGGAGCATCCACTTCTGCCGACATCGAGTGGATCCTCATAGCCAGCTTTTATACTCATGCAGAAACAAATTAACCATTGATGTGCAAGCTACCGTCGAGAAGACTGTTATGTTATAGTATGCTATAGTATGTCCCGAGAAGCAATGCAAGTCGAGTCCATTCCATTTACACGCTGCAAGGCACTCGTTATTTTTGTGCAGAGGACTTCTTCACCGCTGGAACATCATCATAATCATCTTCCATGAACTTTCGCAAGGCATCCAAGCCCTGCTGCAGAACCTCGGTTTCATTGACGTACCCGATGCGAACATAGCCTTTGAAGTCCTCTCCGCCTCCAAAACAAAGGCTTCCCGGGACGAACATGACACCAGTGCGTTCCTGAAGCATTTCGCAGAAAGCGACGTCGTTGATGGGCTTTCCCATCTTGTTGAACCGCACAAACGCAGTGGTACCTGCTTGGGGCTTGACCCAATCACACGCCCATCGGTGATCCTCAATGAACTTCTCCAAAATGGCAAGATTCGTCCGGGCCAGGTCGATGTTTCGCTTGAGAAGATTGTGGATGCAATCTGGAGCCAACGCAAAACTCGCGATGGCATCGTCGAGTTGCCCAACCGAAATAGTTGTGTAGTCGCGCGCACTTGCAACAGACTCGATAATCGAACTATCCCGCGACGCAATCCAGCCCACTCGCAAGCCCGCCAAGCTATATGCTTTAGATAGCGATCCTGTCACCACGGTGTGTTCATATCCCATGGAAAGAAGCGTGGGCGGAAACTTCGGGTCCGCCGGGCTGATGTTGTGGAAAAGTGGGCGATAGACTTCATCGGAGTGAATTATGATGGATTTTTCGCGGGCAATATCTACCAATTCCTGGAGGGTCTGGCGGGGGATAACGGCTCCGGTTGGGTTTTGGGGATTGCTATAGCAAGCATGATGGTTAGAAAATATATCCAGTTATCAGAACCTAGCAATACCCACTTTATAATGATCAGCTTCGTGTTCGGACGGATCAGGCTTTTCAGCTCTTCAATATCTAGCTGCCATCCGTCTGTCTCTTTGGACTTCCACAAGCTGACTTCAGCCCCCACTGATTCAGGCACGGAGTAGAGTTGCTGATATGTTGGATAGTGGCAGATGACATGGTCCCCGGGGCCAACCAATGTATACAACAGCAAGAAGTTCGCTTGGATTGCGCCAGCGGTGATCAAAATATTGTCCTTCGGCAACTCCGTTGGTGCCCTCACCGAGTACAGTCTCGACAATGTACCTCGTAATTTGTCGGAACCACGGATTGCCCCATACGTGAGTTTGGCCGATTGTAGCTCGGCTAGAGGGTTGAACTCTTTGTCGTCGGACAGGGCGCGAAGATCGTCAACGGAGATGGACGCGCAGCAGGTTTCGGCGATATTGTACTTGGCAGTGGTCTCATACTTGTCCATCCACTACCAGTCGATTAGCGATCATTGCAGCACAAGGAACAGAAACACCACCGAGCCATGGAATAATGCGGGGATGTACCTGTTCAACTGCGAAGGCTTCGATTTTCACCATGGCGCGAGAGACTATATAACAACGAGGGAGGTAGATAGGATAATAGATAGTAGCGAGGTTTCTAGACTGAATTAAATATCTCAAGCCTAGAAGCTGCCCCGGATTCAGGAGTGGTGGTCTCTTGTCTGCCCCTCTTAAAGGGACCGATGAGTGGGGCTCAAGGGAGTGTTTGATTGGCTCTATTTGTTATGTCACGTGGTGACTTCACTACGGAGTACTACATAGTAGTTAGCGAGATCGGATATCCAATTGGACATGACCGGCAAATATCATGCATATTGCTATTAGGATGCATGCCATGTAACCTCGAAGTCCGAACTTCGTACACTCGCATCATATTCGTGCTACGTGCACATATGGATTGTTGTCGATGGTTTGCCAGGATTGGGGCCTAAGGCGTCAATTTGCCAAGATTAGCTGTCTCGTTCCCCGCATACACAGTAAGACAGAACGAAGTTGGAGATGAGGGTGACAATAATAAACTCTTCAGATTCGTCTTCAATGAGGAGATATCTAGTCTAATAATGATATTGTAAAAGCTAATTGAAGGTTAAAGCTTGTGGATAAACTATTGTCCACGTGTGTCACCTGCCTATCCTACGGGTTCCTGGCGGCCATGCAGCAGCCCAGCCTCTCCCTTCTCCGCCCGCGTCATCGTCTGGGGGCCACGGGCCATGTCATCTTCTCTCCGCTCTCCGCCTCTTATCCTTTGACCAAACTTCTATATCCGTCCCCTTTACTTCGATCATAGGCTTCAGTCTGACCTCACTCTAATCAGTTCAGCGGTCGGCTTCCGCGTTCCTTGCTTGGTGGTCGGTATTGTTCCATACCCGAGCCAGGCTGTTGCCTCTTTTCAACACGATGCGCTTGACTGGCGCAATTTACGTTTCGTTTCTCACATTGACTCCCTTACTGGGACTCGCTGCAGCATGGACGGAATTCTCCGACGTGAACCTCGCTACACGAACCTATTCCCTTTTCGATGATCGCCCACCTGGATGCCCCGAGTGTCCAGCTTGCTTCAACTGCCAACTGGATAACTACAATTGTACTCATTTTGCCGACTGCAACAACTACAATGGCAAATGTGCCTGTCCTCCCGGATTCGGAGGCGATGACTGCTCAGTTCCTCTTTGCGGTTCGCTGGCCGACGGCTTGAAGCGACCGCAGCGTGATGCCAAGACTTGTCAGTGCAAGGATGGCTGGAAAGGCATCAACTGCAATGTCTGCGATTCCGATGATGCATGCAATGCAATGATGCCGGAAGGCGAAGGGGGTGTATGTCACAAGCAGGGTGTCACTGTTAAGGAGAATTTCCAAATGTGTGATGTGACCAACCGTGCCATCTTGAAACAGCTTGATGGCCGCAAACCCCAAGTGACATTCTCCTGCGAAGCCGAGGATGAGACCTGTAGTTTCCAGTTTTGGGTGGATCAAAAGGAATCATTTTATTGCGCCCTAGACACCTGCAAATGGGATATGGAAACGGACTACAACTCCAACAACACCCACTATAAGTGTGAGCACCTGCAGTGCAAATGCATTCCAGGCCGCTTTCTCTGCGGCGAGAATGGATCTATCGATCTGAGTGACTTCCTTGACCAGGCGATCAAGGGACCTGCTACTTTTGACACTAAATCCACACTGGAAGGTTCCAAGAGCGTTTTTTCCGAGCCGCAAATGAATGGGCTGATTTCGGGCGTCTTTGGAGACCCCAGTATCTTCTTGTCATGCGATTCCGGAGAATGCATGTACAAGACGGATGTACCGGGATACGAGCGCCCTGTGAAGAAAATCAACACTCCACTCATCGCCGGCGTGATTGCAGGGAGCTCGCTGTTTGTCGTTGCTGTCATTCTGCTGGTCTGGTATTTGTCTCGTCGTGCTGCGCGCCGAGGCTATCTTCGTTTGGCTCTCTCAGATGATTCGGACGACGAAGCTTCCAGACTTCTGGCAGACCATCGCCCCGCGGCTTTGTACTGGGACAATGTGTCCTACAAATTGAACGGGAAAGAAATTCTTTCTAATCTCCAAGGAGCATCCATGCCGGGGCAAATAACAGCTATCATGGGTGCATCCGGTGCCGGCAAAACATCGTTCCTCGATATCCTGGCTCGAAAGAACAAGCGTGGCTCTGTAAACGGTCAATTCTATGTCAACGGGGAACAAATTGATGATAATGACTTCAGAAGCATGGTCGGCTTCGTGGACCAAGAAGACACCATGCTTGCCACCTTGACAGTACACGAAACCATTCTGACGAGTGCCCTGCTCAGGCTTCCACGGGACATGAGCCGGGCAGCTAAAGAGCAAAGGGTCTCGGAGGTTGAAAAGCAACTCGGTATTCATCATATCAGAGATCAAATGATTGGATCGGAGGAAGGAAGTGGCCGTGGTATCTCCGGCGGAGAGAAGCGGCGCGTTGGGATTGCTTGCGAGCTGGTTACTAGTCCTAGTATTCTGTTCCTGGACGAGCCCACCAGCGGACTGGATGCTTACAATGCGTTCAACGTTGTTGAATGTCTGGTAACGCTGGCGAAAACTTACAACCGCACTGTAATTTTCACCATCCACCAGCCACGCTCGAACATTGTTGCCCTATTCGACCGACTGGTCCTTCTTGCGGCTGGACGCATTGTGTATTCTGGCCCCTTCTCGTCCTGTCAGCAGTATTTCGATAATGTGGGCTATTCGTGCCCACCGGGATTCAACATTGCGGATTACCTTGTCGACCTCACGATGCATGCCGGTGCCGCCCACACCTCATATTCGGACGAAGTAGCATCATCAACAGACGGGTACACCGGCGGCCCACCTAAGACTGCATCAAGCAGCCTGAGGGCCGTCAAGTCCATCACCAGCTCGTCAATCCGGAGCGCTGAAGAGAATTCAAGCGGTGCAGAGGCGACTCGGAGACCCAAGAACAAACGTCGCGTTTCCTTGAAACAGCGTCAAGATCGCCAACTTTACTCTCGGAAGCAACACAATGATCGTCCGGTCACGCCAAAGACAGACGATGAGAGTGCTACGTTGGATGCAGCTGAGAATCATGAACAATGGCTGCGTCTTTCTCGTCAACAGGGCAATGTTCCTCCTCAGATCCTTGATGATCCTGATCAGCTCCCGCCTCCCGCATCTGGCCAGAGTGATCTTGATATTTTGGTGGCTAGCTATGCTGATTCAGACGTTTGCCATTCTGTGCAGGACGAAATTTCCGCCGCCGTTCAGAATGCTCAAGCTGCGAACGGCTCGCCGAACTTCCCTATGCTGTCAGATACTGTGGCAAAGCCCAAGGGCTATGCTCGAGTCGGTCTGGCCCGTCAATTCATTATCCTGTCTCAGCGGACATGGCGTAACCTCTACCGAAACCCGATGCTCATGCTCACTCACTATGCAATTGCCATCTTGCTTGCGGTTCTGTCCGGATACCTCTTCTATGGCCTCACCGACGACATCAAGGGCTTCCAGAATCGTCTTGGCCTCTTCTTCTTCGTCTTGGCGCTATTTGGGTTCAGCACCCTAACTAGTCTCAATGTGTTCTCCACGGAGCGACTATTGTTCGTACGTGAGCGCGCCAACGGTTACTACCATCCCGTCACATACTTTGCTTCCAAGGTCGTTTTCGACATCGTTCCTCTACGGCTGATCCCTCCCATCATCATGGGCATCATTGTCTATCCAATGACAGGTCTAATTCCGGCCTGGCCTGAGTTCTTCCGCTTCTTGCTTGTTTTGGTGCTGTTCAATCTTGCAGCGGCGAACATTTGTCTCTTCATTGGCATTATCTTCCGGGATGGCGGAGTCGCCAACCTTATCGGCAGTTTGGTGATGCTTTTCAGCTTGCTCTTCGCTGGTCTCCTGCTGAATCACGATGCGATTCCCCAGTCAGCATTGTGGCTACAGACGGTGAGTCTTCTCTTGAACCTCGATTATGTTTCTTTTACTGACAATTGCACCAGCTGTCCATCTTCCACTACGGCTTCGAGGCCTTGATTGTAAATGAAGTGACTTTCCTCACCTTGATTGATCACAAGTACGGGTTGGACATTGAAGTACCCGGTGCTTCAATCTTGAGTGCATTTGGCTTTGATACCCAGGCCTACTGGAGCGATGTTATTGGATTGGCTGTGATTTCTGGGGCTTTCATCATCATTGCATACAGTGCAATGCATTTCTTACTTGTTGAGAAACGATAAGTGAATAGCTTTGTGTTTTTTATACGGTTTTGTACCATTGAGGAGCGTTTCTTTATGGACTGATGGTCATTCTATGGTTATTCCGGGTTGCGTGATCGGTATCAAACAATGTTACGAGCGTTGCAGGCATCGCCAAGTTGGTCAGTCTGTTTATAGAGTAATTTTCTTGATCACAGGTGACAGCTTTCATTGCCGTTAACAACGAAGTAGCTGTACTCCGTACAACTGAGTCTATCAGGCCTAGGCTGTGTATCGCACCATTGCTAAGGCACGTGTTCAACGTCTTCAGCTGGCAGCTACACAGTACAAAGCTCGTTTGTATTCAAAGATGTACCTTAGTAATTCAGTAAATTACTAGCAGAATGCTAAGGCAATAGCCATGGCAAATTAACTCGAGTTGGGAGGTGTAGTCCATGTAGTCCGTACTGCCCCGTTTGCGGGTTGCGCTAATGATGACCAGCCCTCGACACCGCCGGCCTGTTCAGGTGAGTTCGCTAATCGGAACTCCTCTCTCACAGCTTTCGTTTCTCTCCCTATTCCTACTCCCTTTACCAGGTCTCCCAGCTCATCCTCTCCACCGTCTCCACTGATTTTGAGTATCAACTTACATGTGAGTGAGCTCTGAACCCCACCAAGGACTCTGCGTGGTTCCTCTGGCTTCCCTTGGGTCCCGAACCCCCCACAAACATCTCCAATTCCGGCTTCAACCCGTCTTGACCTCAACCACCCGTCGCGAACAATTCACTCATACCCTCCATTTAGCAATCGCCTTAATTTCCATTCATACGTGACGCAACGTCAAAATCGCATCCATGATGTCCGGCGAAGCATGGCTGTACCTGTTGTCGGTGTTGATCAACGCCGTCAACCTCTTCCTCCAGGTCTTCTTCACGATTATGTACAGTGATCTCGAATGGTGAGTCTTCCTGTTGTCTACGGCAATATGCGCCTGGTTTATGCGAGAGCCGAATAGAAGCTGATATTTCCCCTTTTTCTAGCGATTACATCAACCCAATCGACCTCTGCAACCGCCTGAACGCCTACATCATCCCTGAAGCCGCCGTCCACGCTTTCCTGACCTTCCTCTTTGTGATCAACGGGTACTGGCTCGCTATCGTGTTGAACCTTCCTCTCGTGTTGTTCAACGCCAAGAAGTATGTTGGGAGCTATCTGAGTCGCAAGCTTCAAGCACACGGCTAACTCACGAACAGGATCTACGAGAACCAGCACCTTTTGGATGCGACCGAGATTTTCCGCAAGTTGAACGTTCACAAGAAGGTCGGTTTAATGTTCTGGTTCACACTCTGCAGCTCCCCTGACTGACTTAAAATCTTTCTATAGGAATCGTTCATCAAACTCGGCTTCCACCTCCTCATGTTCTTCTTCTACCTCTACAGCATGATTGTTGCCTTGATCCGCGATGAGGGCCACTGACTGCGTACAAAGACAGAACATGCGATGCGTCATGGCGATCTTGGCTAGATCGAGGTGCCGGTCAATGAGTGGTTGTCATGGGCTCTTAAATCACTTCTCGGTGTATCACACAGCCATCAACCATGACTATGACCCCGAGAAACGCCGCTATACCCTACATTGGTATATCGACCCGGTTCCTTTCCTGTCTTCTGAGAGGCCATGACTATGGATGAGCAACGAATTCTTTCAGTCTTGTGGGTGCAGCGAGAAGTAGTAGGCAACTTGGAACATCTTGAGCTGGATGCATGAACTGGATTGATCTGGGATATTGTATGATTGACTCGCGGTGGTTTGACTTCTTTTTCTATCATTTGCCTTGTCTTTTATTCCTCTTCTGTGTTAATCTTGTCGTGTTTTTCGGCCTGTTGAGTTGTATATACCGTGCGAATGGCAATGAAGAGCGTACGATACCCAAGGTTTCGGATATTTAACTGGTTTCAAAGATTTTGGACACTGTAACAAATAGTAGTTAACCAGAGAATAGTTAGCAGGACTGACGAGCTGGTGGAGCTATCATGGGGCTGACAGCTCTAGAGCTGTGGTGGCCGCCCAGATGCCCGCGGTCTTCGTGTCGGGGGTCTCCCGGCGCCCGTAAAATTCCCCATCTTCACCACCTACGATTCATCAACCACTCCCTACCCCGGCTTTGTTGCAGAGGGCCATTCCGAAGGTTGCGCATTCTTACTCCTCTCAGAACAATCATCATGTCCGCCTTATTAGGGGTCAATTATGACTCCAGCGATGACGACGCCACAGCTGTACCCAAGTCTTCACTGCCCACTGCAACCAAGGTCGTTGCTGCGCCGGAAGTCAATACAGAGGTTTGGTCCCCCCGATCACTCTCCTCTGGCTTCGAATGGTCCTCGAACCTGAGCTATTACGAACAGATAAGACTAACAACCCCATAGGACCAAGCGCATATGCAGATGACCCTCGCCAACGCCTCGTCAAAAGCCCTCACCTTCAATGCTACATACGATGATCTCACGCGGCCCTCTCACGGACCCGTGAACCCGTTCAAATCAGCGGGTCCAGGAAACGGTATCAAGCGAAAGAATGTCCCTACTGGATTTGCTGAAGAAGCGGCTATCAGCGAGTCCACGTTTGCTGCGCAACATCGCACATTTCAAAGTCTAGGATACACACGCAACCCGACACGACCGGACGAATTCGTTGGAAACCTCGATAACGTGGCTCAATATGGCGGCCGGGATATTGTGCAGATGAAGCCCACTAAGAGCGCGTCTGCAAACTGGCGGACGAAGCGGCAAAAGAAGGGCGACTCCAGTGTTGTGGAAGGTGACGGTGCATACCTGGGACCCTGGGCGAAATACCAGAATGATCAAGAATATGATTATGTGGAGGTTGCCGAAGGTGAAGAGCGTCCGCTTGGGAGTGACGAGGAATATGTAGAAGAAGAAGATGAGACTTTGACTACCGCGACGCCCATGCCGGCCATGAGCAAGGAGGCCACAGCCTACGAGGGTGGCTTCTCCAAGCAAGAGACCACCGAGTTCCACGGCACAGAGCAGTACGACTACCAGGGCCGGACGTACATGCACGTGCCCCAGGATCTGGATATCGATTTGCGCAAGGAGCCCGGCACCACCAAGAACTACGTGCCCAAAAAGCTTGTGCAAACGTGGAAATCGCACACCAAACCAATCACTTCTCTTCGGTTCATCCCCAACTCTGGCCACTTGCTGCTTTCAGCCGCAGCCGACGGAAAGGCCAAACTCTGGGACGTGTATCATTCTCGGGAGCTCCTGCGGACCTTCTCGGGCCACAGCAAAGCAATTTCCGACACAGACTTCCATCCATCGGGGAAGACTTTCCTCACCAGTTCATACGACCGACAGATCAAGCTCTGGGATACCGAATACGGCAAATGCCTTGGCCGGTTCTCTACAGGAAAGACACCACACGTCGTCCGCTTCAACCCTGGCGCCGATCACTCGCACGAGTTCCTGGCTGGTATGTCCGACAAGAAAATCGTCCAATTCGACACCAGGTCTGGCGAGCTGGTCCAGGAATACGATCACCATCTGGCAGCTGTCAACACTCTTACTTTCGTCGATGATAATCGCCGCTTTATCTCCACGTCAGATGACAAGTCCCTGCGCGCTTGGGAATACGGCATCCCCGTCCCTATCAAGTTCATCGCAGAGCCATACATGTTCGCACTCACACGTGCGGCACCCCATCCAAATGGCAAGTATGTCGCTTTCCAATCAGGTGACAACCAGGTTGTCGTCTACGGGGCTACAGACAAGTTCCGCCAAAATAGAAAGAAGCGCTTCGTTGGGCATAATACCTCCGGATACGCTGTCGATCTCAAGATCTCGCCTGATGGGCAGTTCCTGGTCTCGGGTGACAGCGGTGGCTTTGTTTGCTTCTGGGACTGGAAGACTGGCAAAATGTATCACAAGATTCAGGCTGGTGGGAAGGAGGGTGGTGCCGTTACTTGTTTGGACTGGCATCCTCAGGAATCGAGTAAGGTTGTTACTGGTGGTTTGGATGGTGCTATTAGGTATTGGGATTAAAGGATTTCTGTCGTTATTCGACCTTTTTATAGTCAGGCAGAAAACAAAGAGGCTGTTTCTTCCTTTCCGCATTTGGATATCTTTCCATGCGTTCGATTCTTGTTGGTATTACATCCACTGAAATCCTCTAGTTTCAGGACACGCAGTAGTTGCTATGCACATGCAAATAAGTAGCTGAAGTAGATCTCTACCAAACATCAAGGATATCACCATAAGATCTCCAGACTCCAATTGATCCCGCCCACCAGGCCCGGTGTATCTATCTGTGCATGAAATTCCGAATGGCCCTCAGCCCAACACAAGCCAAATGTCTCCAGCCCCGAACCAAAGCTACCGGCGACAGGTATCGAGGGTACTTCCACATCAAAATTGATATAGAACCAACGAGAGCAACCAAAGCCCCACTCAAGCCAAGACCAAGCACCTGGCTTTGGTTCTGAACGGCCCGAACGACCTCCGAATATCTCTGATTGCTAAAGCTAACACGAGCATACTGCGTTTGCCAGCCGAAGGACGGGAAATGGCGGTCGATCGTCTCTTCGATCGTCTTGCGTAATTTGTACAGCGGTGACTTGACTCCCGCACGCATCTCCAAATAATTCTCCTTGGAAAGATCGTTGATAGCATGAGTGTCCGCGCAGCGCTGGTCAGTATAGGCTTGGAAGGCAGCCTGACGTTTAAGACCGCGTGTGTAGATGCTGGAGTTAGGGTCGTAGACTCCCTGGCTGTCAAGTTTCTCAAAAAGAACACGGACATCCTCGAGTCCGGCGTTCAATCCCTGTCCGTAGAAAGGAAGGACTGCGTGAGCTGCATCGCCGAGGATGACCACGCTAGCGTTGAAATTGTGCGGCTTGCACTTGATGCTGATAAGTGGGAGGTGGGGGTTCGTCGCGAATTGCTCGCTTAACGCTGCGGGGTCGATCAGCTCTGGACACACGCCGGGGAAATGTTCGTCGAAGAATTCGTGTAGATCCTGTGTCGAGGTCTCTAGGCAGGTGTAGTGCGCGGACGGCGCGAACAAGGTGCAGGTGAACGATTTATCCGCTGATGGTAGCGCGATGAACATGAACTCGCGCCCCGGCCAGATGTGCAGGTGGTTTGGGGAGATGCGGAAATTGCCGTCTTCGGTGGGCGGGATGCGGAACTCGCACCAGAGAGTGTCGATGTACTCTTGCTGGTAATCGACTCGAGCGAACTTCATCATGTGGAACCGCGAGGCGGAGTGGGCCCCATCGGCGCCGATGAGGAAGTCGAAGGAGACTTCGATCTCCGGCACTCGACCGGCTACACCCACATCATCGGGGACGGGGGTTTCACCGGGGATTCTTCGCTCAAACCAAGCCTTGTTGGTGCGAAAGTCGGCACCGGTCAACTTGTGGTTGAAGAAGAGCTTGACGTTGGGGGTTTTCTCTAGCTCATCGAGGAGGGCATTGTTTAGAGTACCTCGGTCGATAGCATTGATAGCCTGGCAATAGTCGTTAGCTATGATCTGCAGGGTAAATCTCAATATCGACTGCCAAGCATATGATCGGTGCATACCCGGCCGTGAACGTCATAAGCTTGTGCAGCTTCCCACAGATCTCCTCGGTCTCGGCCGTGGATCATCCGCCCATGCATGGGGATCGCTCCGTGCAGAACGTTGTTGATCAGGCCATCTCGACCAGAGTGTCTCATGGATGTAATCCCACGTTCCGACAGTGCCAAGTTGATAGACTTAGTAAAGTTCAACGGCACGGTTGTAGGGTCTCGGAGATCTACGGATGCGCGGGAAACATTGGCGTTAGTTCGGAAGAATTCGTAACGCAATATAGCTGTGCCAAAACGATTGCAGGGGAGTCATTGAGATATCGCAGTCGGCCATATGTGATCATCTGGGCCCATTTCGCCAGAATTGAAGGGCTAAACTAAGGACCGTGCAGGGACCTTCACTTTTCAGTCCTTTACATGGGCCAGATACCGCCCATGACGCGTACTCCCACAAACACATTGTACTTCAGGGGATCAAAAAGGATCAAGGGTCATAGGTCACACAAAGCAACGGAACATACCTCCGCGGAGTTCATACACTTCGACCTCGTCGCCTCTTGAAGCGGCGTACAGTGCTGCCAAGGCCCCCACCGGGCCAGCACCTACAACGACCACTTTCTGCCTCGGAATAGCCATCAACGATCGTGCAACGGGTCAATGGCTAAAGTAAAGTCAGCGCGGCGTTGAAAACACGGGAGTAAGTCGTCATCACGTGCAGCGAGATCGGCCTGTCCCTAATTAAGCTCTGCAGAACCCGGTGGACGAATCGACATTAGTCACTTCTGTTGTTGCCTTACTGCCTCAGGCTGAAAGATATCTGAATAACTGCCTTAACGCTAGTCCGAATATAGTCTAGCTCCCTATCGCCTTGCAGTGGGGATTTTCTTGAAGATTTGGGCTTCCATCATTCAATCCACTCTCATAGTGGATTTTGGGAGTACATAGTCTCAGTCCCATTCTTCATATATCTCTTTTACTTCCACTCTCTCAGTATGACGGAAGTTACCACTCGCAAATGTCGGGGTGTGGACTGCCCCAACGACGCAGGCACCCTACAATGTCCAACATGCCTGAAGAGCGGCACAGACAGCTTCTTCTGTTCGCAGGACTGTTTCAAGCGTAGCTGGGTAGGATCTCCTATCAGACTGAAGAAGCGCAATATTTGCGCCTTTCTATGTGATGTCCCAAGTGCTGACCGTCTACTTTCAGAACGAACACAAGGCCATTCACAAAAAGAGTAATTTCCTCACCAATTATTTTACCCCGAAGGTAGTTTCTGAACCAGATCCAGCCACCGGAACCTTCAATCCGTACCCAAGCTTCCCTTACACCGGCACTTTGAGGCCCGTTTACCCTCTTTCCGCCAAGCGCACGGTGCCTAAGACGATCCCGCACCCGGACTATGCCCGTGATGGTATCCCCCGCTCCGAACAGAAACTTCTCGGCCGCCACAACATCACCATTCTGAACAAGGAAGAACAAGAGGGCATGCGTAAGGTTTGCCGACTGGCTCGTGAGGTCTTGGATATTGCTGCACGTGAATTGAAGCCTGGTGTAACGACGGACTACATCGACGAGGTTGTCCACAAGGCTTGTATAGAGCGTGATGTGCGACAAGGTTTCCCTCCAACAACCAGACTGTTATACTGATATATGAACCTAGTCTTACCCCTCACCGCTGAACTATATGAACTTCCCCAAGTCCGTGTGTACCTCGGTCAACGAGACTATCTGCCACGGCATCCCCGATCAACGGCCTTTGCAGGATGGGGACATTGTTAATATCGATGTCACGCTGTATCACAAGGGATTCCACGGCGATATCAACGAGACCTACTACGTTGGAGACAAGGCGCTTGCAAATCCCGACGCCGTACGAGTGGTGGAAACCTCTCGTGAATGTTTGAATAAGTCAATTGACATAGTCAAGCCTGGCATGCTGTTCCGTGATCCCGGCAATGTCATTGAAAAACACGCCAAGACCCGCAATTGTAGCGTCGTCAAGAGCTACTGTGGCCACGGCATCAACCAGCTGTTCCACTGTGCGCCTAACATTCCTCACTACGCTAAGAACAAGGCAGTGGGCACCGCCAAGCCCGGTATGTGCTTCACCATTGAACCGATGATCAACATCGGTACCCACCGTGACCGCACTTGGCCCGACGACTGGACCAGCACCACCCAAGATGGATCTCTGTCCGCCCAATTTGAGCACACCCTTCTTGTCACCGAGGACGGTGTTGAGGTTCTTACTGCCCGCCTGCCAGACTCCCCTGGTGGGCCTGTCCCTATGCCTGCGACGGTATAGTTCCAGGGAAATGGGAGTCAACTGATTGGAAAGACTTGCATCTAAATTAGATACCAACTTGACAGCACAAAATCACGACCGCTCATGCATGTAATTGCGTCCAATCGTATCAAACCAGTAGAACTATGATATTTGTCAAGAGTGCCGACGTTGTCATATGTAGCGAACATATAGGCGGTCTAAGTCCGAGTGAAGACTTGTTATTGGCCGAATCTGGTAAGTCGGGTTTCCCCGCCGCTTAATCGGCACGCGAGAGGCTTAGTTTGCTTGTTGGGGGGAGGGGAGAGTGGGGGTCCGGGGGACTCCAGATGGATGCTCTCAGTCTCCGCTTTCTTTTCCTTCCCTGTGGGCGTTGAGTCAAGTTCATTTTGACTTCAAGATAACCTGGAGCGATCTGGCGACACACACAAGTCTCGGCAATGGCTCCAGAGACATCTCCTACCGAGACCTCCCCGTTGCTTGGGTCCGCCTCTGCCGACGCTGTGTCCAATGGCACGATTTCTCCGCACCATGTGGAATCAGGGGATCCAGCTGAGACCGAGGAGCAAGTCAAACAGCCGTTTCCTGATGCGCAGAAGCAAATCAAGTATATTGTGCCTGCAGTCTCGCTTGGAGTATGGATCCCCAGTTCAGATTTAATGATATTTGAGGGGAATCAGGATTATGGCTAACTGATTATGTAGATCTTCCTGTCGGCAGTAGACCAAACTATTGTTATGGCCAGTTATGGTCAGATTGGCAGTGATCTTAAGGCTCTCAATTTGACCAGCTGGATCGCTACTTCTTACTTCTTGACTTTGACGTCTTTCCAACCTCTATATGGCAAGCTGAGTGATATCTTTGGCCGCAAGCCATGTCTGCTCTTTGCGTATGCAATCTTCGGTCTTGGCTGCTTAGGTTGTGGCCTGGCGCGGAATATCAATGATCTGATTGCTGCTCGCGTATGTTAAACACATGATCTCGGGCTGCAATGGGAATGCTGATTTGGGGTTTCATAGGTCTTCCAAGGAATAGGCGGTGGCGGTATGACCACAGTCGTCAGCATTTTGATGAGTGATATCGTTCCCCTTCGCGATCGAGGCTTATGGCAGGGTATTATCAATCTCATCTATGCCATGGGTTCCGGTATTGGTGCACCAATGGGTGGCATTCTCGCCGACTACATCGGCTGGCGCTGGTATGAATGATGCAAGACTCCCATCTCCTTACACCATCTGACATACTTCTATAGGGCTTTCCTAGCGCAGTTCCCTCTCTGCATTGTTGCATCTATTTCCGTGTCCTTCTTCCTCAAACTGCCTGTTCGTGAAAGCGCCAACTGGAAGACCAAGCTGCGTCGCATTGACTTCCTCGGCGCCGTGGTCCTTGTTGGCGCTGTTCTGGCCTTCTTGGTTGGTCTCGACCGTGGCAGTAATGTCTCATGGAAGATGCCCTTGACGATTGCCTCACTGAGTGTCTCGGCTGTCTTGTTCGTGGTCTTTATCCTTGTTGAGACGTATGTGGCAGTCGAGCCCTTTGCACCTGGTCGCATCATCTTCAATCGTACGTCCGTTGCTTGCTACGGTTGCAACTTCTTCAGCTTTGGAGGATGGCTTGCTGCCCTTTTCTACATTCCGCTGTACTTCCAGGCAGTGGACGGTGTTTCGGCCACCACTGCGGGAGTGCGCTTATTGCCAGGCATCATAGCTGGTGTAACTGGCTCTCTGCTTGCAGGGCTGTATATGAGGCGATATGGCAAGTATTACTGGCTCACGATCGCTGCGTATACCTTCCTGACAACCGGTGTATTTTGCGTATACCTCTTCTCCGGGGGCGTGGTAGCCAGCACTGTCCCGATGATCTGCGGAATGGTATTGGCAGGATTTGGCAATGGTATTGGGGTCACCTCCACCTTGATCGGTTTGAGTGAGTTTCCACTTGATTTCTCCCAGAGTCCTTTACGCTGACGTTCACCAGTCTCAAATTCTACTTACGAAGATCAGGCGGTTGTCACTGCTTGCTCGTATCTGTTCCGCTCATTGGGCTCCGTGATCGGTCTCTCTCTCGCATCAACTGTTGTTCAGCAATTGCTACGTGATCGATTGAGATTAGGCCTGCGTGACAGCAAAAATATCGACCAAATCGTCGAGAAAGTGCGAGAAAGTCTCGACTTTATCAAGACCCTCGATCCAGCAACTGCCAGTATTGTCCGAGGTTCCTATGGTTGGTCTACCAACAAGGGTTTCGCCTTTTTGGCTGTTGTGGTATTCTTCTCCTTGTTCAGCAGCTGCTTTATCCGGGAAAGCAAACTCAGCCGCTAACAAACAGAGCTCTACAAGGACATAGGAATGTGTTCTGTAAGTAGTACAACTTCAGTGGAAGTTACTTTGCATTCTGCATTGGGCATTAGATCACTAGATAAGTCTCGCCCTCGCCCCTACATGTCTGGAGACTGGGGGGAAATAACTATGACTATATGACGCGTCATGAGAATCAATACAGAGATCATTCAAGAATATGGCGAAAGTGCAGGCATGGATCAATGTAGTTAGCACATGTAGAGGGCTTAGATCTCTAGTAGCATCGCTGTAGCCTGTGGGCGGGATGGGGGGATCGCGGTGTGAGTCCTCCACTAGGCCCAGGCTCGGGCTTGCCGGGGCCTGGGCCCGCCCCGGGGCGATTGCCCAGGTAGGCACCCCTGCAAGTTGTGGCTTAGTAAGGTGTCATCCGGCGGGCGTGTGAACCCGGACCCGTGGACATTTCAACTGTCATCTTATCAGTTGACTGACCTGATTTGCGACACTTTCTAATGGGTATTGGATTTTTCTTTTTGCAGCTCTGACTTGTCTCTCTTGTTGAGCGGCGATCAGAATGATCTACGCCCTGTGCTCCTGACATTCTTCGTGCAGCTTCCGCTCGCTCTACATCCTCTCCAACCTCCGCCATGTCCGACTCACGCTCCGGACCGGTCTCACTCGCACGATATCGACCTATCCTTTACCTCTTCACTGGTGTTGCTGCTGCTTATGCAATCCTTTATGTTCACAGCAGCGTCACTGCACAACCATCTTCAACTCCCCTCCGACGTCGAAATGCTGTGCGCCGCAGCAGACCAACAGAGGCCGAGGAGCTTCGAGTTGCTAATACACCATCCTTCCGAGCCATCGCCCACCTTGAACAACTAGAGCGCCAGAATGGTGTCTACGGGACGTTTCGTATTGAGACGGAGGATGGGCGTCGCGTGGAGAGCGGTCTTCTTCCATCGCTCCTCGCAACCCGCGACCAGCTGATGCAGGAAGTTGGTGTTCCGCCTGCCCATGCAGAGCGCATGCGGGAAATGATGGAGGATACATTTCTTGAATCGTTCCTTGCGCTTGATTTTCCCTCAGCGCACATTCTCCCGGAGGATTCACCAGAACGGATATACTTGACGGAGCAACTCCAACGCCGGGGTATATCCCGAGCTGGCATTGAAAGGGCTCTGATCCGGTTTAACGCAGATGTAAACTACGGGGACGATCTGCGTCGCCGACGACAGAATGGTGAACGAGTCACCCTGTCAACCTCTACCTTTCCAGACGTATCTGGGACGCCGCAAAACGTCGACGGTGGAGAAACGGTGGACGATCAGAGTGTCTTCTCGTGGCGTGACGGTAATAACGGTCCTTCCAACCAGGGAGGTCAAAACCTCCTCAACTTGCTCTATTACATCGCCGAGGATCAGGCCCGAAGAGACGGCTACATCCACCGTGGAGTCACCTGCAACAGCTGTGGCGCCATGCCCATTCAGGGCATCAGATACCGATGTGCCAATTGCATTGATTACGATCTGTGTGAGACGTGCGAGGCCATGCAAGTCCACATCAAGACGCATTTATTCTACAAGGTTCGGATTCCAGCCCCATTCTTAGGGAATCCTCGTCAACCCCAGCCTGTATGGTATCCAGGGAAGCCTGCAGCTCTCCCGCGCAGTCTTCCACGACCTCTTGCCAATCGTCTGATGAAAGAGTGCAATTTTGAGAACACAGAGCTTGATGCACTCTGGGATCAGTTCCGCTGTTTGGCCAACTACGAGTGGGCGGATGACCCGAACAAGTTGCATATGGCCATCGATCGCAAAACATTCGACCGATGCTTTGTACCTAATACATCGATCCGGCCGCCGCCTCCCAGTCTCATTTACGACCGAATGTTCGCGTTTTACGACACCAATGGTGACAACCTCATCGGATTCGAAGAGTTTTTGAAAGGCTTGGCCAGTCTCAACAATACAACTAATGACGAAAGGCTGCGACGCGTATTCCGTGGTTATGATATCGATGGAGATGGTTTCGTCGAGCGCAAGGACTTCCTTCGGGTCTTCAGGGCATACTATGCGCTGAGCCGAGAGCTTACCAGAGACATAATTGCTGGCATGGAGGATGATTACTCGGAAAACGTCCCCCGCAATGTTGTTCTTGGAAGTCAGCCCATCAGTGCTGCGTTTACTAGTAATATTCCCCAGGGTGAGCGCTCTCGCACAGCCGAGGGCAAGGGCATGAATGCCGAGGGAGACATGGTGATTGTCGATAATGAAGGGGTTCTGCGACAGGACGGCGATGATACTGCTGATCGGCATGCGGTTGTGGGTGATGCCGCTGTCAGGGCACAATTTGGCCGGCACCGGCCAGTGTTCTCAACTACATCACGCCTGGCCCCCGGCGACACTCTTCCCCGCCAGTCTGACGCCGGAGAAGATGCTCAAAATGAAAACGACGAAAATGTTGAAGACGGTGCTAGCGAGACCAGTGAATCGGACCAGTCGAGTTCATCAGTTGCCAGCGGCACTTGGCCCCCAGCTGAACATGTTCTTGAGGAAGATATCATTGAAGCCCTTGGCATCTATGTTCCTCCTCAAGACATCACGGATCCAATTGAGCAGGCTCGCGTTGCCGATGCTGTCTACCGCAGAATGCGGGAGGATGATCAGAGGCGAATTCTCGACGCTCGTCGGCGTGGAATTGACGAGCGTTGGAGACGGCGAGCTTTCTACACAGATGAAGAAGATGGTGCCACTACTCCGGAGGGCTACGAGCGCGATCCAGCCATCGATGGCTATAGCGATGACGACGAGCCGGAATTTCACCCGCTCTCTCCTCGTTCGCGGTCTTCGTCCAAAGTGCGATTCCAGGATGATCTCAACGACGAAGACGACTACGACATGCGGTCCAACCCATCAACCTCGTCGCGAAGTATTCCCGTGGGCGAACGATGGGGTGGCTTTGAAATCCCAGAAGCCGAAAGAGACGTTGGGAAGGAAATCCTGTATCAGGTCACCCAGCAAGGTTTCAACGAGCTTCTTGATATTCTCTTCAAGCCGAGAGAAGACCTTTTGATGGAGGTTTATCGTACACGGGCTGATCGCAAGATCTGGGCCCGCGAAATCGAACTCGCTGTCGCAAGGGCGGAGGTTCCCTCGAAGTCCTCACCGAAGATAAATGCTCCTCCTGAGGAGGAACTAGAGGGTATCATCAGCGAACAGCCACTCGATGATCTGTTACAGCGCGCTGGTTATGCAATTGCGAGCCCAGTTCTAGCACCCGCTGACACCCGGCGAGAGCTAGTTTCTCCATCGCCCGAGGCCATCGCCTCGGATGACGATGTGCAGCCGACTCATCTCGCAGATCCAGCGAGTGATACCGGACTTGGACAAGCGCATCCCTTTGAAGAATCGGACACGGCGTCCTTCGCCTCCGATCACGAGGACAGTCTCACTGTCTCACAAGTGTCTGAAGCTAGAGTCCAAGACGATACATCTTACTACGATCCAACCCTCCCACACCATCGTCCTGACACAGAAACCCCTTGCCTCGTGTCTTCCCTTCCGCAGTCAATCGTGACAGCCCCAGAAGCATCGGTTGAAACCGAATCTAGTCCGAGCGAGTCACTAGCCAACAGCAACATTCCCGATTTCCCCGTTCAACTTCAACTCCAACCCGACATTTCATCTCTTCCGCCAACCTCTCCTCACTCCTTCCCAGATGCTGAAACTACAGCCCCTAAGCTTCCTCCCTCTCCTATGCAGCCACTTCCGGCCCCTCGCCGGGTCGAGGACCAGGCTGCGGAAACGGAAACACCGGCCCCGCGTCGGCCTTCGCTCCAGACTCTGGCCCGCTGGGCCTATCTCGATCAGGTAGAGCGTGAAGCCAAGCAACGCGGCGGCAACGGTGCAAGACTTAACTTTGAAGAGTTCTCGCGTCGCATGGCTGCTGATCGGGGCCGTCGACTGACATTCGTGTCTAGTTGGATTGAGTTGGCTAGCTTTTGAAAAGGCTCGTCCTAGACTTGGTCTAGGTGTATTTTATCGATGTACTTTAGCGGGACTTTTGGAGTTGCTCTGTGTCCGTACGGTTTCATACTCTATCAAAATCAATCAAGGTTTTTAACTGGAGTTTTCCTAGCTGAGACTTGAGATATGATGAAATGGATCTCTATTACTACCTTTATGTCTGAGCCTTAGGTTGTCTTGCTGAAATTTTAACTCCGATTACATAGTTTGGGCTGTATGAGGAGATATGGTCATTATGTTCCTTCCCACCCCTGTGAAATCAGTCTTGATGGTCTATATTTTCTTACTTTCCGCTTATAACTCAAAAACGTCCGGTCTTTCCATCAATTGGCCCATGTGGCCGAGTAGTTTCCTGGTCTAGCGGTTATGATTTTCCGTTAACAAGTGCGACTTCGCATATGTTCCGGAAAGGTTCTGGGTTCGATTCCCAGGGAAACTATCATTTTTTGCGTCTTGATAATATCCACTGTGGCTGTCCGGGCATGTTTCTTTTTCGTGAGGTGTTTTTCAGCACAGATTAAATGTGTCAATGGATGGGGGTTAGTCTTCTGTAAAGTCGGGGGGCTATTCGCAGTGCACGTCTGGTAAATGCAGCCTGGATGCACCGGATATTAGCAGAACATGATCGCTTCCCAGAGAACCACTCAACGAGTAGAATTAGAGACGTTAACACGGACATGCTCTCATTGAGTACAAATGAAGAACAACATAATTTAGAAGTGAGATGGAAGTAACCCGGAGTCGTCCAAGGTAGTGTGGTTTTGTCAGTTCTACATAGAAAACATAGGCAGCGGGAGCAGCGTAAAATATATCGAGACATCCAACCCGAACGCCAACCTTGGAAGCTATTGAAAAATAAAAGGAATCAATGGAACGAAGTGAATCAAACAAACCACCGCTATATGATAGAATTGCCACTGGGATATAGATCTGGGCATCGGATATAACATCATGACTATGCTGACACCCGGGCAGAGGCAAGGACAGTGTACAAGCCGATTGATGTTGCAGGTCACAGTGAATTTCCTGGCAATTTGCAGTGTTCCGCCCGCGGAAAACTGAGGTACACATATGCTGGGAGCTCGTCCTGATTGGGAATTACTGAGGCCTGGGGTACAATCTTCCATCGGCATTCAGAGTGCATAGGGGCATGCTCCCGGACCGTGGACGGGACGAAATGAAAACAAAATCCAGCGGACTGAGCTTCCACGGGAAGACAAAGCAAAACAGAGGCCTCCAACCGCAGGGACCTCAAAGACGGCCATTCTCTAGGTATCCAGTGGGATTCAATGACCCGCGAACCTCACCCGCCGACCCCGTCGCTCAAGAATCAGCTTCTCGGTGTCCACATAGAGACAATCGAGAAAGTGCATGGCGGTAGAGTCCCTCAGGATCTTCGCGACCTGTATACCCGCCGAGATAAGCTGCAGCACGTTACGGTCATCCTTGACCGGCCTGGACTGATGCTTGGCAGCATGGCGCATCTCCAAGGAGTTCTCCAGGACAGTGATGAGCTGCTTGATTTGCCGGTTGTACAAGAGGTGCGCTGGGATGCGGCGGGTAGTAGCCAGACGCTTCAAGAGGTGGACCCATTCAGTCCACTCGCGATCGGAGGGAACTTTCACGGGTCTTTTATCCTGCTCGAGAGGAACGCGGAACTGGTACTTTGCGATGAAATCATAGGCACACCGTGATAGGCGGTCGTTGACCTTGTGGAGAATGCTGTCTTGCTCGCCGGCGTCTAGGTTAGTGGGGAGCTGGGGAAGCTCTTTTTCCTGGGCTGCAATGTCCTGTGGAGAAGGTGGCTCCAGGAACTGATGGGGGCCATCAAATTCATCACGGTTGGATGTCCGTCTCTGGGAGTGGTAGTGCAGGGCTCCTCTGGAATTCTCATCGGCACGCCCACTATGGATGTTTCTTTCCATCAAGTACTCCGGGCTTTCCGGGGGATTCATTGTTCCGTGGTCTCGCCTTGGGATTTCACGGGGCATGTGGTTTGGGTGGCTCCATTCATGGGTCCTGGGTGATAGGAGTGGCTGCCCGGCTGGAGGGTAAGATAAACGTCCCATGGGCGAGCTCATCATGCGGTTGTGGCCATCCAGAGGAGCTGGTGCTCCGTGGTAATGTGGCTGGTGGTCAAAGTCCATCGGCACCTGGGGCGTTTGACGGTCATCTCTGTAGCTATATCCGCGAGGAGTAGATGGTGGCCTTTAATCACTTAGCAGAAGGAACGAAAACACATTATTTTGATGAATGATAGCCTGGGAGTAATCTCTCAAATGGACGATGATCGAGTAATACCTTTGTTGATAGACCACCGGAGAGGACACTGGAGGTCCATACATGGGATGTTGAGCCATGATACTGCTGCGGATTGTGAGCCTCCATTCGACTTTACTAGGGACAGAGACAGAAAAGGAACTGAGGATGTCGAGGTTGCTAACCTAGAATGAGACCAAGTATCCAATCTAGGATTGACAGAGCTTGCACAAGAACCGGGGCCTGCGGACGTTGGGAATGGTTGAACCGAGCCAGCCGCCAATGGATGAGGAAGGACAGGGAGCATGGATAAAGTGACACACGGCTATACCACGGCGTGATAACAACGATATCCAAAATAATAAGGAGAGTGTTGTCAAGCGAATGAATCCACGAAATTGAGCAATGGGCAGGTATTATAGTTCAGTCGAAATCCCATTTAACCGGGCCGAGCACATTGGTATGTGTACCTGATGAGAAGAGCTGTAGCCTGCTAATGTTTATGGAACGGCTGTGCAAGTGGACTGAGAGCCGCGCCAGGTATGGGTTCACGCCGGTGGCGTTTGTGGAGATGGAATCTAAGAAGAGGAGACCTTCGTTGCCTGGGCATTGTTGATCTTGATAGCCAATGGCACAGTATGAAAGGACACATCTATGTTGCGCACTGCATACGTTGAAGATCTCGATCGATCAATTGTTGAACCGGTGTGCAGAGCTCGTTGGCAGCCGAGGCGCCGTGAAACGCTTCAATGTGTGGGATCATCACCGGGGAGGTCGATCAAATTGTGATCCAAAAGCCTCAATCGTCACAAACGAGGGAAGAATACTCCAAGATTCTGGGTTCTCCACCACCCTCACACCGGGATCGAGGTAAAGCCTTGGGCAGCAAGGCGAACGTTGGGTAGGAAATGCAAGGATGGCTGGCCTATGGATACCCAAATGCATAGCCAGAAGATGAGATCTGCGCCCTCGAAGGCCATGGAAGGTAGGTCAACATGAGCTGAGACTGAGGCGAGATGGAAAACCCCTGACTGATAGTCAGTTAATATGCGTTGGGCACTCGGGTTATTTCGAGGCCCAATGCAATAAGCCGCATAGACCTTTCTGATTAAAACAAAGAGAAACTCTATTAGCAAAGTTCCTCCGAGTGGAGAGCTCATCTGTTCTGATGGCGCAAATGCTGCCGTTGCAGCCCAAGCGGAGGCCCAATATCCGTTCAGGTGGACTCGCTGGTGGTTATTGTTATCAAAACACCCTGAGTCATGGGAATTTGATACACACATGAACTTTTAACACAAGTATACGCCTTTCAAGCCACAATAATAAGGGTCGCAGTATGTTCAGGGTAGTATCAATAATCCAAGGCGATCTCCAGGGGTGCCGCAAACCCTATGTGGAGCTCTATCGACGAGGCAGTTTACGTTTCCTGCTGGCCTTTATTTTCAGAAGACGGCAGTCTTATCCCTTGGCGAGAAGCATAGTCCTGGTTTCTTGGGTGAGTATGCCAAGAAGAATTTGGGGAGACTGATGTCTGCTTACGTCGCAACTCAAACGGATAGCTTCTTCGATACCGATGCGAGCCTCGTACCCCAAAACCTCCTTAGCTTTATTACCACTAGCATATCGAATGGCACATGCATCTCGGACACTGCCACGGCTTAGTGTGGTCGTCGTTCCCGTCACCCAGGTGACCGCTTCACACGCCAGCCCCACGAAGTAGGCCATACACTCTGGAATACGGACCTCGAAAGACGGGATGTGTCCAAAGTGTGCCCAGACCGCCAGGCAAAAGTCTCGAAAGGCAATAGGTTCGTTGTTCTGTATGAAAAAGACACTACCAGCAGCTGTGCGGCATGATAACAAATTCTCTATGGCAAGGACGTGGGCATCCGCGGCATTGCCCACGTAGGTGATATCCCACAAGTTGAAGCCGTTGCCAATCACAAATCCGGTTTTGTGTTCGACGATGCATGAGTGAATAGACGGTAACAGTTGGCAATCACCTGGTCCGCAAAGCACCGATGGCCGGAGGGCACACGTCGCCATTGTGCTACTCGAAGCCCTGAGTACGAGTGTTTCGGCAGCAGCCTAGACAACATACCGCAGTGTATCAGTATCTAATTTGCAATAAGGCATGAGAATGCTACCGATAAGGATTGGTGGTTTCAACCTTTGACTGCCCATATATAGTCGACCGGGGCGACGGAGGCCATTCTTCATTGATGTTCGGGTGAGGGGTTGTTGTATCGTCAATCACCACGCAACAAGTGCTTGTGTATATGAAAGCTTTAACCCCACTCCGCTGAGATGCCTCCAGCATATTCCGTGTGCCCTCAAAGTTGATCTTCCACACCTCTGGTTCTAGTCGGCGACTCCACCGCTCAGCTAGGCCTGGAATCATCCCAGCAGCGTGGACAACTACATCTGGGTTGATGGCCTCAAAGGCTTTGTTCAAAGCCTCAACAGAAGTTAAGTCCACCCGCATATACCGCGTCTTCTCTGGCAGGACGTGCTCGGGCCGTGGGGGATTTTGGTCGATGATGGCGATGATAAAGTCCGGATGCTTTTCTGTAAGAGCTCGCACTATGGCCGAGCCAACGAAGCCAGTGCCGCCAGATACAAGAACTGTTGGAGAATTCGTCATTGCGAAAGTGGTTGTAAGAAGGAGCGTTCGATGTTGGGGGAAGTGCAGCATCACAACTACGTGACCGAAAGTTAAAGTGTGGTCATGAGTTACAACAAAATACATCTAGGCTATGCTTCAAACAAATACCTCCATCCAGTTAACTGAGGTCGAAATGGGCCGTATGAGGATGAAGAATAATGATGCCTCCTCTGAATGGTGGTAATCCTATTCATGGATTTCCTCCAAGTCTTCCTCGTTTTCATCGTTTTCATCATTTTCATCAATTTCATCGTCTTCACCGTCTTCATCGTTTTCATCGCCAGCTCCATCCAACGTACTCAACACTTGCTCGAAGCCTGGATGGATGCAATAATCACGGGACAATACTTCCAGTTCCTCCAGTTTTGACAACAGAGAATTAGGAGCCGAAGCATCGTTTCTGATCGCTTCAATTTCCTCTTCTTCCATGTTCCAGAGGATGTCCAACATCCCTTCCACAAGAGAGGCGTCGTATTGGAAGGTCTTTTGCACCTCATGGCCCAGTGTATCAGTAGAAGAAAGCGCGATCGTTTTTCCAATCTTGCGCAGCACAGAGAGTCCATTGAGGCGCGTCTGGGGGTTTGTTAAAGGCCCACACTGTCGTGTAATCGATTGGATGGTTTCAACGACTGACTGCGCGACATCAAATGCGATATCGTACTGCTGTCCACCACGCATGGACCTGTACGTGATATTGATCTCCTTCCAGACTGAACTCGAAAGATGATCGAAGTTGACGACGCGCTTTCGCTCCCTTTCTTGGATAACGTGAATGGCATTGTCTATCTTCCCCAGGACGTCGGGGTGGGTTTCGGCTGCCAGCCGAAGGATAGTGGCGACAGACTGAGTCAAGTTGGTTGATGCGCAGGGCGATTTCTTCTGCCGACACTTTCGGCTTTGGAATTTCGATGACTTCATCTGAAGCCGGGTTGGTATGGGCATCTCCAACAGTGTTGGATCGCGCACGTTTAGCCGTTACCATTGTTGCTGGGCACTTCAACGAGATTTCGGGAGAGTGTCAGTGGTCAAATTTCCTCCACAGACAAGATAGTCAGTGGGATGTAGAATTAGAGAAACATTTGGTAGAGTGAATTAAAAACAAACACGAATTGGAAGAGAAAGATAAAGGGAAATGGTTACGCGCTGGGCGTGGGAACGCGTTTACCCGTCACCCGTCAACCGCCTCGGTCCGTCTTATGAAGTTTGAATATCAAACGTCGAAACAAAGAAGAAAATGCAGTACATTCTCAGCGAGACATCTCGGTGACAGACTGACAGTCACTTTCTCCGTGTAGTCTGCACCCAGGAACTAACTAGTCCAATTTTAGTTGTGTCTTCCTTCATGAGGACTAACTACTTCATAGTCAATTCCGATCTCGATTTTTTCGACTTTGTGAGATGTAGAATCCGTCGTTTCCGAGTCTGTTTTGTTATTGGAGAGTGCTCCTTTGAAACGACACTGGATATTAATTCCGAAGTCTCCATGGGTCGAGTCTCCAGCAATATCCAAGGAGATATCCAAGCTGCCCGAGATATCTCTATGGGACTCAGATCTATCTTTCAGTGGAGGAGGACTAGAGGACCGTTTCGACTGGAGAGTATAGTGTACTTGTCAGCAAGAGCAAACAAGCAAATAGACGTAAATCCAGTAAGCGCCTAAGAGCACCTGCATAGATAAAGGGTAAGTATAGTATGGTAGGTCCTGGCATGCGTGCCTTTCGATTGACAGACAACCCTACAAGACAAGCCAATGCTTGTGTTGTGATATGATCATGGTTGATTGCCAAATTGTCTGTCTTGGCCATATAAATGCTTCAATAGCCAAGTAGACATGACCCTAGGTTAGATATAAAAGCGCTCAGGGCTGCTGCCAAAACACGGAAGGGGAGTATGGACATATTCAAGTCATAATCTATACACTGTGTCACATTGAGGACAGCTGCACAATCACCAGCAGAGCACACATAATGCGAGATACGCAGACATCTAATATACAGATCCTTGACCAAGGTATTATCCCAACAGTCACAAAAAGTCTAATCTCGACAAGAGAAAGCGCTGCGACTAACCGACAAACTCCAAAGTAAATGCAAAACGAAAAAAGATAAAAACCCCAACGGGGATAGCTCTACTCCCCCAACCCGGGCAGCCAGATGCTAACAACAATCGACTTATAGCACACGGCACAGAGCCAGTCCACCAAGCTTTTTCTCAACACACTCGCGAGCTTCCAGAATTCCACGGTCCGTAGAGAGATACAGACTCTCGCCGGGCGAGCGAATCCCTGCGACGTACCCAGAGTCCTCGCCACGCACAACTCGGCGCAGCCCTTCCACATCAATGTAGACCCGTCGGGTGGGCTTGCTGACCATCTTGATCTTTCCCAGGACCGATTCGTTCTGCCAGTACTTCAGGCCGAGCCACAGCCGCCTTGATGAGACGTTATCGCGCGTTACTTGCTCAATGCCTTCAAATCTATCGTTGACCGCGGGAATTCCGAGGATGGCATGGGCTGGGGGAGGAGTAGGGCCTCCGCGGACAACGGAGGAGATGTAGCCGGAGTGCTGGAGGGCGAGGGAGAGCTTCAGGTGGAGGTTGCTGTTGGGAATGGAAGTGAGACCGAGGCGAGCCTTGGTGGCATTGTTCAAGTGGGCGCAAACGGCGGAAAGATTGACGAGAGACATTTTTGATTTCGCGATGGCAGCAATTAAGCCCTACCGGCGGCGGTTCGGAGGGAGAAGAGTGGTGGTGCAGGGTTGATCGGAATCCGAAAGGAGAGGAAAACAGAGAATTCGGATGCGCACAAAGGAGGACCGAATGTGACCACAATGGACTGTAACCTGGGGGAAGCAAAAGCACGGCAGGAGGTGTTGAAGCACCGGAGATGCGATCTGGGATGGAAATTTTCGGATAAACTGTGTTTCCGGGTCGCGGTCTTGTCCAGGTACCCGGTACTTTCCCGCCCATAGTGGAGAGATGTGACATGCAGGTCACTAGTACCATCTCATCACATCACATCCAAGACTCTAAGCGCCCAAGTCTGCATGGCGGTTGAAGCTGGCGTCTCACAGGCTATTGAATACCCCTCAGTGCAAGGTATAAATATTGACGTACAATTGTAAGTCTCCTCTTTCTCTTCTCTCTTCTGGCTGTCGTTATATACCAGTATCGTACTTCAACTCAACTCGACAATCATGCCACCATTAGCGAGTGAAGAGCGCATTGTGACTGTGTGAGTTGGACTGACTTCCCCGCAGGTCCATATGAGGCGATCCTCTTAATCTAACAGCGAAAATAGTTTCGCGGATATTCACTACTACTTCACAGAGCCGACCCGACGTCCTTCACCATACCACCATCGCTTTGACAAAGGCTCTTATGTGTATATCTACCATGATGCGGTTCAGAACAAGGCTCGGATAGAGATAGCCAATAACCCTGGATCTCCAGAGCAAGATGCATTTTGTGGAGGACTGAGCAATGTTCATATACGACACTCCGCTCAATTCCCCACTCTCTGCACACTGACAGTCGACGCACATGCGGGCTCACCCCAGCAACAACAATATCCACAAGATACCCTCCAGCAAGACTGGCGCCTGCACAATGGAGATCCACGCAGCGATCCTAAGGATCTCCGCACTTACCCCCGTTTGCATACCTTGGACATCTACTTCTGGGCCCAAGATGACGCAAACGAGTTCCTAGACGCTGCCATCCGTCTTCTATCAAAGAATCAAATTGAAACAGACCGCGAAGCAGCTACACAACCCCAGCAACCCATGAGCTCTGTAGTCCAGCAACTGGAAAGCATCGCAGTCTCAGATCCAGCTTATCAAAATGGCCAAACACCCAACTCACGATCTGACCCCACCAACACAGCAGAACCAGTCGTCCAGGGACCCCCACCAACCAGCAGCTTTCCCCCACCACCTCCCAGCAGCGCTCCAGTCGACAATCAGTCACGGGCCGCTCCTCCCCCCGCCGAGGAAAAGAAAGATGCAGCCAGCTTCGCCCCACTCCCATACAATCCAGCTGCCCCCGCCGCCCCAGAGCCAATACAATACCGCGAGAAGACCCCGCCACCAGAGGATGGCGCGGGCGGTACCGGTCTCGCAGCCGCATTGGCAGCCGACAACGGTGTCCCGTATACGCTACAGCAACAAGTCCCCGGAGGTGTACCCGGCATAGGCGGGTTTGCATCACCGCCCCCTTCAACACCGGGACTGCAATACGCGGGCCCTCCAGTCGCAGCATCATACGCATCTCCGCCACCCAGCGCGGGTCTACAGCATTCGGCCTCCTTCTCCACTGCCCGATCCTCGCTCAGCAGTCCTCCTGGACAGCCTGTTTCTCCATACTCGCAACCATTCATGGGTGGACAAGCAGCCCAGCAGTACACCACGAGCCGACAGGGATCGATGTCCTTTGCTCCGCCGCCGCAGGACCCTAACGCCCATCTGTATGATCAGCAGGCTTATGGTGGTGGCGCTGTCCCTGTTCAGCCGCCGCCTCAGCATCAGGCTGGGGTGCCCGTGCCGGTAGGCGGATTCTCCAATTACTCCTACGACCAGACCCAGGCGCCGCATCAGCAACATCAGCGTGCCGGTTCTGAGTATGATATCCATAGCCAGGTGTATCGGCCTACTGAGGTGGAGGCTGGATCTCATTATCAGAAATATGCCCAGAAGGCTATGAAGGATCCTGCGCAGCGGCCGAGGAAACTGGAGGAACGGACGGAGCGGTTGGAGAGTGGTATGAATAGGTTCTTGAAGAAGCTTGAGAGAAAGCTTTAAGTATTCCATCATTCCACAAGGCCATCCATTGAGCATTACCATAGGCATGGATATCAAGGTACGAGTATTGTTTAGCCCACGAGGGTAAATGAAATGTTCATTGCACATAAACTGATTGGTATGAAAGCTTTCAGCCCCGCTTCATTGATGAATCAAGATGCTATGTAGATTGACAATGCCCCTAAGCGCTGGAATAATATGCTCATAAATTTAGTACAGAGAATGCAAGAGGAAATTAGAAAAGTAATGAAGCCCCAAACACTGACAAATGTGAAAAATGCTAGCATAGAGGAAAAGACACCCCCAGGATGGAGGGTCGAAGAGGCCGAGTGCAAGCATCGTAAGAACGAAAAAAAGGAGCTCACGCTTGGTGACATAGAATAGAAAGAAGGATATGACCACACAGAAGATTGAAAGCTTGATCCAAGATTTACCAGAAGCGTTGATAGGCAAAGTCAACAGATAGACTGAATTGGTGATCAACAGCGCTTAGTTCAGTGCCAGATTGGCGATGTCGATAGCAACGTTGCTTGACTCCGCCTCAGCTGAGGAGTTCGCATCAGTGGCAGCCGGCTCAGTGGACTTGACAACCGAGGGCTTTTCCTCTGCGATCTCTGTCATATCAGGAACGACAACCTCTTTCAGGGGGACATCGTCGTCTTTTTCGGCAGCCTCAGGCTGGGCCTCAGTCCCCTCCGGGTTCTCGAGCACCTGCGGTTCAGGGGCCGAGATATCGTCCTTAACAGCAATATCCACTTCATCGACTGCTGTCTGGTTCGAGGTTGCCACAGGCTCCGCGGCAGCATCTTCGGTTGTGGTGGTAGATTCAGCAGCCTTCTCTTCCTCGACGGGCTCAGCGACGGGCTCAGCGGACGCCTCAACGGAAGAATCCGCGTCAGCCTTGACTGAAACCGGGGTTTCATTAACATCACTCTGCTCAGTCAGCGACGTCTCCGTGGCGTCTTCGACCGAGACTGGCTCAGGTGAGATTTCAGCCACAGTCTCCTCGACGATCGGCGGAGGAACCTCAATCGACTTCTCCTCCGGCTCAATAGAGTCGACGGCAACTTCCGAAGCAGGCTCCTCTACCTGAGCAGGGGCAATGACCTCTTCCACCGGCTTGGAAGGAGCCTCGGGCTGTTCCACGGCGCCAATTGGGTTAGATTTCACCGTAGCAGGCTCCTCTGGACTGGCTGGGGTTCCCTCCACCTCCACAATATTCTCCTTCTCGCTCTCTTGTCTCTTCTCGGGAGCCTTAGGTCCATCTTTTTGTGGCGCGTGTTCCTTGCGCAGAGCTTGGAATTTTTGGTTCTGAGGCCGGAGGGTGTTGCTCTTAGGCTTCACCTGGGAGGCTGTGCGCTCGGGTACTTTCCCGATTGATGGTCGAGGAGCCTTGGACGCAGAGACCGCTTTGCTGACGGGCTTTGTATCGGCCTTCTCCTGGGACTGGAATTTGTTGGCAGAGCTGGCAGTCGGCCGCATCATTCTCGCAAGGAAGCTCTCATTGACTGGCTTAGTGGTTGAATCATTGGTTGTCTGAGCGGGCAGCGAAGGGCGAGAGGATTGTCTGCGAACACTAGCAGTGGGAGTAGTTGCCCGCTGTTGACCACCAGTTGCGCTCTTGAGGGTGGAAGGTTTCCTAGTAAGGGTTGATGTGTTGCTAGTAGTGCGTGTGCTCGAAGCACCTGTGCTTCCCAGCCTAGCAGCAGATGCCTGGGTGGGTGCACCACGAGTAGATTTGGGTGGAGATTTGGTTCCTGCCTTGTTAGTCGCACCAGCGACGGAGGGCTTCGAAGTGTCTTGTGCAGGTGTTGAGCCGCGTGTTGGCCGTGCCGTTGTCTTGGCAGCTAGCGAGACACGGCTCGGTTTGTGGGTTAGAGAGTTGGCACGCTCTTTGGCCACTTCGCGAGCCGTGGGTTTCAAACTTTTAGTGCTGGCGTTAGGTTTCGCAGCAGCAGAAGCAGCAGTAGCTGGCACATGCTTGCTTGCTGCATTGCGGCTAGAGCCAACAGACGAAGGCTTCTTCTTAACCGTTCCTGGTGAATCTGGCTGGTGTGAGGCATTGATGGAGTTTGCAGACTTAGATTCCTTGGAGGGATCCTCGGGTTGCTTTGGTGAGGTGCCTCGCAGCTGAGATGTGGTCTCAGCGCGAGTTGTGGGTTTGGCGCTGCTGTAATTCGGTTCCGCCTTGGTCTCGGTGTTCGGCCGACCCTCCGCCATTATCTGTGCCATAGTCGCGTTCTGCATGTGGTCTAGGCGACTGACAGGGGTAGGAGAAACCGTACTCTGTCGGCCCGAATCCACATCGCCCGAATTGATCTTCGGTCCAAATATCCCCGGACTGTCGCTGCGTCCGCTTGTTTTCCTCAACGGCGAAGCAGGATTTGATTGAATGACACCGTCCACAGTGACAAAGCTTGCTCGAACCTTGGACAGTTGTCGAGTTGTTCCGGACGAATCTGACGCAGCGGGAGATCGGCCCCGAGAAGGCGGGGAGGCAATAGGGCTCTGGCCTTCGAATTTGGCTAACAAGCTGCGCACCCCAGGGTGATGAGGGTTGTTATCGGGCATTGTCGCTCACAGACAGTAGATCAGTCGAACGATGGGCATACGCAATCGAGGGGAATTGAGAGACGCGTCTGCCGAGCACAGGGGGTGCTCCTGAAATCGGATCTAAAGGAATTGTGCAGTGGTTCAATCGGATAGCGGCAGATCTGACTGCATGTTCCCAGAAAGGCTGGGCTCAAACGCGTCAAAAACTGAGATTGGAGAATTAGAATGAGACAACAATTGAGGACAGCAGTCGTGAAGAAGGACGATTGAGAAACTATTATTACGTAGATCCGCGCTAGTCAGTCAAGCTAGTCAGACTAGCGTATCCAATAGACACCTTACGTTGTACTTGGGACCCCCTACAGATCCTCCTCTGAGACCTCCCCCTGGAGTTTCAGCCTTTCAGGGGCTTTTTCATTGATTTGTGACAAGGCCCCGTGATTTAGTACTCATGGGGTCTTTATCATCTCACCGTACATGTACTGAAAGGCCCCTGGGAAGCTTGAAAGTTGGTCTTTAGGCATTTGTCTCCGTACACAGTACACAGTAGGAGAAAGGGGCGCTTTATGCCTGAGGCAGGGATGTAAACACAGCCGAACTTTGATGTTCCACGGTTCACGATCTACTTTTGTTGCCATGGCAAAACTTATGTGGTGTGACTTTTGTCTTTCTCACGAGTCACAACCGAGAGCGAAGGCATGTATCGCATTGTTGACTAGTGCGGGGTATTCAGCGTCGGGATGAGCAGCATCCATTGTAGACGGACATGGCCATATACAGATGAGAAGGGCAATGCAATCTGATCTCAATTCATACGGTCATACCCATGCGATTCAGAAATACACAGCACCATATTCCTTACTGTATACAATAGGCGCTGTTTCACCTGGATGCCAATAAGGTTGAACGTCCATAACTACGCAGTAAGATTTCGAGGCCAGACATAGATATCCTCCGCCTAGCATAGGTAGTGGATCGAATTGGCCGCTTCTCCGGAGTCATAGCGGATCAACAATCATCCGAATCCGCAACAAAATGCAAAGCTCCGATGACGGCGAAATGTCGAGTCCAGGAAGCAATTCTACGAAAAGTCCAACAAAATGGCTGCCGCTGCCCGAACACTTCGCATTGGTACAATGGCCCATGTCTTCCGATCTTGTGGCTCGGCAATTGACTGACATGGCCGGACTTTATAGGTCTCATTCCCGGAGATGGTATCGGACGGGAGGTTATCCCGGTGGGTAGCTCCTCCAAGACTAGAAAGACGAGCCAATTCGCTAATTGAATGTTGCTCATGGAAAATAGGCTGGCCGTCGCATCCTCGAGTCCCTCCCCTCATCCCTGAACCTCAAATTCAGCTTCGTCGACCTCGAGGCCGGCTACGGCACATTCCAGAAGACTGGAACCGCTCTGCCCGACAAGACCGTTGAGACCCTGAAGAACGAGTGTGACGGTGCTCTCTTCGGTGCCGTCAGGTAAGCACAATCTCCCTGATATCCTTCACCGAGTCTCGACTGACCATCGCTGCCAATCTCAAGCTCCCCCAGCACCAAGGTCGCCGGTTACTCGTCGCCCATTGTTGCTCTCCGCAAGAAGCTCGACCTGTACGCCAATGTCCGTCCCGTCAAGACCACCGCCGGAAACAGCAACGGCAAGCCGATTGACTTGGTCATCGTCCGTGAAAACACCGAGGACCTGTACGTGAAGGAGGAGCGCACCACCGAGACCCCCGAAGGCAAGGTTGCCGAGGCTATCAAGCGCATCTCCGAGCGCGCCTCCTTCCGCATCTCCAACATCGCCGGTGAGATTGCCCTCCGCCGCCAGAACATCCGCAACGGTTCTGCCAACCCCACCCGTGACCAGCCCATGGTCACCATCACCCACAAGTCGAACGTGCTCTCCCAGACCGATGGTCTCTTCCGTGAGACCGCGCGCCGAGCCCTTGCCGCTGAGAAATTCTCCTCCGTCTTCGTTGAGGAGCAGATTGTCGACTCCATGGTCTATAAGCTCTTTCGCCAGCCTGAGTTCTACGATGTCATTGTTGCCCCTAACCTCTACGGTGATATTCTCTCCGATGGTGCTGCTGCCCTTGTTGGTAGCTTGGGTCTCGTCCCCAGTGCCAATGTTGGTGATAACTTCGCTATCGGTGAGCCCTGCCACGGCAGTGCCCCTGACATTGAGGGCAAGGGTATCTCCAACCCCATCGCTACTATCCGCAGTGTCGCTCTGATGCTCGAGTTCCTCGGCGAGGAGAAGGCTGCTGCCCAGATCTACGCTGCTGTCGATGGTAACCTCGATGCTGCCCAGTTCCTTACCCCCGATATGGGCGGAAAGGCCACCACTCAGCAGGTCTTGGACGATGTTCTCAAGAGACTGTAAAACAAAACTTGTACATAAGCCAAAATTCGCAAATGAGCGCGGAGATGAAATCAATTTCTAGGTGTATTTTTTGTACGCACTGAGAACTGTAAGTGAGAGTAAAAGATATTAGGTATTAACAATGGGTGTCGAACTGGTCTCTAACTGAGGCTCAAGTCCCTCACGACGAAGAATCTCTGTCACTCACGGCACCAGATGATGGTCCTGCTTCCCACTCAAACTTTCCTAGATTATCATCCTTGCCATTCCTCTGTTCGCGATAATCCTCTTTTATCTCATTTTCACAAAGAACCGCTGAGAACACGACGGCAAGATACACCCGCCCGTTGGACATGTCCTTGAGCGTATACCGCAGTTCATGATTATTTTTACCCACGTACTTCATGACATTGAGAGTAAACCCAGGAAGGCGAACAGAGAAGTCTACAAAACTCCAGTCAGCCAAGGATGTCAAAAAAGGGCAAAAAAGGCGATGCGCATCCACTCACCATTGAGTGCCAAATAAGGATTGCCAAAGTCGGCAACATACATCCTCCCCGGCTCAAACTCGAACTCCTTTCGATGCGCCTCATCCTGGAAATGCTTCCTGCGGCCGTCGACCGTATCGGGAATATTAAACCGCTTTCGCGTCTCGGCAGCTTCTTCGCTGTAAGCGCCTTCTTCAATGACCTCGTCATGGAGCGTTGGCACCTCGTCGGATTTCCGCATCTTGTCCCCAATCCGGAAGATATCCCATGAAGCTAATGCCGGGCTGTAGAGGTACGGCTGGTCAGCGTATACATCTCCGTCTAGACCTGGATCGAGGGCCCATTTGACAAAGCGCAGGGCTGCATTGAAGCCTGGAGGTAGGATGTCGCGGATTGGGTGGTCGAAATCATTGCCGAAGTATAGGTTGTTTCCGTTTACCGGTTCTTTGAAGGTTATTGAGAAGCAAATGGAATATAGGTCTCTGTTGTGCAGAGGGTCGTCGAAATATGGACTTGTGGAGGGTGAGTTCTCTGGATAGCCTATTCTTTTATGAGCTAGGCGCTCTGGATGGAGCTGTGGGAGGGGAGAGTATCACCTGTGTAGTCTTTGATCTTTACGCAGAGACTGATGATTGCGTGCTCGTTTTCAATTCGGATTGTTTCACCGTTCACGGGGACCACTTGATGGGTCTTGAGGTTGTAGTCTGGGCCTGCTGTTACCTTCAAGCGGCGCTGGTTGGGCTTTATTTCCTTGGCTATCATGATTGGAGATAACTGTGAAGTGATCAAGTGAGTTTGAATGTAGAATGTGTTGTGACAAGTTGTTGCTAGAGGTGTTTTATATCTGTGGGCAAATCTAAAGTTCTGTAGGCTTGACGCCTGACAACGTCATCAACTGGAGGCCCATTAACTAAATCAAGTATCTCGATAATCTTTGGAGGCAACTCAGCCTCAAAACAGTATCGATTCCTCACCACATTAGGTGTACAGTCTAGCCAACAACGGCTTCTGGGCCTTGTGTACCATCACTACATTGGGCTCACTGGGGTCTTGTCTTATTCTTTCGCGAAGAAGTTGATTTTCGTCAGCAGAAGTGGCGCAGCCTATCAAACAAATCAGACGAAATACCCCGGATAGTCTAGACACCTGATGCCGCGATACCGATGCCCTATCTTGGATTCTAATTATATCCTTGTCCCTATCTAAGAATGTTTCTACCATGGCTCTCCCAAGTGAATGCACCCACTCCGTCCTGTTCATCTGGCCCTTGGTTCGAGACGCCTGGAATGACATCATGACCTGTAAATCCCCCAAATTTACGTTGATTGGTTGAGCGGTGCATAGCACCCAAAGCGGTTAGTCCCCGGGGTTATCAAACCATAAAAGGTGGAGACGCCAAGAATATGCGCCTCAGTTTCTTTTTGTCTCTTGTGGATTTCGACATGGGCTACGGAGGTATAAGTAGGTCAAGCTTCCTCCTGAGTGAGTACAGTGTCAGTGAACATCGACTCAAGCTATGCCAAACAACACTCAGTGACTCACAATGACTTCCACCGAAGCCCACCAAACCATTACCAACCAAACCCTTCCTACTTCCATGAATCCTTTTGAATCAGACGATTCAAACACACTGAATACATCCGACACCTCCCAATCAATCAAACCCCCAGCAAATGGTCCTGCATTTACCGTCGACTTCACCTGGAAGAAATGGAAAGGCATGGTCTCTGACGCCAACAAGCCTGGCTCAGACCCTCTATACACAATCCACTTCCCATTCAATGTTTTCACCAAATACGCAGCCACCTTAGTCTTCAAGCGAAATCCAAGCGAAGAAGTCATTGGAAGCGGAATGATCAATGCGGTCTCCATCAACGCCGACTACGAGCTACACGGACAGAAGGCCCACCTCCTAGCTCAGAAGCGCTGGAAAACGGTCTACACCCACCGCTCACTCAACTTCTCTGACACCGACTCTCCAGTCACAATGACATGGACCAGCGATTGCGGGTTCAAGTCTTGGGACTTTGTTTGTGTCGATGAGCAGCAGATGCCTGTGGCGAGGTTCGCTGCCAATTGCTGGGCCCTCACTAAGGTCGGCAAGATCGAGTTCATTGGGCCCAAAGCAGAAAGTAGAGCTGCACAAGAAGAGATTATGGTTACGGGGATAACGCTGTTCTATTGCATGATGCTTCGGGCTAATAGCATTTTCAATTTCTTTGGTGCCGTCTTTGCTCGACCAGGGCATAAACAGCATATTGAGCCGATGCCCAAGGATATGGCTAGCTAGAAGGCTTCGCAAGCTGTATGAACCTTTCTTTGAAGGTGATTTTATTTTGACAATATGGAGATACCACTTACATTCATCTATATGATACATAGACGTTGAGATAATTGAGAGTTTTCTAGACTTTGTTGCATATACAATTGTCCGATAGTAGGCCTAAGTACATCTTCGGGCACAAATCCATATCCTATCAAGGAAAGGCAACATCCCGACCAAGCGAGCGAGCAACCCAATACCCAACAGCCTCTCGAATGATATTGTTACTCGACCAGTTCCGATTCGCATGCACCCGATGAGCCAACATGACCATAAAAGTATCCGACGCACGATCAACAACAAGCGTAGTCCCAGTGAAGCCCGTGTGGCCGCCGGCAAGCAAATTGGCCATGGGACCGGAGAAATAGCTCTGATTGAGCTCAAACCCAACACTGTGCTCATTTCCAGGGAACGCGGTATTAAAATTCGTGAACATCAAGTCCACAGTCTCCGGTTTCAGGATCTTCGTGCCGCCGTATGTGCCGTTGTTCAAAATCATTTGGCAGAAAATCGCCACGTCTCCGGCAGTAGAAAAGAGACCGGCGTGTCCGCTTACGCCATTCAGAGCCCAGGCGTTCTCGTCATGGACGGTCCCCCGCACTGGCTGGGGCCGTTGCGGCTCGGAGTCTCCCAGAACTTCAATTTGGTACTCTGTCGGTGCCATGCGCGCAAAATAGTGAAACGAAGGGGACTGGTTGTTTCCTTTGTTGAAGAACGTGCTGGTCATGCCAAGCTCGCTGGTATATAAATGAACATACTCGTCGAATGGTGTGTTGGTGACTTTCTCTACCAAGAAGCGCAAATTCATGAAGTTCAAGTCAGAGTATGTGTACGTAGATCCTGGGGCATCTACAAGCTCATGCTTGATGATAGCATCGACACGCTGCTGCATGGTTGTGTAGCTTGGGTCATACAGTCCAGGCAGAGGATCAGGAGGGAAACCACTCGTGTGCGTCAATAGCATCAAGACTGTGATGTTGTCCTTTCCATTGATTGCGAAGTCGGGAATATACGATGCGACGGACTTGTCCAAACTTAGCTTGCCCTCATCAATGGCACGCAATACGGCCACCGCCGTGAATACTTTGGTCAGACTGGCCATATCGTAGATTGTGTCCATTTTTGCCGGGATCCATTCATGGGCAGGCAATAATGTACCATTGGAGTCTGCATACAGACTCGCATTTCCGAAGGCGAAGGAGCTCACAATCGTGGACTGATGGCCGATAACAACAGTGCCTCCCGGCTGGATTGGGTGAACCTCATTGTGCGAAGCGGACCCATAATTGGCAGGATGAGTATACTGTGTCAAGTTCGGGGGCAGCTGGTGAAGAGGCTGGGCAAGTAGTCCCACCGACTCCGGAGATCCATGCTTGAGCACTCGGTCGGTCGCGCAACAGAGCGTGCCGGAGCTCGCAACGAGGCAAATGGCGGCAACTGTAAGTCGCATGTTTGTGTCCGGGGGGAACACTCAAGTAAATTGCCCATCATGAAAACAAATCTGATCTTGCTTCCCCCTTATCTGGGGATAATGGATCCAATGCGACTTGAAATGGTAACGGTTCCATTAACCATTTTCATTTGGATAAGATCTGCCCCTGGGCCCTGGATATGGGGTAACCCCGCATACAAACGTTAAACGTTTAGCAGGCACAGCTCATATCTCTACCAGAGACAGATAAGCTTCTTCAGTAACTACGGTAGCCCTGGAGATGGTTTCCATCTTCCTTCTTTTTGCACTGTTTGTTTAACTGTTTGACTCACTCAGTCCCATCCATGGGATCACACTCCACTCCCATAATTTCCACGAAAACGAAAACGAACACGAACGCGAACACGAACGAATCGAAAAACGAACTGACTACGAAAACGAACTTATCGACGCGAAATCATGACAACGACCCGTGGTAGGAAAATAGAGGGTTCGTCTAACGGTTAACCCGAGGAGTGAGGACCTAGTTAAGGAGGTGCCCAGCCCTACGCCCCGCCGGACCTGCCCCGGATTTTCTAAAAATAAACCGCAATTAACCCATTTGGACTACATCTGGACCCAGTTTCTGCATGAATTACTGCATCAAGCTGATGAAACGGCGACAGATCAAATAGGAAAGCCCCAAACGCCATGGAAAATCGGGTGCGTACGCAGTATATGAGCATATGTACAGGTTGACAAGTCAAATATGGACCGCAGTTCTCCAACGGAACAACAAAGTAGAGCGAAACAAAGGAAAATAAAGAACGAGAGTGTTATATACAAGAATTAGACCAAATCTGACGGGAGCGCATAATCAGAGCCGAGATCGGCCCCGATAATCGAAAGGTCATTGTCTTTCAGGACTTCGTCAGCTAGAAAGCCGATTCCACTGTCCACCCGCCGCCGGTCCTTGCCCCGGCCAACTTCGACATCAACGAATCGAGTCATGCTAACGGGAGTAATAGGTTCGCTCGCGCCCATTATGCTAGTGCCGTCTGACATCAAATCGTCGGATCTCAGTTCCCAATTAGCTGCGCGAACTTTGGCTCTGCGACGTTCTGAGTTGATCGTCTCTTTCATATGTGCGAATGACCGCGCCTGATCTGCAGCCCACTTGTCCAGAAGCTCATTGCGAGCTTCATTTTCCAGTTGGAGCTCCTGCTCAAGACCCTTATTGAGTAGCTGAAGACGTTGCACCTCACATTTCGCGTCATCCAATGAAGTGGTGAGGTCGCCGATGCGAACATTCAGTGTCCCAGTTTCTTCTTCGTGGCCTCGAAGCTCACTGTTGTATTGATCAAGAATCTCCATCGCTCTTTGACGTTCCTTTTCAAGGAGCTCCACCTGAGCGATCAAGTCGCAAGCCCGTGTCCGGTTGTGCTGGACTGCTTCCTCCAACTCCCGAATGCGGGTATCAGCTTCAGAAGCAGAGGCTTCGGCCGAACATCGCTTTGAACGTTCATGTGCCACTTGCTTTCTGAGTTTGGATATTTGCCGGGCGTAGTCCTCTTTCATAGCAGAATTCTCCTTTTCATAATTGTTGACGAGGTTTTCGAGACCCTTCACTTCATCACGATACTTGTCAAGGGCTGTGTTCAATCTATCAATCCCGACTGCCTGTTCGTGACCTTCACGCTCGAGGTCTTGCATTCGCATCCGTGTGTGGAGCATATCGCCCGCAGAAGATGTAATCGTATTCTCGAGGGTTTCGATTTTGCTGGCAGTTGTCTCATATCGATGCAGTAAAGCGTCAAATTGCCCTCGCAGAGCCCTTTCACGATCGAGCGAGCCGTGGTGGTAGTTACGCTCTGTGTCCAGCTCTTTTGCCAATGACTCGACGCGCCTGACTAGTGCACCTAGGGTTGCTTTGCCGTTCTCGAGGCTGGTATTGGCAGTTTCTCCAGGAAGAGCACGCTCAAGCTCAAGACGTGCTGTACGGAAGTGGCTGCGCATATCAGATATCACCTCAATGATGCTGTCTCCGGAGAATCCCAGGTTAGAGCACTCCTGAGTGACTCTTTCAAGGACCTCAGTGGCATCTGAAGCACGAGACAGGGCGTTTTCTAGAAGGCCTAGAATGTCATCGAAGAAATCTGAGGGAGGAGACGAATGACGGAAGAGGTGATTTATTCCAGGTTGGTTGAACCCAGAGATGCGCGACCGACATGCATCGAATAGGTTTCTCTTTTCTCGCCTGGCAGCCTCCAGATCAAGGGTCAGAGAGTGGACCTCGGCTTGATCCGTACCATTTGAATCCCGCGTCCCAGTGCTGGAAACGGGTGTTTGGGGTTCGTCGCATACCATCAAGCTGGCGGTGATTGGAGGGTTACGACCCTGATTACCACGAAGATCGGGAGAGCTAGATACAATGACGGCACTGTCGTTGAATGTGAAGGTATCTTCATTGCTGTCCAATGAGGGTGCAACACTTTGCAGCCTGTCACTGGAAGCTACTGATACATCCTCGCAGGATCTGGGTGTTGCGGGTGTCATCCAGTAAGATTCAGCGAGCGAGTTTTGATCTTCCAATGCTGTGCCGCTCTGCTTCATCGCACTTAGTTCGATTCTTAGGGAATCTCGCTCCTGAAGCAATGCTCGCAAGGTTTTCTCCATGTTGCTCGCCTCACGCTTTTCGCGCTCAATGTCATTGACTTCATCGCTCAATCCAATTCGTCGAATCCTCCTCTGCGTACGCGTATCCAGGATTTGGCGCAGCGGAGTGAATTGAACTCTTCGCTCGGTGCATGTCTCATCAAATGGCTCCTCTGGGTCATACAGGCGCTGGAAACGTGGCGTTGGTGTAGACCTGCGTCGGGCCTTGCGGTTAGGTGTGCGGTCCCCGGACCTTGATTCGAACGATGTACGACGCATCGCCGGGGTCAGACCGGTCGAGCTGACGTCTGCATCATGCAGCAAACGAGGTCCGGGGTCGGAAAACCGAACTTTCTTTCTGGATCTCTTGGGTGTGACAGAGACTGATTCTGGTGGACTGGGACCAGCATCTGCTGCGACCGCTGCCAGGCTCTGTCTAGTTCGATGTGAGACTGGAGAATGATTTGGGTTTAAGAGAGAGCTCTTTCGTTTTCTTCCCGACCGAGTGGTTTCCATAATGAACAACAAGTTTATCGAGGCCAAGTTAAGGATAGAACAATGCTTGATGAACCTGGGGTTACACAAAAATAAGATATGGGAGTTAGCTATCCATTGGATATAGGGATAAGTGTTTATAAACAGATTCTATAGATCACAAGCTAGGGTGTAAACAAACAAAGTTAGTGGGGCTACAGGCAGCAGGCGCGCAGGCGCGTGTCTTCAGGTGATGGTAAACAAAATGCTTCTTTGGGAGATCAGGTGACAGCCTTGGCCATTCTTGTGCCACGTGATATAACAGTGAAGTCACGGTTTGACGCATGCGCATAGTTATCGAGACCATCGGTATATATCATCAGTCCATGACCATGTACATTGATTGTTACAAGACGACTATTGACTCATGAGCGTAAACGAGGCTAAAACATAAAATGCATTCACAGATGGAAGAACTTATTCAATCTAGTTTATACTCCCGTCAAACTAAAAAAAACTAAATGGGCCGACAATGGAGTCATGGGCCCTTACGCACATGTTCGAATCAGTAACTATTCATTGGGGTCATAATTCTTCTTTACAAATATCCAACTGTATCAAACATAGGCATATGGGGTCAATACCTAAGTGAATAATACTCAAGTGCCCATTGGTCATGTGCATCCTCAAAATCGGGCTCGAATGCCCCCCTTATCACACCAACTCCAAGGTGGATGCTAGGCCTAGGGGATCCTTCGGGACGATGCTCCTTAAAGGGATTTCCTCCTTCACCGTAGATGAAATCCTCTACCTCCTTCTCAATCCATACACCGTGTCCATATGCATGGCTCCCTATGCCTAGTATGCTATCCCCATCGATTGGCACACCGATGGTAATTTTGGGTCTTGATCTCGCATCTCGGTCTCCCCACAACGTGCCCTCTGATACCATCCGCCTGATTTCTTCAAGCATACTACACCAGTTTCCATCGTCATGGAAGTACAGCATACTAAGTTCAATGGAGCGAACGGATTCTGGTAGCGTCTTGAGGAAAGAGACACAATCATCCTGTGAGATAAGAAAGCCGGAGAGTTCGAAATGGCGCAGTTTCGACCATTGTTCCACAGGCACAATGCTCTGTAATGGGATCAAAGGCCATTCGAACCAGGCGTAGAGAGTTCTATCAAATGTTGTATGCAGCCTGAACTCTTCCATTTCTTTTGCTTCACCAAGTGCCCGGCGCAGACGCCCGTTAAGCAGAGATCGCCAGCATGATTCGAGGTCATCCTCATTTTGACCACTAACAAGCAAGGCAATATCCAGACGACGGAAGCCCGGCTTCTTAAGCACGGTAGAGAAATTGCTGTACGCATCGGGAGGCACCCAGGAATTGTCGAAGATTGTGCAGTTGATCCCCGTGGGGACAGAGTTAGAAGTCATCACCAGCTCAGAAACAGAGTTGGGTTCGTTGGCGAGGACACGCATTGCCGCACGGAACCCGCGGTACCGACCTCTAAGTTCCGGGTAGTGATTCCATAAATATGCAGTAGGCATCGTATCATCTCTATCGTATAGCCAACCACGAGGAATAGGGTAATTGAAACCTTCCGGGAAAACACGAATCATAGGGGTCGGGTAAAGCGGGGTGATGGGAGTGCCGTGGGCTGCAGGTGTGATAGTAACTCTCTTCAGGGCAGGAAACTGCCTAACGCCGAATGCAAACGCTTCCAAATCACTCTGACCGGCAAGAACATCCTTCTGTTGACGCAGCAACTCCAGATAATGTTGCCAGCACTCCCCCAGCGACAGCTGAGCGCGAACCTGTTCTCGGCGCGCGATATGGTCGGACCTGCCCGCATCACGAATGTCCTGCCATTTCTGAACCCAAGAATTTTCCTCGCAAGCGTTTTTGAACCATCTGGGACACCTATCTCCCTCTTCAGTCTCATGGAGCTTGATAATTTCCTCTCTGTATTCCGGGTCGTATGCCGCAGCCCATTCTCTGTTGTTATCGGGTTCATCTTCGTCAGAGAGCAATTCATGCCCCTCATCAGGGTCGGATGTTCGTTTTGGACCCCGTTGCAAGCGCGCCTCATCCCAGATAATCTCGTTGACCTGATGGCGGAACTTGTCGTGTGATGCAATGTTGCGGAAGACCTCTATGTTGAGGGGGTTGGCGGATAAGAAAACACGATTGAGTCGAAGAAACACTGTATTGTTGAATTGCTTACATGTCAGACGCAAGGACTTTATGTCGGCATTGGATAGATGTGAGTCAATGCAGCCCCAGAGCTCCAGGGGTAGCGCGGGGGGACTAGTACTGGTATCAGCCATAATATGATTGCCGAGCGTTAGACCCATATCATTCACGAGGGACTTTGGCGTCCGTTAGGCTAGTTATGCCGCATGCGCAAGATTTCGATCACGTGAGACGCGACCCCCCTTATCACATGGGTGCTTCGCTAACGCCCAGCAACAATCTGTCTCTTCAAACCTGCCCTGTTCTTCTGCGGAAGCTCGATAAATGTTATCATAAGCTTCGTCCGGCCGCTAGGCAGATCGAATACGTCCACCTCGTACCTGGCGTTACCGTGACCATTGGTAATGAATGGGTTGTGCCCTATTCCCCCAACCTCGAGGCTCGCGTGGATGTTCAAGGCCCACATCAACCTGGATGTGTGTAGCTCGATCAAAGCGCTATTAGTATTCAATGTTCACACATATGTTTTTGGCAGGTATTGAGCGCGCCACCTAGGTACCGGCGGGCGGCACCGTACCGCTGAGTGCGAGGTCGGTGCTCAGAGATGGATTAAGCAGTTTCAATGTGAACCAACCTTGAAAAATTGATACTTTTTGCCATAGAATTAAACGATTAAACACCGGAGCAGACGCAGAACGTGTCGCTGTGGGATGAGGATAATGATGTTCTTATTAACCCGATTTAGCTCGCTTTACATACATACTGTCACTGTGGGTTTATTGGGGCAATTCGTCGGAATATAGCCTTGCCAGTTGGCGGGAGGCTTGCCAGTTGACGGCAAGCTCGCTAAATACGCGTCTGGAACTCGGCACCCACCAGTGGATACTGGCAACTGGACACAATATTTTTGTTCATGCGTTTCATTAGAAGGAACACTACTATACACATGCTGGTACCTACACGCTCCTTCTCATCCAAGTAGAATTTATCTCCAATAAGGAAGGCACAATCCACGCTTCTCCTCGTTCAGGATGGAAGGAGTCGTCACTTGATTCGAGCTCAGCCAAAGGTATGAATACCTCGCATCCGCAAGCGTGAACCCGTATGTCAAGTGTATTGACGTGATGAAGTAAGACGTAAGACCGCATATCTCTCCGGCGCGATGTGTAGAAAATTGATACCATCGCTGGGAGGCCTGGACTATTTAAGTGCATTCCTTTCAAGAGTCGCCGAAACAGCACAGTCGAGGCCATGGATAGGTTAGATGATTGTTGTTTCCCTTTCTTAGACCTGGAATAGCGATATATGATCTCATATCTGCCGAGCCACTGGGCCTCATAGTGATCATTTGTGTGTTTGCTTCAACAATCATTGTTCAAAGCTGCTATGACTGTTGCGTATTGGCTGTCAGAGCCTCGTAGAACAGACGGACCGAGCGTCTCGATAGAAATATCAGATAACACTGATGGATCATGACATTGGCTCCGAAGATGGAAGCGGGTAAAGGGCCGTGTGACTGAAAAGCTGGATCCAGCTATCTCTCGATTCTGGTTCAGTGCAAGAATTCACAATGCCTGACAATGGACGATGACTGAAGAGGTGATTGAGAGCAAAATGGGGGCATATGGTGAATTGCTGCCACATTAGCGACTGAGTGGTCCGCGGTAGATGTTTCATATTCTCATTGTCGCGAGTATGATGCATACCATAATCGACTGGTAAGGCAGAGAGTCTCGGGATGCGTAATTTGTAATGGATTTACTCATGGTTGTCATGGTGACGCTGAGTGGTCTGTGGTGGACAAATGTCATGATTGCCATGGAGATCTGATGAATGCATGATGCATAACCAAATAGGAAGAGTCACGATTCGTAGGTTGTAGGGAATTCAAGCCATGGTCGTTATGATAGACGCTGAATGGTCTATGTAGTTTTAAGTTTGATGGCAAAGTTCTCAGTGAACGCTGAGTGGTTTGCAAGAGAAGGCCAACACGGCTGGCCCTCAAACATTTGTTGTAGATGTTGCCATGGCCGTCACGCTGTATGGTGGAGGCTGGGTGGTTGCAGTGAATGGACAACAAGGTTGGAAGAATGGTTGTGATGAGATGCATTGATTGATATGGCCATATGGAGCGGTGGATGGTGCCTGGGCAAGTAGAAAGATTATAGCAGGTGGAAAGAAGTAATTGCAGCATGGAAAGACCCATTGGGTGATTTGCGTGCGGTGAGTGGAATTTATGATGAATGCTGGTTGGTTTGATGTGGATTCACTGTGATGGATATACGACGTGGTAGATGGCATGGCATGGTGTGGCGACTGTTGTATGATTTTGAAAATCAAGATGGAGAACAAGACAGAGAAACCTTTGGTAGGCAAAGGGATTGTAGGAAAGAAAGCGTCATTTGGGAAGAGGATATGTAGTCTTGATGGATGCATTGGCAAGTTGAAAGGACTGCAACGGGAAGGAGGTGTTTTGTGGCAGATCGCGGAGGTGAGAAGAAGACTCGTCAGGTCGGTCAGGATGATCTTTTCGTCGTGGATGACGGCGAGTGGTTTAAGATAGAGAGTGTGTAGTGGCAGGGGCTCTATGGTCGGTCAATTGGAAAGACCTAACGATCGGGGTCTTTTGTTGAATGGGCTGACAATGAGCAGGAGCACGCCTCTTGTGCGGACTTTCCCCAAGTAAGGCTCATGGTTGCATAGTGGTTGGCTGATAGAATTCACGGATGATGGGCGCGGTGAACAGTGAGGCCAAGGTGAGCGGTGATGATGTTAAATGGTTGCATGTTAGAGATGCAAAGACTTGTAAAGACTTGGGGCAGACAGGAAGGACCCGGGTCCATGATTCACGGCAAGGCTGAACATAGTGGAGCGAGTGTGTTACTAGACAGAATTGATTGAGCGGACTTGGTTGTCAGAATGAGTTTACTATATCCGACCTTCCGATTGCCCTGAAGCCGTGAGGCCCGCCACGGCAAGGCTGGATATAGTGAATCGAATGTGACTAGACGGAGTCGTTGAGCGGAGGGAGTTGAGCGAAGGGGGTTAAGTGGACGTGGTTGAGGGAACGAGTTTACCATATCCAACCTTCCGATTGCCCTGAAGCCGTGAGGCCCGCCACGGTAAGGCTGGTTATGGTCGAGAAGATATGCGTGGGTAGGCGGAGTTGAGGGAGGATGAGAGAGGATGAGAGAGGATGAGAGAGGATGAGAGAGGATGAGAGAGGATGAGAGAGGATGACAGAGGATGAGAGAGGATGACAGAGGATGAGAGAGGATGACAGAGGATGACAGAGGATGACAGAGGATGAGAGAGGACGAGAGAGGATGAGAGAGGATGAGAGGGGATGAGAGAGGATGAGAGAGGATGAGAGAGGATGAGAGAGGATGAGAGAGGATGAGACACTTATTTATATCATTTTATATCATTTGCGTCGAGGTACCTTCCTGAACGGGAAGGATATACTAAAACGAACGCTCTTTCCCAAGTTGCAAATCACTTGATAAGCCATAGACCCAGGTCAACCACCTCATGGATATTCAGCCGACTCCTGCTTATAATATGCCTATGTCACCATGTTAGACTCCATGGGATTCCTGGCACCAAAGATGAGAGAATCATATCTAATTCCTTCAGTATCTCGTAATTTATACCAATGTTCGTCACGGACAACCCATTCTATTCTTACTGCAAGACACAGCGCAAAATGATATAGACACAGAACAGTTAGCGTTAGGTTGACCACGTATTGAAGACTATATATGCTGCTGCATTCACTACCTATACGTAGTTGTCTACGCAGAATGTCCACTCTCCAAAATTCGGGCATTTCCTAGATATATTTGCTTTCGATCAAAACTCCGGAAGCCATGCTAACCCGTGGTATCGTAATGAAGATTGGTTTCGATTCCGTAGGGGTTGTTGTCCTATGCGCTGACACCGGGGAAGCAATCAGCGAGACCCTTGTGCTTGTTGGAGGCGTGCTCGAGCAGGCTGTATGCGATCGGTTAGCAAAAGAGTTATATAAGGTATACTGCCCGGTGGAACAATCCAATGGAAGCACCGAGGTTTGCTCGGATTAGAGATCAATGTGGATTTACTTAGTACATACTTACGCAGGGCCCCAGGGGCCGCCTGGAGGAAGGTTTGTCTGCAGGTCTGGCACTGAATGGTCATGGCCTTCTCTCCATCTTCTCTCTCTCTTTTTCTTTTCCTCCTACAGTCCTACACATGTGACATCCATCTCTTAGGTCCTTTTTTTTATCATTCCCATCCCACCTCAGGCACCATCCAACCACAATGACTCTTCAACTCCAAGGACTTCCAAACTCAGGCTACCTACCATAGGAACCTTCCACCACCTGGTGTCATGGCATTCAGTCATGGTGCACCATGACAAGATGCCATGGCATGTTATTGTTATACACCTGCATACAACAGACCTAAGTACCGGTAACCAGAACTGCAACTATTGATATTTGGAATTTGATTCGTCAGAAGCTGTTTCACATAGATTGCACAGGCCCCTCACTCGATACCTGGCTAAGTAACATTAAGTACCCATATTCACATTTTGCCACAAGGTACATCTTTTTCTGTGTACATACTGTCGGGTGTATTGTTGTTAGGTCGACCAACTTCCTTCAGATCTTCTTTCTTTGAGAGCGGAAATTGGGCTTGATGGATCCATGGATCCTGATGTCAATGAGTACATGACATAACAGGAACGCAGACTCTGCCCAGGGCATGAGAAAGTAGCACTGTTGGTTTAGTGCTAGAATTTACAGAAGAGAAAGAATACAAGTCAGTTTGAGAAGTAATGAGAATAAACTGCACATAAATGTACAAATGTCCTGAGTAAAAGCCCAATCATCGTCCACGGTGTACTTCGTAATTCGCCAAGACTTAATATAAAAAAAGGTGCGATGACGTACTGGCAACCAACGCCAATGACGTCGGACCCGTTATACTGGAGTTACTATGTTCATTGTCGGACATGACCAACTCTTTTATCTGTTCTGCGCACACCCCCTTGTGTTCTTCGTATCGCATCTTTTGATCTGAGCTCTTTTACTCTAGCCATCTGAGACCAACATAATCCGCAGGCCCAGTTGCCCTAAATACAGTCATCACACCAGTACATGAGTTCGAACATCACCAAAATAAGCAGCGCAATGGCAAACATATCGATCAGTGCTCCTGGCCTCAACGGCGGTGGGTTTCTTTACAATAACGGCAACAACAATGCACGATTATGCATCACAGCCGAGTCCGACGACTTCGACATGGAGATTATCAAGAGCTGGCAAGACGAAGGATTCGACGTGGTCTACCTGCCATTCAATAATGGAGGGAAAGAATACGGTCGCCGGCTGCAGTCCGTGAAGGAGGGTCTCGGGGTAGGCGAAAATTACGCAGTGATCGGTATGTGCAAAATTTCCCGACGGTCTCTTTAGCATTTGAAGTATATAACTAAATGTGAGATTCTCAGCCTACGGTGACGCTGCAGACTATTGTCTTGATTACTATATAAATTCCGTCAATGCTAGTCGACTATGCGCTCTGGTTGCCTACTACCCCAGCCTGATCCCCGACACGCGATCGCGATTCCCCCTTTCGCTCCAGGTCCTGGTGCACTTGGCAGGTGACAGCGTGGATGTTCTTGTACAGCCCGTCGCACTCGGAATACAGGGGAAGAAGCGCCGCCAGACACGGCCTATCAACGCTGGTATCGGGACTGGAGAGCGGCTGGATCTGGCCTATCCAGCGTTCACATACGATAATGCTGTGCCTGGGTTCGCAGAGACGGACTTGGAGGAATATGATCACTTGTCGGCGAGTCTGGCCTTTACGCGGACTTTGAAAGTCTTGCGAAAGGGCTATTCGCGGGATCCGGATTTCGAGCAGCGGTTAGAGCAGCATGTGGAGGGTAAGTTACCATCAAAAGTTGATATAGGAACGGCAGGCTAATTTCCTCTAGCCAAATTTTTCTCGTCGGACATCAAAAAGACGATGGACGCTTATGTCCAACACAAGACCCCCGGAGTCACTTATACGCCGACTATCAGTGGCGGAATCGGGAAAAAGCCACTGCGCCAATTCTATGAGCAGTACTTCATCGGCAAGCTGCCTCCGTCCATGCGCCTCCGGCTGCTATCACGCACCACAGGACCCGATCGCATTGTGGACGAGCTGTACGTGAGCTTTGAGCACACACAAGAGGTTCCGTGGATGCTCCCGGGCGTCCCAGCGACGAACAAGCGAGTCGAGATCATCTTAGTCAGTATTGTAAGCTTGCGCGCTGGGCGTCTTTACTCCGAACACGTTTATTGGGACCAAGCCAGCGTCCTCGTCCAAGTTGGTCTTCTAGACCCCAAGCTGTTGCCACCCGGAGTCCAGGGTGTCGACCGATTGCCAGTTGTCGGGCGGGAAGCTGCTCGTCGCATCCTCCACGAGGATACAGAAGTTGAGCAGGTAGATTACCATAACAAAATGATTCGTCGCGCCCGTGCGCGAGCGAGAAGAAACCTGAACCGGAGCTCGCGTGCTTCACAGGTCGGCGAAGAGTCTGGTGCTGACCTGAAGAGTGAGGCGGAACAGTCCTTGCCGGATAGGAGCCGGAACAAGGGCAAGACAGTCCAGGAGGCAAAACCTGCGGGTCTGCAGCGCACGGCGACGGAAGTATCTTCAGCTGCATATGTGGAGGATGGCGCTGAGACGGAGACAGAGTCTGGTGCTCAACCCAAGTCTGAGCAGACTTGACTGATCACTTCTACTTCTCTCTGTCGTGACGATCACGAGGACGTTGCTGTAGCCTTTGCTGAGAGTGACATGATGATTTACGCGGACAAGCCGAGTTTGGAGTCATTGTCTTATATTTTGGACGACTGTTTTCTGATAATGAGTAATGTTGTACCTGTGGATGTCTTTTGTTTCACCTTGGTCCTTGTCACTGTTCTGGAATATATGATGAATGCGACATGTACTTTTGGCCAGATGTTGCAAGAATTAAGTTAGCTTCGAACTAGTTAATTAAAGAACCTTGGAACAAAGTCAAAGCCGCGTGACACTTTATGGGGAACCATGCTGCTTTTAGCACTGACGTCAATTCGCCTACCTATTTCCATCTATTTCTGTGACATGTATGGGACATGCAACGCAGCAACCCTCAGACTTGGCCTACGGTTATGCAGTAAAGGATGCGGCATTCCCATTTCCAGCCAGGCCACAAACCTCCGATCCATCCAGACTTCCATCTGAAAGAATCACATGTAACAGGCCCCGTGTCCTTTCTCAACCCGACATCGGCACATTACGAACCGACCCAGTACCGGGCAGCCCATGAGCCAAATGGAGAACCCCGAGGACAGATTCCTGCCACCCCGCAAATTAATCGTCTTTGGCGATCGCGCGACAACAGAAAAGGCCGACATGCCCTTCGAGTTGATCCTGCGGTCTCACCCCGTGAAACAGGGGTCACGGCGCCACCACTTACACGATCCGGCCCAGCCGTAGCCAAGGGCATTCTCCGGATGTTCAGCTACGCACCTTATTGGGATGTATCCTACCTAGTAGCGACGACGTTCACTCTTGGGTCCGCGATTTGGATCATCAATGCATTTTTCGTGTGGTTACCGCTTGCAAGTCCGAAGACCGAGTTCCACGGCGAATCACCAATCGGAGGTGGTGTTACGGCCTTTGTCGGTGCAACTATTTTCGAAATCGGGAGTGTGTTCTTGTTTCTCGAGGCTGTGAATGCAAATCAAACTGGCTGTTTTGGCTGGGCGCTTGAGACTGTCCTTTCGAAAGCTGAGGACGAAGGGTGGCGCCAAGATGCGAAGAAGGAGCTAAGACCGAGTATGTCGAAGTGTGAGCATCATCATGCGAATCGGGAGCATCTGCTACGGGGGAGGCTTTCTCATGTCACTGATGGTGCCGAGCATCCGGGTCATGAAACTGGCGGGTATATCACTTCGTCGCCAGATGGCAGATCCTTCCGATGGGTTCCATCGTGGTCGGAATTGCGGACGCATTATCTTCGTGAATTGGGCTTTTTAGCTTCTTTCATTCAGTTACTCAGTGCGACGGTCTTCTGGATTGCTGGGTTGACTGGTCTCCCCGGTATCTTTGATCATATGAGTCATGGCCTTGTTGATGGTGTCTACTGGGCGCCTCAGATCGTTGGTGGAACGGGGTTCATGCTGAGTGGGCTGCTGTTTACTCTTGAGACGCAGACAAAGTGGTATATTCCTTCTTGGCATGTCCTGGGATGGCATGTCGGCGCCTGGAATTTTATTGGCGGGATAGGGTTTACTCTTTGTGGTGCATTAGGGCCAGCGAGTGCTCACTCTGGCGTTGAGTATCAAGCAACTCTTGCCACTTTTTGGGGCTCGTGGGCTTTCATGATAGGGTCTACGATCCAGTGGTATGAGAGTTTACAGAAACATCCTGTTGAGAAGAAGTGCTACTAGTTGGCTTGGACCAAGTCATCATCAGGGAATGGCAACCAATCGCACACATCATCATCTCCAACCCTCTTGACCTTGCGACGTTCAACGGCTGGGAAGTACATAGTTCGACGTGTTAGAGAGTTGCCAAGCATTTCCAAGCCTTCTGAGAGGCGAAAAGCCGACCATCGGCATGTATAGGGATTGCCCACATTCCACACACGATCCTAGATCGACATGTGATGGACCCTTTGAGACTGGAATGTGCGGTGAGCCAATGATCCGATCTGTCAAGGACAGGAGTTCATTTATGACACTTGCCAGCCCCTAAGTATGACGCTGGGAGAGTGTTTAGCTTTGAGAAGCGTTTCATGTCAAGCACCAGAGCCATTCCAGTCATTCTTCCCCGCCATCCTATTACCGCGATATAGCAGCAATGATGAAATGTAAAGGGTCGAACCGCCTATATAAGAAGAGCAAGATATGGTCGTGGACTTGGCTTTCTGATCACCCAATCTGACCTGACTGTTCAACTCAATAAGTCACGTACCCGAAACTCAAGCAACAATGCATCCACTCACCACACAACTTCTCTCCCTATCCTTGCTATCAAGCACAGCTTATGCACAAAGCGTCGCAAGAATCTGGACACACTTCTATCCAAACTGTCCTGGCGAACCATTCACCAAGCTCGACACGTACGAAAACTATAGAGAATCCGGCCCATCCCAAGACATCGAAGTGGGCAGCTGCAAGAACTTCGCCGTCCCCTCTTACGAGCACAGGCTCGTCAGCGCCATCTCCGTCGACGCAGAGCTTCTTTCCCATAACCACGACCTCCCCTTCCTGGAAGGCGGCAGCGGCTGCAATATCACCGTGCACGAGGTCCCAGAATGCATTGATCCGCCCCTGATCAGCCAAGAGATTCGGAACGGCGTTGAAGTTAGCCAGTGCGAGCCGCGCCAGTTTGCCGCTTACACCCAGGTCTGGGTGAATCTTGTTTGCGACAGTGACAGTCCCGTTACCAGTGCCAATGATCATACTCCGAGCGAAGAGGCGCTGAAACAAGCAGACACTCAGCAATCTCTTCCTACCAACCAGCCTGATCAGCCTGTGCGCACTGAGAAGCAGACTACCGTCGAGGACATCAATAATATCCAGACACCTGGATCGGACGCTGACTCGTGGCATTCGTCTCAGGCTACGCAGAACCAGCGTGAGCCTGAACAGGAAAGTCGTGTTGACAGTGCCGGTCATGCGGAGAGTGATCGCATCGTTCACCAGATCATGGAGCTGTTGAAGAATAAGACGTCGACTATCGTCTCTGCGAAGCATAATGGGACTCATCACATGCAGCCTGGGCCGTTCAAGAACGGTACTATGCCGGGCAATCGCACTGTGACGACGCGTCGGCGACTGGCGGTTTTGCGTAGCCGGGTTGCCCGTCTGGTTTGAAGTGGTCTGTGAACTGTATAGCCTCCCAGTCATGTTTGATGAAATTGAATCACCTGTGTATACTATGTCAATCAAAAGTCAATAACAGCGTTATTCAAGACTTGAAAACCTCGCACTAGTAATGAAGCAATGAACGGTGAGGCATAATTTGCAGAGACTCCCTATCGCAGCTCTCCGCTAGGCATTTGAACCGCTTTAAGGTTGCAGTTTTCTCTCACGATCTCTCCAGTGACTAGCCTTGCTTCTTGATGAATTCGAGGTTTTCCCAGGCCTTCCCATAATCTAGAACTCCAATGTGAACCCATCCATCGGCCTCCTGTATGTGCGTACAGCGTCTTTGTGAATGAGTACTACTGAACATCTGCAAGTGGCTATTCTAACTTGTCTCTTCATCGTTTTCTTGTGTGGACCGTTTGCGATTGGCAGCCTCTTTTCCCGCAAAGGTGAACAGCATGCCAAGATCATAGCCCACCTTTAAGCATCCTGCAATGATGAAGGATACACCGAAATGGCCATTGCGAGACAGAATACCGGTCAATAGGGGTCCCAAGCTCTGAGTGGTAGTCTTGACAACGTTGACCGAACCCATGATTGCAGTGCGCTTGTCTGCGGGGAGAGCTGCAGCAAGGAATGCGGAGCGAGGCGCCACATCCATGTTCTGAGAGCAGGCTCGCAGAACCAAGAAAGTCAATGATAGAGGTAGGCTCGAAGGAATGGATATTAGAGCCAGGCAAATAGCCGATGGAAGATGAGTGAAGACCATAGTCTATTAGAATGTTAGAAGTTGCCCAACTGTCCAAGTCAATAATATCATACCTTGACATTGCCGATGCGCTTAGCGAGCGACGAGGCCACTAGCATGGATGCCGCGGAAATAATGTTCGTGGTAAAGAATATAGTGCCGAGTTCTCCCTCGGGAAGATTGAACTTGCCCTTAAAGTAATAGGTCATCCAGGACCTGGACAGATCAGCATTTTGTAGTCGACAAGACCAAGTATCACACTCACAATGAAGCCAGTCCGGATGCGAAAGAGTCTATTCCAAATAGAATGAACAGGCGGATGACCAGCGACCACAAATCCTTCTCGATAGACGGGAATAAACTCCTCTTCTTTGGGCTCCGCTCGGCGTTCTGTTCAGTTGGTCGTGCCAGCAGCGATTGAGTCTCAGAGCTCTGCTCTTGAGGCTCTTCTTTCTGAGCTTCTACCGTACCGCTCAGACCCAGAGTAAGAATGAGCTTGACGATGCCAACGCCAGCATATACAAAGAAGATGATGCGACAAGCGGGAATAAATGCCCAACCGTGGATGGATTCTAGTGAGTTGATGATCCAACCACATACAAGCATGCCAATGGCAGAGCCGGCAGTTCCAATCAACGAATACCAAGCATATACATCGCTCAGGCACTCATTGGGGGTGAGATGGGCCAGAGTGGATTCCTCAATGGCTCGGAAAGGACCGATTTCATTTCCACTGCGACATTAGCTTTGTCCAGAAAAGCGACACATCAGAGTAATCGAACAAACCTAGGACTAATGACACCGAGCACTGCAGCCGCCAACAGAATCCAGTAATTCCCAAAGAGGGCAAAGATAATTCCACTGCCAGCCATCAAAATCGATCCGAGCGACAAGACAACCTTGCGACCCATGGAATCGGCAAATAGAGTCAGGAAGAAGCTGATCACCACATCCCCGACCAGTGTGAGTGTCATGAACAACCCAATGCGGTCGTCGGAGATCCCTATGGCTGACAGGTACGATGCCAGAATCAAAGTGGACCCGCCGTACGCGAAAAGGCGGACGAAACGCTGGGCGCAGAGAAGCTTCACGTCGAGCGACGACCGCCACATGGTGGTGAGGCCCAGCTCATCAAGAACATTGGCCAGGGACCGCTCAAACCGCGAAAGATTCTCCATGGTCAGTACGGGGTAGGTTGGAAAGAGAACAATTCCATTATGAATCACGCAAGTAATAGCCGATCTTTAACTCCGAGCTCGGGACGGGGGTAACGGGGTTCATGCCGGAGCTAAGCTTTCTTGGGATGTGGCTGGTGGCTGAAAGTGGCTGGAAGTAAGGTTTAGTGGTCCTATCACGTGGATGGGAACATTTGTTCATTTGACATTTATGTACATGGAAGAGAAATAGGACGATACTCCCGTTCATCACAACTGCGCTCTCTCCACAGTTTCAGTCTTGGGAGGCCATTTCACCCGTCGTTCCGCCCGTACATACAAGTTGGTAGGACGGATCAACTGGAACATGGGATCATACTCGACCGGCCCATCATTCTCTTTCGTGAACTTGTACCGGTACAGCAATTTGGGCAAGAAAACCTTGACCTCCTGCAATGCGAAGTTGAATCCAATACACATACGTGGACCGGCAGCGAAGGGGATATACGCAGCCTTGTGTCGGTTCTTGACTTCTGCCGTGTCCCAACGATCTGGCTCAAATCGGGCTGGGTTAGACCAGACTGCTGGGTTATTGTGTACGTGGTGAAGGGCCGGAATGATGATTGAATCTTCGGGGAGCTTGTATCCACCCGGTAGAATCATATCCACCTTGGCAGTACGTGCAGGCTGGTATGAGGGGTTATGGCGGCGCTGAGTCTCTTTGATGAATTTGTCCAAAAATGTCAGACGATCAGTCAGATCCGCAGTCATCGGAGTATCGGCATCGATGTCGTTATCAATCAGCTCCTGTAAGAGTCTTTCCTGCATACCAGGATAGTTGACTACTGAATATAGCAGCCACGACAGCAACGAGCTTGTGGTAGTGAATCCAGCTCCGGTGGCTACTACTAACGCCTCCATCAGACTCGTTTTTGGCAGCTTCTCTCCTTTATTATCGGTGGCGCGAATGATATAATCTGTCCATGGATCAGCACCTCCTTTTTTTCGAGTGTTTCCCCAGCTTACTCACCGATCATATTAGACGCCTGCAATGCAGCATCCTGCAGCGGGAGGTCTTCAACTCCATTGCGGGAAGCATTTGCAATCGACTCGCTCACCATTTCCATGATTCGATGACGAGCGTCCCGCAAACGTTTCGGGTCTCCGAAGGGCAACTTAGCGTACCAATCACCACGAGCGGTCACCTTCTTGTTCAGCTCTAATGACTCGGCGATGCGGTAGACAAGTTCGTGGGGTGGTGCGTCCACGGCGGAGAAATGCTTGAAATCCATACCAAGCACCAGCTTTCCAACGGCCTGAGAACCGAGTTTGAGCATGTAAGGATAAACATTCCACGCCTCGCCACGCTCGTCTAGCTCGTCGAATACACTAAATGCATCTTCGACGGTTTCTTGCATGGTGGGTGCATAGTGGCGCACTGCTTTCGGTCCCAGCGCTGGTGGAAGGAATTTGTGAGCCGCACGCCATTCAGGGGTGTCGGTGTCGCCCAGGAATACACCGGCTTGTTGATTCTTGATCGGGTAGAGAGGGTGTGCCTCGTTGATTTTCTTGGTGAAGAAATCAGATTCGGCAAACACGATGGCCGATAGCTCAGGATCGTTGGTGTGGTACACTTTCCTGCCCATGTTGGTTGTTTGAATAATGGGTCCATATTGCTCAAATAGGCGCTGATGGTTCCCCAAATGATCGGGGTAGATCTCGAAGTAGTTGCCCACAAATGGCAATCCTTTGGGACCGGGGATCTCCCGAACTGCCTTGCCGTCTATTGAAATGGCAATGGGCTCTTCGGTGGCAAGGATTTCCGAGAGGGTGGACAAGATCGACTCGTCTGACTGGAATCCAATGCCTTTTTCCAAAACTCAGAATCAATTCAGAGGCAATGAGACAGGGACTTACCATTCGGCTCGACAATGGCGAACTGGCCAGCGACGAGGAGCTGAAGTCCTTGGAAGTCGACTGTCGTCTCTACCTCGATGGGTCGAGCTGAGGTGACAGCTTCACCCAGCAAGTAAAAGTGTTGAGCAACCATCTTTCGCGTAGGAGGTCGAGGTGTTGTCTGAGTTTCTCTTGAGGGGTCTGAGAACATTTATAAAAGGATCTTGTTATCTGAGCGATTTTGGAACTGCATTGTCGACTCCACTATTCAGGAAAGTGCCTAATCCCGATCTCTTTCGATTCATAATTGTAAAGTGTAGATGCATATTTCTGGAAGCCTCGGTACTTTGTATGTGTTTGACTTGGGCTCCACTGCAATTTCGGGTAAAGTAGACTCAAGTACCTAAGAGCCTAAGAGGTGCTTGTTGTTTCGGGTTCACCGTGGCCGATGGCGCCGGCTAGCCGGCGCAACTGTGCCCTGGACCCACCGAAGCTAGATGATCGTCTCTACCAACTACCTAATTTGTCCTTTTCTCCTTTTTTTGCGAGGTGCCAGAGCAGCCAGAGTGCTGCCAGACTGCCAGTTATTGCAGATCCTCGGCTGCTACTCCGTAGTGGCTTCTCGATTTATGCACATATCGGAACGGAGCTGGTGCTGAGTGGATTACTCTTTCGAGAATTCCGATGCCCCGATATCTTCTACGATATTAAACCAGACTCGGTCCTGCTTGATCAAGGTTCGTTCTGCTGCATAATAGTCCATTCTACACAATGTCCGTCCCGGAAACAAAAGAGCTCAAGGCCGAGTGGAAGACCCATGTCGGGTTGCCAGAGTATACATTGAAAGATGTTGCAACACACAACACCAAAGGTGATTGCTGGATGGTCATTCATGGACAAGGTAAAACGTCAAGAAAATGACTGTAATCTCGTGATGGGCTAACATTCGACAGCCTTTGATCTCACCAACTATCTCCAAGACCATCCCGGCGGCGCCGATGCCCTCCTCGAGGTAGCCGGCACTGATGCCACAGCAGCCTATGAGGATATCGGGCACTCCGAAGATGCCCGCGAGATTATGCAGCAATACCTTGTGGGGACTCTGAAAGATGCCCAGCAGTACGTTCGACCCAAGACAGTGCGTGTGGTGTCTCAAAAAGCACCTGAAGAGCCCGCTTCCTCCTCGTCAACCGTCAAGAAGATCGCCTGTGCTGTGGGTGGATTGATCCCAGTCTTCTACATTTTGAACCAAAACAACTATCTCACGAGCGGCCTGGGAGCTGTCTCTCAGCTGATCCCACGCCAGCTGAAGAGTATACGCTTTCCTCATGGTGGCTTCGTCAACGGCTTCCTAGCTGCCTCCGCCATCTCCACGGTCCTCGGAGTTATGGCAGCTCGCCAGATCAACAAGTTCACCGTGATTGACTCTGGTTTCATGCGATACCCACCTCATAGGGTAGCGAAGAAGGCAGTTCGTATCGATCCGCATCTGACTCGGGGTTTCCTTGAGCCGCAACATTATCAACGCCTGCGTCTCATCGAAAAGACCGAGCTAGCAACGAACGTCTACCGCTTCGTATTCGCTCTTCCAACTGCAACGGATGTCTTAGGTCTGCCTATTGGGCAGCACGTCGCGATCAGGGCGGACATCGATGGAACGACTGTCACTCGTTCATACACGCCCACCTCCAACAACCTCGACCTGGGTCGTCTTGAACTCGTGATCAAATGCTATCCGGATGGCTTATTGAGCGGGAAATATCTGGCTAATTTGACCGTGGGCGACGAAGTCGAGTTGCGCGGTCCCAAGGGATCGATGCGCTACAAAAAGGGCCTGTGCCGCAAGATCGGTATGGTGGCCGGAGGCACAGGTATCACACCGATGTACCAGCTCATCCGGGCAATCTGCGAGAACGATACCGACACGACAGAAGTTAGTCTGATCTACGCGAATCGCAGCGAGTCGGATATTCTTCTGCGAGAGGAGCTTGAACGATTCGCGCGACTGTATCCCAAGAACTTCAAGCTGTGGTACATGCTGGACTCTGCGCCGGAGGGCTGGGCCTTTGGAACGGGATATGTGGATCAGGCGGTTCTGACGGAACAGCTGCCTGCTCCATCGCCAGACACTAAGGTGATGCTATGTGGGCCGCCTGGCATGGTCAATGCGACGAAAAAGACTTTGGTTGCGATGGGATTTTCGAAGCCAGGGGTGGTCGCCAAGATGACGGATCAGATCTTTTGTTTCTAGCCAGTTGCCTAATGTAGCAATACCGAGGTTCACGTTGATCCAACTTTATTCAATCTGTTGAGTTGATGGGACTGCGACTCCATAGCTCTAAGCCAAATGCGTCCTCATTCCCGATCCCAAATAAGAAAATGAAGAAGAAAAGCAAGAAAGCCTAATGTCTCGGGAAGGGCAAGATTTGCCCGAGACTCCACTTGATCCCGAGTTGCTGATTTCCCGAGTCTTTGACTGGCGGAGCTTATCTTCCTGTCCCTGGGCCGAGGTATGAATCCGACATAAGAAATGCGACACGTATGTATAGTGATAGTGTAATGTACATAAAAAGGAAGATTAAAAGAGAAAGAACCGAATTATGACCTGCTGTCCCAACTCCCAAGAGCTCCCAGACCCCAACCCACCCACATCATCCATCCTCAGGACCTTTGACTTTGCTTCGGTGTCTCCGGCGCCGCTTTCTCCTCGGTCTGTCCCGTTGTCGAATCATAAAACGAATCGGTCCAGATCTTCCTTCTCTGATCTCTAATCCAGTCACCGAGGTGAACTCCGTTGAGTATCGCACAAGAGGCGAGATGGTCGACTTGCCAAAGTATCGAGGGAGATCTGCCGATATAGTAACGGTTTTCTTTTTCTTTGACGGGTTGTCAGCAGGAGCGGGATCCGCAGGTGTGGTTTCTGGAGGAGGATCTTTCGGTACGGATGGTACTTTGGGACGTAACGATCGGAAGGACCACGGCGAAGGGCGGAGGTAACACCAGCACAAGAGCAGCAGAAGAACAACAACAACACTAATAGCACACCCTGCTATCACGCCTTTGTCTGTAGCCGACAGTCCAGTGCTTCTTGTAGGATAACTCCCAACTGGGGGTTTTGCTTTGTCGAACTGGACGATCGGCGTGGTCGGAGTAGACACTGGGGATTCGACTAAGCTCAGAGTTGACCAGCGCTTGGTATTCCCCAGATCAATGACTGACACAGAAGTGGCATCAGGCTGGATAATGGTCTGGATGACCTTGCGAATCGCAGGTGCCATGGCCCGCTATCGGCATTGACTGAACTGACAAGTTCATGAGATTGAGATTGCCATGACGATGTACAACGTTCCTTTTTCGCTCGGGCCCAGTCCACGTAGGAGATGCATGAGCGGATTAAAATGAACTCCTAGTACATGCGATAAATGCAATCGAATTGGTGCCAATGGTATCTCCTGACTTGATTATGCAGCTTACGCTGCACTTTTACTGGTATGTTGCAGCGATTGGCAGAAGTGCTCACAAGTAGTGGTGCCAGCTCACGGCCGCTTGGCGCGGGGGTTCTGATCAGCGAAGAAACGAGACGAACGATTGCATCAATTTTCCCGCCAATGCAGTGCACTACAAGGAGGTGGGACGATAAGCCTTTTATCACTTGTCAATGATACTTTTAAGGGTGCCGACCGTTCCATATCCCGACGAGCATGCAGCTTTAACTTAAATCGAGTCATGTGCGAAGTACATCGAGTATGCAATATTGTGACTCCGCACGAACTAATTAGCAAAAGGACTTCGACCTTGAAGCGAACCCACGTGTGAGATATGAGTATATGACATCTATGAGCTACAGCTTTGCCCGCGGAGGAGCAAAATTCGACCCAGTGCCCTGGCTGATAGCCTCGACAATGGCGTCGACACTATTCAAAATCCACGTGTTTCCCTCATCGCTAGCCAACCACCGCGCCGTCTCCTCGCTCTCCACATCATTCACCCACGACCCATCATCAAGCGCCTTCCGCAACCCAAAGATGTGCGAAATGACCTGCGGAGCCACCCCCGACTGAGCGCGCAAGCATGCCACAGCAACAATAGACGTCAAAATGCGGCCGGCAGATGCACCAGTGGCACGCTCCGGATCGGACAACAGGGCGCCGTAATTGCTGTGCAGAATCTGCACCGGCAAGTCGGGATGCGAGTCGGCCAATTTGTTATACAGCTTCTTCTCGAATGGTCGATAGATAGAGTCCCAGAGAGCGTGCCCGCGCGCACTGATGGCCATAATGTTCTCCGGGGTTGGCGCGCGAGTGGGGGTGCGGGAGAGTTGGCTGCCGATGGAATCCGGGAGGCTGGCCTTGAAGGCGTTGAGGCAGTTGATGGTGCGAGGGATGCCGTTGAAGCTGATACACTTCAATCCGACCTCGCGCATGAGCTCGGCGGTCGCAACTTGTTTGTCGGAGCTGGTGCTAGAGCTGGCTAGTTCGTAGAGCGCTGTGAGGGACTCGGGGGAGTTCATGGTCATTGTGGCTGCGGTCTGGCATCATCGTTAATTTAACATTCAATCTCAATCGGGCGGTGATAGCTACTGATAGTGCGACCCATGATGGCTGCGAGATCTGTTTGGATTGCGCGGTCTCTTGGATCTTTCGGTAGACCGAGGTTATATTTGCAGGTGCGGGCACCGTGGATGGCCGGGCCGCAGGGGCGTTGATTAATGCCTTGAGGTTATTTGAAAGTTTAGACATGTTTGATGACGAGCTTTTTTGCTCCGAGTGTGGGAGTCTTGCCATTAAAGATGGTTATGGAGTCCAAGTCTTGTTCCCGAGGTTTGGGAGCCACATTGTCGGGCCTCAGAAGTGGGCACCGATACTGGGAAAAGGCAGTAATATTACAGTAATACAACCCATGCTTTTCTGTAACAATACAGTTCCCAAAACAGGTGGGGACGCTTTCCAGATCTGGGGAGTGCGGGGAAAGGATTCCAGCTCGTTGGGGCGACATTCGGAGGCAATTTTGACTCTCAACTTTTCTAACCTTAAAAAGACCACGATGTAAAATCAAGAGACTGTAGCATATCGCAATGGTACCAGATAGGTGCTTCAAACCTGACCAGGGCGACTAGGGAGCTTTTGGTGTCAACTCGATTATGTAATCGATATCCCAGCCCTGGCCCCTGGAGCCGGACTGGAGCTGATTATGGGTACCTCCCCAGTTGGAACCCTTTCTCCCCAGAGGATCAGCAAAGCTTCCCTGTTCAATGGGCGTAGCTGGAGCTAAAAGAAGCTCGGGCCCAGAAGTAACAGCCGAAATAATCTCACTCACTCGTCTGTGGGGTTTATCTTTGCATTCCCCTTCTTTTTCTCCTTGTTTCACTCAACACGTCGCCCTAGTCCAGCAACGTCCCAATTCACCATGGAAACCAAATCAAAAGGCACAGAGGTGGAAGAGTCATCGTCAGACTCAGTTGCACTCGGTCAATATGGAGACCACGCGCAGCAACAGAAGTTGACTCGGAGAGTACTGTTGAAGCTGGACATACGGTTGGTCTTGACAGATGGCACTTTCGCGCATAGCCTGCTAACACTCATCAGCCTTCTTCCTACACTAGCTATGCTTTTCTTGCTCAGCTTTCTAGATCGCACGGCTGTTGGAAATCTGAAAATTCTGGGCTTGGAGAAGGACCTTTCAATGACAGACCATCAGTACGATATTGGCTTGGCTGTGTTCTATCTCACTTATATTTGCAGGTGGGTTATGTGTCCTGTCCACCCGAACCAAAATCTAATTCGATAACAGCGAGCTTCCGAGTAATCTGGTACTCAAGAAAGCCTCGCCGAAGATTTGGCTGCCGTTTTTGACTGCTATTTGGGGCATTATTACCATGTGCCTTGGGTTTGTACAGAACTTTGCTGGTTTCACTGCCGTACGAGCCTTGTTGGGTATTGCAGAGGGAGGTCTTCTCCCTGGAATGGTAAGTTTCTCAGTGCTCCGATCTGATATTGGCTGTAGCTAACAGACGTAAAAAGGTTTTGTACCTGTCTGCCTTCTATCGACGAGGCGACTTGGCTTTGCGAATTGGCTTGTTCTACACAGCTGCTTCTCTCTCCGGTGCATTCGGAGGTCTGCTCGCTCGTGGATTAGCCGAAATCGGACCCCGAGGAGGCCTAGTGGGTTGGCGGTGGATCTTGATTATTGAGGGGCTAATGGTAAGTGATTGTCTTGTCATCAGAACATTTCCTTGCCTAACCATATCTCAGACATTTGTTGGTGGTGTTCTGAGCTACTTCATCCTGCCAAATAGTTTGGAGACTGCGTCCTTTTTGACTGAAGAGGAAAAGAAATTCGGACGGGACAGACTTCGACTTGACAATCCTCCATCGTTGGACGGGTAAGCTTTTCTGCCAAGACTGTGAAAGCTTGGCTAATTTAAATTTGTACAGGAGCTTGGCATCTGAAGCAGAATCATTCAAGTGGTCTGAAGTACGCCGAGGTGTGCTGAATGTACAAGTCTGGCTCTCTGCCTCGGCGTACTTTGGCATTCTCTCCGGGCTTTACTCCTTTGGCTTGTTTGTATGATTTTCTATAACATTAAGTCTATCTGAAAGCCGCTAACATTTTCTAGCTGCCAACAATTATCAAAGAGCTCGGATTCGCCAAAGATGCCAATGCAGTTCAGCTTTGGTCTGTGATACCTTATGCTGTTGCATCTGTGTTTACAGGTTTGTCTCATCTCATTGTTTCAGGCAATTTTGAACAATCACTGACCATCACCAGTCATTGTTGCCATTATCTCGGATCACTATCGTCTTCGAGGTGTGATCATGCTCTTCACTCTCCCAGTCGCTATCGTTGGATATGCAGTAATTGCCAACATTGACTCTCCTCACATACAATATGGCATGACCTTCCTTATGGCTACTGGTCAATACGCTAGTGTTCCGTGTATCCTTGTGTGGTTGTCGAACAACTCTGCGGGACATTATAAGAGAGCTACGACCTCGGCGGTGCAGCTGGCTATTGCAAATGCTGGAGGATTTGTTGCGAGTAAGTTCTTGAACTTCTGATAATGTTTGGTAATTTCTCTAACCTTTAAAACTATAGCCTTCAACTACCCAGCTCGTGATGGGCCGCTTTTCCATCGCGGACACACTATCATTCTTGGATTGCTAGTTTTTGCATGGTTTATGTGAGTGATGTCTCTGTTTGTCGCCTATAGACCGCCGCTAATTCACATAGGATTTTGTTTAACGTGCTCTATTGTGCGAAGATCAACCGAGACAAGAAGAATGGAAAGTATGATAAGTACACAGGATATAACGACGACCGGAACCCGGACTTTATGATGGTTCTATGAGTTATGATATAGTTTGCAATATGATTGTATTATTCAGACAACACTGGTGACTGTGGTGGATGTTTTATCTAACAAGGAATCGGGCTCGTAACCTGTTGTTGAGGTTATAGCCCATACCTTGGAGTGTAGACAGGTCATTATAACTGTCGAGTGAAGTTCTGAGTGAAAACAGGGAGCCCTGATTGTGACCCTTGATCCAGTTGATCAGAACGGGATCGGCTTGATCGAATAAGAAGAATAGAGGGATCCCATTTAAAGCCGAGTCGTAAAGACAGAAAGGCAGCAGGAATTTCCTAAAGGGGTATTTCAAAGGGATCACTCTGGCACCTTCAGAGATAATACATGGAATTCATAGGATTCTAGATGAAAAGCCCTAACTAGATATAACATAGGCTAACGCTTAAACACAACAAGGTGATGCAGCTCTATCTACTCCATAATCTCAAGCTCCGCAGCGATGCTAAACTCAGCATCCGTCTTACTCTGCACCTCCTCAACTTCAACACCCGGTGCAAGCTCCGTCAGCGTAAGCTTTCCAGTAGCTCGATCCACCTGGAAGACACACTGTACTCAAGTTAGACTCTGCGTTTACCCAAACGAGCCATCTCACTTACCAGGTCTGTGATGATAGTGCTAACAACATTAGCACCAGTCAACGGAAGGCTACATTTCTGTACGATCTTCGGACTCCCATCTTTCGCCGTATGGCTTGTAGCAACCACAATCTTGGTTTTATCCGGATTGGAAATCAAATCCATTGCTCCGCCCATACCCTTAAACACCTTTCCGGGAATCATGTAGTTGGCCAGATCCCCGTTAGCACTGACTTGCAACGCACCGAGAATAGACACGTCTACGTGGCCTCCGCGGATCATGCCGAATGACTCGGTGCTGTCGAATGTGGCGGCTCCAGGGACCAATGTCACTGTCTCTTTTCCAGCGTTGATGATGTCGCTGGTATGTGTTAGAAGTTATAACTTATTTGGCATGTGCCATGTTTAGGACAACTTACGCATCCAGTTCTTCTTCGGTGGGATAGTCGCCCTAAACCAGTTAGATTTGTCTCGCATAAATGGAGTAATATAGAGCTTACCATTCCCAAGATCCCATTCTCCGATTGAATCCAGACCTTAACCTCCTTCGGCAAGAAAGATGGTGCCAACGTGGGAATACCAACGCCCAGGTTAACATAGTATCCCGGCTTGAGCTCCTTCGCCGCACGACGCCCAATGCGCTCTCTTTGAATCTGAGCCGCATCTCCTGCTGACCCAGTCGCACTTTCCTCCGAGCGTAGCTTCTTGATCTCAATTTGTTTCTCGGCCGTGCTCGGCACAATGCGATCCACGAAAATGCCCGGTAAATCGACGTCATTCGGGTCTATCGATCCAACCGGGACGATGTTCTCAGCCTCCACAATAGTCAGCGTCGCTGCTTTGGCCATGATAGGGCCAAATGCTTTGGTGGTGTATCTAACGATTTGTCAGGATCCATCTACTCCTGCTAGATACAACAATAAACTCACCGGAACACGCAATTACCAGCCTCATCCGCTTTCCAGGCTCTGAGAATAGCCACGTCGCCGGTTATGGCCTCTTCCATGAGATATGTCTTGCCATTGAACTCTCGGGTCTCCCGTGGCTTTCCAGTCTCCAGGACTTTACCAGACTCATCCATGCGAACAGGGATCTTTCCCTCCTGGATAAACGTGTCTTGACACTGTCAGCGAGGAACACATCGGCAATTAGAAAGGGATGTATACATACGAACTCCCGTCGGCGTAAAAAAAGCCGGAATCCCAGCGCCTCCGGCTCGCAGCCGCTCAGCCAAAGTCCCTTGCGGACAAAGCTCGATAGCAATTCTCCCCGTCAAGTATTTCTTCTCTAACTCTTTGTTGTTCCCAAGGTATGAAAGGATCAGACGACCGACCTGGCCGTTCTTCGTAAGTGTAGAAAGGCCTCCCTTGCCCGCCACGCCGGCATTGTTCGAAATAGCTGTCAAAGAGTGTAATTGTTCGGCGCCTCGGCGGTGCATAGCATTAATGAGAGTTTCTGCTGCGTTTTAGTGCCATGAAATCCAGAGCGCTTTACTCCTCCACGTACCTGCAACCCCGCAAAGACCAAACCCTGAACTCAGGATTGTCGATCCACTCTTGATGTCGGCGACAGCGGCGTCTGCATCTTTGAAAAGCTTTGAGCCGCCACGCTCAAGCTTGGGCGCGGGAGATTGTACTGGCGCAGATGTGGAGTATTTTAAAGATGGGATGGTAGCGCATGCTTGCAAGGGGCGCACGCTGGCGCGGACTCCGAGAGAGAGTCGTGGCCCACAGGTAGTCAGCGCTTTGCGCGACAAAGTCAAGGCTGAGATCCTTAGAGCTGCCATAGTTATGAATTGTACAGGGGCAAAAAAACAAATTCGGAGCGAAATGCGATCATTTCGCATTTAAAAGATGTTGAAGGTTGCTGCTCGGGGCTACTTCTGGATGCCGTGCCGAGGCCGCACCGGGGAGAGGGCTCTGATGTCATGGCTCTCTATAATACTGCGAACCCTCCACTACAATCATCAGAAGGATCAAATCATCAAAAGTATGAGCCCGCGATATACCGTCGGATACTTCTTAAACCGACCCAGTAACACCTCGGTACCCTCACATTGCTTCTAGTCCCGGATCAAGGGAAATTACAAACCACCTACATCGCGTGATAAGTTGCAAGTGAAAGATCCAGCGTCAAGAATATGTAAATCCAGATAAGAATGTCTGATAACTCATTGGAAAAATATGCAAGCTTATAATACCAAGGCCCGAAGACGAAAGCCTAACCTGTTAACCCGGTAAACGCAAGAGAAGGAACAAGGGGTATATGAAACTCTTGCGGCCTTGCCATCCAATGTCATCCAAGATTGAAATTGAAGTCCGAGTTCGCAAAGTCAAGCCAATCCCAATTAAGCATAGTATCAAGCGGCACATCCGGTATCGACTCGCCAAACGCGGTACCAGCGCGGTTGACCGCATCAACAATCTGATTATCAGACATAGCAGAGAAATGCAACGGCTCGAACCAAAGATCCTCAGGCGGTAAAGCCTGTGGCAGTGCTAACGGAACATCACCCAGACATGCAGATGAGAACGCCGGCTCAGGTTGACGGATCTTGTTAAGATCACTTCGTGTTTGTGGAGGCAAGGCTGGTGCTCGTCGGATCAATTCGCGCAGGAACCTCCCGTAAAGCACAGATGTGCCATTCCGGTGACTTGGCGTTGCACCGATTCTCTCTAGGACACCGGCAGTCTCTTCGATGAGATTTCGGACGCTGGGTGCCAGGCTGGATCTGCTGTCACCGGGCGTTATGCTGAGGCTTAGTGCGGAGCATGCGGCGAAGGAGATCATTATGACGGTATTGTTTGGCATTGATTTTAGTCTGGATTCGCCTTGTATAGCTGCTCGCAAAACGTTCAATGCGGACGATAGACCTGCAGCACGGAAAAAGCGCTTGACTTCAATTGGGGCTGTCGGGTGGTTGATGACACCACCATAGGTGGATAGTTGAGTGTGTTTGACAAGAATTTCGACATATGGGGGCAGGGAGCGTACTACAGAGGTCAGTGTTTGGTGTTTAGCGAAGGCATTTTGCATATGGTCTTCTCACTTTCTCCTTCGCCAATTGATAACGCCCACGTTGCATACCACCGGTCATAAAACGTTTCAATGGTTTTCTTTATCCTATAGAATGGTCAGCAGACAGATCATACATGTCCAACATAATCCTGTAGCATACGACTGAGCGGCTTCCGAGCCGGTATCGACAATGCGATAATTATCACAGCTTGATTTGACTTGCCGAACGAGTCCATCCTAGACCTGTCAGATTGACACAGAGTAACATGGGAATCCACATACAAGATCCCTTCGAAGAACTGCCATGGAATTCATAGGACCATCACGCAGATCTGCGATGCTGGATAGATGCCAGCGATCGCAGTTATCGACGAGTGTTGTTGAAGGCACCGTATAGCTCCGTCCACGGGCAAGACAGACGCTGACAAAGTTAGAGAACAGGGTCCACAGGTGCTACCAGGGGGTCAACTCACCCTCTCTCGACCACAAATAGCGCAATCCAGGCCCTTTCGCGTCTTCGTAGGAGTCGAAGGCCCCACTCCGAAGACGGATCAATGTCGTCGAATCCGTCCATGTGTAGCGCTCTCTTCGCATCAATGCATTCTGCTCGCGCCAGGCGATTCAAAAGGCTTTGATCGAAACTCGAAGAGGGCGAAACAATCTTATTCAAAGATAGATCTAGAGCGACAGTAAGAGCCATAGCAATATAAGAGCAAGTATCGTCATCCCCCAGACTATCGCCAGGAGGCATCCATGGAACGTTCACCATAAAAGCCAGGACAATCTCAACAGACCTATGGCGATGCGTCATCACCCGCTGAGCGAGCTCCTTGGAGTGTCTCGATAGTCTTTTGGACAAAGCAGCAGTAGAGGGCAAGAATAGAGCTGCACCAGCCATGATTGAGGTGAAAAGAAATGCCGACTGTGACCGCACGAAGGATGCGTTGTGTACTGCAGGGTCGAGGCCCCATCTAGTGTGTGCGAGGTTTTGATAGAAGCTAAATCTGTCAGATACGTATAAATATTGCATGGTAAGAATCGAGATACCCACAACGAGAACAAGGACTCCGCCTCATCAAAGGTTACTAACCCCAGGTCGACTGGATCGACATCTGGTCCAACATCCAGGTGGGCTCTCGTTGGAATGAAAAATGCCTTCGCGCTCGGTTCCCCAGTAATGGGGCTCTGGAGAAAGCCCGCAGGAGTCCCCGATAGCGGAGATCTTGGGGCACGCCGCACCTCGGTCGGTGAAAGTTGAAGATCCGAAGCTCTAGCAAGCAACTGAAGAGGATTTTCTGCGTCATCAAGGTTGAGACTCTCCTCCGCATGATTATCATTGGGAGGTGACATGCGCGGGCGATCTGCCACCTCTGGAAAGCCATCCTCAGTCTGCGTCGAGTCACCCTGTACTTGGCTGAGGAGCTCCTGTAGACTTAATATGGCTTTATGGGCATCAGTGTCGCTCGAGGAGTCGGCTCTAGGCCGCTTTATTGCCTGCTCGATCTGATGTATTGCTTTTTCCAGGCCTTTGCGCTTGCTATGAAAGAGTCAGTGCATTCTTCGCCAAGTTGTAATTTTACTTACTTTTTAACACCCTTTTGTCGACCCAAGTGGTGGTTGGGAACAATACACTCCACACTTATTTGCTTGCATTTCTCACAACTAGTCTCGCCTACCAGACGGTTGCAGCGGATTTTGCTTCGTCGGCAGGTTAAGCAGGCAGCTTGTTTTCCATGTGAGCTGGAAGTGGAGTCTGCCGACTCGATATCCATGAGTGAGGTTGTAGGCCATGGGGCATGGATAGGCCAGGGGAGTTTGGGGTAGATCTGGGCAATGGATGTAAGATGCGGAGGCAAGTGCGAGTGGGGCCCCGCGATGGTTTTGCTTATGTAGCATTAAATTATGGCTCCATATAACAGCCCGGCCGGGCTAGCTCAATCGGTAGAGCGTAAGACTCTTAATCTTAAGGCTGCGGGTTCGACCCCCGCGTTCGGCTATTCCTAAAAACCAATCCTGAGATTTCTTTTTTGCCTTTTCCATTCCCTAGTCCTCTTCTTTTTCATCGGTTGCCTAAGATTTTTTTTATGGGCTTTATGAGAAGGTTTTGTGCATTGGCAGAAGTACTGCGTACAACCCTCTTTGTTTGTTGACAATATCATGTGAGCACATACAACGTCCTTCAACGTCCGTTTGGCAACCACCACCAGAGACTCAATTTGTAAAGACACCCAGTTCTCACAAATGGCCAAGCAAGCTGGCTGGTGCCCTTTCTGCGACAAGCGCTACGTCAATAAGACAGCTCTTAGCAAACACCTGAAACAATACATTACCGAATGGAGACTTCCTGTCGACGGAAAACACTACTTGTTGGAGGTCCAAAACGTTCTCCACCCGAACCAGCGCAGTTATCAATGCTGGACTTGCTCGAAGATATTAGAATCTCGTGGGGACTTTCAGAAACATGTCATCCACTATCAGCATTGCGGTTTGAATGATACTATGCGACGTAAACAACCAACTCGTGGGAATCGGGATAAGTGGATGCTACCATTTGACGAGAAATTGGCCATCATTGAGGAGAAGAAGTTCAATTTTCTCGGCCTTCCCACTGGTATGTCCTTCCTCTGTGTCTTGTTCATCCTGTGTTTTGCCTGTCGCATGCCACATGAGGCATTGCGTCGAGCTTTCATCTAGAATTCACTGCTTAAGTACTAACTTGCTATGTGTGGAACGTCAGAAGTGCGTCTATTGATATACCAGCACTTATTTTGCTACGAAGAAATACAGTTTGAGTACTCTATTGGCCACGGATACGTCGATCCACGTCGAGATGGGCTTTGGCTGCAACGCAATCCACCCAATAACCTCATGGCGATTATGCCTGTAAGCCGCAAGGTCTATAACGAGGCGCGAGAGGTCTTTTATACTCGGAATAAATTCATGTTCGAGTCCGTTGGAGGGCTTTCTGTGTTTCTTGTCGGTATCGGTCCAAGAAATGTGAAGCTGCTACGTTCTGTGTGGCAGAAAACAGATCATGGATGGGAAAACGTCGTCGAAACAATCCGACAATGTTTGCCGCCGACAATTTCCAACGCCATGACTCCTAACCAAGAGATCGCGTCACTTTATGCTGAGCTGAAACAGAGCCTTGTCAGGAAACATTTTCCCCTGCCACTTCCCGGTTATGATTTCGACAGCACTCGGTTAGTGCGGCCGGAAGTGGCGAGCGGACCATCTAGCTTGGATCGATGGCGCTATAAATTACATGCCTATGCTTGGAATGAATCCCAAACTGGTCAAAGACTATACTGGAAGGGAAGAGCTGCATTTGAATTATGTATACAGCGTGCACCGAAAGAACAAGAAGGACCGGAAAGTGAGGAAGGTGAGGAAGGTGAGGAAGGCGAGGGCTAGACCTTGAAACCCCTACCTACGCACAGCACTGAACCAGAATTGGCGGCCTTTGAACTGTCTGGGACTGGACCATAACATGTGCTACCGACATGGAGCCCGACAAGGTGTAGGTGTGAGCTCTAGGTACCGATCATATCCATGTTCAAGCCCGATTATGGGATATATCCCGACCAACCAATTACCTACCTAATACCTTAGTAGGATTGACGGCGGCGGGGCTCTCGTTGGAGATAGTAGAGATTAGGTTATATGTACGGGAGCATCTACCTAGCAATAGAACTTTTGATCGAATAATGGAGTCGGGGAGTGAGCCAGTGGTATCAATTAAGCTTTAATAACTAATGGAATGAACGCTGCTAAAACAGCAGATCGTTGGTTTTCACGTAAATCACAGATGGTTCCAATTATATATCTCCAACCCGAGCACAGCAAACAATGATATATTCAATGGGGGTCCCTCGCTCCATGATCAGCGAGCGTGACCAATCTCCTCATCATGGCCTGACAGAGCTCCAGACGCCACCGGAGCTGCAACAGGATGGGCGCGCGAGTTGGACGCCTCGCCCATCTCCGGGCCAGTAGTTGGAATATGTGCCTGCGATCCAGCCGGCGAAGGAGTAGCAGTTCCCGGCGGCGTGGGTTCTAACAAGCGCGGACCGGACTGATCGGGCCTCTTGCTCGCCTTGACGTGGGGAGGGGCGGGACCCAAGACAGTCGGGTACTTGAAGCGGAAACCCCAAGCGAAGTACAAGCGCAATTTTGTCCAGAAACTCATGGCATTCCACTTTTTCCGGAGGATCGCGGCATCCTCCTTGCTGCGAGCGCGGTAGCCCTTGCGGAAACAGAACAAGAAGAAGAGGGAGAAAGGGAGCAAGATGAATGCCCAGAACAGGGGCAGTCCACGACGTGTCTGCCAGCCGGTCATGAGACGACGGAATCGGACCCAAGCCTCGATCATGCCGAAGATGAAGACGAGGCCGATCCAGCCCAGCGAGATGATCAGTGTCAGTGCCAAGGGGGAGATTCCGATGTCCAGGCCCCATTTGCTGGTGAACCAGTTGCCGTCGTCGCCCCAGTAGTTGCCGTAGTACCCGCTGTAGGGGTAATCGGGAGTGTAGCCAGAGTCCGGAGGGTAGCTAGAGTAAGTGCCGTCTGAAGAGCTGCCGACTGAGGGTTTGCAATTGGGGCCAGTGTACAAACTCGTAGGAGCGTTCCAGTATTTCAGTGAGCTCAAGTCGCTGCTGGGTACTTGGGTGGGCTCCACGTACACCACCTCGTAGATGTAGGTGGTGGGCTGGAATGGTTGGCTGTTGTCCACGGAAGTAGAGCTTTCTGCAGTCGCGCGGGGCAACAAACCCCGGATCTCAGAGGGGGAGTGAGCTGGACGGCAGTTGTGGTGGTCCATTGAGTAGAGCAGGCCGTCGGGGCGGAGAAAGTCAGGTTGACCTTGTAGACAGTCGTGTGATAGGCCCCATCCGTATCGAGGGTAAGATAGTTGTACTCGTAGCCCCGCTCAACGCCATAGCCAGTGGGATACAATTTCTGGATGACGGTGTAATCCTCGTAGGTGTTGGTGGAAGTAATGGTTGACAGGGCCTCGGCTGGCAAAGTCGCAGTGGGTGATATGTTATCGACATTAGTGACAGATCTGCCATAGTAATCTGTCACGACATTTTGCTCATAGACATCAGTCACAATCCAAGGGGCGGCCAAAACGAGTGGGCTCAAAACGAATGACAAGAACAGAATAAACGAGTGTAAAGGTGCCATCTTGAGTGGCCCTGGAAGTTTAGAGAGGAAACAGTCGGAAATGAGGCGCTCGCCATGGTTTTAACAAATTGGCAAAAAGGAAAAAGACTAGCTAGATAGCGCCAGTTGGAAGACCCTTATTTTTTGGGGCGTTTCTTGGGGCGGTTTTTTCGCCAAAGCCATGTTCATACTGGTTCGTAGCAGTTTTGGTGGAAATTGCCGACATTAGAGTATAGACCAGGCTGTGTGATTGGTGAGGTCTCTCAATTAGAGCAAAAAGTGGATGTGTTTTTTTCTTAGCTCGAGCCTCAGTGTTTGCCTTTGCCTCTTTTCCTCTTTTCTTTCATCACTCACCTTTTGAGCCCCATATCGCTTAAACAGAGAACTTCATGCTTAGCCTGCAATCTGCATAGGGCCCGGATTATCACCAGTCCAAGTGGTGACCTACATACTCCGTTAGTCCCGTGTTATCCGAAGCCGAAGACGCTATCGCTATCTAGCCCTTTACCGATTCACCCGAGACTGTTGACCGCCTCGGATATAAGCGAGCAAACAGACGTATAGCGAAGCCGACGAGTTTGGGTGCGAGCAACGACGTCTATGAGAGGCGACTTCATTGCCTATCTAGTCTTTAGACAGGTCGAGATCAAAATAAACCAGCCTCCAGGCCTTTGCAGTCTTAGACTGGAGAGAAAACGTAAATTCGCCAACAAGATCTTGATTTCCAAAGGACAATGCGCCTTCTTCTGTGTGTCCGCCTAGTCACCAATAAAACAAGAGAAAAGTACAAGCGTAACGTCGTGGATCATCAATGTTGCAAAGCGCAATCGCAATGAATATGTGTGGGGGATTGACACTGTAAATCCACCCACCAGTACTCCATACCGATAATGTCTCAAAATCGCATCAAAGCCACCTAATTAGCAGCCCTCAAGGCGCGCAACCTCGCGCCCAATCCATCCTCAACCTCCGCATCAGCCTGCTTAGGCTCCTTAACATCTTCCTTAGGCGCAGCATCTGCCTCCAAGTTCATCCGCATATCAACACCCGCATCATCCGCCAGTTGTTCCATAAGCCGATCAACCTCAGTCTCGCCCTCCGCGCCATATTCCTGCATCGAGATACCCTGCGCAACGTCCTCGATCGCACTGCTAGCAATCTTAAAGTCCTCCGACCGCGCCAGGAAGTTGTTAGCGTGTGAGACGAGGTGTTCCAGATTGACGCTCCGCGAGGCAGCGTCCAGGCCCCGCGATGCCATCGCCAGCGTCCGGGATGTGTCGCGCGTGCTTTGGGCGGCTTTGAGTTCGTTGATGATTACGTCGGCGCGGGCGGCTTCCGACTTGAGCGTTACTTGGCGTCGCTTTTCGCGGACGGCGGAGGCGGCGTGGATGCGGGCGATTTGGAACTCGCGGTTTTTCATCGCCTTGTCGGCTTTGGCTTTCTCCGATTTATAGGTTGCTTCGGCCCGGACGGCTTCTTTCTTGAGTCTGTTGGAGTGCAGCTGAGATAAGATTAGTGGGTGTGGCCACCTAGGTGGGGGCAGGCCGCGAGGAGAAGAGGGGAAGCGGAGGGGTGGGCTGCAGACTCACCTTAACATTTGTGCGGGCTTCGAAGATTGGATCTTTGCGAACCATGATGTCGGTTAGGAGGAGGATGTTGACTGTAGAAGTTGTGTGGAAGGCAGATATGTTTTGGGGTTTGGCGCGTGGCAACGTCACTGACCGCATTCAGGCCCATTCCTAGCGTCGGCCCTAATTTAGGATCACAGCCACGTCTACTTCGTAGTTAACGAGCTTAGATCGCTCAATTTACCGATCAGAAGTACACTACTCTGGGGCAGCCTACGCTCTACTACGGAGTATATGGATATCGAATTCAATGCAAGATGAGCCAGTCAATTTTGCGTCTTGAGAAGTAATATAATACAGCCAAAAAATGGAAAAAAGGAAACCCTCAGCGCTGTTTGCCCATGAGCAAAGATGAAAGAGCTTTGCTGGCGCTAGAACTCCGGAAACTCCGTTTACCCCGATGCACCTTTCCGTTACTGCGTCGCCGACCAGATATCGTAGAATTCCCCCGCTGGTGTCGTTGCGACAGGCTGAGACTATCAATTGCCCACGCCATGGTTAACAACAACTCCCAACTCGGTCGAGCCTCTGGGGCACCAGCCGACCAGGTCTGCGGGGAGAAAGTCTCACTAACCGCTAGCTGCAATGCTCTGCCCGTCGCATCGCGAAGTGGACGCGCCAAGGCTGGGCTGCAAGCTAGCAGTCTGGTAAGAAGTCTCATCCGAAAGACCGGTCGGTTGGACGCCTTCGAGGACGACAGACTCGGGGTCGAAATCAACCATAGAATCAAAGGGAAATGCTGATAGATCTCCTCCGTCGAGAACGTCAAAGGCAAACCCGTCTTCAGGGAAAGAAGAATTTGGCTCAGCGGGTGAATCACCGTTGAACAGGCGGCGGAAGTCATCGTCAGAAAGAGGAGCTGCAACGTCATTGCTAGCTTGAGGTTCGGAAAGGTCGAAGAGGGGTAGAGCGCTTCCTGCTCCTTCGAGGCCGGCGACGGACACTGCAGGTCACACAACACCGCTGCAGGATGTTGTGTCACGTCGGAGGCCTCAGCCAGAGTGGAAGGCTTGAGAGTGGGAGAGTAATCGGTAACGGAGGGAGTAGGGAAAGGGATCCGTTCCATAGGAAGTTCGTCGCCTTCTTGTTTGAAGAGCGTAGGCGTAAGGGTGGGGGATTCGATGGCAGGCGAACTGGCTTTGGGAGTCACGCTGCGAGATCCACGGACCTCGGCGGAGAGCTTGGCCACCTGTTGGCTCAGGCGGTTGTTTTCCGTCTCCATCTGCGCTAGACGCTGGATCAAGAACTGGTTCTGTTGCTCCATCCGGATCTTTTCGGTCTCGAGCTTTTCCATTTCCAGGCGCTTGCGTTCGCGTGATGTTTGAGCGGCAGCGCGGTTACGGAGAACCCGTTCTATCCGGCGTTGCTCTTTCTCATCATCTGTCTTTGCGCGTTTTCTAAGAAATCCAACGTTAGCGGGATTCATGTTGTGGGATTTTCTTCTCAAAGAGCAACATACCTTGGAGGGAGGTTGGTTTTAGGGGTTGGGAGTTCTTGTCCCCAAGACTTTCTCTTCTTTGTTGGCCTCTTCTCGTCATCTTCTCTCTTGATCTCCTCTGGTTCAGGAGACTCTAATGAGGTATCTGCGGGGGAAATTGTGTACATCTCTGGGGATGGTGAGGCAGGTAGAGTATCCAAGGGGTTGATGGTATCCGCCATGGTGAATAAGATCAACGGTGCCGGACGTGAATGTAACAAGTTATGAAGTATAGACTTAGAATGACTTTTGTGAAAAGAGGTTCAAATCACAGAGGCCACGTTATCATCACGATCGGCACCGGAGACCAGACTCCGGGGAAGGCAATATTGAGTCAGAGGGTGAGTCAGCAAAGAGAGAAAGAATGGAAAGGACAACTGTTCTGTTTGCAAATGGAAGTGGGCGGATATGAGGTTTAAGTAGAGGCCAGCGTGGTCTGAAAGGGATGGCCGGGGGGAGGGGGAAACACAGGGGGCCGTCAGCACACGTAACGTCAGGGTACAAGTTCCACCATATCTTCCACTATGTGTTGCCGAGTACCCCAAAGGGGCTGAGTTCCTTGTAACGAGACACGTAAAATTACGTTCATTTCCCCCTGCATTCCATGGTTTAGCCTCTTACGGGAGCCAATTATGATTTGCCGGATACCTTTGTGTTTCTGACAACCCACTTTATTGCCCCCCCCCCCCGATGTCTCCGATGTCTATTTGTAGATTAAGAATTACACTTGCTGTGGATTAAATGCAGTCAGTTCAGCTCTTGATTCCTCAGGTAATACGAGATACATCTGACTTCAGTCAGCCTGGATCTGTCGCAATTACGTTACTTTTCTTATCCGTCCCACAATACTCCGTACAATAATGGTACAAAATCACATCAATCGCCCTGGGTCTCGAACTATCCAGAAAGTGGGTACACAATAACGTCCTCTCCTGAATTCGAAGCGAAGGGCGATTAGGATAGCCCGGTGAATGCTCTAGACGCCAATCACTGTGGGCGCTGCGTAGGTCAAGGCTACCCGCCCCCGCTTATTCTCCGTGCCCCTGAGTCTGAGAATGCCACTCCGTGATCGTAATTGTGGTCCGTGGACAAGGGGGTCCATTGCCGCATCTAGATTGGCGGAAATCATTTCGGAGACACTCACCGAACTACTTCGAACACGGCAGAATCATGCAGTTTAGGCTGAGCCCCTCAGCCGGTGCATGAGGTCGTACTCCGTATACTCCGTGCTCCGTACTCGTGCCTACTTACCCCTCCTATCGGGTAGGATTGATAGGAGTGACTCCTATCGGTTGCATGTGGGCTACGACCTATGCGGATGTTGTACGGAGTATTGATTGCCACTCTCAAAAATATACCCTCAAATCTCAATTCAATAGACTGTATGCTGACATCCCATTTTGGACACCTTCGACACCAGGGGAATTATATGCAGTCCCTCAAAGACAAAAAACGCCAACCCATAGAAACGTGCTCATGACAAGATCGTAGGCAAATATGATCAACAATCGATCTACATGGTGACATCCATCGTGTCGTCGCCAGCATCGAGAGCGTTTTGAGCCTCGGGGTCAGGGACTACCACACCGCGTCCTCGGCCAGCAAGCAATTCACGTCGAACCTCAGGTCCAATGTCCTTGTGTCCACGGACAAGGAGCAGATCGAGAAGCGCCTCACGCTGGTCTTCGGTGATGTCGTTACGGTAGCGCTGGGCGAAAACCAGAAGAGACTGGTGCCAAAGAACGGGCAGTTTGTATGCCTTCGACCCTAGGCCAGAGGGACCGTCGTTCATGGCATCCTCGGAAGGATCGACAGCGCGGAAGCGGAGGAAGTGGAACACCAGAGCATCAACAACCTTATACGGCAAGGCATACTTCTTCTCCAGGAAGACTCGAATGAACATGTTGACGGCACCGGTGCTTTCAATTGAGGTCAACGACTGTTCCGCGGCGAGATCACACATGCGGAGCAGGGCAGCTGCGGAGTGCAGCACGGGCACAGAGACACGGGCGATCACAGAGGAGACAATGTGGGCTTCGCGCAGGGTGCAAGTGCCGGTTGACACGAGCGGGAACAGAAGTCCCTTGAAAAAGCATGCGGGCTTGTACAGCGCCTTGCGCAGGGCGTTGTATGTGTGAACGTTCAATTTCTTGGTCGAGTGAATTTCTTCGCGCACACGCTCCAGAAGCACCATGTTGACGAACTCCTGAGCAATATGAGGCTTGGCCGAAATGAAAATACGGGTTACAGCGTAGACGGCGTTTCCAGTCCATGACTCGGGACGGGTGATATCCAGGATGGTCTGCCAGTTGGGTACTGAGGGAAGGATCTTGACGGGCTTGGGGAGCGGGCCAGACTTGTAACGTGAGAGAATCATGCCGACCCTGTAGCGCGTTAGCTTGTCACCTCACGACAAATACTTTGCGAGAGAACATACTTCTCATATACTTCCACGGCCTTGGCGGGAATCTGGACTGCATCTTCGGGAATACCACCACCTTGGATGTATTGACCATATGGGCCAGCCTCGCCTGACTGCTTCGCCTCGTGCTCAGCGATCTTCTCAAGAATCAAATCGGCAAGGTTGGTGGGACCAGCGGAACTGGGGTCCTTGGGGTGGAATATAGGGTCTTCATCGTGGGGCATGAATTTGTTGAACATATCTAGATCATTGGGGTCGACCTCCTTATAAAGACGTTAGAAGCAATCCCACCATCCATTGATCGAAACCCTTACAACTTGCTCAACTTCGTCATCAACCCAATCATCGGCCTCGAAATTTCCCTCGTCGTCGGAAAAAGGCTCGGCCTCATCCTCAAATCGGGTATCGAATTCAAATGCACCATTCGATTTGGGCTGTGCTGAGTTCTTGAGTTGTTCGGCTGCATCCTCGTCGGCCAGTTCCTGCCCGATCTGTAGAATCTTGCGCGACATCTTCGCATCGATATAGCGCTGTCCATCTTCGGCATCTTCGTCGTTTGCATTTGCTTTGCTTTTGCCTTTCTTGCTGCTCTGTGTCCGAAGATGCCCCGCAGAAGTGATATCTTCAGCGAGCGGGTTGTGTCTGCGTGCTGCGGCGGCAGCACGGGAGCTGGATACCTTCGGCATGGCGAATAGTTTTTCTGCTAAACTTCCACGGGTGGTTTGGGCTGGCTTATCGAAGTGCTCACGAACGATCAAATTGTGTGGTCATTTTTTTTTTCTGCCTGGCGGTGCGGCGGTGCCCCCCAATCTTCTTACCGCCTGTCCTGCATACCGCCTGGCCCTCTCCACAGCTTTTCTGCAATGAATCCTTGACCGCCTCCGGAGATTCTCAAGGAGATTCTCGTCCACGGCAGACGAAAGGAAGGTTGCAACTGATCAGTAAAACTGGTCGCACTTATCATATCACAAGGATTCAGTCGGCAAAAGCTACAGTTCTTGGAGTCTCTACAAATCACACCCCAGGGCAGCTTGATCGCATACATACGAGCTTCGGACTGAGTAAGGACCTCTATCACTTCACAGATGCAAAGTGGAGACCACTTTCACAGTAGTTAGATGTTGCTCAACTAACTTGCGCGTTAAGATTCAACTCAGGATACACATCAGTTCCGCAACATGGCATCTGGACAGGCTCCAGGGTCATCAGCTCCATCGTCCAACATCAACTCCCCCACCCTTCCTCCAAATAACGGGCCTTTACTCAATGCGCAATTCACCGATCTGAACCCACGATCTTCTCCAGCCCCGTCCGCGCAAGGCGACGGTCGAGCCAAACGCAATAAACGAGATAGTCGCAAAAAGCGTGAAGCCAAAGGACTAGATACTGAAAATGCACCGCCACCGAAAAAAAGAGCCACAGCTGGACCCAGTACGGCCATACCCAGCTCCAAACTACGCATCCTCCGTCCGCTGCTGCTCGCAGAACCACACGACTCCGATCGTTTCCCTCCACAACCACGCCAATTGAATCGCGTTACCCGCAAGACATCGGACGTTTTGGGCCAGAGCTGGGATTTCTACGAGGTTGTCGATAAACTCACCAACAAGAATGGGTTCCGTTACAGCTATGCGATCGCGGACCCAGGTTTTCCTCATATCAAATATCGACAGACAGACGTTCAACCGTATCATACGCGCTTCAGCTTCGAGGATTCGCCTGCTGCCATATCATTCTCAGAGAGCGCTACTGCGGTTACCACCAGTGATGCGTGGCATACTGCCCGCGCCAATGTATGTGCTCGGGAGGGGACATACTACTACGAAGCTCGTGTAATTAGCGGCATAGTCAATGATCCACAGGCACCTCAAAATGGCAGACCTACAACTTCACCCCGCGGCCATGTCCGTATTGGATTTGCTCGACGGGAAGCCGACCTCGACGTGAATGTTGGTGTGGATTGCTACGGTTACGGAATTCGAGATGTGAACGGTGAAGTCGTCAATCGCATGCGATGCGAGTTCTTCTTCCCCAAGGGGGAGGCTATCAATGAAGGAGATGTCATTGGCATGCTCATCACTCTTCCACCACTTTCTCTTCACAGAAAAATTGTCGAGGGCACTTACGATCCTACCGATAATGACAATTCACCGCAGCCTCCAGCAGCAACCAACATCATCCGAGATCGGATCCCTTTTCACTACAAGTCGGACTTTTGCTGGCAGCAATCTAACGTCTTTTCAACGAAACATCTCCGAGACTATGCCTTCAATCTCAAGGAAACACCGACATTTGGTCCGCCATCTCCTTTCAATAGCGAGGACGCTACACTGCGCACACTTCCCGGATCCAGTATCACCATTTTCAAGAATGGCGTTAAAATGGGTACGCCCTTCAAAGAACTTTACGCCTTCCTGCCGCCCGCCAGTCGTCTCGCCAACGGCACAAACAATCTTGGTATTGGCGAGCGCGAGAATGCCGACGACGGCATGATCGGTTATTATCCAGCTGTGAGTTGTTATGGCGGCGGCGCTGTCGAATGTCGCTTTGAGGGGCCGTGGTGGGTTGGCCCGCCCGAGCAGACTGAAACTGGAGAGCCAATTCGCCCTATGGGCGAGCGGTTCAACGATCAGATTGTCGAAGATGTGTTGGCCGATATTGTGGACGAGGTAGAAGCAATGTTCACCTGGGGCGGCATTGACGGCGACGTCATCAATAACAACACTGAGCTGGACGGTGCTGGAGCTGTGGGTGGAGCAGAAGTGTTGAAGGGTGGTGTCGGCGCGGCGCTTGATTCTGCACTTGCGCACACTCCTGGCACGGTTGGCGCATCTGATTCTGCTGCCAATAGCAATCGTGCGACACCCGCTGCTGGGGATGTTGGGAATCACGCCCTCGAAGATGCGATGAGCGTTGAGACAGCTGGTACTCCCAATGTTGAAGTGCAGGCCGATGGCGATGTCGAGATGACCTAGCAATATTTCACGGGATAACGAAATATGGAGGCTTTTAGCTTTTGGCTTGGAAGAATATTGATACCATTTTCCGATTCTATAAATGATGTACATCTCATATTCGTAAACATGCTGACTAGTCAAAGCTCTTTCCCTCCAACATCTCTCCCACCTTCAGGACCAACTGGTCGTCTCCATATTGGCCAATGACCTGAATCCCTGCCAGTTCAGCGCCTTCTTCCCCAGGCACTGTGACGGGAACCGAGATTGCAGGCAAACCAGCCAGACTGGCGGGAACAGTGAACACGTCTCCGACATATGGATCCAGAGGTGACTTGTCCGCAGATTTGCTCATCAGGTCCTTCAGTCGTGACGGGGATGAGGGAGCCGTAGGACATATAATGACATCGACGTCATGTTCTCTTATGAGCTTGTCTGTGTGCTCCACCTCCAGGGGGTGTTTAGCCGCAAAGACCGCATTGAAGTCTTGCTGGACCAGACGACGCACCCGTTGTGCTTGGATGAAATAGTTGTCGAACTCACCGGCGCTCAAGGTAAATGTTCCTAGAACGATACGTCTTTTCACTTCTTGCCCGAACCCTTGGCCACGGGTATTTGAATATAGATACCCGTCAGGCTTTCCGTCGCCATCTGGACCTTCGGCGCGAGACCCGTAACGCACTCCGTCAAATTTGGCCAGGTTTGAAGAGGCCTCGGCAGGTCCTAAGACGTAGTAGGTAGATAGTGCGTGCTTTGTATCGGGTAGAGAGACGGAGTGGACGGTGTGTCCTTGCTTTTTGAGGTGTGCTAGGGAAAGCGCCCAAGCCCGTCGCACTGAGGAGGTAAGCTCGGAAACATTGTACTCCTTTGGCACACCGATGCGAAGAGGGGCTGAATTCAGCCGCGATGCCAATTGTGGTGATTCGATGGCGGCTTGGATTCGAGAGCGGGATGGTATTGACAGGCTGGTAGGATCACGCTGGTCATGTAGGTTGAGGATATCTACATGTAGGCCGTCAGCATGGTTGCCATAAGACAAGGTTGAGTTGTCCAAGACTTACTGAAGATGTCTCGCACGTTGCCCGCAGTTTTCCCAATTATACCCACTGTATCTAGAGAATTGGCATATGCCACCACCCCCCATCGTGAGATGAGTCCGTAGGACGGTTTGAATCCCACTGTCCCGGTGTACGCAGCTGGCAGTCTGACCGATCCTCCGGTATCCGTCCCTATTGAACTGCAAGAGTCAGCAAATCAGGCCGCGCCGGCGTTGAATGTCCGCTCACGCAAAGCATTGGTCTGCGGCAACTGAGGCAGCGCTTCCACCGGAGCTGCCGCCGGCCGAGACGTCCTCCCCGCTGGAATCTCGACGAGGGTTCCTGACAGGACCGAAATGTGAATTGATAGAGTTGGAGCCCATCCCAAATTCATCCAGATTTGTCTTTCCCGCGACAATGGCCCCGGCGGCCTCTAATTGATCGACAACTGTGGCATTGAACGGACTCGTGAATTTATCCAGGATCTTCGAAGCGCATGTCGTCGGAAGTTCGCGTGTGCAGATGTTGTCTTTGATGGATATCAGGCGACCATCCACAGGGGACTTGGGGTTTCCTGGCAATGTCAGTTAATTCGGAATGTAGAGACTGGAGTTGGGATGTTGTTACCCTCTTCCCTGCGCGCATCTGCTTCTCTGACACGGTCCTGCCATGACCCGGTACGCGACAGCGGGGTTATGAATGCGTTGAAATTGTGTGCATACTGATTAGCGACGCATCTCTCAGCTTCGCGCAATAGGGACATTTGAACGAGTGTGGGTGTGGAAGTAAAGAGAACCAGGCGGAGAGGTTTCCCGCATCTGTGCTGATTTCTACATGGCTACACTATGCGCCCTCATTGACCTCTGATACACGGAGAAATACTGTACATAGAGGTCGATAAGAGGGAATAATACGAAATTCTGAATGTAAACGTCGATATTCCCAGATACAACAATGATTTACGAACTGTAACGTTAGCATTTGTCGATGTAAAGAGCAGTTCCTTCGGGCCGAGCTAAAGCCCCGACGTCATCCGGATTTGCTCGACTTCCTCTTCTCCTCTTCTCACTCACCCACCAAATATGTTCTCACGAAGTGTACTAAGAACGGCTACCCGAGCTGGCGCGACCCCAGCTCGAGCTGTACCACAGCTTGCCAAAGCTCCGCTCGGTCGGCGATTCGTCTCTGTCTACGGCTACACACAAGCCAAGGCTCTCATTTACTCCAAATATGGCGAGCCCAAGGATGTCTTGCGGTAAGTGACTAGCTTCACTGAAAAGGAGCAAGGCTAATGACCACAACTTAGCCTGCACAAGCACTCAATTTCTGCACCGCACGCAACCCAGGTGAATTTGCGCCTGTTGACTGCGCCGATGAACCCGGCCGACGTGAACCAGATCCAAGGAGTCTACCCCAGCAAACCTCCTTTCCAGACCGCGCTAGGAAACACCGAGCCCGCCGCAGTTGGCGGTAACGAAGGCGCGTTCGAGGTGGAGTCCGTCGGTGCAGGCGTAAAGAACCTCAGCAAAGGCGACTGGGTCATTATGAAGCGCACAGGCCGGGGTACCTGGCGTACTCACGCGCAGATGGAAGAGTCCCAATTGATCAAAATTGAGAACAAGGAGGGCTTGACGCCGCTGCAGGTGGGCACTGTCAGTGTCAACCCCGTTACTGCATACCGTATGCTCCGCGATTTCTGTGAATGGGACTGGATGCGCGCCGGTGAGGAATGGGTGATTCAGAACGGCGCCAACAGTGGTGTCGGCCGAGCTGCTATTCAGCTGGGACGTGAGTGGGGTATCAAGACCCTCAATGTCATCCGTCAGCGTAAGACGCCTGAGGAGACCGAGGCTCTGAAGAAGGAACTTAAAGACCTAGGAGCTACGGTCGTCATCACCGAGGAGGAGATGCTTACCGGCAACTTCCGGGATATGGTTCACGAGTTCACCCGTCAGGGCCGGGAACCCATTCGTCTGGCGTTGAACTGCGTCGGTGGAAAGAACGCCACTGCCATGGCAAAGACTCTGGCTCCCGATTCGCACATGGTGACCTACGGAGCCATGTCCAAGCAGCCTGTTGCGCTGCCCTCGGGACTGTTGATCTTTAAGAACCTCTCGTTCGACGGATTCTGGGTCAGCAGATGGGGTGACAAGAACCCAGAGCAGAAAGAAAGCACCATCAAGGATGTGCTTCAGATGACTCGCTCTGGCAAGTTCAAGGATATCCCTGTGGAGAACGTTGAGTGGAACTGGGAGTCCGAGGGCCCCGCGTTGGCAGAGAGTGTACAAGGCACTTTGGGCGGCTACCGCAGTGGGAAGGGTGTGTTCACCTTCACTGGTACTGACTAGATGACCAACTAGTGTATTATATGACGGGAATTTTGTTAATTACTGCGTGATCCTCGTGCCTCATGGAAAATGGTACAATAGTTGGGAATCTAGAGCCAATGTTCGACAATTGTAACTGAACCCCTGTCAACACTTCCAGTGCTTCTTCACCCAGTCCAGGATCAGGTTCGTGAAAGACAGGTGCGGCATGTACACATCGCTTTCCTTTGCAAAGTCAACATTGAGACTAGCGAATTTAGCAGCCATTGCCACGTATTTTTCGATAAAGTCAATGTAGACCAAATCCACCGTCTCCGGCGCCTCGGATGCATTAGCAGATATGAGGGCTCGAATACAATTTGGCACCCGGTAGAAAGTGATGGGCGAATGGATTGTATCATCACCATCGGTGCCTGCATCATCCTTTGTCGTGTATCCGGGCACAAGTGCCGGACCTGACATAGGTATTTGCTCAGCGAAGGAAGGCCGATTTTGGACAATTACATCCTCCTTGTATGCAAGTTGCTCCAAGGGGGCAAGTGTTGTGGAAGAAGAAGATTCGTCCGTAGACAAGATCTGAGGTTGATGATTCAGAATATCAACAATGAGTCTTGCCTTCTCATATGGGACATCTTTCACATAACGGAAGCCGCTGGTAAAAGGCGATACAATGAAAGTCGAGTCCTGGGTGAAAGGCCCCTGGAAGATATCGAATCTGATGGCGCCTGTGTTGACGATGACAAGCGCAGGCGTGTCTACACGAGACTCATCCTTCACATCGTGCAAGACCTGCGTCTCGAGCCAGGTGTATATGCTGCTTGGATCTGGGTACTGGACTCGTGACATCCAGAGATCATGAGGAGCACATCCATGAATCTGGTCTAACCGCAGATCGGCCCGTGCTTTGGCGATCAATCGAGATACATTGAGGCCTTTCTCGGTTGGGAAAGTGTCTTGGTCAAGCTCGGTATGATGATAGTAAGAAAACAGGTTGTTGTCAATGTACCTGCGCTTAAAGACAGGTCCAGCAGCAGACTGATGGCTGGTCTTGCTGGCGAGGCCATCGATTGACATGAAGCCAACAGTTTCCATGAATCGGCCACTCGCTAGGCCAAATGATTTGGAGTCGTACTGCGCATAGTCACGTACGTGTTGGTGACCACCAAAGAATTGAATGGGAGTATCCCAACGAATGCTTCGGATCTCTTTGAAGATCGCTCGATACTCTGGCGAATGAACAGGCACATGGCCGATCACCAAGAACAGGTCAACCTCCTTATCCCGAATCGCTTCTTGGAACCAGTCTTCTTTGATAGTAGAGGATACTTTGTGGACCACAGTGTTGTTGTAGTTTCCAGTGAAATCAAAAAGAAAGCCAAAAGCTACTATGCGGATGCCTTGATTCTTAGTAGTAAACTTCTTGAACCGCGGGGCCAGAGGCACAAGCTCCTTGGTGGAGGGGTGGATGATATCAATATTCGAAGCCAGATAGTTGCCTCGGAAATTAGGAGCAGTGACAAGAAGCTCAGCCTCTGATGTATTTTGCTTGTATAGTTCGTGGTTTCCCGACGTCAGCAAGTCAATGTGCTGGTGCCGCAGGATGTCCGAGAGATAGACGCCCTTGGGCTCAGATGAGTCGTATAAACCATTTCCCTCGACTCGATCCCCTGTGTCTATGACGAGTAAGTCTTGACCTTGCGATTCGGCCTTTTCCCGCATGCGCGTGGCAAACGAGATATAGTCTCCCCAGTCTGCGGAGTAGGAAGGCCTGCGACGATTAGCGCAACTCAAGCCCTAGCAGGGTGCAGAGCATACTCCTGCAGATGACCAGCCAGCCAGCCATGAGTATCGGTAGTATGAAGGAAATTGAGTTGCCCGAAATCGAGATCGCGCAGCGGAGCGGAGATAGGGTCGGGCGCGGAGGGTTGAGCGGCGAGCGCCGACGGAAGTAGCCAGAGCAGGGACAACATCACCCTTCCGCCGTAAAGATTGAACTCAAGAAAAGACCAGAGTCTCCAATATCTAGCTATGTATGTAGAGGTATTGAAATGATAATTAGGTATCAAGTAACGTGCCAAGATAGATTATTGTTCAAGGGATTGGAAGCTCTTTCCGAGTATGTTTACGGTTTTGGTACCGGTGAGCTGGGACCCTGGGAAGGTCACGTGTGGCCCAACATCTTTGGATTTGCATCTCAAAAGATTATTCGAACGGCGAGTTTTCCTAGACATTCGCTTTATTACTCTCCCATACTTTGTTTCAGTTGCCTTTGCGGTCCGGTTTGGTCTGCGATCCTCAATTGAATTCTATTTTCTTGGCCTTTACTTCCTTAATCCACTTGATCAGCCACATTTCCGCAATGGCAGCTCCCCGACTTTTCCGCCCAACAGCTCGTCTGTTCTCTTCGCGCCTTGCTTCCACTGCTTTGCGCTCCAACCTCCGTCAGACTGCCTGCGCTCCCTCAATTTACCGCCGCGGATATGCCACAGAGAACGGTACCAAGGAGGTCACTGTTCGCGATGCCTTGAACGAGGCCTTGGCCGAGGAGTTGGAACTCAACCAGAAGACCTTCATTCTGGGTGAGGAGGTCGCACAGTACAACGGAGCGTAAGAAGTCCTTTGAGATCCAACTGGCTGCTTTGCGATTCTGAATCTGATGCTAACCTTCTGTCTCTATAGATACAAGGTGACGAGGGGCCTGCTCGACCGCTTCGGTCCCAAGCGGGTTATTGATACTCCTATCACAGAGGCCGGCTTCTGTGGTCTCGCTGTTGGTGCTGCTCTTGCTGGTCTGCACCCTATTGTGAGTTTTTTCGCCCAGGAGTGGCCCGCTGCGCAATCCAGTGCTAATCGGATTTGTAATCTAGTGCGAGTTCATGACCTTCAACTTCGCCATGCAGGCCATCGATCAGATTATCAACTCTGCCGCCAAGACTCACTACATGTCCGGTGGTATTCAGCCTTGCAATGTCACTTTCCGCGGTCCTAACGGCTTTGCCGCTGGTGTCGCCGCTCAGCACTCCCAGGATTACTCCGCCTGGTACGGCAGCATTCCCGGTCTGAAGGTTGTCTCCCCTTGGAGCTCCGAGGATGCCAAGGGTCTGCTGAAGGCTGCTATTCGTGACCCCAACCCTGTGGTCGTTCTGGAGAACGAGTAAGATTCCCCACACTCGACCTTTCTCGCTGCAGAGACTAACACAAAATAGGCTTATGTACGGCCAGTCTTTCCCCATGAGCGAGGCCGCCCAGAAGAACGATTTCGTCCTGCCCATCGGCAAGGCCAAGATCGAGCGCCCCGGAAAGGACCTCACTATCGTTTCCCTGTCTCGCTGCGTCGGCCAGTCCCTGACCGCCGCCGCCGAGCTCAAGCAGAAGTACGGCGTCGACGCTGAGGTTATCAACCTGCGCTCTGTCAAGCCCCTGGATGTCGAGACGATCATTGCCTCCCTCAAGAAGACCGGCCGCATCATGGTCGTCGAGTCTGGCTACCCCATGTTCGGTGTCTCATCTGAAATCCTGGCTCTGTCCATGGAGTACGGCTTCGACTACCTGACTGCCCCTGCCGTCCGTGTCACCGGCGCTGAGGTCCCTACTCCTTACGCAGCTGGTCTCGAGGGCATGGCTTTCCCCCAGGAGGACACTATCGTCACCCAGGCCGCCAAGCTTCTGCGTCTGTAAGCTAATGAACGAGGTTGGAGAGAGGAGCTTGCAATAATATAGCCATGTGCCTAGTACCCTTTCATCTGTTCCATTTTATGTCTTTGTTTTATGTCCGGTTTTTTGTTGCCCACCCATTATACAGATTTTTTTGGAAAGCATGTACCATTACATTAAAAGCAGGTCCAGTGTAATTACACCTAAAGTGACTTTAGATAGAACTTCAATCCTGGCTAAGTCATTGGAAACAAGGCAAAATCCGTAACTTCATTATGCTCTCAAGAGCCGATACAAGTTTCCCGCATGACATGGTCCATCAAGTAGCAACTTGCGCACGTTGAGCAGCACACTCGGGAAAACAATCTGTTGGCCGACGAGGATCATAATATCCTTCTGAACCATACTCTCCATCGGTGTCGCTTTCCACGTCCTCTTCATTCTTTTGTGTTTTACCGACCTCGGATGCGGTCTCCGGTGGAGGGGTTGGATCGACATCATCCTCGTCGTCTCCTAAAACATTCTTCCTCTTGACCGGAGCCTTCTGGACTCCTGGGGCCTTGACAGCAGCAAACGAGCTTTTGAAGCCTCCCTTCTTGAAGCCCGACTTTCCAGCGCTTGGCGCCGTACTGCCTCCAGCAACCTCGATGGTCTTGAGACCAGCATCCGCATTAGCTTTACGTTCTGCTCGACGGTTCTTCTCGGCGGCGTTTGGATCGCGCGATAGCTGTTTGAGATCCTGAAACCGCTTTCTGTGCTGATGATCGTATGAGCCGATATGCGCTTCGTACTCCGGATGTCGTGAGTAGGATTTATTGCATAGGGTGCAGCTGAAAGCGCTGAGCGCAGACCGCGCAGACTCGGTCTGGATGGGTTAGTTTTTGCGATTGGTAGGAGTGGAGGACTAGATAATTACCCTGGGAGCAGGATTAGTCGAGCCACGCTGTGTTTGTTAGCTATGTCATCATACTTGCGCTAAAAGAGCATACCGGAGCCATTGTATTGTTACAGTTGAGCGTGGGCGGGAGATGGAGGGAGGTCAGGATGGCGGAAACTTTAGCCGCCTGAGAACTCAGGCGGCACTTTCCCACCTTGAACTACTGCAACAAATTGGCCTATCACAGTCACGGGATTTTCGTAACTCGGCGAGATCCTCTGCGGCCTGCGCCAACGATTCCTTGTTTTCTCCTTGTGATTCCCATCCTATTATGTAGATGCATGCTTGACGAGTCTCTTTTCTTACGAATTTCATTTCTTATTCCCTCTTTCGTGAAAACCCAAAAGACCCACGATGCCTTCCGAGACTCCCAAATTGGAGGAGATCGAGACCAAGTCGGTCATATCGTTGCAAGAACTAGATCCATCGCCTGTCGATGATATCACGGACATTGAGAGCGCAGGATACTTCCCCAGGGCTGCCTCCCCAACACATGGAGCTGGCCTTTCTATTCCGAAGCTTGGCCTCAGCGGCCATCGTTGGGACTCATGGCGTACGTCAAGCGACGAAAAAAAGTTTGGCTTCTGACTTCTAACCACAACGGCCCTTCTAGTGACCGGTATCCAAAAGTACTCGACCTACCCGCCTACCGCATTCTTCATCCTACATCTCGCCAACACCTCGCTTATTCCACTCGTTACTCGCTCCGTGCCCGCAAGTGAATCCTACCTCTTGCTCACGCGACCTGTCTACCAAGCTCCCGGCCTCGAGCACCTTGTCTTGACGATTCCCATACTTGCGCATATTGCCTCTGGAATTGCTCTCCGCAACATTCGCGCATCGCGTAGAGCGCGATTGTACGGCGCCGAGACTCGCGAGCAGCGACAGACATTGTATTTCTGGCCTCGGATGTCCTTGCAGGCACGCACCGGTTATTTCGTCGCGCCGCTGATTGGGGTCCATGCGCTGGTCAACCGCATCACGCCGGTGCTCGTTGAAGGTGGAAGCTCTGGCGTGGGACTGGGCTATGTTGCACATGGCTTTGCTCGGAGTTCCATGTTCTGGAATATCTTCTATTTCTTTTTCGTCACTGCCAGTGTCTGGCACTTTGTTGGCGGTTGGACGACTTGGATGGGGTGGAGAGTGACCACAGCGCGCAAGGAACGTAGCCAAAAAGGCGCCTTGGGTGCATACATTGATCACTCGGAAGCAAGGTCGAGGAGACAGCGCAAGATGTGGTGGGTTGTTAACGGACTCGCGGCTGCTGGTGCGGCTGTCTGGCTTGCTGGTGCTCTCGGCGTTGTCGGACGTGCCGGCGAAGGCGCCGGATGGGAGGCCAAGGGCTGGAATGAGATGTACAGCCAGGTTCCGATCATTGGGCAGTGGCTGTGAGGATCTTCAAAAGAACGTATATACTATTTAGACTATTTAGACCTAATATTTAATGCAAATATGGAAAGATATTCAACCAACCTATGCTTATAGATTACATACTGCGTACAGATCAATGTAATCCTGCGTACTGTATTTTGGTGGTCTGTGCGTCGAATCTTTTTCTGTCGCATTCAACGTCTCTTGCGACACTCGGCTTTTGAAAGAAACTGTCCATGAACACCTCGTTGATACTTGGATCAGCAACAAGATGCGCTAAGCGAGGTTTTGCTGTCACCATTATCGCCCAATCGCCCCACCCAATCTCTACTCCAATCTTTACTCCGGTTCGATCTTGCATCCGAGTGCTTTCCACCTCTAGAGCCATGGCGACACCGCAGAGCGAGACACCGCAGAGCGATCTGGTAGAATACCAGGGAGTCAAATACAATGTTGTCAAAGAGGGATTGGCGAAAATTCTCAACCCACCTTCCCAAGAAGCCGCTTCCAAGGGAACGAAGAAAGATCTCAAAAGCGACGACCAAGTGCAATCGGTTTTCTACAACCCAATTCAACAATTCAATCGCGACCTGAGTGTACTAGCCATTCGTGCGCATGGGGAACACATCATCGACTTGAGGAAGCAGAAAGCGGCCCAGAAGATAAAGAAGCGGGCAGGCAATGGGGAAAAGAAGCGGAAGCGCGAAGACGACCAGACTGAGAACCCGAGACCTGCCCCGGGCACCGAACAAAAGGGAGACGCCGAGGTGGATACTGAGCTAGCACAACCTCCCCCAGTCGAGCAAGCACCTCAGCCAGAAGCCAAGCCTGAACAAGCAGACCCTGTACCGTCTTTCACTGTCCTCGATGCTCTTTCTGCCACAGGGTTGCGAGCTCTTCGCTATGCCTCGGAGCTCCCATTTGTCACAAAAGTCGTGGCCAATGACCTGTCAGAATCGGCTATCAAATCCATGAAGACAAACATTGCCTATAACAACATCGAGACAATTCAACCAAACTTGGCCGATGCTCGGGTCTACATGTATGGGCTCGACAACGCGAGCAAGTTCGATGTAATTGATTTGGACCCATACGGCACAGCATCTCCATTCCTGGATGCTGCAGTGCAAGCAGCTAAGGATGGCGCCCTTCTATGTGTTACTTGCACCGATGCCGGTGTCTGGGCCTCAACGGGCTATTCGGAAAAGGCCTTCTCTTTGTACGGCGGTATCCCCATCAAAGGCTCCCACTCCCACGAAGGTGGTCTAAGATTGATCCTGAATTCACTTGCCATGTCCGCATCCAAATACGGCGTAGCCATCGAGCCATTGCTGTCTCTGTCTATCGACTTCTACGCTCGCGTCTTTGTTCGGGTCCATCGTTCCCCGGCACAGGTCAAGTTCAACGCGGGCAACACAATGCTCGTCTACAACTGCGACTCAGGGTGCGGAGCATGGTCAACACAGACCATCGGGTCAACAAAAGCCAAACTCGACCGCAGAGGAAACCCCATTCACCACCACGGCATAAACAAAGGGCCAACAGTCGGACCGCAGTGCGAACATTGCGGCTCAAAAACACATCTTGCAGGCCCCATGTGGGCTGGCCCGCTACACAATCCTCATTTCATCCAGAAAATCCTGGACATGCTTCCCGGAGCCGACCCCGACACATACCAGACATGTGCTAGGATCGAGGGCATGTTAACCACAGCCCTTGAAGAGGACCTGGACCTTGCACCATCTCAATCCGAGATATCCACCCCGAAACAACCGGCATCAAACACAAAGAACCAGCAAGATGCCGAATACCCCGCCATAATTCCGCGAATGGACGTCGCCGCTCAAGAAAAATACCCCTTCTACTTCTCCCTCAGTTCTCTCGCAAAGGTCGTGCACAGCACTACCATCCCAATCGACGAGTTCCGCGGCGCTATCGCCCATCTCGGCTATCGCTCTACTCGCAGCCACACCAAGCCCAATTCCGTTCGCACCGATGCCCCCTGGGAGGTGATCTGGGAGATTATGCGCGAGTGGATACGTCAGCGAGCTCCCATCAAGGAATCTTCATTGAAGCCTGGAACACCCGGCGCAGCGATCATGGCCAAGAGCCGTGACAACCTGCGCAAACTAGGCGACGAAGACCAATGGTTGTCGCTTCTCAAGAAGGAACTCATGTCTGCCGTCGAGGCTGGTCGAGATGTTAGTGACTTGGTCACTAAGGTCGAAGCGGCTTTGTATCGATCTGGTTCTCGGACCTCGTGGCAAACTGCTGCTCCTTCTGGTCCTTCGGAGCCTTCACGTCCGGAGGCTGAGCCCCAGCCTGCACCTGACAATGCACCGGCTACTACACAGCCGCAAGCGTCTAACCGGGCTCATCCCAGTGCCCTCAAGGTGGAGTTCGACGAGGCTCTAGGCCGTCAGGTTTCTGCTGCGCATAGCACTAAGCGACTTGTGCGCTACCAGCTCAATCCGCGGGCTAACTGGGGACCTCTGAACCGTGCTGGACGATAATGATTAGTTATACTTACTTCATTCAAGTTTAGAAAAGCTTTGGAATATGACTATTGTACAGTAGCTTGAGTCAATTTATCTAGGTATTTAGTGTGTACAAGATACCTATCGAACTGAACTGATGAAACTGAAATGAAAATATAATAATCTAAGCTGTAAACACAAAAACATGCAGATGCACATATAACTCCAAGGCTTTGAGGATATCTCACATAATGGCCCATGAAACGACAAGGAAACTCTATCAGAAATACATTATGAACAGATCAATAGGGATGATTAAATTATTTGGCAACATTCTCGTTGCCCTCTTCGTACTTGTCCCAGTTGGCCAAGATGGAGGCAATGCGGGGCGAGTTGGTAAGTCTGTACACGTCCTCGAAGTATTCCTTGGTGATCTCGAAGGGACGGGCCGTGACATTGGGAATGTACTTGCCGATCAACTTGCTGGGATCGATGGTAGTCTTGTTGATTTTCTTCAGCAAGAAAGAACGGAAGGGCTTGACACCAGAGCGCAAGAAGGTGCTGTGGAAGGGCACGTCGATACCCTTGAGGGGAATGGTAGCGAAACCACGCTCCAGGACGATAGGACGGGGCTTGGCCTCGGTCTGCTTCACACATTCCTGAATGATGCTGACGAGGTGTTCCTTGACATCTTCGAGAGACATGCTCTCCATGAGAGCAGGGATGTCAATGTTCTGAGCCTTCAGGAAGTTCAGCAGGTTGGTGAGACAGTCGAGAGCGCGGAGGTCACCGGCAGCAACGTATTGCATGTTGGCAACGTTGTAGTTGACAATCTCCAGCAGCCACCCGGTAGTCTCTGAGATGTTCTCAACGACATACTGCAACGCCGGCTCGTTGAAAGTCTTGGAGATACGGCTGGGGTTGACAGCGCACATGGAGTAGTTGGAGCGACCCTGTGCGTCACGCTCGACAGCGACTTGCATGGTCAGACCGCGGTAGAAGACGACGGAAACCAAGCTCTCAATGGGCATAACGTCGGCCAGAGCGGCCAGAGCCGAGTATTCACCAAGAGAGTGTCCAGCGAAGCTGCTGTCCCGCTGAACCAGACCCTTGGCGCGCATGTCCTCGAAGCTGGCCTTCTCCATCAGGGTCAAGGCTGGCTGAGTGAACTGGGTGGCGGAAAGGAGACCAGTGGGAGAGCGGTAGGTGTACGAGGCAGTGTTCTCATCAACCTCCTTGAAGATCTTCTCAGATTTGATCGAGCCGTCTGCGTTGACCGACTCGAAGGTCATTGCCATGTAGTTCTCACGAATGGCCTTACCCCGAGGACCACCAAAGTAGACTGTCAGCTCCTTGGGGTTGTTCTTGACGATGTCGATGATAGAAAGACCATAGTTCTCAATGAAGTGACGATCAGCCCGGTCCCAGACCTCCTGGGCCACGGGACTGGAGCCATACAGCTCCATACCCATGCCTTGCTCCTGGGAGCCTTGGCCAGTGAAAACGTAGGAAGTGACTGGCTGCTCAACCTCTGCCTCACCCTGCAAGACCTTCTCTTCTGTCTCCTTGTTGCTGGCTTCAACCTTGATAATCTTGCGACCGGCGATCATACCGACATGCTGCAGCTTGACAGTGATCATGTCGTTCGGTAGAACCATGCCGACCAGCGAGACTTGGAAGCCGCGAACACGGCCGATGTTGTTCTCGGCGGCCCAGGTCTCGACAAGGCTGCGAACAGCGGCACTGCTGTACATGCCATGTGTAATGGTGCCAGGAAGATTGGCGTAGCTGGAGAAGACCCGGGACACGTGGATGGGGTTGTAATCACCAGACACGCGAGCATAGGTCTCGTTGGAGGCCGGGGCACGCAATTCCAAAGCAGTCTTGCCACTGAGCGGGATCGGGTTCTCGAAGTAGACAGGCTGTTCAATGGAAGTACCATTACGTTGCAGATAGTCAATGACGGGGTTACCGTGAGAGTCACCAGCCTCATATTCAACAGAGGCGACTTGGATGACCTCCTTGGTGGGAAGCTCAAGAAGAGCTTGTCCAACCGTCTGGACGTTGCTGAAGACTGTGGAGTCCTTGAAACGGATCAAACTCTGCAATCGGAAGGTCAAAGTCTGACCGAGTAGCTCGGTGTCAGAGTCATCCATGCGGAACCATTCCTTGGAGCGGAGGATGGCGACATCCCGGCTGGTGGCGAGGTGAACCTGCATGGGCACCTCATCCTTGCGCTGGAAGGTGTTCTCAAAGTCGGTGTAGGCACCGCGGTAGAGGAACTGACTGGTCACATGCATGATGGCTTTGTTGTCTCGCTTGATGGTGCCGCAAACCTCTACCATCTTGCCGGAATCCTGGTTGATGACGGAGTTGATCTGGGCGGTGGTGTCCAGGACATCACCCACCTTGAGGGGCTCGGCACCGGGCACCATTTGGAACCCGTTAGACAAGTGAACAAGCTTCAGCAGATCTCCGTCGATGGTGCGAGGGAAGATGGGCTTGGTGATTGCCTGCCAGCCGGCAACGATGGCGAAGTCCATGGGGGCGAAGACTTCCTTGCCAGGACGATCAACGAAGGCCTCACCAGTGTTGCCAACTGCATGAACAAAGTCGGCAACATCCTGGGAAGTGATGGTCTTTTGGCCACCGCTGAAGGTAGCGGTAGTGGGTGTGTCAAAGGGCACGTCCTTGTTGCCGAACCAGATCCGGTAGTAGAACTCCTTGATCCGATCGTTGCGGTCATCCATGACCTCGCGGATGGGGGCGTATCCAGTCTCTGGGTGGTAGGTGAACAAGAAGTTCAAAGGCACCACACCGTTCTCAGCAGTGCGTCCCTCAAACAAGGTCAAGCTGATCTGCCCGTTCTGGTTCATCTTGGCCTCGACAGTCTTGACCAGCTTGCCAGACTGGTAGGGTTCACGCACACTGATGACAGTCTTCGAAGGATCGTTGGGATTGGATACTTCCACATACATGCCTGCGGTGGGGGCCACGATCCGCTTCATGGGGTTGGTCTGGAAGCGGTGGCCCTGAACATAGACATCGGCCAGGAAGAGAGCGTGTCTCCAGGAGTAGACATTGCCGGCGAGAAGACCGAGCCAGCGGTCCAAGTCTGGCAGGGGTCCGGTTGAAGACAAACGGAAGCTGGTCTTGAGAGGCTCTTCCGAGATAACCAAGCCGTCGAACTCCTCCTCGCTAGTGTTCATGAGCTGCCCACCAAAGTACTCAATGACAGGGATCTTGGAACTATCGCCACCGTAGACATCACGCAGAAGGCCAGCGATGTGTCCCTGGTGAACACCATCAAGAATGTCCTTAACGGGCTCATCAATGATATTCGAGAAACGGGCAGCCATGGGGCCCTGAAGAATACAGGTACGGCCAACGTCCTGGTCAACAACGGCCTCAAGGTCCTCACTTTGCCACAGAGAATCCTTCTTGAAGAAGAACTCAAAGTTCTCATCCAGAACAGGGACGAAGGGAACGGGCTTCTGACCGCGTCTCTGGCAGAGCAGCAGGAAGTGCTGCACATCCTGTGCGTTGATGAGCTGATTGGCAGCCTCAGGGTAAGCAGCCAAAATGTTGTCAACAGCTGGGTAAGGAGTGTCAAGGTCCGAGTAACTTTGGAGATGCGATGCCTGGCCCTCAGCAGTTGTGAAACGCTCCTCAACACGACGGAGGAAGTCACCGGTCAAGCGCTGCAGAGAAGGATCGATCCATCGCGACTCGTGCTTGATGTACATGAGATCGACCATGCGGTGAACAACCTCAGCATAAGTCATGTCCTCAAGATCCACAGTCTGACCCGCAGCATTGCGACCGAACCAGACCTTGTGGAAGTCATCATTCAGCTTCTTGATGATGTAATTGCGCTGCTTCTTCAGCTCAGGAAGACGCTTGGCCTTGTCCAGCTTGAAGATCTTTTGATCCATCTCCTGCCAAAACAGCACACCGCGAGTTGCCAGCTTGTGGATAGGCTCACCCATTTCAGAGAGAACAGTGATGATACCACCGGTTGGCTTCTGGTAGGTCTTCTCCCATTCCTCATCGTCCACACCGGGAGCATCGGCGATCGCCTTCTTGGCATTGTAAGATGTGTGTGCCTCCTTGGCGATCATCATACGAGATCCAAAGAGACAGCCGTCAAAAGGCATAGGAGGATAGCCATACTTGGCGGACCAAGCACCAGAAAGGTAGGGGTAAGTGTCCTCCGAGCCACCGAAGCCACTGCCAGCAACAAGCACGATGTTGTCCTGCTTGCGGATACGGCTGTACATCTGGAGCACAGGCTGGTGGAAGTCCTCGAAGGAGTGGTGACCACCACCACGGCCACCAGTCCACTGAAGGATGACAGGGAACTTGGGGTTAGCCTTGGCGATATTGATGACCTGCTGAATCGCATCGACGGAGCCGGGCTTGAAGGCAATGTGCTTGATACCGAGGGTTTCGATGTATTCATTGGCAACTTCAATAGATGGTACACCGGCACCGATGGTCAGACCTTCAATCGGCACGCCCTCGGAGCGCAAACGACCAATCAACGGAATCTGCCAGGCCATCGCACGGGGATTGACGTAGATCAGGTTGATGGTGATACCGCGACCGGGCGGGATCGTCTTCTCAATCTTTGTGATGGCCTCGGTCATTGTCTTGGCGTTGTAGTAGCCACCACCACCCAGCTCGATGTGATAGCCAGCGTTCATAGTGGCAGCCACAAAGTCCCAGGCAACGGTAGTGGGTGTCATACCAGCGACCATGACGGGAGGGATACCCAACAGGCGACTCATCTTGGTGTCAACATAGATTTGGCCAGAGGAAGTCTTTGTGAGACGAGGGCCATGTTCCTTGACCCAGTCTACAGCAAACTTGACGGAATCCTCGTCACGATCAAAGAGTTCCGGCTTGTAGCCAACCTCTGCGTTGGTACCGTCCATCTCACCAGCGAGAATGACTCGAACACCAGTGCCATCCTTGTTCCTGTTGGTCAGAACGCCGAGACCAGAGATGCCACCCGGTCCGAAGTCCAAGATGTGAGTTGCACGGGGGAAGACGGTGGCTTGCTCCCAGTTAACCGCATCATGAGTGATCATGCGAACCAATGAGGGCACAATGTCCTTGTCGCCTAGTTGACGCAGGTCCTCTCCAGTCTTTGTATGGAAGACAGGGATCTCCAGAGACTTGGCGGAGATCTCAACAACATCCTCCAAATCCTCGAGAATGTGATCGTAGGCAGACTCCAAATACTGGCTGTGGAAGGGAGCAGTGATGGGAAGGAAGCGGTTGACAAAGCGAACCTTGCGCTGGGTGAAAGGCACACGGTTCTGGTCGAGTCCAGTGGGGGCTTTGACTTTGCGCAACCGAACATTGAGACCGTAAAGCGAGATGGGGGGACCAGTAACCACAAAGTTGCGAGCACTGTTCACCAGCGAGATAGCAATGTGGCGATCCTCGGGCAAATGTTGGTTTGTTGCATCAATGTGCTCCTGAACGGCGGAAAGCGAAAGGTCACGGATGGACAACATGGGGGTGGGGCTCCCTTCGCCATTCTCAATCGAGTCCTGGAGAACAGAGGGGGCGATAGAGGTGCGGGGATAGGCCTGCTGACTGCGCAGACCAATCCAGAACAGCATGGTCAGAGCATTCCGGGCGGCTGTGGCAAAGGACTCCCAGCTAGTAGCGGTAGCAATGGCGGCGGCTGTTACCACTCCCTGAGAGTGACCTGTGGTACCAAGGAATCGTTCTAGGATATCACCAGGCTGGCGACCCAGCACTTTGCAGGTAACCGTGTAATGGGCCAGCTGGACCAATCCAATCAATGGCAGACTGACGGGAGCGGAAACCAGATAATCGATATCGGGCTGTGCGTCCCGGTCTTGGAGCCATTGCATGATATCCAACCCCTTGGGGTAGAGCTTGCTAGCCTCGGGCTCGTGGGAGAGCGATTCAAGCAATTCGGCGGATGAGGTGATGAGATCTTCGACAAATGAAGGGTACGTAGTGTAGATGCTGCGCAATTCATCAAAATACTCCTCAATGTTGCCCTGACCACCGAACACAGAGTAGATACCCGCAGCCTCATCGGATGCTGCACGGAACAAGGCCGAGTCATAGGGCTTGGTGGGCCGGCCCGCCGCAGCTCGCCCCGCGTAATAGGCCTGGACGACCTGGTTCTTCTTATCGACGATGCCGGGGAGCGCAGCTGCCACGGCGTGAACATCATTGCCGCGCATGAAGGCACGCTCAAATTCATTCATAACGAGTTTCAACACATCCATAAAGCTACCCTGTGCATCATCTTCCTCATCGAGTTCGTGGGCCACATGGCCGATGTAACGTGCGACCAATTCGGTCACTGATGAAGGCTCATCATCTTGGGCCAATTCGTCTGTAGGCTCCGGTAGGGAGGCAGTGAAGCTGTCTTTCAACTGCGATGCATGAAAGTGAAGCGAAGTAGGAACGAGGAATGAGAACTCGAGGGAGCCATGCGAAAGGATGAGAGGGCGGAGGGACTGAGAGGATCGAGGGGTATTGATACCGGTCTGGGGACCAGTCGACGTGCCGAACATGATGTGGACTCTCTTTATAGAAGAATGAATAGAAGAGAAAATGAGAGGCTGAAGACCGGAGGAACCCTAATATTGGAGGAGAGGGTTTTCCTGGAGATGTTAGTTTTCGAGCAATTGTTAAAAGTCTGGCGGGGACCGAAACTCACTAGAAGACCGGGGCTCTAGAAGGTCTTGAGGAGTGATTTAGGGAGGGGTATTATCAAGTGAATAAAGAAAGTAAAGGGCAAAAGAAGAGACCACAATTTCAACAGATGTACATATAAAATAGAAGAAAGAGGGCCAAAGCAATTGGACAGCCTTGAAGGGGATAGCAAAGGAAAAGAGAGGAAAAAAAGATCCGCTGGTTGAACTGTAGACAGCCCAAAGAGGTTTAGCGCAATAGTAGACCCGCCCCAATGGGTTCAGACTGGGTTGAACCCGTTGAGGATTACGATATGGTACCTTGTAACTTTGAAAACTGTATTTGAAATTTACGAGTGGCACAGCATACTAACTACTAGTAGTAGTCCCTCAATTCTGCAAATCTATGATTTTTCATCTCTGAAACTCTCGACATTGCATGTTCATTGGTATTTGTAATCGGGTGTTGGGACGGGGATTTCTCCTTTGGAAGCTTTACGCCCCTAACCAAATATGTAGCTTGACAGATGATCCGCCCGACACTGCGCATCTCCCCTTTAGTGTCAGATCCGGCCGAAGCTCTGGGACCCCAACGGCCTCACCAAATTTGACCTTTTCCCTCCCCATTCCTCCGAATCTCGCAAATTGTAACGGACTTGATTTATTGAGAGATTTCTGATTATTATTCTTCTCCTTCCCCTTCATTGCAAATTTCCACGTTGCGTCTGAGGTGAGTGGCTTTTTTTTTTGATTTTTCATCCTTAAATTCTTTTTTTGGCTCTATCTTGGTAGGGGAAAATTACGATCCGGTATTATTTGATACCCCATGTATCTCCATTCCCACCTTTTTTTTCCCTTCTTCTTTCTGGAACCCAATTCAATTGTCTTGGGGACTTTTGACTGATATCTTTTGATTCTAGGATTGACTCCTTATTCTTTAATTCTTCCCCATTCTCTTCGAAGTCCGCCCTCCCCACCTCTACTCATTCCTTTTCCTCCGGGCATTTCCATAACGACTTTTGTCGCGCCCGCAACTCTGGACATTTGTCCTGAATCTCGACCTTCTTTAATAATCAATTGATACCCATTCACTTCCATCATGCGTCCGGAAGTTGAACAAGAGCTCTCCCACACCTTGTTGGTGGAGTTGCTTGCCTACCAATTCGCCTCCCCCGTCCGATGGATCGAAACCCAAGATGTGATCCTCGCCGAACAGCGCACCGAGCGCATTGTTGAGATCGGTCCCGCAGATACCCTTGGAACAATGGCACGACGGACGCTAGCCTCCAAGTACGAGGCCTACGATGCTGCTACTTCGGTTCAGCGCCAGATTCTCTGCTATAATAAGGATGCCAAGGAAATTTACTATGATGTCGACCCCGTGGAGGAAGAACCCGAAGCCGCTGCGGAGCCTACTTCTTCAGCTGCCCCTGCGGCAGCACCGGCTGCCGCTCCTGCAGCTGGAGCTCCTGCACCACCCCCAAGTGCAGGCCCTGCTGCCTCAGTGGAGGATGTCCCCGTCACAGCAGTCGATATTCTGCGGACATTGGTTGCTCAGAAATTGAAGAAGGGCCTCTCAGACGTGCCATTGTCAAAGGCTATCAAGGATCTTGTTGGCGGTAAGTACAGACACCCTCATTTCTATCAAGTATCCAATCTAACCTGTGAACAGGCAAGTCCACTTTACAGAATGAAATTCTGGGTGATCTAGGCAAGGAATTCGGCTCCACGCCCGAGAAGCCCGAGGATGTTCCCCTCGACGAGTTGGGCGCTGCCATGCAGGCGACGTTCAATGGCCAACTCGGCAAGCAGTCGGCCTCGCTTATCGCTAGAATGGTCTCCTCCAAAATGCCCGGTGGCTTCAACATCACTTCCGTTAGAAAATATCTGGAGAGTCGGTGGGGTTTGGGATCCGGCCGCCAGGATGGTGTGCTTTTGCTTGCCCTGACCATGGAACCGGCTGCTCGTCTTGGCGCGGAAGCGGATGCCAAGGCCTATTTGGACGACGTGACCAACAAATATGCTGCCAGCGCAGGCGTTAACCTCGCAGCACCGGTTGCCGGCGGTGACAGCGGTGCTGGTGGCGGTGGCATGATGATGGATCCTGCAGCCATCGAGGCCCTGACCAAGGATCAGCGGGCTCTATTCAAACAGCAGCTTGAGATCATTGCCCGGTACCTCAAGATGGACCTCCGCGGTGGTGAAAAGGCATATGTGACCTCGAAGGAGACCCAGAACGCGCTGCAAGCTCAGCTGGATTTGTGGCAAGCAGAGCATGGCGACTTCTACGCCTCGGGTATTGAGCCAGCATTCAATCCCCTCAAAGCCCGTGTCTATGATTCCTCATGGAACTGGGCTCGCCAGGATGCCCTGAGCATGTATTACGATATTATCTTTGGACGTTTGCAGGTGGTGGACCGCGAAATCGTCAGCCAGTGCATTCGCATCATGAATCGTTCCAACCCTCTGCTCTTGGACTTCATGCAGTATCACATCGACAATTGCCCAACCGAGCGCGGAGAGACCTACCAGCTTGCCAAGGAACTCGGACAGCAGCTCATTGAGAACTGTCGCGACGTATTGGAAGTGGCTCCGGTCTACAAGGATGTTGCTGTGCCTACTGGTCCCCAAACCACTATTGATGCCCGTGGCAACATTGCCTACAAGGAGGCCCCCCGAACCAGCGCTCGCAAGCTCGAGCATTACGTGAAGCACATGGCTGAGGGAGGCCCGATTTCCGAGTACAGCAACCGCACCAAGGTTCAGAATGACCTGAAGAGTGTTTACAAGCTCATTCGCAAGCAACATCGTCTTTCCAAGTCATCCCAAATCCAGTTTGATGCTCTTTACAAGGATGTTATCCACGCTCTTGGCATGAATGAGAGCCAAATCATTCCCCAGGAGAATGGCCACAGCAAGAAGGGCGGTCGTAGTTCTGCCAAACGTTCTACTACTGCTGCCACCCGCCCTGGCAAGATGGAGACCATTCCTTTCTTGCACCTGAAGAAGAAGACCGATCACGGCTGGGACTACAACAAGAAGCTGACTGGCACCTACCTCAATGTTTTGGAATCGGCTGCCAAGAATGGTCTTAGCTTCCAGGGCAAGAACGTTCTGATGACCGGTGCCGGTGCTGGTTCCATCGGTGCTGAGGTCCTCCAGGGTCTGATCAGTGGTGGTGCCAAGGTTGTTGTCACTACCAGCCGCTTCTCCCGCGAGGTAACCGAGTACTATCAGGCTATGTATGCCCGTTTCGGTGCTCGTGGTTCCCAGCTTGTGGTCGTACCGTTCAACCAGGGCAGCAAGCAGGATGTGGAGGCTTTGGTTGATTATATCTATGACACCAAGAAGGGACTCGGCTGGGACTTGGACTTCATCGTTCCCTTCGCTGCCATCCCGGAGAACGGTCGCGAGATCGACTCTATTGACTCTAAGTCCGAGCTGGCTCATCGTATCATGTTGACCAACCTTCTCCGTCTTTTGGGCTCGGTCAAGACCCACAAGCAAGCCAATGGCTTTGAGACTCGGCCGGCTCAGGTTATTCTGCCCCTCTCGCCCAATCACGGCACTTTCGGCAACGATGGCTTGTACTCCGAGTCGAAGCTTGCTCTGGAGACCCTCTTCAACCGCTGGTACTCGGAGAACTGGGGCCACTACCTTACAATTTGCGGTGCAGTCATTGGCTGGACCCGTGGTACTGGTCTGATGAGCGGTAACAACATGGTCGCCGAGGGCGTTGAGAAACTGGGCGTCCGTACATTCTCCCAGCAAGAGATGGCTTTCAACCTTCTCGGCCTGATGTCTCCCGCCATTGTCAACCTCTGCCAGCTCGACCCCGTCTTTGCCGATCTTAACGGTGGTCTTCAGTTCATTCCGGACCTCAAGGGACTGATGACCAAACTTCGCACTGACATCATGGAGACCAGCGATGTCCGCCAGGCCGTCATCAAGGAAACCGCCATCGAGCACAAGGTCGTCAACGGCGAAGACAGTGGAGTCTTATACAAGAAGGTTGTTGCCGAGCCTCGTGCCAACATCAAGTTCGAATTCCCCAAGTTGCCTGACTGGGAGGAAGTCAAGCCCCTCAATGAGTCTCTCAAGGGCATGGTCAACCTGGACAAGGTTGTCGTTGTCACTGGTTTCTCCGAAGTCGGCCCCTGGGGTAACGCTCGTACTCGATGGGAGATGGAGTCCAAGGGCAAGTTCTCGCTGGAAGGCTGCGTCGAGATGGCGTGGATCATGGGTCTGATCAAGCACCACAATGGTCCCCTCAAGGGCAAGGCCTACTCTGGCTGGGTTGATGCTAAGTCCGGTGACCCCGTTGATGACAAGGATATCAAGTCCAAGTACGAGAAGCACATCTTGGAGCACACTGGTATCCGTCTCATCGAGCCTGAGCTGTTCAAGGGATACGACCCTAAGAAGAAGCAGCTCCTCCAGGAGATCGTCATCCAGGAGGACCTCGAACCCTTTGAGGCTTCCAAGGAGACAGCCGAGGAGTTCAAGCGTGAGCATGGAGACAAGGTTGAGATCTTCGAGATCCCTGACTCTGGAGAGTACACCGTCCGTCTTCGCAAGGGCGCCACTATGCTCGTTCCCAAGGCGCTGCAGTTCGATCGCCTCGTCGCCGGTCAGGTCCCCACTGGCTGGGATGCCAGTCGCTACGGTATCCCCGACGACATCATTGAACAGGTGGATCCTGTGACGCTGTATGTCCTGGTCTGCACTGCTGAGTCTATGCTGTCCGCTGGTATCACCGACCCGTACGAGTTCTACAAGTATGTCCACCTCTCCGAGGTCGGCAACTGCGTTGGCTCAGGTATTGGTGGTACTCACGCCTTGCGCGGTATGTACAAGGATCGCTACTTGGATAAGCCGGTGCAGAAGGATATCTTGCAGGAGTCCTTCATCAACACTATGTCCGCCTGGGTCAACATGTTGTTGTTGTCGTCTACCGGTCCTATCAAGACTCCCGTTGGTGCTTGCGCCACAGCTGTCGAGTCGGTCGACATTGGCTACGAGACTATTGTCGAGGGCAAGGCACGTGTCTGCTTTGTTGGTGGCTTCGATGACTTCCAGGAGGAGGGCTCTTACGAGTTCGCCAACATGAAGGCTACCAGCAACGCCGAGGACGAGTTCGCCCACGGCCGTACCCCGCAAGAGATGTCTCGCCCAACCACCACGACTCGTGGTGGCTTCATGGAGTCCCAGGGTTGCGGTATGCAACTCATCATGTCTGCCCAGCTTGCCCTTGATATGGGTGTGCCCATCCACGGCATCATTGCTTTGACCACGACCGCCACTGACAAGATTGGACGGTCCGTTCCCGCTCCTGGCCAGGGTGTCCTGACCACCGCCCGCGAGAACCCCGGCAAGTTCCCGTCCCCTCTGTTGGATATCAAGTACCGTCGCCGTCAATTGGAGCTTCGCAGGAAGCAGATCAAGGAATGGCAAGAATCCGAGCTTCTCTACCTCCAGGAGGAGGCCGAGGCTGTGAAGGCTCAGAGCGACGATACCTTCAACGAGGCAGAGTACTTGCAGGAGCGTGCTCAGCACATTGAGCGCGAAGCCATCCGCCAGGAGAAGGATGCTCAGTACAGTCTGGGCAACAACTTCTGGAAGCAGGATTCACGCATTGCTCCTCTCCGTGGTGCCCTGGCTACCTGGGGTCTCACAGTCGACGACATTGACGTTGCATCTTTCCACGGTACCTCGACTGTTGCCAACGACAAGAACGAATCCGATGTCATCTGCCAACAGATGAAGCACCTCGGTCGCTCCAAGGGCAATGCAGTCATGGGTATCTTCCAGAAGTACCTCACCGGTCACCCCAAGGGTGCCGCCGGTGCCTGGATGTTCAACGGCTGTTTGCAAGTCATGGACAGCGGTCTCGTGCCCGGCAACCGCAACGCCGATAACGTCGACAAGGTCATGGAGAAGTTTGACTACATCGTCTACCCTAGTCGCAGCATCCAGACTGACGGCGTCAAGGCCTTCTCTCTCACCTCCTTCGGTTTCGGTCAGAAGGGTGCTCAGGTCATCGGTATCCACCCCAAGTACCTGTACGCCACTCTTGACCAGGCCCAGTACCAGGCCTACAAGACCAAGGTCGAGGCCCGCCAGAAGAAGGCTTACCGCTACTTCCACAACGGCCTGATCAACAACAGCATCTTCGTCGCCAAGAGCAAGGCTCCCTACGAGGACGAGATCCAGAGCAAGGTCTTCCTGAACCCCGACTACCGTGTCTCCGTCGACAAGAAGACCTCTGAGCTCAAGTACTCGGCCACTGCCCCTGAAATAAAGGAGTCTGAGAGCACTCGGATGACCGTCGAGTCCCTCGCCAAGGCCAATGCGTCTGAGAACTCCAAGATCGGTGTGGACGTCGAGCAGATCGATGCCGTCAACATCGAGAACGAGACTTTCGTCGAGCGCAACTTCACCCAAAGCGAGCAGGACTACTGCCGCAAGGCCGCCTCCCCGCAGTCCTCGTTCGCGGGCCGCTGGAGCGCCAAAGAAGCGGTCTTCAAGTCCCTGGGTGTCAGCAGCAAGGGCGCCGGCGCCGCTCTGAAGGATATTGAGATTGGAGTTGATGCCAATGGCGCTCCGGTCGTGAACGTAAGTGCATGATTGTTTTTCAAGTTCCGATAACAACGCTAACATATATCTCTTAGCTCCATGGTTCTGCCGCCGCTGCCGCCAAGGAAGCCGGTGTCAAGCAAGTCAGTGTTAGCATCAGCCACAGCGACTCCCAAGCTGTCGCCGTTGCTGTGTCGCGGTTCTGAGTGACTGGATTTTTCTTTGTGTATTCGCATATAGATCTTGAGAGACTAGATTCCCTCTTGGGTTTGAGGCGTAATGATTGTGATTATGTTTTATATGTTTTAGATCTATTCCGGGCCAGCTTCGTCTCCTGGTTGTGTTTATAGTGTTGATAATGGGAGTAATGACATTTATTCGGACTTTCTTCGCTAGACAAATGTAAATCTCATGTGGACAACTTGGATGAAGCAACGAACCTAAGTATTTGATTCTTAAGCTGAATGTGGATTTGATACTCCGTAGTTGCTAGGTGAACGTTAGCACCCACATCCTAAGGGGGAATGGGGGCTAAAGGTCAGCAACTGAGGCTGGCGATCCTGATATGTACTCTGACATTGTGGGCATTGGATAGGAAATACACAGAACATATGAAAATTAGTCTTCAACCTCCTCCTCCGTAGCTCAACCCTTCCAGGGACCAGGTCGCAACATGCGATCCTCCTTTCCATAAACGCTAACATCCTTGACAATGGCAATGAACCTGCGATGATTCTCCTTCGACTCGCCAATACGAGGACGGAAAACCTTCAACAATTCACTGCTAGTAATACCACATGCTGGAATAGCAGCATGGATTTCCCCAGCGGTGGGGAATGTCTGAGGTCCGGAGATGGGAGTAGACACACGGAGGCCTGCAAATGTAATTTGTTAATCTTTTGATTCCAAGGACAATGGTAGCAAGGAAACTCACCTCTGGGGCCTTCGGGGCTGCTGGCACGGCTTCCGGAAGGTCGTGGCAAAGGACTGGCGGCGCGAGATCCTTGCGGAGTACCACCACGAGAAATTGAACCAGGGGGGTTGAGCTTCAATTTCTTGACCTTGCCGCCCTCGGCCATCTCCGCTCCAGATCCTACGCCTGTCTCGACGTCGCTGCCAGAACCAGCGCCACCGGGAATGTTTCGAACACGTTTCTTGCTTGTCTGGGTGGAATTAGTTGTGTCGTTAAATCAAAGGAAGTCTTGATACATACCTGCATGGCCGATGGAGACATTGGACGTGATGGGGGTTGGGAGGTGGTGAGATGCATGCCCTTGGCCTTCTTACGCGAGGTATCAGTACCGCTGGCATCAGAGGCGTTGGGTGATCCAGGCCTCTTCCGCGATCCGGCAGAGGATTTCTTAAAGGCGTCTGTGTGCTTTGGTCGCCCGGAGGGAGTGAGTGTTCCCTTGGCGGCTGCTTCTTTTTGGTTCTTTTCTTCTTCTGCCTTCTTGCGTTCCTCCTCCTTGGCTCGTTCGGTTTCACTGTCATCAGAGCTCTGTTCAATGTTAGTGCTTGGATTCGCCGTAAAAGTTGAGAACAATTACCTCTTCGTCTGTGTACGGATTGACATCCGAGCCACTGCTGTAATCATAATTTCGTTCTCTCCTCTTCAGAGCCTTGCGCACACCCTTGCCCAACACACGTCGAGCCTCTCGTTCCCGTTTCTCTCGCAGTTCTTCTAACTCATACTCCTTCTCATCCTTGAGATCGAACACGTTCGCCTTGAGCTGGTCCTCTTTGATTCTCTTTTCGGCATCTTTTTGCTCTTCATCTTCAATAAAGAGGTCATCGTGCTCTTCGTCGTCCGCAAATCGATCCTCTTCGAAATCCATCTCGGTAGCCTCTAGTCCCTCGCCCTTTCCAGCCTGCAGGCCTTGTTTTCCGGCGTAGACTTTGCGCTGCTTGGCATAGGCAGCCAACTCTTTTTCTTGCTCCAGTTGCTGCTGCTTCTCCATGAACCATCGAGGATCTTTGACTCTCTTGGCCATGAATTTCTCCGCTTCCTCGATTGTCAAAGCCTTGAAATTACTCTTGGCAGTGAACTTGTACCACTTCTCCGCCGGAATCATTCGCATCTTTCCACCCTCAAGGACAAAGACGGCATGTGTCTCAGACAGAGCCGCTTCGTAATTTCCAACCCAAGTGTGGCGGTTGTCGAAATCCTCCAGGTGCCATGGCAAAGCCTCTTCGTACTTAATGCGTGCTCTCGCAATCTCTTCGGGGGTCATGTCCGATTTGAAAACTTGCTGTGTCTTCTGCTTCGGCGCATTTGGTCGTTTCGAGGTCGAACCAATGGCCGGAGCGATTTGCGAAAGATTCTGAGCGCGCTCTTTCTCACGTGCCGCCTTCCGAGCATCAAAGGCCTCACGCTCGGCTTCATCCATCGGCTGACCATCCTCGTCAGCCCGTCCCGCTTGTGGATCATGTATGCGCGCGCGTGGGTCGCGACGGTGAAGTCGAACTGGTCTCGTGAATTGCGATTCATCACGTGGGTCGACATTCTTCTTCGAGGCAAATCGCGCGACGTGGTGCTTCAGTCCCTCCATCAAAGCTCGCTTGGTTGTGACCACCGGATAATCAAAGTACTTGTCACTGAGCAAGGGACCGCTGAATCCGTTCGCCGACATGTTGTTGTTTGCAATTTCAATCATAGGTCGGTCAGATTGGAATACCGAATGGGGGTTTGCCATCTGCGGGCGCGTAGGAAGAGTCTTCGTCGCGGTCCCATTGCCAGCAGGTGTGGCGCCGGCGGGTTTAGGAGCGGGCCTGCGTTTCGGTCGAACCAAAGGGTCAGCTGCCCTTGGACGGCGCATGATTTTCAGTGGTGCGCCATTTGGCCCGGTTGGAGTTCTCGCATTTGTTGAATTGGTTGGAGTCGACATGTTGTCGCCGTAGATGAAAGAGCTGTCCGATGGACAAAGGGCGATGCGAAAATCGCAGTAAAGATAAGCGCTATGCCAGGGTCGTCTGCGTTGTTTGGAAACAAAAAAAGCCAGCAGGGTGCAAAACAACAGAAAGGTGAGAGATGGAAAAGTCACCTTTGAAAGAGCTGGTGGCAGAGGTCCGGAGGTATGACGGGCGGCTACGGAGCAGATGTTTACCCGGCCCGTTTGTTATTCACGTGACATCGGCTGATCTTCGGCACATGTGGTCTGTGCGTCTGGGGGATTACCACTTGCCGTTCAGTTGTAGTTACACAACAGTTCAACTACGCTGCGTCTTCTACGACCCCAGTCCCTTACAATGTTCAATTTCCCGTGAATTAGGCAATAGGTGGAGTCATACGGTATCAACAACAAAGGCAGTAGATTTCAAGCTCTATTCCTACTAACTTCAAATTGAGAATGCGCCAGGCTGCAGGCAACTGACAAATCCATACGACTATTAGTGATATCTTGAATGATGTTTCGTGCATTCCTAGTGCTGATCTATACGCCAAATCTCTGGCCTGGTTCTAGCTGTTTGTATGGACAAGCAACCCAATCACAACCCTTGAAGCAGTTAGCATGCACCAAATGACCATATGATCATGTGGTACTCACCTGTTTGTAGATTTCAGTCCCCCACCATTTGAAGCCATCAACCCAACCTGGATAGATGAAAGCAAAGAAGACAACGACAACTGCAAATGCCAACCCAGAGTCCAGGGCAGCTGACAAGGTCATTGCATACTTTTCCCACCAGGCTGTTCTCTTTCGCCGGATCACATAGTTGAATACGAGACATACAACGGCCCAGATGGAAAAGTTGAGCCCGGTTGCAGGGGGTATCCAGCTGAGACTGCCAAACAAGATGGGGAAGTTGACCAAACGCCAAAAGCTTTTCTTGTTGTTCCTACCCAGGAGCCATGTGGCGAGAGGGGCTACCGCTCCCACCAGGAAAGCCCATACAAGCGGCCGATAGAGTCCTCCTGGGCCAAAGAAACGCTGGGGGCCGACAACTCCCCAGAGAACGCTGCCGTTGAAATGGACTCGAGCAATGGGGCAATTGAACCCATTCAAGGCTTCGGCAGTGCATATACCCGGGATGTAAGTGAACATCCAGTTCAGCACACCAATCTGGGTTAGACTTGATACCAAGGTCGCCGTCATTTGGACGCCAAACAAAATCCGTGGGGGGATCTTCATGTAGTGACCAAGCTTGAGGTCAGAGGAGAATTTGATCCCTTGTGCAGAGCTGATGTATGAGTAGGTCACGAAAATCATGTTGGCCATAGGCCTTCCCGGAAACACAATGCCACAGAGCAGTTGGCAAATCAGGTAGAGACTGCTATGTTGATTGGTGATGGCCATTATGATTCCCACTGGGATGAAAAATACACATGTAATGCCAAGAGCTAGGAGTAGCCCATACCAAGGTAGGTGTGTCGGATAACTTTCGGGATACGGTCAGCTGGTATCAAGAGTATGAAGGAGGAAGCACGTACTATTCCACCGTGAAGGTTGCGATAGCGAGCGTGGAAATGAGCACAATAAGATACCACGCAATGGGGGCGTCCTTGTAGCGCCTCATCAAGCGACAATGAACATCCTCCCCTCCCAATGGAATGTCTTGACTCTGGTGGTGATTTGTCTCCGGAATGTCATGACTCTGTCGGCTTGTGCTATTTCCACGAAGGGGCTGGTACGTCTCCATGGCTGGCACATCTCGTCTTTCTTCGAAGGCCTTTCGAGTCTGTTGCCAGATGTCTTTCCCATACCAGCAGACCGTGTGGGTGACAAGCGAAGTCAAAGCAGCAAACTGAACCCCATAAGACAGTACATATGTAATTGGAAGATAGACTGGTGAATAGTCTTCATAGGCTTTCTGATCGAACAAGTAGTCCGGTGTCAATATCCGGCTCACTTTGTAGGGTTTTCCAGTATTGTCAAACACCGCCGTCGAAACTATGGGCATATATGCGGAGAAAAGAACATTTTTGTAGTCTTTCCAATCAGCACAAGTCAAAGAAGATGGCAATTAAGAACTCACAGAGTATTGGCGCAACGGCCCACATGACGATTACCAGTCCCGTCACAATATTAGCTGCGGCCCACCAGGGCGTGAGTAACGGGGAGCCAATATAGGCGATCTGAGCCCAATCAAAGGTCAAAGGGAACATTCCCAAACCGGAGGCGACACCAAACTGAGTAGAGTTAGTCAAGGCAGGATTATAAAGGGCCTTTGAGGTCTCACCAAGTTCGAAATAACAACATTTTTAGGTGCAAACCAGGTAATCACGTTGAAATAACTGAGTGCCGGCATTAACAGCCCCGGCACGAAATACCAGAGAAATGCTCCTGCCCACACAATGATGAAGAATCTATAACGGGAAATGCTCCACCCGTTTGCCTTTTTGTTGACAGACTTGTGCATTGTAGAGAACATTGCGGTAGACATCAAGGTTCCAGGCCAGATCATGGCGGATGGGCGCACGAGGAATCGTCTGGTCAGACCCGCAAATGCATACCCCAATACTTGAGTGGATATGATGAGTAGCAGCTGATACAGGATTGGGACATCCTGCTTGTAGAATTTATGTTGCTCGACGATAACCTGCCTTTAATTAGCTCTGTAATGGAATGGAAGGGCTCGGCGGTCTAACATCAGTTGCGAAAGCGAACCCGAATGAAACATTGCTGCTGATATAGACGCAAGCATGCTCCTTCTCGTTCCAACGGCCCTGGGCGAACCAGAGTCTAACTCGAGATGGAAATGGAATTGGAGAGGCATCGATCTCGTAAAGATATTCTCGGTGGTGAAGGGTTCCATTCTCAAAAACTTCAACCGGGTCGCCTGTCTGCTTGAAAAGCACATCCCAAAATTTGCCCAATGGATGGACTAGAACAAGAGCAATGATGGGAGTGATGGCTACACTGGGATAGCGCAAAGAAAAGAAAAGATTGGCTGCCGATCCTGTCAAAGAAAATAGGAGAGATAGGATCCACATTCGAGGTGCTGAAACATGTTAGATTCAATCCAAGCAAAAAAAGAAGAAAAAATGCGTACTGTTGATAGACAGGGAGACGTTATCCGTTGCCGGGACCGAAGCTCGTACTTGGGCATACGGTGAATTATCTGGGGGATCCTCGTCCGAAGATTTTGAATCCTCATCATCGATGTCAACGTCCTCCTCATCGTCACTAGTCATGTACGGAGAAGACACCGGTGTCTCCTGCATCACCGGATGGCCCGGTACCGCTAACCCAGTAGCAAACGAGTACTTCGAATCGGCGCCCATCCCCACATCGGAGGCAGCGGATGAAGGCCGACGATTGCGACTCTCTGCATATGTACTGTTCCGCCGCCTGCCAGATGAATGTGACTGTCTCCTGGTCCGTGGGCCATTACTCGAGCTTCCAGTGCCATATTCAAAGCTCCTGCGTGGTAGTCCCTCAATAATATCGTGGTACACGGGAGATTCTCCGTCTGAATCTGTGTCTGGGCTTTGCAATGCTCCGTACGAGGACCCCAGTGCGGGCGGCGAGGGGAGAAGAGGGGCACGCGACATGAAGCTCGGAAAATGCCGAACAATCCCTGTATCGGGGTTCACGTCGGGCGGTAGTTTATCGATATCTGTGTTGTAGTTTCCATTGTCGCCATCGAAATCGGGATCAATTCGATCCGGTTCAGCGGGAAGCTTCTTGTGCCTCGGGCTCGAGGGACAAGACAGCTTCCGCGTCCGCAGTGGAATATTATCCGTTGGCGTGGTGGGTGGGGCGACGAAATACCTAAGAGTATTTCGGGTTAGGGCGTGCAGTAGCTTGAGCTGTTGTGCATTTGAGGAATTCGAGAAGAAAATCGCGGAGCTAGTGACGGAACTAATTCTATGGTGGCATTGGCCCCACCGACATCGGCACATTGATGTTCCTTTCCAACTGTACAATTATTGTCAGGAGATTTTGATCGTAAATTGTATACGAAACTTATATACAATGGAATTGGTATCAATCGCTTAAAACAGTTCTACGACCTCCTCGTCCTCGTTCTTGGGTGCCTCAATTTGAGGCTGCTCCCCTTCGCCCTCGCCTTCCTCGTCTCGCATCAGGACCTGCACTAATCGGTCACATGCTTCTTGTACATTCTCGTCTTCAACATGCAAATGGGTTTCGCGAATCAGAGGATAAACCTTGACTGCTCGCATCGTCTCGCGGCCCTCCTTGGTTGTGGTTAGGAGAAGCAGGGTTTCGAGATGGGTGGTAATGATGGTGTTGTCGCTGTCTCGTTGCTTATCCGGTGGCAACAGCTGGAGATCAGGAAGCATATCTGCCGAGTCTTCATCAGACAATTCCTCTGGCCCCGCAAGCGGGAGCAATAAGTAAGGCAAGAGATTGGCCCCATCCTCGGCGAAGAGCATTGGGTGCTTTTCGACCTCGAAGGCCACATTTTTGATTGTAGATGCAACACCCTTCCTCCGAATAACGCTTCGGTGCTCCGTGAACACTGTCAGCTTGGTGATTGGGACCACTCCATCGTAATCCTGGCGTTCGGTGAAATAGGCCCGGCCCTGTTCGGTCTGGGAAAGATCGGCAAACAGATACGACAGGTAATCATAATTGGCGTGCTTATTGAGATCACCCTCGGCGCCCTTGACGAAGCAGTCCATCATCTGGTCGATCACGTTCTCGGAAGTAGATACGGATTCGGGGGCCTTGCGCTTGAGGGTGAGTAGTTTGTGTAAGGTTTCGGATTTGACGAGATTGGCCAAAAGCATGGCCACTTCGTCGGCATTGGGCTCTTTGGGGTTCTAGTATACCAACAGTTTAGTAGACTGGATGAGTTGGGATTGAAGGAGTACTCACGGTCAATTTCACAAGCAAGGTCTCAACAAACTTGTCATCCTCGGCGAGTAGTTTTAACACCTCTTCGTCGCCCGATAAGTTGACCAGCATGGTTAATGCATTTTTCGCAATTGGCTAGGGAAGATCAGTCGGAGGGTCCTTTGCGAGGTCTTGGGAGAACGCACGCTGTAATCGCGAGCCAGAAGCTTCAAATCGCGGATGGGAAGTAGTTGGTGGCGCTTGAAGAGCTCAGGCTGGGCTGTGGAGAAGCCAACAAGGTTTTCGACGGCTTTGGATATGTGTTAGATGGGCTTGTAAGCATGAAAGAGGTTTGGCATACCAATCTGTCTGATCTGAGTGTTGCCATGGTGCAGGAATTCCACCAGCTAGAGAGATGTGAGTTGAGTGAATGGTGTAGATTCGCATGTACATACTTCTTCGAGTTCGGTCGGCATCTTGGGGGTGAAAGGGCTGAGAGGGTGTACAATGGTTGTAATGTCAACTATGAGTGGGATCCCAAAGATTTTTTTTTCCCGCGGAAGTGGGGGTACTTCGACGTCACTGGAAACGCGGAGATACTGCGATTTATAATGACAGATCTCGGACTATTACTGTGTAGGAAGTTATACATAGGCATGCGATTTGTAGCTGTATTTAGTTAATCAACTAACAGTTCTACTGAAGCCCTAATGTGTTATGGCGATTGGCGACACGTATGAAGTAGATAAATGGAATTGACCCCTGCCTCTAGCGCTGGGCCGGTCTTCATAGGGCCGAGATCCAACTCCGTCTTTTGCCCTCCTGAACCTACAACAAGTCTTCTCGATCATTTCACTATGGAGGCCCCAAACCTCAACGAGATCCATGATTTCCTCGTGTCATTGGCTTTCAAGGCCGGCGACATCATAAACAATGCGCTTCCAGAAACCAATGGCACTGGATCCAAACTGAATAGTTCGTGTCTACAGCCGAAGACAGAAGAGTGTAGCTGATCTCTGTAGGCGCCGATCTCGTGACGGAATATGACAAGGCAGTCGAGAACATGATCTCAACGTCTCTGAGAGAGAAGTATCCGCATTACGAGTATGTCTTTTCTCTCTCTTGTTTGCTGGCATGACCCCTAATCTGTGAGAAAAACATAGGTTCCACGGCGAAGAAACATACGACCCAACACGCCCATTGACCGATGCCCCCACCTTCGTCGTAGACCCCATCGATGGCACGATAAACTTCGTGCATGGCTTCCCCTTTGCCTGCGTTTCGCTCGGATTCGCCGTTGGACGCATACCGACGGTTGGGGTGGTGTACAATCCCTCCACGAAAGCTCTTTACTCCGCCATCAAAGGCCAAGGTGCTTTCCTGAATCGCGAAATTCGACTACCATTGAAAGGTGCCGATGTTGAGCCTCTATCCGGATTAGCCAATGCTGTCATTTGTGTGGAATGGGGTTCGGATCGCAGCGGGAATAATTGGGAGACCAAAGTTCGGACGTATGAGAAGTTGGGCCAGTCGAAGGAAAATGGCGGGGCTATGGTGCGCGCGATGCGGAGCATAGGCTCTGCCGCGTTGAATCTATGTGCCGTGGCTGAGGGCACGTTGGATCTTTATTGGGAGGGTGGATGCTGGGCCTGGGATGTCTGTGCTGGATGGGTTATCCTTTCCGAGGCGGGGGGCATCATGGCAGATGGTAACCGGGGAGTTTGGGATGCTCGTCTGGATGGACGGAAGTACCTTGCAGTTCGAGGTTCTCCAGATGGAGCTGGACAAAAGGAGCTGGTGGAGGAGTTTTGGAGCTATGTTCAAGGGGAATTGAAGTATTGATCATGAAACGATACATTGAATGAAAACCCATATCAACGACAGAAAGAGACGATCAATTACAACTATTTCACATGATTACAGGGTATATGTCTAAAGAAACTGGGCAGTATGTACAATAACAGCGAGGTCCGTCATTCTTGAGCCCAACGGAAACCAGCGTTAGTTTCCTCTTCGAAGCCGGACCCGCTGTCATCCTCGTCAATCTCACGATCAGTCCATCGCGCGGAATCCTGCCTCGACACGCAGATTCTTTCGCCAGTGCTGATCCGAGATTCGTATTCGGTCGAGAAAGGGTCGGCCTGACCAGACGATTGATCGTCCGATATCTGAAGCGGCGATACTTCAGGCAAGTTGTCGTTATCCCCCACGGAAAGTGTCTGGGCAGCACCGGACTGTCCCTCAACTTCATCACCCGAACTAGTCGGGCCGACATTTGGAGGCTTGGCCCTCTCCACACCTTGTTTATGAGAATCGTCCACGTCCAAAGTGGGCACGTGGCTGAAATGCGTATCAACCAAGTGTTTCACAACAGGCCAGCCGTAAGCGTTCGTGAACATGCGTCTCACAATAATGTTGTTGTGTGCGTCTGGTTCAAGTCGCACAAGAACCTTGCGCCAAGATAGATCACGGTGGTAGGCTCGCGCAATCTTTTCCTCGACCTTGAGGCCACTCTCACTGCCCGCTATGCTAGCAGGGGGATGCTGATTGGGTGCCGATTGTGATTGCTGTTTCTGTGGCGAACTAAATGCGAATGTGCGTCGCTTTACCGGAGAAGGCGGTGGTATATCCCCGGGATGATAAATACGATCATGGAAGATTGTTCGAGGTCGCGAGGCAGGGTCCAGAATGAACTCTGGGGGTGGTAGAGGTGGCATTAGCAAGTCTCCCGCAGACTCGAAAAAGGTCGTTTTCGGAGGCGTGTGCACCCTTTCGTGCTCATTTGAGGACTGGTCATGGGTGACTGGCCCTTTGTCGGCGCCATTATCGTCCCCAGTCTCAAAAGAGGCTAAGGTCTGGCTACGCTTGTAAATCTTAGCATTCTTGCCGCTAGGCGGTGCCTTGCCTTCTTTTGGGCGAAATAGTGACATAAAGCTGTCCAACGGACCGAGGGGGGCACTTCCTGTCAACACTTCACCCTCTGGAATGCGATTCTGTACCAGGAACTGTCCCGGTCTCGGGGAAGTGGTCTGGTCCAAGTTGTTGCCCTGTCTCTGGGGAACCTCAGACTCACTGTGCTGAGTACTGTTCACGAGCGGATCATCGCCCGAGCGACAGAATCGCGGGGATTTAGAATTGGCGCCTGTCAACTCTGCCCAACCCCATTCGGCCATAGTTCCGACAAGCCCATTGTCCCTCCTTGCCTTCTCAACACGATCCAAACCTCTCCAGTCAAGGAACAGAAGACAAGACGTCCGCAAAGGAACAATCCCATCGTTTACCACATTGGAGTACAATGTGCGATGCTGGAACTTCTTAAGAACCTCGTGGGCAGGACCACAAGGGAGAATCCGTAAAAGCGGCTTGGAACCTGGATCCGAATTACCAGGGTTTTTTGCAGATTCGCCTTTTCCAGCAATGATAGCACCCCAGCCACTCCGAACTTTCGGTGCCGTCCAGCTCAGGCCGAGATCCTGGCCAGTACGACCGACTAGACCAAAGTCAAGAGCAAATCGAACATACATTGGGTTCTCATTGCTGAGACCAAGAAAAGGGCTTGCGAGAGCGATAAAGTTGACAGGTCGGATCTTCTCGAAGAATTCAGGCGAGTGCTTTTGGATATATGCAATGGCATAGGTCTGAATCAGACCTCCAAGGGAATGTCCAATAAAACTAATGCTGGTAATTTGATATGCATGACCATCACCCGGGATTTCGTGGGCGGCCGATTCAGCTGAATGAGAGGTGTCATCTCGGTCCTTGCGAGGACTGAATGGCCGAGTGAACGGGTTCGACTTCGCGCCCTTCAGAGGGAAATATGGTTGATCGGGATATGTGAGGAGTAGGACGTATTTGGCCAGTCTTTTGCCAAGGTATTGAATTCCACGCTCAGTGCGAACGGCATTACCAGAGAACCCTCGGACGATGACCTGTTCATCGTCGGCATCGTCAAGGTCATCGGTTGACTGCTTATCCTGTTCCATCTCAGAGTGTGTTGTCTTTTCTCGAGGTTTTCTCATGGCTGCATCAATGCTTTCTTTCAAATAGAGCATATCTGTACCGAGATTACTGTGCAACCCATGTGTCAATAAGACCAGATGGACCTTTTTCTTCTTGATACTTTTCTTTGAAGCTTCCGTATTGTCCTCCGGTCCTTCATGAGCAGGCAGAGGCTGCGTATCCTGACCCTCTGGTTCGGGATTTTTGGCCGCTTGCTCCGCCGATTGCAATGGTGGGGAATTCCATAAACTTGCGGTATCATCTATGCGAAGAGCAATTGCTCTCGAGTATACACCTTTAGAGGCAAGTACCTGGCTACCTCTCGTTTCAGGTGTCCAATGATCTTGCAGCTTTCCCGGAGGTCCGCTTTGGCTGCTCCAAGCACCACCCGAGAAATATGCCAGCGATTTTGCATCGCGTCCCACCAAAAGCTCGAAACCAACCGCTGCACTAGCAGAGAATATCACTTGGGACGATATCTCGACGATCCAGGTGATACTTTGTCCACTTTCCGGCCCACCTTGACCCAAAGAGCCAAGCTTTTGCGCTTCGGCCGGCACGGTGATGGTAGCGTCCCAACCGCCTCCGGCTTTAAGGTAGGGCTCATACTGGGGTGTACCCTCGACATCCTCTCGCTCGTACTTCGTGTTGGGATCGAACTGTGAGGGGTAGCAAGCGGCGTATAGCGTGTACGGGCCATGCAGGTATGCGGCACGCAAAGGGATGGCAGATGTGTTCTTCACCCTCACATGGAGATCCGAAGGAATGGGCAGGATTGGGTCGGCCGCTGGTGTGTATGTAATCGTGTAACTGAGCCCGGGGAGGATTAGCGTTGAAGACTTCAGATGGAAGGGGCTCCGAACTTGAGGGGTGAGACTCACCGAACGACTTCTCCAACGCGAACACTGCCGACTTGATGTAGTAACAGCATGTTGGTCACTTCTTTCAACTCGAGAGGACTTGTCCGCCACCCGGAGAATGTATGAAATCGCGACCTTTCAGTTGGGGGTGCTGCACCGAGGTCTAGGGTCTGAGAGGCTGAATACGTGCGCGCAGTGATCAGCATCGGTACTGATGGGCAGTTCCATTATAGTCGAATGACTCCAGAGCGCTGTATCGGAGCTGGTAATGACATTTGCTGGCGCATCCCAGATGCGGGAAATGAGATGTCGGATTATGGGGTCAATCGCCGGTGAGATGAGCGGGAAACACATGATCAAATTCCCCTTATCGACATTCATATTCGGCTTTATGAACCCCCGAGGTCTGCCACACTTTGAAGTCTACTCTAACATCTGTCTACCTGTCTACCTGTCTATTGTCTAGTTGATCAAGTTCAGTAAGCGGCCAGCCTCTTTACAAATGTCCACCCATCCACCTTTCTCAACAGCCACGATCTTTCCATCAATACAGACGCGTCGCCACCTCTCCTCGTCTTCTTGAAAATCGATTCGGAGCTGTTCAATATCGATATAAGAGACCGTATCTTCCGTCACATGTCGACCCCCCTGATATGCCAGAGTCATCAAATTCATCGCGCTGTCCGATGACATTGGCCCGAAGTGGATGAGTCTCATATTTCCACTCAGAGGCACCGAGTCTGGGGAAATCAGGAAGTCCTTTTCAAGTCGCGGGACCATTGTAGCAAGCGCATACATGTGCTCAAGCCCTCCCACTGCTACTTCGCGGCGAGCCCCATTGGGACCATCTGACGTAGATGCTGTGAGTTTTCCTCTGAATTTGTGAGACGCAGTGCCATCCGCAGGATAAAGTAGTTCATTTGCAGCCATTTTGAATCGATCGCTTCCAAATTTGCGATATTCGAATGTGTCACTGTCCGCAACTAATGCGGCATGGAACCCCCAGCTCGCAACAACGGCACCGTATAATGTATGGGAACCATCGGCATCGATATCGGCTCGCTGACGACCTTCATCGATGACTAGGCGACTGCCAGGCGAAAACTTGGCCGCAAAGACCGGTATAGGAGATGGGTTGCCTCGGAGTAGCGTGGAAAGACCTGGCACTGGACCAGACCGTAATCCGATAGAACTTGCCATGGCGTTTCCCGTCCCACAGGGGATTAGTGCAAGAATGGGAGATACACCAATCGTCATTTTGGATTTGTAGAAACCTTCGAGGATGTCAATAAGACCCCCATCACCACTCAGGAGTATGATGGTTTGAGGGACACCATTTTGAGCACGCTCCAAGAAATTCGATTGCGTCAGTTCGATGATCGTTTGCGCCGAGTTCGTTTCATGGACCTCGACTTTCTCTAGCCCAATATATGTGAGGAATGGCCGCACAGCGTTCTCAAAGACTGTCTTGGCTCTTCCCGTTCCTGATCCTGTAGATACCACAACCTGTACGATGGGCGTATCTTCATGTCGAAGGTGGCTAGGAATCGTGGATAAAAATGGACGTAGTGCTGCAGGTAAGGTTGCAATATTGATCTTCTTCAAGACGAAATCCTCAGACGTAGGGTCTTCCGGGTTGAAGTTTTGGAAGAATAAGACGTGATACGTAGGTCCACTGGACAACACGCAGAGGATGTCATTGAAGTCGATCGAGCACTCAGCGCCTGTGTGAGATGTGTATTTCAAGGTGCTGCCAATTACATCGACAGCCAAAGGGCCGGACATCTTCTGTGTGTTTCTTGGGTGAATTCCACAGGTAAGAATTTTAATGTTGGAAGAAAATCCGTGACAGTAGCGGGGTCGGCTTACAACGGACTTTAAGTGAGCGATTGGATTTTATCGGCGATAGAGCACAATCACGGGCTGCAGGCCAGGGGGAGACCTAGGTGTGATATTACATCTAGGTTAGTACCTAGGTACCGTTGAAAGACAATGAAGTTCCATCTATTCGTTTCCTACTAGTACAGGGACCTCCCGTCGTTATCTACCTACCTACAAGTTCAACTGGGCCGAAGCCCGGTCCGTGAGGGCATCCATATATTTAGCGGCTTCACACGCGGGCAACAGTGGACAGTTGTAGACTTGCTGGATGGACCTGCATCCAGATGCGATTCCAAGTATGTCAAGCGGTGTCAATTATACGCATCGAAGATGTATGGCCAATGCAAATCATAATCATTCGTCTTTCTAGATTGTATTTGCTACATCATACATCATACATCGGAACGACAGCGAGAGCCAATCTGAGCCGAAGTATCCCAAGTGGGAGACACATATCCAGGCACTTAATATTGAGTCGGGGAGATGCCACGTGATGCAGATGGCGATTTCTCATCATGAGAGGTATGCTTGTCGCTTAGGTTTACCGCAATGAAGGTCTTGGGTAGTTTAACTCTGTATGCAGGTGATTAGTAAAATGGTCCAACAAGTCGAGGACACAAGGAAACTTACGTATCAAATTTTGCTTTCAGGGTCTCAATGACCTCCTTCCAATCCTGGTGAGCCGTCAAGCTTCGTCGTGGGGCACAGCCGATGGCGTGACGGGAATCGAGTTGCACGTCAAGCGGGTCAAAGGCGTGACATCCGGGGCTGACCGAGATGCGGATGGAGTATGAGTAGGAGTCGGATTCGCTGTCCCGAGCCTCATATAGTTCAAAGCAAATCTGAGAGAGATAGTCGAGTTCAGGGATGGCACTCCTGGCTATCTTGGTTTGAATTCCACCTTCCAAGATGCAGTTCAAGAGCGTGTAGATGTGGGATTCCTTGGTGAAATAGAAGAAGGATTTGGCATCCTGTGAAGCCTGCACCTCTTCTAAATCACGAACAATTTCTTGAAGAAGGGGCAGAGAGGTCAACAGACCAATTTCCAGTTTCTCGCTGTCGGTGATGCCGTATTCCTGAGGCGTCACATAGTCAAACAAAACCTTGGCCAGCTTGTACAGTTCCCGAAGCTTCGAAAGCCGCTCGTCCATCTTGGACTTGGAGGATTTAGCGCCGGGGAAAAGCTTGAAGTAATGATCGTATGAATCATCGAGTGCTCGAAGATGTGGTAGCGCCTCGAGCGCATGAAGCCGTTTTCTCAACCCGAAGCGATGAGCAAAAGTTTGGCTCTCAGCACGCTCTTCAAGTTTGTCGCTTCCGACTTCCTGTTCAAGGTTTCCGTCCACAGTGCTCTTGCGTCCTGGAACCTCTTCCTCATCATCGGTACTGTCCGGTGGCATGAAAACCCACTCCAAGAACTGCCTGTTGTGGAGTGCATCGAATTTCATACTATCATAAAGTTCGGAGAGCTTGCTCGGGTCAACCTTCTCCGTATCACAGAACTCTGCAAAGAGTTTCTCCCATCGTTCCTTGAAGAGTCGAGGATCTTCACCCGCGCACCAGCGGCCCTGTATGTCTGATATATCGGGGTGATCCAGCCGGTCCGTAGCAGCTGGCTGGCTCTGGGTTTCAGGGTCATTGGAAGTCGGTGGGATGTGATCGGAGCAATTGAGTTGCTCAAAGTTGTGTCGCATGACGCTCCGATGGAACTTCATGAGCTCAACTACTGTAGCAAGGACAACAGAAGGCTCTGGTATATTGCTGTCCTTGGGCCAAGCAAATTGTGAAGGCGCTGACCCTTCTCGCAAAAGCAATTTGAGCTTCTTCTTGACTTTGTCCATGACGTCCTTGGCGGCATTTGAATCGTCCAGCAAATCTTTCCGGACTTGTATCAAGTCTTCGGGCAAATCTTTCTGATCCAAGAATGAGCAAGCCCAGATTTGTGCTAAAATAAAGCCGTTAGTCTGATTTGAACCGCGTCGAAGGACAATCCGATAAGGCAAAGAACTTACCACTGGTGCTCACTCTACGTTCTGAACTAGTAAATAGACGGACGTTATTCAAAGCCTCCTTATTCATCAGTTTGAGATCATCTCGCATGTTAAGTCCGAGATCCTGGGATTGATAACGTGCGGCATGTGTGGGCTCGCCACCCCACTTGATCACAAGCTGTAGTTTATCGAGGATCAGGTCATTCTCAGCGGCAGAGAACCGAGAAAAGGTTGCATCTGAAATGGAATCACTTCGTGACAGTAGTCTGCGTAGATCTTCGTTCTCCGTTGTCTGGCCGTCACTTGGCAAAGGCGGAAGCGGCTCTTCATTGAGCGTGCCCTCAGGCACTGAAGATAAAGTTGCCGTTGGGGCCCGTTCTCCCATTTCCTCGGGAGTTCGTTTCCGGAACATAGGCTTGATCTGCACTTTGGTCCCAGGCCAACCGCCCTTCTTCTCTAGAGATGTACGCAGCAACTTGAGCTTGTCCATGTCTTCGAGCTCGTTCTCCATAGCCACCTTGACGGCATCAGACACACTGGCCAACGCAGCCTCCCCCTTGATCACTATCTCCTCTTGATGACCCTTCAATAGGTTCACAAAGGGCTGAGAGTGGAAGGTGAATTTGAACTTCTGCTTCGGAGTTCGATCTGCGTGTCGGATCACTGCCACCATTCCTTTGAGCTTCCAAGAGTGCTTGGAAGCAGGAAGGGGCGGCAGGGCTTCCTCATTGGCGTGCTGGAGTGAAAGGGCCGGGGACTTCGAGTTCGATGGACTATATCCACGAGGGGTGGAGTGGCCTTCCCGAGAATTCAACTTGCTAAGAGCAGCGCCAACATCAGCGCTCTCTACACCGGATGACACCATTGACGGAGTGGCTGCCTCTGAAATATCAGTGGACTTTTGGCTTTGGTTGTGAAGCCTGGAAGCACTAGGGGACTTCAACAGTTCCTTAAAGGCCTGCCGATGAGATCCCACTGTGTTCCTTCTAGATGGACCCTCTGGCGATGGCGGTGCGGATGGTTCCGAGGCAGCTTCGCATTTGCGCGTCTCCGCCAAAAAGATATCTCTAAGAATGTTGGCACACTTGTCGTAGTAATCATTGTTGTCCTTAACGAAGCTCCAGCCGTTGACGTCGATAACATAGCTTTTATCACCGACACGAAGCATGTCAAATCCACAGATTCTTTGGCCGAATCCATTTGAGATCTTTGATGCGATGATCGCTTCCTCCTTGCCAAGTTTCGTGATGTATCGTATTTCTTTCCCGTGAGTATTGCGCCGGACAAGACCGTCAACCACGGGGGATTTGCGCGTCTCTGCGTGGCAGAAGTCTGGCCCAACGGTGTAAGCTTTGACATCTTCAGCATTGTCGACCCTGAGGAATTGTTCGTAAAGGTAACTTGTATCACTTTCGGTAATGGATCTTGGAACAGTGAGCTTAGGGTCATATTCCGAGCTCTTGTTGCCGACTTTTCGAAATAGCCTTCTTCCACCGCCGCCGTACTGCTGATCGTTGGGGAAGTAGATGTGAATGTTATGGTCCTCGCCGTTAACAGGTTTCTCAACAAAGGGCTTTCTGAAGACTTTGCCATCAACGATCAAGGCCTCACCGTCTTCAGACATTGAGACACTTTGCGTTCGAGGAGCCCCACCACCCACTCCATTACTTGGGCCTTCAAGCTTCACACCAGTCAGCCGATAGATATGTTGGCCTAGTTCTGGGGATTCTAGAACCGGACCACCATCACGGTTCACTTCCAGTCGCTTCGGGGTGGGGACGCCCATATGATCTAGAATTTTCAAGCAGAGTCGGCGATCCCATAGAACCTTTTGCATAGGCAGGTCGTTGACGCAGAGTGGCTTTCGTAGCTTAGCGTACGCGATGGCTTTATCCAAGGGGAATCCATCGGAAAAGAAAGCGATCAAAAAGTCACAGACGGGCCAATTCTCCACTGCTTCATCAAGAATGACCTTGTCTCCAAAGACTATCACTTCGAAATCACCCTTCGATTGGAGCCGAGTCAAAATATTTTGGCTCGGTTTGCTGCGTGCCTTCACATCCAAAGCACAAACTCCGATCCTCCATGGTTTTAGAGCGCCAGTCTCCACTTCACTAATAGAGCTTGCAGCGGTACTGGCAGCTGTGCTTCCGCTGAACCTTCTGGTTGCGTGGCTTGCGTGCCTTGCAGATTGTCCGATTCGACCGGTGGGGCGAGTATCGGCATCGACCTTTGCGAATTGGGCTGGATTGGACTTTGCATGTTGCACCGTCTGGGGTGGTGCCATTGCAGATTCATGGACAGGTTCTGTGGGGGTATGATCGTTGTCTTCGGAATCGATATCGGGAGGCGACGAAAAGTGGGCTTCTGTAGGTCTCAAGGGTGCGGCAGAAGGGCCATTGCTGTGCTCAGTGGCTTCCATGAGAGAAGAATGTAAGTCAGAAATCTGATCCGAGCATGGAATAAGAGTGAGGAAACGATTTCAGGTAGTTTGAAGAGAAAAGCTGAAAGCCCGGGAGCTCTCCATAATTAGCAAAGACTGGGTCTTCCGCATTTGCACAGGCGGAGAAGAGATGACGCTCATGGGTCCAGTTTTATTCCTTCACTCATGATCGGACTGACAGGATAAATAGCACATGCGTGTGTACTGTGAAGGTATTCACATCATTGGGTATTCTTGTACATTTTCTACGGCATAACAGACCTAGAAGTGCACAAATCATATCCAGGCTGGTACTTGTTGTGGAGGTATTGAATACTTCACATGTTAATCCTTCAGAACAATTGATTATGAGATACTGTGGTGATATAGAAGTATAGTAGACATACTACACATTTGAATCTATTTAGCTTGAATCAGCCAATTGAATACCCAATTTCACCCTGTTCACCAAATAATGTCAGAAGTTCTGAAGATATGAAGGTCGTTTATACAGCCCAGAAAGGTACATTCCCCAGATGAAGGCGGTCTAGTGCCTGCAGGGCAAAGGCGGGGCAGAAAAAAAACAGCGGAAAAAAAAAGATGCAGCATCCAGAGGGAACCACCTGACAGACTTGATTGACAAGTCCGAAGCGAATCTTCACCTAAAACGCTAGGTACTCTGAGTTCGCTTCTAGTCCTGCTATATTTCAGTCGCAGGTGTGACCTTCGATACTATGCCTGCTTTGGCAAACGACAATTTCGATCTGCCTCTTGCGAAGAGGCAGAAACGCGTATCGCAAGGTGCTAAGGCTGGAACACGAGGCTCTAAGATCTTTGCTCCCTTCCGAGTAAGTATAGTTGGATGTGTGTTTGACTACTTTGAGACTGACTTGTCTTCGTAAAGACACTAGGATTGGTATCACCAACACCCGTTCCTTTTACATCCGTGCGCCTGGGTAAAGCAACCTTTCAAATCACAACCTCGGTGGGACACTCGCTGCAGACTTACGATTTACGCCGGGGTTTGAACCTCATCTTTCTGACACGACCGCAAACACCGGAGATCATTACGGCAACATGCGCGTGGCAGGATAAAGTATTCGCAGCTTGGGGCTATCTGCGGCCGCAGTCTCCTGGAGGCATTTGGGTCTTCAAGCGTGGAAAGAGAATCGCAGTCCTAGAGGGTCCCACCGACCTGAAGGGCCCCATCAAGAACTTGGTGGTATTTGGTTCATGGATAGTCGGTTGCTGGGCCGGGGGCATCGAGGTCTGGAGAACAGGCACCTACGAGCATTATGCTAGTCTACGCCCCCAACCTATTCGGGGATCCTCTAGCGAGCAGATATACTCTGGCGTAATGTGCAACATGCCGACCTATCTGAACAAGATGTTTGTTGGACGATCAGACGGAGCGGTTGATATCTGGAACCTTCGCAGTGGAAAACTACTTCACACCTTGCCTGCTTTGTCGGCAGATACTGGGCCTGTCACTGCGATTCAGCCCACCCCTGCTTTATCGCTTGTTGCCATTGCCTACAAGAACGGTGCATTGGCAATTCAGAATGTGAATTCTGGCCAGCTCATCTTGTCTCTTAAGAACGCATCATCCCGCGGTCTCCCAGTGACGTCTATAACTTTCCGAAGCGACGGTTTGGGTGCCGGCCACGATGGTCGCAGCTCAGGTGTTATGGCCACAGCATCGAATGGTAGCGGCGATATTACACTTTGGGATTTGAACAACGGCGGCCGCATTGCCGGCATTCTTCGTGGAGCCCATCAAATGTCGAGCGGCGAAAAGGCAATGGGTGCCAACCGTGTCGAGTTTTTGGACGGACAGCCGGTGCTTGTGTCATCTGGCGATGACAATTCCCTCAAGACTTGGATCTTCGATGCAACCCCATTCTCGCCCATTCCAAGACCCCTTCACAGAAGAAATGGACACTCCGCTGCCGTCAGCGCTCTTGATTTCCTACCTACGTCGTCGGATGGGTCTGAGTCCGGTGGCAAGTGGCTGCTCAGTGCAAGCAAGGATTCCAGTCTTTGGGGGCTTAGTCTGCGCAAAGATAGCCAGCATACCGAGATTTCTCAGGGTAACGTGGAAAGCAAGTCTAAAAAGGCCGGGGCATCGAACAACTTGGATACAATGGCAATCGAGGACCTCAAAGCTCCCGAGGTCACTTGTATTGCCTGCAGTCTCAATCGTGATGGTGGAATGGGAGTCACCACCTCTGGTCCCATCTGGTCGAACCCGACGGTAACCAACGCGGATGCTTCCAATGCGACAGGTTGGGAAAGCGTGGTTACTGGTCATCGGGGCGACAAGTTCGCACGTACTTGGTTCTGGGGTAAAAAGAAGGCAGGTCGTTGGGCATTTGCGACGAGCGATGGAACAGAAGTCAAGGTACGTATCCTGCACATCGGTCGCCTAAACGAATGCTAATTCCTGTGACAGAGTGTGGCGGTCTCACACTGTGGAACTTTCGCTGTCATCGGATCAGCTGGAGGTTCTATCGACATGTTCAACATGCAGTCAGGTCAACATCGACAAAGTTTCCCAGCCCGCCCTCCAGCTTCCCGCACCAGCAAATCCAATGCCTCGGTATTGGCGGCGGCGGCTGCGGCCACAAAACACACCAAAGCCGTCACCGGCTTGATGATTGACAGCTTGAACCGTACTGTTGTCAGCTGTGGCTTAGATGGCAAAGTCAAGGTAAACCCATCAGCTCTTCTCTTCGTGTGCCTGCAAATTGACATATTTTATACAGTTTTGGGACCTCCTCTCCGGAAAGTTCCTCGACGAACTAGACTGGCATCCAATGGCGGCCATCACTGGTCTTCGCTATAACAAGGCGAGCGAATTGGTCGCTTTTAGCTGTGACGACCTCTCTATCCGCGTGATTGACCTCGAAACCAGAAAGCTCGTTCGTGAATTTTGGGGATGTGTTGGCCAGGTCAATGACTTCATCTTCTCCAATGACGGACGGTGGATTGTGGCTGCCTCGATGGACTCGGTGGTGCGCGTATGGGATCTTCCCACCGGCCATCTAATCGACATTTTCCGAGTGTCAAGCACGTGTGTCGCTTTGGCCATGTCCTCAACTGGTGAATTCCTTGCCACCGCGCACGCCGGCGCCATTGGTATCAGTCTTTGGAGCAACCGCAGTCTTTTCATGCCTATCTCAACAAAAAATCTCGATGAGAATGTGATTGAGAACGTTGGTCTCCCGGCAACGTCAGGAGAAGGCGGTGCTGGTCTTATCGAAGCAGCTTTCGCAGAAGTTGCCGAGGAAGACGAGGCAGAAGGCCCCGTGCTGGCCACAGAACAACTACAACACGATATGATGACTCTGAGTCTTGTACCCAAAAGCAGGTGGCAAGCATTGGTTCACCTAGACTCTATTCGGGTAAGTTTCTTCTTGTTTAGCCCGGCTTCAAATTGCTTAACTGACACTTCCAAACAGGAACGTAACCGACCCAAGGAAGCCCCCAAGGCACCGGAGAAGGCTCCATTCTTCCTTCCTTCTCTCCTCGGGTCCAGTGGTCCGGAGTCCGCCAAGCAAGCGTCCGGCGACGAGGTCACTGATGCGGCATCGGTGGCCCAAAGCGCCGAGGCCGAAAGGCTGCGAATTTCCAAGTTGCAAGCTGGTGGAGATCCCACCGCCCAATCTCTGTTTACTCGGTCATTGGCATCCGGGCATAAATCCGGCAACTTCGACTCATTTATCGACCACCTCAAGTCTTTGCCTCCGGCCAAAGCTGATCTCGAGATCCGCTCGCTGGATCCTCGGGTGCGTGACGGGCACTCTGAGTTGTCCGACTTCGTTATTGCCCTGACGAGTCGTCTCAAGTCAAAGAGAGACTTTGAGCTTGTGAATGCCTGGATGGCGGTCTTCTTGAAGATTCATGCCGATACTGTGGCTCTCAGTTCTCGTGATGAGCCTGAGTACCGCCTCTTGCAAGAGGCTCTCGCAATTTGGTCTCGTGAGCAACAACAGGAGGGAAAGCGCTTGGCTGAGCTGGTCGGCTACTGTCGCGGAGTGGTTGGATTCTTGCGATCCGCCCGGTAGTGTGTATATACGGCTTGATATTGTTTTATGACGGTAGAGCCTTTTTTTTCATTTCTTTCATGCTTGTTGCATCCAGTCAATACATGCGGTTGTTTATACATAGTTCGAATTCGATGTACGTACCCCAGAAAAGCCTGCAGGTACTATCTGGCGTGTCGTCTTCAGACCTCCTCTTCTCCCTTTCCGCCCTTTCACGCACTCTTAGTTCAGACTTTCAACCTCTTTAAAGATCAGTTATACCGGACCAAATGGAGAGTCGTAGTCGTTGGAAAGGCCCACCTGCAGGGCTGCCGGGCTTCAATTCCTGACTAATGCAATTTCTTTTCCACCACTAAATCCACCCGACAACGGACAGTCGAAACTTTGCACGCACATTGGCCATGGGAATTCCTCAATTGACGAGGCGTCTTCTTCCGTATGCCGAAAATGTCTCGCTGGGCGGAAAGACAGACGAACAGGCGCTTCCGTGCGTTCAATCTGTTGTCATCGATGGGCCCAGTCTAGTATACCACATCCACCGTCGACTACTTGGTTGGATGGATCCGGACAGTGATGTCCTTGACTATCAACCGACCTGCGACGAGATCAGCCGTGGAGTATGCAGCTATCTCCTCCAATTGAGCCGACTAGGAGTTGAAATGTAAGCCACCTCAAATGGGTTTGAAACAATGCTATATACGGTCCTGATATCTTTTTCCTTCTTTCCGTGTCTCAGACATAAGATATGCTTTGATGGTGCTCTGCCCATCTTCAAACGCAAAACTCGTCTTGACAGGATTGAAAAGCTACGACAACGATTAGAAGTGGCTCGACGGAGCCTGCCTCTTCCTGCATCACCCAAATGCCGCGATGTGATTCCGGCCAATATGGGACAGGTCTGGTGTAGTCGAGTCTTGCCTCGTCGACGTAGAGGCCTTCCAGAGAACCCTTTCATGGTACCAGCGGTCTTCGAGGATTTGCGCAGCCGATGGAACAAGGAACAGCTGCGAAAGGAGGTTGACGATGATATCAGCTGCCTTGCCGCCCATAGTGACTATCCCTGGGCGGATATCACCATCATGGTTCCCGGAGAAGCCGATGTTGAGTGCGCTCGTGTCGCCAGACTCACCGGTTGTGCAGTGTTGACGGACGACTCGGATCTCATGCTCCACGATCTTGGCCCGGATGGCGCGGTTGTATTTCTTGACACCGTGCAAACATCCTCAGGGATATGGGATCCGGCTGAGCCAGATATTCGCGGAATGAGAATTTGCCCACGTGAAATCTCGCGCCGATTGGGGATCACAAGTGTTCAGTGGCTTGCTTACGAATTGCTAAATAACGCTCAACTAAGTCTTGCTGAGCTCACTCGCAAGTCCAAGGACGGCACTAGGGCAACCGAGGATTCGTCTGAATACCGGGAATTTCTTCGAGAATATCAACACGAGACTACAGAGTTCGAAGCGATATGCAGGGCAGGGTATTCAGCTCGACCCTTGGATCCGAGGGTATCGGAGCTCTTCTGGCAGTATGAACTTTCCGATATCTACTGCTCGGGCGAACAAGCGCACATCTATCTCGGAGTGCTCAATGAAGACTCTTCCAGACGATGTGCCTGGGAGCAAGGCCGAACATACAGGAGCCTTGGCTATTCCTTTCTGAACAATTCTCGCCCTGCTGCCAATCGATTCGTTGTCGTGCATGAGTTCGTTCGCAGAGGTGGCAGGGTTGTGGCCGAGGAAATCGCTTTAAGCGGAGCAAAGACCGTTGCCTCCGACTTGGAGCTCCTCCAGGCACGTCTTGCCCATGCGCAAACTACTTTTGGCAATGGCCTGGCGGCGGAAACATTCTGGTATTTGTTCGCTCTGTCCGAGATCTATCGGGATGAATCTAGCACAACCACACTTCCGAGTGCGAAGCAGTTGCAGAGCTTTCTAACATTGGGTCGTATGCTTCAAACTACCCAATGGCCGGACATACACCTTCTTGCTCAGATGCAGGCTGTATTGTATTCTTTACGAATACTGAAACAGCTACTAGATGTCGCGGCTCCTGACGATGACTTGGAGGAACCTAGGCCACTTCTTGCAAGTTTACCTCCATTATGCATAATGATGTCGCGACAAAGAATAGCTCAGAGCTTTGCCGATACTCAATTTGTCCGGATTGCGGTTCGTCAATTGTTAAAAACATACAAATGAGGAGAATATAAATGTACACTGCAAGCCAAATGCATTGTGACCTATGGAATAGAGCGCGGTCACCGGGCCCTAGGGTAAAAAGCTACGGGTCCGTGATGTTTTGTGAGACACATTTGCATCAATGCCTCACTATTGCCCAACATGTTGTGTTCGGGTCCATCAAATCATTCATAGGCGCAAAATTCAGAACACTGAGACGAGCTTTGGAGGAAAGATGATGCTGGTACTCAATGCCACCGTACGGCCGGTTGACAATGTTCTCTGGTCCTGCCAACCGCGACCGGTTGCTTTTAAGGTCCCTGGGAGGGGGGACATAGTCTGCAGTGTCGTTGTTGAGCCTTTCTGGTAAAGAAGGAGAATAATACATATGTGGGTGCCAATCTTCGAGTCATGTGTACAATCGCAGTGATGACAGACGATTGGCGGGTATTGTGCAACAAGGAATCGTTCAAGCAGGTCGCTCATTTTTCGGGGGCATCAGGAAGTCGTTCAATCACATATTTTCCACGAGCGACACTCATGATGGGTGCACCGGGAATCTTGCTATTATGAGTGGTTAGATGATGGGACAGAGGCGATTGGGTCGAAGATAACATACCGAATGCGTCTCTTGAGATCACGATCGTTTGTAGCGATGATGTAGACACGGTGCTTGATGACGCGGTCAACTAGACAGTCATCTGCATAGGTTCCCTTGTGATCGCACTTGACTCGCTCAAATCGAGGGTCTTTGGCTACACGCAGGGCAAGTCGGTATTTCGGGCCGAGTTTTTCCAACTCGGCAAGTACACAATCTGTGATGATCGGTATACATTTGGCATACAAACAATCCAACATGCTTGGGATCACCTCGAGTTTGTGCTGAATGGTGTGGGAAAGGAAATTGGTATCGACCAGCACAGAGTATGGGGGGGGCAAGGGCTGTGTTGAATTGGAAGAACATTGACGAAGGAGCCTGGGGACTAGAAGCGAAGTTGTGAGTATGTCTCTTTGTCCTCAAAACATACGAGTAGCACTTACGCTTCTCTGACAAGATCATCCTTTGCGGCTTTGGCTTTATCTGGCTTTTCTTGGTTTTGCTTCCTATCACCATTGTTAGCGACTCATGGCCGGACTGTGTTGGGGATTTGCGACGTACAGGCGATTATCGCGCATGGAGATAGCTCGCTTGGCCAGCGCAAACTTGCGAGTCTTTTTCTGAACACCCATGATGACGATTTATGAGTGGCGATCTGGTTATGGTGAAGAAGGCCGATTTTTTTTCTTATCGGGAAATCTATCAGGTCGGTCCGGAGGCCTTAGGCTCAGATTGCTGACTAAAATGTCATGCCGCCCCCGGGCAAAGCGGGGACGGACAACCTCTCGGTCCGCTTTGATGTACAAATCCTCTCCTTCAGACGACATACTGTGTACATAACCATCCAGCGCTGTGAAACGCTCATAATGTCCAATCCAAGTCCAGACCTTGACCTTCAAAAGGTAAGGGCCTTCATCAATTGTCTACAGATAGCATCGAATTCCCTGGACTACCCTGCTTGACAACGTCCCTCTCTACCGTTTGACTAGCTAACTCATGACACAGGCATTTGCTGCTGTTGCAAAGTACGTGAGCCTAACCTGAGAGGACATGTATAGATTCACATATTTACATTATACGTATAGGGGTGAACTGACTGCAACGGCCTTGGAACAACATCTCAATGAAATTGAAGCCAAAATGAATGCACTCGATGAACGCATGCAATCCTTTGAGAAGGAACATATTGCTGCAATGGAAGCTGCAACAGAAGCCAGAGCTGCGAATGGGACAGGTCCTAATCAACCAGACAATCAAACAGTGGACTCGTCAAATAATCCACCCAAGTGAAATTGGCCATCGGATCCCTTCTCCATAACCCCGATCTCTGTGATAATACCATCTATCAAACTCGCCGGAGTGATGTCAAATGCTGGGTTCCAAACATTGATCCCTGGTGCGGCGATTTTCACAGTTTCGATCTCCACCTTATCGGTAGTCGTAGATCCCCCGCGGGGACCCTTGATGCTGGTCACCTCGGATGCCGGACGTTGCTCAATGATGATGTCGTCCCCGGATTTTGTGGCCATATCAATGGTTGTGCGTGGTGCTGCGACGAGGAATTTGACACCGTGGTACTTTGCCAATACAGCCAGCGCGTATGTGCCGATTTTGTTGGCCGTGTCACCGTTGGCTGCTACCCTATCAGCTCCCACCACAATTGCGTTCACGCCCACATTCTTATCCGCGAGCAGCGCAGCTGCCATAGAGTCTGTGATGAGTGTAGCTGGAATCTTGTCGTGAACCAATTCGAAGGCTGTAAGGCGAGATCCCTGGTTATAGGGCCTAGTCTCTGTGCAATAAGCGTGTCGCAGGATGTTCTTCGAGGCCAGCGAACGAACCACACCCAATGCCGTCCCGTATCCAGAAGTGGCGAGAGACCTAGCGATTCAGCGTCAGTCAAACCATGCAGCTTATCGCGCAGGTAATTGCGGACTCACCCAGTGTTGCAGTGCGTCAACACAGCAACTTCAGAGCTCCCTGGCTTAGCCGCATGAGTCGCGATCCATTCTGCACCATTGTGCCCGATCCTCTGGTTGTCCTGCAGATCACTTCCCATCATATCCTCCGCAGCCTGGATGAAGGCATCTGCGACTTCGCAGCCCTGTGATCCCGACGTTTTCGTGCGAGCGACCACCACGGCTTCCAACTTGCGCGCAGCATCGGCGAGGTTGACGGCAGTTGGCCTACTCGTCACAAGATATGCAAGCTTCTCTGTAATGTATTGGCACACCTCTTCCGCCCCTTGTGCAAGCTTGCCAGTCTCGATGGCAGATGTAAGTTCGGAGGCTAGAGAAAGCATTGCTACGATTGCAATAGCAGGCGCGCCTCGAACTTTCATGTCTTTGATTGCGTGCCATCCATCTTCTGTCGTTCGCACGGGAATGAATGTTTCGATAAATGGAAGCTGTAATTGATCCAGGATCTCAAGGTTGCCCTTGGAGTACTTGATTGCTTGTAACATCTTTGCGGCGTGATTGTCAAGTGTTCCAGAGCCCCGTGTCAGCCCGCAAGAAAAAGAATCTTGTTGCCCCGCGGCCGCGGGGACGGAACTGTTTACCTAATCAGTGATTATCTCCGGGCTATATCCGAGGAGGAGAGGGCCGTTATCTTACTGTGTAGAAAGAGCAAACAATGTCTTGTCTATACAAAACCTTGAGTGGTAGGAATTTGGGTTCTGCAGCTTTTAACTTTATCAATTATCTTGGATCTTGACAGTTGACTGGCCAGTCTCCTCACATACACAGGGCACGATGCTTTGGTTGAGGCTGGAATAGGCCTAAAGCCCCAGGCAAGCACGGTAACTATTGCATAAGGTTGTCTGTCTGCAATCATTTGTTGGAAATAATATGGCCCTACTAGTACGTTTGACTTCTATTTTTTTAATTTTTATGTCTTGTTTGCAGCTATCTTTCAAAAGCAAGGACGTTAGATCGAGAGATCTGATCGAATGGTAAGAGCGGTGGTGTAGCAAGTCTACCTTGCTCCTGCCTGGGAGGGAAGTGAGAGTCGAGACTTCCCTTGATGATACTGTGATCACTGATCGCACCTTCCAAAACACCAAGTCCTTATTCTCATTTCTTCCCTTCTCCTCAACCCACCACCCTCCCTTCTTTTCTCCCACCACAACTTTCTATCCCCCTCTCTCCGGTGCGTCTCTTCACAGCCGACATCGCACATCGAGTCCTGCATAAAGGGTGATCACGACCTGGCGATGCACCACCTGATTTCTTCGAGTCGTCAAAGGAGCAGACCCTGGAGCGCCATTCCCACATAGCAGCATATATATAAAGCGAGCCAAAGCGAGCCAAAGCGGGTTAATGAGAACATCGTCCTCATCATCATCGTCATCATGATTATACCCATCCCTACCTAGGTCATGGAACCCCGAAAGAAAACCCTCGAGCCAGATGAGGCGGTCACACAGACATGACAACGGCGAAACATGGAGGCCCAAAAGCTCCGAGTCTCGGCGCATGCGGTTCATCAGCGAGCCAGGTAGCTTCCGGGGCTTAAGATTGATCACAACCAGTATCTTCTACTGAAGGTCCTGTGGGATATGGAGCGCCTGACGCTCACGTTGTGAACAAACTTGGCATTGGTCAGTTTTGCCATACCAGGCTCCCAAATGGCCAGCTACACTCGTCACATTTCAGCAATATGTCAACCTCCTAGAGGGCCCGACATCGCCTACCGTCGATATAGGGATTTTCGAGATTTCAACTACCAACAGCGCGAGGTGAGCAAGTTCTTCGACGAAGAACTCAAGCATGACGGCCTGAGAAACACCAACGAGGGAAACATCAATGCCTCACTTGTTAATGTTTCCTCCCTCGTGGCAATCTGTATGTGGCACCCAAATGTGCAGGCCACATGGACACCTCAGCGCGCCAGCCTCGTTGCAAAGTTCCGGAATCCCACCGTGGAGTCGGAGCAGCAGAGGTAACAGGAGGCGTAACCGAAACTTGCGGGGACGAATGCATGCTCGTCGAGATTCTGTACTCGAATTCGCCATCCCACCGAAACTGATCTTGGAAGCGAATGTCAGACAAAAACCACGCCCCCAATGTATTCTGACGCAAGGCCGCGGAGTATATGGCCGCTTTCATGCCGCCTCCCAAGGCCCGCCTAACAAAGAGCCGGTAAGTTGATTTACTTTGCGATCATACATCTCGACAAATCAAGTGCTTATTTGTTGCTTAGGGTGTTTCTAGTGTCCCAGGGCGATGAGGAGCTATGTCCCGACGGCCGTTCCGATTACCAAGACCCGGATTTCCTGCTTCGTATGAAAGGCCTAGCAACGAGGCGGACCCTCTTTAGACCAAGCACCGGGACCGACGAGGACAGTAACCGGGGACCGTGGAGGATGAACAAGTACAAGCATGTCGAGGAGTTCGCAAGCCTGATTTTAGCGGTAGTCCTTTCGGCAGAAGAAGTGTCGGCCCAGGATCGATAGATAAGAGCTGGTTTAATGGGACTCAACGCTGAACTATATTAGGCCATCATCTAATTCCCAGATGTACCTTAACCCCATAGTACAAGATCTTTCAACCGCAGTCTATGCGCCGTAAGTACCAGTATAAATCGCCCTGAATGGAAATGATAGTATTGCTATGCCAGGTACTTGGCGGCAATCAAATGGGGTGAACGACAAATCGTCGCATAGACAGGAAACATGACCAAGTCACCCGGCAAACAAGTGAACCACCAGCGCTGTTATGAACTCCACCAAAATGGCAAACGAAGAAGCGAAAAAAAAGGTCATGGCGGCCAGCTATGTAGCATTAATGTTCCCAAGCTCGCAGTTATCTTCAACTGTGTCACGAGAAGGTTCGGTATGTCGCTACCCGGCATTGTATCCGGGTTTCATAGCCAGAAGTATACCAATAACATAGCAGTGGTATTCAAAAGATGTCTTCCCGGTTCAATTGCAAGTTATCGTAGATGAGCGAGCTCAGTTGATAGCAATCGATTCCCGGATCAACTAGAAGAGATGTAAAGAACTATAGCTCCAGTCAGAAAACCATTCATATCACTTGCAAATCAAACCGGCGAAAAAAGGATAGACCTACCATTGTTTCCTCGAACGAAAGCATCGCCGTAGTTTCGTCGCAGTTTTCCGTTCACGAATTCCTCGGCCTTTTCGAGGGCAATGTTCATGTATCCGTCAACCGATTGCAGTTCGCCTGACTGGAAGTTAGCACCAATTGTGCATATATTCGGGACTGAAGCACATACCCTTGTAGACAACGCCGGAGTTCAATTTCACGATCACAGGCGCGCCGATGATCTCACTCAGAAAGACTGAGGGGTCTTTCCCTTCGGTGGGGGCACTGTTCTCCATATCGGTCCTGTATTTTCAAAGCCTGTTAAACGTCAGACAGAGCAAAAGTAAACTAGATCAGGAGGACATACCAAGTGACGTTGTGTCTCAAAGCTGGCGGAGGGATGAGGGTGTGAGTGACCAGGAAGGCGGTGAGGGTGGTGAGGTGGATTAGTGTGAGAGCACGCGGGGTGGAACTCAAATCAGACGCCGCCTTTATATTCTGCCGGTATTACGGCCATGAAATTAAATGGTTTTGTTTGTTCTGCAGCTAATGGGAAGATTTCAAATGTACACTGTAGATCATGCAGTTCAGCGGTCAGCCAATGAAGCTCGTATGCTTCTAAAAAGGAAACTGCACTGGCGGAGTGCTTTCTAGCGACGAAGCTCCTCGAGTTACTCCGTAGACACGCCAGATCGCTTACAGTAGGCGGTGGGCCGGATGATATCCGACGAGTCTGGAAATATGCGCGTGCCCACGCGGACTACTACTATCACGGTATCACCTCGGTCCTCGAATGATGCACACCGTCGCCCTTTATACTCATCCACTAACTATTTCTGACGATATCCAGTGCTTCACGCCACTTTGGAACACCCGTTGAATCAATATAACACACTTGGTGTTCTTTGGACTCGATAAACCTCGGCCCTGGAAGTCAGAATGAGCTCCTTCTTCAAAAGACCAGAGTGGGCAACGAAGAACGTAGAAGAGGCGGGAACTGAATTCTATCGACGCTCAAAAAACACATATTCTGACATCGTCGCTGCAACCCGAGAAGCACATCGAAAGCCGAAAGCTTCAACGCCCCCCAAAGATCCAAAGCCCAAAGATCCAGAACTGTCAGAAGACGCGAATCCAAAGAAACGGCCTCGGTTATCCGATGAGACCAAGAAGGAGCATGAAGATAGTGATAAGGCTCAGGATAGAGATCTCGAGACAGATGGCGACAAAAGTGTGCTAGCAAAGCCACAAGAGGCCCCAAGCTCAGCGCGTGATTTTTCACCCGCGCCAGTCAATCAATATCAGGCCAGCCCACAACACGGCCCAGAAAAGCAACTGTACACGTTACCACCAAAACCCAAATCCCCGGTGAAACAAATTTCCTTGCCTGTCAAATCACCGATTGTCCTGGTGGATGAACCGAAAACCCAAAGCCCTCAATCTCTTCCGGCACCGACAGTCCAGGCGGTTAAACCGGTAATACGGAGTCCCCAACCTGTCAAACCGACTCCTCCTCCCGCGAATGACCCTGTTGTTCAGATCATAATCTCCTCCGACATTTCAAACACGAAACCATTACTCGTCCAGCGGAAAATGTCACAAAGTCTCGGAGACGTGCGGATAGCATGGTGCAATCGGCAGAATTTTTCACCAGAAATTCAATCATCAGTCTATCTGACCTGGAAGGGCCGACGTTTATTCGACGTGACAACGTGCAGAAGTCTAGGGGCGCAGGCTGTGAAAGGCTCGTCGTCCATTATCGACCTCGAGGATGACAGCCAGGACAGCCAGGACGAGCTGCGTATACATATAGAAGCGGTTACGGATGCACCCCCTTCCGAATCGGCAAATCACTTCGCCCGATAATAACGAATCTCCTGAAGTGTCCCAAATTCCCGACGACCGGGGCGAGCCAATGAAACTCGTTCTCAGAAGTCCTGGATTGGACGATTTCAAAATCAAAGCAAGGCAGACAACGCTGATCTCAAGGCTCATATCTGCTTTCCGGGACAAACAGCAGATCTCTGTGGATCGTGATATCTCCCTCGAGTTTGATGGAGACAAACTAAAACCCGATTCATGTCTTGGCGACTATGACATTGATAATCTAGATCTGGTGGATGTCCTGATCAAATGAAGGAATGAATTTATATAGTAATTAGCAGCTAGTCAAAGCTAACAGCTTCTAGCGAGAATATAAAATAATGAGCCTCATACATACTACATTCCAACCCAGACCGCCCAATATGGTGGATATCCATATCGATCACATGATATCCGATAAGCTGTGGGGCTCTATTTTTTCTTCCTTCTGGAGGGGCCGACAACGTTCAAAGCATTATATCCTACCATTCTCTCGAGACCAGACCATTACTTGCATACCAATCGAAACCTCCAAGACCCTTATATCAGACCTATACCAACCAATCCTCGAAAGCCGCCCCCCAAACCACCCACAATGAAAGTCCTCACCGCCAACTTCGTGACATGCGCCGTAAAGGACTGCAAGACCTCCCCCGCCTCATTCCCCCTACACTTCCACGACGCCGAACTAGAGCAAGAAGAACTAGAGTTCCAGCCCGAATTCATCCGCAACATCCTCCCCCGCATCGACTGGCCTGCCCTATGCACCACCGCCAACGAGGTAGGACATAACCCTAGCCTGTCACCTGCAATCACAATCCCAGATAAGGAATAGCAAAAAAGAGATAAGCTGACGGAGAGAAAATAGCTTGGATTCCCTACTCTCCCGGAATCGAAACCGGAGGGTGATAAGCTGGAGGACGAGCAGACGTTGAAGGACTTGCATAGGCTACTACTGGAGACGCATGTGACGGAGGGCAAGTTGGCTTGTGCGAACTGTGGGCATCAGTACTCTATTAAGGAGGGGATTGCGAATTTCCTTCTTCCTAGTCATCTTGGTAAGTTGATCTTCGTTCTTTCAAATGCGTGTTGATTTGGGAGTCGAGTTTTGCTAATGTTGCTGTGCTTTAGTTTGAATACACAATTCTATGCGCTTTTCACCCCCAATTGCTACGCAAATTGATACCCCCCCGGGACAGAGACCGGTTGTCGAGGACCGATTTCTTTCCTCTCTTTTACTTCTCGTGAAAATCGAGCTATGCGGTGACAAGGGTATCAGTCTTCTACGCTCTAATATTGTTTTCCATGTCAATTTTGGTCCCGGACCATGGTTTTAGAGAAGACTGGCGAAATTCTTTCTAGAATTGTTGATATTGTACAAGATACTGGTAGTTTATGAAATCACGATCGCCCTTGAAACAGGCTTCAATGCTCCCACCCTGAGAACGCCAGTCCGATTGAACGCCACCCGGTAGATGGGAGTCAATATACCTCCCCAATGACCTCGCTAGATAGATTTTGACCATGATATTAATTGAGGAAGCCCTTGCAGCCCGTTGAACCACAGAGGCAGGGAATTCGGTCGTCACTGCCCCACTCGCGCTCGAATTTGTAGTCGTACGTTAACTCCTCATCTGATAGATAATGTTAGCATATTGTGTTGTCATATGAGTGAGGGCAGTTCACAAACCTCTTTCGATATCCCTGAGCGCATAAATCACAATTCGTTTGCTACCATCGACCTTAATGATCTTAGCAGTGCAGTTGGGTGTGCAGCTGTGATTGATGAATCGCGCAATTCCTCCTCTCTTCGTGGCATCAATGACGGTGTTCTCATCAATTCTGAAGAGGTAACTGCTGCCAATCCCGCTCTTGAGGTATCGTCTCTCTCTCATGTCCGCAACCTGCTGTCGCACTTTCTCACCGACATACTCGATGATCATGTCATTTGCTGTGATATTCTCCTCGGCATACAAACCCCAGTTGTGGATAGCGGAACGAGCGAAGCGCACAGGCTTTTTTCGCTTCTTGAGTTGATTGAAGCGAAGAACGTCCCCGTCGCCACTCGCCGTGGGAAGGGCCTGTTTCTGCGCATTGATGTCGGCGATGAGTCGGCGATTGTTGACTCGCGTCGATCGAGACGTCGACTTCGAGATGGTCTTCGCGGCTGCGATTCTGGCAGCTTCAGCTGCTGCCGCTTGAGGGTCTGCCTTGGCATTCGCTTCACGCTCTTCGCGGGCCTTCTGGACTTTGATCCGATGAGGTAGGTACTTGGACTTTTCAGCCTCCTTGATCCTCTTCTGACCTTCCGTCCGGGCAGCACCTGTGGGATTCGGCACATAATAGCCGGAGATACTGACAGCGTCCTGGCCAGTACCGCTTTCCAGACCGTTGAGGGCTTTGATCTCCTTTTGTTTCCAGCCCCAAGCAGCAAGATTTACGATATCAGATTCTGACTGGTCCTGTAGAACCTCTCGCAAGAATCGCAAGTCCTCGTCATCTTTGACCAAGTTTTGCCAGCCATCCAGATCAAGAACGATATTCTCATCGTCCTCGACAGTGGCGCGAGGCTCATCCTTGGATACGCCCCAATCGATCTCAGTTCTCGGCTCATCAATAGACTCGGCCTTGCTCGCTTCGCTGACTGAGAGATCATCATCCTCAGGATGTTTGTGGGTGACATCTCCGGTGAGTTCGTCTGCGGGTTGGTCGTGCGTTGGGACCTTGTCGCCATCTCCTGCAATTTCGTCCTGCACCGTCGTGGGCATCTGCAACTCCTTCTTGACATCCTCATCCCCTGCGATGATTTCGGAGTCGATGCCAAATAGTTCATCGTCCTGCCGCTGCCGCTTTCGTGCTTCATCGTCTCCACTGAGTCGTTTTCTCTTGCCCCTGGGAGACACTTCAAGCTCATCGGAGATTTCGTTCGCGACGTGCAGATCATCTCCGGCTTGACGATCACGCTCTTCACCTTCCCGAGATGAGTCTAAATCCTCTGACTGATACCCTCCATCCTGTTCGTCATGCGAAGAAGTTGAGCTCGCGCGACTAAGGGGACGGCTCTCTCGCTCGTCAACATCCCGGGCAGCAGGAGTGCGCTGGTCGTCATCCGAATCTTCGTCGTCATGCAACTGCTGCAAGCGATGGTACAAGGGCCGAACTTCCTTTTTCCGTAGTGGTTGCCTGCGCCGTTCGTCGAGGAAGGCGGCACCCGCACGGTCAAGACCATGGGCTTTCCGAATACGAGGAAGAGCAAGAATATTCAGACCGGACGATTTGAGAGGGTCTCGTCCACCAGACAATTCACCACGAGAGCCAGGCGTACTCGAGCTACTGTCAAACCGGAAGACAGATTGTTTCGTACCTTCAGGGTCCGAAATACCCAACTTTTCCCGTTTGGCCGCATGTTTACTCGGCTCCAAATAGTCGTACAAAGCCGGAGCGGCGATACGCGATTTGACGTCCTCGAGCAGCTTGTCTCTCAAATCGCGAATGATGATAGACAACACCTCTCGGCACGGATCCAAATCAAGTGCGCGCTGCTTTTTCTCCTCCTCGATATCCAATTCCGCCTCCTTTTTTGTCCGGTCTTTCTCCGCCTGTTTTCGTCGTTCGGTCCGAAGGCGCTCGGGACTTGGGCTTCGCTGGTAGTTTGGGTTGCCGTAAGGATTGCTTTCCATGTTCATGATATAGGTGAACAATGGTTGCATGTGGCATACTCGATAGCAGCGCTCGGTCTCCTGCTCGCCGCGGCGCGAATTCTCGAAAATGATGTAGTAACCGGTTTTGTCACATCGAATTTGCTTGTAGGCGAAGAGTCTGAGCCTCTTTCTCAGATGAGGAACTGTCGTGCTGAGAACCGGGACGTAACAATGTGCAATGAATATATACGGCTCGCGTTTGATCTGACTCAAGATGGGTGTTTCCTCGACCAACGATGGTATGACAGGAGTTCGCGCAGTGGCCCTTGGTCCTTCGGGAATGACAACTCCCGGGCGTAGGGACGACCTGCCGGAGGGACCCTTGGGCGCAGTGGGTGGCGGTTCGCTCTTCTTAATTTGCAACTCCGGTTTTGGTTCAACAACGGGCGGAAGATTAATCTTGGAAGCCAGCCGTTGCGACTCGGCTGCTTTGGCGGCCATCCGATCCGAAACGATACCATCGCGATCCAACTCGACCCTGATCCTGCGTGTGCCAATGCGTTGTTCCTTTTTGCATTCGATGTACGCACGTCGGGCAGCGCTGGATGCTGAGCCCGAACCAATCACCCGGCCTGAGGTGCTGTCTTTGTATTTGATAGAGCAGATCCCCAGAAACCGACCGGTGATGGGATCTGTGCGGTTTTTGATTTCGGCAATATCTCCAAAACTCGAGAACAGCGCGCTGATCGGGGCGATTGGGGTTAACGGATCGAACCCAGTTACCACGACCTGAACCGGAGGCCCGGGACCAATGCTCGTTGCCGCATCGTATGACCATGGCTTCAAAGTATAGGGTGCGGGTCGGTATTTCGTCTTCTGCTTGCAGCCGGAGCCACGGGTATAATTGGCGATCGCGCGACGGGGATCGGGAGGAGCATCGGCTTGACTGTTATTCAGGATATCCACATACTCGAGCTTTTTCTTCTTTTCCTTCGACGAGGTTCGCCTGTCCAAATCGGGGTCATACACAACCTTGCAGCCTGTGACGCGGAGCTCAACAAGCCTTGTCTGCGACTGGGGTGTCGGAGGGGCGTGAATTGGAGTGATTGAGGATTTGGTAGTCTCGGTTTTCGGCCTAGAAGATAAACCCGGGGAAGCTTCGCCTGCGGTCTTCAACTGTGATGGACTAATTTCTTTGCAAGGGGGCGATGACTCCGCATTGGTGACCGGCGTTAGTGTGTCAATTTGTGATGGAACGGAGTTTGCTGCCGGTGGTGGAGGTGGCCCGGTCCTATCCTCCTCACTTTTTGGCTTGGCGGAGGTGGTTGATTCACGCTCCTTGACCGGTGGAGTGCGAGTTTCTGCCCCGTCCGTTATATCGAATTTGAGAGGCTTCTCGACGGTCGCGGGTGCGCCAGAGGCAGTAGACAAGGGAAACTTCGGTGCTTCGGAACGTTGGTCCTCCGCCTGTGATTTCCCTCGTCGTTCCTGTGTCTTGAAGCGCTTCTGCTGAATGACCGACGGGGCGGTCGGGAAGAAGTCTGCAAAGCCAGCCGAAGCGCGTGACATTGTGAGAGGTTGGCTACACGCCAGAAACCGTGGCGCGATCAGAAAGCAGCATCCTTGACCGTGGGTGATTCGGCTATTGCGAACTGATGCGACCGAGAAGGTCCTCGCGGCAGAATCAAAGAAATTAAAATGTTCGAGTTATGGGGGAGGTGTTGATGTCGACTTGTAGAAATAAACGGATCTGAGAGATCAGAAGAAGATAGGAAAAGAATGGTATGCGAAAGGTCAGGAGCCCGGTGAGACTTGAGGTGCCAGCTTTACACGCGAAGTCAAGAGTTTGCAGGAGGCTAAGACGCGATCGAGCGGAAGGAAGTGGAATGGTGGGACCGCGGGACTTTCAACGTTCACGCTTCAAGGGATACAACTCAGGTAGTAAGGGGAATAGAAGAATCACATTCAATCGTAAAGTTGAATAGGCAACATGAAGTTGAAATTCAATTACCCCGTCATTTGGACATGAATGATTAAGCAGTCCGGTCTTTTTTTTTTTCTTCTTTTTTCCCCATGAAAGGACACAGGTGACCTCACCGTGACCAAGCCAGTCACGTTAATTACATTGGTGGACAAGGTACCTAATAAGTATATTCATCACTCATTGGGAATTGGTTTGGTCTTGCATTTTCATTTCATTCATTCACGATTGAGAATAGGGTTGGTTGTAGCCTGGTGATGAGTCTGAGGTCATTGGTAGGTCTTATTGAGAACAAAGCATCCATGGAGTGATCTATTAGTTATGCTTGGACTAGTATGCTCAATGGATATAGAGTAGGTACCTAGCATTAAGCATACATCAATGCATGCACAACAAGATGAGACATATTTAAGCTCACTGGTAAAGCATGGCCCGTGGTGCCTTCCCTGCTCCCGTGCTTTATCAACCTTGGAATCACCAAAGGTCGAGTTTGCTGGATGTACTCCGACGCTCCGTACAAGGCAAAAGAAAGAGTACATAGGTATCCACGTATCGCATACAACATTATGCAGAGTCTATATTGGCCTCCAATGTTCGATGTGCTTAGGTGCAGAAGCAGGCAATAGCGTTGTAGGTACGGAGTACGGATAGAGTAGAGAGTAGTCCTCCATTTAGCCTAACTATTGTGTAGAGGATCTCGCCAAAAAGACATAGAATAGTCAACAGCAAGAAGACAGAGTGTATGTCAAACAATAAGTACATCGTAGAGTCGGCGATAGTGAGCCTCTCCAGGGGCCTGAAAATTGCTTAGATGGCTGCAGAAGCGTGGAACATCTGTCGAACCTTTCCCAAGGTTCCTTTTTCAGGGGACCCTCCCACTAAGGAATGTCCCGGGCCACTAGAAGATATAATTATAGAATTGATCCTTCTATATTGAATCATTTTTCTTTTTTTTCTTTCCTCTTCCGAGCTCCGCCTCATTCTTGTCTCGCCTCGTGGCGGGTGGCCCCGATTAAGAACCGAAAGAAGGAAACCAGTGCCGAAGATGAGAAAACCCACCATAACACCATAACGATATGTAACAAGGTCCTGGGTAACTAAGCACCTCAAGTCTGGGCTGCCAAGCAAAATAGAGAATGAAGAAAAAATAACAAAAAATTACAAAAAAATAAACAGAGTACTATTTGATGTACTCCATACTATCATGAACACTATCACTTTTACTAGTCGTCATGATCTTCCTCTAAATCCTCAAGTTAAGCTACTAAAAGTTCTAAAAAAAACAATAAAGATGTCAATTGTCTTACCAAACCGTAAAAGGTGAGACATCGATTCCCCTGGGAACCAAGTTGGTCCGAGCATCTCCGTTGCCTCATTGGATGAAAGCTTGCACAAGGAAAGAGCTAATAATAATCACATGGCTCCTTCCTCCATCTGCCCCTCCCCTCTATAAATACAAAACCACTGTTCCTTGTCTTCCCTTGCATCTCCTCTATTCTCTTTCCCCTCTCCGCTTCATTCGTTTACCCTTGAACCTCATCTCTTTGTGAATCTGTGATCACCATTGTTTTTGCATCTGCATATTCCCCCTCTTTTCTTTTTTGCCCATCATGTGGTAAGTTGTTTTTGCCTTGTTTTTCAATGATCGGATTACTTACAGGCTTCCAGTGGAATCTTCGGTTACATCAACTACCTCGTCGAGAAGGACCGCCGGTTCATCATTGATACTCTGCTCAATGGTGAGTTGACATTCTCATTGGTTCGAATCCGCTTCTTGCTCACCGTTATTCCCTGATAGGCCTCTCAAGATTGGAGTACCGTGGTTATGATTCCGCCGGTATGGCCGTGGATGGCAACAAGAAGAACGAAGTCTGTGCATTCAAGGAGGTTGGCAAGGTCGCCAAGTTGAAGGAACTCATTGAGGCCAGCGACTACGACATGACCAAGACCTTTGAGTCTCATGCCGGTATCTCTCACACCCGTTGGGCTACCCACGGAACCCCTTCTCGTCAGAACTGCCACCCCCACCGGTAAGTTTTCTCCATTGGCTGGGCTGAACACAACTATTGAGATATTGTGATGCTGATTGGGATGATATTAATAGCTCCGACCCCACCTGGGAGTTCTCCGTCGTTCACAATGGTATCATCACCAACTATAAGGAATTGAAGGCTCTGTTGGAGAGCAAGGGCTTCAAATTTGAGACCGAGACCGACACCGAGTGCATTGCCAAGCTTGCCAAGTACCTTTACGACCAACACCCCGATATCGAATTCACAGTCCTGGCCAAGGCCGTCATTAAGGAACTCGAGGGTGCCTTCGGATTGCTCCTCAAGTCCGTTCACTACCCCCACGAGGTCATTGCTGCCCGTAAGGGTTCGCCCCTGGTCATCGGTGTGAAGACCTCCAAGAAGATGAAGGTGGATTTCGTGGATGTTGAATATTCCGAAGATGGTGTCCTTTCCGCGGAGCAGGCCTCCCAGAATGTGGCAGCCAAGAAGTCTGCCACAAGCCTCCTTGCCCCTCCCGACAAGTCGTTGCTGCACCGCTCTCAGTCCCGGGCATTCCTGTCCGACGACGGCATTCCCCAACCCGCCGAATTCTTCCTTTCTTCCGACCCATCTGCCATCGTGGAGCACACCAAGAAGGTGCTCTACTTGGAGGATGATGACATTGCTCACATTCACGAGGGACAGCTCAACATCCACCGTCTGACCAAGGATGATGGCACCTCCAACGTCCGTGCCATTCAGACCATTGAACTCGAGTTGCAGGAGATCATGAAGGGTAAGTTCGATCACTTCATGCAGAAGGAGATTTTCGAGCAGCCCGAGTCTGTCGTCAACACTATGAGAGGTCGCCTGGACGTGGTCAACAAGAAGGTTACCCTTGGTGGTCTTCGTCAGTACATCTCGACCATTCGTCGCTGCCGACGTATCATCTTCATTGCCTGCGGTACTAGTTACCACTCTTGCATGGCTGTGCGCGGTATCTTCGAAGAGCTCACCGAGATCCCCATCGCCGTTGAACTCGCCTCCGACTTCCTCGACCGACAGGCTCCTGTGTTCCGTGATGACACCTGTGTGTTTGTCTCCCAGTCCGGAGAGACCGCTGATTCCCTCATGGCTCTTCGCTACTGTCTGGAGCGTGGCGCCCTGACTGTTGGCTGTGTCAACGTCGTCGGCTCCTCCATCTCCCTCCTCACCCACTGCGGTGTGCACATTAACGCTGGTCCTGAGATCGGTGTGGCCTCGACCAAGGCGTATACGTCGCAGTTCGTGGCTATGGTTATGTTTGCTTTGTCTTTGAGTGAAGATCGGGCCTCCAAGCAGAAGAGACGCGAGGAGATCATGGAGGGTCTTGGACAGATTTCCGAGCAGTTCAAGCAGATCTTGAAGCTCAACGATCCGATTAAGGAGTTGTGCGCCAAGTTCTTCAAGGACCAGAAGAGTTTGCTCCTGCTGGGTCGTGGTGCCCAGTTCCCCACTGCCCTTGAGGGTGCCCTGAAAATTAAGGAAATCTCATACCTTCACTGCGAGGCTGTCATGTCCGGTGAATTGAAGCACGGTGTTTTGGCACTTGTTGACGAGAACCTCCCCATCATTATGATTCTCACCCGCGACAACCTCTTCACAAAGTCCTTGAACGCCTACCAGCAAGGTAAGTTTCCTATGATTGAACATTCTATATCTGTCCATGACACTAACTTTTCACTAGTCATTGCTCGTGGCGGCCGCCCCATTGTGATTTGCAACCCTGACGACCCCGAGTTCTCGTCCGCACTGACCGAGAAGATCGTCGTGCCCAAGACTGTGGATTGCCTCCAGGGTCTGCTCAATGTCATCCCATTGCAGCTGATCTCCTACTGGCTTGCCGTCGGCGAGGGACTGAATGTCGATTTCCCTCGTAACTTGGCCAAGTCGGTTACCGTCGAGTAAATGTGTGTTTTGGTTGGGGCTCGGTTAGACGATTATCATGATCCGGTCATCTTTTTATTTTTAAGGTGTTTTAGCCGCGAGAAATGGAACCTCGCTTTGTTTTTAATAACCAATTAACCATGATTTCTGGAATGTATTACTTCGAGGCTGTATAGACTGAAACTAGGTACACAGTAAACAAACTGTTGGAGCCTCGGCGCTGAATTGCCGCGTTCGGTGATCACATTCCGCCTTCCCCCGCCAAATGCGGGACCGATGGTTTTCGCCCCTCGAGCTCTTTTTGGTTCATAACACTCGTTCGAAGCTCAATTATTCCGCAAATCCATATTGTATTCCTCTGACCACTGCTATTCTCCAAAATGACTACTATTAAAGGCCCCGGTGCTGCGCAGACCCTCGATGGTAAGGACATCCACCAACCCTTGAAACCACCCAGCTAACCGAGTCTTCACAGGCTCTGGCCTTCGAGTCGCAATTGTGCACGCCAGATGGAACACTGTGATCATCGATTCACTCGTAGCAGGAGCCAAGAAGAACCTTCTTCTCGCCGGCGTGTCCGAGGACAACATCACCGTCCAGACCGTCCCAGGCAGCTACGAGCTACCCCTCGCCGTGCAACGGTAAGCCCAAACCTTCCCACACACCATCTCCAACCCATCTAACACTTCTTTACAGCCTCTACTCCGCCTCGCAGCTCCAAGCCAACTCTTCCGGCGAAGGAGCCAGCGCAACAGACCTGCTCTCATCGTCGACGACCGACCTCTCCGGCTCAACGACGGCAAGCAGCCCCAAGCAGCCCTTCGATGCGATCATTGCCATTGGCGTTCTGATCAAGGGCGCGACAATGCACTTTGAATATATTGCCGACGCTGTCAGCCACGGTCTGATGCGTGTGCAGCTTGATTCTGGTGTTCCGGTTATCTTTGGCTTGTTGACTGTTCTTACTGAGGAGCAGGGGTTGGAGCGTGCTGGGCTGGGGAGCAGTGGGATGCATAATCATGGTGAAGACTGGGGGAGTGCTGCTGTTGAATTGGGATTGAAGAGGAAGGAGTGGGCTGAGGGGAAGATTCTTTAGGTTCTGTTTTGCATGGTATGTGTGTTTTTTTGTATCTAGGGCTACGATTTAACCCTCATACGTGTTTTTTGGTTACTCGAACAGGCTGTTCATTGGTAGATTGGAGTAAAGAAAGGAAAAACAGGCTGAGCATAAACCTTTGGGAGCATAATCTATTAAATATTTCACTCTTCCATCTGTTCGCCTTGAGTCTTCTCTTCCTCTTCCTCGTCATCGCCCACCATAGACTGCTTCGCTGCTTTCTCTGCTTCATCGAAGAGCTCCTTGGGCACTTCCTCGTGACGACCCTTGGTCGGTCCGTCGACAGAGCTGATCCACGTCATCTCTAGCTCAAAGTCCTTGTCCTTGCTATCTTCGTGAGCAACATAGATAATGCGAGCCGCCTCCTTGACACCATCTACCAAAGAGAGATTGCCCGCGCTCAGGTCTAGTTTCTCCAGCTCGGCTTTGGCGGTCTGTCGGCCCTTACCGGTAGCAGCGCCGTAGTAGCCCTGTAAAACTCCATATTAGCACGACACATTCAACCACACGCCACACAATAGACACAACATACCCAATACAGTCCACTGGGCTCAATCATGTATAGGCCAGGTCCACCGGCTTTGGCACCCTCAACCTTTCCACCAGAGCCAGACTTGGGTCCGGTGCCGACCTGTCCATCGACAGGAAGCTCCGCCTCGCTATCCCACCCGCCGACAATAGCAGTTATGCCAAACGGCCGTACGCTGGAGTAAAGTGTGTACGCCTGCACGTACCCACCGAGACGATTGGCAAGCGCGGAGGTCGGAATGGGACCTTTGTATGTGCTTCTCCACGAAGAAGCCTCATCCCTAGCTCTGGAAACGAAGTGACGGCCATCGGGAACCAGTCCAGCGGATACCTTTAGAGTAAAAAAACGCAGGTCAGCAACTAGCAACTTTGAAACACCCGACGGTGCGGTTTGCGGCAAGGGTCATCCGTTCGGGGAAGGCGATGTGGAGAGGAGGATAAGGGTATTCTTACGATTCCAACATGGCGATCGACTGATGCGATTCTCTTGTTCGCCCCTGCCTTTAGGAGCTTGCTCGTGACGATCTTTTCCACTGCCAACACTACGCCATCCTTGCATCTGATGCCGATGGCGGTGCCGCCGTTCTCAACTGCCTTGACGGCGTACTCGACCTAGATGGTGTGGTCAGCAGCTTGGAACGTGGGTCTGTAGCTCTTTCATGAGCGGGATTGGCGTATTACCTGGAAATTCCGGCCGTCTGGCGAGAACACCGAGTTGGAGAGATCGTAGCCTGTGCCGATTGACGTCTAGAGAGGTGAGATGTTAGACCGGAGGATTGTAATAGATCGAATTGGTCGATCGGAAGCTGACTGACCATGATTTTGGTGAGAATGCGATTCGGTGAGGTTCAAGGTCAGTCTGGGCGGGCCAGGCAATCGAGAAAGAGCTGGTCTAAATAATTGACAGGATATGGAAGGAGATGACCAGGTCGGAGATAGGTGGATAGGTAACGTGAGGCTGGAAGCTCTGGGGATGATTAACGGAGGTTCGTAGACACTAAAGCAGTGACGCTGTCGCGTCACGGGGTTGCCTGGCAGAGCTCCCAGTCACATGATCTTGCAGTACCTGGTTGGTACTTGCACTTTTCCTGTCTCCACTGCTGTTCTAGTGGGTACCAATCAAGTACCCAACCCTATCAGGCGTCTAATAGGCCCGTTACGCAGTATAACATCTGAACATCGCCATTAGTGGCTCGGGCTGCAGCCCAATCAAGCATTTGGGCATCCTTGCCCCTCTGACCTTTAGAAAAGAAAAAAAAAAGACGAAACATCCCAGTTCACTTCCTATCTTCAGTTCTACAGTGTACAAAGTCGAGACTCGAGAGTTCCAACTTTCCCAGTTTGTCCTTCCATCTACATATCCAACCCCGCCATGTCTTCGTCGATATTGCATCAGTGCCCGCACTGTGGTCATGTCTCCGATATCTCCAACGCCCTGGCAGCCTTCATCGAGAACCCCCACTGTAAACAGGTAGTTTCTGCATTCTTCATCCTGTCCCAAGGAATCCTGACCAGGAGCATCTATATACAGTGCGGCCTGTCTGCTTCTGAAAGCGACTCGAAAATGCAAGACGAACTAGCAGCACTGTTTGATAGACAAATGAGTATGGCACAGCTGCATCCCGCCAATATAGAGTCCATGTCCATGACCATCCCCCCTCAAGAGCCTGCGCCTCCCGCATACAGCATCACGCAGCTCTACCAGTCTGCTCAAAGAGTCGCGGAGCAGCCGTCAAGCGTCGATGTACTGAGATATCACGGTCTGGACCCGAGTACCCTTACCCCGGAGCAGTGTGGACTGTTTGAGAATGCTGGTGCGGAACAGAGACAGCGGTTGATACAGACGTGGCTGCTGTACTCGCAGTTAGGGAATGAGGCTAGTGTGAATGATTCTGCTATAGATGATTCTACTATGGATGCTGGGGGCGATGGGAATGAGTATGCCGAGCCGTACATGGTGTCCGGGTACCGGTCGGTTCCTAAGCAGGCGGCTCATATTCCCACGGAGCCTACTACTGGGGAGACCTATATGGGCTCGAAAGATCCTGTGTATCAGGGACAGGGTTGGTGGGAATTGGCCAAGGCGGGGCCTGTGGAATCACAGTATGGTGCTTTTGAAGAGACGATGAGGTATTACCCTAGCTGTGGTGTGTACCGCTACTAGATAGTTAGGGAATATATTCAATGGATTATGTTGAAGTCGGGTATAGATAACCGGCATGGGCTGTCGTTCTAGGGCTCCTAATTCAGAATACAGCCCTTCATGACAAGTCAAATTAAGTACCTACTCCAGTCCAACCAGACGTGGAACCATCGGGCGTGATAACGTAGTTTCCAAGTACATGACACTACGCTTGCTGCTTTGTTTCTGTTCGGTATGCTCTTCTGAAATACACGAATCCGCGTGGACTCTGTGAAAAGACGATGCCATGGAGCTCTTTAGGTAACCTTGAATGTCATACCTATGTCTGACGCAACCCTAGCTCTTGTAGTGCTTGACCATTGTATAGGATTCTACTGGTAAAACATTGCGTTTCTCGACTCTAGGTAGATACATATCTCTTAGATGATGATCCATCAACCCCACAATTCATGGAAATGCCGATTCAAGCTGAAATCAATGCTATACCAATGGTAAAGATAAAAGAGTGATCGCCATTGGGATTCTCCGAAAACACCCCATCACATGCCCACCTGGCTTTTCCTGGGTGATTCTGTACCGAAATAGAGTCGAAGGTGTTATGGACTAGAGTGTCAAGCATACTCTATCGAGATGTCTTGCACCAACGATCTCAAAGTAAATAAAAAACTAGACAAGTCAGTCTGTACCCATGCATCGAATACATAGAACCATGAACGTACATTTACTCTTCGAAACCAGCATCATCCTCAAGGTCAGCCATGGCGACGGCAAGGTTGTCGGTGGTGCGCTTGACCTCCTCGACAGCATCGGCGGCACGCTTGGCCTTGTAGCAGCCCTGTCCGACGTGGCCACACCACTTCGAAACGGAGGTGGGCACGGTGTAAGCCATGGCCTCAGCGAGAGCACTGGCGGAGCGCTTGAACTCGTTGTGGGACTCGACGGTTCGCTTGCAGCCCTGGCCGATGTGACCACACCACTTGGGAACCGTGGTGGGAAGACCTGCTTGTTGCGGGGATGGGGCGGCCTGGACGGCACCGGCGGCCGCGAGGGCGACAAGAACGGAGGAGAACTTCATGTTGATTGGAGGTGGTAAAACCGGAAGTTTGGCAAGTTGGTTTGAAGAGCGAAGGACAGAGACTGAGAGAGCTCGATGATTGAGATGTCTGGAGAAAAGAACCCAGATGGCGAACTTCATCGAGGTTTATATACCCATCAAGATCAGGTACCATGACTGGCTCAATAGCTGCGTCGTAATAGAGAGTCGAGTAGCTTCCTCGCGAATTAGAAGAACTCGGCTCTGAATAGAGACATGATTCTGAATAGGGCTTTGTTGATTCCACCCTAGGGCTAATTGAGGTGCTGATGGAAGTTCGGTTCTCAATAGGAATCTTATTGAGCGGTGTCAGGTTACCACCCTATCAGTGACTTGAGGTCTCAATTGGCAAGGGCTAGGGCAAGCCATCTTCAAGTTGCTTTGACAAGATATTGGGCGTTTCCGCCAAGACATATGAAACTGGGAGTCTAATTAATTCACGTTCTTTTGTTTGAGTTGATCACGGACCTGGAAGCTAGAAGATCAAGACCCAAAACAGGCTGTCAATAAGGAAACATAAAGAAGTTGACTTGATCGAAGTAGAAATGAAGAAGAGTGAAGAAAGTCTGAATAGGCGGCTTTTCATTGTTTTGATATCCACGCGCAACCAGATAAGATCGGGCCGGCGCTAACCACAGTTCGATGCCGAGCCCATCCGGAGTCTTTTTTTCCCGTTTTCCCTCTGATCCTTTTCCAACCCCTCCCACGAAATCTTCGTCTTTGTTTAAACCAACCTCGGAATTCACAAGATGTTCTCCAGAACGGCACAGCCCGCTCGGGTAAGTTTTTCTTTTTCCTGATTTTTCGGTTTCGCATTTCCGCCCTTTTGACGCCCCCCAATTGAGAGCTCATCACTAATCCCTCCCTATAGACTCTGCTCCGCAGCACTTCCGCAGCTCCCTCTGTCGCTCGCTCTATTCCCGCTAGATGTACGCCATTGATTATCCTTGACACCTCCGCCCGGAGTTTCCAACTAACTTTCGCAACCCAGCCTTCGCTAGCATCCAGTCCGACATCTTCAAGCCTACCAAGTATGGTGGCAAGTACACCGTGACTCTCATTCCCGGTATGCGACACACTTTTTGCGCCTGTCTCTCTCTACATTGCGCTTGGTTTTGACTAACATTGGATAAGGTGACGGTATCGGTGCTGAGGTTGCTGAGTCTGTCAAGACCATCTTCAAGGCCGACAACGTGCCCATCGAGTGGGAGCAGGTCGACGTTTCCGGTGTGGACAGCGGCAACAAGCACTCCGAGGAGCTTTTCCGTGAATCGCTCGCTTCCCTCAAGCGCAACAAGCTCGGTCTCAAGGGTATCCTCCACACCCCTGTGGAGCGCTCAGGCCACCAGTCCTTCAACGTCGCCCTGCGTCAGGAGCTGGACATCTACGCCTCCATCTCTCTGATCAAGAACATCCCCGGTTACGAGACTCGTCACAAGAATGTCGACCTCTGCATCATCCGTGAGAACACCGAGGGAGAGTACTCCGGTCTCGAGCACCAGTCCGTCCAGGGCGTCGTCGAATCCCTGAAGATCATCACCCGTGCCAAGTCCGAGCGCATCGCCAAGTTCGCTTTCAGCTTCGCTCTGGCCAACAACCGCAAGAAGGTCACTTGCATTCACAAGGCTAACATCATGAAGCTGGCTGATGGTCTCTTCCGCAACACATTCCACAAGGTCGCTGAGAACTACCCCACCCTGGAGGTGAACGACATGATTGTGGACAACGCCTCCATGCAGGCTGTCTCCCGTCCTCAGCAGTTCGACGTGATGGTCATGCCTAACCTTTACGGTGGTATTCTGTCCAACGTGGGCGCTGCTCTCGTTGGTGGACCCGGTGTTGTTCCCGGTTGCAACATGGGCCGTGACGTTGCCGTCTTCGAGCCCGGCTGCCGTCACGTCGGCCTCGATATTAAGGGCAAGGACCAGGCCAACCCCAGTGCCTTGATTCTGTCCGGCGCCATGCTCCTGCGCCATCTTGGTCTTGATGACCACGCCAACCGCATCTCCAAGGCTGTCTACGATGTGATCGGTGAAGGGTGAGTTTTCTCCGTATAAAGGCCCCCAAAGTCAAGGCCAGACAAAGTCAAGGCCAGATTGCTAACTTTCTTTGTAGCCACACTCGGACCCGCGATATGGGTGGTCAGGCTACCACTCACGAGTTCACCCGGGCTGTTTTGGACAAGATGGAGGCTTCTCTGTAAATTTTGGAATCTCCGCTCCAATATACCTCCCGCTACGATTGAGGATGCTGCCTCCTGATTTTGGAAATGTACTATGCATACCGTGAATCGGTCGGTGTGGTCCTCATTGATGTATTATCTTTCTTTCATTTTTAGCTCGAAACGTCCCTGTTATAGCAATAGACAACATTTCTTTTGTGATCATAACATTCATTGCATTAGAATTTTGGGTATAAACATCAGATGGCCATATATCTTCGGGCTTAGTTCATAGGGTGCCCAGAAGGCGAGAAGAGGTCAACTCTTCAGCCCTAGAATGAGGATGCCACGGACTTTGAGTCGGACTTGCTGTGAAGCCACGGACATCCCTTGACTTTTGATCATGTTCCCCATTCAGATACACAGAATGGGGCTCAATTCTAAGAGGAAACAACTTTTGTTTGCCAACCAGGCCATTCCCCTCCTGCCTTTCGAGCGGCAAGTCAATCATAACACAAAAACACTTCGTAAAACAGAGACAAATCAGAAAGCGATCCGTCGCTTGCGGCCAGTATATTTCGACGAAGCCTTAACAACCTTACCCTTCCTCTCCATCTGCTCCTTCTTCCTCAAAATCCAAGCCTTATCACCCTTCCTCGGAGCCCTAGCATTATTGATCTCCGACGCCTTGCGCCTAGCATCCAAAACACTAACATCATCCATCCCATTCACAACACCCGTAATATCCCCCGTCAACCCACCACCACCAACAGTCAGCACCAGATACAACTTGCTGCTCTTAGTGCCAGGGTCATCCTCGAGGATACCGGCCCCAAAGCCGGCTTTGATAGCAGCCCCACTGATCATACTGCGCTGCACATCATTCTTAGGATAGAACTGACAGACCGCCCGCCCACCGCGACGCAGACTCGCATAGAGACCCTCGAAAAAGCGCTTTAAACGACCTTCGGCGGTTACGTCGCTCGTTTCTGCGTTGCACAGCCATTGGATCGCACTGATGCTGATTGCCGCGTCGAATGTGCCCGGTCGGAAGGGGACGCCTTGCCCGATGTCCGCGAGGAAGAGGTCGCCTTCTACGTCGCGTTGGAGCGCGACGTCTAGCATGCTCGGTGATATGTCCATGCCGATCCAGGTGTGTGGCCCGCCTTCTGAGGGTGGGACTTCCGAGAGCATTTCGCCTGATAGCCCCGAGCCGCAGCCGAGATCGAGGATTAGGGAGGGGGATTTTAGGTCGAGGAGTTCCAGGGCTCGGCTGGTCATGTTCGCCTGGATGTTGCGGATTCGCGAGGATTTTGTATACTTTCGCGATTCATTGTCGTTGTAGAAGAGGTCGGGAGGGCTGGGGGTTTTGGATGTGTTAGTTTTTGATGTAAGGCTGTGTAAGGCTGTGACGGAGTGTCATACAGGATATCTTCGGGGCGCGACATGTTGTGTGGTGGTAGCGAGTTTGCGGGCAAGTTGAAGTTTTGGGGAAAATTCCATAAATTAATTTTTGGGGCGGTGCTGCCTGAGGCATCGGGTACTCCCAAAACGTCCACGTTTCTCCGATTGCATCTTCTCGAGTCTTTTCCTCTCTCTCGGAGGCTTGCTTGCCTCTGCATCTATTTTCCAACCCTATGCTTGACAAGCTCTGACTATACTCGACGCAATGTGGATTCTACCGCTAGTTGGATATTTGGGTGTGGTTGTCGGGTTTGCATTTCTCACCTTGGCCATTGGTATGGAATATGGAATACTTGCGGACGTCAATAAACAAAGAAACTGACTTGCTCCAGCCTCGGGACTCTACTACCTATCCGAACTCGTCGAGGAACATACAGTCCTTGCTCGCCGCCTGTTGAGCCGTCTGATCTACGGCATCGTCACAGTTCAGGTTATGCTTATGATATTCGACCGTTTCCCTGTGCCACTATCGCTGCTGAGCATTGTTTCGCATTTGGTCTACGCCAGCAACCTGCGCCGATTTCCCGTCGTCAAATTATCCGATCCTCTCTTCATCCTCTCCTGCGTTCTAGTCGGTCTCAACCATTGGCTATGGTTCCGACACTTCTCTAAGCCTCTGCCTCCGTCGGATAACTGGCGAAACCCGTATGGGGTCGATTATGAGAATATGCCGTCTTTCAGCGAAGTGGCTTCATACTTTGGTCTTTGCGTTTGGCTAGTTCCGTTCGCTCTGTTTGTCAGTCTGAGCGCGGGAGAGAATGTCTTGCCTACCATGGGCTCTGAGCATGTTACTGGCGAACGTGATAGCTTGGGTCCCTCTGATGGCAAGTCTAAAAACAAGGGGATGGCTAAAGCTTTGGTGGATGGTGTGCGAGATTGGACAAGTGAAACTGGCGAACTTATGGGTCTCTGGAGAGGAGAAAGGACAAGACGATTCTGAATGAGTGAACGATGTAGCATATATAATAGAATGAGATTTGTATTCGGCCACCAATCGTGTAAAATGTAAAACTAAATCGCCTAAGCGTGCCACCAGACCCAACCGCAAGCTTCTGAGACAAATAAGAGCAGATCATCAATATGGCATAGAGTCCGAGTGGAGGCGCTGATGGGGGAAAATAGAGGAAAACTGAAGAAAAGAAAGAAAGGGGTATAACGACGGTCAATGCTGACCATGGCATGGGAACTTTCAACATCAAGATGGGGAAGCCATCAAATTAGGTGTCATCTTGATTACAATTATCATTAAACATTCCCTCGCGACTCTGATGGCTGTTGCCAAGTGAAGCCGTCATTCTGCAGTCGTGCAAGTCGTAATGTTTCTGGGCATCCAGAAGAAATTGGGAGTAAGAAGAAAGGAACAATGGGAAGGCGAATCGTACTTCACTTGCCCTGGTAGAAAGAAGGATCTGGGAAGAATAATCAGCATAGCTTGTGAGAACGATCAATTTCCTAGGACTCACCGTCCATAAACAGCATGGAACTCTCCCGTCGCTTCGTCTTCGCCGAGCGAGTATCTTCCGAGCCAGGCACCAGCATGCCATTCAAAGAAGAATACGGAGCAGAGGCACCCGGGCCCGGAGGTTGGTTATACTGCTCATGCCGGGACGAAGTTGGTTGGTCATAGCTAGGTTGCATTGGGATAAAGCCAGTGTCGTAGTGGTTTCCGGTTCCCTCAGAAGGACCGTTCATATCAGTATTCCGGAAGGAAGTCTGCTGGTACGAAGGAGTAGGTATATCCGAGAACATTTGGTGACGCGGGGATCGAATATCGTCGGGGGAAAGAGTATTTTCGACTGTCAGCTCCGTACCAGGCTTGGCATAGTTCGAGTCGGTATCGCCAAAGATGCTGTCATAGTCTGTGAGGAACATTGAGAAGACCGGCGCTGGAATGTTCAGTGTTGGCGCAAAGACAATGCCCACGTTCCTGACGGTCATCTTGTTCACATCAGAATTATTGACAATCTCAATCAAGAACTGCGATAGAGCCCGAAGCAAGGCTAGATTAGGCCTCGGCAGTCTGTGCACCAGAGAATTGAAAGCTAGCACCTTCTTTTGGCGGTCGTCGAGTTCTGTTCGATCAGGTTAGTCGTGGAATAGAACAGAACACCCGATCAGTACATACCGAGAACGCGAAGGAAGTCCAGATGAAGCTCCCGAGTCAATACGGTGGTTGGAAGCTCTCGAAGGTACTGTTTGAAGAGAGAAGCCACGGCATGGATGTCATAATACTGATCACCAGACACGAAATCAACATCGCCTTCAGTGTTGAAACGTTCCTTCAAAGCTTTGATCACCACATTGGAACCGCTTAGGCGGAAGATACCTTCCTCCAAGGCTGCTTCCTTGGCATGGAGATATTCGATACAGCGATAAACCACTGCCGGCAGTTCGACGTCAATACCTGGCGGTGCACAATCTTGTACGGCCTCGGCCAAGGGGATACCGAAGACAGGTCGGACGGGCCCCGTTCTCTCAACGTTGGTTGCTGTTGATGTCTCGCTGGTCTGGGCTTGAGCGGCAAGGTCAAAAGAGGATCTGGTTCGGAAACCCCAGATACTGCGTTTCTTCTCCTTCGTCGATGTCTTTGCCTTGTTACCCCAGGCCTCCACATCCTGGATGACTGCACCGTTCGTGGGCCTAGATATCATTCTGGGGGATTGTAATCCTTGCTCGGGAGAAGACATGGCCAGTTCTCTGAACTCCGTAGACATGGCAGCTGGAAGTCGGGGAGATCGAGGTGCTTGTTCGAGGGTGGAACCGATAGTTGGAGGGTCGGCTTGCACCGCGTCATCAAAGCTGAAACCCTGCACGGAACTTACCGAGTCTTGTTCGGGGCTGTCAACTCCACGTCCAGACTTCTTAGTTCCGTTGTTGAATTTAGACTTAGCCTCGGTCGCAGATTGCGGTGGCTTTTGTTGGAGTTGGGATTCATCTTGAGACTGAGGCTGGCCCTTGGAAGATACGCTGCCACGTCCCTCATTCTCAGAGGAGGCGCTCTCGACGTATTCCATGAGAGCATCGACCCAGGTGTCGCGCTCTTCGTCGCTCTCGGCGCAAAGAACGTGTCGCACGAGTGCCGAGGAATCCTTTTTCTTGGGTTCCAAAATCAAGAATGCATGGCGATACTGGTTGTCGGAGTCATCTTCCACCCCGGAAGACGAAGCGCCCTGATCGGCAGATTTTGGCGACTGTTTGCCTATCTGCGCACGATGAAGTTTGATCGTACCCATGTGTGCGCCCCCTGGAGATTCGTAGTACCTCAGTTCAGGTCCAGTGAGAACGAAATATCTTGCTTTCCAGCCACCAAAGTTCTTGCCTCGTTTAGTCAAGTAACCTTCTTTTTGTGGCTTTCCATCTGGTCCACGAGGCATATCGGGCTTCGCCTGAGCATGACCCTTCAGTAGACTTGTCTCGTCATCTCGAGGCTCAATAGCATCATTTGTCAAGAACTGGCAGATGGCCAATGCGGCTTTTTCGTCCATTGGTGTATCCAAGAGTCCATCGAAGTATGCATTCAGTGCAGCACGTCTCAGGTCAACCTTAGCAGGAGAATGGCCATTGAAGATATTTCTATCTGGCAATTTGACGGGGAAAGCGGAAGACTGTCGGACTTTTTGATCTAGCTGAGGCAAAGATCCGATGATCTTTTCAACTCGCCACAGTTCTGACATCTCTGAGCGGGAAATCACACTGAGAGTAAAGACAGGTTCCTCGTCTAGGGGCTTGGACGCCATATAACTGTTCCTGGAAGGTCGAAGCCGCGATGAAGATACTCTGACTTGAACCAAGGGGAGCGCATTCGGGGGCAGAAGCAGGCCAGGATATTCATCAGACATCAGCCCTTGATAAATTCGGTTGTCGGTGAAATGTGCGGATCTCGGGCTGTCAATCATTACAGAGGGATCGATTGACGGGAGAGGACCACTGGGCCGTCCATTCGAAGGGATGGGAGCGAAGCCCATAGGCTGGTTGGCCATCCTTGGCGATGAAGGCAAATTCGGGGGCTGATAGCCAGCTGCCATGGAACCGGAAAAGTCGCGTGGCATGCGAGGCATGGGAGAACCCATAGGTCGATCTTCCGGCCTCGGGCTTAGTGGCAGTCCAGGGCTCATGGGCATGGTAGCGATAGAGCGCCCATTGAATGACGACGCAGGGGGGGGCCGAGAGCCCAAAAGTGATCCCAGGGAACCGGAGTCACCTACATTCGGTGGTGATCTCGTGGAGAGCTCCCCGGGAACCGTTTCTGGGCTAGACATTGCCGTGTCCCGCGAGCTATGGGAGTTGGCTGCCTGGGTTGCTCCTACCGAACCAGTAGATTCAAGCCCATCTTTCTGCAGTGCAGCTTCACGATCCTTGTCGTCTTGTTCTCTTGTCTTTCTCCGCCCACGGTCCATACCCGGGGTCTCATTCGCTTCCTGGGTATCGCCATAATCGGAACCAGAGTCTGATGATGTCCTTTTGTTGGCGTCTGCTTGTGCCTGTGGCTGTCGCAGAGTCAGAGGCGCAGGCGGTGGTTTGCGACCTGGGTGTGGCAACCTGCTCTTTCCGTCTCCGATGGGAGATGGGATATCTGTGGCAGAAACCGGACTGGTGGTATCTTCAAAGCCCCGCCGGGAGGTTTCAGGAGATGGAATGATCGATGGTTGATCGTCTTTCTGCGACCCTGTCTCCTTATCACTGCGCGATGCGGCCGCCGGTACTGGCGGAGCATCTTGTAGTTCCTTCAGCTTCTTTTTGTACTTCTCCTTCTCTTGCAAGGCACGCTCAAGGTCCTTGTTGAGGCCGAGGATTAACGTCCTTTGTTTGTCCACCAATTTCCACAGTTGCGTATTCTGAGAGGCGGATTGGTGTTTCTCTTTCAAGAGGTGCATGATAACAGCCTCGGCAGATCCAGCGGCGTTGATTAGGTTGTTAATGTCGTTTGGACTCAAAGAGTTAACATCAAAAGCCGATCTCTGAGAGTTGGAAGACAGGGAAGAGATAGCAGAGTCAATCGACGAGGTGCGAGGCATGACACGATGCGGTGGGCGATCTGGCATCGAGTGAACGGAACTGACGGATGAAGTAGCAGATCGATCGGGCTCCGGCGCACGGTTTGTTCTCGACATATTGCTCTCGCCAGGCCGGGCGTCGACATTCATTGATTCTGGCTCTGCCGTCTCGGGTGTCTGCGACAGGCTGTGACCGATGCTAGAGGGTGGCGCAGGAAATGTAGCATTGGCCACGCGAGTTATTGGTGACGTCTGGGAAGGAGGAGTGTTGTTGCTCGATCTCGGGGATAGGGGGCTCTGGGTCGACGCGGGACTGTCCACACGGTATGACTGAGGCAGGAAACTCGTCTGCAACGGAGAGGGGGTGATCTGTCGGGAACCACCAGCGGGCCCGGAGCGCGGTTGGTCGGATCGTGCTAAATAGTCGCGAGGAATGAGGCCGCTGTTGATGGATTGGTAGCTGGTTTGGTTCTTAGATGAAGTCGCCGAGCTTTCATCATTCCCTCGCGGAGCTTGCGACATGGCTAGAGCAGGGGTCGAGACTCATCAGAGGGGTCACGTTCGGGGGGGCGACACGAGGCGAAGGCCCAAGAGGGGGCGAGAACGCGGAACCCCGGAAGCTGAAGCTTAAGCGCCAGAGAGAGAAAAGGGGGCTTGCGAACCGATTGGAAAGAAAAGAAACCTAGAAAGTAGAAACCCTAGACAGTCCCCTGGGCGCAGAGAGATAGTAGGGGAGAGTAGAGCTTGGGAAAAGTGAAGTGGGGAGGGGAAAAGGGGGTTGGAGCTGAAGAGAAGAAGAGATAGAATTAACGATAACAATAAAAATGAAGGGAATAATAGTTGTCAGTACTGGACTTGGTCAATTCAGTACTTTTGAAGAAGTTAGAAGAAGACAAGAAAAGGTTGGGGTCACTTGGGGGAGTTTAATGAGCTTTGGTATGCAGAACTGATCCCTTCTGTCTCTCGGAGTTTGCCTATAGAGGTAATCACATTATGTACATAATGTCGATATACGCCTCTTTATATATCTTTTTGTTATTTTATTTATTTCTACTTTCTTCTCTCTACTATATCACCTTGGTCCGAGGAAATTAACTACACGAGGCAGGGTTTCTATTGTAGTACAATCCCGTCCCAGCGTTCGGCGCAACCACTGCAGTGGAACAAGACAGAGTATCCAGGCCGAAGAGTGATAGAGAGTGAAAGGGAAGAGAGTCTTTGATTCGAATGGGGATAAGAGTAAGCACATGGGTATACATGTGACACACATGGGGTCTCCGAATAGAGCAATCACATGAATTCTATGGAGTTGAATGAGATGTGTAAAATAACCCAAGACTCCCGTAAATGCGACCGCAATGACTATAATACAAATCACCAGATGAAAGAACGCCAGTCAGATGAAGTACATAAAAGTACAATTAGGCGATATTGCCAGCCATGCCCATGAAAATAGCCTGCGCGGCCAGCTGAAGGGACCAAAATCCAACCTTCTTGAACCGACGCTTGCGGGCTTGATCGTCCACAACATCTCGGGCGAACGCGTCATAGGTCTGTATCATGATCAGTAATGTTCGTTGCTTGCAGTACAAGTATTAATGGGAAGGGTACTCACGGCGGCTGACAGGTCATCCATCAGACTACTGTCGAAGATGGTCCAACTTCCGTCGAAGTCTCCAACACGCTTGACCAAGCGGCAATTGATAGGAATAAAAGTGCGCTTGGAGTTGATGTAGGCCACGATAGGACGGATCAGAGCGTTGTTGATGTAAGAGAGGTCCCGAGTAAAGATAGGCACGACAGCCCGAACGTTGTTAAGATGCACGCGCAAATCCATGGCAATAAATCGCCGATCTTCAGTCTCTGATTCTCCATTAGGGTCCGAAGACATAGGCTCTGGATAACGATTCGAGGTAACGGTAGCTTCTAGCCGATCATAGAAATCGGCCATCACCTTAGCCAAGCTTTCATCGTTTTCTGCGGGGAACATGATATCGGCGACGATATCCACGGTCCCCTCGTGAATCCACGAGAATGGGCCTTGCACACCGCGGTTGAGATGATCGACATTAAGCCCGTCGACCCGAATTCTGTTGTGCTTCTTCCACGGGCTGTGCTTGCCTTCGTCTTCTGCTTCAGTATCCTGCCGTATACCCGTAAATCCATGGGTTTGACGAGCATGAATCGTAAACAAAGAGTTATCATATGATCCGGACATCATGTTGGCGGAGAGGAAATCATAGAAGAGCCACTGTTTCCGCAACTGAGGGAGGTCACAAGAGAAGATGCTGACGGAGAAGGGTCGGAAGTTGTCCGGTTGGTAAACAGTGACGAGCAGGTCGTGCATTTTGAAAGAGTCGATTTCAAAGTCTCCGGGGTGATGTTCATGTCGGTAGGATTTGGGATCCAGATCCTCTTCGGGCCAATAAACATGGCGACGGTCGACAACACCCCGAATGCCTTTCACCTCAACATCATGAAGCGGGCCCTTGCCGTTGAGCCACTTGGTGAATGATAGCGTGACGTTGACTGTCTCGATCGACAAGTCGAATTGTGTATAGTTAGTATCTTCTTCTTCATCAGATACTGCCAGCGCATCCTCCGATCCAGTTTTACCTCGAGCTGCGGCCGCGGCTGCTGCAGACTTCGATGAGCCTTTGCTGACATGACCTGTGCCTTGCCCGGGGCGTTTAGAAACGAAGACATTCTTGAAGGTGATCACGCCATTTCTCCACTTAGGCACAATTGCAGACTCAAAGACAACTTTAACCCCAGATGACTTGGTGAGGTAGTTGCCCACCCATCCTGCCAGGGTTTCTTGAGAAGCAAATTAATAATGAGATACCACCGCAAGAATTGTTTGTGACGTACCTTGAGCGAAAACGGTGTTGATCGCAAGGATCAGGAGTGAGAAGAAAGTTGTAGTTCCTACAACGACCCAGACGATGTGACCCAGCAAAACCCATGAAAATAGAGCAGTTATCTCATCCAAATTGAAAGGACGAACACTTCTTATGGAAAACCATTTGAATCGTACTTTCAAGCGAGACCAGAACCCAGTTGCTGCAGCAAGAAGCTCTTCTTTGGATGGCCGATGTAGATGAGGCATATGTGGTAAGCGGTCCATCAAGTGGCGATTGTGTGCTGCCGCCGGTCCAGGATCTTTGGGCGGCTTGGGCTGTGATGAGTTCGTGGTGGATGTATCCTTCCCAGATTGGCCGAATTTCGGGGAGTGGTCATTCTCGTCGTGCTTCTCAGCATCTCCCGGAGTCCCCTCCCCACGTCGGTCATCATTTCGAGTATGTAGAGCTCGCTTCCATACTTGAGCGGCAATCTGTCGAGGGGGGATGATGCAGGCTGTAGGTTCCGCGGTAGTGGAGGTGTGTGAAGCGCTGATAACGAAGAAGCCGCCAGAAGCAAATCTTTTAGTGAGGTGGGCAGGTTTCTTAGAAATCGTCGAAATACGTCGTGAGTGATTGACACTAAATGAATCGAGTATGGATCTCGAGCTAGAGACTTCCGGAACCGATATGCGATTTATTCGAATGCGAGCAAAGAATGGATTTGCTGTATCCCATATATGGGCATACAGCCGGCGTCCCAAATTGGCAGACATGTTTGTCATTACATCCTGTATTTGAATGAGAAATTTGATGTATGATCCGAAGCAAAAGACGGACGCGGTCGAAGATAGTTGTGCTTGTTGACGGGGAAGCTTGGAAGCTGTGAGAGTTGGAAGAACCAAAGATGAAATCATGCCATGTTTGTCTTGTTTGCATCCCTTCCGCCCACACTTCATTTTGTGAGGGGGAACTGATTAAATTTTGCGATAACAGATTTTATGAAAAAATAAAAATCCATCGCTTTCTCTTCAACACAACAAAATGTCGGCACCTACAGCTCTTCGCCAGTCTGAACAGGCCATCGAATCTCGGCCTGAGAATATCGCTCATGGTTTGTACTCGGTCTGATCTACGATATTCCCATTCTTCATATCTGACATGCAATAGATCAAGATGATGAGATTTTGATCGATGCTCAAGCCACGACTGAAGGCGCCCCGATTAACCCCGTTGCCGAGTCTGCGGAGGACACCGAAATGCGCATCGATGAGGAAGGCCGCCCGGTCTTCACCCCGGCCAAGGACGTCGCTGCCGCATATCGGATCGAATCACGAAAGGTGCCCGTCCCACCGCACCGTATGACGCCCCTCAAAGCGAACTGGGCCAAAATCTGTCCTCCTATCGTCGAACACCTCAGATTGCAAGTGCGCATGAACATCAAGACCCGATCTGTCGAATTGCGAACCTCCAAGTTTACCACCGACGTGGGAGCTTTGCAGAAAGGCGCTGATTTCGTCAAGGCCTTCACTCTGGGCTTTGATATTGATGATGCGATTGCCCTGCTTCGACTTGATGATCTGTACATTGAGACTTTCGAGATCAAGGATGTCAAGACTTTGAACGGAGAGCATCTCGGTCGTGCCATTGGACGTATTGCAGGCAAGGACGGAAAGACCAAGTTCGCGATCGAAAATGCCAGCCGCACACGAGTGGTACTTGCAGACCAGAAGATTCACATTCTCGGTGGATTCAAGAACATTCACATTGCCCGGGAGGCAATTGTCAGTTTGATTTTGGGTAGCCCTCCGGTAAGTTTTGACTTCTATAACTTCCCAAAAGGAATTGCCGCTAACATAAAAACAGGGCAAGGTATATGGCAATCTTCGCACTGTTGCCTCACGTATGAAGGAACGCTTCTGATCCCGCGACTCATTTATCTCCGGCATGGTGTAGGCGTTTAGGTGCATCGGTTTTTACCCTGTCTTCTATTTTTATGATAATAGGCCATGACGACGTACAACGTAAAGATATCAGTTCATGGAAATTTCAAGTCATTTCAATTATGTTTGTGACCAAACGATCAATAGAAGAGTCCGCACTCGGTGCCCAGGCCATGCTTTCTCACGCCCTGCACTCTAATCTTGCTTCAGAGGAATGAACACTTCCTCAATGCCCTCCTTCGTAATAATCATCATTTGCAAACCATCACCAACCTCGATATGTCTCTCCACAGCACTTGTAAAGGCATCCCGTACAAGCTGCTTGACTGTGTCCTTGGGCAGAGGCTCAGCCTTGACGGCTTCAAGGGCATGGCCTGCTCCGCTTCCAGGGATATATTGGTTCTTGAAGTTGACTTGGTTGTCCAAGAAAGGCATGATCAAGCTGGATGCTGCACCGGCAGCGCGGCACTGTTCACGCTCGTAAGAGCCCACCGGGTCGTAGCTGTACAAAGCACCGACGCCTTCCTCATCCAGGCCAGCCAGGATAGCATGCACGTAGTACGGGAAGAATCGCTTCTCGTACAGAATGGTCGACAATCGCTGTGCACATGCTGAGACTGACATGGGTTTCCCGTGCTTGTACTTGTACATCTTCACCATGGTGTCCAGCTTTTCCTTGAGAGCATTGCCGTCGGCGGCGAAACCGACAACGGAGAGAAGGACCTGAGCTCCCTCGCCTGTCTCATCGTCACCGCCAATTCTGAAGACCTTCGGAACCATGCGAGAGTTGATATTGTAGCCTGATGTGGAACGAGTATCTCCGGCGAGGATAGCGAAATCAGAGCCGGTGATGCCGAGGGTGGAGCCGCCGTTGTCGGTGTAACTAGTATCATCGTCAGTTCATATTCCTGCTCAATGTGACCAAGCGATCTCTTACGGGTAGAAGGAATGTTGTTTGACATTAGCGGACGTTGGCTCGGAGAAGGAGTATCCGATAGTCTCACCACGAGACTGGTTACCCATGAGCGACGTCATTTTGGAGGGCTGAAGCTGATAGAGTCTAATTTATCACAAGTACAACTTGAGGGAGAAGGTAAAAGGTGTCGAATGCAAAGATTCTCGGGATTGTGAGGTCTGGAAGATGGATAGCACCCGGGCAAGAAGCTGGCCGTCTGACGCGGCGGTAGGTGCCTTCTGATGACTAAGAAGTACCCAAGCTCCAGCCCTTGAAGGCTATCTCGACGGTGCATTGTTCTCGACGCTCAGTCTTAAACATTTAACTGAGGTATACTCTGATTGAGAAGACAAATTGTGATCCATTTCCTTCTTCATATCGTGTGCCCCTGGTCTCTATCCGCTCTTGGACGCCGATAGCTAGACACGGACTGCAACGTCATGCTTGGTCTAGGTGAATATGAAAGCAGCAGCGAGGACGAGGTAGAGCGCAAGGCTCCTCCTCTAGACTCCCAGGTATCTTTGGATCTCAAAAGCATCGCCTCAAAGACAGGCTAACTCCGGATGACAGCCGCAAAAGGATATACTACCTGAATCCTCACAACCTGGCCAGAATGAAGGTAAGATAGTCTCCGGAAGCTAGTATTGAGCCCCAGAGATGTTACTGACACTTTGTCCAGTTCAAAACCCCATCGGAAAACAGTCTGATATAGCACCGTCTTCTGCTCCCACCGAAGCAAATGGACCTGTCCTTGGCCCCGCATCTATGGAGATGATGCCCTCCGAGGACAAGGATTCGACAAATGGACGCACATCTCCCTTCTCGGCTTCCCGAGCTCTGATCCAAGATCTTACGCTTCCTCCGGTTCCCAATCTAGACATCCCACCGTCGCCTCCCGGATCTCCAAACCCAGCTGTGAATGCGAACTTTGAGCATTTCCTAAACATCAAAAAGCAAGGTGTACACTTCAACTCGAAACTTGCTAGTTCATCATCTCTTAGAAACCCAAGCTTGCTGCTGAAGCTGATGGAACATGCCGGGGTCGATGAACAATCGCAATATGATACGTCGTTGCCGGCCGAACTGTGGAATCCGTCCAATCTACCCGAATGGGGATTCAAGGAGGAGCTATTGAGGACACAACAACAACGCCGCAAGAACCTAGAAGAGAAAAAGGCGTCGGGCCAACGGACTTCGGTTGATTTTGTCGCCGGGTCTGCCTGAAGGGTCATTCGACAATGAACCAACAAGACCCTGGAGTATGCTAAACCCCCATGGGCAAAGCCAAGTGAAGCTGGGCGCATCATTCCCTTCGGGGAAGACTGACTCCAAAAGGGCGGCTCCAGCGCCTAAGCTATATATAAATGCTTTCGGCCTTCAGTGGAACGCTACATCACCCATACGACAAGGAAGCTACTGTTCATGCCACTTCGTTTGAAGAGAACCATTGCTCTATCGGTGGACGAACTTGGAGACCCCGTATATACTCTGAGAGACTTTCGTGGTGTCTCCAGGAACTCCCTTGAGACTCTTGAGAAGAATACCAACAAACTCAACGAATCGACATTGACATAATGCACTTTGACCCTGTGCCTTGCTGTGCTCGGGACTTGGGACATGTTTCTTTAGCCGCCGCCGCCACTGCCTGCACCGTGTCTACGCCGCCTCGCCTTCTCACAGAGACTCAGACAGGAAATCAAAACCATTCGATCAAAATCCGTTCCGTATTCCGCCCTGATCTGAAGTTTCCCGACTTTTCCCGGTCTTTTCGTGCCTGTAAAAACAGCCACAATCTGCTCGGTTTGCTCGTCCACCAGTTTGTAGTTCTGCGTGGTCCATTTGGAGGGTGCCGAGTCGTCAACACCAACACTGCGCGTTCGCTTCCACAAGAAAGAACGCCTTTCGCCCTCAGTCCGAGCAAATTGGTGTTGAATCGTCGTTTCGATGCGGTATCTCGATTTATAGATGACCTCTCTGGTCATGTCCTCCCATTTCACACTGTTGATATCGTCCGGGTCCCCAAGGCCTAGTTTGCAGCTTCCGGACATCTTCTGGAATTTGGAGACGGCCACAACTGGTGCTTGGCCGTTGGCACCGGCATAGAGAATAAGGTCTGGCTTGCTGGGAGTGAACTCTGACACTTCGCCATAGAATAGAGGCTGGTCGTCGGCCGATTTAATGTCATAGTGCCGGTGCAACATCGGTCTCAGAATGTTATACGCACGCGAAGGGCCATTGTCGTCAATGGGAGGCACGGATGCATCTGATCCGGAACGAGTCGAACTCCGGGAAGACATGAATATAGAACCTTGGAAGTAGTTGGAGTCATAGATTGTCAGGCAGAAGAGAAAGCTGCTGAGAGCACAACCTCGTATTTATCGTGCTCTAAACTTAGAAGCGAGAAATTCTACCAATGAGACTCTTGGACGGGACAGCGATCACGCGAAGAGACAATGGGCCAAAATTGAGGCCCAAGAGCAGTCAGAAGCCTAGTATACCATGGTAATTTGATTATCTTCATTTCCTCCGAATATTTGTATGCAAAGTAGTTGATGGCCTGGGTCAACCTTAGAAAGAGCAGCCGAACCCGCGAAACTTAGTCAGCCGAGAGCTCTCCGTCAGCTCGACTGCCTAAGGTAGCTCCCCATCTATCGTCATCGCTTTACTGTGCTCTTCATCTTTTGCCTTTCCTTCTTCTCCCCTGAAATTTATCTCCCTGCTCAGAGCTCCATTTGAAACCCTCACTCCCATTCATCATGAACCACTTCCCTGAAGCCTGGGGCCGCGTAGGTGGCACGAAGTTTCCCAGACCGCGCTCCGTTGCTAACTATCTGTCCAGCCCCGAAACGACGTCTACGGAGCCTACGACCACTCATATCTGCAGACCACAGGTCCCAAGGCTCATACCTCATCGCCCGCAGTGACCGGAACGTCCGTGGTGGGAGTCAAATTTAATGGCGGAGTTGCTATCGCTACCGATAACCTGGGTAGGTTATTCCACCTATCCACTTTCATGTCTCTTTTCGCAGCATTACCCCATCTAACATGCTATGGACTTGTACAGCTTCATACGGATCCCTGGCCCGATTCTCCGACGTGAAGCGTCTGCGTACTTTCGGCGATAAAGCAATTGTTGGTTTTGGCGGTGACGTTTCCGACATGCAATATCTCGACCGTCTACTCGCATCCATGGATATCAACGAGAACTACTCGCCCCGCGGCAACATGCTCAACGCCAAGAACCTGCACACCTACCTTGCAAAGGTCTTCTACAAACGACGCTCCGAGTTCAACCCGCTGTGGAACCACGTTCTCGTTGCAGGCTTCGACGGGGAGGGGGAGCCGTTCCTGAGCTCGGCGGATTTGCTGGGAACGACATTCTCGGCTCCTCACTTGGCTACGGGCTTTGGTGCTCATCTGGCGGTCCCGATCCTGCGTCGCAAGTTCCCCGAGGGTATGCCCCTTGAAGAGATCAGCCAGGAAGATGCCGTTCAGGCCTTGAAGGATTGCTTGAAGGTTCTGTTTTACCGCGATGCACGGAGTATCGATAAGTACTCGATAGCCGTGGTCACCAAGGATGGCATTGATCTGAAGGAGGATGAGCAGATTCAGGGTCAGAGCTGGGCCTTTGCCGAGAGGATCAAGGGGTACGGTGCCCAGACTGTTTAGATCCAATTATATCTTCTTTTTTTTTACATGTAATGCACACGGGGTCGATACAAAGATAGGGCTCAAATCCAATGACCAATGATCAATTGCGACCAAACTGTGCATTCAGTTATATACACCAAACTAAAACCCGTACCTACCGCGTGAGCCCTTTTGGACATTATATGGAGGTCCACAAAGAATCTAGTATCTACAGCTTGGAGGCAGGCTTCTCGAAGACGACCCTGTTAACACAGGACCCGACGCCTTCAAGCGCAACCTCGACCTCATCGCCATCCTTCAGCCACAAAGCAGGCTTGCGGCCCATGCCCACACCCTGGGGTCTATGAAATAATTAGTTCAGACTGAACTACCCATGTGTCTGCTCATCGGGGAATACTCACGTCCCAGTGAAGATCATATCTCCGGGCAACAGCGTAGTGCCCTGAGAAAGGAAGGCGATAGTCTTAGCCACACCAAAGATCATATCCTTCGTAGAAGAAGCCTGAACCGTCTTCCCATTCAACTTGGTCGAGATATTCAAAGCATTAGGATCCGCAATCACTTTGGGCGAAACAATGCCAGGACCGAAAGGCGCCCAACCATCGAAACCCTTACCCAAGCTCCACTGCCCACCACCCAACTTGATCTGCCAATCCCGGTGGGAGACATCGTTACCAACAGCATAGCCCAGGACATAATCCAGAGCCTTACTCTCGGGAACGTTACTCGCCTCCTTCCCGATAATGGCGACAAGCTCACACTCGTAATCCAGCCCTTCGAACTCCTGTGCGATCTTGGGCACAGGGATGTCATCTGTAGGCCCAGCAATGGAGGTGATGGGCTTGTAGAACAAAATCGGATACTTGGGAATGGGCATGTTGGACTCCTTGGCATGCTGCTCATAGTTCAGACCCAGGCAGCGGACTGTGCCGATGTCCTTGCGGGCTAGGGGCGAGAGGAGCATTCGAACATCTGCGACTTTGTCGGTGACCCGGTGCTGGCCGAAGATGTCGCCTTGAATGATCTTGGCTTTGGTGGTCTTGGCGATATCGCTCACTCCGGATGGGAGAAGAGCATCGCCGTAGTAGACTTGGCCATCTTTGGCCAGGAAGCGGATAAGACGCTATGAAAGAGATTAGTATATGTTTCACGCGATAGACCTATATCAATGCCATTCAATACTCACAGTGAAGGTAGCCATTGTGGATGTGAATGAAATATGGAGTATGGGGAAATGGGAAGTTCGGGGAACTCGATCTCTGGGCACTCTCGGCCGGTAAAGCCCCCGTGGAGTCGTGGACACTTTCCCCAGTTCAACCGGGAAACCGGAGCTACCTCATTTAGCTCCACCAATGATTCACATCTTTCCTTCACTTTGATAGCAATGGCGCGGCTTTCTGGTCTGCAGAGGGACGTCCTGTCTCTGTATCGGAAATGTCTCCGAGAGATCCGGAATAAACCTGAGGTAGGTGGAATCCCTTCATATCCGACGTTTCCTCTAATTGACGTGCTTCTAGGATGCGAGGATCAACTTCAAAAAATATGCTCGGTAGGTATTCAATTTGCCTGCCCTTTTTCCCTTTTGCTTTTGCTTTGTTTCCCCCGACGTCATCGTCTCTTAGTATTCCAGTTCGGCTGACATGGGCGCGTAGGTCGGAGTTTCAGAAGCATCTGGCTGTGAATAAGAAAGACTTTAGCGCCATCGAGTATCTTTTGCGCAAAGGCAATCGGCAGCTCGAGCTATATGCTGACCCGGGAATTCGCAATATCCGATGAGCGGACGGGCTAAAAATCCTTGCTCTTTGGACACCTGAAGGGCTTATCTTGTATGTCTTAGGCCTTTGGGATGAAGCATCTTATCTTCAAAATCTCACATTGAACAGGATCGGAGCTTCTCGATCGCTGACCTCTGGGGTATAGCCTGAGGGAGAGACAAACATTTACCTTCAAGGCGTGCCCATGTGGCTGACCTCTTGTGGCTTTAACTTTTCTCTTTGCTATCTGTAACATAGACACTCTGTATAAGTATAACTATCATAACTTGTAGTTGTTGGTCAATGTTGGATAATTGCCTACCATTAGTAATGACTCTATTGCAGGTGATTCTGGTCTATGTATTCTCTTTGAGTCGGCGATAGTTGACTCAGCGAGTCAGCAAGTCACAATGACCAATCTCACCTGAATTAGTGAGTAGTAGTAAATGTTCTACAATAATCTAGAAAGTGCATTTGTTACTGTGTAGATGATTCCATAATGAGGTGGTTGATTCTTAATGCTGCTAGCGGCTTGTGGACTGCGCCACAAGTTTCTGGATGTTTCCACCCGAAGTATAAGCAACCAACTCTAACCAGCAACATTAAGCAACAGAAAGAATATAAAATAGCAGACATAGCAGGCCAAAAGAACACAATTCAATCATCAGAAAGCATCTCTCAGATCTCAAGCCACTCAAGCCACTCAAGCCACTCAACCTATTTCAAACAAACCCTCTCTCAAACTCTCCATCAAAACCACCAACAATGGCCTTCTTCGCCCAACCCAGCCTCACCCCCCTCCTCCAACTCCTCAACGACTACGAGTCCACACCCCAGGAGACTCAGGAGTACTACAAGCCCCGCCGCAACAACACCAAATCCTCTCGCGGGTGCCCCAAGCTCCAAGCCCCTCCAGCCCCACGCTCCTTCATGCCCGCCTTCGACGTACGCGAACTCACAGACGCCTACTACCTAGACGGCGAGCTGCCAGGCGTGGACCAAAGCCAAATCGAGATTGAGTTCACCGACGCCCACACCCTCGTAATCAAGGGCCACACAGAGCGCAACTACAACAACGAGGACAACGCCACCCCATCCTCCAGCCGCAGCTCTTCTCCTGCAGGCTGGCACCAGCCCACTGTCGAAGACGAAGATGCAGAGTCCACTACCGGTAGCTCGGCCGGCAGTGTCGACACCGCTGCTTCGGGCCAGGCTCAGGCAGAGAAGGATGAGCCGCACTATTGGGCTGCGGAACGCTCCACTGGTGACTTCCAGCGCACTTTTAGCTTTACGGCGCGCGTGGATCAGGATAATGTCCGGGCGAGCTTGAAGAATGGGATTCTGTCCGTTGTTGTTCCTAAGGAGGCTACGCCTACGCCGAAGAAGATTCGCATTCTTTGATTCTTTGATTCTTTGATTATCTTTTCTCGTGGGATTTTTGATTTGCATTGGGATTGCGGGATGGGATTTGCCCTTTTGTTTCTATGCTGCATGCTTGTACTAGTTATGACGATCTGAATTTATAATGAATTGAAATTACGCATTTGATAGAACTTCTGGATCCCAGCTGTAGACAGGTAATATGCATCTGCATTATGATTGTCGTTGTAGACTAGACCGTAGGCCAGCCACACTGACCCTGCGTCTATAGAGCCCCCTTGCTTGACTCGGGAACCTTGCGATGTATAGTATATGGCATATCGTATATCGTTCACAGCCACACTTACACAGTAGGTACGGTGAAGATCTCACAGGAAGTAATAGCCGAAAGATGAGATCAGATTCCCTATCGGGAGTGGCATGCATTTGGGCTACACTAAATGTCCAGCTAAGTGAGACCCTGAAATGAAACAAAGACACCAGTTAGCATATGGTAAAAAAGGTAGCATATGGGAAAAAAAACACTAGCATATGGTAAGAAAAGACGCCCTGCACAGTCCTTGGATCTGTGGAAAATTGCTAATTCACGCCAATTCCAGTTCGAATGCCAAAAGGGTATACCTGACAACACTCCATATGCCCATAACTCCGTCAAACAGAACGCGGCACCATGAACTTTTGTAGACTCCATAAAAACAACATTAGACAGTATAGCAAAAGCAAGAGGAAAAAAGAGATAAAAACACACAAAAAAAGATGGGGTCATATGAACAAATCAGATTGGGGCCGCGATTTTGTCAACCTACGACGGCGGGGGTCGTTGCTCCGGCTTCGAGGCCGGCCTCGTATCGGTTCAGGTTCCAGCTCGACATCAAGGTCAAGGTCATCCTGCAAGTAACCCGGGGAGGTAATAGTGGGCAGTGGGGGAGCATCGACCCCCGGCTTCATGGTCCAGATGCGACTTCCCAGTCGACTTCTAGAGCGCGAGCGGTGAATCTCGCACTCTGCACGGAAACCATATTCAGAAGCGGACCTGCGAAGCCGCTCTTTGCTTTCCGTAACCGCCTGTTCGCATTTGAGATGTACCTCTGTCAGAGAAGAGGCCTCAGTTGACACAATGTCGGATGACCCCAATGATAGACGATCTCCATAGAACGGACCCCTAGTCAAGCCCTGCTGGTTCTGGCATGGTAGAGCGAGCCCGGCTGTGTAATCGACGCCGAGGATGGATTCGCGTGCGGGATACTCGGTGTACCGTGGTGCACACAGTGTTGACCGACGCGAGCGCAAAGGGGTGAGGGGACTCGGGTCGCTGGGATCGTACCAGCGAGTAGCAGATGGATATGGTCTCGAGTAGTTCTCCGGCGTTGACTGGAGGCTCAAATGACGTTGCACCTTGTCGCCTGGTCGGTTTGAAAGCGACCCGTTGGAGATGCTGGCGTTCTTTGAGCTGTCTGTAGCACATGAACCGGATGTTTGTGAGCCGGTGGAACTTTGGGTCCGGCTTCGCTGTATGGAGTGGACCGAGGTGGCAGAACTGTAGCCACTGTCGGACTTGTTGAGGGAATGAGACACGCTCCGGGCTAGATCGGCGTCCGGAACACCTTTCTCGAGCTGGATTCTGGTATCATCGCAGAGAACGATTCCTTCGTCGTCTGAATCCGGAGGGAACAAGGACTTGGTTCGAGATGGGGTGGCGAGGACGGGAGACTTCTCAAAGGAGAATGGACTGCCTGGGAGATCGTCGGATTTCTTCAGGTCGGGTAAGACTGGAATCTCCAGTGTGGAAGCCCTGCTGGGCCTCGTAACTTTCACCACGTCCACATTCTCAAGGCCAAGTCCGGGACCTGAAACGGAGGGCAAAGGAATACGCTCGCTCGGACATGGAGATGCCGAGCCATTGACAACACGCAAGGATCCTAGTTTGAGGGCCCCAAGCTGGGTGTAGCGGGCATCCGTCGGGCTCGTTGGTCGTGCTGGGGGTGGGAGCTGCAGCGTCGAAGGCAATGGCCAATGCAGAACAGTCGACTCGGTTGGATCCTCGATCGGGCATTCGGGTTCTCCAATTGGAGATGGAACGCGTCGAAGTGTGCTTGCTGTACGTCTTGTGGCAACTCCAGGTCGTGTTAAGAGCGATCGACGACGTGTTAGTGAAAACCGCTGGTTGCCAACCAAAAAGTGGGTGTTGGATGAGGTTGCGTCCCCGATATGGGTTTCATAGACAACGCTACTGTGCCTCTGTAACCCAACCCGAGTCGAACTGGCCCGTCTTAGTGGCTGTTCATAAATGGAAGATGCCGGGGAAGCTGGATCCCATCTTTCCGACTGGTAGGATGTCCTCCTCGAAGAGCTTGCCGTCAACACGGTTGGGCCAGACAGATGGCGCGGCGTGGAAATCTGATCAAACGTAAAAGCGCGCTCCTCAGCGGAAGTCTCTTCAGACGAGTCTGTCTCAAAAAGCGTTGGAGGGATTTCTGCTCTCTTGGGGTAACTGCCGCGTTTCTCCGCAGGTGTGGCAGGTATAGAGGCATTTTGCTGAACCCAAGGATTTTGCCATCCTATTAGCTCAGGGCTGGTCGTTGGATCTGTTTCAGGACGCTGAGAGCTTCGGTAGGCATTAAATTTCTTCGTCAGAGGCTTTGAAAGGCGATTGGAGCGGCGGATCTCATCTTTGGCTGCAGCAGATTGAGAGTTGCCCATGACGCTGAACCTCCAAATACAATGCAGGTAGATTCAAAAGCTCTGACTGAATTCAAGCATGCGCATGGAATATGGCCAGAATGATATACAATTTGGGGGTAAGGGCTTGGTGACAGGCTGGTGAGCACTGTCCCTCGCACAACAATGGGGTGACCTAGCTATGATCTTTCCAATGTTTAGATCGACTTCTCCTGATAAGATCGGACCCCGGACGGTTGACGTCAAGCCACGCCCTGATTGCCGGAGGATGCAATCCGGGCCCCAAGCTTGTGCAACGGCCGGGTTTGGAATTGAGCGATTGGAGGCTCAAGGGTTTCCCAAGAGACGGGAAATTAGGAGGAGGCCCGTGTTTCAAGTTGGGTGCGAGGTGAAAATCGGTTGGTCTGGAGCGATGGAAAGACGGGGGAGCTCGCTGGAATTGAGGTTACGTCAAATCCAATGATCTTGGAAGCCCCCGGCTCTTCTCCAGGTTAAGCAGGATTGTTCAGGAAGATCTCGATTTCACGGGATGAGGTGCCAGACCCAGGGGTAGATCAACGAGACAGTTGGATCGACATCAAAGATTATAGACAAAACAAAACAAGACAAAAAAAAAGAAGCCCCAAAGTAAGAAATTTGCGGGGATATTGCTACAGTAGTGAAGAAGGGGGAAACACACGATATACATAAGAAAGTGGAGAGCAGGAACAGACAAACGAAGTATATGCAAATAAACGGCTAGAAACAAAAGAACAAGACGCAACCGTTCTCGCCACAATTCCTGAATCCACTTCCAACAGCTCCATCGAAACCTCAGAGTCTGCATGCAGAACAAGGAAGAACAAGAAAAACATCACGCGGGACAGGGGGAGGAGGGTACCGCCTTACCGCCTCCCTTCTGCCGCAACCGGGAAGGTACTGAGTACTTCATCAAACTATGCTACAACATACATTATTTAGGTACCAGATACTTCTCCCCACAATTGGTATCCCTACAACTCCATTGTTTCCTCTCCACCTAAACAACTTCTCTCTCTATATCCGGACCACCGCAATCGTCCACAGGTCATTTTACCCCATTACATTACAACCATTGTGGATTTTATTTTATTTTGTTTTGTCATTGTTTCCTTTGACGCGTGTACAGTGACAGTTTCAAGGTCAAGTGCTCTCTGTTGCGAAACCCGTACCCCGGCCACACCGCATCGACAGCTGAGCCTTCTGCAACCGGCAGTTAGTGTACTGTAGTTGACAGTCCCCGGCCCCCCCGCCTAGGCCCCAGCCGCATGGCGTATTGCTCTACATTTCCTTTTCTGGCGCAATCGGAGTTCGTGAATGCATGTCAAGCTCTGGTTGATCAATGCACTTCGGCCCAAGATATTGGCTGGTCCGCCATTCGACTGCTCACAAAGGTATCCCTTTCTTTATCGTGCATGAACCCTGAAATCTTAAGTTTATGCTTTTATATCTGGTTCCTAGGATTTTATTTCCGAGAATGAAGACTAATGCGATGGCTTGAACGAAACTAGCCAGATGGAACTGGCCTCAGAATAACAAAAATTGTCGATGTCCCCAACCCATTAGAAGCCACGTCGTTGGCCGAGCTTGAAGATTCACAGGAAGACGAGGATCCGGTCTGCAGACTTCTAGCCCCTCGAGGGACGTGTCCACTGGTCCTGACCCTTCACCGCAGGAAGCTCTCGTTCGTCCCAACCTCCAAACCAGCTTACAGATCGACTATGACATCTTGCTATCCCCCACATATCAGGTCCCTGTCTTGTACTTCAGCCCGAGGTGGCACAGCCACGGCCCACTCGGACTAGACGAGGTCTACCAGTATGTCGTGCCGGAACAGTACAGGCAGCAATTGAAGAGTGTGGGGGTAATCGGTGGGATTAGTATGGGCGTAGGTGCATCTCTCAGACCCTCGTGACAAGAGCTCATGTCTTCTTTTTTTCTTCTTTCTCGTAGTACCATCCTGACACTGGTGCCCCGGCGTTTTTCGTCCACCCGTGTAACACCGCGGAAGCCATGGCGCGTATTGCTGGAACACAGAGCGTCGCCCCCAGCTCATACCTTCTCATCTGGCTCGGCGTGGTAGGTCATTGCGTGAACCTGCACGTACCACGCGAGTTTTTTGCTTAACACAGTACCAGCCCATGTTTGTGCATATGCTGGAAAGCCGAGAAATGAGAAAATTTCAGTGAGGACTTCAAGGCTTCTCTCACTCCCCACCAGTAGTGTCATTGAAATCTACTCCTCGTCGGAGGAAGCCTCCATAGGTACGTCGCTATCCTCGTCCATGGGCGCTTCCTCGTCACTTTCTTCACGGGTTCGCTTCACACCGTGGCCCTCCGCACCGGTATCGGCTGCGGGTCGTGCGGGGAGTGCACCCGGAGGGCCACTGAAGATAGACTTTTGGAGATCTGTCGACACTGGAGCTGGGCCAGCATCAACTGGCGCAACGTATGTCCCGCGTAGCTTAGCAATGACGTGTGACGACCCTTTTGCATAGACGATTTTCTACATATCCATTGTTTGAGCAAGCGTTGCCGAGAAAGGAGGGCAATGTGCACGTACCATTTGTTTCCCAAAGAACTCAAATCCTTGTAAAGCCCGCATCGCCTGCGTACTGGCTTGGACATCCTTGAACACGATATGAGCCTGGCCTCGCATCTTTTCGGTTTTCATGGCTACGACGTCGAGAACGGTTCCGTATGTGGAGAACAGGGCGTAAAGTGAGGTCCGCAAATCATGTTTCGTAATCTTCTTGTCGGGCAGATTCGTGCAGTAAAGCCTGGGAAGTTTTAGCGACGATCCGCGACAGTCAATTGCACCCAGAAAGGAAAGCTCACGTCTGGTTAGGAGCACCAGTAGAAATGGCCTTGCTGTCAGTGCCTCCACGGGCTGGCAGTGATTTGGTAGCCATTACTTAGATTGTTAGATTGTGAGCGACGTGGAATAAGCGGTCTTGGGGTTGGCAAGGGATAGTTGTCGCGGTGTGTGGGAATATGAAGCTCAATCGCGGTGTCGATAGCATCTCAAAACCTCGACACGAAAGTAGCTTGAGGTCATGTGATGGTCTTACTCAGCACAGCAACCCCCGTCATCGCGGGCCAGCTCCCCTCAATTCCGCAATGAACCAAGTACACAACGACGGTAGAGAGATCCTCCTGTCGTTTTAGTTTTCAATATGGCCGCTCCTCAGGTTCACCACCTCTTTCATGCCCCAATTGCAGACCACTCCTTTTCCTCCGACAAGAAGACACTTGCTGTCGCTCGGGAGAACAATGTGGAGCTGTATCAACAATCAGGCAACAAGTTCACGCTGAGCGATGAACTCAAGGGCCACGAGAAGCTCGTAACCAGTGTCGATATTGCTCCCAACAGTGGCCGAATTGTTACTTGCTCGCAAGGTATGATTTGGCATTGGTATTTCTCTACCATGTATTCTCTCTGACAGCTGTCCGCTCTATAGACCGCAATGCCTACGTTTGGGAGCAGACCCCCACTGGATGGAAGCCCACGCTGGTCCTCCTCCGAATAAACCGTGCAGCGACCTTCGTGCGCTGGTCTCCTTCGGAGCAGAAGTTCGCTGTTGGCTCTGGCGCTCGCGTGATCGCTGTCTGCTACTTCGAGGAGGAGAACGACTGGTGGATTTCCAAGCACCTGAAGAAGCCCATTCGCAGTACCATTACAACTCTGGCATGGCACCCGAATTCCGTTCTGCTGGCAGCCGGATCGACCGATTCCCACGCGCGAGTGTTCTCAAGCTTCATCAAGGGCATTGACGCCCGCCCGGAGCCTAGTGCATGGGGAGAGCGTCTCCCCTTCAACACTATTTGCGGCGAATATCTGAATGATACTGCAGGTTGGATCCAGGGAATTGCCTTCTCGCCCAGTGGCAACGTCCTCGCATTCACTGGACATGACAGCAGTGTGACCGTCGTCTACCCCAGCGCTCCGGAGCAGCCCCCGCGCGCGATGTTGAACATCGCTACCCGCCTGCTGCCGCTTAACAGTCTCATCTGGAATGGCGAAACCGAGATTATTGCGGCTGGACATGTGAGTCTTATTCTGTTTTATAGTAATTCATTGTCTTGCGCTAACCTCATGTAGGATTGTGAGCCCTTCCGTTTCCGCGGCGACGAGAATGGCTGGCAACTCGCCGGTTCTTTGGAGAAGAAGGCTGGTGAAGTCGGCGGAGCCCGCGAGGAGTCTGCTTTGAATATGTTCCGGCAGATGGACCTGAAGGGCCAGGCCCAGGCAGATACCAAGCTCAAGTCTACTCACCAGAACACCGTTCACACCATCCGAGCCCACGAGGAAGCCGGTGGAGTTGTGAAGTCTTTCAGCAGTAAGATCATCCTCTTAGCATTTTGAAATCACGAGAAACTAACATATCGTTATAGCGAGCGGTGTCGACGGTCGTGTTGTCATTTGGTCCGCCTGATTGGGACTACCCTTCACTGCTGACTCTATCCGATGACCAGCCTGCATATAGTATTTGAACAGATTTTTTTGAGTAACTTCAGTCCCTCGCGACAGTTCATAATGCAATATTGGTAATTCCCGTGTGTCTAGAGGCTAGATAACATCGCCTGATCTCTCATTCCAAGGGAGACGCCATCAACAAGCATGTCGGTGAGGACTTGACGTCGGGTTGATTCACTCTATGATAGACTGTCATGATTATCTTTTGGCTTATAACGAAGGGTCCGACGGCGACTAATACGCAGTAGACGGCTAGACTACCTGGAATACGTGTAAGGATCATTTCTATAACAACCTGAAAGTATCTCCCGTCATAGCAAAAAGAGATCTACGATCGTCCAATGAGGAAAGAGATCAATGACATAATTAAAGTTACCCCGGATTTCAGTCACGGGCATCTCCACATCACACGGCCTTGTTTCCTCCTCTTCTCTCATTCTTTCTTTTCTCTAGAGATGAACCTCCACATTCCTTTATACCGAAGCTAGCATGTCCAGTCATGACTAGTATCTTCCTCATTCTTTTACTTTTATACACCCATTTCCTGAGGCCTACAATAGCCCAGAATGAAACAAACCATGTCTCCACCAATCTATTCACCTCCCTAGAAGAGTTATCCCGCCTCGTGGACATTTCCTACTGCGTCGGCACAACAGGAGTCCAAAAGCCCTTCGAATGTCTAAGTCGATGCATCGAATTCCCAGACCTGGAACTAGTAACCGTAAGCACCACCTTCCGTCCCATCCATCCCATCAAAAACCAAACCCACGAATAAGCGAATAAACTAACATCCACAGACCTGGAACACAGGAATCCTCCTCTCCGACTCCTGCGGCTACATAGCTCTCTCCCACTTCCCCTCCCGGAAACGAATAATAATAGCCTTCCGCGGCACCTACTCAATAACAAATACAATAATCGACCTATCCGCGATACCGCAAGCCTACATCCCCTACACCGGCGACGAAGACGCAAATCCCCAAGATCCCCAAGATCTAAACCCCACCACATCCCCACGATGTAAGAACTGCACCGTCCACGCAGGCTTCCTAAGCTCCTGGCTCAACACGCGTAAAACCATCCTCCCCCACCTCACAGCCATACGTCAAAAGCACCCAGACTACGAAATCACGCTGGTCGGCCACTCTCTCGGCGGCGCAGTCGCAGCCCTCGCAGCCCTTGAAATGCGCTTAAAAGGCTTTGATCCGCTCGTCACAACGTTCGGCGAACCGATGGTGGGAAATGAAGCATTCGTGGCCTTCTTCAATGAACAGTTCGGACTGCTCGACGGTGTCGCGGTCGATAGTGGACGGTTCCGGCGCGTCACGCATGTCGATGATCCGGTTCCTCTGCTCCCGTTGCGGGAGTGGGGGTATGCGGCTCATGCGGGTGAGATTTTTATTGAGAAGGCTGGGTTGCCGCCTGAGTTGGAGGATGTGCGGTTGTGTAAAGGGGATTACGATCCTGGGTGTATTGCTGGAAAGGGGGCTGGGGAGGGTTTGAGGGGGTTGTTACGTGATTTAGGGGTTTCTGGGGCTTTTGGGATGGAGGGGTGTCGAGAGTCTGGTGGGAAGTCTGGGGATGGGGGACAGGTTGTTTTGGAGGATGGTAGGGATGTTGCTGGGTGTGGTATGGGAGATGGAGATAGGGAGGATGGATTGGAGCTTGTTAGGTTGAATTGGTCGCTTATACCGGCGAGATATCGGCTTTGGGAGCTGTTTTATGCTCATCGTGATTATTTCTGGCGGATTGGGCTTTGTGTACCTGGAGGGGATCCAACTGGATAGACGAAATGTTTTCATTGCTGGCGTTGGCTGGGTCTTTAGGTTAGGGTTGACATGTTTTTTTTTTTCAGTGGATACCCCGAGTGATAGTTTCAGGTCTTAACTATGCAACCTTTGGTCTTCGAGACGTCTAGTACTTTACATCTCTACCTGTAACCCTAAAGCTAGGCAACATTCCATAAAGCTCGTCAGAACAGCAGATAGTTTCGTCTCATTATCACAAACAAGACATGTACAGGCCAGAAGACCAAAAAGAAACCAACATTGAAATGAATATCAACACGCCAAATTCAATATCAAACAAAAACAAATAAAAGATATGCAAGAAACCCCCAATCTCCTCAACTTCACCCTCACGGCTATAGCCTATCCCAATCTACCTCCCATGCTCCAAACAAGGCACAATAACCGGCCCAAACTTAACAACACTCCCCTGCTGCCCCTCGCCCTGCACCATAAAATCCGCCGCCAAACTCAACTTACTATGCCCACCGGGCGTAACCTGGCCATAGGCATTAATAGCACTAATAGCCTCGGGATCGTAAGCCACAATAGCAACATAGTTGCGTCTCGCCATAAGCTTGCGATACTCGCGCGCCTGCCCGTTAACATCCGTCTGGAAGATCTCCATCATATCCTCCTTGGTGTCGCTGGGCTGGGCGGAGGATCTGTGCCCGTTGGCGGGCACGTACAGGGGCTTGCTGTGGCTGTGCAGGAGTTTGACTATGTACGAGGGGGGAGGGGTGTTGACGACGGAGGAGGAGATTAGTTGGTACATTGTTTTGTGGTCGGTGGGGTTTGAGGGGTCGTGGACTAGACCGGCGCCGCAGAGGTTGACGGCGCCGGAGAGGAAGGTCATGCGGAGGGATTTTTGGTGGGAGATTCCTTGGAGGGTGCGGATTAGGTATGTTCTTTCCAGGTCCTGGTTTGGGAATTAGTAAAGGTAAAGATGGTAGGATAAGGAATAGACGGGGGTAGGGGTATTACCTTTGACTCGTGCGTCCATTGGTCGCGTAGCTCATCCATGGAGCTGAACTCGCCGAATGGACTTAAGATTCCACCCATTAATCCAGATTTGCCTACAGCTCGCTTAACAGAGTCAAAGCCAGAGCCGACAAAGTCTTTGGCACCTACGACTCCAGCTACAGAACTGGTAACCTTGCCTAGGACATTGTAAGCGCCAGTCACGGCGCGCTTCCCCGTTGCCACGGTTTGGACGATGTGCTCGGCTGTTTCCAGACGGGGGTAGATGAGCGGTACGGCAACCATCCAGAGACAGTGTTGGACGCTGGGTGGGAGCATTGCAATCTTCGGGAAGAGACCTTGGTAGGTTGGACCGGCCATGACCTGGTGCGGGTTCCGTTCTGAGCGGCAGTCGGGCCCGACGACGACTACGCCTGGACCTAAGTATTTGACGAAGTGCCAGCCTGTGCCGGTGATTGTGAAGAGGTCTGTGTCGTTGTTCACGTTGCGGAGGATGTCGAGGGTTGTGTGGTGCTGGAAGAGGAGGTACATCTCGATACCGATGCGGCCGATGTTCTTGAACATGTTTGAGAATTGCATGTGGTCGGGATACGAACCGAACCCATCGAAGCTACATCGGCATCTATTAGCAAGACTGGGTGAATGTTTGCAGGGTCGACTTAGAAGACTCACATGTCATGATCATCGATCTGGCAGACATAAGGGATCTGTGCAAAGGACTCCCTGATGTGGGGTTGGTCGAAGTGGCTGGTGTAGTAATGGAAGTATGCGTGGGAAACATCCTGCTGGTTAGCTGCCGTCCAAGGAGCGTTCTTTCGAGCCTCCTTCCCGCTGATCGTCAACCACTGCTTGAGCGATGGAATCTCCTTCCACATGCGGTCTGCATAGATCTGGCCACCCAGACATAATTGGGCGTGGAAGCCTCCAATTTCATTATGCTTTTGCATTATATCCTTCCACATGTAGCCGACACCGCCAACACGAGCCCGCTCGTTAGCATTGACGTTGAGCGAGAAGTCATTTCCAGAGGTAGCGATGAACCGCCAGTTGGTCTCGTGTCGGCCAGCGACGAGGAACTCGTAACGAGTGCAGCCAAGGTGTGAAGTGATGGCGTAGGTCCATTTGGCAGGGCCCGCGTCGTCCATCTGCAGGTCAATCTCGTACTTGTAGAATGTCCAGCGCTGATGGGCTGCAATGTCAATTGCCTTCAACTGCCTTGGGTTGGGAGACAAGTCCACACTCTGGTGCATGTGAATGGTGGGTGGCTGGGCGGCATCTGTCACGAGCAGGATGGATCCCATCCAGATGCCCCGCTCGAGATCCATATTGGTATAGCGCAGGTAAGGACCAAAGTAAACACCATTGGTTGGAGTGGTTTTGTATAGATCCATTCCACTACTCGGAGGAGGTCCAGAGAAGCCAGAGACTATAGGTGACTGGAGGCTTTCGAATCCAGGGGTCAAAGGCACACCCGGGGATGCAAGTGGCTTTCCAAAGGCTGAGAGTCCTGGAGAACTCAGTGGATGGGCGCTGTACACACTGTTCACTGGAGACAAGGGGGTGTCGTTGAGGTTTAGTGGAGTAGGTCCTTTCGGGAACTCCCACTGAGTCGACTGCGTAGGTAGGTGGATATAATAGTACTGTCCGGAGCTCGGGTCCATGTGTGCAATCCATCCTTCGGGGAGAGGAGGTGGAGATGCCGGAGTTGCCCCAGAGGGCCCGGGAGAAGTCACCTGAATGGTCTGCTGGTGGAAACCGGACAAGTCACTGGCATTCGCAGTAGAGGCCTGTAGGGATTGCCCCATTTGCTGCTGCCTCGGGTCATTTGCGAAGGCAGGATGGTCCTGTGCCGAGGCTGCCGGTGCAGGGGAAGGTGAGTTGACAGCAGGAGGGGGTTGATTCGCAAGGGCTGGGTGCGCCATTGCGGCAGCTCCAGCAGGGGTTGGCTTCTCAGTGGGATATCTATTCGAAGGGGATGGACCGGATACACTCGAGTAGGCGGGCGGGGGAGAGGAGCTGAGACGCATCCGCTCCATGTCTTGTTCCAACGCGCTCGGACCAACTCTCCCAGGCTGTTCGTGCTGCTGCTGCTGTTGGGGCTGCGGTACAGCGGCAGGGTGGGCCTGGGACGGAGAACCACTGTATTGGCTTGGATGAGCCTGGAGTGGTGGGGTACCATATTGGCCAGGATGAACCTGGGGCGGCGGGCTACCATACTGCCCAGGGTGAACCTGAGGTGGCGGACTGCTGTATTGACCAGGGTGCACCTGAGGTGGCGGGCTACCATATTGCCCAGGATGCGAAGCCGAAGGTTGGTTATTGGAGCCGACTACCTCACCACCCTGATAGACCGTAGGAGGACCATGAGGCTGAGAGCCAGGCTGCTCCGTAGGCGTCCACGGCCGCTGCTGCTGCTGCTGCTGCGGAGGCTGCTGGAAAGCCGTCGGATGCTGGCCCGAGTATTGCTCGGCGCGTCTCTGCGCCGCAACATTATGCGATTGGATTCCCTGCAAGGTTCCAGTGCCAGCAATACCAGCCGCAGCATATCTAGCCTCAATATCAGAACCAGGCTGCTGGCCGGGTCCAACGATGGGAGTTTCCGGCGGCGGGGGCGAGCCACGCTGAGCGCGGGTAGTGGAAGTGGAACTGATACGGCTGAGCGGGCCCTGTGGGGCCTGGAGACTGGACGGGGGCCGGGCCGCAGAGGTCGAACTTTGGCGTTGGGGAGGCGGGTAGTATTGCTGACGATAATCATATTGATTTGTCTCTGTGGGAGCAGCCTCTGGGGGGCCCGGGACTGGACCTGTCGGCGGACGAGGATATTGTCTAGCAGCTAATGCGTCGCGATCTGGTGCGTCCGGACCGGGCGATTCGGGTAGCGGCTTAGGGGCAGCACCTCTGCGCTCGGCTAACGTTGCGACTCGGGGTTCGCGCCCGTCTCGCGGCCGGAGCACAGGTGGGTATTCATTTGGACTGATAGAGCCGGAGCCAGGACCAGCTGGCGGAGACCCGTATCTGATGTTGTCGTTGTATCGGTCGTTGGGGTTTGAAGTGCGTATCTGGGGATGTTGACGGTCGTCGGGGTAGGGCAGCGGGCCGTTTGGTGGGGGACTGGAGCCTGCGGCCGATGCTGGCGATGACGAGTCCCGTTTGTTGATGCGCAGAGGGCCGATAACTGGCGATTCTTGTCGGCCAGGGCCGTCGCCGAGGAATAGCTCCTCCGGGTGAAGGGCGCGACTGCTGCCAGCACTCATGGCACCGACTACGGAAATTGGGGCTGTTGGTTGAAGCTGCAGAAGACAGAATTCGGCTGCAGAGTATGTTCAAGGTACCAATCACGGGAGATAAGCGCGATGATCGTTGGAAGTTTCGCGGATGAGGGGCAGGTGAATGCGGGGGTGGGAATGGAAGAATCTTTTCATCTATTCATAGACATGGATTGATTTACGTCCGTTTTAGGGATGTGAGAGTCTGAAGTGAAAAAGAAAAGATACGAAGAAACGATCAGGAGATCTATTTTCAGGAGTTGAAGGCGCCAAGTTGGCGAGACGCCGACCCCGCAGGTGACGAGAATGATCACAATTTCTGCCTTGGGGCCTGGATTTATAGGAGACTTAGGAGTTACTTAAATACACCATCCAATTAGGCATCAAGTAGGAGTAAACGCGTGTATTGTTTACATTTTGCCAATTCCAACCAACGGCCCGGGCATTTCCATGGATCCAAGAAAGAGGTTCCAAACATTCGTTTCTATACATACAACCCGTATACATCGTCAATCATGCAGGTGCTAACATAAACCAAAACGAGAAAAAAACAAAAAAAAAAACCAAATATGCCCACCCTCATATGCGCCCATGCTTTAGAAGAATCAAAATCTCACCAACTCCACTGACCACTGCAATAATAGCAGTCCAATCAAAACCCGAAATTGACCATCTGAAGACCCTCCTGAGCCATGAGATCAGACCAATCAACATCAGAAGTACGACCCACACGCATGAGTCGCTCCAACTGTCGCTCGTAGACAACCTGCAGAATAGCACGTGTCGTTGCAGTATTACGGCCCAACCCGTCTTCCTCGTCTTCCATGCTCGTCATCAATTCCATAGCCATCATTTTCAGTCCGCTGGCTGACGCCGTAGCACCTGCCAGGAACAACGGGAACACTAGGAAATGTCGATCGGCCCGGCGGGTGTGTGCGGTGCGCTCGGCCAAGCGCAGGATCTCGGTTGCGTGGTGGTCGATTTCTCCATCTTGGGAGAACTCGGACTCGCCGCGTTGCCCGGGCCACATGCTGCTGTAGGAGAAGAGTTGACAGGCGTGGTATAATGTCGCTGACTGGAAGGGGGTTAGCTTGTGCGATAGATCAGGGGAATGAGAAAGGAAAGGGAAAAAAACACTGACCTGCTGCATGATTTCCCGAGACCGCCGAGGGAGACTGTCCTGGTGTTGATGCAAGAAGGCAACATCGGGAGACTCCCACAACGGCCCGAACGCCTGACGCAGGTCATATAACTCTTGTAATCTCTGACTGAACTCTTCGTATGGTAGGTTCTGTTTATCGTGGCGGAGTCGTATAGCCAAGAGGCCGAGTTGAGCGGCCAGTCGGAATGTGTCGTGGTATAAGCGCATGATGACCGGTAAGCTCTCGTGCTCGTCGGGGTAGATCACACTGTAGCCTTCTGGAGCAGAGGGATAGAGAAGACTTCCAGACCCAGGGAGCATCTGATGTTCGATGACAGCCTGTACGAACTCGCCCGTTCCTGCGCCACTGAACAAAGCGTACAAGTCGATGTGGCACACCCACCAGAGGATGAATGGGTGGGGTTCCCGGCCATACTTGGCCCGGCGAAGGAATGCGATGTGAAGGAGTCGAGAGATGTGGTGAGACCAGAGGTTTGAGCCATGTGGCTCAGCAGCGGCGACCTGAGGGAGGTTAGTACGTAGGCCAGAGAAGCTCAAACTATGAACCTTTACCTCATAGATCAGAAGCAGGAAGTGGGTGAGAAATAGCCCGTCGGACACGAGATCGTCGTTGTTCCGTAGGCTGACTTGAAGTGAAGGGAAAGCTTGCTGATAGTATTGTAGCGCATCGACATTGTGACCTGTGCCGCTGTGCGAGAGACTAAGGGCGGATACAGCCATCATAGCATGGGAAAGCTGGGAAGGTGGATTAGCACAAATATGAATCAATTGAGGATTGGCACTTACAGGAGGGAAATGGATGGCTTCCTGCTCCAAGAAGTCCATGCTGAGTGTCATGAAATGGCTATCAGATCCAGACGAATCATCCAATCGATGGTCGTGAGGGAACAACTGCCTCCACACCACATGACGGAAGTGGGAAAAGAGCTTAGAATCTTGGCTTTGCTGATCAAGACGCGGATCCAGGAAGGTCATCGGCTCTAATTTGACATCTGGCGAAGGAAGCGCAGTGAAGCCCGGGGAGAGGGACAAGTTGCCGAATGGATCTGAAATCTCGGAGGTCGGAGAGATCCTCGACAGCTTCCCGGTGGAAGATGAGCGCCGATTGACATCCTCGAAGGTCTTCAGAATCACCACGTTCGGATCCTCTGTTACACTGCGCTCGCTATTAGGTGCACCGGGGCTATTGGTTGCAGAGATCCTACACTCGCTGGCGGGCTTTGATCTAGATCTCTCGGTATCATCTGCATATTCTGGCAGTGAGGAGAAACTGTCGGGCGTCATAACGACATGGTACGTGCCGGGACTAACCGCCTCGGCTTTCCTTTCCCGCTCCTCGTCCGAGGTAAGCAAGGAAAAGGGCGGCAGGGGGTCGGCGAGAGAGAAATATTCGGATCTCTCGTCATTGGAACTCGGCGAGGTAACTACGTTAGAGTTAGTACTATGAATTGGCCCTAAATCTCAGAAAGATACGTATGCTTACGATCCCAAACGACATGGCCGTTTGTCTTGACATCGGCCATTCGGCCCATGATACGAGGCGTGTCATCGCGAAAGGCCAGCCGTGGGCGGTAATCGCAAGTATGGCCTAGACGTGTACATTGCTAGAGAAAGCGTCAGTGTGTGGAAATGAGTATGATGCAAGGAATGCATACATTGCATTGCGGATGTCCTTCATCACATTTGACTAGAGAATGTATTGTCAGCCACGGGAATTGAAGCGGCAATTGTCAAGTCCACTTACCCTTTCGACTCTGCCAAAAGAAAAAAAAAAGTCAATTAGCTCAACTGAGGTTCGAAATCCATCAGGGGGAACACAAAGAAACTCACTCGACATGTCCTAGAACAATGCGTGAGCTTAGATCCAAATCGGAATTTTATAGAGACGATCATAGAGACGATCACTTACCAGCAACCAGTGCGAGACCGCGGAGGTAGGCGGATGCGCGGTGGAGCAACTAACGTCTTTTCGGATTTGGCAAAAGCGTCTGCAAAAAGATCTTCCTTGGGAGCGATGATGGGCAATCGCAATGGAGGTTTCCCAGAGGCTTTGCTCCTTCGGTTTTGCATTACAAGACTGGTTACGGTCATAAGGGCCGATGCTGTTGGAAGGTCAGCGATTGACGGAGGAAAAGGGAGTGACACACTTACCGACGATATAGATTATAGTCTAATGAGGTCTAAGAAGAGAAGAAATGAAGAGAGCGGGAGAGGCAAAATAAAGGGTAAATAAGGAATGAGGTGATTACAGTGGGGAAAAGACTGTTGTGTTCATAGAAAAATGCCAATCTGCAGTGAAGGCAGATGGTTCATGGCGCAGCTCTTGACGGGTGGCGGAAAAAAAAATTGAAGGAATGCAGGTAAATAATAATAGTTTAATCAATATCGAGAGCAGTCAAGACTCAAGACCGAGAACGAGCTAGAGAAAGACTAGGGACTAGGACTCACTAGAGAGTGCAATACTATACAATCCCATTCAGGGCAGAGGAAGTGAATGGAGCTAGAAGGAACAAAAGCAACCCAAAAATACTAAAAGTACTAAAAATACTAGAAAATACCAAAAAAAAGGGAAAGGAAACCAAACAGGACAAAGGATGGAGATAAAAATAAATAGAAATGCCCGAGATGGCACGCAGATGCCAACCATGTGGGAGAAAAAAAGAAAATAAAAAGAGTAGGTTAGTGTACTGTTTACGGAGTACTAGTAGATTGTGATCAGTCCTGATCAAAAGAAGAGGCTATCCCCGGGAGACTAAGGGGAACTAGGGGAAGGGAAAACCAAAGATAGCTCGGTGAAGAGGAGAACGAGTCAAGGGGCTGAAGCGTCAATAGGAAGAGGAAAAAAAACAAGGCCTTTTATCGGAGCCGAGGAATGTTTTAGGTGTCTGGGGAAAAGGAAGGAAGGAAAAAGAGAGTCTCGATCGGCCCGGGCCCCCGGTCTGGATCAACCAGAAGCGAAGAGATCACAGTTTAACCCTCCGCATTCCCACGGACATGGCCGAGGATTAAGCGAGTGGCGTGAGACAACTTTCAAGGCAGGGCTGGCAGGCTATCGAATTCCAGCTGTTTAGTGTTTACCCTGAAGCTTTTCACTTGGTCCGATTGGCTCGATTTCGAATCGTATCTGCATAATACGTTGAACTTAATACACAGTAGGCTATAGAGACTAGAGCTAGAAAAATGAAAAATAATTCATAAAAAATACACTCATGATTCATGATCGACCCCAGACAGTTGCCGGGGGTCGATCAACCACGTGGAATTCTTAATTCGGGAGTGTCAGGGCCTCATCTAGCACACGTTGAACCGCTTGCGATCGTTCACTGGCTCTCCACTCTCGCACACTCGTCAGAAGTGAGTCAGGCACACCCGCTTGGGCATGCGGACACAGTTTCAGGTACGCCAGAATTGCCTCTGCGCGACCCTTGCGGATAGATTCGACAGACCCATCCAGCTCATTTGTGAGAATCTTGTCTGCGAGAGCAGTCAACGCGCTTCCGACTTGTTCACCGGAGGCATCCGGTGAAACGCTCCACTGATCCACTCGGGTAAAGAACGCCCGGAGCTCTTCGTAGCCCGTGCTGACGACCTGTCGTCCACCGTGCTGGAAAACCTGCGCCAACGGACCAGTCATCTGTTCTACGTATCCTCCCAGCGCTGTGGTTAGTGTTAGCAAGGCATGACGCTAGGGGGGTTTCCCGCGGGGCACTCTCGGCATTTGGGAGGGCGTTGATGGACTGACCTTGGTTCGAGTCGGTGGGGTTGAAACATTGCAGGAGGCATTGGACACATGCGGTAAGGGTGTCGTCCTGGATCGAGCCGGGCCCATTTTTGGAATCTATCTCCATCTTGTCTTCGTCTTCTCCCACCATTTCGTCAACCACACCAGGAATAACATTCAATGCGTCCGGCATGAAGTTAAGGTCCTGGCGTACCTGCGCGATCTCGCCCATGGCTCGTAATCCATGTGGCCGGTACAGCGCGTTAGCTCGCTTCGCTTCGCGAACCGTAATCGTCTGACATGCGTTAGCATCATTTCCATAGCTTATCTGCGTCAACGACTCCTCGTAATATAATAATCATCATCCCCAAACACTAGGATCATAATGGGAAAAAGTGGCGGGGATATCAGCCCACACTTACCTTCAGCAGGTTACGCAACTCCGGCTTGGCTTGCCACAGCTTCTGAGCTTGGCTACTAAATTTCACTAGTGCCTTCAGCACCACTTCTTTCCCATCCCAGGTCTTCCCCGCCAGGGCGCGCTCCAATACCGGCCAAACCAATTCAGCCGTCGCGAGGTCAATCTCTGCGTCCAGTGACAGCACTGCTCGCGCGATTGCCCGTGCGGCCGTGTGCTTGATAGCCCAGCGAGGAGAGTCCAAATTGTCCGAAACAAGACCCACTATCTCGCGGATGTACATCGTCACAGCACGCGAACCACCGACGTTATCTTGCCACGTTTTCTCAAACTGCTCTCTCACGTGTTCGTCGCCATCGTGCTTACAGACAAACACAAATGGCAAGGCGCTTGTCGCAAATGCCATAAACCGGTCGTTGGACAGTTTGGACGCCGAGTACAGGATCTCCCCAGAGATCACCCGCGGCGTGGCATCTTCGGCTGTCAGATAAAGATTCTTGGCAAAATCAAGGGTCTTGAGGACCCGATCGTCCGACGCCAGCCGCAGCAGATAGCCCATGGATGAACAGTAGGAAGCGCTGACAGTCTCGTTTCGGTCCACCACGTACTTGGTAAGGATTTGGATGAATCGATCTGCGTACGGACGGAAGACCAGGGTTTTCATGCTGAGCAGCGCCAGAACGCGACTGCAGCCTACCTTCGATGGCAGGCCTACGGCCGACCGCAGCACATCTTCAAGTCTCTGGGCTAGTTCGTCAAGGTTGCTTTCATCCAAGTTATCGATCAAATACCGCTCAATGACCTCCATCATGGGAGATGAGCGGATGCTGGACAGGCGCATTTTGTCAATCTCTTGACCGGTGAGACCGTATTTGTCGGCATTAAGGTGGACGTAGTTGACAGCCTGGGGCTCCAAGGAGCTGAGAGCACTGAGGAACTTCTCCAGCATATTGGGAACATGTGGGCGGAGCAAGCTGCCAGGGCTCTTTTTGATCATGGAGATAAGAGCGCCAATGGCATACCCTTGTACTTCTTCCACACTCGAGTCCAACCCCTTATCGCTCAGAAGGAATGGAATAGCACTTTGAAGTAGAGTGCCTGCGCGTTTCTCCGTGCCACTTGTCTCGAGTGTGCGGATGACCGAATTGGTGATGGTTTGGCACAGCTTCAAAGCAGCGGTGCGGACAGACTCCTTAATATCGTCCAGTAGCTTGAAGGCTTTGCTGTAGATCTCGTCCAGGTATTGGGAGTATTTCTCTGGACGGCGACCATGAATCAAGTCTGCTACGGCAGCGCAACTCGCTTGCCGAACACGCCATTCCCGGCCCGCTAGGATACTCTTGAGCAGATCCTGCATGATATCGTCAAAGTGTGTATCGACCACAACAGTCGGATCCTTGACGAGGGCTTGCCAGATAGTGTTCATGGACCGTTGCACATTCGGGTTCGGATCGAACCGGTAACGGAACAGCTTAGGGTAGATCTTAGGGTTCTTCGCCAGATATCCGTCAACGCTAGAATCAGAAAAGATGCTGCTGATGCCAAAGCGGCCAAATGCAGCACGATTCGTCCAAATGGCATTGTTTGAAGCCAACGACATGAAGCGGTAAACGAGAGTCGGGTCACCCGCCTCGGCGGCCAAGTTCATGATATCCTTGTAGGTGTTGACGGACGACCCCTCACCAGTAGGGAGCGCCCCAGGTTCGAATAGCTGTGTGTCAGCTTCTATCTTGCCCCCTCCGAGATTTGGACCGGTCGAGGTGAATGACTCGACCAGATCTTGAACCAGATCGTCCTTGAGGGATTGGTCGCCGATTTCATAAACAAGGCTGAGTCCGTGCGCTCCAGTCTCCTGCACCACCTCGTCCCGGTTTCCGAGGAGGCTGCTGAAAGTAGCTTGGCATTTGCGCAGTCGCCCTTGCATTTCCTGCATGTGCCCGCAGTTCTTGACTAGCGACAGCAGCCAGATTGCAGACGCCTTCCGCAGAGATGGCTTAGGCGAGATGCAATCCGCAATAACCTTGTCACATATAGTTGCAAACACTGAGCGCGGGACGTCTGAACCGGGGAATTCCGCATCGACGTCGAAATCTTGAATGAGAGCTCTGGAATCCCATCCAACTGCGACATTGCATATGGCCTCGCCCACAGTGAACTGAACTTCAGGACTGCGGATTTCATGTAGACTGTAAAGTGAATTCAGGAAGTCGTTGAACAAGGTAGTGTCAGAGCCAGACCGGGAGAAGGTCAAAGTTAACAATCCTAAACAGATGATAGGAATCCGATTCTCGGTCTTAGCATCCTTCGATAGCTTTTCCTGTATCTTTTTCCAGCCATCTTCGTTGATGATGTCAAGAGAAAGAACACCAGACAAACTGAGCTGTCCAATGGCTTCTTGTGCGGTTCTCTGTAACAGAGTGTCCCGAGCAACATCCAGAATATCAAAGAGAGTCTCAATGAACTGTTTGCCCTGTGCTTCTGGAATTGGGTCCACAAGACCTCGGTACGCAAGTCGACTCAGTAAATACGAGAGCGCCAAAATCGCCCCACGGACGCGCATGACTTCTTCACCGACAGCACTATTCCATGACTGAATGGTACCCGCTAGCTGAGCAACGAAACTCTTCAGTTGCTCTTCTGGAAAACCCGGATGCGAAGTCAGAATTCCAAAAGCGCGTGCAGTGATGCCCTGATTATCCTGATTGTTGCTGCAAATAGGCTCCATCAAGGACTTTGCACGCGGAAGCAAATGCTCAACAACGTCATTGGGAGCTAGCGAGCAGATTTCCACAAAACGAACACCGCATTGCCGTAGTCCTTCGCGCCCGCCGCTTACAAGGCCTTCGAGGGTGCCAGACAAAAACGACAACACCGACTCCTTTGCGGACTCACGGATGTACCGTCTCACGGCTGAGCGAGCTTCAACGCTGGTAGAAAGGAGAACCTCAAGCTTGTAGTCCCAATCTTGCTCCAAGTCCGCAGTGACTCCCGAGGCAGAGAATGCCTCCCAGAGCAACATGTTTCGGAGGAACGAGATGGCAGGCACGAAGGAACCTTTGTAGGGGCCAGACAGGAGTTGCGAAGCGGACTGTGCCTGAACGTTCATGAGTTCCTCTTGCCCTCCAGGCCCAAGCAGGAAACGAGTAGCCGCATCGAACTTCGGGAATTCAAACCAAGATTCATCCTGTACCGGCGCTGCCGCTGAAGTGGAGCGTTTCCCGTCCTCAGTGGGATTCAGTAGTCGGTACCAATAAGGGTGGAGGCCCTTCTTTCCTTCCTCGACGACCTCCTGTTGCCGTTCTGGGCCCCTTGCAATGGCCATCAAGTCGATCCAACGGGCGACCACATCGCCGAATGGCAGGAACCGATTGGCAAACCGCACTGCGGCATACTGGACTCCTCGAACAGCTCGGTAGCCTGTGTCGGGGTCAATATCACCAGGTTGCATGCTCATCTGATGAACCAAGAATGGCCGAAGCTGGTCCTGGAAGGTTTTATCGTGGCTGTTCAAAGAGGAATTCAGGATACTTCCCAGCGCCTGATCAATGCTCACGAAAATCCCAGGACCAGAGTCGTCTGCTCCTAGCGAACCAAAGAGCCATCGGACCAGGTCAAATTCAAAGTTCTCTACTGTATCGGCCTGTGACACAAAGTCGACTTTGGGGACCATGATACCGATACATTCGTAGGCGAGCCCGCGCAAGCTAAGGTCTGTTGTGGGCAATCTCTGCCCACTAGCTGCCGGACTGGGCCATCCTTGAGATTGAATGAAGTCCCTCAGCCCTGCGATGAGTTTAGGGGCGATTTGCTTGAGATCAGAAGCTGCGCCCATACGAACTACCCACGTGGTGAATGTAAAAATTTGGGTCCTTAGTTTTGACGCTTGCAACCCCTGAGCTGATCTAGCGGTATCGGATAGGAGGCCATCCTCAATGAGCCTCATGATCCGCTGCGGGTCCGCAGTAGCTTTGATGGATTTTCCCAGATATGTAAGGAGCTTCACTTGGAGTGGCGGCCGCGCCGGAGGAGCACCATCAGGCGACGAACCGCCGAAATACAGCTCATACAGCTCATTCACGACATCGGGATTGTCGATATCCGCAGTAAACCGCTTGAGAGTTTCATCGCCCAGATCAGCCAGACGAGAGTTGGGATCCGCAGAAGCAATAAGTGAAGGCAGGAAGCGTTGAGAATCCTCAAAAGCACCACTGCCGATGAATCTCAGGGCGGTGACTTTCGTCTCAGTCAGGTTCAAGCCGCCATCCTTCGAAGGGTTCCAAGTCTCGTTCGCAGGGGCACCCTTATTCAAAAATGCATACTCGTCTGGGGAGAGACCGGGGCACGTCACAGTTTCCTTGGGACCAGGGGTCAGAAGTAGCAATTTCGCCAGCCAAAAGGACAGGAATTTAGAATCATCATCTGAGAGTCCGAGATGCTCTTTCAAACGGCGGTCCTCCTCACTGCCTCTCACTGGGAGTTTGAGTAGCGGCAAAAGACGCAATACAAGATTAAACACGATAGCACCCTGAGTGGGCGACGTTCCGATCTTCGAGATACCCTGGAGCAAGGGTAGCAGGATCTCGACTCTGGCTGCGGAGCCAAGTCGATCAATGCCTTGCTGAGCATATATGAGATCAAAATGCCTGATCAGCTGAGAGTTCTGTTCCTTGAACTGCTTCAACAAGGCTGCCACGGGCAGCTGAACAGTGGGGGCTTTAACACGAGTGTTGATATGCTGGCAGACCGAGATAATCTTGTTACGCACTTCCACGCTGTCGGACCCGAGCTTCAGCAATAAAGGGGCCAGGTATGTCCCTAGTAATGACTGCAATTTCTCATCTGAGTCTGCCATTGCAATTCTGAATTCCACCTTCCCTATCAGGCTCAACTCGCGAGCTTCGGGGCTCTGAGGGTCCGCCATGATGAGAATAATTTGCAGAGGACGGCTCTAGTGAAGCATTGAACACGAAAGACCAACAAAAGCACAATAACAATTCGCAAATATCGCGAGATTCTGAAATGATATAGGCAACCACACTCACGTCATCGTTCAGGTGAGCTCCTCTATCTGGCCCTGGCGACATCGTCCTCCGCCGCCGCGGCTCCACTATGGATTAGTCAACCGATTAGTCATTTCTTGGCATCCCCGCCACAATCTGTACCTGCCAAGTGAATGGAGTCAACTGGTGACTTCCGGGCAGGACTTGTGGCCCGGAAGGTGGAACAGTCGAAAGTGCATATTTCCCTAAAATTTAGGCTCTCGAGAGTCTTCGGTGGTTACTATGTAGCGACCTCATTAGCAAAACACCTGGCATATTTCTTAAGTAGCGATATATCCAACTAAATAGTGTATATACTGTGACAATCAGTGCCGGTTCCCATTTTCCCTTCGCTGCTCAGCAGCTTCACCCCTCAAGAATAAACCGACTTCCCTCTCTTTCTCGGCTGAATGATCATTGCCATTTTTCCGGATGGTGTTTCCAAAGAGACACTGCCACAGGTCATCCTTCTTCACCACCTCTCCTCCACCTAAGCCACGCTGCATCAAGTTCATCAGAGTAGCATCTTGCATTTCCATGGAATTTGCAGATTCAATAGCCGCCTCGCTAACATCACCGCCGTCAGCAGGAGTCAATAGAGCGACCGCTTTCTTGTCCTTCTCTTTCTCGATGATGTGAGCCAGGCGTCGGGTCACTGAGAGCTCATATATGGACTCTTCGACTGTGTCGGAAACAAGGTACATCCACACCGTCGTTGGTCGATGTTGGCCGATACGATGGACTCGAGCGATGGCCTGTAGCTCGATTGCAGTATTGATGAGCGGCTCGCATAGGAAGACATGGGTTGCGTTGATCAAATTCAACCCGGATGATTGTGCTTTCCCGTGCAACAAAAAGCATTCGACCTGGAGATAGTTGGTTAGTGCATGATTTCAGGAAAGCAGGGAATTCAAATTGCATACCGCTGGGTCTTTTTTGAACCTCTCGATGCCATCTAAAGAGTCAATACCGGTGCTGATGATTCCAAAGCTAGAGAATGCCGCCTGCAATATCTCAAGGAAGGCTCCGTATTGTGAAAATATGATGGATTTTGCACCAGGGTCGTGTTCGCGTAACCATAAGACGTGTCGGGCCAGAGTATCAACCTTCGTTCCGTAAGAGCCATGCAATTCGACTTTCTTGATCTCATTGAGATGACCCGAGCTTATATCGCTATAGATGGCATTTTGGGAATGACCCTCATGGTCCGGTCTGATGTGTGACGTTTCCTCTTGTGCAACTAGATCCTGGGGCTTGTATGTGATCTGATGGAAATCCTTGCGCGACAGAGACCTTTTGCACATTGGACAATTCCGGTGTGCAGCCCACCATAGCCGCAAACACCCGCTGCAGTACTTGTGGCCACACACGGTCAATACGCCTATATCAAGGTCAGTCCGAGACTTGATGATGAAATACAGAGAAGGTGACACTTACCAATTTCAATGGTGGACTGGCAGATAATGCATGTTCGAGAGCTACTGTCGGAAGTAGTGTCGTCCTTCAAATGAAGGAGATATCTTGCTTTGCTCTTGAGAGAAGCGATCTTCGCCTCAAGAATTTCCTCTTGTTCGAGCTTCAACGCGAAGGCCTTCTCGTCCAGCGGCTTGCCTACACTTTCCTCGTCATATGGGGCCACTGTGTCCGAAATCTGCTGCAAGTGACGATAATACTCCAAGCGGCTGTTCATAGTATCGCGGAACATCTCGACTTCTCTCTGCAAACTTGACGATACTTTGAGTTGCTCGGCCACCATTCGACCGGCATTCTTTAAGACCAATTCAACCATCTCATGTTCAGCACGAGCACGCGAATTGCCCGCGCTGGCTTGCCAGTCTAGCGATGTCACGAGACTGCGCAGCTCGCCAACGATGCTGCGTAGCGATCCCAGAGTAGGATCAGGCATAAGCTCACTGCGAGTGTTCATGATCTTGAGAAAGAGTTCCGGAGAGGGCCCTTCGCCTTTCTGAGCCTGGATGATGCCCATTTTGACTTCGTGAGAGATCAGCTGGTTCTTTTGACCGGTGAGAGCATCATGACGGTCGGCATACATGGAACGCAAAGCCTCCATGTAAACATACATTTCATCCTGATGTTTCGTGGACCGCTCATACTCATTACCTTCCAGTTCTGCGTCTTCCTCCTGGTCAATAAGTGACTGTGAAACCAACTTGGCCATGACATCCCGCCATTCCTTGTATTGCTCGGCATGTTTGTTGAGAGCCGTACACAAGTCTTCGAATTTGTTGAGCAAATGGTATGACTCCACACCTCTGCTGTACAAATGTGGTTTCATTTGCGGGATGATTGTGAACTGCTTATCTCGTGCTTTGGTCTTGATTCTTTGCATGGACTGCTCAACCTTTCGGGAGATCTCCGTCAACATCTCCTTGCGAATGACTTTCGCAGCTTCATAGCCATCTTCTTCGCGTTTCTCGAGCGCTTTGTACTCATCTGAGTCTGGCTGTGTGAGATTTGTATCACTCTTGATTTGGTAATATGCGTTTGCAGTGAAGAATACTGCAATGTGCTGGACCTCGAGTGCAGCTCGAAGCCTCAGTCGGCATTGGCCGAGCCGACTGTTCTTGTCCGCCTCTTCGGCATCCTCATCAGACATTTTGTCGAGATGTTCGATTGTCCCATTCCTGTCATTGACAGCATCATTGGCTTTAATTAGACGCAATTGTTCTCTGGTTTCATTGACTAGCTCAGTGGCATAATTCAATGCGTTTTGCCACAGAGCGAGGGCTTCTTGGCGGCGTCTTGCATTCTCTAGAAGCTGACCTCGTCGAAGTTGAGAGAGAAGGAGAGACCGCTCTTCTGCACGAATGGCGGCCACGTTGGTATCAATCATGACTTCCAGAACTTGGTCCACAGTCCGCAATGGACCACCGGTCATGCGTAGCGCTCGACGATTGCTTCCGCTAACCTCTGGATGAAGACAGGTCTGACGAAGTCTTGTCAACCAGGTGCGCATCTTTTCTATAATTGCAGGATCTTCGGGGTTCCAATCGGCTCGAAGAGGTCCCCCTGATTCGTTCAACCCGCACTGTTCGCACATTTCCTCAAAAAGCTGCTTATAATGCTGTTCTTCCACAGCTGTGAAGGGTGTAGTTATCACAATGCGTTTTTGGGGCGGCAAACGAAGCTCATCAAGTAATTGGCTTTTGCTGTGCCGAAGGGTGATTTGGTTGATAATCTTCGCTAGGACCGGTCCGAAACATGAGCACAACCTTTTCCATAAAGAGGATGAAAAGCAGTAAGGCTCATAATGGAGGAAGAGAAGAAGACCAAACAGATCGTCTATGTTCCTGCGCAGCGGAGTACCAGTCACAGCCCAGGCGATCTCTCGAGGAATCAGACGAGCGACTTTAGCTGCATTGCTGACTCCACTTTCAACCATCTGTGCCTCGTCCAGACATACACGCCACCACGAAAGGCGAACCAGCGGGGTTTTTCTTTGCTCAAATCGCTTTTCATGCCGTAAACTCCGCTGTGGATGCGCGCCAGCGTAGTGGATTTCTTTGGCGATCACATTGTAGGTGGTTAGTACTACATCAAACTCGGCAAGCTCGCCGACAATCATTTCATCGGACTCTTCTTGTCCGCGTTTGATACCAGTGTAATGGTGAACACGCAGCGTAGGAGCATGCTCCTTCAGTTCTTGTTTCCACTGCTCAAGGATCGCGGGTGGTGTGATAATCAAGGTGGCACCGGTGGGTATCAATCCATCTGGATCAGTCTTGAGCGGCGTTTTTCGCTTATTCAGACTTATTAATGCCATCATTTCGACCGTTTTGCCTAGACCCATTTCCTCTGCAAGAATTCCGCCTTTCAAATGATGTCCGGCATCATACCACTGGGAAAGGTCCCTTGTCAGGACCATAAACAGTTGGCTGAAGTAGTACGTCCGTCCATCGGCATCTTCCCTGGGATGGAAAGATGCCGGAAGGTCACTTTTACAAATCTCCTTCATCGGCACAACCTCGCCGTTCTGTCGGATTTCCATCCCTTCCCTCTGCAAGAGCCAGCAAACCGCTCTTGCCTGGAATGGAAACAGCTTACATTCAAGGGCAGGACATCGAAGATTTTCCGCAGCACTTTCTTCGGCCCGGGGAACGTGAACATTGTTGTAAAATTCACGAGTAGGCCATTCTCGGGGGGTCCCCAACATCCTGTTCCGATATTCGCGAGGCCCGGCTGAACTTGGGGGAGGAACACATCGTTCCTGCAGGACGTACGTCGTAAAAGCTTCAAGATCTGCTTCCCCTAAGCGGTTAAGATCTGGAGCTTCTATCGAATCTTTCCACAGAACAACCGTATTGAGGACAACAGTGTCATCATCTAACGAGGCAGAAAGATGGGCTTGGTAGCAGGCTGTGGGCACCTGGTTGAAGAAGCGATCCACATGAGCAAGTCTGCTAGCGCGCCGAAGTTGCGCAAGGACATCCAGCAATCGCGAATCCTGGCAAGTATATAGTATCAATTCCTCCCCATTGAGTCGAGATATTACTGGTGACAGAAGATCGGCCTCGCCATCAGCCAAGTTCAATCGTGGCTGGTTGTTAACTTCTTCGTCGGGCGATGAAACGCTTCGAAAATCTATGATAACTGGGGTTTGAAGGGTTGACAGGTTCGGTCTATAGGTCTCTTCGGGCTTGGATATGCTTTTCTCCGATGGTTTCTGCAGAGGAAGGTCACGGGTCAGTCTTCGCTCGAATGCGGTAGAGTAGTCGGGTCATACCATGCGCAGTGTTAACCGTGCCAGGGGAATATATCCTAGAGGTATGCCTGTTGCCGATACTCCATTTTCTGTAGTCAGGCTCCTTGATCCACCTCTCACAGTCTTGCGCCGCTTGGCCGGACGTTCGTCGGGATTCGATATATCGAACTTTTGGAGTTTGTCGCGTAGAGGCCGGAGGACTGAGTCTAGAAAGAGATTGTCAGTTTGTCCGTGCTTCGCTCGTGTCTAAAGTCCTGTGAAACAAGAAAAGCTTACCAGGCAGCGCGAGTTCTTCCACCACGACACCCATTCTGGACAAGGAACCTATGCTGTCGCCACAATGGGGAGGGAGATGAGGGCGAAATGCGGCCTGAGTTGGGGCGATTCTCTTATCGTAGGAATCACGCGCAGATAAGATAAGCGGTTAAATTCCGGTTAAACGGGACTTTCGGCTCCACCTACGATCTATGAACCTCTCTCCGAATGAACACCTACAATTGCATTTGTCTAGGTATACTTACTGTTTCCTGCGAGGCCCAGGATATGTTACCATTTCTCTAACTAGACAGTCACTGCCTCCTTCTCTATCTTTACGCAATTTCTCGTCACACCCATCTGCTCACTATCCTTGAATCACGAACTCAAATCACCCGCGTTCCTCAACTTCCATTTCCTTGACCCAGCTGCTAACATTCTCACACGCCTCTTCCGGGCACCGCTTATACTGCAAAAGAAAGCCTTGTACTTCTGCAAGGCTAAACCGCCTCTCTGGCAGGAGCTCTGCAAAACGCATCGCAAGGTCATCCAGGCCTGCTGGTCGCTGCTTTTCTTCTTCTGCGTGATCTGCAAGATTCTGGGATATATCACTGTACATGTTCAGGAAAAGGCTTCTCAGCTCTTCGTGAGACGGAAGCTCGAATTGAATATGTAAGTCCACACGGCCTGGTCGAATCAGTGCGCGATCCAGACTTTGCGGCGCGTTAGTCGTCATGATCAATATGCGACCTTCATGGGATGATATGCCATCAATTGCGTTCAGCAATCCAGAGAGAGATACCGCAGTCGTGCTTGGTGCCACTGCTGTGGGTTCCGGCGAAGACTGCGCAGCCGCAGATCTGGACTTGGTAGGCACGATATTGCCTCTGTTCAACCCTGCGGCATCGATGTCTTCTAACAGTACCACGCACCGTGTGGGCACCTCCGAAAACAGCCTGATGAACTGTGATTCTGTCACAGTTGGATCTAGCAGACTCAATACGTATATGTCCAGACCGAAAACACCAGCGATTGCGGAGGCAAGGCTTGTCTTGCCGGTGCCGGGAGGCCCGGAGAACAGATATCCACGTCGATACGGGATGCCATGGTTGGCATACCATTGCCTTGTATGCGGATGAAGGTACTCGTTAATATCTCGCAGGATAGTCTTCTTCTTGTGCTTATCGAGGATGACAGTCCTGATGTCTCTGGATGGTCTCGAAGCAACTGGGCTCCATCGGATGACTTCCCGGGAGTTAGTCCTAGTGCGGTAGACCGTTATGTTGGACACGGACACTTTGCGACTGTACGCACGGACTTCGTCGAGGAAATCCTTGATCGGTGAGAGTGAAAGGCTTATGCACTGCAACTTCAGCTGAGGCCTAACCTCGATTTGTGGATAGCGGCTGATGTTTTCATGGTTGTTCGCCGCATGGCTGAAAAGGATCCAGCTTCGCTTGAAGCGAAAAAGACGTGATCCGTGGAAAGGCTTCAGCTCCACAGACGAGTCGTCTTCAACTCCTTTGTAGCTGACCAGCTTATCAGCATCAAGTTTTTCAGGCAAGGACCGGGTTATTGCTGTGTCGTCAGAGCTTTTGGAGGTTTGTGCTAAGACAGAGCGGAAATTGCGACGCTTGAATGCATGGTCGTTCATCCAAAGGACGATCTCTTCGTAGAGAGGATCGTCTTGCTTCACGTGCACCGTTGACAAGCATGTCTTTTCGGCAAAACTGTGTAAGATGTTTCCGGCTAAGCGGATCGAAGTGATAGCACCGGTCGCGAGAATCCAAATGTTCGCGAGGACGAGGATGTCTAAGTTCAGACTTTGGCGGACCAGGTCCACGAAGGAATGGACTCCACTAGGCACTGGGAGACCGGTGGACATGAACATCTTGATGCAATATGGTACAGATCTGACATGCCTGGAGTTAGAATTGACTTCAGCCTCCATGATATGCACCCTGCTGTGGTGCACCGCCAAATTACCGCCACGAATGTGTCAAACCTGTAGGGGCATCTGAGCGCAGACGCCACTGCATTGCAGGGTTTGATTGGGCCACGTAATAGGCAGGGTACTCCGTACTCTGTACGTATCTGCAATTCTGCGTGACAGGCCGATGGTGGCGTAGCTGGTCTGTACATAGCTTGGGTATCTTGGACTAAGTGGACTGAGTGGACTACGTTAAGTGGAGTGGATCTCCGACTAGTCACAGTGCAGTGGACTAGTGTATGAATCAGACCCAATGAACTCAAGTATATAGTATCCGCTTAATAACTATTAGCCAATAGTGCAGCGTCCACATGAAGATCTACAGCCACTATCGAGAAAGTGAAGAAGTAAACGTTATGGCGGAGACCCTTACATCTCAAATTCTCGTCATAGATCCGAAATACAGTCCACAGTCTTGCATCGCTCGAGAACCATGAACGCTATTTAAAATCCAGTACCCATGCCTACGACTTGACTTTCTTACTACCTTTCCCAGCCCTTTCCCACTCAACCGCTACACAGTTCTATAGTCAAAATGCCACGCATCGACCAAAGAGTTAGAAGTGTTGTCTCTGAGCAACTTGGTATCCCAGTGGAACAGGTACATCCATATACAATATACATTTCTTCCTACCCTCGCCACAGCAATATACTCACCCTCTCCAGATTGGGGACGATGACAGGTTCGTGGATGATCTCGGAGCTGATTCCCTTGATCTCGTAGAGATCATCATCGCCCTGGAAGAGGTACGGTGTTCGGTTACCACTACCTATCTTCTCCTATGCTGATCACATATACAGGAATTTAATATGGAGATCCCGGATGAAGATGCACAGCAAATCACTACTGGTAAGTTCATTCAACGCACATGGGATGTGGACTATGCTCATTCTATTTAGTCCGGGAGGCGGTTGAATATATCCAAAGTCACCAGCGCTAGTACTTGTAGTAAAAGAACAGTCAATGTTCAATAGAATGCTCCCAATATGCATTGACAATGGAGAACACATACATACCTAGCGCAGGGCCCAATCACGAAGATCATTAGGTACGAGACTGAGAGAGCTGAAGACGAAGTACAGTAGTAGTACAGTAGATACGAGCAGCTTGTGGGTCCTGCATAACTATTGACAAAGATCTTCATAGATCGATCCTCATAGATCCGATATCAAATTCATAGACGACGATCCCTCAAATTCACCTCGTAACCTCGGGATATCGTCGGGCCCCATATTCGCTCCTTACATATTCCCAAATCAGAAAAGCGACAGAAGGAACTACAAAATGCGACCAAAGAGTTAATATCACTTAATAACGCAGCAGCATGCAAATACCGCTCTGTCTCCCAACAAACCTCACCCTAAGCAATCCCCATCTACCGGAAGTTCGGAACCATTACCGGGCTGTATGCAAGATGTCCTTGACAGACGTCCTACCCTTCCCATATCCACTAAGCGTCGGCACCGACATATGCCACGTCCCCAGAATCCAGCGAATTCTATCCAACGAGAATGAAGAGCACGTTACCAGATTCAGTCGAAAAATCTTCAGTCCAACAGAGCTGCCCGGTTTCCAAGAGCGGTATCAGGCAGTCTTACGATTGAGGCGGACGATGCCAGCTCGGGCACAGATCGAAGAAAATCAGACCGATGATCATGGCTCTGGGGTTGATAATGATGTGCGGTGCGATAAATACGAGCGAGAACTTTTGGGGTTCTCGAAGTGGGTAGCTGGTCGGTAAGGCGCCAACCATATTGAGGATGCAGAAGCCATATGAGGAAAAGCGAGCTGAAAACTACTAGGTTTGCGGCCAAAGAGGCGGCTATGAAGGCATTGTCTCCTCATCGTCTTGGGTGGCATCAGGCTGAGGTGTTGACATTGCCAGGGAGGAAAAAGCCAGTGCTGGTGGTTCATGCGCCGCCGCCACTAAAAGCAGAGAGTAAGGAGAATGGGGATGGAGGACACCAAATGCTGAGAAAACAAGTCGCGCAACTTTCAATCAGTCATGACGGGGATTACGCTACTGCCACTGTGTTGGCGGTTAACTCCTTTGGGGCTGATTTCGGCACATTGGAAAGGTAGACGAGAAGTGAACGACCTCGTACTTCCTTGAAACTTGACTGAAGATAACTTCGGATACCTGACATATACATGTAACATTTAACGATGACAGAAATCATGACTGTACATTTGAGGAAGAAGCTACCTTTACAGAATTGCTGTGAAATCATGACAAGTTCTTCTTTCAATCGAGTCATCCTTGTCAAACGAACAGCACATATTTGCCACCTTGGTCGTATAAGTTCACACAATTCCCCCTCATCTGCCTCTCTACTCATCAATCTTTCCATCTTTCCCTGGCCATACTGTTAGTCTGCTACATCAGATTCTCTCAGCCTCACATCTTGCATAATGCCACGTCTAATAACCGGCACAAGTGAGATCTACTTCATCGATCACATCAAGCAAGATATCCTCGACCACCGAAACGACAAAGAGTACGACGTGATATACTTGTCACCACTCCCCGAGTCTCGCCACAACTTTCGCATCCAAGTTCACGACTTTGTGAACCTCGATTTCGATAACCCATCTAAGTGGTCTTCGGCTTTCCTCACAGCTTACGGCCATATCAAAGAGCCCTCACCTTACGGAGAACCTTTTCTCGTCACGCGTATTTGTAAGCCATCATGCAATCGCGAGCATTTGACAAAAAATCGGCAATCCTCGCCCCCCTCATGAGCGCCGGCTCCTAGGTAACCGCCGCAGTGATCCCCGAACAGGCTGGCAACTCCACGAACGCGCTGGAACCCCGGATCTCCTACTTCTCTTGACGTAACTTGACTGAATATGAATATGACTTCGGATACCTAGCATATACATATACCATTTATTCTATGCCCCACGACCTTGCCTGGGAGGTGTTCCCGGTCCCTTCCCAAGTATCGCCCTCACACTCTCTCTACCCGAGTCACCGTGATCTCGCAAGAGAGAAGGCACAACCCTTCCTTTATGATCCGTGTCAGATACGATAGTACCATTGACTGCGTGAACCGATCGATGATATGATCGCCCATACATCCGGCTCTCGAACTCATCGACCGTGTCACCCCAAGAGCTTGAGCTACCGCCAGTGACCGACTTATACTTTGCTGCCCCAGACTGAACCGTGTGCAGAGAAGCCGGCCCCGAGGCCAAGGTGTAAGTGGAGACGCCCAGCCCACCTGTGCTCTCAAAGGTGAGACCTCTCTTCATCCATGAGTCGATTGTCATTCCATTCGATGTGATTCCGTAAGTTGCATTCACAAGCAAAGGGTATTCAAATTCAACACTATTCGAGACAGGTGTATCCCCCAGCTCCATGATGATGTTGTTACCAGTCGTACGCTGTGTGTTGACCTGGCTGTACCCTTGCTGGTTGAGTAAACCGCGGTTGGAGAAGGACAAGGTCTGAGACCACGAGTACGAAGATGAAGTTGCACTGAAAGTCCTCTTGACGCTCACTGAATACGACAAGGAATCGCTTCCCCCAGTCTCGTTGAGAACGAGGTTCCGATTGACACTGAACTCTGGCGGAGGGGCTTCTACCTTGGGTCTGTTGTTATCTCGAATGAGAGTCGCTTCATTGGTCGAGATGTCATCATCCAGATATAAGAAGATATTTCCCGTGACCACCCAATATGATCCCACGGTGCCTGCGAGCGTGACACTCCCATCATCTGAGACATTGAGACCGGTCACCCGAATCTCAAATGAATGTCGTTTGCCATCTTGGAGCATTGGGAGGAATGGGGAGATATCGATCTCCGGCTGCCGAAGATCAAAGGCATCAATACCAACAATCGGACGCCAGTATCCTGGAGCCACGCCGCCTGTGAAAATAATAGGAAACGGCCAGACAACCCCAGCAAGTATCCCATCAATATAGAGTTGAATTTCACGAAAAGGTGTGTACCCATACAGCGCACCGACGGTACTTTCAAACCGTTGTGTATCCTCAGAGAAGACATTCGACCACCAGAACTCTTCTTCCGATTGTCCACATGCCGATATGGATACAACAGCCCGCGATGCCGCAGCAGGAATCGTATACAAGACAGTTGTATTGTCCGCAGGGAATTGGAAGGCGCTCGAAGAATTTGACGCTGACCTCTTGGCAGAGATTGGAAGAATGGTATCCGGGGTCCTTACGTTCTGCTCTTGAGTGAAGTGCGCCGTCAACGTGGCATTGAAGGGACCTGTGTAAATATCGTTGATGATGTTTCCCAAGTCGAATATCAATTTCTGGGGGCTTTTCCACAACGAGGTATACTGCGACATGTCTTTGACATAGCTCCAGACAATGCCGTTGTTCGTTGGTTCGGCTGTTGAAGTCCGGAATACTTCACTGTCTCCAAGGTACATGACTGCCAGCCGGTCATACTGCTTTCCCCGAGAAGTCACTGTGAGATTGATTCTCACGGTATCAAAGTCACAATCCGGGGGAACATAATTGCCTAAAATGGTGAAAAATTAGACAATAAGTCGAAGTACCACTTGATATCACCTCTTACCAACAAACGGTGCTCCATAGCTTGATCCGAAGACATGATCCATGAGCAGGGTCTTGACACCGCAGTTGTCATTTTCACAGGAATCCAACGGCACTGACTGATAGACCTGGGAAACATCCTGCAAGCCAGTCGCGATGGGTGCGGGGGTCGAAGAGCGAGCAAGAGACTGCAACCCACTCTGAAGCGAGGAAGCCAGTTGCCCGAAGAGTAACAGTCCACATATGCCCAACGACAACATTGTTACCCGCAGTGTCAAACTTGACTTGATTCCGTTCTGATCGCCGGGGTTCAAGTTTGATTTCGAATCGCAGTGATGATTAGACCAGACAGTCTTAGTAGTTGGGCAAGTCTCCCAAGACTTCGGTGATTCTTGATCAACTGGCGAATCTGAAGATCGACTGCAATGCTTTCGAGATGACTTGAGCAACTTATACCTTGAAACCGCCAGCCATAGCGGAAGGAAGATGAAGAAACATGCAAGCAATGGGGTTAAGCAATACCCCATGGCAGACTTGGGGTCAGCGGAGATAAGTGAGAAGACTAGCATGTTAGCGTGCTCTAATCCGGTCCAGATAGGTAACTATTGCGATTCAGTTTCAGGCTAGCAGGGGCTAAGTGGCTCTTTGCTGTGATGCAACATGAAGATGTGCCCCTGAAGATAAGATGCATGAGGGGAACCTTCCAAGTGTGTCCCGCATCCATAGTAGTACACGGGCAGTAGGTAGGTGGCACAAGAAGAGGTCTATTCGGAACTATAAGTCCGATAAATTACATTTTGATAGTGACCAAGCAATTGGTATTGTCGAGACCAATACAAACAGCAGGGAGTTTACATAGTAGTATCTGTACAAGAAAAAGCGGAGACACTCAAGTCTAAAGCAAGCAAAATGACGAATCGCTCCATATCCAATGCAAATGGGGGTTTGTTCCCAAATTTCACATAAACAGGCGCCAGGCACCAAGAATAAGAGCAGCAGTACCAGTACAGACACCCCTAAAGAAAAGAAGGTATTAGTATATGCTCGGGGTTAACAAGGTCTCAGTTCGGGGTTCATACATGAGCCATTGTAGGGTGGAGAACTTGACAGCTTCAACTCGTTCTCTCAACCCTGCGACCTCCTGTTCAATTCGCGTTTCGGTCTCTTTGATGCGCATTTCTTGACCATTGGCTTCCTCACGTATCCGTCCCTTTTCAAGGTTAAGATCCAACCGCACCGAGGCTTGTGTTCGGCCGATCTCATCCCGGAGTCGTGAGTTGAGTTTAGCAAGATCTGCCGCGATCTTCTCATGTGATGACCGAGTCAATTGCGCCTCAGTCGAATCGGCATTGAGTAGTTCGGAGCGCAATTTGGCAAAGTCCACCTTTTGTGTATAGGTCGATCTCTCCGAGTCTAATAAAGCATTCACATTAGCTCTCTGGCAGACATAACACAAATAGTGTCCAGGAATCACCATCACATACCTTCTCGCAGGACCATCGTCCTTGTCAGGTTCTGGATAGATTCTTGAATGACATCATTCAAAACTCGCATCATGGCCACGGACTGCTCCTCGCTGAAGCCCTCTTCCTGCAGACGCTTTACGAATTTCAGGGTATCGAAGTGATGGTCACGGGGTCGGACTGTGGTCGCATGGAAGGCGCGGCGAGCAGGGTGGAACGTAGCAACGTATACACCATTATGTCGGATGGGATTGCCGCGGGGTGTCGTTGGCGTTGCCGGGGTCGTTATAGAGATATTTCGGGAAACGAGGTAGGCGGATATTAACTCCCGGGGTGATGTGGAGATGAGCCGAGAAGACTGAGTAGATAGGCTCTGGGAAAGGAGTTGTCGTTTCAGTGGTGTATTGCCTTGGAGGACTGGTCGTGTTTGGCTTGTTGTAATTGCGGGACAATGAGTGACGGTGACGAACGGGCGCGACGAGGAGCTGTTCCAAGTCAGACGGGGAATGAGGTTGCGCGGAACCTCTGCGACAGATTTTTGAGGCGCCATGTCCGGGACAGTGGGCAAGGATGTTGTATGGGATTCGAAAGTTGAGAAGCCTGGAGGCAGAAGGGAAACCTTGGAAGATTCCGGGATCACGGACTTGGATCGGGAAAGGGCCGGGATGACTAAAGGACGCTTCCAGTTTCCCGGCACCAGATTGCCATGATCCTACTTGTACAATATTCCTATTTCATGCAAGAGGATTATGTATTAGTCTATCTCGGACTGGATTCATTCTCAATGGTCCGAATCAAATTCGCATGTAAACGCTATCACAAATCCATGCCCGTTCGCGGTTATCGACGATCAATCCGATCTTCTTGGGGGCTAATCCGCGGAAGAGCTCTACAGGTCAAACAGCTTCTTCAACTGATTGATAGTGTCTTGAGGGCCGTCAACGGAGTGTCCAATGGTGCGAGGGTCTTCGTAAATCTCATAATCGTTTCCTCCAACGGAGGTTTTGTCGCCGAAGAAGTGGATAGTGGTGTATTCGATACCCGAAATGTCCTTCTCGGCCTCGACGTGTTGCAGGCAGTAGGTCTTGTCCCAGCCGGTGGGGAAGACATCGAAAGAGATTTGACCGCCGATAGAATATCTGTGTTGGCATTGGATTAGCCCGATGTTGGAACGTCGATATCGCCGTATATGTACTTACGTGAGGCCGTAGTCTGGGAACTCCTTCTTCAAGGACTCCACCAGAGTCTTTCTGATGTTGTGGATCTTATCGAAACTATACCGCAAGTCAGCCAGTATTCCAGACCATAACCACATCAAAGTAGTGGCCAAAATGGAATAAAAGCGTCCGGACATACGCTTCGAACTCGTCGCGCTCTTCAACGCTAGCAGCACGTCCAACGGGGCTGATATTGACCATTCCATTCCGGAACTCAATGAAAGTACCGCGCTTGCGAGGCAAATTGGTGTTGGCAATGTACTTAAGAACGAAGTTGACCAGCGCTTGGTACTTGTCCTCCCCAAGCCACTGAATGAAGTTGTTGCTGGCGAGCTGCTTGCCAAGGCGGTATGCGGTCAGGCCGTTCTCGGAGAAACAGAAGTCAAAAAGTGTAGTGACGTCGATTGTAGGCGAGCCAAGTTGTTCTTGCTGCTTCACAAGGTTCGAGCCGCCAACCTGGAACACATTACGAAGTTAGGAACGGTATGACTGAATTCATTGGGGGGTGGACAAACAAATCCGATGGCGCACTTGTGTCGCAATCGAGAGAGCAACTCGAGCATCTCCGGTGAGGCATGCTGCAATTGACGCATATTAGCATGGGCAAAGCGTCCGGCTCTCATTGTAACATACTCGTCTGGCGGGGGTGAGAGTCTCATCAACATCGAACAGGACAATCGTGTTCTTGATGGGACGGTCCACCAAGGAGGGGTAAACACTGGCAGCTTCAGTCATTTTGGATAGTTGCAACAATTGAGTGTCAGAGGATTTGGCGCAGGAAAAATCGCGAGCAACTTGGGGGTAAATATAGACTGGGCCTTATTTTGGCCGCAAGCGGTGAGGGAGGGAGCTTAGCGCTAAGCGTTGGGTCCAGAAGCGGAGAGAACCTTGGAAGGCCACCTGGTCTGTCTCACTCATTTTGTGAGAAAGGTCATGAGGCAAATGACTCAAAATTGAGATCAATCCCCTATTCCCCTTAGCCCTACATAGATGATAGATGTACGGAGTACACCGAATACCGTCCGAAGTTTACACCATGTTGTGCTGCATTGATATCGAGACCGGACTCTGTGGCTGTTATCGATAACTTATCGGAGGGGTATTCTACGAGATAAAAAGAAGATACATGCATTGGTACAACAATTCTATGTACGCAGTATTTGCTCTGTAGCTAGGTAATGCACATCAACCTGTGCTTTGCGGCCTATAGCCACGAATAATTACTATCTGAACGTCATACCTCAACCCAATTCATCATTCATGCCGAAGCTAGTGAAAACCAGTCCCCAATTCCTAAACGCCCAAACCGCAAAGCAAGCTGCAAGCCCTCACTGCCCCATAGTAGACCGGAACACCTTAGCTGCAAGCTCACTCAAGAGTCGCGTCCGATCCGGCGTTGGAAGGTCCAAGAAAACCTCATAGACACTTTTGCCCTTAGCATCGCGAACTGCACCGATACGATTACCCGCAACAGCGCCAGCCAGCGCACCAGGCAAATTGCCAACAATAAAGCCCAAGGCACCACCGCTAGCTCCGCCAACCAGTGCCCAGAACCGACCGGTTGGACGAGACCCTCCATCTCTATCCTCGGCGAGACCTTCTTCGCGCAACATCTCTTCAAACACAGACCCAAACTGGTCGCTGTCACGGTGCTCGCGGTCTCCGCCGAATCCAAAGCTCGACCAAGGGAAGCTACCGGCAGTCGGTGGTACTTCCTCTTCTGCTTCCTCTTCCTCGTATGCGCGGGTGGCGTCGTACTCTCGCCGGCGTGCAGGGTCTGATAGTGTGTAGTAGGCATCGTTGATGTCCTGGAACTTTCGTGTGCGCGCAGGTCTCTCGGGTGAGTCGGCGGGGACTCGATCGGGGTGGGATTTCAGCGATTCCCTGTGGGCTTGGTTAGTGACTTGTTTTGGGGCAGGATGTGGTGTGCTTACCTCTTATAGGCATTGCGAATTTGTTGTTGGGTCGCATCTTGTGCGATATTCAGGATCTTGTCTGATTTGTGTTAGATAGGGTAATTGCATCTTGGATCTTGGTCCTTGGATGACGTCTTACAGAAATCGGGTTCTGCGCGAGGATCAGTAAATCTTCAGTTTTGCAGGGATAGGGGAGGCATAATACATACTCGACATATTCACTCTTGTTTGGCAATCTCAAATAGACACTGCGACTGGCAATATTGTGGAAGGACTTTCGTCAAGAATCAGGTCGAGTGATGGAAAGCCATCACATGCAGTGACGTAGATGCCGCCTGAGGCATGAACTTGAATCCATGGTTGACCTGTTTAATTGGCAACTTTTAATTTGGAAACTATATCCACAAGTTTGTATATCCTTCATCGTTTTCTAGACTTTAGCAGTATGAAGGCAATGTTCATGCATAAGGTGGATTGCTTTTGTATGTACTCCGTACTCTAGGGTGAGATCTCGGCACGGTGTAATTTGTCTCAGGCAAAATGCAGTTCGAAACTAAGTTCAGCGGCCGAACCCCCCAGCCACTTTATCCCGTCAGGGGCCACTGTCCAACCTATCCGAAGATCCCCTCAGATTCGCCTTGGACACAGATTCTGCTATCACAATCTCCTCGTCTCCAGGTTCTCCATCGTGTGAGCTGTCAAAACCATTGCTTGCATTGGAAATCCACCAAGCCAGTCCACATCTCGGCCTAGACCACAGATTGCGCATCTCCGCAGCAGCTAGTGGCTGACTTGCATTTGTCTCTTTCAATTCTTTCAATTGCCACACAGAAGCGCAAAAAAAGGAGAAGATTCAGGTGCGATTGATTACCAGGGACATTGTTTGACAACGCACCCCGGAAGTCATTCTGTGTACCAATCTCACCACAGTTCCTTTGCTAGCCATCACCCCTCTAGGCTTTCTCAGATCAGAAGAGATCTGTCTGACCGCCTCAAAGCGCACAAAGCCCTACCCGTAATCAGCTTCACCACACTAGCACAATGGGTTGGTTTGACGGTCGATCGACCATTTCCTCCTCGGGATTCGTGCGCAAACGGTCGCCGGCATCCAGCACGCACAGCGGACGCAGCACACGCAGCAAAGCCTACTCCACCCACCACACACGACACTCGGCACCCTCCTTCTTTGGCGGACTAGGCGGTTCACGAACCGGAGGACGATCGAGCCCATCTGTGTTCTCCTCGTTCTCATCCTCGTCGCGACGAGCCAGACCCCGTGAGGGATTTGTGCAGCGCATGATTCGCGATATCAAGCGTCTCTTCCGTGACATCTATCGCTGGGCCCGTCGTCATCCGATGAAGGTTTTCATGATGGTCATCATTCCTCTCCTGACCAGCGGCGTTCTGCCCAGGCTGTTTGCTATGATTGGTATTCGCTTGCCGCATGCTATTACCAGCGCCCTCGGTGGTAGCTCGAAGGCTCGAGCAGGCGAGTTTGGAGCTGGTAGGGGGATGTCTGAGAACATTAGCAGCTTGATGAACATTGCCAAGATGTTTGCGTAGGCTTCTCCTGGCTAGGGCGCTCAAGTTGCGTCTTTATTCCCATGTTTTTTCCATGCTCTGCCGAGATTCAGCACATAACGATAATGATACACCGACTGTCTTTTGCCTTTGTTTCCTTGTTTCTGATACTCAGTTTCTGTTGCTGAACGTTGCCTCTTCTATCATGAACTCGGTCGCTTGCCTGTAATTCGATAGAATCAATCTTCGTGAAAAAGCTGCGGCTTTGTTTACGCAATAAAACCATACCGAGTCTCAAAGCGGGTCCGCGGGAATGGGACATCTTCTTCCTTATATTCAGTTGTCAAGTGTTGGTGCCCAAGCTGGTGAATCTGACGCTGGGACAACTGCCCATTGCACTAGCAGTAAAGTGTGCAGCTTGCAGGAAGTGCACTGGCCTTGTCACAAGCCCGCTCAAGGTCACATTTGACGCAGTAGTTGCAGCTATTCTCGTGACTGGCAGACTATCCATGCGGGTGCAGTGCCACGTATGCGATGGACCCGCAAGTGCACAGTTGGCTAGCAACCCCGCCAATGTGGACTTGTTTACAGAGTAGACTGTGATAGTGATGACAAGGAGACACGGAGCATATCTGCATAGCTTAGGCCAACGTTTCAGATTATTCAAGGGGAATATGTATACAATTTTGTGTTTGCCTAGGCAAGGCCAATATAAACTCCAAACAGAGATTCTATAGTAAAGCCAACTTTTGTACTTTTGATTAAAAGCCGAGAAAGCAATAACCAACGCCCGGGGTGCAAGTACCCGTCAGGTATATCTCCGAATCATGATCGCTGGGAGCGCTTTCCACGCTTCCGAGGGCGGGACTTCGATGTAGCAGTGGTCTCGGCCTCCTCAACCAGGGCTCCTCCGCCTCATCGGAATCAGACTCCTCCTCGGCGGGAGTTCCCAACACTCGGCCAACTGTCCGGTTAAAGCACCAGATGGGAAGCTTGAAAAGCATTGTCTGACGCAGAGTGGGGCGTTCAATCTGATCAATGTCGAGCAAGAACTCCTGGCGTTCGCCATCCTCGTTCTGCTCTTCCAAAAACACGTTACCGATGGAATCAACAATCAGAGTCTTGCCATTCTCCGCAACAACGCGCTTTCGCTCGCCAGTGCTGGCAGTCTGCTCAGTGGGAGTGGAGGTTCCCGAATTACGAGAACTTGCGCGACCTCCTCCCTTCTTATCCTTCTTGTTCTCCCTGTCCATCATGCGCTTCTGTCGACGGTTCACGGCCATGGCACCACCCTCGCTGGCTTCGGGGGCAGGCGCAGGCGCGGCAGCCGTAGAGTCAATTCCAGGGATACCGCGAACACCCATTTCATCGCCCCAGGCAGCCCTGCGGGCCTGGCGAATGTAGCGGTCGACAAACTCACGCTGGCGCTTCCAGCCGAGGATCAGGGCAGCGTAGTGAGCACCGCCGCCGAAAACCAAAAACAATCCCACCATCACGGAGCCCAGACCGGGGCGGAAGCGCGAGTAGTAGTATCCGGTACCTTTCCACAGGGGGAAGCCGTTCTTGAGGAAGTGGTCGTAACGCTCACGACCGGGGCCGCGGAGGACGTTGGCTACCAGATTGAGACGGGCTGAGCGAGCATCGGCGTCCTTGACGGCAGCGTCAATTTCACGCTGGGTGGGACCCTTGTTGACATTGACACCCCCGTGGGACTTGGCCTTGCTCTTATCCTTGGCGTAGTTGGCGATAAAGGCACGCTTCACCTTGTCCGGGTGGATGGTTCGCGATTTCTTGCGGTAAGCCTTGGTGATCTGCTCTTGATTGGCATTGGGACGGATCTCGAGGAGGTCTGCAGTAGTCCGAGTATTGTTAGATATGTATCCTTACGGAGGGGACTCTGGTATTCCCAATTAAAAATTTACGTACCGTAGAAGGTCACGTTAGCACCTTCATGTGCAGCCACCTCATCGCGTAGACCAAAGATCTCATAATCTGTTCGATTTAAGTGGTGAGTATGGGGGTTTCAGGAGCATCGGGGGTAAATAGTACCTTCTTTAGACCAGGCAGCAACGAGGCCGAAAAAGACAAACAGCGAGAGGAACAGAGCAAATGGCTTCATGATTGTGGAGCGGTCAATGCCGCGGAAGCCAGAAGACGCAAAAGTTGGCTATTGAAATGAACGAATGAGCGAGTGTTGGCTAGTGGAGGACATGTTGCAGGAAAAGGGCGGTCGGGCAGCTGGCGAAGTTACTGCAGAGAACCCAAACGTGGCCCAATCGAGTTGATGAAGTTATTTCTGCATATTACTCATTTTTCATGTGTGAGATCATATTGTATTTCGACTATGTCTAGGTATATATAGACCTATGTTCTATCTTGTAAATGTAGGTAGTTCTACTTTTCTCCCATATGGGTGTCTCCATCCGGGGTGTCGAAAACGATTTCCGCACCCAGAAGATGGCCAGGAACTGAGGGTCCATGTCTATTATTAGTTCGGCCAATAACTATTTCCCGACAATTGTCGTTAAAGGGTTACTTGGCTTCTAACTATTGAGAGGATTCTTGTGATCATCTAGTACTGCCACACTGAAACAGCCGTGCTCTGACTAAAACCGAAAGGGGCAAAGCCAAAAAAAACGGCGACTGCCTTACGACGTGTCAGCCACAGTCTCTCTCTCTCTTTCCTCTCTATCACATTTTACTCCCTTGCAAACCTTCAATCCCTCACTACTTTTCCCACCTCCTCACCCCTTCATCTTTACCAATCTTCAAAATGGTCTCCATCCCAATCGACATGATCACTTCGCGTTTCGGCGATCGCTTCAACAACATCCGCAGCACCTCGTTGAGCACGCGTTTCTCCAATCTGCGCCCAATCTCCGAGTTCCTCGACATTAAGCGCCTGTCCAAGCCCGCCAACTTCGCCGAGGCCCAGAGCCGAGTCAACTACAATTTGTCCTACTTCTCCAGCAACTATGCGGTCGTGTTTGTGATGCTCAGCATCTACAGTCTGCTGACAAATTTGGCGCTACTGTTCGACATGATCTTCGTGACCGCAGGTCTCTATGGAATCAACAAACTGCAAGGTCGCGATCTGGATCTGGGCTTCTCGCGCTTCACCACTTCGCAGCTCTACACGGGACTGCTCATCATCGCCGTCCCCGTCGGCCTCTGGGCCTCCCCCCTCACGACTGCCCTGTGGTTGATCGGCGCTACCGGCGTGACCGTCTTCGGCCACGCCGCTTTACTGGATAAACCTATCGAGAATGCTTTTTCCGAGGAGGCGGTTTAGGTGGTCGACCGCGAGCTCCTTACGATATGCCCCCATGGGGAAGACCACCAGGGGCACGAATGGGGAGAAATACTAGGGGACGCGCGGCGTGGGGCGAGGCACGAGTGGAGGAGGTTGATAGTGACGAGGATGGATATGGGCGGGACTTAATACGGGGTGGTCGATACACGAGAGGGCTGGACTATGAAGGGCGCGGGCCACGTAGGCGACCTGCGGAATATGTGGATCTGTCGGATGATTCTGAATCGGCGGATGGGGGAGACTTCGATTTATACGATCAAGGGGATAGCACGGTGGCCTATGCGATGCAGTTGGCCATGCGGGACAAGGAGGATCAGTTGGTGGACCAAGCGCTGGAGCGGATTCGCCGTGCACAAATGTTGGGGAAGAAGAATGTTCGGTTATCAAAACGGGAGCTGGATGCTTTGGAGCGTAAGCGCCAACAAGTGGACAATTTAGGTGGGACCCGGCGCCCAAAGCAAGGCGCCAATCCCCCAAAGGCGTCGTCGCGGCCATCGTCGAGACGAAGCGCGGCAGGTTTTCCGCCAGAACAATCCGCCGCGTATCCGCCTTTTGCGCCCGACCCATTCAGCACCTGGGCTCGTGGGAGTGCGGGAGGGCCTGGCCGGCCCTCTAGTTCATCCTCCGCTACTGGCCGCCCCCGGACTCCGACAACGCAATCGCTTCGTCCGCAGCAATCCAATTCACCACTTCGGCCTCCCTACCCGCAATACCCTCCTGAACGCTTCGCTCCCAATGGCCGGCCGCAGACGTTGCAGCAACCGCCTATGTACCAACGGCCGCTGCCTGACGATCCTCAATGGGCTCCCTCCTACTACAATCAAATGCAAATGAGCCCATATGGAGAACCAGCGCCTTACCAACCGCAGCTTCCCACCGATCTTAGAGCGGGACTGCATGGTCGAATGAGCTATCCTTCAGGTGCTCCATATCAAGCCCAGCAATCTCCCCAGGGTAAACGCCCATCCCAAGGCACAACGCAGGCCCAAGACACAGCCGCAGCTGCTGCCGCAGCTCCAGCTTCAGTGTCTGCCGAATCAGAGTCGGGGTCGTCCAGTGAAGAAGAATCGGAGAGCAGTTCAGAGGATGAAGTGCAAATAGTCAAGGTGACCAAGGTGGCGGAGCGACCAGCCGCGCCAGTTGCAGTTCCACGACGGCGAACTGTGTCTGGGGGTCGAGGTGGTGCTCGCAAACGGACCAGTCGGTGAAGAAGTCCATCCTCGTGGCTTTGATATCCCCAAAAATTCCTTTCTGTCTCGGTCTTTTTTCTGCTTTACTGTTTTTAATTTCATCGTGGCGGTCACACGACGGGCGTTATATTTTTAGTAGACCAGCTTTCTGAGTCAAGCACATACACAATACAATTGGCTTTTCATCCTGGCCAGGCTTCAAGTTGGTAGGCCATATCTAGTAGGGCATTCTAGATCTTAGTGGAGCTTGGTGATCATTATCAGGTGGATATCTCGTGGCTGGCGTGCTAACGTGTACCTTAGAACATCCATGGATGCCTTCTCCCGCAACCACGGATAGGTTTAGACCAGAACCAAGGATGCTCATTGCTCGCCATGTGCGTAAGCCAATCTGACTTTGCCAAGTCCTCAGCCACCCGCTCCCGATCTTAACTAGTGGCTGGACAACAGGCATTAACGTTTTTATACGCGGTACGGTCTCATGAATAGATAATCTTAGGACGGAAATGATGGCAGTGAGGAGCACGCATATGGCATAGTGTTTATCGATAGTAGAAATTGTAGATCATTAGTGCTGCGGATAGGACCAGAAGATGGGTGGGGACGCGCAGAGTGGTCTGCCTTGGCAGGCGATGACGTCGAAATCAATAATCTCATCAGTTACATAACTGCCTCTGTCGGGCTTGTTGAACTGGTTCAATTCTTATTTTCCTTTTTCTCTCTTTGTCGTCGGACGTCTGCTTTTTCTTTCGTTATCTAGTCACCTCCTGGATATACCGCTCCTCGGCGCTTCATCGTCCTACCCAACTGCGATTACATCCCTTGGTTTGCCATCTAAGCGCCACACTGCCGCTTGACTCGTTTTTTTTGTTTGGCCGATTGTTGGGTGTGGAATGCTACTTTCCCGTGGAATTCTGTACATAGTAACATAATTTAAAAACTGGTGAGTCTCTCTTTTCGCAACCGGCTGAGCCTAGAAGACCTCTCGCTCTAGGCCATCGCATCGCGTGGAGTTGCGACTAACGTCGAGATCTTGTAGATCCGCTTGCACTGGACTTTTTTTTAGCCAGTTACCCTCATTCATTCGATCCGATATCCCACTGTCTGGAGTCTCGGCAATCGGCATAGGAGGTCCCATATAGCTTCATCGCATTTGACCCGGTCTTGCTGCTTGCAACACAGTACAAAGTCGCAAAGATGTGGATTGTATCATTTTGGATGTTCCCACTGATATCAGCATGCATGTGGCTTGGTAAGGGCACCTCCGGACTGCACATTTCGATCTGAACTGCAGCTAACCATGCCCTAGCAATGCTGATCGCCATGCTGGTCAGCTGGGTCCAAGACGGGAGGCCCGTATACCCCAGTATGGACAAAGGACAAAGCATAGCGTATGTCTCCTCCCTATCGTCTGCTCCCTCACGCACGCTAATTGAAGCCTTGCAGGTACATTTCCGACGTCGGCGCAGCGCGCTTGAAGCCGCTTTTCATCGCAGGTAGCGTTGTCACAGTCGTCTTTCTCGATTTGGCCTTCCTATCAGAGCGATGGCTCCGCCACTCGAACCAGTTAGCTCCGAACAAGGGCAAGCTCGACAAGGCTTGTGCGGTTCTTTCGATTTTCTTCGCCATCGCCGGTGCTGCCGGTTTGATCCTGCTCTCCATCTTCGATACCGCGCGCCACCCGAAGCTGCACGATGGGTTCCTCGCCCTCTTCCTGTGAGTTCTGTCTATTCATATCTGCAGCCTGTACATAACTAATAGATCCCCTCCAGTGCCGGCTACGTCGTTAGCGCCGTCTTGATTTGCGCCGAGTACCTCCGCATTGGAATCTTCTATCGTCGCGAGCACCGTGTTCTGTTCACCAGCTTCTTCATCAAGCTCGCTTTCATCATCATCGAAGTCGGACTGGCAATCGGCTTTGGTATCTGCACGCGCAGCAACGATGTGTCGAAGCAGAATCCCGGCGCTATTCTCGAGTGGACGATTGCTTTCGTCTTTACCGGCTATGTGGTCTCCTTCATTGTTGACCTTTTACCTTCCGTTCGCACCCGCAACCACGTGCCCCAAGGCGAGAAGTACTTGATGAGCCAGAATGGCTTCCGCGGAGAGGAGCAGGCTGTCTCCATTGAAGAGCCGTTGACCCATGACTCGAGTGGTCCGACTACTGGCTTCTACCGCGGTCAGCGGGTTTAATCCTCTGCCGTTACTTATGATGTGACGATGTGAATGTCATCTAATACACCATTTGCTTTGATTGCTGATTTGATACCTGTCTACGGATTCATTTTGTTTGTAATATTGGGACCTGTGAATTTCCCTATATATACTGTTTTAGGAATAGCTCTAAATCATTTTGTCACGTGGGTACCTTTGACAGCCTGTCAGCCTCCTACGATGTTTTGATTGACGTACTTATATGTTCGTGTCCTATTGGGTCGACCATATTGACTCTCTGTGGTTTTATCGTGATAGTTGACTGAAATACTTATATCTTCTTGATCATTACCAAAAGCTGATCCCTCTTAGAGCGATATATGGACGAGACACTCCCAGATGATAGGGCTATCATTGCCCCAGTCCCCACAGTAGACCTAACTGTTGAGGACCGGTTTCGGAATTTGAAGACATCAGACATCAGTCACGTTGTCGTCCAGTAAGTGGAAGGTACTTTGGCCCTCATATTATCAGTCATTCGACTTTCCAAATGTTAATTGGGTCTATCTTGAAGACTCTCTGATAAAAGGCTGGACTCAATCATGCAGTGTTGCGCGGGCCTCGGTTATGATCCCGACAAACCTTGGCCTTTCTGGTTCTTCATCGGCAAGGCCCTATCGAAAGCCCTTTTTGGCGATGAGCAACAGCTTAAGTGGCTGAATTCTGTTCGAGTCCGGAATCGGGAGTTTGTCGCATTCACCAATATGAGGGGGGAGAATATGTCAGACCTGGAACTACTGAATCGTGACAAAGGAAGACTTCAGGTGATCGAAGTCGATTTCTCAAAACCTGTACCAGGTGGAGATCTGAAGGCTTTTTGGAAGCCTGCACGGGAAATTATATGCCAGAGAGTTGAAGAGTGTGAGTGTCCAGGAATCGACCGAGATTTCTCTGTTTTCTAATTTTGAAACGGACAGGGCTTGAATTTTCAAGAAGGAGAACCACGGGATCGAACGGCAAACTAGACACAGATTCCTCTGCCGTCTAACGATAATGTGCCCTCAGCCCTATGGAATTGATTGCGGATTGAGCAGCTCGAAAGCGTTCTGGTTAAGCGTCGTTGTACTCCCATATAAAACACGCTCAGGAAGCAAATTACCATCCAAGTACCTTTAGATGATCAAATCAAGTTTCAAATGGTTCAAATTCAGCCGCGTACGCGGACGAGTGACTTATAATACATGCAAGCAGGAAATGCGAAAGGTTACCACATTCTCACGACTACTTTCGTCTCCGATTGACCCAAACGCAGACAAAACCGAAACCTATGATACCTACCTCAGTTGTAATAGATGGCTTCTCGCGTAGAGTTGACCTTAAGCACTCCCACAGAGTAACAGGCGTTTCTCGGCAACGTTCTGGGCGCATATAATGGCTGAAATCGCCCCGAAGTTGGCTCGGTTCAGAGTACTGGGAAGCCTAACATTTGTAGATGATGCTTTGGTGTTTGAGACCATCAATATTTGGAAATATCCGTGCATTGTAAAGGCTTTCCACTTCGTCGATATCTTCGATCTCGTCATACGGTCGGCTCCCAGTAGAGATCTCATAGATCAGACAGCCCAGTGCAAACAAGTCGGTCTTGAAAGTTCGTGGGGACAGTGGGGAAATTCGGTACCGGTCCTCCTCCTCAGCCAATGACCGCAAGTCCCCGATGGCTGATCCAGCAAAGTCGCAGAGTTTGATCGATAGGTCGTCGGCCATGAGGAAGTTACGTGGGCTGATATCAGCGTGCATAACACCATGGGTATGTATAAAAGCGACAGCGTCGTGGCGAAATGGGCATACACCGTTAGATGGGGGATACTATACGGTCTTGAATATTCACTTTCTTTATACAAATCTCAAGTGTACAACGACAATACTGAATTCATTCTCCTAGGTGCTACCGTAGACCCAATACCTAATATCGAAACCGAAGCACTATCCTCCACCATTAATCATCAATGCATCGAGTTCATATTCCTTATGCGTATGCATCCCAGGGTCATTATCATATACTGCGTATATACATCGTCCGACGTCCATAGGTATCACCATATATCCAAGTATCCAAGCACCTGCAAAAGGGAAGAAAGAAAAGAATCAAACAAGCAACATCCCCCTAATCCTCTCCTGCAACTCCAACCCAATCCCAATCCTCTCCAAATACCCCCTAACACCCCCAAACCTCTCCAAAAACCCCACCGTCTTTTCCACAAACCCATCCGGACACCTCGTATACTCCTCATCAAGTCCAATAGCCCTAATCTCCTCCAACCTCTCCTCAAACTCCGACACCAGCTCCCCCTCCGAGCGCGAATAATCATCAACCATCGCATCCGTCGGCACCATCCCCACCAACAAAAGCACCAATAAAACCACCAGCCCCGTCCTATCCTTCCCCTGCGTACAATGCACAAGCACCGGGTATGACTCCTCGCGCGCCAGGATCTCAAAAACAGAACGCATCTCGGCCGTGCTTGATTCTAGCGTGTCTTGTGCTAGGCCTGTTAGGCCCCGGGGGAGCATTACGGTGCTGCAGATTAGTCGGATGGCGTCGCTGCGGTAGCCGGTTGTTGCAAGAGTTATTACTTTTCTGGAATTGGATTGGGGTTAGTTTTTGGTTATTATTTTGGAAATATGACAGGGCATCATCATCATCGTTTGATGAAGTATCTGGGTTAAGAGGAACGTACATATAAGTGAACCAGTCTAGCTTTGATAATAATGCACGCTCGAAGCCTTTGCCCGTTAGACTTATCAGGGCGCGTTGTGAGTTCGGGATGTCGAGGAGGTGTTCTTCTGGATTTGAGGGGACGGGAGCTTCAGTGAGGTCTGTTGATGAGTCTGATGAGGAGGAATCTAGTGAGTTGGCGATTTCGCTGCGGCGTTTGCGCGTGGCCATTTGGTGTTCTGTTCTGCTAGGATTAGTCTTTTTCTCTTTTTCTTCTCCTCTATTTCGTGGGTTTGAGATTCAAGTAGTGGACGTACTGTGAGCGGAGGTCGATGACGGTGTAGATGTTGAGTTCTTCGGCCAGACGCCGTTTATCGCGTTCTGAGGCATCGTCGAGCTGGGATTTTATTAGCTCCTCTCTCTTTGTTTCTTTCTGGACGGGGTTGGCAGTACCCTTGCACTGCGGAAGAACACGCCTTCTTTTAGGATTCTACGTGATCGTTAGTTGAGTTGCACGGATTAGAGGTGCTATCTTGACTCACTCTTTGCGACAGAATTGATTTATCGACCTGCCGATATCGCGGAAGTTGATGATGTTGTCGAAGGGGCGATCGGGCGAGTCTAGATCGACGCTGTTGTGTCGTGACATATTGTATATTAGAGATTATCGAATATGGGGAAAGGTAGAAGAAGCGAAATCAAGATGTTTACTATCAGACTATCTTTGACGCCAGATACGGGCCCGTCTTTCTACCCGTAACTTTGGGCAGCGAGCCGGAGCTTCACCGCTCGGGGGCCTGGGTACTTACGCGTAACGCGGAGTACTGCCGAGTGGGTCAGGGACGATCTAGCCCCAAGGTCATAGCGTCATGTCAAAACAAGGTTTAACCAAGAATTACACAATAAGTAGAGTGTACTCCGTAGAGACTTCAGGATGAGATTGATTACTAGACAAAATAAGATGGGAGTTTGTTTCTTATAATGGTGGCAGGGGACCAGGGGTATCATTTCGTACATACAAAAAAGACATGAGAAAGAAGTGAAAGCGAGAGAAATGAGAAAGAAAGGCCCTTTAGAGGCGTCGAATGCCCCGACGGCCAGAGCCCTGATTCCCCTGGCGAGCGGAACGTCGCTGAGAAGCAGGTTTGCGGCGGGTCATCTGTTCGGTGCTCCCTGCCAGCTCGGCCATCTGTTTCTGCCCTCGCAGCTTACAGGCTTTCACACCACGCCACCATCGAGTAATCACCTCACATGCAAACTTCACCCTGGCCGTGGCGATACCGCACACGTGCTTATTTCGTCGTTCTGTAAATGATCGCCATGCCCGTTGAATAACGACCGCGGAGCAGGCACGGTTTAAGGCAGAGGCCAAGGGATTCCCAGCAGGTGGTGAATGTTCAAACTTTTCGGTGACTTCTTTTTGGGGACTCTGGCGACCTCGAGTCACATCTAGAGCTACTCGCTTCAGTGACTCTGGTTGGGCTTCTTTTGACTTGGTTGTCATGCATGCTCTGAGACTGGTGGTTTGCAGGACTGGACGGGCCATCCTGGACGCCGTTGAATGACATTCTGATTTGCTTTTGTTGTTGCTGGTGATGACGGAAAATCCAGGAGGAACGTTTTCTTTGCCGTCACCTGTTCCAGGGACATCAACTGTTATCGCCATTGGCTGGGCAACCTTGAAATTTTGCTGAAGCGGAGCTCTGGGAGTAGATCCTGCCAACGGCTTTTGTACCTGGCGTCTAGCACGTTGCGATCTGAAGGTGTTGATCTCAGAATCACCTGGGATATGTCCAACGGTGTCTCTGATTTGCCGCTTCGGTGAACTGTAAAGATGCATGAAGCTGATGGGAGTAGAGTCATCAGACGGAACGTATATTACATCACATCGCCTTGAAAGCTCCTGCCTCGACGAGCGCGGAGTCGGACCTTCGTCGTGGAGACCAGGCATGATGTCGAAACGCCCTGATAAGACGTGAGATTTCATACTGAGATGAAAGCTAGCCCAATTGTCTTGAAAGCGAGGAAATATGTTGGAATTGTTGTTGCGGAGAAGCGGTGAAATCAATCAAGGGATGGAATCCGATGCGGGGAAGACGCGGGGTGAGGCCTTGGTGTTATCAACAAGCTCAGGCGATGGTACAGTGGCGGGTCAAATTAATGGAGATGATAGTCTGATAGATGGAGAATCGCGTGTCTGGAACACTCGATTGCTACGAGACCCATGTTGACCTGTGGACGGGTTGTCCAGGGCAACATGTGGGGGTCAACACGTGAAGTTGGTTGATGCTCGGCCCGCGGGTAGGGCCTAACCCGATTGGGCTAATGTTTATTCTACGATAGCTTAGACACATGGCTTCAGCTCCCGATCTCATACCTTAGAAAACATCCCGTGATTGCGAGGAAAGAGTCCCCAGTCCTATTCGGAAAGAAGCCTGGAACTGCCTGGAAGGCCCTGGATGGGTCAGCTTAGCCACTTAGGGAGTTGAGTTGAATCATGCCTACTCTTAACTCTGTACTGATAGCCAAAACATGTCGGACGACAGATTGACGAAATTCAGTCATATGCATTAGTCTAATATACTTCAATTGATCAATTGACAAAGTTAGTCTACAACAAAAACCACTTCTTCTCTTGCCCTGCGCCAGCCAACCCAACCTTGCCCTCGTCGGCCAATTTCGCCAGAACCTGAGCTATAAACGGTCCCGCCATCGCCTCCATCTCAGGCCCGTAAAGGTATATGATAATCTCTCGTGTCGTCAACGCTGGTCTAGCCATGCTGTTACCCCCGATAAAAGCCGACAGAACCTTCTTTTCTCGTAATTCCCAGTGTCTGCTCCAGACGATGAGTTTGGCTGGTAGGTCGTCAATCACGGCACCATGCCCTGGGTATCCAACTATTATCTCTTCATTGCGCGCACTTTGGGCCATGACTTGCAGACTTTTCATGTATCGTCCCAGGTCTTCCAGCACAACACTGCTTCCATGTCCAAGCACATTATCACCTGTGAACATGGCACCGCTTTCCTCCAAGACAAAGCACATGTGGTCTTGACTATGTCCAGGCGTGAACAAGGCTCGTAGCGTGCTTCCTTCAGCGGTAAAAGTCTGTCCATTGCGAATTGACTGTTGGCCCTGGTCTGGATGGGCCTTGTAGACTGCTGTGGCCAGATGCGGATACTGAGCTAGTAGGGCCGGGAGACCACCGGTATGATCGTGATGCCAGTGAGTCAGCAGGACCTCGGAAATGCTCAAATGGTGTTGGTCAAGATAGTTGACCAGTGTAGTGAGCCAGATTGGACATCCCTGTTGACATGGTTAGCTGCTTTAGTCGCCGACTCACTGGAAAGTACCAAATTGGGGTGGCCGGAGTCACTCACTTGTCCAGTATCTATCAAAATGCGTTTCTGGCCACGTCCAACTAGGTATGTATTGGTCCCTTGTAGTTGCATATCTCCTGGGTTTCCACCGAGTATGCGCACCACCTCTGTGCTGAGTTCCGCGACAGCGGGGAGATATGGCAGTCCAGCGGTCTGGGCAGATAGATATTCCTGCCAACTTGGCTGCATCCACACTTTCGGAGGGGACATTTTCTTGTGTGATTGACTCTAGATAACCCGATAGGCTTTTGCGACTTGAGTAAGCAGTGTTGGAACTGAAAGTCCTTGAATTTGGTGAGCACACGCAGACACATGCATGGCTGCCTGATATACCAGGCCGTAGTATTCAGCTGACTAGCCCGGTCCACCAGGGTGAGCCCCACCACTTCTCCACCTTCTACTGCGTACTCCACGGAGTAACCTGCCCCAATCACCCACCATCCATAACCTGCCTGGATCTAGGTACGGAGTATAAGGCGTAGCGTTAATAATAGGAGACATTGCTGTAATACTAAGGATAGACCTAAGCGTCACGGAGAGTGATTCAGTCCCACAATATCGTTACCTTGTGCTGTGCAAACAATCCCCCCCCCCCTTGTCCAACATCGACATTAGTCCATACATCACGCATATTGTCGACGATTATCCTCCCATCGCGGCTGCAAATAAGACCAATTCTGATCAAAGTCGAACCCAGAGCGATAAGCCCCATATGTAACAAGATCCACCTGACTCAACTTCGCCCCTTTGTCCGTGAGCGCCCACAGACTAATCGCCAAAGTATTCTCCCCACGATTATTGATCACCCCCCGGCGGGAAAGGGAATCTACTCTGCGGGCCGAGATGGGGCAAATAATGACCGAACTGGTACCCGTTCATAAAGATCTGGACTACTGCAGGTGTATCAGCATCCGCGTCCAATTGCAGCCCAATCGGGACATCCAGGTCGGCGTCCAAGTCGAGCTTGAATGTCGTCGTGTAGAATCTACCTGCTGCACCAGAGACTCCGTCGAGCGGGCTGTCGGATCTGGCTGTGTGGGGCGCTTTGTATCCCGGCAGATGCCAGCCGAGACGCTCTCCGTAGAGACCTCCTTCGTTCATGGGTCCGCGTACGGGGTCGATGTTGGCTTCGCCTCCGGCGTTGCCTTGGATGCGCCAGGATGTGAAACTGCCATTCTCAAGTGTGGCGCCGAGGATCCCGCGTGGGTTTTGTGCGCCGTTGGGGGATACATTGGCCTCATCGTGGCCTGTGTAATCCATAACGACTGTCAGGACATTATCGTGCCCTTGCAGAGTGGAACGGTCGAAGACAAGCTCTGCAGATGTCGCTGCGAGGGCGGGATCACCAATTACTCCGCCGACGTAGACGCCGTTTAGCCAGGCGGCCCAGCCGGCAGCTACGCCGTTTTGAACGGTGAGATTGGCGCCCGTGGCGGTTACTCCGTCGAACCGTCCACGGTAGATTTTGGTTCCGGCGTGATAGCCATAGTCGCCGGAGTAAAGCACCGGGAGCGTGAGTGGTGCTACAGAGTTGGCCGAGGTTGTCTTGTTGCACACCGTCCAGCGAGAATCATCGTAGTCCGCCTGGATCTCCGGGAGAGTGTCTTGCGCTTTCCAGGATCGTAGAGCTGGTAGTGAGATCTTAGCATCTTCCGCTCCTGGAGCCGATCCGATCAAACTGCCATAGGCTGTCTTTTTAGTCGGGATGTTTTTGCCATTCCACTTGATCTTCTTCACCTTGGAATCTCCCGTGTAGACCCTAAGAATAGACATTAGCTGGGCATAACCCTTGCAAGATGCAATCATACTCACTCAAGAGAAGTCCGATTTGCATTATCACCGACAAGACTGACGGTATCACCGTGGACAGTCGCTGTGCGCACGAGATATGGCCCAAGCGCAATGATCTGCTCACTTGGAGACACAGTGGGATTGGAAGTGGTCGGCACTGCAAAGAAGTTCCAGGCTGTCTCCTTGTCGAGAAGATAGACGAGCACGCCGTTGGAGAACTTGACCACTGTGGTGCCGTCCCCTTGAGTATAGGTGTATTTGGTGCCATGTGCCGATGCAGAGGACTTCACCTTGGAGTTGCCGTACACCTTGAAAGTCAAAAGTGGTGCATCTTTGAAAACAAATTCACCTTTTTGGTCGATATTCAGGTAGAACACAATGACATTCACGTCGAGCGTGGCGTAGGTCAAAACCTCAGCCGTTGAATAGAGTAAGCTCGACCCCTTTCCGATGTGATAGTCAGTGACTATAATCTTGCTTTGGCGGCCGGCCAGCTCGATGTCGGGAACTGTGATAGCCCCTTTCAAATAATTCCGGTTAGCACACGACTGTAGCCACTGCTGCCCATCAGATATTAGAAGTACCTACCAACGGTGGTGTTGATGTTTAGTGAGGTAGTAGTCACAGCGCGAGAAGAGCTGGTAGAGTGCGCGAGAACATAGAAGCCGGCTTTAATTTCCGGATTTCGCAACGCCCAAGTGTAGATGCTGGGGTCACTGGTATATCCCGTTCCGTTCCCTTCCATTTCCGTCTGCAGAAGACCAGACGAGACACGAGTAAACAAGCCGATCAGCTTAGTCTGCTTGAGCTTGTCCCGTATCTCGCGGGTCTCGCGCATGGGTGCAGAGTAATCATACGATGTGTAGACAACCGGAGCAGCGCTCTGACCCCAAGAAGTCGCCCCCATCACCATGTAGATGTTCTGCAATGTGACTCTCGACCCGATATTGTTTTTATAGTAGACGTCGGCGAATTCAGGCGAAAGCTCACTCGAACATTGATCATAGAACGTCCCTCCCCAGGGAGAGAACCAGCCGCCCTCAAACTCTGGAAGGTATTCGGGTTGCGAGCTCGAGTAGTTCTGGAACCATTGGTAGTAAGTGCGAACCAGATTGAACCCGGTGTCTGGATTGGTACAAGACAGACCACCAGGATAGGAGTCCAGACCGTAGACGTTGACAGCACCACCGACGTCCTGGTAGTCAGTTGACCAGCTCATTGAGCGCATCCCCTTCTCATTATGGGAGCTCGGGACAACGATGCCCGCCTCATTGAAGGCATCTTTGATTTGTTCCATGTACTTGACAACAGTATCGTTGGCATCATGATGGCCCTCCTGCAACTCATTCTCATGTTGATTGAGAATCACCGGCCCGCCATTAGTGATTTGGTTTGCGGCGATGATTTTTCCGATTTTCTGGATCCACGGATACCACCGGTCATAGTATGAGCTTGCGCTGGTACGCGTTTTGCCCATTTGACCATTAGAGGCCCACAGTGCAAAGCCGCCAGCGGAGGTTTCAGCATTGCAGTATGGACCAGCGCGCGCGATCACATACAGACCGGCCTGCTTAGCGTAATCAAACACGTGCTGGACGTCATGGGCGCCGCTCTCGAAGTCGAAGGTATCTTCGGAGGCGGAGTGGAAGCTCCAGAAGAAGTAGACTAGTCAATCCGACGGGCATTAGTGCAGTTCACCGATCTTGTCGATTTTACTCACTGGATACCGCATTGAACCCATTTGAACGTAGTTTCTGAAACACGTCCAGCCACAGCTCGGGCACGGGGAGTCGTTGGTAGTGGAATTCTCCGGAAAATACATATATCCTTTCTCCCTTGACAGAGAGACTGTATTGGTCCCATGTCACATCGGTGGTCTTTCCATTGTCCGTTGCCGAGACGAAGTAGCCCGGCAGCAGTCCCAGGAAGACGAGGAAAAGCGAAAGGAGACGCATTGTGGGTCGCTACATGGGGTAGGCCTCATCTTGGAATACTCCTTCATATACTCTCACCGGGTCTCGGTCCTTCGCGATAGAGATACCCCGTGGAACTGCCGTGCAACTGGGATTGGTGGATGTTTTGTATGTGACGGAGATCAATACTGCGTTAGGGTTAGGCTATCTTGCAGGATGTCGAGGATTGTTGAAACGCGGGGGAATCTCACGATCCCCGCCGGAGTAAAGCGGCCAATCCCTGAGAGTAAACAGAGTCCTCAATTGCACCCATTGAACCCTAAACACAACAAATGTCAGTGACGCGTTTGCACAGTCGTGAACAGCCTATAAATATCGACATCCGCGGTGACAGTGTGACGTGTCTTCAGTCTGAGTCAGCCTCAATGACCAGCCGCAAAGCGGGTTGAGCGTCTTTGGAAATTGTATCGATGATCGGTCAGCTTCTTGACCAGGTGGGCCATGACCCATGGGGCATATAAGGACAGACTAAACCCCGACATGGAGTTGTAATTCCGTCCTGGAGTGAGCTTGCCAAGTTGAAACACCTACACGATGACCTCTGAGCCAAAAGGAATTAGCGACCCCAGCCCCATCTCTGTCAGAGAGATCTGGGAAAAAACCATAGTTCGATTTCAGCAACGAACAGGCGAAAGGCTCGATGGCGTCTCTCGGGGGCCTCAGGATTTGCGACAACTTCTTGACGCTCATTATGCCACCCGTGAAGATAGCAAAGATGTTGCGAAGGCTAAGGAGGTGGGATTTCAGATAGTTAGCTGCATCCAGCTCCTAGGCGGTATCGTGTCCGAAGGTGCGTCAATGGTAAGTGGTGATCAGCTTGGATAAACATGTCCCAACACGTGGAATTACGTGAGTTTCTAATCTTTTGTCTCCCAGGTCTTCGCACCTGCAGGACTATGTTTCAATGCTCTTTCCTTTCTGCTGGAAATTCCCAAAAAAGTCCATGGTTTTCATAGCGAGATCGACGCCGTCTTTTCAGAGGTCGGACCGGCCTTGGCCCAGTTTCGGATCTACGAGCGGATGGACGAAAGCGCGCAGATTGACGAGTCTCTGCGGCTGTCTATCGACCAGGTGATGACGAGTTTTGTGGACCTTTGCGCCGATTGCATCAATATTCATAACGAGGGCCGCTGGAAGAGCTTCAAGCGCAATACCAAACGTATCCTCTTGGACGACGGGTCGGTTCAGGGCGATTTGGCGCACTTTAAGAAACTCACGCACGACCAGCTGAATCTCCAAGCGACCCTGACCCTGGAGGCTGCAGTGGAAACAGGCCAGCATGTTCGATTCATGAAGGAAACCACCCTTGAGGTCAATGCGAATACAAAGGCCATCAAAAGCGACGTATCAGGGCTCGTGGAAGCAGAGCACAAGCGCAAAGTGGATGATGAGCGGAAGAGAATTCTGGCTACCATCAGAGCAAAGCTTGGACAGAAAGAGGACGAGATAGCTGCGATCCATGACGCCCGTGATAGAATGTGGAAGCGCGCCCTGAAAAATAGCGGGAAATGGTTGAACCAACTTGATGAATATAATCATTGGATGGATAGAAACAGTGATGCAGATTTTCTCCTCATGCTGACCGGTGAACCTGGAACAGGCAAATCCTTCCTGGTCTCTGCGATTGCCCAGGAGATCAGATCTGCAAATATAGGGACCACAGCCGAGCGCAGTTTAATCGGATATTATCACTTCTCCATGGTTGATAGAATGGACAGAGACAACGACAGGCAACAGTTGGAGACAGCGATAAAGTCAATATGCGTCCAGCTCGCTGAGCAGGATTTGGTCTACGCGAGACGTGTTTCTAGTGCATTGAATGACATCGGAAGGAGTGAGAAGTACTTCAGAGATGCGAGTTGCGCAGACCTCTGGGCTACGTTGGGAGTCGGAATGCCATCCAAGAACACGACGCATTACATCCTTCTTGACTCTTTTGGCACGCTCAGTACTGGAGACCGGGAGCGACTTCTGAGGGCGATCCAACCAAGCGATGAAGGCAGGTCCAGCCATGTCAGATTGCTTGTCAGCGGCGAAGCAGGGGCATTCCAGAAGGTCCAGTTCCTCCCTTCTCGGACGCGGACCATCGATATCACAAAGTACAATGGGGGCGACATCAAAACATTCATCGCGGAGGAGCTAAAGGGCGCGGCTCTCTTCCAAGGAGCAGACGAAGACTCGCGGCGACGCAGAAGAATGGTTGAGGAAAGGCTCCTGACGCGCTCCAACCATTCCTATGCAACGATCCAGCAAGACCTCCGCAAAGTTAAGGTGATCATTGCCTCAGGCGGCACCGAAGAAGAGCTGAACCAGACGTTGCATGAGTCGGATACGGATCCACGGGAGCTCGTGCGGTCAGATCTCAAAACAATGGAGGCAATGCTCAAGCCCCGAGAGATCGATGAGATAAATGAAATCCTAATCTGGGCTGTGGCTGCAGGATCGTTCATAACCCTGGAGGAACTGGCAGCGGCCCTGTTCCTCCGCTTTAATACTGTATCGCTGCAGCCACTTGATCAAAAGATCACCGGAAAATACTCGAAAATCTTCACCTTGATATCGCCCATCAACGGGAAGTCCCTTGCATTAAAAGAGCATGTGGAGGACTGCGTGGTTGTTCAGCGTGACCGGCCTCGGAATTCACCAGATGACCCGAAGATAACGGCTACGATCAGCATCACCAACGGAGACCTCCAGATGGTTCAGCGTTTCTTCTGGGACCTGAATCAATATTCATTCCTTGGTGGATTTGCGTTCGCCCGGATGTCCGAGCAGGCAAACACAGTTCAACGGAAGATCCACGTGTACAAAGCTGACGCTCACCTAGAGATTGTCAAGAGGGCCTTTGCCTTCTTCCTCAAACCAGTTGTCGGTGAAAGAGGCAAGGCAATCGGGTGGTATTTGATGATCAGTCTCTCAAGCCATCTGGAAGTCCTGTCTGAGGTGGCCGGATTAGACGAACTCCTGCCCGCAGATAAGCATTTCATTGGGTCGCATGTCTATAGTATGTTCACTGACGGGGATTTGATTGAGCGAAACTGGGAACTATTTCGATGGGGAGCAAGACGGTACTGTGATATTGTCCATCTCGAAACCTACTGGAGGTGGCTGGATGACCCCGTGGCAATCGCTACTCTTGGACCTCGCGACAAACGATGGCTGGCAGAGTTGAAGAGAGACAAAGATCCCAACTCGGGGTTATTGGCTCCAGTAATGACCATGGTCGCCCGGAAGTGGCTGCGGGAAACCGAGGGTGACGCTGTCGACGCCTACACCTGGATCGAGGCATTTCTATCCTTGGTAAGCACCCGTTGGACAAAATCCCTAAGCACTCCGTTTTCTAGTACTTATATATCCTTGAGTGCAGGGCAACAAATCTGAACATCACGATCGGACTCTTGTAGCCGAGGAAACGCGGATGTTGGATGAAAGCAACGTGCAGATTACCATTAACGAAAATGACTCCAGGCGCGAAAGAGTTGCGAAAGCCGAGCATTGGTGCAGGAAGACTCTGGGGACCACCGACTCAGACTACATATGGCACGTCCGGTTGGGCGCCACCTATGCCGTGTATGATGAACAGTTTGCTGCAAGACAGCACTATGAGAAGGTACGAACGTCACACATCCTACGCAGAATAGACCGTTATCTAACAAGACACGATAGGCTGCGGCAATTCTCCAAGCTCAAGAGCCCTTGATCAAAGAGCAGCTGCGAGATGTCTTTAAATCTCTAGGAAATCTGGCGACAGGCACAACAATTGCCATGAGGTATTGGGAAGAAGCTTCCAAGTTAGACGGAGACGATGTGGACATTCTTTATGGAAGGCTCCAGCAATATGTTGCCAGTAAACAGGAGGACGAAGCGCGATCAATCATCCAGAAGGCTCTTACCAAGAAGCTTCCCGGCAAAGACTCAACCATGGTGGTGGCATTGCTGGCGACCGCCGTGAGTAATGGTGATGAAAGTCACATGCTGTCCGTTTTCAAGGCAGTCTTCTCTCTGGTCTTCTCCGACCCGGAATTGTGGGCAACCTTTCAAGACGGGATGGAGGCGGCGATTGAAACCGCAAGAAAAGCGGGCAAAATCAATGAGCTTTCAAATTTGCTGCTGCTCCAGGGCAGCGCTGAGTACTATCTCCGCAGAGACTCAATTGAGATGTCAGCCACTGCCACACGTCATTTGCGAGAGTGCTTGGAGCTAATTCACGACTGGGATGAAGTCGCTTCAAGAGGCGAGGAGCGCCTATTCGTCAAACAAAGTGCCGTTGCCCGTCTCAGTATACTGTACCTTGAGACTGCCATGCAATCGAATGGAGAAGAGTCAGAGATAGCCGCCGAGAGATTGCGGCAGCTCCACGAGGATGACCACGCCGCAAATGATGCGAGGTCGACTCTTGCATCACTGTACATGTCCAAGGGACAGAAGGGCATGGCCCGTGGTCTCTTTCGCGCCGACATGGTCGAAGCATTCAACATCCTGGTTGACAGCGATGTCCAGAACGATGGAGACGGGTTCACTATGCTGCGTACCCTGTTATGCCACACTGGTGATTATGAGAATGCACAGCGAGCCGCATTGCTTTATTCCAAGATGCGGTTCAATACCACGATACTTAAAGAGCTTCTTGCCGAAGAAGAGCCCTCAATCACCGCAGACCTCCTCATGAAGTACGAAAATTACCAAAGAAATCCAAAGGCATGTCGACCAGAAGATCGACCCTGGTACGATCTCCAGTATGTCTGGGCAGAGGTGAGCAGACTTGCAACTGAATTGGAAGCGGTGGATAGCCAGCGGGCCATCAAGTATCGCAAGATAGAACAGATTTTTACAAAGCATGAGAGATCCCACTGGTGGGGATTTTCCTGCACAAACTGTGATCTACCCTGGGATAATGACAATGGCTTGCATGCGTGCAAGTATTGCTACAATGTTGGTTTGTGCGACGCTTGCTGGAGCAAACTGCAATTCAGCGAAGCAGGTCGAGCCTTTGTTTGCAGCGGAACACATGACTGGTACGAGTTACCGCCATGTACGATGGAGCAGTATTTATATGCATGTAAAGATATAGTCGTCATGAAGACTGACGATGGGGGCCAGGAGGCGGTCTCTGCTTCCAAGTGGTTGGGGATGTTGTGCGAAGAATGGGGGCTGTCCAAGACTGACTGGGGTTTTGAGTAGCAAGCAGGCAATTAAACACATTGAATAAATAACCGCGAGCTAAGTAACAGACAAAAACAGAAGCTCCAACGGCTCTTCTCAACGAGAACATGAAATTCGTAAGTATGCACCCAAAGCAGGAAGCATGGCTCAACAACGTTCCCTACTGCGGCACCTTCACCATCTGGCAATAACGGACTCTCGACTCAAGAGCAGCAGGATGGAATGTCTAACTCATCCAGTCTATACCGTCCGGAGCAAAGATGATAGAATATATACCCCGGGGCAGAAGCTGCCTTTTGCCGAAACTAGGTGCCGAAGTACTTTGGAGATGGAAGCCCGTAACTCATCAAAGTGCTTCTGCAAAGTGCTTGATATGCTGTCTTTCTCTGGAGATAGACGTCAAACGGGCGTCAAGGGGACGGACCTTAATGGCTTACCCGTGAAACAGCCCGAGCTGGCGTCGCACCTAGGTAGTCACCTAGATGATGTGGAACTTGGAGTGAAAAGTCAGTGCAGCGATAATTTCATTATTCGATATGTAGGAAGCACCTGAAGCTAGAGGTAGCTAGCAATTAGAGAGAAGCCATATCCAACTCCGTATATCCTCCTAATATCCGATTCCACCAACAAGCGCCAGTTAGATCGCCTGTAAATCCCCCCAAAATGAAAAACAATACATCGAAAGTCAAGGATTCAAATAGACATACATATCAACGTTCGAGAGTTTGATCACAGATCCTCAGAGAACCTCGATTCTCTTTTTGTGTTCATGGTCTCACCAAGATTCGGCGGCAATGGAAGGCCCTGGTCGGCGGCACTCTCTCGCAGACTATTCTTATCAGTCCCAGCGGTATCCTTGGAGAACGATGGAACCGTCGAGTTGCGACGCGAGTCACCATTTGGCATATCCTCATCGGAGCTACGGGAGACAGTCCTGAGGAATGTCTTGCGGAAACGGTCCCTTTTCCTGCCGTTGCCATTTTGCTTCGCAGACTCTTGGACAGACTCTCCAGCATTGTCATGGTTGACGTCTAAGTCATTGCTGTAGTAGCTCGACGACCGATTGTGTGTCTGGGTAGGCCCGTTGCTTTCCAAAGGGTGCGAGCTCAGCGCTGCGCTGCGGGATTCATCGCGGTTGAGGGCAGCTCCGCCTTGGAAGGCAGGTTCGCTGTCTGAGCTGTAGTCCGGGCCAGGCTGATGAGGATAGACAGGGACCGGACCACTGGAGCGGCGAACGAGACGATCACGGAACCAGGTTTTGAGCTTCGAGTCCGCGCGCGGGCTTGTCACAGGCGGCGTGAAATAACGCACGGGTGTAGGCCCTGAATCTATGATGGATTCTCGTTGTTCTACCTGTGGATCAGTCTGTCTTCGGGTGGGCCGGCGTGGGATTGCTGCAGGTACGTTGTCTTCCACGGGCTTTGGGGTTTCAACTTCTGGGGCTGAGACAACGGCTGCAACTGGAGTCTCGGTATTCGCCGCTTCTGGGGCTGAGACAGCGGCTGCAACTGGGGTCTCGGTATTCGCCGTCTCCGCTTGGGGAGACTCCTCTATAGACTCCTCTTTGGACGCCTCCTCTGGAATTGTATCTCTCGATACATCATTGTCCGTGGCAGTGGCCGTGGCCTGGTCCTCCGTAGGTTCCTGAGCAACGGGCAAGGCTGATTGAGTTGTATCAGCCTCAGATTTATCCGCGCGATCTCGTTTGCCCTTCTTCGCCCACAAGAAAAGCTTCGGGAGCTTGCTCTCGGATTTGCGTTCACGCTTGCCTGTGCCTAGTTCATGAGTCAAATGTTCTCCGTGAAAGAAGAGATAGGGCAACCAACCTTTGCTTTCTTGCTTTTCCAATTCTCGCACCTCAGCTTCGCGTTGACGCTCCACATCAGCACGTCTTTGCTGCTCCTCCGCATCCAGGCGAGCCTCAAGCTCCTGGGCCCTCCGTAGTTCGGCGTTCTCTGTGATCTCATCGAGGGAAGGCTGAAGCCGCTCGCGCGCGATAGCGTCGACGTCGGCCATGTCCATATACTTCTGGCCGCCAATATTGACTCGATTACCCTGTGTGCTGGCTGTTTCGAGACTCTCTGCTTCCCGTCGCACGCGCTCCCGGGCAACTTCATCCCACTGGCTCTGCACGGAAGGTGGAGCGCGGCCGGTGTCCGCGTATACTCGGGCTTCCATGTCTTGGATCGTCTGGTCCACATTCCGGCGGGCAGCCTGCATGAGTAATTCGCGATCCCTCGTCCGTTTCGAATCAACTTGGTCCATCTTGGTTCGGAGACTAGTCATTTGGCTCCGGATCTGCCGTGACTGCTCCGCATCAATCTGGGAACCATCTGCATCGCTCGATGTTCTTTTGCGGCGGCCGACCAAGCGCAACCGCTGCGGCTGCGGCTGAGGTGCGGTGCCATAGTATTGCTGGTATTCAACGTTCTCATCCTGCATACGCGCGAGCTTCTCGTTGGCTCGCTTCTGTGCTGCCTCTTGCAGCGCGATCGCACGCCGGACGGCAGATCCATCCGCAGCGGAGACTGTCTTGCGGTATCCCAGCTGACTCTGGCCGTGTTGAGCTGCGAGAATGGCGGGGTCTACTCCACTAGGAGTAGGCGGTGTTTCATTTCCCGTGACTTTGTACATGTCTTTTGCCATTGAGATTGCTGCGGCGCGCATCGAGTTCCTGTTGTTTTGTTCTTCGACTTCACTTTGAATGGGTGGTGTTGAGGTATACATCTTCGCGTTAGTATGAAGAGTGTGTTGGATTCTGCTTGCTTCCATCGCAGGGTCCAAGTGGTCAAGGGGACCCTCTTCTTCCACGCGACCATATCGCGACGCCCCTGCGGCTGAACGAGCATGTGGTGAAATGGGGGCAACCCCTGCATCACTAGGTGCCGAGTCGGCTCTCTTTCGCGAAGAAGTGTAAGCGCCTGTCGCGGCCATGAGTGCCTTGTCCTGCGGGTTGCCGCCAACAGCGGTGTGGTGAAAGCGATCGACAGAACTACGACGGCTCTCGAGGTTGGCAGCTTCAGCCTGGCCTACCGACGCTCTCTGTTCGCGAACGGCGATCTTGGCAGCTCCAAGCCCCTCTGCGCTGTACTGGCTGGTGGGTTGGGGTATCTGAGGCGGAGTAAAGTCCTTCACACGTAATGCCGCCTTCTCAGCAGCTGGTTGCCTATTCGGGGGCCGCCATATTTCAACGGGCTTGTGATTTGCGTGTGCGAGGGCGGACGCTGCGGAGGCGTGGCTGAGGCTTGGGGTACCGCCGACCGCGCGTGGGTCTATTGCAGACACCTTGTCAGCCGTGGGTTCCATTTCCAGGTGCATCCTTGAAAGATAAATACTCACTGAAATACTGCGTATTGTTTGCAGGTGGGTTTGAAATAGAGGTCTTGCGTTCAGGGTGCGTAACGTAGAGGGCAGCTGTCGCAGCTGTTTGGTGCACGTGAGGTTAGCCCATTCTAGTGTGAGATTGTTAAATGACGATCATCTTACCATCATCTGCTAGCCGGGATCGACCCGCAGGCAACTGCGCAGTTGCCATTGTTCAAAATAAGTGTGTCCTTAGATGAAAGATAAGATATTTTGTTCAAAAAGAAAGGTAGGGAAAGAGCAGAGTGAAATTTAGAGAGAGATGGAATGGAAGTCCGGAAAGCTTCTTTCATCCCCGTGACGTCGACTGTAACGGAAGATCGGCGTTTGGAAAGCCATTGCATCATCGTTTTAGGGTTGATTTAGGTTGTAAAAAAACTGGAGTTCATCCAGAGCTTATCCAGAGCTATTGAGAGCTCAAAGTGGAGATCAAGAAAAAGATAGTCCGCATTTGATCAGCGGAGCTTCTCCATCTTCTTCGGTGACGTGGAGACTCGCAGGGAACCCTGATCGACGCGCTGATCCTCCACATTCTGATCTTCTTCTCTTCACAACTTTATATGCTTAAATCCAGATATCCAGATCATCGCTAGATATCGGCATTACGGCTTGGATGATCTTAAAGTGGACTCGTTTGGCACATATTTTTAGAGTCTTTGGATGTAGGTGACTTTGGGCTCTGCCTTCTCAATATCTACATTGTGCTATGTCATATGAAGTATTGTAACAAGTAGCCGGGTCGAAGTCTGTAGATGGAGATGGGCCATATGGCAGTGATATGACGATAACACTGCTCACTAGAGTAGCGATCAGCTCGTGGGGCCCAAAATAGGTTACATCGAAGAAGTACCCGTGGCCCCGTACTATCGCCAATCCGTCTCAACGCTCCGAATCACCGCCTTCTCACCCCGACTCGGACACAAAAAAATTCGCCAGCACCCAGGCTTGGTCGGGATGATTGTGTTTGTCTTTTTGCAAGCTTCGCCCTTGTAAAAGTCCCACGTCTTTGCCTTCTAGAAAAGAGAGTGCTTGGTGGCAGAAGCAGGTTTCCTGCGTTTGGTCTCGGGAACGTGTGCCATGCATAAAGACCCATAAGTACATGCTTGCGCTATATCTCATGTCCTATAATTTGCCCGATATAGGTCCATCTCTGAGCTGATGGGATAGTCCGACATTATTAGTAGATTAACGGAGATGAAGCATCTCGAGGATATCATGACGCGCAAAGAAAGAGCGGTTCCATTTCCCGAAAACATCTATAACCGGTTAGTCTTGAGGAGAGAAACCACCAACTCATGTAGACCTAGCACACTTACACATGGGAATACTCAACAGGCAGATTCCCACTTGGATGCTACCAATTATAACCATGGTATGCTTAATGCCTCCATGGGCAAACCAGTCATAGGCGTAGAAGGTCAGGACAAAGCTGAACATGTTCTTGAAAATTATCATGCACGTAAAAGCCTCGATGGCCATCTCTCCTAGTATCGTCAGCAATCACATCAATCCACAGGCAAGCCTGGTAAGTTACATACGATGGGCATCGACAATATAGAGAGATCCCGCAACCGCCCCCATAACCATGCCGACGATCAGGAATGCGAAGAAGACGTCCGGCAATAGCCAGCCATAGCGGACAACATCATTCGCGGTCCACCCGAAACCATATAATCCGATGCCGCAGAAGATAAGCTGCGGTATCACCAGTAATATACGGAACTCAGGCTCATATCTGCCATGGTTGAATCGGATCATCAATCTGGTCATGAATTCGGTGAAGAGACCAGACAGAACGAGACCCACAATAGAACCAATGAAGGCGCCTGTGTAAAGGTATCCGGTCTTGTCTTCCTGAAACCACATGGGAGGTCCGAGGAACACAATTGCCAGAACGACACCAACGAATACCGCCCAGCCAATCACAACACCTTGGATCAAGCAGCCCTGTGCAAGGATCAGTGTCTGAAACTAGATTCGATTTGTTTTGCTTACCCAAAGGATTCCGGGATGCAGAAACAAAGGAAAAGGACGGAGAAGCAGCTTGAAGAAGCTCTCGTCTGTCTTCCTTCCATTGAAGAGCCTGAGCGTTTTAGCAAAAGAGTCCTTCTCGGGGATTATTGTCGCGGCTTGAGTGGTCCTCGAAGGTCCACTCAACCTTGGGTTTGATGTCAGCTCCTTAGTCTCTTCATTAGAAGCTCCACTGAGCGAGGACTCTTCGCGGCCACTGGTACTCTTAAAATCCGTGTTCAAGTGATCAGCGCGCCGGAAAGCAGTTTCAGGCACAAAGAAAAACATAAACGGCAGTGAAGCGCCTAGGAATATTGCCACAAAGTAGAAAGACCATTGCCATCCCATAGACTTGGTGACCTTGCCAACAATGACAGGAGTGAGAAAGGCTGCGCCGAATAGAGCAACATTAGACACAGCCATACGCTTGCCTCGTTCCTTTGTTTTCGTCAACCTCGTGAGATTTTACGATTGGAAAGAAAGCCATGGAACTTACATGGACAAAATACAGATCTCCTACACAGGCATTCACCAACCCCTCGAACGGTGCCAATGCAACACCCTGGAAAATACGCGACCACAAAAGACTATTCACGTTCTTGCCACTGACGCCCGACCAGATGCAACTGATAATCATCAAGACATGTCCGATCAGGAACAGATGGCGTTTACCCCAGACTCGAGCGGTTGGTACAATGAAAATACCCGCTACGCCGACACCGCACAGGTGATAGCCGGTCAACAATGCGGCTGCCGTGTATGTTATTTCCTCATAGTCTGCAATGGTGGCAGTGTTCGCGGCTAGAATGGAGCTCAGGGCGGTACATAGGATGGTCACGAAGGAGAGAATTGCGAGGATTACATCGCGTCGCCATAAAGGCCAGTTCTGATGGAGCCGGTTTGGTCAGCTCCTAGCTTGTAGGAAATGGGGTGCTTGGTATGATTCTTCGGAAGACATACCAACGGATCGTTCGGGTCATCGCTTGGTTGTGGGACAAGGATAATGGGCTGATTTCCCGACCAGTCGCATTTGAGGCCTGATGTATTGGGAAGCCGGTCGTTCACATTGTTGTCCTGCTCGTATATATCGGATGTGCCTGAGTGAAATGATGAGCAAGGTTAGATCTATCATCTGACGAGAGCAAAGGGCTGATAGTTGTACCTGGGACATGCGTGGACTTCGTATCCAGGACTCCAAGGCCCATGACTGCAACCAGTTAGTAATGACAAGTTGGGGCCCCGGGGGTTGAAGACGATGTAGGGTCAAGAGGGGTCTTCGCAGTTCATAGCAAAATAAACTTTGGCCATCCAAATCTTGTATTGGAAGGTACCTTATTCTGGTAATCCTTGCAAGGTCAGGAACGAATATAAGTCTACAAGTAATGGAGCTTGTCTCCCTTCGCTTCCACTGACAATTCAGGTCTCAAATCTGAGACGAAACCTGGACAAGACAAATCCCGCACACAGTTGGGTCAACATGTAACTTGAGAAGGTGTTCTGCAGTGTCCCCATTTAACGTCGTTGGGAAGTTATTGTAGTATGACAGCCGAATATTGTCCTCGGTACTGTGTGACGCTTGTTTTACAGCTGTCTTACAGCCAACCTGAAATTACCTGTCATAAATATTTGCAGACTTGCAGTTCAGCAGATACGTCGATGTACTACCTGAATGCGGGGAAGTTGAGCCACTGAGAATCCGGCAACCTAGTGGTTCCTGAGGTATGACTATGGGCGCTTAGGCCGAGGTATCACATTGAGGCTTGAGGATTTGAGTGGACGCTCAGGCCGCCGATGTGCATACATATAGCAGGTATTCTGCAGCTCAGACGGAAAATCGGAAATATTCAATAGGGTGACGAGAGTGGCTCCAGGATTCTCGTGGTGTAAACAGGGCACCAACTTATCTTGTGCGCAGGTCCAGGAACAAACAACCTTGTGCTTTGTCGCGCCGCCCTAACTGATTCCTTGGCAAGTTCGGCCTAAGGCGCCAAGAGTATGCAAACTCTACAAATCTCTGAGGACCATCCACTCAACACGTGACTAAATACGTCATGTGATAAGCAATGTCACATCGTCTTCACTGACGTCCTGAGCTAGATAACACTTTATAAAGCACATAACTGTCAAAGCAACTATTTCAGTGTGGTCGCGTTATCCACCAGAGTCCATATCTCGATCTGCAGAGCTCTATCCCGCACTGTTGGGCAACATTCCGCCACCGAACCGACGCTCCACCACGGCTCCTACGAAGCTCACACGCGAAGCAAAAGCATTGACGCCAAACCAAATCCACTACTCCGTACCAACCCACACATAACCATGTCATCAGCCTCCCCTTCAAAAGACCCCGAACTCGACCACGAGGTGCAATCAGGAGAAGAGCAAGAACAGGCAGACAAAGACCAGCAGGATGTGCACGGGCACCAAGGCGAGTTCGAGGTGAAGGAGCAGGACCGATGGCTCCCAATTGCCAACGTGGCACGGATCATGAAGCTAGCGCTGCCAGACAACGCAAAAATCGCTAAAGAAGCAAAAGAGTGCTTGCAGGAATGCGTGAGCGAGTTCATCTCATTTATCACCAGTGAAGCCTCGGAGAAATGCCAGCAAGAGAAACGCAAGACAGTCAATGGCGAAGATATCTTGTTTGCGATGACGTCGCTTGGTTTTGAGAACTACGCTGAAGCTCTCAAGATCTATTTGTCCAAGTACCGTGAAACCCAGTCTGCCCGTGGTGACAACCAAAGACCCCCCAGCGCGAGCTACACGGCTGGTGGGCCTGGTGGAGCCGGATTGGCCCAGACTGAAGGCGCAAATCAGATGTTGAATCCCGATCTTGAGCATGGGCAAGATGCTGCTGCCTATGGCTATCCACCCATGACCGGCCAGTCTCACAATGGTGCTGGTGGTGAATCATACTAAGTCATCTATGATGGGTATGGCTGGAGGACGACAGCTACTCTCGAGAGAAGGCGCATGTTGTGAATGGATATCGCAGACAGTATAGATACAGTGAGAGGAAGAGACTGGGCGTCTGTGGTCTCGCATTTTTGTTTTCCTTTGTTTTCTCGCGCTGGTGTCTCGGCTGCTTTGTTGAGTAGGCCTGATAGAAGGCAGTCAAGGCGTGGTCAAATACCCCCTATGTATGATGATACCTTGGAGTTCTAAATTTTAATTGAATATCTTCCAAAATACGCTAAATCTAATTTTGTGGAGACCCGCCCGTACAGCCAAAAAGGGAAGATTGCGGGGAAATAAATACACAGTACAGGGTGAGTGATTGGAAGCGACGACTGGGAGACAATTGACCCTGGTCACCCTGGTATCAGCGTATTTTTGATCTGTCTATGGAAGGTACCTTCCGTATTACCCACGACCGGCATCATGGCCGGACAAACAAACCTACGTCTCACATAAATATAAGCTTCCTCTCCCTGCTGCAACTTACCTACTTCAACCATCCGCCTCACATCTGCAAACATGAAGTTCATCGTCATTACCGTTCTGGCAGCTCTGCTGACCACTGCTGCTGCTCAAGGCCTGGGTGATCTACCCGGTTGCTCGGTATGTACACTCATTTCCAACACAGAAGGCTGTCCCACAGTTCACGCATACTAACCAAACCTGATACCTAGAAATTCTGCGCTACAGGTGCAATTCCCAAGGACTGCGGCCTTGATATCAAGTGCATTTGCGAAGCCAAGTCCTTCCTCACTGAAGTCACTTGCTGCGTCGCTCATGAGTGCTCCAAGGAAGACCAGGAGAGTATGTGATACCCAGCTCCACCCTTAGGCGAATATGCAAATGGGCACAATCAGCATACAATAACCATATACCGAGCTAACGTATCTTTTCTCAATGCAGCTACCATCAAGGCCGCCAAGTCCATCTGTGCCCGTGGAGGCGTGACCGATCTGCCCGAGGAAGTGGTCTGCCCGAACTCAAACTCCAGCACTGGCTCCGGTTCCAGCTCGACCGAGACTACCACCAAGACCGGCACCGTGACTGCTGCGACTAAGACTGACGGTTCGACTACTGTCACGGGCACCCACACTGGCACCACGACCTCCACCGGTACCTTGCTCGTTTCGACCTCTACTGTTGGCGCGACTAGCACTGCCATGGCTGCAATGCCCCACAAGGACTCTCTCGTGGCTGCTGCGGGCGCTGCGGCGGCGTTTGCCATGCTGATCTAAAGCATGAGCTGGGCCATTTGAAGGAGACATTTTTAGCGCCGCTGAGATGTCTTCATGATGAGGAAATGAATGAGAATACGGAAACTGGATATCGAAACTCTAATGCGCTGCATCAATTGTAGTTACCATACTCTTGATTGATTAGGTACACAGGATGCGTGAATGCAAAAATTCTAATGCCAAAGTGGAATATTTATGTTAACACACTAGTAGAAAGGTATATAGAGGCCACGGTCGAAGGCTCAAAGGTTGCGTGTATCTTCCAGCAACTTGGTCAGGCGTTCCTGGCGTTCCTCGCGGAGAGTAGCGAAATTCTGTAGCGCAGTGTATTAGCATGACGATCTCCCAGAAAAGATTCGAACGAGTCGATAAGGCCGTAATCGCTTACCCAGAACCAGAACATCATCTCAAAGAAAGCATAGCTGAAAACCACGCGGTTCTTGAGGCGATCCAAACCTCCAATCGCGACAGCGCTGGTATAAGACGAGACCAGGTGTGCACCCCTCGTCTGATAAATGAAGAATGCAATTCCAGCATATACAGCGAAGCGACACGCGGCAACTCCAATCCACACGCTCCAGTAAACAGTCAAGGACTTAGTGATATATTCGGGCAAGCGCTCGAGAACCTGGAGGTCCTCCGCGGGGAGATTGCCGTTTCGCAGGGGCCGAATGTAGGGCAATGCTTCGTCAAGGGCTTCGTGGAATGGGATGTTGGACAGCAGGACGAGGTCAATGACGGCCTCGACGAAGAGGAGGATGGCACAGAAAGTGAAAGGGGATTGTTGCGGGCTTGACAGGGATGGGAAATCCTGCAGCGGGACGTTAGCGAATAATTCGACTCTAGGTTGGTTCAATGCCAAATTGCCAGAGAGACTGGACTTCAATTTGGGATGTTGGTGCGGGACGTACAATCTTCAGGGCTTCGCCCATCATAAAGACTAAGTCACAGTCGGTGATCACCTCGGGGTTCTTGACTAGGTAGCCGGCGATCACGATCAGGAACACGGCATGTGCCTGGATGAGGGTCTTGGATGATATGAGAACCATTTTGATGCAGTAATGGCTCGATGGTTGTTGATGAGAAGAAGCCAAGCCAGGCGGAAACTTGGAGAATTGGTCCGAGTGCTTTTTTTTGGCCGCCAGGGCATGTGGGGAAAAAACAGCTCCGGTCGAGATTACCCCCCACCAACACAACGCTGTGACGATTGGATCTGACTTACGAGTTGATGCTGGTTCGAATTGTATTACCACTGGGAATGAAAGCTAGTTCCTATTAGTATCTCGACCGAGCATCCTACGCAATGACCGACCCAGATCCATCCTTCAATACTGAGCGCCATGTCAAATACTACCTCCGATGCCTGAAGACCTTCCTGCCCTCCGCCTACACTTCAAATGATTCCAATCGCATGCTTCTGGCCTACCTGACCCTCTCTGGATTGGACGTGCTCGGCGTCTTGCAAAGCAAAACCACACCGGAAGAGAGACAAGGCTACATTGACTGGCTCTACCACTGCCAGGTGCCCTCGGGCGGATTCCGCGGCTTCCCAGGCACAGATTTTGGCCCAGAGAAGCGAAACAAGGATAATGAAATCTGGGATCCGGCTAATGTGCCGGCAACGTTCTTTGCGCTGGTCAACTTGCTGGTCCTCGGAGACGACCTATCCCGTGTAAAACGGCGAGAATGTCTTGAATGGCTTCCTACCGCCCAGCGTGCGGATGGAAGCTTCGGTGAAATTGTCGGTCTTGGGGGGAATGTAGGGGGAGCTCGCGATTTGCGGTATTGCTGTTGTGCTGCGGGCATACGGTACATCCTCCGCGGGCGAAACGCGACTGGGCTTGAGGGCGTACCGGATATTAATGTGTCGGGCTTGGTTACTTTTATTGAGGCGTGCCAGGTATGTGGAGGCTTTCTAAGCCATCGTCTGCGGTTGGAATACTTACAGTCTGGCGCGACAGACGTACGATGGTGGCATGGCTGAGTCCCCCTTTTGTGAATCGCATAGTTCGTATTTCGCACTCTGCTCTACCCGAATCTCCTAACAATTTGCAGGTGGACATACATATTGCGCGATAAGTTCGTTGGACTTCTTGCGCCGCACATCCAATGATACGAAATCAGTGCCGCTGCTATCGGCAGGCTCTAGGCAGTTTGAGGCTTTGATTGCATGGTTAGCTTCAAGGCAGACAGCCGAGCTCGAGGAACCTGATGAGGAAGAGGATGACAAAGAGCCTGAGATGCCAGAGACAGGTTCTATCGCTGACAGAGTCCGCGGGCTGCCCAGTGTGCAATCACTGGAAGCCAACACAACATGCGCCGGCTTCAATGGCCGGTGCAATAAGTACGCAGATACATGTTATTCATTCTGGAATGGAGCAACACTGGTGGTAAGTGAACCCTGAAAAGTACTGAATGTCGACTAATGTGGATGCTAGATGTTGGATCACTACTACGTGGTCGACGAAGTTCGCAATCGTCGATATTTGCTTGAAAAAACCCAACATATTGTCGGTGGGTTTGGAAAGGGGCCCGGGGACCCTCCTGGTAAGGCTGAATCTGCTGCTGACAACAACAACATGTTGCTGACCGAAACTCTAGATCTTCTTCACTCGTACTTTGGCATGGTATCCTTGGCCTTCCAAGGTGAGGCGGGACTTAGCCCTGTCGATCCCACGATGGGCTCTAGTGAGCGCACAGTCCGACATCTTGAATCGCTGCCTTGGTGGCAATGAAGTATATAATACCATGCATATAATACCCATGCATAATACCGCGTATGACGATGGTTGTTCAGCCATTCTTTCAATTTGGCCTCAACGTGCATCAGCCAATTGGTGGAATTGACTAAATTAATTAGTGCCTTGGTGTACGTTTCCCACAAGGGATGTATCAGGTTGATGATTACATGTAGGCAGTAACAGCACAGAACCTCATACCTATTGGTTCGATCAATTTCATTTGATTTCAAGCAAGTTTCTTGAATTCCCGTAGAGAAACCATGCAAGAAACTATGAGAGAGTAGGTAAGAGGAAGAGGTGTGGATCATCAAATTTCCACAGTCCACAGTGAGTCCAGGGGGTTAATTTCCCGTAAGATGCATAAGGGATAGCATAGACATAAGATATCCAACTCCAAGTGAGAGTATATTGTATCCGTATAGATATATGGGTACTTCTTAAGAGACTTAAGTAGAGATACGAGAGTGACAGTTGAAAGAAAGGAAAAAGGGAGTTTCGAGTCCCGAGACTTCTCCACACGGTCCACGTTCCCGTTGACGTCTTGGAAATTTCCCCATGGCCCCATGCTTGTATGCGATTTTCCTTCCTCACTCTTCTCTATTCTTAGATTTCTATTCCCCCTTTCTAGAACATACACCAGTCTCCACACCCGGACATCCTTTCTCCACGCTCGTCTTTGAATGGCACCCGACACCAACCTCCCTCCCCCGGTCCCCAACATTTTGACGCGCAGAGATCTCCCAAGACCTGGCGATTATAACACATGCCGCCCCGAACAAGAGCGGGGGTTCAAAGCCAAAAACAGAAGGAGAAGGTGCGTCATGCGACACTCCCGTTACTTTCCTTGCGCGGAGTCTGGATATATGGGCTAACTCGGCTTCAACTACAGCTTGCGAACTCCTACAATGAACTACTCGAGTGAGTGGTCTCGCCCCCGATCTACACCTATAACGCTAATGCGGTACTTCACAGAGAGTTCTCCTCCAAGGATCTTCGAAGTGTAGGGAATTATACATTGGGGAGGCTTATTGGCAAGGGATCCTTCGGCAAGGTCTACCTCGCGTCGCACAAGCTCACCAATGGCTCGAAGGTAAGCGCCGAAAAAACATGGACTCAGAGGCAATACTGATCAGTCGCCAGGTGGTGCTGAAATCGTCAAGCAAAGAAGACAACAATCTCGCACGTGAGATACATCACCATCGCCAATTCCTTCATCCTCATATCGCACGACTATACGAAGTGGTGGTAACAGAGAACCTGGTTTGGCTGGTGTTAGAGTATTGTCCCGGTAAGTTGGCATGCGCTTCGCAGAGACGCGGGGATCAGTACTGACCGGCTGGTTATAGGCGACGAACTCTACAATTACCTTCTCCGACATGGCCCACTACCGGTGGAGAAAGTGAAGCGGATATTTACTCAATTGGTGGGAGCAGTTGCTTACGTCCACAGTAAATACTGTGTTCATCGTGACTTGAAATTGGAGAACATCTTGCTCGACAAAAACGAGAACGTGAAATTATGTGATTTTGGTTTCACGCGCGAATATGAGGGGAAGGCTAGCTACCTTCAGACATTCTGTGGGACGATATGCTACAGTGCACCCGAGATGCTCAAGGGGGAGAAATACGCGGGCGAGAAGGTGGATGTGTGGAGCTTGGGGATCATTCTCTACGCCCTTTTGGCAGGCGAACTGCCGTATGACGATGACGATGACCAAGTCACCAAGAAACGAATCTTGTCGGAGGAGCCGATTTACAACGAGAAGTTCACAGATGATGCCAAGGCTCTGATCAACCTACTGTTGTCCAAACGGCCATTGATTCGGCCCAGTCTGGACGAGATCCTGGCTCACCCTTTCCTTGCGGAGCATGCTCCAGAACAGCTTGCAATCTTGAAAATCCCCAGACCGTCGCCATTCACGACCCCATTGGAGAAGACTACCCTGCAGCGGATGAAAAGTGCTGGTGTCAATATCGACGAGGTGATTGAAAATGTTTTGGCTCAGCGATGCGATCCACTAGCTGGCTGGTGGGCTCTGTTGATTGAAAAGGAGCAACGGAAGGAAGCAAAGAGAGAGCGCAAGCGTCGTGAGCGCGACGCCGAGGCAAAGAATCTTCGTCGTCTGAGCGCTGCAAGCAGTCGTCTAGAGAAGCGATCGTCCGCGTTAATGGAGGTTGCAGAAGAAGGACAATCGAGCCCTGGTCTGCAGGATCGTGGGAGACGCGACAGACGGAGCTTGCCCTCTCAACTAGCAGTGCCAGAACTTCCTGCGCTCCCGGAACCGCTTCCTGTGTTCCCAGTTGATCGTACGACACCACCACTGCCGCTGGATAAGGATTCTATTCGGTCTCACAATTCAACACGACGCCGCCCAATTCCCCCACCAAAAGACAGGCGTAGATCACGACCCAGTATGCTGCATGTCAGCGCATCACAACCGGAGCTGACGCAGCATCATGGTCTCTTCCGCCGTCGCACTACTCGTCGCCATCATTATCCGATACTCAGCCAACTAGCATCTCTCAAACACTGGTTCGTAGAGTCTGCGAAGAGAGCTCGCTCTCCCCACGCCAAATCAACAAGCTCGCGCAAGTACCTCTCTGAAAAGTTGAGCCCAGCGAAGAGTCAGGATACTGGGAAGAAACCCGCACCCTTGTCATCTCCCGTTAGTGAGACTGCCGGTGAAGATGTCGCGACACCGACTCAGGTCAAACGAATCTCTAATGCTAGCAGCCTTGCTCCTAGCAGTGCCTCATACCCCCAAAATCGGCACTCCTACCCTCGCCAGCCGCGGGCACTAAACACGAGTCACACTAGTCACCGGAACTCACTTTCGCCATCACCAATTACACCGCGCGGATCCTATCGACGGTCATCAGTCGGGCTCCGAGGACGCAAATCAACATCCTCCTCGGTGTCCTCAATCCGTAGCATTCACCACACTCGCGCTCACTCCAAGGCCTCTTCGGTATCGTCCAACAGTGTAGATACTATCTCGACACCTACTGGCAGGGCCTCCAAGTCGCCCAATTCATCTATCAAAGTCCTGCCTACCACGCCAGGCGCTTCTTCCCGCTTCCCGAGCAATATCCGGCTGGTAAGAGGGCCAGGTGGAGCACCTCAAGACACCGGCCACCAAGCTGGTCAGATGTCCTCGTCTTTCAATGAAGCGGCGCCTGCACCTTTGCTCTATTCGCCCTCTTCAAGTCTGGTGTTCGCCAGGCGCAAGAGATCTCTATTCAAAGGCCCTATGATCCATACCTCCAACTTGATGGTTTCCGGCGGGGCCGTCAATTCCCCTTTGCCCAATCAGCCAAATGCCGGCGTTTCGGATATCGGGACGGGACGACCTGCTGCACGGAAGAGCCAAATCATCGAAGAAGAGGAAGATGATGCGGGCATCGAAGAAGAAATCGAAGAAGTCGACGAGTTCGACGACCTTGTCACTCCAGGTGAAGTCATTCCTGACGACCAGCCTAAAGGCGAGACTCCCAGAGCTTCAGTCGAGTCAGAGACAGGTCGTCCCTCGGACAAGACACCCTTTTCTCCTACTCCAAACATTGAAAGCAGTCCTCTTCGTCCTCCGCGCTCATCTTCTTTGCGCTCACCGACTGATACCACCCACAACATCGGCATGGCTGAATGATTGGCCATCCGACAGTGCTTTGCCCTCATTGCGCTCGGCCATTCGCTTTGTTCACATCCCCTTTTTATTTCTTAGACCATAGACCTTTTTATACCCCCACTGTTGTTTGCGATTTCCTTGGACTGTCCCTTGAATCCTTTGGGCCAATGCCCTTCTCTCAATCTGCTATTTCCTTTATGTTCTCCTTGTTCCCACGAAGCGCTTTGTTTACACACATTCCCCAGATATTCACGACTCGACCCTCGCTTGATTCTCACCCAACATTTCCCTGTCTCATATAGAATGCTGTCTCATATCATTCGCTGGACTTGACCAGAAACAGAATATTTGCATAAATGCGTCACCAATGATATCCCTGACCCCTGATTCTGATTCCATGATTATCTTTACGGTATTGGACGTCATATATTGTGAAGATAGAAGCACTGCATGTCATTTGAGTATCTCTATAAGAGCAAAATCCTAGAGGATTAAAACATAACCCAACACCCGCTTATCCATTAACCATTACCCATGAAGACGTTGAAATATAAGCGAAAACAATCCCCATCACTCCACATGAGTAGCTTGGTGCTTCTCCACGTGGTGAGTCTCCACAACAGCCTCCTCATCCTTGATATCATGCTCAAGACCAACAGTACTCTTGCCGACCTTATCAACCGTAATAGTATACGCCGGAACGAAGTTCACAGCAACAGCATACGTCCACGCAACGACCATGAACTATACTCATATTAGCCTCATCAACACCAAACCACTCACTCAGAATCAAAGACAGAGGAACATACCATAGTCGGAACGATATACGCAAATCCGGTATTATTGCGCATATCAGCAACATGACCCAGAATCGGCGGTACAATCGCGCCACCACAAACACCACCAACGATGAACCCAGAGCCACGCTTATAATGGCGACCCAGGCCCCGGATGCCCAGTGCCATAATCGTCGGGAAACACACAGACTCGAAGAACAGTGTTAAAACCAGCATTGCAAGTCCGTTTTGTTTCTTCTGCGTCACTGATGCCGCCAGGAATGCTACCGTGCATGAGAGGTAGACTAGGAAGACCCAGCGTGCTCGTACGAACTTCATTATGCCTGCGCCGAGGAATCGGCCTACGGCGAATGCGCCCTGTGCACCGGCGAGGTATTTGGCCGATGTGGCGTCTGGTGTGCCGGCCCATGTATCCCTGATATAGTTGATGAAGTAGCCGGCGATGGCGACTATGTTGGATATTTTGTTAGTTGGTTTTCGAATTTCATGGGATGGGCGAAAGAGGTAGGTAGATAACATACCCTGTGCCCCAGTGTAGGTAAATTGCGCCAGTGTCGCATGGAACAGCTTGTACTGTTTCCAGAAAGGCTTGTCCTGTTCATCGACATGTGTCTGCGCCACTTGGAACGCCATGTCCTCGTCCGTGACTTCGGGAATATTGGAGATGAAGAATACAAACGCGAGACAGAAGACGAAGATACCGATTGCTAGGTAGACCCATTGCACGCGCTGCAGGGCGGAGACATCGTCCTTTGTCTCGGTGAAGAAGACGTATGAGCCTAGGACGGGGCCGACGACTGTGCCGATGGCATTGAAGGCCTGGGCGAAGTTGATTCTGATTTCTGAGTAGCGGGGTGGACCGCAGACTGGATGGATGTGAAGATTAGTATGTCGTTGTACAAAGTGTACAGAGTATACAGAGTTCCCTGTGAGGTTTTCATTGTTGCCTTACCGGTTAGGTAGGGATTAGCCGCTGTCTCCAGGGATCCTAGTCCCGAGCCGATCACGAAGGTTGCACCGCAGAAGCCACCGAAGGATTGGTGTAATCCGGCTGGCCACATGCATAAGGCTCCGATGCCATACAGGCATAGACCGAAGATGAAGACGGCTTTGTAACCGTAGTGGCGGAGGATCCAGTTTGCATAGCCGAGGGAGGCTAGAGGGTATGCGCTGTGTTTTGTTAGATATTTCGAGTTCCATACTTTGGGGTTTCTTCTTGATTTCTTGGATGCATGTCAAGGATGTCCGTGGGGGGGGGTCGGGTAGGTACATACCCGAAGTATGCAGCTTGAAGACCAGATGAACGGCCCCGAGTGATATGCAATGTCTTCTGGAAATGACTATTGAGTGTATCCAACAAACCATAGGCAAAGCCCTAATTGAAGTCTTAGTACAATGGATTATCGATGAATCACACAGAACCCACCCATAAGAAGAACAAGATCGTAACCAGAGTCAATGGCCACAAACTCTGGCGGAGAGTCAGCGTAGCCGCGGAGGTAGTAGCACGATTATCCACGCGCAACCCGGATCGGTTCTTGATGAATTGCTTGATACCCATGATGAGAGGCTATACCAAAGCAAGCACGGGGAACAAGACACGAAGGAAAGAAGAAGAAGGAAGAGTAGATAGGAAAAAAAAAGAAAACAATCCCATATTTCAACGAAAGCATGACTTCCTCTCTCTCTCTCTCCGCAACTCCACACTTTGCCCCAGTCCGGGGAAATCCAACGGACGATCCCTGGGGAGAAAGGAGCTACAACCAATAAGCAGCTGCGAGGCAGTCATTGACCCGAGGATCATAGCGAAGTTTGTTTGAAACTTAGCGTCTGACCTGCTCCTGTGCCCCCTCTTCCCCTCAGACACGGCTAAAGTGGCGTCATGGTAGGTTGTTTTGACGCTTATTCTCTTGGTTGATGCGGGAAGCCATTCCGGTGGTCTTTCGGGGTAATGTTGCCCGTTGCTGGAATGTTACCCTGCATTTTACCCGAGGACTGTCCTTATTGGGAAGTAATGATCCTAGATTATGTGGCTGGTCTGGCTTTGACTAGTTAGTGGCTGGCAGTAAACATCATCTAGTTATTCCAGGGTACAGTACCCTTAAGCCACAGAAAGTCACAACAATTCTAGAAGTATGTTAGTTGTCCCGCCAATCAGAGCTGAACCATGTCACGCAACATTCCAACTCATTGGAAAGGAATTACTGCCCTCCAGGGGAGACATGGAAATCAGGGGCTGAGACCGGGTGAGGCGCACGGCCCCGGCACGGGGCTGTGTGGTAGGTTCAAGCCGGGGAAAGCTTGTTTCTACAAATTAGAAGCCGTCCTGCTGGGTTTGGAGAACAGTCGAATGTCAAATCTTTCATTCGGGTCTTTGATCTATAGGCATAATAGCAAGTCATAATAAGTCCCAGCACTCTCAAATTCAGTGCGTGGCCATTATTCAAGCAATCTGGTACAACACAGCTCTATCTGTATGCTCTAGCATCTGCCTAGACAGTAGTCCCTGATGTGACGTGGTGAAAGGCTCTTGCCAATACACCGTTTTCTCTAAGCCATCTTGGGCTTGCCGGCAATGCCGTTCTGGTGGACGGGGTTGACGGCTTTGGTGTTGTAGAGCTGACGCTCAGCGAACTTGAGGATTTCATCAATCAAGCTAGAACAGGTGTTAGCAGTCGTTCTTTCAAGGCTGAATGGGAAAACAGTCACTTACATCACAGGTGCACTAATAACCAACACTGCCTGCCACTCGTTCCAGTTCAAAGGCAAGATCGAGAACAGACTCTGGAGGAAGGGAATGTAGAGGATGGCGAAGTGAAGAAGCATAGACAGAGTGATGGCGTAGACAAGCATAGGGTTGTTGTTCAGGAAGAAAGTGAAGAGGGATTCGCTGGAGGAGAGTGCGTTCATAGCGTTCAACATCTCAATCACCACGAGGATGGAAAGGGACACAGTGGAGGCGGCCTTGCCCATGTCGTTGCTGAACATCTCGCAACCAATCTCGGGGAATTGAGCACCACACTTGTGGTAGTGAGACTAGGGCCATGTTAGTGACTCGTCGTAGACGACTGGGAAAGCTGAAACTTACCAATTGCCAGAAAGAGATGCCAGGACCCTCGGGGTTGTAGACAAACCACCAGACATAGCCAAAGACGGTGGCAGCACCAACGTAAATGCCGATCACCATGTAGCGGAAGAACAACCAGCCACCGACAAGTGCCTCATCGCGACGGCGGGGAGGGCGGTTCATGACATCGTGGTCCGGTGGGTTGAAGGACAGAGCAGTGGCGGGCAGACCATCGGTAACGAGGTTAACCCACAAAAGCTGAACAGGAACAAGAGCCTCGGGCATGCCAAGAGCGGCAGTCAGGAAGATAGAGACGACCTCGCCGATGTTGGAAGAAATCAGGTAACGGATGAACTGCTGAGTGTTGCTGTAGATGGAGCGGCCTTCTTCGACGGCGGTGGTGATGGTAGCGAAGTTGTCATCGGCCAAAACCATATCCGCAGCCATCTTGGCAACGTCGGTTCCGGTACCCATGGCTACACCAATGTCAGATTTCTTGAGAGCCGGAGCGTCGTTGACACCGTCACCAGTCATGGCAACAACGTGGTTCAGAGACTGAAGGAGATCAACGAGCTTAGACTTGTGGCTGGGCTCGGTGCGGGAGAAGAGAGAAGCTGTCTGGACAGCCTTCAGCTGTTCAGATTCGCTGAGGGAGTCAAATTCACGACCGGTGAAGCTCTTGCCAGTGAGATCCTCGTCAACGCCGAACACACCAATTGAGCGACAGATGGACTCAGCGGTGTTGCGGTTATCACCAGTGATGACAATCACACGAATTCCGGCGGCGTGGCACTTCTTGATAGAATCGGCGACCTCAGGACGAGGGGGGTCCAACATTCCAACGAGACCAATAAGAGTCATGTTCTGTTCCAACTTCGCATAGTCCTCGCTGGTGGTAGCGGTCTTGAGAAGAGGGTTACCAGAGACATTGTCAACGCTTGCGATAGCCATTACACGTAGACCGCGGTTACCATACTCGACAACCTCCTCGGAGAGAAGCTTCAGGTGGTTCTTGGTCACAGGAACGCGCGATCCATTGGCGCCCTGAATGACGTACGAGCAGCGATCCAGGATGCTTTCAGGCGCTCCCTTGACCAGCAGCTTCTGGTCCTGGCCCTCGCCGACGAGGACAGACATGCTCTTACGATCGCGGGAGAACTCATAGGTAGCCTTGAGAGGAAGACGGGACTCGTAGTGAGCACTGGCGGCATGCAGCCTTTCGGATGCAGGAAGGCTGTAGAGCTTCTGGTTGAACGTGGCATCGGAGGATCCAATCTTTTCAACCAGAACACGCAGGGCGCCTTCGGTGGGTTCGCCGATGCTGGAGAAGACTCCGCTCTTGGGATCGTGGGCGATGGTCGCAGCATTACAACGCGCAGTGACTTCGGCCAGTTGTCTGATGGTGGACGAAGAGACAGCCAGGTTTTCAACGACCTTACCACCGCGAGTGAGCTTTCCCTCAGGGGTGAAGGTAGTGCCTTCGACATCAATTTCCTCCAAGCCATTTCCAGCGTCATTCAGGTAAACAATCTTCTCGACACTCATCTGATTGGTAGTCAAAGTACCGGTCTTGTCGGAGCAAATGACGCTGCAGCTGCCCAGAGTTTCGACGGAGGGGAGAGAGCGGACAACGGCGTTCTTCTGGGCCATCTTGCGAGTACCAAGAGCCAGGCAAGTAGTGATGACCACTGCAAGACCCTCGGGAATAGCGGCCACACCAAGCGAGACAGCAATCTTCAAATAGTAGATAGCACCCTTCGTCCAGCCACCGAAAGCGGGATCGTTGAAGTTTTCGTAGTTGATAACCCAAACCAGGACACAGATGACAGTGATAACCTTGGCAAGCATGTCACCGAAGTCGTTCAGCTTCTTCTTCAGGGGTGTGGGCTCGGAAATCTGAGAAGCAATGCTCTCATGGATATCTCCAATGGCAGTCGAGCCACCGGTCAACACGACGAGAGCCGTAGCGTGACCGTTGACAACCGTAGTTCCAGAGAAAAGCATGTTGACCTGGTCCTGCTTGACCGCCTGTTCATCTTTGATCGCATGGATGTCCTTTGAAACACTTTCACTCTCGCCGGTCAGGATAGCCTGGTCGACACGGAAGCTGTTGCTGTGAATGGCGAGTAGTCGGCAGTCAGCCGGAACACGGTCGCCGACAGCAATATGGATCACATCTCCGGGGACCAGCTCTTCAGCCTTAACCTTGCGCGTCATACCATCACGTAAAACCTTGGCCTCGTTGGCTGAGTATTCCTGGAGAGCTGCAATTGCCTTTTCCGCGCTACTTTCTTGGGTCACTCCAACGACGGCATTGAGGATGAGGATTGTGAGGATCTGTTAGATAGGACACGCGTCAGTTAGTAAAACCGAACACCTAGAAATGCAGACGATGCTCAAAAAGGCTAAACACATACGACAGCGGGGTCCACGAATGCAGTCCAGTCGTCACTCTCTTCAAAGAGGGCGAGCACAAAAGACACGGCGGCCGAACCAAGAAGGATGAGAACCAATTGGTCCTTGAATTGTTCCAGAATAAGCTCCCACATGGGGGTAGGGGGTTCTTCAGCAAGAGCTATCAGAGGGCAGGTGTCAGTGCTATCAATCGCGTCATTCGGCAGATCGACTAACCGTTTGGTCCATGCTGCTGTCTGGATTTCAGCACCGCGTTCTCGGACAGACCGGTCTGTTCAGACACCTTGAAGTGCTCCAGCAGCTCAGCTGGAGTACGGAGAAAGGCGTTCTCCATGATCGCAGGCAGGCTCAACGGCAATGAGCACGATCAGTTTTAAAAGCCGTAAATATGATAAGAAAAAGTTGGGGTAAACAAGGGAAATAGGAAATGAGGTGCTTCTTAAATTAGATACATGCCTGGTGTAAGGCGTCGGAAAGAGAATGAAGCTGCAGAGGGGAAAAGGCGATATAAGAAGAGACCAGAAGAACTTCCAAGAAATTGAAGATACCGAATGGGGAACCTCCTACATAGCCAGTGGGGAGAGTCCAGACAACGTGTTCTCATTGATAACGGGCTGAGTAATCCGGACAGGGCTGAGCTTACCAACGAGGCTCAAGTCTCCTCCACTTCTTTTCCCCTGGTGAATTCACCTTGTTTTGCTAGGAATACATTTGTGCCCATTGAATCTCTACTAGATACCTCTCGTTTCAGAACTCCAAATCAATCTCTTTACTTGGTCTCCTCCAACGTCACAGCTATTAAACTCATTCAAGATATGGGGCGTCCCTAGGCTACATCATTTTTGCCTATCGGATGGTACCTGTGGGTAATCTCCTCTCTTGGCAACTCGGGCCCCAGACACCGCCGGAATGAATCCTGAACCTTCCAAGTTGTTCTACGTGGCTTGCCCCGTATATTTTCCGATGGCTTTGGGGCATGTCCATGGCTCCAAATGTATACAACCAGGTACTGTCTGATTTTTGCTGGGTTCCTATCGTGTGAAAGTGTTTGGTCTAGCCTCATCTACAAACTGTAGCTAGTGGTAGTTGGCGATTGCCTTGCTTCTGGGGTATAGATCTCCGGGGCTAAAGCACTGTCCCTGTTAGATGCGTCAGATAGTAGACGATTTCCAACCCCACGCTAATATACCCTTGCATAGGGCTGATGCAACAAAGTCCTTGACGCATCATAGATGGATCAAGAGTTGTCCAGCTCAACAGATCACGAGTATCTTGAGGCACATGCAGGTGGTAGTCCATATTCGCCCCCTCAGTCCTGTGGTCATCGAGCCATTTCTTCGTCGCGGTCATATTGAAGAGAACTCGGAATATACCAGTAGGATCTGATCATGCATCTGCTAATAAAACCTAAAATGAGAAGTGCTGCTACCAAGTCCTGGACTCCTGGTCACTGATAGGTAAGCCCGGACCACGTACCAAGATATGTACACACTGGAGCCCGCCGGGCATAGGTTCTTCAGGCGGGAGACGTGTACCTTGGTACCTAGATCGCTCGGTTTGCTTTTGTATCGATGTCTTCATACCTAGGCCGATCAAAAGTTGGAAGCCCGGGTACCTACCTAGAATGGAGGACCTAGGTGGGTATATATATCCCTGGTGTCACCGCACACATATGCTAGAACCTATGCGGGTGTTCATGACGGGAGGATTTCGTGACGAAGCTTGACCACACTCCAGGCTAGATTCCATTTTAGGTCTCATCGGAGCATCCTTTCAAGGAGCAGCCGCAATACTGTCAGCTGTAGCAATGGACCCTGGCCACATAGACCGGCATGCTTGTGGGCTTACCAGCAGGACACATATTCAACTGCCGACGCATAATTAAGCCTCAAACCTACTTGCAGTGATTTTGATTTCAAACAGCATGTTTTACTTCTTATCAACCAGAATGGTGCTCCCGGCGACTGGAAGAGAATGTCGTGATACTTGTGACACCTCCGTATCGGCTGATTGGCTACCTCTTGAATGGGTAGGTACGGTTGTTTGGGATTTCCCAAGGATAATGGATATTCGTATATCAATCATCTTCAAACTCTTACATGTACATCAGGCTAGATCTTCTATGTCAAATCCACACATGGGACGGGGTCTCGGGGAGACAATCAGGAATAACAGCTACACTAGCAGTACCATATCCAAGATTGAATCAACGTGACCCTAGCGGATACTGGATGATAGGTCGGAGTCGCTCGAATGAATTGACAAGCTAGGTCGATATGTAAGATATCTGTGTACCTAGAGGTGAAGAGGAGTATATATTGTAGGCGCATAAACAACCGTCAATATTGTGTCAGATTGGCAAAATCCACGTGCAAAGGAAGGAGAAGACGTAATGAATACGGTCAACTATACCCCGCCCTGCTAAATTAATTACGTATCAGGGGGGATCGACGGTAATCTCAATACTGGGCCGCGGTCTAAGTACCAGAGTACATACACAAAGTAGGCCCACAACAAGAAGCGCTAAGTACCTGGTACAAGACAACAGCGTATTGTTGTTGTGATCCAAATCTCCCCAACTCACTTCACTCCATCTCTCTTCCCCCCCCCCACTTGGTCGTCTCTACCCATCTTCTTCTTCTGCATCTCGTGCTTCCTATCTACTCTTTTAAATTTCTAGTTCTAACCGCCCATCTCGATTCAATTTTCACCATGGGTTCTGAGGTATGTTGCCGTCCCACCCCTCTATCAGCCGCTGCGTTGTCACCGCCATCGCATGGATCCCACATTCCCATCCTCATCTAAGCTCACCCTCCATCTGGAAATTTTGTTGGAAAGAACTTGGCTAACACGTCTTTGTCACCATGCAGCGTGAGAAGTATGGATATCATCGCCCCAGTTCACGTAAACATCGCCTGACATAACTGACCCCTCACCAGCAAGACGTTCCTCGCACGGCTCTGCGAGCAGGCTGAGCGCTACGATGGTAAGTCAACTTGCGCCGCTCGGTTGGACGTGTATACTGACCTCTCATTCTTCGCGTCACAGAAATGGTCACTTACATGAAGGTTCGTCGCAGTCCCTCGTGTTGTTTACTGTTGGAGTATCCGTGCTAATCAATGAACAGGAAGTCGCCAACGTATGACACCATAATTCCCCATCTTCTACGAATTTCTTTGGAAGTATTCGCGATTAACAAACATCATAGATTGGCGGTGAGCTTACTGTCGATGAGCGTAACCTGCTCTCTGTTGCCTACAAGAACGTGGTCGGCACCCGCCGTGCCTCCTGGCGCATCATTTCCTCCATCGAGCAGAAGGAGGAAAACAAGGGCTCCGAGGAGCACGTCGGCATCATCCGCGATTACCGCCAGAAGATTGAAACCGAGTTGGAGCAGGTCTGCCAGGATGTGCTTGATGTTCTCGACCAGGCTCTCATCCCCAAGGCCGAGACTGGAGAGTCCAAGGTCTTCTACTACAAGATGTGGGTTGCGCTCGGCTCAAACCATGAGCACTTCGGCTTGTAGCCTGTGCTAATCTTGCAAATAGGAAGGGTGACTACCACCGCTACCTCGCTGAGTTCGCTTCCGGCCCTAAGCGCAAGAGTGCCGCCACCGCCGCTCACGAGGCCTACAAGGTAATGCCCCTTTCTAATATGCCATTCACTTTGCGCATTCTCTCCACACTTCGGTCAACAGTTGCTGATCCTGTCACAGAACGCCACCGATGTTGCCCAGTCCGAGCTCACTCCCACTCACCCCATCCGCCTGGGTCTCGCCCTGAACTTCTCCGTCTTCTACTACGAGATCCTCAACTCGCCTGATCGTGCCTGCCACCTTGCCAAGCAGGCCTTCGATGATGCTATTGCAGAGCTCGACTCGCTCTCCGAGGAAAGCTACCGCGACAGCACCTTGATCATGCAGTTGCTGCGTGACAACCTGACTCTCTGGACCTCGTCTGAGGGCAACGAGGAGGGTGCTCCCAAGGAGGAGAAGGCTGAGGATGAGACCACTGCCCCTGCCGCTGTCTCCGCTGAGGCCGCTGCTCCCGAGGAGAAGCCCGAGGAGGCCAAGCCCGCCGAGACCGAATCCTAAAGGAGCAACATTACGGGTCGCGACGAGCCGTATGCCGTTTGGTAGGGTGGGCGTTCGCATTTATTCCTGGACGTGGTCATGCAAATCGCTTCTTTCTTTTCACCGCAGCACTGGGTTGGACCGGCAGATATCTTGCGCGTCTTCTGTACCGTGTGGGTCGGCCGGCGGAGTTTGATATTCGGTTGACTGAGCGGAAAAGGGGCTGAGTGGTATTTGCTCTCTCTTTTATTGCCTCTATTCCCACTCCAGCACGTTTCAATGTGTTTATTTTCCATTCCATTCGGAAATTCTTTGCCTGATATGCACCCTGGATGGGTTGCTTTCGTAGCCAATGATTCCCCTTAAACGTATCTGTTGCTGAAGTATCCCATTTCAGAGTAAAGTAGTCCTGGCGGGGATTGCCTGTAGTCTGCAACGTCCTGATACATAGCCGAATAGCACTTCTAAGTATTTGAGCATGTAATTTCTATAGGGAACTCTCGGAAGTCGACCAACGCATACTGTTCTCAACCCATCCCGTCCAAGGATTGCCTACATACCATAGTCTCAAATCCGAGTTACGTTGCAGTCGAACGATAGCAAACTCTCTATATACTCCCAGCAAGCCATCAACACAACGGACAATTTCAAATATCTAAGTGTACGCTACGCGATACCCCATAGTCACACACAATACATACTATCTTCCCCAGAGCCGAAGCCAAACCAAAAGCATCGTGAACCACTCTCCCCTTGGGCCCAGGAAAATCGAGGCTCTGCCGGTTCCTCCACCAGCTATCTGCCTTACTCAACTCTCTATCAGCCTAACCAAAACCCCCATCGACCCTCCCAAGGGCCAAGACAGAAACACCTGAACACAACACCCCGCTAAGCAAAAAGAAACCAACCAATTGAATCCGCACATACCAGCGCCACGGAGGAGGCCCGGGCACAGGTACGGATATGGCAGCTGGGCAACGCAATGGCCATGCAATGCACGCTGCAATATGGGGGCATGATAGAAAAGACCGGGGAGGCGCCACGAGGATGACAACGGCAGTGTTGGCGTATGGTGGCTTGTAGTGTTGAAGTGGTGTGTTGCTGTGGTTGAACTTGCTATTGGTTTTGGACTGGTGATGATTGATCCCTGAGATTTCCCTGTGGACCTGTGGTGACTGGGGTTCGCGGGTGGTTTCCGGTTTATTGCGTGTGTCGAAGGCTATCGCGGTTAAGGTTGCGCTATGTTCTTGGAGCGGACGGGTCTAGGGTGGGTTTTGTTTCTGTCGTTTCTTGGTTTATTTGGCAGTATACGGGGATTTGAGGAGACAACTATATAGGGATGGATGTGACTACTGACTAAACACATCTTGTCAAGAGCTTGATATTGACCTAGATCACTCCGTCTATAGTCCATGTCTTCCTATTGTTCAATATGATATACGACTGTCCGGATCCCATGGTGCTTGTCATGTATTGGACTCTGCACTGGGATCCAACCCATCGATTCCGACCCGTTCAGCAAGATGTAGGCTGTCGAACTATAAAGATAGGTCAGGATGGATACTGGGCTTGTTTGTCAGAGATTCGTAAGTATAGACCGGGAAGCAGCAGCCCTGATGCATGTCTTGTCTTCGTAGGCGAAGCTGGTTGAGGGTAGCCAGCGGTTACCATTCGCTGCCTCGAGCAATTGGAGATCCGGTATCATTCGACTCAGCCGGGCTGACAATCTGGTATGGTTTGATCTCGGAGTCTCATACATGGGCACAGGGCCCTTAAGGGTCTTGTTTGCTTGCCTTGGTTCTTGGCAATCGCTGGGATAGATGCAGGCTGCTGTTGGCGATCTTTTTGACAGAGAAGATCGGGTTTCAATCGGACCTGGCTGCTGATTGGATGTTCTTTCAGATATGCAATGAGAGGTTATTTCAGCTATAACCGGACGGCTCTTCAGCTCTTCATCGGGTTAGTGGTCTGTCTCTCTTGGAGTGAAAGTGACAGGTCTACTTTCGACATATTCAATACAAGAGAATTGGGATAGATGCTTACACTGGAAGTCTACAGACAGGCAGGTAAACACTGCCACATGACCAAGCCAGGGAACCCTGGTTCATTGCAGAAAAAACGTGCAGGGCAGCAGGGCAATATCAAGCTCGATCTACGCTTCTCACGCAACCAGACATCTGACAGCTGCAAGGATCACACATAAGTACATATTCGAATCTTGTCTAGGAAGCTTCGATATGGCACCCTCCCCTATATTAAGTCCATGCTATCGGGATATATCGAAAAAATGGGGATATGTGAGGGCAAAAAAACGCACCCCATACTATACCCCGATCAGTTCCACGCTCACAGAAACGAACAAGCCCCAAGGACTGATATAAATGGGAGTTCACGGCCACAATTCACAAAGATACCCATCGAGCAGGATATCACTCTTCACTCTTGCACCCGCGAAATCCACAACGATATAAAGCGTGATCTAATCCAACACAACCAGATCCAACATCCATTAGCAATGTCAATTCCCCAACCCCTCGCACTCGAACCCCACGCCCTCTACATCCTCCTCCTCGATCTAGGCGGCAGCTGCCACTTCGACTGGCAGCTCTACCTCGCCGCAACAGTCAACACAGGACGAACTTTCCAATAACCAACGAAGCGAACCCGAGTACCTGGGAATGCAAAAGCGAAGCTGTGAATGATATAGCGAGCAGCACGCGGGTGGTGCTGGCGCTGCAGATTGGCGTTGTCGAGCCTGTCCTGCACGCTGCGCTGGCGAGGCGGCTGGCGCTTGTTCCGTTGGCGCTGTATTCGGTTCGGTTTTGGGAGAGGCTTTGTTGCCGCGTTTGGGTTCAGGAGGCTTTGTTTGCGTTGGATGATGAGGGGTATCTGGGGCTTGGGAGGAGTGTGAGGGATATTGAGCAGGAGGCTAGACACCTTGGGATTTTGAATAAGAGTCGGGGTGTTAGGTCGGTGGTTAAGAGTAAAGCGTGTGTTGACTGTTGAGTAATGTTAATATGTAATGATTTTGATGAGCTAGGGAGGTTGGTTATGGTGGATCATCTGGATGTGAAGTCATATAATGATCGGAATGGATTGGGTCTATGAGTTACTTGTGCTCAGGATTTCAGGGATGGAAGCGGATAAGAGGATGTACATGGTGAGATTTATGGCGAAATAAGGAAGGGGGATAAGATAGATGGACCCAGCAAAAGCATCTGCAGATACATGGGGGGGGGGTGGGGAAGAAGTTGTAGCTTTTCCTTCGGAATGCGTATTTTCAAGGATAAATTCCAAGGTAAGGCAATGGGGAAACAATTCGGAGACCAGTCGTGAGGCCCGTGATCATATTTACATAAAGTCATCATCACCAAGACCGTCGTCGCCATCGTAGTTGGTGCTATCCTGGTGAACATCACGGCTGGCATTCAGCGAGATCTTAGTCTTGGCCGCCTTAGTCTTCTTGTTGCCCTTGTCGGCAGCGCGCTCCTCGCGCATCTTCTCGTTAGAAGCGGTAGTGAGGGCACTAGCGATCTTCTTGATCTCAACGCTAGGCAACTCCTTCACAAGCTTGCGAGTGAAGTCCTGTGCCCAAAGCGTGTAGTGGGGTTTCTTGGAGTGTGGAGTGAGGAGCGGCAGAAGGATCTCGGTGAGACGGTTGAACTGGTCCTTGGTGACAGGCTTGAACAGCGGCATGGCGGACAGATCGATGGCGTTAGTGGGATCGCGTGCATCGGTGACAACGACAGCCTTGGGGGCACCCTTGTTGCGCTTGAGGTCGACTTCGCCGAGCAGATCCGCGGCGTGGGCGAGATCGGCCTCCTGCTCGGTCCGGCGCAGGCGAGCGCGACGCTCAGCCTCGTCCTCGCTGTCGGATGCATCGGATCCCTCGAGTCGTCGGCGCTGTTCCCGGAGCTCCTCTATCCGCTGGGCCTTGCTCTTCTTGTTGGCGGCGGCGAGTGCCTTGGCCTTGGCCTCAGCTTCGGCGGCCTTCTTGGCCTTCTCGCGCTCTACCTCGGAGTCTTCGGCGGCATCCCATGAGTCGAGGACCTAATCGTTCAAGATAAGTTAGTCTACTGGACTCATCGGAGGGATTGACGGCGAGTCGTCTTACATCCTCTTCCTCTTCGTCGTCGAAACGGCGGCGGGGTACGACAACAGGGGGAGGCGAGGCGCTCTCCTCTTCCTCATCTGTATGGGTTCAAAGATTTAGCAGTTGCAAAGACCTGATGGATGCGCCGAATGACTGTGGCGACCACTCTAGAAGGCTTGGAAAGATAACATACCCCACTTCGAAGGCGGCATTATGGAAATTATAAAATTTGTTGATAATAAGGAAAGAACGAAGGAATGTAATGCACTACACGGCAAGACCAAGAGAACAAGCCAACAGTCGGACCCAGCCGCAGGATGGAGGGGCGAGACAAATTTTATGTGGGACACTCATTGTCCCTAAAGTGGGATGGCACGTGATCTCGGGCATTGTATGCCCGATGGGTTCGATCTACTTCGATCTATAATTACGCTCTACCTTTATGTAGTGCTGCATATTTTGAAGTAGATGAAATTGCTTTTCATTCCAAAAAGATCCTATTAAATTCATAATCATCATGGGCGATGGCTCCGTGAATCAGCGAACCATCATTTTTGCCAAGCCCTTATTAGGCCCGATATATGCTGTCAAACTGCATTTACAGGTTGACAGAAGTGCGGAAGTTCTCGCCAGCGTAGATAGCGTTGGAACCGAGCTCCTCCTCGATACGGAGGATCTGGTTGAGCTTGGCCAGACGCTCGGAACGGGCAGGGGCACCGGTCTTGATCTGGCCGGCGCGGAGACCAACGGCGATATCAGCAATGGTGACATCCTCAGTCTCACCGGAGCGGTGGGAGACCATGACACCCCAGCCATCGGCGTAGGAGTCCTTGGCAGCCTGGATAGACTCGGTCAAGGTACCAATCTGGTTGACCTTGAGCAGAAGAGCGTTGCAGGACTTGAGCTCGATGGCCTTCTTGATGCGCAGAGGGTTGGTGACAGTCAGATCATCACCGACAATCTGGAAGTCGGAGGTCTTGTAGAAGTAGCTCCAGGCCTCCCAGTCGTCCTCGGCGAAGGGATCCTCAATGGAAACAATGGGGTACTTGGCAGCGAGGGACTTGTAGAGGTCGGCAAGCTGCTCGTAGGTGAGCCACTTGGAGGGGTCGCTGTCGGGGTTCTTGAAGTCAAGATCGTACTTCTTGGCATCGACCTTGTAGAACTCGCTGGAGGCAACGTCCATGGCGATCTTCATCTGGCCAGTGTAACCGGCCTGCTCGATGGCCTCGGTGATGAGGTCAAGAGCCTCCTCGGCAGTCTGGATATCAGGAGCGACACCACCCTCATCACCGACGTTACCAGCGGACTGGCCGTACTTCTTCTTGGCGAGAGCCTTGAGCTTGTGGTAGACCTCAGCACCCTGGCGGAGACCCTCAGAGAAGGAGGGAGCAGCGCTATTATTTCGTCAGTACCCTTGTTGTGGCGCATCTCAAAGCAAGATAGGACTTACGAAGGAACAATCATGAACTCCTGGAAGGCAAGACGGCCACCGGCGTGGGAGCCACCGTTCAGAACGTTCTGGAAGGGGACGGGCAGGACGTAGGGCTTCTTGGTTCCGGCAAGGTCGGAGATGTGAGCGTAGAGGGGAACACCCTTCTCAGCGGCAGCAGCCTTGGCAATGGCCAGGGAGACACCGAGGATGGCGTTGGCACCGAGCTTGCCCTTGTTGGCAGTTCCATCGAGCTTGTTCAGGAACTCGTCAACCTTGGCCTGGTCCTTGACGTCAATGTTCTCCTTGATGAGGGCGGGGCCAATGATGTCGTTGACGTTCTTGACGGCATTGAGGACACCTAGTTAACACGGGAGATATTAGCGTTCAGTTCCTCGTTATATATCTTTTAAGCTGGAGGTATTCATTCACATACCCTTGCCGAGCCACTTGGTCTTGTCACCGTCGCGGAGCTCAACGGCCTCGTGTTGGCCTAGGAATCAATGTCAGCAAGCTAGTCCTGTTTTCAATTCCTGTCCAACAGCTCTGGGAGGACTTACCAGTGGAAGCACCGGAGGGCACAATGGCGCGGTGAAGGCCGGTCTCGGTGACAACGTCCACCTCAACGGTGGGGTTGCCGCGAGAGTCGTAGACGGAACGGGCGTGGATCTTAGAGATAGGCATTTTGAAATTGGAACTGATTGTTTGAGTCAGTAAGAAAGGAGTAAAAGAGGATCTGGGCTGATATATGGCAAAAGCAGTAGGTGACTAAACGGCGGGGGGAGGTTCACCGATGACCGAAAGAGATTGGGTGGGAAGGGAAGAAAGATATGATTTGCTTGGAGCTCAATCAGAGGGGCAATTCGACCAACTCTTATGATCACCGGGAGTCTTGGTTGGGTGTAATTCTATGTCTTTCCAGAAGACTAGTAGGAGGTAGGGATATGGGATATTTAGTACTTGGTACGGAGTAGTACTAAGTACCTTCAATCATGGAGGGGTAGAGTGATGGGCGGGGTATCCATGGATAAGATGTTAGGAGAGTTTACTCACCTTGTTTGAATCAAATGTAAACAACTTAAAAAGAAATCAAAATGCAAATATACGGAGATACCCGACTATTTAAATACCATTTCCCCATTCACCCCCGGGAATTGCTCATGCTTGCTCCGATTCTTTCCAATGTGACGGTGGGGCTCCACGGCTGTGCTCCATCTATTGCTGGTTGATCCGTCCGTATGCGGCCTCCATAGCTACGAGATCTCCCGTCCCTCGGAAGATATTATTCAAGATGATGGCATCCCGTCCTCCCGATGATTCCACGGTCATTAGGGCCATACTAGAGATACAGATATGTTTGTCTTACCCCTCGCATACCCCTCCATGGCCTAATTAACTAGACAGTCTGTGTTAAGACAGTAGAAATCACTTGGGGAGTATCATGCAGGTCCAATGTTACAGTCTATGCAATCGAGTTGTATTCGCAGGTTGAGGTGTTCACTTCCTCTTGCGTATGTTGTAGCTCTGGAGCATTCCACTGACTTCGGGTGACGGAGACAGCAGTTTACGCCTCATTTTCAAGGTGTCAGTCAGGTCCTCGGACACTGTTCCGGGCTTTTGATCTTCCGTGTCGGCGCCACGTCATAGCCCAGCTATGAATCGATAGGACCTATCTCACTACTCCGTGCTCCATACTGGGTGGTAGAAAAACAAACAAGTCAAGGACAGGTCAAATCTGGTGGGTGTATTCATTCCTCAGAATACAGAGGAAAGACAAAAAAATAGCCCACTCCCGGGATTGAACCAGGGACCTCATCATGACCTTGTCAGGAAAGTACAAGTGATGCGCGACTACCACTGCGCCAAGCGGGCCGTTATTGAGGATCGGATTGATCTTCGGGAAAAGATATTCGGATCCGGTGCACCCTAAGAACTTAGGGCCGAAGCACCCTTGACCACTTTTATGAAACCATCTCAAGGTCGACTAGCCATACGCAGTACTGACTACTGGGTGAAAACAATATGTGCAGCGTGCTTGTTAAAGGGAAGCGGAAGGAAATACTAGACTCTAGAGCTCTTCTAAGCTATCCTGGAAGGAAATTGGCGGAGAATCCGATACTTAATTTAGACTCGATTGTTCACCCCCAGTCCACATTTTTTGAAAAAAAAAATACAATTAGGACTCGACTTGCTACATTATGCTCATCTTACAGTCCATCTTTCTATGCAAGCATAGATGACTCTGCGGCTCGTTCATCAACACAGTGCCTCAGGAGTCAGGTTCAAACTGTGCAAATATTCGGCCTGAGGTGTCAATTGATGACCAAGTGCATGACATAAGATAAGTCCAGGTCACATGACCATCTCACGGACGCCGCGCTGGAAGCTGGAAGCTCCCCAGGCAAGGCGCCGTGCTCGGTTCAATCACGATATTCATCCATTTCGCATCCACGACCCTACACGAAAACCGAATCACTTATCGGAGCTACGTCTTCTCTTTGGTTACCATCCCGCTCGTCCACACTTGGTGGATCCATCGTTCTTCCACCGTCCTTCATCATGAGCGACCCGGAGCGCACCCAGGCGCTTGAGCAATATAAAAGGAGCTTGCTCGAGCTACGAGAATGGGAGGCCAAATTGAAGGATCTTCGTCTGGGAATCAAGGACCTTCAAAGAGAGTTTGACGTTTCCGAGGACAACATCAAGGCACTACAAAGTGTTGGTCAGATCATCGGCGAGGTGTTGAAGCAGCTTGACGAAGAGCGATGTAAGCATCCAAATCCCAACCCTTTCGACCCAAGGGTCTGCATCAGGAAACTGACCCATCTGTAGTCATTGTCAAGGCGTCATCAGGCCCTCGATATGTGGTCGGTTGTCGTTCGAAGGTGGATAAGTCCAAGATGAAGCAAGGTACACGTGTGGCCTTGGATATGACAACACTCACCATCATGCGGATGCTACCCCGCGAAGTTGATCCTATGGTGTACAACATGTCTCTGGAAGATCCTGGGTCGGTCAACTTTGCGGGTATCGGTGGTCTGAACGAACAGATCAGAGAGCTGCGTGAAGTCATCGAACTGCCTCTGAAGAACCCAGAGCTCTTCCTCAGAGTTGGAATCAAGCCTCCAAAGGGTGTACTGCTCTACGGTCCTCCGGGTACGGGTAAGACGCTGCTTGCACGAGCAGTGGCCAGTTCGTTGGATACAAACTTCTTGAAAGGTGAGTTCAACCTTGTGCGTCTACGCTTCCCTGCATATCTCTGACCAATCTTCTCTTATTAGTCGTATCCTCGGCCATCGTTGATAAATATATCGGTGAATCGGCTCGATTGATTCGAGAGATGTTCGGATACGCCAAGGAAAACGAGCCCTGCATTATTTTCATGGACGAGATCGATGCCATCGGTGGACGACGTTTCTCGGAGGGCACATCGGCAGACAGAGAAATTCAGCGGACGCTCATGGAATTGCTGAACCAACTCGACGGTTTCGATTACCTCGGAAAGACGAAGATCATCATGGCCACCAACCGACCCGATACATTGGACCCTGCGCTGTTGCGTGCCGGTCGTCTGGACCGCAAGATTGAGATTGCCCTTCCTAACGAGGTCGGTCGTCTGGAGATCTTGAAGATTCACACGAGCGGCGTCTCAAAAGAGGGTGATATCGACTTTGAGAGTGTGGTCAAGATGAGTGATGGTTTCAACGGTGCTGATCTTCGAAACGTGGTCACTGAAGCGTAAGTGACTCTCTGTCTTGATACCATGAATCTGTTGGCTAACTCTATAATAGTGGTTTGTTTGCGATCAGAGATTACCGTGATGCTATCAGCCAGGACGATTTCAACAAGGCGGTACGGAAGGTGGCAGAGTCGAAGAAGCTGGAGGGTAAGCTTGAATATCAGAAGCTGTAATTGTATCTACCTTGCCTCGTGGCCCACTTCTAGTGCAAGTTTAGATCTCTATCTTGAAGCGCTAATGCTATGCATTTCAATCTATTATACTCTTGGGCCAGTCTGGGTCTGCAAAGTGGACAGGTGTTTTCCTAAAAAGAATAGTAAAGTCACCAAGAATATGGTCGATTTCCAATGAGCTACGTCGTAGACGTCTTGGGTGTACTGTGATAGAACAGTTACGCGTGCAAAGGCATGTGATTTGCGGATTGTCTAACGGCTCTCCACTTCCCCAGCTTCCTTCAAGTAAAACCCCTACGCCCTTGCCACGTTATTGCCAGGCATTTCCAGCAAGTTTGGTTTATGCTCGAGATCTCTGGCTTTTTTCCGCCTTCGAATTGAAACATTTGAGGACGGGAATAACCTCCGCGCTCCGCACCTCCGCAGAGAAACTGTTTACTAACCAGATCATCAATCTCCCAACTTCAGTGTAGGCGCGTTGCTCTTCTCTCCAACCTTGCAATTGATATTATCCCGCGACCGAGATCCAAGTACCAAAAAGCGCACTGCAAGTGTGTATTGGTAAGTGTTCTAGGTACCCGTGGACCCTCTTCGACGGGGGTTCCTCGCCCTGAAGACAACTAGGCCTGACACTTGTCTGAATAGCAGATCCGCAAACGAACTTCGAATGTGAACATTGGCGAAGACTACGCAATAACTAATACACCGATTACGCCCCAACATCCTCGTTCTTCCTATGTGGCGCAGTCAGTAATCGCAAGACCGGCAGAAATTCTCCCCCACGGCGCAGCGCAAGAGAAGTGATCGAATAGCACAATGGCGTACAAGCCATCACGCAGCCCTTTCGCGCCCGCGCAACAAGACGGCTATTATGGCAACCCTCGCACAGGACTCCGCGGCTACGGACTATCGAACCAACCCATCCCCCTATCGAACAAAGTAAACAGTTATTTCGAGAAAGACCACACATTACCCTTGTACAAAGATAAACCATTCTTTGCGCCGCGGCGCACAGGTCCTCGAAGGAGATGGAGGCCATTCCTGAATCTGCTGGGTGTATGTACGGTGTTATTTGTTTTGTGGTATACCTTCTATCTCCCGACATGGTCAGGGCTACAATCAAATGACAAGGGGGTAGAACTGTGGAAGTGGGCTCAGACATTGGAAGAAGGGAAATCTTCCGGAGACCTGTCTGACTGGACGGCGAGACGAGAGAAAGTGCGGGACGCCTTCATCGTCAGTTGGGAAGGGTATGAGAAGAACGCATGGGGTAGGTAGATCCAACAGCCTTTTGTACTATGGCAGTGCTGATGCCATGATTTAGGATACGATCAGTATCGCCCAGTGTCGAACATCAACCAGGAAGACACAAGCGGTGGCCTAGGCTGGATGATCGTTGACTCGCTGGACACATTGATGATCATGAATCTGACCTCCAAGGTCCACCGCGCTCGGCAATGGATTTCAACCTCGTTGCAATATGACCAGGACCGCGAAGTGAACACGTTTGAGACAACTATCCGCATGTTGGGTGGGTTATTGTCTGCACACTATCTGTCAACCAAGTACCCCGATTTGGCACCGCTCAACGATGATGACGTCGGTGCTGCTGGTGAAGACTTGTACATCGAGAAAGCGGCTGATCTCGCGGAGCGGCTTCTTGGTGCCTTCGAGTCTCCAAGCGGTGTTCCGTGGTCGAACGTGAATCTCAACACGTCGGCTGGGGTTGTGGTACATTTCGACGAGGGCGCTACGTCCATTTCTGAGGCTGGCTCGCTGCAGCTTGAATTCAAATACTTGGCTAAACTGACCGGCGAGGCGGAGTATTGGAAAGTGGTGGAGAAAACGATGCAGCTGGTCGACTTGCAAAAGCCGCAGGATGGCCTTGTCCGGCCTGCCATTCACCCTGATACTGGTAAATTCAAGGGAGACAGCATTCGTCTGGGGAACAAGGCCGACTCGTACTATGGTATGTTGGAAGCTCAGTCTTAGGTCCCTCCAAGCTGACTGCTGACTTTGTCTAGAATATCTTATCAAGCAGTACTTGCAGACCTCGGAACAAGAGCCCGTTTACAAAAAGATGTGGGATGAGGCATTGCAAGGCATCCGCAAGCATCTGATCTCGTTCACGAAGAACTCCCAGCTGATGGTCATCGGCGAGCGGCCCCAGGGCTTAGACCAAGAACTTTCACCCAGAATGGACCACCTAGTCTGCTTTATGCCCGGAACACTCGCGCTCGGCGCCACTGGCGGCCAGCCCTTGTCCCAAGCCCGAAAGTCCGCGGACTGGACTCAACAGCAGGAAGAGGAAATCCTCATGGCCAGAGAACTGATGAAGACTTGCTGGGCAATGCACCAGGCAACGGCAACCGGCCTCGCAGCCGAGATCTCCCATTTCGTCCTCGACTCGCCACCCGTCATGATGGCAGATAAATATCCGGACCCAGCTACGAACCCCAGTCACGCCTCCAAGCCCGAGGTCCTGCGCGGCATCTCTCAACCCATAGAACCAACAAGCGACTCCTCTGCGCCCTGGCGCAAGGACATCGACATCCACCGCAACGACCGCCACAACCTTCAACGGCCCGAAACTATCGAATCGCTCTTCTACCTCTACCGCATCACTGGCGACGACATCTACCGAGAATGGGGATGGACGATTTTCAAATCGTTCGTCAAACACACGGCAGTGGTTGAGAAGAAGAGCACATCCCGCATTCCGACATCAACGAGTACAGAGCCTGTCTTCCGCATCAAGGGCTTTACGTCTCTCGGTAATGCCGATGCGGTCCCTCCGTACAAGCGCGATAACATGGAGAGCTACTGGATGGCTGAGACGCTGAAGTATTTCTACTTATTGTTCTCGGATCGCGATTTCATCTCCTTGGAGGATCATGTTTTCAATACTGAAGCTCATCCTTTCCCGCGGTTCAAGCCTACTGGTGATCTGAAGACTGGGTGGGAGAGAGCACCCAGGCAGTAGTTGGGCACTAATGCTTGATAGAGCCTTGGTTGGGGCTTTTGATGACCATTACTTGCTTCATGCACAGCGAGTTCGTGCTTCTTCGCACTCATATACTTGTATATCAATCTTGTTGTACATGGTCGACTTATTGTAATAGAATCCACCTCGTATGGTGATAGAACAAATTGGTATTTCACATCCAAGGCCTGGTGAACCGACCAATCATTAATGCAGACAAACCCATGGTAAATTCTTGTCGCTGATGTCGAGAACGGCGCGATCGAAGATCACGCTCTGGGACTTGTGTACGGTTATGGCGTACGCAAGATTTACGGGGAGCTGGGTTGACCGTCTCCGTGAGGTGGAATCTTCAATTCTGCGCACCCTGGCCTCCAATAGCAACCCCAGAGCTGCGAGATTAGGGCCCATCGATCAGGGACGTGCGCGTAACGGGCAGGATTGGGAGTAACGCGCGGCCCTGGTCGTCCGTCTTCCAGGCCGGCCCAGTGTATCCATCGACTGTCACGATAAGAGCGCCGGGGCGAGTGTGCAACGGATCCACATCCGTAGCCGACCAGATGATATCCCGGATCGTTGCAAAGGTGCCAATGACGAGCCGCGTTCCGTCCAGATATTCTCCTGGACCATGATACGACAGCCGATCGAGACAAAAACTCGTTGGCCAGATTTCCCGCAACATCATCATCGGCTCTCGCAGCTCCGGGGTTGCTATTGGAGGCCAGGATGCGCAGAATTGAAGATTCCACCTCACGGAGACGGTCCCGGTTCCGAAGTTCAACCGCCGCCTGTTTTGGAAAGATGTACAGGGCGCTCCTGGCGCGGGACAGGATTTTGTCCTACTGGCCGGAGGACAACCCGGACACGCACCCGGAGGATTATGCTCGCGTTCGGCTGATGCTTCATCACCCCTTCAAGAGAGAGACATATCTATTAACCATAGACGAACAAGTTATCTTGACATTCAGGGCTGCCTTTGCGTACTGTCGTGCTAACCACTCCGACCACGAGGACGACCACTACGGAAATGGGGACGTCTCAGACGAACCGGAGGATCTGTACGATGAACCTACCCAAGACAACGGCCCAATAGGGTCTTGGGGGGCCTTTGCAGCACCGTTACCTGACCGAGAAGACCACACCGACGTCGTGGACGACACGGAAGCACTTGGTTGGCACGATGTGGACGTAACGAACGATTGGGCTGCACATCTTGGACGCTGTGCGCCCGAGCCGGATTTCTGGAAAGGCTTCAGAACCGAGCACCCAGCAGATCTTGTCATTACCTCCGCCGCTCATCCCGACAGCCTGAACGAGCAGTAGTGCCATGTGTACAGTCTCGTTGTAAGTCACTACTGACGCTGGCGCCGGTCCCAGGGGCACTTCGTTACGCCGTCCGTACGTGTACCGTGCTGCAAAATCCTCCCAAGACCGTTTTGGGCCGTCGTCCTGACCTTGGATAGGTTCATCGTACAGATCCTCCGGTTCGTCTGCGACGTCCCCATTGCCGTAGTGGTCGTCCTCGTGGTCGTGGTGGTTAGCACACAGTACGCGAAGGTGCTCCTAAAGGTCGGGAAAACTTGTTCATCGATGGTTAACAAATCTGTGTCTTTCTCGAAGGGGTGATGAAGCATCAACTGAACCCGCACATAATCTTCCGGGTGCGTGTCCTGGTTGTACTCCGGTCTGAGCATGCTGAGATAAAAATGTGGCCCTTGTGTTGTGTTGTACACAGTACTTGTGGGCTACGGCATGTGACCGGCACGGAAGAATCACTCTTCCGTGCACATGCCAAAACACCCTCTCCAGCCCCTGACTTCTCGTGAGTGTACAATGTGAGGCTTGTCGGTGCCCGGTGGGTATCGGTGGGCTTCTGACTTCAAATATTCATCGAAATCGATGAATTTGGTGTTTTCTTTATCTGTTACCAGGTGGCCCCAGCCTCAATTGCTGAGTGTTAGCTTCATCCACTTCTTTTTAAAAGCCAGTTTCAGTCCGTAGGTAGTCATGATTAAGTATCTCTTATCATGTTATATTGACGCTGCTAGTATAACTAGAGCTAAGAGCCATGTCAGTTATTGCTCACCCTGGATGTCTCAGTGTAGCAGCCTAGTAGCGTAAATAGTCTCTAGTGCTCTGTGAGTTTTCCTTCTTTTGGACGCCTATATGGATGCAATAGCTACCTAGACATGTATATGTGCAAGACTAGATCCCATGTTTGACAGGGCAATAGGTACAGGTTGATACCATATTTGTCAGGATAAGATGGATGCAAGAGACATGTATCACTCATACACCAACCTCACCCTTCTCCTCCCTCTCCAGCGCAGCCTCAATCAACCTCTTGTAACCCACCACAGCATCCTCAATCTCCCGAACATTCAAAGCCTCATGATCACCATGGGCAACAAAGATACTACCAGGCCCATACAAGTACCTCTTAACCCCAGCCCTGACATCCAAATTCGGCACATCAGTCCCATAATTAACAGTCGTAACCTCAAACCCATCAACATCAACATCCAAATCCTGCGGAGGATAAGACTCATTATGCGAAGTAAAGTCCAAAACAACCTTAGCCTCCTGGCCCTCAACAGCACTATCAACAGCCCGCTGAATAATCTCTCTCGCCTCAGCCGGCGTCCCAGCCGCCAACCTCACAGCGACATCAGCCCACGCCTCCTTAGGAACGACATTAGTCGCAACACCAGCCCGAATAACACCGATATTCAGCGTCGTCGGCCCGTACTTCGGCGAAGCAGGCAACCCGCCCTTTTCGACAGGCGTGTTGCCGAGAACATCGACGCGCGACAGTGCAGGCAGGATGGCCGAGACGGCGCTTTTTCCGAGCCAGGGGTAGCCGGAGTGCGCGGCTGTGCCGTGGGCGAGAACCTTGAAGCCGAGCATGCCCTTGTGGCCCGCAACGAGGGCTGCTTCCGTTGGCTCGCCGAAGATGACGGTTTTGAGGGATGATTTCGGGTTGAGGGGTGAGTCGGAGAAGACTTTCATGCCGTCGCCGCCGATTTCTTCGCCGACGACGAAGAGGAGGCCGAGGTTCGCGTTTGGATTTTTGGCGAGGGTTTCGAGGGTTGCGAAGATTTGGGCGGCGACGCTGCCTTTTGCGTCGACTGAGCCGCGGCCGGAGAGGATGATGTTCTCTCGTTCTGTAGTGGTGGAGGGTTCGGCTTCGTGCACGGAGTATGGGATGAAGGGAGGCACGGTGTCGATGTGGCTTGTGAGGAGGATTGAGGGGGGTTCTGTGGAGGACGTTGGAGTTGCGTAGATGTTGTAACGCGGTTTGGTGGCTTCTTTGCCCTTTACTTGGGGCACTTCTTGCTTTACCACGGTGAAGTCCCGGGCTTCGAGGTACTGGGCGACGAAGTTGCCGACATCGTGTTCATTGCCGGAGATCGATTCAATCTTGACTAGGTCGCGGTGGAGGGAGAGAAGAGGTGAATCGCGGATTATATCGTCTAGGCTTGTTTGGCTGTAGCTGGGCGCAGATGGCGCAGATTGAGATGGCACGCTCAGGAGCTGTTGCTGCTCGAGTGCGGGGTGCGGAGAAGCCTTGACGCCGGCGATAATGGCCGCAGCCGTGATATAGGAGAACTTCATGTCGGATGGGCAGATATGTTCCTGTAGGAACCAAGCTAAAGCTTTTTGTATCAAAAGCAATTGAGCAACTTCAACGCCCAAGAGCCGAAATGTGTTTGGGGTGAACTCGGCAGTTGGAGTCCGAGGTCGGAAAGTTGACCGATAGTATACGATCACGTGGATTGGAGATGGTTACACTTGGAGGTCGGAGCACACTCATTAGTTATGAGTTTCGTACATGGCATAGGCTATTGGAAAATAGGAAGGGGTCTGCACTCTGCACTCTGCACGAAGACATATTCATTATTCCATAACATTGTGAGATATTCACAGACGTCTACGAATATTCGTATTCGCAAGGCCAAGGCCAACTCCCACCCAATAAGAGAAAGTATATCACGTGCAGTTTGTTTGTCCACGGACAGTAACCTAGTGAATCTTGAACAGATCCAGAACTACCCCCGGACCCCATGAATTCCAACTGTCCAAGGTCTTTAATCTTTATCCCCAACCGTTTAGACGTTCCGCCGTTCACACCAGTGGCGATGTGGAAGTTCACGTGGGAGGACAAGTCCATTACAGCTCCCCCAGGTTCCATGACGTGATGGACAAGGGACTCGGCACGGAAGCCGAGCAGCTGGGGATTGACAGAGGCCATACCAAATGCCACCCGACCATACAATATCCAGTCCTCCTTCTTTCCCTTCACAGAGGTATAGATTTTAAGACATTCATGCAAAATGTCTAATTGCATATATTCGTAACGAATACCGTCATCGGAATAGCATGAACCTATCTATATTCGTTGTTCGGGCCCTAAAAATAGGACCCGCATGATCTAATCATCTTCAGATAGACATTTAGCCTTTTAGGTTGGATCTGAATACGCAGTTGTCCGGGGTTGAAGTTGTCCCCTTGCTAGGTTCATTTGGTTCAATTGGCTACAGCAAACCCTCCACATGGATACTTCATGAATGATCTCGCCCGAGACATCTCTCTTATCACGTCCATATGGATAAATGAATTATAAATCCATCTGGATCCAGAGTACCTCCTACCTAGAACATATCTACGTGTATACATTTCGGCTCTCGGCTCATGACGCCACAAAGCTTATGGATATCCCTAGTTAGGCATATTCGGATACACAGGAACGTCGACATTAGAAGATTGTAAATCAGAGCACAAATGGTAGAGTGCACAGTTAAGCACGAAATCCGCTTCATTAGATGTTATTCCCTCATATTACCTCCGTAGTCCGGCAGTTGATTGACGTACATAGGGCACGGGGTGCAGTAGTTGTGAAGCCCAAAGTCAGCACAAGGGCCCATAATGCTGGATTGGGCGGAAGTAAGCTTTGCCAAGTGGGGCTGAAAAGTATAACTCTCCATATATCAGGTGCTTATGCCTTATGAGTACCCAGTAAGGGTGATCTGCAAACTCCATCCCACTTGCCTTCTCTCTGACTGGGTTGGTAACAATCGGGTCTTCGGCCTTCGGTCTTTGCTTAATTGCTTTTATGTAAAGTTTGGAATGTTTTGAACTATATAAAGAATGGTGCCCTCTTCCAATGGATGATCCAAACACATCGCACTATTCTTTTCGTTACTTGAATCCAAATAGACATCAATTCACCTATAACCTATCTCTAGACCATGGAGTCCCACGTGAAGAGGCTGCTGGCAACAACAGTTGATAGCCGTGCTGCGGCAACTCCCAGCCAACGCTTTGCAGTCATTCCACAGGGATCGGAAACGAGCAATGGCTTCCGAGAGATTTCGATAAAGGACCTGGCGCAGGCTGTGAATGCCATGTCTTGGTGGATCGAAAGCACTATCGGACCCGCAACCTCTCGGGAAACATTGGCTTACATGGGAGGCAATGATATTCGTTATTTTATATTTTTGCTTGCTTGCCAAAAGACTGGATACCAGGTAAGAAACTGAAAGCATCCGTTGAAGTCAAAGTGAGAGCACCTAGCTGACAGAAGTCGATAGGCCTTTCTGCCTTCACCCAGGAACGCGGACGAAGCCCATGTTCATCTACTGAAAGTGACAAACTGCACCAAGTTCTTCTTCAGCGAGGAGCGCCAGGCACTGGTTTCGGGCATCCAGGCACTTGTTCCCGGCTTGAACCTCTTCCAACTCCCGTCGGTAGAGACGATCTTCAGTGATGAGAGTGGTCTGCGGCATTATCCGTACTCCAAGTCTTATGCCGAGGCCGAGGACGACACAATTTGCATAATTCATAGCTCTGGAACGACCGGTAAGTCTCATGAACGAGAGCTCTGAAACCCGCGCTAATTCCTGCCACAGGCCTGCCAAAGCCCGTACATCTCACCAATGGCTTTATGATGACTTTCGAAGCTAGCGCGCATCTCGCGGTGCCGGAAGGTCGGCAACCAGCTGTATTCTACAATCTGGGCCAAGAAGACACGATGCTGGCACTGGCGCCGAGTTTCCATCTCATGGGACTGCTAGGTTACATATACTCGGTATGGTTCGGGGTGCCTGTCATGCTCGGCCCAGACAAGCCCATATCCGTCGACTACATGGTGGAGATTTTGCGCACTGGCCGGCCCACAGGCGCGATGTGTCCTCCCTCGCTCCTGGAAGACATGAGCTACTCCGACGAAGCACTAGCCTGTCTGAAGAATCTCAAGGCGATATACTACGGCGGCGCATCTCTCTCCCCAGAGATTGGGGATCGACTGCGAAAGTATACCCAGATTGTGACGGTCATCGGGACCAGCGAAATCGGCTGGATTGCATCGTTGGTACCGGAAGATCCTGCCGACTGGGGCTACTTCGATTGGAGTGAAGCCTACGGCGTGGACATGCAAGAAGTCGGTGATGGTATCTTTGAATTGGTCATTCCTCGGCAGGAAAACGCTCGCGACTTCAAAGGCATCTTCCATACGTTCCCTGACATCAATGTGTATCCGACCAACGATCTCTATACCAGACACCCGACGAATCCACGTTTGTGGAAGTTCTATGGGCGTAAGGATGATGTGACTGTCCTCAGCAACGGCGAGAAGTTCAATCCTGTTGAGATGGAGGTCATCATTGAAGGACACCCACTGGTTGCAAGGGCAGTCGTGGTTGGTCAATCCCGGTTCCAGGCTGCGTTGCTCGTTGAGCCAAGTGATGGGGCCTCGGGTATGGACGAGAAGGCCCTCATTGAGGAAATCTGGCCGGCTGTACAAGCGGCCAACCAGACCATCGCTGCTCATGGTCGGGTGATGAAGAACAAGATCGGTGTCGCACCGAAGTCGAAGCCTTTCAAGAGGACCCCCAAAGGCACCGTACAGCGTCGAGCGGTTCTTCGAGAGTTTGAGAAGGAGATCGATGCAATCTATGCCAAGGACCTCGAGGATGACTTGGACCCTCTACCAGAGACCTTGGACAACGAGAGTGTTACAGCGTACACTCGCCAGATTATTGCTCGCGTCCTGGGAAAGTCGGATATTGCAGACACTGACGATTTTTACTCTGCCGGGCTTGATTCTCTGATGACCATCCAGGTCTCTCAGATATTGCAGAAGAGTATCCAACTGCGACGGCCGGATGTGACGACAGCGACCACCGACGCCCAAACCATCTATGTCAACCCGACAGTTGAGCGATTGTCGCAGGTCGTGATGAACATCCTGAATGGGGAAGTACAAGCTGGTGTCCCGCGAGCGGAGAAGATCCAGACTCTAGTGGAGAAGTACACTTCGGATCTGCCAGCACGGGAAGCCAAACCTCAAGGCGGATTGCCTTCGCCTTCAACGGTGATCCTGACTGGATCAACTGGTTCACTGGGAACCTATCTACTGCATACGTTGCTGAGTAGCAAAGGAATCGCCAAAGTCTACTGCTTGAATCGTTCGCCCGCCGAATCACGACAGAGAAAGAGCTTCGAACAGAAAGAATTGCATCTTGGCGCGAATGACTGGACAGACAAGGTCGAATTTCTGCAAGCTTCATTTGGAGAACCACGATTCGGACTGAGCGAATCCAAATACCAAGAACTACTTGGCTCAGTTGACACCATCATCCACAACGCCTGGAAAGTCGACTTCAATCATTCCGTCGATTCCTTCGAGGACACTCACATCCAAGGCGTGCGACGCTTCGTCGATTTCAGCTTGAGCAGCCGGCACAATGCCCACCTTCACTTCATTTCCTCCATCAGCACGGTGGGAGCCTGGACCCCTGAAATGGGATCTTCGGTGCCAGAAGTACCATTGGAGGACTGTGCAGCGGTTCTCCCACAAGGCTACGGTGAATCCAAGCACGTCGCCGAGCGCATCTGTCTAGAGGCATCGCGACGGTCCCAGGTTCCGACAACGGTGTATCGCGTCGGACAGATCGCAGGACCGACTAGCGCAAGCGGACTATGGAATCCGCAGGAATGGCTGCCAACGATCATCGCGACCTCGAAAACGATGGGTAAAATACCCAATAGCTTGGGCTCGACCGCGGTCGATTGGGTACCAGTGGTAAGAACCCCCGACAAGAACCCCCGAATACGAACTGCGCACTATGCTGCTCTGCACCATTGACCAATTCCTATCACCCGAGACTTACCGCTGATCATTTTCTGATTTACTTCATCTAGGATACTTTATCCCACATCATAGTGGAGATTGTCAACACACGTCATAGCAGCTCCCCCGAGCCATTGTGTGCGGTATTCCATCTCACGAATCCGGAAGTGGCACCTTGGTCATCGTTGATTCCCGCTGTTCAAAGCAAGTATGAGGTCGAGCCAGTGGCGTTATCGGCGTGGGTTTCTGAGCTAGAAAGTATACCCAATCCCAGCAGCGCGGATATTGCCTCAAAACCTGCGCTCAAGCTGCTTGATTTCTACCGTGCACTGCAAGATGAGGGCGGTGCCTTGTCGGTGGCGCTGGATGTCCGTCGGGCGAGAGAGGCGAGTGTCAGCATGCGAGCGCTGGGGCCTATTTCTGCCGCGCTGATGGCAAATTGGCTACAGCAATGGCAGTTTTGATCTACTTGATTTTTATGTTATATAGCGTCTCATAGCAGACACATCCATCTAAATTGTTCTACAGTAGCTCGCGCATTGAATACTTGCCATGTGATTTGCCATGCCTTTTGCCATGCGGTTCCAGTCAGACAGGTTTCTTGGTTATGACATAGCTAGTAACCAGCGGGCGGATTGCCTTCCTGATTAGGTTGCTTATCTCGGAAATCCCACGCGATTAGGTTTTCGCTTAACCTCCAACCGAGTACATATAATTGGCCAACCGAGTTTTCACACTTCCACTATGCCATTTCGAGGTGCATCACAGTTCCTGCTCTGTTCTAGTGAGCTGCAGGGATGCTTCTAGCGAGAGATGCGATCGAAGATCTCCAGGGGCAAAGTCTAGAATAGAAAGCAGGTGATATATCAACAGAATTGATTCTCAGCTGAAGGAGGTACTTTGTAGGAGAGGCAAAAGAAGAAAAACCGGAGACAGAAAGTGACCTATCTACAACAGATTTTTTTTTTCACGATAATCCCGGTCACTGTGCCAAGAACCAACGCCTCACCCTCGTCCAAGGGACTTGAGCCGGGAAAAAGGCCCCAAACCTGGTACGGGACTGCATTTACCCTCTCCGCCTCAGGCAGAAATAACCCTCCAATCACCATGGAACAAAGAATGTTCCCCGAATCCCCGAAGAACGTTGAAATTTTGGGTTGGCCATGTGGATCTGACGTCTGGTGCCAGAGAATGGAAGAGTATGGCATCTGTTCCTATTTCTTCCTGTGTCTCTGTGTATGGGTGTGAGATAACCGATGTTTACCGTGATTGGATGGATGCTTCTCTCTACGCCCAGTATCACTGACTACGCAGTATGTTGTAAGTGTGTGTTTGTATGTTGTAGTGCTCCGAAGTCCAGCCTAGGTCTCATTCGGAGTTCACAGAGGTATGATGCGTAGGACAGCACTATTCTATTATACCCGGCTAGCACCGCCCTAACTACGAAGGCGCCAGACAGATTTTCGAACTGGTAACCCCTCCAGGAATGGCCGTGCGACCTGCTCGTCATATTTCGGACAAAGTTCTGACGTCTACGGGACGGGACCTTGTCCGCGGTTACTCAGCGTCGTCGGAGCTCTGAATTCAAACGGGTGGATGCACCAGCCCGTGTGAATGGATGTAGAATTGGGGATGAGTATGTTTTTTCCAGGTTGTCAGTTGTCAATTGAAGATCGGCGATCTGGGCCAGATGACGATGATCAAGTAAACAGAACTGAACAGTCGATTGTGACAAACGTACTAGCATTGCCGTTGTCCGTGTGTTGTAGATACTACACACTACACCTGATATCCAACACAACAATAAGATTTATGGGCCAAGGACAGGACGTGTCCAATATCTTTTAGACTTTTCCCCACTTGAATGGCGAATCAGCAGTAAGCGACTGGAGGAAAAATGTCATCATAATGGCTTCCTATTGAATCCACTTCAGTCTAGATGTTGCCGATCGCACACACAAGAATAGACCTAATCGAGAAAAGGGTCCCGGAAGGATTGCAATCGGTAAAACATGGGGCTACACAGCAGATCTGTGTAGCCGTTGAGGTTGGTTTGAGAAACAATCGAACAATTGTATTTGAGGGTTGATTGATATTGTATTGTAGTATTTATGGACTAGACAGTTAAACAGATTTAGAGAAAGGGAAATAAATAAATTTATTAATTAATTGACAAAAGAACAATTCCAGACTGCTTAGTACCACGGTATCGATCGTGTCAACCATCGGAACTGACGGAGCAGAATTTGGAACCGATCGGCAACTTAACTTCATTGGCCTGAAGGTTAGTCACCTTTTTTCCAATGGATGCGAATCTGATGGAAGCGTAGAAAGTCTAGAGGGTCCTTTGTTGCTCATTTCTCTCTATCCTCTCTCTCTTTCCCTACAACATACAAAGTCCAGAACGAAAAGGGACAACAGGCAAGAGGTCAAACCTTTGTATTACCAGGATCTCCCTGTTCGCTCCAGCAGTCCGTTTGCCGATTGTAAGCAAGAAAAGAATCCCCCCGCGAATCCATTTCTGCCCAGCCAGCTGGTCTGGTCAACTTGTTTGGTCCACGTCGCTCGGTGGGATTCGTTCTCTGTTTCTGTTTTCCGCTGTTAGAGGTGTATTTTTGGCCGCCGTTTCCAACCTGGACAGAAATCATTCGATTGCATCGGTTCCTTGAGATTCATCGAATGCTAACTGGCCCTAGGCTTCAGTTCCCGCGTCTCCCGGACTATTTAGTAGTCTCTATCGACTCTGTTCTCTATCACACCGCCACGTCGTTTCCCGCCCAAAGGCATTTAGGGCAGGACTTGCTCGAAATCGAGCGCTGTCTCTCTTTATCTTGTGGCCGCCCCTCACATCCAATGCTGATCTGCAACCCTCCCCACCTATATACCAGCCTCCCCGACGTCCCTCAGCGACGCTCACCCTGTGACAATGTACAAACTGTCTCGAATGCTCGATGCGCCACGAGGGAGTCTCGACGCGGATTCACCTCTGCGCCAGCCGCGCTCCCCATTGACTATTAATACCTCTGCGCCGGCTTCGCCTGCCGTTTCTTTGTTCTCTGTCACCGGCCACAACCGTGTCTCCAGCTCTGTGTCATCTCTTGTCTCTTCAACAGGCCTGGGAAATTCCATGGACTGTCCTAGTCGGAGTCATTTGACCGAGGTTAAGGAAGAGGATTGCACGCGTGACTCAATAGAAGATCACTATTTCCGTATGTGTCATTCCAGCGCATGCGCAGATTTTCCGGTGGTATATGGTTGCTAACCTACCCTACAGAGCACTTTGATCATGACATGTGTACAGAAGGATCATATTTTTCACCAGTCCACAACTCAGATGACTACGATCTGAGCGATACTGGAATGGAGACTGCCCCATCACCGAAGAAGAGACGCTCAGACAGTGTCTCGCTGAAAGGCGTCTCACGGATCAATTCGCATATATCGACCATGTCAGCTCGATGGAAGACTAAACGATCCTCCGGTGGTGGCGAATCCGATATTTTCCCGGATGAGTTGCGAATGCGCGCCAACTCAGCCGCCTCCTCTGCCTTGGCCAGTCCCATTGTCACTCCCATGAGCCGATCCGACTCTATCCCGCCTTCTCCTGCACGAACGATCTTCGAGGAACGCCTCAGCGAGGCCGGCGTCCGCCCAATCGATATCACGCGGACGAACAGTTTCAGCCAGGACGACAACGACGTACAGCAAGCGACAACTCCCCTCCTGCCCCCATTCATGGGGGACGACCCAACAAGCGTCGCAGCCTCCCGCGTCCAGTCACCACTGCAGTCGCCTTCCGTCGCCGACGTGAGCGAACAGTTACCCTGCAACTACAACGTGACCTCCGACCCGCGATTCATGGGAGTTCTCCCCTCACCTCCGCTCTCCTCCAAGCCCTCCGTGGCCTCTTTCAACCGACCTCGGGCCAGCACCGTGCGCACAGTCTCAGGCGATGCAACTCCCCTCGTCCTGTCCGACCCCAACGACGAATGGGCCAACAAACTCGGCCACGCCAACTTCAACATCACACCCGAGCCATACGTGCCTGTGGTCTGCGACATTGGGAATTTCCAGCAGGTGCGCGCGGACTGGGACATTGCGCGGTCTAACTTTGCCAAGCACCTCGTCCGCACTGGCGAACACTACGGTGTCACCTCGAACATCTACAAGCTCACTATCGAAAAATGGGAATCCATCAACCGCGAGTGGGCCACGCAGCACGAGGCCATGCTCAGCCAACTGAATGCCGACGACGGTGTGGCTCTTACTCTCACACAGTCCAATATCAACCCGTGCCGACAAGTCTGCATTCCCCGTCTACATGACAACGACAAGTTTCCTGAGATGGGAGATGAGGATATCGTTGGTCCGATGAGTGTTGCGCCAGCTACGGAGATTCCAGGCCCTTGTCGCTCCGAGAAGAAGAGGAGTTTCTTCCGCTTTTTCCAGGACTTGGTTTCTCGACCTTAGACCGTGTCTGCCTTTTTTCCCTTTCGATTTCCTCCATTTCCACATCTTTGAAGCGCTCTGCAACGATAACGACGATAGAATATTCCCCGCGTGCATCTGTCTTCTCGCCCGCATCACGATTAATGTCTCTCTTTCATCTTCTTTTCCCTTGGACTCGTTAATGATTCATGACCTCACGATTCGGACAAAGCGACTACTGTTCTCGCTCCGAGTCATGCCTCTCCTTCGTCTCTACCGAATTTACTTTCGTGGTCTTGGTTTCTCTGTTCTTTTTTCTTTCTTTTCTTTCTGGTGTCTTGTCTCGCTCCCTCGCAAGCCACCGCAGCCAACAACAAGAAAGGAAAAAAAAAGGAGAATTCAACTTCCACCGACTGGGTCCACCACCCATCCTCTCCTTTTGTCTTGTCGCTTGTTTGAACTATACTATATACCCCATACACCAAGCCTACCTGCCGTTGTACCTATAGACTTTGCATCTACCCAAAAGCATCCGAATATACGGATTTTCCATATGTATATACTATACACAAACCTTACATGCCCGACAGTTACAATTCTTTCCTCAGAAACCCCGTCTTAGGTAGACTAGACATTCTCCACAATGGATAGATACATGGACACACGTGTGCATACACAGTACTTCCGTAATGCTAGAGGTTGACGCAGTGCATAATAGAATTCACAGTACCTACAGTAAGCAATAATGCCGCAAAGTAGGGCGCTATGAGTCACATGTACAATGGGAATGAAGCGGGTGACTTGGTGATGTGGGTCAGGGCCACGTTGTGAAGATACCGCCATTTGACCTTATTTAGGTAGGTGTATACATACTGTACCTTATCTATTACAAATTATTGAATATTCATCGCAGTAAAGAAGTTGATGTGGGACTCTGGTACTAAACAAGCACTTGTATAGACTAGTATGGTTCGATTGAGTTAAGACATGTCATTGAGGGCATGCCTTGTCTTGGGCATGTGCTGACTCTTAGGCTGTGAGTCATATTTCATTACATCTGACTAGAGGGAAACCGACAGTAGCTAGTTACCGGCCGAGTGTAGATGGTATTGTGAATCTGGCGACTTGTGTGCTTTGTAGGAAGTCTACGAGGAACATGTGCCAATGGATGCCAGGAGGCGTAGATCCATAGAAGTACATGGCCTTCGACGATAATGAACTCAACTATAGGATCTAGTCAATATCTAATATAAGTCATTCCGCAATCCAAGCCCCAGCTACGGAAGAGCCGAGGATGCTGGACAGGGTCTCTCAGATTACGGCACAAGGAACACGCCTTGACGCAGTCGAGTTCAACATCCGTCTATGACAGGCGAAGCCCGCCAGGGAATACGAGTGTTGTTTCAGCTTCAAGTCTGCAGAAGTAGCGTCAATGAAGATGATGATGAGCATAAGCTACAGGGCTTGGGTGCAGACGAGTCGAGCGATACTACATAGCCGTGACACCCTCAGACCCAATGCTGGCTCCAAAGCCTCTTCGCTTCTTCGCTGCCGCGGAACGTGAACTCGACGGGGATGATATCGTCGAAGCCTTCGTCCAGCGTTGGTGCGCGGTAGCGGCGGGCGAAGTCCCCGAAGGCGATGCCAGGGAGCGAGGTTCGGGATTCGGGGTTCTGAGTGGGATGAGAATGCAACGACGACTTTGGGGTTGGGGGTCTATTAAAGATACATACCAGTTCTTTGTTAGATGCTCGGACGGCGTTGTTGTGTCGGCATAGCTCTGGCGTGGAGATGAAATGGACACAGCGGATGGGAATTTTGAACTCTTTTGCGAGAGATGTCCAATGGGCTCGTGCTTCTGGGTCGGCATTGGTGTTGTCTATGGGGTCCGGGGTTAGTTTGGTCTAAATGTGCAGATGAAGGTACAGCGAAAGGCAGCAATGACTTACCGACTGCCACGGATCTTTTGGCCTCCAAGTGCTCGCGAGCAACCTTGAGGCACTTCGGGCGCTGTTGTTCGTTAGCGCTAGGTGTCGTCGTCAGTGCGGAGTGGGCGACGTACCGTCTTTAAGATATCTTGGTTTACTCGTTCATAGTCTAGAGGCTGAAGGTGATTCCAGTAGAATGTAGACTTCCCGGCACCTGGGCTGCCACAGAAAATAACAAGTTCCAGTGGATACTTGCGAGTGAACGGTTTGGCTATGACGAAAATCTGTCAATAAATTGCCAAAGTCTGGTGTCTTGCTGGGAAGGCAATTCTGATTCCGCATGTAATGAAATAACCAAATTCTAGATACATACCTGGTTCTTCAAGATCTGGCTTGACAAAGGACATAGGCTCGAAAAGCTTCGGCGCAGGCTCCGTGGTCTGCCCAAGGAAGAATTCCTCGGGGGTCTTGAACGGCATACCGATGTTGGTAGCAAGTCCCCTATGAGCAAAATCAGATCCTGCCACAACATGCGACAGCTATAGAACTCTTACCGGTCCACAGCCGAATGATCACCCGGCCTTCCAGCCGCATCACCGACGAAAATCGATGCCGGCAGGTCAACGCCCGCGACATCAAGGTCGTAGTCATCAAGGAACTCGCGCCACATTCCAAGACGGGGTTTCCGATATTCAGGGTCTGTCGTCGCCGCGTAAACACTGAGCGGGAAACCCAGTTCCGTCATAACGGCCGTGAGTTTTTCTTTGAAGTTTGACAGACTTTTCGATTCCGTTTTTCCACCTTTAATATCCTTTTGGACACTTATTCTCTTTTGGTTTGAGAAAATCACAACTTGATACCTGCGATAGAGTGAGCTAAAGCGAATCAACCGATCCTCCACTCCAATCATGAACAAACCCTTCCGAATGTAATTCCCTGAGCCGCCCAGGGACCTTGGTATTCCACCATTGCCAATCAGTGGCAGATTTGGGGAAGACATTGCCCGATTTGGTCTTAATCAAAGTTGAATCCTATATGTCGCCGTCAGCAAGGCGATCTTTTCGTTTCGACGCTGACTGCCATCGTCTTCGGTTTCGGCCACTGACCAAGTCAAAGCCAGCGATCCGGCGCTGTTTATCGGTGGGCGGAATTGGCTGGCCCGTCGTCTGTTTTCCGATAACGACACTCGTGCCGATGACCCGCCATGTGATCGGGGCGGGTTTCTTTTGCGAGGCGGGGGTGAAGAAATTTGCCGCCGATTTCTCTAATCAAGAGGTATCAGCGGGTGTAGAAATCCAGCGGCGAGAATAGACTCACTCGTTATCGTCGATTCAACCTTGCGGCGAAGTGGTGGTGGAGAGATGGCTTGGTTGGGGGAGGCACTCCTTTTGGCTACCCCCTCGGCCATTCTGGCGGTGCGAGTGAGGGAAAACGTCGTTAGGAATTTATATATTCAATGTGCAGTTAGTGATTCGATCGGCTTTTGACGAGTCGTAGTTGGATTTGAGGTCTGCAGTCCACGCGTCGGGAACGCGGGATGAATCACGAAGTCACATGTTCTAGGTCACTCAAAGTGGTCATTGACGATGGACCAGTACAATACAGAACGAGGTGACTTAGGACTACGAGTTTGAAAAGAGAAAAACGTTCGTTTAAATCGATTGCTATGATGGGTATCTTCAGTTATTTTGCCCGAAATAAAATATGTGTGAGGCGTCTATCAACGTCGTACCTCTTGCGGGTTCGTCTGACACCAAGGATATTGTGGTCGCCATGTCCGAACGAACCGACAGAAGTGTCCTACTTCGCCCGCGTATCAAGTGACAAGCGGTCTGCCTGTTCCAAGAGAACCGCGGGCTTCAATTGCTCCCGTAGCCCGAAGAGATGCTGCGAGGCAGTCTTCATGGTCTCCTGGTTGCTACCGTCCTGGACAATGATGAAGGCCTGAAGAACATAGCTTCCGCTCTTCTCTAGCAGAGTCATATCCTTCAGAGCAGGCAGCTGCTGTCGAGGCAAGTTCGAGTCACCGCCATCAGGGTAGTGCAGTACGCGATGCAAGAAAATAGCAATGCCATTGTGGACAAACATATCACCCTCGACGACATACTCAGTGACGAAGCTAGAGCAAACCGCGTTAGTGCCTATGATCATGATATTGATTCGATGGCGCCACTCACTTGTAGCCCCACGCATTCATAGCTTGCACGACATCCCCCCGCGGCAGGGCCGCGCTCGACATGAAACGTGACGTGACCGCTGACCGTGTCCCGGCTTCAGGGATATCCCGGAACTCCAGCCTCCAAGATTGACGTTCATAGTCATAAGATGAAGATGGAGAACCATCCCGCTCTGCGTTGTCCGTGCCGGCCATCTGAGTATCCTGATCGATTTGGGCAGTGGACCCGAAATCTTGTTCGGAGACCGAACCAATCACTTGAGTGTAGTACAAGTTTCCATTGAGCATCTTATTCAACCGCTGCAGGTCCCCCTGCTGGAGGTCCTGACTGGCTCCAGTGCGCCCCGCCAGGCCAGGTTTGCGGAAGGCTTTGAAGATCAACCGCCGCTCTAAGCAGTGGCGGGGCTGCATGGCCGTCAATCCAGCGAGCTGCTGAAGAAGTTCATGATGTTGATGAACCGGGACCGAGGCGAAAAGCGACTGCTCGTGCATATTGCCTGATGTTTCAATATTGTACGATGGACAAGGTACCAGGTAGCGGGTGAAGCCGGAATGTGTGGGTTAGTCAGGGTCCAAGCTCCTCGGTGGCGTATTTCGCGCCTTATCAGAGATCGAATTTTGATGTGTCTGTGCTATTGATAATAGCGTCTGCTAATGGGAGGCTTATTTGATCTTTTTGCTGTCCCCAGGGCTTGTTTTCTCGGCAAGGAAATTACCGATTGGGGCTTGTGATCTGCTTGTGATGGGCTTGTGAATGTGAGATTGTAGATCAATTCCGGGGGTAATGTCGGGGGGCGCTGTCAGGATGTTCTCCAGTCACACCTTTTGCCTCCGATTGCGGGGTGTTAAGCTGTGAAACAAGATGAAGAAATAGTTCAAGAGGATAGTGATTGGCGGGCTGGAGCTTCAGCGTAGAGGACTATTTAGTCAGGCACAGAAAATGGTTCACCGGTCCACCGACTTGGGGAAAGATCGGAGCAAATTCAAGATGGCTTCAAGCGGGGAATTGGAGAAGGAGTTCCGCCATGTGCCAAGGAGATGAATCGGGATGAGGAGTCCGCGGTGGTGTGTACTGTGTACTAGTTTGTGTATGTAGCAATGGCGTGACACTGTTGTACTCGATTCTACCGTGTACAAGGTGTACAAAATATGCAAAGTGTACAAAAAAGACAAACGCCAAATTTTATAGGCTCCCGGCTCCGAACCCGCTCATCCCAAAACGGTAACCCTATTTCTTATCTTCTTCTTCTCCTCTCTCTTTCCCTTCCCCTCCTCATCCCATCCTACTTCTTAATTCCCCATCGTCTCTCACTTTTATATCCTCGCCGTACTATACTCATTCATACCAATTTTCACCCCAATCAAACCAACCACTCCCTTAATTGCAACTCGCCTTACGGTCGGGTCGGATACAACCGGACCCGTTCAATTTCCCACACCTCGTGTCAAATTGATCTTACCAATCTCCCACCTTCACAACCCGCATCACAACCACCACAATGCGTGTCACCTCCGTCCTCTGCAGTGCTACTCGCACCCCTCTCATCCGCTTCGTTGGCAAGCGATCTGTCCCTAGTACGTGATGATTCAATCGACTCCGAAAATTCCTGAGCCCTCAAAGCTAACCTCGTGTTCCAGAGTCTATCGACCACTCTCCTCGCGTCCACCCCGCCTCTCCCACCGGCACTCTCCCTGACTCTTTCGCTACCTACCGCGTCAAGGCTCAGCAGCACGGTCCGCTCGGTCGCTCCCACTCCAGCAGCAGCATCGGCGGCCGCCCTGGTGCGGCTCTCGGCCCCGTCAAGCCCCAGGAGGGCGAGTTCTTCGACCGCGCTGAGCTTCCCGCCCGCTTTGGCCGTCTCCCCTGGACCCAGGCTGAGATTGATGCCATTGAGACTGGCGGTGCCAGCCTCTTCGCATAAGCATTTCGTCTCGGCGAAATATAAAAGTTTCTGAAAATGCATGTGTAACGGGGCATGATACTTCTCATGAATGTTGCGTGATGAGCGGACTCGAGTCTTGAGACGCTCGAGTCCGCAGCTTGTGAAACGCGGTCACGACGTTGGCTCTGGCCGACCGTGGGCAATGCCGTCGCGGTCGCCCAGGGCAAGTGACAGATCCGATGGTGGATCACTCGTTTCCGAGAGTTTTCAGACCCAAAATTCTCGTTTTATACCTTTTTCCTTGTCTTCTGGTCGGAGGCCATTTGCAGGGGCTTCTTTCTCTAGCGGTGAATCTTTGCCGCTCTTTTTTCTTTTGGTGTTCTGTTGTACCCGGCGCTGGTGGTTGAATTTTCTTTTCGGTGTTCTATTTCCATGTGCAACATGCAGCTGGATCGTCTTGATGTCGGAAAAGCTGAGTCGTGTGCTTTCTACACATAGATTATGGTGGTGGATTTTGTGAGGGGTTTCATAGGCTCTGGGAGCACTATTCCAATAGAGAATCAAATTCTCGATGTACGATGTTTCAAGCTTTCCTGGTAGACGCATAATATGCTGGCCTATAGACCACATGCATACATTTCCGTGATATCGGATTAGGGCTATCTACATTGGACTATGCATGTAGCCTTCGCATTAAAAGCCAGGGATAACGTGGTCTCACGTGCCCACTCCAACCCCATCTGGATTCTGGACGACTTCAACAGCCTACATTCCCTTTCTTCTGGATATTTGATTGGCTAAACATGCCCTCTAATATTACTGACGCGAACAGGGTCGCCTTTCGCGAGACTGACGAGGCTGGGAATCCCACGGCAACTTATGTCTTTTCCCCTCGTTCGAAGACATCCCCTGCGCGAGTAGACAAGATAGTGAGTGTCGTTTCTTGACTTCTGTTCCTTGGATCCTTGCACTGGAGTCTGGGCATGTATTCCGACCTGCATGTTCCCATCCGAGTCCAACTTCAGGGCACTCAACCCATAGTGGGCCTAAAGGACATCGGTCTGTATTATGGGAGACAAACGTGCTTTGTTTCAACTGGATATAGCTATCTCACCTCCCATCGACAATCCATGATGTGTTGGACTCGAATCATGACTCTCCCGAGCTTGATCAATGTGCTTGCATAGCCCAGAAAGACTTGCAATGTTTCTGCACCGAAGCCGCGAGAGATATCACTGACACATAGCAGGAACCTTCTCCATCTATCTCATCATGGTCAACAAAGCCTCTCATCAGCTCGCTGAGTGATATTTTCCTTCCTTCAGGATATCCACAGAGTGTCAGCGATGACTACCTTCCGTGAGTCAATGCAGCCATGGGCTTGTTCAACCCATCAATCGAATGGTATACAAAGATGCTGACTTCCACAACAGATATCAAATTTTCGTAAGCATAAATCATGCAGTGTTGGAAAACCCGCATGTAGACATCCAGGAACATCCGGAGCAAGGATCTAACGGAACCGACCTGTTCAGGACTCCCTCCAAGCCTTCTGCAGCTCAATCGCCGGCCTACTCTCCTCCAGGGCAGTTCTCCAAGGTTCATATTACATCCAAATCCAACCATAACAGACAGGCAACTGACATTGAAGCAATCCACAGGAGTTGGTGTCGGCAACGCCAACGCCTCTCCAACCTCCGCACTACTCCTCCATATCTTGCAAGACATTTCAGGCCGTCTCGCAACAATCCTCTTCGCCCACCGCGTCGGCACAGCTCTCGAGCCAGAATGCAAAACTTACCGACTGGCAGCAGACGTCTTCAACGACATCGCCATGATCCTCGACTGTCTCTCGCCAGGCGTCCCCGCGGGACCGATGCGAGTGACTATTCTCAGCACGGCGGGTGTCCTGAGAGCTCTCTGCGGTGTTGCAGGGGGTAGTTCGAAGGCGAGCTTGAGCGCCCATTTTGCACGCTCGGGGAATTTGGCGGAGCTTAATGCCGTAAGTATTATTCGTGCTGCTTTGCATTACGGCACGCAATCGGCACAGCTAACCCGTCATTTCTACGTGTAGAAAGACTCATCCCAAGAGACTATCATCTCGCTTTTCGGCATGCTTGTAAGTCCCCCCAATACCCTGACCATCCACGAAATCTCACTACTTACTACAAACAGGTCGGATCAGTAGTAATTTCCCACGTAACCAACTTCACCACAACCTGGCTCATCCTCCTAACCCTCCTAGCACTGCATCTAAGCACGAACTACTTCGCCGTCCGCGCAGTCCAAATGACAAGTCTAAACCGACAGCGCGCAAACATCACATTCTCAACACTATTCTCCTCAGACGAACATCTAAATTCGTATCTAACCTCCGACCAAAGCGAAGCCACAGCCACCAACACAAAGAACCCAACGATCCTCACCCCAGAACAAGTCTCCAAACAAGAACACATCTTCCACCGCGACGGCGCTTTACAATGGACACAACCCTCATCCTCGAGAACCCACCATCTCGGCTCCGCACAGATAGGCGTGTCGATGTCTACTTTCCTGCACGAATCCAGTACTCACTTCGAGGCCCTCGTGTCTCTCTTCACGGACGAAGAGTACATACTCCATCTCTCACCGTCAACCCCAGTTTCCTGTCATAAGTGGAACGCCGTCATTCTGCTGAAACGAGGCTGCTCCGTACCCAGCCAGCTAAAAGCATGGGCTCATGCCTTGCTAGCTGCGCGAATCCTGAGTCTGCAAGACAGACCTGCAGAGGCTTTACCGTCCATTCAACAGAGTCTGCGTCTTCTTACCGCCGGGTCCCGCTTCGAGGGGTATCTAGTTGGACTGCGGGGTGCAGGATGGAATCTTGATATCGCGGCGTTGGAGACGAGGGGTGGTAGGAGAATCCATAGCTAGTTTATATACTGCGCTTCCTTCTGTATGTATCCTCGTCTTCAGGCTTAACCTTGGTACAGTGCAGTATTGAGGTGCGGGCACAAATATACCCCAGTCCGTCATATTGTCGCTGCCATGCATCACCGGGGGTTACGTGTGCACTCTGTGCTACTCTCTGAAGTCTACGGATGGCTCCGTCGGGGTTCTCCGATGTAGGTGTAGGTGTCCGACGTGTGTGACAGGATTCTCCGGGGGTCTAGATGAAGCTACATAATGTTTCGGGTGGGAGACAGATACATAACCCGGATGGCTGCTTGACGGGTATATTTGCGACATAGGTATCGGAGAGATGCCCAGCAGTGGACTGTGGGGATACATGTATAGGTCGAGTTAAACTTGTTTTCAGGCTGGTGGGTTTGAAATTATCCTGGCCGTTGAAACTGCATACATGTAACTGCCGTTGTATCCTGTATGCAGGAGCTTCCGAGCTGTCAAGTGCTTGTGTGTGGGGATCACTACAGTTGTCACCTAGTTACTTGATTTAATGTTTGAAGATAAAAATGTAATGGAGAGGGGGTATCAAGTCTATTGATTTCGAGGAAAAATGATCTCGCTAGGAGATGAAAGATGAGACCAAGACGATGTCTCGACAAAACGCCGTGTCCAGAGGACCTGAGACAGGTCCCCATCCAATCTATAGATGAGAGCATGATATGATATATAGGGTTTCTTTTCCCGTGATGCCGTCGCCGGAGAACAAGCAATGAAAACAAGTGACACATGAAGATGTGGAAGAAATGCTCCGCTGGAGACATTGGAAAGAAAACAAAAAAAGAAAAAACGCCAGTTTCATATGCTTTGATGCATCGTGCTTTCATACACCGCCAATATAAACGCTCGACAAAAGTTGGAATCAAGTCGTGGAATGATGCATTTCGGTATTTCATGCAAGGTCTGAGGTGAGAAGTGTCGTTGAAAGTGTCATGGGTGTCGTTATGCGAGACGAAGAGGTATGTTTTGTAGGTTCCCGTGTGTCGACAAGAGTTGGAAAGTTGGAAAGTTGGAAAGTAGGAAAGTAGAGATGCTTAGTCGTCCATACCAAGAACCTTGGGATCGCGAGGGCCACCATTGCTGCCATTGCTGCCACCAGTAGACCGCTTCTTAAAGCCAAGCTTCATGCCCATCTTCTTCCACGGGTTCTCGGTGCGGAGCCTCGGGCTTTGAATAGGCAGATGCGGCTCACTGGCAGGCGGAGTGGTGGGCGGTGTCATTGGCTCCTCCGCGGTAGGACTGGAGCCAGAGTCATCGGTCAGAGAGCAAGATGCCGACTCGCCGCTGGGGCTGAGGAGGGCACCGGAAGACCGTTTGCCAAGGGCATGCACGGTGCCAAGCGACATGGTGGAGCGGCAATGACCCGTGGCGGGAAGGTCCTTTGTTGACGACTGCGGGGAAATGCGTTTCGACACGCGCGACCGGACCTTTTTTATGGGATTCTCGTCCAAGCTGGTCGATGACAGATTCATGAGGTCGACAGGGTCCATGAAGGGTTCGGTGCAGGGAGCCATAGAAGGAGAGGTGGTGTGGCTATTGACGAAGGGAAAGAAGATCGATTCCTCCATCAATTCGTGTATGCGTTTGACAGCAGAATCTAACGTCTCGGGCGGGGGCGGCACGCTCACGTCCGTGTACTGGAGCAGCGCATCTCGGACTTCGCTCGACAAGTTGATCTCGCGAGGCGACCCGGGGAAGATGTATGCGGTCAATAGACGCTGCCAGAGCATTCGGAGATGTTGTGTTTCGGGGCATTCGGAGTCCAAAGCGGCGGGACCGAGTCGGTCGACCAGAGCGAAATAGGATTCCCGGTAGCGGTTGGCCTCCAGGGTGAATTCTAAGGTCTCGAGACAGTGGTTTTGAGAGAGATAGGCCATGAAGGCGCTCAAGGTGTATGGCGGCGGAGCGATATTAGCCAGGACCTCGTCGAGTGTCGGGCGCATGGAGAGGGCCCCCGACGAAATGGCCAGGCTGACCGGTCGGGAGCCAGAGGATTCCATATCCTCTTCGGAGTCGCTGTCTGAGGAGGTGGGGGACAATTCGGGGGTGGCTGTCGGAGTATGATGCCGGAAGAAGAGAGACGGGGCCAACGTCTTCTTTTTAAGCATAGCGTAGAGTGTGCGTCGGGGACCCTTAATCGGCTTTTTCTCACCGGACGTCCCCTGCGTGTGAAACGAGACTCCAGATTGTGAAAGAACGGCGGGTTATCGGGATACAGGCATAGGAGGATTGCGACGGGGAGAGAGCGGTCAAGGGTATGAGAGTAATCTATGGCGTGTTCCAAGGGTCTCAAATGAAAAACATTAAGGGAAAGAACGACTAAAGAGGAGCGGAAATCACCGTACTAAAGAAGCAGAAGAAGAAAAGGGCACAGGGCGGGTTCTGGAATCATTCATGACGATACCTTGGCTAATCCTTACGGGGGGCACGCTCAGTAAGTTCGAGTGGAGACGCTAAAATAGTTTCTGTGCCCAAGTGGATTCTTTTTTCGATAAGATGTCATATTTTGGAATTTTTCTTTTCATTTTTTCTTTTTCATTTTTTTCTTTTTATTACTCGATTAGGATTATGGATCGATTTTCATCATTGGCATTTTCTGATTGGTTGAGACTCAGTCTTTTGTGGCGACACGCCGAACTCTCACGTTTGAACAGGCGCTGGAGATCTGCAAGGGATATTGGGAAAAATGTACATCATCAACAGAGGTACTCCGTACAGCGTAGCAGAACATACAGAGAGAAATAATCTGGCTACAAAATGAAGAGCACTTCGTAGCAGCCCGTCTCCCCATTATTATGGAACTCCCTGCGGGCCTCCGTGCCTACCCATGAGATCCATAGTTTACATCCTTGTTTTGACCACTCCACAATCCTTCCAGAAGTCATACGTGTAAGCTTCCACGGGTTCTGGAAAACTACCAATGCGCCCAACGTGGCGAATTCGAGTTTTCTTCCCCCTGAACTCAACCAGGGAAAGACGAGGAATCCTTTGTATTCCGCCAACTACGGAGTAGTGCTAGTTAATTCTCCTCTTATGTCTGTATCTTGCCTTTATCAGCGATAACGAATCATTCCGAATTCTCGATCTGGTATCGCCCGATGGCCGCTAGCACGCCATCCGAGACCGGAATGTCAATCCTCGTCCCACGGTTCTGTGTTATTTACAAGATAGTGACTGGCTTCATACCGATAGATTACCGATAAGGCTGTGTGACTGCATTCTTCTCTCCCTTGCATATCGAAGGCCTTGTCTTGCACGTCATCTAAAACCTCCCCTGTCACCTGGAATAAACTCAAAGATATCAAATTATTTTCGGACAAAACCTTGAGTTTGTTCTTAGCTTTTTCACATAAGGTAGCCCTGTCGATCATGTTTCTAAACCCCGGTTGAATAACCCCGGTTGAATTGTAGGGAGATCATTTTGTACCACATCCTCTGGAATGCGCGTCGTACAAGCTTCATGTCTCCCTAATTGAGGCAAGTACATATGGAACATACTCGGGACTCGTGGACGCGTCTTGGATATTGCACAGGGATTGGCGGCAACAGTCTACTTCCTTTCGTACTACTAACAATCTGAGGCTTTAAACTTGTGGAGGCAAATTATTTGGGAGATCCAAGCACATAGAAAATCTCTCACGTTGTACATACACCGTCACTGGTGGAATGGAAATAGACTCCGTCGGAATCAACAATATGTAAAGACAGAGATTTCTCTCAATGCTACCTGGGTACTCACTCCCATGTACATCAACATCTGAAGCAAAGTTGTACTTCGTACGGAGTACTCCGTACACAATTTCGTAACAGTGTGACCGCACCCGGAATTGCGGCGTCCTTCCAGAATTCTAGAAAACTCCGCCGAAGCACCTTAGTCCTTAGGTTCACCGTTCTGCCCTATCCACACGATCGCCACATCCGTAAACCTTGGAAAAAAAGATTAACTACAACTCCACCAAACCTGTATGTAGACCAGCGAATGATGATTCGGTCACCCCTGACGGACTTGCCCAGCCCATTATTATCCATGGAATCAGAATTTTCTTCCGTCGGTTGCCACTTCCTGTTGCATTATCTATTGATTGTCTCACGAGTCTTCGCACACAGAACATGCAGCAGAGACTTATATGCACGCCAAGACAAACTACACCATCCCTCACAGTTGGCATGGGGGCCGTTGTCTTGACTTACATTGTGCGCCCTTCCCTTTTTTTTCCGAGTCTCCGGCCGAACAATGGCTTCTACTGCCGATACTCGAGAGTCATGGAACTATCATACTGTGTACTCGATATAGAATTATCATCTCGATACGGACGACTTGTAGGCAACTACGGAGTAGATACTCCGTAACACAGATCGGAGCCGAGATCCAGGCACGTGACCTGGATAACCTTTCCGGAGGCTTGATGGTTCTCCGGTAGATCCATATCTGCGCTACTGCGGATACGATAAGAGACTGTCATCCCATTGTCGACTATTAGCAATCAGGCGGAGAGGCCGGGGGCATGACTCGTGAGATCGCATGATCGAAGCCCGAGTCCCGACTAGTATTTGAATTGCACCCCGATTTGGGATAAGGTTGCCGTTTAACTTGGTTCGCAGAAGCTTGGCTCGGCCTATCATTGCACTTGGACTTTGTATTTGGAAGTCCCGGAGGACGTCTGTAGACCTGTCTAGATGCTGACTTTTAACTACATCTGCGTATCGAGGCCAGAACATGTTAGAACGATCAATCTCCTGGTTTGAAGATAGTGAGAAATAATCGGTTATTGAGAGAATATGTAATAGACGGGTCATTGAACTTCGTATATCGGCTTTATGGTATCTAAGGCTATCTACGGAGTAGATGGATCTAAAATGAAAGTAGCACCGGCAAGGTTGTACCTAACGTTCGATCGAGCACAGACGAAAAGAGCTTTCACTAGTACTAGCATGGAGACTAGAATCACAGAGAGGACAACCCATCGTCATGGATAGAGTAGGCCTTACGCCAATGCAGCACTAAGCCCAATAGTATCTCGGCAAGATGCGCACTAAACTTAAGCGACATGAACTGCCCAGACAATATCCCCCACGGACATCCCCCAGACCTTCCACCTGTCAAAACCCCAACCACGACTCACAAGCGAAGAGATCTGCACCCACAGACGCAGCACTGAAAACAATACTGACTGTGCATTGAGGGGGAATGCAAAGACTCACCATTCTCCCCATTTCCCAATACTAGTAAATAGACAGAGACATGCCAAGATTTATCCCCACAAACGGACATGAACCATGCGCCCTTGCCGTGGCAGCCCAATTGTCTTAGCTTTGGAGCCAGACTACATAGTTAGTCTAGAATGTGTTCCATATTTGGTTCCATGAGAGCTCTTTCCAACGTTCGTGCTGGATGTATACAACCCAGTCACAATTGAATACTACAATGATTCCAGAGTGGCAGTAGCCCGAACGGAGCCTCAAGATGTGGAGTACAGAAGCCTGGAAGCTGACATTGACAATACCCCCAGCCATAAATAAGGTCAAGACCGTAGCAACAATGAATATAGGCCCTACACAACCTCCTCTGGAATCCTCGTTTTCGAGCACAGTGAGCAAAAGCAACCAGGGACCAAAGCGGAAAGAGAAAGCTATGCCTGCAGATAGGTTCAAGGATTGTCACCAGGATGTTTGGCAGCACCTACAGCATGGACCAAGGGGACGCTTCAATGTATTGACGCGTTGCATGTTTCCACTGATAGTCGGGTCTGCACGATCCTTGACAATTCTAGGTATCTCCATGGGGTGTATAGTTAGCTCGCAAGGTCAGCTCGCAGGGTTACGAATTGAGTACACTACTACGGAGACAAACATAGCTCATTCCACGATCCAACCAAAACAGCCGACGATATCCGAGCCCGTCTGTGCATCTCATCTCCGCACAGTCACTAAAGCTGAAGCCACCAAGCGAGAATCTACCCCTGAAATCTTCACTTTAGCCCTGTGATATGCACGGCTGTACTCTTCCCCCATGACATGACATGCAGCTGAGACTAAACCACACCAAGGAGTAAAACCGCTGCGATAGACGACCTGCCAGTGACAAGGCAAGAAACAAAGTTGCAGAAGATGATCAGCACGGGATGATCACAGGACAGGAAAAGAGGATCGGTCCAGACCGGTGGACCATGGGTCAAATCTGGGATGTTCTTGCGCTAAACAGCGCTAAGAGAGCGAAAAACACGGAAATGACACTGGAAACAGAACAGCGTAGTCGATCAGACGGCAGAAGCCGCGGATGATATCATTTTGGATCCACTGCGTTTAACCAAATCTTGATTTAGACGTGAATTTTGAATGAATTGGAGTGATCGAGATCGAGTCAATTCTGGACCTGCAGTTTGCTTCTGGGCTTCGAGGTCTTGTGGGGTTGTGGGGTTGTTTGTGGCTTTGTGGATTTCGCTTGTCTCCTGGCGCTACGTGAAACTGGTGTTAGGCTTGGGCATGGTTGAGGTATTTTATTCTCTGTAAGAAAGTGTTGAGATGGAGATCTTATTATTTTGTGTGGATCTGAATCAATTTGACTGCAGTAATTCGGAATTTGATCTAGAACAGTAAGCTTAGGCGCTAAAGTCAATCTTCTTAACCCCATTTCTTTGAATCCTGAGATAAGCTAATTCGAGGCGCTAACTTGCTACTCGGGTGTTGATCCCGTTGCTTTATCTGAAATCCTCCGGTCTCGGCACTCTAGGTTGCAGGAGAATGGGGAGGGAGGGCTGTTTCAGGGCTGGCCTGGAAGATTGTATCCTGGCCCAATAGATGACTGGGGAGCATATACTGGGGTTTGGCTGATTTATGGCCTTCGATTACATGTACATATATCACATGTAGAGCTGAATAGATTCACTTGTAGAAACGAACAAAAAGCAATAATCAGTAGCTTCCATGTACGTACCCTCCCCCAACCCCATTCTCATGCATCGTATCTTTGCGAGCTACAGCAATAACACCCCCTCACCAGCCCATTATCCAATCCCAAACGGCTCCATACTCGAGCATGGAAGACCCCAGCCCAATCACACCACGCAACCCGCCCCCGCATAAGCCGTCAGCCCAGTCCATGCGTCAAATGGCCAACACAGAAAGACAAATGGAAAAAGAAAAGAACATCCCTGCCTAGAAGGAGTTCCCTTCCAGCCTAGCCGTACTAGCCTAGCCACGCCAAGGTTCTCAAATGCGGGGAATGCATTAGCGCAGTTGGCGCAGGCCGCAGACGTGCACTTGTCGAGAGCAATTCATTCCTTCCATTTCTCTTTCCGCAGCTTCCGCTACGTACAAAACTACAAATCCAATGCTATGTAGGAATGTCTACGGTAATACTAGAACGTACACACATTACGAACAGCTTCTAACTATAGCACGCAAAGTTTCATACCTAAGCTCGCGGTGTCAAGGCCAAGTTTCTGGCCGAACCGTTCACGAACTAGGTGACGTCCACATGGTTCGGAGTTAACGGCCCCAGGATGCTAACGCGTACATGCAGATAAGAGCTGGAGGGTTTAGTGTTTTGGCTGGTGACTGATAGGCCGTATTGGACTGTTCACACGTTCTCATTGGTGCCCAGAAAGCTACTGCATTCTAACCTTGGGAAGGAAACCTAAACTTAATGAGTAACCCTGTGTGGGTGGCTCCAAAGATCATTGGGTACTTGTTGTTAAGGTATGTATAAAGTACGGCGGGATGAGAGAAGCCTTGCTTATTGGTGTCCTGGTGGTGTTGGTGGTGTTGGTGGTGTCATGGGATAGGATGTGGTTAGTCTACTTCCTGTAGCCTGTCTGCTTGGACCCCGAAGGGTCTATTCGGTTTAGAGCTGCAGGGATGCCGAAATTGGTTACCTTTGCAAGAGTATACTTTAGAGTTTGGATCTGCAGAGTCTGGGGAATGGGTTGATGATCATTCAAGTTCACATGTTGACTAGTCTCAAGGTGGAGATGCCGATGTCGAGGTGCTCTTGCTTTGCGTACACACGCGTACTTAGTACTTGGATGGATAACTACTTACACTGTACTATCCTAGAGGACAAGTCATTGTCTGGGATGTGCTTAATGTGCATGTCTCGAGGCGACATCATGTCTCCTGACTACTCTGCCTTCTCAGTGATTTTGTTGCGTAGGTACGTCATTCTATGACATGCCACTGACTGGAGACCCTTGCATTAGCGTCGTACGATGTGTACCCTACCTCGATATAGAATTGCAGAGACGTTGTGGCTGAGCGCTGTCAAATGCCGATTCGGGAAGGCATGGGCCTATGTTTGCAGGGTCAGTGAAGAAGTGGCGGTTGTGTTACTTGCCAGATAAGTAACTAGTTAGTTATACTTTACTTAACTTACCACCTTCCAGGGTTTAATTGTTGCCTGTGGCGAGAAACCTATATCGATTAAGTACAAGTTGGGAGAAGAATGAGATGTTGAGCTGTCTACGTGGTCTGACGACTTCCTGTTCGGGAAGGACTTGCATCTACCTTGGTCTATCCTGGGCCTTACATTGATAGAGTGTGTCTCTGGGTTGTGATGAACCATGACAATATTTCTTCAGAATACCTACAATCTTAAAATCAACCTCCATAGATGTCTCCTTGGCATGGTTTCCAAGCTTTACTCTTCGCAATACGTCTCTCAATCTTGCAGCCCTGTCAATATGCTATGCTATGATCGACAAAAGAATTAGGACCACCAAGCAGCATAGCTAGAACAGCCCGGCTGCCCCTGTGACTCCAGATTCGCCCCGGGGTAAATAGTGGCATCAGAAAAATAGGTATGCTCATTGCCATTTGCCGATAGACTATATAGTTCATGCGCAACATACCTATCCTCCACGAGAGCGACGATGACAACAGACTAACCTCGAAGCCAGGATCCATGAATGCAACAGCTCTTGCTACAATGAATTTATATGCTATACGAATAGTCGCGAAAGACCAGTAACAATCAAACCAAACGGGGAAAGAGGAAAATGCTATCTTATGCCACAACTACCAGTAACAAGGACTCGCTTCTGAAACAGAGCAAGAAAAGACCAAAACAAAGTAAACAACAAAGACGATTATAGACATAAACAATAGATATTCAGAGCAACAAGAAGGGCAGAGCAAACGGATGAAGAACGGGGAAGGGGGCGGGGATATATGCAATATGCTCTTCCTCTAGGTTCTGCTTGCAGAACCATGCAGTGGAAAGGAAACCCTTTTGCCCGGATGCAGACAGAATCGGAAATGGCATTAATGACAGACGGACGGGCTAGAGGAAGCAAAGCACACAATAACCCGTCCGTTAATCAACAAGGTGAAATGAAGTCGAGGGCAATGTCCCAGAGACAAAGGCAAGAATCGCCGAATGTGCAACGTGTTTTGATTGCACTCCGATTCGTTCTCGGACGGGTTTGAGTGAGCAAGCCTGCAATCCGCGCGCACGGATTGTTATCATTGACCCAAGTCGATTATTCTCCGAGCCCGCCTTCGGGCAAGGTCGCAGGACAACAGACGCGTCAAGTGGATCAACCGCTGAGCTTTTGCCCATTTGAAAGACCAAGAGATCGTATTAAACGATGTACGCCGGATATAGTGACGAGACGAGGAATGCAATCGAAGACAAGACAAAATCTCAAAAGTTCGCCGTTCCAACCCGAAACACCATGAAAGAGTGATGAGACGTAACATCAATGAGAGAAAGGTTGTTCGTGCCCATAGTCAAAAGTGTGTAGGCTGAAGGGGCATATGGGACAGAAAGGAGTAGGGCCGAAAGGAGACAGGCCAAGAAGCACGATTCTTGCTCGACGAAGCGGCGCTGACCACTTGAACACGAGACAAGAAAGGAGCGAGAGGTGAAAGTAAACGAGAAGAAAATGAGAATAAACACCAAATCCCATGCCGACCTCTTGGGCCATTCACTTGACAGTAAGGGCAGGAAGCAGCGGTCAAAGCGTGGCGCGGTAGGTCTAAAGGCGCCATCCCTTCATTTGACTTGAATCAACCTGAATTTCTGAGATGAGCTGAGCGTGCAAGTGATGGATGCATATAGCCGTATCACCTACCGCAGCAGAGAGCCTTCATCAACTTCTGCGTGAAAGTAGGTTGCGAGTCATTCGCACCAGGGGTGCCGGGACCCTGCTGATTATTCAGTCCTGGATTCCCTGGACTTCCGATGCGACCGGGAAGGTGAGCATTGGAGTTCTGGAACTGTGCCTGGGTTGATGCGGCCGGAGTCGATGCCTCCAACCCCCCGCTTTGACGTTTAGGCGGCATGCCGCCGGCGCTTGTTCGCTCGCGTGTCTTCCCAGCTCCAACTTTTGCTGCCGGAGAGGGAGGCGGGGGCTGCGCGGCGTTTAAACGGTCGGCTGTCACGCCAGGACGTTGGCTGTTGCGGAGCTCCCTGGCATGCAAGTCCCGGCCGGACGAACTTACGTGCTGGTTGTGCAGATGTGCCTGAGATGAATAGGACTTGTAGTCCCAGCCGCGTCCGTTGTTGAGCTTCATCCAATCGTATTCGCCGTCCTCCACCTCACCGGCGTTTTTAAGAGCCTGTGTTAAGATGTCACGGAGGTAATCGTAGTCGGGAGTGTCCTCGAACCCGAGATTGCGCACGTAGCTCAAGTACTTGTTGAACTCTTCTGGCAGAGTGATTAGCCAATGAACAAGGTTTTGGGCAAGCACGAAACGACATACCAGGATAGCTATCGCAGAGGTCTTTGATTGCCGTTGTTTGCTTCTTCTCTCCAATCTTCTCGTACTTCTGCTTGTTGGTAGCAGCCTTCAGGCCCTGCCATGGAAGGCCTCCCCTCAAGAAGTACATGAACACATGACCGAGAGCTTCAAGATCATCACGTCGAGACTGCTCTCGACCCAGATGGGTGTTGATACTCATATAACGAGCAGTACCTGACAATGATTTACGCTCGCGGTACGGAATGTGCTGCTTGGTTTTGGGGTCACGGTATTGCTTAGCCATGCCGAAATCAACGACGTGAATGACATTGGCAGCCTTGGTTGATGGTCGACCAATAAGGAAGTTGTCAGGCTTGATGTCCCGGTAGATAAGGTTCTTTTCGTGAATCGTTTGAACGCGCGAAAGCTGTAATAATGTTAGTCATGGGCCAGTGGTGACTTCCAGCTGAAACACGCACCATCTGCTTGGCTACCATCACAACGGTCTTCGTGGTGAATCGGCGGTTGCAGTGATCGAACAGATCCTCGAGGGAAGGCCCGAGAAGATCAATCACGAGGATGTTGTGCAGGCCCTCCTGTCCGAAGTAGTAGACATTTGGAATGCCGGCTGGCGTGAAGTTAGCAAAGAGCGCGGACACAATATCACCTCTCCCTCGATTTTGAACACTTACGGCATCCGACCAGAATCTTGTATGTCCGATACTCATCGCGGAGTTGGGGTGCATCACTTTTCCGGGGTTCCTTGTTTTGGGTCAGCCCGGGAGGTCGTCGGCAGGAAGGGAGAAAGGCAACTTACGAATTTGATGGCGACCTGCTGGTTGTTCAGGAGGTTGGTGCCCTCAAAGATGACACCAAATGATCCCTCACCAATTTTCTTGCCCACGCGGTAGTGGACACCCACTACGTTCGATGAAGAGGAGGCCATGGATGCGGAAGTGAGAGCCGGAGCCGGGGAAATGAAACCTCAGAATACGGGGGAAAATGGGCTTCAGGGACGTGAACACGTGATTGATGCTATCACTGGGCGGAGTCAGCACATACGAAGTCGGCCATTGATGGCAGCAGTGTTAAAGGGTCTCACATACACCACGGGGATGTTTTGGTTTTTCCGACCGGGGCAGCTATAATAGACTCAACGGGATCTATTGATCTGCGCAATATTCGGTGTACCAGTGACGGCAATGACAGACAGGCAGATGGGATGTACAATCGATGATCGGAGAAGATAGGGCAACGTATAAAGCCGCGGTAGTCAAATACAGACAATTGGCAAGTGTTGAGTAGGAATTGAGGCACTGAGAGCCCTTCGGCGGTCGAAGATGAGCTGGGGGGGGTCGACCGTTGGGAGGTACAAAGAAAAGGGGTAGAGAAGAGAGACAAGCCAGCAGAGTACTCGGCCTACTGCGAGTACAATCTGCACCGAGCAGTTCAAGGAAATGACCAGAGGACCAGAGAAGGGGGAGGGGAGGAGGGAGATGGAGAAGAAGAAAGAGAGAAGGTGCACCAGACAAGGAGAGGGTATTGGGTTTGTATTGGTAAAATGCGCCCCTGGGACGGTGTGTGGAGGAACCGGCGGTCACTGGCGGTCACTGATGTATTGAGAGTGTATGGTAATTTTGTATGTTGGGGGGAAAGTGCCCAGTCTCCGTTGTTTCTCTCCCCGGACTCTCTAGACTCTTGTTCTTTTACACAATAAACGCCTTCTGATTCAATGTGTCGGCAAACTCATCGAATTCCCGTATTATCAGTATCTCGTATCTACTACATCAATTCAGATCTGTATAATTACCCTGCCTAGCTCAGACCTCGGCGCTTCCGAGGCAGCTTAACCCTGCATAAGGAAACCAGGCACCGAAAACATCCAGGAGTGAATGTCGGCTAGGATGTACTCTCTACAGCATCACACACATCATCCGAGAAATCGGTTTATCTAGGCAGTTCGGGCTCTGACCCCGAATCGAATTTTTCCTTCTCAGGGGAGTTCCCGTCTGGACTCGGTCTGGAATGCGCTTTAATGCGGTAATATTACCGTCTTGGCAGGAACCTAAGCTGTCTTAGTGTCGATCGCTAGGAATTGACCTCTGCGTTTTGATGCATATCTAACTGTCCTTCGAATGTGACATGTCTCCTAGATAAAGCAGACCAACGCAGAGAAAGTGCATTCGGCCCTCTAGTCCCGCACCGTTAAACATTATATAGCAGACCACATCGTGACCGGACGATTCAAAGCATGGCGATTGCGAGCTAATTGTCTTCAGAAACATCCTCGGCTTCGCTCCCAAGTTCATCCCTGACCAGATTCATGTCCTCATCACTGTCTTGCTCGGCGTTGTCGTCGTCCTCGCCATCATCCTCTTCACTGCTGGACCCGCTGCCATCGCTATCGTCACTACCGGGGTCGTAGTCCTCTTCCTCTTCATCCTCTCGGTCTTCAAGCTCCCGCTGGGCCTTTTGAAGCTCGCTTTCGTCTCCTTCGGCAGCCTCAGCAGTGGAAGCCGCTGCCTCCTCTCCTCCGGCTTTATTCACATTGTAGACCTTGGCACGCCGTGCCTCTGCGAGACTAGCGTCCTGTAGACCATGCCGCTTGATATAGCTGTCAATCCCGGAGAAATCAGCCTGGTCAACCATAGAGAATTCGAATTCCTGGACGTCTCCTTCGGAGCTGTTTGCTGGTCGAGCCATAATGTTGAGATTGAAGGTCCGTTGTAGGACGGATGTATAGGAGACAGAGTCAATGGTCGCGAACGAAAAGAACAGAAGCGGTTTCTTGAAGGCGAATAGGATACCCGTGGAAAGAAGGAACAGGTAGCCTAGCAAAAGTGACAATGATGTTAATACGAGCACAACCAAATTGAAGTCCTTGTTGACCCCGATCAAACAGAGATAGGGATATCACATACCTTCTTTGCTGCCACGGAATGCCTTAACATGGTATGCCTTGTCACCCTTCCGGTGCGCTTCAGGTGTGGCACTGACAAACTGTTTGTCATCGGGGCGCACAACATTAGTGTGTGGCATATGTTCGTTAAGAATCTTGCGAAGCAATGCCTCGGCTGTCTCGCCGGGACCCTGACCGAGCTGTTGCCCATCCCCTGAGAATGCAGCTTTCGCTGGACCATCGGATATCGTAAACACCATAGGTTCGGCAACTGCCGTTCCCTCCGGCGGGGGGTTGATGCCGTCCGCAAACTCGGGAATGATACAGAAGTTGAATTGTTTCTGTGTCTTTTCGGGCACGGGAAGACAAAGTGCATGTCCTAATCGTAGCATACGTGTTAGCGTCTATCAATTATTTGGGAAAAAGACTTAAACTCACGGATCTTATCCATGGAAACCCCAAATTCAATCTCTTTCGTGGTCTGATTCCTTGCCCGAAGGTACGTGTGCCCAGCAGTGATCTCAAGCGTGAGTTTCTTTCTCTGCGGCGTAGAGAACGAAACATCTTGAACGTAGAATGAAAGTGGCGCATTGCCATCCTTCAGGTTGACTGACGCCTGCGCAGTCTCCCCGGAGTCTCCATTCTGGAGCTTGCGCTTTTTAGCGGCCGGGCCATCAGCGACGACTGGGGACCGTGAAGGGAGGGTAGTGTGAGCAGTCCTGGCCAGCAGGCTGGAGGTATATTTCGCAATATCTTCGAATACAGATCGGTGCTGAGGTGTTACGTCTAAACGAGAATACCGATAGGCGATGGTTAGTAGGAGTCGACGAGGCCATTGAATGGGGATGTGGGCGCGCTGTTGGCTACGCACCGATCGCGTCGTAGATTCGCTTTTTCAACGAGGAGTCTGTCGCGAATGCTTCCTCGATGGCGGCGATGGGTACACCCTTGGGATTGATCGGGGCAAAGCCCATGTTTAATGCGACTGCTTAGGTTCAGAAGAACAGCAGTGCAGGTAGTTGCAGGTCGGAGAATTGGGGGCAAATAAATTCAAGGGCGGACCCGAAGTATCCGCATCCACAACCCTAACTCGAGACCAATGACGGCCATTGGAATTATGTTTTGAATGAGATTTCAACGAGCTCTGTCGGACAATAGATATATGAATAAATGCAAAAGCTCCGATACTAGAATACAGTGGTTTGTACACAATGCTACAGGACCCAATAACCCCCCTCTGTCGTTCTATCTTCTCCGCCCAATCAAGCAGCTTGCTTGGACTTTGACTTCGACTTCTTGGCCGTCTTTCGCTGCTTGGAAGAGGCAGGGATAGCGTGAGTCTCCAGGTGTTTGGCAATGAAGTTGAGGGAAGCCTGGGTCAATCCTGCCTCCACTTTAGCCTTGTTCTGTTCCGCCCATTGGGCGATCTTCATGTTCTTGGCCTCTGTCTTCGGTGTCATCATTGAAACCGTTTCTCTGTATTCGGTGCGATAATCCTCCATCATCTTTGCTTTCAGGTATTCTGGGTCGTGTCGAGTGCGGAATCTCGAGTATTTGTTGCGCAGCTCATCAATGACGCTCGAGGGCATGGGTGGCTGCGCTAATGTGGGTGTAAATGTGATGGTCTCAGCCGCCATTCGTGTTGTGTCCATTGCGCCGTCGGTGATGACAGGCTCTTCCTCCAGCGGCCAAGGAATTTCGATGTCCATCCCGGAGACGTAGCGAGTGTATCGTGGGAGCTTGCTGTGTTCCCCTCGCTCGGTGTACGGCCCAGCGGCATAGGCATGCTGGACAATGACTTGTTGTGTCTTTCCAGTCTCGGTGTCTTGCACTGGAATGACGTGTCGGATATCGTCGAAGGACACAGGGAAGGGCTGCGGTGCAGTGTCACCTTGCATACCCGCTCGATCTTTGGCCCATTCGGGAATGATTACATCGCCCTAATTGAGAAAGACGGTCAGCGTATTGTCCCAGTAAGTAGGGGAAGGGGAAGATGAACGATTGAGCCGTGAACATACCATGTTGACATCTTTGATAAGAACAGTCTCGCTAGCGCGGTTGACCTGCTGGATCACGCTGATTTTTCCCTGATCCCGTCCTCGCATAACACAGACCCGGTCACCCTCGGCGAAAAGAACGTGTCTGCGTTGTTCGTGCTTAGGGAGGGCCGGAGGATGCAAAAGGTTGCCTCCCTGACCACCATATGTAGTTTGTTCCAAACCGGAGTCTCGCATTGGAGCAAGAGGCCCCTTCTCCCAATCCTCCCAGCGGGCTTTTCGTGCTGCTTGAAACTGGCTAGAAAGTGTGCCGCCATAGTCCTTCCGCGCTCGTCGAATTCCGACGCGGTCCAACAATTCCTGTCGTTCGTGGATTTTGTTGGTTCTGCGTATGGCCTGCTTCCGCGCCGAAGCCGTCCGTTGGATGACTCTCTGCATATTTGGCGTTGTGGTCCAGCAATGGCCAGATGTTGTCTTATGGCCTGGAATCCCCGGTTCGCGGATCGAAAATTGAAGGTCCGTCGAGCCACGTGATCTTGATGGTATGCGTTAGTCAGCACATAATCGCGCCTGAGGGTAACCACACACTGGGATGTCACTCAGTTTAACAATGTCATATCTCTCATTTGTGATTGAATTCTAACTATGAGGGGTGTGGGCTTCCGGAATGGCTCAATGAGGATAAATCTACGGAAAGAGGATTCTGAAGAGCGGACACACCAGGTTTAACAGACGTCGGCAACACTACTCCGTAACGAAAGTTGACTACTTTATAGTCGACACCATTTCGAACTTAAATCATTAATCCGATATGGGCAGCTCTTCCATCTTTCCAGTTAGCCATACCTGACTTTCAGCTTGTTGGCCCCTCGTTTAGTGAGAAAGCAATCCACCGAGCGGTGGAACCAGCGTGGGATCAACAGGCAACTTCCACTGGAGAGCTGCGCAGAGCACACCATGATCGGGGTTCTACGGGTTCGACATCCACCCGCTTGAATGCAAGCTCTTGCGGTTGGATTGCCAAACTGCAGCCATACTTAAGAGCCGTTCATATTTTAGGATAGCCTAGGAAGATAAAAACCTGCAAAGGTACCTACCTATAGAAGAAGATCTAATGTGGATATATATCACAGTTCCGTGTGATGGAAGTTCACCAACCGTCTCTGGCAGGTCGAGGTCGAGACAGGACCATGTCAACATTGAACAACATGATCTAGTTAAGTTCAGGTTTCTAACTAACTATTTCGTTCTCAAGCCTCAGAATCGAATTTATGATGGACGCGAAGCTAAGGACTTGGCCCCTGTTTGCTATTTTTAGGCAACCACGCCATCATTGGAGCTAGCGATATCACAATTCCACTCTCAGAACAGCGGCTTCAAGAATGTGAAGTCATGACTAATGTAAAGCTCGAAACCTAGGTAACTGTTAGTTAGCGTAACTAAGGGGTGAGTGAGTTTGATTGTCAGGTTTGACGCTTTGGATCAGAAATCCAAAATTCCATGCTCTAGGTGGCTTCTCGAACTAACAACACGACTTCTTGGAGTCAGCTGGTGCATGGAGTTAGGAGCACCGGGATTGGCCCCGGCCCGATTGGGGCATCAGCAGCACACAGTACGCAGTGCAATACTAATGGATACAGTATGTGAATGATCTCATGGATATTTCAATATGACCGATTACGTACCCAAAGCATGTAGAGGACCGCCGACCGCACAGGAGCAGATCAACATCAGAAAGGACAGTCTCCCAGACAGAGGTACAGGCGTCTACTGCGTCCGCTACTGAGGTGTATAGTACGTAGCCTCGAAGTGATCGTCATTGGACAGCCGAAAGGTCCGAGTCAAGCATTTTGACCAAAAGGTTATCAGCACAGCCACCTAGGAGTCCTCCAGGGCTGCCCACAATGGAGAGGAAACTTGGAGATCCCGGTAGGGATACTACTCCGTACAAGTACAAACATTGCAAATCGACATGCAAATAGTCGAATGTATGGAATCAAGCAAGTGATACTAGCCCATATTTATACATAAGTTTCAACCCATAACGGAGACTGGAATGCCGTAAGAGATTTCGGCCGTTGATTCGAAGTTCAGAAGTGAATTTTGGACCGACTGAGAGCCTACAACAATCCCGGTTTTCAGAGAGGCCTAGTTGATGGAGCTAGTAAAGCCAATGTCTAGGGATTCATCCGAGATTGCAAGTGTTGCTCTGAAAGCCAAATTATGTATACGGTTTAGGGTGACCATCACTGATTCACTGTCACTGAAGACTGAAGTAGGGCAGACATAATCAGAAATAATTCAGGGGGCCATGAACGTGATATCCGATGTCTTTAGTGCCAACTGTGCCATGGACCATGGCATGGCATGATCGCAGGTTACACAGCCACCGTGGCTGTGTGGGCTGTGTGTCAACAAAGAGACAAGAGTGGAGCTTTGTCTTGCATATGGAGCAGTTTTTCTGGTCTTAGCCACACATACCTAGGGCTGTGTGCATTTCCTCTTTTCCACCCTTTTCTTCGCAGAAGGGAAGAAGGGATAAGCCACAATAGAAACAAGATAGCCTGAAACTCAGGGGGTACACATGGGTAGCTAAGTTAGCTCATCGTAGAGTGTTAGCACGAAGTACGGAGACTGGAGACGTAAAACATTTACCAAATACTGTGTACAGATACCACCCAGCGTATTCTGTCCGTATGTACCTTTAATGCGGGCACATGCGCAATTCGATACTTAGGACTTTGGCCCGGTGATTCCTCCACTGACAGAGGGAGGGGGGAAAATCCACAATACCGTACACCAACGGCCAACAACAAATACCGTAATACTGCCACCGCCCACTGTTGTCTGGCCTGGTCTTCTATCTTTCTCTCCTCCACCTTCAAATCATCAATCCATCGTCATTTTCTCATCGTTTTCCATCGGAAATAACACATTCATCTTTCCATTATCTCTCAAGATATTGCAGTCAGCACCAGCTGATCTATCACATTAAAGGTACGACACCGTTGCGCCCTCGAACACCGTTAGGGATCACCCTTTTCCTCTCCCCAAGGAGGAGGGGGCTCAAATTGTCCCCTTCTCTTCGATAATATTTCCTTGATGTCCCTTCACGCCCGAGTATATTCTTGATACTGGATACAATATTGTGGATTTGCCGGGTCTTCTGGCTCGTTCTTGTTTCTTTGCCCCTATACTGACTTGTTCCTTATCAAGATGGCTGAGATCCGTCGCAAGCTCGTTATCGTCGGTGATGGTGCCTGCGGTAAGACCTGTCTGCTTATGTGAGTGTCACTTTTGGGCCCCTTTTTCGGGGGCGCGTCTGCGCGCCCAGCGTTCACTTTGTTCGATCCGGTGATCTGACTGAAGTCCAGTGTGTTCTCAAAGGGCACCTTCCCCGAGGTAAGCTCTATCATAGCCCCCGACCCTCTGATCTCGGTTCTATACTCTGTCCCTGATTATGGAGCATACAACAACATCGACCCAAAAAGCAAAATTTAAGAACTCTTATCTGACTCTGATTTCGTCAGGTCTACGTCCCCACCGTTTTCGAGAACTACGTCGCCGATGTTGAGGTTGATAACAAGCACGTCGAGCTTGCTCTTTGGGATACTGCTGGCCAGGAAGATTACGACCGTCTCCGTCCTCTTTCATACCCCGATTCACATGTCATTCTGATCTGTTTCGCGGTCGACTCGCCCGACTCGCTCGACAACGTCCAGGAGAAGGTGGGTGCCTATCTGATTGATCGGAAATTTCGATGCAACGTGATATTGGGTACAATCTGGGCCGACTTTGCTAACTTGGTACAATAGTGGATCTCCGAGGTCCTGCACTTCTGCCAGGGTCTCCCCATCATTCTTGTTGGTTGCAAGAAGGATCTTCGTGATGACCGCAAGACTATCGACGAGCTTGCCAAGACCTCACAGCGCCCCGTTTCGACAGAACAGGTACGTTCTCCTTCCTCATGATCAGTTCCAACAGGGATTAATGTGTCTCTATAGGGTGAGGAAGTCCGCAAGAAGATCGGTGCCTACAAGTACCTTGAGTGCTCGGCCCGCACCAATGAGGGTGTCCGCGAGGTCTTCGAGGCTGCCACCCGTGCTGCCCTCTTGAAGGCTGTCAAGGGCAAGGGAGGCCGCAAGAAGGGCGGCTGCCTGATTCTGTAAACTAAGCCAGTTGCTGAAGTTGTCTGGCTCAGGCGAAGATCTTATGGATGAGAGCCTCTCCACAGCGACCGATTGGTGACGTTTTCCTCAGGAAAGGAGGAGAGCTTCATGGCCTGCATGCGAGATTGTGGATAATATCGAATCCGGGCACCCGAGTAGTGGAGTTCTCCCCACAATTCAGCTGGTCGACCCTGTGTTTTTCTTTTGCCTTTATTTTGCAGAATTTGTCTAGGGAGGCGTTGTCTTCATCATAACCCTGTGGGCTTTACTTTTTCTTTCCTCTCCGCGTTTCGACATCGTGAGTTACCAAATGTCAAAACTGCCGCGTTGGAGTGGCAAATATAAAACCGAAAAAGACCCAACTCAGAAATGGGAAGGATCATGAGTTGAGGAGGAGAAGCCATTCAGTGTAGCACCTTCCGTGCAAAGTGATCAACGTGACTCGCCTTCCCTGGTCGAGTTCCCCCTGTGTCATAGATTCTTGTCCCTGCCGTTTATCTCCCCATACGCGAAGAGCTTTTGGCTTTATTGTTTTCTCTCTCTCCTTTATTACATTTGTTCCTTTCTACAGCTAATGCATGATATTGTTTATCTCCATTCGATAGGTACCGTGTAATCCTGTAGCATGTATGCCTAATACCTAATATAGCTGCCTAGGTGTATTTCTTCATAGTAATTCGGGCTGTATGTGGCTTGCAATACAGAGCAGCCGTACAATCTCCAAGCCCATATTAGGGCTGTTACCTACTTAAGATGGTACTAACTATGGCATAGGTAAGCCAGGTGTCTAGGTACTCATATCTGTACAAATCACATGCATTAGGTATGTAGGATATAGCCCAACCACATTGGCACTACTGATTCAAACTCAGCAAACCCTCAATATACCGCCTAGCATCCATCCCAAGCCCTTCAACAAGCTTCGACGGAACCATTTCTGCACCGGAAGACCCCAATCCAGCAGAAGATGACGCACCGCCAAGATCCCGGAAGAAGCGAGTACCACTACTGACTCGACCATGGCTAGCGGAGGTGTAATCGCTCGCCTTGCGGACAAGGAAAGCCTCGCGCGGCGGAGGGGGGCACCGTGACCGAGCCTCTCCCGCGTGTTCATCGTTTGCCATTGATGACAACGCGACGGATGAAGAGGCGACGGAAAGCGCGGTTGGTGTCTTGTTGTGAGGAATGCGGACCCAGACGACCCACCACCCGCGGTGGGTTTTGCTTGTGCGTTCGAGCTCTTGGGGGCGGGCGCGCGTGTCTGTGTATGTTGATAGGAGGCGGTGGTGGATTGCTACGCTCTCGAGGCGGGACCATGGTTGTGGGGATGGGGATGGAGAGGGGGAGATTGAGGGGGAGCGGGTTGAGAGGTCGGGAGAGTTTGGGGTGATGGCTAGACTGGGGATATTTGGGATAGAGGAGCGGATGGTTAGGTGTTGTGGGTCGTAGACTAGGTCGTATATTGGCTGTGTTTGTGTAGAGAACCGTTTGCTGGGGTCCGTTGAGGTCTCGGACATGGCGATTCGCGAAGCGGCCGTTGCTGGAGATGTTGAGGATAGGAGGGGTTTCTGGAGGGGCCCGAGTTGATGATGGATGCTTGAGTAGAGGGATGGAGATGATAATGCTGGTGTTTCAGGCTCGAAGAGGAATGTGAACATGAATGGTTGATACTGATGCCACATATTAGCTAGTTGTTTTGCACAGGATGAGATAGAGACGTACCACATAGATCACCACTTGTAACCTTTTGAGGGCCCCGTCTGGTGCACCCCCCAGTTGAACATATAGAGACCTATGCACTATCCGCGTCTTGGGAGTGGCGCGCTCAGAGTTGGGCTTTGGGCTTCCCTCTTCGATATCATCCAGTATCTCGAGATCATCGCGAGGCCCCAGAACGAAACGACCAGACGGTTGATTACTGGTGGTGTCCTGACGGTCTCCGTCAGCCGGCGGCGATTGCACAGCACTGGAAGGTCGACTCTTCGGGGCTGATATATTCGGATTAGGTTCATCTTGTGTTGGGGTAGAACGGCCAGCAGACGGCGTGGATCCCGACTTTGGAGAGAAACTCCAAGAGGAACCATATCCAAGAGTGAGATATTTCATGACAGTCTCTGTCGGAAAAGTCGCATTATCGGTCTTTTCTGGCGGCTCATTGCTTGACTCTGCCTTATTATCCGTGCCTACTGCTGGAAGTGGCTGGGGTGCTGCCATCACCAACGGACGAGGTATTCCCGGTGTAAGACTGCGATCCGGCGTTGATGGCTGATGGGTATCCAGTGAAGCTTGCCCACCACGCTGCTTTCGGCGCTTACGACGACGCAGCGAGGTTGGGTCTCGCCCAACCCCATATGCCGCATCACCAAACCGATAGATGCGTTCCATCCAGTGCGAAATGTGAGACAATGAATGTCGAGAAAGAGCCCCGACGCCAGAGAACACTACCCCGTCGGATGGGCGGGGATCGTTATCTGCCCCAAGCCATTGGCTTTGTTCGTTTGACCTTTCTGAAGCCGGGGATCCCTCAAGATGTTTGGACGGATCGCCAAACCTGGAGACGACCAAATCCACCAAGCCCTCTGTCCTTGTCACAAAGTCTTCAAGTACTTCTCTTTCCCCGCTGCCCCACTCTTCCTCCCCTACGCCGATCCCCAATTCTCCCCCAGCGGAGAGCTTGATACCATTGTATATCTCGACGATTGGGTTTCCGGTCAACTGTATTTCCCAATCCCAAGCAAACTTCTCCCAGAATTGATCAAGGAAACGGCAAAATGTGGGCCTGCCAACTCGACTGAGCAGACTGTCCAACGTGAAGTCATGCTGCAGAAGGAACTGCGAATGCGCCCGACGTAATTGCTGGATCATCAAAGCCGGCGGCCCCATCTCTCGCGATGAATATTGGAATGCCGGAGAGTCTGTGGACTTTTGAGCTGGATCGGCGGGTAATCGAGTCAGGTCGATTGACTGGCTTGACATGAGCTTCAGAATCTCTGCGATATGCATCAGCCACTTACGGCAACTATCCACCAGTCCTTCTCCAACTCAAGCAGAATGACTCGGGCTTTCTGTGTTTCGACATATTCCAGCGTCTTCCCAGCGGAAAAGTTACTATACACCAAGCGCGATGAGATTAGTCCATCTGCGGGGGTGCAGATATGCCCACCTAGCAAAGTTGACCATGCCCTGCGCCAGGCCTATTTGGCGTAACTTCTCATTCTCCTCATCTTCAAGGCTTTTGTTTGCGCCATCTTCTGCCGCGGATTCATTGGTGAGCCGCGCATGGCTCGATCTCGAGGTGTGGAATACGATCTGGTCCGCTACCGTCTCATCGGTAGCTCCGAGAGTTGGGTTATAGATGGCAAGGTATGAAAGTTGGGCTGGTATCACGCAATCATAGTCGCTTTCAGGCATCGCATAATCGGATGGTGTTTGAAGTTCGCATTAGACAGGTATTAGCAGGGTAAAGGTCGAGAGACAGATGAGCTCGCGGCGGCATTCGAGGGGATGTTGGCATCACTACGGCCGACGGTAGCCACCATGCTTGGCTTATTGACAATCATGCCCAAAATTCAGGGCAGAAAAGGGCGGTAGCATTAAAGTATCCAATAGGAGACAAGTAAACTAAGGCGGTCACCATTTTACTTGGTTCACGTGAGCTCCACGATAAGAGCTATCATGATTGGGGAAGCTTCAACGGGACTTTGCAGCTTGTTGCAGATACCCACCAGAAACATGTGGATTATTCCTGGTCCTGGAAGTCTACGACTCTGCAAGAGGTCTCTTGTCTGTCGAGGAATTGCGTTCAGGTCGTATGCCACCAAGGCATCTGACCCGCTCCGCATCCTCTTTTGCGGATCCGATGAATTCAGTATCGCTCACTTGAAAGCTCTCCATGCTTATCATTTCAAGAACCCCGAGCGTATTTCTTCAATTGATGTGGTGTGTAGACCTGGAAAGAGAGTTGGAAGGGGATTGAGGCAGATCCGAGAAGGTATCTTCGCTTTGCGCTTCCTTGGAAGGCCATGGTTCCTGATCTATTTCCTATAGTCCCGATTAAGGCGGCCGCATCTGCTCTCTCCCTCCCGGTCCATGAGATTGACACCTTTACTGGATGGACGGTAATAGCAAATCAAAGCCCAATTGGTGTTCTCGCTGACTCTGCTAGCCTCCGGCTTCCCCGAACGGAGACATAAACTTGATCATTGCTGTCTCATTTGGACTTTTTGTTCCGCCGCGCATATTAAATGGCCTCAAGTATGGGGGCATGAACGTGCACCCCTCGATACTACCAGCGTATGTGGCTAGTGCTTACTCAAATTGAAGAATAAGATGGTTGATCTGATTGTTTAGTTTCCGCGGTGCTGCACCGATTCATCACACTCTTCTCGCCGGTCACACCACCACTGGCGTGACGGTTCAGACCTTGCACCCAAAAAAATTCGATCATGGAGTCATCTTAGCACAAACACCAGCTCCCGGGCTTGAGATCCCCGAGCCGGAGTCCTGTACCGTTCCCGAGTTGGAGAGCTTCCTTGCACAGAAAGGAGCACAAATGCTTGTGGAAACCATTGATAAGGGGCTATTCGTTCCCCCAGTATCAGTTGCAGGTACTGAACAAACAGGGGAGGCAAGCCACGCTCCCAAGATCACCCCAGAGGACCGGCACATCGACTGGACGAACTGGACTTTGACGGAGATCAAGCGACGTAACCGAGTGATTGGACCTCTCTGGAGCAAAGCCCTCTGCTCATCCAATGCCGCAGATGGACCTCTCAAATTCCAACAAAAACGAGTCATTTTCACTAATACCGAGGAAGTCGATCCACCAAAGGGGTGTGATTCATTCTCAGTCCTCCCTGGTCTGCCGTTCACCAACGCCTCTCACCCCGTCGAGCCCAAGAAAACACGGCAACTCTACGTGTTTACTGCCGATGGGAAGGTTTTGCGTATCAATCGGATGAAAGTGGAAGGCGAACAAGATGCAGAAGGGTTGAGAGCCGCTATCAAAGCTCGCATGTTTGCTGATCGAGCATTCCATTATGAAGGCCGGGATCTGACTCCCTTCCGCAATCCTCTTGTATAAATATGACCTATGTACAGAGTGATTTGTACTTTATCCTGTGCTTTAGCCCAAATGATACCCGCTCACTTCTAGCAGATCGCAAAGCCAGAATCTAAAGATTGTCAGTCGCGAATCAAACAACAATTGTCTAGGAGAGTGAGGGTTCCTTACCAATTTGAACGGTCTGTCCGGTTATAGAAGTATTCTTGGCGAGCGTGACGAACATGTCGGCGCAGTCCTCCACCTCAGGCTATAGCAGGATTTGTCAGTACGCGGAGGAACCTGAGGGGGTGGAGTGGGAGTTCTTACTGCACGCTTGAGGGCGGTAGCATTTGTCCAACCCTCAATCAACTCGGGAGCAAAGCGTTGACCCTGGGATTTCGTCAGCTTATACCAATACTGCCGTCAAGTACAAGTCACTTACCCAATCGGTGAGCAAGAGACCAGGAAGGATGGCATTGATGCGGACTTTCGAGCCTTGGCTCTTAGCAAGACACCTCATGAGATGGATTACTGGATATTGTGTCAGTGGCCCAGTCAACGAATGCATTTCACAGGGATGGTATCGTACATGCTGCTTTCGACACCGCATAAGGCAAACTGCTGCCGCTTGCTGTGACGCCCTGGGAGAGTGAGGATCAGCATCCACCGTCGTCCAACACATGAGCCGAGCCATGCTTACCGCAGTTGATGCTGTGATAAGGAAAACGCCACCCTCTGGATTCGCATTGAATGTGGGCAAAGCTGCCTTGAACAAATAGAAGCTGCTCTTGACATTGACAGACCAGCACTTGTCCCAGTCATCGTCGTCCATGGCATCGAGATCGGCGAAATTGGTTATTTTTGTCCACCCCTTTTCATAGATTAGCGATTATCACTCGTCTTATGACATTCCAACCTACAGCGTTGGAGATAATGATATCCAAGCCGCCGAACTTCTCAATTGTGGCTTTGACGGCATTGAAACAGTCTTCCTTGATACCTGCATCCTGTTCACAGAACCTTGTCAGTGGATGAAAAGGACCGGCGTTCAGTCAAGGGAGAACATACACCTTGAATAGCCACTGTTTTCACACCATATTTGCTTGCGAGATCGGCAGCAAGCTTCTCTGCGACATCCTTGCTGGAGACATAGTTGATGGCGACGTTGCTTCCCTCAGCGGCGAACTTCTCGGCGGAAATAGCACCCAGTCCTCTATTGCATTACGACGTTAGCTTGGTTGAGTATGGCAGTGTGCTCCAACTGAAGTCTGTCTTACCGGGAGCCACCAGTAATCAAAACATTGCGACCTGACAAAGAGCAAGGCATTTTGAGTAGTGTAATATGGTATACCACTGCGATTGGAACAGCTCTTATGCTTCAAAAAGAAGAAAAACAGAATGTTAAAGCAGTTGAGGGCCGAGGAACACCGATCTACCTTGCTTTACCCGATGCGGGGTAGTTGGAAGATGTGCGGAGTTCGTTGCGAGTGGATCAGGCAGATAGCGAGGCAGGTACAATCGTTTGATAGGGCCTAGAACGTTTGATTATACTATCTAGATGCGACTGATAGGACTAATTCATCTGTGTAGAACTGTCTCGGACATTGAGACAACCAGCTCGGGGCCATGGTATGGAGTGCACAGCTCGTTGTGGGGTCGGAATTTCGAGCTTGAGCTCCTCAATGGCGCAATGATTCATAGCAGCCTACGCATTGATTCCAGATGCTTGGCATAATGTGCAGCTTTGGTATAGAGAGAGAAATCATGGCAGACTACGAGAAACAGAAAGTCCAGCTTGGCAAATAACTCAATTCCAAGGTACCTACATGAGGCATCTACCCATTAGCTAGATTCAATTGGGTATCATATCCGCAGATATCGGAGCTCAAGATCACAGCTGTGGGCCTGAGAAAGCCCACGAGGATACACAGCGCTCAAATCACCAGCCACCCTGCATATTGGGTTCTCTTCATCCCCCACCAGGCCCGCCGTCCGGCCTGAGCAGGCCATTGAACTAGAAAGCGGTCGACCAATGGCAACAGTAATACGCCGGAGACACTGAGCGAGTTCACCCGAGCCCATGATTCAACGTAGACAGTGCGCAGCTTTGGCACCGTCGAGTTGACTTGCAGACCCAGACATAAGGCACCAAGTCTATTCAGACAAAGGAAGAAGCGGATGATTTTAGCAGCCGCCACGACGCAGACAGCTGTAGCGGGGCCGTTTGTGAGAATCAAGTCCGGATAAGGAGAAGTATACTCCTCGGGAAGCTTTTGATCAGGGTGAAGTCCACGAAGAACACACAGGCAGACCCAGAAGCACTGGAGTGTCGAGAATGGCGCGGTCAGATAAGATTGATGGACCCGCCGGGCACGAGGCACTGTGACAATGCTGTACCGGTCGTTCTCAGTATGGCTCTGCAGTTTCTGTACGTGCTGATCCTCGAACTCTTTCGCTTTGCCAGCGCTGAAGTCATCTCCGGAGCTAACAAGGTATGTCCGATACGTGTAGATGTGGGGGTCAAGCTCCATACGATCAAGCATGTAGAACATCTCAGCTGTATGACCACCACTCCCAAGGACCACGAGCAGGTGGGTAGGTGATCCTTTTGGGCGGCATTTAGGAACAATGGTGTTTTGGGAGATCGCGAGGGAGAGGAGGATTATCTGGGACAGGAGTTAGCCAGTATAGATTCGATGGTATAGACGAGGAGCACCCACGAAGAGAATGAGGACTGCAAGTACAATCGCTAGAATGCAACATGTTAAGACAAAGTCCCAGGACACCGTAAGACTAAAAGATAGATGCATCTTGGGCCGTTGATCAGGCTCCGAGTTCGGTGAGACAGCCCGAGGCTCTTAGTGTGACATTGTTGTAAGGAGAGAGAGAATGTCCTGGAAATCAAAAGGAAGAAAGGAAAGGATCTCGGCCACAATGGCAGTGAGGGACAGTCGAGAGTTGCAGATCAGATAAATTGGAGTCGCGGACTCGCGGTACACGTCCCCCGCACGTGCAAGCTCGACCGTTTTATTTTCACTCGTTGGCATCCGCAACTTCTCCCTTGTTTACACCCACGCTGTCTGCGTTTCCCTCCCATGTTACTATGCCATGGCTTCTCTATTCTCTAAGCGTTTGAAATGCTTTTATTGCGGGAAACGGTCCGCTCGTTCTCACCGCGGAGGACCTATTTGCAATTTCCGATGCGAACACTGTGAGGCTGACAACTTTTTCGATGAGGTCAGTTAATTTGTGACCTTTTGTGCATTAATACCTGCCCTTTGAAGCTTTGCTAATGTCGTCCCTTCTGATGGAGAAGAATGGAGAAATTACAGATCCACCAGCTGTGGTCACCAACGCTGAAATCTACGCCTCCGGCGCATCAAATCCACCCTTTGAATCTACGGACTTCAGCGGATCCCAATCATTTTGCGCAAAATGTGCTCGCAACCAACATTTATTTACAAGCTCTTTGGCTTCCTACTTTCCCCCGTCCGATGATCCCTCCGATATCGAATACGAACGAGGCTATGAACAGTTCCGCAAGAGCTTGGAGGATCGATACCCTCAAGTCTGCGAGTCCTGCGAACCTCTTGTGAAATCTCGCATTCGAAAAGCTGCATACGAAGCGAAAGCAGACCACTTAAGGCGCATGATGGATCAAACTCGGGCAAATCGAGAATCACGAAAGGCGAGGTATCGGAGCTGGAGAAGCTTGCTGCTTGTTGCCGGTTCACTTGCATACTGGGCTAGTATTGCTGGCCAGCTTGCATGGAACCTGAACAGTGTGGCCACTCTTTCTCCGACTGGGCAAAGTCTCGATGTTGATTCGCTCCCCGCTGAACAACCTTCTGAGCCGCCTGACTCTGTGATGTCGTGTATCAACCATTTCATCCGTATGCGGCGAATTGCCAGCGTTTGCTCGCCTGACTTAGCACCAACTGCGGGTCTGGCCCTGGTGGCAGGTGTGCTTTCGCTTTGGTGGAATCCGAAGCTGCGCATGAAGATAGACGGAATGCCCGGCAAGTTCCAAGGACTTGCAGAGTACTACGAAACCCAACTTATCGTCATCGTAGCGCGATGTGTTTTTTGGGCAGTACTTAAGGATCCATCTGCTAGTGGGGTGAGACCCAGCCTGCTTCCAGCCCTACATGGTTCGATGATAATCTTCATTATCCTGGTAGGTAACCTTTTCCCCTTCATGGATGCTACATGCGCTGACTCAATTAGTCGGTTTCTTTTTCTCGATACATTGTCAGCTACTCCAATCGTCCACTCGTCAACTGGTCGGATAACAGTTGGGAGACTCAATTCCAAAGTCCCAAATCGTCTTCTTCAGTTCCCGAGTCACCTCGAACTGCAACGTCCGGCGGCGTATCAGACGCAAATGCTAGTGGGCTGCACCAACGATTTCCGATTGGTAAACTAGCTCAGCCTCAATCACAGTCGCCTGCTGAGCAGCCACCCACTGTTGTTTCTAATTATGCCGACAATGATGGCATGGACTGGTCCCCTTCCATTACTCATAACCTCCGACCGACCATCACGCGGCGAGATCAGCCATCTGTGCTTGACGGTCCGCATCCATTTCAGGGGCAGATTCCAGCAGCCCCAACACCTCCCGCGTGGAAGCTTCGCACTCCTACTTCGACGAAGCCCATTGAGCAAGTGGTCCAACCCAATCCGTTCCACCGCAGCCCCACACAGTCACAAAACCGATGGCAGACGCGTGCCGACGCGGAACCTGTTTTCAAGGATCCAAAGTTCTTCCCTCCCCAAGATCAGGACACATCCACGGGGCTGGAAACATTGTTTGATCGTGCCTTCAATTTGCAGCCTGATGCTGCCCAGGGGACTGGCTGGTCTCAAGCAGGACAAACTCAGGGCTCTGCGAGTGACGTTACAACCCAGAACTATCTATTTTATGGATGGCTCCGACTAGGCTTGCTAGTGAGCTTTATCAGTGCCTGGACCTTCTCCCAGAATCACCAAGTCTTGCTCCCTGGCAATTACGTGGAGATCTCTGCTCTAGGCGTTGCAAGCCTTGTTGCAGGGTTTGCTTTGATCAGCATGGTAAAACGACCCATTGGGCAATGGAATGGGATGGAGATACTGATTTCTATTACCGAACTCGCTGCCGCCGTTCACATGGGGGCACATTTGCCAACTGTTTCGTATAACCGGGACTACTTTGATCGTTACGGCAAGTTCCTCTTGATTTTCATGGCTGTCCAAGAGACTCTGAATGTGCTCTCCTTCTACAACAAGGCCAGGTCAGAAAGCCAGTCGCAGTCAGGAACAGTATCATCGCCGCCGCAACCGCATTATAGTCCACCGGGTGCCATTGACTGGTCCGGACAACAATCATCGACCAGCTCTACGCCCGAGCCTCGAACCAAGAGTCCACCTATGCACCGATCGTTCGAGTCGCAATTATCTGCTCCTCCACTCTCATTTGGTGATACCGACGGGGCCTCCAGTTTCTCATCTGCGTTACCTTCCGTGCCACAGTATGGACTTGCCTCATCTCGAACGGTCCATTCATTCCCCACCGCCAGTCAAAATTCATTCAACCAAGACAAAAGCCCGCATAGTTTCACCATGGAAACTCTCAAGCAATTCGAGCCCGGGTCTGATTATGAACAAGACTCCGATAACGACACTGTAGCCACAACTACGACCACTCGCACAAATTTCACAAATCACAACATTCGGTATGGGCTCGGCTCCGGGTTAGGTTCCAATACCTTTAATTCACCCCGGCGAGCCGGACTCGGATCAGGCATGGGTGGGCTAAGCTTGGATGATGACCCTACTCCCCGTCGCATGACTCGCAGCCAAACCCAGCAGGGACTTTCTAGTCGTCGCCCAACAAGCTATATTCGGTGATTGGTGTCTTGTCCTCAAGTGGTTCATTCATGAAAGCTGTTCCGCTTGTGTTCGGCATACCGCTGGATCCTATGCTCCTCACTGTTGCCGATCAAATCGCCACCCATCAATACGTTGTCAGACTGATTTCATCTTCCCCAAACCCTGAATGGGCCCTCACCAAGGCGTTGACAGCCTATATCATTCATTCCTTTTTCTCGACAATTTTGGCCTGCAGGTGTTGTTTCAAGCGGGCTTATAGCGCATGCGAATTCTTTTGTTTTATATTTGATTTAGCGGTCCCAAGTGGGTGTTGGGACCGCCGTACATATCCTTTGCGAGGGTTGGTCAACCCAGCTACTTGATGATGCATATGAAATTACGACGACCGATGTGATACTATCTCGAATCAAATTATCTATCTGGTGAAACACTTGTAGCATTCGATTGAAATTCCACGTATAAACATCCTAAGCAAATGATTCATGTCTAGGTCCCTTCCTACTCAGCTACCCTCTCAACGTGGGTGTGGAAGGTCTTATCCAAGGGTTCCTTGCCACCTGCAGTAGAGCCCGCACGCTCCTCATCAGCATTCTTCTGCTCAAGCAGCTGCGTAACACCAAAGAGCTCATCCATCTTCTCAAGCGAGAGACCTATAGGAACACCATTAGCAAAAGAACACAACAGCGCACTGCCATCGGAAATCAACATACCCTTGGTCTCGGGAATAAAGAACCAAACAAAGACACCCATAGAGAAACAGAAGCAAGCGAAAATAATATAAGTTCTGCTCAACCAGTCAGCAAACCCATAACTCAGATTTCACCCACCAGCCCACAAAAGACTCACCCATAACCATTAGGACCAACAGTAGCCAACATATTCGGCACAGCCCTGGCAACAACAAAGTTAAACAGCCACTGCGTAGCAGCACCAAAAGCGACGTTCAGCGAGCGAAGTCTGGCAGTCGGGATCTCGGAGACGTAAATCCAGCAAACGGGACCCCAGCCGAACTGGAAGAACGCTGCGAACAGGAAGATGCACACGAGCGCAACGTAGCCGGCAGGGATGACGGGTGCACCCGCGACTGGTGGCGCGATACGGACGTATAGACCGATGTAGAGCATGGCTAGACCCTGTGCGATGGATGTCCATAGGAGGGAGCGGCGACGACCTAGGGAGTCGGCGACGAAGAGTAGGAACACGCCACAGCCAACCATCTTGACGATGCCGTAGACTCCTGTTGCGAAGAGATTGGTTGCGTTACCGGTGACACCGAGCTAGATATTGAACATGGTCAGTATTTGCTTTTCTTTCTGTAAATTGGGTTGGAGATTGGGGTTAGGGCTTCGTGCTCACATTTTTGACTGCGACTTGTTAGCGGATTTCAATAATAGGGGTCACGAGGAGATCAACATACAAATTTGAGGCGCATAGTAGTTGATAGCGTTAGTTCCAGTCATCTGCTGGCAAATCATGAGGACGATAGAAATGATCGCACGCTTGCGATTGCCGGGAATAAGCCACATCTCCCTCATCAAGTCCCAGAAGCTAGACCCGCCGACAAGAGCACGCTCCTGTTCGAGCTGTGTAGCAATAGCCTGGAATTCCTCCTCGACATAAGGGTGGTCAGCGGGTAGGTGGCGGACTGTGGCGAGCGTTGCGCGGGCCTCTTCCCACCGGTCTTGTCTGGCCAGCCAGCGGGGGGACTCGTTGCACAGCAACATCCCCAACAAGAGGAGAACTGCAGGGAGGCCTTGCATGGCCAGAGGAACGATGTACATTGCGGGACCGGTGATGTTGAGGAGTGAGCCGTAGTTGATCCAGAATGCGAGCATGATGCCCATTGTGATGAAGAGCTGGTATAGACCTGTTAGGCCACCGCGGATGGCACGGGGTGCGTTCTCGGCGACGTAGAGGGGGTTGATCATGGAGGCGGCGCCGACTCCAAAGCCGCAGATTACTCTGAAGGGTACATTAGATTTAACTGCGTTTTAACGAGAGGCAATGGCATATCTGTCTCACCGTCCGATGTACATGACCTCGAGGTGGCCACTGGCTGCAGTTTGCATGACAATGCCGACGATAGCCACGACTGCGGCGAAAATCAAGGCCATTCTTCTACCCCATTTCTCAGCGATGGGGGAGGCGCACAGGGCTCCGAAGAAGCAGCCTGCTTGGAGTGTTGAGACGATGTTGGCGGATAAATTCGCTGCGGCGACATCGGAGATGTTCTCGAGCCCGTATGTCCTATATTGATGACACTGGTCAATACAAGCCAGACGACAATTCGTCCGGGAATGGAGTCTCACGCTTTGAATCCTGGCATAGTGAGAACTCCACCAATGATACCGGAGTCCATGCCGAAAAGCATTCCGCCAAAGCATGCCTGTAAAGAAGAGTTAACACTGTACTCCTACCCCTATCAATGTTGCCCGTAGATACTGACCGAGCAAGCAAGCAGAAACACTCTCCATCCATAGATCTCCTTAGGATCCTCTTTCATTGCATCATTGTGAACGACCTTTCTTAGAAGCCACGACATCTTGAATAGTAACCAAAGTAAGTCAAATCAAGAAAATCTTGACTAACTACGAGGAGGGGAGTGGGCCAGCTTATAAAAGCAATAATCTGAGACCAGCTCAGGATGAAGCTAAGATTCTAGATACCGTCGGTTACTGATATTCCTCTAAACGAACAAAATAGTCAAGCACTCCACACCTATGGGAGGTGCGCCTTCAAGCCCCGTTGTCTAGGCTGGCCACCGAGCGGCCTATGGGAAGAATTCGAGAAGCAAAATAAGGCGAACGGACATGAACGAGTATATCCACGAATCCGAAGCAAGATAGGACACGGGATGCAGGGGTGTACTCCTGCTCACATGGTTAGAGCCTTTGAGTTAGGCCAAGAATCTGACCTATGACTCGGGAGGCGTGTGGGGGTGTACTTCTGGGGTAGCATGGGCTAATTTACCCCGGACATGAAGTTTGGCTAATAGGAGATTAGGATGCTTATTGCAACGTTTAGCCGAAGCTGATGAGGGGAAGTTGTCGGCTGTTGATCTTACCCCGGACTGCGGAGAAACTCTAACTGGAGGCTAATCTACGGGCTAGTCCTAATACAGACAAGCTTTTCCAAGATTGGAGGGTCTAACATTCAGCGTTCCATGGTTCGATTCGTTAACTGTTTGTGGTCTATCAAGCAAAATATCTCGTTGTATTTGAAATATCATGTCATGGCAATTGGACTATCTGCGCTCAAACCGAAGCTGTGCCATCGATCCTGCTCTGTAGCCACTTCGGAATAACAGGCTTGTTTCCCCAGGCAGCCTTCCAATCCCGTTGATGATCGGGTACTGCACAGATGGCCGACACGAACCAGCATTCCTGACCAGCCGCCAGGTCCATGGACAGCGACGGCAAAAGTGTTCGTCCATGGATAATATTCGAATTAGGGTCGGCGAGAACAATCCGCCCAGCCCGTTCAGTACCCGATTGAAGCTCAACAATACCGACAGCCCCAGCCGATGAAACCACCAATCCACTCCGGCTATCATGCATAGACCCCTCGGTATCGTCCCCAGTCATAGGGCCCAGAATTCGACCGTTATCGCTGCGACATCCATAAATAGCAAAGGCACCCTCAGATGTCTGCAAAGCGCGACCGGTGCGCACGCGGTGGGCGCGCAGATGCCAGTTCTCATTCTCCTCTGTGGGGGGAATGAGAATAGTCTCTATATCAACGTCTGGGAATGGCTTCCAGCCAGAGACAAGGACAGGTAGGCCATTGGGCTCAGGTTGTTCGAAACGTGCATCAAGGGCCAGTCTTCTAGTCTGCCAGATGTCGCCACCGTCGTCTGACAATGCGAGCATACTGTCTGGAGCGTGCTGTTCCAGCTGGTAACCACCTGTCGGAACCGAATATCCAAAGGCAGAACTGTATGCGAACTTGCCATACTTGGCCTGCGTCGCTTTGAGGGGGTAGTGGCATGCTTGGCCGGACGACAACAGGAACGAATGCCCACCGCGACGGATGGCAATGTGTTTGGGATACTTCAGTGCCACCACTTCAGGTAAAGAGGAGCTCGGGTAGGGTTCCTCGGGTGCGGACCAGAAGGGATGTGTCTCCGGTAGGGCCAGTGGTGTGAATGAGAGACAACACCAGTATGGCGACCCGGGGGAATTGTAGTTCTCTGTCAAGTACATGTTGGCATAAGAGTATCCGAGGCTGAGTGTGCCATCGTTGTTGAACATATCCTCCTGTGTAGACCACCAGCGGAAATGGCGGAGAAGGATTCCTCTCACGACACCCCATGTCAGTGGCTCTGGGAGGTCGACGTCTGCGAAGCCCAATGCGCCCCAAAATCCAACCATGGCGAATCGGTATGTCATCGAGCGTCCGAAAGGAATGGCACTGCCTATTTGATAGACGGGACTGTCAGCACCATGTCACATCCTCCGAGAAGAGGAAATTATCATATCAAAAGAACCGCCGAGGACGTACCGTTACGGTCGAAGTAGTGCACAAAATCCTTAGCGAACTCTCGCGCCCGCTGACGATAGCGCTCAGCGCGCTCAGGATCAAAGTCTCCCGCTAGCTTCGAGTAAAGAAGCTGCAAGAACTGAATCGCGAATGAACCCGAGTAATAGTCCATTTGATGATGGCTCTTGGGGCCGTCATTACTCCATCCCCCGCCAACATGGAAGGTGTCCAAATGGTCCATATCAGCTTCAATGCGAGATAGAGAATACTCTGCTCCATTCTTTCTTAGTCCCAAGTTTGCGAAGACGCGGAACCACAGCCTGCAATCATCACAGCCAGAGTTAGCCAACCTGTCCATCCATCGACCCAGAAAAGCAATTCAAGATACAACATACCAATTCGTATTCGGCATCTCGCGCGCATTGATACTTGCCAACCAGTTACCAACGTTGGCCCTTTGTTTCTCTGTCAATGGATCCCAGAAGACATGAGGCGCAACAGCGAGCGCAAACCCGATCGGGCACATCTCAACCATTCGCTGATCTGAATCCTCGATATGACCCCAGAATTCCGCGTGTTCAGGGTCAGTCCCGCTGATTATTCCCTGGCGCCAGCGTTCGGCCTCGGGGTAGTCATACCCGCCGCCCAGTAGAGATGCCAAACCCCATAGTGGGCGGGCATACCCCTCGATTTGGGCGCCGGCTTCGTCGAAGCGAGTCGTAGATGTGCCTACTTTGACGCGTGAACCACCTGGTGTGAAGAGGGGTACTAGTGGATCGAGAATGGCACGGCATGCATCTTGGAGGTCCGATCTGGTGAGGAAGGGAGATTTGCTAAAGGCCTGCGCGGGGGTTCGGCCGTTGGCGTGGATGGACATTGTGAATCGTCAGGGCTGTAGGTGTGAAATGTTCGCGCTGCAATGGGAGTGTTTCGGGGGGCCGATTATATTTATATGAATGTTGTCATCGGCTTGATCGCCGGATATTAAATTTCTAGTAAATAGGCTCGGGGTCGGCGTCTGCCCGATTATGTCGACGAATAACGAAGGCGATGGCCATTTTGGTGCAAGTCGAATGTCGCCGAGAATGCCGATCTAACCAGCTGGAGTGTTTGCTTCTGAGATAACAGCAGCGTGAGGTTTGGATTTAGCCGGTCGACGCGACGCGGGGAGATCATCAGTGAGAGCAGGTTAGCCCTACCCAGATAGGCTGTCTGTATTTGTTGAGATGCTGACAGGTGGAGAAATTATCATCCACCAATGGCAATGACAAGCAAAGCAGCCAATAATGTCTGTGGCTGTTGCGCCATAGGATATCACGAGATTATTTTACATAGGGTCCAGAGCATTAAATACTTATACACGCCACGACTCGCATGACATTACCCAATTGGGCGCTCAACCTCCTAAGAGGCCACCCAAAAATCGGGCCAGCTCTTTCACCAGAGCATCGTCAACCTCCTGCGTCCCGCCAAGTCCCTGCTGGAGGATTTCGGACCATCGCGCCAAGGTGATTTCGTGGAGCTTCTGTCCGTTCAGTGCTGCATGAACGCGACTGGCTTGATCGGACGCAGTGGACTCATCAGGTGAGACGGAGATGTGGCTTTCAACGACAGCGCCGTGTTGGAAGCGGAGAAAGGCACGAGTACTCGACGGAAGCGAGGAAGGTAATGGCGGGCGTTCACGAGGGTCTTCTTCAATGGGGTATGTTGAAAAGGTAAACCGAGGCGTTTGGGTATACTTCCATTCTAGAGAGCGCAACTCATCAATCCCCTTCCCAATGGCTGGCTCTAGCTCACCCTGCACTTCTCCCACTGTACCAGCGACCCAAGAATCTCCAGCAAAGACTTCAGGTTCGTTGGCATGGGCACGCTGAGCCCTGAGGACAGCATCAGGATGTACGTTGTAGAGCCGGGCAAACTGCTCGATGATACTTTGAATTACACCCTCCATCGAAAAGAACGAGTCGGCCAATGCGGCCGAGACATTCCCGACGGGAGAACGGACACTTTCAACGCCCTTGGCTTGTATATAGCAGCGTGCAGACGATCGCAAGTACCGACCAAGATCATGAATATTGGGAGAATCGAGCAGGCAAGTGCCGTGATGAAGGGCTCGGTGTCGAGTAAGCTTAAACGCAGATCCGGAAACCTTACGTGTCAGAGGCTCATCGGGATCATTTTGCATTCCCTCGGCCCGGGCCATGACAATGTCGTGCCGCTCATTGACGCTAGTATTCGTAGCCCCGACCTGATGAAGAGCGCGCACCACCATCTCGGCATGCTTGTCGCGCGTAAATGAAGTCCGCGGACATATAACGCTGTAGTTCAAATTTCCTTCATCGTGAAAGACAGCCCCACCACCCGATCGCCGCCGCACGAACACAGCTTCGTCGTCTCCGGCTGTGCCGTTCCTGCGGTCATTATGAAGGGCGCGGAGATCCGTTTCAAGCCATGGGTTTTGGTTGCGTCCAATAACTACACATGGGCGATTTGCGTAGAGGAACAATATGCTGGACTCTGCGGGGGCATTTTCTAGTAGGAAGTGCTCGATCGAGAGGTTCACGTAGGGATCTGTTGATAGTGATTGGTAGATTTGGTGTAAAGAGGATGGACGGCGGGCGAGCTCGGCAAACTGCTGAACAGGGTATGATGAGTTATGACGAGCCCAGCCATACTTCGAGCTAGACCAGAGTCGGGACGAAGGGCGTCGAAGGGCTAGCATTGGAACAAAAATGGACGAAGTTGTTGATCGCCTCACAGAAGTTATCAGGGCCGATAGTCGGTTGCGCTAGTCCCAGATAGGAATTCCTGCGATGAGTCGATTTTCTAATCTTATTTCTCACATGCGATCCTTCTCGTCCTTTTGTCTTCTTGGCTACGTGTTCTGTTCGTTTAATTGGCATTGAAGTCTTGTCAATAAGCTTACTGCTCTCTTTCTCTACCTAACGAACATCTTCGAACGCCCATCATGTCAACGTGGGGTGAGCATTTCCGCGTCACCACGTAAGTAGCCCACTTTCTTACAACAACCATCGTGACTGACATCCACTCAGTTATGGCGAGTCGCACTGCCGCTCTGTCGGCTGCATTGTCGACGGATGCCCTCCAGGCATGGAACTCACTGAGGCCGACATCCAGCCCCAAATGACCCGCCGTCGCCCCGGCCAGAGCGCCCTGACTACCCCGCGGGACGAGAAGGACCGAGTCGAAATCCAATCCGGCACAGAATTCGGCGTCACTCTGGGCACACCAATTGGCATGATTGTTCGCAACGAGGACCAGCGTCCCAAGGACTACGGCGGCAGCACAATGGACCTGTACCCCCGCCCCAGCCATGCTGACTTCACCTACCTCGAGAAGTACGGCGTCAAGGCCAGCAGCGGCGGTGGTCGCAGCAGTGCCCGTGAGACCATTGGTATGACACCCTCACAAACCCTACGACCTAAAAAGAAACCCAATTTCCACTAACACAACCCTCACAGGCCGCGTCGCCGCCGGCGCTATCGCCGAAAAGTACCTGCGCCTATCGCATAACGTCGAAATCGTCGCCTTCGTCTCTTCCGTCGGCAACGAGCACCTCTTCCCCCCTACCCCCGAACACCCCTCCGCCTCCACAAACCCGGAATTCCTCAAGCTCCTCGAGACAATCGACCGGAAAACCGTCGACTCCTACGCCCCCATCCGCTGCCCGGAGACCGATGCCGCGGCACGCATGACCAAAGTCATCGAGCACTTCCGCGACAACCACGACAGCATCGGCGGAACCGTAACATGCGTCATCCGCAACGTGCCCGTCGGACTCGGCGAACCCTGCTTCGACAAGCTGGAAGCCAAGCTCGCGCACGCCATGCTCAGCATCCCCGCAACAAAGGGCTTCGAGATCGGCTCCGGTTTCGGCGGCTGCGAAGTCCCCGGCTCCATCCACAACGACCCCTTCATCGTCTCGGAAGGCACCGGGCCTGACGCTCCGCGTCTCAAGACCAAAACTAACAACTCCGGCGGTATCCAGGGCGGTATCTCCAATGGCGCTTCGATCTACTTCCGTGTCGCGTTCAAGCCCGCTGCTACCATCGGACAGGCGCAGACGACTGCTACTTATGATGGCGAGGAGGGTACGTTGGAGGCGAAGGGTCGTCATGATCCTTGTGTTACTCCTCGCGCTGTGCCTATCGTTGAGGCTATGTCGTCGCTGGTCATTATTGATGCCCTCATGGCTCAGTATGCCCGTGAGAACGCGAAGAACTTGCTCCCTCCGTTGCCGCAGACTATCCCTACTAGGCCTGCCAGCGACCCCAAAGCAACTCCCTCGGCTTAGGGTTTAGTTTAGAGGATAAGCAAAAATATGCGAAAAATGTCATACGCAAGCGTCTTTGAGAGTGTCACCATCTGTGTTCATGTCTTTCTGATGTATCATGGAGCTACGAATTACTTATATAGATGCCAAATTCTTTCCAAGTCTTCTTTCTACATGTAAGAACGTCGGGTCACGAGTAGTCATGTATCGGACCGTAATCAAGAGATTTCCTTTTAGGCTCACTGGGCGCTATGTTGTGTTCTAGCAATCACAGCCGTGCAACAATCAAAAAGGGAACCAGGGCACGTCAATTCATCAAGGGCATTCATCTCCCCGCAACAAAGCATCACGGGCATGGATATCAAAACGACAGGCAGCAATCCCGCCAGAAAAACAAAAATCGTGGCCCAACAGGGCAAAGACTCCAGCGAGAAACGGGTAGACAAAAGTCTCCAAAGTCCAACCAAAAGGACATCTGCACACACAAATACAAGCAAGAATTGAAAGAAGGATGCAGGGTTAGCCGGAAGAGCAACCTCCCAGATCCCAAGTCTAGTGGCTAACTCTCCGATTCCCATTTCCCCCACTGACAGAGCGCTCGGAGATACCATCCATATCACCAGCAGTGGCATTGACAACACGAAGCCTCTCCTTTGGAACCGTGAAAGCCACCTGGACTCGCCGGCCCGCGGCAGCGCCCTCAACGTCCCAGTCATGGACATCAGCCTCGTCGTCGTCGTCGCCAACGTCGTTACCCAGGTATCCAGGTGCACCGACGAAGATATCATCGTACGTGGACGGGCCAGTGTCGAAGACGTTCTCTGAGGCCCTCTTGCGCGCGTTCCAATCTTTGGCGCCCTGCTTGCGGCGGAATAATTCGGCCGAAGCGCTGACAGCTCGACGCGGTGAGCTGATGCCTGAGCCTGAGCCTGGGGTTTGTTGGCCAGACTCGAGAATGGTGCTGCGACGGTCAATGCCGGAGGCACGATGCGCTGTTTTGGCATCGCCGAAACTAAGATCTGGTTTGTCGTCGGGGCTGTGGCGAGACAATGTCAGGGCCCGGCGCATGGTGTTCATTACCCAGTCAGAGGCTTTGGGCTTCGATTCTCGGGGTAATTTGGAGGGCGATGAAGGCTCGATGGGGGTCAGAGGTGTAAGTGGGTCGAATGCATCAAACAGTAGGGACTCATTCTCCGATTGACGATGGGACAGCTTCGACGGGGCAGTTGAAAAGGAGTCTGCTGAGACTGACGTTTCTGAGGGCGCTCTGCCATCTGGGACGCTGGGTGCTGAAGCTTCAGCCTGATATTCCAGTGATTGGCGCCCGCTGCCCCAACTCAAGGGTCGGTCTGCAAACATGGCTCTTGTTTGGAGAACTCTTCCCGCAGGCTGGGAGGGCTCAAAGGAGTAGGCTGAGCGGTCTGACAAGTCAGTAGTTGTCCGTTCGCTCTTTGGCACGAACTCCGGTTCCACAGAATCAATATCCTTTCGCCGGCTGTAGAACGGACCCAGGCCAACGCCAAAGATGGTACTCCGAGGAGTTGCGTAGGGGGTATTTGCAAACGAGTCTTCAGGCCCTCCTGTCGTAGTCTCTTCGCTTCGTGGGACGGTGGCCATGAGACGGTCTTGGAAGCCTGCGTCATCTTCCTCGCGCTCATAAATTGGGGAGATATCGCTGACAGCATCGCCCCTTCGAGACGACACCCGCCGGTTCACGGGAGGCATCACAGGAGGTCGGCTGTTCTTGACCGGACTGGACTGATCCCCGAGCAGTTCAGTCCTCTCTGCTGCGGCTTCGCCTTGATCGTTCCAGCCGGATGGCGTCGCCTGTCCGCGATTTGTCGACCTGTAGTAACCAGATGCGCCCCTCTTCTCGCTCATTCTAGAGCTGCGAATGCTGCTTGCTTGGGCCTGATCCCCTTGATCCCAGAAGTGAGCGCGTTCCGCTCCCAGAGCAAGTTCCCGCAGCTGTGAGTCTCGCTTGCTTTTGACGCGGCGCTTTCGATGGTAGTTCCATGTGCACAAAGCGATAACAATGATAGCAGGCAATCCAATGCCCAGTGAAACCCCTATTCCAGCTTTCTGGGATGAGGAAAGCTTATGGTTGTGGGTGGCGGGCGCAATTGAGGATTTGGCAGCAGGGTTGCGGTACGACGTGATCCAACTGTTGGATGTTACATTGTAAAGATGGACCTGCGAGTTCGACTGTGCAGTCATCGAGGCCCTTTTCGAGGAAGACTTTGGGATGCTGTAACCTCCATGGATCATCATCACACCCCCAGGGAGCATCGCGGCCCCATGTCCAAAAATGCCAGCACCTTCGGGAATGCCTAATCCTTCGGAGGAGGGTGTCATCCAAGTCCAATCATTCGCTCCCCCCAAGCCTTCTGCGAGATCCAAAACTGCAAATTGCGGATCTGCAGGGACAGTCTCATTCCCAACCCAACCCCCAACCACGTACACTTTAGTTCCATCTTCTGATAGAACAGCAGTGTGGCCAGAGCGCGGCTCGACGGGTGCCACATCCCTCACAGCCAGCTCAGTCCTCAGCTCCGAATCTGAGACCGCGGAAACAAAGCTCCAACTCTGCTGCGGGAGCGAGAAGACCGCCAGTTGTGACATGTTCAGGAATGCCTCTCTGGTGTGACCACCAATGAACAGAAAGTCCTGCTGCTTCAACTTTGATCCCACAGTATAGCTAGGCGGGAGTGGTACGACGGCCATGCCAGCCTCTGCGATAGGTGTTGCGCGAGTACCGGTAATGGTCGCACGGTGCTTGGTGCTGTAGTATGGATGTGGGCCTAACATAACCATCGACTGGGAGTAATTTGCTGCCGAGACCCAGGTGCTGTCTGTGCTGTTCTTGAATGGACACATTCCGCCAAAAACGTACATGGCGCTTTCCCCGGGGTTGCTGGATGACGAGAAGGTGAACCCCGCCGCCAGATAATTTGGAGCAGCCTCTGTATCGCGGGCGATCACTGGGGCTTTATTCCAAGTCCCATTGCCGTCTGCATTGGCGCTGTCGGGCTGGAATTTCCATAATATCGGGTCATCGGATACGCTATGGCAATTGCCTGTGTAGACTGTGATGCGGCCTTGGTCATCGACTGCCGGAATAAAACTTGAGTTCTGCTCGTCATTGTGAAACGGCGTACTTTTCAGCAAAGTGTTGTATGACAGATTGTGGGTATCGATACTGCTGGACAAGTTGAGGGAGAGAAACTCGGTTTCCCCAGACGCGCTAGGTTGGAGGATGTATGCGAGGGAGTTATTGTGTTGCGCAGATAGGAAAACGGAGGAGGTGGGGTATGGAATGGCGGAGGATGGGTCGAAGAGCGCAAGAAGCGCCAGCAATGCCTTTCGATGCTTCATGCTCATGATCTGAGACATTCAGAAGCAGGGATACATTCCAGGATCGGCGACGAGCATGGCGCGCCACGCGGTACGCAGTAGTTAGAGGGTCTAAGTTGGCTAAAGTGACAGGTGTCTTCCAACGCGACAGCGAACAGAGAAAGAAATAAGAGTTAAGAGCTAAAGATGGTCCAGAATTCGTGATCTGTCAACAAGTGTCTGAGTCCGATCACGCTTCTTTTCCCCGTTACATAGACCAATCATCTAGATCTACTTTATTGCCTACTTTATTTGCTGACGCTAAACAAAGAGAGAGCAAACTAAATAGATTGCCGAGATCCAGATCGACGCGCGATCAACAACGTTGCCCGGCAACGCTTGATTTCCCTACAGATTCCCCAAGCAACGCATATTACCCGTTAACCCTAAGCACTAGGCAAGCGCATTCTTTATGGGCTATGAAATAATTTACTACGGCTGTCTCTCTACTCAAAACATCACAAATTGCCGAATTCATCAAATCCACCAAATTCTATTATTTGTCTCAATGAAGATCTTACAATACGGCGTGAACCATGGTTCCTCCAGTATAAGCTCCAATGTTGGCAGGACAACCAAGCCGTGTGATTTTGTTCGGTTCTTTGTGTAGTTCGCATTAATACGAGACATGTTAAGATATCACGATGGAACTGACAGGCTCCACTATGTCTGGCCCACATTCTATCATATTGCAGCTGTCAGATGGTGCACTGACAACATAGCCAAACCGCTTATTGAAGGCACATAACTAGAACACGACAAATCTAGCGATAGGTGCAGCGACGAACTGTCTGTGCTGACCAGCGGTTAGCATCGTCTGTTGCCGGCTTTCGGCAGTCTGAATCTTAAGGACAGAACGGAGGCAAAAGAAAAAGCAAATATAACCAAGTAAAGAGGGTTACGGAGTAGTGGGCTTTGGCTTCTTTTATCACATGTTGATCGAGATGAGATCTGTGCCTCTGTGGACGGGTTCACGGGGCAGTTGTACACACACATTGCAGCGTGCCTGCATATACACAGCACGCACAACATTGAACAGGTCCACGGGTGCCCAGCATCCGTGTGTGTCCGGTCAGATTGTAAATTCAGCTTGAGTCGAAGACAAAATAAGGAACCAGGACATGTGTCACGTCCGCCAAGCTGGGCTCAAATCACAGACAAGATTCACAAGAAGGGAAAAGCCGTGAACCCTCTCGCTGCTTGTATATACAGTCAGGGCAGAATGAGGAGCTACGGGAAAAACACCAATGGATATTGGATGATTCGGGATTCTTATGGAGCATTAATCTTTCTCTGACGCAGACCTACAGAGGGGAGTACTGTAGCCGCCATGCTGGAGAATGATAGGGCTCTTTGCGCTAATCCCCTTCCGTGTTTGGCACTAGCCCTAATTGGGCATGTATATCAAATGCGCAGTCAAACCCAAACCAAAGACTGACCCAAGACGAGGCAAATTTGGCTTATCGTATGATTCCCAATACTGAGGTCATGAGACACGCATAAATTCCTGGATACTGAATTGGAAGAGGCGCATTTCAGAGAAGCATAATGATCTTATCATCGTAAATCTTGCGCGCAGACTGCAGTAGTCTCAGCTCAACGGATGTGCACTCCAGCGATGAAGCGAGGGCTTTCATCATCTATCCTGGACGGCTAACTGGTAATGGGTATGAAAACCTGATCCCCTTCTTTCCCACGTACCGCCCGACTTGCATCCTGCGGTACGTTCCCAACTTCGTTGGGGTCCAGGGTATCAAGTTGCAGAGTGAACTTTCCAGGAATCCGCTGATCATGAAGTCGAGTTATAGTCCAGGTATGACGCACACTTTCTGTGTCACCTTAAAATTAGAAAGGATAAGAAGAGTTGATACCGCCAAGTCTGATGATCATTGAAAAGTTGTTCTGAGTTCTGAGGGCTTAGCCTGAGAAAGACCAGATGCTCGACGCTCGTTGCCGTTTCGATGACTGTCTGAAACGTTGCATGTAGTACTCGCAGTTATGGTGGAGGCGAAAGAGCGTTGAGCGACATGATATTGGTGGAGAGTCGGTTGGAGAAACAGTAAACAGTCAACGGCAGGTTCCAGATGCTGTAGAGATGAGGAAGGTATGACAGACATGTGCCATGAGAGATGGATGCATGAATAGGGTTGACCTTCAACCATGGAAGGACCGTAGGTCAGCTGACTTGTCGACGATTACAGTCTTCATTTGCTTGATCTGGATATTGGCTCTAGAGGACATACCGGTCTCCGCAGGATGGATTGGAAAGAGGTGTAGATGGAGTCATGAATCCGTGAACTTAAACCTCCGGGTAACTGAGAAGGAAGCCGCGGGTGGCATCCTATAAGCTTTTATCTGTGCCCAGGTGGATTACACCATCATTACTACTGTGGATAGATGCATGCGTACATCTGTATGATGTACAACATGGATTGACGCATACTGGCAGGCCGCAGGTAGCCAGGCACACGTGGGTTATTCTTTCCAAGGCTAGAGTGTAAACATTAACTTCGTCGATGGGTATCTGCAGCTACCTTGCCGTCATCCTCGACAGCACCTGCCATTGCACAGAGGAAGGAGAGAGCTAAATTCGGAATGAAAACAACGATCAACTAGCAGGTGTTGGTTGTCACCTGACAGCCCCCACCTACAGCAGAATCTCCAGCGAACGCCAAGTGTCACAGGTCACAGGTGACAGTACCGATTACTACCGAATGTCCTGCTCGAAAAGGAAGTCCAACACAATACACTGTCTCCTCTCGTCATGATGACAATCATCCACTCGAATTCTCCATCCAAAAGCAAGCTCGCACTTCACAAAGCTACAGTTGAAGACATACCCGCCATCAAAGCGATGGTCGATGCCGCCTATTCAAAATACATTGAGCGCATTGGCAAACCACCAGGCCCCATGTCAGAAGACTGGTATCAAGTGATCCGCACACGTGAAGTTCTCGTTCTCAGAGACGACAAGCGGACCCTAGGCTCAATTACCTATTACAAGGACGAGGAGACAAACTCCCTCAAAGTCGACAACGTAGTGGTCGATCCGACAGCACAGGGTCGAGGCTACGGAGTTCATATGATTCACTACGCGGAAATGGAAGCTCAAAAGCACGGACTTCCTAGTGTAACGTTGTTCACGAATGTGAAAATGTTCGAGAATATTGGGTTCTATGCGAGACTGGGGTTTATGGAAATAGATCGAAGAGTAGAGGATGGATTGGAACGTGTCTATTTCTGCAAGAAGCTTCGCTGATCGGGCTGCCGGGCAGCCTCCGACTGTTGGAGCCCTGGATTCAGTACGAGGCTACGAGCCTCGTCACCAAACCCTCAATATAGCATACCTACAAGCATCCATGTACATATCTATACCTATCAGGCGATATAGTTATTCCATCTTAGGTATGCACATGCACTGTCACTGGCAGCTAACCTTTAACCTCCATTGAGAGACTCACAGCCACTTTCCATCATCCTTTATTCCGGCTTACACTACTAGGTTATGACCGGAAAGTGCAAACAGATCCTGGGCATCAGGAGCTAACATATGCCCCCCCCCCCCCTGTTGATATCCCGACAATTCCTCTCTGTTGATCCTGGCCATGATTGGTGGCAGAAGCCATGCCTGTCTCGTGTGCATTGGTCCCTTTCTTGGTGCAGGAGGGGCTCGGGGACAGAATGTACATGCGTCTCGGATGGCAGGAAAAAGAAACGTTTTCAGGCTGGATGTGAAAGAAATGTCAGAATCAGAAAAGGACATGCATGCAGAATAAGATTGTTATTCTTGTAACCGTCGGGGGTGTAACCAACCACTCCCCTGACGGTCACCCATGCCGCCATGCAGTGGCTGCCTCGGAGCCTTGGATAGGATTAGCTTGGTTTCAATTTACATGCATCGGGGCCGGCTCTGGGAGACGGGAATGGCTGCAGGGAAGACTGTGTCGGATGTCGAAGCCGATCTTCCACTGCGGGGGTTCATTATTCTTGGCTCTTGGTAGCGATGGACATTCTCACCCGTCTCGACAAGGTTCAATATACCGCAGCAATAAGATGACAGTTATTGGCGAGTATCAGGGAATCGCTGCTGATTTGGTCTCCATGCTTCAGCGTCTACTCTAAACAGTCGGTTGCATACTTGGGGTGTAGGTCCCAAGAGTCTTACTATTTACTACTGGACTAGTGAGCTAGTTCAACCAAATTGAGGCTAGTTAACCAATGTGCCTGAGGTAGTTACACAGTACACCGTTCCTAATTAGGGATACTCATTAAACCCCGCGACAATCCTTGTCTAGTCTTTTTAGCTTCTGTTTTCGTTTCTTTCGCCACTGTTCCCCCGCAACGGCGGGATGACTTGTCTGAATAATCAAATCCAAGTCTTACATTGACGCTGATTATGATATCCCGAGATCGCGCATTTTGTGAGATAGCGAACTTTAATCCATAAGCCCGCAAATTACCGACAAGGAATGGTTGAAGATTACACGCCACGTAGAGAAGTGAGAACTCGAGCGGCTAATTCATCCGTGCATATAACTAGTGTACACGCCTTCGTATAATTTTGGTTGTGTTGATTGGATACCCTCGCTAAGTGGTAGACAAGTTGCCGAGCTCTAACCTTGTAAGCCTTCCAAAACGAGGCGATAGTTAGATAGCGGGTTAAAGACTCGAAGGAAAATGAAGGCTAATTCGGGGGCCAGACCCCTATATGACGTCGATTATAGCGCACGGACGCCGCACGGACGTGGCATTTGATATCCCACGGGCATTTGGGCTGTTGGCTCTTGGCTCCTCCAAACAGCTTCTTGCAGAACGCCTCCCGGAGACTGGGGTATTCTAGTCTAGTCTTACATCTTACCTGCAATATATGTAGTTGTCATAGGAATGAAGGTCAGACTAAGGGTTTCTCGAGTATATTCACACTGAAATGGGAAAGAGAAGGAGAGGAAAGGGAAGACCTAGGTATCCATGGACAACCATCCATTTTGCCTTACCCTGGTCTTCGCACGAACGTCACTAAAAAGAATCCCTGCAAACATAACCTGGGCACCACTTACGATGGTTGACCTCTTGGCGTGGTCACAGCTCATCGTGAAAACCAGAAACCAGAAAACTACCAGAAAACTACGGGATATTAATGGCGGTAGGTCCCCGTCGATTTTGGGTCTCCAGCAGTTCGGGTGGCAGAAGTTAAGTTTGAAATGGGAAGTGCGCATTTGCTACCATTGGTGGGATACAAATGTAGGCAAAAAGGCACAGGGCCAGAGATTAATTTTATTTGCGCCGTCTTGGCTTTGAATGTAAAGCAACCTCGAGGCATAATAGGAATTTGTACGGATCATTCATCCCTTCGGAGCCGAAGATATCGACTTCCGAGATAATGGAGATAGGAAATCATCACCAGCTGGGCAACCATGGCCCCTTCTGACTTGGCAACTGTTCTAAGAAGATCTCCCTAATCTTTACATTCTATCTCATACCTGTCTATCGAGAGTCGGATCCATGGAAATTGTCAATTCTTTCTTGAAATGTTGTTTGTAGGCTGTGCTTGAGTCTTCGACGTAATGACACTGTGGCGGCGGATCCGCCACTTAAGGAAAACATCATGTAGACAACACAAACGATCATGAAGTGATATGTAGATAGCAAGTAGTTAGAACATTTGGTATATCTAATCTATGTGTTCAGAAGAGATATCAAAGACCTGAGGCTAAATTCTTTGTATCTGCAAGCAATTCATGTAGTACCAAGGATTTCAGATGAAGCCATTTTGACAGCCCCACTACGTATCGTAAGATTGGTGAAATTTGATAGAAGTGTTGACAGAGTTTATATCAAATCGCGTTGCTACCCAAAGTATCTTAATACTCTTTTTTTTCCCCAACCATAATTTTTATTTTCCACTAAAACGCCAGGCCTCGACGATCGACTTGCGTTGGCTGATTCTATTCCATTCTTGGCATCCGATCATCGCTCTGCCCTATTACCCACCCAACCTCCCCCTTCACCTCTTCCAACTCCCCTCTTGTCTCGGTCTCGGTCCCTATCTCGACCTCTTTTTTTGCTTCTCTTTTTTGTTCAAGAAACAGCTACTTGGCTGTCTTGCCTTTCCTTTGAACACATTTGGTACGACAATTTCTGATCGAAGCCGATCTCGCTCCCCTCGATCCCGAGGAACTGGGCCCTTCCAATGAGCCTAACTCCGAATTATTTATAGCACCCTACTACAACGGCATTCCTTTTTTTCGACTGCATTTATCTCCACGTGTGGATGTGGCATCGTTCGAATCCTCGTGCTGTAGCAGGTCTACCTCGTGTCCTCCACCCCTAGCGACAATCCGCTGTCCGGTACACGGTTTCCGCTGAACAGTGATCGTCCCACGTCTTGAACCTCACGAAAGTAATGCTGGTCCATTCCTGCGTGTCAACAGGGCTTCTCGTCAGCTCACCTTGAATCAATTATTGGAGAAACCACAAGTGTGACTATTGGAGGATGGTGAATTAGGATGCTCAACTGCACTCTTGGCACAGCTGTCCCGCTTTCCTAGAGTCTTTGAGATAAATTTCAGAAGAGAAGACAGGAGGAGAATGACAGAAATTCGATCCTCGCAAGCCGGTCTGGAGGATCCGGATCAGCTGGCTCGGAATGACCATGTCTCAGAAAATTCCAACCAGGAAACGAGCGGGTCCGAAGAATCATCACAATCATCGCCTGCTTCGAACGACCAACCCGAATTCCTACTAACTCTACCTCGGTCGAAATCATGTACGGAACCCCTACCCGTTATTACCGATGTGTCAGAAGCAACGGCAACCTTCCGCCAGGCCTTTCCGGGTCTCTACGGTGCCCGAACCCCCTCCAATCGCTCGTCAACCAGCTCACTACAAGCTCTCAACGAAGATATCGTGGTCGATGCTCGCTCGGAAAATGGAAGCTTGGGGAGGAGCCCTCGACGAGCTTCGAGACAATCGGATCACCAATTCCCCGTTTATCCCGATCAATCCTATGCCTCCCTCCAGTCGCAGGTGCACCCCACCTGGCAATACCGCCCGACACAACCAGATCCTTTGCCTCGCCACTCCTATGCTCGCGGTGTCCGTACCGCGGGCAACACCCCGGTTTCGAGCCCGGGGCTCTTCTCCATGAGATACCCTCGCGCAACTCCCTCCGTATCTGACGATGATGTCTCCACGGGAAGCTCGCTCCTCCACCCATCACATTTGCAACCGCCAAAGGAAACCCACACCGCCGAAGTGGACCGCGATACGGTTACGGGAAACAAAACCATCAATCAGTACGAGATTCTTGAGGAGCTAGGTCGGGGCGAACATGGTAAAGTGAAACTAGGCCAGCATATTACAACCAAGCAGAAAGTTGCCATCAAAATCGTCCAGCGCTACTCCACACGCCGCCGATTGGGCAAATTAGGCAACCCGGAAGACAAAGTGAAGAAGGAGGTTGCTATTCTGAAGAAGGCGCGGCATCCGAATGTGGTCAGCTTGCTCGAAGTGATCGACGATCCGAATCGGCAAAAGGTGTACATTGTGCTGGAATATGTCGAAAATGGCGAGATTGTCTGGCGCAAGAAGGGTCTACGAGAAATCGTCCATGTCGACAAACTTCGTCTTGAGCGGGAAAAGAGCGGGATACCAGACACTCCCGCGTTTCTGGAAGAGAGTCATCAATTCATCCGAACTGCTCAGCATTTACGGCGACAACGGGAGAAGGCCCGCGAGCGGATCGAAGCACAAGCCGCCGATGCCCAGAAAGGGCCTATCCCGGGTTGGAGTTTGGAGCACGGTGCCGAGTCTTCAGATGAGGAGGACGACGAGACCGGCCTTCCCATCAGGAGATCGATTAGCCGGTCTATTGCAGTAATAGACGAATCCAGCCCGTCCTCCGCCCACGATGCATCCCTCGGTGCCGTTGAGGGTAGCATGTACGGCGCCTATTCAGACTACCCATTCGAACGCCGCTTTAGTACCACCTCCAGCAGTTTTGGGCACACCCCTTCTGAGCCTGAGTGGTCTGCAGAGGGCGACGACATGGCATACGTTCCTTGTCTCACCATTGATGAAACTCGCAGCGCCTTTCGGGACTCAGTTCTTGGTCTGGAATACCTCCATTATCAAGGAATCATACACCGTGACATCAAGCCGGCCAATCTACTTGTTACTAGCAATCATCGAGTGAAGATATCCGACTTCGGAGTTTCCTACCTTGGCCGACCGATGCGTGACGAGGAAGAAGAGCAGGTGGGTGAGAGCGATGCGACCGAGCTAGACGATGCCCGTGAATTGTCCAAGACTGTTGGCACACCAGCTTTCTACGCCCCCGAATTATGTTACACCGGCGATGACTTTGTGGAAACTATCGGCTCGATCCCCAAGATCACCGGTGCGATCGACGTTTGGTCACTCGGTGTCACATTGTACGGAATGATCTTCGGTCGATTGCCGTTCGTTTCGGACGACGAATACAGCATGTTCCAGACTATTGTGAAGAAGGAAGTCTTTATTCCACGGAAGCGCCTTGTCCCTGTGATGGATGATTCACCGGACTCCAACCAGTGGAATCTGAGAAATGATGATGAGCTTGTTTACGAGGACATCGACGATGAGCTTTACGACCTGCTTAGACGTCTGTTGACCAAGGATCCAGTCAGGAGAATTACTCTCAAGGAGATCAAGCACCACCCTTGGACCCTTCACGGCCTGCCTAATCCTCGCGTCTGGATTGAAGAGAGCGACCCTGGTTACCAAAGCAAGGGTAAGCGCATTGAGGTCTCCAACGAGGAAGTCACAAGCGCCGTTAGCAAGGTTCCCTTCATTCAACGTGTTCGATCAAATGTCGCCAAGTGGTTCGGCAGTCGATCCAAGGACAAGGAGCCCCGCAAGCGCACGACGAGTACCACAATGTCTACCGAAACCCTTTCCTCTTCCTCGAGCCACAACACATTCGGGAAAACATCCCACGACAGTCGTCGGTCCAGCTTCAGAGAGGAGGATTTCTTCCGGCCACTCAAGTTCGGTACTCACGGACACCCGCTCGCCCAAAGCGTTACTGCGAGCCCGGTTGACGAAGGGGATTGGCAATCGTATTTCGATGCAGCGCAACCTGCCGTTGCCAACATCGCTGTTCCTCCCAAGCCCGCCGCGACACCTCCGACCGTGGCATCCCGTCCTGGCCATCCTCGTCGCGCAAAGTCGTCCATGTCCACAGCAGAGTCCTCCAAGACGGTCAGGCAATCCAGTTTCGATGTTCCAACGACAGTACGGCCCCGGTCGGGTGTTCATTCTTCCATCATTGAGGCCCTAGGACAGACGAACTTTGGTAGTTTGTTCAGCGGAGCTACCCGCCGCGGATCACGAGGCAGTCGTAGTCGGTGCACGTCCCCTTCTGGCAAGCCAGGATCCCTGCAAGCAGATGGAGAACGACGCTCTGCCGAACCTAGCATCGCTATCAGCAACGCATCTGCTCAGGGCCAAGTGCGAACAGCTGGACTCTGGCATGAAGACGAGCACCCTGCTCCTCGGCAATTGGACCCCATTCACGCACATCGGCGCCACCGATCTTCACAGTTTGAGAGCACCTCTCCGGCAGAATCATTCAATCTCACGAGGGATGCACTCCTGCGCCGCAGACGAAGCGACATCGACGCAAACGAAGGCGGTACACTCAGAGTGGACTATGCGATGTACTCGACCGAATCGCTCCTCCTACCACCTATTTCTCCGCCTACTAATCATGGCTGCCCCGCTGAGCATACCAACAATGGGCTAATCACCTCTACCCCGGCCACTATCTCGTCCTCCTCTGCCGACGACTATACCAGTGGCATGTCCCAAAGTGCCTCTCACCCCAGCATTCCGTCGGTCATCTCGAATGCCTCCTCCCTCTCCGGCGATGGTCACTCGGTCAATGACAAGGGTTTGGAAGAAGTACCGTCTATGCTCCGCACTGGTGAAACCGTCAAACCCCCTCGCCCAAGCTCACCGCGATCGTCCGAAGAGGATGAGTCGAGGTACTACTGCGACGACGAGGACGAAGACGACGATGAGTCGGAAGATGAAGGCCTTGTGATTGGGAAACGCAAGCCGCCTCTCAAGGCAGCGGCAGCAGATGCCCCGTCGCAACTGTCGAACTGAGAAGTGGCCGGTCCCGACCAGCCCTATTCGACTACCCCTTCTCCTTTTAACGCGCCATGGTCTTTACACAACACATTACCCGTCACCTCTACAACTCTTACCTCCACCTCTCACCTCTTCCGACCTCGACGCTTATTATCCCATCTAGTGGGGTCGCTGTACACCAATTTTTATTACTTTACCATTCTCTTTCCATCCCGGTTTCCGGCAGGTTGACATCTGGAAAGTTTGCTTCATACATTTTTCACAGTCTGTACATATACAAACTCGCGGGGACCTTCATCGCTACTCTTGCCCCTCCAGTCGACCACGTCTGCATATCTTTATTCTCTTCGCCGAGTGTGACTATGAATATACGGGGCAGAGGATCTCCTGCACTGTTTCTGTTTTGCTGTTCGATTTTCCTGGTCTTGTTGCATGGATACGGGGCATCGACTTTTTATGATTGTATGTAATGTTGATCTTGTCAAAATGGGCGGCTGCGTTTTCGGGGAAATATCTCTGCGGTTATATTCGAGAAAGCTCGACATGGCTCATACGATGCTGGGAGGCGAGATGTGTTAGCGCGTGATGAAGAAATGCGATATCATGGGGTTTGGGACTTCCGATATATCCCCCCTCTCTTTCTGAGAAGAACATGTTATTATTCTTGATCCTGTAGAAAATGAATATAGACCTTTTGCTTGAAGAACCCCTACTTCCACCAATAATAAGTTCCGTTAGCCCTAAATGCATGCCATGGTCATGGCGTATGACCACTCCAGTGCTAAATTGGAAAAGCTGCGAAGCGGTATGAATTTCCTCAAGCTAGGCTTAGCTAGCCAACTTCGTTTTTTCGTTTCTAAGGGGGTCTCCTGCATGAAATGCATAATATGACAGTATGTGCTGCACAGTGCCTCGGAGTCCCGTCCCACTTCCCATTTCAAGACGGAGGATTGAACCAAGCAAGCCAGGTTGTCTCCGGAGAAATTTCTACTTTTGATCTACAGCGGCGGGTAAATGGGAGGGTAATTACCCCTCGGGGTTTCTGCAAGACTCGAAGGGTAAACTGTGCGGAGGAATCGGAGACAGACTGTGCACCAGAAAGATCCCTAGGAAAGCTAAGTAGAAAGGACAAAGACGTGATTTCCGCGACTTGTGTCTCCTGATCTCCTACCCCAGTCAATGGTATAGTCCATGATGCTTCCCTATCTCTTGTTAGCTGCTGTGCAGCTCTTCGGCCCAACATCTGCTCTGACATATCGCGGCGCTGATATTTCTTCTCTTCTTGTTGAAGAAGATGCGGGGGTCTCATACAAGAACACCGACGGCACCTCGGAAAAGCTAGAAGCCATCATCGCAGCTAGCGGTGTCAACTCCATTCGCCAACGTATCTGGGTAAACCCCAGCGATGGAACATATGATCTGGACTATAACGTCGAACTTGCGAAGAGGGTACAGGCCCAGGGAATGGGCACTTACCTCGACCTGCATTTGAGCGATACATGGGCCGATCCGAGTAAACAGGTAAGAAACGGCAGATATACAGGCTCTTAACACTCGTTCAACCCCAACTGACCAACCCATTTCCCAGGGTACACCTTCCGACTGGTCCACAACAGATATCGACACCCTAACCTGGCAAGTCTACAACTATACGCTGGAAGTATGCAACACATTCGCAGCAAACAAACTCGACGTCGACATAATCTCAATCGGCAACGAGATCCGCAACGGACTCCTCTGGCCCCTCGGCAAAACAAGTAGCTACAGCAACATTGCCAGAATCCTACACTCCGGCGCCTGGGGCGTAAAAGACTCCAATCTCCCCACAATCCCTAAAATCATGATCCACCTCGACAACGGCTGGAGCTGGTCCGACCAGTCATATTTCTACGATCAAGTGCTAGCATCCGGTTCTGAGCTCGTATCCTCGGACTTCGACTACATCGGCGTCTCCTTCTACCCGTTCTACGACTCAAGCGCGACGCTCGCGTCGTTGAAGACGAGTCTCGCAAATCTGTACGCCACGTACGGGAAACAGACGCTCGTTGTTGAGACGAACTGGCCGTTTTCTTGTTCCAGTCCGGCGTATGCGTTCCCGGAGGATCTTAAGGGTATTCCATTCTCGGTGGTCGGGCAGCAGACTTTCCTGCAGAGGCTTGGTGATGCAGTGCAGAGTGTTGAGGGTGGACTGGGGGTTTATTATTGGGAGCCTGCTTGGGTTGATAATGGTGGACTTGGGAGTAGTTGCGAGGATAATTTGCTTTTTGCTTGGTCGGACGATCGGGCTAGGGCCAGTTTGAGTACGTTGGGGAATTTGTAGACATGATTTGTGCCGATCATGTTAGTGGGCAATCGATATTTAGCCCTAACATGGATACAAGAGATGAGGTTAGGCAGCAAACGTCGTCCTGAGCCCCAAGGCAGACTGTAAATGAGCCTTACCGATACCTAGTTTATATCCCGATTACCAGAATAGGACTAGTGCCCCGGGGTCCAGCTGGGTGGCTGTGCAAAACTTTAAAGCCAAGTCCTTCTTCAAGCCCCTCCGGGAAGAGCAAGACCAACTGCCTCATACTTTGTGTAGTTAACTTCATACATGTACGAGTAGGCAGCACTTTACTAGATGGATTGCTGGAAGAATAAAAATAGGATTTATCTGTTATCAGGGATCTGATACACATGATGTAAATGTGGGGAGCCCCATTTGGGGTTCGGTAGAGAACTTGTACACCAGTAACTGAATACACTACTCCGTAATACTTGAGAGAGGAAGAGAGAAGAGGTGGCCCGTGGGCCGGAGACTCTTTCTTTTTCCTCTTCGAACAACCCCACACAGGAGACCTTTATGATATAAAACATATATGAAACCCTACGTCGCTATACAGACGTGGTCGACCTAGACCGCCTTGCGCACGTGAAATCGGCCTAACCTTCAGCTCCTCCTCACATTGTAGTTTGTACCATCACATTGCGGACCTCTGGTCAAACCCCAAGGTATCATTGCTTTCAAAGATGAGGCAGTCTTGCGACCGCTGACACTGGCCCAGTGGCTCATTCGCGTACCCGAACACCCTCGATCTTGGACCCTTGCGAATGACATCCCACTACATCAGCAGACGCCCTCTCCCCACGTTATCAGGCGCTTACGACCCTGACAGATTTGTTCGCCTAATCTGATCCTTTCGCCAAACCCCTGCGCTACCCCTGGCTCCCTGCTTCATTCCCTCACCGGTGATCACAACTTCTGTTCGGCGCTCACCCACGAGCCTCACCCTCGCGCATTCGCGACTATGGCCTCGCACGACCAGAACCTGGGCTCGGCTCATTCCCCAGGGGATCTTGAACATCGGAGCGTGAGCCCTTTGCCCCACGGCCAGCAATATCATGATCCCAACGCTGGTGAAATAGGAATGAACCCCGCCATGTCGGCGTATCCCACAAACCCCTCCTTCCAGATTCCCAACGGCGGCATTGGTGGCGCTGAGGCATATGGATACGCCAACTATCTCCCCGAGACACCCTCGACACACACATTATCCGCGCCGACGGATCAGGGTTACCCTTCAAACATAAATACGAACAATATTCCCATATCGCAGTCATTCGAGACAAGCTTGGTCAGTCAGCTGGAACAGTCCGCGACAGGACTCAGGCCGATGCAGGGCGACGAGAACTTCTCGAATATGCTCCACTCAAATCAGCCGGAACTGGACTTCTCTCTTTACCAGAATCACAGCCCCAACAGCGGCTCTGCGTCGGAGTACGACTCTTCATTGTTGATGGACCCGCAGATGCATCAGCGCCAGTCAATGAACCAAGCGATCAACCCGGCTGATCTGGTCAGCCCCATCTCTAATCCCTCACCCTCTTCCCATCCATCCTCGCAAGATCAGCAGCACTCGCCTGGCCCTCTCTCCCCTCCAGGATCCACACCGGGCACATACTACACCCCCCAGCATTCACGACACGCTTCGCTTGACCCGGCCACGGCAGCGTACCTGACCGCCCAGCCAAACGCAGAATGGCAGTCGGTTATGAACAATGTTTCCTTCCAAGGCCATCGGCGCGCTCCATCGGAAGTGTCTGAGGTATCGTCGGCCAATCACTCCCCTTACTTGTCGCAACACGAGTTCGACGGCATCGAGAACAATGCATCGCCTTCTTTGGCTCCCCAAAGCGATCCAAGCCTCTACGACACTGGATTAGGGATGGAGTCGTTCACATTGTCAGAGCAGCAGCAACAGCAGGGCATTAGCCCGCTTCACAGCCCGTATATCTCGCCACGGTTAATGCCACAACAGGGAGGTGAGATGGTGCCAAACAATTCTTACCTTACGCAATTCCCTTCGGCGCCAACAGATATGTATGGAATGTCCCAGGAGGACATGATGGGCATGGGCCAAATGAACAATATCCCAGGCGACATTGGTCAGGCTTCTCAGATGGCTCCTCCATCGATCAATGTTGAGTTTGCCCCGCCGTTGCGAAATCCAACCTTCGACCTATCTAAAGAGGCTGCCGATTTCGACTCATTGAGCCCTCCCGCTATGCGTAAGTGATGAGCCGCCATAGAACGGGACTGGACTGACGTTAACCCAATACAGGATCCCGTGTGCGTAGCAAATCTGATCCTTACCACCCTGCTTCTCGCCCACGCTCTCCCGCAACCTCAACGTCGAGCCTGGAGCCCCACGCATCTGCCACCCCACGATCATTGTCGCCCGTCGGATCGATTAGCTCGCACTCGCGCAGCAACCCCGGTTCGCGAAATGCATCGCCTTCCCGATCCAACCGACGCCTTTCAACCTCGTCGATCGAGAATCGCAATTACATCCTCGATCTCGCTGACCCGCAGCGACCTGGAGCAGCTCCCGGAGAGTCGAAACGAATCCAAAAACACCCAGCCACCTTCCAATGCGACCTATGTCCCAAGCGATTTACTCGCGCCTACAACCTACGCTCCCACCTCCGCACCCACACCGACGAAAGACCATTCGTATGCACAGTCTGCGGCAAAGCATTCGCCCGCCAACACGATCGCAAACGCCACGAAGGCCTTCACTCCGGCGAGAAGAAATTCGTCTGCCGAGGCGAGCTCGCGCGAAGCGGCCAATGGGGATGCGGCCGCCGCTTCGCTCGTGCGGACGCTCTGGGCCGCCACTTCCGCTCCGAAGCCGGCCGGGTCTGCATCAAGCCTCTTCTAGACGAAGAAACCCAAGAACGCGAACGCGTCTTACTCAAGCACCAGCAGCAACAGCAACAATCACCCTCCGGTCATCTCCAGCCGGTTCCGCAGCCGCTCGTTATGCCCAATATGCCCGACATGGATGGGCAATCCACGGGCAACTTCGTTTTGCCTGCTGCGCTGCTCGCTCAGTACCCTGCTTTGCAGACGTTGCAGTGGGATCAAATTGCGGCTGGTGGTGATGAGCCGAGTGATATTGGTGGGCGGAGTAGTTTTGATGCTAGCTCTGGTGGGGAGTTTGGCTTTGACGAGGATGATTCGGGGATGAGTGGGTATGGCAGCAACCAAGGGAATATGTACGTCAATAGCCCTGGTCAGATGCTAGGGGTCAATCCGGGGGATCCTGGGTATTCTGATCAAAAGTGGGGTGGTTGATGAACATTCCAAGGTCTGTCGCTGCCTACTTCCTCTTTCTTTTTTCTCTCCCATTCCATTCCCGTTTGAAGATCTAAAAAGGGTCTTGCATGATGCATCTGCATCCGCATGAAGCCAGTATTTTTTTCACTTCTTTCGCCTACATAGAAAGGCTTGTTGGCGTTCATATTTACTCGGAGATGTCCGAAGACATCTACTGAAGCTCAGCAATCAGGATATGATTGTTTTAGGGTGTTCACATTTTTTTCTTCTGTTTTGTCTAGATCTTGGTGCTCATGTTCTTAGGCTCTTTTGATTATTATTCTCATTCTCCTTTGGTTTCCTGCATAGCCAGGACCAGGCATTACGATGCTTTTTTTGACGAACCACTATATCCAGTTCATGTCCATCTTGGTTCTTTTCTCTTTGTTTCATGTTTTGACACCACATCCATACCATCTTCGAAATATACCATGGCATGTGCTGAATGAATTGCGATCAATCGAATGACTCGACGGCTATCAGCTTCCACCTCAGGTGGCACTAGGTACCTACTACTTCTATTTACTCGTGAACAAAGGAACAGTAGAATACAGATCACATTGGATATCATCTAGTCGACAAACAAATCTTGAAACAAAACGCCACGAAAGGGCGATTGGATATAAACATCAACACCGGATCTATATAAACCCACTTTTGAAGTGATGCACAAATTCTCTCCTCATCTAAGCATTCGCCTTCTTCGCCAACAAGTTCAAAGCACTACCAGCAAGAATGAAACCACACTGATCCTTGCTAAGAGTATGCTGAACCGGAATCGCAAACTGCTCCCCAGTCTTGTGCTTAGTAACCCTCAACTGAATCTCACCCTGTCCACCAGCCTGCAGGACATCATAAAGACCAACGGTATCAACCTTATCACAAGCATCGATACGATCATAGTCCTCACGATTAGCGAACGTAAGCGGGACAACACCCTGCTTCTTAAGATTCGTCTCGTGGATACGAGCAAAACTCTTAGAAACAATCACACGACCACCGAGGTACCGCGGCTGCAGCGCGGCGTGTTCGCGGGCCGAGCCCTCGCCGTAGTTATCCTCCGCAACGACGAGCCACTCGATACCGCGCTGCTTCCATGATTCGGCGAGCTCGGGAATACCGTATTGCTTGCCGGCTTCGTCGTAGGCGACGTTTGTCTCGCCGGTAGCGGCGTTGACGGCGCCGATGAGCGTGTTGGCGGAGATGTTGGGCAGGTGGCCCTTGTATTTGAGCCAGGGGCCGGCGGCGGAGATGGTGTCTGTTGTGCACTGGCCTTTGACCTTGTAGAGGACCTGGAGGCCGGAGAGGTCGGCTTTGGGGAAGGGGGCGAAGGGCTCGAGGAGGGCGAGACGGTCGGAGGTCGGGGAGACGATGACTTCGCTGCTGGGGTCTGGGGTGGCGGCTGTGGGGAGGAAGTTGGGGTTTCCTTCTTCGAAGCCGGCGCTGGGGAGGTCGTAGCCCTTGGGGGGCTGGAACTTGAAGGTTGAGCCGTCCGGTGCGGTGAGGGAGTCGGTCATGGGGTTGAAGGTTGTGCTGCCGGAGTAGGCGAGGGCGGTGACGAGTTCCGGGGAGGCGAGGAAGTTCATTGTTTTGCGGTTGCCGTCGTTGCGGCCGGGGAAGTTGCGGTTGTAGGAGGTGAAGATGGCGTTTTCTTCGCCTTTGGGGACGCCGTCGGTGCGCTTCCATTGGCCGATGCAGGGGCCGCAGGCGTTGGCGAGGACGGTGCCGCCGGCTTCGGAGAAGGTGTTGAGAGTCTGGTCGCGGTCGAGAGTGGCGCGGATCTGTTCACTGCCGGGGGTGATGAAGAAATCTGCCTTCGGCTTGAGACCGGCGGCGGTGGCTTGCTTGACGAGATCCTCGGCACGGGTCATGTCTTCGTACGAGGAGTTGGTGCAGCTGCCGATGAGGCCGGCACCGAAGGTCTCGGGCCAGTTTTTCTCGCGGACGGTATCGGCGAAGCGGGACAGCGGCACCGAGAAGTCGGGAGTGAAGGGACCGTTGATGTGCGGCTCGAGCTCGGAGAGGTTGATCGTGACCAGCTGGTCGTACTCGGCCTTGGAGTCGGCGGCGAGCAAGCTGGAGGGGCCAGCAGCGGCGACCTCAGCTGCAGCCTCGGCGACGTGGCCGCGGTGGGTCGATTGCAGGTAGGGAACCATGCTAGGCGAGAAGGGGAAGATTGAGGTGGTAGCACCGACCTCGGCACCCATGTTACAGCAGGTAGCCATACCGGTGCAGCTGAGAGTTTCGACACCAGGACCGTGGTATTCAACGACATAGCCGGTACCACCACGCACGGTCAGCTTGCCAGCCAAGGACAGGATGATATCCTTGGGGGAAGCCCAACCGCTGAGCTTGCCCTCGAGGCGCACACCGAGGACCTTGGGAGCCTTGAGCTCCCAAGGAGCGTCGACAAGCGCATCGACAGCATCGGCACCACCGACACCAATAGCAATCGCACCCAGACCACCTGCGTTAGGAGTGTGGCTGTCAGTGCCCAGCATCATCAATCCAGGGGCGGCGTAGTTCTCCAGCACGCTCTGGTGGATAATGCCTGCACCGGGGGCCAGAACTCGATACCATAGCGCTTGGCGGCGCTCTCCAAGAAGTCGAACACCTCGCGATTACCCTGGATCGATGCCGGCAGATCGGTATCGGCACCGCGCTCACCGACGATCATGTGGTCGCAGTGGATACTGGCAGGGACGGCAGTCGAAGGAAGACCACAGGACATGAATTGGAGCAAGGCCATCTGGGCTGAGGCATCCTGCATGGCGACGCGGTCAGGCTTCAGCTTCAGGTTGGCCTTGCCTCGGACGTCGCGACCATTGTTGGTTCCGGTGAGCAATGACTCCTCGGCATTGTCCAGATGCGCGTAGAGGATCTTTTCGGCGAGGGTGAGAGCGCGCTCGGAGCCAAGCACTCGACGGACCTGTTCGAGGTTGCGGACGAGTTTGGGGTACGGGGGCATGCGGGAGGAGGAGGACTCGGTGGCTAGGCCACGGGCGAAAAGCCGTTGTGTGGAGAGTCGTGTGGCCATCTATTGAGAGGGTTAGTCTGAGGGATTGGGCCATGGAAATTGCTTCACTCACTCCACGAGTTGCGGAGGCCCGCTGCCAAACTAGTTGGCTCACCATCTTCACAGTTGTGTTGGTAAAACTGGGGAAGAAGAAGATGATGGTCCCTTTTTTTTTCTTCTCCGGGCTGTTATTATGCATCCAATCTGATTGGCCGGTGTTGGCGCCGATTTCGGAAGATCGAGCCTTGGCAGTGTATTATGTGGGGAAGTTTCTGCCTGAGGCATATAGAGATGTACTGTACCAGACAGGCATACTTTGGGCTGTATGTGAATGGGCGAATGAATATGGAAATAGTTGGAATGATTCGAATGAATGACAGACTGATGTGACTAGTATACAGAAACCATGGGAAGAGACTTAGGGCATCTATGTTGACATATCGCCTGATGTATCATCCAGGACGTTGGAAGGCCAGCCCTGGAGGTAATGATCTTCATTGTTCACTAACACCTAGGATTCATAGATGCATGTTTTATGCAGAACTTTCTGATGGGATATTTTGTCCTCAGAATGGGCTGAGCTGGAGAAAGCTCAGAAACCTTGGAAACTTTCCAACCTTCCAGGAAAATGGTATGAGTTTATGTCATCATGACAGTGACCTTCTGTTCAGCTAAACACGTTCACTGGTGGGAACTGCTTTTCTACTGTGTAGAGTCTAGACTGCAGCTCTTTGCAAAGGAGATTGCTCCACTCATCTCACAGAGGGTCTCGTAATCGACTAAGAAGTTAGAACTCCCGGAGTCCCGACTCCCGATATTGAGGCTATCCAACTCCCTCGGCATCTACCAAACTTCAACGGTCCAACCTTCTCCTATTAGAGGATGTTATTTCTCTTGATCTGTAATTTCTCCTATACAATTGGTCCAAACCATGCACATAATTTGCTGCGAAAGCCATTGGTGATGTGAGAATGACGAGAAATATGGTCACCCTGGGTTCTGGACCCTATGCCTACTTCCAGTTTATTTAACCTGGAAACAATGCACAAATTTCAAGTTTTCGTTGGCTCTTGTCCAAGTCTCGGCGCATAACAAACATTTTGTTGCTTCGAGGAGCAACTTAAAAGCCATAGCATCTCCCATCAATTCCCCAGAATCTACCACTCCCATACTCTTGTGATATCAAACATAGTTTATACAAATCATTTCATCATGGCTGCTCACCCACTGCAAGCTCTAGGGGAGGCAGTTGGCTCTGTGGGGATCGACCCAAGGGCTATGCAGCTGTCCTCACTCTTCCAAGGAGCCAACGATGGCCCTGCGAGAACAGCTGCAAAAATAACCGGTGTGCAAGGCGCTGGCAAAAGGGTGGATGATGGTCCATACTTCACAAGCAACGAAGGCATTCCCTTCCCAGATGGAGCACACAGCAAGACTGTCGGAGGCATCCCTGTGGCTTCTGATATTCACCTATTCCAGAAACAGCAGCACTTCAACCGTTCCAAGAATCTGGAGAGAATGGTTCATCCTTGTAAGCCAACTGTGGATAATACCTCAGACTCACTCGTGTCTGACCTTCTTCCAGGTGGCAGTGGAGCATTCGGGTATTTCGAGGTCACTAAAGATGTTACTCCGTATTGCAAGGTTGGTTTCGAGTGACCTATGCCAGTGCCAAAACAATTCTGATCAAAGTACCAGGCCGACTTTCTGAAAAGCGTTGGCCTCAGAACTCCCGTGTTCACACGTTTCTCAACAGTCACCTTGGGTCGCGAGTTTCCCGATCTGGCTAGAAACCCTCGTGGATTTGCCGTCAAGTTCTACACAGGAGAGGGCAACTATGATATCGTTGGCTTGAACTTCGTACGTGTCTCTGTTCTTTCTCGTTAGGCTCAGCTGCTGATTCTTTCAAGCCTGTGTTCTTTTGCCGCGATCCCATCCAGGGGCCGGATGTGATCCGCTCTCAGTACCGCAACCCGCAGAACTTCTTGCTTGACCACAATTCTCTGTTCGATCTCCTTGCCCACACGCCAGAGGGGTAAGAAGCACGCTCGAAAGCAGATCAAACAAGGATTCTAACGCGCGTATAGTAACCATGCAGGAATGATGTTCTTCAGTGACCATGGTACTCCCCAGGGATGGAGACATAACCACGGATACGGATGCCATACCTTTAAATGGTGCGGGCCTTGCGCAAATACCTTTCCCATCAAAGCACTGCTGACATGCCTCGTAACAGGGTCAACAAGAATGGCGAGTTCGTGTATATCAAATACCACTTCCTCGCCAACCATGGCCAGAAACAGTTCACTGCCGACGAAGCAATGAGACTCAGCGGTGAAGATCCTGATTACTCAAAGCGTGACCTCTGGAAGGCCATTGAGAACGGCGAAGAGATTACCTGGACTGCACATGTCCAGATCATGCAGCCGGATGAAGCTGATGCTGATAAGCTTGGCTTCGACCCCTTCGACGTCACCAAGGTGTGGCCAAAGAATAAGTTCCCGGTAAGATCTTTAGCCCTAACTAGTCATTTCATTTGCTGATAGAGGTGTTGTTCAGTTGCACGAATTCGGCAAGCTGGTGTTGAACCGTAACCCTGAGAACTTCCACAGAGACGTGGAGCAAGCTGCGTTTTCCCCGGGCAGCATGGTCCCGGGAATCGAAGACAGCCCAGACCCTCTCCTTCAGTTCCGTACCTTCTTCTACCGTGATGCCCAACTCCACCGTATTGGAGTCAATTGGCATCAAGTGCCCGTGAATTGCCCATTCATGGCCTCTTCATACTCCTCCTTGAACTTCGACGGCCAAATGAGAGCAGACGCAAACCACGCCGGCAACCCGCAGTATGCACCAAACAGCTTCGTGAACAAGTTCCGTCCTGATGCCGCCGAAGCTCCGTACCAGGTTGCCGATAATACGGTGAGCCGTAAGTCGCACTTCTGGCACGAAGGCAGCCCCACCGAGTACGAGCAGCCTCGCATGCTGTATGAGAAGGTGATGGACAGCAAGGCCCGAAGCCATCTCCACGCGAATACCGCCGCTGCATTGAAGAAAGTGGACTACCCCCAGATCCAGGTGAAATACCTGGCACAGCTATTCCGAGTGTCCCCTCAGTATGCCAAGGGTGTGTTCGAGCTGTTGCCGAAGCCATCGTTTACTTTCGACGAGGTGGAAAAGACTTCGAAGGAGGCTGAGAAGATGGGCAAGGAGCAGAAATTCTGTCCCAGTGCGAAGACGGATAAGTTGGTTGGGAAGTGTCCGGTGGGAAAGGTCTACAATTCTTAGGCTTGGGGATGTCTTAATAATGTTAGCAGGTATCGTACCAAATTGCCATCATTTTTTCTATTGAAACATTTCACAAGCAGTAAACAGCGTAGCGCTTGGTTATTCGGACTGGAATCTAATCGAATAGCCGAATTGAAACACTGAAGGATAAGCTCTTCTTGCATGGCAGCATGAGCAGGTATACGATGGATCCATCGACGGTGATAGACCATCTTCGGCTTCCAGGATTTGTCGAGTCGTCAATGACTTAGCAAAGGCCCATTGAGATAGATCTGATGCATCGTGAACTTGATCTGTATGTAGTACGGAGTCAACAGGAGCAGGTGGAGCCGGGAAAAGCTTAGCGAACGAACCAACGACTCCACGAGGAACAACCAGCCAATCACAAGCTGTCGAGGGGTCTATGCCCCACGTGACAGCAGTCGGCACCCAATCTTGAATCCACTGTAGCTACGGAGTTAGTCACGGAGTTAAGTGACGGAGAGTCTTCTCTTTCCTCCTTTCTCTTCCCTCTCTTCTCTCTAGGTCCTTGTCAATAGCAATGGGATGAGACAATACTTTTCTCCCTGTGTATCTCCCATACTGATCCCGGTACCGGGTAGACAAACACATCAGATTCCGGGATAGCCCTGGACCAAGATCCCGATACGGCAGGTACCAGTGTCGATCGCGATTGGCACGTGACCGTTGTGCCGAGAACCCGTTCCGTGACTCCTCAGGGCTGCAACCGGAGCCACTTTTGTTCCATTCGAATCGTCTGAATGGACAAAAAGGAGACGGCCCATGCCGCCATATTCAAATTGATTCGTGTCAAAGAGCGCAGATGGGGTCTGGCCAGAGGTGGCCAGAGGTGGCCAGGAGGAGCCCAAGTGGCCTTGGGAGCAGCAGGCTGGCAGCAGCCAATGGCTATGCTTGAATGAATTGCTCATGGGACAGTTGGCGGTGATAAGAATACGCTTTGTCGTTAACGATTGCCGTTCTCGTTGAAAATGTTAATAAACAGGTTCCCCACTTTGGAAGCTTGATTTTTCTTCTTGACCCAGTCTTTCGTACCTGGCGTACCTGAGTTGGTTTTGTATATAGCAAATCCAATTTCCATGCTCGGATAATTATTTTGGTTCTGCTTGTCGTCTGGTTCGACGGGATCATAGACATTGATCATCATGTCGGAACATAAAGAGACTGGTCTGTCCGGGTCACAGTCGATGTCGACATCCAGTTCGGACTCCGAGTCTGATCGATCCCAGAGCTTGGCTGGTACGGGGACAAGACTCAGATCTTCGTCGAATCCAGGACTGCATCAGTTGGATCGGGTTTATTCGGGACGACACATGAATGACCAGTCAGTATACCACAGCGATGGCGAACATAAGGATGCTGCCACACCCGTCCAAGAAGTGAGAGATGGGACTGTGAATGAGCGCGACCTGGATCTGGAGAATGCAGGTCCTTCACGACCTGAGTTGGAGAAAACCCGGACGGGCAAGTCGAATCGGTCTCATGCCGATCCGAAATTGGTAGGCCCTTGTCTTCTAGCTCTAGTGCTCGAGTACTGACTAGGAACAGGTAACATGGGATGGTCCAGACGACCCTGAGAATCCAAAGAACTGGAGTTACAAGAAGAAATGGGCGGCCGTTATCACCGTGTCATTGTTCACATTCATCTCACCCGTCTCTTCTTCAATGGTTGCACCGGCATTAAAGGAGCTCGCAGCTGATTTGCACGTCACCGATCAGGTTGTCTCGCAACTTATGCTTTCAGTCTTCGTTCTAGCCTATGCAGTAGGTCCGTTATTCCTCGGACCATTATCAGAGGTCTACGGGCGAACCATCGTCCTGCAACTTGCCAACCTCTTTTTCCTGGTCTTCAACATTGGATGCGCCGTTTCTCAAACTAAAGTCCAATTGATCGTCTGCCGATTCTTCTCTGGACTAGGAGGCAGTGCCCCACTCGCAGTAAGCTTAGCCAAGCCCTAAAACCGATCTATCAAAGTAGAAAAGAAGAAACCTATATCTAACCAACCGACATCCAGATCGGCGGCGGCGTCCTATCAGACTGTTTCCGCCCCGAAGAGCGCGGCAAAGGAATCGCAATCTACAGTCTGGCCCCCCTCCTCGGTCCAGCCATGGGCCCAATCGCCGGCGGCTTCATAGCAGAACACACAAGCTGGCGCTGGGTCTTCTACTCCACCTCCATCGCCGACGCCCTAATCCAAGCAATGGGCCTCTTATTCCTCCGCGAAAGCTACGGCCCCGTCCTCCTGCGCGCACGCGCCGCACGCCTACGAAAAGAAACCAACGACGAAACCTACCAAACCGAAACCGAACGCCAAAACAGAACCCTACCGCAAGTCATCCGCAGCGCACTAGTCCGCCCCTTCCGCCTCCTCTTCACCCAACCAATCGTGCAAGCCCTCGCCCTCTTCATGGCCTACATCTACGGCATAATGTACCTCGTCCTCTCGACCTTCCCAACCCTCTGGACCAGCGCAGCCTACTACAACGAATCAACCGGCATAGGCGGACTCAACTACATCTCCCTAGGTCTGGGCTTCTTCCTCGGCAGCCAGATCTGCGCCCCGCTAAACGACCGCATCTACCGCCGTCTCAAAGCGCGCAACGGCGGCGTCGGAAAACCCGAGTTCCGTGTCCCGCTGCTCTTCGTCGGTGCCTTTCTCATTCCCTCGGGTCTATTTATCTACGGCTGGACGGCCCAGTATCGGGTTCATTGGATTGCGCCGAATATCGGTGCCGTGCTCTTTGGCGCGGGCAATATCGTCGCTTTCCAGTGTATTCAGACGTATATGGTTGATACGTACGCGCGGTATGCGGCGAGTGCGCTTGCGGCGGGGTCGTTCCTGAGATCGCTGGCTGGTTTCGGGTTCCCGCTTTTCGCCCCGTATATGTATTCGGCGCTGGGGTATGGGTGGGGGAATAGTGTACTGGCGTTTGTGGCTGTGGTGATTGGGGCTTTGGCGCCGGTGTTGATGTGGAGGTTTGGGGAGACGTTGAGGAAGAAGAGTACTTATGCGGCGGGATAGTACTACAGGTGTCGGGCTATTTTGTATAGACGTACAGTGTAGAGACATTTGATCCTAATAAATAATCTGAAAATATTACGGTACAAATTAAGAAGCTTTGGCGAAGACTTGTGCATGCTTCGGCATGTGTGTATGTGTTATGAATTAGACCTCGACCTCGGCTACTGCGGTCTCAGGCGCATTAGAAATATCGTGTTTAGAATTGGCTTTCTTTCTTTTGACCCCTGGATTGATTGAAATACAGTAATACTTCTATGCAGGTATTTCATATTCAATCACATGCTGACTAGGGTCTTCCCGGTTGGAAATGCGTGTCTAGACTGCTCTCTGGTTCTATCGATCGTCTGTGATCGACAGGGGTTGTTGAGTTCCTAACTGGTATGGAGACAATAAATGGGGATGTGGATGTAGCGCTATGGAGCCTATGGTTGATATTGTACTCCGTAGGTTAAGTAGGGCTTTTTGGAGGATGTCAGGATGGAATATTACCAAGGCTGACTCCAGGGCTACAGGGCAACAGGGCTGACATGATAGCGCCCAGCGTGAAAGGAATTATTCCATGCTCAACCGTGCAGATTACAATCTATGTGAGGAGAGAGAGATATGTGAGTCAAAATATTTATTTATCAATGGAGAATATAGTTAGAGAAAAAGAAAAAGAAAGGAGAGTCAGACAGACTATTGACATACTAGTCTGCCTGCTTTCGGACCGGGGGGGGGGGGTATAGAGAATCTATGGTCACATAATATATGAGATCCGAGACAAAACATTATATCCGATTCGCACCGCGAACACAACTCAGTCGACATCAATTGAGAATCACCAATGGCACGAGACAATTTAGTCAGAGTGCTTGGTCTCACTGCCGCTGCCGCTGCTCATAGCCTTCTCAGCCTTCTCGGCCTGAACTGCCATCTGGTGGTCAGGAGCCTCCAGACCGAGCTCGTTCTGCATCTGTGTGATCTGGGCAACGGTGAGCTTGGGCAGCTCCTGGGCAACCTTGTAGGGCCATTTCTTCTCAACGTGGGCCTTGGCGAAGATAATGTCCACCTCCTCGAGGTCACGGCCGGCGGTCTCACAGTAGAAGAACCAGGCGAAGGGAATGGCGACGAAGTTGACCAGCGCGAAGAACAGGTAGATACCCCAGTCGGACTGGTTAGAGAAGACGGGGGTGAACATGACGACGGCGAAGTTGGTGATCCAGTTGGTGCAGGTGGAAGCGGAGGCGGCCTTGGTACGGGTGCGGAGGGGGTTGATCTCGGGAGGGTAGATCCAGGGGAGAGGCAGCGTAGTAAAGGCGAAGAAGATGATGAACAAGAAGATACCGACGACGGCACCCTTGGAGTTCTGTTCGTTCGACTTGATGAGGCAGCCCATGGTGATGATGAAACTGAGACCCTGGCCGAGGAAGCCGATCAAGAACAGGTTGCGACGACCGACCTTCTCAATCATGAAGAAGGAGGGGATGGTGGAGAGGGCGTAGACGGTAGCGAAGACACCACCCAGAACGAGGGGAAGCTTGCCAGTCATGTGCAAGTTCTGCTGGAACAGCAGGGTGGAGTAGTAAATGGCAGCGTTGCAACCAGTGAACTGCTGGAAGAACTGACCAGAGCATCCAATCATGAGACGCTGGAAGTTCTGGGTCTTACCTCCAGTGAACAGGATCTTCCAGCTGCTGTTAGCCTCGATGCCCTGAAGGGCGTTGAGATCAGCTTTCATCAGGTTGTAATCCTCGAGTACATCCTCGGCATCGACAGCACTGCCGTTGAGTGAAGCCAGAACCTCAAGGGCCTCCTGGTCATGACCCTGCATGACGAACCAACGAGGAGATTCGGGCAACATAAGTCCACCAACGGTGACAGCGATGGCGAAGACGATCTGGAAGGCGACGGGGAACCGCCACTGGACGGAGCTGTCGACGTAGGAAAGACCGAAATCGAGCCAGTAGGCAATGAAGGTACCGACGGCAATAATGGCACCCTCGAAGCAGACGAGGAAACCACGGTTGTGAGCCTTGGAACATTCAGACTGCCACACGGGGATGGTAGCAGTGTCCATGCCGTTTCCAAGACCGGAGATAACACGTCCAACGACGAACTGACCGAGACCCCAGTGAGGACCGAAGGCAGCAGTGGAAATGACAGTGCCGAGAATCATGAGGAGACCGCCGGCGACGAGAAGGGGGGTGCGGCCAATTTTCTGGCCCCAAACGAGAGTGAAGATAGCACCGAAGAAGCATCCGAGTTCGTAACAGGCTGTGACGGCACCACGCAGGACGGCGACGTGCTCGGAGTCACCGTAGAGAGGCGGGAACTCCTTAGTGAACTGGTCGCCGGAGATGATACCGGACATCAGACCCTGATCATAACCAAAGAGTGAGAATCCAACAACGGAGGTGAAGGTAATGGCGAGATGGAGCTTCTTGCCCCTCAGGCCGGAGGTTGTGGTCCACATGATGAAGGTCCTCTATGAGATGAAGAGAGGATAGGTCCAAAGCAACATGGAGAAGAAAGAAGAGAAAGCTCAGACACCTGGGGGATGTGCCTGTACCTTATATGCATTCGCATGTTTAGGGGCCCCATGTTTGCTTAGCATGTGCCAAGAGGGAGTGGAAACTTTGGCGTGACATCGGCGGCGCTGGGTACAATGTTGTAGAGGCAAGTCGCGCGACCCGCCGTGGGGGCCGAGTTCGACCCCGGCGGCCAACAAGGGACGAGGGGCTGCCCGATATTAGTGGAGTTGCGGGGATGAGACAAGCTCAACTCTCGTGGGTTTCGCCAAGTACCATGCGGCTCGGGAGACTTGGCCGTGGACCAATATCTGCCAACAGGAAATCACAAAGGTTTGCGGTGATATACCTCTCGAGACGTAGGAGGCTTTCCTCTATGTCTTCATTGTTGATGGGTTTTGTGAAGAGTGGATAAGGCTAATCCCTGAATGGCTTGAGGCGTCGACAGGCATCGATTAGTCTGGCTGGAACAGGAATCTTATCCGACCCTCCATTTTCTTTCTTTTTGTTTTTATTTCTGTTTTAATATTACTTTCCGTTTATTATTAATGGTTTTATTTGTTTTATTGTTTTAATTTCTTTTTTTACTCCACGGGGTATAGAAAGAGTGGGAGGTTTTGGGTGAAGTGGGTCAGGGCCCCAGGGGCCGTGGTTTTTCCTTTCAAGTTAATCTGATTCATTGACTTCATTGGTCAGCCAGAATTGGGTTAAGCCCGTTCCATTTCTTCTTTGGCGAACTTCGGGGACTGACTGGTCAACCCGAAATCTGACCTACTCACGATCTCTCGTTACAGTTTCCTTTTTCTCTCTTTCACCTACCCCGACGTTCGCCCTATCCGAAGCTCGGTTATGTAGCGGTTTAGCCGTACTCCGTACATTAATTTCCCGGGGTGGTGTTGGGATACCGTCCTGAGCAATGATCGACGGACTCCGGCGTTTATTGCGAGGTCTGCGGGATTGGAACACTCGATTGAGAGACGCATATGCTGGAGGTAGGTCGAGGCGTCCAGATGCCTACAAAAGTTCCAAGGCGTCCACGGGTGCCCGTTTCCTGCGCTTACTGCGTCCAGGATCATTTGAACCTTGAAGCATATCCATGTCGATATTGGCTTTAGAGTTCTTAGCCCTATGCTCACAGTCGCGATAATTTACCTGGAGGATTTAATCTTCCGAACCGAGGGTTCGGACAAGACAAGTCCGTGGGCACAACTGAGACGTTTAACCACTTGGCGAAGTCGAAAAAAATCCAACACAGACAGAAGTAGAAAAAGACAGCAGTGGGTCCCTCCGCGAAACGACTTCCATAGTCAGGAATGATCATCTCTTTAAGTGCAAATTTGAATTTGGACGCTTCCTTCGCACGCGTATTTGCTTACCGTCACTTGGCTTTAACCAAGTCTTTCCAAGAAATTTCCCCAAACTCTCCTATCAACAAGCAATGACAAGGCGACCTCCGCCACGGAGTTCATTACTTGGCCACTTGGCCACCACTTGGCCACCACTTGGCCAAACCATGATGGACGTTCACCAGATGTGAGATGAGATCGCGAAAATAGGGGGCCCACATCCGTCGCACGACCCCGGGTAAACAATTTAAAAACCCAGACGGATACGGAATAGCGTTATAGCACCCTACCGTCTTGAATCCTCGTAAAATCCTTTCTCCTTGGCGACAGCCGTCGTGCGGGCGTTGTCGGACATACGCGAAACGCGAGTTCGGCTCTCGTAATGAACTCGAGCAACTGCGTCTGGATTCACAGCATGTGGAACTGCGCAGGTACTTACTACTAACATGTACCATCCATAACTAGATTAAACCTTCCTCCCATTGGACGAATAATGTTCCGTATGTTAGACATCGTAGATTACCTGCGTCGCAGGATTAGTTTGCTGCAAATTAACGCTATCACGAGCCAATTACTCCCAACTTTCCCCACTGGGAAAAGGCACACGCGCTTTTGGCGGTAATGGCTTCGGAAGTGTACTCCGTACGTTCTCCGTATAGACAAGGGTTGGTCTTGGAGTTCTGTGCCCGACACAATAGCCGACAACCCCTGCGAAGGAGCCTGCTCGCTATACATTCCGTTATTGCTAGCACAGACGGCGACGGGCACGGCTTGCAGATCTTCAACGGCAAGGCCGTCAAAGCGGAAGCCACAGGATCAAAGCGGCAGCCACTGGACGTCATGTTAGAGCCTGGCCGCCTGGCGTTGCCGTGAGTGGCGCTCTGGAAGTCCGTCTTGGCGTTCCCCTCGAGTTCCTCGTGGAATCCTCGGGGAATATTTTTCCGTATGGGCATGGTTGAAACCTTGGGTCATGGCGCCATGTGGCGAGGGGCTGAATCCTATTCCTATGTCTGGCACGATGCGGCCCGGAAGGTTAAATAGGAGTCAGCTTTTCTCTGCGCTGCTTGGGTTGTTCTAGTATTTGTTAGGGTGATCTGGCGGACAAAAGGTGTCGTTATTGCGGAGATATCATGAGACGTGTGGGGAAGGTTGTATCACTGATGCTGTGGACTGTTGCGCGATAGGGCTGAGTTTGACAGGCTTCGGGCTAGTTATGTTTCAATGCTACTCCCCGCCGTACATATTTCCACAGTTACTACCACTTAGGTTACAACCTTCCAGGTTACCTACCTGCCTAGATACATGCATTGTACTTAAGCGAACTAATTATCGAGTCTGACTACTAAGGTAGGTACCTATCTCGTGCCTACCTGTGGAGGTTGAGATTGCTAGAAGCTCCTGCTACCTACCTATGGTACTTGGTGTAGTGTGCTTGACGCTCTATAGAGACCTTCGCGGATGGAATGGACTCCTTCTACGTGAGCGATCTTTGATTCAGATACATCATCCTTGATGGAAGGTTGAGAAACCCAGTCGAGCGATATATATTCAAAATTGTGGGGTATAGTATCTCGGTGACCATCGTGGCCAGTGCTCATCGACAAGGCAGGCTGTATATACACCGAGGAAACGGAAAACAGCATTTATCCATAATGATGGATTTAAAATGATCGCAGAACCTCCTTTTGAACAAACCAGATATCCAAACGGCCCTCGAGCGAGCTTTGACAAGGACACATTTGCGGGCTCATAGCTGAAGCATTAGCCACAGTGCAACAACCACATGGGTTACCAGTCTCACTGGCCAGTAACACCAGACTCTTTCTCGCCGTGCTTCTATTCATCTATTAGTATCAGGTCACCAGGAAGAGAAGAGCGAGATATTCATACCAGAGTACGGTGGTACTTGATACCAACGTTGTTTCCAGACACCGCGTCATACGGCACAGGGCTTGTGTAGTTGTAGGTAGGCTTGAGACCGTCCCACGTCTTCTTCACAATATCAACAATTCCATGACCAGCAGAGCAAGCGCCCTCGGTAGCAGGGACCGGCCACACGGGGCTGAACTCCGAAAGATCACCACTGGAGAGTGGACCAGGATAAGTCTGGTTAATAAAGACGTTGTCAAGATCAACCTCCCAGTTGACGTAGCCGGTCTTATCCGCAACGAGTTTTAGCAGGTTGGCGCCGCAGTCCCATCGGCCGAGCGAGGGAAGGCCCCAGTTGGCGGACAAAGAGGCGATGATTGAATAGTGGGTGTAGAAGGTATCATCGCTGGTACCCTTTAGGTGCTTGGGGACAGCACCACCAAGCAAGTAACTATAGACCCGGTTAGGGCGGGTATAGTTGCCCGCCTCGTCGAAGGTCACAAGCACCAAGGTGTCTTTGGTGAAGTACTTGTTCTCCAGCAAGGGAGACAAGAAGCGGTCCACCCAGCTACCGGCCACGTGGATGTCGCTGTCGTGGGCATCGTTGGTCATGTTCGGGGTGATGAACATGTGCTGGGGCAAGCGCTGGTGCTCCAGATCCTCGTAGAAGGTGGTGAAATTCTTAATTTGGCGCGGGCGCACGGCGTCATTTGTGACCGAATCGTACAGAATCAGCGGGTTGTGCTTGCGCACATACTGATTCGGGCCGCTCTGCGGGTATCGCTCGCCCAGGTAGCCAGCATATGGCATGTCCTCTTGATACTCGCCCCAGGCGATGTGTTTGGTGTCGAACAGATCCGCGATGGTTGAGACATTGGCGGGGACTCTGTTGTAATCATCATCGTCCATGCCAAAGGCATCACCGCCAGCGGACATGCAGTAGTTCGGCTCCGAGGGGTGGGTGACAGCGAAGTAGTTGTTCAAGAGGATACCTTCCTTGGCCAGCTTGGACATGCTGGAGTCCGCAGCAGTGGTTTCAAAGTCCTGCAAAGGGATGAGCACGTGGTCATTGTCGTGTATGCAAGGGGTGACTCACGGTGTTCTCGAGCCAGATATTTACAAACCGGTTGAAGGCCAGACCCTTGACATTAGATACAGGCGAGTAGGGCAGGACCTTCGCCCGTGCAGCATCAATCTCCGCCTGAGTTGGTTTCTGATCAGAAGCGTTGGCCAGGGCCAGAGTCCCGATCAACGCGAGAAGAGTCTGCTTGGTGAACATTTCCAAGGTCGCGGGGATATGTAGCTGCGATGAGAAAGGGAATTAATGAGCAGATCAGGCGATGCACACCTGATCTTATATACTGTGTACTGGAGCTGTGAGGGGCGTGACATTCCCCTCACCGGCTGGTAGGCCGATCAGCAAGGCGGCCAAATCCGCCCGGGCATACACAGTATGTAGCTTCAGGGCTGCATTCCTGTTACTACCACGTTGGGATCGCGGGGATTGAGCGTATCTTGCAGGCTTTTTGTCCGACGGAGTCAGTCGGTAGTTGAGTTACACTGAGATGGATTAGACTCGCAGCCATGATGTGTTTAATTGGACGGATACCGGTTGGTGGGGAACTTTGGGCGGGGTAATTCCATGGGGGCCCTTTACTTTCCTGCACGTTCTTGCCCGCCAAGCCCTAACTGGCTACACATTGAAGAAGTGCCTGACGGACTCTGACCACACAACTTGTCGCTTTCGCCATTGTGCTTGGCTCAGTGGTGTAGGTGCAATTATGTGATATATTAGAGGTGGATTTCAGGTACACCGAATTTTACTTTGAGAAGCTGCTCGGCACATTCGCAAGCCAAGTCTCCCAAGAGTTTTCCGAGGCTAATCACTGGAATAAGCATTCAGCATACACGGGGCTGAGGTGCGTAGGGACCAGGGCACCGGTATGATGCTAAGGTATTTAGCCGGCATGCCCGGGCATGGTACTGCTGTATATAAGTTGAGAATGCCACCGGTGGTCTCCCGACAATCTCAGGACATCTGCGATTCAGTTTGGCTCTTTGGGCCCGTTCTGAAGCGCCTTACCAGGAGACATTCTGGCCTAGACCACTTCAATATCTACAGGTTCCATTACGCGTGTCATATACCCTTGGGTCCCGTGGACTAAGCCAGGTGGTATCTGTCAGTTCGTTGAATTCTGGATTGTCCTTGGAGTTGACTTTTGGTTACCTCAGAAGCTCTACCAGTCCAGCACCCGATTGTGTCTATGCCTTAGGATAAACAAGAGTCATGCATTTTTTCTACTCTATGTGGCGTAAATAGTCATGATCAAGGCAGCCTATACTACCCTTCATCTATCTCGTAGACAAGGCGACCTAAGCGAAGACCTTGGTCTCGCCGGCCTTGAGCTTGCCAGCATCGACAAGGCGCTGAGCCTCACCAGTCCAAGCAGACTTAACGGCAGCACCGTCAGTACCGGCAATGGTAAGCTTCTCAGCCAGCACGGCGAGCTCGTCAACGTCGATCTTGCCCATGATGAGGTCGACATCACTGAGGACATTGTCGATCTCGGTGGCGGAGGCATCACCGCCGGCGGCGAAGTAGTTAACCTCCTTGACGGATCCCTTGAGGATACGCTTGTTCTTCTTGGCAGCGTTCTTAGCGGCCTCCTTGGCCTTCTTGCTCTTCTCGCGCTCAGCCTTGGCGGCCTCCTCAGCCTCCTTCTTGCGCTTCTCCTCGTCGGCCTTAGCCTTCTCCTTCTCCTCCTTCTGGCGACGGATCTCCTCCTCCTTGGCAAGACGCTTAGCATCCTTGCCAGCACGGGCCTGCTGGCGGAACTTCTTGATACGCTCATCGGAGGAGAGACACTCGTCAACGAGCTCACGCAGACGGACGGTATCCTCGGTCTTGCGCTTGCGACGAGCGTTGGCGTTCTTCTTTTCGACGTGACGCTTCTGGTCACGGCTCTCTCCATCATCGGGAACGTCCTCATCGAGGTACTCGAAAGTCCTCCAGCTGTCGAAGTTGTACCAGAAGTTGTAGAAAGTCTCGACGTGCTCCTGGGTGCTGTTCTCGTCTCCGAGTTCGGGGACGGGCTGCTTGTTGGAGAAGCGACCCTCGGCGACGAAAACGGGGTGCCAGGCCTTGTAGAACTTGCTGCCGCTGAGCTTCTTGGTGGGGGGCTCAACCTCGGCGTTCTCATCGACGGAATCGAACTGGCGGCGGCGAGTAGGGTCCAAAAGAAGGTCGGTGGCCTTCTGGATACACTTGAAGAAACTGTCGTTCTCGTCGCTCTTGCCCTGAGCGGCCTTCTTATCGGGGTGGTGACGCAGAACCTTCTTGCGGTGGGCCCGCTTGATCTGCTCGGGAGTAGCGCGGTAGCGGTACTTGCTCAGACCGAGAACGGCGTAGTGATCTTGGCTCTGTTGAGGGTCAGAATGGAGTAAAAAGGAAGATGGGTATTAGATAACTGACCTTCCAGTCCTTGGCCTCACGGGCAAGCATCATAGGGTCCTCATCCTCGGAGATATCATCATCTTCCTCAGTCTCAGTCTTCTTGACGTTGTTCTGAGCCTGGAGGCGCTCATCCTCGGAGAAAGTGCGGTTGTGGCGGGACTGTGGGAGTGTTAGTTCCGAGGAAATGAAGAATAGACAAAAATCCTTTGGTGAAACCTACTCGGCGAGCGTGAGCGAGGAAGTGCGGGCCAACGGGCTCCACGTTACGCTTGGTGGCACCGGAGAGAGATCCCAAAATCTTGAAGTCCTTCTCACTAGTCCAGCCCTGAGGCAAGGAAGGGAGGGAAATGTCGACAACTTGAGCAGTAGCCATTGTATATGATGTTGGTGAAGATACCAAGTTGTGTGTGGAGAGCGTTTGGTCCCGCGATGGATTTTTTTGCCTGCCGGTTTTTTTCTGCCCCGAATACCCGCCTCATCGGCCAATCACAGGTGTGATGTTCGAAGATGTCAAGATTGGCGATGGCTCTTGGTCTTGCCTCTTGTTATCTTCGTTGTACAGCCGAAATCTTGGTCGAGTCGATTGCTATTCTCTTTCATACCAACAGATTACACAATATATCTCACTGCATCTGCGCTACCACCTAAAACACTCTTATACCTCCGCATCTACAGCGGCCGTCTCCGAGCCGTGCTATTCAACCTTTCCCTGCATACTTCATCTATACTTTGCAAATTTCGATCTCATCATGGCCTCGTCCACTGCTGCTGCCGCTAAGAGCGCGTATCGTCAGCTTCTTCGGTCCACCCGTATTGTCTTCCATAGTTAGTGCAGCAAACTCCCTCCAGCGAAGTGATTCTCTCCCTTATACTAATGTCTGTTCTAGACGATCTCCCAGTCCTGACTGCTGCTCGCCAAGAAGCTCGCAAAAACTTCGACAAGAATCGTCGCCCGGGCGTCGACACTGGCATGCAAATCAACCATGCGATCGAGGTTGCCAACATCTTGCGCCACAACATCGTCCAGGGCTCAAGGCCGCAGGGAGATGAATCTGCTAAGTGGGGTATGTCATTGGTTTAGGACTCCTATTCCCTACGCAGGCTCGCTGTTGTTATGAGTTGTGAGCTGACGAGAGACCATTTTTACAGAACTCAATATCCACGACCAGATCGAACGCGGCGACAACGACTCTATCAAAGTCGGCGAGAAGGATGTGAAGATTCACAAGGCTTGCTCTTCATGATTGGGTCCAATTATCATGACGCTCAGTTGAGTCTGAGCAAATCGCCCAGTCAACTCCAAGCCAAAAATGTCAGCTGAATTCGAGGTTAAAGCCGGGCCTGTGCCTGCGTTGAACCTACGGCCTGCGGAATGGTACATCAAGCTAAAGCAGTGACTGGACTTGTATTATAAGATACCCGACTCTTCTATTCATTGGCGTCTCTGGGGTATTTTCGATTGAAGTACATAAAACGGCATAGAATAATCCCAATCCATGATAACGCCCGCTCCGAATCCTAGATTACATGCAGTCTCAATTTGTTTGATAATAATTCCGCGCAACCATTGTTTAATCGCCATTCAGACTGGCGTACTGAACTTCGCCTGATCCGGGCGGAGGTGCAACAACGTGAGCTTGAGCCTTCTCCTGGGTAGCATTGTCTCCCGCGCCCGCAATAGCTCGTCGATCTGGCTGTTTGCCCTTGTTGACTGACCCCACGGCCTGGCGGCCCTCGCGGGCATTATTCATCCTCTCCTCTCGGTCCAAGTTATCCAAGGGCTTGGGCTTTCCCCAGCGAACGCGCAGAGGGCAGCCCTGGATAATGGCCTTGCCTTGACAGTGGTGTGCGGCGGTTTCGGCATCCGCGCGATTGACATAGTTGATGAATGCGCAGTGGGAGCGGTGAGAGCAGATCAGCGACCGAAGCTGGCCGAATTCACTGAAGAATGTGCGTAGTGCATGTTCAGGGAGATCGTCTTCAACACCTGTAATGAACAACGAAGTGATGTTGGGGTCTGAAGGTGGCAGAATATCCGCAGGCGAAGGAGGCAATTGAGTGGTACTGGGGAATGGGCGGCCACCTCGGCCACCACCTCGCCCCCCACGGCCTGGCAGTCGGTTGCCGGTGCGGCTTTCACTCGTGCGAATCGGACCTGGCCCGTTTCCATAGCGGCTGTTTGTTCGTGGTTGGTCTGTTGATGTAGATTCCTCACGTTCCTCCCCTTCGGCAGGTGCTTCGATCCGTCGAGGCTTGCGGTAATATGGCTCACTGTTTGCGAGGCGGCGCAACAGCTCGCGAGCCTTGTCGTCTGTTTTCTCGTATTCTTCGATTGCACCACGGCCTTCTTCGATCTCCTTTTCGTTATTCTGCGCATAGTACTCGCGGTTGATGGAACTCTCAGGTCCAGGGGCGACCATCTTAAGGGCGGCATCACGGACGACGATGGGAAGACCGAACGAAAGATCCAGCATGCAGCACTGACAGCAGTTCTTCAGGCGCGCGCAAGTCAGACAAATGATGGATCGCTTCTGACGAGAAGTCCGATCGGCTTTCCAGCGGAAGACAGTGAAGGGGCGCGTGCACTAAATAGTCAGTATTCGATCATAGCTGAGCTTTAGGGTCCAAATTATGACTTACAATCTTGCATTCTGCGCCATGGTCTTCCTTAATCATCTGCACGTACGGATTCTCGGGAAGGCAGTTCTCGCAAACGGATGGGAAATCAGTCGACTCCCAGCCGGAGCGGTTAAGATCATGCTTGATCTGTGGAGGCATGACGGATAGTATGAAGCTGATCCGAGAAGTGAGAGAGCTCGGATTATCAAGATCGATAGAAGTGGCGTGTCCCGGGTGGCTATTGTGGCTCAATAGTCACGTGCTACGTGGCTCAGCTCCCGGTCAGGCCACCCTTCTCTTTTCTCTCGGGAGCAGCAGCCTCCGGTGACCCGCTCGGAAAAATGAAAATACGAGAGAAGTGTGGCCACTCCAGAAAATTCCCCCTGGGCGAACGATCTAGTCGCTCGGAACAAACCCCTGATTGGTTCCGGACTCCAGATTGTCAAAAAGTTGCTTGGGGTTCGACTCTTATTTATTTCCCCTTTCTTTCTGCTCCTCCAGTCGCAATTCATTCGCTTCACTCTCTTCACTTCTAATTTGCGGTATATCCAGTTCATTTGGTATACATCGTCTTTAATTGACCCTCTATTACTCCTTCAACAATCTACCCCTTTTAATCTTTTGCGACTCATTCTTCAACATGGCTCCTTCTATATTGTCATTGGAACGTGAGGACAAGGAGCGTGATGCTGCCTTCAACAAGGCCATGCACGGCAAATCGGCTAAGGCCCAGGGTGGTCTCACTGCCTTGCGCCAAAAGGACGCCGCTGCGCAGAAGGCTGCTGTCGACGAGTACTTCAAGCACTGGGATAACAAGGATGCCGTCACTGAGACAGCCGAGACCCGTGAGGTATGGTGGTACACACTCGAGCCAAATGAGATTTATCGCTAACGAACTATGTGTGATAGGCTCGCAAGGCTGAATATGCTACCTTGACCCGACAGTAAGTTCCGAAACATACCCCTCGATCGGCGCTTCTTAGACTAATAATTTACAGCTACTACAACCTGGCGACCGACTTCTACGAGTACGGATGGGGCTCCTCCTTCCACTTCTGCCGCTTCGCCTACGGTGAGCCTTTCCACCAGGCCATTGCCCGCCACGAACACTACCTTGCCCTCCAGGCTGGTATCACGGAGGACATGAAGGTTCTGGATGTTGGCTGTGGTGTCGGTGGTCCCGCCCGCGAGATGGTCAAGTTCACAGGTGCTCACGTCACTGGATTGAACAACAACGACTACCAAATCGACCGCGCCACCCACTACGCCGAGAAGCAGGGTCTCTCAGACAAGATGGCCTTCGTCAAGGGCGATTTCATGCAAATGAACTTCCCCGACAACACCTTCGATGCCGTGTATGCTATTGAGGCTACCGTTCACGCCCCCGAGCTGGTCGGTGTCTACAGCGAGATCTTCCGTGTCCTGAAGCCCGGTGGTACCTTCGCTGTGTACGAGTGGCTCATGACCGACGAGTACAACAACGATGACCCCGAACACCGTCGCATTCGTCTCGGTATCGAGCAGGGTGACGGTATCTCCAACATGGTCCGCATCTCCGAGGGTCTCGAGGCCATGAAGAACGCTGGCTTCACATTGAAGCACCACGAGGATCTCGCTGCTCGTCCCGATGCCATTCCCTGGTACTACCCGCTGGCGGGCTCTTTCAAGCACATGGCTTCGGCTTGGGATTTCTTCACCATCGCCCGCATGACCTGGTGGGGCCGCGGCATTGCCCACCGTTTTGTCGGCGCGGGTGAGAAGATCGGTCTCTTCCCTAAGGGTTCCCAAAAGACTGCTGACAGCTTGGCCTTGGCTGCTGACTGTCTGGTTGAGGGTGCCCAGAAGAACCTCTTCACCCCCATGTACCTCATGGTCGGCAAGAAGCCCGAGTAAATGTTACGGAACAACGGTGTTTGTGGTTTTTCTGTGTAAAATATTACCCCCAAAGCGTGCAGCTCATCCCTGGTGCCCATCATATTTTTCCTTGTCTCTTCGCGCTTTATTTTTTCACGTTACCTTCCGCATCTCACCAGGGAGTTTGTTCTTGGCTCGAATCTAGCCCTATGTTGGTAGAGAACGAGCCGCGTGCCGCTTTCTCCTAATCGATGGCGTTCATTAATTGTTCTTCTCTGTTTCTTTTACCTGTCAAGATATCTATGTAATGGTCATTGAGTCAAGAATAACGAGCAATGCATTGGTATGTTTCCGGGCCTTGACGTGTTGTAACTATTCACAACCCACCAACGCAGTATTACCTATTACTGAGCTCGTTGCAACTTACTTTGGTCTGCCATATTCTGCCCTTGATCAAGATAGACACTAGAAGACGACCGGACATGAGTACATAGTCTTCATTCGGTCAGACTGAAACCAAATCGGGAACGAAAGATGTCATCTCTGTTTAGTATACACATGCAAGCTCTAGAAATTCTTTGGTCAACTGACTCATGAAGAATTGTGCCATGGCCTCCTTTCCATAACTCGAGATCCAGAAGCGGTTCTGAACACAGAAGTCGACGAGGGCATTGGATGCAGCGACAGCGGGTCTGCGACATTAATATCCTGCCTGCAGTGTTCTTTAATCCAAGGCCGGAGATTATACACCGCACCACAGATAAATATGCCGATCCAAAGTGTCAGTTCCGTCCCGTAGATTACGATCCCGAGGACGTCAATCGGGGGTCCAAACACTGCACACACGTTAGTTCCTGATCACCTCCGCGAGAAACCAGTTGACCTACAAACAGACACAAGAGAAAATAAATCCCCAGCCGCATCAATCCCAACAAAGATGAAACTGATTCCCCGAACAGTCCGGTGGACATAGATGTCCCAGTAGTGTCTCAATACACCCGCAGCAAGGAGAGATGCACTCAAAACAGCCATCAGAATAAGAGGCCATTCCAGTCCGCGGTTTTTAGCAGCCCTCAAGCCAAAAATTAGTCCGGCTTCAATCCCACCTAAGAGCAGGAGAAGCGAGGTGACAGCGACGCAACATTTCACGATTCGGTATTTCTGGATCATGGTGAGTTTACGAGCCTCAGGTTGCATGGTGATAGGGAAGAGATCACCTTTCCATAGTAGAGACACTGGGCCCAGGTAAGGAGGCTGAGAGTCGTCAGGATCTGAGGTTGGATCCTTAATGCAATGTTGAATTCTTCGACGATATTGTACACTCCGAGAGGAACTCCTGCAACGGCCCAGAGGAGCATCATTGACCCTTGTAGCCCTTCGGTGTCATGTCTCCTGTAGTTTATGATTATTTGGGGAAGTAGCTGGACGGTGGAATTAGTACGAACTACGGAGTTACTAAGGGGCGTTGGCGATCGCTTACTTGGATGGACCAGCAGACCTAAGCAGCATGGTTAGTTTGAGTAGTCTTCAGAGGAGGGGGAAACGGACTGCGCCTAGAGTACCGAGGACATTTTCTGCTACCCGGTTGTCCATTTGCAATGTTAACTCAAGGCCCAAGGGAGAAATCGAAGTTGGGCTTGACATGCATGAATCATGATGCATCTGATAAGAATCCGCGCCCGCAGATGTGGATCCGCTTTCTTAGGCTTTCATTGGTCTACTGGACTTTAAAGGCCATGAGCTCGAATCATTCTTCCAACTGATGTTGTGTCGACGGTAATGCTATTGCATCTTACGGATGTGCCACAGATATGCTGGAATAGTTTCTCGGCTTCGAGGGGGCACGTGTGTTCTATGAAGTCCACCATAAGAAGTCGGTCATTGCGATATCGAATTATGCATGCAAAAAGCGACCTCCGATTTGGGAATGGCTTTCGCATTTTCCATACTGTGTACAACTTTGAGTGGGATAGACTCATAAGCAATAGTTAATAGGCGAGGGAGAATTGGTGATTATGAATAGTTCATGACGGTTGACGTTTAAATTGCATAGTGAGTCTAGACTGCCACCGATAAGAATCGATGCCGATCGGAATTTAAACCCTGATTCGCTGAATCGATCTGAGAGTGGTGGTAACTAGCGAAACCACCTGGGGACCACAGTAAGGTTCTGACAGCCTCCGAATCACCGAGTCCGTTGAATATGAAACATTCGGAGTCTCAAAATAAAAGGAATTTGAGATCAAACGCCCCTCCCTGGATTGATCGAAGGGGTAGAAGAATCCTCCGCCGATCGAAGGAAGATTCGAGTGTCGATCAGCCATATGGTTGCCACCTGCAACACCAGAATTTTCACGTTCAGCCACCAGAATATATTAAGCTCATGAAGGTCGCCACATGGCCCGAAATAGAACAATTATCCCAACCGATGAACCGACGATAATGATCAGGACTCGGCAGATTTGAAAATTCAATGGAGGGTTCCTGGGTTCCTGGAGTTTACGTATGCGTCTGCGTAAGTCGTGAGGCCCCGTGCCCCCACCTTTTCCCCAAATCAGCTTAGAGCATCTGTGCGGGATGATATCATTAGGAAAACCGTTTGGCCGTTGTCGGGGTATTCCGCTCACATTGTCATTATACATACGGAGTACGGAGTACAGACTATGGAGTAGTACACAGTAGGAGTTGGAGTATTTGATTGTTTTGAGTGGAGAAAGAGGGGAGGATATGTGCATGGCTGGGAAAGAGGGGAGACTGTTGACGTACACGCAATGGGCACTGCCAAGCATCTTATCTCTGAAAACATCAACCACGGAATCTCCTAAAATGGATCGGCCATTCGGCCCCAAATTCAGCACCTTATTTAAATTAAACACTTTCCCCTGTCAGATTTTCAAACCTTTTTAAAAAGCTAGAACCCCCGCTATTCTATCGTTTCTGTTTGCGCTTCGCTTTGTCTTCTATCCAACTCTCTGCCTTATCAGCTGCGATAGTCCACACTCGTTTTCTCACCACCGCCATGTTCTCTACCACCCTCCGCGTGTGCCTCCTGGCCGCTATCCTATTCGTCAACCTATCCTCCGCCTTCCCTCTCATCGGCCGCGACGTACAATGGTCCTTCACCCTCTTCCCGTCACCCTCATGCAATGGGACAATCGGTGACCCCCACGCCGGATCTGGCAGCACTGGCTGTCGCGCCGACCTTCACAGTGTCGCCTCCGCATACACACTGAACACTATCGCTCAAGGATGTCGCATCGAGTTCTTTGACAACACCATGTGCGACGCAGAGGAGCTCTCCGATGTCGCTGCGCAAGTCACCGCTGCCCACACCTGTCGCGTGCCTGAAGCACGACGTCGCTACGGTTCATACCAAGTTACCTGCGAGTAAAACACTTGCCATGCCTTCTTTCGACATCACTGTGTCAATCAGCCCTGTTTGAAAAGCTGATAATCTGCGTTGCTCTTGCATTCCGGGCGAACTTTGTTTTTTTGGATGTCTACCAGATACCGCTTTGGGTCTTTGGTAGACGGAGATTGCTGTATAGACTTTTTAATGATACCCACCACAATATAGATTAATGGAATGAATTTACGATTGTCAAATCTTTGCACGCCATGGCTATAATGTTTTTGATTGGATCATTGATCCACGGCTTGTCACTCTGCGGCGATCGCTGTGGTCTGCGGGTTATGAACGTGGAACGGGCGGTTTGCGTCCACTTGAGGGCGTATCCATTGCGACATCAAATGGGTCAAACAATACCCGGTACCATGTGGCACATATCCGACACCACATTTGGATGCCAATCAATCACGGCACACATACGCACCAGCGCCTGCAATTACAAGGTTGGTTTGCCCTAATGAAACGGAGACGCGCAATGGCGCGTAATTTGATACACACGGGTGTTATGGGTGTGATGAGTTCACGCCACATGCGCAGGAAATTTGAGGACTTCTTATTGGTGAACGCGACGGGAATAAATCCCCCCAGCTTGCTGGGGACTCTATGTGCCTGATGGTTATCGGCAAACTGGTCCATTGGAGACCGACATTACACAATGGATGTCTAGACTCTAGAAAGCGTCAGAGACTTTCCAGCTTCATAGTCCAACTGATGCTCAGCTAGGTGGCAAATCATCAAAGCCGTGCTCGGAGTTAAGGCAGGAATTTCCTAAAATGGACACATCCCGAGGGGAAGTATGACGCCGGAAGCGGACTCCTGGCGGATGTAATATCAGCCTACAGGCTACTTGCTGTATTCCATAGCTGTTCACCACCTTCACGACTTTCAATCATGGCGACAAAAGGAGAGTCAATAATAGATGACGATAGCCCACCCGCGGCTGTGTCATTCTTCCATCCGTCCCTCAAGGAGGTTCGGAAGCAAGTGTTCTATCACTGGACTCGCACCTGTAAGTGAAAAGCTTGATCGCGGAATGCAAGGGATAGGCCCTAAATTCGCTCGACAGTGTTCATTTTATGCCTCTTTGTGTTTTGCGTACTATCTATCTTCTGGGGATCACAGTATGGCACAGAAAGCAACTTCCCCGCACTCAAAGTCTGGATCGTCGACTTTGACGGCCAAGTTGACCCCTACAAAGAAAGCGACCCTGTAGTCGGCCCGTCGGTCATCAATGTCGCCAACCAGATCCTCCAATCTGACGGTATTAACCTCGGCTACATTATCAAGTCTCCCGCCGACTTCGACTATGATCCTTGGGCCGTGCGTCAGGGCATCTACGATGAGCATGCATATGCTGCTGTGGTAGTCCAACCCAATGCAACTAGCTTGCTCCGACATGCTGTCTCTAGCGGCAATGCGACGTACGATCCAACGGGCGCAGTCCAGACGGTGATCATCTCCGCCCGTGATGAAACATCTTATTTCACCTATATCCTCCCTGAGCTTGCAGTCTTCCAGGGCCTGGTGGTGGCAGACTTCGGTCCGCAGTGGGCTCGTCAGCTAGTCTCATCAGACACAAACCTGTCAAATGCAGCCCCGCAGGCGATTAACCCAGGCATTGGCTTCACAACCATCGACCTCCGTCCGTTTGGCCCAGCTGTCGCTGCACCTGCCGTGACAATCGGTCTAATCTACCTAATCATTATTTCATTCTTCAACTTCCCATTCCTGATGCCAGTCCATGCTCGGTTTATGAAACCCGATGTCAGACCGCCGCTGAAGATACCGCATTTGATGATTTGGCGCATTGTGTCGAGTATATTGGCATACTTCTTTCTCTCGCTCTTTTATTCCCTGGTATCTCTGGCCTTCCGGATCCCATTCAGCAATGACCCCGCGTCAGAAGTCATGCCAGCAAATAATCCCAATGCCTATGGCCATGGCTCGTTTGTTGTTTTCTGGATGCTAAACTGGGTGGGTATGGCTGCGCTGGGATTCCCATGTGAGAATATGGCCATGGTTCTTGGGTTCCCCTGGAGCTCTTTCTTCTTGATTTTCTGGGTTATCACGAACGTTGCTACCGCCTTCTATGCTATTGACCTGGCGCCAGGGTTTTATGCGTGGGGATATGCTTGGCCGTTGCATCGCAGTAAGTATATCTATCTTTCCCTTTCATGTTTGTGGTTGATCTGACTTTCTCGCTAGTTGTTGAGGCATTGCGGACGATCTTGTTCGATACTCATTCGCGCATTGGATTGGACTTTGCGATTTTGTTTATCTGGATTGCGGTCTCGTTGGCGTTCTTCCCATTTGCGACTTTCATCATGCAGTGGAAAATGAAGCGAGGAATATAGCCTGAGGGCGTGGCTAATAATGTGTCTATGGGTAGTGGCTGGTTCGGTCGGTATGTAAATGGGAGTTTGGTGTTCCAATTGCTATCTTCTATTAGTGTACATCTCAACTCTTCTATATACCTCAACAAAGAACCTAATCATGGAATGGACCAAATAAAGTGGAAGTTCGCAGAGATAAATTTGAAGCCTCAGCCCGTTGGGGAATGCTGGCTATATGTGATTGAGGGTTGAATTTATCATGATACTTGGGCCCGGATGTCAGCGGCTTTTTACTTCCTGGACAGATGTGTGAAGTATACCTATAGGAACATAAGGGCATCCGTGATGCATGCATGACATCTGGGGGCATTCAAGCAGCCCAGTGGATGGTTTACTAGTCACTGAACAGGTGAACCTGTAAGTTCGAAGCACAGTCCACGGGTAGTCTACAACCTATGATTAATCTATACGTACTTGCCTTGTAACCCTAACCATGGCTTAGCTGTTCGTCCCTTCCGTGAATCTGTTGATTCTTCCAACCCCCCATGTGCTCAATTCCCAATCTCTAATTGGCCTGAACAGAATGTTTCAACGCTCGCTTGCTCGATTGTCCAGCCGCACCTGCCGGTCATGCAGGTACTTCTCAGCCCCATGAGTATAGCGTATGCTTCAGGTACCTGTCGGACATACTTATTCCATGGGGTGTAACTGTCATGATATATCACCGGCTTACTCCTGGAAACACTGGAGTATTTATTAAACGCGCAGTCACTGGTCGGTTTCTTCTTTCTCTCTCCTTCTTTCTTCTCCCATCACCCCCGGAATCTCGCTGGCAGACCCGAACTGTTCGCCCTCTCAAAGAGTCTCCATTCGAAGACTGACCCATTTTCGTACTGTGACCCATCTCATACTTTCTACTTTACAATCATCCTGGAAGATGGACTAACGCGGCCAGCATTTAGAACACGATTTCCGCTCACGAGGTGATTCGTGTGCGCTTCGCTACTATGAGCCCAATGTCCGAGCCTACCTTGCTGCAAGATGCCTATGAATGTCGCCGTCGCGCACTTGCTCAGGTTGATAGCGCTTCCTTCAGCTGGTTTCACCTTCGCACTGTTGTCGTTGCCGGAGTTGGCTTCTTCACTGACTCATACGATATCTTTGCCATTAATTTGGCAGTGAGCATGCTGGGTGTTGTCTACTGGCAGGGTGCAAGCCATGGCCCGGGTAAAATCCCCTCCAGCTCCGACACTGCCATCAAGGTTGCCACCTCTGGCGGTACTGTGATCGGACAACTCTTTTTCGGCTGGCTCGCAGATCGCATTGGCCGCCGTCGCATGTATGGAATTGAGCTCATGGTCATCATTCTTTCTGTGCTAGCTCAGGCTTTGGCCTCTGACTCCCGTGCCATTTCAATCACTGGTCTTCTGGTGTTCTGGCGCGTTGTCATGGGTCTAGGCATTGGGGGTGACTATCCACTCTCGTCTGTCATTACTGCGGAGTGAGTGCGTCCTCCACATATCGGAAGCGTTGATTGCTAATTGACTGCCTAGGTTTGCTACTACCAAGTGGCGGGGTGCCATGATGGGAGCTGTCTTTGCAATGCAGGGCTTTGGCCAGTTTGCTGCAGCTGTCGTCGCCCTGATTGTCACAGCTGGCTTCAAGGAATCCCTCCAAAATGCCAAAGATGTTGCTCACTGTACCGGTGTTTGCCAGCTTGCCGTCGACAAGATGTGGCGTGTTGTTATTGGATTTGGAGCCGTTCCAGCCTGCTTTGCACTGTATTATCGGCTCACTATCCCGGAGACCCCCCGCTTCACCTTTGACGTTGCCCATGATTTGGTCAAAGCAGACGAAGATGTCCGTGCCTATTTGAAGGGTCTGAGTGAAGAATCTCTTGATTTAGTCCAGCGTCCCAATCATATGCGGAATATTGAGTTTCAGCCCAAGGCTACCTGGTCTGATTTCTGGCGTCACTACTCTCAATGGAAACACGGAAAAGTTCTTCTTGGTACTGCTGCATCCTGGTTCTTCCTTGATGTTGGTATGTTTCCCAACCCATCCACTCTGCCCGTGAGCTAACCTTTCTTGAGCCTTTTACGGTCTTGGTTTGAACAACTCTGTGATTCTCGCGGCTATCGGATGGACTGGAGGAAAGAACGTCTATGAGATCTTCTACCGCAACGCCGTGGGAAACCTCATCTTGATCTGTGCTGGTGCGATCCCTGGATACTGGGTTACCGTTGCAACGGTTGATACTCTCGGACGCAAGACTATCCAACTCGTTGGGTTTGCCGTCTTGACAATCCTATTTGTGGCAATTGGATTCGGCTACGACAACCTGAAGCACACTCACCATGGGTTGTTGGCTCTCTATGTCGTAGCCCAGTTCTTCTTTAACTTTGGCCCCAATGCAACTACCTTCATTGTCCCGGGCGAGTGCTTTCCGACCCGTTATCGATCCACCTGTCACGGCATCAGTGCTGCGTCTGGCAAGGTCGGCGCCATCATCGCCCAGTGTGTCTTCGGTCCCCTCGTTCATCGAGGTGCAAAGAAGCCCGATGAGTCGCCGTGGCTGAACCATGTTATGCAAATTTTCTCCTTGTTCATGCTCTGTGGTTTCTTCACTACCTGGCTGATTCCGGAGACCAAGCGCCAAACCCTTGAAGCCCTCTCTGGCGAGTCTGACCATCCTTCTGCCCGGTACTCGGTGGCCTCGGACGACACCAAGCATGATGCAGTTGCGGCCATTACTTCTACTACCCCGACTGCCATGACCAGCACCACTGTCTAGAAGCATTGCAAGGCTTTCAGACAGAGGCACCGTGAACAGGAGGTTCTTCTTCCTTCGGTGTGGGTCGATATCAGTGATATGTGATCTGATATCAGAGGTGGGGGCTCTGTTTCTTTCTTTTTTCGTAAGCTTGCAAATGGTGCCATGTATCCACGTAATCTTAATCTGTGGGCAGTGACTCTCACTGCAACATGTCCATTCTGTTTACGCAGATGCACTTGAATAGCTAATCAAATGATATTTCCCTTTATGGTCTTCTCGTGTAGCTGTAGTGTGGAATTTACGCTTAACGTACTTGGTCTTGTCACTGTGTATGTGGTCCCCTAAAGCCGTAGGCTCTCCTTCCCCCTACCATCACGTACACTTAGGGTTCCGATCTCCCAGTATGGGCTGGTTGTCTTTTACACAGTAAGATCAAAGAGATCGAAGACTATCTGAGATCTATGCTACGCTAATTAAATTATAACCGAGTGTCTTGGCCAGTTCTTTGTAATTTTATCTACACAAATAGCTAGGTTTGATGTCAACAATAGAACATTGCATTGTCACTCGAAGCACCTTGTCAGTGTACAAAGTAGTGTAGTAGTTTTCTCAACCTTCTAAGGTTCTTTGATAGGGCTTACATCGGCGTGGACCACAATGGTATTTGTTAGCAGTGCCTTTATTCTTCTCTTTCAGTCCTCGAACTTGATGATATGCTTGTCCTTTGTCCTTGACATCCTACTTTATACACTTGAAGCCATTGTTCGGTATCTTTGTCCTACCTGCGCCGATGATAGCTAAATCTATTTTGGGCTCTCTCATCTTTTCAAGGACTAGGGGTCATTCGAAGCAATCGGAAAAGCTATATAACCAGGCCTGTGCCCGTACGTCTCTTGTTCTCCAGTTTAACTTCATCTACCAGAACAACAGCACACCATATTATACTTACCGACGTTGCTTTTAGTCTTGCAATACTACTCCACATACTACACTATATCCATATCTGAAATCGACCATAACAATGGCTTGCGTTTGCCACAGTGTGCCGTGTACCTGCGGGGGCAGCTCCGGTGAGTCTGAAGATGAGCTCCTAGGGACAGGGCCAGCTCAAACTGATGGTTCCTCAGACGAGTACATGTCAGAAGAGAACATCTCAGAGGAGTACATCCCAGGAGAAACTGATGATTCACATCCCAGAGGAAGACATCTCAGAGGAGGGTACCTCAGAGGAGGGCACCTCAGAAGAGAACATCTCAGAAGAGGGCATGGAGGTGAGGACATGGAAGATGATTTGGAAGAAATACCTTCGGACGAACAGATTGCAGGATACCGAAGAAGAGGAGCTGAACTTCAAAGGTGGATAGATGACCCCAACGCCGAAGGCTGTGCTGTTGCCCAAGCAACTCTAACAATGGACCAGCTGATCAACAACAGAAACCCGAACGATAATTTCACTGTCACCGAAGACGAACAGGTGAGCTCCGTTGATGAACTTCCAGAGACAGCGCGCATAATGATGGGTCTCCCGAGCTCGGACAATGGTGACCACTTCCGGTATATGCGTATACACCGGTATGGCGCAAATTTCGCAGTCGGTAGATTGCCAGATATGAACAGTTATCAGATGACGATTGGAGATGGCTTCATTGGTTGTCACTTAATACATAGGCGCAATGGCCCTCATTGCAATGAAATCATTAGGGCTTTCTACCAACAAGATTACGCCATCGACACTTTGGAAAACATTGCCTTCATGGGTGTCGTCAATGCAGAGACGGCACCACTTGTCATGAATGTACACTATCCCAGCAGAGGCATAGAATTCGCAACCGTGGAAGCCGACGAAAACCCCCAGGTCTGGTCACATGGTACTCCCGAGTACCAGGAGATACTCGGCACAGCAATCGGCAAAACGGTGGCCTATTTCGTCTTGTCTTGTTTCCAGAGAGGTACAAGACCAATCTCTCGGATCCTAACTTGGAGTGAGGATAACTCGCTGTGCATGGTTTTTGAGATTGGAAGGACCGGCTGATGTGCTCAGAGTTGCGGCGTAGCTTAGCTCCTGTGGCTGCTGAGATATCAACGCTTACCAGGTATGTCATTCTCCCTAGGTGATTAAAGAACTTTGATTTGTGTTAGAAGAGTTGGTTGATGGTTGATACCTACCTGTCGGGAACCTTGTGTATTCCCTGATGGAATTGAGCCGGCAATTTTAGGTAGTATATAAGGTAGGTTTCGACTTTTGTTAGAGACAGGTAGGTATAACGAAAGGTTGAGTATCCATAGGTTCCAATGAAATTGCTTTCGAGTATGGCCTGAAGATCGTCATCATGTATATTGTTAGGTACTTACATGACCTTGGTACATAGGAGTGAATAAGAGAGGGGTTGCTTGTGGTCTTAAATAGAATTTCATAGCACCCAACGACAAGCTTCTATGCAGGCTGACTGCAGTTGCCGGCCGACGTAATGGGTATTTAAGCGACCGGGTTGCCCCATTATCTTATCGAGGTCGCTCTATTTTCCTACTAGCCCTACGACCAACCCAGCACAATACTAAAGTCTTCTTCCTCCCCTATGGATATCCGGCTTCTCCCAGAAGCGGAACTCACCAACCGTGGCGGGTTCCCTATTCCTTGTGGAACGGCAACAGCCATAATTGAGAAATTGCGTTCTTTGTGCGCCGATAATAATATCCAAGGATTTCAGAAGGCGATGTACTCTGAGATTCTCGATGTAGCGGACCTTCACGATGTGATGATGGAAGCAATTCAACTTGACCGAGTCGAATTCGTTTCAACACTTCTCTCTCATGGCTTCCTGATAAAGCCTTCTTTTGCTCGAAAGGCAACATTATGCAAGGCGAAGCGCGTTCTCGAATGTTTTCTCGGAGCTGGATGGGACATAAATGAGCCAGTTGATGTTTTAATACCTCCTGTACTTTGGTATGTTGGTTCCGCTACCCGAAAAGACAATCCAATGACAAGAGATCTATTGTTTTAGCTTCGCGGTAACAGACGCCGAGATGACCAGTTGGTTTCTGCAACATGGTGCGAACCCGAATACGCGATGCGAGGTAGACTGCACCCCGTTGTCCTATGCTGTTCGAAATGCACCTCTGAGTGTCATCGAACTACTGCTAGACCGTGGAGGGGATGTGGGGAAAGGACAACTTCTTCAGTATGCCGTTTGTCGAGACGAGGAGGTTGAAGATGTCATTTCCCTGCTCGTCGAAAGAGGTGCCCCTTTGAACGCGACAATGTGTCAGGATGGCCCGACATTGAAGATAGGAATGAATTGAGACAAATCACAACACTATAACCTATCTTCTTTCAAGTACGTCCGAAAATGATCGATCGATTCAAATAGCTAGGCAGCTGGGAACGAGAATAATCAACACGAATGTGACAATAGGCTAATCTGTAGAAAAAACAGCGTCCGTGTAGCTGTAGTTTGGAATTTCACCATCTCGTATACTCAGAAGATTATGAACTCATTTTCACCGGGCTTATACCGTGCGACTGGAAATACTGAGACACTAGATATGGGCCCGGACTTAAGTTTTAGTAAGTATCTGGTAGTTAGATTGCGTGGGAAGTGGTCATAGGGTTCGCCAACATCTCTTGTGTACCTGCCATTTTCCTCCTGGCTTTACTTGTTCACCTTCCTGCACCGATCAGCTCATCACCTGTCTCTCACTTTGCTATTTCTTCTCGCAGACACACCAGCTTTATCCTGTACTATTTCGCCTTCCACAACACCCATATAAAATGGCGCGTGTGGTTGAAACTCCTCATCCTCCGGATGACATGACCACCGCAAAACTGAACAAAACAAACATTGATCAGGCTAAAGCCAACGACGACGACGCGTTTCCAACCATCAAGACACACGTCTTGGAGCCACCCATACCCCTCCCGCCATGCCTCAACCTAGCAACCGAGGACTCCGAGATCGTGGCCGCATTGAAGCTCATCGCTGCCTCCGTCGCCCAGCAGCGCCAGCAAGTCGCTAAACATCTCATCTTCCACACACTCTTCCTCGTCCCCATTGCAGCTATCATTCTCTTGGCAAACAAGGCTATTTACGAAGACCCATCTAGCTGGCTTTATACCATCGTGCAGGCCGCTACCGCACTCTCAATGGTTCTACTCATCCTCAAGCGCCTGGTAGACGGATACCTCGACGAGGCTACCGGAGTCGGTACTCTCAAATGGCTTTACGGGCATGATCCGAGCAGCGAAGCAAACCGTGACAATGAGCAGACCGACCCCGCCTTACCCTCAGAGAACGGAGGAACATTCGTGCTGGTCTACCGCTTCAAAAAGCGCATCATCGGCGCCCTAGTCTTGAGCACTGTCAGCCGTGTCGACAACCCAGATACCCATGCATCGGCCCACTCAACCGCCAAGACCAAGACCTACGAGGCCTTCATTCGAGCATGGACAGTCCAATCGGCTTTCCGGAGCTGCGGCGTCGGTGGGGAACTGTTGAACACAGCCGTGCAACTTTGTCACTGGAAGGGATGGCAGGGTCCGCGGTTCGCAAATGCGCACGCGAACTCGCTGCGTGTTCTCCCCCGTTCCTTTCATGGAAACATGGATAGAGAATCTGAATTGTGGTCATCGTACTTGCGGGCGCGGATTGAAGCGAACACGCGGGTCTGGGTGAGATGGGAGGTGTATGATCATCTTGCATCAACGGATGACATGCTGAGTGGAGCGATTCCTGGCGATGGGAAAGAGCAAGCTGGGGATAAAGCGGTATTAGAATTACGAAAGCATTTTGATGCTATTGGCAGGGAGAGGATCGAACTTGAACTTTTGAAGGCTGTCGAAGCTCAAAATCGTTGGAGCGCGGTTCCATGTGTGAAGAATATTCTGGATATCTGATCGCCCGTTCTGTTAGAACACTGGGGACAGGATTTCTAGGTATGGAGTTTGACTGTGTTCCATTTATCTGGGGCTCGGAACTTGTTCAATGCTTTCTGGATAGTTCTTACAAGTGGAAATTTGATTGAACATTATGATTAAGATACTACTAGGACATGACCAGGCTTATCGTGCGACTAGAAGTAACTTCCAGGTTTAGGGGGAGGGTTAAGTAGTGGGAACCTGCCGATTGGGACTTTCAGTAGTGTTGATGGGCTTATCTTCACCTTAGGAGGGAAGTCATGCTCAATAAGTGCTTGTTATTGACGGGACACTGGTATTTGGGGTTGTCTGGAGTCTCAGGTGTTGAGATTTGACTATGGTTGGAGTACTGAAACTCTCGGAAGATATTATTCCACGGCAGACTACTCCGTAGATCAGGGTAGTGGTAGTAGCCCGTGTATCCCGTGCCAAGAGGAACTAGAGAAGCCGAGAGGGTTATCAACTTCAAGCAATCAGGTGGTAAACTATAAACGAACCCGGCCTAGTCAAAAACATAGACGAATTCTAAGCCCAACAGTTGCTCTATGTCGAAAATGCTGGGCCACGTGCCCGTCTATGCCCTGGTTTTTTCGTTACAGTCCCATAGAACACACGAAAGGGGCAGGGGCAGGGGCAACCTTGAATCCTTGATCACGGCACATGACATCTCATCATTCACATCCACCGTTCAAAATGTTTCTAATCAATGACTCACTGTCTAACGAAAAAGGTATGCGAAATTGATATCGAACAGATCGTATGTCATGTGCTCAACACGACGAGAACGATCGAGAATAATCTCCGCCAAGCGAAGTATGCGAAGCATCTACAATGATGAATCATGATTGGTACACTCCATGCCCGTTTACCCGCAAAATTCCCCGGCTACTCCGGATTCGGTGTTCCAACCCATTTAGGAGGTCGCTTCCATAGTTACCCACACCCCGGTCGAAGCCTGGCAGCTTAGTGGTGGGTCGCATTGAGTTCAAGGTCGAGGCCACGAGGGTTAGACCGGCTAAATCGATCAATTCAACCGCTTCGGAAAGTACTCGGGGGCTCGGCTTGTGGGGAAATGAGCGATATTCTAGGAAGACATAGAATTTCCTCGAATTCTCTCGTTAGGACGGGCTGTGGTTCGGAGTTCCAGCAGACATCAGATGTCAAGATAAATTTCCCCAGAAATGTTGTGCCGTTTACGCTCACCGGCATCCGGGAGAAGGTTCATCTCCAGGTTTTCAAAGGCGTGGGGACCCCGGGTCTCCACTCACGATACCCGAGTTCCTACCCGAAGCAATCTCCCTTTTCACCAGCGGCAGATATCGACTTCTACAATGTCCCCGGCTGAATTGAAGGATCCAATAGTGAAAGAAAAGAGTAAGGAAATTAATTTGACCACTTGGAAGACAACCAGTGATTGGTCCACTGGTTCTACCACCAGGAAACCCCATTTATCCACCTTTCAGAAACCTTGGCCAAGCACCACCGGCTAAATCCTGCGACTTGGAACGCTCGTGGTCGCGCACGGCCCATAAGCAAGCCCAATCGTGACCACTGACGGTAGTGCAGCCCAAGCCACGCTAGTCGAGCCTTTCCCGTCTCATTGCAGAGCCGAAACTGTCCAACGGGAGATGAGGACACGCCACGAAGCTTGGCTATTATGGGCTGACCGGGCTTGCTAGTCTATGACCCCAAGTTTCAAATTCGAAGACCCCATGGGGCTAATGTTGCCCGGCAAACTCGGGTCGCTTGGAGCTGATTATCCGTAGCTACCGGGATAAATAAATACTCGCAGATCCCCGGTCAGGAGGTAAGACGCGCAGGCATTTCTCCGGATTTTGCTACCGATCGATACCTTTTGCCCCGTCCGGAGTCCAGGCGTGTAATACCCTCACTCCTTTTTGTTGGTCCCTATCACAATACACAATGGTGGCTGTCCTCGCGGGAGAGTCGGCCATTTCGGCCAAGCGCGCTGAGCTCTCTGGCAAGAATGGCATCAGCGGTCTGCTCAGTAACAAGAAGACCACAGCCATTGGTCTTTTCGCGTCGCTGGGAGGTTTGGTGTATGGATGTAAGTCGACAAAATGATAGCGATGCTCCCCGACAATCCGAGACTGACTAGCTTCGTACAGATAACCAGGGAATGTTCGCCCAGGTCTTGACAATGCCGGCATTCCAGAAAGCTGTACGTTTTTAGCTTGAATATATCGTCGTGCGCCGCTGACCGTCTTCCCACAGACTCAAGATTACGCCAAAGAGACCGGTATTAAACAGGGTATGCTCACATCGATCCTCGAACTTGGTGCCTGGGTTGGAACGCTGGCAAACGGATATCTCGCCGATGCACTTGGCCGTCGTCTTACTGTTTTGGTTGCCGTGGCTGTCTTCTGCGTTGGTGTTATTGTCCAGGCTTGCACCCAGAGTCCCGACTATGTGTTTGGAGGTCGCTTCGTGACCGGTCTTGGTGTCGGTAGTTTGAGTATGGTTGTACCTCTGTATAACGCTGAGCTGGTGAGTGATCCAGAGGCCCCGAACATGAAAATTACAAGATGCTAACGGGTATCAAAGGCTCCGCCAGAAATCCGTGGCTCGCTGGTTGCCGTCCAGCAACTCGCTATCACATTTGGAATCATGGTCTCCTTCTGGGTATGTCATGCAATTTTCTTTTCCCCTGCGAAACTTCCGTGTCCTAACGTTTCTAGATTGGTTATGGAACAAACTATATTGGTGGAACGGGGTCAACCCAGTCTGACGCCGCCTGGTTGGTCCCTGTTTGCATTCAAATCCTGCCCGCTGTCATCTTGGCCGTTGGTATGATGCTGTTCATGCCTCAGTCCCCACGTCATCTGATGAATACCGGCCGTGAGGAAGAGTGCCTGCAGACGCTCGCCCGCCTGCGTGGCGCAAGCACTGACGACCTGCTTGTTCGCATTGAGCACCTTGAAATCAAGAGCTTGTACCTCTTCGAGCGCGAGACTGCTGCCGAGAAGTACCCCCACTTGCAGGATGGCTCATTCTCCAGCAATTTCAAGATCGGAGTGTATGACTATATGTCCTTGATCACTGATAAGTCTCTCTTCAAGCGCACTGCAACTGCCGTATGTTTCACCTTCAACGTGTATCTGCCATGACAATTGCTGACGATATAATAGTGCATGATCATGGTTTTCCAACAATGGAATGGTATCAACGCTATTAACTACTACGCGTGAGTTCACCACCCTTGCGGAAGAGATAGACACACATGGTCGATCGCGTTCAATTCTCGAGTATGCCCGCTGACATCCTCGACAGTCCCTTCATCTTCAAGGACATGAACCTCGGCGGCAACACTATCGCTCTCCTCGCCACCGGTGTCGTTGGTATCTTCGAATTCGTCTTCACCATCCCTGCCGTCCTCTGGGTCGACAAGGTCGGACGTAAGAAGATCCTGATTGCCGGTGCCATCGGAATGGCTTCCTGCCACTTCATCGTTGCAGGTATCATCGGTGCTTACCAGCATACCTTTGACGAGCACAAAGCCGCCGGATGGGTTGCCATCGCCTTTGTCTGGATTTTCATCATCAACTTCGCCTATTCATGGGGTACGTGCAAGGTTCTCTCGCGGGATAAAAGACAACTGCTGACCATCGTTTCACTGCAGGACCTGTTGCATGGATTGTTACTTCCGAGGTATTCCCGCTCAGCATGCGTGCCAAGGGTGTCAGTATTGGTGGTTCCAGTAACTGGGTAAGTAGCGATATACATCCCCGTGTGGTTGGAAGTTTCTAACTCGGTTTCCTTTTGCAGCTGAACAACTTCGCCGTCGGTACCGCCACCTCTCCTTTCCTCCAGACCAGCAACTTCGGTGCTTTCATCTTCTTCGGAGCCATCACTACCATCGCTGTGTTCTATGTCATCTTCCTTGTCCCCGAGACTAAGGGTCGCACCCTCGAGGAGATGGATGAATTGTTCGGATCCGTTGGTCTCGCCGCTGCCGATACTGGACGCAAGGCCCGCATCGAAAGAGAGATCGGTCTTCTTGCCCTTGTCGGTGTGGAGGAGCCCGTTGATGAGAAGCACGGCGAGGTGTCGCAGCACACTGAGGCTGCTGCTCCTGCTTCTAAGGAGTAAAGGAATACCGGTCGGTCTTGAGCCTTGTTTCAATAGTGTGGAAGAGATTGCATCTTCCGTCAGTTTACAGGTCCGATTCGGCAGAGGTAGTGTTTTTATTTTAACTGTATAATCTCGATATTACTTACTTCCTTGCCTACGAGGTAGATATACCATTCATACAAATTTTACTTGATACTTGTCACATGCATCCGATCGCATACACTCGACCTGTCAGACAATAGAACATGGGAGAAATTTCCAAAAAGAGGGAAAAGCCAAGATACAAAGTTTTTCAGCTCACTATGTATAGAAAAGAGTGGGCCAAGACTTCACAAGAGGACCAGTCACATTCAACGTTAGGCAGTCATGTCTCACCTTTCTAACAAGAAACAAGAACTCGAAAACTTCCTTTGATTCAGTTCTTTTTAATTCCCTCCTTCTCCTCTTTGATCTCTTCTCTCTCACATATCTATTCCAACCCCTCGCCTACAGAAAACAAGCAAACCTCAACCATACCCTACATCCACACCACAACAACCACCAAAATGTCCACAACAACAACCTCAATGAGCCCAAGCAGCACCGCCTGCGGCGGCTCCGTCTGGCAAATCCCCACCACCGACGCCGCCTGCGCCGTCGTAGTCAGCGGCAACATGACCGAAGTCATGGACACCTGCTGCAAGACCAAACCCACCAAATACGACAACGACTGCGGCATCTACTGTCTCGCCCAGGGCCAGGACGTCAATAAACTGCAGTCCTGTCTCACCAGCAAGAGCGGCAACTACCACGACGTCTTCTGTAACGCAGCGCTCAATGCTACTGCGACTGCCACTTCCACTGCTTCCAGGACTTCCTCGGGTACTGGTACTGGCACTGGCACTGCTACCGAGTCGGCGGCTACTTCGACCTCGACGGATAATGCGGCTGTTGGCAAGTCGGTTTCTAAGTCGGGGCTTGGGCTTGTTGCGCTGCTTTTCGGGTCGGCTTTTATGGCTATGCTTTGAATGGGATTGACTCTTGAGTCTTCGGTGATTTTGAGGGGGAATTCATTGGGGGTTCCTTGTGATTCTTTTTTTATACTCCCTACGGCGAATAAGCGGTGATTGTGCATTTTCTTTTACTTTACATAATATGGCCATGGGTAACTAACTATCTTTGAGTGTAGGATAATGTTACTATATATTGGCATAATGGCATTAAGAAGGGGCTTGTTCAGCTTCTTTACGACTTTACGTTCAAATAATAATATTAACTAACTCAGCTATTGTACGCAAGTCCTGCATTAAGAGCATCTTCATGTGATCGACCAATGAGGAATCGCTTCACATTTGCTTCTTTCCCTTCTTCACGTGACTTTCACAACCGATCGGTGATAAGTTATCACCGGACAGGCAGACACCGATCGGCGATAAGCCGATAACTTATCACCGGTACACCGGGATCACTGGGTACATATGACGTGGTCGAGTTTACCCCGATCCTCAACTTGCTCCGACTGAACGAGAGACACTTCACTTCACACTTGCCAGTTGCCAGTGCAGCCAGTATTAAGTATTTCAATCAATCATATCAGACCAAAAGAAAAACATAATAACATCCACAAAATGTCCTCAATCGCCAAAACCGTCATCGCAACAGGCACCTCGTCTGGCCTGGTACTACACAACCTCCGCGAGACAATCAAATCTCATTATCTCCCACCAATCTAACATCTCTCCAGGGCTTCGAAGCAATCAAACAACTCCTCCAACAAACCCAACCCTACCGCTTCATCCTGGGCGCGCGAGACACAGAGAAGACGCGCCTGGCATACAAAGATCTAAACTTCGACACATCAAAGCACAGCGTCTCAATCCTACCACTGGACCTCCTAAACCTGAAAAGCGTGCAATCCTTCGCCAAACAAGCTCTCACCGAGCTGGGCCAGAAACCATTGAACTACTTGTTCCTCGTTGCGGGTCTGGCTTCGTCAGCCGAGGGACCGGGGCCGCATGGTTCGAAGTGGTGTGATGCTGCTGTTGTTAATCATCTAGGTATTTCTCCGATCTCAAGTTTACCACAGAGGAAACTGGAAAGAAGCGGTCGAGCTAATTATATTAAACTGTGGGAAAAACAGCTCAGCATTACCTAACCCACCAATTCGCTGAGACATTGACGACTTCGCGGTCGCGAATTGTCATCGTCTCTTCTGGTGCGATTCGGAATATTAGAGGTGGAGATACAAGTATGTCCCCCTCTCCCTTACCACCCAACTCCAGCCTGTATTATCACTGCGTACGGTATACTGATATCTCATAGACAACCTCGACAGCGACCTAAAAGCCAACTCCGGCGCAGAGGCACGCGTGGTATACAGCGGATCGAAATTCGTGCAGCTCCTGGGAGCGCACTACTGGCGTCGTAATCTGCCGGATTGTCGTGTTGTGGCTGTTTCGCCCGGTCTCATTCCTAATACCAAGCTCGCGCAGCATTCGAGCATGGGACTTAGTATGGATATGCCGGATGCCAAGACAGTGCCGGAGGGTGCGCAGAACATTCTGCGCGCGGTGACGACGGAGGAATTCCCGGCTGATCCGGAGCAGATCTTTTTGACTAGTTGGGGTGAGTGGTGGCCGAAGGATGTGTATTCATTGAGTCTTGATAAGGCTTTGCAGGATAAATGGTGTCCGAGTAAGGAGGAGATTGAGCAGTCGGAGCCGGTCTTCAAGGAGTGAGATAGTTTCTTGGAAGCTAGGTATGCCTGTGAATAGACAGGTACTCCGTACATAGTGCCTATATACCGAAATATCAAAGACACAATCGTAAATGATTATATTTGCAGATATAGGAGACATAGTCTATATGTATCTAGATGAAAAGCATACAAACCAGAAGAATTATTGATCTGACACTGAGCAAAACACCGTCTTAGCAAGCAGGGCGACCTACTCGGCATTCGCAAGCTTGCGCATAACACCAAAGTTAGGCGAACCAAGACCAGAAACAGGGTCCCAGCCCTTAGTAGCGTTCCAGCTAGCGTACGGAACAGTAGGCCCACCGTTCTTAGGACCGCCAAAGCGACCCTTGCCATCACAGCCGGTGCTAGCGCCATCAACAATGTCCTTCAAGCCGTCACGGCCAGCCGAGTACAGCCACGGGTTGAGGAAACCCATAGGGGCCTTGCCAGCCTTGATGCGGGCGTCATTGAGGAGAGCGATGATGCCAGCGAAAGCAGGTGCCGAGGCAGATGTGCCGTCGACACTCGTCAAGGAGCCTCGCGTGTAGATAGCGAAGTTTTGGCCTTGGGCGGTGACGTCGGGGAAAGCGCGGCCCTTGGGGTTGAAAAGTCCAGACCATTGGTTGCCCAGAGTCTCGAGGTACGAGCTCACGGCTTGCTCTTGCCACTCGGGGCGTTCCCAGAGATCGGAGAAGCCGCCGGATGAGAAGTACACGGCTTTCTCGGGGGCGGTGTGAGTGGTGGCTCCGACGGATGTCACCCACGGACAGGCTGCTGGGAATTGGGGTGGGAAGTGAGTTGCGTTTCTGCCGTCGTTGGTCATGCAAGCGGCGCCGACGCCGGAATCGCCAGAGGAGAAGATCACGGATACACCGCGGCTGCCGAGCTGAGCAAATAGGTTGCAGACGGAGCGGGCGTATTTCTCGGGAACGCTCTGTGGAGATTATGTTAGGTTTTTGATGAGGTCACGAAGAAAAAAGGGGGAATCATACCTGCTCATCCTCGCCGTAAGAAGTGGAGATAACCTGGGGGAGGTCTTTCTGATCCATTTTGAGAACATTCTGGAGGAACTCCAGGTATGGCTCGTTGTTGACGTCGTTAGGGTCGGGCTGGTCCAGATCGGGGACCAGTTCACCGCGACCACCGACGCTGAACTCGGTTACAGGGACAGGAGAGCTGACTCCAACGATGTACTGCAAATCCAAGTTCGCCTCGCTACTGTCAGCAGTTGAGGTCTGGTCATTGAGGCCACCGTTGTACTGGATGACGGAGAAGTTTTGACCCTTAGCGAAGGGTGCGATGTTCTTCTCAAAGAGCTCCAGGTCGGAGTATCTGGCATATTGCTCCAGGTAGCTGACAAAGGCGACCTTGTTGCCGATGCTGTCATCGGCCTTGTAGTCGCCAACGTTGTACATATCCTTGAGACACTGGGGAGTGATAATGCTGTTGCAGTCAGGGGAACTAGACATCGCGTTTGAGCGGAAGGCCTCGTCCTTCTCCTTGATCTGGCTGTGCAAGATAGCACGGTTGGCGCGCAGCTGGCCGAAACGAGTGGTGGGCTGAATCATGTTGATGTGTGACATGAGCTTGTTGGGAATGGAGTACCTGAGTGTGCGAAGACGCTCAATGTGCTTAACACTGTTCACGTAGAACTGGAAATTAGCTGCCAGCAGCTCATTTGCCGCCTCCACGGTGGTATGGATGGTCATCCAGTCGGCATCCTGCTCAATTCTGGTGATACCAGCGCTTTCGAGCCAGTCACGGACTGAGTCTGCGGACTCGGAGCTCGGCTGGAGCATCCGCTTCATCTCCTCGTGGGTGTTGAAGTGCTTTCCATAGGTGGGATGATCGGGTGTGGACATCTCCAGCACCGCCGCTTCGAAACCAGGAGCATCACCCTGTGCTAGGGCAATTTGCAGCTTCAATGGCTGATCGGGGCGTGGTGTACGGGAATATCTCCATCCTATGATTGATTAACTCCGAAACCGCGGTTTGATTTGAAACACCAGCGACTCACCTTGAGGAACAGCAGATAGGCTCTCGAATACATCAGCCGCAGCAGTGGAGGCAAGAAGCGACACGACCGCGAGCGACAATGCTCCACGGTTAAATAGAGATACACGCATGATAGAAAGAGGGATATCAGGAAACCCTACCAAACACCGGTCGGGCCCTTCAGACAGCGAGCGACGAGACTATAAATATTGGCACGCGGCGATCAGATCCAAAGGAGGGGTAAAGACCGTGAAGTGTGTGGTATTTATTATGGTTGCATTGGTGGGGAGATCAAGAATGCTTGATGAAGAGTCTAAGATAACTCAGGCTTAGCAGGGCGGGAGCTTGTGTCCGAGTTTCACCTCACTGCCTAGGTACAAGATGAGCTCCACTGTTGTTGTGGAGCTTGTTGCGGATGCTGTTCGTTTTGTTTGGACGAAGCTGTTCCAGATCGGTTGTGGGCAGCAGCTGGATGTGGACCTTGCGAAGCAAGCTGGCGGTTTGCAGTGACAGGTCCGACGGTCTTCAATCTTCCCCGTTCGAAAGAGCGGAGAATTGTCTGTGATGCTATCGGTATGGAGGAAAGACTGTCTATCCCATTGTGACACCGGTCGGGCGCGCGTCGGGGTGCAACTGAAGATCGGCAGGGGTTGACCCACTACGGTTGAACAAGAATGCGAGGCGTCAGGGGCGCTCGATCAATGGTGGCCGATTGACCTGGCCATTGAAGAATTAAGATCTTGTTTTAGATCTGGTTCAACTCAAGCCCACAGGTGATCTGTACCCAGATCAAATCTATCGATATTGGCTGGCCAGATGTATTGAAAGTTGTTCAAACCCCGATTAACTGTTCCTGCCAAGCCCTCGAAGGGGTTAGTTGGCATGGTGATCATGTAGTGTTGTGCGATTTGTTAGCCAATAAGGCTACCCCATCGAAGACAGACAAGCATAGAAGGCTGCACTATGGCTGTCTGTGGCGTCTAGCTGTGCTGGCCCGATGCCGTAACCCGGAAAAAACACCAGCTGTGCATAAATCTCGTTTGCATTGTGCGGAGCGCCGGAGGCTGGGACGGCCTGGGTAAATTCCGGATGTGTCATGGCCAGATCTCCCAGGCACTTGACAAACGGCAGTACACATGACGGGGCTGATCATACCGATATTTAGCCATTGCTGAGCGCTGCAGCGTCATCCTTGACTTTGGGGCCACAGGGTTAGGCAAGAATGCGTGATGACGAGGGGTACTCTGTGCATCGCCTGCTGCCTGCAGGCTCTTGCAGGTGACACTTATCAAGGGCCGAGATCATAGTTCCCGTTTCTTCCGATCTGACTGCATTGATTCATCTGGATTAGCATAGTATCACTCTTGTGGGCCAAGATGCAAGATGGTGGAGAGAGATGGAAGATGGGGAGAGACAAATTATCCGTCTCCTGTGACCGCAATCTCTGAAGGTACATGTGGTTGATGCCCACTTGAATGAAAGTCATCAGGCTAAATGAGATAATTTCGAGGTATTGTCAAAAATTTCAAACTTCGACTTTTTGATTAAAGATCTAGACATGTCGATATATACCAAAATGATTCCTCTGACCCGGTCCAAAACCGGAAATTCTTCTATGCAAGACCATAGTTACAAAATCACTTCTCATTAACAACAACAGGAGCTTGAATTGCGGGCACAGGCTCATCAACACCTGGCTCATTCATCTCCAGATGGTGGGCGTAGACCATTGATGCGATGGCATCTTCAGTCTGAAGATAAGTCCGGCTGCCTTGGATAAACCAAAAGGCAATAGCGATCACCAACATAACACCGAAGACAGCAATGGCGAAGTTCATATCACTTCCCTTCGGGTTCGGACTGCCGGGGAACAGGAAGAAGATAGTGGTGATGACACAGTAGACAATACTGACCCAGTTCAACCAGGGTCCAAAGCGACCGAGCTTGAATGGACCCGGGGGCAATTTCTCGCGCCCGGTGATGAGCAAGGCCAGGATGGGCATCGCGTAGGAGACAGTCAAGGCGATCGTGCTGACACTAAGAATCGCCTCGAGCACGGTGTTGGCGAACAGGTATAGGATGCCGACGATGCCGATGACGATGCCCTGGCCCCAAAGGGCTCGGACGGGAACTTGCCACACAGGATCGACGTGGGAGAAGTATTTACTGAAAGGAAGTCCGCCGTCGCGAGCGAATCCCCAGCTCAATCGGGAGGCTGTCGTGAGAATACTAATGCCCTGGCCCATGCCGTTGAAGATAAACAGCGCAATCAGTACAGCAGCACCTTTCAACCCGACAGTCTCAATCATGAGCTCGATGAATGGCAGGTCGGCGCCGACGACTGCCTCCACGTCTTGGATGCAGAAAAGACAGACCACCATGAAGATGAATCCCGTCACGGCACCGAATAGAACAGCCATCCAGATGACTCTGGGGGCGTTCTTCCGGGGTGCAGGAATTTCCTCGACCATATGGATGACCGAGTCAAACGCAGTCAGACCATATGCTGCCTGCACCAATCCGGTGAACCAAACGACACCGTCGCTCCAACCGGTTTCATTCATCCATTCACCGAAAGCGAACGAAGCGGGTTGGAAGGATAGGTCGGCCTTAGTCCCGACCGAGATCAGCAGCACGAGGGAGAGGACTATAAACAGCCCAAAGAACCACACGCCGACGAAGTTGTTCAGCCATGGAAGGATCTTTTCCCTGCGGCAACTGACGATGTTGATCACCGTAAAAGCAAGAACAACACCGATATATACGACAAAGTTCAGCCAGCCCTTGTCGACTCCACTCCAGTCGGGTTGGAACATTGTCTTCATGCCGAGAAGAAATTCAGTCATGAAGGCGACCTGCGACGCAGTCAAGGTCCACCATCCAAATGTATTGATCCATGCACACATGTACGAAACAAATCGACCAAGTGGGGTGCTCCACAGACGATACACCCAGTAAGCCTGACCGAGAGCCGTGGGCATGCTGCTGGTCAACTCGCCCAGCGAGAGCGCAACACATAGGTTGCACGCCGTGACCAGCACCAGGCCCCAAAGAATTGTGATGGAACCACCATTGGTCAGTCCACTGCTGAGATCCTGGGCGAAGGTCGAGTAGGTTCCTAAGACAGCGAGTCAGCACGCACACTTGATGAGTATGGGCAAAGAGCGGGAAACATACCTAGCACGCAAAATGCCAGCGCTAGCATACTCCACATATCGAATTTGCGCGTCAGGGCCTGGGAATGGCCGAGGGCAGCGAGATCCTGCGCATCTTGCACATCTTGCACGTTCTGGTCCGTCAGCGGCGGCTTAAGAGGTGGTGAATTGGACTCCAGATCCATGCCAGGGAGATTTCAGCCGGTAATGTATATCAATTCAATGGGCAGGATAGAAGGAGATGCGCCCATTTTCTGACCATCAACAAAATGACAGGGATAGGGGAGGACGAGTGATTTCTATATAGCTTGAATCCGGGGTCGGCCGCTGTCGTTTCCCCTCACGGACCTCGTTCAACGTACACCAAGGAAGGTGAGTACGGGGGGTTCAGATAAAGCTGGGGAATAACAGAGTGACCAATTACAGGGCAGACCTGGTGTTAAAGTTGGGGGTTGTATCAGATCGATTGGTCATGGAGTTGGCAGGAGTTGGATAATAGAAACGATCTTCGCGGGATTTTGGTTTCTTTCGGTTTTGCGGGGGCCTCGGGAGGACCTCCTTCTGTGGGCCATAAGTGTTGCACAGATAAGAAACCGGGGTACGGAGTAGTTAAAACTTAAGGCTTTAATTGACTTTTAACTCCAAATTCTGATCTCGAACCTGGAAATAGTTAAATTTTGAGTCGTTCTTTTACGAATATACTTTGTCGCCGTTACGCAAGTAACTACATGGTCGTGTTAGCCACCGCCACAAGGGCTCTCACCGTCTAGGCATCGATTCGGAATGATGCACAGGGATATTCCATGAATATGAAGTGTATCCAATTGAGGGATTGAAGAATGTAATTAGCTCAATGGCAGTTAGGCAATAGGTATGTCCGCGATATCAAGATCAATGGCAGCGACAAGTCCTGCAATCATCAGTGGCGAGGGCTGGCCCAAAACGGCAAGTACATGCGCGACAGATAAGCATCGCGATAGGCGTTTTAGAGCGCGGCTCTGACACACTTTGATTATGTGCCTCATATCCAAGAACAGTTGTGAGGAAATTGAACCCATAATGGAAATTCCAAAATCGCATATCTCTCTCTCAAGATACCTCGAAAGGACCAATCGGTGGAGACAATCCCACAATGCCTGATAGCAACCGCTTCTCGAAAGTCATTGTGATGTCAAATGTGGACTCGAGATACAAAGTTGATCGTTCGGAGGTTGGTGATGAGCGGTTAGCGCCCGTGTGTGGCTATGAAACTTCCTCTTTGGTGATAGTCTTGTCATGGCAAGAAAAGAAAAAGACGCCACGAAATGCATATTGCACCGAGGCAGCAATGTTAAGCTCCAGGTAGGAATGGTGCCCTAAGGGTCCACTTCTTCACTTGGTGCTTCGTAATGAGATAATGAGAACTAGTATTTAGCTCGGGTTGGAGAGTCTCCTCAGTTCAGCAGCGCTGTAAGCAGCTATCGCAGCCTGTCTGTCATTGGCCCACCGCGCCGTATATCGGGCATATGTTGTGTCTCCTGCTCCTTCCCTTTGTGGAGGTGACCGAGCATGACTTTGCTTTCAGATCAGATGGGTAGGTCTCGTTGGAAGGCTGTGACCTTCGTGTTTAAATCCATCTGACATGCGCGATGGTTGGGATAAGCCGGGGAGCGCTATTGCGTCGAGTCTGAAGCAGCTGATGGAAACGTATCGCTGTGTGAGTTCAGAGCGGTCAACTGAGCAACTGGTGTTAAGGCACGGCGGAGTGCGGCTACCAATGCATTGCGCATGCATACCTGATAGGGGCACAGTGCTGATCAGTGGTTAGTGGTTTCTAGGAACCTTCTGGTTCTGCCACCCTGTCATGACTAGCGCAGCTTTCTAAGTTGCCGAGTTGCCGATGACGAAGTGTAAGATCTAAGATCTCGAGGGTGGAAGAGCTTGTGCTCCTCACTGTCCATGTTCGACCTATTGCCAGTCTCCTATGCGTCCTCGATTCATCCCCCCTCACCACGTGGGGGCCATGAGTTCATGACATAGGCCGCAACGAGTTGGCCTACCTCATCTTCGACTCATGACGTCCTTTCGATCATATCGTTGGAAGCAACTGGACCTCGGCGCTATCGCGAATGTTCCGAGCTGCAAAGTTGTCACAGATGTTGAGGTTCAATTGTGGGGCTACTCGTATCCAAAATTAGTCGGGGGATATTGATCATCTTAACGAAGGAACAGTGAATCAAGCAAATGGAAGTAGGACTGAACAGGACTTCCAACTTACATGGCAGGCATATATACCGCGGGATCATACCACACGCGGACACATTCAGCGCACGAGAAGGATCAAGCAAGGTGAATCATTTGAGTCATGGCAATTGTATAACGTTTTAGGATACTATCATGGAGAAGATCACGTACGCGTGGGGGAATCACAAATCACATTGACACTTTTGTGGTCACCATGAGGCTTATATCGAACCATGTCTGGAAGAGAAGACAGGGCTTTGCTCCAGCCTGAACAACACAGCACCATGACGCCTCCGCCGCTGCGACAAAATAAGAATGGAGAGCAATATATCAATGACAAAGATGAACGCCAACCAGGTCCAGTTTCCCGGCTACTCTTACAATACAACGATCGTCACGGTCATGAAAAGAAAGAGGACATCGACAGACAGCGCCAGATCACAGTGGCATCATGACAGTCGGGGATTCTTTCCAGGGTGCCACATCCCGCTCGACATCATGTTCTGCTTCAGCAAAGCAAGTTCCCGGTGCAGGGCCTGATTTTCCTGTTGGATGCTATCGATATAGGCGAGGGCATTGGTGAGGATCTCGGACTTTTTGAGAGAGCCTGTGCCAAGCTTGGAGGGTTTCCGAACACCTGAAGGCGAGATTGCCTGCTCCAAAGAAACGAATTTGGCATTCATGTTGGTGCGATAGCGTTTCTCGATGACGTTGTGAGCGGCTCGCTTGGCTGCGTTCCGCGTCTGAGGATCCTGGCTGCTTGTTGAGGAGTGGTTTGAGTCCCGGGAGAAACTGCGGGTCTTGCGAGATGTGGGGTTTATTTTTGATGGCTGGGAAGCAAGAGTCTCTTCATCTTTCATGTATGGGGTGGATGACCATTCTGTCGATGATGATTGAGTCTGTGTCTGGGATTGTGCTTGGGGGGAGAAGTGAAGTCCGAAGGTTGGTTTGTCGACTGGAACTCGAATGCATTCGAGTCGATTGATTCGCGTGCGGCGGCAGACCGCCATGTTTGATCGTCACTGTCGAATTCCTCGAGGAATGTTAGCTTCAAGCTATCTTTGAAAGGTGGAAGGAGAGTCCTACTGATGATACTGGAGTTTCCTCTTCGCATATCGGCATAGTGAACCCGCTAACCCCGGAGGTAGCGAATGGATCACTGAACATGCTCTTCGGTTCGACATCCGTCAAACTGTCGGGGAAATCGAATGACACGGGCTCCATATCAGCAGGGTCAAGAGCAAACATATCGATGGCGTTGTTATAGCTCCAGTTGGCAGCGAGGGGGTCAGCCCTGTCGAAGAAGTCGGCTGGTCGGGACTGAGGACTGAGTTGTTGACTAAGGTAGGTTCCCTGATCCATTGACAGACCGGAAAGCTCATTGGATGGGTTGCAAGCCATGATGCACATCTTGAATAATCATACGTTGGCGTCAGAGGCTGTTGGGTAGGCAGGGGAGGGGTATAGTAAGTTGAGAAATACTATAACAAGATGAGGCGGGTCATGCAACTATAAGCGATTGAGAATATGGAAAGAGGAAATGGGTTTCGGCCGTAGCGAATTTATAAGAGACCCGTTCCCCGGCAAGACACAGGGGTACTAAGGTGATCCGGAAGGAAGTATTACGCCTGTGTACGAAGCCCGAAATGGATCTGTGATGTCAGGTCTTCCACAGCCGTTGCGCATCTTCGATGGCCCTAGCCTTCCACTTGCGTACTTGCCATACTGCTCGGTCGAATCATTGATCAAACCGAGGACAAACCATACTAAGATCCCTTTCTCACTTGCCGGCTCCGACAAGATTGTTCCGGTTGTCCCCAGTGTGAAGCGATGATGTGTGGAAAAGGTAGAAACCGGTGGGCTGGGCCTTTGCCAAGCCTTTGCCGGCCGAATGTCGGATCCGACACTATTTATGCCATTTTTGTGTACTTCGTACTTCCTCCACTTTTGCATGGAAATATCTTTCTCGTACCAGGTTGTATTTTACTCGATATCCTTCTTTCCTCTAGGGCGTAGGTAGAATGAGACCAGACTCTTTGTCTTCTCAGAAGTGTACCAGGCGCACAATTATGACCAACTATGAACCTCTCGCTTGAGAAATCTTATTACACCTTCAGGGCAATGTCAATAGAATGAACCTAAACCGGCTTGGTCAACCCATCACCTTTCCTTCCAACGCCACGTTCCTCATAGAGCGAGCCACGTCCACCACAAGCAAGCGCTTAATGAATCCGCATCTTACTCAAACCTGGGGATTGGCTTCTCGCATTCTGGAATAGATTTTACCCAACCGGTAAAGACTTTATGCTGATTCTTCACAAGCTGCTCACCCTGGGGATTCCAGCAGCCGTTGTACTCGATATCCCATTAACTATATGACCTCGGGAGTGAAGAGAAGTAATTACATATGCCGAACATAATAGACACGTCACACGTCAAAAATGTGCCAACACGGAGTCAATTGCGATTTGCGAAATTGAGTAATTGAACATGACACTACGAATCTGATACATCTGCTGAATACAGCGCTATACACAGTAGAAATCTGCCCCCTGACGCCCTCATCCGCGGATACCGTCACATACCTTCGCCAAGGATGTCATTTTCTGCACTACCGTTTATGGCAAAGTCTACGATGAGACATAAAGTGCCTAGTGGGGTGACTCGGATGTTTCTCGTTCCTTTGTCCTCGATGCGATGTCCATCGAATTCATCACGTCCCTTGTGACAAACTGATTTCTCACGAATTGCAGCCGGAAGCAACGTACAAGTTTAGCGTTCGGTCAACCATTTGGCTATTATGGCACGAGGGCCGTCTCCTACACTCCCCGGCGGTAGGTTTCCCGGTTCCGAGGTGACGTTTCCTATAGAACTCTAAACCGGAGCTCTGAAATGAATGTTTGCATTGTTAAACTATGTTGTATGTCGCCCGAAGTGCACTTCTAAAGATGAGCATGTTAGTCCTTTCTCGTGAGGTCTTGACGCTAGATACATCACAACTTAAACCATGGTCTATTCAGTGACAGCTGCGAGCTGTCTAGACCCTGCACAGTGGACACCTAACGGTCTGCTGCAGGCTACGGGCTGTTACCCCTGTCACCTGTGCCATGGCATGTTCCAAGATACTCGAGGCCCGGCGAGGGGCAGTCCACCCAGTCGCAGCGGGGCAATAACGGGCGCTAAACCTGTCAGATGCACTAATTCACGGATCTTGCCTCGATGGGTACTACGGGTGACTCCCGCGGTCGGTTTCCGGCGGCCGGATCTCCATCGGCAAGGATCCTTTCGTTAAAAAAAGAAATATCGCTGCAGGAATCCGAGACGGGACGGGAGTAACCGTAGCCTGCATGCTGAGAATTTGTACAACTGAATTGAGCAGCTATGCAGACAGTTCAGGCTCTACAGCTATGTATGTCCAAACACCTCCACTATGCCAACACCAAAACCTCACCCAATCATCGCCTTGATAGTATCCTCATACCTCTCCGGCTGTCTCCCCAAAATCTCCCCCAAAGCCGGCGACACAACGGCTGTCTCACCCCGGCGAATAGCCTCCCAAGCCGTCGTCCACTCCCGCGAGAGATCAACACCATGATAAGTGTGTTTATCCCCGATCTGAGGAAGCCCCATATACTCATCAACCGAAATCTCCCTTATCTTAAACGATTTCCCAACGGCTCGACCAAGGATCTCCACCGTCTCCGCTAAAGAAATCTCCCGCCCTCCAGACAGCAGCACCGTCTTGTTCAGATACGCGAAGCTGCCAGGAGCATCGACATAAGAGGCAATCAATTTAGCCGTAGCCTCGCCCAGTTCATCGCGCTTCACCCACGCAACACCCGGACCGGTCCCGGGGTGCGGGATGGTAATCTCGTCTGCTGGGTTCTGCGGATCGAACCAAGCTGTGTAGATGGGGAAGGACTCGGAGTAGATGCCCTCGCGGATAGAGGTGTGAGTTACCCTTCCTTCGAGGGATTGAAGGTATTTCTCTGTTTCGAGGTGTGCGCCCATTACGTGGGCGACGCTTTGGTCGCTGAGACCACTGCCGAAACCGAGGGAGGAGTAGAAGATGTGCTTGACGCCGGATTTGAGGGCTGCGTCGATGGCGAGACGGTGGGCCTGAGCGATATTAGCTTGGGGGTCTGGGTGATGAATTGCTTGCAGTGCTTTACTTACCTTGACTCGGTGCTCGATTTCGAATGACGCATAGGAAATCAACATTAGAGTGTCCACGCCGTCAAAGGCAGTTTCTAAGGTTGAGGGCTCGTCATAGTCTGCCCTTCTTACCGTGGCGCCTGCTTGGCTGAGGCTGTCGAGTTTCGCAGGGTGTCGCGCGATCAAAATGAGGTCGGATGGGGTGACCAGTTTCGTTAGGTGGTTCACAATGCTTGATCCGAGACCACCGGAGGCGGGGAAGATGCCGATCTTGGGGGTCTTAGAGGTCATCATGATATGGGATGAGGGTTATGTGGGCTTGTTGGTTGTTGATTGAGTGGTCCATCATGGGAGATGCCTTCATCTTTATATCGACATTGCCAGCCACTTCGACTGTCGATCTTGGAACCTTCCACGGCCAATGTGCTTATTAATGGAGGTCGGGATTCCAACCTGTCCAGCGCCTACCGAGTGGGCCTCGACGATCGCGGCTGAACTGCCGTTACCTTCGTTGAAGTCATCATTGACATTCATCACTACATGACTACATGTCCAATGAGATGTAGTGGTTGTTAGTATTTCTATTTGAAGGGTGGTAGGCCCACTAGAAATCTCCTTCTCCTCTCTCGCGAATTTTCTCCCCTACCTGATTAAACATCATGGCGGCGAGCCGGCGACCGTGCAGCGATGAGCGATCAACGTCGCGAACCACGCGGAACTACGCGCCAACTCGCAAAGTGTTCTGACGACGATTCGCGCATCGAAGCCGAAGAATACGGCGTTGGCTTACCAGCGGAAGCAGACTGAGTTCAAGATAAGGAGCGTATCTGTTCATGTGCTTTCTTATCTTCTAAGGCGCGCCCGGAACTAAGCCCCTCCCCCCCCCCCCTCCCCTAGGACTTCTGCGCGCGGAAAGAATACTGCGACGGCGACACTGTGACGGAAGAGAAAGGTCCTTCTCTTTCTTGCAGAAGTCCTGGACATTTGCGGCTTCGAGATTTCAACGGCCGGTCTGCCGCATCTTCTGCAAGAAAGGGGAGCTTCAAATTCGTCCTTTGTATATCCATCGAGTAGGGTATCCCGACCCTTGTCTGCAATGCGGACCGAACCGTCGATATCCTGTTGGTTGGGACTTCTTGAATGCTTGAATTGTATATTGGGATATTGTACATAGAGATGAGATGTTCAGTTCAAACACCAAACCAGACCAGATTCATGGTGAGGTATCAACGAAATAAAAAGAAGAAATGAAAAAGCTAGTGGGGAACACCTCCAGTTCCAAACAGTTCCATCTTAATGCGGTCGGCACTCACGCCCTTCGCTTTGAGACTCGACTCCATGTCAGTCATGAACTTATCCGGTCCGCAGATATAGTACTCGGTCTTAGCATCATCCAAGAACAAATCCTGGTCCGCCAGCTTGCTCAAGTCCACCCGACCGACATGATCATAATCCACGCCTTCCGTATCAGCCTCTGAGGGGTGACTCGTGAAGAATGTCGCGCGGAGAGAGGGGAAATCCTTTGGAAGCGCGGAAATATGGTCCTTGAAAGCACGGGCGCCCGATGAACGTGCACCGTGAATGAAATGCAGTTTGCGGGATGACGACGACTGCGAAGTCAAGGTGTTCAGGATGGAGGTGAGCGGCGTCAAACCGACGCCGGCGGAGACCAGCACGATCGGATGGGCGCTTTGAGAATCACCCGGTGAGAGGAAGAAGTCGCCACAGGGGTGGGATACTTGGAGAGTGTCACCGACGTTGAAAGTATCATGCAGCACATTCGAGAGGTAACCCGGGTTGGCGGTTGCGCCTGGCTCGGCTGGGTTGAGGCCCAGTTCTCTCTTCACACTGATGCGGTAGTAGTCTGGCTTGGGCTGGTCGCTCAGGGAGTACTGTCTCGCCTGCGGGTACTTCAGAGCTGGAACGTATGTCTGGACGGAGATGTACTGGCCGGGTTGGAAGGCCGGCAGTGGCTTTCCGTCGACAGGGGCGAGATGGAGGGAGGTGATCTCCTCGGATTCCTTGACCTTGTTGACGATTTTGAAGTCGCGCCAGTGGGTCCAGCCCTCGCTCTGGTCGTAGATTTGCTTCTCGCGGCCGATCATGATATCTGCGAGCTGCCAGTAGGCTGCGGCCCATGCGTCGTGGATCTCAGGGGTCAATGCCGCGCCCAGTACCTCACCCATGGCTTCGAGGAGGAATTGGCCGACGAGCTTGTAGTGGTCGGGCTGGATATACAGAGATGCATGTTTGTTGCAGATCAATTCAACCGCGGAGCTCAGGGCGCCGAGATCGTCGATGTGCGACGCATATGCGTAGAGTGCACCGGCCAGAGCACGAGACTGGTGACCGTTGACCTGGTTTGAAGTGTTGAAAACGGTGTTCAGGTCCGGGTGGGCGGCGAGTAGGTTGCGGTAGAAGACGGTCGTGATGGTGTTGCCATGTTCCACGAGAACCGGCACCGTGGCTTTGATCAGTCCGATCTGGTCTGATGTCATGTTTGCAATGGAACCCATGATGAAGGATTTTTTGGTTTGTATATAACAGATGGTTTCTGGTCCTCTTTGGGAGCGAAAAAATGCGGATATAAGTAGGAGCAACCGGTTGCAGATAAGAAGAATGGTGAATCGGATTGATTTCGTTGGCTTCAGGGCTATTTATCCCACCAGGTTGCTAACACGTAAAAGTGCCCTGGAATCCCGAAAAGCCAAGAGGGTACCTGGTGTGATCTATGGTTATTTTCGTGCGTAAGACATCACATCTCCGCGGAGGACGATGTTGTGTTGGAAGGAAATATCTCGGCTCAAAATTTTCGACCAGCATTTATTCTCCGAATTTCGTGCTACCTGGAAGTCTATGATCCCAATGGACTTCTTTTGGTACCTCTCACTCCCTTCAGTAACCGCATGACTTGAAGCATTCGTGATGCCTTTTCTCCAATACCTCGCAACTACTTCGTTTTAATGTGTCAAATCGTGCCGATCATGGAATACCATGGAGATCATCCCGCCACACAACTAGGTGCCATCAATGGGCTAACCTACAGTAGTCACCTGGTGACTAGTCCGACAGCGAGAATATTTAGGAAGACAATGGACATGCCGGAGCTAAGGTGTGGATGTCTTCAATCTTCCAATCAAACCTGAGTCATTACTTTTCATCGTAGCCGGGTCTTGGCATGAAAATCATTACTCTTAGCCTAATCACGGGACTTTGGCTGGAACTTCGCATGTTCATTGACCCTTCCCGAGATCTCATTCTATTCCAATCCTCGGTTCTCAACGGATTCTCGGACGAGCCGATGACCAAGGGAACAGAGGAATTTAAGATGTCGAGCGATGAACAGGTTACAGCGGCGATGTCCGATCTGTCAAATCCTAGAACACTGCATTATCACTGACTGCAACACTGTTGAGACCTCAACCGATCTGGTGTCCCTTGCACCCTAGCCCAATCACTTTCATTCTGCAGAAAAGTCAATTGAGACGATAAGTACCATTGATTGGACCATTTATTATGAACGACACATTGAGAGGGGGTCTGGACTCTGGACAATTGCCGCCAGTCTCCGGATGTTCGGATGACAGCCGTCCACGGGTTCCAACGATCTCGACTCCACCCAAACCAAACCCAACAGAGATCCCTTCAACTCTACTTCCTATGCCCGTCCAGTGGGAGACAATCTATCCTCCGCAGTCTCGACAAGAATGGATATTCAGCAACAGTGGTGACGTCTATGATATAAAAATGCACCCTGAGACAAAGCCCCCCAGCGATGAAGAGCAGACAAGAACCGAGATGCTTATATTCTGAGGGGATCCGCCGCTATGGACATTGTTCGCTCAACTTTTGAATTCCACTGACCACTGCGCGCGTGCTCTATTCCCATCTACAATGCTGTTCAAGAAACGCTCTTCGCCCGATGGATCTACCCTAGGCGGGGAGCCGGGTTCGGGCGGCGGCCGGAGCCAGCAGCTGCCTATGTTGCAGCTTCCAGACAAAATGCGGTACAACTTGCTCTGTGTGATGGGCGAGTTTGTAGGGACCTTCCTGTTTCTGTTCTTCTCCTTCGCTGGTACTCAGGTGTCCAATACACCGAAGCCGGAGCCTGACGCCCCGCCCAATACGTCGAACCTGATGTACTCGGCGCTTTGCTTTGGTTTCGCGTTAACTGTGAACGTCTGGGCATTCTTCCGTGTCACTGGTGGTCTCTTCAATCCAGCGGTATGAATGTGGTAGCCACAGAATTGTAATATCAGCAGCTGACATTTACTAGGTCACCCTGGCCCTATGCCTCACCGGTGGCATGCCCGTTCTCCGGGGATTATGCGTCTTCCCTGCTCAGTTAGTCGGTGGCATTGCTGCGGCGGGCGTAGTGAGTGCCCTATTCCCGGGCCCGCTGAACTGTGCGACTCGCCTCGGCGGCGGCACATCAATCTCGCAAGGACTCTTCATTGAGATGTTCCTGACTGCGCAGCTGGTGATTGTCATAATCATGCTGGCAGTGGTTAAGCACAAGTCCACCTATCTGGCGCCGGTGGGAATCGGCTTGTCGTTCTTTGTTGCTGAACTGGTTGGTACGTAACAGTCGTATGCGTCCCGATCAGAAAGACCGCAGCTGACCATTTACTGCAGGTGATTTCTTTACCGGAGGATCCCTCAACCCTGCTCGTTCCCTTGGACCTGATGTTATCAATCGCTCGTTCCCAGGATATCACTGGATCTATTGGGTCGGCCCTTTCCTCGGGTCGCTTCTGGCCTCCGGCTTTTATCACCTGCTCCGTTTCGTGCGCTGGGAGCGGATCAATCCTGGCCAGGATTATAACGAGTGGGAATGTCGGCTTCGAAAGGAGTCGACAGCTGCCTCGGATAGCACTGCCGCCGACCAGGTTCACACGGCTTACAGTCGGGAAGTGGGCCCGGGACAGCAGGTCCCAAACCAGGGCTACATGGGTCCGTCTTACAGTCGCGAAATGGCTCCAGAACAGCAGGTTCCAACCGAGGGTCACATGGGTCAGTCTTACAGTCGGGAAATGGCTCCAGAACCGAAAATTTCTCCGGAACAGCAGGTTTGAGCCTCCAATGTCATGGATAGTCGGCACCGGGCCCATCTGGGGAAGTTTAGCGAACGTTGTCACTACATCTTATATGTATAGTTGGGAGGTTTTTTGAAAGTGTCAGTACATGCATGGCCGAAACCTAATATCTTAATCGGAGGGGTGAGGACGATTTCAAGGTTTGCGTGCATCTTGGGCGACTTTTGGTGATGACTTCGCATTAATGTGAGTGAACGACTCGGGAGTTGAATGACTAGCAGTAATAGTTGAATCGATCAAAGAATCCACAGTTTCCCCCAATCAAGCCCTGAATTCGGTCCATGCAAGGCTCACTGCTTAATTTGAAATATCCGTCGTACGTCAACACATTCCGCGATGAGAATCTGGATATGTGATCAAGGATTATAGTCGAGTCTGCTACACAATACATGTCGACATAGCTTGTGCCTCAACCGCCCCAACTTGACCGTGAACACAATCATAGGTAGCGCCACCTGGCCAGCATTCCCGGTACCAGCGAGACGAGGCTGAACAGGACTCTGCAATAATGCATACAGATGCAAGGGCCACCTGCAGTCCAGGATACACTGCATATGCCATCATCTCCTGCAGGAAACCCCCTTCGAGAGCAATCAACCAACTTAAAGCTGACTGCACTGCAATGTCTGGCCGACCACACCAAACCCACACCAATCATGTCTGCGACAGACCCGAAACCCGTTGACCCCGAAGCCGTCGCGTCGGATGCCGCCAACGCGAATGCCCGCGAGGATGTCCAATTGCTGGGTACGAACGTCCGTTCCGTCTCTCATCTGCGGCAGATTCCCAGTCGCTAATACCATGGCCATCCAGCGCAATTGGGATACAAGCAGGAACTTCATCGGCAGTATTCGACGCTGCAGATTTTCGCGATAGCATTCAGCATCATGGGCCTGGTACCCTCGATTGCATCGACGCTCTCGTTCTCGCTTCCTGCTGGGCCGGTCGGCATGGTCTGGGTATGGGGATTCGTTACCCTGGAGTCTAGATACGGGGGCTTCGGTTGACGCGTTCGTGATATAGGGATGGTTTACAGCGAGCTTGTTTATTCTGTTGGTTGGGCTCGCAATGGTATACTCTTACTCCTCCGTCGGGCCTGTTGAAGACCGCACTGATAATCTTTAGGCCGATCTTGCGTCCGCTATGCCTACTGCTGGTGGATTGTATTGGTGGACGCATTTTCTTGCTGCGGAGAAATGGAAGAGACCATTGAGTTTCCTGATCGGATATAGCAATACACTGGGTTTGATCGGGGGCATGTGTTCAGTTGATTGTGAGTATAGTTTCACTGTCCCAGGTTCACGATGGCAGTACTTACCTTTACTTGTTGCTGTGTAGATACCCTCGCGCTCATGATACTTTCCTGTGTCTCCATCTCACGGGGAGATGGATGGTCCGCCTCGCGTGGGATCATCTATTCCGTCTACGTCGGCGTGATCCTATTACACGGACTTTGCGGCTCTCTGGCTGGACAGCTTATGCCGAGAATCCAGACATTGTGCATATACATCAACGTCGCCCTGGTCATCGCAACGGTAATCGCTTTGCCAGTCGGTAGGATAACACGAGGTGGAACACTCAACTCTGCCCAGTACGTTTACACTCATATTGACAATACAACCACCTGGCCAGCCGGCTGGGCATTCATGCTCGCATGGCTCGCTCCAATATGGTCCATCGGGTCTTTCGACTCATGCGTGCACATGAGCGAAGAAGCCCTGCACGCCGCAAAAGCCGTCCCACTGGGGATCATCTGGTCAGCGAGTTCTGCATTTATTCTCGGGTTCTTAGTGCTGTCCGTTATCGCAGCCACCATGAATCCAGACGTTAGCGCAACAATCAATACGCAGTTCGGGCAGCCCATGGCTCAGATCTTCTATGATACATTGGGTAGAAAGGGTGCGTTGGCTTTCATGGCTGTCCTCTGCATTACCCAGTTCTTCATCGGTCTCAGCTTGATCGTCGCGGCATCCCGACAAGCTTGGGCTTTCTCCCGCGATGGCGCACTTCCTTTCTCCAGGTTCTTCCGCCATGTCAGTAAGCGCATCCCGTTCCAGCCAGTGCGCATGATCGGTGGTTTAGTTACGGTTGCCATTCTCCTGGGCTTGTTGTGTCTGATCGACCCGGCTGCTGCGAATGCACTGTTCTCGTTGTTCGTTGCGAGTAACTATCTCTCATGGGGCACACCGATATTCTGTCGCTTGACCTGGGGTGAACTGTTCACACCGGGGGAGTTCTATACTGGTCGTTTCAGCAGGATTATTGCCTGGGTGGCCGTTGTATATCTTCTCTTCGGTGTTGTTCTGTCGATGTTTCCGACGGAGGGGCCTAGCCCAACTCGTAAGTATTTGGCTATTGGGAGTTGTTACTTGCCAAATGCTCGATTGCAATGGCTGACTGATTTTTGACCGCAGCTTCCAATATGAATTACACTATTGTCATCAACGGATTCGTGTGGATCGGTTGTATGGTGTATTATTTCGTCTTTGCTCGGCACTGGTATACTGGGCCCCTGACCACAGTTGATGGGAGTGCGTCTGTCACTTCTCTTGGTGCTGCGGGTTCCAATGACAGACATACCAATCAACCTGTCACGACTGGTCGTAAGAAGGAATAATCATCCCTATCCGTGAGTACATCGTTCCTGGGTGCTGCAAATTGCATGCGCGGACATACCATTACCTAGAGGATTTCTCGTGTTTGATCAGAGGCATGTGCTGAGCGTTTACTGTTTACAAAGACATAGCTGTCATGGTTCAAAATTTGGCTTGATTGAGATGTACCGAATGTAGGTTATACAGCCATGGGGATATGTACAAGTTCAAAGAGAACGCCGGTCTCAAACCACTTTCCCCAGATGCGAGTGACAAGAAGGCGTAATTAAACAATTAAAGGAGAGTCATGAAAGAGTAGCCGTATCGGATATTATGACTGGGATCCAAACTCCCAGGTTCAATATAGATATTCAAATCCCTTACAGGGCAACCATGACTCCGAGGAGACCAGCCATACCAGCAGCAGCGGCACCGACAGCTGTGGGACGAGCGAAAGCGCCGTTACCAGTAGGGGAGGCGGAAGCAGAACCGGTGGTGGTGAAAGTGCTGGTGGTAGACTGGGTAGCGGTGGCCGAGCCATCGGAGTTGGTCAGGGTAGTCTGGGCAGAGACCTCGGTGGCAACGCGGCTAGTGATAGACGAGGCCAGGGAGCTGGCCTCGCTGGCAGCAGAGGAACCGAGAGATGAGGCATCGCTGCGGATGGAGGAGACGGCTCCGGCACCACCGGTGCTGACTGCATCGCCGAGGGAGGTGACCTTGGAGGCGATGTCACCACCGACACCTGTGGCGCCGTTGGCGACGGTGGAGTATACGTTCTCAACGTCGGAAGCGGCGTCGGCCAAACCGCCGTCGGCCATGGCAGCAGTGGCCAGGAAAAGGGCGGAGGAGATGAGAGTGAACTTCATTTTGAATGTGTGGAGAGAAGAAAGAAGTGGTTGAGTGAAAGCTTTTTTGGTAGATGAGGCAAGTTTTGGGAATTGATAATTAGAAAGCTGGTAATCTGGGGGAAAATCCACTCCTTTTATATCCGATCCATGAGGCAGCATTACCCGCTATGAATAGTAACGTCGGAGTTTGATTGCGCTGTAACTGGGCAGCCGAGGGCCGCAGTGGCGACATGACCTCAGCCTTGTGAGCGTGCCATTTCCTACGGAGTACTGTCGATCGCAGGCTCAAATTCAGGGATAGAGGGTCAGGAAAATTGGATCGGGGATCCCGCTATACGGTTTAAGGCAATTTCATCGTCATATCCCGGGATCCACTTCGTAACCAAGGCGTAGTGCAATGGGGCCGTGTGGACGCCTTCTGGTGCTTTCCCCAGGTTGCAACTCCTCCCTGTTAGCTTATGCTGAACGCGCCATCCTTCTTGCATTAGCTTTGCTTCTTGCTTTGTAGGCAGTGCAGTACACAGCCATCAACGGTGAATCTGTAGTCCTTCGGAACTTCCCGTCCTACGACTCAATTCCCGGCGGGAACCTTGGTTCTGATCCACCCGCCACAGGCATAAGATGTAATTTGCTACTCAGGGGTGGCTTTGGTGGTCCACCGGGGAAGATCTCTGATCAACGGCCTATTGAGGCTTTCGGATAGCTTGATCATTGATGTACATCGTATCAGGGGGCCAAAACTATTTCTGTTCTGGACGAACCAACCTGGGTTATTCGTCACTGCTTGAACAATGAAACATCCCCATTGCACAAGTTCCAGGGATGGACCCTTGTCGTGTTTGCTGTTGGACGGAGAGCCAAGAAGCGATGACGCGTTGGCGGATGTGGCTACAGTAGCTCTCATATTGCGTAGGGCGGTCGAAGGGTGGAGACCTTTCAATGTTTTTGATTGGATCTAGGCTCTGTTGCCGGGGGGCCTGCCAAGACTTCATGCCTGAGGCAGTCAAGGATCACGTGCAGTGGCACCGAAGAAACAGGGAAAATGGAAGAAGCGGGAATGGTTCCGTGGACGTCATGAAGAAGACATTCGAAGGAATTCTACTGCCTAACATGACATGGGTGGAACCTTGGAAGTGAAGTATTTTCCATTGTTCATGAATAATTTTCATTAATAATTAAATGTGCTAAATTACTACAGAATGCATATGTCCACTGATGCAATAAAAACAATACGCCGAAAGATCAGGCCGTAAACTGCCCATACACCTGGATGATGGCTTCCCATCCACCTTTGTGGTCCGCTTGACGGGGGTTAGTCTTCCCATCGAGCACCATGACGTCCGTCATTCGGGTGCTGATGGAGTACCAAACCAGATTCTGAGGGTTATTCGTGACTCGCATCATGTTGGACTGGCAGTTCCCGTTGCAAGGCTCATTGTATAGACCATTCCAGTACCCGTCGAAGAAGGCCCAGGCCGCTGAATTGTAGAGGGCAATGTTGGATCCGCCGTCGACATTGGTGGCTAGCGCAGCGCGGCACTTTTGGTCGTTGGCGGCACACCACGAGAAATCGGGGTCCCCATATTTGGCAAGAGCTGTCCAGGGCGCCGGTGCGTTCTGGTACTCACCCTCGCCCTGCATGTATGGGGTTTCGGTTTGGAGTAGTCCGGCAAAGACGTTCGAGGCGTTGTGGAAGTTGTAGTTATACAGCCAATGATGCTCGGAGCCCGTACCTGTCAGCCAGGTGCCCTTGGTGGATTCAACCAAGATACCGCGTCCAGTGGATATAATGGTGAGAATTGATTCGCTGTCGAGGTTGTGGTCGGCCGTCCAGCCCCAGAAGTTTTCAATGTACGCAGAGGATGTCTCGGTCAAGTGCATAACCATAAAAGCAGCCATGCAGTCCTTGGGGTCTTGCGACGTGCAAGCAGTGGCAATGCTGGTGTCTGCGGTCCCGCCCACCATGGCCATCGTGTTCCAGAGGCCTACATCGCCGGGTTCGTTCCCTGCGGCGTTGATCTCAATGATTTTGGCACCTGGCAAAATCTCGCCGACGGAGAACCGCATGTCTTGGATCTCAATCACACCAACATCCCCTGGATTACCAAGTTGAATGACGGGTCTTGGGTTGCCCGAGTCCTTGAACTTATCACCGTATGCAGAGATCACAGACCACGCTTCTCCGACAATGCGGGTTCCAACCGGAACGAAGATAGTGTCCGAGACTCGATACACACCGAAGGGGATGTAAGTGATCTTGCAGGTCTTGGCATTCTCAGCCAAAATAGCGTTGAGGCTGTTGGTGTCGTCGGTTTTACCATCGCCTTTGACCACGTGCTCGGATACAAGCTTGACATTGACGATAGATGATGTGCTGTACTCCTCGTAAGTGGGCTGCGCCTTGGTGAAGTACTTGTCTCCCAAAAGCAATGCCGAGGGCCGTTTCGTGGCCCAGCTTGCGCCAGTCTCGTAGTGCTCTGGAACGACAGTCCCCCAGACCCATGTATCGACATGAGGAGTGGCAGCCAGCACTACATTGCCCTTGTTGTCCACTGCAATAGCGTTACCGGTGTCGTGGTGGAGGTTCTGGATCAGGAACTGGCTATTCTGAGCTCCAGAATCCTTGGACGAGTCATAGAATTTGATCACCGGGCCAGTATTGGCGGCAGTTGAATCAAGGAGCACCATGCTGCCCAGGCCGTTGCCGGTCATGTCGATGCCCGTGCCACAGCCATCAAAGGTGGCCTGCTGTAAAAGTACCGTCCAGCCACCAGTGGCCTTGAAACCTATTCCACAACCCTGGAAATAGATGTTCTTGAAGTTGACCTGTTGATTGGAATTCTCGATTCCAACCGCTCCGCCAAAGATACTCTGAGATTATGTTAGGGTCGCGCTTTCTTTTTTATCGAGTTCGTGTTGGGAGTACTTACCACATCCGTAACAGCGACTGTTGACCCGGCAATGACATTGATTCCAATATGACCAGTTGACTGGGTCGGCATGCGGATTTTCACATTCGTCAGACCTGACCCCTGTGCAACTCCCCATTGGAGGGCGGTGAAATGACGGTCACCGTTGAGAGCTGTAGTATCCAGAATCACGTTCTTCATGAGGGTTGCAAAGCTGGTCTCTGGGTTGCCGTTATGCGAATCATATCCCATGACAAGATAGTCGCCGACGAAACCCCGTGCAGCTTTGATGACGGGTGGGTTCAATGGGTTGCCGACAAGAATGGTCCCGACAGTCAGATTGAGGGTAGATTTGAGCTGATACTCGCCCCCTGGGAGATAAACCTGGGCTGGATAGCGTGTGACACCCTGGCCTTTACGGCTGCCGCCGACTCCATCATCGTCGATAGCCTTCTGCAGTTTCGGTGTTTGGTCGCCGGTGCCATCATTGACCACGGAGTAGTCCATCACATTGCGATACACGGGGTAGAGCGAGGTTTTGGCATAAGGTGCGAAGCCCGCTCCTTGTAGATTGTGGTCCTGCTCGTCCAACCAGTAGGTCTCGGGGGACTTAGTGGAAGGGGCCTCACAGGTCTTAGTGACCGGTGAGTGAGATTTGTGGATATTTGGCCTGTGGACGATTATTAGCACAAACAACATGTTGAAAGCTTGATTCACACATACGATGAGGTTGGATTGACCAATGCAAGATGGGGCTTGGTTGAAACGGTGGATCTCCGTGACGATGTACTTGCTTTGGTTGATAAAGTGCTCGATCTCGTTGAATGGTCCGAGGTTCCCAGCGAAGTACGCGTTTTGGTTAAGCTACTGGGTCTCGTTTTCACAGTGGTTGGATGCGGCGAGGTAGTATGGGTACTGGATGTTCGGCTCTTCGTGGTGACCAAATTGTTCCGCGCTTTGGTCGTAGCAACCTTCGGCGAGGTAGTGGTAGTAGCTTTGGTCGCCATCGACGCGGAGCTTTCCACATTTGACAAAGTAACCCGCGCAATTGTTGAGGTTTCGGAGGTGTGCTCAGTTGTCGCATGCGATGGTAACGATGCCCCAGTTGTCTTTGCCAAAATGCCATCTCCCGTCGATGCAGACCTTGTTGCCTTCGACAGAGCGCTCGACTTGCCCGATGGAGGCGAACTTTGTAGATTCTGATGCACAGTAGCAGTTGCCGGTGGCCCTATTAAGCCCGCCAGTGACGATTCAAGCGCCCAGTCGATTGGAACGCCATAATAATAAGACGGTCTCGTATCGGCAGCTGATGATGCATGTGCGTGTGATAAACATTCGCCAGTGTGTATAGGGACAATAGCACCCGATGCAGTCGAAACAACAGCTGTCACAGCAATCAAAGATGAGAGGCCCCTCATATTCAGTCTTCGCCTCAACCTCGACCGGAAGAAGATACAAAGTCGACAATGGAGGGTAAATGGTTAATAAAAATAACCCCTTCCCCGATTTTCGGGGTTCCGACAGTTACCATGCGGACCATCCTGGTATGCTCAAACAGACAGGTTCCAAGGCTGTGAGAGGAATGTTTCGCTATTCGTTCCCTCCGGTTTTCCTACATGTCCCACCCACTTGGCGCAACTTGGCTTCAACTAGCGCCATTGCGATCAGCGCCCCTGTTGCCCCTTGCAGTATCTGCGCTTTGAGAACGTGTCGTCCAGGCTAGTTAGTCGTTTCATGCAGGCACCCAAAGGGTTCTCTTGCATATCTTTTGTGTGGTACGGAGTACTCCGTAACTAAATGGAAATGGGTTCTGATAGTACATGTAACCCAAGCACGTACAAGTCAAGTCAATCGAGTGTTCTCGCAGCTTCATGATCGAGGGGCTATTGATGCAGCCTTGGGATATGAACCTCATCCATGGCCTTGAGTATATCGATCAGGTTTAGAAATTGCCAAATCATATACCTGTGAAACCTTGGTACTTGATTAGATATTGCAAAGCCTTGAATAGGCATACTTCAAGCTGCAGTAGTCGAGACAGTCCATACCAGGACCTCACCACCCTATATGTGCCTTCGCTTGATCGCCCAACTCAATTCCCCACGGGCTTTCAATATACGAATCATTGCGACCGGGTCTTTGAATATTCTGATATAGCACAAAACAGATGTAATGTTCAGAAGCGATGTCTGAACTCTCTGCACCTTGTCCGCTGTCGTGCATGAACCCTAATTCGACATGCAGTATGTAGTACAAGGGCCAATAAAACCGACCAATTGCACCATTTGACATCTCTTCCATCAATATCCCGGTTTAAAGCACATGGTAACCGGTTCTATGTCGGCGCCAGCAGGTTGTCACACGTCACCCCTTGCATTGCCGCGAAGAGGTTATGCCTTTGGTCCACATACCAACGGTTACTGCATAACAACGAGAGCTAGGCCAAGCCATGAAGGATGAATGAGATCCATACATACCTAGTCTGGAACATTGGACTCTTGGAGCTCGCCAAATCACCTGCCATTCCGATGGACGTAGTCCGTGGACGGGCTCCGACTTAGGTCAGGTCCTGTTGCTGAGAATCAAAGTTGGCAGTGATATTTGGACCCAGGGACCACAACCACCCGTTTTATTTTATTTCTAAAGACAATGCAATGAATTCCTTGCTATGAATCACATATTGAATAATTTCCGAAGTTCTGTGTGGGGGTGGGCATCGAGATTGTTTGGGTTTTAGACGGGAGTTGACGGGATATATATCGGCCCTCAACTATGGCATCGAACACCTCAGAACTGGGAAGTGTTAAATTGAGGCAAGCAACAATTTAGCAAATGTAACCTTGATCTATTCGATATGGGAGGATGACGGATGTGGCTCACAAGCGGAAGAAGAAAATGAATTGTCTGACGAAACGTGTGTAGGGCTTCACGATAGCCAATTTGTCTAACTAGCTAAAGACAACAAACAAAGTCTGACTTTTGACGATCTGGTCGCACAATAATGACTAAGCAAGCCTTAGCAAAGCGTAGGCTTGGTATCGCCGCCTCATTCATCCAGAAACTTCTGGCTGAATTCAACAGAAAGCATCTTATCCGGGCAGGTTCCATGGACCTAAGTTCCTAACCTACCTACCTTTCAAGCTTCCATGGAGGATTTCCAAGGAAGGTAGGTTGTGATTGCAATATCTAGTTATCTACTATTCTACTTATACCTGTAACCTAAGTAAGGTTCATAAGGAATTTCAAGCAAGGTACTCCGTAGTCTTCGAAAATTGGCCAGATCTAGCCCTAGTAGAGGACGTGTTATCCTCAGTAATAGTGTATTCACATCTAGCTATGCTAGAAATTCGAGAGCCCGAGTCTCAAGTCTTGAATATTCAGTCGATTAGAAAAATATAGCATCACCTGCACGTAGGAAACGTTTGCCGACTGCCAGCAAATTTGTTGGTGGCAACGGTCCTTCAAGTTCCAGACTGGCGTGGGATAGATTTCCGAGGAGGCGAAACTACACACAACTCTCATGACTGGTGGGATGGCTCTGATTTCCGTTCAGCTAGTAATTGTTTACACTTGTCGAGGTATCTGACATTGATATCTCTGCAAATTGGCGACCGTGGTTCGTAGTTATACCGCGGCGACGTTCCAGTGAGCTCATTATAGCGAATATTGGCTCAATTGGACATACTAGTCCCGAAAATGCAATGGCTGATGCAATTCATAACTTTTCACTGGCTTTAACTGTTCAGAAAGAAAAAGAAATCGATCTATCAATTCCATCTCTCAACGCCGTTTAAGGGTAGACGTTGGCGAAGCAGTGAAATCCCCCCGTCGTCTTCATGCCGGCAGGATCTCCCAACAGCTTCAACAATGACTCGGACCAGGAAAATACAAGCTCTCCCAGAGATGGGCTGGAGACACCTCAAAACACTCCACAAGAGCGCTCACCGCAAGATCGATCACCACGAGATCGGTCACCACCCCGTGTTCGATTTCAATCCTCGAAGACTTCCCTGCAAAATGTTCCCCGTGAGCCGCCGAAAGAAAGTGTCAAAGATGAATGGGAGCACGCTATGTCTCAACGGCTGCCCCATCGGCCGACAATGCCATATTCACATGAGACCGCCGATATCACCGATACGCCACTGAAAGATCGCGAGCAACAGCCAGGCGAAGACGAACGCGAGGAAGGCATCGAGAGGAAGGACCAGTATGCGCGAAAAGATCAGGAAAAAGAGAAGCAAGAGGAGGCTCAGACACCGGAGCAGCGAAGTACAAAAGATAAATGGCGGCACATGGCCCACAGTTGGCGACAGAAGGCAGCGGAGTTCGGTGATCGCCTGGGCCGCCCCCAGACCGAAGGAGACGACTTATCTGCGGGGAAATATCACCCAGACTGGGCGACAGGCGGTGCAGCTGCTCTCTCCGACATGACCGATAACAAGCACAAAAGTGTCAAAGAGAAGCAGCAACAGCAGAAAGGAACAAGTTCCGAGGCTCATCGCATGGTGCGCGATTTGACAGAAGACCAATCACACAAACGCCGGAAAGGTCGAGGGAAGCCGTATCCCTACGCTGGAACCGATTTCAAACCAGATGTAAATGAAAGTGGAAACCTGAACTATCGCGATGGTGGCGGAGGTGTCCTGTCGCAGCTCTTGAAACTAAACGCTGCTCAACAAGGACAAGGAGAACAACAAGGTGCTCAAAATCAGCGTCGCCCGTCAACCGATTCTTCTGACACGTCCCGCAGCACCGAGACCGAGAAGCCCAAAAGACCAAAGCCAGTAAAATGGTATAAAAGGCCCCAGAACACGTCCACAACAACCCTGATCGGTGGGACCGCGGATGCCTTCAGTGGTGCAAGCACCCCTGTTTCCAGCGAAGTCCTGTCACAAGCCTCACAGCGCCGCAGCCAAGAGGTTGGTGCTTCTGCTGGGGGGCAGAGGATGCGCCTCGAGGACGAGATTCGAGTGACGGTACATATCGCCGAGATCATTTGTCGGCAGCGATATATCATGCAGCTCTGCAGATGCTTGATGCTTTTCGGTGCACCGACACATAGACTCGAAGAATACATGCAGATGACCGCGAAGGTCTTGGAGGTCGACAGTCAGTACTTGTATCTACCAGGCTGTATGATCATGTCCTTCGACGACTCATCTACCCGTACGACGGAGGTCAAGCTGGTTCGCGTGGCGCAGGGCGTGGATCTGGCCCGCCTATCAGATACCCATCTCATTTACAAGAATGTGATTCACGACGTGATGGGCATTGAAGAGGCGGTCCAGGAGCTCGATTATATCATGGAGAAAAAACCTCGGTTTCCTGTATACATCGTCGTTTTAGTGTATGGGCTGGCCACGGCAACGGTGGGACCCTTTGCTTTCAACGCCAGACCCATCGACATGCCGATCATTTTCCTGAATGGCATTCTAGTCGGCCTAATGCAACATGTCGCCGCACCTCGCTCGGTATTATATTCGAATGTTTTCGAAGTGACATCGACCGTGGTCACATCCTTTCTAGCCCGAGCCTTCGGCAGCATTTCCCGCGGGGTCGTGAACGGCAAGCCAGACTACATATTTTGCTTCTCCGCTATCGCGCAAGCCTCTATTGCATTGATATTGCCCGGGTTTCTTGTCTTGTGTAGTAGCCTGGAACTACAATCGCACCAGATCATCGCAGGATCGATTCGCATGGTGTACGCTCTTCTCTTCTCTTTGTTCATTGGCTACGGAATCACCGTAGGCACAACCATCTACGGATTGATGGATGCCAATGCCGTGTCGGACACCTCTTGCCCTCCCAAGGGCGCCTTCCAGAATCCTTACGCCCAGCGCTTTCCATTTGTCGCAGTGATGACTGTCTGGTTACTGATCATCAACCAAGGAAAGTGGAAACAGCTACCTCCTATGAGCGTGATTGCCCTTTCAGGTTACATCAGCAATTACTTCAGCACGAAGAAACTGGGATCGAACTCCCAGGTAGCGAATACCGTCGGCGCATTTGTTATCGGCATTATGGGCAACTTATACAGTCGACTGTGGCATGGCCATGCCGCGACCGCTATCTTGCCTGGCATTTTCATTCTGGTCCCTTCTGGTCTCGCTGCGACCGGCTCTCTCATCTCGGGTGTCCAATCTGCGGATGAAATTCGTCAGAATATTGCATCCGGTGCTGCGAGCTCAGAGCCCGGGGCTGGATTGAGTTCTAGCAGTTCTGTGTTCAATTTGGGATTTGGCATGATTCAGGTTGCTATTGGCATTACCATTGGTTTATTCATTTCTGCACTGGTGGTTTACCCTTACGGCAAAGCGCGAAGCGGTTTGTTCAGCTTCTAGCCTGTCTGATGCTATGTTGCTGTATGCCGGTAGAGATCCTTTCCCGGCATCATGTTCATATGTGGGTGTGTGAGATAGCCACAACCTATTCCAAGATAATGAAGTGTTACATAGCATCGTGTTATTAACGATCGTAAACAATGTATCTTTAGCGGCATCTACATCCTCTCCAGGGTGTCATGAATCATGAGTGATCCTCGTTGGCAGTCAACATTCCAACAAAACCATAGGTTTCACAGTTGCTTAGATGGTTGGGAATTACCCGATGGATATGGAAATGAGTGCAAACAATAGTTAGGGAAGGAGGGAGCATGAAAGAAGAACGTTAAGAGGAGTCCTGCCCAGCTCTTATTTCATCTTTCCCTCTCCAGTTCTGTTACTTTAGTTCTCAGCACAGGAAACAAGTCATATGACTCATATTTTCAGTTCCCTTTACTTCTGGCTCGTAACAAAGCGTAAAGGAACTGCACTTGGACCCGCCCAGCCCCGGATTATAAGATTTCCTATTTGGGCGACGGGGCATAGGGTCCCGTCAAACGATCCGACAGCGTTCTCAGAACATGTCTTATGATCATTTCACGTAGTTTTACCAACCAGAATCCTCGACCCACGACGAACTTCCCATTTTACGCACTCTTCGATAAACATTCTCTCCCATCCCTACCATCACAACCAGCACAACCAACACCACAATGCCGTTCGCCCTACCCAAAAAAGCACTCTTCGCTAAACCGAAGATGCGTGCAAAACTACCCACAAAGATTGGCAACTTCGCGGCTAATACAGGCTTTTGCACATTGTTCCTCGTCGGCAACTACTACACGGCGAGGGCAATAGACCGGTACGGACCCGCCGATACCCTCATTCGGCCATAATAGGCCTGCACTGTGAACAGGTGAGCTCCGTACTCGCATAATATCTAGGCTTTCCTTTCTAACGCGATATACCACGACACTTAGGCCACTCTCCACCGACCACAGCCAACTTCGTCGCGCATCCGACCAGCTCCCGGAGCAATGTGAGAGGGGATATGCAGCCCATGTGAGGAGAATTTGGTCTTTATCTACAACATGTACATATTACTTCACAACTAGCATCTCCTCAATGCTATTGCATTTCAAATTCATACGCGGATGAGAACAACTCATCTCGAACTATTCCATCGGCCACCTCTGCTTGGCTGCTATCTTGTAGAGCGCTTGACAGCACTAGCTTTCTTGGTGAAATGGGTACTCATGTCTGATCTGCATCGTGTATTCTATACAAGTAGTATCTACCTAATGCAGTTACACATCACTTCTGATCAAATCATGCTATCATATTTCAGAATTCCTTCCAATTGATACTTTGCTCCCATGCATGTGCAACCTGCAAGATCGTCAGCTCATGGTGCCATTTGCCCACAATCTGCATACTGGCAGGCAACGAGATGCTGTTATAATCCCTCGCCGGCACAAACCCAATTGGCATAGCCAGCGCTGGATGCCCAGTCGCGTTGAACTGGCACGTGTTCTCGGTCATTCCCTTCGCTGCTTCCATCTGGACTACCGGCCTCGCATCTGCATCCGGAAGCCGGTTTGCAGGCAGAAGAGTCGTGGGCATGACTATAACGTCCACTGACGACAAAACATCGTCATATAGGTCTTTCAGCTTCCGCATAATGTTTACAGCTTTGGGATATACGGTTCCATATCGCTGCCAGGCGAACTCGCCGCTAAGAAGGGCTTCCTTGCTCATGACACTCATCTGGAACAAAACAATCAGCAAAAGAAAACCAGTCACCCAGGAATATGGACTTACCTTGTTGACCACTTCGGGCGTGTAGGGAAGGCCCTTCTTTTCAAACAGATCAGTCAACATGACTTGTCGTCGACCAGTTGCTTGCCCCATCATCCCCATATGATTTCCCATCTTGCTGACCACCGAATACACAGATCTGCCGTGCAAATGAAGAGGGATGCTGACTTCCTGCACGATAGCACCCAGGTTTTCAAAGACACTAACCGCGTCTCGGAACTTCGCTTCTATATTTGGATCGACCTGGGCCGGCAGCCCTTCTCTTAAGACGCCTATCTTCAGGCCCTTAATCCCAGCCGCAGCACTTTCAGTCAACAGGCGCGAGTATTGGGGCACATCTCCAGGGAAAGGAATACCCGGTCCGCAACGATCATCCAACCCATCAGCCCCGGCAATTGCCTCCAACAACACCGCATTATCCAAACAAGTGGCAGTTATTGGCCCAGCATAATCCAAGCTCGCATCATTACTCGCAATACCCGTGTACGGTACCAACCCCGCGGTTGGCTTGAATCCATATAGCCCAGTCAGAGCCGCGGGGATGCGGATACTCCCTCCCTGGTCGCACCCGATGCCCATATCCGTTGCCCCGCTAGCCACCAGTGCCGCTGTGCCCGAGCTGCTGCCTCCCACGGAGTATCCTCGTGCGTAAGGATTGTGCACCGGGCCCGTTGCTGCGGTCGAGCTGACAGCTCCACGCGACAAGTTCTCGCATACGGCTTTGCCGGTGATGATGCCACCGGCATCGATGATGCGCGTTACAACTGTCGCGTCGGTGTGCGGGACCCAGTCGCGAAAGGTATCAGTGCCAAGCAGACACGGCACGCCGGCGACGCAGATATTGTCTTTCAGGCAGAGGGTCCTCCCTTGAAGGGAATTTGAGCTCGGTGAATCGGAGGACAATTCGAAGCGCCAGGCCCATCCTCCGAGGCGATTGGCTTCGGGTTTGGGGAAATGGATATTTTGCCTGCGGCTGGTAGTTTGGTCGGGTTCGGGTTGGTAGTCTGCCCCGCGCTGTTAGCAAATTGATATCCAGGTGGGATCTATATCAAGCTCAGTTATGACTCACCATCCATTGCAGCCACCAGCTCGAATGTGTTTTGTGTGCGTGCAAGAAGCGCTTCATAGTCCTCTAGCTCATGCTCTGGGATCTCAAATGACAATTCTTTCGCCAATGCGAGCACTTCCTCTCGAGTAGGCGCCATGATTGTTGTTAATCAACCCACGATGCTAATGCCATCTTTGTATCATCCACACGCTCGTACAAACAACATGGTGTCAAATCCTTATCGTGGCTAAGAATTGCGCCCCCAACATCGCGGTCCAATTAGGGCCTGGATGATAAGCTGCCCCGGCTAAAAGGTGGGGCTTGTTCGACCAGATCCCGGCGAAATCAGGAGCTAATTCGCTAGCGCCATTTTGCTCGCTCTAGAAAGCCGCGGCTGTTGGCCTTCCCCACATTCTCGTACCTGTTGCGCGTCGGAGCCTCCGACGGAAAGTCCGACCCCGCATGATATCGGAGATCAGCCGAGATAAGGAAGGTCCCTAGGGCAATGGTTCATTTATCTCAGAGGTAGTTTTCCATGAAGTTCGCCCCAATTTCTCCTTCCAGGTTTATCATACACTGTCACATCACTCCAAAATGGTCCACATCGATCCAAAGTATCAAGTTCCCCGAGACTTCGAGGGTTACGGCGAAGAAGGCTTTGACGCAAAGTGGCCCAGTGGCGCCCGCATCGCTGTTTCCTTTGTGTTGAATTATGAGTAAGACTCTCTTCCCTTACTAATTACTCGTATGTCCACCAGGCTAATTGAATCAGAGAGGGAGGCGAGCGCTGTATCCTGGACGGCGACAGCATCTCAGAGCCATACCTCTGGGAGAAAGGCGCATCCGGTGGACACCGTGAGAATGCACGCTACCTCAATGCTGAACACGATTTTGAATACGGCAGTCGTGTAGCCTCATGGCGACTGATGCGCTTGTTCAAGGAGTTCGGCTGGAACTTCACAACCTACGCTGTCGCCGTAGCCCTGAAGAAGAACCCCACATTTGCCAAAGCCTTGGTACGCGATGGACACGAGATCGCTACCCATGGCTTGCGGTGGAAGGACTTTTGGGACTTCAATCTCGATGAGGATAAGGAATATGTGAAGCAGAGTCTGTTGCTGATCAAGGAGGTCAGCGGCGAAATGCCAGTGGGAGCCTACTTTGGTCGCGGAACCCCACAAACACATCACCTGTTCCCTGAAGTGTGGAAGGAACTAGGCGAAGAGTTCCTTTGGTCATCGGAGTGCTACAATGATGATGTTCCTTACTGGCTTGACCTGCCATGGGAGGACCAGCTGCCTGAGAATGAACGTGAGGGCATGCTGCTGATCCCATACAATGTAAGTCCATCTTTGCGGATCCTCCCACGAGTATACTGGACCGGTTATACTAATAGCGTTGGCTAGTATGACTGCAATGACGGCAAATTCCACATGTCTCCCGGTTTCGGCTCGAGTGTGGGCGAGAGCTATGAGAATTACCTCAAGAACACGTTCGACATGTTGTACCGCGAGGGCGGCAAGATGATGAACATCCCCTTGCACACGCGCATTATTGGTAAACCCGGCCGATGCGAGGCCCTTCGCAAATTTATGGAATATGTCGCCTCTAAGCCTGGCGTCTGGGTGACTACCCGGCGGGAGATTGCGAAGCATTTCCGGTCTACGTTCCCTTATCAACCGAATAGGAAATGGGTTGATGATGCCAGGAAGCAGGAATAAGTACATACACAACATAGGTATAATCAGGTGGATTTTGCTGTGGAACCTATAAGTCGAATAAGGATCCTGATAGCGTCACATTTAGTATGTATACATTATTCACTCATGGACGTGTACACCCAACTTTCTTGTACGATCACCTAGGTATCGCTGAGTTCGAGGTCGGTGAGATTAAGCAGTTTGTAAACTAACATTGAAAACTTGATGCCGAGATTTTGCCATAGAATAAATCCCAGATCAGACACGGTATGTGCCGCAGTGGGATTGCCGGGGCAATTCGTAGAGACATAGGCTTGCCAGTTGGCGGAAGGTTTCGCCAGTTGGCGGAAAAGCTTGCCAGTTGACGCGCTAAACGCATCTGGAACTTCGCGACTTCAATCTGCTACTAATCGAATTACCTTCCATTCTTGAACAAATAAATCCAGAAGCACCATCGTAATCATTATTAATCCCATCACAGTTCACTATCTTGTTATAATATCTTCCTGGTTATGACTTATGGTAGCTGCCAACCCTCCCAACTGGTATCCGCAAAGCCACCGAAACCCGGCATCCAAGGCGTTTCAGCCGAGGGAGTGTTAGGATCCACCCAAGTGACCAGTTCATTCACAACCGCTAACGTATCAAATTCCATCCACCTATCCTGCAAGACCTGCAATGCAGGCGGCATAGGCTCACCCTGAGCCAGCCCAGGGCCAGCCATCGCCGGAAACTCGCCATTTGAGACACCCCTATCTCGAGTCATAGGTGGCTGCTGAAATGACGGGACACTCGTATCCTGCATCGGAACATCCTGCATAATGCTAGCAATATCCCGAGCCTCACACTCTTGTCGCGTTTCCAGTCTCTCCATAGTTATGCTCACCAAGGCCTCGAATGCATCGCGGTACCGACGTACCCAGGGAGTCCTCTCGCCCATGACGAAGAGTACGCTGGAGCAAGCTCGGATATTGTTGCTCAGTCGCACACTCCAGACATTCTCGTGGGTCCATAGACAATATAACATCATGATGCCGGAAACGAAGACAGTCTGCACGGCGATGAAGCTATGTCCATAAGCCGCGTTCTGATGGAGTTTTTTGTGGAGTTGGCAGATCTGACCGGCGGACTCCAAGCAAGCTTTGAAATATGGATCGGAGCTCGGCAGGATGGATAGGAAAGGTTGCATGAGGAGACGGATGGCTCGGTGGTAGTGGAGTAGTAAGTAGTCTGGATTACGATCGTTCTCTGCGCCTACCGATGCCAGTAGACTCTCTTTCCATTCTTGCAGTTCTTGGTAATAGCCGCGAACCTTAGGGAGAAGCTGCTGTAATGTGCGATCATTGCGGTATTGGGAATGGTGAATGCGGGACTCGATTCTTCTGAGCTGGAACAGGTGTATGACTTGCTGTAATTTGTGGTCGTCCGCTTGTATCACGGTCGGCATCTCCACGTCGATCAGGCGATCGGGGAGACTGACTGGGTACCCGAGTGCGATGGATATGTTGCGCTCTAGAGAGTAGACGGTCCAGAATAACTTCCGGCGCTTTTGAATAACCGCGAAAGGGAGGTCGGCTTCGCTCCGTGATAGGTATAGTCCTAGGTGGATGCAGGTACGCATGGCAAATCCGATGAGATACCATAGCTCTTGGCTTATTGATGAGCGGAGGTGGAATATAACGAGAAGGACCATGGCTTCGATGTTTTCTAGTGATCGTGGCTCTCGTGCTGAGGATATATGGTGTATCGCTGTCATATAGAACGTCTGTTACGGTGGTTAGCTGGATTCAGAGAGATATTCCGCATCAAAGCCATAAGCGGTGTTACTGACCTCCGGCGCTGGTAGAGACGCCTCCTTCTCGGTCAAACTGAGTAGGCCAGACCCAACAGCATATACGAGGTACAGTTTGAACAATCCAAATTGCTGGCTCGCTGTCAACGACTCAGGACCAAGATGGGAGAAGCTTTCTCTGTTCCGGTGCCATTCTAAGACCTCTTCTAGATCGAGAAAGGGGTATCTTGAATCGACTCTCTCTGAGTATGTCTCAATCAGTCTCACACCCAATTCATCAGACGGCGGCCCGCTGCCGTCGCGGTTCTCTATGCCATTTGTGAAGGGGTATACTTCTGAACTCGGGGAGCCCTCCTGCGCCTCCGAGAGACCAGTCGTCACCTTCCTCCGCGCCGAGTCTTGGGAGACATCTCCAAGATTAAGGGCAAGATGAAGTGCAAACTGGGAGAAGTCCATCCCCGAAGATGTATCGGGGAGGGAGAGACATAGTGAATTTGCTACATCACCGATGTTGATCTGCCCCGGCGTCCCACGCGAAGAAGCACTCGCATCGGGGTTTTCAGCCTGCGCCTGCGGAGACTGGTGTTGCTGGAGTTGAATCTCGAGTTCAGCCACTTTATTTTCCAGTGCACGAATGTATCTTAGTTAATGTCAGACTAAATTTGTTCAATATGAATGCATGAACTTACTTTGCGACAACCAAATCCTCGCCCCGGACATTTTGCAGGTCGCAGGTCGCTCCGGACTTTGTGCAATTTGAACAGACGGGCAGTTGGCCATCACACTAACCGGGATTATCAATTTCCAGAATGTTCATTATCAGGAAATTCCGGTTTCACATACCTTCTGCTTTCTGGTCTTGCATCGCGAACAAGCTGTCCGTCCCATCCCGCGTTTGCGGCTCTGGCTAGCAGGCCCCGCCGTCCTAGGAGACCGGGGTTCCCCAGGTGGAACTACTCCAGAGATGTTCATGCCTAGTTTGGGGAAGCGTAGATGCAAGGAAAACGGAGGGTCCGTAAGATGGGATTCATGCGAGCTCAGTATCGGGGGGGGTCCGAACCCCACACAACCTTCCACCCCGCTCTGTAGGCCAATCCATTTTAGGAAGTTTGAAAAGCATCTCGTCGCATCTCCACTTTATTTCGGTGGCGGACGCTTTTGCGTACATTTCCGGGATTTACCTCGTTTTATTTTAGCTATCATAACTTGGCTATTGTAATTGGCTCATCCCATCTCAAGCTTCCATGTGCATTCGAGGTGGTGGATTCTGAAATGCGGGCAGTCGGAGGTTCCGACGAACATCGGAGTTCGGGTTACGGAGTAGTAACTAAAATTTGTTAAGACTAGTTATGAGCAGCTATTATTCCAGATACCTGCTGTAGATATCCTGGGATATTATAGCACGAGTTATCTTTCAATCACAACAGAAACCAAAAGATGGAATCCAGAATCACCGGAGAGCAGCAGCTGAAGCCAGCAACGCGCTTGCGCAAGCTCCTCTCACAACCGGGCATCTGTATCCAGGCGCCGGGAGTGTATGATGGTCTTTGCGCGCGCCTTGCTATAGAACAAGGCTTCGAAGTGATGGTAAGCTTCATCGTGGATTCCTTCCCGGGACGGCTTCACTGACCCGGAAACAGTACATGGGCGGCTCTATGACTACGGCCGCACGTCTTGGAAAGGCAGATCTTGCTTTTGCGTCGCTGAACGACTTTGCACAGAATGGGCAAATGATCGCAAATATCGATCCTCGCATCCCTCTCATCGCAGATGCAGATGTCGGGTTCGGGTCACCGCCAAACATCGCTCGCATGGTGCAGACATATGATTCTTGTGGAATCGCCGGCTTCCACATTGAAGATCAAATGTCTAATAAGCGATGTGGCCACTTGAAGGGAAAGGCGGTCGTCGACATTGAGTATGTTGCTTGTTTGGATCCGCCGCGAACAAGTCATATCGTATCGGGTACTAACTTCACGTGACAGGACTTGGAAAACAAGAATCCGCGCCTGCGTAATTGGTCGGGATGCTATCTATGGTGGCAGTGATATAGTTATCATTGCGCGAACGGATGCGCTGGCTGTTGAGGGATACCAGGCTGCTCTTGATAGAGTAAGTTCGGAGGTCAAACGAAATCTAGCAGCCAGAAGTATAACTGATCATCTCGCTCAGCTCATTGCGGCACGGGAATGTGGCGCCGATATGGGCTTCTTAGAGGCTATTGAGACAGAAGAACAGATCAAGAATGCGGTCAAGGTTCTGGCACCGATGCCTGTGAGTCGACCACCGGTTCATTGCCCCCTGTGTTGCAGAACATACTGACCTGATTCAGCTGATGGTGAACCTGGTCTCAAACGGCAAGACGCCGTGGTTCTCACCCGAACAGTTGGGCGAGTGGGGAGTCAAGGTCCGTTGCTAGTTATTCAATTCTTCTTGTCGACCTTTTACTAATGCAACAGCAGCTGGCTATCTACCCCGGTGCTGCCGGGAAGTCAGTTCTTCACACCATTAGGCGCGCTTATAAGTTCCTTATGGAAACTGGACAGGACGATGCGCAGGCACAGGGTCTGGATCCTAAGGGTTTCTTTAATGTCATGGGGCTGCAAAGAGAGATGGAAATCGATCGGCTGGCTGGAGGTGTATCATTTGCAAACGGCGCGTAAGGTGTATAGTCAAACCTAAGGAATAAAATCTCATATAACTGGGAATTTGTATAGGTTCTGCTTGTGTCCAGATAGTCTTGTCCATGATTAGGGGGGGGGCAACTAGACAGAGACGCACTGACGGTAAGCTGCCAGATGAGAGGAAGGTATTTGCTGACGGAGTCGTTCGCCGCTGGAGGCTCCTAAAGGCTCTTTATGGCCTGCGCAAGTCTCCGCGATTGTGGCAGAAGGGGGCCACGGGAGTACGACCAAATTTCCTCATCAGTGATCCAGTGATCCAGTGATCTCAGAGAATGACTCTGGCAGCAATATCTTCCTCTCATCTGGCAGCTTACCGTCAGATAAGTCTCTGTCAAGTTCCCCTACCCGAGTCATGGATATGGACACGTTGGTATCGAGAGCAGTGTTTAAAAAGAAGCCGCCGCGTAAGATCAACGTCGACAGACGTGCAGAGCTCCCGCGGGCTATCTGGGACTTCATTGACGCTCGTGTCTGCCTCAAGAGCCGGATTGCAATTGGAACAGCACGATTCTCTTGGTTAACCAGGCGGCAGCTCTGGCTCTTTAACCCATTTCTGAAAGACTCGCTGGGTTAAAGAACTAGAGCTGCCGCCTGATTATCCAAGAGAATGGTGCTGTTCCAATTGCAATCCGGCTCCTGAACATGACAGGTATTGAGCTTGATGTTAGAGGAGGCTCGAGGGTGAAGTCTGAAGCCATTATCTGAGTTTGGTCTCAAATTTTGGATCATGAGCGCCAGGCTTTGCAGCCATTTTCATGTACGTGGTTGGTGCGACGTGGACGGTCATCGGTTGTGTCTTCCCCGCGATCTTGGGTCGACCGCGGACACTTCGATCTCGAAGATCTTAACTTAGGTATGGTTGATGGTGCGAAATGTGACGGAGGTGAAGAAGATGCAGTAGGCCAAGTTTTGAGATGAAATCCGACGTTGTTGTCGAGATCTCATGATTCAATGAGAGAGGCTCGTTTCGTTGTTTTGCTAACAGTTGCTTTTTTTCCACTTGTCTTGTCCGGAACATACTAGTGCCGTTCCGCACACAGGACCGACCCTGCTTCGACAGTCCTGCAATTGACCGAATGGCGGTTGCTAGAGCCTTGGGGAAACATAGGCTCCTGGCTCCAGTTGGCATCGCCGCCTCATTTATCCAGGAATTTCTGGCTGAATTCAACAAACTGGAACTTGGTTTTTGTTGCGGTCTAGTGGTAAAACCGGGATAGCCTGTATTATTTCCCACAGAAACTATATAATAGACTACCTGGACAGGACAAAGCAACCTAGAACCTAGACATAATCAAAAAAAACACCCTAGGTAGGTACCTACTACCTAGGTTGAAACGAAAACCAATGGAAGTACAATTAGGTCATACATCATTGGGGTATATACATCAAGCCATACCCACGATCTTGCTCATCTCTTCCTTCGTCACAATCGGACTGAAGCCCCTGCAAGGCATGCCCATAGCCTCGGCTTGACGCTTCTCATATCTCAAGAAGTCGTCAGTTATGGCACTCCCTCGGACACCACCACGGACAGCGCCCGCCCTAGAATCACCCCAGTACTCGGCAAACTCAGCGGGTAGTGGCTGAGAAGAAGGAATAGAGAGCCAGAGACGCATGAGATGACGCTTCTCATCCGGAAGATCATAGTCCTCAAACGGTGTGCGCGAGTGTAGCGTAACAAAGCTGTTCAGAAGCTGCATATCACCACGCTCAAGCTCCATAGTGTAGCAGAACTCATCGGAAGGCATGATAGTATCCAAGAAATCAAGTGCCTCTTCCTGCTGGGGCGTAAGGCGCGGCACCTCGGGGAAATCCCGCTGCGCGGCAACAGTGTTCTTGCGGTTTGTGCGGGCACAGAAGTAAGCACCGCTCTTCCCCATGAGCGGGCAGCGATAGTAAGGAGGCTGGGTGGCATCCTGGGCATTCTGGAAGCTGTGGAACCAGTTGTTGGCCTCAAGAACGGGCAGCAGGTCAGGACGCGCTTCGGCAACCTTATCGTGCAAGGCAATGCTGCTCATCACCTTGGATGTACCGCCCTCCTTGGCAGTGCGACGGCACAACAGGGCAACAACGTCGGCAGAGTCCTGGTGGAAGTCGAGACCGGCGTTGGTGTTGTATCCACGGCCGCCCTTGACCTTGTAGCTGCCGCCGGCATCGCGAACGTCGTTGATCACTTCGCTGGCGCGGTTCTGGGTCCGACCGACGCCCATGTAGAGTCCCATTCCCCAGTAAGCGACGCGCATTTCGGCCTCAGTCCAGTCATTGACTGGGAAGCCCTTGACGAGGCACATGCCCCAGCGGCCTTGGGTGGTGCCAATGGCTGCCTCAAGTGCCTTCTTGGAGACCTCGGGAAGTGGATAGTCGGCTTGGGTCATCTCAAGAAGAGGCTTGGGGTGCTCCTTGGCATAGGCAAGTGCTGTGTTGAAGCCTTCAATTTGCTCGGGGGTCAGACGCAAGATCCACGAATCATCGCGCTCAACGTCTTGCGTCTTCCAAGCCTGGGGTTTCTCGCCAATTGACATCTTGATGGAAAGTGAAGGACGAAGTTGTGAAGGATTTGCAAATGGAAAGACAAAACCGTAGCTTCGATGGGCAATTCCAAAGAAGTGTGATTGTGAATATAGATCTGGTAGATGCTGTTGTGCCGTTTGTTCTTCAGTTGGCTTTCTTATAAGTCCATCAACGCCGTCTCGAGGTCTTTATGACCGGCAAAGACCTACCATAGTCTATCCGGGACACCAGCAATGCCAAGGTCTCACTAACATCAGTCATGCGACGCATGGACGTTTCCCTGGGAATTTTGGTGAAATTGTCGGATGCTCCGTCCCTTCGGCCCGGTGGGTCCATCTCGGATGGTCCAGAGCGGAAGGTGCAAACTGAGCAGGCACTTAGAGTTTATCGGAGGGTCCGGGGTCGAGACCCTACGGCTACGGCCCCCAATGCCCAACATCCACTTCGCGTCTAACAACTTCCCCAATTGCCCCAACGGCCAATTATCATGGACGAGCGCAAATCCCCCCGCCATTTGGCTATCTTTCCCCATATTTTTAGACAGGAAGTGATTGGATCTCTCGCGCGAATTAGCCTTTGGTATCTCTTCTAATTTATTATGTACATCATTACTGAAAGGATTTGCTTGGAGAATGAACAGGGTCTTGGTAATTGCTCATGGTTCATCGCCTACAGGCCCCTTTGATAACTTATCACCAAGACCGCACGCGGGCTTTGAACTAACTCAACTCTTTATCAGCAGAACGGCAAGCCACCAGCTCTAAAACTTGGGAAATTTCGCTGGGCACTTGCATAAATCTCAACTCATCGCCACGTCTTTTTGCTTGTCAGGAATTCTGGTGGTTGTTCATATATTCTTTCTATCACAATGACTTGGGCATCACGGGTCAAGCAAGCGTTCTCCTCGCGAGAGGCCTTCATTAAGGCCATTGAAACGAAAGAGGTTGACGGAGAGAATGCAACTTATAATGAGGATTTACTTCCAACAGAACCCGGTAAGTCGCTGGCCCAAAGACTCTTCTAAGGACCGAACGAGATGCTAATGAATCGTGACAGAGCGGCGGTCATGGGCATGGATTCACTTCTTCACATACTATCTTACGACATCTTTCTCGCCGACAAGTTATAATCTCGGTGCCTCTCTAGCCACCATTGGCCTGGTGAGTCAATCGGTCCTTTTGAAGCGATTGGCAAGTGTCCGGTCATGCTAATGAAAATCCCAGACGTGGTGGCACACCCTTATTGCCGCGGTGATAGGCTCTATCTTCCTTTCCATTATTGTCGTTCTCAACTCTCGCGGTGCCACGCAATACCATGTCGGATTCCCGGTCATTGCAACATCAGCCGGAGGTCCACGAGGCTCCAAATTCTTCATTTTCATCCGTGGTGCAGTGGCCGTCATCTACTTCTCCACAAACCTCTACTACGGTGGAATGTTGATGGCCATCGTGCTGCGGTGTATCTTTGGCTCGGCATGGGAAAGCATTCCCAATCATCTTCCGGCCGATGCAGGCATCACCAGCGCAAATCTTCTGGCCTTCTTCATCTTCTGGTTCTTCCAGATGTCTTTGATGTTTGTGCACCCCGTCGTTCTGAGACACATCTTCGTCGTCAAGGCGTTCTACAGCACTGTTGCTCTGATCGCCGTCCTCGGCTGGGCCGTTCACCAAAATCACGGCTCCCTCGGTAGCTTCCACTTCGAAGGCCAGGCAGTGCTGTCAGGCGCGCAACTGATCTGGCCCATGATTTCGGCTATCAACTCTATCTGCGCTGCTCTGTGTCCGATTCTGATCAATCAGCCTGATATTGCGCGATATGCTAAAAGACCGTCGCAAGCCACCTGGTCCCAGATCTTGGGAATCTTCGTCAGCAAGATCCTGATCATGTTCCTCAGTGCCGGAACTACCAGTGCCACCCAGGGATTCCTGGGCACGTCTTACTGGAATGTGTGGGATCTCTACAACGCAATCCTGACAACCTACTGGGGACCTGGTGCTCGTGCTGGTGTTCTATTCGCTTGTTTGGGCATGGTGCTCGCTATCCTGGCCTCTAATGCCGGCACCAACGCGCTCCCTGCGGGCGCTGACATGACGGGTCTCCTGCCACGCTTTATCAACATTGTCCGTGGACAGGTCATTTGTGGTCTTTTGGGTCCTCTACTGTTCCCCTGGAAGATTATCGCCGATGCCAAAAGTTTCCTGACCTTCCTGTCCTCATACGCCGTCTTTTTGATGCCCATCTGTGGTATCATGGTGGTTGACTACTGGCTCGTTCGTCGTGGTAACCTGCACGTCCCGTCGCTCTACAACCGTGATGCGGACTCTCCTTACTCATACTGGAAGGGATGGAACTTGCGCGCCATTGTTGCCTGGCTCGCCGGTACCGCATTCGTTATCCATGGTGTCGCTGGTGCTTTGGAACCTAGCCTCACAAACCAGGCTAGCAAGGACATGTACAAGCTTGGATTCTTGTTGAGCTTCCTCGTTGGATCATTGGTCTACTATCTCGCCTGCCTGATCTTCCCTGTGCCAATGTATCCTGAGAGCGGCCGGGACATGCCCAAGACATTCGAATATATGGCAGCTTCTGAGGGTTTCTTCGAGGGTGAGAGCGTTGATACTATCCGGATTAGTCACGGCGCTATCACTGGGATCAATGGTGATACAGAAAAGGATTCTGCGATCACATCGGAAAAAGAGATTTATGTATAACCTTAGACAGACAGAAACCCACAACCCGAATGCCTGATCTATGTCCTTAGATTCTGCGCCAGTACAAGCCAAATGCAAGTTAGTTACATTATTTACACGCTTGTCTCTGTTGCGGTTTCCGATCAGATTATTTTTGGTGTATTCATACCAAGTTGAATAATTGGGATCTAAGCTACATGTACTCTTCGTAGAATAGGCGTGCAACCCTGCAATGCCAGTCACATATACATGGAAAAGTCTGCCAGCTGGTGACTATTCACCAGTTGGCGGCAATCTACCCGCAATCCAATCCAAAAAACCGTGCAGGTAAGACATGATGAAAGCATAACAGTTAAAAATTGGAATAAGGGGGAATTGTCAAGCCACGAACGCATCGAGCAGGCAAAGCTGTCCTTCACGCAGTGGCGGCCTTTTGGTGATCCTGCCAGATAGCGTAACCCAGGAGTTCAAGCAGGTATCTTTCACGGTATATGAGAATGGCCACACCCTCTCTTTGCAAAAATATCTGCGCATGCTGCAGAACGATGATCAAATCGGTGGTGGGGAGCCAGAAGATGGCCTGGTGGGAGATGGTGATTTGCTGAGGACAAAGACTCAAGCATTGAAGCTTGTTGAACAAGGGCTGAGTGCGTTTATCATGGGCGAGAGACTCGCAGAATGATTCAAACATGTTGTTATCGACAATCAGGCGAAGGATTGAATCCAAATAATCGCGTCGGAATTGCGCTTGTGGCAGGGAGGGTTCCAGCTCAGCGAAAGTACTCTGCATCATGATCACTTGTTGCAACTCTTCAAAGAGCAGCGTTGACTGTTTCTCAATTGACCTTGTAAGTCCGACAAGTGGGCGGTCATAGCCCAGCTTCTTCCGCCAGAAGTAGTTGCACACAATCAGGATGATGATACACGGGATTAACACAACATATCCCCACCAGCGCTCGGCTGTGACCATTGAAGCGGCACCAGCCACAAGACCATTTACACCATTGATCCCAGCATGCCATTGGAAACGACGGAAACGTGTATGCAGGCGACGACGGATTGTATCATTTGTCTCCAGGGCAAAGACGGCGGCATGGTGCAAATGAAACCGACGGACAAGATATCCCGACCAAACGGCATTTGCTACACCAAAGGCAGCAGCTAGACCATTCCCGATGTACCCAGAAAGCAGATTGCTGGTTTTGTAGACGCGGGGATTGGCGCCACCGATGGCCATCAGAGTGCCAATGCCGACCAATAGCGAGCCAAATCCCATGAATGCGTCCATCACGAGGCGGTCCACCAGCTCAGTGCCAATCTCACGTGCCCCAACTCCAAGGCGATTTTCAATGAGCTGAACCATCTCCGTGTCATTCTTGTGTGATTCCTGGAGGCTTTGTAGATGAGCCCTTTCCACCCGCAGGAGCTTGATGTTTTTCCAGCTCAGTAGAAGGTCACGCACAGCAACGACTACCATCCCCAAAGCAAGTATGCCACCCAGTCCCATCAATACCGCTGCAAACTTCGGAACAGGAATCTCATTCCAGACATTTGCAGCGAAGTCGCCAGCGTTGGCAAGCTCAAGGTATCCAACGCCAGCAAGCAAGCTGTTTTTGTATTGCTGTTGATGGTGCAGTCTGAATCGGCCACGCTTATTAACGAGCGTCACTTGATCGTTGATTGGCTGGGCGGCCTCCTGTAGTGTGATGTCGCTGGTGTTTCCTTCGCCATGCTTCCGTAACAGCGTCAATCGGTCGTTGGTTATCTGCAGGGATTCTTGTGACGTGATCTCGCTGGTGTCACCCTGCTCACGCTTCTGCAATAGCACAACTTGGTTGGTGGTTGTCGGCTCGGAGTTCTGGGATGTGATGTCACTGGCTTCGCACGGGAATATCGGAATAGACGGTGATGGGCGGCTTGGCCGTTGGAGTCGAATGATCTCCATGAATTTGGCTCTGATGATTTTTTGGACTTTGTGAAGTTGGGAAGGGGGAGCGACGATGGTGTCGCTGGTCCCGTGTGCATCACCCATTTCCGTGATAAGATGTGAGGAATCATAGAGAGGAACAGTTCACATGACTTCACTAATACCAGTACTCAGAACAAAAACTCAGTGATGGACACGACTGGAATACGATTGGAGCAAGAGCTGAGCTTCAAACGATGAACAATGAGTTGTCAAAGACAAAATGGCACAAGTGGCTCCCAGCGGGTAAACTGCCGGACCTTAAGGCACATCCGGCTTGGCATCGCCCTGTAGGGCTGAGCACGTGATGAGCTAGAAATAGCTACAGCCTACCGGAAACCTTTGCCGTCCAATGTACGTAACTGAAAATAACCGTACCAGTTCAGAACACCCCTTGCAGTAGGTACATAGGTGCTGCCAGGCAGCAACACTTACCACATTTGCCAGACGGATGTCTACCCGGCTGTCCGATCGTTTTTTAACAAAGTTGTCATCAGGAGTCAGACTTTCTGGCTTTCTGCTTTTACTGTTTTACATAATAGTATTAATGTAACCCCTGACTAAGTAGTCTTTGAAGGGACCTACAGAAGTGACTTCCAACCCTGAACATTTAACTATATTCTGCAAGGGACCAGGGGGAAGTATGGGAATTAATTACCACTAGACCACATCAAAAACCAAGGTTCCTGTTTATGGCCTAGGGAGGCCTTATCCCAGTGTATCCCAGTCTGACAGGAAGCAACATGGAACGTAGGAAGTTTGAAATTCCTCTTGATGAATGTGGCATAACTCTAGTACCTACTGCTCATGCTTCTTTGTAAGATACATTCCCTGGTTCGGGTGTGCTCAATGCTCGAATTAGCTTGACGCCGGCCTCCGCCATATCGCCCGAATGTGCCCCCCAGAACTGAGCCTCACGGTCGGAACCCCGGAGCACATCATCCTCCGGTTGCTCCCTGGTTGGAGAAGGAGTACCTTCATAAGTTTCTTCATTTTCAGTCGCGCTGTAGACGTTGACTCGTTCGTTGAACCGCACTCGGTGACGGGTCCGTCCATTAGGCGAGCCCTGGGAGCAGGATTTCGGGGAAGAGTTTCTCGCCAAGCTCGCAGCCAGATAATTTCTCCGCACAGCGTACCGACGAGCCTCTTCCCTCCGAATAGTGTCTGAGTAGATCTTCTCCAAAGCCACCGAGGCGGTAAATCGCATGCCTAGGTAGACCTGCTCGGCAATAAACACCGTCAATAGCAAGGAAGAGAGCCTTACCTCGGCGATGGGCCCCCGGTAAATGTGCACGACGGCGGCTGTAGATAAGGTTCCCAGCCAAGCCAAGAAGTCCAAACCCAGGAGACAAGGTCCAATGGAATCGGACCGAATCGGTGGTGGTCGCTGGCATTCCAGCGTGAGTTTGAAGAAGTCACCCCGCAACTCAAGCCAGTTGTTCAGTAGGAAACCTAGCGGGACGAGCGGCCAGGCAACTCCAAATAGTGCCAGATAGCCGAACTGAACACACATCTCCATGGTGTCATCCTCGACATGGTATTCCTCTGCACCAGCCTCGCTACGCAGTCTTGTCATAAAAGCCACCTCCTCGGGCGGGTCAATCAGGAACAGATCCGTGGCCACGGAAGTCGTCCGCCTGTGATCCATTCCTGCCTTGCGTTTCTGATAGTTCTGCCATTTCTGTCGCAAGACATGCTTCACATATGGCAAAATAACCTCCTCGCCGAAACTGAGTACTTGCGCCGTCATTGAGAGGTAGATCACTTCCTGCTGGAAGCGTGCGACATCAACCTCAAACTCCTTGGTGTGGACGGCGAGGTTGGTCTTCTGCCCTAGGGCCTGGAAGATGTGCAAGTATGGGACAATTTGTCTACCAAATGGAACGTACACAAATGCAGTCAACATTGTAGGGAGAAAGGAGGTGATAGAGTTCATGACAAAGGTCTTCTGAGTCTGAGCGAGATCATATTGATCTTGAGTTCGGTAGTTCTCGTAGTCGGTCAGGCGAGTTGCAATCCTCGTGAGGAATGAGGTAATGGCGGGCAAAGATAGCGAAAAGAGGACAGTCGGTACGAACTCAAGGTACCCCTTGAATGGGCCATCGTACACCTCGGATATGAACACCTCTGATGCGAAAGATGCAACAATCAGAGCTCCGAGCGCGACGCTCGCGACAGATGCGAAGGGAAGCAAGAGCATCTGCCGTGAGAACTGCTTCCAACCAGGGAAAATATGCCGCACCTCACCGCTGATTGGGTCTTTGACCTCTTTCTCCCATACATACTGCTTGCGATTCACTTTCAACCGCCCAACACCCTTGACGTCCCAACGCTGACTTAAATCGGCCTCCCGAATCTTCCAGTACTCGACGAACACAATACACGACGTGCATAGTACGGCTCCATATGTGATCGAATACGGACCTAGATATAGCCATCCGAGAATGCCCAAGCCAGCAGGCACCGTGAGGAATAGCGAATACGAATGAATAAAGGCGTAGTAGAAAGCAACCTAGACACAATCAGCACAATGTGTCAATAGAGCTACCCGGAGGTCGCTCAAGCCGGACCAATACCTTCTCTCCGAAAAGTGCTCGAATTTCATCGAGATCTTTGGCAGTCAATATAGTCTTCCGATTCCATTGACGTAGCATCCGGGAACAGGCCTCCTGGTCATGTAAGGGAAAAGAGGCGGTCACATTCTTCCATTTCCCGAACCCCGGTGTGATTCCTGCGCCGCCTAACTTCTTTTGCCATGTAACAGCATGGTAGACTGATCGGATCTCTTCGGATGGTGACTCGGCATCGGCGATAGTAGTTTCATCGCCCTCCGGTAAAGTATGGGTAATTCCGAACAACCAATCCTTTATTCTGCCGTGAGTCAGTTCATGCTCGAATCTGCTTCAACCATTCGAGCATCTCTTCCATATCACCTACCTGGACTGATGTACCAAATTCCCTAGGTGATCTCGCGGAACTCGGATGCAGACCAAGAGTGCTGCACTGTGTCCATGCCGCACTTGGACCCGAAGACCGGCTTCCTTCAAGTCGCTAATGAGCATTCGAAACTCTGTAATAGCTTGCTCTTGATCTGTAGATTGTCAGTATATGTCGGGAGTCAAGGATGTCCGGCGCAAGCACGTCATTTACCGATGTCGCCGAACTCATATTGCAGAACCCAATCCACACCCAGGTTGTCGTAATCATCGTGGTCGCTCTTACCATACCCCGCAAGCCATGACATATCGGGAAGCTCAGGGTGGCTTGTTAAGAGAGTGTGCAGCTGGAGTGGTGAAAGGTCGAGGTTGAGGCGGTGGAAGTTTGAGTATATTGGAAAGGGAATGTGGGGGATTTGTTAGTATTTTGGTACTACTGTATGTACGGAGCCCGTGATACCATTGTTGGTTCCACTCAACAGGGGGAAAATGCCAACATCCGCATCATCTTTACCCGCCCAGTCCGCTGCGGATCACCAACTTCTCTCTCTTCCCCTTTTTCTCTCCTTAATCTGATGTCTACTTAGTCAACCCCCTCTCTTCTCCGAGGAGCGATCACGGTTACACAATTGCGTTCCCCAGTGCATATATCCTCGTTCTGATCCCTGCAATGATTTGGCTTTGTCTAAGGCTGCAAGCCTGCAAGTGACAAGTCAACCCCACTAGTCAATCCTCAGCCCTACGGGGAGGTTTTATTGCGCGCCGATCATGTTTGCCACCGAATGAGAAGCGGCAGATTCCGATCGCCAATTCTCTGCCCTACCCCTTGCCTGTCAATCGGAAAATCCCCGTGCTCTGGCCCTGCAAAATTTGACATTTGAAGCCCATGCTCGAATGGCTGGATCGAACACCTGCAGCTGCAGCTCACTCGCAGACCCCGAAGGTGTCGCTGCCACAAAGGGATGACTGCACAGGGCTGGATCCACTACGGGCGCGTGCAGTCCCGGGATTGGAAAATGTTGGCACCTCAATAGGGCTGGGCTGGGCACCGGAGCGGGCTCCGGCCCCTGGGTTACTGGCGTTGGGGTAAAAGAATGAATTTATTGGCGACGCGGCCAGCCAATAATGAACCTAATGAAACAGGCCAAACGAGCTCTACTAATAATTGCCAGCAAATGCCCATACGGAATCTTTCATTGCTTGATGAGCTTAATATTCAAAGGCAATTACACGAAGGTTCTCCCTAGACAGGGGAAATTGTTGAGAAAAATGTTGCTGCCTGGGTGCAACGGCCTGCCGAGCCTCGGCGCCCCAGGGAACTTGGCCAAGATTAGATTTCCTGCCTTCGCGTCAGTCTGATTTTTGAATATCCACATTTCCATTGGAGATCTGCTTACAATGGGCGGTGAAACTTCATTCGATTTCATATTTGCGCCAAGAGTGGATTGTGGAGGTTTTGAAAAAAAACTTGAGTCCTTGACTGGATCCATAGCAGTGAATTCCCCGCCCAATTGCATAGGCATCAGCATTTACACCCACAGCCGGCGACGGTTTTTGAGACTGTGGCACCGCGATTTTGGGAATGGCGCTGCCTTTATATCCGGCGCTTCCATCGTCCCTTGTTCGAAGTCCATAAATGGGGCAGCATGCGCGAACAGATGCATGAGCAATGAGATCATTTTCAAGATATATTGACTTCCACTCAGTCGATCACTTTCCTCTACATCCATCGTACGCCTTTCCTGGCTCTTCTAATTGACTGAACCAGTCATCTACGTACTAGGTTGGGCCTTGGCTACCATATGTATTCGCTCATTGAGATCATGGCCCGTCGTTTACTACGTGGGCAGAATCTCACCCTCGGGTTGAGCCTCTTTCTCTTTATCTTCATGTTCCTTCCCACCTTGCTTATACTATTAGCGGTCATCGTATTCTTTGTCCTGGTGTATCCGCGACTAAGCAAGCCGTACAGGCTTGACCGAGAACAAGGGTTCGAGCCTCGGTCCGAGATGAAAAATTGAATCAAAGTATCACGTTGCGCGTTTGGTAAGGTCACGTTCAATATGCTAGCTTGAAACTGATCACTGACGTTGTAGATGCTCATGAGTCTCTTCAAAAGCGTTGTTACACGCGGCACATTGGCGTTCTCCTTTTCTATCTGATTCCAAGGTTTGCTGCTGTTATGCAGCAACCAACCACAGTCTTGTAGGGGTGTTCTGGGATGTACCCTAAAAGCGGATGAATTGCTTCCATTATTTTGTTGTCCAATGTCCTGGATGCAATTGTACGAGGGCGAAATGGCGTTCGCGTTGTATATTACTTTTCTGTGCATTCCACCTATCCATGAGAGGCCTTTCCACGCCGGATACATATCCCATGCCGGGCTGTGCCTTCATTTATTTCATGTTTCACCGGGCTCAGTCCAGATAACCTATGATATACCTATCTACGTGACGTCCTATATGTCGGTAACTATCTATGCTAGCATAAACTCTGCATGTAGGTATGATGCAGATCGAGTAGCGTACCCTACCTTCCACTTAGGTTGTAGTGTAGCCCGGGAGATTAACACGGTGTACACTGAAGCACCCTGGTGAGGTAGAAGTTTCTTGTTCCATGTCCGGACCGGGCCTGGCTGAAAAGTTATTTTCCCTTCCATCGCTCCATTGATACTCTGAGGCTGGTTTCTTTGACTTTCATTGCCACTATTCCGCTCCAGGGTTAATCCTCGCTCCTACTGTGCCAGGTCTGAGGTGGGTAAGCGGGTAGGGCTAACACCCGTTTCGGTGGAAAACTCATTTAATGTTGTTCATGCTCGTCAGATTCAAGATGCAATCGCGGACCCAGGTATTCTCACATGGATATCTTCGGTACTCAGACCCTCGCTCACTGAGTCGATGATATAGTTGGAACAAACTATGGTCCTCTTCACAGTCATCAAAGACTGCTTCAAAGGCACGACAACCAGCGCATAGGTCATAACAAAAGGCACAATCGTCCAGACATGAGCCTCTTCTTTGGGTCCAATGTTATCGTAATGTGGTAGGTTCAGAGAGGCGAGATTGAACCAAATCCAGAAGATCCAAATCCACTACGTGGCAGCATACTTGAGCACTGCTAAGAGGACAAATGCCCAATATGCCGAATACTATGTAGCACATTGTCCCCGCAGTATAGACTGCATGCTATTAATAATGGAGGACAAAGAAATGCCTAAGGGCAGTGGGCTGCCGAATGAATAATGATGCCACCCCGGATCTGATGGCGGGCTATCATGTTGGCGTCTGTGAGTCACTGAATAGAATGTTTGGATCATATCCATCCATCGAGACAAATGGTGGCAATGGCCAGTGACACAGCCACAGTACTTACGGGAAGTGGGGCTCAACGCGGCTTCGTTCTCGCGATTCCTCCGCCCGAGAGGCGCAGCACATTTTCAGCCTTCAAAGCGAGTAAGATACGCGCTTTCTTGGGGTTTCAGATAAATGTTTAGCCGATTGGACGATTTGAGATTTGACATGACCTCATCAATCATCATTGACTATTAGCGAAGCACGACAGTGTACGCAGACAGCGTACAACGCATAGACAGTCTAGAAGAGCTGCGGCGCGCGGTCGATTTAGCGTGTGACGAGCACCCGAACTCAAGGGTAACACTAACCCCTATTTTTGGTCATTCTGGAAAGCTGGTCCCAATCTCAACAATCTCATTGATCGGGTGTTGGGGTCTTTCCAGAAAAGCGGAGATCTTGATATCGGGGCGAAGTGGTCTGGGAGAATATTTCCGTTAGACTCGAGTCATCCAGGTTCAAGACCCGATCGATGGCAATAAAGAAGAAAACAAGACTCATGTGCCGATGGAAATGAAATCCACACCCATAGCCAGGCTGTCGATCTGGACGATTATTGGCCAACGAACTTGGTTGGCTGCATGGCCCCGAATTACCCGCCGTGGCAGAACCCGCACCCTTGGCATCCATAGGGATGAGAATCATGAGTTGATACACGGGAAGAGAATGCGTCATTTGTCTTGGGGACGTAGTTTTGGACGACGATGTGTATGTTGTGCCAGGCGACATGTTACATGTTGGTCGGAGTAGCCTTAATATTGACATCATCCTAGGGGGGATTACGAAGAGCAACGCGAGGCTGAGAATGTTTTGCACATATTGTTGTCACTGGTGCTGATCCGCATTCTTAAATACAAAACCATCTGCATAAATACTTTTAGTTCCACGTTGGTTTTAGCCTGCGCCGAAGACACCTGCGCTTAAGACAATCGTTGAAGGTGAGATAATGGATCCTTGGAAGTGTGGCGTCGGGAAATCATCACGCCGCCAAGCTCTCAAATAAGTCTGACCCGTCCCCCCTAGTCTGTCAAAACTCCTACTGTGATTAATTTCGCTCTTTTTCACTCTTTCATTCACAATATTCTCTCATCGAAGGCTAGTTGCCTTGTTTCATCAGTGGTTTTTTTCGGAAATACATGCGTAAGTGATGTCGACACTTCCAGCGCCGGCTCATAGATAGCTGTAGCTCTTGGCTGTGCCCAGAGCTTATCTCAGCCTTATATTTGAATCTGACTGACAATGCCATTTTCTCCAGACCGTGTTCAATCGTGGGCGAAAGCTCACGCGTCCTCTCGCGACCTGCCAGCTCATACCCCTTCCCGGCAGGTCGCCAACCCCGAACCTATTGAAAAATACACCCAAGATGGACAAGTGAATGCGCCCGCCGAAGACCCTGCTCCAGGGTCTGTCACGGAAACCGATTCTAAGCCGGAACTTCTGAGCCGTATGCGCAATGGTAGCGGGCGCTTCTACCAACATACGAAGAATGCGATCTGCCACAGCTGGATCAATGTGCTGCTCATCTTTGTTCCAGCCGGTATTGCGGTCGAGGCTGCTGGCCTCGACCCAGCCATCATCTTCGCGCTGAACGCGGTGGCCGTCATCCCGCTGGCCGGACTACTCAGTCATGCTACGGAGAGTGTCGCAAGCCGTCTTGGTGATACCATCGGAGCCCTGATCAACGTCACCTTCGGAAACGCAGTAGAGTTGATTATCTTCATCATTGCACTTGTCAAGAACGAGATTCGCATTGTCCAAGCCTCTCTTCTTGGCTCCATTCTTGCCAATTTGCTGCTGATTATGGGCATGGCGTTCCTGTCTGGTGGTCTTCGCTTCCAGGAACAGATCTACAACAGCACCGTTACCCAAATGAGTGCTTGTCTGCTCAGTTTGAGTGTAATGAGTCTCCTCATTCCCACTGCTTTCCACGCCTCATGGTCGGATAGCGCTAACGCCGATCGCGAGACGCTCAAAGTCAGCCGTGGTACCAGTGTAGTCCTGCTCTTGGTGTATATTCTATACATCGTTTTCCAGCTAAGAACCCACTCCTATCTCTACGCGAGTATTCCCCAAGCTATCATCGACGAGGAGTCCCACCCCGGCGTTCTGGCAGAGTTCATGAACAGCTCTTCGGATTCCTCCTCTAGCTCCAGTGAGGAGTCAGATGACACGACTACATCCTGGACGACTGCCAAGCGGATCAAGAGAGCAATGAAATATCGCAGACATCGCAAATCAAGTACAAGCTCCAAGGGAACGACATCTCGAAGCTCGTTCCAGAAAAAGGCCGTGGCATCCGCCTCCAACGAAAACCAGAGCTCTATCCCCAATTCCATTGACAGCAATGAACATGCGATTGAACTCGACGAGATTCGTTACGACGCTGATGACGATGCAGTTCGATCTCGCGATTTCGGCTCAGCTCTGGGTCGCGTGGATTCCAAAGCCAGCAAAAAGTCCAGGAGACGGGATCGAAAGAAGCGCAAGGCTGAAAAAGAAGACAGGAAGGCTGAAAAGGACGAGAGGAAGGCTCGGATTGGGGCACCCCAAGAGGCTGGTCCATCAACCAGTCAACGTCCATCCATCGCAGGTTTCCCGACAGCCCCTAACTTGTCGGCTGTTGCAGGCACTGGAGATGATCCGCAGAAACGCCGATTGCCCTTTGAACCTATTGCATCCCTGCTCTCCAACACCGTCTTTAGCTCCCAGTCACCCGCGAATTCACCCCGTATGGGAACAACTGCCTCGCGTCCAAATATCGCTCGCAGCAACTCACTACCCGCACCTACTAGTCGTCCGCCGGTCGGAAACGCAGTGCAGTTCGCCCGTGGTGCTTCGCGCATCGCTGTGCCAAATGTTGTTGCGCCCCCGGAGACAGATGCTCAGACCCCGGAACCTGTAATGTCTCGCACTGCTGCGGTTGTTATGCTGCTTCTCTCCACTGCCCTGGTTGCGGTTTGTGCCGAGTTCCTGGTTGACGCCATTCCGGAAATGATCGCAAGTTCGAATGTCAGCGAGGCCTTCATTGGTCTCATTATTCTGCCAATCGTTGGTAATGCGGCTGAGCACGTCACTGCCGTTACTGTCGCCACTAAGAACAAGATGGATCTGTCCATTGGTGTTTCTGTGGGTAGTAGTATTCAGATTGGTATGTCTAGGTTCCTTCTGGCTTCTGTACACCTTCTAACCACTCATACCGACAGCTATCTTTGTCACACCATTGGTCGTTATCCTGGGCTGGTGCATGGACAAGGACATGTCCTTGTATTTCACGCTCTTTGAGACCATTTGTCTCTTCGTGACCACATTCGTCGTCAACTTCCTTGTCCTGGACGGCAGGAGTAACTACCTCGAGGGTGTCCTCCTTGTGGCAGCCTACGTTATCATTGCGTAAGCTTTCTCATCCATCCTCTCAGGTTGTTTGCAACCATGTTCTAACCGTTCTATCAGACTATCCGCGTTCTTCTACCCCGGCGATGGCCAGTCCAGTGCGATTGCCGGCTCAGGGGCGTAGTCTCGTGGCTGCAGTGATCCTATGTTGAGTTCAATATCCGACTTCCGTCCACAGTCATAAACAGGGCGTGCTACTTGGCCGTCTTTGATTGCCAATTGCTCGCGTTATCACCAATTAGTGGTCGACTACATAACTTATCTAATAAGCCCAAACGGCTTTTCTCTCGCATTCACTAAAGAGCATACTTACAAGGCCTTGAGCCGACTCGGGATACACACGTAGCTAGCGTCAGCCTACGGATGATTCCAGCTTGAGTACCATCTGCAGGTCTCCGCACACGGTAATGAAACTGTATTGTAACTCATCCTGGCCCCGTCTCAGTTCTGCTGTGAGCCTGCGACAACCAGCTAAGAATTCGACTCCCTCCTGTCGAGTAATAATGTGACGCCATGAAGTGATAGTGTTAGTATTCTTGCTATCTCCCCACCTCATGGCTTGGATGCCTTGGCGCATAGAAATCGGCCATTTGTAGTCTCAGGTCGCGCGACCTACAGCAGGTAGCCACGCAATGTAGCGCCCTTCTGGTCCTATTTACAACCGAATTGCAAGCGCCTATGAATTAGTACGGCCTTTGTCGGAGCACACCACTCCCGGAGTTGTTGATCTAGCCCCGACATCCATATATCCACCAGCCACGTGTGAGACGGCGAGTGGCTGTGTCCGCCGCATTTCGGGAGCCTGAGCCACATACTGGCTCCACATGGCGCACAACAGGAAGATTCCTTTGTTAATGCCTCAATGCTCCATCTTGATTATCCCTGGAGATTGCTCCACTGTGGGCATTAGCCCCTATTTCTCTGTTTCCCCTCAATAATTGACAGTGCATTGTGTACGTTGTGTACGGAATACGCCACGAACCCCTTCAATGATGAAAATCGTCCGAGACGCCGAACCTTGGAAACAAATAGTCAAGCTCCCGAGTGGAGCTGGCCGTTCCGAACTTGAAACCAACCCCTTCAGCGCTGATCTGCCATCTGCAATGCAACCCCTCTACGATATCCGATATGGCGAAGCGTGACACACTAGACCATTGGCGTCCTCCATATTGGACATTTAACTGGACAGCCCTGTCAGGCGCCGGGATTGTCAATCTGACGACGTGCGATGTACAATGTACGATGTACGCGGGAGTCAGGGGTTCGTAGGGCGCTCCATATTGCATCTGCCTAGTTGGAAGTTGACAGCAAAGTGGGCGCTAACGGACAGCCTTGTAGTGGGGGGTCATAAAGTCTAGCGTCAGACATATTGTGGAGTATCTATTTCGGTTCTGGGCGGAAGGTGATGGTGTACGAAGGTGTTCTCTTGTTCCTTCCCATAAAAGCCCATCTCCCCTCTCGTCTACTCTCCACCAGCTCTCTACCTATCATTTTAGTCTCTACACCTCATCCTCACCCATCATGTCCTACGCTCCACCTTACGGCGACCCCTACGCCCGCCCTCCCCCAGACCGTCCTCCATATGATCCCTACGGACGCCCACCTTCAGACCCTTACGCTCGTCCCCCCTCAGATCCTTACGCCCGTCCACCCTCAGACCAACCCCCCTACGAGCGTCCTGCATATGACCAGCCTCGCTACGACCCCGGCCGCCCGGCATACGAACGAGGCCCATACAGCGCGCCCCCACCTCAGGCTCGGCCCCCTCCAGGCCCTCCCCCTCCATTGCCTCAGGGTTGGGTCCAGGAATGGGAGCCCAGTATGCGCCGGGCATTCTATGTAGAGCAGGCCACTGGTCGCTCGCAGTGGGAACAGCCTTACCAACAGCCTGGCTACACTGGCTATGAGGATGGCTCGCGCAGCGTTCCTCCCCCGAGCCCCAGGGTGGCTACTATGCCCCTCCTCCCGGCCCGCCTCCTGGGTCTTACGATACCCGCGGCCAGGATTACTACCAAGATCAATCCCAGCCTGCGAAGAAGAGCAGTGATACCGGGAAGTACCTCGCTGCTGGTGCTGCTGGCTTGGCTGTTGGTGGTATTGCTGGCGCGGTGATTGCTCACGAGCTTGACGGTATGTACACAGTACTCTCTCTCCTCCGCTTTGACAGGCGAATCCAGTGGCCGTTGAATATTTGATACTAATGAACTTATCAGAAGATTCCGCTTCGTCTTCTGACGTCGAGGAAGCTTACGAGGAAGGTCGTGAAGATCAGGCGTATGAGGACGCGGGGAGTGACGGTGGCTGGTAATCCCTTTCGTTGATGGCCGACGATTTTCCTAAGGCGACATGCTTGTTCTTCATGAGCAAGAAATTCCGTTCTGTGAAGCTTTTACATTGTTACAACATCCCTGGTATCCTTCAATACTCGGTACTAGGAAGTAAACCCAATACTACCTATAACTAGCCAATGGTCCGCCATATTTACTTCCAACATAAGATCTCCCCATGCAATAGACCAAACCATGCATTCTCGTCCTGAACAAATTCCCTCCACCCCCTCGCAATGACCTCCAAGTCCCCTTCCTCCGCAAAGCCCTCTTCAACGGCACCCTTCGCAAACCCAGAGGACCTAGCCCTCTCCTCCATAGACCCACCCCAATATCTCCTCTCCTCATCACTGGCAAAACACCAAGCCCCCGCACTCTTCCTCACCCTCCCAGTCTCAAAACCCGCCTCCCTAGCCCAAACGTGAATCATCCTCCCAGGATGTGGACTTCCCCCTTAGCACGCTGCATCAACTCTGTGACCTCCCGCCACTTAGAAATCCCCACAGAGTCAGGATACCAGCTCAACTCCGCAGACTCGCGACAAGCAACAATACCCCCCTCCTTCGCAACCCTCCGCATCTCGCTCAGCGCATGAATCGGGTCTGCAATATGCTGCAGAACCTGATGCACATGCACAACATCGAACGTATTGTCTTCAAACGGCAAGGCATGGATATTCCCCTCTTGAAAAGTGATATTCGACACGCCTTCAGCTTGCGCTAGAGCTCGCGCGCCTTCTAGTGGATCTGGGACGTATTCCACCCCTGTAACGTGGCCGTCCGGAACAAGCTTTGCTAGCGAAATGGTTATTGAGCCTGGGCCGCAGCCGACGTCGAGGATTTTCATGTCTGGCTTCAGGTGGGGGAGGAGGTAAGGGGCGGAGTTGGTGACTGTGCGCCAGCTGTGGGTGCGTAGAACTGACGCGGAGTGGTCGGTTGTGTAGATCTGAGTCATTGTCGAGGTGGACTGGTGAGATTTGGATTTGTTTTGGTTGGAAGTGACCGCGGAGGGTTCGTCAATGGGCGGGCCGCGGGGTCTTTTTATAGCTGCGGGGCATCTGCCCCGTGGAAATTCCGTGGCGATCTTCAGCCCTGTCGGGCTTCCGCTCGTTTACGTCCAACGCCATCTTCTACTATGCGGTCCTCGGCTACTCAAGGGTTGGCAAAACTGCAAAAGGCGATGTCCGTATTATTATCATCGCTATTGTCTCGTGAGATACGAAAGATATCACTGCTGTGAAATCCAATTGCCAACTAGTTATATCCACAGCATTCGACACACTCCCTCAGTCCTCCAAAACAGTCCCTGATGGAGGGATGAATAGCTTCACAATTACCCGATTTGGGCATCAACGTTGGTCAGCAACGACTCAGAGCAAATATCGACTACTAGTCCTTGATGGCAATGGTAGTCATTTAACGGCTCAATTCGATCAAACCTGCACTGAAAACAACATTATACCACTTTGCATGCCAGCGAATTCATCGCATTTACTCCAGCCACTTGCTGTGGCCTATTTTGCCCCCCTAAAGCGTGCATATCGATAAACTTGACTTCCCTTGCGGCATATCCAGAAGCTCATAATAAGCCATCCAAAGATACCTCGATAAAAAGTATCTTCAAAGCTACAGGATTGATACCGTTTAATCCTACTTCTGTGCTTGCAAAGGTCAATATTCGGATTTATTATGAAGCACTCCTGACATTAGGCAATCCCCTCATTACTCGCTCCTTGTCTCTTTCTCTATTAAACGGCCCATACCCTCACCCTTACCGTCACAAGTCCCTTTATCCCCTCTATCACCATCGCACTCCTCCCTCATCATTCCTCTCTCACTGCTTCACCTAATACGAGTAACAGGCTGGCGGGACCATTCATGGAGCCAATCATTAATCCTTTGCACACCCTGCAGGTCTCCTTCCACAGTTTCCTGCTTATCCTCGTCAACCCAGCCCCGGGTATAACTGCCGCCAAAATCAATGAGCCAGGCATCGCCCTTCGTATCAACCAAGACATTCTCAGGCTTAGTGTCACCCCAAACAACGTCTGCCGCATGCAAACATTTAACGTAGTTTTGTATTTGCGTAGACCAGCGAAGCCGATCCTCATTTGTACAGTCGGACCAAGGCGCCAAATCCTCCAGAGTGCCTTTATTCTCGATATAGGTGAGAAGTAGTCCGACCAAACGTGTCCCAGGGTGGTACTCTTCATCGCTGTCGAGAGGATAGTGTTGAAGAACATCCTCGTCGTTGTCGATAATCAGACCGTGAAGGTGACAGATGCGTATATCAGCAAGAAGTGGCGGGCTTGCCTCAGCGTCCGCAAGTATCTTGCTGCGTGCCTGTAGCTCGTGGTATCCATGCACTCGACCTGACACCTAAGGTTTGAAGAAGTACTCATCATCATCCACAAGGACCTTAGATGGGACCAAATGCGATGTTTGATCCAGAACCTGCACTTGACGAGACGAGTATTTGTTGAGTTTCGAGTTAAGTAGCAGAGATAGGTGCCCTTTAAGGGACTCGTTGTTCACATATTCACCCGGAGGTGAGAACTCCTGTCGCGAGAGGGCCACCCTGAAATGTGGCTGAATGTGGCTGCTGCTCTCAGCTACCCCTGCCTCGAGAATGAACCACGGCGGGTAGAGATAGCTATGCAGATTGCACGTTGACTCCATTTGATTAAGGGCCATCTGAGTCATAAGCTCCTCAAACGGCTTTCTGCGACGTTCCACCACTTCACGGGATTCTCCATCTGGATCATCCTTATATAGGACGTTGTAAAACTTGCGATGCTGTTCCAAGACAGAAGAAGAGGCGGCGAGGATCTGTGGATCGTAGCAGATGCGAAAGGCAGCGTTCCTATGGCGGACGGAAAGAGTGATTTCGCTCTCCAAATTGTAGTCCAATTCCCAGGTAATAGACTGAGTGTAGAATCCTTGCATGGTGATAATATGCCGTGAAATTGGTGGACTAGGCAGAAGAAGAACCCACTATGGATAGGGGAAACTTATGAGGATGAGGACATATGACAGCTTTGCAAGGAAGGCCAAACGGATATAGAGAGATGACTTGATTTCAGATAGAAGGAATGCGTGGACGAAGGGGATTTTAACCCCTAAGTGCCCGACGAAAGCTAAGTTAAAACAGGAAGGAGAGACTAATCTAAGACAAGAAGCCAATGAATCACACACAAGCTGGCAGTCTGAATGTGGCCAGGCGGTAGGCCCGGATGCAGATTGACAAACATGAAATCCTCAATCCACATATGTAGGAACCCAGGAAACCTAAATATAGGCCTATTTGCTCGCCGTCGGCTTCACTGCCTCCACTTCACCATAGCTACCAATCGACGCTGAGTGTATACAGCACTAATACTCGTTAGCCCTGTTTGTGTTACCATGTAGCACAGTAGATGAAACTCACCGCCCCTTAAAAAAGCCCTTCATAATATCAATCGCAGCTCACATTCATGGCAACCCTTGTGCTTACAAGGAGCACAGGTATCGAGGCCAGAGGAAACTGCAGATTTGCACATACTGTATTATATGGACCAAAGGTCCAAATCTACCTACAGACCAAATTGCAGCCACTCAGCCTTAGCGAATACCTCGCACAGGTACCGCCTGGCATCATACTGACCAGTTTATCTTAGGTGTCTACATTAAATAAGCGAGCAAGATCACCGGGCTGAGGTCCAGACCAACGCGACTAACATCCTGCTTTTTCTCTAGTTCCTGCTTCTCTCATGGAAAGTACTTTCAGTGATTTGATTTAGGAAGTGGTTTCCCTCAACGCCATTTCCATGGACGTTATGTCCTCTTTACAAACGATCCGGACTTTCCATCCCTACGCTCTAACCTAACTGTACGCGCGATTTCCTCCTCTGCTTCGTCGCTGCCGCCATGACAGAAGCACACCCTAGTGAGGCTGAAGATAATTATCTTCTCCTCCGTTTCCTTCAAGACGTTGAAATTCCCGCAACACTAACCTCGTCAATCATGTCTGATAAACCTTCTACTCCTGATCCCGCCACTGGCGAAGGCCACAATACTAGGAGATCATCGTTGAAGTCGGCGTCCACGCCAGCTACGCCAGAGCGACCATCTGTCACATTTGCAAATCCGCTGCAACCGCAATCACCAGGTTCTGTTGGGTCAGCCAAATCTGGAGCTTCAAATGTCACGTATAAATCCAGAATCTACCCCGTCGAGCTTGAGATGAGAGGCATAATCGAATCAAAGGATAGCCCGCCTTGGTTAGACCGAATGACCAAGGTACTCGAGAGGCGTAAAGGCACCACAGCCCTCCACGCAGATACTATCGCATCCTTTTTAGAATGTTTACGCGTCCCGGGCAATGAAGCAACAATCCAAACGGTCGTGGTGCCCCCTCTCATGAAACTAGCTGTAATCATGACAAATCCAAGTACACATGCTGCTGTGGAGGCCCAATTTGTGAGCGAGTGTCGCCTCCCCTTACCCTCCTCCGATGCTCAAGGCATATCAATCAAAAACATACCGCCCCCGTACCCGGATATCACTGTTGGCCTCCGAAGGGAAAACTTCTACCGGTACAAATTGGCGCTTTACGACCTTGGCGACGTCGCTGCACCCATTAGCTGTACTACAGATATGCTTTTTCCATGTTTCACCCTCGAGGTAAAAGGAGATGTTGGTTATACGGATGCCCAGCACCAGAACAGACACAATGCCGCAGTCATGTTATTCCACCTCCGCCAGTTGTCAACGCGCGCTAGGGGTGAGGAAGTTACAAGGCAATCTTTCGATAACGCTGCCCGCGTTCTTTCGGCAATCGTCAGCCAGGGCTCAATCACAATCTCCGCTCACTGGACGACTTCTTCTCAAGGCTCTGACAATATCTCCTTTCTTTCTCATCTGCTCAAGTCTATTGACACTAGCGTTCTCACGCACGAACAATGGAACGAAGTGTCCAGGTGGCTTCAGAACGCTGTCAACTTTGTTGTCAAAGAAACCCAAGAACAACTTGAGCGTGACCTCAGGTCCATTAATGATGAGATCCTGAAGCGAGGTGAGCAGACTACCAGCAGTACCTCTGCTTCCTCTACTCGCAAACGTCGCCGCGAGGAAATCGAGGACTAAGTTGAAGTCGGAACTGGAAGAAGGCGGCGACATACCGCTACACTTTGCATTTGTTTTTCGTTCGTTCGTTTTCTTTTTATATCTTTATTATATTTTCTGCTAGATATTGTAGTGGTGAGGTGTGACCTTCCCCTACAGGCATGCAGATGCTTCCCCTGTCAGTGTCGTGCCTGACCAGAGTTCAGGCCACGAGCGACAGAAAAGTGCTTTTGCCAAATTCGGATATTCAGACTTAAACGTCAAGTTTCGGAAGCTAACATTCCAAGGCTCGAAGGTTTTAATGGATGGTTCAGACCCTAAATAGGCCTAGTCGCAGACTTTCTTCACAGTAGTACCTGTTTCAAGGTTCCTAAAGAGGTTTAGCAGCAAATGGCATTGTTCTTATGGGTGTGACGAATGACGTGACGGTTGTTGAGTCCGAACCCTATGACGAGAGGTGAGTTGAAAAGTTTCTTGACGGACTCCTTTCTCGTCTTGAGGTTCTCTTCTTCTTTCCTCTTCATATTTGTTGTTCTAGTTTGAGTGCACTCTTTTCTTCAAAGAACTGGCATGTCGCTCTCGGTCCGAGATGTGATGGCGAACAAACCTCTGGTTCCAACCCGAACACGATGACTCCTCCGGCGAGAGATATGTCGAAAACCCCACCTCCAGTTGGCACCAGCACAAACATCAGAAACGATATTCTGATCAGTGTACTGCAACATCCACGGTTATTACATACAAGGCATCCAACTACACCCGCGAAATGAAGTCACAATACGCATCACTTCAGATCTCTTCCCCTTACAGTTGGTAGCATTCTCTGGTCGAACAGCAGGGCCTCCTGGTCGACCAGAGAATGCTACCAACTGTAAAGGGAAGAGATATGAAGTGATGTGTATTGTCTAAGGCTAGCTACTGGATGCTAATGCGACCGAACACAGCGGGTGTTACGCCAAGGACAGATAAACCAAGACGAGAAGAGCCGAGCGACCCGGACAGCTCGTCATCAGACCTCGACAACCCCCCTCGCGTCGTAAACACAGATCCAGTGCCGATTTTGACAAGGACTGCCGTGAAGCATGGGACGCATTGAAAGACACGCTTGCGGAAGCCGCGATATGTTATACCTCTTAGGCTCTTCCCCTTACAAGCAACTACAAGGTTCTAGGTGTACGTACTATTTAGGGTACCATTTGAACACCCTGTAGGCCCTAGGATAGTATCATATGTCAGACCAATAGTGGCGAACCTGAAGCCGTTTAGATTAATCTATGCTCAGAGTATGCTGAAACCCGAGGTTCCTATAATATTGCAAAAAAAACCGAAGACTCGGGTTTCGCGTCCACACCATGAAACGTGACCCCGCACTCGTGACACTTGGTATAAAGCCCGTGCCCCTGTTGGATTCCTCTCAACTTCCTCCCCTCTCTTTGAAAAGTTTCACTCTCTTCTCCCGCCCTAGCTGGCTGGGATCGCATCCAAATATCCCAAGTTCCGAACAGACAACACCTTTCAATCTCGGATTGGGCGAGAAGCTAATGTGCTCTCGCTACTGCTAGAACTTCAACAATGATCTTCTTCTTGATGTTTTCGACATTTGAAGATGCGTTCTTGTGAATTGTGCTGTGTGACTAAATATTTATTTACATACTATCCCCCCCTCCACCCCCGGTATCCAACCCCGACGACGACAAGTTCCCACATTCTCGCAGATGTGCGGGTGTCGATTGTTGTTTGCCTCTAAGTACCAAAAATGACGGAGAACTACACAGCATGTTGACAGCTTACTCTTTCTGTCTACATGATAAGAATTTCTCCAACATCATATACTCCCGTCTACTGTCTCCTGCTACATGAACATCAATTGAAAGTATCGACTTGATTTCTCTCTTCAGGATTCAAACAAGCTAGTCCTCATATCTACAAAGACTTCCAACCCATATACCATGATCAATTCCAATCCAGCAAAATCTAACATGACACAAAGTTATTACCACTAGCACCAGTGTGGGTAATAACACCGGCGAGCTGGTCATTAGTGTTGAAGATAACACGGTCCGCACCAGGCGAACCACCAGTGTAAACATTTCCACTTGACATGATAGGGAACTCGTAGTAGGTCTTCGGCACGGAGAAATCGAAACCTTCGTAGTTGTTGTAGACGTGGGGGTAATCATTGGCATCATCGCCGGCCTTGTAGAGCTTGTATCCAGCAGCTTGGGCGGCGCTAACGGCACTGCTAGTATAGCAGACGGATCCGCAGGTGTAGGCACATGCGCGAGCTTCGACGTCCAGGGGTGCCGCGAGCGCACTGGATAGGAAGAGGGTGGCCGCGACCAGGATCTGGTCTCATGTCAGTGCATGATGTTGGTAAGTCTTGATGGGGGAGGTGATACCTTAGTGTACTGCATTTTGCGGGAAGTTTTGGGGGGAATTGATCAGGCCACTTGAGGGATTGGACTGGTGCTGGGCTTGAGGACTTCATATTTGGCCGGGGGAATATCACTGTTTAAATAGACGTCTCACATATTGGGGTCGCCGCGAGGTGAGGAGCAGCTACTCGCTATCGGGCTCGATGTTACATTCTGTGTATCTAGCCTTCATGGTGTTTATTGGCAAAGCCGCGAAGGAGTGTTGCACGCCCAAGAGGTCAGGACTTAAGTACCATGCCGAATCAGGAACATACACCGATCTGCGGTTTCGAAGTATAGAAAGAATAGAAGGGGAAGTGAGGTACAATGAGGAACTGATTGGTTGATTTGTGTCACCGTGAAGAATTGAGTGGTGCATAGACTCCGAATTGCTGGAGATGCGTCCGCTCCGAGAAGGTGATCGGCAGGCGGGGGCTGTTCTTCATGCACCTCAGATGAGCAGGGGTCTCCCCTCTTTATCGGGCCAATCAGCAATCCAATACTAGGGCACGATGTTGATTTGATGGTATATTTGACATAGACATATGTGGAGTTGGACATCGAACTGCCGGGCATTTGAATGTTTGTTCTATGTAAACAGTCACGTTTGAGGGTTTCTTCTTCACGTGGCTCGAAAATAATCTAGTAGGTGGTAGATAAGAGACATCGGACAATGGTGCTTTGTACTCTGCGTATCTCCCTTTCCCCTCATCTACACTCCCGCCCCGACGGTACCGACGGTTTCCGTGCAGATCTCTGGGACTATCGTGCCCGGCCCGCTGCGTGCTGACCAGATCTCTTTGTCTTCGTCTGTTGTCCATCGCACCTTGCCAGCTTCGGCCATCTTCTCCGTGGAGTAGATTATGTCCAATTCGATAACAGCCAGGGTTTCATTATCGAAAGGCAGCTTCAAATTATTCGTAATCGGACTACTATCACTGCAGTAGACAACTTATCCTATAACAACGGAATAAATACGCGACCACCACTTCCGCGGTTTCTTCGCGGTCTGAGTCTCCTCAACATCCACGTGGTCCCTGCGACCAGTCCAAATATCCATTTCCTCCAACTTGACCAGCCGAGTCTTGTTCCAGAACTTGTATATAATCACAAATAGCACGAACACTGGGATCAGAATATAGTTGATCACAAAGTCCGTCGAGCTAAACGGATTGAGGAAGCAAGTATATCCCTGGAAGAAAACGAGGAAGACATTGGCTGCCAGCGAGAGATATGTACCCCACGGATAGAAAAGCGCCTTGTATGGTAATTTCGACGGGTCTTCACCTTGCACGACCAGGGCTTTGCGGAATCTTATATGCGCTATTCCGATCACTGACCAGACAATAAAGGTAGACACTATAGTTCATTAGCGACCGAAACAGTATCTCCAGGACAAGAAACCCACCTCCAGAAAGAGTAATCAATGCGGAGTAGACCCTCCCGGCACTGGACGACTGTCCCAGGAACACAATGCATGCGAAGACATTGGTGAATACCAATCCGGCCCATGGGACGCCGAGGCGATTTGTCCGGCCAATGAACTTGGGAGCTTTCCCATTACGGGACATGAAAAGCACTGTTCTCGATGCCACGTATAGGGAGCTATTTCCTGCGGAAATAACACTGATCACGATCAAGGCATTGATGAGGTGGGCAGCGGGGAGGATTCCGGCATCCTCGAGTGAGATTGTCAAGGGGGAGCTGGCTGTTTTTGAAGTCGAGCCCAACAGCCTGTCGTCATTCCACGGAATGAGCATCCCAATGAAGAATATGGTACCTAGTGATGCGTTAACAGCACTTCACTTTTATTTCCCAGTGCCATGTACTCACCGACATAGAATATCAATATACGCCAAAAGACCTGTCTGATGGCCTTTGGTACTGCTTTCGAGGGATTCTTAGACTCTCCGGCTGTGATGCCGACCCTGACTCAAGGTCAGTCTCCGCGATTCCCAAGTAGCACTAGGATTGAAACCTACATCTCCGTTCCAGCGTACAAAGTTCCAGCAACAACAAAGGTTTTCGCAACACCATTGATCGAATCTGCAAACCCTCCGGGATTGTGCCAATATTTGAAGCCAGTAGCGCGTGGTCCAATTCCGCCTGCGCTGATAATAATCGCGAGGATGAAATAGACAACCAAGGCCAATACCTTGATACTGGACTTTGTCAGTAATCCGTATGTCCAGAAATCAAGCACAGCGGACTTACAGTGAGAGCCAAAACTCCATCTCGCCATAAGCCAGGATTCCCAGATTCGATAGCGTAAGAAACATCACCCAGAAGATCAAAATCCACCCCCATTGGGGAACGGCATCCGTCCAATATCCAATGACTAGTGATATAGCGTTGTACTCATTTGCGAGAACCTGCAGTTCTATCTTAGCAAACAACCAACAGAGATCTATGAGATACCTAGACGAACAGTAACCCATAAGTACCAATAGGCCCAACCCAACGCAAATGCAAGAGAGTCATCAATAAAGCGCCCCGCATACTCAGTGAAGGACCCAGTCACAGGTATCAAAGTAGCCATCTCGCCCAGCGATTGCCTATATATGTCAGAATCACCCCCCAAAAGCCGAAGAGCGGGTGCGCTGTTTACATGACGAAGAAGACGATAATACCGACCAGCGAAAAACTAATCAAAGCTCCCGCAGGCCCACCCTCGTGCAAGGCATTTCCGGAGCTCACGAGCAGACCAGGTCCGATAATACCTGAGAGTTATGGTCAACAAAACTGTCCAAGTAGATGCGAGCGCCCACTTACCTCCAATCGCGATCATCTGCAGATGCCTGGACTTGAGCTGCCGCTTCAATGGGGCAGCCATGGGATCCCTCGCTGTCTCTTCATCTGCTGGACTTGATTCCCCCGATGAGATATTTTTCATGTCCCCATCGACATCGTGAATAGCGCCTCTGTAGGTAACGGCGCTGGAATCCGTTTTGTCTAACATGTCGATAGAACACGTGAGTCAAGGACAGAGGTCGAAGCGATCAAGGGGGGTGCGGAATTTGTGTTGTGATTTTCTGTTCTGATTTCCACGCGACGCCACATGGTGCAGTTTCCTCACTTGGAGCCATCATGGCCATATTGCGCGACCGTTCATTTCTGCAGGAATTAAGCTCTTCATTCATTTGCTGCCGATGTCGTGATATGCCACGGGTGCGGCGTCAGTGACGATCATGTGGGGCGGTGGAGGCTTTTCATGATGGCGCAATTGGTGAAATTGGGTTGCGATAGTTAAAAGACCTGAGACGCGACAGCTCGAGGTCTTTAGGTATCTGTTACGGCATGTGGGCCTGACACCACCTACCTAACATAAGTCCAGGCGTTAACCAAAAAGACCACTATGACAACTAACTAGTTGTCATGTCAGGTTTCCAATTCATACCCACAGTACGGGATCTTAACAGTACCGCGCTACCTAGATACGCTGAGCTCGAGGTTGATGAGATTAAGAATTTTGTGAGCGAAATGCCAAAATTGAAAAATTGATATCTTTTGCCACAGAATTCAACACCAGATCAGACGCGGGCACGCAGGCACGTGTCGCAGTGGGATTGTTGGCGCAATTCTAAGGCTTACCAGTTGGCGGAAGGCTAGGTTACCAGTGGGCGGAAGGCTTGCCAGTTGACGGAAAGCCTGCTAAACTAAACACTCGTCTCGTCTGGAGCTCGCACCCACCAGTGGATGCTGACAACTGGACAGAAGATTCTTCTTGATATTTTATTTGAGAAGGTACTGTACACGTAGATGTCCAGTTCACTTTTCTTATTCATTTAATAGGTAGGTACTGACAGGTACACGCTTGAAGTGTTCCCTTGGGTGGTTCCATTACCTATCTCTCGCCGGGTTTGCGGCCCGGGGTTGGTGTCTAGTTACCTGTCACGATGGAATATATTGTTTGAGGGCGTCAGCCAATTAGGTACCCTATGCGCCCAATTTCGAATGAGAATACTGACACCGGAAATTTATTTCGAATCCGGATTGATTCAATTCCACCCCTAATATGTTAAGCACTTCGCGGAAGCAGACCAAATACGACATAGCTTCAGCGAGGTTATCAACAATGGATTGATGAGCTCTACCTCCGACAAGAAACCCCCAACAACGAGAAGGAACGCAAGAACTAGCTGGCGCGATAGAGGCGGAGAAACGAGAGGTGTTTTACACGAACTAGCGAACAGACAATCTGATCAGACAGACCACCGAACTGCTGTGCAGTAGTCATCTACTCGCTAGTTTGTGTAGAACACCTTTCGTCGCTCCGCCTTTATCCCGCCAGCTAGTTCTTGCTTATCTTCTCGTTGTTGGTTGGTCTTGTTGGACGTAGAGCTGCCATCAAACCATTACGATAACCTCGCTGAAGCTATTATAGCGAAGTCAGCAACATTAAGCACAACCTCAGAGGCTATCACGAAAGCCATATGCAGCTTCAGTGTGGGAAAGGGCATGGGAAAGGGCAGGAAATGTGCAACGCATACGAGAATGTTGGGTTGGTGGCTCACATTGGCACGTCAAGTAACAGCAAAGACCAGATGCCGGAAATTGCAATAATCACCACCAGGTCCATTACCATCAGGACAAGGAAGATTGGGAGGACAGCAAGCACTCAAGGTACTCAGCCAGATCAATCTGCAAGCCACCAGTACGGCGCACGAAGTTCATGATGTAAAGGGGAATTGGAAGGAGGGAAGTGCTCAGGCGGAGGTCTCAGCGGAGTATTTTTGCATCAAGAAGTGTCTTTCAGCCCCTATCAACTTTTATCAACTTTCATCATTGACCTTGAGCAAATCAAAGGGAAGGGGTATGAGAGGCTGTCAATGCCATAAATCGACACTAAATATCGCGAGCCTGGTGATTAGTATCGACTTGACAAGAGGAAGGGTAGGAGAAACGTGGAGTGCTCAAGAGGCGGTCTCAGCGAAGCATTTTTGCATCAAGAAGTGTCTTTCAGGTCCCTTATCGACTGTCATCATCGGCCATGAGCAAATCAAAGGGAAGGGGTATGAGAGGTCGTCAATGCCATACATTAATCACTTAGCTTTCCGGAGCCCGATGATTGGCATCAAGGTGATCAGGACAAGGGTAGGTAGGAGAAGGGTGAAGTTCTCGCGAGTGCCGCAGACTCACAGAGAATAATTGAGCGTCGACAGCCGTGTCTCGGATGAAGATAACAATATCAAGGATGAGGAAAATTAGATTGCCCAAACGTTATTCTCAGATTGGATTCTAAGTGCACCAAGTCAGTATTCATCGCAAGAATGATATGGCAGTGGCACTCAAAGCTATGTCGTGTCTCGGGGGGTGTTGTGTAGGGTATGGTCAACTGAGCTACTCCCAACATCATTAGTACATGAGCCATGTGAAGAGACCAACGACCGCAATGGGCTGCCGGACCATCGAAGTAAATGATCCATCAACATAGACGACTCACCAAGGTATAACATGCATCGATGCCATCGAGGTCAAGCACACATAGCATTCAGTGTTGAGGGACTGTGAGGACCTTCAAGTCGAAGTCCTGTAGAAAGATAGATTACAAAGGAGAGTAGGAAGAGATGCTGAGCCAAGTGAGTGATTATTTATACTCCTCCTCGACACGTGCTGGATAACCTCGAAATGGTAGGATCGATTCCAACGATGATTGGTTGACGAGGACTTAGCGCCGCACTAAAACTGCTGAAGTATACAAGACTCACCCATGGAAAAGGCTGCACGCTACTGGGGAGGTTCCCGCACGCCTATGAGGCTCTATCTATCTACCATCCCGTAAACTTATAGTGAGACCATCGACCAAGCCGTATACGAAGTTGAACGGATGAAATCTAGCTGGTGCAAGGCTGCTGGGATTCGAGCTTCAAGTAGTGAATACCTGGGTGTAGAGAGGTTCACGTGGTCTCTCATATGGAGCTATCTAAAAGACTCCTTTCCAAGCTTCGTTCGTTCTTCAATGAGAGCTTACGACTTCCCCCGGAAATTTGCAAATCGAACCAAGTTGATTTCCTATGGCATCGCTGGCAGCTTTCTATTTCCGGTGCTCGAGTCTCGCTATGCAGTCACCTCAACAACAATCGAAGATCAACATGGGTCTTCTGGCCGTCTGCAACGAGCAGACAGCTTTTCAATGAAGGTTTCGCCCCATTTCGCACTGCAAGGGTCAGCAGCTGATGATAACCAGACAGAAACAGGATTTCGAACCTCGTGTTAGCATTGATAAAGTGATGGAGATGCTCGTGTTTTGCCCTACGCTCGTCCTCTGGCAGATTCAACGCCTTGTAAAGTGCCTCGGACATCTGTGTCTTATTGGCAGGATGGAAGGGGATGCTACCATTCGTCATGAACGACGCTGCACCAGCAAACTCCGAGAGAACGAGGACGCCGTGGCGATTTTGCTGGCAGGCCACGTACTCGAACGCAACGAGATTCATTCCGTCTCGGGTAGAGGTTAGGAGGCATACATCGGCTACAGAGTACAACGCCGTCAATTCGTTGAATGGGACCGAGCGATGCATGTACAGCAGCGGAGTACCCTCAGGGGTGGCTGGCTGGTCAGTATATCTGTCTGGTATTTGCACAAGGAGACTTACCATGCTTGCCATTGATCTTTCCAGCCAATGTGCACAGTTCCGTTTCAAGCTCCTTGTACTCCTTTACATCTTCGCGGCTTGGCACGGCAATTTGAATCAGGACCACCTTATTTTGCAGCTCCGGGTGGTCATCGAGGAAAGCGTCGAAGCCATTGAGCTTCTGGGTGAGACCCTTGATGTGGTCCAGTCGATCGACGCCTACAATTACCTTGACGCCTTTGTAGCGCTCCTTGAGGCTTCGAATTCGCTCTTGAACCTCGGGCTTTTGCAAAGTGTCAGTGAACTTTTGGGGATCAATACCAACAACGAATTTTCCGACGCAGATAAGACGCTTTTTATACTGGATTTGGTTGGGAATCTCGGTGCGTGCATCACTAGCGTGGTGTTAATTGGTGCGGGTTGTATGTGAGGAATAGGGCTAACACTCACACGAGACTACCGCAGGTGTCGATGAAATTTTGTTTATACTCGTCCGTGTGAAATCCAATCAAGTCACTGGAGAGCAAGCCCTCGATAAGATGTGTTCTTACAGGAAGGTTCCTCCAAAAGTCCTTCGCTGGGAACGGTGTGTGGAGGGAGAAGCCGATAGGGCATGATTTACCGCGCTGCTTGAGCCGGTCGCGGAGAAGCTCGGGCAACAACATGAGGTGATAATCGTGAACCCAGATCAGCGTTCCAGACTCTGCACTGTCCACAACTGCATCTGCGAACAGCTCATTTACCCGTCTATATGCTTGCCATGGACCATCGTCAAAAGTTACACCAGACTGGTAATGAAGAATGGGCCAGAGGATGCGGTCTAGAGGTTAGCATGGGTTATGTCGTTAGGGCAGGGCACTTACTTGAGAACCCATTATAGTGTTCATGCGCCAGGGTGCTGTCGAGGAATATGGGAACAGCATTGTGCTCTTCCAAGCTCTTTTCCACATCCGCACGATCCTTTGAATCTCTGACTTCAATGCCTGGCCAGCCAAACCATTGGAACTGGGTGGACTTGGTCAGTCCGGAAAGGGAAGTCACCAGACCACCACTTGAGATTATGGACTCAAACTTGTCATTGACCCTCTTTACAGACACCGGCAGGCGATTTGAAACGATGATGAGGTTCCGTTTGCCGTTGTTGGTTGAGCTCATCCTGAATGTCCGCTGTGGTGTTTATATATCTTCAGTGCTGAGGCCAAAACAAATCTTAAAGAACTCAAGTGACACAAAACGGCCGTCTGTCTTTGCTTTAATACAATGAATATGTACGGAGGCACCGAGAGTTATACATTGCCGCAGAAATGGCAAATGGCAAATTTACGTCAGTATGGATGGCAACAACAACGTTTGCCCCCTGTTTTTCACTTTGTCGTTCCTGTTCCTGAGTCCAGACAAGACTGGACTAGCATTAGACCTACCATAGAACTTACTTGAGCCCCATGAGCTCGATCTGATGGGGCTGATCGGCCTACCACCTCGCAGGATTCAGGTACAAAGAGGCGAGTGAGGTCAAATGCCAAGTAGTTGCCCCTACATGTTCCATAGTTACAACCTAATGGATGCTAAGTCATTAAGGAAAGGGATTCTTGACCTCATAGGTATATTCTGACAATGTATCTTGTATTCTTTTTATTGTATCTAAGTCAGGTACACTTTGGCTGCTCGGTATGTTTCGTCATAGGCATGTCAGGGCTAAACACCGACGCCTCTACCTTCTGTCCAGATTTGCCTCTTTTGATTTGGAGCAATCTAACAACAATGAAGCAGCTAAGTCCAGCTGCATATGCACATCCAGCAAAAGCAATCAGCCCCCAGTACTGTCCTTGGCAGCGATGAATGATCTCCCCGGCAATGGGAACGCCAGTCAATGCTCTAACAAAGCAATACGTTAGCCACACATGGATTAACAAAGGAATGTGCAATGAGAGAGAGACTTACCCAAAACTGACAATAGTATACACAGTGGTGTAATATCTCCCATAGTTTTCGACAGGACACAGTTCTCCTACACAGACCGGCACGAGACTGATATTACTCCCACTGGCAAATCCGAACACAGTTGAGAATATCACAGTGGCGACAACGTTGCCATCGGCGGGCATCCAGATACCCAATACCGAGACCAAACAAAGAATGTTTGTCAGAATCAATGTATTGAACCGACCAATACGATCAGCAATGATCCCTGGAAGCCAACGACCAGGGAAAGATCCCGCATTCAGAAACACAACCATCAAATACGACAGACGAGGTGACATGCCACTGGCAATTGAGTACGAGACAATGTACTCGAGCGGAATGAAAAATCCCCACTCAATAAAAAACACACCCAGTGTGGTAAGTGCTAGAACAGAATCTTTGAGAATCGTGAGGTCAGGAAGAAAAACCTTCAAAGAAGGCGACGACAAGACCTTAGGGGGAGCATTCGCTCGCACAAGAAGACACCCGATGACCAAGAGTACCAACGTGATCAACCCTATGACCCGACTAGCCCAGGCGAACCCGATACGTGGCGCGAGATTCAGCAGTACCAAAGGAAAGACGACACCACCAATACTGCCCCCAGCCAAGGCGAGACCTGTTGCGGCCCCGCGGCGCTTGAAGAAGAAGTGCCCGATGCTGGCAACAGGCACAATAAAGATGAAAGAAGTTCCCATTCCTCCCAGGATGCCAATTACAACGAAGAAGTGCCAGTATTCCTCGCAGAAGCCCATGAGGATGAAAGTGAGGACGAGTAGGCTTGTGCCAAGCCACATAAGTAGCCTCGGACCTTTGATGTCAAATATTGGCCCGATTTGGATACCGCAGAAGAACACGAGGAAATTGTAAATTCCGAAGATCCATCCTATTTGGCCTGCGCTGTGCGCTGATAGTTGGTGTGTTGAGATCCAGGCTTGGTAGATGCCGATGCTGTTCATTAGGCCGAGGCCACCCATTATAGCGCTGAAACTGCCTCCCACGACTAGGTAGCCGGTGAGCCCGCCCTCTGGACACGTTGTTGGGTTGATTTGGGATTCGTGGTGCATTATGCGAGGCTATGCAGAAGCAGAGAAGAACAAAAGGAGATTTGATGATGAAGTTTTCTATGTAAATGGACAGTAACGGCATACGGTGGAAATATATAAGTCCTTTCAGGAACTGTGCAATATCAACATGAAATTTTCATGAGCTCGGCCAATATCAAATAGACGCGTGCTGCCCGACATGCATTTGAACGAGTCAACAATTCGCCGAGTGTCAAGATCAGAGCCACCTCCATTGCCGTCCTTAGGAACTGCGATTGAGTTTAGCAGGAGAGGCCAACGAATGAGGGTCCTGCTCTGGACTACATATCTGATCAGTGATGAGATATTCCACGGAAGCAAGTCTTACATCGGGTGATGCCGTGACAAAAAGTCCCACAGCGGCCGATGGCCGATGGCCGAGTGCCCCCGGCCCGGTAAGTTCGCCGACTCGGCATCGGCGGGCGAACCACAGATGGACAGCCCAGGAGTAGGCCGCTAACATAAGATGATAAGAGACACATTATTGACGGTCTAGTCCTGATGATTGAACCTTCCTTCCACAGATTAAAGCTCGATCTGAGTATAGGTTTGGAGAGGAAAGATGCCTAGATCAAAGTACAAAATAAGCGCTCTGGATTCCGAACAAGATCTACAGCAAGTGAACCCAGTAACTGAATATCAAAGGACAGCCGAGAAACTCATATACTAGCCGCCCGAAAAGAACCTTAAAAATCACATACAAGAAATGAAAACACCATGATGATGGTATGAAATAAAACACCAGTACCAATTTAATCCAGATCCCCTTCAAACAGCAATCCGCGCTGGTTATGCTGCCAAATAAACAAATACGCCGACCAGACCCAGTCCATATAACGAGCCGCCACTTATGCGAATCTACGCTTAGTTGGGCTTGGGGTCCGGAGCTGTTGCTCGCGCTCACGGCTGCGCTCGGTCACAAAGTCCATCGCCCGGTTCTCGAGCATCAGGGGCTGGTCTTGTTTCTCGTTATAGACGGCCTGGGTTTGCCGAGGGTCTGATTGTCCGTAATACCCGAAGGAAGGGTTGTGTTGCAGCTGAGGGTGCATGGGCTGGGTCTGAGGTGGTTGTGCGTAGTGTTGTTGCTGGTAACGATGTCTGAATGAGCGGAAGGACCAGTTGCTAACAACGGTGACGGTGGATATAGTTGCAAGGAAGAACAGCTAGGGTACGTGTCAGTAGGTATGTTGAATTATAACTGCGCAGAGAAACTCACAATTGCCTTCCAACTGATGGGATCAATGAAGCTGTTGATGATGATGGCCATCGTATGCGCCGAGACCTTGGCGCGGCCAACCTTCGCCGGATCGCGGTTCATGCATCGTTCCCAGTTCTCGCAGATGGTCTCAAGAGCCGGCGCTCGACTGGGGCGTCCGCAATCGTTATCCACGTAGCTTTTTGTGCAGACAGCCATGTCGGCCAGGATTGTATCTGACATCTCTTGCGCAGCCTGCTCGAACTCCCCCGGATGGCCGACACAAATCCGAAGACCACATATACAGCGAGAGAAAACAGAGACAGGTTGACCCCCAACTGGGCCCACCATGAGATAATGGCGGGGACATTCGGATGTGCTTCCAGCATGCTGAAGAACTCAGACCAAGTAGACATGCGCGAAGGACCATCCTCGCCCTGTTGACCCTTCCCTTGTTTCGTGGCTTTCACCGGTTTCCCCTCCCTACTGCTTGGCCGGTCTGGGTCGCTGTCGTCGTCGGTGTCGACTCGTATTTTTCGACCGAGTTCCTTGTCTCTGCGTCGTTTCTTTTGTATGCGGTGCAAAGCTGCGTTCGAATGATGAGTCAAGCGCGGGATCTCGCCTCGCCCTGGACTCTGCGGGTTCCGGCCGTGAAAGTTGAATACCCCAGAGGTTCCCCTCCCTGGCTTGGATTGCTGCTCGGGTGTATCCTCGTTATCTGCGTATTCTGGGGATGACATGTTTTCTGCGCCCGATGAGAAATCCACTTCTAACTTGCGCGGCGTTTGGAAAGCAGGTTGGCCAAATCTGGCTTTTGGTGATAATGGTGCGGGTTGTTGTTGAGGCTGTGAGAAGAGGAAGGGCTGCGAGTTTGGTTCACGGAGGGAGGGTAGCGTTGGCTTTTGGGGAGAATCAAATACACTATGTGCTCCTGTAAGATTGTTAGAGGGCTGGAGATGGCAGGTGTCCTCGTTCAGCTCCTAGCCTATCGGGGCATACGAACGTTTCTTGTCATGTTGCGCTCCAATCTGGTAGAAGGGCGAAGTAACATCGCCGGGGGCTCTTGTTTGCCATTCGAAGTCCATTGGACTTTCTCCCGTGCGCTTGTCCATCGTGGCGATCAAAGAATGAATCTGTAGTGGGTGGAGGATGATGGTTTAAAGGGCGGGAAGTTTTTGTTTGGGGTAAACATCCAGAATCCCGTAGCAACCTTGGCAACCCTTTATCTCCGAGATGGCAATATCCGCTTCTACGCTTCCTAATGCTTCACACAGTACGGACTCTGATCTATAAATTATTTTGTAGTATGGCCTATTGCCCAAAGCAAAATCACTACAAAACCAGGCCAAACCAAAGTTTTGACATCGGCTAATGATAACACGCACTAGATGTAGATCTCTACACAGTACATGGTATGTTGTACATGAAGACATTACAATGCGTAAGAATGGGCATCAATATGGCAGAATCATTTCGTTGGGCGGCCAGCACCCCATATGGGTATTAAACAAGATGGACAGACACTGGGACAGAGAGCATAACAAGCCACCTACTCATCCATCTGCCACTGGTATTCCAAAGTCGCAAGCCGACTCTTCTTATTCCGCGCTGCGAACCAATCCTTCTCAAACCCATTTCCACGGTCCACCCCATCCCACCGATGTCCCGGCCGAATCCCATACCGATTCGGCTGGAAGGCACCCTGATAGAGCGGCCGTCCTGTCATACTAGCACCCTTCTCGCGACGGGCAGTCAGGAACTCTGCAGCAGGATCATTCCACCGATCACGCGCCCGCATCTCCTCATTTATATCCTCGTCTTCGATCGTGCGGGCAACCGGCATGGCCTTGATATCTTGTAATTCCTGTCGTCGCGCCTCGCGCTGCTTCAGCTGCACATCACCCATGAGGGCCTCGCGTGCTTTTTCTTCTTGAACGCGCTTTTCTTCTTCCGCCCGCCGGGCTTCGGCGCGTTTCATGGCTACATTGATGATTCGACCAGATGCGTCTCGATAAATGGTTTCTTGTGTCTTTTCTTTCGCTGCGGCGGGGTCCCGGAACTGTGCTTCTTCGGCTTTGCGTCGCTTTTCTTGGGCTTTCACCATCGCGGCGGTCTGGGCTGCTGTTTGGAGGCCTGCTCGGGCTCCGGACTCCATGCGTCCTGCGCCGTCGTCCTCATCTTCTATCATAGGCGCTTCGTCGTCATCGGCATCTTGCTGAGCGGCTCGTTCGGCGGCTGCATCGGCGAGGATTGCATCGGCGGCTGCTTGTTCACTTCCGCCTTGACCGGGCGCGGGTCCTCCGATCGTCTTCCAGTTTGACTTCTTGGTGCGGCGGAATTCTGCTGTGTTGGCTGATGTCTCGAAGTAGGGTCTATCCTCATCGTCCTGATTCTGAACTCCTAACGTGGAGCGGATGTCCGGTGGGTCATCGTCGGCAATGATGAGGCCGGAGCTTGCGGTGTCGATGGCTTTGGTCTTCTTGCGCTTCTTCTTTGGTCGCTCGATAGCTGGATCTGCAGTAAGATAGTTCTTTGCTAGATATTCAGCAAGTGAGCCGGGCATGGTTCCGGTTAGCTGTGGGGGTATGTGGGATGTATAACAACGTAGATGGTGCAAGTCGAGCTCAGCGATTTATCAATGTCGGAATAAGGTTTGTCCGAACTGTACAGTATGGTGACTGGCGCCTTGCAAGTGTGAGCAATGCGTGAACGCGACTTGGCTTCAATTTAACCATGTAAAGCGCATTATTGAAATTTTCATGCATAGCTAACCTTTATTCATCGAACTCGTTATTTCACAACAATGCCACGCTCGGAAGAAGCCGAGTGGTGGGCGAACGCGGTTTACGGGGCTATCCAAGAAGTCCCCCGGGGGAAAGTGACTTCTTATGGTCATATCGCACGCCTACTCGGTGAACGTACGGATGTCCCTCGGTTAGTGTCTTAGACATACTAACCATAAGCCTTCGAATACAGCTCAGCGCCCACGCCAAGTCGGTGTGTGTCTCAAGTCCCTTCCGTCCGCAGAGTCTGGTGCCCATTTCAACGCAAGTACTGTACCGTGGCAGCGGGTGATCAATTCCAAAGGCATGATATCACATCGGTAAGTTCCATTTGGGCGTATGATCTAGTCTCATGTCCACTAGTACCATTCTTCTGACTCGAGTCGGTCGTTTCTACGTCCATGGGCATGTTTTGGCTGACGCCAATACCAGTGGACCCGGGAGCGCCGAGCGTCAGGCTGAAGCTCTCGCGCTGGAAGGCGTCGAAGTTACCAGAGACAGCATGGGCGAAATTTATGTTGACTTCTCTCGCTATGGGTGGTTTCCTAGCCAGCTACCGAGCGAGGGAAGGGATGAATAGGTAAACATGAGCATGAGGATGCAGAACAATCTATGTTTTGATCTGTGTACAACCTAACTTCCTATTCTGATTACGGTTGACTTTTCATTGCCTCAAAGCGTACATAGTGATTCAAATCTGTGGTATGGGCATTGGGACACACATGCCATTGGTCATAACTCCGTCTAATAGCGGGATCTAAAGACAAAGTTGACTTCATAGACTAGGAGACAAGAGACTAGAGAACCATCCCATTGAAATGTGAGCATGGAGGAGAAACGACCAGTCTATCGGAGAGGTATGACATGGAGGAGGATCAGACTTCAGGGGCGAAAGGCAGAGGCTTTCCATACGAACACGGCGAAAACACCTTCCAACTACCAGAATAGGACAAAAGAAGACATCGAGGAAGGAATAGTAAAAGACAACAGCCGACCAGCGTCAATCCGTAAATGGAAGGAGGAAAAAGATCATTAACTCACATCATCGCCATAAGGGCATGTCCGCACTAAGAACCCGAGGGATTTTCCCATCCAGGCTAGGGAAAGAGAACAAATGAAAGGTCACGATAAAAGTCACCTTCATCGCTTCTTGACCTCACTAGCCCAGCCCTCGATCCCCTCGCCGCGTGTTCCAGGAGGTATGCCCAGATCTATTCCATCCATACCAGGAGTATCCTTCATCCACTCGTGGGCTGACATGCCGCCTGCGTTGGCGCGCTTCTCAGGCGAGAGATCCAGCATCGGCAGTAAAAGTTCACTGATACGCATGCTTTCCTCCATCGAGTAGTGGTATTTTTCTCGCAGGACGTCGGGCAAGGCCCAGTGACGGAGTCGATGAATGTTGCGCAATTCGCCCTTGCGGTTGAAGATTTCTTGGGACCATTTTCCGGACAAGCAGAGTGACTTGGGGAAGGGACCGAGCAGTTCAATTATTTGGGCAATGTGATCATCATCTTTGCCGTACTTGGTACCTGATTGGGGATCAAAGAGGTAATCTCCAGTAATGAGTTCGAAGACCTGAACAGTTAGCTTTTTTTCACTCAGCCGTGGGGGGCACACGTCACTTACCATGCATGCCATACTCCAGACATCGGTACTTGCGCCCCATTTGGAACCCAAAATGACTTCGGGGGAGCGGTATTGGCGAGTCTGAATGTCATTGGTAAAGTGATGACCGACCCAGCAAGCATTGCCCAAGTCCGCAATCTTGACAGAAATGATACTGGCGTCGATTTCCTCTTCTACTGATTTGCTAGAGGATCCTTTGTCAAGAGAAATTCCAGAAACCTCTCGCTCCAACAGATCACTAAATGTAGATTGTTAGCTCGAGCGCTCATCATGAAACCCAACCCAGGATGATAGGGAGTCACGTACGCGGTCTTCTCTCGCTGATTCTGCTTCTGCTCTTCTTCCTTCACGCCCAGGAGCTCTTTCATAGATGGGGTCTCTGCAGTAGATGCTGGAGAGGGGTTAGATCATGCATGTTCGTGGTGTAAAATGCCTCCAAAAGGGACTCACCTGCAGATTCGTTAACGATCTGGCTGAGACTACTATGCGAGTTGGAGGAGCTGTGTTTGAAATCGAAACCATTGAAGCTGGTGTTGAGCGGACTGGGAAGCGGCTGGCTTCCTGTGATCAGTGTGCGTCGTCGTCGTCGCCCATTCCGATTATCCTCTTTCTCCTTGGCTTCTTTCTTAGCTTCCTCCTTCACATGCGCCTTAACAATTTGCTCGACATCTCCAATCTCAATCAAGACATTCTCCGGCTTGAGATCTGTGTGGATGATCCCGCACTCGCGGTGGAGATAATCTAAACCCAACAGCACTTGTTTCGTGATTTGCTTCACCAGCGGTATGGGAATACCGCGGTGGTTCCAACGCTTGATAAGACCCAGCAGATTCTCGCCGAGCACCTCGAACACCATACAAACATGGACACCGTTGGGTCCCTTGTGCTCGAATGAGTCCAACAGACTAACCACATGCTTCCGACCAGGGTGAGAGGGCTTCGCTTGAACGATTTTGTTGAGGAGCTTAATTTCATCGATCGCAGTTTCCGTGTAGTGTGCGGCGGAGCGCACCACCTTTAGCGCAACGTGTTTGTTGGTGGTTGTATCCCGCGACAGCCACACTGTAGAGAAGTGACCCCAACCGAGCTTGCGCACGATGATATAGCGACCGTTATTGTAAGCTTCGCCCACAGCGACGGGGTGGTATCCACCCTTGCAGTAATCTTCAGAATCCTCCTCTTCCGCAGTAGCCTCCATTTCTTCGCCGGATGATGAGGAAGATGAGCGCGACGCGGATGCTTTAGGGTTTGACTGTGGAACAGCGCCAGTACTATCGTAGAGAGTATGTTAGTACTGAAATCACTGTCAGAAGCATTGCAATACATACGAGTCTGTGGGTGCGCCGGGCGCAGGGTTTCCTTCGTTAGTGACGATAGGCTTCAAGTCGGTTCCCTTTCTTCTCTTCTTGCCACCATTGCCATTGGCAGTTGAACCAGCGACGTTTGCCATTTGTTTGCCTTTGTTGAGCATCGCCTGGGTAAGATCGACTCCCTCCATGGTGTGGAGATTTGGGAGGTCAAGCTGAGAGGCGGGGCACACTGGCTTTTGGTTGGCTCCAGCGGAACTTCGAGGCGGTGGATGGAGGGTCTAAGATGTACACCTGTTTCACTCTGAAGTAGAGACAGGGCGGGAAATATGGAGATAGGTATATGTGAATTCGAAGTCGTTGATGAGGAAGATTGTGAAGAAAGGGAAAAAAACCAAGAACTCGGTGATGGAAATGGCGGGTAAGGCACGAAGGGCCAAAGTGATGGTCCAGAACGACGATCCGATCGCAAGCCCACAAGATTTAGCGGGTAAAAATCAGCTCACGATGTCGGAGGAAAGAAGATGATGCTCAAGATTAAGATCGATAGAGGGGTGGGATGGTCTTCCGCAAGCAGCCACAACGTCGTGGTGGCAAATATCGACGCATCGAGATAGACAATAAATAGCCTAGAAAGGGCAGATGAGCAGATGAGTAGACGACTATATAACACTTAACGGACAGCAATGAAGAAAGAAGAAGAGAAGGTCGCTCGTACATTCATCTAAGGGCAAAACACAAGCACATGAGAAGTACGCGCTACAAAGCTGAGACGTTGATGCTGATACAGTGACCTAAGTGACCATGTGATTGAATGTTCTTATGATTATGTCTCTTTGCTTTTTGATCCTATCCTGGACTATATTCACCTCAAATATACCCAAAATTTGAAATAAATCCGACAAAGATCGACTGCAGTCCTGATGTCACGATCCCCACGCTTGGGGTAAGCCTTTAATCTCGGTGGATTCGCAACATTCACTTGGAACCTCGGACTCCAACTTTGGCCTCCTCCCCAACTATGGCCAATCCCTTCAATCGCCGCCCGATCCCCGACTACTTTGTCGCATCTCCCTTGGTGGCCTTACTCTACCCAGTACACCAGGTCTTACTCCGTCTACGTGGTCCTCCTCGGCTCCCACCGCCAGACACCCAACCAATCCGGGTAGTCTGCATCTCCGATACCCACACCCACGAATGGCCAGAGGTACCTGACGGCGACCTCCTCATCCACGCCGGCGACCTCAGCAACGATGGCTCAGCACGCGAAATCCAAGCCTCCGTCGACTGGCTCCGCAGCCTCCCTCATCCATACAAGGTCGCCATCGGAGGGAACCACGACAGCTACTTCGACATCCGGTCACGACTAGACGAGGACCGCGAAGACCCAGGTTCCCCCTTCGCAGGAGTCTCTTCCTCGTCAGCATCCATCCACTCCCTTCACGAGCTCAACGGGCCGTCCCGCATCGACTGGGGCGACATCCATTACCTCCAACACTCAGCCGTCACGCTGTCCTTCCCCGATACATCCGCACCCTCATCCACAACACCCCTCAACAGCCCCCGCGCGCGCTCCCTGACAATCTACGGCGCCCCCCAAGTCCCAGCCATCGTCCCCTTCGGCCCCGAGCACGCCTTCACATACCCCCCTCACCACGACGCCTGGTCCGGCACCGTGCCGCCAGAAACCGACATCCTTGTCACCCATACCCCGCCCCAGTCCCACCTCGACCTGTCCCCCGTCTACTCAACAGGGTGTCCGAACCTACTAGCAGAATCATGGCGTGTCCGTCCCGCCCTTCACGTCTTCGGCCACGTCCATGAATCTGCCGGCCAGGAACCTGTCTTCTGGGACGAAGCCCAGAGAGCTTGGGAACGGCTCTGTGCTTCGCGCCGGTCACGCGCACGCTACAGTCGCCTCTCGTCGCTTGCGGGCTTCCTGCGTGATATGTTCGATTTAACTGCCTGGATTGACGCAGCGCGGGTTGTTGGATATGGGATATTGGGCGTTGTATGGGCCCATGTTTGGGGTGGAGAGAATCTTGGTGGTGGGTGGATGGTTAATGCTGCTTGCATGTATCGTGATAGTGGGCGACTGGGGAATAAGCCGAGGGTCTTTTATCTATGAGATTCGTCTTTTCTTCCCGTGGCCAGTGTGAATAGCTTGCGTTGCGATCGTTGTTTATAATACTACGTTATATTGAGGCCCTAGTTAGGGGGGTCAACCCATATCAAGAGGCGGGTTCTCGCGAGTGTTGCTCCCCGAGACACTGGACCGAAGGGCAGCCATAGTCTATAATACAAAGAAAAGCTTGATCTGAGAAAAAAAACCCAATTTGTACATTTTGCATGGGTATAGACATGTACGTGGATTCAATGTTCATATGCCCAGACGATACCATCCTGCAGACCGACACGGACACTCCCAGCAAACAATGAAATATCAACACTTCCACACTAAACTACAACTTGGGCTTCTCGTTGAAACGCGGTGCCTCGAGGGGATCATAAGCACCAAGTCCAAGGGTATCATAAGGCGCATTGCCAGAGTGTCCACCCATCAACCCGCGGGTATCAACCAGACTAGGATTGAGCTCCTCAACAGAAGCAGCACCAATCAACCGCATGTTCATCTCCATCTCATCCTTAAGCAGCTGCATAGCACGGTCCACACCTTCAAGCCCATAAGCCGACATGGCAAACAGGAAAGGCCGTCCAATACCGACACCCTTCGCACCGAGACACAGAGCCTTGATAATATCCGTTGCACGACGCACACCACCGTCCACGAAGACCTCGATGCGCTTTTCCCAGCCGCGCTCACGGAGCGCAGGCATGACTTCAGCCAACACCTCGATACCGGACCGCGAAGTGTCGAGCTGGCGACCTCCGTGGTTGGACAAGACAACACCGTCGCAGCCTGCCTCGACGGCGCGCAGGACGTCTTCAACGCACTGTACGCCCTTCAGCACGACCGGCATGCGTGTGATAGACTTGAACCAAGGGATATCCTTCCACGAGAGTGCGGGGTCGATGAATGAGGAGATGGCCCGGGCGGCACCCTGCGAGCGATCGATATCATCGCCGGTGCCTTGAACGTTCGAGCCGGGGTCGGAGAACTTGGAGCGCATGTCCTTCTCGCGGCGGCCGAGTTGCGGTGCATCGACGGTGATGAAGAGACCCTTGCAGCCGCGCTTTTCGGCGTGCTCGACAATCTTGCGGGTGATTTCGCGGTCCTTGTTGACGTAGAGCTGTAGCCATTGGACTTGGTCGCCTTGCTTGGCGTCGACGATCTCGTCGAAGGAGCATGAGGCGAGGGTGGGGATCATCTGCACTACGTTGTGTTGGTGCGCAGCCTTTGTGAGGACCACTTCGCCTTCTGGGTGGCCGAGCTTGCCCAGTGCGGTGGCGGTCACGTAGAATGGGATTGAGCACTTTGTGCCGAGCATTGTTGTGCTCATGTCGATGTGCTCGACGTCGACGAGAATTCGTGGCCGGAACCAGATCTTGTGGAAGGCTGCGTGGTTCTCGCGCATTGTCTGATTGGATGTTAATGGATATCCCGATTTGTTAGATGCGAATGCAACTTACAATTTCGTCATCTGCTCCGCTGGAGTAGTACGCCCACGCCGTCTTCTTCATGACCTGGCGAGCCACTGCCTCGAAGTCCATCAAGTTGTAGCATGCTGCGAGCGAGGGCATACGGGAGATGCGCTCTAGGCGGTCATTCTCCTCCGGGTCGAAAGCCTTTTCTTCTTGCTCGACGGTAGCCATGTCTACCTCACCCAAGTGCTTTGACTTGTCCAGGTACTTGTCCAGGGTATCAGGCGGGTGGATTGGGTCGAACTCTTCGGTCGCATCTTTGCCCGCATATTTGAGAATGATTTTCTGACCACCGGGGTGTTCTGGGTTTTGTTAGAGAGAATTGCTAGACAGCAGACGAACGGGAAGTTGGGAATGTTCATACCGGGGAGGAATTCGGTCACATCATAGGCTTTGCCGTGTACAATGACCCAGCATGAGTCTTTGGAGTTGTGCTCGGCGACCTTAGCGCCTGTAAGTTTGTCTATGCTCATTTTCAATGCGATGAGTTTAGAGTACAGTCTATTGCAGAGGAAAGAGAAAGGAAAGGAAGTCATTCAAAGCTGGGAAAATCCGAGTGGGCCCTCGGGATAACTGCGTCCGGGGATGAAAAGTTGCGGGGAGCGATAGGGGAGTCTCTCGGCCGACTCGTCCGACTATTCATTCACATTATGGTGCTTTCGGCTACCTCAGTACGGAGTTAAGCCGATATTCAAGTGAACGGCAGTTACTACAGTAGCTAAGTGGCGTCGATTTTTCGAAGATGACCAAGTCCATTCCGAGCGATCTAAGAGGTCGATTCATGATCGTCATCGAACCTCGGTCACGTCCTGTTCTTACCGGCCAGTAGCAACGAACGCATTATGCTCCAATCACATCACGCACTCCCGGTCTTCCACCGGGGTATCTTTATCGTTGTTTGGCTGCATTCAGGAATACTCTAGAAGGCCGTCACTGAGCACAATCCATGGCATAGATCTTCAGTGCAGCCCTACATTCCGACAAGGAATGTGAGAAACTGATGGGGCAGGAAGAGCGAGTTGCCTGGGGCATCCACGTGAGACCCAGGCACGAGTATGACGAACCTGACGTCATAGGAGGGCCGAACCTTCCTATCGAACTCATCTCTATCAGTCACATCCGTACACATGGTGATAGGGACACCTGGAGACACTCAAATTCTAGTTAAATCTTGAGGATTGTATTGAATCAACTAGTAACTAGTCAATTAGCATAACTCGAAGGGCACAGACAATGCAACGATTTACCTCAATACCTGATGTAGGTCAATCCTGAGTTGATAACGTGGGCTCTCTCTGGGTCGCACGAACCGCCTTTGTTGCCTCGTGGCCGCCACTGGTATTATGGATTGGCCACTTTGTACACGCTTGGGGCCCTGGGGGGATAAATCGCCCGTTCTGTCCGTGTCGCCACCAATGCTTACTGGTCAAAATTCAATGACACGGCATCGTAGGACTCATACTGCTATCAAGAGACTTGATCGGTATTTCAAAAATCGAACATGCCGTCCCACGGTAAGAGAAGCTGCATTTTAGTATTTGGCAACCTGAAAGTGCCTAGGTGATGTACTTCGTGGGTCGCAACCTAATAGTGTGCGTTTCGCTTTGACTGTTCCGAGTCAGTCGTCCTGCAGTTCCAGAAAACGTCAAATGTGGTCCGCCGATACCTATCATTGCGGATACCGGGCGAGGCTTTTCAGCATAAAGTCCGAGATGGAAGATTCTGAGACAATGGTTCATGCACGAGCATCCCCGGCCGCGCCCCGTTGGAACTTGACGTGTGTCATGTCTTGAGTACATAGTTGAAGGGAAATGCATCAAACTTCATACAATTCGTGTCCTCTAATCACATGTAGTATTTCGGGCTGAAAAAGAAGCAACCGCCAGAAAGAGCAAACTAAAACACGGATCTACGGTCTTGTGTCTTGGCCCAAATGCTTGTCCTGTGTTGATCCGTGGAACCACTGCTTTGCTATGGAAGTTTACATATGTCTCAGATCGGACGATGCTGCAGCCTTGAATCGATATACGGCGTAAATCGAACGCATGGCCCATGGGCGAGTGTCACCCATACCCTAGATAGCCTGATAGGATATTCCACGGGCCACAGGAAAGGGGAAGTTGATCCAAGCAAAGAAAAATAAAATACTCGATCGTCCGAGCAAGGGAGAGGTGTTATGCGCTGGATGCTCTAACGAGTAAGTCACGATGGCGATCTACGTCCGATCCTTTTAGCGCGCCACTAGTCCTTTAACGGACACATTTCTCACCGTGTCCGTCGCCGAGTATCATCGGGATGGACAACGGCTTCCCGAGTCCCGTTTTGATTTTCTGCAACGCCGAGAAGCAACGGGATCGGGCTTGGCGAGTGAATGCACAATTCGCATGCGATTCTCGATTCTAGTTTCCCTATTGAAAGGCGCGGTGGTATGGCAACAGCCCTAGTCGCAGTTTGCCGTGTGCGTGCGCAATGCCGCTGATCGGACAATCTGGAATTACGGAGTATGCTGCGACTATTGAGATTGTCGCCAGGGCTTCCTCAATTGTTTCACACAGGAAGGCCTATTTGCCTATTGGTAGGGCTAGGTTTCGCCCTTGCTGTTCTGGCATATTCTCGTTGGTTTCCCCTTTCAAAAGTATTGTATGGACGACATTGTCCGGAGTACACCAATTTCTGGGTACCATCCATCTCGTGAGATTTTATGTTTGGTCAGTCGGGGGCGGATCCTGAACGCGCACTGTGACTGAACTAAGAGCAGATCCACTAGGATGGACGCCAATCATGAACATCAATGCTTAGCATCCTCCATCGAAAACAAGAAACAATAACAGAAGAATAAAAAGTTTTAAAATTGATGTCATTCGAGTCGCAAACTGTTGAAGTGTGGAACGCTAAAATGCTTAGCACGCCATAATTGATGCTTTCGGCTGGACGTCTCCGCATGAACGACATGGTGATTCGTTTAACCTACGGAACTACCAATATGGGTGGGGCGGATGCCTCAATCGGGTGACGCTGTCGGCTTCGATTATTTAGTTACAATAAATGATCAGATTATTTGATTCGATTGCATTGTTTTGTCCCGATGCTTCGGCTCAACACGCATGGGGGAAATATCATGAAGAGATTCGCCCCACGATGCATCTCCTTGCCACTTTCGTCGACTCCGTTGGAGAAAGAGGCATTGAAATAACTCCCTATCCCCTCCACCCCCCTTCCTCCTAAGGCGTTTCTCCTCCTTTCTCTCATTTCTCTCCTTTCTCTGCGTGCCTCTATTACCACCCAGCCATTCCATTCATTCCCCACGTGTTGACACTGGGACTACATCCCTTCGGGACTTGTATAGATCTGGTTATATCTTCATCTGTTTGATTCGTTATGGCGCCGACATATTGTGGCATGTCCGGCAGGCCCTTGGGGCTGATGGTGTCGACCATCGCTACCATGGGTTTCCTTCTTTTCGGATATGATCGTGAGTATACTCTTCCTAATTGTGCAGATGGTCAGATTGCTAATGGATCATAGAGGGTGTCATGTCTGGTATCATCGATTCAGACGCCTTCGGCAAGTTCATGCCCCTCGTCGATGACGACTCCACCATGCAGGCCTTGGTGACCGCCATCTACGAGCTTGGTTGTCTGGTCGGTGCCATGTACGCACTGTTTGCTGGTGACAAGCTGGGTCGTCGCCTCATGATTATGCACGGTGCTGCGGTCATGATCATCGGCGTCATCATTCAAATTGCTGGTGTTAAGGGCCATGGAGGTACCGCTCAATTTTTCGTCGGCCGTATCATCACTGGTATCGGCAACGGAATGAACACTTCCACCATTCCAACTTATCAGGCCGAGTGTTCGCGCTCCTCCAACCGTGGTCTCCTCATCTGTATAGAAGGTGGTATCATCGCCATCGGTACAATGGTCGCCTACTGGATCGACTTCGGTGCCTCCTATGGCCCTGATGACCTTATCTGGCGTTTCCCCATCGGCTTCCAGATCTTCTTTGGTGCCATCATCATCATCGGCATGTACTACCTGCCAGACTCACCTCGCTACCTCATCTCCAAGGGTAAGGTACAAGAGGGTGAGTTCGTGCTTGCTGCCCTTGGTGGCTATGAGATCGACGCCCACGAGACTCAGATCCAGAAGCAGCTTGTTATCGAGTCCATCGAGGCTGCTGGGGTTGCCGAAGGCGCTGGCTACTCCGATCTTCTTACTGGTGGCAAGACCCAGCACCTGCGCCGTATGCTGATCGGTTCTTCGTCTCAGATTGCCCAGCAATTGTCTGGCTGCAACGCTGTGATTTATTACCTGCCTGTCCTGCTGAAGAAGTCTCTCGGCCAGACCGAGTTCATGTCCATGCTCATTGGTGGCATCAACATGATTGTTTATGCCATCTTCGCTACATTCTCCTGGTTCTTCATTGAGAAGATCGGCCGTCGCAAGCTCTTCATCGGTGGTATGACTGGCCAGATGATTTCTATGGTCATTGTCTTCGCCTGTCTGATCCCCGACTCACCCGGACCTGCGAAGGGTGCTGTTTTCGGTCTTTTCCTCTACATGTCCTTCTTCGGTGCATCCATTCTGCCCCTTCCCTGGTTGTATCCCGCCGAAATCTCGCCTCTCCGTACTCGTGCCAAGGCCAATGCCGTCTCGACTTGCTCTAACTGGCTGTTCAACTTCACTGTTGTTATGATCACCCCGGTCATGATTGAGAGTATCTCCTGGGGCACTTACCTATTCTTCGCCGTGATGAACTTCATCTTCATTCCCCCCATGATCCTATTCTACCCCGAGACCGCAGGCCGCAGTCTAGAGGAGATTGATCTCATCTTTGCCAAGGGTTATTGCGAAAATATCAGCTATGTCAAGGCTGCCCGTGACCTGCCTAAGCTTACTGATGAGGAGATTGAGGCCAAGGCTGCCGAGTACGGTTTCGAGTCCAGTCGCCGTCAAGGTGATATCGAGAATGCCGCTGAGAAGGGAACCCCTACCAGCACCTCTAGTGATGGCAAGGGGGGTGCACGAGGAGGCCGAGAACTACGACAGTCGCTCCTAGAGTCGGACACTAAATACACAAGGGGCTATCTTAGTCCACGGCGTGACAGCGCTGTGCGCTGCCATTTCTCAAGGTTATGGTTGTGCTATTCTCTATACATGATCCGAGTGAATACAATTTCACTTTGGCAATTTTCTTTTGTGTCTTTTTCATTTTCTTCTTCTTATATACCCATTCTCATTTCTGGCCTGGAGAGTGCTGTTATCTTTCGATGATCCATGCCTTTGTTAAACGACCTTCGCAAAGAGGTCCGGTCGGATTTTAGGAGTCATCGGCTACATGTACGTGCGCTTTGCACGATACAATTAAGAATTCAATATAGCCGCCTTATATTGAAAATCATTACTCGACCTGTAAGTCGTATTTTATGTGGATCTTATTTCGCCATGATTGTATTCTATTTGCTGCATATGCTGACGCCTCAACGTCTAACGTGCCTACCCCGGGCTGCGTTTCATATTGACTCATGCGAGGGTGCTGCCTTGCATTTGAAGGCTGATCAGTTCAGAGCAAGGGGACCATTTGCAGTCAGAGCTTGAAGTATTGAAGTAAACAAACAATAATGCTCAGACTAATAACGCGAGATACAAGACTGAAGTGAACATTGAGTCAGAGGACAGAGTCTAAGTATGGACGATGTGAACAAGGTTGGTTGTCGGAGATGGAGAATTCCGACGTATCTGCCTTGAAGATCAGGTTGGGGCTCCATAACGTAGGTACTTCCAAGGTTAACCACCGAGTATGATTCATATATTGAACTTTTCCCCTTACTTTTCTCACTTTCTATTTCGAGTCTGATCTTTGCCATGTTCACCACGTGCAGGTGACCCGTGAACAGGAAGCAAGCGATCGGCTGATTCCGCCCCAATTAATTATCCTTCTTTATTGCCTTTCATTCCAACTTCTCTCACATCTACCTCCTTTGATCTTATATAGCTTTCCTATCGTGTCGGATAGACTTTCGCATACTGTTTTGCGAATATATCATGCGAATCCAACCTGCTTACTCCCGCCTCCTTAACCTCGGGGAAACATGAGCTCAAGTTTGGAGGCTAAGATTGTTGTCCTCGGCGCACAAGGTACGTTCTACCCAAAGTACGGAGGACAAGGGACCAAGGTTCCATATAACCCAAGAACCTGGGACGAACCCAGACCCCAGAACAATCTTCTAACCTCCACAACCACAGGGGTGGGCAAAACTGCGCTCGTGGAGAGATACTGCAGAAACACATTTAACCCCGCAGCGCCGTCAACCATCGGCGCGTCGTTTGTCACAAAGCGCGTCCTCGATTCCACCTCTGATACCATCGTCCGGCTGCAAATATGGGATACAGCCGGACAGGAGAGGTTCCGTAGCATGTCGCGCCTTTATTACAGAGGAGCGCAGGCCGTTCTCCTCTGCTATGATGTCAGTGCATTGCATCCCCACATTTCCACACGCCCGTGCCGCATCGCGAGTCGTGACCTCGGGATATTTCCGTCTAATCATGTCCCCCGCCCTGTACCTTTTCTTTTTCCATATATGCACCAACCCAAGACAAAACAACCTAAAAGGACAAAATCACTAACAGAATCTCCTAGATAACCGACGAAAACAGTTTTCAAGAAATGGCCGGCTGGCTCCGCGAACTCCGCAAAAACATAACCCCCAACTCGGACGGCTCAGACTCCCTAATAATCCACGTCGTCGGCACAAAATCCGATATAGTCGCCGATGACCCCTCCCACCGCCGCGTCCCCTTCGAACGGACAATCGCCTACGTCGCGGAACAACTCTACCCAACCCAAGCATCAACACCACCCCCAACCGCAACCGCCGGAATGGGCGGGCTAGGATTCGGATCTTCCGTCTTCGGCAGCAGCGGAGGCAGCGCCTCGAATGCTAGTGCCGCAGCACTGCAAAGCCCAGACTCAAAGCGCAGCTCTGCGTTCTGGGGCCAGGAGATCGGGTGGGATTGTTGTCATGAAATTAGTGCGCGGGACGGGGAGGGGATTGATGAGGTTTTTAGGGTTATCACGCGGAAGCTGGTTGAGCAGCGGAATCGACGAGATACGGAGTTGGCTATGTCGATTGCGGGGACGCCGATGGGGAATGGGAGTATTGGTCCTTTTAGCCCGGGATTTGTGGAGGGGACGGGAAGCTTTAGGTTGGGGGTTGGGGATAAAAGGAGGAGTTGGTTGGGGCTTGCGACGCCCGGGGTTAATGTCGAGGGCGCTAATGAGGAGGTTATGCATTCGGCGAGGAATAAGGGGCGATGTTGTTGATTCGATGGTGGTTGTTCTGATTGTTCTGGTTGACGTGTTTTCTGTTTTTTCATCTTTGCATTCAGCAGGTTGGCGTTGCTTTTTTGATTTGTTATGTAAGTTATGCCTGATGTATTTACGAGTTAGATGAGGCCCTGAATTTCACCCGTACTGATTATTCGATCCAATCCATGGGTTTCTTCGTATCACTTACAGCTTTGAAGAATGTTATGCATTGCATGGATTCACATGGTCCGGTTCGTTAACACCGGGGTTATCTCCGGAGCGCTTCATACAAAGGCACCAAGCTCAAAACTTGACTTTGCCTTCGAAGGCAGCCATATTGACATATGAAGGATGTTGACGATTCGCAGAAGTATACAATTCAGGATCCAATGACACTTGTGGAGATAGTGGATCCGATCTTCATCCGGGGTCGATCAGATCGGATCGATGTTCCACTGATTTACTTGCCTATTCTTCCACATATCGAAAAGCCGACATATCCTGGGCCAGAATGGTTTCGTGTATACATACGCCCAACAGGGTACACGATACGGGTATTCAATGGGTAGTCCTGGGTCAACGGGTCACCAGATTGGGCAATCCCCTATCACTCAGCCTCCAACCCCTCATCTCGCTTATACGGGAAATTATGCCTTTTCCATTGGCTGGCCTGTGCTTTTGCTATCAAAGTACCTGTCGATTTCAAACCAGGCTATGTCTAATATGTCTGTGTCACACCTTAGAGCCCGCCTTTTCCGTTTTCCACGCTTCTGCCATACCAAGCTGTGTCCCTTTGCTGGGCACTTCGTCTTTTCTCCCCTGTCGTTGGTGCCCCTTCATTCAGCGCCAACCCATCTGAATTGCAAGTGACAGCGCATTATCTCTACTACTTATATTTAATCCCGAATCGGACAGACTTACTCGTGTTCCACCCCTTCAGTCCAGTATATTCCAAGTGGCATCTCACTCGCCATGTCAGGGGCGGAGGTGATCGCGGTAGTAGCCTGCGTGGCAGCTGGTAGGATCCCATCCTCCCTCTAGTATCGATATGTAGAATTAATCACAATATTCCACAAACAGTCGTCTCCGCCTATAGCGATGGAACCCGCATGTTCCAAGCTATCAGGAAGAAGTACCGCGAAAAACGACGACAGTCCGATCAGTCTGATCGGGAGCTAGAATGGTCCCTACGTCGCAGCCCCCATGAGATCGAGTCTCGGTTCCACCAATATCGCCAAGAGCTTGGCCCGCGATATAAAGAGTATGATGACGGTGACTCGATCGCTCGCGAGCAGATGAAAGATATCATTATCAAACTGCAGGGCGCTATGCTCAAACACCTGCGGGAGGCACAGGAACGAGGCACAACCCTGGACCTGATGGCATTGCAGATCGAGTCGGAGCAGGGCCGTGTTCGGACCCTCGTTGTCCTGGGGGATCTGTATCAGCGGCTTGCGAGGCCGTCGCCTGTTCCGACTTTCTTTTCAATGTCCATTGACCCCACGTATCGCCATGAAGAGCTGTTTGGCCATGGGTATTTCCCCCATTCTCCAGACGCATACTTGCCACCTGCCGGACCATCGTCCAGCGGGTACCCTTTTGCCACGCGCGGCCTTATACGAGAGGAGATCTGTGTGTCACCGACGGAGGCATTTGAGAGGCCAAGAGAGCCCGAACACTGGAGTCCAACACGTCGGCGATGGTCATCTGGCTTTGGCTCTGTCATGAATAATATGAGCGATAGGCTGCATCATCGACCGAGTCGCGAGAGTACACCGTCTTTTGCATCCCCTTCGTCCGCGCCCGATCGCGAGTCCGGATTCTTCCAACAAAACCGGGTCCAGACACTGTGGCCGTCGTCGCCAGAGCCAATTCCCGAGCTCGATGTCAGGCCCGCCACACCGAAACGTGAACCAGTGCCACGACTGAGCCTGTTCCCCCACGACGAGTTGTCGGGAAACCCATGGGCACCTGACTCGGACGACGAGAATGATTCTGCTTACAATAAAGAAACGAACCATCACCTCTCCCAGCTCCACAATAACCCCATTTCCGCACCTACCATTGCCTCAACAGATGCTTATAGTAGAGTAGACACGAACCATCATCTCTCCCCCATCTCTCCATCCAACCAACTTCGCAGCAGCTCCTCTCTCCGCCCCCTCGATCGCCTCAACAGACTCCACTCGCTCGAACCCATCAACCACAAGCAGCACCGATCCACCCCACAAAGCCATCCGTCCCCTCTGGCCACCGAGCAAAACAAACAACTATCTCGGCTTCTGCAAAGGCGCCTGGAAAGTCCACGCCGGCTTCGGCGGATTCAAAATCTACCGGGAGCCCGGAACAGGGTATTACACGCAACGGTCGTGGCTGCGGTGCGCCAAGTGCGCCTTCGAAGCACCACTAGCCCCAGGCAAAAGCTCCAGCCACAACCCACAGTTCGAAGATAGCATCCGCACGCACAAACGCACCGGCGTCCGGTACCGATATGAATTCTTGGCGAAATCCCACGTGCCGTGCAAGCGAGACTCGGCGGCACATTTCTCTCCGAATACTCCGCGCGGGGCATTCTGCTGCGTCTTTTGCTGTGCGATGGCACAGGGTTCCACGCAGGTCTTTGGGAATTTGGATACGTTCATGGCGCATTTAGCGGAGCAGCATTGGGAAGTTGAGGGGGGGACGTTGGCTGTTTTGCCGAGCACGAAGTGTATTATTGGACGGGTGGCACATGATTCGGAGTATTTTGATGTAAATATTCCGCCGGCCCGAAACGGCTGATTTGTCTTGGTTTTCTTCTATTTTGGGGCTGATTGTCTTGCATCTCAGCATTTGGCCATACAGTCTCACTCACTCATACCCGGGTTGGATCGGCGTTGACCGGCGTTTGTACTCTATATGTAGGACATATTACTGTATCAGATTTTTCTTTTCTTTTTATCTATCGGTTTTTGTTTGATCTGTAGGGTTCTGTAACCATGTGTGGTGACATTAGTGTTTTGAGAGATCTAACGGGTAATCATCTGCGTGTCCCCTGCGTGAGATCTGCAAATGCGAAACATTAGAGTGTGGCAGCTCCCTTGCTGGTATGTGACGTCGGGGAAATATCGCAACGTACAAGTACGTATATCCATGTAGGAGTTCAATAGTAATTGCCCATCTTTATCGGTTGTAGAAAAATTGATCCCCTGACTAAAGCCATGTGGTATGTATGGCCTGTGGACCTTGAGTCTATGACAGCCAGTCTTATGCTGGGTGTAAAACCAGTTGTTGGGATTCGGTCGAATGGTCATAGCCGTGAGGTTAAAAACCTTAAAAGTTCAAAGGAATGCAGGTGCCAGGTGTAAAGCGGGAAATTATTGGCTAAATGTAGTAAACTTTGCCAAACGCCCATCTAGTTAGTTAGTTAAGGCAACGTTCAGCTCAATCATTTGTCACAGGAAAAGAAGAGAAAACGAAGATCGGATAGTTCTATGGTCAGATCACTTTTACTGGCTCAGAGTGGAGACATACTTCTGAGCTACGATTTATGTCTGTGACTCTGTGCCCACTGCCATCTCACTCAGCTGGTGGGGAGATCAAATAGAGTCTACATGTACAAGATAAACCACAAGAGTGATATACTTCATGCATACATGTAAACACCGAAGGTAAGTACCTTGTCAACCCCTGAAAATCCCCAGGGTAAGAGCACTCGACATCTCAAGCTTCCTGCAGATAGGCCGAGAACATTAAATTTGGCCAATCGGCGGGGCTCAATCGATCACCGGAGACAGGCCCACCATACCCAATTGAGGAAAGCGCAATTCTTATGTCTCTCTTTGCCTTTTTCTTTTTTTCTCGCATTTTTTTTAAAAATTCAATTTAATTTCATTTTGGGGACTCATTTTCTGCCCAGGACCCTTCCGTCTCTCAATTGATCCCTTCCATTTCTTCTCGAAGTAAACTCCCGTGTACTCCCCGAACTCATATCCCTTGACTCGGCACCTTCGTCATCTTGCGTGAAGCCTTATCGCGCGACGATATCCTTCCAATTCCGGCCTCCACATGGGGCGGTGCTTATTACTTTTCTAAGATTGCGTGCCCCAGTTCATCTGAGACTCTGGCTTTTTCTCACCTCACTTTCTCTTCTCCTCTTTTCCTCCCCCCTATACCCCTCTCTCCCTCGAATTCGATAAACTCGTGATGCGATGAGGTTGTCACTACGTATCGGTGTGGCTGCCGCACTCATTGTCCTGGGCTTTATCCTGCTCAAGCGCAATTTCAAGACCGAGGGCGATTCACTTAAAGATCTATGGCACTTCGACACAGGTTCATTCCGCGCAAATTTACATCCCAAACACAACCAAGATACCGGCGGTCGGCGCAAATGGCGCGTAGCATCGGACAATAAGCCGGCCCTGGTCTACCATAACACCGACATTGTGGTCCCCAATTCAGGTGCCATTGTAATGGCCAAGCGGAAGGAAGAAAACACCGCCTGGGTCTCAGCAGAGCTGTCAGAGTGAGTAGACTCGGTTGAGCTCCTGACCAGACGAGAACCAAGGCTAACCGGTTATCTCCAGATGGCGCAGCATAATTTACACCGTGGACGATGTTAATGCCCCGATGCACACCCCAAAGAACAAGGGTCGCGAATCTCTCCCCTACCTCCAATACATCGTCGACCACTACAATGAACTCCCCGACGTGGTCGTTTTCCTACACAGTCACCGCGACGGCATGATCGCCGGTTGGCACATCGACACGATGGAATTCAGCAACGTGGACTCAGTGCGCGCATTGCGCAAAGATTTCGTGAAAGAGGCAGGTTTCGTCAGCTTGCGCTGCCAATTGAGCCCGGGATGCCCCGTTGCTATTCAACCGTTCCGTCAACCTCCCATCCCCGAAAGCCCCGGCGAGGCACATTACGCGACTGCTTGGAAAGCGCTGTTCCCGAATGATCCCGTCCCGCGTGAGGTTGCCGCGCCGTGTTGCTCCCAGTTCGCCGTTTCCCGAGAGCAGGTCCTCAAGCGACCTCTCAGTGATTACCAGCGCATGTACGACTGGGTGATGAACAATGACCTGGCAGATGAGGCCACCTCAAATATTATGGAATACACCTGGCACATTATCTTTGGCAAGGATCCTGTCTTGTATGTTGATTTCTCGAGTCTTTCCATTTTGGATATCCGCTAACCTACTATTCACAGCTGCCCGGATATGTACCAATGCTACGGAGACGTGTACGGCGAGGAAGTTATCTTCCAGTGATCATTGCTTACATTTTGCTTCCACTTAACGAGTACTTATCCCACTCTGTATCTCACATACGATACTCTTTATTACCCAGCACAGGCTGGAATTCCCCCTATGGGGGTACTGTCATGGCTACTGAACGGACACAGTGCCCACGCCACATGATGACTTGCTTCGAATGTCTATTTTTCCGTCGGGGTGACCTGTACATTGAACGACCGAACTTTGGCCGCCTGGCTTTCACCGACCTCAGCGATATCATTCGTCTCCTCGACTCGCGTTGCACATCCAACCCACGAGCATGAGACCACTTACTTTCGTGCTGCGGCACCCATGTACATTTTATCTGATTCACCTTTTATCTCCTTCCAATCATATACCGGCGTTACCATTGTTCCCATACCAAACTGAACCTCGCGTAGCTTCTACATGTACCTTCAGCACGTCTTCCCATCATCCTGCAAGACCATCTTCCTCGCAACCTCATCCCACCGATACATCCCTCCACTCCCAACATTATACCGATAATAATTATCCGTCCCACCAGGCACAACAGCCCTCCTAAACGTAATATTAATCCTCCCCCTCGTCATCTCCCCAGCCCTCCCCTTCCGCTTAGGAATACTATGCAACCAATTCGCCTGTGTCTCTCCCCGCATAACAACCATATCCCCCGACCCCAGCTTCATCTTAATCTGCTGCACCGGCGTCGTAGCAGACCCATCCAATCCCCCACCTGAAACCGTACCACTGACCCCGGTAACACGCGTACCACTCACCCGGGTCCCTGCAGCACCAGCCCCATTAGAAACACCAGTGTCCACAAAAGGCTTATGCTTCATCAGAAAATCCCGCTCCCCACCCAGCGACAACGAGGCAATATTCGGCTGCGCACCTAGAAACCGCTCGTCATCAGAGTGGAAGGCGATACTGTCCTCGCCGCTGGCGTAGTAATTCACAAGACAGAAATTGTACCCCGGGGTTCGCCCTTTGCTATCTGTATTTGCCTTTTCGACTGTTCGACGCAGCAGATCCAGACAGGCGGGTATTGGGCGTGGAACGCATTGGTATTTTGTTTTCGGGACTGGATTGTTGGTATGCGTTTCTAGAAGCCCCAGGGGAGAGGAAGTGTCTGTTTGCGCGAATGTGGATGTTGAGTCGACGCCGAAGACGGTTGTAAAGCGTGGCGTGTTGATTTGGGTTTCTGTGGGTCCGCGTCGGATCTTGTAGGTTACGCGGTAGAAGGGGAGGGATTGGAGGAGGAAGGTGAAGAGGGCTGTTGAGGTTTGTCGGGCGATGTAGGGTTGGAAGGTGAGGAGGTCTAGGTGTGGTTGGTTGGTTGTTTTCTTGGGTTGGGTTGCGGGTGTTGCGTGTTCGAGGGCGATGGAGATGTGGCTGGGGAGTTGGGGGATTGGGAATGGGTAGCTTGGGTGTTGGCTTGGGGGCTTTGGGTCTTCGGTTGGGATGTTTGGGGGTTCTGGGGAGGTTGTGGAGTTGGAGGTGGTGGGTTCGGAGGAGGTTTTGGGACGTTTTGGTGGTGGTGCGGATGGTTTGAAGAATGCGTCGAGGGTGCGTTTTGCCATTGTAAGATGCAAACTCCTGCGCATTAGGGATTGGGTGTGAGATGATTGAAAGTGCGGTCTCCGTTTGCGCGTCGCGAATTGGGGAATCTTCAGATTCATTGGCGGTGATGTCATTTCGTCGTTCGATCCCGATCTATAGGTACGTCTCGATCTAAACTTCTCGATCTATACGTCTCCAGTCTATACGTCTCGATTTATGCACGTTGTGCATTTTTCATTGCGTCTCATTCGTGCGATATCACCTCGTGCGTGTGACATCATTTCCATGTCAAAAGGGTCTACTCCGTAGATAACTTCAATTCGATCTCGGGCTGTGCCCACTTCCCGAGTCCCGATATTAGAAATCAACGTAGAATGTAGATCCACCCGGCACTTGGTGGGTTGATCCAGTTTAACCAGTACTACGCAGTATGCATAAATACTTCCGTCCAGTTCAATCCTTCCCTCGGCACATTCACACCATTCATTCAAAGAATCAAAATGAAAGAAGCTATCATCGACCAGACCCTTACGGCCATCATCCGTGATGTGGAAATTCCCACTCCTCAACCCGGCCAGGTCCTCATCAGAGTAATAGTGTCCGGCACAAACCCAAAGGACTGGAAGCTCCCGAAGTGGGAGCCAGACCGCATCTTGAACCAGGGTGACGATATCGCCGGGTATGTGGAAGCAATCGGCGAAGGTGTTGTGAATTTCCGCAAAGGAGACAAGGTAGCCGCCTTTCACGAGATGCTCAGCCCGAACGGAAGCTATGGCGAATACGCCATTGCTTGGGAACACACTACTTTCCATCTGACCGAGAAGACCAGCTTCGAAGGTATGTCGTCCCCTATGGCAATCGCTTTAGTAGTATTACTAGTATATGAAACTAACCCTATTCAACAGAGGCCGCAACCATCCCTCTCGCTGCAATGACTGCCGCGTTGGGCTTGTTCCAACGGCTGAAACTGCCTCTTCCCTGGCTTCCGGCTGATAAGCCGACCCCGCTGGTGGTCTACGGCGGCGCCTCGGCAGTCGGCGCTTTCGCCATAAAGTTCGCCCAATTGTCGAACATCCACCCCATCATTGCTGTCGCCGGAAAGGGCGCCCCCTTCGTCGAGACTCTGATCAGCAGAGAGAAGGGCGACACGATTATCGATTACCGTGAAGGCGATGAGGCTGTTCGCGCGGGCATCAGAAAAGCTGCTAACGGAATTCCCGTGCACGACGCCTACGATGCCGTTTCCGAGAAAGGAAGTTACCTCAACCTCAGTGCCGTTCTTGACACACCCGGTGCGATTACTGTCGTCTTGCCCTGGACAGACTATGGGTCATACGAGGATATCGAGATCCGCAGAACTATGGTTGGAAGTGTCCATGCACCACCCGCCGAGGGCCAGACTCTTGGCGATAAGGAGTTTGGTGCTGCTTTCTTCCAGTTCATTGGTAGAGGTTTGGCACAGGGCTGGTTCTCGGGCCACCCATACGAAGTCAGAAAGGGTGGACTTGGTGCTGTTGAGGGTGCTCTCAAGGATCTCGAGGCTGGCAAGGCCTCTGCGGTGAAGTATGTCTTCAGAATTGCCGAGACCGAGGGACTTCAGCAGTAGATTAAACTTGATATGGTCTCTCGTTAACGGACATAACGTTCCTCGAGGATGCTTCATGAACAAACATATTTTTCTTGCCATCCAAATCGGGAAGTGTTAGATCGAGACGTATAGGTACATATCCAGTGGCATAAGAAGGAAGAGCATAACGAGGTCTACCGGTGCCCGATGGTCTTGGGATTTAACTGCGACGCTCAGCTTCGCCTATCCCGTAAAAAGCAGGCGGAAAGTCGAACTGTTTACAGTACTTCCATGGGGGAAAGCGGTAGTGCGGGGGTGGGGGCCCGTTCGCCCTTCCCACTTGATCTCTTTCACCTAGCTTTGCGTGGAGGCAAAATGTCACTCACCATTTCCTTAATTTACTACCTTTCTCTACTCCTTCTTTTTGGATATTTCGTGGTGTATCACTTTCCACAAACGACTTCATCCACATCAGACGCTGCCTCGGGCAACAACCCCGACCCCAACGATCAGGTTGAGGAATTAGATCATGAGAAGTTCTATCATCACCCAGCTTGGTCACAACGCTGGCATCACCCTGAACTCACTGAAGAGGCCTTTTCGAAATATGAGCAAGAGCCATGGTTCAAGAATGCGGCTCGTCGTCCTTCCCATCAGGTCTTAACCCAATTCTTCCCATGCAATCTTCCTTGGGGCTTCATTATCTATCGAACAGTCTATACGCCTGAATCTGAAGAGCTGTGGCCAATTGTGCTAGAAAGAATCGCTGAAAGGCTGAAAGTGGGGGTCATGTCTGAAGCCAGGGGCAATGAATCCCGCGTTGAACAATTGATGGTTAAATCACACAAAGACGTGATTATTTCTGACCCTCATCGTTGGAATACTGCCAGCATTCCACAAATCCGCAGTCATTTCGTCGAATATCTGCGTAAGCTCAACCAAACGGGATGGCCCGATATTCCTCGTCTTGCCTCTTGCCTTGTGATTTATGAGAAATCACTAAAATCAATTGTCGAGGATGAAAAACATGGGTTTCTTGGAGTAATTGATGGGTGGTATAACCCCGAAGAGAAGTACGACTCCGCTTCTTACCGCGGATTTATGAGGGTGCAACTCATTGCCTTATGGAGTCTCTATTTGGATTTTAATCGGAACACCATGTGTATGCTGTGCCCGGATTACCCCGATGGATGGATTCCAGTTTACGATGGCGGCTATGGGACGATTCAGGATGAAGATGGGAATGAATATGTGAAACGCCTCGAGGGATCAGCGGAACGAGGACGAGGACGAGGACGTTGGTGAGAAACGAAGTCCTAGCTGTGCGCTCCTTAAGGTCCCATGAGACAATGTATTATATTAGGTCTTTGCCTTAGCTCAGGCCCGCGGTCACATAGGTGGATGTACTTGGCCCAAAACTATATGTACGTTCGGTAGCTAACTACTAGCTAGTTTAGACCTTCAGACAAATTTATTTCTTCATTCGCGAATAAATCCTTCCAGCGAGAATAGCTCAAAGCTCGATATACTAAATTGTTGCTTGCCTCAATTCGACATCAAGTGCCCGGCTCACCGTGTCAACTAATACTTGAGAGTCATGGGATGGGCAATGTGTAATCTTATAATCGGTCTTCTAGCCTGTTAGCTAGAATCTGACTTTATCAACGACTTTCAGGGCATAAGTCTAACACCTGTTCAATTTGCCATCAAGGCTGTCTGGAAGCAAAGTTGAAATCCAGACTGCTACTCTAACGCTAAGTGTTTAGGCATAGTAATCAACTACTCCTTAGACTGGGCTCGAGCATCCCGTAGACCTTCACTCGCCGTTGACGAGATGACCTTGCCAATCTTCTCAATCTCCTCGAGTCTTTGCAACCAGAAGTTCCACCGATCCATGCTCATCGGCCCCGCCGCCCAAAGCCTCCCTCTCTCTCCAACGCCCAGGACTTCTCACCTTTCTTCGCGCCCTCTCTGAGTCTTTCTCCAGCTACCTTGATCCACACTGCGGCAGCAGGTACCTCGAAGTCCCACAATGCATCTTGGCATTCGAGCGCTTCGGAGATGCACTCATAGCCCCAGCTTAGTGGCAAAAGACCATCTTCTGCATTCGGTCCCGGAGCAGCCATTGCACAAGACGCCTCCACAAAGGCCTGGTGCACGTGAGCCTCACGCCTCTTCGCTCTTGTGGCTGGATCCCGCGTTGCTAACGCTTTGCGCCAGTGGCTTTGCTTCCATCCATCTGCCCATGAATGGCCGAAACTTTTGAGACCTTTCCAGACAGGTTCACCGTCCTCTTCGTCTGGCAGTTGGCTAAGTTCTTTGAGCAGGTCGACAAGAGCGGGTGTGTGGCTTTGAGGCAGCTCAAAAAGTGCGTCTTCAAGTATGCCCACTATGCGGTCTCGAAGGTCGGTCTTTTTCTCGGAGTCGTGTGGCTTGGTCAGGGCGGCAGCTGTCTCGGATGGCTTGGAGTCGCCTTTGAGGTACGCTTTGAGAGCCGCAGCTTGATGCGGATGCACCCCGGTCTCTTCTTCGCCGTCCATGGGTGCAGTATGTTGGTCGAACCAAGCGTCATCGGCGGCGGAGCCAAAGCCGTCGAGCTCGATCGATTTGCATGTCATTTCTTGAATGTTGGTGTTCATGATGACAAAGAGGGCTCTTGAAGGAATAAATTTTGGGACTTTGAGTGTTTGAGAGATGAGCAGTCGCTACGCTGCGGGGACGAAGAATGTGATAGTTGAGTTATGTTCGAGAAAAGAAAGTGCGGAGTGGTCGCAATATCGGGAACTTTCAATAGTGGCAACTGGGCAGCAAAAGTCCAAAGACTCACACAAGTGACACAACTAGTACCCTGATATCGATTGAGGCGCAGCTTAATGTCCTGTAGCAACAATACCCCTGTACAGTGACATCATAAGGCCGCCCATCATGACTGATCTGCCGATCAACCGGGGTTGACAATTCAGCCGCATAAAGGATGGGGCCATTTTTGGTCTCAAGGCTGACGGCCCCCTATAGAATCCTCTCAGCCTTGTATACAATGAACGATGTCAATGTGCAGGGTCCGAAAGACGAGAGTTGCCAAATGCTATATGCAATACGATTTACAGGGCTTTAGAGTAGCTTTCATCCCATACCCAGCTCCACCAACATTGGAATTTCGACACTCCAATTGCTCTATTCTATACGCAGTTGCGAGGGAAATGGAGACTTTCTTCTCACAGTGAGAGTAGGCAATGTCATTGTCTTCCGCTTCAAGCTTGCTTTGGAGCACGTGCCCTAGTCGCATGTATGCAAAGCGAGCTTTCCTGGTTTAAAGGATTCCACTACTAACAGGCCTACTCAAAGGCCTCCAACCAAGTAGATCATTGCATCATGATGTAGCATTGCCCCCAATTGTCGTGCAATCTCAGCTTCCTCCGTGTGCCAATCGACGCTTCAACAAGTAGATTCTGTATGTCCGTCCCTGCTAGTGCAAGGCTCTCAGTCAGCCTTGGTGAAGCCTAGGTGACTCCATCAATGGCATAAAAGAGTCTTTGCCGGCTCTAAAATCTAACAGCAAGCACTCAGACCTCATCTTAGCATCAACAGTTCAACTACAATCCTCCAGCAATCTTTTATACTCTAATCGTCCAACCGCAACAATGAAGTTCACATTGGCAACAGCCTCCATCCTCTTCTTGAGCCTCACCTCGGCCCTTCCAGCCGATGACTTTGCTAATCTTCAAGAGCGTGCGGAACCTTCCAATGCACCCATTGACGTACGCCGTCCCTCAATCGAATTGGAACCTTCCCATTCTGACTGATATTTCTTGTAGTGGGATGGCCCCAACCCCTCTGCGTCCATCAAGTGCGGCAAGAACACTTATGACGGACACGATATCTACCTTGCCGCGCAGCACGCCGTGAACCTGGGCATGCTAGACCCTCCTGAGACGCGAGGCAAGAAGAACTACCCGCACCCGTTCGATAATGATGACAGCAAGGGTGTGAAGCTGCACTTCCCTGCTCACTGCCCGGAGCACGACGACAACCGAAAGGAGTATCCGCTCGTCAAGAACGGGCCTTACAACGGTGGCAAGAGCAATAAGAATTACGGGAAGGAGCGCGTCGTGTTTTACTACGATGGCCAGGCGCAAGGTGTTGATGGTCACCCGTTGGTCTACTACTGTGGCTTGATGACCCATGAGGGTGCGGTGAGGGGCGGTTTCTTGCAATGTCCCGATGGGAAATAAACTGGCACTGAGGTTTATACTCGGACTCCGAGCGTTGAATTTAGTCCGTAAAAGAAACCTTGGATGTTCTTGGGCTGAGTGATTGCGTGAAGGGGTCTCTACCTATACTACAAATCCGCTCACTATGCCCAGTTTGCTACAATGGAACAATACCTTTGTATTTGGACGCTATCAATCTAGTTTGAATGTCACAAGTCTAGTCTACACATCTGGTCCACTCCCATGCTGCAAGAACTCGTAGTGGAGGACCCTCGCGTGTTCCAACCGTATCATAGAGAACTATATACATCGTACCTATTCGTCGCTGGTCTGTTGATATTTTGGGATCCTCTCCCCTGCGCGCCACTTGTACTGGCTTCCAGGGTGATCTTCTGGCAAACGCTTTGATCCAATGAACACTTCGCGGGCTGTCGCACCCTGTTTCTCGGTCTCTCCTCGGAAGATACCTCTTCGGCGCAACTCAGGCAACAAGAACTCAATGATATCCTCGAATGTTCCCGGATTCACAATATGAGCAAGGTTGAAACCATCCACGCCGGAAATTTCCACCCATTTTTCCAACTCATCTGCAACTGTCGTAGGGCTGCCAACAACCTTGGCCTGCAGTCCACCCACACTGATGTACTCCACAATTCGTCGCTTAGTCCACGGCAGATTATCCGTACCAGGCACGGTGGAAGAAAACCGCCGAACGATGGACTGAACTCGGGGAGAGTCACTGAAACGCAAGTCCTCGTCGTCGGAATATCCCGACAGGTCGATTCCAGTCCATCCGCCGAACAAAGCTAGACAACCTTCGTCATCGGCATATTGGAGATAATCCTCCCGCTTTGCCCATGCCTCTTCATCTGTCGCTGCGACAATCACGTTGATACCAATTATGATTTTGATGTGATTGGGGTCACGTCCGTTCTCTGCCGCAACCCTTCGGATATTGTCCACCACCGGGCGAGTGTTTTCGGGAGTTACACCCCCAATGAAGATTGCTTCACCATGTTTCCCGCCAAACTGTCCACCGGCTTCCGACACGCCAGCTTGGAAGAGGAACGGCGTGCGCTGGGGCGATGGCTCACAAAAGTGTGGACCGGGGACTTGGAAGTATTTCCCTTTGTGGTTGATTTCTCGCACACCGTCGGCGGCAATGTATACTCCACTTTCTCGGTCGGCCAGGACGGCATCGTCTCGGAAACTTCCTTCCCAGAGCTTGTAAAGTACCTCGAGGTACTCATCTGCGATGGCGTACCGCTCGTCGTGATCAATCTGTTCGTTCAAGCCGTGGTTCTTGGCGGCGCTGTCCAAGTAAGAGGTGACAATGTTCCATGCTACTCGGCCCTCGCTCAGGTGGTCGACAGTCGTGAGTCGACGTGCGAGCGAATATGGTTTCTCGTATGTCACACTGGCCGTGATACCGAAGATGAGGTTCTTTGTGACGGCGGACATGGCCGGGACAAGGTACAGCGGGTCGTTGACGGGATATTGCGCGCCTGATGCCAATGCGGGAACGACATTGCTAGGGCCCTTGTACACATCGTATGCACCAAGAGTATCGGCAATGAACATCGCATGGAAACCGGCTTTGTCCAGAAGTTGGGCTAGATCGGTCCAGAATGATAATGATTTGTACTGGTCCGTCTTGTTTCTGGGGTGTCTCCATTGCCCGGGGGCCAAATGGCCGGGGGTATTCATCACGAAAGCATTGAGAATGATCTGCTTCTTCGCAGAGGTTGTTGTATTGTCACTCATTTTGTGCTGGAAGTACCTTGAGATTACGGCGGGTCTGGAAAGGTGTTGCGATGTAAAGACTGAGTGCTGAGCTACAGATGGGAAAAGCGCCACTCTTGTATGCCCGAAAGTCGAACTATACTGGCGCCAAGCCATGTCACCATCGCACCCTTCAGAGCCAAGTCTAGTCTTGGTCTTCCAAGCTCATCGGATACATTTTTGTCGTCCTCTATGATTCGCTATCTCTGGTTATTTTGTATGTTATCTGCAAATTATCGGCCGACAGCGGAGATCTCTGGGGAACGTGTGGAGTGCAGGGGTGTTTTTCGCGATTGCAAGTTGAGTTCTCGCCATTTCAGAGTGAGGGCACGCCATCCCAACCACAATCCCCTCATTTTCGCAAACTATTCGCAACACCTCTCGTGGGGCCCGTTAGTATTCATTTGACCTTCTACAAATGGCCAAGCGCCCAGAACTCTTAGTCGCGCCTTGTCCTGCTTGTTCCGTATAACGCAATCATAGACAGGGACGACGTGAGATATAACCACTACAAGTCAACCCTGGTTGCGCCATTCGTCAGAGAATGAAAGTCAATTCCTATCTAAGTGAAGTCAGCAAGCTGAGTCTTGATGGAAGATGTCTGACCCTGGAGATAATAAATATGTCGCGCTCTGCGCCCTTGGACATGGCTTTTCGGGGACCATCCAGGCATGTCGAACGCGGTAGATACGACCAAGTTGGCCCTGATCCCTCAGGGGGCGGCCTATGGCCTACTCATTGGCCTCAGCGTGTTGTTCTGCGGTGTTATCTTGATAGCCGTCAAAATCCAAAAAGCGTATCTGGCTGAAGATTCCGGAAAGTCGGAAATGTTCATGGTCGCCAATCGCTCTGTTGGAAAAGGTTTATGTGCATCTGCAGTGTTCAGCTCCTGGATGTGGATTAATGAAACAGTTCTATGCGCAGCTATGACTTACAGATATGGTCTTGCAGTTCCTTTGGTATGTGCTCTTATATTGATGGACCCTGTACCCGACTGACGAAGAGATAGTGGTGGGGATCTGGATTATGTTTCCAGATTGCATTGATGGCTGCTCTCGGTGTCATGGCCAAAATTCGAGTCCCGTATGCTCATACATCCCTTGAGGTGGTGCGCATGCGCTACGGCAAGATTGGACATCTGGTGTTCATTGTACTCAATCTGGTCAACAATGTCTTTGGCTGTGCCTCTATGATTATGACGGGGTCGCAGCTCATTCATGGTGTTTCCGGTATGCACTATGTTGCAGCAACCATTTTAGTCCCCATTGGAGGTGAGTTTCATGGACATTCAATAAGAAATCAGAGCTAACTGTTGTAAAGTGGTCCTTTACACAGCTGTTGGTGGCTTGAAGGCGACATTTCTTACGGACTTTTTGCACACGGCCATTGCCCTGATCCTGATAATCTATTTCACAATTGCTATTTTGACAAACTCGGCGATCGGTGGGTTGGGGGGTTTGTGGGAGAAGGTTATGGCCGCAGCTGGCGATAATCTGATTCCCGGTAACTACCAAGGCTCACTTCTTACATTCAAGTCCAAGGAGGCAATTATCTGGGGCTTGATTCTCAAATTTGGTAATCTCGCACTTGTCGTTATGGTAAGCCGAATCCATATGTGACCTTTGAGGCAATGCGAACAATTCCCACTGGGGTAGAATAAACCCAGACTGATGATGATCTCTAAAGCTAACGTCTGATCAATAGGACACTGCGTTCTGGCAAAAGTCTTTCGCTACCGAGGTCAAGGCCACCGTGCCAGGCTACAACATCGCTGCACTGGCTGTCTTCGGCATTCCCTGGGGTCTGGGCACTGTCATTGGTTTGGCAACGAGGGCAATTCACGATACCCCGATTTTCCCAACCTATCCCGGTGTGCTCACAGCCACTGAAGTCAGTTCGGGTATGGTAATGCCATACACCATCAAGGCACTCATCGGAGATAAAGGCATTGTTGGATTCTTCATCCTCCTGTTCATGGCCCTGACTAGCACCGTCTCTTCCTCGATGATTGCCGTCAGCAGTATCTTGTCCTATGACATCTACAAGACATACTTCAACCCCAAGGTTACCGACAAGCAACTTGTGCGCGTCAGCCACCTGACCGTTGTTATCCACGGAGTTTTCATCACGGGCATTTCAATCGCTCTAAATTATGGAGGAGCAAACATGACATGGATCGGCTATTTGCGACCCATCATCTCGTGTCCGGGAATCATACCTATGATTCTCACTCTCTTCTGGTCTCGGCAGACCCGACTAGCTGCAATTGTCGCTCCAGTGCTTGGCTTCTTCACGGGTCTCACTGTCTGGTTAACCACAACCCATTCCATGTATGGTCACATCAACATTACAACCACTACAAACAACTACCCGGCGCTGTATGCTGCCATCGCGTCTTTCTTCTCTCCTGCTATCTACTCCGTTGTCCTATCCCTGTACAAGCCATACAAGTTTGACTGGAGGATTTTCCTCCGAATCGAGCTGTCAGACCAAGCTGAGATTGCCTCCTCAGATGCAAGCACACTCGATGCAAGTGAGAAGGACGAGGGAAGCGGCTTGAAGAGCATCACTGGGTCAGTGAAGCATGTTTCCAACAGTCTACCTGAAAGTATCAGCAGCGATCTGGAGCGAGTTGAACGTCCCAGCGAGAAGGAACACACGACGGCGGTTGTGCGAAAGTCCGTCGATGAGATCAGTCTCAATGATATCCAGCATCCTTTCGACGAGGCGACGCTGAAAGAGCTCTATCGTTGGCTCAAAATTGCTTGGTATATGTTCGCTGCGATTGTGCTGATCACGTTCGTTGCTTGGCCGCTACCACTCTATCGCGACTATATCTTCACCAAATCATTCTTTGCCGGGTGGGTTGTTGTTGCTATCTTCTGGCAGTTCGCTGCATTTGGAGCTGTTGTCATTTTCCCTCTTTATGACGGCTGGCGGGACATCGAGACTGGTGCGAGGGGTATCTGGAAGACCTCGAAAAAGTATTTGGGAGGAGGAAAACAAAATTAAACGGTTCAACATTAGAGTTAGACTTTAAACTTTCCTTCTATTCCCTCGTGGGGGTATAGCCTAGCCAGTTGGCGGAGGACTTGCCAGTTGGCGTGAAGCTCGCGAAACGCGTCTAGAACTCGGCACCCATGCCAGAGTATGGGAGAGCCTTTTATTCACCGACTGCTCTCCATGTATACCTAGCATTGTTTACAACAATTGGCGCACGGAGGCCGCTTCCTCGGCTCCGCTGAACCTGCATGGTGCGTATTCGGGTTCGATCCCAATACTATGTCACCTTCGACCACTTCAATACATACAGAACTTTCTCCATCGTTTCCCATCTGTATAGTATCCGTATGAATATGTATCCCCATGTAAGTATCTATGTCGTAAAGGTACGGAATGATTAAGGTTAGCAAACAATACTCCGAGTAGGTACTACCTAGGTTACCTCTGGGTAACTAATGCAGTCATTATGCGGACAAGGACAGAACCAGGTAACAAAGCACTGGACGGAAGCAACCTGAAAGAACTCCATGTTATTCATTAAATACAAAACAAGCTCACCTCAAAGACAGTCGAAGAAAAGACTAACTATAGGTATAAACGGCCATTGTCGCAATGAAAGCGCATAGAGAACATTGACTAGGTATTGTTCTATGTCCATGTAGTCTCCCAGGTACATACCTCAACCAGCATATAAAACAACCTAGTATCCCCGAGTCCAAGTCTCCATCATCACAACCACAAAAGCAACTCTACATCGTACAATCCAAACCATCAACTACCTACCAACCTAACATCAACATGTCAAACCCCACACCCTTCCACCAGTGGCCCATATTGACCGATGCGTCGACAGCAGACCGCAACCCCGGTCTCTGTCCCTGGGAGTCCAGTGAGGGCATTATCTATGAAGTGGCAGACTCGGACGCTTTATGGCTGACTGTAGAACTGGATGCGAGCCTGAATGACCTCGAGGACGAGAGCCTGCTGCGGTTCGTGCTTACACATATCAAGATGGCGAACGCCGTTGTCGGTCCTCGGGCACAGCATTGTATTAGACCTAGGTGTCTGTCGATTCCTTGTAGGATTTCGGATTCTTACGCAGAGAGCCAGGCTGAGGCCTCTCGGCTGGTGCTGTTGTGGATTGGGCAGGTTAGGGCTGGGAAGGCGTGGCTTGATCGAGACGTGCTTTTTGGTCCTCGTTAGATGGTTGAAGTGGTGAATTAGAGTGGGGATGGGGATCGTCTGGTGGGTTGTGAATATGATGTATTCTAAAGGAGCTTGAATATCAAGACGGACTCGAAAACGGAGACGGATTCTACGTCTACACTCAGGAGTTCTATGCCTACATCACAAACTTTAGATAGCTCAATGGAATAAGTTCTACCCATTTATTTTCTACTACAGTATATTAACTTTAGACCACGTAATTCTGACTTTGCTAACTACATATCCTGATTGCGGATGATGAGGCCCTCCGTTGACCAGTTGGCTAGAGCCGGGAATCTGGATGATGTGTTGAATGACACTATGGAAGACTAGGAGACAATGACGAGTTTTTATTCAGAGCTCCTCGTTATTGCATCCGCCAATTATTATTCATTAACACTATAGGTATATTCCATGGTAATGTATGTACAAGTGGTCCCATATTGACAGTCTCATCCTCCCCTCGCGCCTCGGCAAGAGATACAAATGCATCGTGTCATGCTCAATCATACCACATTTACTCAAATGACCAACCACCTGTCTTATCAGCAAAGAAGTTATCCGGGTCGTACTTCTGCTTAATCTCCTGCAGCCTGGAATAGGTAGAGAAGGTCGACAGAGGATGCTGATCAGCGCTCGCATCATTAATGAACAGCGGAAGACCTTCCGCATTACCCGTCGACTCAACCATATCTCTGAAGCTCGACCGCACAGCATCAACAGCGGTCTTACTCATCCCAGGCGGCGTAGTAAGCAGATAGTTCAACCAGAACCACGGGCCATCTGGCATGTCCATGGCGTTTCCACCCTGGGCCTTGCTGGCATCAGTCAAGCTCTTGGGAACGGGCTGGTAATCGAGCGAGAGAAGAAGGTATTTGCCCTTGTGCTCCTCGCCCCAGGCGCGCCACTTGTCCAGAGCAAATTTGTACTCGTCGTTATCGGCGTAATGCACGCCAACGCGGAAGATGTTGTTTCCGCGTGAAATCTCGGTCGCGACCGGAATGGGCATGTCGACAACTTCCGGGTATGATCTGATTTTGGAGGTGTCGAGGAGGTGGGGGATGCTGGTGAAGTTATCGAAGGCAGTGCCGGGGTCGGGCCCGTCGTAGACGAGGAACATGATGATTATCTCATCGAGGTTCAGGTTTATATCTGGGGTGGGCAGCTTCTCATAGGTTCCGATGATGGCTGCTTTGGGGTCGGTGTTGTATTGGATGAAATCGCCAATGGCGTCAGCGACGGTATCCTTCTGAGGGAAGGCGTAGATGAGGTTTCCGGACCAGAATTCGCCAATTGGGCGACTCTGGACTGTGTATTTGGTCACAATACCGTAGGCATTGCCGCCGCCGCCCCGCGAGGCAAAGAACAGGTCGGTATTGGTGGTGTTAGAAGCTGTCACGATAGTGCCATTGGGAAGGACAATCTCCAGCTCTCTGAATGAATCGCAGGCCATGCCGTACTGGGGAGACAGGTAGCTCATGCCACCACCTAGGGCCAATCCGGTTCCGACTCCCGAGAGTCGAGCACCAACTACTGTGCGGTTGAATTGCTCGAAGTATTCGTAGATATTGCCAAACACACCACCGGGCTCGTATGTTGCCAGCGTTGTCTCCGAGTCATATGATTTCTTGTTGAGCTTGCTCAAGTCAATAAGTACTCCCTTGTCGGTAGACGAGAAGAAATCGTTGGGATTGTGTCCTCCTCCTTTCACCGCGAACCGGCTGTCGGCCGCCCGGACGGACTGAAGGATTGTCGAGACATCCTTTGAGGTTGTGGGATAGACAATGCAGGCCGGTTTATGGTCACCCTGGGGCGTACTCCAATACTCAGTGCTCTCGTGGTACTTCAGACTGAACCTGTTATTGACAACCTTCGAAGATCCAAGTTGGGATGTAATGTTGGCGCAAGCGGATGGACCTGGGTCGCTGGCGTATGAGCCAACTGGTGCCAGAATGCCAACCAAGGCCAAGGCGAAAGATAGCATGATGGATATGCTATATCCCCGCGAATTTCTCACGAGCGATCAATTGAGACGTCTAATTCGAGCTACGAGGTTGAGCGCATACTTATGGTCTCCCTTTTTCTACGTGTCCGAAATTTTGTATATGGCGCCGCGGGATAGTTATACGATGTGAATACGATAAACGGCGGGAATACGATAGCGGCGGAGCTCCAGTTGAGCCTAAAAAAGCTATGGAAAGGAAGATCCTCTACTCTACCACAGTATGGAATGCGGATCAACGGACCTTCATAAGTCTGGGAGATTGGACCTCAGACATATTCAGGAAGCGGAGAATGCCCGAAGTTCTTCTGAAATAGCATTCAGTGGGGCCGACGTGCCAAAGGGAGAATTTACAGATCTCGGTCTGGGGAAATTGTGCCGAACTATCGAAACATAACGTATTGTTTTCTAGGTACTCCCTACAAGCATAGAATAAGCATAACTGAGCAATAAGCACGAGCATATTCTCACTGAATGAGTGAAGAACCTCGGTTCACGAATTGTGGGGCCCGTGGGGTGGACCGTGCGTGGGGCGCACAACCCGTTCCCCGTATTCTTTCCATGGCTCCAAGCCTCCAAACTGAGCACTAGCAGGGGTGATGCGTACATTGTTGTAGAGTCAAGGATTCCAGGCTGGTACCTATACGATTAGGATACATGCCTCATGTAGGTCATGATACTCAACGAGTACTTCGAAATTGAGGGAACCGAAGCTTAAAACCGAGATCACTTGTGTTATGTACTGCTGGCCTGGGAGCGCGCTCAAGACCCGCCTCACGCGCCGCCCCCGTGTATGCCCTGCCACAATCGCTTATCATTTTTGAATTTGATCCAGGCCACTACCATGCAATACTTCATCTCCGTGAGCGTGAGACATGTTAAGGTATATACATTTTTCATCAAAAGCATATTCTCTTATCACACACAAATTGTAGTTGGAAATGGAGTTGAACGATAACGTTATGTGTGGTTTGTGGATGACGTCAACACTGACAATACTCAAAGCAAAAGCCTCAGGCTTCAGCGCTGAGGCTTCAGCATAACAATTCAGGAAGCAAACGTTGCCAGAGCTCAAGGACTGGAATGGATGTGTTCATGGGCTCTCCAGTTTGTCTCCTTCTCTGATCTCTTTAGCCACTCTCTTGCTCGGGTATTTCCCAAATGGATGCCTCAAGCTCTCCCTTGTTCATCGCCCAGGAGACATACTGCTACTATCCTATCAGTACCATCTACAACTCATGTCCTCGATACCTATTCTATGCGCTCCTGCTTGCGAGTTGCCTTACAAGATGGACGGGATGGATCATGGACGTCTTCCTAGGAGCTGCCGCGACATATGCAGGAACAGCGGCAATCCAAGCCTTTATCATGGTTTCCAGTCGCCAGAAGCCTCAAGATCCCGGACCCGTCACTATCCCGTTTCTGTCGGCCAACTCCAGCTTGCACGGCGCATTTCCTTCCTTGGTCACCGAGACGGACCAACTGATAATCTCACCTGCTTCACTTGAGCTTGATGCAGATGCTGTTCTCGCTATCGTCGTCACCGGCTATCTGGTCTTTCTGCCCCTACAATCTGCGTCTCGCATTTTGACCCACGATTCAGCGCGCAACCTTCTGTTTTATCTCTGGCATGCTCTAATGCTGGCGGGCACCATTTCTGCTCTGATCTATGCTGCACGAAGACCTAATATACCGTCTCAGTACATGTTTTGCTTTCCTGAACTCCCGCCTTTCGCAGACACTACCAATGACGGCTGGCAATCTTCTTGGAGGACATCTAATTGGAACGATAGTGTTTGGGAGATATTCTCGAATATCACACGATGGAATCAACTGGGAGACATATGCTTCAATCCGTGTTTCAATTCAAGTCAAATCTTGCGACAACCAACTTCCTTGCATTCTGTCAGTGAAGAAGGGGACTTTGACGTTACTAGCATCCATGGCTTCCTTGATAAAATTCTCTACTCAAAGCGATACATCTACAGTCTCATCATCATTTGCTTGATTCTCAATGTCCTTCTCTTGACTTACCGATTCCTCCCTTACAGATCTCGGATCCCATCGGCGCAGATCGTGGTCCTCTGGAGAGAGCGGAAGAACGTCTGGAAAAGCTTTAAAGATGAATTCGCTGCTGCAGTGAATCCGTCCCATATATACAATGACGACGAGGAAGCCAGACAGGGAAACGGAAAGCCCTCCATCTGGCGTAGGGTGGGGTCTATGTTCTGCCGACAGTCTCTCAGGGCCTTTTTGCATTTGTTTGTAGATGCAGCGATTCTGTTTGGAATTCTGTTTAGCCTGATAGTCAGCCCCTTTACTATCATTGCGTTTGTGGTCTGGATCGAGATCCAAATTTGGAACGACGGGCCAGAGCAGGAGAGTCCACGCCAAGTTGGTCAATGGGCGTACCCTGCGTCTCTAGGACTGCTTGTGCTTTCCTCCGCAATTCTGAAATTGAAGTATCGGCTTGCTTCAACTGCTGAGCTGGAAAAGGAGATCTCGACTCTGAAGAAGCATCTAGAGGATCTGGAGAAGAGAAGGAAGGTTCGGTCGGGATCTAACTCGATCGAGTTGGGTTCATTGAGAGAGCAGAATAAGGATCATTAGACCTTAGTGTCAGTCTGTGCCAACGGACTCCACAATGTGCTTGATGGCGCTAATTTAACTAGCTTGCCTCGTGATGTGATGTATCATGTACCATTTCCTATTTTCCACTGAACCACTTCTTTGTTCTCCCGAGGCCCTTGATCCTCAAGCGTGTGCGCTCTCTGCGATAGGCCACCGTGTAGCACGCTAAGTAACGGAAACCCTGATGGAATAAGAACAGAAGAGCGTCCGGCTCGCCAACAACGCTTCCCTGTAAATGTCGCCATCCTACATACACTAGGTGATTCTCGCAGTGTAGTTCTGTTGCCAAATCCCCTTGTCAAGAATTGAATCCCATTCCGTCCATATTATTGAGCTTCTCGGCGGTCTCAGTCTGTATCTGGAGGTCAATCCATAGTATCTGCGTGGCTTGTGGCTTCGGTGCTATACTAGTCAACTCGTATTGTCCCTTAGTTTAGGCACGCAAGACAGGCACATGATTACGACTCCTTGCTAAAAGCGGGACAACCAGGGGCCATTCCTCCCTCTACATAGCATTGTCGAGGTCATAGTACGGAGTGCTCCGTACTGTGTTCCAAGCAGATCACTTGGCAATTGTGCGGGGGTGTGTCTCACCCCCAAATAGGATGAAGAAACACTCAGCTACCCCTGTCGGTGGCACCCACACTGCGGTCAGTGCATACTGGAATTCCCAATGGGAGCTTCGCTTCGAGTAAGTGAATCAGTGATATTCAGGTTTGGCCTAGAGATTGTATGGGACCTAGGGCAGATCTTAACATTTAATAGTGCTCCCTGTCCCACGGTCCCACCCCCTTTGTGGCTAGTATGGGGATTTCTTTGTCTGCTCTGTAATAGCAGTCATCCATAAAGAACTCCGCATAAAGACGTCCTTTCCTTCCTCTGCTTCATATCTCTTTTCACTATGGATCACAAAGATAGAGAAACCAGCTCAGATTTTGTCGAGAATGTCGATTCGCACGGAAAAACCACCCATATTCCACTATGGGAGTCGATCAGGAAATTCCCCCGAATCGTGGGTTACTGTGTCGCCCTGAGCTCCGCAATTCTCCTCTACGGATATGACCTAGTCATTGTGGGAACAGTGGCTGCCATGCCTCAATTCCAGTACACCTCCCCCAACCCCCGGCAAAACCAAACCAAGTCCATCGCCACTAACACGTGAAACAGACTCGTTTTCGGTCAGGAACTCAATGGAAAATACATCATTCCTTCTATGTGGCTTTCCCTCTGGAACGTATCCAGTTGCATCGGCCTGATGATCGGCTCCATCCTCGGTGGATACTATCAAGATCGAGGCGGGCGCCGCCTGACACTAGCTATAGGCAGTTTCCTATCCACAATTGCGGTCGCGATCTGCTACATCTCCGATCTGCCGGACGGAATGGAAACCCGTCGAGGCGTGTTCTTCGCGGGTAAGCTGTTTCAGGGTATCTGTATCGGCATTCTGCTGTGTGTGACACAGACGTACATGTCCGAGGTCTTGCCTGTTGTTCTTCGGGGACCGATTATCGCCTTCTATCCAATTTTCACACTGCTTGGGCAGCTTGTTGGGTCGATTGTGGTATTCACATCGCTTAAGCACGAGGGTGCACAATCATATCGGATTTGCTTTGCCTCGCAGTGGCCATTCTCGGTTCTTCCGTTTGTCCTGGCGGCGTTTTTGCCGGAGAGTCCGACATGGCTGTTGAGGAAAGGGCGAGCGGACACGGCTCTTAAAGAGCAGAAGAAGCTTGATACGAAAGATGTCGACCCACAAGTTGTTATTGACGAGTTACAGGCTTCTATTTTAGCGGAAGATGAGGAGAGAGCGAGTCATACGTATGCTGATTGTTTCAAGGGAGTCAATACGCGGAGAACGTTGATTGTGGCTTTTGCAAATATTATCCCGCAGATGTTTGGGCTGCAGCTGCTGTCGAATGCTTCGTATTTCATGCAGGTAGTTGGCATGGGCTCGTCTAACAGTTTGATTTTCTTGATTCTGGGAATTGGACTTGGCTTGATCGCAAATGTTGTCAGTCTGTGGGCGTTGAATGCTTTCGGCAGGAGGTTCCTGATTTTGCTTACGCTGGGTATTGTGATGGTGCTGTGGTTTGCCATGGGAATCGCCGGAATCTTCACAGGAACTGTCACAATTTGGTAAGATACTATCTCCTCCTTGGAAAGCCCATCGAATGATGATTTGACTTGATACTAGGTATACCGCGGTTACCATGATGGTTATCGTCATGGTCTCAGGCTTAGGATCCTGGCCTGCATCGCATGTCGTTGCTGCCGAGGCCTCATCGCTGCAACTCCGTGCAAAGAGCCAAGGTATTGGATGGTTCACCAGCGGCATTGGCACCGCGGTGTTCGCCGTCATTCTGCCTTATATCTATAACTCTGATGAGGGAAACCTGAGGGCGAAGACTGGGTTCGTGATGGCAGGATTCGCTGCTGTTGCCTTCGGTCTCGTTTGGCTGTCTATCCCAGAGATGAAGGGTCGAACAGCAATGGAGATTGACCGCATGTTTGCCTTGAAGTTGCGCACTCGTGCTTTCAAAGGTTGGAATAGTGATGCGACTCTTGCGAGCGAGAAAGATGACTCTAATGATCCAACGAAGGCATGAGGCATTTACACTCAACTGCTAGATATACGAACCTGGCACATTTGATTACCAGATTTCTTATCAAATATATGGCTCCTGGAGTTTTTGCTTTTTCATACAGAAGTGTGACGGGTGCATGTCGACGGTCGTACCGATACCCCCGTATAGCCTGCTAGCTAATAGCTTTCGACATCATACTGTTGTGTCCATGGATTGTTGGCATATTTTAAGGTTATCTCCACGTGGGTCCCCCGGCTTCCTATTCAGGCTAGCGTGCGAGTTCACTAGTATGTGCCTGACATCCATGTAACTAGCACAGGGACGGGTACATGTACATGCAAGTACAGTAATCTATCACTGTTGAAGTACTTAGGGGGTCATAAGTCCGGAGAAATAATCGTCAACGAGGTGGTCGTTTGACAATCAACAACGGAACGGTCTTCGAGCTCGGTTCATCCGCTTTGCTTCGTCAGGGCTACTTGCAGGTAGCTTCTGCTGTACGTGATGATCAGCCCGGACAAACCACGGTATGACTGAAAACGGAATAATACAGACTTACAGTGATCCTAGGTAGCTTCCCGTGACGTTCTCATTGGAACAATTTGAAAAGACACAAGTTATGGAAATTAGCAGATCATTGAGGTGGATTAAGGCAATCATCAGACTTTCTCCCGATAGAACAATATTCATATAGGGAGGGTAAACATCGACAGAGAAGAACGAAAATAAGTAAAATGCATCCGGTCGGTAAGTGATTCGACAAGTAAAGTCAAATTCAGATACAGACAGTCATGACGAAATACACCATGTAGTGTTATTAACAGTTTACATCACAACACAGCAGGAGTTTTGCTTCTTGGCCTAAAATCAATGGGTTAGAAAGATTCAGACATGCAGCACTAAAAGAACATACCTGGGTATAGAACATCTTGCTCTGAGCTGAGAGGCCATCACTCTTCTGAACAAGGGAATCAATCTTCTCGCCTCGCTCCAGGACACTCTCGATCTAGAACTCGTTAGCACCAGGAATATGGCCATATCAATCAAGAATACATACCGTCTTGTGAAGGACAATCTTGGTCTCATCAAGCTCCTGCTGGATCTTCATAATGCTGTCGGCCTGGCCCGGATCCTGGTACTTGATGATATATTCCTTGAGTTGCGGTAGAGGGCATGCATTCTCGCGCAAAGAAGGGTCGGAGAAGGCGGTGCGGGGGGTGCTTGGCCAGGAACTCATCCACGATCTTGCTCAAAAGCTGGTGGGCCACCAGGGCAGGGTAGTCCCCATCTGTGACTATAACACCGGCAACACCCTCTGTCCGGCCATAGGCGTGGAATGTGTAGGCTTTCTCTTCAATATCCTGTCGTTGGCCGGGCTTGGTTCGTTCGGCGACTGTTTTGGTGAAAAGCATCAAGAATTCATCGTAGCTGTAGGGCAAATGCGGTCAGTGAACTGATCGTTGAGGCCCGGGGGAGGGTCGATGGGGAGGGTCGATGGGGAGGGTCGATGAACATACTTCTGACGGGTGAAGCGAGAAAAGCTATAGATATTTAGCCAAGGGGTTCAGTTGGTTGCAGGGTTCATACGGGACTCCTACCTGCTAAGGTCCTTTTCCCCGCATAGCTGGAGAGCTGGCTGAGTGTCGTTTCGGAACACCTACGGGGCAGTTGTATGAGTATCACATCCAAGCATATGTTCGGTTGCAACAACGATTCCGTTATACGTACACCCATATAAAGAATCTTCATGGTGAAGCGTGATTTCCGCAAGAGGACAAGGGGGCAAGTAAGTGTCGGGGGTAGCGGGGCGTTATGTAGCAGTAAGTGCCTATGGGGGGAGTGTTCTGGTCTCGCAGAATCAGGAAACTGCTGTAAAGTAGAAAGTCGACTGTAGAATCAGCTGAAGTGGCGAAGCAATGTAAGAAGTGCTGAGTCTGAAACAGGCTCCTGAGTTTTGAACTGGGGCCGATAACAATGATGCGCATCGACCCTCGGGCCGGGTCGCCTGAGGCAGGAGCTGTACACCGCTCTTGTCATGCGACCGACCGAGCCCTGCGGGCCTGCCCTATGACTACATTTGGTCAGTCTTTATCCCCCTCATTTTCTGAGGGACCTTGCTTTGGGCTTTTATTTGAAAGTCACAGTTAGGTGAACCAAACGGTCCATCAGCCAGAAATGGATACTATCGCGGCTACCGAGTCGCAATGGCTCTCGCAACTGGCAGCCATGCGGCAGGCCATCGCCGATCTGAAACTACCCAAGGACCTTCCTCAAGAATCGATGAGCTACGGGAGCGATATCGAGTTGGACATTGACGATGATTACTCTTCTCCCGGAACAGTCGATGATGTATGGGATATCATCAGCTCCGACGATGAAACTTCAGACGACTTGGACGACCTTCTCGAAGCTGACGGCCTTCATCTCACACACGGATCACCCTACAACCGGTTTTGGCTGGAAGATAAGTGCCAGGACTTGGCTATGCGAAACTCAAGCATGGATGCGGCAGAGCTTGCTCAGCAGATAGTCGCCACCCTAGCTGCCGACAGCAACGACGAGGAGCTACAAATGTCTTTGGCCGAGATCGTCGGGTTCGACGACTTGGATCTGGTGATCGAGCTTATCGCTCACCGAGGAGATATTCTTTCAGACAAGGGCTCTAATCTGGAGTCTCAGACAGATGGTCTCATGGCTGGTAGACTCCAGACACGAGCAGAGAGAGAACGTGCTCTACAACAGCGCGACTTCGAACATAAGAGCGCGGCGTTAATGCCAGCACAGACCCGAGCGGAGCCTTCATACCCGCACGTTTTCAAACAACACACCTCTGGCAATACACTCTCCGCCAGCGGAAAGAAATACGGGTTGCCTCTGGGTAGCGAGCAGATTGAAGAACCGAAGTACACCGAATTCGCAATCCCGGCATCGAAGGTTGGCATACTTGGAAAGGGCCGAAAGTTAGTGGAGATTGCGGATCTGGATGGCCTTTGTCGGGGTACCTTCAAGGGGTACAAAAGCCTCAATCGAATGCAGAGCTTGCTTTACGACGTCGCCTACAAAACCAATGAGAATATGCTCATTTGCGCACCCACTGGTGCGGGTAAGACGGATGCCGCCATGTTGACAATCCTCAACGCTGTCGGAAAGAACACTTCTCCAAATCCACTGGAGAATCCAGAGGCGACCGAGTTCACTGTCCAGGTTGACGACTTCAAGATTGTTTATGTTGCTCCTATGAAGGCTCTGGCCGCTGAGGTGACGGAAAAACTGGGAAAGCGTTTAGCCTGGTTGGGTATCAAGGTCCGCGAATTGACTGGTGATATGCAGTTGACCAAGAAGGAGATTGTGGCGACACAGATCATTGTTACGACCCCTGAAAAATGGGATGTCGTGACACGCAAAAGTACTGGAGACACCGAGCTTGTTCAGAAAGTCCGTCTACTCATCATTGATGAGGTCCACATGCTGCACGATGAACGAGGAGCAGTCATCGAATCACTGGTCGCTCGAACCCAGCGACAGGTAGAAAGCACGCAGTCCCTGATTCGTATTGTTGGTCTATCTGCCACCCTTCCGAACTATACTGATGTAGCGGACTTCTTGAAAGTGAACAAGATGGCCGGCATGTTCTTCTTTGACCAATCATTCCGACCAGTGCCTCTTGAGCAGCACTTCATCGGTGTCAAAGGGAAAGCCGGGTCCAAACAATCTCGGGACAATATTGACCTTGTCGCTTATGAAAAGGTTCGCGATATGATGGAAAGAGGCCATCAAGTCATGGTATTTGTCCACTCGCGCAAAGATACTGTTATGACTGCCAGAATGCTCAAACAACTAGCAGCCGAGGAGGGCCGTGAGGATCTGTTCAGCTGCCATGACCATGAGGGCTACTCCAACGGTCTTCGTGACATGAAGCATGCGCGTGCACGAGAATTGCGAGACCTCTTTACCAGTGGGTTCGGGACACATCATGCCGGAATGAGCCGCAGTGATCGCAACTTGATGGAGCGAATGTTTTCGGAGGGCCTTATTAAGGTGCTTTGCTGTACTGCGACTTTGGCATGGGGTGTCAACCTTCCTGCAGCCGCGGTAGTTATCAAAGGAACTCAGTTATACAACCCCCAAGAAGGAAAATTCATCGACCTGAGTATTCTCGACGTCATGCAAATCTTCGGTCGTGCAGGTCGTCCACAATTCCAGGACACCGGTATCGGTTTCATTGTCACCACTCATGACAAGTTAAACCACTACCTTTCCGCAGTGACAGCACAACAGCCCATCGAGTCGCGCTTCTCCGCTCGACTAGTGGATAACTTGAATGCTGAAATCGCGCTTGGTACGGTCACTTCTGTTCCAGAAGCCGTGCAATGGCTAGGCTACTCGTACCTCTTCGTGCGCATGAAGCGCGAGCCGAGAAACTATGGAATCGAGTTTGCCGAGCTACGCGATGACCCAATGTTGGTCCAAAGGCGGAGGCTGTTGATCATACAGGCAGCGCGGGTGCTACAAAAGAGCCAGATGATTATCTTCAATGAGAAGACGGAGGATCTGAAAGCCAAGGATGTTGGTCGCATTGCCAGTCAATATTACGTTTTGCAAACCAGTATCGAGATCTTCAACGACATGATGCGTCCTCGATCTGGTGAGGCAGACGTGCTGAAGATGATCAGTATGAGTGGAGAATTCGACAACATCCAGTCGAGAGACAGCGAGTCTAAGGAGCTTCAACGCCTGCGCGAAGAAGTGGCGCAGACGGAAGTTGCTGGAGGAAATGACACGCCCCATGCAAAGACAAACCTCTTGTTGCAATCCTACATTTCTCGCGCGAAGATCGAGGACTTTGCTTTAGCCTCTGATACTGGATATGTTGCTCAGAACGCGGCACGTATCTGCCGTGCACTCTTCATGATTGCACTGAACAGACGTTGGGGCTATCAGTGTCAGGTCCTGTTGTCTCTTTGCAAATCAATCGAGAAACAAATTTGGCCATTTGATCACCCCTTCCGGCAGTTCGACTTACCCCAGCCGGTCCTGCGGAATCTCGACGAAAAGCTGCCGGCTACTTCCATTGAGTCGATGAAAGAAATGGAGCCTGCGGAGATTGGTCAGCTTGTCCATAATCACCGCATGGGCAACACATTGTCCAAGCTTCTGGACAACTTCCCGACCCTCAGCGTTGAATCTGAGATTGCTCCGCTCAACCGCGACGTGCTTCGTATTCGCCTTTCTATCTACCCGGAGTTCACCTGGAATGACCGCCACCACGGAGCCTCCGAGTCCTTCTGGGTCTGGGTGGAGAATTCGGAAACATCTGAAATATATCACCACGAGTATTTCATCCTCAGCCGGAAGAAGCTCTATGATGATCATGAGCTCAACTTCACCATCCCGCTGTCTGATCCGCTTCCTAGCCAAATTTATATCCGCGTGATCTCTGATCGCTGGTTGGGTGCTGAGACCGTTAGCCCGGTTTCCTTCCAGCATCTAATTCGCCCCGACACTGAAAGTGTGTATACCGATCTGCTCAATCTCCAGCCGCTACCTATAACGGCTCTCAAGAACCCGATCCTGGAGGAGATATACGGACAACGTTTCCAATTCTTCAATCCCATGCAAACGCAGATCTTCCACCTGCTGTATCACACACCAGCCAACGTCCTTCTTGGATCTCCCACAGGTAGCGGAAAGACCATTGCATGTGAGCTCGCGATGTGGTGGGCCTTCCGAGAGAAGCCCGGTTCCAAGGTCGTCTATATTGCGCCTATGAAGGCCTTGGTCCGTGAGCGAGTTCAAGATTGGCGCAAACGCCTCACCAGGCAAATGGGTTTGAAGCTTGTGGAGTTGACTGGTGACAATACGCCTGACACACGGACAATTCGTGATGCCGACATCATTATTACCACGCCTGAGAAATGGGACGGTATCTCACGTAGTTGGCAGACTCGTGACTACGTCAGGAAAGTGAGCCTCGTGATTATTGACGAGATCCACTTGCTCGGCAGTGACCGAGGTCCCATTTTGGAAATCATTGTTTCCCGAATGAACTACATTGCCTCTCAATCTAAGGGGTCTGTTCGACTTATGGGCATGTCTACGGCCTGCGCCAATGCTTCTGATCTCGCCAACTGGCTTGGTGTCAAGGAGGGTTTGTATAACTTCCGTCACTCGGTCCGCCCGGTTCCCCTCGAGATCTTCATCGATGGTTTCCCGGAGCAGCGTGGCTTCTGTCCTTTGATGCAATCTATGAATCGCCCAACTTTCCTCGCGATCAAGAACCACTCCCCGGAGAAGCCCGTCATTGTCTTTGTTGCCTCCCGTCGACAAACCCGTCTGACTGCCAAGGATTTGATCAATTACTGTGGCATGGAGGACAATCCTCGTAGGTTCGTACGGATGTCTGAAGAAGATCTTGAGTTGAACCTTGCGCGAGTCAAGGATGATGCCCTTAGAGAAGCTCTCAACTTCGGTATTGGATTGCATCATGCTGGTTTGGTGGAATCCGATCGTCAACTGGCAGAGGAACTCTTCGCCAACAACAAGATCCAAATCCTCGTGGCAACCAGTACTCTTGCGTGGGGTGTTAACCTTCCAGCCCATCTCGTGGTGGTGAAGGGCACACAGTTCTTCGATGCTAAAATTGAAGGTTATCGTGACATGGACTTGACTGATGTTTTGCAAATGCTCGGTCGTGCTGGTCGCCCCCAGTTCGATACATCTGGCATTGCTCGTATCTTCACCCAGGACTCGAAGAAGGCTTTCTACAAGCACTTCCTCCATACTGGTTTCCCCGTTGAATCAACACTCCACAAGGTTCTCGACAACCATCTTGGCGCTGAGGTATCCGCCGGAACAATTGGAACGCAACAAGATGCATTAGACTACTTGACCTGGACATTCTTCTTCCGTCGATTGCACAAGAACCCATCATACTATGGGTTGGAAATCTCCGCCGATGAGCAGAACACCATTACAGCCCAGGCCCAAGCTCAAGAGTTCATGGTGGAGTTGGTTGGAAAGTCACTGAACGACTTGGCGGAGTCATCTTGTGTTCTCGTGGATTCGGCGACTGGAGAGGTTAACTCCACTCCCTTCGGCAAGATCATGAGTTACTACTACCTGTCGCACAAGACCATTCGATATGTCATGTCACACGCTAAACGTGACCCGAACTTCCACGATGTCTTGAGCTGGATGTGTTCTGCAACCGAGTTCAATGAACTACCTGTCCGACACAACGAAGACTTGATCAATGCCGAGCTAGCCCAGAACCTACCGCTCTCGATTGAGTGCATGGGCGATGTACCCCTCTGGGACCCACATACAAAGGCATTCCTCCTCCTCCAGGCATACATGTCGCGAATCGACCTTCCAATCGCCGATTACGTCGGTGATCAGACGTCTGTACTCGATCAAGGCATTCGTATCATCCAGGCATCGATCGACGTCATGGCTGAACTCGGGTATCTTCCTGCATGCGAGATGTTGATGACTCTACTCCAATGCATCAAGTCAGCCCGCTGGCCTGAGGACCATCCGTTGTCGATTCTGCCAGGTGTTCCCGCTGAGAACCCTCCCAGTGGCCTTCCGAAAACCCTTGTCTCACTTTCATCGCAGTCTACTGGTGCAGTTGCTGCCTTGGTCAAGAAGTTGAACCTTCCTCCAAGTTTTGCTCGCATCGCTGCCCAACTGCCTCAGCTTTCGGTCTCGGTTGCCAGTGTCTCTGCTAAGGGCGTGGCTGTGTCTCTTACACGCCGTAATCAACCCACTACTCCGGAATGCAGGGTCTACGCGCCCAGGTTCCCTAAGCCACAAACCGAGGGGTTCTTCTTGGTTGTCTGCAGTGCGCTTCCTAATGGTGCGGATGGCGAACTACTTGGTCTGAAGCGTGTCTCGTGGCCACCGGCGTCTAACCGCAATGGCAATGGAAGGGGCAGGGGCAACGGCGGCGCTGGTTCTAGTAGGGCTGACAAGGATAAGAAGGACGGGCTGTTGACCGTTCTATCCAACGTCAAATTCCCCGAGGGATTGCTTGCACAGTCCACGACCACCGGCACGGCTCGGGTGAATATCAGAGTCATCAGTGATTCGTACGTCGGGATGACATGGAATATCCCCAACGTAGAGGTGAAACTCGATACTGAGGTCGAGTCGCAGACTGTAACAGTGGCCGAGTCCAGTATCCCTACGAAAGCCTGAGAGCAGTTTCCCGGGCCATTCGCCGTGAGTTCATTTACTGTGTATCTGATGCATCAGGTGGACTCCACCTTACAAATATGGAAATAGAAAGCACTTCTGCAACGCTTAAACCCATTCTCATAGGTGTTCCCGCCATCATAGATTAGAATAAATATCTAAGCCAGAGAAAAGAAAGTATGAACACGGTATGTTATGTGGCAAAGGGGAATCAAGTATGAAACAGAAAAAAACCCCTCAAAGAATAACCTTGAAACACCCAATGATTCGAAATATATGAGATCACAAACACTCTATCCGCAGCTCCTGCGAAACACCAGGCCGATGTCCCCGCTGAGCATCAACAACCATTGGCACAAGCGGCCTCCTCTGCACAAGCCGCTCCTGCGAGTCCAGATAATCGATCCGTCCACCGATAGGAACGAGCATCTGCCGCGTTGCCCGCGAAACAGAGATCGACCGGGCGGTTGAGACCTCGATCTTCGGGATTAGATGTGTAGGCGTGGGCGAAAGCTCTTGGATAGAATCCGATGGCGATACACCGGATGTAGGGTCCGTAAAGGCTGATAATGGGGAGGTGATTTGATCGATATTGTCTTGGGTCGGATATATTTTTGATGGTGGGCTTGGAGATGCGCTGGTAGGTGGTGTGTCTTTTGCGGGTGGTTTTGGTTTGTTTCGGGTGTCGACTGTGAGACCTGCTCGTACTGCATGGCTGACTTTTGGGTGGTCCGGTCTTTGGTTGGGTTGGTGGTGTGAGGTGTTCTTTATTAGGAAAGGGCCATGAGGCTTTGTTTCTGTTGTTCGTGGCAGTGAATCTGTTCTCGGCTGGAGAGGTGGGTTCCGTGGATGGGTAGCTGGCTTTGCTGTAACTATTTTTTGTGCTTGCGCACTTTGCTGCGGCCGGACCTTTTGAGGGGATGGATTGTTCGTTTGTTGTGGAACCCTCTGGTGTTGTCGAGCAGGCTGCTCTGGTTTAATTGGAGGAAGAGGCTTGTCATAGCTACTAGATGACCTCGGGGTACTGGTACGATCGATGAAAACCTTTGGAATCACGGGTGACTCGAAAGAAGAAACATTGTGCGCGGCCGCAGCCTGCTGGGCCTGTTTCGGGGGTACGCTGGACGGGCTGTCGATAGGTAGGGTGTTTGCCCTGGCTAATGGGCGCGGCCCACGGGAGAAATTCTGTGTGCCAAGTATTTGGGCTGCTTTCGAAGAATGTGAATTTGGAAATAATGTAAAACTGGTTCGTGCTGGTGATGTTGCTCTTCGTTGGGGCACTGGGCGTGCGGGCGATTTCAGAAAGTTCTATTCCACGTAGTCAGTTTCATGTCCAGGATTCAATCGGCCGGTGATTATACATTGGGTTCTGGGACACAAAGCTTGTCCAACGTCTTGGCTCTCCTGGCCAGCAGTGAGGGCCTTTCAGTTTTGTTGACGACATTGCTGAACAGGACGCTGTATCGTTCCATTTGAATGTTCGGGATATCGACACTCAGCATTAGGCCCTGAGTGCTCGTCTGGTCCTTAGATGCCTTGCTACCACTTAGCGAATCATTCCGATACCGGTGGCCACGCATCTGGGGTGGATCGATTTCAAGTCTTGGCCACTCTTCCGTCGAATCGATGCTCTCTCTACTCTTGGGCTGCTTCCTTGGTCGACTTCTTTCGTTGCTTTGGGACTTCAAGTTGCTCTCTTGTGCGACAACTGGAAGCGATGTGAATGCATTCTTCGTCTTGAAGAGTCCTCCAATTTTCTTCCACTTGCTCGGCTTTCGGGCCAAGTCCTTTTCTGTTTCGAGGATAGATACGTTGAATCTAGGTGGTGGTAGTGTCTCCTCCTTTTGCACCATGCTGGGACTACCCAGTGCAATGCCAATCATATGTTGCTCCGCGGGGGTACGGGGGTGGCTAGGCTGAATGGCCTCGTCTGGTGGTGCAGTCAGACGAAAGTCGAATGTTGCACCTTGACCTGGTGGTGGCTTTCTAATCCATCCATCTCCTGCAGGAGGTTGGCTGAAATCCCACTGTCCAATCATTGCGGGTTCCGATGGATGTTGTGAGGCATCGTTGACAGTGTCAAGGCCATTCCGCGGCAATTCATCGGTATAGGTCATGATAGGAAAGGAGATGGTCTCCTGATGCTTGGTGCGAGATTGGACTGCTGTTATACCTCCTGCCATCTTTTACTCGTACAGAAGTCGAACTCCTCCTGTATGGTGTTGGCGCCTTGGAAGACTCGCAGGTAGAAATAGAAGATAATGATATTCACATAAGAGCTTGGCTGACAAGAGAAGAGAGTATTCTTCCGGCAGACCAAACAGAATCAAAAGAAAACGAAACGAAAATTGAATGGCGAGACAACACTCCGATATTAATGAAAGCAAAGGAATTAGTGCCAACGCCGGCGATAGTGGAGCAATCAACAACTGGGCTCCGGGAATGAGACAAGTACGGGCTGGAGAGTGGTCATTAATTGTCTCGTCAATTTCTAGAGCCCAGATTGGGCCAATATCCACTGTCCCCGCCATCCCATATCTACCAGGTGTGCGCACAGGTCTAGTCCGGGGCTGAACTGGGCCAACGAGACCCTGAGAAACGAAACGAACGGAGTCCGGCCATCGCAACAAATTCTGTTTTTGAATGTGGAGGGGTATCCCAGCGCTAATATGGACACCGAGTGAGATGCTTATTTTTTGCAGGGCGAATGAGCGCTTCGGTCGCAGATTGATTAACTCGCTTCCACGTTGGACAGGGGCCAACGAGGGCTCCGCATCGGCTTAAGCCATGCAGGAGGCGTGTTTCACCGACACAAAAGCTGAGACAGGGGCGTTTTGACCCTGAATCAGGGGGGTGAATCAGCTGTACAACATAGGATATTGCTGTCGTGATGTACGCAAGCAGTTATCGGAAAAGGAAGTTTGCATCCTGACCTGTGCACGGTCGATCAAATTCTTTGCGACACCTCGTCTCAGTCGCCAATGCGATGTGATGCCAAGGCCGTCTTCATCGCCAATCGCATGTCTGATAACTTATCTGCCGGTTGGTCAGGTGTCCCATGTTGAATGAGAGGCGAAACAGAGTCAGCATAAACGGTCAGATAAAGGAAAAGTCTTCCGTCTGTTTGTTTTCTGTTTGTTTCTTCTTCAAGCTTAGACTCAACTTGCCTGCCGGTGGGGGAAATTGGGGCCCGTAAGGCCGTAACTCAACGACTCTCAGGCCCCCAGGCTCCCAGGCTCCCAGGCAGCCATCGCGAAGATCGACGGTACATGAATGAGCTGGCTGATAGAGGATGTTAAACACCGGATAATGCCTTCCACTCGAGACCGTTACCTTTCCGTTTTACTGTGAGTGCTCACCAGTCACCTCCTGCCGCTTTTCAATCACTGAGTGAATCTGAGCACGTCCCTGAGACTCTGAGTACCCTGACTTGACTTGATCAGGGGCCATTGCACAATAAACGTGATGTACTCGGAAGTAGATCAGAGGTCGATCTGCTCACTGTCACTGATCATCATCTGAACGCTCTGTCCGAAGAAGAAAGCCACAGGTGAGCGACTTGAAGTCAATTCGTCCCGCCCCAAATCTTACTGATATCGGTAAGATGGCCTGGCATACCAACAGTTCTTCAAGTGGTACCTAGATCTTGCTGATTTCGCGAAGAGCTGCTTCGGAACGCCTAGATCATTGAACCAAAGCCAGTCTGGAAAGAATGTCGAGCAAGGATATGGTTCCCAAGGTAATGGAAGCGAACCACAGTACATCTACATCAATAAGCTGAAAGTGAGGTGATATTTGGCCCAGGAGAACTTCTTTCCTAACTGTGAAATCGTCTGAGAGGCAAACATGGACCAGGATAGTGAACAAACATGCCCCTCTATTGACCAACCTCATATCATATGATACAGTCTTTTGGCAGTATTAAGATCCTTTTGTACATCCGCCTGTCCCTGTATTTGTTCGAAACCTTTGCGTTTGGTGTTATCCATTTACTTTGCCAACAACACACTCTTGACACTTTATCCATCTGCTTGGTTCCAACACCGCATCGCTCGGCTTCCAGCGTCATTACCATAGATTGTCGACCTATTCGACATGGAGGATCGTGCTTCAATCATTTGGCAGATTCGTGGGGTTATGAGGGACTTCCTGGACTCATATCCCTCTTCAACACCGATTCCACCAATCAGGATCGCTGGCGACACACCCAACAGCATTCTTGATCAGTCCGAGTTTATGGCATCAATCGAACCAATTGTCGCAGAAGTCAGAAGTGCCGTGGCTACTTGGCGCCCAGACACTGTAACTCGCTGGGTTGCTGCGAGCAAGTATGAAGGTCGCACCTCGTTTTTCTTCCTCGACCTCAACAATGTCGACTATGACTATGATACTGCTCATAAGTGTCTAACCAAGGTTCCTGTCTATATTCTTAGCCTATCCAAAGCGCCCAGAATTTTCAGATTCTGCCTTGAAGACCAGGCGGTGGCAGAGTGGCTTGCGAAGATGCATGATTTGCATGCGGGAAAGCCACTACCTTTGCTTGACGACCGGACCAAGCCTCGTGTGTTGACTCTCCCCGTCATCGATACGCCTGATATTTCTTAAGGTGTTCTCTCCGGTCTCCACATTACTGCTTGTCGCTTGAGATGGCTGGGTTATGGTTGCCGTTGGAGAGATCCGAGTTCATGTCTAGAGCAGCTGATTCATTTTGATGGTTCTCCGCTCCTTTCTGCCTTTGTCATGGCGTATTTCCTTGATAATATGTAGTGCTGAGTGCTCCAAGTCCAAGCCATGAGGCCAGCAGCAATCATCAATGCTATCAACGAACTGACTTTCACAATAAATGAACCCTGTAACTACTACTCCGTAGTCCGTACTGTGTAGTCCTTTCTGGATAGTCTGCGGTGGGATCAGTGCTGCTCACTGATTGGACACTGAGCATCAGTCATTCTACACGTGACTGAACTGACGCCGTGCTGACATCTACTCAGTACTCGGTGAGCCTGAGCACCCTCATAAAAGCGGCGGATTCAATAGGAAAGCCCCACACGCCAGGGAAAATCCGGTACGATAGCTACATGTATGTCATCCCGACTGCTTCCCGAGGTCGTACTTTGCACGGCTTCTACTGTGTACTACTGCATACTAGTCTGTTGTTGAGAATATTCAAAGACTCAAGTTGTCGTGAAGCTGGAGATTGTCCACTACTTTGCGATGGTTTGTACAGATCATCATGTACCTCTCCCAAGCCTATACACCAGTTCTATAGCATCACATACAAGAATAGAGAACTAGTTACAAGTATTAGACAAGTGTTTTAAACGAACAATAAGCCCAACGAGCAGATAGGTATGAATCTCTTGCAGGGTGTTTCTGTTGCCGAAACGGTTGGATCGTCATCTGGTGGGGTCCTCTCCCGACCGCCACAACACCTCTCCCCTACCCCCCACTACTCTTCTCTTCTCCCACAAGCTCTCCTTTTCCCTGTACATTCAAAAGGTATCTTCCTTTTTCCTTCGACTGATTCTTCAATCCTTGTCTCTAACCATCTCCAGCGTTATCCTCTCAACTTCTTCACTGTCATCATGGGCGAGCACTCAGCAATCTGGCAAAGTATGAATTCCCAATAGTCTGCAGCCTGCAATCTGCAACAGTCGGACCCTTGCTTCTTTGGCTCCTCCGCTAACGCTTCTATTTCCCTGAAGGCTATGTCGACTCCAGGTACATAACCACCCCTCCTCGGCCATGACATATCTCCTCTCAATGTTACCATCCATACCAAGCCAACCAAGCCACCTAGCCATGGCCTCGTTCTGCCCACCATGTTCAGCGCGCGCATACTGACAAGCTTCTCTTCTACAGCCTGATGGGCTCGGGTCAATTCGACAAGGTTGGCATTCTCGCCGCCGACTTCTCCGGCGTTGAGGCCTCCTCACCCGGCTTCGCGGTAAGCCTCGCCTATTGTTTTTCTCGTGCGGGGGCGGGGGTCACCGACTTCGATACAGTCACTAACATTGCTGTCTGTCGGAATATAGCTCTCCCAGGAGGAGATCAACTCTTTGATCACCGCCTACACCTCTAGCGACCAGGCTTTCGCCAATGGCTTTTCCGTTTGCGGCGAGAAGTTCGTCACTATTAAGGCCGACGAGCGCTCTCTATACGGCAAGAAGGTAGGCGACCTGATTCCATATTTCTACCGATGCATCCGTTATGCACATCCGGAGGATATATCGACGTGATAGCAGAATCTGTTCTAATGTATTTTGGCTTGTGATACAGGGTAAGGAGGGTGTCATCGTTGCCCGTGCCTCCTCTTGCACCATCATCGGCCACCACAGCGAGGCTGTCCAGACCACCAACGCCGCCACCGTTGTCGAGAACCTCGTCGACTACCTCAACAACCCCCGGTAGATTTGGAAAATTATGCAATGATAACTAAATGATGTGATGAGTTGAGGGGTGTGTGAAGAATAGGGAACCATGGAGCACTCGACTATTTTCCTCTTGAGGCCAGCGTGATGATTCGCGTTTGCTTCTTTTCTCGCTTTTGTGACTGGATCTCTTTTACCTCGATGGGCCACGCTGATGCAGACGTGGTTCCCAATGCACAGCATGAGGATGCGAACTGGATTGTATGATGCACAATGTAATTGGTCTATTCTAACTTGCATATTAACTGATCGCCGGCCCTGGTCTCAACGCTGGAAGGATCGATACTTGAGGGTCATTATTAATTACATAAAGCCGAAGGCCGTAGAGAGATCGTGTCCCGAGGTCATCATGTCACTTGCGCAGCGTACTTGGACATGTCCAACCCTCGGGGTTTGCAGCGCATACCACAGGCATACACAACGTATCCCAGAGATGACGATACTTCCGAAGGATCGTCAGGAACATCCATCGCCGGTTCCTGAGTCCTGTAAACTCATACAGGAAGCTCAGCATTGCTCCTCCCGCCAGCGAGGATTTCCAGCCCACGCTGGATATAAGGCCCTACCACGGGGATGTTACCCGCGAAAGAACCAATTGTCACAAGGAAGTCGCCAAACAAAATAAACAAGCCGTATAGTTCGATCAAGAATCCAGTCAAGGGCCAGCGGAAGAGGATAAGGAGGATACCAGCGGCAAAAGCAGCAGTGCCCTTGAGCTTTTGTGGGCGCGTGAAGAAAACCATAGTCTTCTGGACACCGATGATCAAGGTCAGGCCGATAAGGAAGAGAATCTGCGCAATGTTAGTTGCAGTCACGGGTGGTAATCAAGTATGAGCAGCGTACGTTTCCCATGGCGAGTCTGCCGAGCATATGTTAGTATCTGGTTCCCTGAACACAATGCGAAATAAGAGTGCTCCACATACAATGACCGGTCAAAGAACATCACCACTCCTCCAAGTAGGAACAAGCCTCCTAATCACCCCGCAAACATGGTCAGTTCTCGGTGTAGCAATTGGTGGTTTGATGCTGGGAACCACATACCAGCTGAGCAGAAAATCACACCGATCTCTGTAATGTAGATTAGCGTTTGTTATAACAATTGCTGTGTGCGTACTGCCGTAGCAGTCGACATTGTAGCTATCCGGAGGAATGCGACTGACTCTGGTTCTCTGTCAACCACATGCTAGGCATATTTGTTTATTTCGGATTGTGCGTTGGTAATATTCGGCTTTGAGATGTGTTCAAGGTAGCAGTTATCGGTATGCGACACTTTTTGTGTTGCTCTTGGGAAGGAACGGGTCGTGGGATTGCTAGGGCAAGGAGCCACTGGAGGAAGGCGGCGGCAAAGTAGGGGTCGGGCTTGGTAATAGGGCTGTTCGGGGCAGGAATTATGAAGGTTATTTCTGCAACAATGAATTAGGGATTGCGGAAAGTATCGCCTGACAAGAATTTACAGATGAGAAAAGTCCCCAAGGCACACTGTAAACATGGACGCGGGCGATCTACGGAGTAAAATCACAATTCTGCCGGATAAACTACGCCAACTCCAGAATGGTAGGCGGTGATGCCAAAGTCTTTATATCACGCACCGACCTTTTCCTCTTCGACTCTACCGAAGATTCTGTTCCAATTCAGCTCTGGAGTGGACAATTGCCAAGGTCATTAATGATGTGATCTTACCAATTGTTCTACGTCATGCTATTGCATTTCGGACTTGCTAACTCTGCCATGGCATTGAGATCTCTCGACTGAACAGCACCTATTTGGCCGATAGTCCTGGTGCTTCCTCTTCATATTTCCCCCCATGTGCATTACGTACATGTTACGCCGCGACGACAGTCTCCTCGGATTCTGTAACTGGTTCCCTGTTCCATGGGGTGTCGGTAATAGTCGAGTGCTTATGCACACCAGGCGGAGAATGACTCATTGATCACGAATAAGCCGGAGCGCTTTCTTGAGCCTGTCTCGAAAGGGGCATGGTGGGGTGGAAAGGGCTTGACTGTGTTGGTCGTACATGATTCGTATATGTGTCTAGTTGAATCCATATTAGCTTGTTTCCCTCTTTGCGCATCGTTGCTGTATGACATACCCCATTCTCGTATAATAGTTCGTTTCGGAATTGAGTAAAGTATGCCATTGACTCATCTACTTCAAGATGGTGTGCGCTCCGCGAGCTTCCAGGTAGTTCTCCGGCACACCTTGTGCCAGACTCCGGATCACCTTGAAGATTTCCTTGTCGTGGTATCGCAAGCGGGTCTTGGGGTCGGTATATGGTCCATCTAGGCCGGTGATGTCGCAATAGCGATGTTTGTAGGCGGGGTTGAACGACGGTGCCGATTCGATATTCGTGTAGGTGACAGCCGGTCCGGTCGCGAACGTTGCCCGGGCATTCTTCTCCAAGACGAGGGTTGATAGGTTCTGGGTTGCCTGGGAGAGGTTGGGTGCAGCCCCTTCCGCGGGAGTTCGTGTGCCATCAGTAACAGCGCTAGTACCTGGTGTAGTTGCGCCGGAGTTTGCCTGAGTCGCCATGACCGATGCCTCCTTCCGTGAGGCTTCTGAGATGATCTGCTTGAGGTTCTTGTTGCGGCGCTGGGAGGGTTTCCAGTGTGGGTTGCGGAAAGGCTTGGGGACATGTGATATGTCCAGGCTGTTCAGTAGCTGCTGGTGAGCTTCATCGTTGGCGGGAGTTGGTGGAGGCATGGTATTGGTTATGATCTAGCCCTTGATCTGGACAATTGCGAGGTTGTGGCGGAGAAGCAACTGTCGCGAAACTTGGCTGTGGGTGGAGGGGGTATGGTCAAGGAAATGTAATCCGAGAATGATATATCTGTGAATATAATACGAAGCACTTGAATGAGTCTGACGCGTAATTCCTGAATAGAAGTTGTCGTGATTGTTCTCCCAAGCTCCGGGAAGTCTGTATAGCGTCACGTGATCACAGCCTATCCAAAGTGCAAACAAACACTCGCACGTCAGTCACCAAGCAACATATCTCCATCTTCAGCCATGGTATGTGGTATACTTCTACATGGTCTCTACGGTGCTACCTTGCTAGAAGCTGACATGCTGACTTGCTTCTAGGAAAGCCCCCACGAGCATCAGCAGTCAGTGCTGCTATCCCGCATCATCACCAATGTTGTATGTGAAGCTATAGGCCTAGAGAGGAAGTATACATTGCTCACTTTTTGCATAGGAGAAACTCAATGAGGCGATCATGGTCATGAACAAAGGTCTTCAGGTGCGATGTCTCTTTCCCTGCTCATTCCTACGGCCATGGTATTCACACACCTCTAGGAAGTCAACATCCAGAATATGAACGTTGAGCTTGTGGCTCAGATGTTTAAGAACTACCAATCCAATGTTCTGTTCCACCTCGAAGGTATGTCTGATACAATTATCATATATCAATGGGATTCACAGCTCATTCCCTATAGCCACCGAGAACCTCCAAGACCCATCTTAAAGACAACCATCCCAATAATGAGCAATGAATGGACGAGCAGTTCAATAGGCCAATGATACCATTTTTCAACCACAATAGTCATTCAAATAGCACCGTCGTGATGTCCATTGTAAATGTCTGTTCCAGCGATAGAGTGATAGTTGATAGCCTCCATTCTTGGCGGTCCGACTCCGCCAAACCTCATCAACCGCGTTTGTGTCGTTTGCCTCGTCAAACCGCGGTCCTTCCTCCACTGCGGTTTCCTTCGGTCCTTCCCTTTACACTCCTATCCCAACGTCCTTCGCCCCTGCCATGCAGTGAGCCATCCTCGCTATCCACACCGCTCTCCACCTAATAGCTCCTGCTTTCCGGAGCGCAGCCCGCCATGACGATTACCTCCGTGCAAACCCTCCTACCTGGCCGCATTGCAGCCAATGCCAATGAGCAACGAACTGAGAAACCTCCTCCACAACTCCATACTGTACAAGACTTTCCCTTCAAGGGCTACCACCCTCCACAACCCGAGGGGTGGCAGCAGAGCCAGGCCCATCCCGACACAAGTGCCATCGTCATTGACAATGGTAAGCAGCTTAATATAGATTCAGAGTACAGCTCGCTGATACATGTTCTCTGAGCGCAGGTTCCCATCTCGTCAAGGCCGGTTGGTCCTTTGATAAAAACCCCCGATTCGCCATACCCCCGGTCATGAGTCGATACCGTGATCGCAAGCTCAATCGCCAGTGCCAATTTATCGGATACGACGCCTACGTTGATGCGACAACGAGGGGACAGCTGCGCAATGGCTTCGATCCCGGGTCCAGTGTTGTCGGTAACTGGGATGTCATGGAAGGCGTTTTGGACTATCTGTTTCTCAAGCTCGGCGTGGAGGGTGCGAACGGAGGCGTCGGGCGCCCGATCTTGATGACCGAGCCAATCGCTAATATGCCATATTCAAGGAAGAGTGAGTATCAGGCGGACCTAGTGCCAGGACGATAGATGCTAACCTTCCTTCAGTGATGAATGAGATCCTCTTTGAATGCTATTCCGCTCCGTCGGTGGCCTACGGTATCGATTCGCTCTTCTCATATCGCTATAATGGTGGGACAGATGGTCTGATTGTGGATTCGTCGCATACGTCTACTCATATCATTCCGGTCCTGAACTCGAAACCTATGTTCTCCAACACTTCTCGCCTCAACTGGGGTGGTCTGCAAAGCGCCGAATACCTGATGAAGCTTATGAAGCTCAAATATCCAACATTCCCGACTCGGTTGACGGATGCACATATGGAGGAGTTGGTTCATAACCACTGTTACGTCTCCCAAGACTACGATCGTGAGTTGAACGGATTCCTCGACTGGTCCGGCCTGGAGGACCGCGATCGCGTCATTCAATACCCGTTTACGGAACACATCATTCAGGAAAAGACGGAGGAAGAGCTTGCGCGCATTGCGGAGCGCAAGAAGGAGAGCGGACGTCGCCTACAAGAACAGGCCGCAAAAATGCGGCTTGAGAAACTAGTGAAGAAGGAGCAAGAGTTAGAGTATTGGAAAGATTTACAACAAACTCTGGCCAACGAGACCAAGAAGGAAGTCCGTCGCATTCTAGAAGCTGAGGATCTCAAGGACGAGGCTGCGCTGGAGAGGTTGATTCGGGAGCTAGAGAAGTCTATCAAACGCTCGCGCAACAAGGACTTGGGTATTGAAGAAACTGAGGAGCAGCCTGAGGAAATGACGTTCCCCTTGCTTGATATCCCAGATGACCAGCTGGATGAGGCCGGTCTAAAAGAAAAACGACACCAACGCCTCATGAAGTCCAATGTGGACGCCAGACTTCGTGCCAAAGAAGAGAAGGAACGTGAAAAGGCTCGGGTTGAGGAAGAAGAGCGGATAGATCGCGAGACGCGCGAGAACGATTTCGAAACTTGGATCTCGAAACGTCGTAACAACCGCCAGGTATGTTGTTTCTATTGCCTACACCCTCCCTCTTACACTCTTTTGCTGACATTTGATGTTTTCTAGGCCATCCTCCAACGGATCAAAGACCGTGACCGCTTCACAGCTGACCTCGGAAACCGTAAATCCCTGGCCAGTCAGATGCGTATGAAGACGCTAGCCAACCTGGCATCCGATGGTCCCAAGAAACGCCGCCGTGGTGGAGATGAGGACGACTTCGGTGCTAATGACGACGACTGGGGTGTCTACCGCACCGTAGCTGTTGGCGAGGCCAGTGACGACGAAGAGGAGGAGGATCTGAACGGAATGCTCGATGCTGTAGAGAAAGAGCTTCTCGAGTACGATCCCGAATTCAGCGAGAGCCACACTCTCGCCGCACAGTCCGACTGGAAGAAGAGTCTGGTGCACGCCTTCCTTCGTGGCCCTTGGCCTTTCGACCCGGAGAGCCAGCGCGAAGCACACCAGCTCCATCTGAACGTGGAGCGCATCCGTGTTCCCGAGGTCGTGTTTAAGCCGTCCATTGCCGGGGTTGACCAAGCTGGTCTGATCGAGATGGCAGCTGATATCATTAATCAACGCTATACCAACCCGGCAGATCAGGCCCGTCTTCTGAAGGATGTGTTCTTGACTGGAGGAAATACTCTATTCACTGGTTTCGACGAACGCTTCCGCCAGGAAGTCCGCGGGTTCCTACCTATCGATGCTCTCTTGAATGTGCGCAAGGCGTCGGATCCGGTCTTTGATGCCTGGAAGGGCGCGGCACAGTGGGCTTCTGGTGGTGACTTTGCCCGATCCTCGGTCACGCGGCAGGAATATTTGGAGAAGGGCAGCGAGTATCTGAAGGAGCATGACCTTGGCAATGCTACATGGTGATAAAAACGGCAAGATCTGGAGATACTTGCTTGGGCGCACTGGAGTCCCATAGTTTATTTGGCGTGGAATTGGGCTGTTTCTCTTATACTGCAAGAATCTATGTATGACCGCAAGCGAAATATGACATGTTTACTATCGTATCATCTAGTTGAAATGAACATCAACATATCAAACGAGTCTGTCTTGTCCTTCGGCTAACAGCTGGAGGCGTTATCCGATCAGTGACAAAAGCAGTCAACCTTGGAAGCAGGACGATCAGGGCTGTTGGTAGGGCTATCTCTGCACAGCTAAGCTATTGAGTCTCTTTGCGTCCCGTCCTGTCTAGTAAGGGATTGAATTATTTTCCCCAGAGTAAGACACACTCCTTACTTCGAGTATGGGGATAAATGTTTCAAAGTTGGGGACCGAGACAATTGTACACCTTCAGGCCCTGGTGAGAAATCCCGTTATCAACTGGTCAACAACCTTGGAACAGAAGCCAAACCCCAGTCCAGATGGAATCTCATTACCATCCTGGGATCTTCAAATTACACAGAGCAACAGTCAACTCCGCGGGTCCTTTTGTTTTCGGCTAAGTCGGAACACCGTTGCAGACCGGTCTATCCACAACGTCAGTCGAGGTTCACCACGTTGCACGGAAGGTCTACACTCGTTACACGATGACTTCAGGTAATGGCTCTGAATGGCAATCCACTCCAAGATGAATAGTATCTTGAAAGCGCGGTTCAAGTCGGCGCTTCCAGCAAAGGGATATTGAAGTAACCCTAGCTAAGGGGAGGAAGGATAAGGCTGAAGATCACCGTCGATCACAGGCAGGGAGAACCCCCGCTATTGGGTGATGCAGATTGTATACAAGATAGTCTGTTATGCATTTCGGTGGTTATGCATCAGTGGTGTGATCTACCTATTACTCTGTATACTCTGTATCCCTTGAAGGCAACCTCATGAGATGCTCAAGACGTTAGATGATCTTCGCGACAGCTGCCGGGTAAGTTTGTTGTTTGTTTTGACATTCGGTTTATGAGTGAATTGATCTCCTTGCGTGTCAAAAACATGACATTGCTGATCTTCCCGAGTAAGCTGCCCACGGGGTGTTCGTGATGTTGTATAGTCTAGGGAATTGAAGTGGTAGAACTTGAATAGCTACACAAACCAGAAGTGTAGAAAGTAGAGAGAGTGAAAAGCCAATCGTTGTCTTTGACACCAAGTTGGGATCTGGCCCAGAAAAGACTCTGACTTCATGCAGAGGCCATCATGACGCATCTGGGGAACTCATCCTTGCCTGGTCTTGATGAACCTTGTACATCACGCTAGTCTTGTTTGTACTTGTTGTTGCTTTAGCATGTTAGTTGGATATGTTGGGGTATCCCCCGAGATATAAAGGCTTGTCTTCTACTCCTCTGTGGAATTGCATTCCTTCATTTCACTCGCTTATACTTCTCTTTCTATCCTCTCGATCTCAATTATCTCATAGCCCCGTAATACTTCACTTTCGCCTCCTTTCCACGGTTATCATATCCAACCTCCCCAGCTTCGGGTATACTTCGTCCTCTTCACTATCAAAATGATCTTCTCAACAACCATCGCTCGCCCTCTGCAGCTGGCCACTCGTACCCTGCAATGGATGAGTGCCGTGATCGTTATGGGCCTGACCTCTTTCTTTATTCACCGTGGTCCCCGTGGCCAGCACATAATCTTCCAGGAAGTCATCGTATGTTCTTCACTTCCTGTCATGGACTATAAATGCAACCATCACAGAGCTTCAGTATCTAACACAACTCCCAGGCCGTCCTCTCAGTCCTCTTCTTCCTGCCAGCCTTTATATCACCATTCCTGCCAACGGCATTGAGCAGATTCGTCCTGGCAATCGATGTCATCTTCTCATACCTGTATGTCTAACCCTAACCATTACCAACCTCCATCGAAAGAAGAGTAATCCTAACATCAATTCCAGCTGGCTCACAGCCTTCATCTTCGCCGCCCAAGACTACAGCACAAACCGCTGCTACATCTCCCAACCTGTCGGTGTCCACTGCCGCTATAAGAGGGCCAATGAATCCTTCATCTTCCTCGCTTTGTATGTTTGCCCTCATTATCACGGATATTGTAATCAATAGTTTGTACCAATGCTAATCTGCCTCCTACTCCAGCATCTTCACTTTCATTGGCATGTTCCTGGAAGTCGCTGCCCTCTGGGCCTATCGCAGGGAGAACAACACTGTCCAGCATCCTGTTTCTGAGGAGCACAAGGTCGAGACTGGAAGCCGTGTTCCGCTGGATGCGCCTACTGCTGCCCCTGCCGGCACTGTTTGAGTGAATCTTGGTGGTGTGATGTTGGGTGTGGACGTATGAAGTCCACTATGTTGTTCATGACTATGCCTGTAATCTAGGCTTGTGTCTTCTACCCCGTGGGTCGTCCGTTTATTTCTTCTATTGTGATTTGAGGTTGGGTTTTTATAGGGGGTTTTGGATTGCACATATGGATTGGTGATTGAGATTGAGGTTGGGATGTCTGGCTACTGTGGGAATATCCGGCCCATGTTGAGCAGATTCTTTCTTTTCAATAACTTTTACTAGCTATCATCTATCATTTTAATAGACTTATGACCACATGCTGTAAATGTGCATGAACAGATACCTTCCATCCTATTTATTATACCGTCTGGGTCCAATGAAACATACACAGTCACTCCCAGTGAGGCTGGGTTCTATTTCTATTTCGTGTACATGCATAGAATACAGTCGATGTGAGTACAGATCGCTAAAAGCTCGATCGGTATCGCGCAAAGATAGTAGGACAAAGTGAATCGCAAGCAGCTTCAACTGCCGCATTCCCAAACGTTGGACCGTTAAATACTCGCGCGGCGGGGAGCCATTGTCCGCTGCAGCTTGCGCTTTTCCTCGTTTTCCTCCGGAATAGGCAGCGAGCCCTCATTCTTCAAACGCTCCAGGAACTCTTTCCCATATTTGTAACCAACTTGGTAAATCTCGTCGAACTTGCCAAACTCGAGGGTCCCGTATGGATCGATGGGAGGGCGCATATACAAACAGCCGGGCAGGTTCTTTGCGCGCTCAAGATTGTCGATCGATGAGACATAGGCCAGTCGTGCTTGAATTTCAGAGAGTGTAGGTGGATTTGGCAGCGAGGAGAAGGGGTTCCATCGATTGAACACCGACCAGAATCCCGACAGCGAGTCTCCGAATCCCTGGGGCGTTGTGTCGTCGATAGACCCAACGTCCACAGCAAAGATGATATCCGCTCCGAGACTTCTCATGTGCGCCACAGTGAGATTGTCAATGTAGCCACCGTCCAGGAGCATGCTGCCTTCGTCGCAGATAGGAGGGATCAGGCCAGCCAGCGTCATCGAGGCGCGGACGTACCGCCAGACGTAGCCAGACGAGTGATACTCAATGCGGGATCGGCTGATGTTGGTTGTGTTGCAGTAGAATTCCAGCCAGAAATCTTCGATCTGGCTGTCTCCGAATGTCTTGAAGATCCCGCGGTTGAACTCATGGCCCGTGGTGTAGGAGACAGTGGGATAGGTCAAGTCCAAAGCAAACCGCCACATGCTGCCCATGCGCCCGGCGAACTTCTTGGCTCGGCCGTACATGGGGACAACATCAGCGTCACGCGCGTACAGAGCTCCAATGAACGAGCCGATCGAGGTGCCACCGATGATGTCGACTGGGATTCCGGCCTCTTCGAGCGCTTTGATGACACCGACGTGCGCAATGCCACGAGCCCCGCCTCCGCCCAGTACCAGACCCACTGACTTGCCGCACAACCGCCGAGCCAGGCGATGGAAGTCTCCCTTGAATGGTGTTTGCGGGGAATAGAGTGGGGTTTGCTGTGCACGCCGAGACGTATACTTCTGGATCTCGGCTTGGAGGATTTGCACACGTTGTTTGAGCACAGTACCGAACTTCTTACTTGGTGGGTGCGAAGGTGAGTCGTCGGACCGGAAAGCCATTTGGATGTGGTGGTGGCCCCCGTTGATCCACATCCGGTTCTTGAGCCATTCCCGAGTGAGGCCAGGTGGACAGTACCGTTCCGCGTGCAAAAGAACGAGTTCTTTGCGGGCTGTAGTCTTCATGCCCAGTAGGAATCGTTCGTACTCCCCGACTCTGGGTGAAGACTCCGCAAGACCAACCAACAGGATAGAGTCAGCTTGGGCAATGCAGGTCTGGGTCCATGGTGCGTTCACGCTTGTATCAGCGATATACAGCACCATGCTATACTTTTCCTCAAGATCGGCCAGATACTGGGAGAGCTTAAGTTTGCCCATCTTACTGAAAGCATGGCGACCTAGGTGGTTCAAAATCGCCGCTTGGTTGAGCGATGTCACACCTCTCGTCACACCAGTTTGGTGCAACGCCTGCATAAGTCTGTTCCCGAACTCCACGACCGGGACGCCAGCCATGACTGGAAGAATTGCCACGGTGCGAAGGTTGAGAGTTGAGGTTGCAGTCTGGACACCAGCAGCATGTCCTTGTTCGATGCCCTTTTCCGACAGCGGGTGCTCGACCAAATCACGCATTCGCTGGGCAATGAGCTTGGAAACCTGAATGGTAATTCCAGGATGCTCTTGTGCGAGGCTGTTGAAAAGAGACCGAGGGAATTTTGCTAACTCCGTCTCTCGAATAGCATGCAAGGTACATGGTCTTGTGGATTCGGTCATGACCTCGAGTTCGCCAACACTCTCGCCCTGGCCGTGCTCCCCAATGACAGTCACCTTGCCGTTTGATCCCTCAAGGACAGACCTCAGACGGCCATTCAGAACAATGTAGATGGCATCGCTCTCATCTCCTTGGTGATATATCACTTGTCCTGCGCTGACCTGTACCCACTCGAGTGCGAAATCGATGTGGAGCAACAGCCGTGGCAGAAGCCTAGTCAACCGCTTTGCCAGTGTCAATAGAGCAGCCGGGTGTCTGTCTGCAATTCTCTCGAGTGAAGCACGAGGAAGGAAGCCGACGTAAACGTCCGTCTTGGCCACAACATCGGTGTATGAGGGGTACGATGCAAGCGCACCTACGTAGCCCTGGATGCCACCAGGCTTGATGAGATAGAGCGATCTACGGGATTGGGTCTTCCGTCGACCGTCGCTGCCGCCTGGTGTACCAGCAACGCGCGATGATGATGTGGCGGTGCGTCTCAGCTTGGGGAACAACTCTTCTTGCGCCTGCGTGGCAGATCCATGGGATGATCCGATGAGGGTCTCGTCGTGCTCATTCGCAGGAACGCCCACATCCAAGAAACCATCGATTACGTAGTAGAGACCTGGATGGCGCTCACCTTGTTCCACAAGAACTGAGCCCTGCGGGAAGTAGACTACCTCTATGTCATGACGCAGCTCTTCCCGTAGGTTGGTGATAGGTGAAGTCCCCCCTGCGCTCGTCACCGACATGGACATCATCGATTCGCTTTCGCCGTCTCCTGATCCCTCATAAGGGTCAATGAAGCCGAAGGCATTGGAGAATACCGCCTTGTGACGGCGATTATCGAAAGAGAGAAGTCTTGGTGAGGCGTCGCCGGAGTTGCTACTCTTGCGTGGTGTATCACGTGTGGCTTCATTGAGACCAATGCCATTCATGATACAGTCTAATATTGACTCGCGGAAGATACTGTCCTCGTCAAGTGACTCCTTGCGCTGGAAGGTTGAGGGCCGGTGGTCCAGTGCAGCGGGTAAGAATGAAGGTTGTTCCCTTTCGGTAAGCGGCGTCTGGATCCTAGTTGCCAAATGCTCATACCGCGGTCCGAATCGGGAGAGCTGTATGGTCGACAGTAGATCACCAGGGCTTACACCCACCGTGTCCCTGTCATGGGACGTCGAAGGTGATCTTAGTGGGGTTGGTTGTGGAGGAGAACGGTCATTGGCCAACTTCGCTTGCAAAACGGCTTCTTTTCTGAGAGTGCTGTTCGAGCGCCGCCTACGGCCAGCAGAAGGATTGTGAAGCGCGATGCCTTTCCCGGTTTCCTCCGGGCCCAATCGATCTCGCTCCCGCATGAATTTATCTTTCAAGCGGTCTAAAGCGCCTCCTCGAAGATTGTTTGGGAGGTCCCAAGAGGTATATCTAGACATTTGACGCTCTATTCCCAGCACTTCCTTACTCAGGCCCAGGTAGGAATCCGCTGTGGCGAATGTAACCCGCTGGAGACGTGTCAGGATGACCTGAACAATGTGTGATGTTGCCCGTGGGTAGGTTCTGGTCAAGCGGCGGAATGCGCTCGCTGGGATGATAGCAATAGTCGTGTCCACTGTAGCCCGCGCCACAATATCGGGATGTACCGACTTGCGACGTTTCGTGTGGGATTTGTGGCCCTTTGGGGCTTGGGCTTTCTCTTTACTCTCCGATGGTGGTATTTGGTCCGCGCTGGGAATAGTGTGGCTCTCTCCGAGGTGCAACAGAGGCACTGGGGGTAACGGTTCAGAATCACCGGGTTCACGATTAGCAAAGTACCCACTGTCATCTCTCATAGTGGACCTGGGGCTGTTGAAAACACCGGTGTCGGGGCTGATGGGGACGGCATCAGGCACGGGACTCTGGCCCCCAATGGGGCTGGATACACTGGAACCATGGCTCTGCGAGTTCCGCAGCTCGATATCTTCAGTGAATAACTGGAGGATAGAGAACAGAGAGGACATGGAAGCACCATTCTTGACCTCGGTGAGCAGCTGATAGCCTTGTCGGTGGTGGGTGTGACGCTCCTCCTCGTCTGAGGACTCATCGTCCATATACAGGCTCTCCTGGGAGTTTGATTTCCTTTCCCGTGAGGACTTCACGAAGATCTGGACCAACCCGTCCACAACCATGCAAAAGCCTTTCTCCTCTTCTAGCATGAGCGTTTCTCCCGCAATCAGCTTTCTGGTCTGCATCGTCCGAGTGAGCTCGTGGAAAACGGGCCGTTCAAGGTATCCGAAGACTTTAATCGCACTGAGGAATTCATCCAAATAGTTGGCAAGTCCTGGCTTTGAATCGCCTTCCTGGACATCGGGGAACAGATCGATCTGGGCTTCTTTGCGTTGGGGCTCCGGAGGCAGGCGACTGTACATATTCAGGAACCGATAGCGGATGAACCAGCCAACGGTCGATACCAGGGCCAATAATATCAACATTCTAAGGAAGTTATCTGATCAGCTACGTGGTTTTCACGACATCCAGCTCAGACCAAGACCTACAAGGTGGTAAAATTCATGGTGAACGTCAAGCTCATAGAGAAGAGCGTGAAGAGCCATGTGGGCAATGTAATGGTTGTAAAGGTAATGACCCAGTAGAGGACGCTTGGAATGGTGGAAAAGACGAAGGTAAACACCCATCCGATCCACCCCGCCATGGTTGAAGGAGCTGGTGGAAAAGGCGGGGGTGAGAGGTGGGAGAGAGATATCGTAGAAGCGACTGGAAGGATCGAGGTTGAAGAAGTTGGAGCCGTTAGGCTGAGGGCCAGAGATGGGGCTAGGCCAGCCATCGTGGGCCTTGTTAGGGACAAGAATTGGAAGAGCTCCGCTTTGTTCCCAAGGGCTGAGACTAAGACTAACTCAGGCTTAGTCTTCGTGAAATGAACCCAACCGTGGGGCCCTTTAGGCCTGACCGATCAACGCCCTCGGAATTGTGCGGGAGCGCTCATGGGAGTTGAGAGGGGGAGGAGCCTTGGGGGAGAAGTTGAGGGTCGTCGGAGGAACTTCCAAGGTTCTGGGAGGGGAGGTGCAGAACCTTGTTACCTTGCGGACCGAGGCGCCCGCGGGCGGTATGTTACTACCGTTGGTGGTCTTTCTCCAGCTATTGTTTTGAATTACTGTGTACAGAGCGTATATTCCAATATTGATACTATTGCAGTTAACATATATCAGCCTAACGAACTAATGGCTGTGGTAATATAGCTCAAGTCCTGTGATGTCATGGCTGTTTACAACCTTCTACATACCGGAAGCATAGGAAGGAACATACTACGCGGATAGGCACGCACGTGTGTCAAAGACATCCAAAATCTGGAGGCAGCCCGGCTTGTGCCTTGAAGTTTGAACTCTATTAGATTGTACCTATGCCTTCTATGCCACTAGTTCCTACCTACAGACCCGTGGAACCATATGCATAATAGAGCTTTCCATAAATTCACAAGATAATGCCGTTGGATATCAACCTTATCCTGTCCCATTCCAAGATCACCACCTATCCATGAACCCTAGGTTTGCATGTCTATCGGGCTGTCACCTAGACTGTCTTCCACTTGTTTCTGTTAATCGATAGGTACCTAGGTGCTTATTCCATCTGGTATATACTGCCCACTGCCCAGCATGTCGGAATGTCTACCTAAGGCACTTATATATAGTTCCAACCTAAGTCGGGACCAGACGCAAGGTTGGGACATACATTCTAGGAAATTGTACCAGTAAACCATCATCCTACCTTCTAAGAGGTAAAAAACCTAACAAAACAACAAAAATAAGCACAAACTAGTTAGCCAGTTAACCGTCGACATGATTGTTGAGTACGAAAATGAACAAGTTCAGGTACACATACCGCCCGAAATCGACCTTCCACATGGCAGTTCCGCCTTGGCTCCTGCCTGGGACCAATGCTCCCCCTCACTCCGCCCCGTGGCCAGTTGCTCATTTTCTTTCTGTTCTTGGTAAACACTTGTGCCAGCGGTCTTGCGCTCTTTTATTTTCTTGTCGCTTGGGTTCTGAGAACCGCGGCGATGTTTCAGGTATCTATCCCTTGATGTCTTTCGCTTACTCGCTATGCGCCTGGCATACTAATCACTTCTTTCAGCGGCTTCGCGACGCCATCGACTCTCGCATTGCAGAGGAACAAGCCCGCCAAAAGTCCGCCCAAGATAACATATCTCGCTCCGGTTCCAATCGCCGTCCAACCGCTCGCAATCAATCCCCTAGTCGGCGCTCTCGCAACACCGGCATCCCCGTGAGAGGACCCGACCCTAAGGAGTTCGAGGCTGAGTTCGCCATCGGTGACGACGATGAATCTAGCAAACCCGGAACTCCTAACACAGACAAACCCGAAGCATCCTCGGAGGTAGGCGAAGGAGAGACAGCGGAGATGGCGGAAGGTCAGACGGCGGAAACGTCCGAGAAAGCGACGTCACAGGAAACGGAAGCTAAGGAGACCCCGACTGTGCTCCCGCCGGATGTTCGTGCGAAACTTCGACGACTAGATAAATTGGAATCTAGATATCATGGTATGCGACTGTCTAGCCAGACTGCAGAGCCCGAGACTGACTGAGCATGTAGAATTACTCAAGGCTTATCGCTCCGCGCACTCGCGCGTCCTCTCCATTGAGCCCTTTGAAGCTGCCCTGCGCGAGAATACACCGCTTACCTCGATCGCGGAACCAAAAGCATTCACGGAATACCTCAGTCAGACGACCCTGAAGAGCGACATGGTCATGGAAGAGCTGAAGCGTGTCACCGGAGAAAGAGAAGACTTCAGAAAGAAGTTCGAAGAAGCACAGCAGGCCACAAAGGACGCCCTCGATGAGCTGACGGGCCTCAAGAAGGACACCCAACCGGAGACAAAGACCGAAACAAAGAAGGAAGCAGACGAAACTGGGGAAGAGACGAGTGAGGAGTTCTTCTCGTTTGACAAGGAAGTTCCCCGCTTGGAAAGCGAGCTTAAGGGGAAGCAAGAAGAGGTCGATAGCCTCAAAATCGAAGTCGAGAAGCTGAAGGGGGATATCCTTGTTACTCGCGAGTCGACCGAAGGTATGGTGCAGAACCTGGAGACAGCCACCCGCGAGCTTGTTGAGTTACGCGAAACCAAAGACAAGCTCGATAGTGAGATTGAAACTTTACAAACCTCCAGGAAGGCTGAGGTCGATGACCTGAAGGAAAAGCTAGCAACTGCAGGCTCCTCGCTCGAATCAACAGCCTCTGAGGTCGAGAAACTTAAATCACAACTCAAGGAGAAGAACGAGGAAATTGAGAAACTCCAGAAGCAGAACTCCGAGAAAGCTGGATCTGATTCAGACGTCGCTGCTCAGTTGGAAGCGGCCATGGAAGGGAAGAAGTCCGACGAGCAAAAGCTTACTGTGCTTCAAGGCTTAGTTGACAGTCTTCGGTCTCAACTTAAAGACACTGAATCTACCGTCTCGGACCTAAGGACCGAAATCAAGGAGAAAACTGAAGGCTCAGCTAAAGTCCAGGGCATGTTCGACCTTGTGGATGAGAAATTGAAGGAAAATACTGCTTGGATATCTGTGAAGGAGAAGATATTCGCCGGTGATAAAGCCGATTTCAGCGAGGTTATCCAAAGCCTGACACCGGCCAAGGAAGATCCCACTCCTACTCCTGCTCCCGCCCAAGAGGAGACACAATCTGCTCAAGCTACTGGCGGTGGCAGCAGTGCAGGAAAAAAGAAGAACAGGAAAAAGAAGAAGGGTGGCAAGGCAGAGGAAACTCCGAAGCCGGTCGATACAGCTACTACCGAGCAGGCGCCCGGTGAGACGTTGGTTCCAGCCACGGAACTGGATGAACTCAAGCAAAAGATTGAAACCCTTACACATCAACTGTCCGACAAAGAGGCCGCGATTGAGCGTCTCAGTTCTAAACTAAAGGGCGAAGATGATTTGAAGGAGGAGATCGAATCCTTGCGCGACGACCTTGTCAGCTTGGGACAAGATCATGTAACAGCCAAGGAGAAGATCAAGGAGCTTACAGCAGAGAAATCTGCAATTGAAGGAACTATCAGCAAGCTCGAGAAGGAACTGGTGGATCTTCGCACCAACAATGCTTCTACCTCAGCCGACTCGGAGAAGGACCGCATCTCTCTCAAGGAGGAGTTTGATAACCTCAAGACCCGCTCAGTTACCTTGGAGACCGATCTTTCCGCTGCCCAGCAGCTGGCTGCCACTCGTTTCAAAGACCTCACAGACCTCCGTGAGACTCTCCAGAAGATTCAGCCGGAGCTGCGCAGCCTGCGGGCTGAGTCCTCGGAGTTGAAGACCTTAAAGGAAACCCTCACCAGCAAGGTCTCCGAGTTGAAGGCCCTGGAGGGCAAGCATGAGGATCTACGTGCTGAATTGAAGTCAGCCACGGCCCAGATCTCAGAACGTGACACAGAAGTGGGCAATCTCAACAAGAAGATCCGGCAGGAGACGGACAGCAGATTGAAGACCGAGGAGAGTCTCGCTGTTGCCCAGTCTAACCTGCGTTCTGCCGAGAGCAAGAGGCAAGACGCTGTCAATGCCAGGGACAAGACCGCTAGCGACCTATCCAAGTCCCAAGAGGCGCTGAAGGGGCTCCGCGTCAAGAACCGGGAGTTGGAGGAAGAAATCTCCCGGCTGACGAGCGAGGTTGGAAGCCTCCGAGATGAGGTCCAGCTAAAGACAGCCCAGTACAGCAGCGCTCAGAGTCTGATGAACAGCATGCGCGACCAGAGCGCGGAACTTGCAATGCAGATGAAAGAGGCTCGTGAGCGATGCGACAGCCTCGAGGAAGAAATGGCTGACGCTCACCGTTTGCTGAGCGAGCGAACACGCGAAGGCGAGACCATGCGCCGCCTGCTCAGTGATATCGAGGGTCGTTCGGAGTCCAAGGTGCGGGACTTCAAGGAACGCATGGAGGCTGCCATTGAAGAGCGAGATCGTGCCGAAGATGAAGCCAGCACTCAAGGCCGACGCCGTGCTCGCGAAGTGGAAGAACTCAAGATCAAGGTTCGTGAAGCAGAGCGCGCTTTGCGCACCGCAGAACAGGACAAGGAGGAGCTTGAACAGTCTCAAAAGGACTGGCGCCGTCGCCGCGATGAGCTCGAGTCAGTCGCTGAAAAGTCATCCCAGGAGGTGGCCGAGATTCGACAGGCTATGGCCGGGCTACGCGACGCACTTGACGAAAGCGAAAAGCAGGTCCGTGATCTCGAGAAGGAAAGATCAGAGCTTCGCCGCTCAGTTGAAGAGACAAACAACCGGCTGGAGAAACTCCGGAGATCTCACAAGACCCTTGGAGAGGACGTCCGTTTGCGTGGTTCACCGAGCGGTCGACAATCCTCGCGGTCGTCCATGGATTCAGGCTCTCGGCGGGCCGTGGCATCGCCTGGCAGAAGCGAGACCCCGGTGGGCCCACCCAGCAATGCCTCTGTCGATTACATGTACTTGAAGAATGTTCTTCTCCAGTTTTTGGAACAGAAGGACAAGGCCAACCAGAAGCAGCTAATTCCTGTCCTTGGCATGTTGCTCCATTTCGACCGGTGAGTTTTCTAATCTCCTTCCTGCTCCGTGGCCCTGCGACAGTGACTAACGAAAGCAGAACCGATGAGCAAAAGTGGATGTCGGCAATCATGTCCAAGTAACTAGGGCACCCATAAGCTTTTCACCACATACTGAGGCTTCCTTCCTATGTAATATACCGTTTTGTAGAGATATGTGGTGTTTGTGATTCAAGGCTAGCGTTTTGATGCATAGCCAGTCTCGATGATTGGAGTCGAATCCAGGGAGTCAAATGCACCAGCCATTGTCACCACCTCTTCACCTCAGACCAATTCAGATGACTTGAATAGCATTGGAGTATTGAACGGTGTTGATTCGTTGAAGCTTGACTTTAGTAAACCATGGAAGTCGATCACTAAACATCAAGAAAATGTCGGCAATATTGCCTAATCCGGCATAGTGGACATATTCACGAAGCTTAGCCGAAATTAGGCCTGCGCTAGCAAGTAGGCAGTAGCCGCAGTACAAAAGATCTCATAAGAAAAAGCCTCCAAGCTTTTGATTCTTTTATCGATTACTTGCATCCTCTCTCCAAAACCATGGCCGACCAACCTACCATTCGTCTCGCGACGCCCGAGGGTAAGTGCATGACCCCAATTGCGCCTCTAAACGAACTACTGCAGCAGCACGAACGTTACTCACACTAGATAGATGTCCCCATTATCCTCCAATTCATCTGCGAGCTAGCCGACTACGAAAAAGCTCTACATGAAGTCGAAGCCACCGAAGAGTCCCTGCTAGCAACCCTCTCCTTCCCCGATACCCCGCCAAAGCGCGGCTCCGTGTACACGGCTCTCATCACCCCGCCCCCGACCTCGGAGACTCCAAACCCGGTCCCCGTCGGCATGGCCCTGTACTTCTACAATTATTCGACATGGCGCTCTGCCCCGGGTATCTATCTCGAGGATTTGTATGTGCAGCCCAGCGCGCGCGGTAATGGGTACGGCTTGAAGCTGCTCAAATTCCTTGCGAAGCAGGTGCTTGAGGTTTCGGGTCGGCGTTTGGAGTGGAGCGTGCTCACATGGAATGAGCCTAGTATCAAGTTCTATGAGAAGATTGGTGCGCGGGGTATGGATGAGTGGTTGAAGATGATGGTGGACGGGGACGCGTTGACTCGTTTGGCGGAGGGTGCATAGGGGAAAGGTGCTTTGGTGACTGGGATACGGGATAGGGCTTTATAAATGTGGTGCAAGATCCTACGCCGTACTCCGTACAAAAAGGGGCTGGGACGATCAGATTAGGCTGATCTCTCGTGGAAGATTCATCGCCGATCGATTACGCGAAATTGGGCTAAATAAGTGCAGCATTGGCATCGTCGACAGTATATGTTAACTTCAAAAAGCTATCGCTCATTATTCTACTTGGCAAATGAGATATGAATTTGACGACAGAAGATACGCCTCCAGCTGTATTCCACGTCATTAATATAGTGTTTCGAATGTACTCCGTACATTTCCAAGTGTTTGACTGTGTAAATGCAGTCTGATCCCTGTTGGCACCCTCTTGGCGCCCTCTCTAGCGCGAGGTGACGGCATCGACCCGCAGATCATCTCGATTTGTCGATTCCACTTTCTTTCCTCTTTCAACCCCCCAGAAATGGCCACAATTCCAGATAATATCCAGGAGTGTAACCTCCATGTGGACTATGTTATCCGCTACAGCTTCGGAGACGTAGGTATGTTACAGAGCTCTCCCATGTGGGTTGCGGGGCCACATTCTGACGATGGCAGACCAAGCGCAAGCAATTGGGCAGCTTGAGAAGCTGCTCCAATCACTAGCCGAGGTTGGTCTTCAGGCAGAGGTCCGACAGGGCGATGAGACATCTTTGCTTGTATTTGTGAAAGCTTCAGAAAAGCGATTGAAACGGGCTGTCTATCGGTCGCGGTGAGTGATGATGTCGTTCTTTGAGATTGCGCCCATGCTGATCTCCCCCTCTTTGTGTATCTACAGAGTGCGCGACTGGCTCTATGGAATCCGCCATGCTGAACCGACGCCTTCTAACTCATCTGAGCCTCAGACGGAGGCTGAGCGCTTGCGTGTGATCCATCACATGATTACATTACCCAAGGAAGAGGGCGGCGCTGCAATCACACCCAACCATGGTGAATGGAAGAATGTCACCGCTATCTTCCCCCTACACGATATCGAGACCAATAAAACGTGGATGCGGGATTGGAGCTCCAAGACCTTCCTTTCCGATGACGACTTGGACCAGATTCGAAACAAGTTCGGAGAAAGTGTATGTGCAGCATTGCTCATCATTTTGGTGGTTCATGGCTAACTCGATGATAGGTTGGATTTTACTTCTCATTTCTGCAGTCATACTTCCGATTTTTGATTTTCCCCGCTGCTTTTGGATTTTCATGTTGGTTCCTTTTGGGTGGATATTCAATCATCTATACAGTCGTCAACTGCCTTTGGTGTATAATCTTCGTGGAATACTGGAAGCGCCAGGAGGTTGATCTGAGTTGCAGATGGCAGACTAAGAATGTTTCGGCCGTCCACACTGAAAGACGAGAGTTCAAGCCTGAAAAGGTGGTCTGCGATGAGGGTACTGGTGAGATGCGCGGTGTCTTTCCAGCAACCAAGCGCATGCAACGGCAGTTACTCCAGATTCCCTTCGCCTTGCTGGCGGCAATTGCTCTGGGTACCATCATTGCGACTTGTTTTGCCATTGAGATCTTCATCTCCGAGCTTTACAATGGCCCTCTGAAGACATACTTGGTATGACGATCCCCCAATCCCGATGGTCCCAAAGCTTACCATTACCATCCAGGTCTTCATTCCAACCATTCTTGTATCGGCGTTTGTACCAACCATGAGTGCTATCTTGACATCTATCGCCACGAAGCTCAATGACTACGAGAACCACGAGACAAGCGATGGGTACGACGTAGCACTGACCCAAAAGGTCTTTGTTATCAACTTCATCACGTCTTATATGCCCATCTTCCTGACGGCCTTTGTCTACGTGCCCTTCGCCAGTCGAATCGTCCCCTATCTTGATGTCTTCCAGTTGACAGTTCGGCCTTTCGTATCGAAGGAACATGCCGTCGCAAAGCGATCAAACTTCCAAATCGACCCGGCCCGCTTGCGAAACCAGGTTGTTTACTTCACTGTCACTGCCCAGATCGTTGGTTTCGCCATGGAGACTATCGTGCCTTATATCAAACAGCACGCACTTCGTAAATATAAGAAGTACAACAAGGAACGCAACGGCAAGATGGATGGAAACGGCGACAAAGAATCACCCGAGAGACCCGTTCGGTCCTTTGATGACCCAGCCGAGGAAGTCCAGTTCCTCGCGCGTGTGCGCAACGAGGTCGAGCTTTCCGAGTACGATGTGACCGATGACCTACGTGAGATGTGTATTCAGTTTGGATACTTGGCCCTTTTCTCTCCCACATGGCCACTTGTTCCTCTCTCATTCTTTGTGAACAACTGGATCGAGCTGCGGTCAGACTTCTTTAAGATCTGCATGGAGTTCCGCCGACCTGTGCCACTACGGACCGACACTATTGGACCCTGGCTCGATAGCTTGGGATTCCTTTCCTGGGTCGGAAGCATCACCAGCGCTGCACTGTTGTACATGTTCAGCGGCAACTCCCAGCATGGGCCCAATGGCGAGCCGACAGATATCAAAGGCTGGGCTCTACTTCTGACCATCTTCTTCTCTGAACATCTATATCTCATTGTGCGGTACGCGGTTCGAGCTGGTATGGCTCGAATCGAGCCTCCTAATTCCCGCAAGGAGCGCGCTGAGCGTTATCTCATGCGCAAGCGCTACCTCGAGTCGACTACAACAGCGGAGGCGGATGAGGACAAGGATGAAGATGATGTCGTCCCCATGGCCGAGCCACCTGGGATTTCACGCAGGTCTCTTGAAGATGATGCGCGGCAGACGTCCTTGCGTGGTGCCGACCCGGCAACCCGTTTCTGGATGCATCAGCGGGGATGGACGGAGTCAGCAAAGATTGGGGCCGGGATTATCCAAGCACAACCCATCAAGAGCAGTGAGAAGAAGCAGCAGTAGTTCTCCTGAGTGACGCGGAGTCACGATGTTATGGGTGGTCAGGAGGAGCTGACAGCGGTTATGAGGTTACGAGATTGTAGAACTTGAACGTGCTCTTTCGGTATATACTCATTCACCATAATCTGGGTTCGATCAAGGCTTTAGCTGAGTCTAATGCTTGTCCGTGTCCGGCACCTATTTGTGTACCTATACATCTTCTAGGTGATCCAGGGTTATTGCCTTCTGTCAGCGATATGATAGGCAGCAATCATGACGTCATGCTGACTCTGCTGACTCTATCGGAAGTTAGTGCACCCGCTCCGCCCCCAGATGCATGCGGTACACGGTCGGCGATAAACATAGGCAATTTCACAAGTACGACAAGATAGTGCGATTTGATGCAAAAGACAACGCATTATTACATTGTAGCAATGTAGCTGAAGCAAATCAGAGCTACAATATCTGAGATCGAACCAAGGACATCGTGCGCGGTGTTGTACATTGTACATCGCGGTGGTAACTACTCCCACCGCCCGGGCATACCGCCTCCCAATTGCGGGCTCGCGCTTCGGTTACCGCCCTACATAAATCAGCGATCGCCCCCAAATTCTGACTCAGAATCCTTAAGTAATCCTTCTTCTCCTCCGCTCGGTCAGCATCAACCTGCTTACAGCATCGGATCTGTGACTGCTTACCTCATTGAGCTGCATCTCGATATCAGCAAAGAAAGCACACTGTACTCTCAATTCTGGTCGGAATTAAGAGGTCGCGTCAAGCCACTACTCTAATCCCTACCTCATCCACTTTCCCCCTAATCGATGCAGCCTGCACTGGCGCCAGCGCCGCATCCAAACATGCAGACTTCTGCTCAGGTAAGCAGCTTACAATGAACGCGTTTGTCATCAGATCTATATCCCGCTTTGAATACACTCGATACGATGGCCTTGCAGCTACGCTGTCGCGTCGTCCCAAGTATCAGGAACGGGGGTAATCTTTCGACGCGTCGAGTCGCCCCCATGTTTTGGCCCCTCACCCCAAACCCTACATTGTCTTATTTGCCATGAGTGATACTAACATCTCACCATAGGACCACGCAGACCAGGGTATGTGATTGTAAACCAGTCTTGGGGTGAAGATCGAGTGAATCGGGGTGCGAGGTCCCAAAAGTTTTTGGGTCCTGAGTTTAGAAACTACCGCACCCCCATGGCCATCATCTCACCTAGACGAACACCTTAGGGCTGCGCGTCACACCTGCACTGTTCTCCGTTGCTAACCATGTCGTTTTATAGTCCTTCATGACCAGCTTCTAGCTGCACAGCACCACCTGGGTGCTCGCACCCAGGGCGCTCCAGGCCAGCAGCAGCACCTGCAGCCCAGCAGTGCTAGCCCTCGTGATCAACCAAACATTGACCCTGCCATCTCGGGTGCCATGCTCGGCGCCCCGCAGACTCCCACCCAACCCCAACAAGGGTCTCCTCCATCCGATGGAGGCAGTAAAAGCTATGGCAAGCGCGAGCTGTCCACATCCAAGCGAGCTGCACAGAACCGCGCTGCCCAGGTATGTATTGTTGACTCCTGTAGGTGATATCCTGCTGACTGCTATCAAAGCGCGCATTCCGCCAGCGCAAGGAAACCTATATCCGCAAGCTGGAGGAAGAGAACAAGAGCATCGATCCCCTCAAAGACCAAGTAAGGATCCTGGCGGGTGAGAACTATCAGCTGCGCGAGTATATCATCAACCTGCAATCTCGCCTCCTCGAAGCTCAAGGCGATGTCCCTGACCTGCCAGCCAACATCGACTTGACACAGCCCCGCACCGCCGAGATGGCGCTTGCATCTGCCGGTGTCCATAACACCAGTCCCTCAGGCTCGGTTCCTGCCGCTGTCCCTCAGGGCCAGCACCCTAATGTCACTGATGATATGAACTCTCTCAACCGAATTGCTGCTGCGACACTAGGCATGCGCAAGCACCCTGACGACACAAGCTTCCTCAATAACAACCTTCAACAAACCAAGCGTGTGCGTACAGATGATAACCAGGGTGATGTGAATGATGGCGTGACCAAGCAGGAGCATGTTATGCCTATGGGGAACGGATTGCCATGATTTCATCACGCGTTCTGATTGCCTACGTTCTGCGATCAACTTTCGATACCCGCGTCTATGTCTTTTCATTCTTTCTTCGTGTTTTACCCAGCTTCGGTTTTACGCGTCGCTTGACTACATTCGCTATTTTTCTTTCGTCGTTTCCTGGGTTCTGCTTCATGCTTTCTCTTCTCTGCTCTGCTTATCACATTTGCCTCTTTCCTAATGGTGCGTGGCGCGCGGTATCTGGTTTTAATCTTCCCGTTTTCGCGACTCGGAGGCGTTTTGATAATTTTTCGACCTGTATTTCCGTTCTGGCAGGGCAGATGGATGGAATGATAAGTGATCCTTATTACTCATTCGATAGGATCGTCAATGGAATTCGTATCTGTCACTATGCATCTCCATGGACCATTAGATCTATAATTTGAAACATGGATGTATACCTAAGTCATAGCGTAATTTCTGACAATTCCAAGTCTACCTTAGGTACCAGGGTCCTAAGGCATGGGTTTCCGATATGTGTAGAATGCCCACATGGAATCCATATATCTTCAATGTGAGGGTTCAATACGCCAGGATGCGGCTGCGATGTGACGTCCATCATTCCATTAGGGAGGAGCTTGTTTATAGAGCGAAACCCTACTCGTAGAGCATGGCTCGAATGGGAAGGCCCGGAATTAGCTCGACTGTGTTGACGCGTTGGAATCCCAACTTCTCATAGAGCGCAGTGCCTTTGACACTGGCTTCCAACCCCACTGGTACTTTCTCATCCAGTGCCTGGTGCAGGCCCCATTGCACTAATTGCCGACCGATGCCACGTCGTTGAGACCCCGGATCCACCGCAACGGTTGCAAGAAACCAAAGTTCTGGATACTTGGAAAAGGGGAAACAGTCCACGAGAGACGCTGTGTAATGTTCAAGCCGGTGGGGATCTACGCTGCGATCGGGGTAGACCAGCGCAAGATAGCGATCTTCTAAATCTAGAAGTTTTCGCTCTAGAGCTGAAGAAAATGTCAGGTGACATTATTTTCGATAGAAAAAGCAAGGGATACTCGCTATGCATCCAGGTATCCTTGAGCTGCTGTACGTTCATAGTGCCGATTCTCTCCCAGACAGCGTACCCACGGATGAGCTCGCTATGAGGGCCCTCATTCTCCACCGCGACTATCATCACATACCCCGGAGTCACGAGTCGCTTCTTCAGGCGACGGAGAAAGCCATAGCGGAAGTCCGAATAATGCTCATACCGGTGCGGGCAGATGTGGGCAAAGAGTTCATCCTCCAGCATGGCCTGCGCAGCCAAGTCTGCAAGGGCGGGGAGATCTTGGGCACAGGCGGGCCGGAGAGATGTACGCGACATTGTTCTTATTGTCAATTGAACCAGGTGTAGGTCATAGTAAGGATAAGTACAATGTAAGCTGAATATCGTACAATGCACTCTCAACTCTCAAGTCACGAGACCGTGTTCCTAAACGCGATCGTTGGAAAGCAAACAGACGCACGGTTGTTTCGGAGTTCCCCGCAAGTGGCCCTTCGCCAATTATGCATGAGATCACATTCCAATCGTCCCAGTCGGCCGGGAGCAGATTAGCGCAAACGCCTGAAGATTCCTCGACAATTGCGATATCTAAGAACTTGTTTTGAAGTCGAAGTGCAATCACGGTTGCATCTAGGGAAAATGTAGCGACTTATTCAATATAGCCACCACCATGAAGGAGAGCAATACGAGAGAGCCAAGTTAGATTGGTAATCTTGGCAAAAATCAACTTCATATATTTGGTCAGATTCCATTAATTTCCCCAATTTTTCCAATTTATCCCGAAGCCTAAACGCGTTTTGTCTCAAACAACCAATGATAGAAAAACCCGAGGACAAAAAGTACGAGAAAAAAAGAAAAGAAAAACTAAAGTTCACGTGTGGCGGTTCCAAGGTTCTCAGGTTCCTTTCTCGGCTTAGCTTGGCATATCCGGGGGGCGACGGGGGAGGCGCATGGTTTAATTTTCTCCCTTCTTTTCAAATCTCAACTACGCAGCTCAACTCACTCCTGCTTTGACTATTAGTCGTGGTTCTCACTTCCCTTCATTCGTTACTTACGGTCTCCGACCTCATCGCCGGTCTCAGAAGCTCTACAGTTGGATCCGCATTCTTCGGCAACCGAACTTGCGACGATCAGACCTCAGACCTCGGGAGCCTTCCTATAACCGACTTCAAACCGAGCGCTGAATACATTGAGTCCTCTTGGCCTTTCTCGAGCTCGAATTTGAAACTTGTCGATTCACTACATACACCATTTACGCAAATGATTTCTCGCATCTAACACAACTATACAATTATGGCCGCGGAGCTGGTACAATTGAAGCAACGCGTACCGGGGTTATAGCGGGGCATGAAACCATTGCCCTTTTACGGCTATTACAATCTCTCATAACCAGACCTGGTTGAAACGACGTACCAGACAATGACAAATCTGTCCGAACCTCCCGACGGGATCCATGGGTACCATGGCAGCAACGTGGCCGTGCGGACACTGATGATTGTTTTCACCTCCATTGCATTGTACAACGCTGTCGAATTGTTCATCTTGTTGTTTTTGACCTTTACAACCTATCGTGGTCTGTACTTTTGGTCGCTCCTCCTCTCAGTTGTCCTTGGAGTCGTACCCCACGCCATTGGCTACCTGCTGGAACTTTTCTCTCTGGCACCAGTATGGGTCTCTTTGACTATTTCCACCATTGGCTTCTATGTCATGGTTCCGGGCCAATCCGTGGTCCTGTACTCCCGTCTACATCTGGTGGTGAATAGCAACAAAGTCCTTCGCTTCGTGCGCTGGCTCATCTTCGTCGACGCTGTCATTCTTCTGATACCGACGACAGTTCTTACTTTCTATACCGCATACGCTCCCTCGCCGCCAGTGATTCGCGGATACAATGTCATGGAGCGGTTGCAACTGGCCTGGTTCTGCGCTCAAGAATTTGCCATCTCAGGAATTTACATCACTGAGACTGTGAGGCTGCTGAGCTTGATGCCAGAAAGGGGCAGCCGTCGGACCCGAATCATGTATGAGTTGCTGGCTATCAATCTGGTCATCGTCTTGCTCGATATCTGCCTACTTGTTACAGAATACATTGGGTTCTACGCATTGCAGACCACGTTGAAGTCCATGGTCTACAGCATCAAGTTGAAGCTTGAATTCGCCGTGCTGGGGAAACTAGTCACCCTTGTGCAGAACCATCGATCACGATCACAACCTACTTCCTCTGAACACGAGGAATACCCTGGCTTCGTGGATCCGACTCAGTTTACGTCGGACGTCACTCATGCAATTCCTCTGGAATCGCGTTCTAAAGGACGAAGGGGCTGGAATACAATGTCCGTGGAGAGCTTGCCTATCTCGGAGCGCAGAATTCGCCCATCTACACAGTCGACCGATGACGACAGCCGGACTCCACCTTGAGTTCGACCGGTAATCATGAGTTCCACTTCTAAATAGACTTGCGGGCTATCAAGTTCGCAAGCGTGACCAAGCAGATTTTGTGACGCAAAACACATTCTGCTTTACCTGTTCCTCACAAGGACGGTAACCCAAGGAGCGACGCGTGAGCCCCCTCACCAGCCTCCAGCACGCTGGGTCCCTCTTCCTTGCGCAAACGAATATTTGTTCGTACATATCGACGAGTCGATGCCCCACCATTCCTACACCCCAGTGTGACGCTTGAACAGCCACCTTGTCACTCCTGCTCGTTGTACAGTATATGTGATCTAAACCAGCCCTCGTGCAAATATTCGCCGCGTCCACCATCCATCCACGGACTGCGATGTTCATATCAGCCAGATCTTTGAGCCCGATCTATGCCGGCAACCATGACCAATCCATGCAATCTCTCTCTGCTCAATTCCTCTTCTATTCAGCCGCATGATGTAATTAGGTACCTGGTTAACAATATTACGTCGTCATGACATATCACCAATGAGAAAGACTCAGACCACTCCTCGACGGGGTTCAGAAGATAGAGATCGACCTGTACCTTTCGTAATCAATGCAGCATGGAAGGTACCGTCTTGGTTCACCACGGCCCGTACGAGTCCATCCCGGAGGCTGCTTCACCAGGTCTCAAATTCCTGCGACGTTTCCTACCAGCGCTCGACTCCTTGAATCCAGACGTAGACCGCATTACCCCCTTCTTCACCCCCGGCGCCCCGATCCTCATCGGCAGCAGTCCCCCGACGGCTGCAAGCCAGGCAGTTCCCCTGCTTGAAGTACGCAGCCAACATCTCGCCCAATTCCATCACCATGTCCATCTAGCTTGGGACATTGATCTAGGGAAGGACAAGGGGCCTGTCTACACATCATACAGCAGGGCAGCCCCGGACGAGGAAACCGCACAAAGAGGCCAGCTCTATGCACCGCTAGCCGGGGAAATCCAAATGAAGCGCACGGTCATGTTCGAGGCGACTTCAGAAACGATCTTCAAAACAGACCCGGATCAATTCGCTGTTCGAGTTCGCGAGTTCAACATTCTTGATTTGGAGGGGAGCGAGGAGTCGGATCTGCAGATTGTTGAGATGCGGATATACTTGGATCAGAGACCTATCCAGGCCCACGCGGCAGCTTTATTTGGAATTTCGGCTTATGCTGGATCGTAAAGGATACAATTTGGATTTATCGTATCCATTTGAAGATGTTTTGCAGGCGCACTGTAAATACTGTTGCTCCATGCAGAATCGTATGGCGCCCCACTTAGTTCATTATTACCGTTGAACTCCTACTGTCCTATTCCATACTGAGTTAGACTGTTGTGGAGCTGAAATTGCAGGACTCAGATATCGCATAAGTTTAAAGTCCGTGGAATTGACAGTTTCCATTATCTTCCATGGTTTGAGTTGGTCCACGAGTTTTCCAGAATCATGTTTCGGATGCCTGATACCTCGGCATAGCTTCTGCAGAGTCCCTGTCACTGCGATACCGGACTAAGTATGCTGTACATGATGTTGTAAGTGGTGGCCACTTCATGTGGCTTAGTAGGGAACTACATATGTAGTACACAGTACGTACTAGAAGTTTCAGGTGACGCAGAGCAGAAGTCTCAGCAACACCGATTTTACCGCCTTCCGGAGTGGGGCCGGGCATGTTGCGGAAAATTTACTGCATCACTAAGCTTGCAATGACGTCAAGTACGTGGAATTACAGGTATTTATGTAATAATACAATCTTTTTCTACGTGCATATAGAGAAGGACTCGGCCGGTTGTCCCGTATTGTAAAGTGCGCACCCCGTCCTTGTACCTTCCAAGGCCCAAGCAGCGGGGCCCACGACCTCGGGAGCTCCAAGGCGCTAAATGACCAGCACCAATAAGATTGGGGAAAGCCTTTTTTGCGAAGTGACAGCGCGATTATTATTACTGTTTTCAAGGTGACTGGGCCGTTTGGCAGGTTTGCTTCTCTTTTACTATTGGCCTTTAACCGCCTTCCTCTCTCCGCCTGCCCCTCCATACAGGCCCTCTTATCATCTCCACCTTTTCTCTCCGTAAACCTTTAACCTCTGTCCTTTTCAGATCCAGGTCATCGCGCTTGATCATTCTTACCGGAATCATTCTTTCAACCCGGAGATTCGTCCACTCATATTGCCTCTGATAGTTCTGCTTCGAACTTGATCTAAAGTGTTCCTGTGCTGCCCGGCCGGGCCCAAGCCCTCGATGAGCCCGTTTGGAAAGGTTCACTTTGATCCGACGATTGAGTCTATTCCTGAAGTTTGTCTTGTACAGTTGTGATTGTGGGCGTGGCCTCTGTGGCCTTATTTGACATCGCGGACATCCTTAAACGACGGATGATTCTTCTTTCCAACCTTCGGTCCTCCCTCCTATTTCCTCTCCGGAGCGAACCTGGTACGAGCTACGCAGACCAGCGACCTGTCCGACCAGTCTCTTTACGCACATATTCACCAAACCCCTTATTCGCTCTTGGTCGCAACTGAGGCGGTTCACGCTTCCACACTTTTTACTCGCCGTAATGGCATCAGAGATGGCCGAGGATACCGGGATGGGAACACAGCGAAGAAGGTGCGAAAGTGTTTCGACCTCCCCCCGAGTGGATTCTCCGGAGTCGGTGGGAAAGAAACCAGAGGGCAGGGATCGGTCGCACTCGGTTACATACAATGAACGCCAGCAGCCGCCTAGTACCGGCTTTGATGTGACCGACCGAGTATTCCCTATCCGCTCGGTTCTTTCGGTCGATCCTCCTACTACTGCGCGGCACGAACCCCCGTCACAGGCACGAACGGCGGTATCACCAACGCGGGAGGGAGCTCGGCACTATTCATTCATCGACGAACAGACCTGGAATCAACTGCAATCGCAGGCAAAATCACACCCCCAACCTCACCCCGACCCTGAAGACGCCGGTCCTACAGTTCCCACCGATATCCCACGACATGAAACTTACGCCACTAATGATAAGACGGAGCTCGCATCGCATTCGATGGCGTCGCAGGTCGTTCAGCACCCGGAAATATACGCCAAACCTGCCCCGGACGGCAGCCAGTCTAGTGCAGGGTCGACTGTTCATCCACAATCGCAAGCTGAACCCCGGAACAACGAAGATGGTCACATGACTTCTCGCTTCAAGCATGTCGTGACAGAGAATGGCCACGCGGTCATAACAGGGCGAGATGGCGAGGCATTCCAATATTGCGAAGACGAGCCCATCAGAATCCCCGGTGCGATCCAGAGCTTCGGAGTTATCGTTGCGCTGAGAGAGGAGCAGCCAAATCAACTAGTGGTCCGGATTGTGAGCGAGAATTCGGCCACTTTCTTCGATTACTCGCCAAAGGAACTCTTCGAATTAGAAAACTTCTGCGATATTCTAAGCGAAGAGCAGGCAGACACCTTGCTTGATCACCTGGACTTTGTTCGGGATGATGCCTATGATCCATCCGTTGACGGGCCGGAAGTATTTTCCTTGTCAACGCGCACCCCCACCGGAGAGTGTCGTCGATTCTGGTGCGCCACTCATGTCTGCCCAACGCAAAAAGACTTGATTATATGTGAATTCGAATTGGAGGACGACGAGATCAATCCATTGAATGTTGCTGGGCAGGGTACCCCAGCATCTCCTGCAGATCCTTTCGACAACAGCACTTTGGGACTGACGCCCACCGCAGAACAATTGGCTTCGTCAACAATCAACATCAGCCAACCTCTGCGTGTCCTTCGCAATGCTCGGAGGAGGAAAGGCAAGGCGGCAAGTATGGAAGTATTCTCCATCTTGACCCAAATTCAGGAGCAACTTGGACGGGCAACAGATCTCGATATGCTTTTGAAAACTACCGCAGGTTTGGTAAAGGAACTTACCGGGTTCCATAGGGTTATGATATATCAATTTGATAGCGCGTGGAATGGCCTGGTGGTCGCCGAACTGGTTGACCCCACTATCACAATGGACCTTTACAAGGGTCTCCATTTCCCTGCTGCGGACATTCCCGCACAAGCACGAGAACTGTACAAGATCAACAAGGTCCGTTTGTTGTACGACAGGGAACAAGTCACATCTCGGCTGGTTTGTCGGACGCTGGAAGATCTCGAAACTCCTCTGGACATGACGCACTCATATTTGAGGGCGATGTCCCCGATTCACGTCAAGTATCTGGCACACATGAAAGTTCGCTCTTCGATGTCCATCAGTGTTAATGCTTTCAACGACCTGTGGGGCTTGATCTCATGTCACAGCTATGGATCTGCCGGAATGCGCGTGTCGTTTCCCATACGAAAGATGTGCCGATTACTTGGGGACACTGTGTCAAGAAATATCGAACGACTTTCATACGCCTCTCGTTTGCAAGCTCGGAAGCTCATCAATACCGTCCCAACAGAGGCCAACCCGTCAGGCTACATTATCGCCTCTTCAGATGACTTGCTACAACTTTTCGATGCAGATTACGGAGTTTTGTCAATCAGGGATGAGACCAAGATCCTGGGCGATAGTTCAGCTTCGCAAGAAGTACTCGTGCTACTTGAGTTCCTTCGCATTCGTCAGCTGAGCTCAGTACTTGCCTCACACGATATCGTCAAGGATTTCCCTGATTTGCATTATCCTCCAGGACTCAAGATTATCTCGGGTCTGCTTTATGTGCCGCTTTCCACTGGTGGAAGTGACTTCATTGTGTTCTTCCGACGTGGGCAGCTCACGGAAATCTCATGGGCTGGAAATCCATATGAAATCGCCAAGCGCAAAGAAACAGCAGGCTATCTTGAGCCGCGCCAAAGTTTCGCGGCGTGGCGGGAGACGGTGCTCTCCCAGAGTCGGGAATGGACAGAGACTGACGTGGAGACAGCGGCGGTTCTATGTCGTAAGTATATCCTGCGCTAATCATCGATATGGTCAATCTCGGCAGCTAACTTGGCTCGCAGTCGTCTACGGCAAATTTATCAAAGTCTGGCGCCAGAAAGAGGCTGCAATGCAAAATTCACAATTAACCCGCCTACTTCTCGCCAATTCGGCTCATGAGGTACGTATTTGGCTCTCCTCTGCCCCATCTCTAATCGGCAAACTAACCTGAAAATGTTTCCAGGTTCGAACGCCGCTCAATGCAATCATCAATTATCTCGAGATTGCGCTCGAGGGTGCCCTGGATGAGGACACTCGTGATAGTTTGACCAAGTCTCATTCAGCTTCCAAATCTCTGATCTACGTTATCAACGACCTGCTTGACTTGACAAATACCGAAAAGGGCCAGGAGCTCATCAAAGACGAAAGTTTCGACCTTGAAGAAACTTTCAAGGAAGCAGCTCAGATGTTGTCTGGCGAGGCGAAGCGCAAGGATATTTCATACACTATCTCGGTGCACCCGGGAATTCCTAATCTAGTTCTCGGTGACCAACGTCGCGTGCGACAGGTTCTTTCAAATGTCATTTCGAATGCCATACAGAATACCGAATCCGGGGCAGTCACGACTGAGATGTGGCGCTCTGCCAACCAGACTCTACCAGGCCATGTTGGAGTCGAGATGATGGTGGTCGACACTGGGGTGGGAATGTCACATGATAAGCTGGAGGCGCTTTTCCAGGAATTGGAACAAGTTTCCACCGACGAGAGTTACTACCCTGGAGAAGAAGAGGATGCACAACCAGAAACGCCCTCGGCCAAATCGGCGAAACCCCGCGTGCTGGGGTTAGGCCTTGCGCTTGCCGCAAGGATTGTCCGCAATATGCACGGGCAGCTAGGTGTTCGAAGCGAAGAAGGGAAAGGCAGCCGCTTCAAAATCTTTTTGCAGTTTCGGGTACCTGAAGGAGCTTCATCGGAAGATGATTCAGCTCACATCGCTGCTGCAAATTCTCCCGTGCCATCGACACCGATGATATCAGATAAGGAATTCACCTTGGTTGGTGGGCCGTACGAGAATCGGGATACCCGCCGCAAAAGTGCAGAGAGTATTCGGTCTCCCGGTAGCTCCCATAGTGGGAACAGCGGAAAAAGCGAGGCCGATCGACTCATTAGCGCTATACAGGAACCAGCCTTGAACAAGAAAAGCATCAACCAAGGTAGTTCGCACCCGAAACAAGCGAGACTTTCAAGTCCGCCCAGTGTTGGTAGCAACTCCATGCCGGTTACATCACCATCAGCGTCCAGCCTGAAGCGAGCATCGACTGGATGCGATCCCCGTTCCAGCCTTGCCACAGTCACCCACCCTCCAGCCCTCACATTACAGCCGAAGACGACATCGCCTTCCCCGGGTCTAGAGAACGTTAAGGACTCCGGTGTACCATTGAGTGCCGTGAGAGTGTCCCAGAGGTCAGCGAGTATCAAATCACCCAATGCCCAGACCGCTCAAGACCGATCCTACTTCCCACGGGTCCCTGAGACCGTCGCAGAGCCATCCAACGTCCCTTCTACCGGGCCTCCGGCATCCACCTGCCCTACCACTGCTCCTTCAGTGACTGGCTATGAACTGCTGAACGTGCTAGTAGCAGAGGACGATCCAGTCAACAGCAAAATCATGCACAAGCGCTTGACCAAGCTTGGACACACAGTAAAACTTACCGGCAACGGCGAAGAATGTGCGACTGCTTTTGCTTCAGCGACCAAAAACTTCGACGTCGTCTTGATGGATCTCCAGATGCCGGTTGTCGATGGCATGTCTGCTACTCGGATGATCCGTGATTTCGAATCTAAGACCCCGAAAGCCGCGCTTTCCGACAAAGCCATTCACAACGACCGTGTCCCTATCTTCGCCGTCTCTGCGTCTTTGCTGGAGAAAGAACGAGAGACCTACATTGAAACAGGTTTCGATGGCTGGGTCATGAAACCTATTCCGTTCGCTAGGCTGAACGTCATGCTCTCGGGACTCACAACCCCTGCTGCTCGAGCTGAAACTGCGTACAAGCCTGGCGAATGGGAGAACGGCGGTTGGTTCTTCGCTCAGTAGATGGCTTGATGGTGCACAGACAAAGGAACCCACGCCTCTCCTGTCCGTTTGGGCATCTCCCCGCTCAGTTACTTCTTCTGCCGGTATCCGCCCTCATGCCGGCTTCTACGACGGAGTTTTGTCCTGTCTATTACCCATTTCGGACCTGTCTTGTCAAACACCGCGGTATTTTGGCAAGCAGCGCCTTTTTTTATCCCTTTCTATGCGCCCCGAGTTCTTCAATCTTTATGGAACTTATCTGATCCTGATGGATATGACCAGTTTCTTTGTAACGGGTATCTACATGACATGTTTTGTTTTTCTTTTCCCTTTGTTTGCATACACAAGCCCTGAATAGATGGATTGGGTCTGTCGGGTCTGTCGGGTCTCATCCCACTCGGCGTTTATTGTGATTACCTTTGAGAGAATACGGATACCCATCTCAATATTTTTCTTATACATTCATATCTCATATTCATGTGTTTCCCTTGCCGTGTTATAAGGCTTGATCCTTTGCTGTGCCTTCTATGGGCAGTTCCGTGGAAGATACGAATAAATTCGAATATCACTACCTATCCAACCTTCCAGTATATCCGACGAATGCGCAAATGTTTTAGGTATAGGCAACAAACCGATATCAAATTAAATAAGTAAATTAACTTCCAAGTTTCAATAAGAGCAATAACAGGCGTGTCTATAACGACGGGGGTATAAAGTAGCAGAAACAGGAAACCGCCCACGATGACCCGACTACGTTCGAGTCAAGAGTTCATCTTTTATGTACAATCATGCATGCAAAAAAGATCCAAACCGACCCACCCACCTACTTAGGTGAATCAAGCAAGGTCATCTCAATCGTAGACTGTGTATCAGTCGAGCGCATGAGAGGCCTGGCATCCCTCTGCATCTCCACAGAATCAACAGCCGTCGACGTCGTCTCCCGCAGCGCCTCATGAAAATCATACGCACTACTCCGCCCGGAAGTCAAATGAACCGCCGCCGGACAAACCGTGCCCCCCGAACTAGCTGCAGCCTGTGCATCAGGGCCCCTCAGCACCGGTCTACTAGATATCATATCGTGGATATTAAGATCCGTCGATTCACGCGGAGTGGCATCCTCGCCTCGACACAACGCACAAGGGTATGTGCGGGTTAACTCTTGTAGCTGTGTGAGGACATGGAACTCGAGTTTCAGCTTGACGCTGTAGGCGACGGTTTTGAAGCTGACGGCGATGTAGTGCATTTTTAGCTCGGCGATGATGACGAGGGCGTCGAGGAGGATGCCGAATAAGTTGACGAAGATGAGTTGGTAGATTATTCTTCTGCCCTGCGGGTCTCTTGATTCGAAGACTGGTTTGAGAGCGCGGAGTGCTTCGCGCACGTAGATGGCGCAGATGACGGTATCCTGGATTGCGAAGCCGCTTACTTGGATGCGGTCGAAGGTGGCTGCTGGTTTACGGCAGGTCTGGTGGTCGAGGTGGTAGAAGAGGACTGTCATGGGAACGTGGAGGATGAGGAAGTTGGTGATTATCATCCATAGTACCCAGCGGATGTGGCGGACGTCTTGGACGACTAGGTGGAGGCGGGAGTAGAGGACGAGGGCTTGGCCGGATACCATGCAAATCCAGCCTATGATGAAGGGGATGGACATGGGGAGATTGGGGGCTGTTTGGAGATAGCGTATTTGGGCTGGGATGGCGTGGAGGAGGATGCCCCAGGCGGCGATTTGCATGGACCAGAAGTATAGACCGCGGTATTTTCGGAAGCGTTCGAAGACGCCGATTATGACTTCTATTGAGTTCCACGCGCCGATGGAGAACATTGCCACGATCTGGAGTATCGTGAGGTTCTTCACTAGGATGGCGCTGACCTCCGGAGGGAGGTTGCTCATTATGGTATCCATGGCGTGGTGTGAAGGGAATGGGTGGCCATGCGGAAAATTCAACCGGAGGGAAATGAGAAGTGATATATGGATATGGAATATAGTCCAGACACCAAACCCTAACTAGCTTGCCTTAATGTGGTAATCAGTCAAGGCAGAGGGGGGCGATCGTCTTGAGCCCCTCAATCTCAGTGGGTACGACAGCGGGATAAAGTCGGGTTAGCCACTTGTTTCGAGGTTACCATGCCAATGGCGAGTCATGACTCAATGGATTTGAAAGAGCCAACGCGATTAGCGGTTCAATATGGCTAGAACACGGGGATCTGGTCCAGATATCCCGGCCCTTTAGACCTGATAATCGTCGGGACCATCCCAGCGCCATTGGGGGCAGCTGATATTTGGGGAGTATGGGGAATCGGGGACCATCTACCAACCCCGGGGACTCCCTTTCTTCTTAATGTTGGGTTGAGCTTATTGGACGAGTCAGACGAATTGGAATACTCGAGAGGCTATCGGTGCGCCAAACAGGGATTCTCGGGATGTCAAACAAAGAAACTCATCTCGGGTTCTGTGCGCTGATCACATTTGCTGGCGAGTGGCGCTCAAGGGTGTGAGCCCAGACCGCGCTTCGAAAACTCAAGAGCTTGCAGTTCATGGTTGAACTGAGAACGTTGACAAAATGTTGAACAATGAGCTGAAAGAGGAGAACGATAAGTTGATGTAGGTTGACAGTTGATGGTGAAAGTTAGGGCAGGGGGCAAAAGATGGTCAAAGCGTCATTTTATGCTTCAATGCTTATGTGCATAATATGCATAATGAAGTCATTTAGGGGATCTTGTCGCAGCTACAGTGGACTTGTTGTAGCATGTAAGGAATAAATAAAGGCAATCCACTTATTAAAAAATGTATAACATTAGCACTTAAAATGACAGGTGACATGTATAATTGATGTGGGGAGAAACGGTGAGAGGATATGTGATTAGACAGAACCTCCTATAAGCTCAGGATTTGGAATTGGACCTGTAGATCAGCTGTATTTGGCAAGGTTGACCGTTGTGATCGTCTGCATCTCGTGCCATCACATGATGATAGCCAATCCCGTCCCAACTCCTATCGCTTCTCTGCCTGATCAACATCCAGTTCAGGATAATCAGGTAGCTTCCAGTCTCCATCCCAGTCATTCGAGAGCCGCGCGATTAGCTGGGGTATGCGAAGGAAGCAAGCCAGTCCCACAAGGAAATGAATGATGGCTATCACACCCTGCGACTTAGCCATTACCCATCGCAACCACCCAGTGTTGAGCTGTTGAATCTCGTCGACATACGGTTGCATGATTTTGTGATAATTTTCAAATGCCTGGGTGAGGTCTTGGCTGCGAGAAATCTCTCCAGCTAGAACATAGGCTCCGACGAGGCTGCTGGTTGTCCCCATGCCGGTCAGAGGAGAAGGGCAGTGTGCCGCATCGCCGAGCAAAACAACCCGACCAGAGTGCCAGGTGTCGGTTTTGACTTGGACGACGTCTTGGCAAAACCAATTGTCTGTGGTTTGCATTTCTTTGATAAAACGCTCGCTCTGCCACCCTGCATCATGGAACATATTGGCCCAAGCCTTCTTTTGTTGCTGGATTGGAAGCTTGGGGACGGCGCGTAGTTCTTCAGAGTCAGATAGCAGGATGAAGTAGATCTGTGTCTCTTTCTCATTGTGGGTTCTGGTCATGATCATCCGGCGACCGGGACAAAGATATGCCCTGCACATGCCTATCGGGTCGCTCTCGATCCTTGGGATGAAGCAATAGGCCATGTGAACCCCAAGGTTGTGATATTCACTCGGGGCAGCAACTGGCTGAATGTTCCTTCTGACACGAGAGCCCTGTCCATCGGCGCCAACGAGCATATCAAATGTGTCCGATGAGCCATCGGAGAAGTACGCGACGACCTGATCTCCGTGCTCCTTAAAGCTGTCCACCGTTTTGCCGAAAATATACTTCACTTCGCCTTCCGTAGCTTCATGTAAGATGCGCACAAGATCTCCGCGCATAATCTCATATTCAGAGCTCAGCGACGATGCGCCCTTGCCGGACTTGTTGGCGAGAATCGTGGCTTTGGTCTTGCCCCTTGAGTTGACGATCGACACGCCGGCTTCATCGACGAGCTTGCTGCGAATAGCCTCGTGGAGTCCCATGCGCTTGATGGCCGTGATCCCCTGTCCGCGGATATCGACCTGAGCTCCTGTCGCTCTCACAGTTGGGAAGCGTTCGACAACGATGACTTTGTGGCCGAGTTGGGCGAGCCAGTAGGCCAGGGCTGGGCCTGCAATCCCTCCGCCGCATATGAGGACTTTCAGAACTTGAGGAGCCATTTTGTTGGGTAAATTGAGGGAAGGCAACAGCAGGGAAGCAGGTTTTTATTCATTGCCAGCCTGGCTCTGAATATTCGGTGACACAACAAGCTACATCATTGAATCGGATTTAACGAAATAGCTCGGCATATTGCTCGGGGTGCACTGAGCTTCCAGGGATCGGATTTACCTAGAGAGAAATAGTTAGCTCTTTTGGGAAGTCTGGACAGTGGGTATTTGCATTCCCCCCTGGTACCCCCTGGTACCCCCCTGGCCTCCTGAGGGGGTGGCGGGAGCTTGGCGACATAGTGGAACAAAGGCTGTCCAGCGAATGAACCCCAATTTCTCCGACACGTCATCGGGGTCTCTATAAGTTGTAGTAGTACTCGTTCATTTAAGCAATAAGCATAAATCGGGAATCTTATTCAGCTATGGTAACAACTAGACAAAGTACCGTAATTATCGGGAAGTTCACAGACGAGGACGGCCGGTCGCAGAAATGTAAGGGATATCATACCGATCCAAATTCATGATCTTGTCCCACGCAGCCACGAAATCTTTCTTGAACTTGTCCTGGGCATCAGCGCTGGCGTACAACTCAGAAAGCGCACGCAGCTCGGCGTGGTGACCGAAGATCAAATCCACACGGGTAGCAGTCCACTTCTTGGCGCCAGTCTTGCGGTCGACACCCTCGAAGTAGTCGCTGTCAGGGCCGGTGGGCTTCCAGACAGTGTTCATATCGAGTAAGTTAACGAAGTAATCGTTGCTCAGCTGGCCAGGGCGGGAGGTGAAGACACCGTGGCTGGATCCATCCCAGTTGGCGTTGAGGGAACGCAGACCACCGATCAGAACGGCCATCTCAGGGGCGGAGAGGGTCAGCTGCTGCGCCTTGTCAATGAGGAGGTGCTCAGTGCGCACGCGATGACTGGACTTTCCGTAGTTGCGGAAGCCATCGGCCACAGGCCTGAGCCAGTTGAAGGACTCGACGTCGGTCTGCTCCTGGGTAGCGTCGTTGCGACCAGGGGTGAAGGGAACGGGGATACCAGCGGACTTTTCGAGAGCAGCGGTACCAGCAAGCACGATCAGATCGGCCACCGAGACACGCTTGTTACCGTTTTGAGCGGCGTTGAAGCGGCTTTGGATGGTCTCTAACGTGCCAATAACTTCCTTCAGCTGGGCAGGGTTGTTGACATCCCAGTCCTTCTGGGGAGCAAGACGGATGTGAGCACCGTTGGCGCCTCCGCGCTTGTCACCGCCACGGAAGGTGGACGCTGAGGCCCAGGCAGTGGAAATGAACTTGGTGGGCTCAATGCCGGTGGCGAGGATCTCATTCTTCAGGGCGATAATGTCGCCGTTGTCAATCAGAGCGAAAGTGGGAGCAGGGATGGGATCCTCCCAGAGGAGGACCTCCTTGGGAACCTCAGGACCCAACCAGCGAGAACGGGGACCCATGTCACGGTGCAGCAGCTTGAACCAGGCACGGGCGAAAGCATCGGCAAACTGATCGGGGTTCGCAAGGAATCGACGGGAGATCTTCTCATACTCGGGGTCGAAGCGCAGAGAAAGATCAGTGGTCAGCATCTGAGGACGGTGCTTCTTGCTTGGGTCGAAGGCATCGGGAATGATCTCCTCGGCATTCTTGGCCACCCACTGGTTGGCACCAGCGGGACTCTTGGTCAACTCCCAATCGTACTTGAAGAGGTACTCGAAGAACTGGTTGCTCCACTTGGTGGGAGTCTTGGTCCATGTGACCTCCAAGCCACTGGTGATGGCGTGGGTGCCGACTCCAGAGCCGTGCTTGTTGTGCCAGCCAAGACCTTGTGATTCGATATCAGCACCTTCCGGCTCCTTTCCGACATTATCAGCGGGGGCGGCGCCGTGTGTCTTTCCGAAAGTGTGACCACCCGCAATCAAGGCGACGGTCTCTTCGTCATTCATAGCCATGCGGCCAAAAGTGACACGGATATCCCTGGCAGCAGCAATGGGGTCAGGGTTGCCATCGGGACCCTCGGGGTTGACATAAATCAGACCCATGATGACCGCGGCCAGCGGGTCCTCGAGGTCACGAGTCTTGATATCGGCCTGCTTGGCCTCATCTTCTTTGCTGTGGGCCGCATAGCGAGCATTATTAGTGAACCAGACGTTCTCACTTCCCCAGTACACTGACTCGTCGGCTTCCCAGACATCGGGACGACCACCGGCAAAGCCAAAGGTCTTGAAGCCCATTGACTCCAGGGCAACGTTACCGGTCAGAAGCAGGAGATCTGCCCATGAGATCTTGTTGCCATACTGATCATTTCCATTAGTCCTGAGAGGTGAGATTCATTAGGGCATATCAAGGCTTACCTTCTGCTTAATAGGCCAAAGCAATCGACGTGCCTTATCTATAACAAGAAGATGGATATCAGCATCATCCAATCACCAATTCAATGCTTGGTCTTCATTTACCAAGAGAGACATTATCAGGCCACGAGTTCAATGGAGCGAAGCGCTGTTGGCCCTGACCACCACCACCGCGACCATCGAAGACACGGTATGTTCCAGCGCTGTGCCAGGCCATTCGGACGAAAAGACCACCATAGTGACCAAAGTCAGCAGGCCACCACTCTTGCGAGTCAGTCATAAGGGCCTCGATATCTTTCTTAAGGCCGAAGTAGTCGAGGGTCTTGAACGCCGCCGCATAATCGAAGTCCTTATTTTGAGGATTGGTGGATTCGGTGTGCTGGCGAAGGATGCTCAACTTCAAGTTATCGGGCCACCAGTCAGTGTTGCTAGAATAAAAGTCAGCATCTAAACGCAAATGAATACGAGATGACATGGAAACTCCGATGCGCCAGGTCAGCTCGGGGAGCATACCGGGTGCCACTGCCAGCAACATTGCTCTTCGTGTGTACAACGGGACATTCACCCATGATGAATATATAATCTGTTATGTTTTGAAAAGAAAAACAGGGAGTGCGAGAATGAAGAGAACAGAGAAGAAAAGGGGGTCAGACAGCGACCACCCCGCAGTTTAAAAGGTAGCACCCGCTCGATCCAATGATGGGTCACGCAATGCATAAGCAGATTTAGATGCTATGCTAGTTTAAAATGTCCATTGCAAAGGCGTTGGGACGAATCAAATGACGCGAACTCGACATTCTCGAGGCTATTATTGGCCATTGCTCATCCGAGCGTGCGGGGAAGATGAATCCCCAGCTCGTGAAGAAATAGAATTAATTATCGGCGGAACACGCCGAGACTCGCTGAATTCCGATCTTTCCGGTGACGATCTGAATTTACATTGGACGCTGACAAAATGGCCATTTCTAGATGTTGAAAAGAGCTGCCATTATGAATACCACTATATTCAGTACCTGATCTCGATTTGATGTTGATTTCGAATCCAATGGTCTGGCCCATGGCCCATGGAAGTTGACCTCGGGACGAGATTTTGATTATGTAAATGGCAGAATCGACCTCCAGCCTCTGGAGCCTTCAATGGCCGGAAGGCGGTGATTACCCCACACGGGCCACATGTGTCAACACTCCAGCTGTCCCCACCCACTTTACAGCATCGGACTGGTCAATACTCAAGGCCTCCAATATTCCCCAATCAGTTCAAGAAATCCATACATTCAAATCAACAATTCAAGTAATCTAAATATTAATGAGGGGCCAATGTTCTCCGCAGGTAGTCATATGAAGAGCATGATACTATCTAATTTACCCCAAAGACCTCCTGACGGTGTATCTACAACCTACCTTGGCCTCGGATACATTTGCCCGATAAGGCTAGCCGCTTCTTCTGTTTTCCGCGGGACGGGCTCCCGAGACCGGACTCTCTTTCAATCTTGTAATATACTTCACATCGGATTATAGCTAGACAATAGCCCAGCTACTCGACCGATCTTGAATCGGTTCATTGACGTACACAGGTGAACCGATATTTTCGTCCTGCTGGGTGGCCCGCCAGCAACATGAGAAATATTTTGTCGGCTCCACAGTATAGTCACCGAGGGAAACAATGTTGAGCTCCAGCGACTGGGTATCGCAAGGTGGAGATCTCGCTGGCCGTTTCCGCGTCGTGCTCTATGCTCATTGTTCTTGCAGAACATATTAGATTGGGATAGATAGGGAATCTGCTCCGTATGTTGCTGTCACTTTGAGATTTCCATAGGATCGCCGGGAAGGGCCTCGGGAGTGGTTGTGATAAAGATGCGATCCGAGCACCGATTGAGGCCCACCAAACCTGGATAGGAAAGTGGTTCCGACACAACATTCCATGGATGGAAGGTACACAAACTTTTATATGCCAAGACGCCGCAGCCAAAGCTACTTACCGTACTGATGCAAGAAACATCAGGCCGTTATCAATGACATATTCTGTGATCTTCTCTTGCGTTCCTTGAGATGCATTATGCGGGACCACGAACGCGAAGAAGGAATATGGTCACATTCTAGTGAAAGATGAGCCCGGTCTTGACTGACTGGCTGTTGAGAGAGCAGCGTGGAATCCGCATTTTATTGTAGGAACTACTAGTCCGAGCCCGTGATGTCCTAGTATCTGCATGGAGTCTTCGGCGTGGTGAATCCCTTGGGTGGAAACAGAAGTTATATAGTCCAGCTTTGCCAACTATGCTGCAGAATAGGTAACACTCGGGAATCGCCACATCATATCCCCCCTCGAATGTGGCGGTGGATAAGTTGCTGAATGGCACGTAGCCATGAACGTATCATTGGTTAGGTAGAGGCTGGAGCCAGTCACCAATTTTCTCAATGACCTTTGACAGACCAAGGCAAAAATTAACTACATTCCAGGCAGGGGATGGGGTGTCAGTATCCAAAGGGGGTGTGGTCATCCAAGGGGGTTCGTCTGTATCAGTCCTCTGTATAAATCGAGCAATATTCCCGTAGTAATTCAATAGGGATTCATTAGTTCTGACTATTTTGATGTTGCTAAGGATTTAATCCTCCCAATTTCCCTTGGAGAATAGGAATGCAACGAGGCTTTTCGCAGCTATGCCCGACTTCGACACGTCTCCTAAGGCGTGCAGACACGAGAATGAGATAGTCAAAGACGAGACTAGCGGCCGCGGGTCGATATCAAGCACAGGTAAAGCAGAACTAGGAGAGATCGAAGAGACCAGAAATGGTCAATTCCATCGGTCCTTCTCACCTCGTCAGGTCCATGTGAGAATCCACTAGAAGATATGAGACACTGTGTATTACAAGCGTCTAACAATCTAGTAAGATTATTTCTTTAGGCTCCAACATCGGAAGTGGTGTCTTCATCGCTACCGGCAAAGCCCTAGCCATCGGTGGGCCGGGTAACATGATTATTGCCTACACTATGGTGTGCACTTGTGTTTGGGCTGCCCTGCAGTCGCTCTCGGAGATGACAATTGCATTCCCGGTTTCTGGGAATTATATCGACTATGTAGATCGTTGGGTTGACCCGGCCCTGGCTTTTGGCGCAGGATTTGCCGAGTGGCTTGGTATGTGGTTAAATCCGATAAAGACACAGTCTCTTGTGCTAACCAAAGCAGGATGGACGGCTATTGTTGCCTCTGAAGCAGGATTTTTCAATGTTTTGGTTCAGTATTGGGCTGGGGGATCCTTGCCATTAGCCGCGTCGAGTAAGCAGACACACTTATGGCCTTGGAATTGGGATGATGTTTCTAAATATTTCTAGTTACAATATTCTTGGTCGCTTGTCTAACGATATTCGCTCTGCCGAACAAAGTGTTTGCTTGGTTTGAATATGCAACATCGCTCATCAAGATTGTGATATTCCTCATCATCATTTTACTTTCCCTAGCCCTCGTTCTGGGTGCTGGACCCAGCGGCTACGTCCATCATGGAGACACCTGGACTACACTTCCTCCATTTCTGAATGGCTTCACGGTACCTTAAACCGATTCTAATCTTTAAGTTGTTTTACTTACAATCATAGGGATTTGCAAATTGCGCACTCCTTGCGGTCTGGGCTGTTGGTGATCAGGTATTCATTGGGATCATGGGAGGAGAAGCCGAAAGCCCGCGATACTCGATGGCTCATGCCACAAAGCTTGTGCCGTTCCGGGTCAACTTCATCTACGTGGTCAGTGTTGTGTTCATCACAATCTTGGTCCCGTCGGACGACGATCGTCTCCTAGGAGGTAGCGGTGTTGCCGCCTCGCCCTTTATCATCGCAGTTCAGGATTCTGGCATCCCCGGGATAGCTTCAATCTTGAACGCCGGAATGATTTGTGGTGTTGTCGCAATTTCTGCTGAGAGTGTTTATCTCTCGTCTAGAGTGCTGAGGACTATGGCCCATCAGAATCTCATCTGGGAACGCCTTGCTAAGGTGGATTCCAAGGGACGTCCACGATTGGCATTGATCATCACATGTGTCGTCGCTGTTGTTTTGTCTTACATCCAACTTGCTGGTAAGCCACTTCGAAGTCTTGACCTAGTTATGATTGATAAAAATGACTAATGACATAACACAGCTGGTGGCCTCACCGTTCTGAACTGGTTGATCTCGATCACTAGCGCTTCCTTCTTCACCAACTGGATTATTATGTCCTTCGTCAATTGGCGCTTCCACGGTGCACTGGAGGCACAACATGACCCGCTTTTCACCGAGATTTACGCTTGGAGATCATCTTGCTGGCCACTTGCACCAGCATGGCTTACGCTTATCTCTGTATTCCTGTTGGTTTGCTGTATCCTCTCGGGCATTGAACAAGTGGTAAGGCCATTCACTATCCTTTACTGTTTGCTTTCAAAGGGTCCCATGGCTAACATTCATCAAGGGTGGGTCTGGCTTCAGTGCGTCAAATTTCTTTCAGTATATGCTCGGATTTCTGATAATCGCCGGCTTCACTATCGGATACAAGATAATTCACAGGACTCCCTTGAGGGATCCAAAAACAGCAGACCTGAAGACTGGTCGACGTCCGTTGTCTGTTCATGAGATTAACATGCTGGACACATACTACAAACAGCCGGCATGGAGGAGATTTTTCACTTATGTTCAATTATGGTAGTGTGGCAATATTTCAGCTATCGTGCGTGGGATAGGAACCAATCGTCCCGCATCGGAATATGTATCATATATTGAGAGATGTAAGAAGATGCACGATGGGCATTGGGGCAAATAACAAGGAAGATTGAAGATAGAGAGGATGCCCGTGATTAGCAAAGTGAGAGGATATATGGGAGGAAGGTATTGTTTGGCTTATGTGTAATAGGCTGGTGCTCCCGCTCTTTGTGAACCAGCCTCACTTTTTGCGGAGCATAATCGGGAGTACGGGACACGGGTTCCGGCTTCCGGGGAGAAGCGCGGCAGCGCCTCAGCTGCGCCTGCATAGCCGGGCATCACGAGACTGGTTAGGCTCCAACAGGGTAATAGAACTTTTGATTGAGGGAGGTCCTCAGGCCGAACTCCTGGCCGAAGTAGACAAACATGAGGCCGATCGTTGATTGGTTCGGTGACCGGTGTGGGGCCGTAGCCCATTCCCCCCACCGATGCAGAAAAGCGACAATCGACAATCGACGAGCATCTCTTTCTCTCACTCTTGTCATCGTCGTTCTTTTTTTTTTTTTCATCCACCGCAGCAATTTATCTCTCATTGAGATTGATCGTTGACGATGGAATCAGCCACGGTGGGCAGCGATGGCTGTGCCTATCGACCGCGCGGATATCAGCTCGAAATGCTAGAAGCTAGCCGCCAAGAAAACATTATCGTGGCGGTATGTCCTTTCCAAATTATGTTTAACATTTTTACAATATTAACAGTATTTAGATGGATACTGGGAGTGGCAAGACTCATATGTTCGTGATAACCTTTGACCTATCATCGTCGGCGCTTTCCCTAACCTTCACAGTGCCATCCTGCGGATCATCGCCGAGCTTGAAAGCAGTGCTTCTGGAGATAAGGTGATTGAGCCTATCTATTATTGGTATTTACTCTGGCTTATATGCGTGACAGATCATGTGGTTTCTTGCCCCGACTGTGGCATTGTGTCTACAACAACATGAGGTCGTCTCTAGCCAGATCCTCTCGGTCAAGACCAAAGTTTTAACGGGCCTTGATAATGTTGATCGTTGGACCGATCAGAATACCTGGGACAAAGTTCTCAAAGATGTTCGGGTCGTTGTTTCTACATACGCCGTCCTTGCGGATGCTTTGAGTCATGGATTTGTCAAAATGTCTCGACTTGCTCTTCTGATCTTTGATGAGGGTACGTGACACGTCTTGTTACATCTCCAACTTCGGACTAATATACTTTATAGCCCATCACTGCACGCGTGGTCACCCAGCGAATAAGATCATGCAGAACCACTACAACCATGCCCTGTCGACGTTAGGTCCAGACGCTGTACCTCGCATCTTGGGTCTCACTGCTAGTCCAGTGGTCCGATCAAGCGCGAAAGAACTTCAGTTAGTTGACTGACAACCCACTTTTGGCAACCGCTGACAATGCCCCCTAGATTGATTGAAGGCAACTTACACGCTGTGTGTAAGACACCACGGGTGCATCGCACCGAGCTGTTAGAGCAAACACATCGTCCCCATCTGGAGCGTGTCAGCTACCCTCATTTCCAAGAAGAGGGATCCGGCAGGGAGAGCCGGCTACTCCCCCCCCCTCATGAGCTGTTGTGCCTCATATCAGATCGAGGATGACCCGTGGGTCGAGTCACTGCGGGCACGGGGAAAGACTGCGGAGCTGCAGATGACAATCGAAACAGGAAAAACCTTCTGCAGCGAGCAGTTAAAGACCTTTCTAGCTCGCAGTTGGCACATATATGAGGAGCTAGGAGGTTGGGCCGCAGACTACTTTATTGGCGCTTCGATTGATCAGCTTCAACGTTCAATTCAGGATACCCCGGACATGTCACACATGGACCGCATGGAAAGGGTTTACCTATTGGAGCTACTGCTCGAAATGCCCACCTCTGATCTAATTGAAGAGAATACGCACATTTCGACCAAGGTCGGAGTGCTTCTCGACAGATTGGAGAAGTTGGACAGGCCTGATTTCTCCGGGCTCATATTCGCCAAGCAAAGGGCAACTGTCAGCGTCCTGGCTCGCCTCTTATCCCAACATCCCAGAACCAGGGATCGCTTCCAGTGCGCCGCGTATGTTGGTTGGTCGAGCGATAGAAGCCGCAAGGGTTGTCTTGGCGACTTACTTCACAGGGATATGCAACGCGATACTCTGGAGGAGTTCAAGGCGGGTCGCAAGAATCTCATAGTTGCAACCGATGTTCTTGAAGAAGGTATTGGCATCAGCGCGTGCAGCTTGGTAATATGCTATGACAAGCCCGCCAACCTGAAGTCCTTCATTCAGCGGCGTGGTCGTGCTCGCCACAGAGAATCGACCTACGTGGTGATGATCTCAAGTGGGGACGAGGAAATCGGGCTCCAGAAGTGGCAGAATCTTGAAGACGCCATGGTCAAGGCTTACCAGGATGACGAGCGACATCAGCGCGCGGCCTTAGATCTTGAAGCAGTCGATGAGAGCGTGAAAGAGTCACTCTGGGTGGATAAGACCAAGTAAGGCAATCTCGACCTGAATTCAAATTGCGATTTGACTTCTGATGAATTATGGACTGACACTCTCTCACAGTGCTCTGTTAACCGCTGACGACGCAATGCAGCATTTACTTCACTTTTGCGCTGTCCTGCCAAAGGCCGATTATTCCGACAACAGGCCAATGTTTGGCTTCGAAGAAAACACCGCCGGTTTGATTCGAGGTGAGGTGATTTTGCCAAACTCTGTGCATCCTACGGTTCGACGAACCGCCGGCAAATCTTGGTGGCGCACAGAGCAAGCTGCCAGAAAGGAGACCGCCTTCCAGGCATACAAAGCTTTGTATGCCTATGGATTGGTCAACGACAATCTCCTGCCACTGACAAGAAAGCCAGAGTTAAGGTTTACAGAACAAACGAATCTTCCAGCCATTGTGGATGGTGCTGAGCAGTACGATCCATATGTGGACCTCGCCCAAGGCCGGGCCTCAGGTCAACTTTGTCAAACTCGCCTCAATATCTACAGACATGGCCATGTGGATAATGACTTTGCCATATCCATGATTTTGCCAAGGATGACGCCCTTGCCGGATCCCATTCCTCTTTATTGGGACCCCGAGACGACATTGAATCTCACCTTCGAACCGCAAATAACGGATTTTGTGGCGCCAGTGGAGACATTACGGCAAATGGAACGAACCACTGCCCTGTATCTACAGGCCCCTAGCTCGCGCCGACTGGGAGAGGAGCGCGACTTCGTCACTCTCTTTGTCCCCGATATCCCCCACGAGCAACTGGGGGAGTGGCTTGCTCGATATGAAGGGAACGAGCCCGCAATGGATGTATACTTGCGGGACCCAAATTTGCCGCCAGTGGGTATAGTTCGTGACCACTCCAAATACGGCGAGCCCCGCACATTCAACCGCTGGATTGTTCCAGCAAACGTCTCAAAATCGTCACCTATTGAGATCGAGTGTTCGCCCCTGCCGCGTCGACGGAACTTACTGCAAATCCGTTCCTTGGCAGCAGCTGAAGATGGAGAGGGAGAGACCCTGAAGAAGGCTCACTCTATTCCTGCTGCGGCGTGTACCGTCGATAAACTCCCAGCGAAGCAGGCTGTCTTTGGACTCTTCGTATCCGCCATTCTCGATCGACTGGAGGCATCACTGGTTGCGCACCGGTTAAACGATACGGTTTTGAAAGGCGTCGGGATCCAAAACATTTGTCATGTCATCACGGCCATCAGCGCTCCCATCGCACAGGCGCGGACGAATTACCAAAGATTCGAGTTCTTTGGTGATTCTGTGCTAAAGTTTACCGTCAGTTGCCAGCTCTTCCTGCAGAACACCACTTGGCATGAAGGGTATTTGTCAGAAAGTCGCGATAAGCTCATTCAGAACTCTCGCCTTGCCCGCTCAGCTCTGGATAACGGCATCGATGCCTTCATTCTCACAAGCCGCTTCACGCCCCGCAGATGGACTGCACCTTTGATCAGAAACAAGATGGAGCCATCCACAGCCACGAGAAAGCTATCCATCAAGGTCCTGGCAGACGTCGTTGAGTCTCTTATTGGCGCCGCATACATAGACGGCGGTATCCGAAAGGCACAGGCCTGTCTTCATCGCTTTTTACCGGAGATCAATATGTTCACAAGCGACATCTCATCCACCATGATCCCGCCTGGAGGTGCCGCGAGCGGCCTCATCAACCCCCACAGATTAGCTGGTCTGCTGGGCTACACATTCAAAGAACCGAGACTATTGACAGAAGCGCTCACGCACGCATCCTGCGAGTACGACATGACAACACAATCCTACCAACGCCTCGAGTTCCTCGGCGATGCTGTTCTCGACATGGTCGTGATGGCAGTGATAGCAGCCCACCCTGTCGAAATGGACCAAGGTCCAATGACGCTGCTGAAACATTCCGTTGTCAATGCAAATCTTCTCGCGTTCTTCTGCATGGAGCTCAGGGCCCCCGATGAACCAACCTACGTCCCTCAATCCTCCCGCAGGGGCAGCTATACCGTCCCCCTCTGCGATCGGATCTATCTGTGGCGTTTCCTCCGGTCACATGGTCCGAGTATCGAGATCGCTCGCACAGCATGTCTCGAACGCCATGAAGCACTTCGCGTTGAGATCGACCATGCCCTGAAACACGGAGACCAGTACCCGTGGGAACTCTTCACTCGTCTCCGACCCGACAAGTTCATGTCGGACATCGTTGAAAGCATCATAGGCGCGATTTTCGTCGATTCCGGCGGTGACCTTGATGTGTGCCATGCATTTGTTGAGCGAATCGGACTAGTCTGGTACATCCAGCGAGCCGTCGCCGACGGGGTCAATGTCGTGCACCCGCGCAACATCGCCCAGGACATGGTAAAGGGTGTGGGCACGTTGGTGTTCAGACGCAAGAGGATCGAGGTCAAGGGCGTCCCCGCTACATACCGGTGTTCGGCGGTGGTAAATAAGGTCGAGATTGCGGCTGTGGAGGGCTGTGCTTCCGCTGAGGAGGCCGAGGTCAAGGTTGCCAATGCAGCCATTGAATACTACAAGATGAACCCACCACAGAAGCCTCAGCCGCCGCAGAAGCCTCAGCCGCCACAGTGATCTCGGTAAGACTGGATTGGGAGCTCCGGCTCTCAGGGATTTTTAGCATCTCGGTTTCACTTGCTCGCTTTTGTTTCTCTTAAGATACCAACGATAGTTTTGAAATGAAAGATCATTTGATTGAACACCTTGAATACCCTAAACAGCAATGTATCCAATTGCCTTTCGAAAATACAGTAGTTGGACCTAATTCACTCCGTTGCCCTGCATCCCTATCTGTTGCGCGTAGACCGCCGCAGAGGCTCGGGACTGGATTCTCCCTCCGTCTGACCCTCCGCCTCAGAGCTACCTGAAGCCACTTGTTCCTCCTCACTCGATACCATCACACCCTCCTCCATACCCTCCGAAGACGGGGCATCCGCATCCTCACTCGACATAGGCTCCGAAGCACCCGCAGCTGGCACCGCATCCTGGCGGAGACTACTGAGAATCTTCGTTGCCTCGCTCTCCACACCATTCCAAGCTCCACAGCTCCCGCAACGCCAGCGGCCCAGCTCTTCCGGTGTCTTGATTCCAGGGGGAGCCTGGCCGTTCACAAGACGGCACTGGCTGCAAATCATAACCATCCTGTTCCGAGGCTGGGTTTCATCTTCTCCCAGCAGCACGTCCAATAGACGGTCATACCAGTGTGCCTGTTCGATGTATTCGCCGTTCTGCGGGAATGCATTCGGTGCAAAGTTGGATTGCTCGGTAGCAGGTTGGGGCGGGAAAGGAGGCGGAATGGAGGCGGGTTGCTGTGGCGTTTGCGGGCCCAGCTCGAGGAGAGGAGACGGGGATGGCGGGTTGTTGGGCGTTTTCGGTGCGGAGGGCGGACGGCGGATATTGGCTGTGGGCGGCGGTGGGAGACCGGTGCGGGCCACGAACTGTGGCTGCTGCGTGGGTTTGCGCTTCTCGGTGTCCTGCCCCTTGGGGTTTGGTGAGGGCTTGGGAGACTCGCCGCCGTACTTCTCGAGTAGTTGCTGGGTGGAGTTGTACTTGGTTGCGACCTTGAGCTTCTCGATGGTCTCCTCGCGCTGTTTGTGGTAGTCGTCGAGGCGGCGTTGAATGCGGGAAATTCGGTAGTCGAAGATTTTGGAGCTGGTTTTACGCACGCCGAATATCCTGTGGCAGACAAACGAAATGTTAGTGTTGTCTCAAGTATGTGACGTAAGGCAACGTACAGGACTGGCCCGCCCGCGACGGCGGCATATTCTTTGACTCCCCAGCTCTCCCATCCTAGAATCAGAGCGAGAATGATGGAGTAGAATAGGTAGGCGAATGTTGAATAGAGGGTCCAGAGCGCCTTGAATCGCCGCGAGGACTGACGTTGTTGGTCGAGTCGCGTGGTGTCTTGGGTGATCTTGGTGGACAGCGTGGACAAGGTCTTCTCGAATGAAGCTGCAGAGTTGTCGTCGCCCTAGGAGGGGTTAGTGAGAGTAGCGAGGAATCAATAATATGCTAACTCACCTTCCAGGGCCAGAAAGACACCATTATTGCTTCGACATGGTCTGCCTGGGAACTGCGGAGAAGCTTGACAGCTTGACCGATGAGCTGTAAGGACGGTGATGTGCACGGGCCACTTCGCTCTAATCTTGGAAGTCCTCGACCAAGTACACACCAACATCCAGTTACTACGTGAAAGATGTAGAATGTCTCTAGTAAAATGTATCATTCGTATTCATTTTGAAGTGAATGGACACTTTGGTCATCACTCAATTTACTTATTCTATTGGTCTGACCTCTATGCCTTGGCAAGAGTTTCTCCAAGCTCAGCAGCCCGGGAAGTAGCAGCCTTGACAGCCTTGTCTGTGATCTCCTTAAAGTTGAGAGCTTCAAAGGTCTGGAGAGCAGCATGCGTAGTACCATTGGGGCTGGTGACGTTCTTACGCAGTTGAGTCGGGCTGTCGGAGCTCTCAACCAGCATTTTGCCAGCACCGAGACAAGTCTGCGTAGCCAGACGCTTGGCTTGCTCTTCGGGAAGACCAAGAGCAGTGGCACTTGCAACCAAATGCTCAACCATGGCAAAGAAGTAGGCGGGTCCAGATCCTGTTCAGGCCAGATTAATACAACGTTGATGAAATGCCGCATGGCTCTCAGACTTTCAGAAAGGAAGCTTACCAGACAATCCGGTGACAACATCAAGCAATTCCTCACGGTCGACCCACTCGGAAGCCTTGCTAACGCTCCCAAGCATAGCATTGACAAGCTCTTTCTCGGCAGACGTCACATCAGCGCTAGCGAAGACACCAGAAGCACCCTCACCAACAAGGGCGGGAGTGTTAGGCATCACGCGAACAGTGTGCGCTGTACGTCCGTCGCTCGTCTTCAACCATCCCTTCAAGCTGTCAAGAGTGATACCAGCAGCGATGCTAACGACAACGGGTAGAGTCTCGCGCGGGGACCAGGCGTTGCCGAGCTCCTCGCACACACCCTTGGTGACTTGGGGCTTGACGGCGATAATTATCAGATCGGCATCACCGCCAGCCTCGACGTTGGAGGTGGTGGTGCGCACTCCGAGAGCGGCAATCTTTTCGCGGTTGACATCCCACGGCTCGGAGACGCAGATGTTTTGCTTGTTGACGCCTTTGCTGACTAGGCCGCCAATGATGGCGGAGGCCATGTTGCCACCGCCGATAAAGGCCAATTTGCTCTCTTGAAGGGACGGCATTTTATAGATATGATTGGGTGATGCTGTGTTGTTGGTTTGACCTGGAGTAACTTGGGGAAGTCCCGCACTTATGCGAAATCTTGTGTGGGGCACGTTATCGGTCACCGGCCCGGTCCACAGGCATCGACAGGAGGTCGGTTCTGCCTTTGCCTCTCATATCTGGGGTACACCACTTGAAACTTAGAACAACGGTAGCGAGTTCTACAAGTGTCTGAATCTACGTATTTCTGGATGGCGAAAGGATGTAATTTCAAGGCTCTTCCAAGGTTAATCATAGTACAATTGCAAATAACCATATTTCCAACAACGACCGACGCGAAAAGCAAAAGATTAAACATCAATCATAACTCGTGATAGTGTACAGGGTATCATTTAGTAGACACGGTGCAGACGGCTCCCACGTCCATCAGTGCCGTGCATGCGGCGGGTTCCAGCAGCCTTGTGAGAAAGTGTTAGCTGGAAATCCGAGTCATACTCATACTAGAGGTATGGTGTCCTTACCTTGACAGCAGGTCGATGAGTCAGGCTTCCTTTCAGCCTCAACATGGCACCGGAGAGTTTGTCGCCAAGGCTGGGCTTGCGCCGGCGAGTGTGAGTGGCAGTGGTGGCCCCATGGTGTCTCCGAGTGCTGAATCGGCTGCCCCCAGTAGGACCCGTACGGCCGGTATGGCGGGTACCTGAAGCAGTGACTGTCGGGTGTGTTGTAGTTGTGGTTTTGACAGTGCGTGATTTCGCATTTCGGCCCTTGAGTCTGGTCATCAGAGTGGGCTTGGTGGTGCGAGTGACTGTAGTAGCAGGGCGGCGTCGGTGAAACATTGTGATAGATTGACGAGGGTTGTCTGGATTGGAGTTTGGTTTAAGATGTTGTAGGTAGTATGATTTGTATTGAGTGACTTGATATAGATTTGAATGGTGAACGGGAAATCAAGGTCTTTAAATAGGCAGTAGCGAGGTGATGTGTTTGTCCACTGCCTTTGTTCATTCCGATATGGGCTGAACAACGGTACGCCATCGCATTGTCTTCGCCCATAGAATGATATTGGATGTTGACGAAGAGGCGCTCAGCCGGCACGTCATCCGAAGGACGATCTTTCTAAACGCTCTCCAGTTAGCTCGCGCAAGTCGCACAAGCCACACGTCAAGAAATCTACCCAGAATAACAACGCGTGCTATTGGTTGCTTGCGCGCGTGGACCCCCAATAAGGGTAGGGGTTTATATTAACCCTACGTCTGGATGATGACAAAAGGAACAATACCTTGATGGGGTGAAATACAGATTGTGCAACGTGCCCAGTTTGTTGTTGACCCGTGACGATTTGTCTTCACATAGAATGACGTCACTCGTTGCTACAGGTCTGTGCTCCAGATTCCAACCTGAGGCAGAGAGGTCCCAAGGCGGAACTGAACGGCAATATCCATACCTCAACATCTCTGCCTCAGTTAGATGCTGAGATACTCATGGAAATATGATGCAGTGTGAATTGACTGAATTCAGGATGAAGAAACAATGTATGCAGATCGTATTGATAAAAGGGAGCATGGATGACGTTCATAAAGATGCTGAGAATATCGAAAAAAGCTTTACTGAGCAAAGCTCCGAGACAGCTAGATCAGCTGATTCAACCCCTTCTCCGGAACAACAGTCTTCGCCAGTTCAACAAGCTGTCTCTCCGCAGGTTGCAATTCAACAAAAGTTCGCTGCTTGCGGACTGTGTGATCTCACGACTTGATGACACACTGATCTAGCTGTCTCGGAGCTTTGCTCAGTGAAGCTTCTTTCGATGTTCTCAGCATCTTTATGAACGTCAGCCTCCCATTTCAAAAACCAGTTAACGTGAGTCAGTAGGGTACATGGAACTCAGGATCACCTGAGAGGCCTAGGTGTTGAGACCTCAAAGACTGAATGAACATGCAAACTCTCTGGCCTGGGCCCTGATCTGCACTATCGATAAATAGCTGCTTCTAGCCAGCTGCGTTTGGGAACCTAGTCTTGTGGGTCCTCGCAAAGTACTCAAATACGACGCTCGAATCCTGCGGCTTTTGCGGTACCCAACGAATTTTGGGTTTCGAGTTTCGACACGTTCTTCAGCTCAGATTTGAGGCCCCGCAGCAAAAGTACGGAGATCCCGATACCCCTCACCTGTGCCAAGCCGAAACTATTGAGAATCTGCGCTAGATCGCGGGGGAAAGCAAATATGCCACGGAATATGCATCCAAGAAGGCGATCTGGCGAATGATATGTCTTATCATCGAGACACATTCTGCAGTCTGCGGCTGAAGCCCAAGGATTCGATTCCTCAGCCGATGGCACATGGGGATGACTACCTGCAGCTCCTTCTCAATGAAATCTTATAAATCGGTGGCTCCCACCCAGGGCTCCGGGGGATACTCTTCCAGACTGCACACCCTGTGTCAATTGAAACTCGGAGGTTCTCAATATGACTAAAACCACTGCAACCGGACAAACATTGGACTTCTCCGTGAGTCCCTCTCAATCCTTTCACAATCGAAAACCAAGACTCACACCCAATTGGACAGACATATAGCAATGTGATCAACAATCAGTTGACCACGACATCGGAAACCCGGACTGGAATCAACCCTGCCAACACGAAGCCTAATCCACCGGTACCCGTTTCGACCCAGAAAGATGTCGACAATGCCGTTGCGGCAGCTCGAGCTGCTTTCAAAGGCTGGTCTAAAACTTCATTTGAAGAGCGACGCAAGGCCTTGCATGCCTATGCCGATGCACTTGACGCCAATGCCGATGGATTCGCACAAACCCTCACGATGGAACAAGGAAAGCCATTGACTCAATCATCCGTGGAGGTTGGAATGGCAGGTATGTGGGTGCGCGGCCTGAGCTCGATTGAGATTGCCGACAAGATTCTTGAATCAACCACGGAAAGAATGATCGTTCAACGCCATACACCTCTCGGCGTGGTAGGAGCCATCGTGCCCTGGAACTTCCCCGTCCTTTTGGCCGTGGGTAAGATAGCCTCTGCCGTGTACACTGGAAACACTGTGATCGTCAAGCCATCTCCGTTTACTCCTTACTGTGGATTGAAGCTGGTTGAGCTTGCAGCCAAGTTCTTCCCTCCAGGCGTGGTACAGTGCCTGAGTGGTGATGACACTCTTGGCCCGATGTTCACTGAGCACCCTGAGATTGATAAGATCAGCTTTACTGGATCTACTCTCACCGGAAAGCGGGTTATGGCTTCGTGTGCTAAGACTCTCAAGCGAGTGACGCTTGAGTTGGGTGGCAATGACCCGGCGATCATCTGCGACGATGTTGACATTGACGCCATTATTCCCAAGATTGGAATTCTCTCGTACCTCTGCAGCTCGCAGATCTGCATGATGATCAAACGGCTATATGTTCATGAGAAGATCTACGATCAGTTCCTGGAAAAGTTGGTCGCGTTTGTGAAGACTCTGAAAGTCGGCGCGGGCACTGACGCAGATACCTTCTTCGGGCCCGTTCAGAACCAAATGCAGTTTGACAAGGCTAAAGACTTGTTCAGCAGCATCTCGACTGAGAACTTGAAGGCTGCTCTTGGTGGCTCGATTCAGGATTCCACCGGATACTACATCCACCCGACTATCATCGACAACCCCCCAGAGACATCGCGGGTGGTGCAAGAAGAGCCTTTTGCGCCTATCCTACCGGTCATGAAATGGTCCGATGAGGACGATGTCATTGCGCGTGCGAATGCACTTGAGACCGGATTGGGCTCTTCTGTCTGGAGCAAGGACTTTGGGCGCGCAAAGCGCATCGCAGATCAACTCGAGTCGGGCATCGTGTGGGTGAACAGCCACTTCGATGTGTTGCCGAATGTGCCATATGGTGGTCACAAAAACAGTGGCATGGGGGTGGAATGGGGACTTACTGGGCTCCTTGGATACTGCAATTCGCAGACTCAGTGGCTGAAGATGAGTCCCTAGTTCTTAGTTAGTTCAGTATCAAGAGGAACAACCCCGCAATGCTCAGTTTCAACGCCGTCTCCACCATGCCCGTAACGATCGGATGTCTCCACTCCCCGATCCTATGTCTTTACCTAAAATTATGCAAATCCGTAAATTTATGTATCTCGTTATCTTATCACATGCCAATGAACATGCCCCTCAATGCGCATCATCTCGTACATCGGCCGGCTCCGCTGCAGGGTTCGTCCCGCTCAGTGGATATTGTGTTATCTGGTGCATATAACGCCAGGGCCTTCCCGGCGGAATTTCCAATTACTAGGACCCAACACCGGTAAGAAGACTAGATCATCACGTCAGACCAACCACTAGATCCACCATGCTGTACACTCATGCCACTATTGTGACAGTGGATGCTTCCCGCCGCATCATCACTGACGGAGCCATCCGAGTCATCAACGATTCAATCGCAGATATTGGAAAGACAAACACCCTCAAAGAGAAGTATGCCACCAACGAGGAGTGCGATCTCTCAGGCCGAATTATCATACCCGGGTTGATCTCAACCCACATGCACACAGCCCAGACCCTGCTGCGAGGCACAGCAGATGACCTGGAGCTCGTATCATGGCTATGTGAGAGAATCTGGGTTCTCCAGGGGAATTTCACGGCGGAAGATGGGTATGCTGCAGCACGACTGAGTATCGGAGAGATGCTCAAGTCAGGGACTACCTGCTTTTTGGAAAGCATGGTATGGTAATCCCTTGGGAAATCAGGCCTCCTCACTTCATGCTGATAGATGTGCAGTTCGCAGATCGATATGGCTTCGATGGGCTTTGTCGCGCTGTTGAAGAGAGTGGGATCCGTGGTTGTCTAGGCAAGATCGTCATGGATATTGCGAAATATGCCAAAGATGATGCGTGGGCTATGCATCCCGGTCTCGTGGAGAATCGGGAAACCTCATTGCTTGGGACTGTTCAGATGTGGGAGAAGTGGAATGGTGCGGCCGATGACAGGATCAGAGTCTGGTTTGGTGCCAGGACCCCTGGAGGGTATGAAATGACACTGTGTGCATGAGGTCGCTTGCTAATAAATTATTAGTGTATCGGATGGACTTTATAAGGAAATGACTGCTATTTCCAGAGAAAGGGGTATACCGATTACCATGCATTGCGCTGAGGTCCAAGCCGATCGTGACTTTTTCGCCTCGGTCTCGCATACCCCGATGTCCTACTGTGATTCGGTTGGACTGCTAGGCGAATCCACAGTCCTTGCTCATATGGTTCATTTGGACGACTCGGATATCAAGTGAGTTGCTGAGCATTTGGGCTGCTGCAAAAGGCTAACGCATCTGAAGGCTGCTCTCTGCTTCCGGGACGCATGTCGCCCATTGCCCGACGTCCAATGCCAAGGTAAGTTGTGACCATCATACTCTATGGTTCTGACCGCTAAGTGAAATCAATGATTCCTAGCTCGCCTCTGGAACCTGCAGGGTTCCTGATCTCCAAACTGCTGGAGTCAACATCGGTCTAGGTACCGATGGCGCCCCGTGTAATAACACCTGTGATCTGCTACAGGAGATGAAGCTTGCCGCTATTATTCACAAAGGCATTTCACAGAACCCTACCGTGGTCCCTGCTGAAAGCGTGCTGGAAATGGCTACGGTAAATGGTGCCAAAGCGTTGGGCTTGGATAGCCAGATCGGTAGCCTGGAGGTTGGAAAGAAGGCTGACTTTGTGGCTCTTGATGTTCGCGGGATTCACACTCAGCCTTGGTTCAACCCCGTCAGCGCGGTTGTTTATACCGCAACAGCGCGGGATGTCGATGTTGTTGTGGTGAACGGCAAGATTGTTGTCCGAAACGGGGCACTCTTGACGATGGACGAGGAAGAAATAGTGAGTGAAGCACAGAAGAGAAGCAAGGAAGTTGTGGAAAGGGCTGGGTTGGCCAAGAAAGTTGAGGGCCGTTGGCCAGTTGAGTGATGGGTGACGGCGTAATCGAGTTGTGCGTTTTATTTATGAACACCATCTATGCAGTAAATTGGGCTATGTACACGTCTATAATCCAGATTATTCCACATAACATCGCTATTTGAGCCATCAAGATGTGAGATGCTCATAGCAGATCACGCAGCGCTTCACCCAAAGCCATGATGGCCATGGCCTGTCCATAAGGCATCGAGGTCAATGGAATCTTCTTGTAAAAGTCAAGAGAATCACCCATCCCTGTGCCAAAGCTGGTATTCTGCAGTTCACCCTGTTCATCCACGTACCCCAACACCGCAGCGATGGCTTTCTCAGCGACGGGTCGGTACTGGGCACCAATGTATCGTTTCCGGGCCGCCTTGAGGATGCCATAGGCAAATCCCGCGGTCGCAGAAGCCTCCAGGTAGGAGTCTGGATGGTCAAGTAGGGTGTGCCACGCGCCAGATTCCGACTGCAGACGCTGAAGAGCCTCACACTGCGCCTCTAGGGTATCAATCAGGTGCAGGCGAATGGGATCGTTTGGCTGGAGCTCGAGCAACTCGATGATCTCGGGGATGACAATGGTGACCCAGCTGTTACCACGCGCCCAGCGCGCATTTGCAAAATTGTGTCCACCATCCTCGAAAGTCCAGCCGTGGAACCAGAGGCCGCTTTTCGCGTCGAAGAGATACTTGATGTGGATGAGGAATTGCCTCTTTGCTTCTTCAATATAGTGGGGTCTGTTCAGAAGCTTCCCGATCTTTGCAAGCGGCATGACTGTCATCATCAGAGTGTCGTCCCAGAGCTGCTGGTAGTTCTCTGTGAGATATGTTATGTGCTGCATGCCACCGTAGCGCGTGCGCGGAAGGTCGTGCATCGCCCACTCAGCCCAGGCATCGAGCCACGGCAGATAGGTGGGATTTCCGGTCTTCTCGTAGACATATGCCAGTGTCAAAAACGCCGCCATCGTGTTGATGTTCTTGGTAGTGCCTCCTTCAGCAAAGCGTGCTGCGAACCAATCTTCGATGATGCGCAACAATTTCTCGTCGCCTGTCATCTCATAGTATTTCCACACGCCGTACAGTCCAATTCCGTGTGTCCACTCCCAACCGTGCCATGACTTGGTGTCGATGATGCGACCATCAGCGAGCGGCATTAAAAAATTTCCTGTCTCATCTTTGATGTTGACCAGGTTATTGATTAGCAGATTGATGGCCGTGTGAAGTTCGGGGCCCGTGGGCTTAGCGGAGGACATTGTGATGTTGGAAGAGCGATTGTCGATAATCGGCGAATGAAGTTCTTCACTTCTCGATTTTTGTCCGGAGAACAAAACAATATTATGTCGCGACTCCCTCAAAGCTCCTCGATGCAGCCAAGATAGCTAAGAAATCTTCCACAAATAAGGTCTGAAGGAAGACGCCACAAAGTGTCCCCCGCCGGACTAAGCGTGACTCGGGTGAATGACGCCCGAGAGTTAAAGGAGAGACATGCAAAATTGCATTCATTCAGGCCCACTGCAGTAACTAACTTGGTGGCTCCCAACCCTCGGGCTAGTGCATCCCCGGACTCCCCCGCCTGGGGAAATAGCCAGCCGCTAGCGTGCTGTCTCCTCCTTTGCCAAGAAAACCGGGGAAGGAAGAGATCAAGACGAAGCAGACTACTGGACAGGCTGGACTTGCTGCACAGTTTTGACTCCCAGTTCAATGGGTACGGGCTGTTAATGTCAAGCCACATGGCACTTGCACTCGGTTAATGATCTTCCATCTGCCTCGAGTGGTTTTGAAGGCGGGCCGCGTGCATGCTCCTGACTCGAAAGGCCTGGGATAATATAAGACCTAGTGATCGCCCCCTTTCCCTTCCGTTCCCTCTCTTCTGGCGGCTGTGCAAAACTACGTTCTTGCACCAACCTCCTTTCATTTGCGACAATGGCCGGCAAAGACGATCCCCAGCCGGAGATTGCGGCAGTGCCCGTCGAGGAAGCCATTGAGATACCGCAACAACACCAAAGGGTTGACACGGGAGAGTATGAGAGCAAGCAAGACATTTCGCACGTCGAACAGGCCATCTCAGCCCCCGATGATCTCTCCAAGGACAACATGGATGTTAGCCGTGTCGACAAAGAAGTCCGAGCATATGCTGCTCATTCTCAGGTGGCAATCGACGAGGCTACTGATAAACGTCTCAAAAATCTGATCGATCGCCGTGTGCTCGTGATCATGATCATCACCTATTTCCTGCAGGCACTGGACAAGGGAACTATGTCGTTCTCTGCCATTATGGGAATCAAAACAGATGCGAACCTGGAGGATGGGCAAAAGGTATGCAGGACCTACATCGATTCCAATTACTCTTTGCTCGGCATGCTGACTCTTGCCGTATCAATAGTATTCCTGGTTAACCACGTGTATCTACATCGCTGTTCTCATTGTCGAGTATCCAACAAATTGGATCATCCAAAGAGTCCCAATCGGAAAGTACCTGGGCATCAACATCTGCCTCTGGGGTACGGTTTTGGCACTTCATGCAGCCTGCCACAACTTCGCTGGATTAGTGGCTGTTCGTACGCTGTTGGGTATATTCGAAGCATGCTGTCAACCTATTTTCGTGACTCTTTCGTCGATGTGGTATAGGAGAGAGGAACAGGCTGCAACGGTGACATACTGGTATGTGAACCTCTGTTTCGTTCGAAGGAAAGCACATCGGTCTGATGACAATATAGGTACATGATGAACGGTGCGCAGCAGATTGTCGGTGGCCTGTTGGCATACTGCTTCACCCTGATTGGGGGTGACAAGGTACTTAAGTCCTGGCAAGCATTGTTCATGACCTATGGAGTCATCTCTGTTTTCTGGGGACTCTTCGTCATTTGGTGGATGCCGGATTCGCCCATGCGTGCGAAGTGTTTCAGCGAGGAAGACAAACGCCTTATGGTCGAGCGACTCCGTGCCAACCAGACAGGTATCCAGAACAGGAAGTTCCGGTCATACCAAATGTGGGAGGCATTCAGCGATCCCCAGATGTGGTGCTATTGTGCTGTTCAGGTGTTCACTACACTTCCCACCAGCGGCCTGGGTGCCTTCTTCGGAATTGTCATTTCGAGCTTTGACTTCACCGTTCTGCAAACTCAGTTGCTGGCTATGGTTCTTGGTGTCTATATTATTGCAGTCCTTTTGTCATCTGCATGGCTGGTAAACAGATTCAAACAGAACACGATCGTGATGTTGTGCTTCATCATTCCGTATGTATCTCCGCTCTTCACCAACCTTGCACACGCAAACCACGCTAATACTTTCCAGGTCTCTCATTGGAACAATCGTCCTCATGACAGTCGAGAATACCACTTTAGCTACGAAAGTGGGACTTCTCATCAGTTACTACATCACAATGTCATTCTGGTCAGCGCAAACGCTCACTTTGTCCATGGTGTCACGAAATATCGCCGGCCAGACCAAGAAGGCCACTGTAGTCGCAGCGACATTCGTTTCATGGGCTACTGGCAACGCTATCGGTGAGTTTTTCATGTTCTTTCGTTAAGACATATCCCCGCTAACAAATGGAAAGGCCCTCAAGTCTTCCTTGATAAAGATGCCCCACGGTACCACATTGCCTGGAGTGTCCACCTGGCGTGCTACATCTGTATGATTCTCGCTGTCATCTATCTCCGCTTCCACCTCAAGCGCGAGAACGCAAAGAAGGACAAAATCGTAGCTGAGGCAGGGCTCAGTGCAGCCGACCCGAGTCTTGTTCATGCATTCGAGGACAAGACAGATCGCGAGAACTTGAACTTCCGCTACGTCTACTAGATACCCCTATATGGTCATTCTGATTGGTCTATGTTGTATGGTGTTTTATGTTGATTCCAATTATGTTAATGATCTCAACCCTGACTATAATTGCGTCGCTGACAATCTTTGGTCGATTTTTTACACGCAAAAATTCTTTTCGAAGGTCTGGATTGCACATAGTTCTTTTCCAGGCATTGCGATTATCCTGTTGAGATACTGCAATTGGAACTGATCTCCTGTATGTAATTGCAATCGGGACTTGGATCTGCGCCTGCGCGAACTCATCCCCGCATTTGTCACCGTTTATAAACCCCATGGGGCAACAGGGAATATCCTTGTATTCATTCTGATCTACTCCGTACCGATCTTGTGCAGGTGCATAAACATGGATCTCAAGCTCATCCATGCAAGGGGATTAACGGAATCAATAAGGCCGAGCCGTAGGCCGAGGCAAATCATTCTTCTGTTTTCAGCATGACAAGATCGAACTAGAGACACCTTCACGGAGTCGTCGTCTGGATGACGGCCATTGCATCCGTCTTGGCGCTTCGTAGCCGTTCCATCTCGATTGATGATTGATCTTGTGTCCCTTGTCAACCTAGATCATCCGATCGGAGAAAGTTCTAGTCTCATCTTTTACATGCCCATCTGCTTCCATTTAACACACATCAACTAACCAGAGATGTCTAGCTACTAGCTTCGACAAAAAGGCAAAGACTGAGTACTACTTGAGCACTCCACACCGGTTCAACTGCCCGCTGCAGGAGAGCGCCAAGGGCGCCTCTTGAGACTCCAGCGAGGCCAATGTGTCAGATTTGGAACAAGAATTGGTTCATGTGACTCTTCACCCTCTTTCATCTTTCTTTTCCTCTTGGTGGATTCGTATCCTGAACGATCTCGACACGGAGTGCAGCGCGACATGCGCTTGTGGCGTTGCAACTTTGGGCCTGGTGGCTTACTCCCCGTAGCGGTCCCCGTGCAGAATTACCACTCTATTTTTGCTAAATTCAGCTTCATATATCCGATTGGCTTCATTTCATGCCGTTGCAAGAGCCTCGGCCCAGGTTTCCAGTGATATTAGCAGGGACATACATCAGGGCAAAACAGACCATGCTGGTCTTGCGGACTATAAGTATGACCATTGTCTGCTCCCATCACCGAAAAAAGCGACAAGCTGAAACCTTCTGTCCTTCCACATCTTGCCTGACGGATCTTTGGAATCAAAGCTCAGTCAGATCTTATCTGTTACAATGAGTGCAAATGCAATCTATCGGCTTCTGGGCCCTGCTCTCTTCTCCACCATTGTTGCAGCCCATGGTCACATCTCGAATGTGGTGATCAATGGCGTATCCTATGCCGGATGGGATATCGGCAGCTACCCTTACATGGCTACACCCCCAACGGTGATCGCATGGGGCACCCCAAACACTTCCAATGGTTTCATTACTCCAGGTATGTGCAGCTCTGGTCTTTCATATATTGCCGATGTACCCCTGTCTAACTCAGTCGGGCCAGATGAGTATGGATCCACGGATATCATCTGCCATAAAGAGGCCACCAACGCCAAAGGCCACGCAGTGGTAGCTGCGGGTGATAAGGTCTTCCTCCAATGGACCCCAGAGTGGCCTTCGTCGCATCATGGACCTATCGTTACCTACCTCGCCAATTGCGGCACGGGTGGCTGCGAGACTGTCGACAAGACCAAGCTCGAATTCTTCAAGATCGACGGCGTCGGATTGATTGATGACTCAACTCCCCCTGGCACCTGGGCGGATGATGAGCTCATCGCCCAGGGCTCGGGATGGATGGTCGAGATTCCTCCCACTATTGCCCCCGGAAACTATGTCATGAGACACGAACTGTACGTTTTTCCTGCCTGGCTTCTAGAAACCCGACTCTAACCCAGTGGTAAAGGATTGCACTCCACAGTGCAGGCAGTGCAGGCGGGGCTCAGAACTACCCCCAATGCTTCAACCTTCAAATCACCGGCTCGGGAACAGACAAGCCCGCTGGCGTCGTGGGTACGAGCTTGTACAAGTCGACGGATCCCGGCATTCTCATCGACATCTACCAGTCACTGTCAACCTATGTGAGTGATTCCAAGTCTCCCCTCATTTCTTCCTCTTTGCTAATATCGTTTCTATCAGGTCGTCCCAGGACCTACCCTTTACAGCGGCGCTGTCTCAATCAAACAAGCCACCTCGGCAATCACAGCATCGGGCACGCCAGTGACAGGGGCCGGCGGTGCAGCTCCCACAGGCTCAACCACCAAGAGCACCTCAACTACACTGATCACTGTTCCAACCACTAGCACCAAGACAACGACTACTACGAAGACCACGACTACTGCTGCCGGTGGCGGTGGAGCCACTCAGACTGTCTATGGACAGTGCGGTGGTAACGGTTGGACAGCACCAACGGCCTGTGCGTCGGGTGCGGCCTGTTCTTCCCTGAACCCTTATTACTCCCAGTGTGTCCCAACTGGTGTTTGAGTTGTTTATAAGTTATTCGAGGCCGATGTGACCCTGATGCTGGATTCTGGATGCTGGATAGGTTGGAGGTATTCGCAGCGAATGACATTGTGTGTTGAAACGTCCTGCTTTCTCAAGTATATCGGTGTAAGCCATGTGATTCATTGGGGATCTTGAAGTTATTATCTACATAATTCTGTGGCCAACGGCGTTTTCGCCCCAGTCTAAAGACAACTCAGCAAACTGTCGAGTTTCTTTAGAACAATCCCCTGCGTCGTCGCATTGGCATCGCCTTTCGTATCGGCCATCCCGACCGAGATACTCGCATGGCACCCAGGCGTTAGCAACACCTCAAACTCAGTCGGCAACCTGGAACGACCACACGTAGTCACATCATCCGGGGTAATAAACGGAATCGCGACGTGAATGCGAGACAACACGAAAGAAAATTCCTCCGGTTTCGTACACGCGCTATCCGACACAGCGCCAAAGTTAACATTCAGCCAGATGCTGTTGGGTAAGTATGGCGTCCCAGCAGCAACGAGCTGGTTAGTTAAATTAGTTGCCAAATCGGCATAAACATTGCTGTAGTGGGGCCGCGAGACGTTCCATGCCGTCTGCGAACCGGAGGCACCGGAAAAGGCGATCGCGGGGATTCCAGCTTGAGCAGCGTAGACGGTAGCGCCGACTGTGCCGGAGAGATAGACTGCGAAGCCAATGTTGTTGCCGACGTTTGGGCCGGCGACGGCGAGATCCGGACGCCCGTTGAAGAACTGCGGGGCGCGACCGTTTATGCCCTCTTTCATCGACGTCGCTGGGTAGCTGTTTACCCAACCGAGTCGCGGCTTTTTCAGAAGGTTAGCTGCAGCTCTGCAGCGACTGGCGAAAGCGGGTATTGATACTGACCTCCGAAGCATTAAATCCTATTGCCGGGCTACCAGCTGGGCAGCTGTTGAACTCGCACGGGCCGGTCAAGGGGGTCGGGGTTCCTTGTTTTGACCCTATATCAAGATGTTAATGAAGTGTTTGACTGTCGATAAATGCATAAATGCATAACACACCCATGCCGCTCTGGTTTTCTGCGGGGGCAGACACTACAACCGAGTGCCCTGCGCCTCCGAGCGACTCAAACAGAGCGCGGAGGTTCGCTTCCGCCCAGCCATCATCATTCGATGAGATGATGTTCACTGCGCTTGCAGCGAGGGGGAATAATGCAAGGTGAAACCGCATGATCGAGGTGTTCGAGGGTCATCAAATGGCCGTTCAAGCCCAGGATTAAATGTCGCTTTTGTACCTATTCCCGGATGGCACGGGCCGGTGCATACACGCGTTGTTGTCGATCCCTTAGCTATGGAGCTGTCTTCGCAACACTAACGGCTCGGTTCGAATACGAAACCGATCGGCGAATTGAAATCCATGGATCGGCCACGGTCGTAACTCATAGGCGTGCAAAATTCGGGAAATTTTATCTTCTATGCATATGCAAACAAAGTAAAGACAAGGTTTTGCGACCGCGAGCGCGCGGTCTGCCTCCCCTTGTCGGTAGGACGAAAACGTTGTGATGTACGGTAGTAATCGTTGCACTACATAAGTTCATTGACAATCCGTCTTTATGTGCGCGACCACCTCGTCGAACACATCCGCCTGGCCTCATCTGCCCACTGTGTTCCTCGAATTCGGCCTCAGAGCGAGACCTATGTCCTATCGTAGGAGAACTCCTCGATATGCCCCACCAGGATCTGGCTCTGTATTATATCCATCAAGGCCTAGCCTATCCCGGGAAGACCATGGCGGAATGTGGCCTACAGGGACAACCATGAATGATCGGGAAGTTCAGCACAGACTACCTCTTCAATCCAGGAAGAATAGCAAAGCGTCTACGGAGTACCATTCTCAAGCCACAGTAAGAGATGTGCGTGGGAAAGGTCACGTTTCTGATACTCCACAACGTGGACTGTTGCATGATGTGGCCTTGCTGATCCTCGGCCTCGTATACTTCGGCTAAACAATTTAGCATCACCTCGTATGTCCCCTCAAGTTCATCACGCATAAAGGCAAAACCCGATATGGAAGGACTGCCTGATAGGTGTGAAACCAACCATGGCGAGTAATGGCATGTTATAGCAGTTGGTTTTGTAGGTTGAGTCCATGGAGATATGCCTCGGCGACATCGAGTTATCAACTTATCTCCATGAACTCAACTTACAAAACCAACTGCTATAACATGCCATTATGGCCACGGAAAAGTAGCATTGCAATTCTTCGGCGACATCTTCGGGTTAATAGCGGTGTCCGGATCTTCCTTATGCAGGATGATAAGAATCTGCTGCGTTGAGAGACCAAGTTTCCATCGCCTGGTCAATCTTAGGCTGCTTTCGCTTAAGCTCGAGGGCCCGTTGTGTAGGATGGGTTGACGGCGGCGATGGGTCGTGGTTATGCGATGGCTTATCTCTGGTGATATGCCAAAGGCCTGTGGTTTGATCTAACCGCAAGGCAATAATGAAGCAGGCGAGGGATCTCAGGGGAAAGAAATTCGGTTAGGTAGGTCATGTGAGCATCACCCAGCGAAGCACGTTCCGTCTGAGCATGCTGAGGTAAGGGCACTCCTTACCCTAGTTAACTAACGCCTTCCCGTAGTTAATGGGCGAGGCTGAGCGCCGCTCTTAAATCCCAAGACCTGGATCAATTCGACCGTCCTCTTATATGAGTGCCTCGGTATTACTCCTTTCTGTTGACATACATAGGATGTCATGTGATGTGTCTCTGTGTTTACAGCCTCAGACCTCTCGTCCATTGTTTGTCCTATTTGCTCTAGCAGGCATAAATACAGCCTGCTTTCCATAGTCCATGAGATCAGTTTCTTCTTCCCTCTTCTTCCGATGCCACTAATTTCGTAGCCTCAACAGGTTATGAGCTCGGGCGGGGGGGGGGGGGGGGGGGGGGGGTTGACATTGATCGATGTCATGATGAATCCAGATGGAGTAGCATCTGGAGCAGAGAGATTTGCTTGTCTTATCCGATCTGTCTGGGGTCCGTACACAGGCTGAAGTTTGTCTTCCTTAAACTCAGTCTTGGAGGACCCCAGACAGATCGGATAAGACAAGCAAATCTTCTGCTCCAGATGCTACTCCATCTGGATTCATCATGACATCGATCAATGTCAACACTTTCTTCACTAGGTTTGGGGTAGCACGTTCTCCCTAGGGCTTGGGTGGAGTCGTCCCTACTCTCTTCCAGAACCCGTCTCCCGTCGGTCCCATTACCGAGCTTGTCTATATCTCAGATAGAAGTACGAGACCTTCGGGTCAACTGGCGAGCTAGCCGGTCTAATCATGTGGGCCAACTGGCGAGCTAACGCGACGCAGTGCCTTCTTGCCGTGTAATGATCAATGATACCCGCCCTTAGAGATTATTCGCGATAAGATCCATAATTTCGCATGTAATTTTACTTGCACATATCGAATCAGCCGACGCAGAACAAAAAGAATCCGATGGTACTCTTCTCACTAAAAGCCTGATCCGGGGAGCTCCTGATTTCAAGGAATATTAGGGGCCGCCGTCTATTCCACAAGCCCCTTGGGTTCCAAGCGCTTATAAAACGACCTGAGCATCATTTGATTGATGAATCGAGAAGAACGCCTCCAAGTCCATGGTAGAGAAATCGAAATCCCAACCCATATCAGACTGTGTGAAATCAAGCAAGTCTTCTCCAGAGGCCAGGGAGCCCCAAGCGTCGGGGGTAGCCAGATTGCCTAGTTGTGGAAGGTTCCAGGGAGATGTTGGTTGGCCAGACTGAGTCTCCAGCGGCGGGTTCTCTAGAATATCGGGGCTATTGAGCAATGACCGATTCCTGGGATCGTGAGGGAAGGCTGGCTGAGTGGTTGTTCCTGCTAAGCTCGGAATATTTTCGCCAGTTGGCGCCGGATATGGTGACCACTCGTAAGATGGATTGATCTTCCGGAGCACGGTCTGCATGGCTGAAATTGTGCTTGTAATCGGGTCACCAGTTCGCATGGTCATCATGGTCTGCAAAGAAGCATAAACCCATGGCAGATAGACTGGGGCGACATTCGGACTATGGACGATCTCGTAGATTAGAGTGAACGAGGAACTACCCAAGAAATACCCATGGTATCGCAATTCCTATGACACTGTTAGCAGACTATTTTGGGATAGGATATGATGTTTCTTACTCGAACAAGATCATTGACTCTTGAAGCCTCACAAAGATGGCGGATTGTTTTTTGGGCGGTGGTGATTGCATGGCTGCAGGCTTCGTTAAGCCAAGAAGGCGTTTCTCTGGGGTGATGCGGTGCATCAGTCCTAGACTGGTTGAGCAATATATTTCTCTCGCGCTGCAAATGGCCGCGGAATATCAGGAATGGGCGAAACGTGAGAAGCAGGGTGTGGTTGTATACTAAGTCATGTCAGAGCGGAGCTAGAATGCACCAAGCACCGGGACTTACAGGTAATGAATATTGCTTGTCTAACCCCCAGAGAACCCCCCTGGATGCGGTCGTCAAGACCAAACCCCAGAGCCTGTCGCAGATAGGCTTCATGACCACGGAGATCGTCCGCGATAGACCGAGCGACTTTCCACATATGCAGCAAAGACTCATGCCGTTGGCCATATATTTGCTCGGTCGAGCGGGTGATGGTCTTACAAAGCTGCACTAGTAAGCAAATGAATGGGTCCCGCGCATACTCGATGGCAACATCTTTCAAGGATAGGGAGCTGGGACGGCCTGCATGGAAGCAAAACCAACTATTCAATATGTTAGCGAAAGATTCAAACAACGATCGATCTGGAATGGCATACGCACGTTTCGTAGATATAGAGAGACCAGAAGGTTACTCGTCGCTCTTCAATGCTTTCTGAATTTTGGTCGCCCCCAGCGGGAACGTCCTTATGCAGACCGGCTGATAAGGCTTTGCGCGAAGCAGTGCCCAAGTGCAGAAATGCCGAGTTGGGCCGACCTTGTTCGTTTTGATAGCTGCCGTATAGACCACAATATGTTAGTTCAGGTACAGAATATCGGATGGAGAATCACTTATCATGAGCAATGCAATTTGGATCATTTGGACATTCACCACATCATCAAATGCGCTCAAAGAAGCCTTGACTCGCTCAAACAGTATATCGCCCCAAGCGAATTGTTCTGTTCCAATCGCCGCAATAGCCATGGCGAGAAGTATAATGGCTTGGGTGGGAGTGTCAAGACGGTCCGTAGGACGAGGGCTGTACAGTCGATCCAGACACTCTTCGTAGTATAGCTTAGGGCGATGTGGCAGCATATGATACAGGCTGGAAAGATATCGCGAAAGAAATTGTTTAGCCAGGTCGTACGGGAGAAACATCATAGATAAATCTCCAGTCCCGAGATTCTTGTTGCTCTCAAGGGAGTCAGGGGTACCAAAGAAGATCCGACGAAAGCTAAACAAATCCAAACCAGCTCCTGCTTCCTCAACTCCACCAGAAGGTTCAGGCTGGGCAGTAGGATTAGACACAAGGTCTCGGTATATGTGCTGCATAAGAGAGAAATGCGACGTGGGTCCATAGTATAGCTGCATCCGACATGATGGGGAGGCCATGTGTGTCGCAGACACACTATTTGGGAAGTCATTCATCACAGAGGATGTGCGCTGCGCCGATGATGGAGCTCTATTCGGGGAACCCCGACGAGGGGAGCCAATCTGGCTGGCTCCATCAAGCTCATGCTTCTTACGCCGATTGCGAATGTAATCCCTAAAGACGCAGGGTGTGTTGCGCATATAGCATGTTTTGCACCTGAATTTAAATTAGCATAAGAAATTGTTCAATGGATGCCATGTAGACTCTCACGGGGTCAGCCCATTGCATTTGATTTTACGCCTGCGACATTCTTCGCATGCGCGAGAAATCCTCCAACCAGGTTTCGCTTTATCTGATACTTCGGACATCGACGGCGCGACACGGGATTTACACGGGATTCACACGGGATTCACCTCTTGTGCGATTCATCCGCTTAATCCGAGAAATAACCCGTCTATATCCGAGTCACGTGATATGATAATGACATCATCGGAGTCTTTCTAGGGCAGTTCCTGATCACCTAGGCAATCATGCTGGTTGTGCATGTATGGGCTGGTCAACATCACATTCATTTTCCTCGGTTCCGTATATATGACAGGGCGGGGCCATCTCTGAGCCATAAACACCAATCCTCAGTTCCTCACTAGAACGATCCGTCACATGACTGATGCCTTATGAACAAGGCTTCAACATCCGACGCGGACCGACGCCGGCTCCACACACTTTCCCGCGCGTCGACACTTGACACAGATGTATCCCTCGGGTCACTGCTCAAACTGTCCGAACGCTGGATGGACAGCATGCATATCGCGCTGACTAGATTGGTTACAGCCATAACAGCCTCCGGTCTGTCCAATGAGCTCAACCTCCTTCTCGCGCATTTTACCTTCTAAGCGCTAGAGCTGTTGGCCCGACTTCATTGTCTGAAATCTTGGCGCCATTGCCGACCAGATTTTAGCTCTTGTGGCTGGTCTTATCTACGCCCAGATGCAGGCCGGATGAGAAAATCGGCATTTCATACGGGCTATGGCCTCGGCAACCTCCCCAGAGATCAATTTAGAAGGCTACCCCGAGGTCCCAAAGATCCGCAAGTCCGGGGAAATCTGATTTCGGCGCCGTGTGTGGAGAACCTTCAACGCCGTGTGCTTGTCATTGGCCTGACTTCTCCTCAGATCTCGAGTCCTCAGACGCTTGGCAAGAAATATACTTTGCGCCCTTTGTTTCCTTTCCAACGTGGTCTGCACCCAGTCAGCATATGGTTCTATTCCCTACCAGTTAGTCGCAGGGAGCTGGCGCTGAAAAGGAAGAAACAGATCGAAGGGTAATGCACAATGGAGCTTACGATGCTTGAACCGTTCTGGTCTTGTAAACCAGTGATCACTTTGATAACTGTGACAGTCGAGTCCCGAACGCCAAGTGCTTGGCCACTGCCAATTTCAGGCGCAATGTCTTCCCTTGGCAGCGGCAAATCATCCAGCAGCTGATACAGAAACAGCCGCGACCATGGACCTGGAATGGATTGCTTCCCCGCAACCCCGGACGAACCGAGGACGTTATTCCCCCACTGGGTATAAGATACAAAAGCCAACCCAATTGTAGACCCCTGTCATCTGCAAGGCCTGACCACTTCAGACCTGACCCCTCCTTCCAACCCCGGTCAATTGTGCAGATATACGTTCGTCGATCATGGCCGACACCGAGAGAGGGACCACCACTCCCATCGGTGATGATAAGGGGAGCTCACTCCACAAAGAAGATGTGGGGGCTTCGCCCATGCTGCAGCAGAAAGGGGACATCTGGCGACAGATGAAAATGGACGGCCTTTGGTTGAATTTGACAAGGCGGCGGAATCACGACTACGACTAAAGATTGACCTCTACATCGTCCCCACTGTCGCGGTGATGTATCTGTTTTGTTTCATCGATCGAGCTAATATTGGTGCGTATACCAATTTTCCTCTCCTCTTCGCGTATCTAGTCCCAAAGACTAACAATCCTGCTCTGCGATAGGTAACGCCAAACTGGCCGGTTTCGATACAGACCTAGGGCTGGTCAACTATGATTACAATGCTGTGCTTTCGATTTTCTTCATCTCATACATCATTTTTGAGATCCCGAGCAACGTCTTGTGTAAATGGATTGGGCCGGGATGGTGGCTTCCGGGGATCACATTGGGATTTGGTATCTGTTCAGTTGCCACTGCTTTCGTCACTGATTTCAACAGTGTAGCTGGTGTCCGATTCCTTCTGGGGTGCGTTTACGAGATTTCACAAGATGAAGCCAATGCTGACAGCTCTCATCTAGTCTGTTTGAGGCAGGACTTCTACCTGGAATCGCATACTACCTCTCACGTTGGTACCGACGGAGTGAACTTACCTTCCGTCTGTCGTTGTATATCGTCATGGCTCCGCTCGCAGGAGCATTCGGTGGCCTCCTAGCTTCGGGGATTCTCAAGCTCGACCACTTCGGTTCCCTCCGCACCTGGCGTATGATCTTCGCGATAGAAGGCATTGTCACGATTATCATAGGTGTCGTGGGCTTTTTCACCCTTACCGATCGACCGCAGACGGCCAAATGGCTCACACAGGAAGAAAAGGATCTAGCCGTTGCCCGTGTCAAATCCGAACGTGTTGGTACGACGGAGGTGCTTGACAAACTCGACTTAGCCAAGACATTGCGCGGCATTTTCAGTCCTGTGACAATCACGACATCATTCATCTTCTTGTTGAACAACATTACTGTTCAGGGTTTGGGTTTCTTCGCACCTACCATTGTCCAGACCATCTACCCCAACGCGTCTGTGATCTCTCAACAATTGCACACGGTGCCTCCGTATGTCGTCGGAGCGTTCTTCACTGTGCTTTTCCCATTCCTCAGCTGGCGATTCGATCATCGCTTGATCTTCTTCGTTATTAGCGCACCGCTCATGATGATTGGTAAGTTCAACTCTTGTGCAAACCTACCCCTGTCCCTGTGCTAATCAAGGTTCGTCTAGGCTATATCATGTTCCTAGCAAGCGAAGACGGCATGGTACGGTACGGAGCCACCTTTATCATCGCTAGTGGAGCCTTCTCCTTCGGTGCCCTGTGCACGGCACACGCATCGGCGAATGTGATTTCCGACACCGCACGATCATCGGCCATTGGCACGGTGGTCATGTTAGGAAACATTGGAGGTCTCATCAGCACTTGGTCGTTCTTGCCGTTCGATAAGCCCAATTACCACATTGGGAATGGGCTCAACTTGGCAACTTCGAGCACAATTCTCATTCTCGGAGCCGGCCTGTGGGCTTATATAGCATGGGACAACCGGCGCCGTGCACGTGTCGATGTCCATAGCGCCTTGGCGGGACTTTCCCTGCAGCAGATCCAGGATCTCGACTGGCGCAACCCTGGATTCCGCTGGCGTCCTTAGTCTGGCTGTCTGTTCTGTCTCCACTAATTATTTCCGTGTTGGATCTTGTTGATAGTCTTCTGAAACTACATCAGGCAATGAATACACAGTACATCATCAATCTTCCAAAATGACATCTCCGCACTTGAGCAAGCTAGCTTTGGTCTCGAAAATTCAGTGCATTCATGTTTCATCCTCCAACTCTCGGGCACATCATTCGTACTTAAAGATCCGTGAAGGTCAGTCTCCAAAGCGGTCCGCCGGTCCCAGGATAGCGTTCTGCCGTTCTCGAATTTCCAAGTCTCTTACCAGGTTTCGCTTTATAATTATCTAATACTTCGGACATCGACAATGCAGCACGACATTCTGGACAGCCTCTTGTGCGATTCATCCCCTTAATCCGACTCGTTTATATCCGAGTCACGTTATACGTTGTCATCAGATTCTTGCACCCGGGGCATGATCGCCTAGGCAATCATTCTGGTTGTGCATGTATGGGCTGGTCAAAGTCACATTCATTTTCCTCGGTTCTCTGTGTTTGACAGGTCATGGCCATCTCTGAGCCATAAACGCCAATCTCCACCGGGATTAACCGTAACTCACATGACTGCTGCCTTATGATCAAGGCTCCAACATTCGACCCCGCAACTTTCCCGTCACCCTTTCGGACCGCTGCTCAAACTGCCTGCCCGAACACTGACAGGTGACAGCATCGGATGCTTATTATGCTTGACCGCTGGACTAGACTGATTATAGCCTCCGGTCTGTCCGATGAGCTCGACCTTCTAGGCGCTAGAGTGTTGTCCCGACTTCATTGGCTGAAATCTTGGCGTCATTGCTCAACACAACGCTTGATGAATTTTAGCTCTTGTGGCTAGTCTTATGAACGCCCAGATGCAGGCCGGATGATAAACTCGGCATTTCCTACGGGCTATACGAGCCCGCCAAGCGCCCCAGAGATCAATTAAAAAGACTAAACCGAGGTCCAAAGATCCACAAGTCCGGGGAAATCCCCAGATGGGCCCCCAGTGTGGGGGAACTTCCGAAGCCTATGTGCCTGTCATTGGCCTAACTTCGCCTCAGATCTCCAGTTCTCTAACACTTGGCAAGAAATACCCTTTGCGCCCTCTGTTTTCTTGCTAACGTGGTCTGCGCCCAGTCAGCATACGATCTACTGCCTACTAGTTAATCGACGCTGAATTGGAAGAAACAGATCCAAGGGGATTGCAAGATGGAACTCGCGATGCTTGAACCCTTCTGGTCGTGTACAACAGTCATTACTTAGATAACTGACACTGTATAACTAGTCCTGAACGTCAAGTGTTTGATCATCGCCATATCAGGCTAAATGTCTTCCCTTGGCAGCGGCAAATGCTGGCCAGCAACTGATACAGAAACAGCCGTGACCATCGGCCTGTATGCGTTGGTTCCCCGCAACCCCGGACCCTGTCCTTGGAAGAGCCGAGGACGTTATTGGTCTCAATGGCTATAAGATACACAGGCCAACCCAATTGAGTCTTCGTAGAACCCGGTCTTCTGCAAGGACTTATAATTTCAGACCTGATCCCTCCTCCCGATCCCGGGTCAACTGTGCAGTCATACGATCGTCGGTCATGGCCGACACCGAGAAGGGCACCACACCCATCGATGATGATAAGGAGGTCTCACTCCACAAAGAAGATGTGGGGGGCTTCGCCCACGCTGCAGCAGAAAGGGGACATCTGGCGACAGATGAAAATGGACGGCCTTTGGTTGAATTTGACAAGGCGGCGGAATCACGACTACGACTAAAGATTGACCTCTACATCGTCCCCACTGTCGCGGTGATGTATCTGTTTTGTTTCATCGATCGAGCTAATATTGGTGCGTATACCAATTTTCCTCTCCTCTTCGCGTATCTAGTCCCAAAGACTAACAATCCTGCTCTGCGATAGGTAACGCCAAACTGGCCGGTTTCGATACAGACCTAGGGCTGGTCAACTATGATTACAATGCTGTGCTTTCGATTTTCTTCATCTCATACGTTGTTTTTGAGATCCCGAGCAACCTCATGTGTAAATGGGTTGGGCCGGGATGGTGGCTTCCGGGAATTACATTGGGATTCGGAATCTGTTCAGTTGCCACTGCTTTTGTTCATGATTTCAACAGTGTAGCTGGTGTCCGGTTCCTTCTGGGGTGCGTTTCCGAGATTTCGCAAAGCTTAAGGCACTGCTGACAGCTCTCATCTAGCGTCTTTGAAGCAGGACTCTTACCTGGAATCGCCTACTACCTCTCACGTTGGTACCGACGGAGTGAACTGGCCTTCCATCTGGCGTTATTCATCGTCATGGCTCCTCTTGCAGGAGCATTCGGTGGCCTCCTAGCTTCGGGGATTCTCAAGCTCGACCACTTCGGCTCCCTCCGTACCTGGCGTATGATCTTCGCGATAGAAGGCATCGTCACAATTGGAATAGCTGTCATAGGATTTTTCACCGTTACCGACCGACCGCAGACGGCCAAGTGGCTCACACAGGAAGAAAAGGATCTGGCCGTTGCCCGTGTCAAATCCGAACGTCTTGCTGCAACGGAGGTGCTTGACAAACTCGACTTAGCCAAGACATTGCGCGGCATTTTCAGTCCTGTGACAATCCCTACAGCAGTTATCTTCTTGTTGAACAACATCACCGTCCAGGGTCTTGGGTTCTTTGCACCTACCATTGTCCAGACCATCTACCCCAACGCCTCTGTGGTCTCTCAACAGTTGCACACGGTGCCGCCGTATGTCGTCGGCGCGTTTGTCGCTGTGCTATTCCCATTCCTTAGCTGGCGGTTCGATCATCGCTTGATCTTCTTCATTATTAGTCCGCCGCTCATGATGATTGGTAAGTTTAGCTCTTGTGCAAACATATCCCAGACCCTATGCTAACCAGTGGTGTTTATGTAGGTTATATCATGTTCCTAGCAAGTGAAGACAGCATGGTCCGGTACGGAGCCACCTTTATTATCGCTAGCGGAGCCTTCTCCTTCGGCGCCCTGTGCACGGCACACGCATCGGCGAACGTGATCTCCGACACCGCAAGATCGTCGGCTATTGGAACGGTGGTCATGTTTGGAAACATCGGAGGGCTCATCAGCACCTGGTCGTTCTTGCCGTCTGATGGGCCCAATTACCACATTGGGAATGGGCTCAACTTGGCAACTTCGAGCACAACGCTCATCCTCGGAGCCGCCCTGTGGGCCTATATAACATGGGACAATCGGCGCCGTGCGCGTATCGATGTCCGCAGCGCCTTGGCGGGGCTTTCACTACAGCAGGTTCAGGATCTAGACTGGCGCAACCCTGGGTTCCGCTGGCGTCCCTAGCCTGGCTCTGTGTTCTGTCTCCACTATTTCCGTGTTGGATCTTGTTTATAATCTTCCGAAATGTCATCTCCGCACCGGAGCAAGCTAGCTTTGGTCTCGAACGTTCAATTCATGTATCATCTTCCGATTCTCGGGCAAATCATTCGTAATTGAAGATCCGTGAAGGTATCAGTCTCCATAGCGGCTCCGGAATAGCGAGATACACCCCGATAATCCTTCCGCCGATGTCCCTCCGCTGTTACCTACAAACCATCATACCTTGGATGGAACATAACAATTCTTCCTCCGATCAACGGATGAAATCCTCTATAACTGCGCGACATGTTTCCGGATCCTAGCTGTTAGAGTTTAATGACGAAGTACATTGCCATACAATCAAAGCCAGACTTCCCAGATATGCCTCACCACAACTCGGAGAATATTAGCCCTAGTACCAGCCTTCTCGGTACAGTGTCCTCGGCTACACCATCCATACAAAGACAAGGAAGGCAGATAGAGTCCGAACACTCACCGGATCGAGCCGACCGATCGGCCCAGTATCAAAGCGCATCCCACACCCCACGCCAACTGACGGTCCATCATTTCCCCTTCAGGCCAACAACGGCGATAATGGACCAACCAGCGACTGCGTATCAGTCATTGAAGGATGTGTCGGGGCCCGTTTTTCGGCCCCGCGTTAAAGATGCGGACATTTAGTTGGTCGCCCTGATCCCTGTAGGGTCCAGGTAAGTTTGCTTTTGTCTTCGGACGAGTTCCGAAACACAGTCAAACTTTGCTGGTAGGACAAAGGACAGCGTAAGGCAGATAAAAACCTCCCGAGGGAGTCGCACAAGCTTAAGCTGTAGCCTGTGGCAACGCAATAGAGCAGCCTTATTTTCAGGGTAGCAAGTGAATGTGTCCATATCTGCAGGTGACCTCGTGATGCAGCAAGAAAAAGAGAACGCCATCAAACGGGAGAATTGTGGGGAACTGGCGAGACCCAAGCTCTCTTGGCATTTCTCTCCCCGGCCTTAGTCTAACCCCGGAGCTTGGCCGATGGCCATTCCACGGCTCATTTGGCCCGTAACGGGAAATATCTTGGGTCGATCGGAATGGACCTGCAAGAAACACAAATGCCCCAGGTTCTCTCGGTCGGACATTTCCGACTCCCCAGATTCCCCGCATGGGGTCGCCTAGGATGTTAGAAGCTATAAAGACCTTGCGCTGCTCTAGCCTGAATGTTTGCTCTTGATTGCTTGTCTCGCTCTGACTTTACTCTCGCATTCAAGTTCTTGAGTGTTGCCCACTATGGCCGGCGGAGCTAAGAAACCAGTCAATATCTTCCGCCTCAAGGACCTCGGCGAGCCCAAGGAGGTCTTCAACTGGCGGCTATGGTTTGCAGTTGTCTCTTTTGGTCTGATGGGCGCTGCCCGAGGTGTCGATGAGGGCTTGATTTCAGGTGCTTTCAATTCTAAGGATTTCCAAAAATACATCAACTACGAATCGTACAGCGAGGTGGAACAGACCAATATCAAGGGAAATGTCACTGCCATGGTCCAGATTGGATCTGTTGCAGGTGCACTTTTGTGGGTTTTTAGACCTTGAGTTTGATCGGGCCTCACATTGCTAACTCGATGATTGTTCAGTGCCTTCTTAGTATGTGATCGCATCGGCCGTCTCTGGGCAACTCGCCAGCTTTGTGTGCTCTGGATCCTTGGAATCGCTATTTTCATGGGGAATGGCGGCAGCCTGGGCGCTGTGTATGCCGGTCGCTTTATTGCGGGACTGGGTGTTGGCCAGACTGTCGTCGTGGCTCCGGTATACCTTGCTGAAATTGTCAGTTGATCCTCATTCGATTCAACAATACATGAACTAACTCGGAACAGGCTCCTGCTTCGATCCGTGGTCTCTGTACCTGTGTCTTCACAGGCTTCGTCTATCTGGGTATTGTGCTTGCATATTTCGCCAACTATGGCTGCGAGCTCAATCTCGGCGACGCCACTCACAACCGATGGGTATGGATCCAATATCCTAAAACAATCTAATTCTGTACTAACAGCACACAGCTCGTTCCCACCAGTCTCCACATCATGTTCGCCGGCCTCATCTTCCTTCTCTCATTCATCCAGTATGAATCCCCCCGATATCTCGTCAAGCGCGGTCAGCACGAACGGGCCATCACCGTTCTCTCAAGACTCCGTGGCCTATCCGCCGACGACGAATACGTCGTCCGCGAATTCTCCGCAATCCAAGTCTCCCACGAAGCCGAGATGGAAGCAACAATGGGTTCCGGCCCAATAGGCGTCATCAAGGAAACCTTCCTGGTCCCTTCCAATCTCTACCGAGTCTACCTGACATTCATGGCGCAGCTTCTCTCGCAGTGGTCCGGTGCCGGCAGTATCACCGTCTACGCACCAGACCTTTTCAAGCTCCTCGGAATCACCGGCAACAACGAATCCCTTCTGGTCACAGCCGTCTTCGGAATCATCAAGCTGGTCGCCGCAATTCTCTGCGCGCTATTCCTGGTCGACGTAATCGGCCGCAAGCGAGCCCTCCTCCTCGGCATTACCTTACAGGGAATCGCCATGCTCTATATCGCCGGCTTCTTAACCGCCGTTCCCGAAATGGGTGTCGTTGACAGCTTCGTGCTACCAGCGAACAAGAAGGGCGCCAGTGAAGGCGCAATTGCAATGATTTACCTGTCGGGCTTTGGCTGGGCGCTCGGCTGGAACTCGATGCAGTACCTTCTCACTGCTGAGCTCTTCCCGCTGCGTATCCGCGCGCTTTGCACTTCCATGGCTATGACTCTTCACTTTGCCAACCAGTATGGCAATGCCCGTGCGGTTCCTAATATGCTTCTCCCCGTGGCCCAGGGTGGAATTGATCCTAAGGGTACTTTCTGGTGCTTCGCTGCTATTACCGTTGTCGGTGGTGTCTGGGTCTGGTTCAGTATCCCCGAGACAAGTGGTCGCTCCCTGGAGAGTATGGACCGTCTGTTTGCTTTGCCTTGGTATAAGATTGGTCGGTATGGTAACCAGGATGCCGATGAGCGGGATCAGGTTGTCAATGAGAAGATGGAGGTTGAGATGCAGGCTCATGGAGCTGCTGAACATGTTGAGAGACAGAACTCAACTAGCAGAGTTTGAGCTGTGGCTAGTCCAATAGCTACTATTTCCTGCTTTTGATACGAATGTTTCTCAGATAATGAATAAATGATGGATGTACAATATTTTTTTGAATTAGGATTATTTCTAACTATATCCTGCTAATACCTAGGTTATAGTCTTCCATTTAAACATAACTAACTACGACTTTTATCCGAACTCTTTAACCACCTTCCCCCAAAACTTCCTCATAAATCACTCGACCCATCAAGCGGAATAATCACAATCCTCGCCTTACGCTTCGCCTTCTCTCGACCCTTCCTACCACCCCAAACATCCATACCCTCCAAATCCTCCAAATCCTCATCCGGCAAATCAACCCTAATCAAAACCCCCTCGGACGAAAAACCCTCTCATTCCACCCGGAAATATGCCTCGCAAGAGCCTCCCCCCCCGCCCCCGCCAACGCGTAAATAAGATTCCTCTGCTCCTCTCGACTTTTCGCTAGCCGTCCAATAAAGATAGCCGGAATAGCGCCGAGCAGACCAACCATCAGCCCACCGACTGCCATTGTCCCTAGACTTTTGCCGATAACGGTGGACCATTGCTGGCGTGAGAGTTTGGCTTCGTCACAGACGACCTGCGTGAATTGGCTCCATTGCTCTGGTGAGATATTGTAGTGGGCTAGTTCGTCTGGATAGTCGAAGCCGGATGTGCAGGCCCTGGAGCGGGATGGGACTTGCAGGCCGCGGAGGAGAGATGATGATGTGGCGAGGCCGGGTTTGGTGGATTCTGGGGTGAGGAGGAGGGTGGATTGTGGTTTTTCATTGGAAGTGTATTCCGGGGATGGTGTATATGCTGGTGGAGTGTCGTTGGGATTGGATGGTAGCATGATTGATGAGGTGGGTGTTTGTATAGATACTGTGATCATTGAATGGGATGGTACTCTCGCTGGTGAGATTTGGATATTTGAGGAAGGCTGTTTGCACTTCAATGGAAGGTTTTATTGTACTTTCTCAATGCTTGTCTAGAAACTGTTCCTGTAGCAGCTATTTATACTTCTCGTCCTGTGCAGCGAGCGCTCTCGGGCATTGCCGCATTAGATGGTTAAGGTTTGCAAAAGACAAGCAATTTCCCCGGAATCATGGCAGTTGTGAACATTCAGAGTCACCGTGATTCGTGAGCCATCCTATGGGGCTTTCGTAAATCATGATGCCTTGTATAGGCCTCAACATTTCGAGCCACTCTGGAGAGGCCAATGGTAAGCAAAACAGTACGAGAAAGGGCCCAGATCCAGCCACTAGTAAGATCCGGGGTCTCAATCTGGAAAGAAGCTCCGTTCAATCCCATCATCATTTTCCATGCGGTCTATCGTCAAGTACGAAGCCAATAAATCCAAGAAATGAGTCAGAATCATGACAGAATGTGTTCGAAGTTGAAGTTGAATATCGTGAGACGGTGAGACCGAGCGGGTGAGTCACCCACCGGCCACAAACTACGGGCGATGATACCCACCGGCTGTTGACAGAAAGCTGATTGGCTAATTCTGCCTGGCAGAAAATTAACGATTCTGCCGTCCCGCCCTAGAGGGCCAAACGCCCAAACCATATCACTGGTGCACTAGTATGACCCCCTGAGCAGTACTCCGACAGATACTAACTAAGCCTTTTTGGGGGTTTATAGCGAGGCGAGGCCGCGAGGCGGTGAAAGATAGCCCCTAAAGTCTGCCACAGGGCCCCAGAGCTCCCTTCTTCCTAAGAACAGAAGGTTATTAATCAGTGCTGATTCCAACTTCCTATTATTCAATGTGTGAGAAATGAGAAATCTCATTCTGAGGCTCGCTCTCAGTCTGTTCTTTGTGTTACTTCTGTAGCACCTTGTCAAGGTTATTTCCAATACTGCTCTTCTCCGTGCTCGTACCGTCGAGATGGGGACAGGCAGGCGGTCGACACGAGTGCAACGTACAGATCAAGTTCTTATTGCTAAATACCGCCGAAATCACAAGATGCAGTCCTGCGAACCATGCCGAAAGTCGAAAGTTGCGTGCGATCACAGCATACCTTGCGGTAGATGTGTAAGGAGACGGCGGGTTGACGAATGCTACTATCACCCGAACCCTCTTACGCGTGTAAGAAAACACCCATTTCATCCGTATCTTAATGTAGTATGGCTTTATAGGTCCCACTAACCTAGACTGTCTTACCAGCACCGTCAAGAAGCCTCCACGATCGCGGCAGCAGTACCAAGCGTCCGGACGCCACCACGGCTGAGCAGCGCCGTCTCTCGCCCCTCAATTGGGCAACCTCGCGGAGGCGATCAAACCGAGGCTGTTACCACTTCGGGACACAACCACAGAGCGAGTTATGCACCACCACATCGCGCAGGGTCGGCACCGCCATTATCTGATTTTTCCGAAACCTGGCCGGGCAAGCACGGGTTCCTTGGCTTTACCTCACTCACATCCATCATGACAGAGGATTTGACGCAACTCGGTATAACTTCCACTGGCCTGGAACGAGCCACGGCTGTCCAGGAGAAACCTATTTCGAGTGAAAGAATTGCCCGCGGTTGCCAGGTTCTCTCCCTCTTGCAGAACAGGGCAATGATAGATCGCGGCATCGACTTGTTTTTCCAATCTATTGAATGTATCCATATTCACTGTGGCGAGTTCATCGTGAGACAATGGCTATCACAATTGTGGTTCGCTCATGGCGAGATATTGTCAACTCAACACCCTGAGCAGATACGGCAGCTATGTCATTTGCTCTGTGAGAACACAGCGACACCACAGGTGTTTGATGGCACCACCACAGCAAGGCAGTGGATTTACTCTGCCACAGGTGAACATATTCGCTGGGGAGTAATCGCCATGATCGCCAACTACGTGGGGACATATGCAATGGTATCAAATTCATCGGATCCGTTTTTCCAGGAGTTCAACATGGATCGCAAATCATTGTTGAACCATATGACCGAAGCTGCAGAAGTATGTATCGGATTTTGCCGAGAATACGGTGCTTTGGATGATGCGTTCATCTGGGCCCTTTTGGAGCACTACGACATCACCAAATATACCAAGGGAGAAGCTTGTTATACAACGTACTGTATTGGTGCCGAAGTGAATAGCGCCCTCGTTGCAATGGGCCTTCACCAGGAGATCAAAGCCGATAGTCAAGTTCCTTATTTCCTCGCTGAACTGCGTAAACGACTTCGAGCGGTGGTCTACGCAACAGAGATTAGCATATCCACATTTCTGGGCCGTCCACCACGGCTCTCGCATCGTTATATGAACTTGGATCCGCCGCTAGACCTGACAGACTCGCAGTTGTTTTCGGAAGATCCGCAGGAGCTAGCGGTCACCATTGCTAGTCTGGATGAACAGGGTTACAATCGAGATGGAGAGATACGCCATCTCTCTTGGATAAGGTCTTCTATCAGCTTTATGACAAGAAGAGAGAACATTCTCGAGCTTTCATTAGGGAACTTCACACCAGAAGAGGTGCGGCAAAATGCGGACGTTATTCAACGCAAAACGGAGGAACATTGGGCAACTCTTCCGCAAGTTATGTTGAATTTAAGAGATGGGACTTTCGGGCTCGAGACACAGAAGGTCATCCAGCTACACTTTCAAAACATCATTCGTCAAGGTCCTCAGGCGAATTCACTTCTGCTTCACCGCGTACTCATGCGCAAAGCGGGTGCAGGCCCCGCAGGATTAATGAACACGGCACAGACAATCCTGAGTGACGTGCTGCGACTGTATAAACGTGTCGAAATGTCGGCAGCAACATCTTCCATCTACTTCCTAGCGGTACATGGACTACGCAGTGCGGTTATATTGGCGATAGAACTCCTAAAGCAGGAACAGCTCCCAGTGTATCCTAACGAGCCGCTTCTACCTCGAAGCAGGACAATCCAAGATCTGTGTGTCTTCACAAATAAGCTGAGCGACTTGGACCCAGTGTTTGGAGATAGAGAACTTTGCGAAAAGGGCCGAAAACTGATTTCTCGAGTCCTTGATAAGATCCTGAGCCCTCCGAATACCGCGGATCCACATTGCCATGTTGCTTCTATGTCAACACAGCAGCTCGGTACAAACGCTTTCACTAACGGTATGATTCACAACACACATGTGCCAGATGGTTATTTGATGACGGATGATTTCAACTATGAGATGAGTGCTCCTGTTTCAGGTCCAGATCATGCATTCAGGCTGTGGCTGGAGAACATCGATGGCCAGGATTGGATACTGTAGTATCTGCGGCGTAAGTACAACAGTGATAGAGCAGACGGGTGACACCATCCTGGTCACTAAACTCGCCTCTGAACGAGAGACCTGCTAGAAACTTCTATGGGAAATAATGACCACTAGACCCCATCAAAAACCAAGGTTCCTGTTTATGGCCTAGGAAGGCCTCATCCCAGCATATCCCAATCTGACAACTTCCACCGGACCGCAATTAACTAAGCTTTGCGCAATGGTAACAGCACTGAATCTGGTGTAATGGAGGCATTTGTAATGCGTTTATTGATTGGATTGAGGACGATATTTAAACACATATCTGGGATTTTGTGAGAAAGGTATAAGATCGACTGTCACTATGCAGAGTATGCAGTATGCACTCCAAATTGGGTTCGAACTTCGGTCCCACGGGATACCCTACATAAGTGGGTCTCACTCGATCAAGAACTCCACATGGCCTGAGTGTAGCTCCAACACGTGTAGCTCCGAGACAATACCTTAAGTACTCCGATGTCCTGCATGTCAATAATTGGCTATATCTATTCCGAGTTCCGACCAACTGCATATTCATTCCAACCTACCACATATCCATCTATTCCGATCAACTGCATATTCATTCTGGCTCAATACATACCAACTTTGACCAACAGAATGCAGCGATATTGTCACTTAACCGATGTTGCAACGATAGGTAGCTATCCGACTAACGGCCTATCAATCTCAAACCAGTACGTATCAATTACGTCTTGCGATATATCAACTCCGATACGTCGGGATCGTGTCTGTGTCTTCCCGATACACCTATCCGATACCTTGGCATACTCTGTCTGCTTGTCATGTGTCGCGGGCAGTTGTATTCGTACCTATACGGGGCATGTCAACTTCGCCTTCATGTAATTTAATGCTGCCATTTTACGTATAAAGACTATCCGCTCCCCTCGAGTGCACATTACGCTTAACTACGTCGCCTACTGCCAGTCAATGTCTACATCGTCCATCATAACCTTGGATAGCCATTACATTATCAATACATTCGTGCGGTCTCAGAAGCACTCGAATTGGCAGGCCACTGCGTTTGAACAGTTGCGACGTAATGGCGAGAATTCTGGCCTGTAACAGTCCTGATCTTTCAATCCACCTGGACTCGGCTACATCATCCCTCCCCGGCCAAAGAATTACTGGCTATGTGTCTCGAATCTCGCCTTGGGTTGGCACTGAAACGAGGATCAGCATTAGCTTCCATGGAAGGTGCAGCACAGAATTCTTCAGCCGTGATTCCTCATGTTATAGCAGCCTAGACTTGTTCGGTCCGGATGGAGTTCGGAATGAGCTTTTCAATGGAGCCTTACATATCCAAAGATTCGATCCAGACGAACATAAGTGGCCCTTCGAAATGAATATACCCAAGCATCCTGATCCAAGCTTTTTGGGATTGCATCCATTTGGGAAGGCATCATACCTGCCCCTACCCTGCGCCAACCAGCATGCTCTTCCACCGTCATTTGACCTGGCCAACAGCACTGCTGGCTCATGTCGCAGCTTTGCAGTTGTTGAGTACTATTTGGAGGCTACAATGACGACTCCTGACTCCTCCAAGTTCGCCATGGCTCGGTTGCCAGTTCAGCTTCGATGTGAATCATCTCCTTTCCCGATAACTGATTTCGATGTCAATCTACATTCCCGACATCCTTACACGGTTACCTCTCCTCGTCTGACTCCTACTGTGGAAACTGCCAGAATTTCCACAAGACAGCAGATCGCTAAGCTCCTAGGTGTTTCTGGAGCTCCTCGTCTTACATTCTGCCTAGAAACCAGCATAGCTTCGGTTCTTCAAAAAGGCAGCCCGTATCCCATTCCATTCGAGATACGGGCTATGCCGCAATGGGCGGATACGAACGAATGCATTGCAGGCGTGCCCCAGACTGTTAACGTAAACAGTTTCGCTCTTGCTATCCGATCGACGACGAGTATTATAGCCTTCGCCACAGGCACCGTGGGGGCGGCTACAGTCGTGCGCGAAGAGCACTTCAAGACAAAGACTATTTTGGCAGAATATTCAACGCCAAAGAAGTCAAAGCAGAGAAATGACGGAATTCAATGTGAAGCTCAATTCGAAGCAACTCCTTTCGACAAGCATTCATCATCTTATGGCAGACCTTTGACCTTACCGATTGACGACAAGTCGAGTCCTCTAAATTTAGGACACGAGCTCAATCTGAAACTCCAGCATGATCAATTCCAGTTTCACGAAGTTCCGACATTCATCACTTATAATATCAAGCGAACGTACGAGCTAAAATGGAAGATGGTTCTCGAAGTGGGCGGAGAGATACTCAAGGTCAAAGGCAAGCATCCAGTCTTGATCATGGAGAAGTCTGATTAGGATCATGCCGGGATATCATTCATTCATTCCCCTCTGGTGGTTGCGTTCATTCATTCCCTTCTTGTGGCCCCTGATCCCTTTGCACAAAAGAAAAGCTGCCAGTGAAACGATAATCAAAAGGCGGTGACTAGAGCGGTGAGCCTATGTCATAGTGGTCCGATTCGTCGCCCATGTGTAGCCGATAAGCGCCGATCAGCGTAGCCCTAATTTCTTTTCTGCAGCACCGGGGCATCCTCCATCACTTGACTTCGCCTTCTCCGCCACAAATACGCCTCTGGCCTGCGCCTAGGTCACAAAAGGCAGTCTATAAACTATTTAGGCATAAGAGTGGAAGGGTACATCCCTCAAACCGTGAGTCCTACACGTTTACGTTGGGCCCTAAACCCGAACTTCTCCCTTCCGCGCACTGCGGTCTTCTGACGTCGCTTGCCCTGCTGAGAACAACCCCATATATTGCCACAATAGCTGCATTGATGGGGACAATAATTAGTCTATTATTTGTATTGCCCAATTGCTCTTATTGATGGCTATTGTATTCACCTGAATAATCATTGAATAGGGTGGCTGACAATTCGGGTCATTTAGCTCTAATTCACAATGCCTCCGAAGGGCCAGCGTAAGTTGATGCCTGCACGCATTGACAAGACAACATTGGCACCTTCTAGGCGATCCCCACGGGTCCCCTCAAAAAGTTCAAATGAGAGCTTGCAGCCCACCAAAACTTCCAACCTTTCATCTCCCTCCTCCTCTGACAGTTCTATCAACATTTGTTTCTACACCCCAAAACTTTCTACTTCTGTTACTCCAACTCCTCCTTCGCCTACCTCAACTTCTAATTCACGTGTTAATTCTCCGGAAACACCGTCTTCGCGTCGACGAACCTTCCAGTCTCGTCCATCTCGCCTTTCCACAGTTCACATCAGCCAATCGCCTTCCACCAGCGCCACCGAAATGCGGCAGTCAACCCGTATCCGTGATGGGAGCATGAAGGCCATTGAAGCTCGCAGAGAGAATCAAGCGGGACGCACCGTCGCTGACCCTGTGGCCAAGAAGGCTGTGAAGAGTGGCAAGGTTGCCAAAGATGGAGTTTCTAAGAAACTTCCCAAGAAGACTGGAAGCTCGAAAAGAGTCTCCAACCTCACCACTCAGAAGGCAATGCTGATCGGTCATGGGATCGATGTGAAGGCCGCCGGTCTGAGGCTATATCGAATGGCCGCGGATGCCCCCCACTTCCCCATCCAATTACATTTCCCTGGGTTCTGGGAGAGTGTGCGGAGAGACTTCTTCTCTCGACAAAATGAGGAAAACGCCGGTGCGGATGCGCTCGCCGGAAATGACATGGCAGTCGATGATGTCGCCGACGATGTCGCCGACGACACCAGCATGGTCGAGCAAGAACCTTCAACTACTACCTTTTCCTCTTCTTCTATGCCTCTCCCAGACCCCTTCGTTTCCTCTTCTTCTTCTCGCGACGTTACCAAATCTGGGGCGTCATCTTTCGTGCTGTCCCCTCCCCCTATTCTACCAACCCCATCCGGCCCCCACACCTTCCGTCCAACCACCTACCCCTCACTGAAGACGATATTCTACAAAGAGTCCGAGCCAAAGATGCTCGGCGATGGCTGGGTCGACACAGGGTATGTCAACTGCGACGACGAGGAGGTGATCCTCGCCCCTGAGCAATACCACCCTTATTACCCACCCCACACCTACGGCAGCGAGAACCTTCCCTTCCCCCCCGTGTACGCCCGAAGCAACCAGCAGGCCGAGGCTGCCCATACCTACAGGTTTCCCCCGCTCATGGGAGACTGTAATGTCCCAACCGGTCGAGCCCCGTTCGTCATTGAGGACGTGGCAAAGGAGAAGGCCCGAATGCGTTCACATGCCCCTTCAAAAATTACCAAGAAGACCCGTTCCCGAAAGACCCGTCCGACCACCGTCACATCTCCCGCCAAGAATGCTGCCGTCGCCGCTGCCACTGTTGCTGCTGCCACGGGTGCCGCTCCCGAGCCTGCTGCTGCTGCTGCTGCTGCCACTGCCCCTGAGGCTGGTGGACGCAAGTCACAGCGCCGTAAGGCCGCTTCCCTCAAACTCTCTCTTACCGGTCCTTCCGCCCCTCCTACCACCGAGACTCAGGCCAAGTCTTCTGCTTCCGCTGCCGACGTCCCTCCCGCTGCTGCCACCAAGCCCAAGGAGGCCAAGGTGCAGCGGCGGTTGAAGCTGATTCTCAAGCCAGAAGGCCAGGCTAAGGACTCCAAGGTCTCGAAGGACTCCAAGGTTTCGAAGGACTCCAAGGTTTCGAAGGACTCCAAGGTTTCGAAGGACTCCAAGGTCTTCAAGGACTCAAAGGTCTCCAAGGCCTCCAAGGTCTCGAAGGACTCCAAGGCCTCGAAGGACTCCAAGGTTTCGAAGGACTCCAAGGTCTCCAAGGACTCAAAGGTCTCCAAGGCCTCGAAGGCCACGAAGACCTCCAAGACCTCGAAGGCCTCCAAACATTAGGTCTTGTCAGGAGTCTCTGGCCCTGTTGGCCCCCGTTCTGTCCCGCCGTTGTGGAAGTGTTGTCCCCCCGCTTGTCTAGCTTGTCGAAGCAGGTGCTGCCGGGGGACCCCTTCGATGTCAGACAGGATGGCAGCCGTTCAGTCCTTATTCCTCCCCCCCTCTATCTTATGTCTTAAATGTGCCGTCCCCCCGCTTGTAAAAGCAAATGCTGCCGTGGGACCCTCGATGGCATACAGGATGGCAGCCGTTCAGTCCTTATTCCTCCCCCCTCTATCTTATGTCTTAAATGTGCCGTCCCCCCGCTTGTAAAAGCAAGTGTTGCCGTGGGACCCTCGATGGCATACATACAGTTTTATTCTTATGTTTCTGTGCTGGAATTAGCAAGGATAATGAAAATATGAAATATTCAATACTGATCATAGTACATAGTAGTACATCATATCTGTAGTGGTACATGGCACTGTGAATATTCTCTCAGAGGCTTGAAGAATACAAGTCATAGTTAAGTACGTGGGTGAATTTCCATTGAGGAGATCATATGATGGGTGGGTTGTCCCTTCCCACTGGTGTAAGTACGTGCCTTCCTGAATAGGAAACCACCAATCTATATAATCTCCCTCCCCAACTTTCCCTTTTTTTTCTCTCCTTCAACTTCCCATCTTCCATCCCTTCCATCCCTCACTCCACCTTGGAACCATCCATCCATCCATCATTTCCGGCGAGCGTATCCGCACCAGAGTTTTCCTCCATTATTGAAGAGTGGCAAGGTTGCCAAAGACGGCGTTTCTAAGAAACCCCCCAAGAAGACTGGAAGCTCGAAAGAGTCTCCAACTTTAAGACGCAGAAGAAGCATGCTGATCGGTCATGGTATCGATGTGAAGGCCGCCGGCCTGAGGCTATATCGAATGGCCGCCGATGCCCCAGAGCCTCCCCGTTGAATTACATTTCCCTGGGTTCTGGGAGAGTGTGCGCAGTGACTTCTTCTGTCGATAGAATGAGGAAAACTCTGGTGCCCCAGAGTTTCCTATTAAATTACATTTCTCAGGCCGGCGGCCTTCACGTCGATATTATGACCGATCAGCATGGCTTTCTTCTCCGTGGTAAAGTTGGAGACTCTTTTCGAGCTTCCAGTCTTCTTTGGGGGTTTCTTAGAAACGCCATCTTTGGCAACCTTGCCACTCTTCAATAATGGAAGTGTCGGTCTCTATCGTTGTTGATAGGCTCCTCTATGCACTGAGTCGGTGACTGCAGCTTCCAACGCCTAATTACAATAATTCATCTTTGGACATTCCTTGAGCATTCACATGACGAGTCCTGAAACAGTCCATCACGATGGCGGCTAGCAAGGCGCTTAGGCGGCTTGGGATATAATATTTAAGCGCACCCACTCACAAGGGACGTGCGCCACTAAACCAGCCAGGGGCCAGATCATCCCATCGACATCTACTTGACCTATACACAGTAGCGACAGTACTTCTTCACAAATCATGACAACCCGTTATAGAGTAGAGTGCACGTCATCTTACTCCCATGCTTAATTTCTGTGGCTAACTTGATTCTAGATGCCCTCAAGGTACGACTACCCCTCGGTCTTAGCCGGCCCTCACTAACTCCGCATTACAGACCCATCGTCGGGATCAACTTGTAAGTCACTTCACCCGCTTCAAAGGGTATTCTAGAGGCTAACAGATATCAGATTGAATGGATCAAAGTACGTAGTCGGTTCAAACAAGGTGTGGTGGCCAACACTAACGGTTACCCCTCCAGGGCCTGCTAGCCGTCCCCTTTGTCCTGCATTCCCAGCCCACCGCAATCTACCAGGAACATAGCGAAGGGCTGAAGTCCGTCGCCGCCGACACCCACGTCCGCTATGCAGAGATCATGCGAGATGTAGAGCGACTGGTAATCGATCACAGTAAGTATTTCGTCAAAAATTAAAAAATCATGCATGCGATCGCCACCTAATACGTTTGGCAAGTCCAACACCACGAACGCAATGCCCCAGGCAAATCCAAACTCAACCTCCTCGTGCCGACCGTCGGCACCTTCTTCACCCAGCTGTACCTGGAAGATGCATTCAAATACCAAGACCAGCAGCGATTCATCAGCCGACGACGCTTCGTCGCGCCCTCATTCAACGATATCCGACTAATCCTCAACTCCGCCCAGGTCATCGGCCTCGTCCGCTCCAGCGACGTGAAACTAGTCACGTTCGATGGAGACGTGACACTCTACGATGACGGCGCCTGTCTCATGGCTGATAACCCAGTCATCCCCCGTATCCTGCGTCTCCTGCAGCAGGACCGTAAGGTGGGCATCGTGACGGCGGCGGGTTACACCGAGGCCCCGAAGTACTACGAGCGACTCCAGGGTCTGCTCGAGGCTATCCACGGGTCAACTGACCTCACTGAGGACCAGAAGCAAGGTCTGATTGTCATGGGCGGCGAGAGTAACTTCCTGTTCCGGTTTGATCCTACCTCGACGGCTAGACTGGCCTATGTGCCGCGCAAGGAGTGGTTGCTGGATGAGATGCAGGCTTGGAGTGAGGATGATATTACCCAGCTGCTTGATATTGCTGAGTCGGCTTTACGGGCTTGTGCTTCGAATCTTAATCTGCCGGCTGCGGTCCTAAGGAAGGATCGTGCTGTTGGTGTTTACCCGGTTAATGGGGTTAGGATTAATCGGGAGCAGTTGGAAGAGACCGTTCTGGTGGTGCAGAATACGGTGCAACGGTCGGCTGTTGGGTCGCGTCTGCCTTTCTGTGCTTTTAATGGTGGGAATGATGTCTTTGTGGATATTGGTGATAAGTCTTGGGGTGTGCGTGCTTGTCAGCGCTACTTTGGGGGTATTGATCCGGCTAAGACGCTTCATGTTGGTGATCAGTTCTTGTCGGCTGGTGCTAATGACTTTAAGGTGGGACTGATGGCTGGCTGTATGGTTTTCTTGGACTTTATACTAACTTTATCTTCTTAGGCACGTCTTGCATCCACGACTGCCTGGATCGCAAGCCCGGCTGAGACGGTGGACCTACTCGATGAGTTGGAGAAAACGGTCAACCCGGAGTAGCCATTGGTAGTCATTTGGAAAGCATCATCGATTCTTGGAGACTTTCGTGGGCCTGATTTGGTTGGTGCAATCTAGGTACTGGGCGACATCTCCCAATATTACGATAACATTTACTTGCATTGTTCTGTTCTTAAATAATGGAATTTCATCATTCTATCTACATGATAGAAAAGCGTCAAGGGAAATCAAGAGCACCCGAACTCCCAGGCATAAATGTCCTCTAAAGTCTGGACTAGTTGCATAGCATCATACAAAGCGTAACGGACGTCCAGCACCATAGACATCGGCATCTCAAGGTAGCAGATGGCTCGCCGACCAATGTTGCAACAAATATCAAGGATATCGTGCATTATTGGCTAATTTCCACAATTGGTTGGGAAGAGGCTAAATCTTTATGGATTGAACCCAGTTCAGGGAGAACTGGGAACCGAAGGGACGGATCGGACTGTCGCAGGATCTGAAAGGTGAGGGAGACACGGTTAACACTCGCTTCGAAGGGGTCCAGGGGTGAATAGTCCATGGGAAGGTCGTCAAAGGGTCCAATGGGGGACGTCGCAGGTGATAAAACAGGGTGAACAAGCAAAACTCGGGTTGTCGACAATTTACGTACTTTCATAGCAAGACCATGTCTCGTTTTGGCTGGCGTGGGAGCGTCCAGACAGAACATTGACGACATCCTGTAGCTCAAGCCAGAACTCGGACTTGGGGCGACGACGCACCCAATCAGTCTCGGTAGCTTCCAATCCAGTCTCACCGCCCATGGGCGAGAACAGGACCTGTGAGCCCTTGATACCAATGACAGAGGACGAGAGAGGGTCGTCAGCGACCTGCGCACGGCTCTTACCCGCATATCCTTCAATGTGCTCCATACACCGGATAGCCATACGCAGAGCACGGACACGGTCCATGGGCGAGGGCTTTCCACCTTGCTGGAAGTGACCTGGAACAGCAGAACGAGACTCGAAGCGGCCATTGGCCTCCTCCTTGATGATGTCGGCAATTACCTGAGTGGTGTATGTGGCCGAAGCAGTTTCGTTGCGCAGGATGATCTTACCCGCACGGTTAGCACCTTTGTCGCGGAGGAAGTTATCACGAAGGAAGTCGATATCGCGTGAGAGCATCTTAATATCGATACCCTCCTCGGGAATGTAAACTGCCACAGCACCGACAGCAAGGCCAGCCGTTGTCGCAATGTATCCAGACTTGCCACCCTGAGTCTCGATCACGAACACTCGGCGACGGGAAGACGATGCGGATTGCCGGATGGCATCGCAGAAGTCAATGAGGGTGTTCAGGCAGGTGTCGCTGCCCAGAGAGTACTCGGTTCCGGGGACGTTGTTAGAGATGGTGGCTGGGAGCACAATGAGCGGAATCTTGAAGGCTTCATACTTCGCGCGAGCCTGGCGCAGTTCGCTGACGGCGGTGAAAGCCTCAAATCCACCAACAACAAACAAAGCATCGAACTTGTAAAGCTCAAAGCACTTGGCAGTGGTCTCCATATCAACAGACGGCAAGCTGCGGTTAGTTCCAATATCTGAACCACCCTCGTTGACCCAGCTATCGGCTTCCAGCCAAGTCACTTCACGAACTGAGCTAACCGGCTGGTCGGCGTGGTGACGGCACAATCCGGGGAAACCGTTGTGAATGGCCAGCGGTGTGTGGCCACGGGTGAGACAGTATGCAACGGCGGCACGAGTTGCTTGGTTCATACCACCAGCTGGGGCACCGACGTGGATGATAGCAATCCGCATTCTCTGTGAGTAGTAAGTAAGTGGGGAATCTTAAGAGTTCGAACAGCCCGGGTTGTCTCCTACCTTGCCTTCGGGAAGACTCAGCTTCGGGTGCTCTGGGGTCGCGGTATTCAAGTATGCTCTGTAGTGCTCTTTGAATTCGGGATCACGGAGTTTCATGGCGCCCTCGAAGTCTTTGGTATCGATCTTCGCGGCGACATCTTTGGTGGCTTGGACCGCCTCCATCAGAGGGGTACGCATGATCTTATTCTCACGGATGGTGATAACCGGCGAAGGGGACTGAGGCGACATTTCCAGCACAGCGCGAACAGCCTCCACACCTTGTAGGGTTGACAGCCAGCGGTCGTAGGCGCATGCTGGACCGCCACGCTGGGTGTGGCCCAAGATGGTAACTCGAGTGTCCAAGCCAAGCCGGTCAGTGAGAATATCCTTAATCTTCGAGCTAGAGACCTTGTTCAATTGGCGATCTTGGGCTCCCTCGGCGACGATAACGATGGTACGGCGCTTGCCTCGTTCGGTTCGGTTCTGTAAAATAGCAGAAGTCAGCCAAAGCAAGTGCATACAATGAGGCTTGGATAACCCACCTTTGTGATTACGGAACACATATGATCTTCCCAGCCATCCTTCGGAGGCATCTCAGGGAGGAACAGCCAGTCTGCACCAGTACTAATGGCAGACATCAGAGCGAGCCATCCACAGTGCCGGCCCATCACCTCAATGACGAAGCCACGCTGGTGAGAGAATGCAGTATCGAAGACATCGTCGACGGCATCACAGATGCGGGTCAAGGATGAGAAGCAGCCGATAGTGGCATCTGTCCCGGACATATCATTGTCAATTGAACCCACCAGACCGACGATGTTCAGCACCTTGTACGGCTCCACCTGGCTAGCGGACAACTCCCCTGCGGAAACGAGGTCTGCCAGCAAACTGGGCCACTCCGCACGGAAGACATCAGCACCAGTCAAACTACCATCACCACCGCAGACGACCAATGCATCGATACCGCGCAAGACCATGTTCTTCGCCGCCCTCATACGGCCGGCACGCTCGCGGAATCCCTTGCTGCGGGCAGAGCCAATCAAGGTACCACCACGGGACAACCAGCCGCGGACATCTTCCCAGTGCAGCTGACGGATCATGTTACCACCAGCTACCAATCCCTCATATCCTTCGAAAATGGCGTAGGCTTCGCAGTCGCAGTGAATTGCCATACGGACAACGGCGCGCACAGCGCCGTTCATACCGGGGGCATCTCCACCAGAGGTGAGAACACCAATGCGACGTCTCTTAGCTGGTTGAATGGGAACCTTGATGGGGTCCATCTTGTATCAATTGAAGCTTTCAACCCGGAAGTACAGGTCGACAATCAGAATAAAATGAAAATAGATTGAAGGAAACACGCAGGAAAAAAAGCAGCCGATAAGCGTTGTAGAGCCTCCAATTAAGTGCAGGTGGGATATGGAGGGGTCGAACCCAATCCGGTGAGAGAAAGTGGGCAGAAAGTGGGTGCTTTGCGTCACTGACGAAACGCGTGAAGCTAAAGGATCAGCTTGGTGTAAAGTGGAAAATTCAAGTGGTGAACGCGACGGAGGATCTTCTAAAATACTTTGTGAAGAGTCTCAGATGATTTCAGACTGGTCTGATGTTCTAGACGAGCTCAATACCTTCGTGGTACCTGCGTTGTTCTACAATTTGGGCTGCAAGAGCTATGTCACCGCTTGGTCAATTCAGGTTTAGTGCCGGCGGTGAGGATCTGCTTGACGTCAATGGACTTGCTCTGTTTGTTTTGTTTGTCTGGACTTGTTTGGATGATGACATCTTCCTCGGTTCTGCTTACTCCGTATCTTGTTAAAGTTGTTATTCTCGGGACATTACGGTTGGTGGTCATGATCCTTCCTCATACAATTGATTGGCGTTCTCCTTCAATATACACTACTGTGGCTAGCCAATTGACATCCAGTCTCAGGCCGACGAGTGGGTGTAACCACCTTTGGAGAAAGTGGTCTGACCAGTAATGCCTGTGTCGCCTAAAGAACCGGATGAGAGGAGCACCACTACATTGTGCTTACTCCGATAGTTGCCGTCAACTGAGTGCCCAGACAATGGTCATAACACATGGTGACATGATTGTCCTGGAGCTTTCTTACTGGCAAAGCATCCTACGCATGGAAAGGACAACCGCAGCACTTCTGTCAGGTGCCAGTGGCACCGTGCCACGACTTATGTTCCTCCCGAGCCACGTTGTTGACACCGATATGTTGTGTCTGCAGTTCTTGGCCGACTTCTCGCGTACAAGAAAGGCTCCACGGATGGCTTCAGTCGCCGATGGCCATATGATCAGAACAAGTGAATTCTTCAAGCACTAAGTACAGCAGTCTTGGTGTTGATCCGACTCTTTTTTAAGACTGTCTACATCGTGGTAGCGACTCTGAAGAACTAACTTCATCTTTCTCGATTGTATTAACAATTGATGAGAATGCTAACGAGCGTGACTACGGTCGAGCCAAAGATCTCTATTAAAGGTATAAGTGGTGTCGCGGGTGTTCAACAACGAGCATGAATTATCTAATTCCTGCATTGTCAGCTTGGATTTGGAATCGAAGATCGGAATCACCTGTAGCTTACGCTGAGCACGAATGGCTACCCTCGGTCGTTGGGTCTTTGCATCCACCCTCGCAAAGCTTGGCATGTCCAACATCGCCAGGGTTCTTGCAATGGAAGAGGATATTCTTGAGGTCCTTGCCCTCCAGGTCTGAACCCTTCAACACGTCGTTGAGATCGGCTTCGGTGAATCCTATTTCTCCAGTCAGCTCAGCGCAGCGAGAATTGACGTTGTCTCAAGTACCTTTGTCCTTGATCAGGACATCAGCGCAATAATCAAAGCTAGGCGTGCACGTCTTTGCTGCCAGGCCGGTTGTTGCGAGCGCGAAAAATGTAAGGATGATTGAACAGGACTTCATTGTGATGTATCCAAAGTTTGAGATGCAGGGAGAGAGACTACGTCGGAAGGTGGAAACTGTTGAACTATTATATTGAGTTCATACCTCGTAAATAAACACTGTGATGTGGTCACACATGACGAGCATTCGCATCCCTGACTACGTAGACTTCACCTGAAAATCTTGAAGCTTGTTCCTGGGAAGTTGGTGTGGAATGCTTCTTCGGAATGTATCTACGCCATTCACATTCCTCATGTCCAAGTCTGGCAAGATTCTTGTTGATCTCCTATCAAATCACTCTCAGTCTCGGGTCTTGATGCTAGATGTATGGACGGGGAATGAGCAGCTCAATGCAGTCAGAGCCGAGAAGAGTCTCGTGGCTCGTTAATATTACATTTTCCAACCCTCGTGGTCAGACGGAGGAATGTGGAGGTCGATGCTTAGCATTGCCCTGGATAGCTCACTCGAAGTATGGAAATCAGACGAAATCAAAGATGCCAATATGGACAATAAGATGTTCTACATTATGTCCATACACATAAGCAAAAGGTCTCCAATGAGGCAGGTCTACCCGGGGAGATAACGAAGATACCCCGCACGAGATCTGGCAGCTTGTATACACTCAGGTCTTTCCCTGTAGTACTGTGGTAGAAGTATCGATTTTATCCTTAAATACTTCAGACCCTGTCACTCGATCTTGCCATGGCGCCAAATGATTTAGGTAACCATTATCGAACCCATGCCGATGAGCCTACATACCGTCACACTTGGCCCCTCAACGACACCATATTCAGAATGAAATCTAACAAATTCCAGTCTCAAAACTGGTCACAAGAGATCCAGGCCTACCACGACCAAAACCCACCGAATCCTACTGGCAACAAATCCCACATGCTCTCGCCAACACCCAATCCCCAAATCTTCCAACAGACCGCGACTTCGCCATCATCGGCTCCGGAATCACTGGTCTAGCAGTAGCCAAGACTCTCCTAGAACGGCATCCTAGTGCCACAGTGACCGTATTGGAAGCCCGCACGCTCTGTTCTGGCGCAACTGGACGCAATGGCGGGCAAATGGCTGCCAATGCCGGGGAGCAATATATGAATCTGGCCGAGACTCACGGGGCCGAGACGGCGGGTAAAATTGTGGACTTCACGTTCCGCAATCTGGAAAAGATGCAGGAGTTGATTGAAGAATATGATGCTGTGGAGTTGAGCGAGATGCAGCGGTTGCAGAAACTGCGAGTGTTTCTGACGCAGGGGAAGTTTGACGACTTTAAGAAAAGCATTGCTCGGCTGGAACGAGATCATCCCGATAAGAAGGGATTGTATACGATTTTGGATGCTGATACTGTGGTGGAGGTGAGTCAGTTTATCGTGCACTCTCTTTTATGTGTATACCACCCCGGGACAGACATATTCATTCCTTCTCTATAGAAATACGGCATCCATGGATCCTCCGGCGGAGCCCTACTTCCTGCTGGAACAGTCTGGCCATACCGTCTCGTCACCAAAGTATTCGCAGCACTGCTAGAAAGATACCCCAACCGACTGACAATCGAGACACACACCCCCGTCAACACCATCGAGCATCTATCCCCATCTGCTTCACCCACTGCTAGCACTTACGCGTATACACTGCACACCTCTCGCGGCCCACTCCGAGCAGGGACAGTAGTCCACTGCACGAACGGATACAGCGGCCATCTCCTCCCTGATCTAAGAGGGCTCATCCACCCCTTCAAAGGAACAATGACAGTCCAAGACGCACATAACGCCGTCTCAAACCAGGGATCGACTATCTCGTGGGGCTTCCACTACCCTCCCACGTACAACCCGGAGACCAAACGGCTCGGCTACGGACTCTTCTATCTAGCACAAAGTGCTAAGACCGGGTATTTCTACTTCGGCGGCGAGAATGCACCCCTTGAATATTCGGTTTCCGGTGACGATAGCTTCGTCGCGGAAGAGTCAGTTGCACATCTCGAGAATGCTCTCCCGCGTTTCTTTGGTAAGGATGATAGGTCCTGGCGATTGGTTAGTTCGTGGAGTGGGATTATGGGGTATTCTGCTGATGGTCTTCCGCTGGTCGGCCGGCTGCCTTCGTCGCTGACGGGTCGGGAGGGCGAGGGGGAGTGGATTGCTGCTGGCTTCAATGGGTATGGCATGGCGAATAGTTTGATGAGTGGGGAGGCATTGGGTTTGATGATTCTGGGTGAAGATGTTAGTAGTTGGCTTCCAATTGCGTACGGACTGGGTGAAGAGAGACTCCGGGAGACGCTGACGGTTCCTGGGGCCATCAATGCCTTGAAGTCGAAGCTATGAATGATAGTTATGCACGCTCGCCGTCGGTATGTGTATGAGACTTTGTGCTAATAGAAGATATTGCATTTCGATTTTCAGCTTGACTAACTGTCATTCGAATGAAGGGTATCGGAGTTCTCTGTCTATGTTCACATGTTTGCCAAAACTGAAGTGTTTTTTTTTTTTTTTTTTTTTTTTTCAATCACGGACCCGCTTCACCTCGCGAGCTATCACCATGGCTTTCATTTGAAGCAATAAAAAAGCTTGGGAAACAAAAAGACATGGACTCGCGGGGAATCGAACCCCGGACCACTCCCATGCTAAGGGAGTATTATACCACTAAACCACAAGCCCATTTGATGAAAGTCGGCAACCGAATATCGGCCTAAGGTGGGCTGGAGTGGAGTGGTTCGGCTCGGCACCAATCGGCCGTAGGTCAGGAACGGGACAACTCGGTGGTCACGAACTCCATCAAAGAAGGCTGGTCCGGTGATGCAGCGGACGATGACCAAGTAGACGGTGTTGACTTTGTATCGCGTTTTTCCCGATTTCCGCGTCCGGTACCATCGATACAGTGGACTTTGTAGACCTCGACGGACAACTCATCGCGGGAAAGAGCAACCTTCATCTTTCTCCGTTTAAAGGAATTGGGAGAGGAGGGGGAAAGCAAAAGTTCACCATGTTGAGGGTAGATCGGGTCCCAGGCGCGATTCGCTTGGGCATCTCTGTCGTCCTTGGGTTTGGCCGGTTCGTTGGACGCAATGGCGAAGACCACGTCAAGCAACAAGAGATGTGTGATAGCGGCTTCCACTTCCTGTCTTTGAGAAACATGGCCAGGAGACTTGAAGTCCGGATACATGGGACTATTGAATGACACGTTGAAGCTAGTCCCAAATGGTGGTGAGGAAAGGCTGGTGCGGACTGCGATCGAGAAAGAGCCACGAGGGGTCAAAATCTTCCCACTAAATGTGGACTCAAAGGGAGCGAGGAATTGTCCAACGAAGGCCTCTACAGCTGGAAGATGAGCGGCTGGGGCCTGCTTTCCTATGGAGAAAGACTTTGTGGTGTACGCTGGAGGGTTCAACTTTGCAGATTGCAAAACACCGAAAAGGTCCTTCAATAATGATTGCACCCAGCGTACATCGGAAATGTGCTTGATATAAGTTAAAACCGGCCGAATCAGTTGATACTCGGGAATAGATGGCTTTTTAGGGGTTAAGGGGGGCGGGATTTGAGATCGACGGCGCAGGTTCTGGCGGTGGGCATACGCCAACAAAATCCCGATCGCATGACCTATCCCCTGTGCAAGAGTAGTTCCTTGCCGCGTGATGCCATCTTCGGGTTGCACTTCATCGGCATCCACCAGATCCAGTAGGATCTCAAGGTCGTCGGAACCAGGGACTTCTATGAGATTCTCACGAGTCGTCACGCCAAAGCTCGCAATCGCTCGGGCTTCCCGGACAAGCTCATGGAACAGCTCTTCTTCGAATAGAGTATCACGGGCTTGTCGAATGCGACTCTCAATGGTGTCTCCGCCATCCAAGGCCGAGCGGGTCGGTTTAGAGTAACCCACCAGTCGACCATCTTGTATCACCCGCACACGGACATAACTGGCTTTGGAGGGTACCACTCCTTCGTCCAAGTGTAAACTTCCATCTTGCGCTCGGTGAAGGGGGGCAAGGCCTCGGTCGCGGAAAATTGGGGTGGCTGTATTCAAATTTGATTAGAAGATGATTCGTGTGGTGTCCATGCCACGGCATGCGCTTACATTCGAGGAACCCATATTGCACGGCCAAATTTCGCCCATTACGGGGTGAACGGCAAATCCCCCACCCTTTATCCTTGATAGCCAATACCTCATTCCAATATCGGGTCTCCGCCGCGACCTCGGTTTCAAGTCTGGACGCAGCCTGCAGAAGCTTGTTGGCGGCCGCCTTGAAATTTTGGATCCGCCATCCTCTCGATACCACCGATATGTCTTTGGCAGCCGATGCCGGTTTTGGGGGAGGGTTCACGACTTCGGCATGGAGGGAGCCAAGGGGCGCAATTTGCTTGAGGTAGGGCGAAATGGAGGTCTCGGCCTGGCGGGGGAGCTGTTTGGATAGCAAGAGAGATACAAAATCGAGGGCGAACAAGGTCTCCATGTGAGCTTTCCTAGAAGGTCATCAGTTTGTATATTCAAGAGTCCATCTCAAAGCGATTGGACTCACATGGCGAACTCGGTGATCTCGGTGCGCCGCTTGTACAATTGTTCCAAGCGCTCTGTCGAGTCGAGATCGGTCGCATCTTCATCACTCTCATCTTCCTCGCTCACTCCATCTTTATCTGCCTCCTCGGCCATCTTTTGGCGAAGGACCTCTTCGTTCACATCGCGAAAGGAGCCCCACTGGCTGTTGATTTGCGCGATCTCCACGGGAAGGGTATCTGGACGCTCACGCTTCTCGTGGATATGGCGCAAAGGCAGAGTGAAGGAGTCAGCCATGGTGACAATTCACCGGACAGTCCACCCCACTGTGGCCGCTAGCTTGGGAGGTGAATGAAAAGATTGGCTTAAAAGCAGAGCAGTAGTAGAAGGACGACTCACCTCACGGGTTCGATCCGGTGACGTAAAAGCACGTGATCTCCGTGCTGTAAGTAGACGAAATACCAAGGCTTGATTTCTTCCTCTTTGATTGTTGATCTAGTGAGAAGTTGGTTTCTGTATGAAATGGTAATTATGAAAAAAAGCATCGAATCATAGAATGTGTAGGTAACTTGGACTGTTAGAATCGAAACGTTCAAATATCCTCCATAACGTGCAAGATATATACCTTACTCCCCCGGGTCCACTCCAGTCCGAACGTCGTCTCACAGTTTTCGATGGAAGAACCTAGGTATCAGCATAAAATGCAATAAATCTCCATTGAATAGATAACAGGCGTGGAGGTATATTGATGGGCTTCCATGGAACTGATTGTATCAAATCACGGCAGCGAACTGCTGTGTTGATCTACGCGTCTCCGCTATTCCCAGGACATCCCACCTTCAACCTCTTCTCCACGCAATTGCCAGAACATCTAGAATCCTCTTATTTACCCAGTATATCGCCAATCAGACTTCACAATCACCTGCCATACTTCCGCAATCCAGCAATGGCCTCATATCTAGTGACCGGCTCCTCCCGGGGTCTCGGATTAGCACTGATAACGCGCCTAGCAAGCCTGCCAAAGTCCGAAGTGGGAACCATCATCGCCACCGCTCGCCGAGACAATTCCGCTCAAATCAACGAGATTGCCAGCGCCTCATCAGGACGAGTGCAAATGGTGAAACTAGACGTCACCGATGAATCCAGTGTGAAAAAGGCCGTTGGCGTAGTAGAGCGCCAACTGCAAGGTAAAGGGCTCGACTATCTAGTCAACAATGCCGGAGTGACAGACTGGTCTCCAACGGGGTTGGAAGGAATGTATGTTGGGTGCTTTCGCTGATTCGCTCATAGCGTTTTGATATAGTTACTGACTTTAATAGGGACAATCTAAACGAGGTCTTGAATGTGAACGTCACGGCGCCTCATCTAGTGTCGCGCGCTTTTCTGCCTCTTCTTCGCAAGGGCGAGAAAAAAACAGTAATAAATATGTGAGAAGTGCATCATTGTCGCATGGGCGTGGTCATACTGTTTGAGAAGCTAACCAGCGCAAGATCGACGACCCTTGGCTCTGTAGCTATGGCCAATGCGTTCCGACCCCTGCCTACCCCGGCATATAAGATCTCGAAGGCAGCATTGAATATGCTCACTGTGCAATATGCCCAGCAATATGCGGACGAGGGCTTTACTTTTCTTGCGATTAGTCCTGGTGTGAGTCAAGATTTCCGGTTCCTTTCCGTTCTTTACAGCTTCGCTAACAGGAAAGTGGCTTCGCACTGATCTGGGTGGTCGTCGGGCTCATCTTTCAGTTGAAACGGGTGCTGAAAAGGCAGTAGAAATCATACAAAAGGCAACGCCGAAGCAGAATGGAAAATTCCTGAACATACATGTTCCCGGATGGGAGGCGCCAGAGGGCGCAGATCAATATGATGGCGAAGAGATTCCATGGTGATACATACGATTATCATATCAATCGAAACTTCAATTGTGATATCTTGCGTACGAAGTCCTATTCTTTGCCAGGAAGGAATGGTCACAAATGCAAGAGTGGGTGGGTTGTGGGATATCTAATCCCATTCTCCGCCATCAACCCAACGTTCTAAGACAAGATCGATCACATGCAAACAAAGCCGCTCGCCACTTCAGTTTTTCTTATGCTGCCGAGTCCTGACAAAGTCCACCAAATCAAAGAAGCTCTTCTTGTAGTACCGCTGCTGGGTCGTGCGATTGACAGCTTGGATACCAAATTGTTGCGAGTAGTCACCAAACTCCCAGTTGTCAACGAAACTCCAAGCCAGCGCTCCCATAACATGCACACCGTCTTCATATATCGACTTGAGAATCTCAGACATGAAAGAAAGATAATACACACTGCGTGGTGAGTCGAAAAGTTGATCAGAGAGCGCTTCCTTCGTCGACTCCCCATATACCGGGAAGCCAAACTCTGACACAAATACTGGGCTTTTGAAAGTATTCCAGAGGTAGAAGAGATACTCCCGGAAATGTGTCGGCGTGATATACACGTAAGATCCAGAGCGATAACCAATATTCCATCCATGGACATTTGTCCATTCTTGCGTGACGCAGTAGGGGAGAAGCGAATTCGACCCTGGTTCACTGGCAGCACAAGCATCGATACCTTCGTCAGGCGGCGATACAACCGTAGCGGTGTACGGGTCGACGCCGAAGAAGTCGGATGTTTTACCGATGTATTTCAGTTCGGCTTTACTCAATGGCTTTGCTCCGGGGAGTGTTTTCAACACGGATTCCGGGTACTGCTTTCCCAAGAAGATTGGGTTGCCGAAGATACCCAGCTGCATCTCTTGGAAGCGATCAGCTGCCAGGACATGGCTGGCGTTTTTCGGATCTTTGGGCACTCCAAAGTTGTCGTTGAATTTGATACCCATTTTTCCGGTGGCCTTGAGCGTGTCGCGGTAGAAGCGATAGACCTGAGCATGTGCCTTGACGACATGGTCAACGCCTTTGAAATTGAAAGCATAGAGTAGGGGCTCATTGAAGGTCACCCAAATAGGGACTCGGTCTGCATAATGCGAAAGCAAAACCTGCGAAGTACCATATCAGTCTTGTACGCCGATCGATCATGCATGCATGGAGAACATACCTTGCCGTAGTTGACAAATGCGTCAACAAAGGTTTCATTCTGATAGCCCGCATTGTTGTAGCCAATATCGGGGCGTCTCTTCATGTCGTCATCAGCGACAAACATCAATGGGCTATCGAAATGCAGCATCGTGACGACTGGCTGGGACGGTTGTCAGTATTTAGAGCAAGATAGGCATAGGAAGATGATTTAGTACTGACCTTCATTCCCGCCTCAAGAATCGTGTCAATCAAGTCATCATAATGATCGATGGCCTGTTGGTTAACAGGAGTCCCCGGATGAACAAACGGCAAAATGCGTGTCCAGGGGATTGTAAAGCTGTAATACTCCACACCCATCGCTGCCAGCCGCTGGATATCTTGCTTGTACAAGAAGTAGTTCTCGTTGGTGACATAGTCCTTAGGCTGACTGTCTGATACCAATTTCTCCAGCAACGAGGGGCTCCGACCTTCTAGACCGATCGCGCCTTCAATTTGAGCAGCGCTTCCTGCTACACCAAACACAAAGTCCTTGGGGAATGTGTAGCAATCGGTGGGTCCAAAATAATCCGGCGGTGGCAAGACCAGCTCACTGCTAGGCACGGGGGTGGGACTGACAGTGGTTGAGAACAACCCGGTGGTAGTCTGATAAAGTGAGCTTCAGTTCTTTCCCTCGAATGTTGTGCTTTTTGTGGAAGTTTGGAAACATACATAGTTGTGAAGGTCCGCCTGTAACCACATTGAAGACCACGCGGCTTGCCCATATGGGTCGTCCGTGTCAGTGGCACTGATCTCGGTTTGCCCCGGAAGCCAACTTCCCCAAGTCGACGTTGACAAGCTGGTAGTCAGATGTTTGACAGCATCTGTATACACCGGGCCAAATTTCTGTGTTTTTGTTGGGGATGGCATCGACGTTGCATATCTTATATATGGATTAGAAAGGCGTGGGATTCAGCTCTTCGTGTACATATTACATACCGAACTGTCTCGTTCAGTGTATACGAGAAGGGCTGGAAGTGGTAACTTGGCTTCATATTCGAGTGCCCTGTACATTGTGGTCGTGCGGAATCACCGGTTGTCGTCAGATATACCTCCTGTGCCTGCGCGGCCGCAGCCAACGCGGTAAGACCAATCAATCCTCGCATTGCAAACAAAAATGCCAAAAGTTGATCTTGTTATGACCAGCCGGGCTCGTTCCTGAATAAATAAGTTTCCTCAGGTGTCAAAGCAGAGACATCGGCGAATTGCCGGCCCCATTATGGAGCAGCTCATTGTCGGTCCATGGAAACAGCACATGTATGGCGTCAACCCTAATATGGAGGACCCTCAACTGTGATACGCCCAATGCCACTTAGTCTTCGGACTAACCCACCAAAGGTCATTGATCGTCACCAAAACGCGGCTTGTACCGACGAAGTTGCAGTGTCTGGTTGCATCACCCCTGGCAATTCCCTGGTTCTCCGCATTGTCCCCTGGGGCCCCTCATCTCGTAAACGCGGAGAACGCATTTAGGCAGTGAAGAGTCTTCTTCTAAGTTCTTCACACCAAGTGGGGGCCTTATCCTGCTAGAGGAATTATCGTGACGATCCCTTGCCTCACAGTATTCGCGCTTCGGAAGAACAAATTCCATTTCGTTGGGGCGGGAACGTACATTGAACATAGCACTTCCGTTCGCATAATGTCCTATACGCTCTTGTATACAAATAGAGAAGCCTCCTTCATCCAATTGGGCTTGTGGTTTAGTGGTATAATACTCCCTTAGCATGGGAGTGGTCCGGGGTTCGATTCCCCGCGAGTCCATGTCTTTTTGCACTTTTGCTTTCGAGTCTCTGCCGAGGGTGGGGACTCGATTATAGAGTTTTGCAGTTATTTCACCGCCTTTGACTGATATACCTAATACTGGCAGTTCCTTCCAATCAGCTCGCATGGCTTAGCGGTAAAGCGCATCACTAGTAATGATGAGATCCTCGGTTCGATTCCGAGTGTGAGCAATTCCTTTTTTGGTTTTTCATTTTATTGTGCGCTCAATTGGTGCGGGGTTAGTTATGCAAATTTCTTCTCTTCGCAAAGAACCATCACAATGCAAACGACCTCGTAGACACTGGACGGGGAGATATAGTAGTAGTTCCAAGGGAGCCTTGTTCACTCCTCCCTGTTGAAATCAATCACAATACGCCCAGAAACTTCCCCCCTCCGCAGTTTCTCCACAGCCTCCGGCATGCGATTCAACGGGTACACTTCGCTGATCTGCTGCAATTTACCCCGACGAGCGAAATCAAGCGCCATAGCAGTATCCCTTCGGCTACCAACCAGGGTGCCCTTGATAGTAAGATTCTTGAAGCAATACTCACAAGGATCAGTGCCCAAAGTCGTGGATCCCGCAGCCGGAAGACCAATGCACATGATAATACTCCCAATGCGCTGTCCAATAAACGAAACCGCAGTCTTGTATGCAGCAGGAGCAGTCACGACGACTCCATGAGCGCCAACCCCATCGGCAATGTCAATAACAGCCTTAGCGGAGTCCTCGACTTCCTTGAAATCCACAAAGGCCTCTGCTCCCATCTCAATAGCCAACTTCTGCTTCGACGCTCCCGTGTCCACCACGATAGGACGCATGCCCATCGCTTTGGCGAGCTGTACACCTTGAATGCCCACGCCGCCACCACCGCCTGGGAAAACAACCCAAGCCCCCGACCGAAGATTGGACTCAAGTAGGGACCTGTAGATAGTGCTCGCGCTGCACATAATGGGCGCTGCGATTTCGTCGGGTATTCCATCTGGAATTGGTGATGCATACCGCGCCGGTGATACCAAGTATTGTTGGTAGGTTCCTATTACAATTAGCCAGTTGGCCCATAACAATACATAAAGGTTGGTTGCCCTTACCTGCCGTCATCAGACCAGTGTGAATTGCCGCCTTGCAGTACGTCTCCTTGTCATCCCAGCAAAGCTCACAGGATCCGCATGTATCCATAATCGGTTTGATGCCGGCTCTGTCGCCTAGTTTGAAGTTCTTCACGTTCGCCCCCACTTTCACTACTACACCAGCACCTTCGTGTCCTGGGGACCGCACCCCGAACGCGGACATGGGCGGGGTCCCTAAGTCATTTTGCATCAAGTGGATGTCGGATGAGCAAAGGCCTGTGCAATTCAGCTTGATCAAGATATCGTCGGGGCCTATATGAGAAGAGTTAGTAGCTGTGATATTGTATGACCCGGGAATTGGGAATGGGGTTACCTGGAACTGGTACAGGCACCGTCTGTACCTCGACATGGAAATTAGGACCTTCGTTGACTACCACTCCTGCTTTACAGTGAGTGGGGATCTCGAATTGAGGGATATCAGTGATTGAGCCCATGTTGATTGTTTTTCTTTTGACGAGTTGGTGATGATGAGGTATGAGCCGAGAACTTGTATCTTAAATTGAATAGCTGGATGATGCACAGTATATGCAATGCATGAAAATGGGTAGCCGGAGTCAGACCGAGGCAGCATGCTGGGGAAAGTCATCGCCAGTGCAACCCCTCCTTCTTCCAAGTTTGTCCCGTTCATCTTGGATTGGATTAGCATGAAGATGCGGGGATGCACTAAGGATTGTAGTATATCAGTAATCAGTAACTCCGCACTGCCTCCGGTTATCCGAACTGACAATCTTGGAAGATCATTGGGGAGGCTTGAAAATAGGGCAACTGAGCGCGAGGATAATATGTCAAATTGAATAGATTATTCACACAAAATGCCAGTCACGCCTTGAAATTAATGTAAAAAGAATCACAGCGCATGATATACTCCATAGCACAACAAAAAGAAATGCATAAATAAGAGCAGCATCATGGCTAAAAGAAAAGAAAACAACTTCATTCCCAAACCATCCACCCGCATGTTCCAGCAATGAGGACCATCATCAGCACCGTCAGAATACCCGCCCCAGCTTTGTCACCCGTATTTATGCGGCGTTCGAGACCGGGCGGAATCGTCTCAGGGGGTTTGGATCCTGCGTTTGGATTTCCTTTGCTCGTCCCGCCGTCATCCTTGGTGACTGGCGATGACACCCGGTTAATGAGATTAGCCTGGATAACTTCGAGAGTAGCCATCTGTTGCCCGAAGTCCTTCGTTTTGTCCCATTTCTGATCTGTCCACTTCATACCGCATACGTTGCCGTTGACACCTCCGGTACAAGTCTTGGCAGCTGCGCGGGCAGAAGCTTTGAGTCGTTTCATCAGTGTGTCAGCTACGGAGGGGGCCATTTGGGCGGTTTGGGCCATCCAGCGAGCGAGATATCCCTTGAACGAGCGCTGGTCGACCATGCAGGTATTGACTGACTCGCATGCTCGCTCGAACATCACGTCGGGTGGGTCGTGGGAGAAGAAAATGCTTGAAGATTCGACGATTCTCTCGGTGCGCTTCTTCCATTTGGGATCTTCGGTCTGTTTACGGTGTCAGATATTGTTTGAGGCTTCCGGACTTAAGTTTGCTTACCAAATTATACATATTGGCTGCGCCCAGCAAGTATACTCCGGCATTGTAAGTCCACTCAATCTGGTTGATCGGTTTGCAGTCTGTGAGGAGACTGGCACCGTCCCAGAAACGATATTCGGGGGTCATGAATCCAACATCGGCAGTCCAGTCCCAGGCCTTTTCAGCCCATTCTTGGTACGTCGCGTTGTGGGTATATCTTGCCAGACGAGAAGCAAGGTTGAAGAACCCACCGGTAGAGATGGTGTTCTTATAATTGTAGCCATTGTTCCACGTGAATATCTGCCAACGCAAGCCACCACCGCACGATGTATCATCCCAACGGGGGGCTTGTGTGTTGAAAACAGCCTGCGCCATTTCTAGCCACTGGGGCTGGTCTTCAGGAGGATTAGGGAAGTTTCTCTCCGCGGCAGACATGGCAGCGAAGCCCCAGAAAACTTGGTCGTCGTTTCCTTCCGTTTGGGTTTGATTGTTCGGCATGAATGCTTTGTTCTCTCCGGCCTGCCAGAGCATACCTTGTATCGTGATGTCATTCCAAGTATCGTCGCCCGTGTAGAACCAATAGTCAATGAGTGCGTTGAACATGGCACCGGCCTCCCACCAGTAGTACGGATCTGGCAGGTTGCCTGGGTTGTCGCCAGGATTCATACCGGTGTAATAGCTCATCATATTGGTGGCGACTTGTCTAGCGGCCTTTTTGATGGAATCTTTGGTAACGAGTTAGTCAGTATGCATGGTGGCACTGTAACCTGAAATACTAACCTCCATCCTCAAGATCAAGCTCTATTGCTTGCACGGTCGAAGTGCCCAGTAGAGCCGCAGCCAGTAGACCCATCCATGATGGCTGCGATGTGTATTTCAGCACGCGCATAGCGACTTATGCACGGAAGCCCCCGACGCTAGAAGCGCGGGAATGACCTTCAAGATTGGCCCAAAGCTGAACTGCTGACCCCGAATTTCACAAAGATGGGAAACCAAGGCGGCCGAATTTCTGCAAAGTGATTCAATTGTCCCTGGTTCGGGAATCGCGTACGAAATAACTCAATTTCGAGTTTCAGGCGACGTGATATAATGAAGAGTTCCCCAACCTTTAGCGGGATGGGTTATAGAAAGACGAAAGAGAACCCTAGAGAACGTCAGGGCCTGCAAGAGACAGAGATGGGAAAGAGAATTGAGTGTGTATGTGGATCGGAGACCACATTCCAACTGCCTCAGGAGCACTGGCATGGTAACAAGGCGTGGTTCCCTAAACCTTTATCGCAGCTCCTGTAGGGGGCATTGAACGAAGGCATCTTCAATTCTCGAATGCATTAAGCATGAGTTCCACAGATACAAGATCATTCTACCCAAAATAGATCAATGAAACCACGAAGGTGCAACGGAAGCCCGGCATTTCCATGGTCCATCTTGTTGGCGCTCCACAATGAGCCATCGGCGTGGCATTCCGGAGCAGCTGTCAAACAGATCAAGTTGATCAGTTAACAGGGGCCAACGAATCAGACGAGGGTTTAGCTGATTAGAGGAGGCAGTGGATAAAGGGTGTGGGCAGGATGGTTCAAGGCCGCAAACGACCGCGATGCAACGATCGCCGCATTCCGATGTTGTAACCTGTGCCCCTGTTCAGTAGGGGCCCGCGCCTTGTTGCTTGTCTTTGTGCTGACCGGTACACTGAAGCGATACAATCAGATTGTAGGGTTCCTTCCAGCTTAAAAAGTAACAGGTGACTCTGTGCCCAGGCTCAACTGCGTTGAAGAGGTTCGCGTCCAGCCTAGGGGCTAGTTAGAGCTTCCAAGGTCTCGGCATACCGCAGGGGTAAACCCCTAGGGAGGCTATGTAATATCGACCTCCCCAAAGGACAACTCAATCCTGAACAGAGGAGACACATGCGAGTCTCTGAAGGTCTAGTTAAGTTAGGGTGTACGGAGTACAAGTAGTTTGTTTGCTCAATAATGAGAAGGAGGACAAATAGGTGTGTCTGCCTTGTTGCCTGATTATCCTTGTTCCTGATTATGTGGCCTGAACTCTAAAGTTGCAGCCTGAGTTCTCTGCCTGGTTTATCCGGCATTAACCAGTTGGCGTTTGCGACGTCTTGCAATGAAAAGTGCAAACTTAACAAACATTCAAACAATTTTACAGGAAGAGCTCAATATAAATATTTGACCATACTACTAACCTGATAAACAAGGCCAGAATAGGAAAATGGTCAACTACTTCATTCCCCGTCGGAATCAAATGTCGTCCCGACGATCGCCAATAGTGCGGACAGCCAAGTGCTGCAGCCGCCTTGTTGGGGACTGACTCCGAGTCTCCGACCATCAAAGCAGCATCGGCGAAATCCGCAGGTTTACGGAAGTTGCCATGGCCTAGTTATATGCCCCAAAAGATCGTCGGACATGATGCGGAACTACATACACATCCCACGGTTGTATCAACCTTGACGCAGTGACTCAGTCTGATCCCCTAGGTCCGTAGGGTCTGTACACAACCCCGCCACTATTTTTTGTTCGGATACAGGCCCTTTGAGCCATTACAGTGGTTTTCTCACAATAAATATAAATATACCGGAGCAGATTTGCTGTCGGTATCTCTCCGTGTATCTCACAAAGGCAGAAAACAACTTCTACCATGCGAGGGAATATGGGGAGACTGTCGGCAGCACTGGCAATATGTGCCAATGCTTTTGCAGCAACTGTCAGTTCAGAGTTCCTTGTCGCCTCTGCTGGCGACGTTGCGATTATCCCAGGGTGGCATCTTCAGTCAGTGACCAGAGTACCAGACAACATGACTGCATTATCCGCTCCGGGGGCAGATATCTCATCATGGTACAGGGTCGGTGCCCGGGGCACTGTCATGGCTGGACTCATCGAGAACGGGGTATACAACGAGACGGATGTGTTCTTCTCAGACAATATGGAATCTGTCGCCAATCCCTCGATCTTCGACAAGCCATGGCTTTACCGCGAAGAGTTTACATTAAACCCAGCAACTGGCCAATACTTCACCCTCAAAACCCACGGAATTACATCCAAGGCAGATATCTATCTGAATGGGGTGCTCGTCACGAAAAGCGACCAGCAGCAAGGCTCCTATGGCGGCAATCAGTACGACTTGACCGACCATGTCAAGAAAGGCGCAAATTGCCTTCTCATTCGTGCTTATCCGACAAACTATCTTCGCGATTTTGCCATGGGGTTCGTGGACTGGAATCCCTACCCAGCAGACAATGGTACCGGGGTCTGGCGGCACGTAGACCTTGCTCAGACCGGAGCGGTCTCAATGTCACCACTTCGCATCATCCATAATTTTGCTGCCCCCAAAAATGAGCCGGTGAAGGTCACTTTGCGAACTGACTTGATCAACCATGAATCCATAGACCACCGGGTCGTGGTAAGCGGCACTATCACAGGACCAGATGGTCATGAAGTTGCCCAATTCAATGAGGCGTTCGCTTTGACTTCAAACGGGAAAGAAACGGTCGCCTTGAATGTGACAATTCCCAATCCTGCTATTTGGTGGCCTGCAACTTGGGGTGAGCAGCCTTTGTATACAGTACAGGCCGATGCCATCATGCAGGAACCTCGAAAGACCGTGTCGGATAGCTCAAATCGTCGACAGTTCGGCATTCGTCATGTGTCATCTAACTTGAATCGCTTTAATGACACCGAATTCTTTGTCAATGGCGAGCGCTTCCAGGTCATTGGAGCCGGGTATGGACCGGATATCTTCCTACGATTTGACGTTGAAAAAGTTCGGACAATGTTCAGATACATGCTAGACATGGGTCTCAACACTGTGCGCTTGGAGGGAAACCAGGAGCACCCTGAACTTTATGACCTCGCCGATCAGATGGGATTGATGGTTCTGGCCGGATGGGAGTGCTGTGATAAATGGGAAGCGTGGGAGGTACGTCTCGAGAGTTCATCAAATGTCCTTGCCCACCGCTAAAACTCAGATGTGTTTAGTACAATCATGATGCCAACGGCGTCAAATGGAGTGAATCGGATTATCCGATTGCAGGAGCTGCGATGCTACACGAGGCAGAGATGATGCAAAGCCATGCGTCGATGCTTGGATTTCTGGTCGGATCAGACTACTGGCCAAATAACAAAGCGACGGAGGTCTACCTGGATGCTCTCAAAGCTATGGATTGGCCTAATCCGATCATTGCGTCCGCCAGCAAGCGTGGATATCCCAAGGCCCTTGGACCATCCGGGATGAAAATGGACGGCCCATACGACTGGGTACCTCCGAACTACTGGTACAACGACCAACAGGGAGCAGCATTTGGCTTTGGCTCCGAACTGGGTGCTGGAGTTGGAACTCCGGAGATGGGCAGCCTGAAGAAATTCATGTCCGATGCTGACCTCGACACCCTGTGGAAGGAACCAGATGCGAAACTGTATCACATGTCCCGATATGATTCACAATTCTACGACCGTTCCATTTACAACAAGGCTCTCTTTGCTCGCTACGGGAAGCCAGCTAGTCTGGAGGACTACATCATCAAGACTCAAATGGCAGATTATGAGGCTACCCGAGCCCAATTTGAGGCTTACTCAACGCAACAAAATGCCAGTCGACCAGCCACAGGACTTATCTATTGGATGTTGAATGGTGCCTGGCCAAATCTGCACTGGCAGCTGTTTGACTACTATCTCAGCCCGATGGGAGCTTACTATGGCACCAAGGTTGGAGCGCGCCTGGAACACGTTGCTTATGACTATGAGAACCAAAGTGTTTGGTTGATTAACCATTCACTTGAAAAGAAAGGCGATCGGCAGATCTTGGTTGATTTGATTGATGGCAATGGCAGGAAAATCTCCAGTGAGAAAGTCAAGGCCACTACAAACCCGCTTTCCTCCAAGGTGGTGACTTCGCTTGGTGCCGTGGATCAGATCAAAGATATCGCTTTCCTCCGTCTTATCCTCACCGATTCCAAGACAGAAGAGGTCCTCAGTCGGAATGTGTACTGGCTTTCTCCTACCATTGATGAATTGGATTGGTCCGAGTCCGATTGGTTCTACACACCAGTCGCCAAGTTTGTCGACTACACCAAGCTGAAGGAATTGAATACGGCTACTCTGAAAGCTTCGGTGAATGTTTTGAAGACGCCGTCAGGAGATGGATTGACTCACGCCGAGGTCGTGCTTGAAAATCAATCCTCGAGCCCAGCAGTTTTCATTCGGCTTAACGCTGTCAATGCACTCAGCCAGCAAGACATAGCCCCTGTTTATTGGTCCGACAACTACGTGACTCTCTGGCCGAAAGAGAAGGTTCGCGTGACTGTCGCTTTCCCCGAGGATATCCAGCGATCTTTGATCGAGATCACAGGAAGAAATGTGAAAAAGATGAGCCTGGAAATACACAAATGAGTGAGAAACAAGTTAAGGACCTGCAATTTGCTCCTGTGATTCGAGGACATGCGATTGTTGCTACCTCCTGTATATAGAGCGTGTCTGATATCTGGAACCTCATATCCCAAGGCTAATATCTATACTACAACCGAAGCTTGAAGAACGTGTGTCCTGATCGCTTGGCATCATTTGAATTGTATGTATTGTTCTCCTCAATCCATATGAAGATACTCAATGAATTCAAATTTACCATCATGAGTATCCCTGAGACATAATCAGATTGAAATAGATTACCATAGAGAGATCATCTGTTAAACAATTGAAGGGAAAAGAAAGGTGATAAAAACCGATACATATGAGGGTGAGACAAAATTCATGAAGAATGCAATCCAGGGTGTACATCAAATCAAGCACATTCAGTCGGTCTGTGCAACAGGCTCAGCATATATGACATCCTCGCCCCGGTATACTCCACCCCAAGGACAGTGGGACTCTTAATGTCTTCGGAGTACAAGATGTTGAAATGCTGGCCTTTCGAAGCACATAATGTAGACCTTTGTTTAATGTCCGGGAAGTTCAGGACACCCTTAGCAGGCGTGCTTGCCCACAAATAATATAACGAGATACTCTGCAAAGCCAAGAACCCTTGACCAAGCTCTTTGAGTAACGGGGCCCAGTCATTTCCCGGCGCCAGCGAGACATGATACAATGTGAGTGAAATCAAGTTCGGGCGGACATTACCGAGTAGTTTATGGAGATCAGCAGCCCGCATGGTTGTTCGGAAAAACGCAAGTTCACGCAGTTTGGAGAAGGAGGCGGTTTCAGCCAGCTCATGCATGAATTCAGCCGCTAGGTCGTGGGAGCCAAGATTCAACAAAAGTGTCTGGAGATTGGGGGCGCTGAGAACCAGCTCAAGCAGGAAACCGAAGTTCTCCAAAGTGAGATACTGCTCCAGAGAGAGTTTTTGTAGATTGCTCCACACATGTTTGAACTGCGGTTGGCGATATAGGAGCTTGGGGAGACGACGCATATCCATCATCAATGTGCGGGAATATTTATTTGCATAGATGAGATGAAATGACGAGACTGGTAGACCGGCATCGACGACGAGGGCAAAAAATATGGCGACAGCATCCGTGACAGTAACATGGCTCATCTCCGGATGGCCCTCTGGGTATCGACAGAAAATAAAAAACGAACGACAGTTAGTCAAGTTCTGGATCAGATTATCTCGCAGGCTTCGGATGGCTTCAACCTCCAGGGGAGCAGATATGGGACCCCATGGATGACGGTTCCAGACTAAGCCGCGACCGACTCCGTTCTGAAGCACGAAGGCTAAACTTTGCACGTAAGGGCACAATGCGACATTCCGAGAAAGTGCACTTATGCGATTCAGGCTTTCGTAGGAGAGGTCGGTCTTGATGGAGGAGAAGAAACGCTGAGCAAAGTGGTGGAATGTTTTTTTCTGGAGGTCGCGGCAGACTAAACGTAGGCCCAATAGACCATCTGCATCGAGGAGAGTTGTGATCGACTCGACCAGCTCAACTGGAAGTGAAGAGAAAGGAGGCAATGAAGTCGCTCTCATTATTAATGAATAGTTCTGAATATTTACATCTGTGTTTGTCTGTCGAAATGGGTCTGTAGGATCTGGAAAAAGGTGGAGAAAGTGGAGAAATAAGTTACCTTCCCCGGATTTTCACGTGTGAAAAGACTTTTGGTTACCCCTCACCTGGGAATAAGCCGGAATGAGGGGGAATCTATACGCAGTAGTACTTAAAAAAAGGTACCTCCTCCATAGCGAAGTACATGTGATATTGACTATGAGCGTGTGCTGTGGCACACGCAGGCATCAATTTGAATACCTGGTCCTTACCGACCTCATAATCAAAGCGGATGCATTTGACCCTCATATTCTTTGCCGACCTCAGGCATTGCTGACAGAAACCGACGTACGGGCATGGATGTAAGAGTAGGGCCACGACCATTCTATGCACACATAAAACAAGGGTGTTACACAACCGCTCCTTGTATTCAGAATGGTGACACCGGGAAAAGTGTGCAGTTGTCATAGCGATTACAAGTGAACCGGCCTCAGGCTAGTTCTGCAACTATGTGAAGATAGTCAACGTTGATTCATGCGTGCTGCCTTTTCATTCTGACTTGTAATGTATTCAACCCCTTATAATATAGTGCAACGAACCTAAATAACGAAATCCGTCGGATTCTCTACATCTGCTAGGCATGCATAGGCAGCATATTGTAGTCCGTCTTCTTTGTGGCTGTTACTCCATACAAAGTGCATCCATTGATGCGGATATTTGTTAGATATGAATGGTTTGGTTACCTAGCAACTGGAGAACCTTAGAACTCAAGACCTTGGATTTATGTCACAAAATTCCGTGGTAAAAAGCTGTAGGTCGTCGTCTTCGAGGGAAATCGTCTTCGAGGGAAAGTGCAGGTGTCGCGCCTTCCAATAGGGTCGAGTGCGTGTATTTAAGAGAGAAAATTTCTTACTTCCACGCTATCGTCCTTATCAACACTCAATCCGTATCACCACGCACCATAAACACGTGTGGCCACGCACTCCTTCATTACTATGTCTGATCTTATCGGTCCGAAGGTTGACTCCAAAGTTGACCGGGAGGAATCTCCCTTGAGTACTTTGGATGCAAATGTCGGAAGCTCCCAGCGCGACACCAGCCGCCTTGTCGCCGCCAGCGACGTAGTCGCCAATACCAATAACCCGGACCCGGTTCATGCCAACGTTGTCGTCACCGCCAGCAACGTCGTTGGCTCTAACGCCGTCGACAACGACATTACCAGCACCAGTGTCGCGGAGACCAACGACGTCGGTACCGACTTCCGCAATGCCGACGTCCAAAACTCCCATATCACCGCGACTGAACGCGACCTTCTGACACTCGCAGCTTTGCGTCTTGAAATAATCCGCGCGTTGGGCCCAGCACCTCCTGAGATACATCAAATAAGCAATCAATGTCTGGATAACTTCCAAGACCCAAGCTTCAGTCCAATTGGAGAACCTGGTCCCACTGCACCGCCCTCAGTCCATCCGCGACCTGTTGTCTTGGATGAAAGCGAGATCAGCTCGCTTGACCTAGGTCCCTGCATTCAGACTACCAATCTGCCCCCGCAGCTGAGCCTGCGCAACGCGACTTTGGCAAGTCTTCATCGTGTGGGGCTTGCCGGTACCGCTGGACCCGGGCTCGTGCCTGGCCCCGAAAATGACTCCGACAGAGTGAGTCAGCACCAACTCCGCGCCGAGGCCCTCGAGTCTGTTGTTATCACCTCCACAAGTGGCTCAGTCGTCAGTGGTCCCCACTTCAGTCAGCGCCAACGCCGTCAGAAGGAGACCAATCTCGTGCGTCCCACCCACGACGAGCTGTGGCAGTCCCCGGGCCCGGAGCAGATTGGCCATGGTCACGGAGATCGTTTCTCTGACTGCGAAAATGGGACAGAATATTTCGTAGATGAATCGAGCCGCCGCGTCTACTCCCTTTCGGCCCCGCACTCCCGTGGCTCGCCCAAGGCAATAACCGCAGTTTCTCGGCCTGCTCTCTTTCGGTCCATGAGCTCCTTCGGGGGAATGGAACCGGAATTTTTTGCTCTGTGTACCACTCATCGGCTAAGTCAAATTGCGGAGCGAGCCAGGGAAAAAGAATCCAGCAACTAAGTACCGCGCCACGGTACTTAAACTGTGGGAAGAAGAGGGATAACGAAGCCCGTTCCAGCATTTGAGACTCTGAGGGAATCAAGGCCTCCCTGGTCCGTTTTCGATACCGGTGTCTTGCGCTTTTGTGTACCTATCGCTGTCAAGAGAGAATATCAATGAAAGTCCTTCATCACATAATGGTCGATTTAAGTGCCTTCCTATTAGCTATCAGCATGAAGTCCCTTTGGTGTCCGCCTCACTCGCAAGCTGGCAGTGGGCTGACTCCACTGGAGAGCAATGTACTTCCCTTGACTTGTCGGGACACATGTACTCGAGTGAATGTATAACCGGCACACCTTGTACATTAGCAACTTGCGCTGTTAGGCGGACATAGTAAGAGTTGATAGGCAGTATTGTGGGGTATTGTGGCGACAAGGTAATCACATATGAGGCCCGAATGAATACAGCATTCTTACCTAGGAGGTACATAATAATGACCATCTATCCCGGTGAGATCGCTACGTAGAGACATCTCTCTTCGTACTTGACTCCGCGCTCAGTGAAATAGATGGACTTAACGAGGACCCAAAGCTGGTCCTAGATTGACTTATTTTATATACTAGACAGACTGTCTGTCGGTATAGGTATATTCCACTGTGACTTGGCGGCTAACGGCTTCCCACAACGCCGAGCGGCACGCAAGAAGGGAAGCCGCCAAGTCACAGTGGAATATATACCGACAGTATCCAGGAAGGAACTCTGCGGGAGGAACAGTAAAGATTCACTCGAAGATTGTGAGTCTGAGGAACGCAATCGATGTGTTAAGATAGCATATTAATTGTCAATCCGGAGTGCTGCCACGCCATTTTCATTGTGCGCATCCAAAATACTAGCACTAGACTCCTAGACCTAAGGACCTCCAGGCCAACGTCGGAATGAACCGTGGGATACCTTGATAGAGGTGCGTGATTCCTCTTCGCCGCCCATCGTGTTACGAGGTCTCGGTGTGGGAGAGCGTGGAGCGTGGGACTAAGAGCGGCCAAACCCCGTACTGTGACTCCACAGTAAAAACCGTCCAAAAAACCGCAATGGATGAAATTCAAATCAACAAACAAGGGAAGCGGAACAAAACTTGCAAGCGTCATTCGAAGACATTCTCTCAGTCACTGCAAGTTTTGTCCCGCTTCCCTTGCTTGTTGACATGAAATTCATCATTTGCACGGCTGCTATTGCACTTAGTGCAAAAGATAACCTACCTGAGTATCCATTCTTGAAGACGCAGGGCAAAGAGACGCGAGTGACTAGTGAGGACGAGGGGGTGAAGGTTTGAGTATGAGATGCGGGAGAAGTAGCGCGCGTAACCACCTACAGAGAATGAAAAGAGGAAATGTAAACAAAAATTAGTTACCGAGCGGAGGCGAGGACACGTGCGTCTCGCTTACACAAACCGCTAAGCCGTATCTAGTCTAGCGTATTTCTACTACCCATATTCCTCGACAGTTTGTCTACCTGGAACTGTATGGCTGTACATACACTGACATATTTGAATGGAACATATAATGTCACAATTGCCAGGGTATGACGGTCAGACGGTGTTCCCTAGGTCTCTATTATCATGTTCGGACTCAGGGGATATCTCAGTCGAAATACGCTTTCAGAGCGGGATTTGGACGCAAATTGCCCGCATCACAAAGGGATGCTCCAGCCCGGGCCAAACGGTTTCTTTCGAATCACGCAATCCAAAACCACATTCGCTCTGAAAAACCAAAAACGTCATAAGCATCATCGTCAGACGACCAGAGCAGAGTATAGAGGGAATGGACTTACCAAGAAAGTTGCGAGGCTTAGGCTCAACCCACGTGGATTCCAGTTGATCGGCCTCTTCTTTGCCAGACCAGAAATCCATATCGTCCTTCTTGACAAAACTTGTTCCTTTGGCAAATTTGTATCCCAAGAAAAGGGAAGCAAAAATGGGAATGTCAATATAAGGCGGGATGAAGGCCTTGGCGGTGAAATGGCCTGGGAAGAAAGCGTCAAAGCCATTGAAAAATGCCACAGTCGTGGAAAAGACTATAGCAAAGTATGCCATGAAAGGTTGAAAAGGTGATTTAAACGGAAGAGAGGATCGTGAGATGCCGTGATGTTTCAGCCCTTGGTAGAAACGAATATAGGTTGCACAGATTGAGGTCCACACGATCAGAGTGCTTACAGAGCTGAGGTTGCTAATCCAGAAAAACACTTCGGCCGAGCTTGACGAGACGTTGAGATAAATCAGCAGGCTCAACGCGGCAGTCACGGCAACACAGGCATATGGCACACCGAATCTCTCGAAGCGGAGCACCCGCGGTGCCTTTCCATCCAATGCCGTCGAATAAAGGATTCGTGTCGACGCATAGAAAAATGAGATACCAGCAGATGTTGCTGATGTGAGTACGACGGCGTTGATGATGGAGGGCAGTATGCGAATGCCTCCATTCTCGATCGCAATCACAAAAGGACTTGCCCCTACGCCTGCCGCCCCTGAGGCAATAGCATTCAGCAACCGGCCATCTCGAGACGAAACGCATAGACCGACAAGGAAGACGCTGCCAACATAGAAGATGGCAATGCGCCAAAAGACACGACGCACGGCCTTTGGGATATTGCGCCGCGGGTTTTCAGTCTCGCCTGCTGCAACGACCACCATTTCGCTGCCCCCGTAGCTGAACGTTGCCTGGATGAAGACTTTCCAAAAGGCGAGAAAGCGACCGAGATCCCCCTCTTTCAGGTACGTATTCATAGGACCCGGATGCTGCCAGTAGCGGAATCCGATGCGATCGTGCGTTGGCGCGCCGCCAAGTGTGATGATGAACATGAGCAGCATCAAGCCCACAATGGTTGTGAGCTTGATCGACCCTAGGACGAATTCGACTTCGCCATAAACTCGCACGGGAAGGCAGTTGACGGCAAAGATGACGACATAGAGGATGGTGATCCAAACGACGGGGGAGATACCGTTGGGCCAGTACTCGATCACTAGAGCAGCTGCGCTGATTTCGATAGGGACGCCAATGGCAAACTGATACCAGTAGTTCCAGCCCAGAGTGAAACCCAGGGCTTCATCAACAAACCGGGATGCATATACTGGGACAGCACCAGGTATGGGAAGCCATGTTGCCATTTCACCCATGCTGTTGATCACTGCGTACAGATTGAAGCCTGTGATAAGGTACGCAAGTACCGCAGACAAGGGGCCAGCCAGCGAAAGTACCTGGCCTGTACTCACGAAAAGGCCTGTACCAATAGCGCCAGAGAGAGCAAGGAACTGAATGTGTCTTGACTTCAGGCGTCGTTGCAAGGTGCCTGTGTCAATGGGTGCCCTGTCTGCTTTCAGAAATTCGGGTTGTTCAGGATACCCATCGTTGACTCTTTCGATGTCGTTGTCGGGTTCAATATGTGTCGCCATGTTCAGATGACGATGTCAGGTACATCGGGATACCTAGGTTGGTGAAGGTAAGAAGTGAGACGGCAGTCGTTGGCTGTCAAATGGGTACATTGTAGTCAACGGAGTAGATTTAGCCCCCGGTTATACAGAACGTGTGGGGTTGAGATGCGGAGTGCATATCTCTGAGCACTGTTAACATGGCCGATAACGCAGTCCGGATGTCGGCAGGCATTAAATTGATTCCACCAATAGTACGCCAATATCATTCCTGCCCATATCTTATTCAGTCGCTGATCTGCGGATTTCTCGTATCGCGGGGTAAGTCCGAGATCTCGCAGGGGCCCGAGCCCGAGCCTTGTACGCGTTTACGCGTTGCCGGAGTTGTATTCTTCGGTAGCATCGAGGCCACAAAAAAAACGAGACTTAAAGTGGATCATGAGGGGAAGAACGTTGAGCCACGTTGAGTCACGTTGGATAAGTTGAGGTTCTACGACCTAGGACCCAGACAAGGACACTTCTCAAGGTCCGATTCAACTGAAGCCCAGGAACCGTGCGATAACATGTCACCTCGCAACCATTATGAGCGCACACCATTCGGCCATGAAATGCTTCGGCATTTTTCTTTCCCACCTGATTATCGAAACTTAAATCATGGTAAGCATTGCCTGTTTCCCCGCCAGAATGGCTGCTCACAACACCAGGGTCATTTGGAGCATCGCCAATCGCCATCCGCAGGAAGGTGAATGAACTACGCGAAGAATGCGAGACAAACCCATGCCCTTTCATCAAATATCGCTTTCCTAAAGTTCTGGATGAATCCCGGGCTGCGATGAGTGGCTGGCTTCGGGTGCCTGAGTCCACCATTGTCTTCGTCCCGAACGCCAGCACTGGAGTTGACACCATCCTGCGGAATATGGTATGGAGCGATGACGGAAAAGACGAGATTCTCCAATTGGATGTGATATATGGGGCATGTCGCAATATGGCTACAAATGTTTGTGAAGCCAGCAATGGCAGAGTTCGCACCAGACAGATTGGCTTGACACATCCAGTTGAAGACTCCGAGATGGTCTCCGCGTATCGAGAAGCCATCAAGACTTCACGCAGGGAAGGCTTTCGCCCACGCATCGCTATATTTGACACCATAGCTTCGAACCCGGGAATTCGGCTTCCATTTGAGGAGCTCACGGCCCTCTGTCGAGCAGAAGGTGTACTGAGTTTGATTGATGCTGCGCACGGGGTTGGGCAAATTGACCTGTATCTGTCATCGCTGGACCCGGACTTTTTCGTCAGCAATTGCCATAAGTGGCTGTTCGCACCTCGTGGATGTGCCGTGCTATACGTCCCTGAGCGAAACCAAGCTATGATCCGAAGCACTCTACCAACTAGCCATGGGTTCAAAGCTCGGTCGCAGGGGGAAGGGTCTGGGTCCACATCAAATGGGACAGTGGGGCCAGGAAAGACGGACTTCGTTTCCAATTTCGAATTTGTTGGAACGACCGACAACTTCGCCTACTTGGCAGTACCTGAAGCTCTGAAATGGAGGGAGGAGGTATGTGGAGGCGAAACCGCGATTCGACATTACTGCATGGACTTGTCCCGTAAAGGTGGACAGAGAGTCGCAGATATTCTGGGAACCAGAATTCTGGACAACACTGCACATACCTTGACAAACTGCTGTATGGTCAATATCCTTCTTCCTATCAGGAAACCCACTTCGGGAGAAGACAGCCTGGTCAAGGGGCTAGATGGCTCGCCTACAACTGTGACCGAGTGGATGCAGCAGACCATGATTCAATCCTACAGGACATTCATGCCAGTGTTTCCATTTCAAGGTTCTTGGTGGGTTCGATTAAGTGCGCAAATTTACCTCGAGGCCAGCGACTTCGAATGGGCGGGCTGGACATTGAAAGAGCTCTGTGAGAAGATACAGGAATAAGAAAGATGAGGGACACATCCTCATGAAATATCCACAACAGAAATAATGGAGTTTAGAAATATCAATTGCCCCCCAGTGTACCAAGCGGTCGTCCCGGCCCGAGACCCTCTCCGACGGCTTCGGCATGGCGCGGGCATACGTTCTATCGGCTTCATGTGGCGTGTCCGGTCAGATCTAGACATGGTTCACCGAGTCGGGTGAGTATCCCGAATTGTGTATGATCACCAATTCCTGTTCTATCAAAAGCGTACTATGTTTCTACACTAGAAGAGTTTTCTTCCACCTGAGACAAACTTGATGACGGCTATGCTCGGTTGCCCTCGGCAGAAAGTTTTATTAGCTAATCCAAGCCACATTTCCGACCATACCCGAGCACGACCCAATCTTTGATTGGTTCTCATCTTTTGCTGTCAGGGCACTGTGGCTGAAAGGTGGACCTTGATATAAAAGCTAAGCCGCAGCGGAAAAGTATGGAGCTTTCAAGGACGATTCTTGGCCATGAATGTGGTCATTCTGATAGAATCAGGGCCCATTTTTGGATGGAGCTGGTGGGTTGGGCCGAAAGACTGGAGACTAGGATGAAAAATTATGATGGATTCGCCGATTTCAAGAGGGACATATACCTCTGGGTGGCCTTCCTCGCTCAGACAGGTGTATATCCATCCAAAACTTCTCAAGCTGCTTGAAAAAGATTGCCATGACAACACACAATGGATTATCACACTCAACACCCGGACAAATATGAACCAGACCACGAATATTCCAGTGACTCTCGCAGCGATCAATCGGATGAGACGATCGACCATGTCGACACACTCGAGCTTACGCGTATCAACACATATCGACTGCAACAAAAGACAACTGTAGGCTCTACAAGAGGGCCTGAACCCCGAGACCGATGGCTTGCAATGGGCGCCAACAAAGACTATCCACCTCTGCTCCCGGATTCTGAAGACTACGTGGTGGAATTTGATGGAGCCAATGACCCTTTACATCCATACAACTGGTCTACGACGAGACGGTATGTTCATCTCCATTGGCTTTTGATGCTCGATATCAACCTAGGCACAAGCTTCTAACAGTGCACCAGAACATTTCTAGTCTGCATCCTCTGCTATGGTACTTTTGCTGGATCGTTCACTAGTGCCGTCTTCGCGGCCGCTATTTCTGGTGTAAGCCAGGAATTTAACATAAGCAGCGAAGTTGGATCCCTTGGAGTGACACTATATGTTCTTGGATTCGCCGCGGGGCCGACGATTTGGGCACCAGGCTCAGAGTTGATCGGCAGGCGCTGGCCGCTGTCTCTTGGAATCTTTGGCTGCGGCATCTTCACCATTTCATGTGCTGTTGCCAAAGACATACAGACCATCATGATCTGTCGATTCTTCGCTGGCCTGTTCGCGGCCAGTCCAATTTCAATTGTTCCAGCGGTCTTCGCAGACTTATTCAACAATGCGCAACGTGGCGTTATCATGTCAATCTTCTGCATGGCCGTCTTCATCGGGCCCTTCGCAGCGCCATTCGTTGGCGGATTCATTGCTGAAAGCGAGCTGGGCTGGCGATGGACGATGTATATCTCTGCATTCATGGTCTTCTTGGGCTTTGGCCTGATTGTCCTCTTCCTCGACGAGACCTATGCTCCTGTCATCCTTGTCCGCAAGGCAGCCACTTTGCGCCGACAGACTCGCAATTGGGGCATCCATGCGAAACAGGATGAGGTGGAAGTGGAACTCGCAGAACTTCTTCGCAACAACTTTGCTCGACCTATTGTGATGTTGGTCACTGAGCCCATTCTGCTTCTGGTATCGCTGTACATCGCCTTTGTGTATGGGCTTATGTATGCTCTATTGGGCGCCTACCCGGTTGTCTTCCAGGGCGTTTACGGCATGAACATGGGTGTGGGTGGGCTTGCCTTCATTGGCATTATCATCGGCGAACTTCTTGGTGGTGTTTACATTCTCATGATCCAGAGTGCATACAGACTGAAGCTGGCTGCCAATGACGATAAACCTATTCCCGAATGGCGCCTTTCGCCGGCAATTGTGGGCGCTGTGACATTTGCCGGTGGGATGTTTTGGTGAGCTATCTCTCATATTGTTCAATGTGGTCGAGGACATATCAGCTAATACTCGACAGGTTTGGTTGGACCGGATACACTTCATCTATTCACTGGATGGCTCCTGTAGCCTCAGGTGTTCTCACTGGAGCGGGTATCTTCTTGATCTTTTTGCAGTGTTTCAATTACATCGTTGACTGCTATCCTTCATTGTAAGATGACCTCGCACATTTACAACATGGGATGATTGACTGACCAGTTCTATAGGGCTGCCTCAACTATTGCCGCAAACACAATCCTACGCTCGGCCATCGGCTGCTCCTTCCCACTTTTCTCCCGTCAAATGATGGAGAACCTGGGGGTGCAATGGGCAGGCACGATGCTTGGATGCATCGCTGTCCTGATGATTCCTATCCCCGTTCTGTTCAAGATATACGGTCCATGGCTGCGAGCAAGAAGTAAACTGGCATGCTCGCCGGTGTATGACGTTGAAAAGAAAGCGTATGATGTCTAAAATTGATAGACCTTTTCTGTTTATAATGCAATATACCCCAATTTTATTTCGAATATCAAGACAAATCCACGGAGATGTAAACATCAACAGCTTAGGTAGATATGGGTAGCACTAAGTGGACTTTCACCAGTTGGCGGTTCCTCCAGGGCTGGCTTTCTACCTGTTTTGTCAGGCCACAAAACGATGTCGACGCAATGACGTCATAGGGCGATCAGCCGAGCCGATCGATCGCGATGATAGTATCATGATACCGCAATCCCTCGATTCGATCCAACCTGCTACCGAGATTCTCAACCAATTCACCATACAAAGCTTTAGCTCACGATGGAATATTCCAATAAGCAACTACTTTTCGGACCGCGTTGGGACCTCTATTGCTGGACGGCCTCTGACGACCGCGTCCGTGGCGGATCATCAGTCTCGGAGCTTGTGTCCACCGATCAAGGTGTGCTGTTCCGCGGCCACCTCGACATTGAGACCCTCGGCGGTGCCGGATTTGCCTCTCAACGCACAGTTGGCGACGACGAGACATGGGATCTCACCGGACAGGACGGCATCGTGTTGTGCGTCGGCAAGTCGGACGGAAAGCGGTATACTTTCTCCCTGACGGATGAAATCCCCGAACGGCGGTCAGATGGTCGGGAGCAAAGTGCTCTTGTGTGGGAATATGATTTCTGCATCAAAGAGACTGGACACACGGTGCATGTGCCGTGGAAGGAATTGAAGCCGACATACCGTGGAAAGCCGGTTGAAAATGCGAGGCCATTGGATTTGTCGCATGTGAGGAGATTCCGCATTATGATTCGAAGGTATGTCTTGTATTCAGTGAGCATGAGGATTGAGAGAAGGGTGCTAATTGTGTAGCTTCTTCGGGGAACAAAAAGGGTATTTCTGTTTGGAGGTTCACTCGATTGGATTGTTCCGTGAGAGTTACCTTGATAACCCTGCCTCAGGAAATGGGTCCACGGATTGGGGCAACGAGAAGGCGGATGGTTCTTACGAAACTACAGAGAACAGAAGCTGGTTCTCAGGCTGTTGCGCATTGTTCTGAATTCATGATATTTGATATTCAATATCAAAGTGTGCTTGCATGGTCGACATCTATCAAATGACTCATGCCAGCCATCATTAGGTCAGTCCCATCTACCTACCTTAGGTACGGACAAGACCCAACCCCGGGCCCCGCGAGAGATATATCAGTTAACACTTTAAGCGTGTGCCTGTAACTTACGGTAGGTAGTGTTAACTCTATACGAAAGGTGAACAGGAGATGTGTAAGGTACCTTTCCAGGAAAAATATCAACAAACATCTTCTGTCCGGTTGTCAGTATTCACTTGTGGGTGCCAATTTCCAGACGCATGCTTGGCTAGGCTTTCCGCCAACTGGCAAGCCTCCAGCCAACTGGCAAGCTATCCGCAAAATCCGGCCATAGGTTTTCCGCAGCCCAGGGGCCGGGCAGGGCCGGGCCGCACTGTCCTCATGACTGCATTGAAGGGCCTGTTGATTGAGAAGCTTGGGGCAGATGGATGTTATGGAACCGGTGTGAGGGAGTGAGAGCAGACAAGATGCCTTGGAGCCAAGGGGGCGATTGGCATCTCGGTGAAGATTGAAGATGGTAATATTTGCGTCCTTTATTTGCCTGTGGCGAGGATTCTGGCGCAGCTGAAGATTGGAAATCCTGAAATGCGTCAGGCGCTTTCTAGTTCCGTCACCCGAAGATCTGGAATACGGTCAATATTGAGACTGGCAAGTTCACGCCATGTTTCTGAGTGCGCGCCAAATGATGCTCGTTTGGACCCTGATATTGCGCGGTTTGTATAGACAATAGACAAATTAGACAATTGGAGACGTATAGGGAGGTCCCATTTAGTTACAGCTGAGTCTCCCCTCCAAATGAGTCCTTGAATAGAATTCAATGTATAGGATTCAGTGTATTGAATAAATGCCGGCTACTGTGTAGGTAATTCATGCGGTACACCTACACTTAAACCATGAGTAAGATATTATTCTGTCAATAGCATCGATGGTTGCCTGATGGGTACAATGAGCACCATGGCTATTCACACAATTAGTGTTTGCTGCCTCTCTCCTACTTGAAAAGCTATTTAACATCTCCAAACTGTCCTCATTCCTTCTTAAATCTCGCATCCTCACTGTCACCTTTTCTATCTATCACCATACATCTCTACCAATCTTCACCATGGAGCCCACCAACCAAGTGTTCGAAGAAGACCGCAAGACCATCGACGAGGACTCCGACGAGGACTTCGTCGATGTCCTCGACGACGACATTCTCGTCTACACAGGCGAAAGATGGCATACGCAGATGGTAAGCACCGACTCAGATAGTCCCTACTCCCTACCTACTAACTAATTGATATAGCAGGCATTGGTGCCATCGCTGCCCTCGGTGCCACTGCAGCCTGTTGGACTTGGGAAGAAGAAAAGGAAACGTGACTCCGACGGTACTCCTTCTCCGAGGGTATGTTATAGCTTGATCCTAATCCGAAGTACCTGACCCCCCATTCAAATGCTGACCTCTATACAGCCAGCAAAGAAGCGCAGACCGGCTTTTGCAAACCTGCACGAGTTGCTGGTAACCTACCGCGGCTTGCAGGAATGGGAACGCAAGATTAGCGAAGATCTTGCATACTGCCAGAAGCTGATAGCCAAGCACCATAGCGGCAGTATATTCCAGCCCAAGTATCGTCCGGGGTCTGAACCGCCTCCCTTCCAATACTTTCCGTCTCCCTTGTGTGAGGAGACCGCGGTAGATGCGTTGGAGGATGCCTGTGTGGAGGATGCCTGTGTTGAGGATGCCCGTGTGGAGGAGGTAAGCGACGAGGGAGACCAGAACCAACCAGAGGGGCATTCCTCGTTTTGGGGGCATGTGCAACAATTCTTCTGGATGATGTGGTGAGAGACTGAATGATGTGCAGTAGGTAGAATTTGGGCTGGTTCCCGCTGGCGGGACCGCCCTTCATCTTATTATCTTTTCGTACCACTCCACGTATATCTAGGCTAGCAAATGCTTCGTAGACAGCCATCATTCAACCAGGCAGATGCGCAGCAGAGTCACTTACGTATGTTACAGGCGCTCGTATCTATTATACGAAATGTGTACTACACGATTGGTCTGACAAGGATAATCATATTATTCTTACGCAGCTGGCTAGCGCAATGAAACGGGGATACTCGAAGCTGATCCTCGAGGAGTTTGTGCTGACAGACCGCGATGGGCTATGCTGCCTGCCATGTACGATTCGCAAATGATGATTTTCTGTAATAGTATGGAACGATCCCAGTCTCAATGGACCAGGAGCTGGGTTTCAGGTTATCAAGTTCTGGGCGCCACCTGGCGATGGGTATGGTATTATTGAAGCGAAGCTGAAATAGTGACACCAGATCAGGATGTTCCGATCGGATATTAAGATGAGAATTGTATGAATTTTACCCGTTGATAATCGCGAGATAGTTTCAACATCGGATAGATCCCCGGCTATTCATTCGGACCATGGGAATATCATCCTGGACGGTTGCTTGCCACTCCCGAACCCGACTTGGTGGTCGTTCCCTTCGGGGTAATGAAGTTCTCGAGGAACGGGGGCTACGGTACACCGAGGATGGAACACTTCGTGTCGGGCTGGGACTCGCTCGGGCATTATGTTCGATCACAGTATAAGGTCGTTCCGGAAGAAGGTTGGCTGCAGAACCGCTCTGTAAGGCTAGAGGAAGTGTAGAAGACGACGTATTCTTCGACTTTAACAGTTCTCGGGCTGCAAACCGTCTTTCCTTTGCTTTCTCACGCACGCAGTTGCCGATGATAACGCCGATAAAAAGAGCGACGACAACCGAACCGAATACTATGGCTCCTATGTTACCGTCGTGATTCCATTCTGAGAATTGTCAGCAAGTTGTAGCTTTTCGCTCTTGGCAATGTGGAGGCAATACTCACTCTGCAGCTCCGCGGGGGTCATACCTGTTGGTGTCGCACTTGAGAAGCTGGTGCTGGTGGGCGAACTTGTAGTCTGTTCCGAGGGGCTGGGAGACTCCGAACTGGTTGACTCAAGGCTTGTAGTAGTGAGAGTGGTCGATTCGGAGCTAGTCGCTTCTGAGCTTGTGGATTCGAAGCTGGTCGTTCCTGAGCTGGAGCTTGTCAATTGGGAGGTGGTCGACTCTGAGCTGGTGGATTCGGTGGTCGACTCGGTGATGGAAGAGGTCGAGACGGCGCTAGTGCTGGTACTGGTGATGGCAGTTGTTGTCTCGGACGTGGAGCTCATGCTTGTCACCACAGTGTTGATGGTAGAAGGCTCCGATATGGATGCATCTGGTGTAGTCTCAGCAGTTGCGGACGCAGTCGATGCAGGCGACTCAGCTCCTGCGGTGGTATCTCGAGCTTGGAGAATTTTTCCGTATTCATGCTTCCGGTATGGCTGGATACCCGTGTTGGAGCTCAGTACAGCACACAGTCCCTCGGCACATACCACTGAAGTTGAAATTGACAGAGCAGTCTCAGCGGCATATGGGTGAGTGTTACCCAGGGCGCACTGCAGTGCCCAAAAGGCAAATACCAAGGCCCACATGTTGTGGCAAATGAAGGGATGGAAGAGAGTTGTGGTGGGAAGAAAGCAGTTGCAGTGGTTGAGTGAGAGAGAAGTGAGAGAGAAGTGAGAGAGAAGTGAGAGAGAAGTGAGAGAGAAGTGAGAGAGAAGTGAGAGAGAAGTGAGAGAGAAGTGAGAGAGAAGTGAGAGAGAAGTGAGAGAGAAGTGATCTAGTTCTTAGAGCTCTCGTGTTCTCTCACACAGCTTCTCGAAGACCTGCGTGGTAGATTGGATTGGTTTTCAGCAGACTTCACGCCGTCAACTGGCGGGTTCTCCATAAGGCTCACTCGATACCTCGCTCGACACTTTTATGGCCATTGGCATTGAACACTAAATCATGTCATTGTCTATGGTCTGAAAGTGTTTCTGTTGCGATGATGTATCCCGAATGCAGGCGAGACACTCGAATCTACTCCGTACTGCCCTGGGAACTTGTGTTGTTGCCTGACATATCAGGTCATGATTCTGATCCCATGGGATAGTCTTGGTCTTTTCGAGGGACCTCTCAAGGACAAACAAGACTGCATATACTGGCCGAGTACCACCTAATCTCGGAAGCAAGTCGCATTGTTTCAGAAAGAGTCTGGGGATTACCACTTTAGTGAACAAGGCACGTGCTTGCTACCCCTTCACATAACTCATCAAGCCGTGGACCGATTTCGCTCAGTTCAGTTGATACCTCGGCAACACGGCGATGCTGTGTACATCCACATGATATACGGCGGGGAACATCGCAAGACTGCTGCTTTAACAAGGGCTTTGCGTGAAGTTCCATCAGCCGACTACAATAATCAACCATTTCGGAAGCTACCGACTATATCCGCATTTGAACTGAGTTCCGATCACATTTCGGGCCCTAATTTACACCACTCAGGCACCCAGTCCTTAATTACGTTCCGATGAAGTTAGGTTTTGCCAAAGTCATCAAAAAGGGGCAATGCTGATCTTGTCAACTGGCGAAGTCTTTGGTTGTACGATTCGCCAGTTGGTGCTACATAGGATCCTGTTGCTGGAAGCCCCGCGTATGAGGCACGTGTCATCCATCAATATGGTAATATCGCCTTTGTACAGCAATTGCATATGCTCAAATGTCTTTTATATTGTGATTCGATATACCGCCCAGTGCCGATTGGTGGACAAATCCAGGTTATAGCATCTGATCAAGCTTTTATGTGAACAATACCGGGAATGTCAGGTTTGGCTCATGCTTCCGGCTCTCGAAAGTAGGTACCTGAGTTAAAAGCATCACATAGTCCAATATGGTGGTCCTGTAAGCGCTCAATATTCCCCTTGGCCGTGATACCGGTGGCGTAGCCGTGACAAACTGAGGCAAAGACCGATGCAAGTCGGCAGTCGTAGAATAGCGTAGTCTGGGCACTCCGCATCCCCGCGAATTTGCATAAAGACATAACTTCTAGTGGAAGGTTACATTCGGAAGGTTATGTAATTCCGATAAGTCTAGGGCTATATCATGCCGATGAGTTAAGGTTCGCGGGATCTGTAGCTTGCCTTCCGACGTTCACGGGGAATGAAATGGCCTTGGCTACCTCAGGACGGATGTCATCGTGAGTGGCTCTTGCGTAATATGCTCGCTGGTGTGGACCAAAGAGTGAAGGAGTATCTGCGAATCAAGTAGTTCGACTAACCGCTCGACAGGCGCCTAAGCACTATGGAGGCACCATCCAACCAGCATTGCAATAGCATCAAGGTAGCGTGCTTGCTCGGCGCTGACTCCTTCATCTCAATTCAGGTCTGCTCCGATGCTTGCAAAGTCATTCCGCATGATCATCGGCAAATAAATTTGAATTTGAAGGCCTCTGGCTACCACTGAAGTATTGGGCCGCCACCATCTACTTAAGCGGAGGCGAACAGACACAATTTCGTCAATTCTGATCTCGTGGACATTGCATTCTCAAATCGAAGAATATTGTCACGAAAATTGCCTCTGCCATCCACGTGAATCTTCGGAGTCAAGCCGTCAATCGGATCCAGGAAACGTCAGGCTCGTTTCCTATTAGGTCAGCTGCGCAAAGGCTGAGCCAAGATTCGGGGAGCTGAGAGGTGTATAAAGCAGACGAAGATTGGTGTTAGACCAGCTGTCAAGTATCCAAATCCAAGAATTGACTCGAATGGAAGAGGAAAGAATTTTGAGCCATGCCGAATATCAAAGGTCTCATTCTTTGTGTGCTTGCCTCGCTATCTTTGATATCCCATGAGGTATCTGCTGTGAGCCATGACCTCCGCGCTGCCAAAAGACAGTCCTCCGGAGATCGACTTGTCTTTGCGCATTTCATGGTAAGCTGAACTCCCGCATGACCATGCTTGGTGAACTGTACTAATCGATTGGAAGATTGGCATAACCAGCAACAGACACAGTGCATCGGACTATGATGACGACATGCGACGTGCCAAATCTCTCGGGATTGATGCATTTGCTCTGAACATTGGTGTAGACCCCTACACTGACCAGCAGCTTCAATTTGCTTATGACTCTGCTGCCAACAATGATATGAAAGTCTTCTTATCATTCGACTTCAATTGGTACCATACTGATCAGACTAGCGCTATTGGCCAGAAGATCGCCCAGTATGCTAGCAGGCCCGCTCAGCTCATTGTCGATGATAAAGTCTTTGTTTCTTCGTTTGCCGGTGATGAACTAAACGTTGCAGCGTTGCGCGCTGCAGTGGGAAGATCCATCTTCTTTGCGCCGAACTTCCACCCTTCGCAGGGGACGAATATCGCCCAAGTGGACGGTCTTCTGAATTGGATGGCTTGGCCCAACAATGGGAATAACAAAGCTCCAACCCCAGGTCATAATATTTCTGTGGCGGACGGTGATCGAGAATATATCAATGCTCTGAATGGAAAAGCTTATGTTGCTCGTGAGTTCCAGCTACCTGATATCAATTTCACCCGACTGACTCTGACCAGCTGCTTCCCCGTGGTTCTTCACGCACTTCGGGTCTGAGGTTTCTTACAGCAAGAATTGGAACTTCCCATCTGATCTCCTCTGGTATGATCGATGGAATGAAATTCTTGCCATGAAACCCCGATTCGTCGAGATTATCACGTGGAATGACTACGGCGAAAGTCATTATATCGGCCCTTTGAACTCCCCTCATACTGATGACGGAGCCTCGAAATGGGTTAATGACATGTGAGGATACCGTCATCTCGTGTCATGAGATTGGGGATTCTCCAACTGACTCAACTGAAATAGGCCCCACGATGGATGGCTCGACATCTCCAAGCCGTATATAGCCGCGTTCAAGGCTGGCGAGTCGTCTCCAAACAGATATATCACCTCAGACGAGTTGGTCTACTGGTATCGGCCGGCACCGCGCGGTGTAGACTGCGACGCCACGGATACCTGCATGGGACCAGCAAACAACGGGAGCGGAAACTATTTCATAGGTCGCCCAGATGGATGGCAGACGATGAGTGATTCTGTCTTTGTGGTCTCTTTACTCACATCTCCGGCCAGCATTGAAGTACACAGCGGTGACTATGTGTATAACTATGACGCGCCAGCGGGAGCAAGTGCCAAGGCGGTTCCGATGGGAGTTGGCTCGCAGAGGTTTACAGTTACTCGCAATGGACAGAGTGTTTTGTCAGGAACAAGCTTGAAGGACATCATCAACGGATGCGTGTGCGGTTTGTATAACTTCAACGCATACGGTAAGTGCATTGAGGCGTCCACTGCATAGGATTCACTTCTCATGTTCTCTGTCTAGTCGGGACCCTTCCGGAAGGTTTCAACGATCCTCTCCTGCCAGATGGACTTTCCGCCTTTACACAAGGTCTGCGGAACGATTCGTGTCGACCAACTCCCTCGTTGGGTCGTCATCCACCCCCTCCACCTTCAAAGTCTCCTCCTCCGCCTTCAAGTTCGCCTCCTCCGCCAACAAGCTCCCCTAGTCCACCATCAAAATCCCCCCTCCACCGTCAAGTTCCCCTCCTCCACCGTCAAGTTCCCCTCCTCCACCTTCAGGTACCCCAGGGGGTGGTGGTGGTGGCGGCGGCGGCGGAGGTGGTACCTGCATTGCAGGCACAGGACCCGGCAACTACGTTGGGCTCTGCGCCTTCTGCTGCAACTACGGATATTGCCCACCGGGGCCCTGTACCTGCACCGCATACGGCAAACCCGTCCCACCTCCACCATCAACAGGCACTCACGGAGCTCCTCTAATAGGGGAGGATGATTCATATCTCGGTCTCTGCAGCTATGCGTGCGACCATGGCTATTGTCCACCTACAGCGTGTCGTGTGGTCTGAGTATAATCTTGGGTTTATGGTCTGAACTGTTCCAGTGTGAAGGATCATGTCTTGTACAAGGCTCTTTAGTGACAATTTCACCCCCGACTCTCGCTTGAATATGGAACACAATAATATCAAATACCGGTGTACTACCTCGTTCAATGATATGATTGTAGCACAGCTCTCTGGTCACAACGATTCCGCCAGCGCCTGAACAGCAACACACGCCAAGACAAGGATAGTAAGCTCCAGCCTTCCAGATTGACCACCTACCCCATCGCTGGTTCCAGCAGTAGGAGTAGGAGTCGCAGTCGCACCGGCCATAGCGGGGGATGTAGCCTCTGACTTAGTCTTAGCAGCGCCGGAAGTAATCCTCACTGGCAACGGCGTCGCCTGGCCCTGACTGAGAGTCGTGCTACTGGTGCCCGGCATCTTGGCCGATTTCCCGGTAACAGTAGCTGTGCAGGTGCGTAGCCCACCGGTAATATCGGTTGAAGTACAGACGACATGATTGTAGCTGGTTCCAGCATGAGTGATCGGCTCTGATCTCCAAGTCATGGGATAACGAAGGGCCGTGGGAACGTACACATCGTCCTTTCCCTCACTTATCAAATACTCCACGCTGCTCTGGGCTGTTGTCAGAAATAGGCCAGGGCCCATTCCACAATTATTGTAATCAATGCCAGGCGGGCAATTGATGCTGTATGTCGTGGTTCCTGCTTGCTGCTGAGAGTTAATTGGATGTATGCTGATTGTCTCGTGCGTACACACCTCTGCAACGATAGAACCGGCTAAGGGTTGAGGATCGGTGTTTGGAATCCACAGAGAAATGATACGGTCGTCTGCGGCGAGACTCAGAGATGCCAATATAAGGAGAGTTATCCAGGTCATTTCTGTACCGGTATATAGGTCTTATGTAGAAGAAAAGGACTAGTTCAATGCAAGACAAGGGAAATATTTGGTAGTCACCGGGCAGAGATGTTCAGGACTTCGGTTCATACCATGCCATTGGATTTGGATGCCAATTCCACACATATCGGGCTAATATGACGACGCTATTACCATAGAGACACGTCCGTTGTGATCCGGAAATAGTTTGCGGAGAGGATTGCACCTCCACCATGATGAAACTTATATGTCACGACAACCTGGACCCAAGAGTGTCAGTCAACTGGCGAGTATGAGACGAACTTCCCGCATATTTCATATCTTCGTGGCTGGAAGCTCGATCGTGCTCGCTTACGACATTCAGCGTAAAGTCTTAATTTGATAATCCGATTTAGCTCGCTTTACATACATGTTGTAGTTGTGGGATTGGAGAAATTCGTAGGAATATAGCCTTGCCAGTTGGCGGAAGGCTAGCCAGTTGGCTGGTGGCTCGCCACTCGTCAGTTGACGGGAACCTGCTTGCTAAACACACGTCTGCAACTCGGCACCCGCAGGCCCGCGGTTGGGTCATGTATCCATGGGATACATGTCATGATTACCATTCCCGAATGGACCCATCTGGTCCGTAAAACTCCTTCGGCTGCCAAGGTTGCGTCTCCTTGCTGATCTTCCGCACTAGTTGCTCATCGATCTCAATTCCCAGACCGGGCTTGGAAGTGGCGTTCACATACCCATCCGTAATATCAAACACAGACGTATCCACCAAGTAGGTGTTCAGATCGATGTCTCCAGCCTCTATATTGTAGTGCATGCCCAGCGACATCTCCTGGATGACAAAGTTGGGTACTGAGACAGCCACTTGAAGCGACGCAGCCAGTGCAATAGGGCCGAGGGGGCAATGGGGAGCGATTGCAACGTCGTAGGCTTCGGCCATGTTGGCGATACGCATGACCTCGGAGATACCTCCAGCGTGGGCAAGGTCGGGCTGTAGAACATCCACGGAAGAGTCTTCCAGGAATCTTTTAACTTCCCATCTGTTGTACAGACGCTCGCCGAATGCGATCGGGATTGTTGTGTGCTCGGAAAGCTGCTTGAGTGCTTCTGGGTGCTCGCACAGTAGGGGCTCCTCGATGAAAAGAGGCTGATAAGGCTCCAACGCCTTGGCCAGCTGCTTGGCCATTGGTTTATGCAAACGACCGTGGAAGTCAAGACCAGCATCAAGACCCAGCGCCTTCACGGTCTTCAATCTCTCCACGCATGATTGCAAAACGGCGGGTGAGTCGAGCCAGTTGACATCTTCGGTAGCGTTCATCTTGATACACTTCAGGCCTTGGGCGATTCGCTCCTTCCTGTTATTCCAGTTGTTAGAAAAATACATTGTTTACCTCGCTCCTTCCGTGGAGCTTACGCTGCAGCCTCGACATCGCTTGGTCGGTCGCCTCCAATCCAGGCATAGACCTGCACCTTCTGGCGCACCTTCCCGCCAATAAGCTGGTGCACAGGGACACCCAGCCTCCGCCCCTTTAGATCCCACAAGGCAATATCGATACCGGATTGAGCCGATCCGAAGACAGGCCCACCACGGTAGAAACCGAGACGCCAAATGAGTTGCCAGATGTGGTTGATGTCGCTTCAATCGTAGTTAGCCCGTTTTCGTTGCATTGTACAGGATGATTTGGACATACTCGGCTTCTTGTCCCACGATACGAGTGATGATCTCATCCAGCGCACCCTCGACAGCTAGAGAGTGCCCTTCTAATGTGGCCTCTCCCCAACCAAAGCTGTCCTCTTCATCAGTGATCTTGACGAACAGCCAGCGAGGCTTAACGCGGAAGTACTCGATGGACTTGATCTTCACCATCGTATAAATCAGAGTGATATGGAGCAATGATACAACAGAAGCGTTTCAGAATAAACAGCCCGAAGGATGTTCAAGTCGTATTCAAAGGTGCGCGGGGAAATCGTTACCAAACCCCACCCCCACCCACATTATCAAATGTCATGGAGGGTCGGCAAAACTCCGGGCGGTTAAGTGGTTTCATACATCCCAATGTTATGATGAAATCCATCTATGAACGCACTGCCACACCCCCCACTTCTCATTAAGCGCCACCCCCACGCGGCGACTTCTCCGAGGTGGGGAGTTGTGGGGCCTCGAAAAGCATAAGGATAAGCTCCGTCAGGTACCCGAGAGTCATCTCAAGTCACAAAATGTCCGATTCAATCGATGTCCTAGTTTACGGGCTAGGAGCGTGAGTTTGGCCCCTTTGCAGTTTGCACACAAGAGACCTCATAGTAACATTACTAGGATCGGCTCCTTCTATGCCTTCATCCTATCCCGCACCGAGCGGGTGCGACTTACCGTCGTAGCACGGTCGAACTATGAGGCTGTCCGAGCCAATGTGAGTTTTAAATCCAAGAATAGACCACACGGGTATTGACATTGGCAATCTGCAGGGCATTACCATCAAGAGCGAGATCCACGGCGAGCACACTTTCCACCCTTACCGAGGTATGTGCGACTCATGATCCGACCTGGAAGATTGTTGTTAACGGCTCAACCAGTGGTGAAATCCGTTGCGGAGGTCGGTCCGGTCCATTACTTAGTGTGCGCGAACAAGGCAATCGATCAGGACGAGCATGCAGCTCAGTTACACCCAGCCGTAGACGAAAACACGAGCATTGTGATCATACAGAATGGCGTTGGCAACGAAGAACCTTTCCGGAAGTATTTCCCCCATGCCTCGATCATAAGCTGTGTGGTGAGTCTCTCTTACTTCGTCTGCTTGACGACGTTCTGACATCCCGTTTGCACAGACGTGGGTGGGAGCCAACCAAACAAGCCCCGGTGTTGTTGAGCACCATAGCTCTGAAGATACGCAAATCGGCCTATACCACAACCCCACCATCGGCTACGAAATCGAGCAGCTGCGACTTGAAACATTTGCCGAATTGTTTTGTAACGGCAAGACCAAGTTCCAGATTCTCGAGAATATCCAGATCCGGCGCTGGGAAAAGGTTGTCTGGAACGTGGCGTGGAATTCTATAACTACACTCACGATGATGGACACACAGTCCTGGTTGCATTCTTCTCAAGATGCGGAGCCGTTCACTCGCAAATTGATGCAGGAGGTCATCAATGTTGCGCGTGCTTGTGCCGTGCCCCTAAAGGATAGTCTGGTTGACGAGCTTATGGATAAGATCAATTCCATGCCAGGAATTGGAAGCAGCATGCAGACGGATTGCAAATGTGGTCGACCATTGGAGATTGACGTTATACTGGGCTTCCCGTTCAAGAAGTCTAGAGAGCTCGGTATTTCCGCTCCATTCTTGGAGACGCTCTACGTTCTTTTGCGGGCGGTTGATTGTCGTCTCAGGGCTGGGAAATAGAAGGGGTGTACTCAGCATTTGGATCAGCTTGAGTCAAGCCTTAAGTAGCTCAATGATAACGTTCATGGTGTGATATCTTGTAGATAACTCGAAGACAAGAGTGTACATAAATGTAATGTGGAAATTATACCAAAATTTAGGATCCTTTATACAGCGTGCCGAAAGCGAGATCCCAGATGCCAGTGGACTAAGCGAAGGCCAGCTTGCTTCAAAAATCCACAATCAGGGACCTCCAAGATAAGAAAAACGCTTGAGCTCATGTATATACTCCAAAGTAGTAGGTCGTAACATAGGTAGGGACATCAATCGTGACTCGGGGAGGCGAACCTCGGATCTCCTGCAGCTCAACTTCGACTGTCTTGTCGATCTCCGATTCCGGGCTCGTGAGGGGGGAACCGGGAGGCATGCGGTTATCCTCCTGATCAACGGCAAACCTCCAGCGATTATCGACACCCATGAACATGCGGAAACCATAACGTTTGTTCAAAGATGCGAGGTGAGCATGTCGTTGGGCACTGCTCCAATGATGAGTATCCGTAAAATCTTGAAGCATTTGGCTATGCGAAATCCAAGGAATGATGGCCCCGATCGAGCGCGGCATTCGTGGCCCACGGAAGCGACCGCGCCGTGTTCCGAAGACCAACAGCACGACTACCGTATCAAATGCAATGATCGCCAAAGCAATCGCAAGGGATGGAGCCGATGGAATCATGCACCACATACTGCGGGTGATTGTCGCATTTGTGGCCCGGACCGGGTGAGGCAGCGGCTCGAGGTAAATGTCGCGCCAAATGGAAAAGTAGGTGCTGTACACCCATTGATATACAGTTTGAGTCATGTCGGTCAGAAGAGCAGGATCTAAAGAATCAAATTCCGGGTCTTCGCGCTTATAGAGACGCGCAACGAGGAAGCCAGCCCAGTCGTAGGAAGTTATGTTGTATGTGCCGTTCTGCATGGTGGTATTGCCGACATAGTTGCTGGGGATAGCAGCAAAGACTTTGTTGAATTGACCAAGACTCACGGTCGCATTGTCGTACATGGCTCCATGAGTGATGAGCGTCTCGGGGACAGGTTTATGCCAACCTATCTGACCCTTCTGGTCAAACATGATGGAATAATTTTGTAACCTCATTTGAGGCTCACAATGTAATGCGACGGTGTTGTCATCCGTGATAGGGGTGTTCGGTAGGTAATTCCAACGACCGACTACCAGAACGGTCGATGTCTGACATAGATCCGATTCGTTGTTCTCGTCCGGGGACAAGAATTCAATAGACAGCGCAATACCTTCATCCCGGCTCTTCAAAGCTGGCATGCGTGCGTCGCATTCCATGGACGGATTGTCAAACATTCTGTAACGCCAATGATGATTATCATCGGATTTATCATAGACAAGAGCTTTGGAAGAAAGGGGCTCGCACTCGAGCGCGGTACCAACACCAAGAGTCGAGGCGGCGTAAGTCACATCTGACTGGCGATTATTCACGAGTATAGGAACGAAGGACTGATTTGGGCTGGTCCAGGGCAGCATGGGCACGCCGCTGGTGATACTGGTTTGTATCAAATCATACTCGGTAAATTGAGCGGCAAAATCCGTTTGTCGGAAAGTGGACTGACTATAATTCATTGTCAAATCCGTCGTGTCCATCGTCGAAGTCGTCCTTTTTTGGGTAAAAAGCGCACCCGCGACCACAGTCAAGGCCATGTTCACAACGCATGCGACGGATACGAGACCCAATAAGACATGTCGGTCACGAACGGATTTGATGAAAATAGCGAACGGACTCTGGGATGAATAGTTCAGTGACAATGATGTCCGTGCCGTGGCGTTGCCCCGTTGCAGGTGGACCCAAGGCTCCAAAATAGTCAGGTTGCGGTGAATGGATGTGCATAGAGATCCCACGGAGGAAGCGACCACGGAAGGCAAGAAGGATAAGACGACTTGGAATGCACTGGAATCAGATTGGGTGAGATGATTGAACCGGCCGTCCCGAAGCAAAGAGGAGACCACAAGTCCAATGAGAATGATAATACCCGCTAAGGCTAAGAACTCAATAAGAAAGAAAGGGATCATCAGAAAGTGAGGCATCGGATCAGCGCGGGTTTTGAGGTGACCTTCAAGCTTGACAGGAGATCCTGGTGGTGAGGTCAGCGATGAGTTGCGTATACAACGACAGGATGGGAGTGGCATGGGGTGATTATCACGAACCGTCTTCAGCGAGGATCTCCAGTCTGTTACCCGAAGGGCCCTGCCTCCAGTAACAACGAGCATTTCGGAAGATGCGACGGAGTTGACGGGTTGAAAATTGATGAAACTCCGCCACTGGCTCCGCAAGGATGTTGGAAGGGTGGAATATATCAGCGGCGATACTACACATAGCACCAATTGACCCTGGGTCGCTTTGAAGGAACAATGCTCGCGAACGATACATATAAAGAAGGTACATCGCCGTCAAGGTGGCGAAGGCGAGAATGAACTCTGACCAGATGGCAGCAAAACTGACCACTGCAATGGCGACTTGATTTGACGAGCGCATGGCGGTTATGACAGTCGGAGGATTTTCCGGATCAAACAGCCGACCAAGGGTGAGTACAAACGATTGCTTCACATCCCGCTCAATCTTGGATCCGAATTCGGCTTCTGTCATGACGGTTGATGTGTCGAGCACCAGCACAGGCTGGAGATCTCCCAGCTCCTGGCTGATGATAGGGAGTTCAGTCATTGTGCGAGCTCCCGTGGTAGAATTTTCACGAATAAACAACATATCACTTGTGTATGGAGCGCGTTGAGACAGCAGGGCCTGGAAGTGATCAATGTTGAATTCAGACGACGTGAGAGCGCGGGTGCTGCCTCGCTCGATCTCAATCGAGGTGATGGAGCCGTTAGAGTGCATGGAGACACGAGCTTCCGCCTTGTGGTAAATGATATCACAAGCAAACGCAGTACCATATGCAGAGTATTCGGTAACAGTCGAGTTAGGCCTGGTCACATTTACCCCAATCAACATGCCATAAACATCGAATGGATCGCAGCTAAATTCCGTGAAAGCTTGGGTTCGGTCTGGATATGCTTCCATAGCGGCAGCACTGATCGCCGGCTCCCAATACCGTACTTGCAAGTAGTCAGTGGAATGGAAGAAGACACTGTCGTATCGAAAGTCAAAAGTGCATTTTGTGGCGCCTCCGTAGGTATCTTTCAAGTCGATGGCACTAGCGTTCCATGAGATGGTAGGAAACGCCGCGTCCGGACGATCGTGGATAGCGACTGTGAGCTTATCTTCAACGGAAATGTTCTGACATGAAAGTTGCGCCCAATACAAAGTCTGATCCAGAGTCCAAATCGTGTTCTCATTATGATCGCTGTCGGGGATCTCCACGGGCGCAACGGCGTATTTAGAGGAGCGGGTCCGTCGCAATTGCTCACTCACGCTCAGCACAGAATCAAGAGTGCTGTTGGCCTGCGTGGCCATCCAGTTCGCTTGAGTGTTCAGATCCACTAGATTAGGCCAGCTTTTTATGGTTCCATGGTCAACCACATCCACCTCGCGTAGCTCAAAAACAGTACTTTGCAGAGCTGGGAGTATGATTCGGATGGAAAGGGTGACAAATGAGATCCAAAGAACTACCCAATGGCGGCGACGCGCGGCATTGATCGGGGTGAGAATTGTTTGGCCGAAGTTATAGTTGATGAAGAGGACAGCCGCTGGCGCTCCCTCGGGTCGGGACAATTGGAAGTATGGTTCCAGGCGGAGGACATCGAAATCTGTGACTGTCCACACCAGGACAAGCACCAGGGCAACGATTATAGGCAGGTAGTTATAGAGGAAAGATTGTACAGGAGAGATGTCCTCCGTGTAGGCGAAGAATAACAACCCCCCTTCACGGTCGCTGTACTGTCGTAGTGCTTCCAAAGCCAGAAGCATCGACAACATCAAACATATAATGGAGATCAGGTACGGCGGGCGCAGAGCCAGTGGGCGCCAACTCCGGGGTTCGCGGGGCGTTAGCGATCGAAAGGGGGCAAGGCGAGCTGTCTCCCATCTTTTGTTAGCATCTAGTCTGTGAGAACCAGCGGCTGATGCCGATTAGGGGGTGTGTCATGGAAGGCCACCACTCACCGATCAGTTGTGCCCAACGCCTTGCCCCATCGCTATCAGACATTCTGGAAGAGGCCCCAAGGGCGGACAATATAGTGGATATAATGGAAGGGCATTGCCAATTCAAGTCTCAACTGTTCAGGAGATGTTCGACGCAAACAAAACGAGCCATGGTTCACCAAGGGTCAAGGAACAGATGTAGATGCAAACGGGGAGGAAAATGACAGCTCAGTAGAGCCCGAAAACCGGGATGCAAAGAATGAACGAACCAAAGGCCAAGCAATGGATATTGAACATGACGAAAGTGGAACAGAAGGGGGACCGAATTTGCGGCTGTGCTGTGTACGGTCTGTGCCCACGTGTGGGGCGAACTAGGAACAACTGGTCGATTCTCCGTCTCGGTAGTCTCGTCTTGGCATTTGTATACAATGAAACTAGGCGGGAAATTGACTGAGGCGAGAGGTCATCATGTTATGATTCTTGCAGGTGGCCTCCAAACAAGATTTAGGGCTTCAATCTATCATGAGTAGGGGGTTGAGATGGGGAAAATCAATAATGCACGGAACCACACCCAATGGAGCGGAATTACGATTGATCCTTTCCATGTACCTACAACCTAGGTTTACCTTCGTCATATCACCAAATTCAAATCAAGTATATATATTCTATCTAAACGAGCGACTATACAGTAACAGTACAATGTTGGAATCTCCAACAAGCCCACAAAAAGAAGGATAACCTATACATACAAACAACGATGACGATCAGGCTTACTGTGATCACCGTTCAGAAAGAAGCCCTTACGACGAAGGGGTTCCAGTGAACAAGGGCCCACCAGTAGAAAGGACTTTGCGAGAGGAAAGTGTGCTAGGAGTAGGCATGCCAGTTCCGAATGGAGCAGTGGGAGTTCCAGTGGGAGGTAGGAAAGGCAGGGTCTGCTCGGCGCGTTTCTGAGCGCCAGCAGAGGCAATGGCACTGCCAATAGACTGGGAATCCTTCAACAGAGATGGAAGATCGGTGGGAATAGACACAGCCTCGCTGCGCTTCTGGGCACCAGCGGAAGCCAGCGCAGCAGCAGCAGACTCAGCGTCAGAAACCAGCGAAGGTAGATCGGTGGGGATGGAGAGGGCCTCGCCACGCTTCTGAGCACCGGCAGAAGAAAGAGCTGCAGCCACGGACTGGGCATCTGAGACCAGAGACGGGAGATCGGTGGGAATTGATAGGGATTCACCACGCTTCTGGGCGCCAGCGGAGGCCAGCGCAGCGACAGCCGACTCAGCGTCAGAAACCAACGACGGAAGGTCGGTAGGGATTGAGAGGGCCTCGCCGCGCTTCTGAGCACCAGCAGAAGCAAGAGCTGCAACCACCGACTGCGCATCTGAGACCAAGGATGGAAGGTCTGTCGGGGTAGTCAGCGCCTCCCCGCCCTTCACAGAACTGTTGCTGGGGCTAGAAGATGACGGCAGGCCAGTGCTGGAGGCAGCATGACTGCTGCTAGAAAAAGGAATAGCCGCGGCAGAGGCCGAAAGAGCGAGAGAGAGAGCGGCAAAAGAGGTCTTCATGGTGAAGTGAATGGTTGAACGAATTCTCCAAAGCAATGAAGTGTTGTTGATCAGCGATAGCTCGCACAGCGAGGGAAATTTGTATGGAAGAAAGAAGAAGATCGATGTACAAACTGATCTCGGATCTGCTTGATGAAGATCATTGAACAGAGGGAGACGAAGGGGATTTTATATCTTCTCGTGCGCTGACCTCCAACGTGAGCTCCAACAAGCCATCGACCGTTCGGAGCAAAAGCCGAGTGTTCCATCTGGCAAGAGATCTCATTGCCGGTGCCCTAGGCCCGTAGCGACTATGTCTGTACCCACGATTTCCTTATCTTGAAAATAGGGTCTTCATCCGTCAACCAAGGGCGCTCTTTCGATCTCGTCATCGTTTGAACCTGATATCTGAAGGGTTCGGCATATCTCAGCTCTGCGCGATAAATCATAACCGTTGGTTCATGTCGATCACCTGTCCGGATTGAGGCTGCCCTGAAGCAGAGCCATGGTACCAAGAGGATTTGGACCAGCGGTAGAGATAGTCTCAAAATTGTTGTCACCCCGCGGGCATTTAGAGTTAATGGATACAAGATCGATATGTGGAGAATGACACTCAAGTCTGAGCAATAAAGTGTGAGTGGCGTGCACGTGGACCTGAAATACTTAGACTGACAGCCGCATTTGGGAATAGCCCCGTGGGGACCACCTGAGCAAGAACGGTTCTGGAATGTGGAGAGAACATAGACCAGTTAGTTCCCAGAATGCTTATCTGGAGCGTTATGAAGTCTTTCCCACGGTTCGCAGTTCACGAACTTCAGAAAATCCGGGAGACTGACGATCCCGCCGATCACCGTTGTGTACGAGATTCCCGAGGTCGCCTCTGAGGCTATGAGCAATTACGTTCAACGGTTCATCACTAAGGATATTCGGCTCCATTTCCGCTCGATTTGCCGACTGGGCTTTCCGAGGTTCACATATCGGGCGGCCTTGAACTCGGCATCATTCGGCATCCTCGGCGTAGCGCAACTCAGTACAATGCCGGTCTCAGTTTTGAAGCTCAATTTCAAGAGAACGTACTAAGCCCTGAGCTACCTTGTCCGGTTTAGACCCCAACTTTGACTCAAGATGTGCGCCCGGCGTAGTTGAGCGTTGCGTGGATCCTTGTGGATGTATCTCTTTGTCGGTCGTTTTAGTCTCAAGTCGAAGAATAGGCCGCGCACACCTTACGATCTCGTCACTACCTTGTAAGCTCCCATAAATTAGGCACTGACGCGGTTGCCCCCAGGTCGACCTGGTATGAATAGGCAAGGATTCCGGGGCCGTGGGTTCTTGCCAATAATGTCGCAAACGGTCGAGGCCCTGAGGGACTTGAGTCTAATGGAAGTAATGGGCCAATGGTAGGGGATTGATTGCATACAGAGACAGGCAAAAAGAAAAGAGAAGCAAACATTGTCAAAGCTAATTAACATGTTGCACTCGTTCTATCACCTCTCGGCCCCTCGGGGTAGGTCAGGAATCTCTTCCTATCTCTTATCTCGCCAAGTGAAAATCTAGACCATCTCAAACAAAAGTACTAAACATAAAGTGGGCATAGTTACTTGAGAAGTCTCATTGGGGTGCCGGGTGAGGTGATGAGGTGATCAAATCACGAGGGCCGAGGCCACAGGAATTGGCACGAGTATCGAAGCTCGGAAACTGCGGGAAACAGTGATCGCAAAAGGCACTGGCAGTAGAATATTAAAACCCTCGAAGTCGGTGAAACACAGCCTGAAGTATTCAGCTCTGAAGGCTGGAGCAGTCCAGCTGAAGGAAGGTCCATGGACTCTCGGATGACATGGCCCCCAAGCCCGACTTGTCTTGGCAGTCGGAGCTTCCCCGAGACCTCCGTCGTCCCTCCTCGTTAATCACCATCTCACTTCCTCTCCTTGTCCGCGTCTCTCATCAAACATGGGTCTCATCAGCAAATTGGTCAAGACATCCGTCGCAGGCGGCATCGCCTCGGTCGGTGTCTTCTGGGGCGCGACGCGCAATGCCACTTTCGTGCCCATGGACTCCTCCGACCCGATCTTCCAACATGCCCTCTTCAACAAGCTCAACCCGAATCGCAACCCGCCTATGTATGATGTCTGCGTTCGTCGAGTTCCCCTAGATAAGATCCAGCCCTCTCTGCTGGAGGAGAAGGGCAAGTTGGTCGAGGCCTTCTGTGCTGGTGTCTGGGGTGGTATGGGTGAGTTTACTGGGAAATACTATCCTCCTCATAACAACACACTCTAATCCATTGTCTACCGGCATGCAGGATACATCCCCCAGCGAGCCTACCTTGAGCGAAAGTACCGTGGCCCCGAGACAGCCAACCAGCTCTGGGACCGCAAGGACTTGCTTGAAGACAAGTACGACGTCGGCACCCTCATCACCGATCACTTTGAAGTCGTCGAGAAGAGCGAAGACCGTATTGTTCTCCGCTGCGGTGACTCCCCACGTATCCAGGAAGTCCGCCCCTCTGATGGTCTTTTCGAAATCGCCGCTGTTGTCAAGAGGGAACAAGGTGTGGCTGAATTCAGCTTGAAGAGCTGCTTCTACCAGGGTCTCGGGAAGGCCGATCAACCCATGGATGCCAAGATTGCTTGGGCACACCGTCAATATACCAAGTTGCTGGTGGAGACCGCCGTGCTGAAGAAGTGTGTCTTGTAAGGGAGTGTATGGAGGGTCTCTTGCTTGCCGACGAACGGGATTTACCGGTATACAAATAGCCCCGAATCTTCCATTGGGCCCTGTCGTGTATATTTTCCTTCTGATATCCCTATATACGGTCCTCGCGCTAGCGACCCTAAAGTTTCGGCTCAATCGGCACCAGGGGATTCTCATTGAAAATTGTACATTATTATCGATTGCGTGTATCTATCTGCAACATATGATCAACTCCTCAACTCTTCACCACCTCTGTCTGGGGCCCCTCTGACTCTAGGTATCCCTTTTCATCGGTAGCGGATGGTGCGGGTTCGCTGGTGAGAGTGATCGCCAGAACGGTTGGGATGGCAATAATCAACGAGCCGATGCAGAGACCCCAGTTCATAGCGAGTTGGGTCATGGCAGGCGTCTCCACGGCATTGACACGCCATGACATGGCACCTCCAGTGCTCTGGAAGGTCTTGTACGCTCCAACCAAAACGGCAGCCGCAGCCGGGGAGTTGGATTGAGCACCAATGAGCCAGTAGCAGTACGACTGCCAGAGCGCATCATATGCGCCATAAAAGATGTAAAGGAACATCGGGCCTACAGAGATGCTGCCTTGGGTGTAATCGATGTCCTGCTTGAAACCTCGCAACAAGCGGGCATCGGACCACTTCTGGAACACATAACCCCCACCCCAAATGGCCATTCCGGTGACCAACAGGAAAACCCAAGCGACGCGAGCGCGCATAGGGCGGGTAAGCCCCGGAATATCGAGGATGGAACCCATAACAAGTCCACCCAGCATCTGTGCCATCCAATAGAGCGCACCGTTGAGTGAACGAGTTCGGATGTTAAAGTTCATGCCGTTCACTGCGTTCTGCTGATAGGAGTAGAACACATTGGCTGAGAAGAAGAGGGGTAGCATGCACAAGACCTGCCAGTGGCAGAGAGTCTTCACAGAGTGGCGAGCAATCTGGCGCCAATTCTTCTCGCTCTCTGGGGTCACTTGCAACTCAGCCACCCGAACATAGGACGGAGGGCAAATGAGTGAACCGAGGAGCCACCCAAAGGCCATAATAACGAGCAAGGCAATATATGTTCCATCGTTCACGGTTCCAGTCGTCGAGCCGTAGTTGAGGCCGAAGCTAGCGAGCGATCCAACTCCACCGCCCAGGTTGAAGATGATCCAGAAGACAGCAATTGCGCGCCCCTTTTGGGACTCTGGTACATAGGTTGTCATGATCGCACCCTGAGCAACCCATAAGAACGATGCACCCACACCGAGAATCGCACCGGCAGCAATAACGAACGCGCCGTTGCTTGTCGCTATGATGAGACATCGTCAGCTTTGCATACAACAGGTCTGGGCCATCCACAAACTCACAATTGAAACACAACAGACTGCCGGAATACAACGCATAGGTCCAGCCTCCGAGCAAGAGACAAACTCTTGGTCCAACACGGTCAAAGATCGGGCCAACCACGAATAGAGCAGTTCCAGCAGTGGCAGACAGAAGAGCGACATTGGCATTTGCAGCCACAGTTTGGTCGACTTGGCCAGAACCACCCAGACCACTGAGGGCATTGTACATCTATTCCTCTGTTAGCCAAACTGGGAGGCCTCTATTTGTCGCGATCCAATACTCACACCCGGGCAGCAGAAGCAGATAAAACTGATCAAGATGATCTGAAACCAAGAATTGGTCCAGAGCTTCCACAAGGTCGAACGGTTTCCATTGTCAGAGCCAGTCACTGAGGTATTCCCTGCTTCAATTCTTGATTCGGTCGACATCTTCAACACTGTGCCAGTGAATGATCGGCCTCTGGAAATTTCCAGGGGAGACGATCTCAACTTATGTTGGCGACATTTCCCCAGGGCTCTCTAATCACGGGTGGGCCACGGTACAATCGAGTCTGGGGCCCCACGCGATACGGGGCTTGGGTTGCACGCGAGCATAAAAATTCCATGGGTTTATCGCGGTGTCTCAGCGACTACACCACTCGTATGTAGCATCCGATGTGGGGAACCCACATGGCGTGGTAGTGAATTGTTGAGACAGTTATCAGGAAGATCTTTACCTTTTTATCGAGGAGAAAAGACCTCCACATTGGACGAAGTCCGGGGGGGAAAAGCCACTCCACAATACGGTCGCTTGTCAGCCGGGCCCGGGCCAATGCTAGAACGCGCCGCCACGCGCTAGTTACCACAGTGTACCTCAGTCCCCATTGTAACTCTACCGAGTAACATCTCGCCTTGGCTCTTGGCTTTACACAAAAAAATCATGGCGGGGGCCACATCGGTATCGGCACCCTTGGGGGCCGAACTAAGCACTCTGCCGGCATAATGTGAAGTGGAATGGATACCGAACTCGCTTCGCGCTAGTGTAAAAAGCCTCTTAATCGCCAATTTTCGCGTGGTGTGAGATCCGTGATTCGTTTGCATAAAAAAATTCATCCCTAACCAGCATTCTCCTGGCAAGCTTGTCACTTGTGGCCTCCAATTGCATAATGGATCTCGGCAGTTTAGCCAACCTCCAAACGGAGGGGGTCAATCCCCGAACCGTGCATATCGATCGCATGTCGACACTGGAGATGTGTACTGTGATCAATGCGGACGATCAGAAAGTGGCAGAGACAGTTGTTCCTTGCTTGCCCGTGATTGCAGGCGCCATCGACGCATTGACCCCGCGGGTTCGACAAGGGGGCCGGGTGATCTATGTTGGTGCTGGAACCAGTGGAAGGTTAGTTATTCCCACTAGTGGTTTAACATTGAGCCTCTAGTAAACATCATCATCTAGGCTTGGAGTCTTGGACGCATCGGAGATTCCCCCCACATTCGCAGCACCTCGTGGACAGTTCGTCGGTCTCATTGCAGGCGGCGATGCTGCTATCAGATCAGCGCAAGAGGGTGCTGAGGATAACGAGAAAGCAGGCGAGGAAGAGATGAAAGCCCTGAACCTTAACCCTGAACTCGACAGTATCATTGGAATTGCCAGTTCAGGACGGACACCATATGTACTGGGTTGCCTCGCTTTTGCTAAGAGCATCGGCTGTTTGACAATCGCTGTTGTTTGCACAAGTCCGTCCGCAATAGGCTCTTCGGGTAATACTGATTTTCTTATTGCACCCATATCAGGACCGGAAGTGGTCACTGGTAGCACGCGGCTAAAGGCCGGCACTGTGACGAAGCTAGTCTTGAATATGCTCAGTACTGGCACCATGATCCGCACGGGAAAGACCTACGGAAACATGGTATGTCATATTCCCTGCTTCCTGGAATATAGCTAACTTCGATAAAGATGGTTGATCTCGTGGCCTCGAATCTGAAACTCGAGCAGCGATCCCGGAATATCCTGCGGAGGCTGAGTGCGAAGTGTCATTCCGCGTCCGATGAGGAATTAGATGAGCTCTTGGCGAAAAGCAACCGAAGTGTCAAGCTGGCTATCTTGGCTGCAGAAAGCGGAGAGTCAGTTGCGACATGCCAAGGCTACCTCGAGGCTGCTGGTGGAGTTTTGGCCAGGGCACTGGCTGTAATCTCTAAGCCCATCTCTAGGGCCAACGAACAGAATCCCATGAGCTCCAAAGCTACCCGAAAATTCGTCTTATGCATCGATGGCGGTGGCACAAAATGTGCCGCTGTGGTGGCCGAAGGAACCAGTATCGTGGGCCGGGGATCCGCTGGTCCATGCAATCTGTATGCCTTCTTTCTTCAGTCAACGAATGTTCATGTGATACTGACTTCCTATAGAACCGACAGCATCGGAAACATTGATAGTGTTATTGACACTTTACTTGAAGCAACAAAGTCTGCGATGAAAGACCACTTGCCAAGCGGCGTGGAACAGTTGGAGTCATCATGGAAAGCGTATCTTCAAACGTGCTTCACCTCTGTGTGGATTGGACTGGCTGGTCTAGAACGGGCTGGCTTGGAGGAAGTGCTGGCGCCCAAGTTGCGCGAGGCATTCGGTATTTCCGAGGAAAATAATTTCCGATTGACCAACGACGTTGATCAATTAACCGCGGCAGTTCCAACAACGCAAGGTACCCCATCTGTCCTTGTGTTGATTGCGGGTACCGGAAGTGTTGCTATGAGGTATGATTGGTCTCAGGGTCAGCAAAGATACACTCGTTCTGCCCGTTCTGGAGGCTGGGGTCACATGCTCGGGGACGAAGGGGGCGGCTACTCAATTGGCATGAAAGCCATCCAACACACCCTTGCAGTCTCCGAAGACATAACGCTAGGTCTCACCACCAGTGGAGGCGACGAACTCGCCAAGGCAGTTGCAGAGAAATTGGGATGTCAAGTCTCCGAGAGCGCCAGCGTACTGAACAACATCCTTGCTCAGAACTATTCTCGGAGTGTGAAGGCACGTATCGCCAGTATTGCGCCTGTGGTTCTCGAACTGATGGATGGAACCAATACCGCGGGGGGTATTGTGAATGCACAGGTAGAGAAATTAGTGGGCGAGACTCTCGGCCGTTTGGTGAATCCTCAATCCACTGGCTATCACCCATCAGAGGGTACTGTGTTAGTCTTGGCTGGGGGACTGATGAAGAATGCGAAGTACAGGGCCTCCTTGGAGGCACAATTGAGCTCGCACAATTTATTGTTCCAAGGGACAGTGGTGGTTGAAGATGCAGCCGGTGTCGGGGCCAAGTATCTGAGTCGTTGATTGTTAGGCCGCTCTTTCTGTATCTTTCCTTTCTTCTTCCCACTTGAACTCTTTTACCCCCATTCTCATCTATTCCTCGATGCCAATCTCCAGACTAGTTGATATGACAATTGGTCTCGTTTGACTACTACCCAGGTGCACATGAAAAACTATCACATCCATGACATTCATATTGTTGGCCCCTAGCGCTTAATCTGCTTCATTCATCTCGCTGTCCGACCTATCTCAACCTCGGGACCGCTTCGATCACTGACTCCATGGCAGGACTCTGGTTCCAAATACCCGTGATTTCTAGTCCGGCGCTACACAGGAGGTCCCTCCACTGTTGTTCCGATCGTTCGATGCCAGCCCCTATACTCATCATCTGAATGTCCAATGAGGCCTGCATGAGGGGCGTCGCGGCGTCTGGCAGTACGAAATCCACGATGAGAATCCGAGAATAGTCCGGTGCCATTGCGGATACGGTATTTCGTAGGATCTTCCGACTTATGTGGTCATCCCAGTCGTGGAAGATGGAACGGAAGTAGTATACGCGAGCACCCATCACAGGCTGAGGATCCAGGAAACTGTGCCCCATCACCTCGATCCCTGCGTCCTTACCATCTACTCCCTCCACCACGTTAGGCAAGTCTTGTAGGACCAATTTGCCTGGAAGATGACCATATTCCCTTCGAAATTTGCTCAGATCGTGTCCCTGGTTGCCGCCAACGTCGACCACGAAAACTGTGTCCTTGTATGGCACTGCATGGCCAAGCAATCGCTCCACGGGGTATATATCGTACCACATTGGTTTACCTTCCCGGCGGCTAGCCATATAGGAGTTGAACAGCTCCTGCTGGTTGGGATGACTTGAAAGCCATTCAAATTGGCTTTGACCAACGGCCCATTTCATGGGAGACTGGGCGTAGTCCCGGGGATTGGCATACTCGTGGAAGCGCATATATTCCGGGAGCTTGCTCAAGGTCGGAAAGGTCAGATCATATCTGTTCAAAGTTCTGGTGAGTGTTCTGTGAAGAGATACAGGGGCTCAGCCAACACCGCCAACATACATGCAGGGGATCCCGTCTCTTCCAATCGGCTGAGTGAGTGCTGAGGTCTTCTCATTGGCGACATAGACTTCGGGGGCTGGGGTGGCGCACAGCCCAAGAGAGGCCATGACACGCATCAGTCGAACTACCCTTGAAGTCAGCCAAAGCACAGTGTGTGACGGTCTACTATCACTGCAGAAAGATGTACCAATTAGGTCACGCTCGGCGCCTGTGTACTTGGCCAGCTGAGCAGCCGAGAGTCCCGTTCCTCTATGCTGCTTTTCCACAAGAAAAGCAAAAATGCCCAAATCAATGGCAATCCGCAATGCTGCATTTTGAGGAGGCTACAGCCAGTTTAGAGTCTGAACTCAACTCAGTTGGAGCTACTTACCTGGTAAATTAGACGCAACACGGTCTCTGTCGGCGTTTCCACAGCAGACCTCAGCTGGTCGATCATTCGCAATAAGTCAAAGTGGGCTTGTGGAGACGACTCCGAAGCTTCCTCCAAAGCCATATGGCTGATGCGACTGATCAAACTGCACAAGGGAGTGACGATCGTCATGATTTCATCTGCTCAAGAAAGTATCACCGATGTTGAACGAAGATGTATCTTTCGTGTAGCACAGCCCCAGGATGACAGAGCTGGCTCATTTGACGGTATCGCGATTCCACCTTATATGTCTTTGACATGTCTCTTGGCCACTGTAACATCCGCCGAGGTAAATAAATCACCTTGTTTCTGGGCGTTGGTGCATCCATTCCAACGAATGCAATCCATGCATGCTTACCCCGAAAGCAGCTGACGGCCGGGGCATATCGCTTCTAGCAACTTGTGCAATCATTCCCGGCCCATCGTCTGAAAGTTCCGTATTTGAAGGGACAAATCGAGACGAGCGAAATCAGCAGGATGTATGTACAGCCTTGGCCCTCGGTGTACAATTCCAATACGGGCCATCTGCGGTTTCTGCATCCACTAACCCACTTTTCTGATATTTGCTTTTACTACGCCAACCCCTAAGATGCATGATCAGCACGAAAACAGGAAACCCATGGCGATACCAGGTTGTATTTCTATAAAGAGTGTGATGGACGTCGCTAGTGGCAACTAGGTTCGCGTCAGCAATCACCAACTAGTTTTTAGCGCTGATGCATTCAACTGCCCCCAAGTCCGAGGCGAGCCCGCGTTGGAAGCCAGCCATTGCGACTGTCAGTCTGGGAGTCGCCCATTTACACCCCATTGCAGCTAAACTTGATGCTGCCGCCCACAACGGCCAAGGGGGACTTGAACTTTTCCACGATGATGTAGCGCAGCTGGCCAAAGTACTCCGCGATCAAGCAACTGACTGTGTGCCCCGCACCGATCGAGATTATGAGATTGACGCAGCGCATACCATCCGAGATCTGTGTGCCGAGCGCGGTCTCTCTGTTCTAGCCCTCCAACCTTTCCGACACTACGAAGGTCTTATCGACCGAGAACGCCATTCAGAGCGGATCGATGAACTCAAGCATTGGGTGCAATTGTCCAAAATTCTTGGTGATTCACTCTTTATCCTCATTCCATCATCCTTTCTCGAAGCGTCCGAGATCACCGGCGACCGAGAACTCCTGGCCGCTGATCTCGCTGAGGCCGCGGATGTAGCATTCCCTGTGCGGATAGCGTACGAGGCCTTGGCTTGGGGAACATACGTCAACACGTGGGAGGACTCCTGGGATGTGATCAAACGGGCTAACCGGCCCAATTTGGGTATCTGTTTGGATACCTTCAACATAGCAGCCCGTTTGTGGGCCAACCCTACGGACCCGACGGGACGGTTACCTGCGAATGCAGATCAAGATCTGCGGGAATCGTTGGATCGGCTTGTGCAGGAAATCGATCCGGCCCGAGTCATGATGGTCCAGCTTGCCGATGGCGAACGAGTCGACCCACAAACACCCTTTCTTCATGCACCGGGCCTCCCTACGCTACTAGCTTGGTCGCGGAATGCTCGCCTGTTTCCGTGCGAGGAGGAACGGGGCGGATACCTTCCGATTCGAGAGGTGACGGATGCCTGCATCAACGGCCTGGGCTACACCGGCTGGGTCAGTATGGAGGTATTCTCACGCACTACCGGGGAAGATGACCCGGCTGTGCCGATTCAACATGCCGCCCGCGCTCGTCGATCATGGGGAAGGGTTCTGGAATTGCTCGAAGCAAAGCCGGAGAAGGAATCCATATAGGATTGAGGGCTATGAACGGCGATCGTCAGGATTTTTGCTGTGTCGGGAATTCAAGGTTATTTTGCTACCTTTTTGGTTCAAGGTAGATGCATTGGACCGATACGCGGAATGACAGCTTCGATACCTGTGTGTTGCGATAGCCTACAAGTCTTGTCCAATGGATGTCTGCAAGAATATACATCCTCCTTATGTCGGTCTTAAGCTCGATCAAAATGTTTCGCATGCAAAATCGTCGGTTTGCAAGAATATCTTACACCGTTCTCGATAATTGAGACATCCTATCCCATACGTACCGAGCAATGGATATCGCCGGGTCAATCTGCCTTCAGCGGAACACTACCCGTGCATCCTAATAATGTGTCTCTGGAATGCTGCCAGACTCACTATGTCTTAGAGCACCCGACATAGTCAACTTTCACAAAGCATTTACCAAATCCAGGTACGGGAATCGGCATGCTAGGGCGGCAAGGCCCGATCGAACGGATCAGCATTCCTGGGTCGGGCCCGGACCCAGTTCCCGAGAAGCCTTCTACATACTTCGATATAGATAGCAGTGGTTAGGAACTCTATGAGATATGGGGAGACATTCCAGGCCGCGGATACTTGTCCCGGCCCGCTGCCGCTGAAACCGTCCCAACTGGAACGATGCAGATCTTGGATAGCCATACCAGTAACTAAATTGTTGGAACTTTGGAAGGTACCCGAATACCAAGACCCAGTCTGCAGCCCTAGGCCCCTCTGATGTGTCCATTGACGTTTAACGCATACCTCCTTTTAGCACCATTCATTGGTGTGACCCCTTGGTATTCACCTTGGAAGGGGCGTCCTCCACTACGATCGGTTTCAGCGAGAAACCGTTGAGACCGGACCCTTGCTTCTCTCTTCATAGGCCTAGACTAGCCTTTGGAAGAATGTACCATCAGAAGATGAGCGGGATTTGGTGGCATGCGAAAAAGAAGTTCGCGAACAATATCTTTGCCGTACCTAGAAACCAGCCCGACACCAACCGTCTGGTCGGGGCATATTCGAACACTGCAATTTGTGTAGCCTGCACAGATAACACCCCTCTATCCAGCCTGACCCAGTCTCACGCTCGCTGCTGTGCTCAGTCACACTTGCAGTGATACTCGACTCGGAGGGTGCCTCGATTTGGAATCAGCGATATGCATTCACAGGGGAGAAGATCACAGTAAGCTGTCTACTGAAGTTTGCAACTTGCAACATGCATCACAAGCCTGTCAAGCTGTCCGATGACAGCTTGAGATCTCTCCAGTTTCCTCCAACCGCATTGTCATTGCGACTGGAGTGGAGGTTGTCTCGGGCATCTCTGCAGTGTAACCATTGCCGCTGGACGCGATGCAAATTTCACTCCGAAGATGGGGAATAATGCACGAACTAATGCATGACAGGGGAAAATAAGGAACCCCCAAAAAGGTGAGATCTTCAGCGACTACAAAGGTGTCTATGTCGGTTAATAATAGTTAGCGCGTAGAGGGAAAGCCACAATTAACTACTGCGTAGCCGATGTAGATCAGACTTGGTCACCAACACCAACTCCAGGATTTTTTACTTGCGAATGTAATTTTGAATCACTTTGAACCTGATCGTTTGTTGGTCACACAAACATATCAATGCTTTTCGCTTCGAAATGCTGCTTGTGCAGTGCATTGCACTATTCCCGAACGTTCGCGGGATCCACGGGGCCGCCAACTGTCCAATTCGCGGGGACTGAAACTTGACACCTGCACGTTCATCACAGCATGGAAACTGATCTAGTCAGTTTGCTACTGGGCCGAACTCGTTTCGATATGTCTATCGTTCCTCATGCGGAAGGACGTTGTCATCCCGGGCATCCCGAATGCAGTCAGTACAGGCTAATTCGGTAGCAAGGGTCAATCGGAGGGGCGTTGGTTTGCACATACACAGTAGGTTCCTGGAAGAGTACTTAATCCTCGATGCCATACGAGAAGCATCCCGCTACCGTGGCACTCTTCTCCTCATTCTGGAAATACATCTCTTTTCCTCACGATGGGTATCCAACGCGATGGCCAGACATCACAGGCTGGATCCTCCAGCACCATCGACCCGTTGGTTCGAAAGTTTGGACCGCTTCAAGTCCTTGATGACTTGATCCGCTTACGGGCTGCGGACTTTGTTCAGCATCCAATTCTTGCCTACCCTAGTTCTGAGAAGGATCCAGCTTCTTATGATTACTATACCGGGCAAGACTTGGACAGCATGATCAACCAGGCTGTCACAATGCTCATGGATGACGGATTCAAGCAGGTAAGTCTGGAAAAACCTCCATTGATTGCAGATGTTCTAACAAATTCTATCTAGCCAACACGAGATGGATCCATCGTGGCACTTCTCACGCTATCAGACCTTAACATGGTCGTCACATTTTTCGCCCTGAGCCGACTAGGCTACACTGTCATGATGCTTTCACCAAGGCTTTCAGGCGAAGCGTGCGTATCATTGCTGGAAACAGTAAACTGCGAGACAATCATCTATGGCAACTCCCCTAACACCCGCTCTACGTTGGGCGAGATTCTCCGCCGGAAATTAGTGAGCTGCCGCCCAATGCTCTCGGGCTCGTCATACAAGAAGACGGAGTCATCGTTCCTTGTTCTACATCAAAATCGGAGCCCAGCAAAGATTGCATTGATTCTTCATTCATCGGGATCAACAGGCATCCCGAAACCACTGTTCCTCACGCATAAAGCCCTCATGACACATCCTCTGCGAGGTCCCGGACTCACAACATTTAACCCCTTGCCATGGTATCACCTTCATGGACTGTCCACCGCATTACAAGCGATGTGGATGAGAAAGACCGCCTACATGTGGAATGCGGCCCTGCCCTTGACCGCAGATTCCGTTGTCACTGCTCTGGAAGAAGCGAGACCGGAGTCCGTAGCAGCGGTCCCATATATGCTTCAAATCTTGATCGATGACCCTCGCGGCATAAGGGCTCTACGGGAATGCAAGCTGGTCACCTACGGAGGTGCACCATGTCCCGACGAGCTAGGTGATCGCCTAGTCAGTGAAGGAGTGCATTTTGGAGGTTCATTCGGACTGTGAGTACACCAGCTTCTATGGATGATGTTTCCAAGGTCTAATAAAACTCAGTACTGAGGCTGGCCTCGTTGCCGAGTCAATATCCCGTCCAAAAGGTGACCCTCATTGGAACTATTTGCGATTCTTTGACAATATCCTACCATATATCTGGATGAAACCTGTCTCCGAGTCAGACTCACTTTACGAGTGTGTTTATCTTGCTGGTCATCCAGCGCTCACGACCTCGAACTCCAATGACCCACCAGGATCCTTCCATTCCAAAGATGTCTTCTCTCCTCATCCTACCATTCCGGGACGATGGAAATACATGTCAAGACTGGACGACCGCATCAATCTCGTCAACGGCGAGAAGGTTCTACCACTGCCTATCGAGGGTCATATCAAACAACACCCTTTGATCCATGATGCAGTGGTAGTTGGAGTGGGCAAGGCTGCTCCGGGGCTTCTGATCTTCCGAGCACATGACGCTCAAGCCGATCATCTAACGGATAACCAATACCTTAATTTGGTCTGGCCGACTATCCAAGAAGCAAATTCCCGAGCAGAGGCATTTTCTCAAATTGCCCGCAACCTGGTCGCTATCTTGCCGCATGATGCCAAGTTCCCTCGGACAGACAAAGGGTCTATGATCCGGGCACAGGTGTATCAGGAGTACGGTGATCTCATTGAAAGCTTGTACAATAAAGAGGAACATGTCACCGGTAACCTTGAGCTTAACGTTGTTGAGACTGAGCGTGTACTTCTTCAACTGGCCCACCAAGAACTTGACCTACCCATCTCTGGCGTTGACGCTGATTTCTTCACCGAGGGTGTTGATAGTCTGAAGGCGATACACTTCCGCCGTCTCATTCTTCAGCATTTCAAGTTCGGCTCTGACCAGATACCCGGCCCTAACGTCATATTTGGGACGGGGTCTATATCCCAACTCGCTCGGTCCATCTATGCATTGCAAGATGAGAAAATTCTTGAAAATCCCGCGAATGATACATCTCTCATGACAGCCATGATTGAGAAGTACTCCTTCTTCGACAGACATATCCCCCAACCACATACCTCCTCAACCCAGAAGAGCGTGGTAAGTCAACAACCCTCTCCCCAAATCTCAAAACAGAACGCTAACACACCAAAGCTGTTGACAGGAGCAACAGGGTCAATCGGCGCTCACATCCTATATGAGCTCCTCAACGACAGCACCATCACAACAGTCTACTGCCTCACCCGACGCGATAACCCACTGCAAGCAATCCTCGACACCCTCATTTCCAAGGACCTCCACATCTCCCCAGACCAAAAAACCAAAATCCACGCCTTCAACAGCCGTCTCGACGAACCAGACTTCGGCCTCTCTCTCGACGAAAGCACAATAACGCATATGCTGACAACAACCTCCCTAATAATCCACACAGCCTGGCCCGTGAACTTCAACCTCCCCCTCCCCCAATTCTCCCCCCACATCCACGGCCTCCACAACTTAATCCAATTCTCCCTCTCAGTCCACAGACGCGAGCCCGCCGTCCTGCTGTTCTGCTCCTCAATATCCACAGCCCTTGCCTCCAAATCACCATCCATCCCCGAAGAACCACTCAGTCTAGACAGCGCCTACATGGGCTACGGCCAGTCCAAGCTGGTCGGCGAACGGATCGTCAGTAACGCCCGAAAAATCGGCGCAAGAGCGTACTCCCTGCGTATCGGACAGGTCTCGGGCCACTCGAAAAGGGGGCTTTGGAATGACTCCGAGGCACTGCCGCTGATGATTCGCTCGGCGCTGACGCTCGGTGCGTTGCCGGCATTGTCGCCGCAGACTTGCTCTTGGCTGCCCGTTGACAAGCTGGCAGTGGCGGTTCTGGAGATTGCGGCGAAATGTACTAAGCCGGAAACGTATAGTTGTGCGTCTGGCTCGGTTGTGAGTGATGTGATTGATGACTCGATTTTCAATTTGTGGAATTCTAGGGAATTCGCGTGGGAGGATTTGCTTGCTAAGCTGAGGGAAAGTGGGTTTTGTTTTGAGACTGTTGCTTTTGAGGAGTGGTTGGTGAGACTAAGGAGGAGTGAGGGGAGAGGTGAGGAGGGTGTTAATCCGGCGGTTAAACTCATTCAGCATTATGAGACTATGTATGGGGGGAAGACTTTGGGACCCAAGAGGTTTGTTACCGAGAAGGCTGAGAGGGATAGTGTGACTTTGCGCGATGGGAGATTGAGGATTATTGAGGATGGGATTTTGGGATGTTATGCGCGAGATTGGTTGGAGAGGTGGACTTGAGATTGCATTTGAATTCGATCACTGGAGTTTTTGTATACAGGCGATTGTAAATATTGGGCTTTAGAAATTGAACGATTGTTTGGTCAATTCCACTATCTAAGTATTCCTTTTTGAAGGACGACTGCATCAAAGGGACTCTCACAGATGTCTACGGCCATCTCTAGGGCCAACTATACAAAGAAAAAGACACAAAATTCCACGCCAAATTCGCACACAGAATCCAATCAATTAACACCCCTGTTCAGAGCAGAACAGCAACAAAGAATCCAAAGAAGAGAGCAGAGACGCTCAGCGACAGCCGATCAGCGGCTCCGGTGAAGCTAGGGCCAAATGTAGCGCTAGGAACGGAGACCGGAGATGGAGCGGACGTGGCAGACTCAGGCAAGACACTGGTCGGTGCAGGAATGAGGGCCTTAGAGGCCTTAGAGGCATCATATGGGACCGTGGAAACCACAGCAGTGGGAGTCGCAGGAGGCGCCGCCCATGAATTACCGAAGTCTTCGGCAGCCGCGGAAGTTGGCACGGCTGTGCCATGCGTAGCGACAGGAGCAGCCGGCTGGGGGTGGGTGTCTACCCTACCCTGATCATTGCTAGCTGGGACAGCGTCGACGCCGGAGGGAGGGGCGACAGGAGCTGCAGAGGGGTGTGCCTGTACGTGCGTGTGGATCGGCGCTGGGATAGGTTTTGCGGAAGTGTGGGCGGCAAGAAGAGAAGACTCTTCGGCCATGGGACAGATTGTCTCTGTTGCGGTGACGACAGCGGTTACGGTCCGAGTCTTCTTGGGAGGAGGTAGCTCCGCTGCTTGGGTGTTGAGGTTTTCGGCAGTAGCTTCGGGGCCATGAGCAGTCGCAGGGGCGGTTGTAGGGGCAGTTGTCGTTGTAGGCATTCCCTGGATGATCGCAGCAGTGCCAATTTCGTTGGAAGAAACTGAGAGCACGGTGTGGTGGGTGGCGTGAGTGGCGTGGGTCTCAGGGTGGGTGTTGGCAGGAGCAGCATCAGTCGTAGCAGGCTTGGGTTCAGCGGGTTTGGGGTGAGCAGGCTTGGGCTCCGAAGCAGGAGAAGAAATACCCTTCACACCGGCCTGGTAGATCTTGACCGAGTTGATTTCCCAGTAGGACTGTTCGTACTCTGCCGGATGGTTGGCGACATAATTGTGGCAGCTCTGGAAGGAATCTGTGTCGGTCATGGGGCAGCCCGAGCTACCAAAGACACCGCCAGCCCAATCACCGCAGAAGGTAACGTCGAAAATGAAAGACTGTTCCTTGAATGCATTGGCAACATCGCATGATTCTTCCACCAAGGCCATCGGGGTACCGAACTTGGTGACATCGGGCTTGCCGCCGGTGATGGAAGGTGGGATCGCGTGCCGGGGGAAGTACCAGATCTTGAGGAAGTCGGCGGTCCACTCGAGCGCATACACACCACCCTGTTGTTTGTTGAACGATGTACCGTAGCTTCCTTGCTGACCTTCAATTACACAGCCAACGGTGCCCAGATCCGTACCACAACCGGTGGCGTTGACAACACCTGTCATATCCGTGTCCGTCAAACTGCATGTACCGGCGGTGTGCATGACAATTTCATTGTGATCTTGCAGATTGACACCTTCAATGATATCAATCTCTCCGTCCTGGGGCCACTCCTTGCCAACGGACCAGAAGGCAGGCCAAGTACCGCAGACACTACCAGGCATGTGGGCAATATCGGCAATGACCAAGGACTTGTCGTAGTACTTCTTGCTGCCGATACGCACCGAGTCACGGCCCTTATTGCCGTGGGGATCTAGCTTGGTGACATGGTCGACTCCTAGATATACACTGCCCGAATCGGTGAGCTTGACAAGACCTGCGCGTTCGGCAGACTCCTTGTCAAGATAGTTGACGAAACCATGCGTTGGGTCGGTGCCAACGTGGAAATTGAAGTAATCCAGGAAATTCTTCCCTTGCCAGTTCTCCACCAGGGAGTAACTTGCAGCGGCCACGGGAGAAGCTAACAAAGCGAGCATGAGCGATCCAGCGCTCAATGAACGTGACGAAGAAACCATCTTGTCTGTGGGAAACGTATAACACCGGATGATTATGGTGGCGGTAGTATAGACGGTAAAGATGAGAAGAGGAAGGGACAGAATGCAACTGATATTGAAAAATGACGAAAAGAAAGACTGACAATCCAGTTGTCAACAAGGAGAAAAGAATGTGAATCGTGTCGAACGTGTCGAAGTAACAGTGGGAGGTATTTGACCCAAATATCTTTTGTTCGCCCGTAGCTCAGTTTCCTTTATCCTAAATCCAGCAATGGAGTCCGAGGATCCATTAGGTCCACCAGTTCGTCCAGTGAAAATTCACCGATGGTTAAGTCCTTTGACTGCCATCTTGTCATGAAGTCCCGCGATAGGCTGCTCAAATATTCCCGTGGCGTTCTAGGCCAGGACTTCAAGTCCACCTTGAAGATCCATTCTTCAGACGACGATAGGTCGATCAACACAAAGGGTCGATTAGTCGCTGTCACGGCGGTTATAAGTGGGTGCGTGTCAACCTGAAACCTGCAAGCCCGCTAGAGGCGCAACGCCAAACAAACAGTGAAACAGGGGGATTAGCATGATTGAAAGAGATAAATCATAACGCGATGAATGGCAACCTAAAAGGACAGAGAGATGTATGCATAATGCATCTCATTGAGGTGTCTTCTTCATCGCGAGGCCCGCGTTGTCCTGATGCTCACATTCCTCGTGATGACAATGTTATGGAGTTGACGCGGTCCCTGAGAGGCTGCGGTCTCCGCTTAGCCTATTGAGTAGCATGTCAATCTCTTCCTCTTGGCGTCTTTTGGCGCATAGAAAGTCTAGACTCTGTGAAGAGGTAGCATTTGTGATTTGATAGGCTTAACCAGAGTGAGTTGTTCTCATTTGTTGTTCAAATACTCCGTACGCTAAGTTAATCCCCACTTGATCTCCGTTATCTCAGTGCCCTCAGACCTTATCACATGATCCAAGAATTCTGCGAGATCTATAAACCAAATCAGGTTGCCCCCTGATTCGCTGAAAGAACTGGGCGGTGAGTTGGACATCCACCGCCTTTTGCAGGGGGTCTCGGGCATTCCGGCCGATCGGAGGAATGTGAACAGCACAACGCAACGCAGGGAAATCATCATTAGGGAAACCTCATTGTACACAGACTACAGTATGATATTGAAGATAAACCTCTCTTCTACTGCAAACTCGTCTTGGCTGAAAATTCACACAATTTGCACATGTATTATGCCTCAGGCATCGAGGGCGCCCTTGAAATGATCTCATTCGTCCGTCTTCCCTTTCACCGCTTATTCACCGCTTACTGGCCGTTCTGCCGTCTACCCCTTCAATTTTTCTCCAGTTTCGCCGTACGCTCATTCGCCTGTTTTGTTGACCGCTTGCCCCTGCTCCTGCCGTCTACCCCTTCTTTTCACTCTCACTTTTGCTTTACCGTTATTTGCACGGTGGTGCTTCTCGACCAGTTGCTTCCTGCCGCGTGTAACAGATGAGATGGGTAAGTCCTAGACGGCCCTCCCAAGCACCGCGACGAGTCACCCCCCAGCAGATGAAGTGTACGACCCGATGGAGTGGACTCCGGAAACGTGAGGGTGACCGCTGTGAAAGCCCAGCGCATCACTAACAAGGACGAGTACCCTTCCACACGCCCAAGAGACTGGGGTCTCCTTGGCAAGAGAGCCAAGCGGATGCCGACGGCAGAAGTGGCACGACCAGCGTCATATCCGCCCTATTCACGTCGTTTATCCACATCATGGTGATGTCTGTTATTTTCGCCGGCTCCTCACTATCGTCAAGGTCACCGCTCTTGCTGCTGGGCCTTCCTCATGTCGCGGAATAGCGACCCAATGCAACTGACTATTGGTTGCGCTTCAGGCCCGTCATGTTCAACCAACAGCCAATGGAATTGCTCCCCATTCCGGGACATGGGGAAGTCGTAGCAGCAAGAGTGTCGACGGCCAGCGTGGAAAAGCTCTCAGCGTGGTACCGCGCATGGGGAGACCACTCAGAGTATCAAAGGAATCATTAATAGACATCACCATGAGTCCATGACGAGGGTACACGACGTGAATGCGGCCGATTTGGCGCTGGCCATTCCAGTTCTGCCGTGGGGGACCATCCCGTCAGTCCCTTAACAAGTGCAGCTGTAGCACGTTCATTCGCACGGTGGTGCTTCTCGCCCAGTGGCCTCCTGCCGTGCCCTGCTTCCGTCTCTTGGTCTGACCGTAACTCCCTCTGTGTTCATTGCCACATGGCAATAGTGTCGGTGGCAATGCTTACCGTGTATGTCTTCGGTACTATGTGACCTGCGTAGCTCCTATATTAGTGTCTAAGATGAAGGGTTTGCCACAGAATCAAACACCAGATTAGATGCGGCGCGTGTCACTATGGGGCGATGATGATGATATTCACATTAACTTGATTTCGCTCGCTTTACATGGTCTCGCCGCTCCGAGCCGTCACTGCATACTAGTATGTCCATGTCAGGCAGGCTCGACTTCCTTAACTGGCAGTCGATCCTGCCTGCCACGACACAAGGTCGGCTACGGATACGCCCTTTATAGGGGCGGAGCTCAAGTCGCTCCTGGAGCCGGGGCAGTCTGCAGCATCTCCATGTATTCGACGCGGAGGCCATCGGCGCGTGGCGCGGACTGGAACATGCCATTGCACTAGCCGCCGCCCAGGCATGCATGCCAAAAATCTGGCTATGCGTTGACAGCACCTCGGTGATCTGGTGCATTCGAGAGACCGCCCCCACCTCATCACAATGGGCCTTTCTGAACTGTCAGCAGGCAATAGATACCCATGGAGTCGGCGTCCGCTGGGCGCCAGGCCACATTAGTATTGAAGGCGACGAAGCGTCGGATCGGCTCGTGGCAGCCGGCGCGGACATGGAACTGGACGGGCCTGAAGCGCTACCAACGGTCAGTGGCATTGGGTCGCTTTTCCGCGACATGAAGAAGGCGCAACAGCAAGAGTGGTGGATGGCCAGCGTGGGGAAGCTCTCAGTAGCGCTTCAAGCCCGTCCAGTTCCATGTGCCGGCTGCCGCGAGCCGGTCCGACGCTTCGTTGCCTTCGATACTCATGTGGCCTGGCGCCCAGCGGACGCCGACTCCACGGGTATCTATTGCCTCCTGACAGTTCAGAAAGGCCCATTGTGATGAGGAGACCACTTAGAGTACAAAGTCAAAGAGCTTGGTCACCTCAAGCTCTCCAGACCAGTATTACACCGCTGGCTCGCCATCCGCTCCACGCACGGGGACTTTCAATCGTACCATCGCCGCCTCAAAACGAGGACGCGAATTGCTCCTGCAAATGCGGCAGGAACAAGACACCGGAACATATCGCACTGTGCCATATGGCACAGCGAACGTTCCTGGAATGGCCCAAGAGGCCGCCCACCCCCCCCGTCGGGGAGGGAACAGGCCCTCGCTTATCTTAGGAGTCTGTCGCCAGGGGACTTCGCCACCCTACTAAGGGTGACGGAGTTGTACATGAGACCTGCCCAAGGTAGGCAGGCCTTTTACACTACTCCGTACACTACCAAAGGAAAAGGAGAAGGGAAGGAAAAAAAAAAAAAAAAAAGAGCGCGCCCGCGCCGAGACACAAAGGGATGGAAACACCATAGTTGAACACCTCATATATCATGAATGTGATATAGCCGTTGCATCTGGTACCAAACCAGGTGGAACACTCTCTGAGAAGCCAACAACGCCATTTCCCTGGCAACGAAACCAGCTGATCCCCCGGGCATAACTGCGAATCTGGAGTACCCGTATTCAGCAGTCGAAATGTCTGGTCTGGGTTGTACTAAGCTCGTATCGGCTCACTCATTTCCAGTGCTGACGCAGGAACGAACTTGCGCATCTTGAAAATCTTCTCAGAGTATCGATCACCGCGGCCAATGAGGCAGTTAATCTCACTCGGGTGGACATAGTGAAGAACCAGCACCGCCACAAACATCATCAAGCCGTCAAAAACATATATAAACACTTCCTCTCTCATCAGGTATCCGTCATACCCTTGAATATACTCCACGACGCGAATGATCGATCGGACCAGGATCAAGCCACCGGTGATGTACAATGCAGTCAAATGCCGGCGCCAGAGACTCGCCAGCTCAATAGACCTCCCCGAGGGACTCCTCGTGATACGATATTGAAAGATCACTGCGCTGATGATGAAAAATCCGAAGAATATAATCTGTACGAACAGACCGCCGATGATGATGTGTTCGCCAGTTGATGGGTTCGTCGTGTCCTTGACCATGAGACCAGCTCCTACCAAAGTATTAGCCTTCTATTGTAGACGCCATAATGTACGTAGAGCAATAAATGGGAAAAACTAACCAGAAGCCTGCATCAGGAATGACAACACATCGCCCGTCACAAAGAGTTTGGTCAACCATCTTAGTTTGATCAAGGAGCACTTCTCCCCGTCAACCATATGGATAATTCGCCCGAGCGTCATATAGACACTTGCTGCGAGAAATGCAGGTGCAATTAAGATAAGTGCGCTCTGCATGATGTATGGACCTTTCGTGTACTCTGGCGCCTCGATCGATGATAATAGACGACCGACGTAACCGATTGTTTCCACTGGCAAGAGGTAATAACGTTAGACAACATCCACCCCATTCTCAAGATGCGAAGATTACTCACTGGCTCCACCAATTAAGAATGGAATCATGAACCATGTCCGCGTTCGAAGAAGCTGGTAGAAGTGCAAGACAGTGCTTAAGCCAAACAGCCCGACGAAAATGCCCGCAGCTGGGCCGGACGGGGTATAGTAGTAGAATGTCCAGGCCATTGTTTAATGAGGAAGGGTTGGAGAATAAAAGATACCCATCTTTAAGGGCAGAGTATGGCATTTATAATTCTGGTCTTGAGAGAGATCTTCCTCTCTAGTCGAGATTTTCGTGTATGCCTATCCTGTTGCAGATCCACTATTGGTGTTTCTCGTATCTCGTTCCTCGCTCCAATATAGGAAGTTTCACGGAAAAGTCTGTCGATCAGAGATTGAGGACAAAATATGCTACGAATAAGTACAGGTGTGCTAGTCGCAAGTGCAAAGTAGGGCCTCCCGGCCTCGTACTCGTTTTGTTGCCTCTTTTGGGCGATCTACGGCGCCTCTGATTGGACGAAAGACCCATAGTAGGTAGTGGAGAGAGTAGAGACTGAATTACAGCTATTGTGGAACCTCTCGCTCTTCTCAAATGCTCGTATCCTTATACCAAACAAGTTTAGTTTTTCATATAAGCATCCACCGTTGCAAATGACTCTCCAATTGTGGAGCTATCCTAGGCAGAGAGATATCGACACAGAATGCGCCGATTGTTGAAATGACCTAGCTCCATGGAACGATCAAATTTTGAATATGTTTTTTTCTTCATACCTTATAAGTAGAGCAGCTCGAGGCCACTTTTCTCCTGGGAAATACAATACGAGTCATTCCAGATCTCACACCTTGAACAGCGTCGCCGACATATCTTGTTCCAACCTCACGAGCTGTGATCGCCCAACCCTTTGTTTCGATCTTCTGGCAACCATTCTACCTCGCTATGACTGAAGAATTCAAGCTGTACCACTATGATCCATCGGCTGGAGCTGCAATCGCGTTTGCAACAGTCTTCGGCCTCACCACTGCGATACACCTCTGGCAATTGGGTCGAAGCCGAGCCTGGTATTTCATACCCTTCGTCATCGGCGGTTCCTGTATGTACCCCCTCTATTCTCGTTACTAGTATCACGCTAATTCTTGCAAAGTTGAAGCGTTTGGATATCTAGCGCGGTATGTCAGCGCAGAGGAATCGCCGGATTGGACGACCAAGCCGTACATAGCCCAGAGTTTGATGCTTCTTCTCGCACCGGCGTTCTTTGCTGCTTCTATATACATGATCCTTGGCCGCATCATACGTCTCTTGAACGGGGCCTCGTGTTCGCTTATCAGGCCATCATGGTTAACCAAGATATTTGTGACGGGTGATGTGTTGTCGTTTCTGATGCAGAGTGGTGGTATGTTATACCACATGTTTGATCTTGACATATGAAAGTAGACTAATATTTCTCCGTTCATCAAGGAGGCGGTATCATAGCCACAGCGAAGGACAAGACCAAAGTCGACCTCGGAAACAACATCATCGTTGCCGGACTCTTTGTACAGATCATATTTTTTGGCTTCTTCATTGTTGTCTCTTTGGTCTTCCATCGCCGCACGTTAGCTACACCCCTGCATGCCGTAGGAGACAGTTCAATTCGCTGGACTCGCTACATGATGGTCCTCTATATCGCCAGCACCCTGGTGATGATCCGATCCATATACAGAGTGGCAGAATATGTCCAGGGCAGTGACGGGTTCCTCCAAAGCAAAGAGGCATTCATTTATGTCTTCGATACGATGCTGATGTTCATTTGTTGTCTGTTCTTCAACTGGTTCCATCCGAGCGGAATCCTTTCGGGCTATGAGAAACCTCTGGAAGACCCAGATCTGGAGATGTTGAATCGTGATCAATATACTGGATACACGGGACATGGTAGATATAACAATGTTTATTGAGCATGTCATAGTCTCTGTTATCGCATACGATAGAAATATCTTTCTCGGCACCTACTGATTCAATTTTGGTGGCGACCTATCTATACTTCTCGACTTAAAGCTCGGGATTGGCTTCTGATACCTTCCGTGGATATTGTAGCAAGCCGAATAGTGTAGTCTGGGCTTTCTAACGTCTTGGTGAGATGCTCCACTCATGACATCTGCCCGATGGCGATAGTGATGGTAGTGTGACGTTACGAACCCGGTCCTTCGAGCCGCTATAACTTCGCCTCTCCAGTGATTTCTATCTTCTTCAAAGATGTCTATCCTGACAGTCAGTAGCAGGTCTTCAATATTTGCGAGGTCGAGGATTTTCTCTATGGGAAAGCTCTATTCTCATCAGCCACGTCAATGCGCAATGTCTGGGACACGAGACAGCAATGATCTCGATGATCTCTCTATCGAAGACGAAGTAAACTCGAGGCGTGGCTATGGATCGTAAGACTCCGAGCTCTCAGATTCCATGTTCGACGTTATTGACATCCATAGGATTGTGCATAACCCCAAAATGTCTACCCAGGCCAAGCACCATGCGATAGATATTGTTCACGATGAGCTTGGCGGGGATCTACCTCGACATCGCCTGGGTCAGCCTCCAGCTTCAAGGGATTATGATAAAGACCGTGAAAATAGAGAATCAGAAAGGTGAGAAAAATATCGGTGAAACGTGGAGTCTGTGGCTGACTAGGGGTTATCCAGGACGAAGCGGGATTCCGACAAGGATGATCAGAGTAAAGATGTGCTTCTAGAACACGGTCAACGTGAACAATATCCAGGGTAGCGGAATGAACACCCTGTTACCATTATTTAGTTCCAATGAAATGACCTTTGTATATGTACGTCGTCGTAGATTCCTCTATCATCAAGTATCTACTCCATCCACGGCTCATTGGTGTCCTCCTCTGGCCACTTCCGAAAGATATCCTGCAGATGATCCAGGGGAGCGGTAAGTAGACCAGCTGCAGTCGCATACATCGGCTTGTCGGGATCACTTGGATGTGCGCGAGAGGGCACGAACATCTTGGTGCGATTGAGAGACTGAGCCAGTTTCTCGCTCTCCTCGGAGGTCACCGACTCCTCTAATCTCACCAGATCGTTCGTTTCTTCGTCTCGCATATGCCGAGCAAGACCTTCCATCAAAAGGGTAATAGTAGGAATAAAACTAGGGTCAGAAGCATTCAGGTCTTGGAAAACATCGAGCATCTCTCTGATCTACTCCAGATCAGTATCCCATTGAAACCTATGAAGGGGGTAAGATCAACCACTCACTGAGTGATGTTCGCGCCGGTCGTCGTCGGTCTTCGCTGAACCTCCAGGGACGTACTTCTCGATTGCTGGAAAGACTACCAGCTCTTCGGCGACGGCGTGTCGAGCCAGTTCCCAGGTGAACTGGTTCTGATAACGGGTTTGCTCATCCTCGTCTGTGGAGTTGACGATAATGTTGTAGTAAGTCTCCAGCTTTCGATGATCGTCTTCAATTGCCTCGCTTACTCGGACCATATTGGCTTGGTTATTATGGGAGAAGTTCCTCTCGAATATCTGTTTTCTCTTTTAGGAGTATTCTGTTTCACTGAAGCCATCATGACGTTGCGCAAGTTCACAATAATAACGACATTCTGGGCCACTCTCCACGCCACGATATCTTGCGGAACGTGATTCCGATCTGTACAACTCCGAACGCCACCTGACGAGGCTGACGTTTTCCTGATTGAGGGAAGATCATCTCTCACTATAATTTCAAAGCATGAAGGGCCAAGACAGCCACTCATCCTATTTGGCCCCCATGACTAGCCTCTAAAGCTGCCTGGTTGGATAGCGTGATCAAGGTAAATCATTTGCTACTGTGCGAGTCCGAGAAGCGAGATGCATGACTTGTTTGCTCTGAAGCTCGAATCTTTGCTTCTTTCCTAGTTCTCACTTCACCTTCACCTCCACTTCTGCTGCCATGATTCAATACTTCCAGTGGCAGTTCCAGTAAACGGAGAACGCAGACCACACCATGACGACTCAGGACTACCAGTGAGAGCCTACCATGTGGATCATCCAAGGCCCAAGGGTGATTCTGACGAGATCTACAGAGACCCGGATTTCCCACGGGAACCAAGCCAAATGCCCACCGCCGACGGCGAGTCACCTAGCGATACATCTACTCACCAGGCGAAGAGACCCCGTGGGCTTTGCGGTCGCGTCTCGCAGTGGTTATGGTCTGGATGGCGGGGCATGGCGTTCGAGGGCGCTAAATCCCCGCATTTGGCGCAGAAGCCATATCAGCTCCGTCCGGGCGACTGCAAAACTTGTCGTGATCACTATGTATCTTGTGACCATACAAGGCCCCAGTGCTCTTATTGTTGGTCGCAACAGCTCTTATGTTTCTATGTGGAGCCTAAGCAGAAACGCCGCAAGAACAAGCCGAGTGTCAGCCATTTGGAACCGATTTCTGGTCAGGTCTTGACTAGAGACGCGACCGTGTGACTCACACGGTGTGAGTATTCCTCTCGTCGTCGCTTGATCTAGATCGTTTCATATCGCATCTCATCTCAGATTCATCGTCGCATATAGGTATGATGGCTCAAATAGCCAATGACATGGAAATAGTCCACACAGAATGGATATATCGAAGCCCACTTTATTCAGTCAGGGTCCAAGATGGAAGTACAACCTCCATTCCATGAACAATGTAACACCGGAGAAATGTGCTCCGAATGATATCGGCGTCAAGCAAGAAGGACACTGATCGACTCCCGTAGACCATAGCTCCGTACATAGCTCTGATTGAGGAAGAACGCCGAGTCGGCGCAAGACCGAGAGAGTTGCGTCGGAACACTGTGACCCGATACTCCACCAACACATACATAAGTTGATCCTGCACAAGCATTCAATTGACATCTAGCTCCAGCTGCTCTTTGATTTTCGCGGCGCGACATGAATTGATTTTGCCGAAGTGGTGGTTGAGTTTGCATCACTGCAAGATATCTCCCATGTGTCATTGATCCAAGGTAAACATCCCAACCACAACTCTTCACATGAAACAAACTGACTAGAACCCCCCAGATGGAATCTGAGTACCGGCGACTAGCGGATGTCATCCGCAACCAAGCCGCAGCTCATCCCAAATCCCGCTACCTAGTAGCCATCGCCGGCATCCCCGGTTCAGGGAAGACCACGACAGCCGAGGCAGTAGTGCGTCAATTGAACCACAGCTCGACCTCTCGCACTGCCCTGCTGTCCATGGATGGCTTCCATCTGTCCCGGGCAGCTTTGAATCAACTGCCCGATCCTAAAGAGGCGTATGTCCGTCGCGGTGCTCCGTGGACGTTTGACGTGAGCCGGTTTGTGGCTTTTGTCGGTCGACTGCGTGCCTGGGCCGATGAGACGCCTCTGGCAGATGCGTATTCTGGAAAGTGGTCATCTGAAGAGGTCATTTACGCACCGACGTTCGACCATGAAGTGAAGGATCCGGTCGAAGATGGGATTGCTATCACGCCCGATGTCTCTATTCTTATCATCGAGGGCAACTATCTACTCCTTGATGATCCTGGCTGGCGTGAGCTCGCGGAGTTGGTTGATTATCGAGTGTTTGTTGATACTGATCCGCTGGAAGCAAGGTGCCGATTGGCTGAACGTCATCTACGGGCTGGCATTGAGAAAACGCTGGAAGATGGATATCGGCGGGTGGACAGCAATGATTTCTTGAATGGGGTTTCGATTCGAGAGAAGTTATTGCCTCCAGATATGGTTGTGAAGAATGTGAATGGTGCATAAGATACAAGATTAAGACTATGTGAATGAACGACCGCAAACTTGTCGTTTCGGTATTTCGTTGCTTACTCCTTCACTTCCTTCTTGTGGAAGACATCTGCATATTTGTCAGTGATGTCCAATAACCGAGCTTTCTGTCCTGAACTCACTGGGAATTTCCGGCATCCAGCTCGCCCGATCCTTGCAGAAGAACTCTCCCTTCGGAGGCAATGCTTCGGGGTCATCTAAGGACCCGACACAGATGTAGCGGAATTGATCCTTGACAGCGTCCTGCTCATGTTTTCAGTAACGCCCCAAGCCATTTGTTTGGTGGACCTGACATACCCCGTATTCTAGAATGAAGCTACCGCAGTTCTGACAAAATTCCCGATGAATCGCCGATCCCGATCCATTATCCGCGACATGTTCCTTCGGTGTTCCTTTGGTAAGATGGAATGCGTTCACTGGGACTTTGGATGTCAGGCCGTAATTCGTTCCGAAGGCTTTCTGTTCGCCAGTTAGCAAGAGAATCCGTTGATCCAGCACAGTGGCATACCTTGCAATTACGGCAATGGCAGACAGATGTGCGAGCATCGTCGTCTTTATCGAGTCGCAACTCGTATTCGATGTTTCGACAGAAGCAGGATCCTGTGTGAGTGGGCATCTTGAGAGGTTGAAATGTTGATATTGTTCGGGGTACTCGGGTGAATGTGATATGTGACGTCAGTGGCCTGAATGCGAATAGCTTCGTAAGGAAGAGAGTAGTCATAAGCCTAAAGCCTTAAGGTGGTGATGAATATATTCAAAGTGTTCAACGGGGATGAATCTTTATTATTAATATTCAGTGGGTAACCAACAAAGCAGGATGATGCGATGATGACGGGCAGCGGCGAACCCCAACTCCAAGTTTGCTGATCGACTTCAACCTGTTCATAGTTCCCATATCCGGCGATTAACATTATCCCCAAATATGGCATCTTCAAGCGAGCGCAAGTTAGAGGAGAGATCGGTAGTATCCTCCTTTATCTGCTCAACCGCTGGAGAATTCAAAGTCGCTCTGTTTCGCCGTAGCGAGAAGGTCAGGACATATCCGTATGTACACACAAATCTCAGCCATTGTCTAATATCTGCATACTGATTGACTTCCCAGGCATCGTCTAGCTCCCATTTCAGGCAGCATAGGGAGCAAGGAAACAGCAGTGGCGGCAGCATGGCGCGAGCTCAAAGAAGAAACGACCCTCACGGTCGATGAAGTTGAACTGTGGCGACAAGGGAAGCCATATACTTTCCGCGACCCGTCTGTTGGACGGGAATGGATTATCTTCCCATTTCTATTCCGACTCAAAACTGGCGACGAGGGTGGTCGCGGAGAGCAAGCTATCCAAATTGACTGGGAACATGAAAGCTGGCAATGGTACAGTCTTGAGACCATTCAAGATGAGAAGAATCTAGGTGGAGTACCACATCTGCAAGATAGCTTGCGCCGTGTCTGGTTTGAATATGACATGAACGAGAGCGCTAGCGAGGCACTCATAGCAGGCATGGGACAACTGAGGTCAGATCACCAGAGCGGATCCCACGAGATGACTACGATCGCGCTGAGGGCTTTCAGAGACGTCGTTGCACAGTTGCAGGGCGATATCGATACAAAATGGTGGGAAACTGCTCGCATGGCTGCATGGCATCTGTGGAAGAATGGACGGGAAAGTATGGGAGCAGCTACATTGAATGCTTTTCTGGGATTACTGGCGGATATGGAAGAAATCATATCCCAGAATCTCGACCGTGGTGCTAAAGTGGAACGCTTGTTGACCTTGCTCGATCACCATATCTACAAGCGGAAAGAGATGCCATTGCGCATCAAACAATCCTTTGAGGCATACCTCCAATCCAACTTCCTGCCTACAGCAGAGTCGACACTTACACCCTCCCTCGCAATCCTCATATTCTCGGCCAGCTCCACCATACGGGATACTATTCTAGATGTCTTCGAATCCCTGCCGGTTCCTAATCTGGACATCCGGGTGCTCGAGTCCCGGCCACTGTGCGAAGGTGTCAACATGGCATCTTCCATCCTCTCGGCCTTCCAGACAAAATTCCCTCCGTCTTCCAAGAGACAGCTGGAACTAACCTTGCACACTGATGCATCTGCCGCGCTAGCCAGCAAGGGACTAGACTTTGTCCTACTTGGAGCAGACGAAATCTCACACTTAGGTTCAGTCAGCAACAAAACCGGATCATTGCCAGCTGTGCTTAGTGCTAAGCATGTCTGTCCAACCAGCAAAGTCTTGGTCCTCAGTGAATTGGAGAAAGTGGCAGAACCTCGCGCGGAAACCCATCATAGCCGCGAGGAGAATGACCCCAAAGAAGTTGTAGGCTGCTGGCTGCACGGTGGTCTTAAAGGGGTGAAGACCCTTGTTGAAGGTGCCAAGGTGTCTCTTCTGGATGAAGTCAACTATACAGTCCAAGTCAAAAATGCCTACTTCGAATGGGTTCCGGCTGAACTCATCGATGGATTTGTCTGTGAAGAGGGGACTTTGGACCCCACTGCCATTCAAGAGAAGGCCCAACAGGTAAAGTTGAAAACGGACAGATATTTCGGTGACCTTTAGTTATCGACAACTATCACAATCCACTTCGATCCTCTAATGGTTCTTCCTCTCCTGTATGACGTCACACTTCGATATTGTCGTAGACTTCATGTACCAACTGAGTCCTGACATTACTCCGATGTCGATCCTACTCTCAAAAGTGCAGTATCCAAATGCACTCGTCCGTACTCCAACCAGGAACCCACACCTTCCATGCGCCAGCAAAAGGCCTCACATTCGAATATGTGATCCACCGTCCAACCATCCCATCACCACAAGAACCACACAACATAATAGTAATACAATGTCCGGGCTGGGGCCTAGGATCTCCCTACCTCCAACACGGCCTCCACGATCTCTGGAACCCCCAAACCAACAACACAGTGATCTTCTTCCACCCACGCGGAACAGCCGGCACAACCAAACCACCCTCAACACAAATGAGCAGTCTAGATCTCGCCTCCGACCTAGAAGACCTACGCCAGCACCTTCAGTTATCACAATACCCCGTCCTACTGGGCCATTCCAACGGCGGAGCCATTGCACTCGGATATGCGCAGATGTATCCCAGTCGAGTGTGTAAGCTGATTCTACTCGACCACCAGCTGGTCGGTGTTCAAGATAAGAGATTATTACAGATTCAAGCTACTAGAATCGATGATCGATACCAGGATGCGTGGGATAGTATGTCCGGGAAACAGACTGGGTCTGATGAGGAATTTACGGAGTCTGTTCGTGCTATGTGGCCTTTGTATTTCTTTGATCCGGGATATGTACCGGAGTTACTGAAAGGTATTGGGAGAAAGAAGTTGTCGGTTTGGTGTTATGAGGCTCAGGGGAGATGTGATAGGAAGTCCGGGGGGATGGTTGAGGGATTGGGGAATGTGAGGGCGAAGACGCTTATGATATTTGGGAGGGAGGATATGATATGTGGGATTGGGATTGCGGAAAAGACGATGGAGGGAATTCCAGATGCGGAATTCATTTGTTATGATGGTTGTGGGCATTTTCCTTGGATTGAGAAGAGGGATGAGACGATACTTGATATCCGTAAATTCATTGAAAAGGAATAAAACTAGCCATAATCTCTAGCAATGTAATCCAAACAGAATAGAAACATTGAGAGCTTGCTACTGTGCATGTCCATACAAGTAAATCACACGCTAGGGAAGGACCAAATGTCTCCAAAGGGGTTTGAGAGAAGGAAATATCCAGGATCCGGACGAGACGCCAGGGTAGAGGACAGGATCGTTAAAGACCCCTACCCATCGCAGAAGAAAAGAAACAGCACAATATATGCAATTAAGAAAGGGGAGAGATATCATCATAATCAGGAATCACGAACACGTGCTTGTCGCTTCGCAGTGCCGATGTGGGTGTTGTGTACTTTGGTGGCGAACTTCAAGCTGGTCAGGGTCTCCGACATGTGAGCCTGGAGCGGGCTGACCATGACAAACATCAGTGTCTTGGAGTTTCCGCCCAAAGAGAATTGTAGCAGATAGGTAAGCTAGAGAGTTGGTTAATAATGTGACAGGAAATAGGCTGAGAAGGAAGACAAACCTTGCTGTTTCGGTATGGGATATGACCGCCATCTTTGCCTTGTCCAAGAGCTGAGATCACATCACCCAGTGAACTCAGACTACGGTTAATATTTTGAGTCTCTTTCAGACGCTCGCCGGTCGCTCCACTGTGGCTCAGACGTTCACTTCCGGCCAAGTCGACCAGGTTCAGTGTACCTTCGCTGCGTTCGCCGGTTATGTGGTTCTCGCCTGTGAGCTTGAGAATGAATACGGAGTGAGAACGAGATGAGCGCTCGTTGGCCTTGGTCGCGGCAACAGAGCGGTTGGCGTCTGCATTCTTGAGAATAGACTCAACCATCTCGGGGGAGTCCAAATTGACGGTTGTGATGTCCGTGATGGTGGTCTTGCCCCGCTGCATGTCATGACGAATCTCATGCTTCTTCTTGTCCAATTCGTCTGGATTACCCAAAAGGTCATTGAGGTTTTCGTTGTAGACTTCGACAAAGTTGCCGGCCATGGTGTACCGCCAACCCTTCTCCTCCAGGCCTTGCGCGGTCTCGTAAATTTGGTGAACAGCTCGAGGAATCATGCCATCGGCCGAGGACATTGTGTGCGTCTTGCCACTGCCGGTCTGGCCATAACAGAAAATGCAAACATTATATCCGTCCAGGGCACTCTGAACAAGCTGGCTGATCTCATCGAAAACCTCGGCATTCTGAGTGGACGGGCTGAAGACGCGATCAAAGGAAAATGTGTTGTTCTTGCGGGTGACGGTTCCGAGGCTGCTCTTCTCTTCAGGGCCGAGGATATTAATCTCCTTTGCATCGTCGGCCTCATCTGGATATTGCATGAGAGTGAGGTCAGAAGCAGGTTCACTTTTGAGCGAAGGGCGAACTCGGCAGAAGACACGGATGTTGCCTTTGAGCTCCTGCACCTGATTATGAAGTTTGCGCCGCAGCGTCTCTTCTCTGCGCAGCTTCTCCCTTATCTCTTCTGTCTGGGCGAATGCATCCATCATTTGCTGATTGCACCGCTCGAAGGACTTGGACTGTTCCTCTCGTCCACTTTCAAGGAACTCAATTCTCGCCTTGAGGGCACGAATTGAGGACTCCAGCGTAACGCTGTTGCTTGCAGTTGTGTCCAGGTTGAGTTTAAGTTCCTGGACACTCCTCCGTTCACGATCCAGGGCCCCCTTCAGGCTTTGTATCTCATCGCGCATTGTTCCGATCTCCCGGTCCTTGCGCTCCAATTCAATCTGGGATTTTTGGATGTCCAGTGCCGACTGAGAAGTTAGTTGGCCAAGAGCTCTGACTCTGGCTGCTTTCTCGTCTTCAATTTCACGGGCAAACTGTCGTTTGAGATCGCTAATCTCCTCTTGGTGCCGGGCAGTAATAGAAACAATTTCTCTTTCACCTTTCTGTTGGACAGAATCCATTTCGATCCGCTGGCGCCGCTCGAGATCGTCCATGGCGATCTCTTGATCTCGCTTGGCGTCTTTGAGCGCCTGCTCCGCTGTCTCCAACTGGCTTCGCAGAGAGTCCAGCTCCACACGCTGCATAAGGTTGCTTTCCTTTAATTCGTCGCGAGAGCGCTCGAGTTCAGTGGCTAGATATAATGATTAGTATGATGTGGAGGTCGCTCTTCTCCAACACAACTTACCTCTTGCCTTGAAGAACTCCACGGTTTCCTTCAGACTGGAGCTTTGTTCGCCATGCTGGTTCATTTGGGCCATCAGCGTTTGCATCAGCCCCTCTATGTTCTTCTCGCGAGTTTCTTGATCCCATTCTGGTCCTGTATTATTGTTAAAACTGCGGATCGAAGAACCTTTGGTCAAAAACGCAGGATGAGAGGATTTCTTGGCAGAACGCCTTGGAGAAGCTGATGGAGTCCTGTTGGGTAAAGCAGGGGTGGCAAACAGCGTAGAGGAGAATGAGCGCTGCACATAACCAGGTGGTCCTGGGGTGGTGGCACTCGACACATTGCGAGACGGGGTACTGGGCAACAGGGTGATAGATGATGGATTGGAAGAACTCTCATTAGCGGCAGACTTCTCCGATACAGAGAGTGCTGAAAATTCACTGAGTTCATCCCAATCATGGTCCGGTGCTGGGGGAGCAAATGGACAAGAGGGAATACGACTAGGAGATAAAGAAAGTTGTGGCATACCCTTTCGCTTTCCTAGTATACTGGGAGACGTGTCTTCCATATGGGTATCCAATGCGCTCGCTGCGCGAGGAATCGATGCGCCGACGGGTCTGCGACTGTTGAAGGACGATTGAGGACGAGACATGGCCGATGCTGGGCGGGACATAGCGGACGGTGGCCGGGTGCCAGGGCCGACAGTGGAGGAAAAGCCACCAGTGATTGAGCGCGTCGCAGGTGCAGTCGGTCGGGTTGTGGTCGATGATGCGTATGAGTTCCCGCGGGTATGCGTCCGTGTTGTGGTGGTTGTGGTGCTAGCCTGTCGGCTGACGGATCCGGGTCTCTTCGTCTCCGGATTTGCGGTTTTCGGACGGGTCGCTTCGGACGAGGTCAGTTCATGATGCGCAATGGGTTCTGGGTCTTCCATACGCGACATGCTCATGGCCTTGTTCGCGATTGTACCGGGCTGCATGAGGCCAGAGCGCGAGTTGGTTGTCGCGGAACTCATCTCGCGTAGGCCAGCGCCAGCCTGTGGTAAGCGCATACGAGTAGATGACCTGGTTCTAGGCTTTAAAAGAGTCAGTTATGATCCCATGTGCTGCGAGGTCAATGTGGGATGCTTACCACGTTTTCCTCCTCCATCGTTGGTTGTGTTGATCGCCAGGTTACCGGCGAATAGAGTACCCGGGCGAGAATAACGAGCTCACGTCCAGCCACTGTATGTATTGGCCGCTAGGTCTAAACGTTGGCGACTGACTTGTAGAAGAAGCAAGTAGATGACATGCCAATGGAGGGTCCGGGTTGGAGCTTTAGATGATCGCAAACTGGTTTCTGGAGGGACGGAAATGCAAAGTAAACAAAGAATTGCTGACTCAGGCGGGTATATGGGACTAGTCCGGAATAGGAAAGGAGTTAACACCTTCGTATTCGTATTACCACGGGGTATTGCAAAATGTCACGTGAGCAGATTGATACACTGCACGAATGGCTCCAAGTGAATTGAAGAAGTCTACTCCAAACGATCAGATTATGTAGAATACAAGAATACTAAACAATTCCCGTGATCGAGGCCTTTGTTCCCAAGTTTATTGCTGAAGCGGTCGGCATTTCGTGGGGCACCTCTGCCTCCACTCGGATTCCCGAAACACCGGCCCCAGTAGCCCCGTTGCTTGAGCTTCTCCAACCCCGTAAACTTGTCCCTCTCCTCCTTTTTCCTTTCTTCAGTATTTCGTTTGCCCTTTTTCGTTTGAACACTTGGTCACAATGTCCGGCCGTTTTGTTCGTTCCTCCAAATATCGTGAGTTCTGTCTGTAGTCCCGCTTGCGCCTCCCGCTCACCAATACAGGCCACGTCTTTGGGCGATCGACGAGAAAGGTAAATCCGCCTACCTCCTAGATTCTCGACTATCATTCTGACTTTGCAGGATCAATGTTACGATAACCTTCGAGTCTCCCGAAATGCCTGGGATACCAATCTCCTCAAGGTACGTCTTACCTTTCGCGACACCCCTGACGGTTGAGCCGGTGAACCCGGTCTGACGGTGTATCTAGGTCAACCCGAAGCACATCGCCGTCAATTGGGAAGCAGGTGGTGGTGGAGCCTTCGCGATTATCCCTCTCGAGGAACGAGGCAAGCTGCCCGAGCGCATCCCATTGTGTCGCGGCCACACTGCCGTCGTTTTGGACACCGACTGGTAAGTGATTCGAATACTAGGCAGCCTTCGCACGGACAGTTTTCTGAGAACATACAGGAATCCTTTCAATGACGACTTGATTGCCTCGGGATCTGATGACGGAAAGGTATAGTGGCACAAGCTACTTCGATCGGTGTTGCGACTGACCGATTGCAGGTGCTCCTCTGGCGAGTCCCCGAGAACTTCACGGTGCGGCCTGATGTCAACTCCGACGACATCCAAGATCTCGCGCCTATTGGCAAATTGAGTGGTCACCCTAAGTAAGTTCGACCACGAAAATCGTTATCGCTCCGCGCTTACCCCTCCCTGCAGGAAGATCGGCCACGTGCTCTTCAACCCCGCGGCAGAGAACGTGCTGGCCACGGCCTCGGGCGATTATACCGTCAAGATCTGGGATATCGAAGCTGGCGCACCGAAGCTTACGCTGAACATCGGCGACATTGTGCAGTCGCAATCGTGGTCTGCCAACGGCTCCCTATTGGTCACCACCTCGCGTGACAAGAAGCTCCGCATCTGGGATGTGCGACAGGAGCGTCCGGCACACGAGACCAATGGCCACACCGGTGCCAAGAACAGCCGAGCTGTATGGTTGGGAGAGCGGGATCGCATTGCGACTACCGGTTTCTCCAAGATGAGCGACCGCCAGCTGGCGCTGTGGGATATCCGTGCCGTGCGGGAACCCGTCAATGGTTTCAAGACCTTGGATTCCATCTCTGGTGTTTGCATGCCTTTCTGGGACGAGGGAACTAGCTGCCTGTTCTTGGCTGGACGAGGGTGAGTGAAACGGCCAGCTTTCTTGCTTTTGCATTTCTAACCCGCAGCAGTGACGGCAACATCCGATACTTTGAGCTTGAGAATGACAAGTTCGAGTTCCTCTCCGAGCACAAGTCTGCAGACCCCCAGCGCGGCGTTGCCTTCATGCCCAAGCGTGGCGTGAACATGCACGAGAACGAAGTTGCTCGTGCCTACAAGACCGTCAATGATCAATACATCGAACCCGTTTCCTTCATCGTCCCCCGGCGCTCTGAGACCTTCCAGGACGACATCTATCCGCCGACCACCGGTCTCGCCCCAGCCATGTCCTCATCCGAATGGCTGAATGGCAAGGAGGCTCTTCCTCCCAAGATCTCCATGGCCAGCCTCTTCGAGGGCGAGGGTATCAAGGAGGTGACAGGAGTGGAGGACAGGCCGACTGGTTCCATCGATGCCCCTGCGCCCAAAGCCGAGGAGGTACCCAAGCCAGTCGAGGCTCCCAAGGAGACTCCTAAGCCTACTCCCTCCAAGGCTGCCCCCGAACCCGTCGCAGAACCCACCCCTATTGCGCGCCCCGCCCCATCGATGAAGGAGCAGGGAGCTTCAATGGCCGCCATGGTGAACAAGTTCGCCGATGGTGAAGAGGAGGCCAGCGCGTCAGACGATGACGATTCGAGCTTCGAGGAGGTTCCCAAGCCCGTCGAGCGTCCCACTCGATCTGTCCCGGCGGAACAACCCTCTCCCAAAGTCAGCAGTCCCATAAGGCCAAAGGAGGTTGAGGCCAAGCCTCAGCCTACTGTGACTGTAAGTTTTCCTATCATCGGTCACTCCATTCGTGAAATTTCAGTCACTAACTCTCCCAGTCCTCTATTGCCCCCTCTCCCGCTACCGGATCCGCTTCACCACCCACTTCCATTCCTAAGAGCGACATCGACGAGATCAAGAGCCTGATCGCTGAGCAGACCAAGACCATTGCATCTCAGGCCCAGCAAATGCAAACGCTGACCGCTGAGATCGAGGCATTAAAAGCCAAGCTGAATTAGATGTTCCTATTTCTATTTTGGGTCACCGGAAACTGCTATGAGGTTAGTCTCATTTTGTCTAGGTACGTTGGGAGGTCGTGCTCCATATTGGTATCATAGGTTGTTTCACATATGGAAAGGTGCAATGTGTGAATAAGTCTTTTTGTTTCTTTTAGCGGAATTGTCAATGCATTGTCCCTTTAAAATCAAGTCTTCGATAACATGTCTGTTCAGTAACCAAGCATCTTACCTGCGATGTATCCCCGGCCCTCGTATGTTAGGTTGGAGCCGAGAGCCTAGGTACCTTTCAATCAACTAAAGAGCCATGTGCTTCCATTGTCAATCACGGGCTATGTTCAGTCATTCCATGGACTATTGGGAAGATGTCCGGGCACATGGAATGAATAGGTAGGTGGAATGGATTCTTGACAGTTCTGTTCATTTGTATTGCATTTTCCTGTTGCCCTCGCCGTATTGATGTAGTTACTAAGTCCGGTATACCATGAAGCCGCGTAATAAGGTGCCAAGTATCCAGTATCAAGTACTACAGTCCCTCGTCTCTCTTTCTTGGCAAGAACCGGGCTTAACAGGGCAACCCCCCTAGTGCGGCCGCCGCAGCCAAATACCCTGCACCCACAAACATCTGCACCGGCAGATAACCTCCTCGCGTAGCCTCACTCCCCTCATGCTGTCTCAATCGCAATGCGACAACCTCCGCCACCGTCCCCGGGAAAACAAGTACCAACCAAAGCACCGTCAACGCCCCAGGAACCCGGGGCAACTCCACCAATTCTGCCGCGACTGACGCAGCAGCTGCCCACACCGTTCCTGCGCCCAGCCCAGCCAGTAGTGAGAACGCAAAAAGCGCCCCGGGGCTCGTCGCGAACGGCCAGAAAACCAAGCACAGTAGCCCACACAACCCGCACGCAATCGCGGGCACCTTGATCCTCCCGAATCGGTCGCTAAGCGCACCCACCAGCGGCCGCCCAAACGCCTGGCCCAGATTAAGAAGCGCGCTAGCGATGCTCCCCGTATTGGAATCCAGCCCTAAAGCCTGCGCGTCGCTGGCTAGGCTGAATAGCATGGAGACATAACTGAAGAGGCCGAAGAAGCCCCAGGTGAGAAATAGAATGAATGTTGGCTGTCGGAAGGTGGCGCACCCGAAGCCTCCGCCTTTGTTGCGTGGAAGTCCTGGGAACTCACGAACAAGCAGGCCAGCCACGAGATTCACAGTGAGCGAGACAATTCCGAGGACACGGAACGCCCAGCGGAAGCCCAACTGTTCGATCATGCGGTCTGTTGCAAGAGAATATATAAGCCCACCTGTCCCGGAACCTGCGGCTACATGGAATGCCGTTGTCGATTCCACGGCTCCCTTTGAACCAGCCATTTGCTATGCCAACTGTGCTAATAAAGAGGCAGCCCATGCCGAGTCGATAGCAGATGCCCTGGCTGAGCCACAGTTGCCAGCTTTGCGTGGTAAATGATGCGCCGATTAGAGAGGCGGACACGAGGAAGGCACCTAGGATAATCAATGTGCGATTGGGAAGGACCGGAGTGAGGTATGTGACTATTGGTGCGATCAATAGCGCGCAGGAGATGCTGAGGCCGCTTACGGCTGCATAGACGAGGAATGAGGTGCCTGGGAACTCGTTTTCTGAAATGTAGAATGAAAGAATGACCCCGAATGCCTATTGAAAATTAGCATCCAGACCTGAGACGGGCTAATCAGTAATTGCAGCCAAAGGGGAGACATACTCCATTGATACCCCAGGTATGAGCGTTGATCAGGAATACAGAGACCACGCATACCCAGCCGTAGCCACCTTCAGGGAACTCATCGGTTAGCTGGGCGGATAGAGGCTGCATTGAGGATGTCATGACCTCGGACGTTATGACAACTTACAAGGGATACGACTACACGTGGAGGACTACGTAAAGAATATATAGCGATGAATGCTTAGGTATCATTATAGACTGTATAGTCGGCTTTAGGGCACACCTCCGACAGAATCCACTCCGATGCTGATGTAAAATTGACCCACATGATCACATCAATACAGAGTCGGTGAGTCTCCCGGCACTCTGGCGTCCACCAAGGCGCAGACTTGCCACGGCCCCTGTTGGTCTTTCCCAGGGCCCGGACTGCATGATCGGGGGTCTCTTATCAATCAACCGCGATCTCTCACTAGTGTTGAACAGGGAGAATCTCCCTACTGGTTCGAGGAATGAAATAATCCAGGTGGTGAGGCCAGTCAGCTGCCGCCCCTCGAGACATGGAGCATCGGTCCTCACTGGCCTCACCACCTGGATTATTTCATTCCTCGAACCAGTAGGGAGATACTCCCTGTTCAACACTAGTGAGAGATCGCGGTTGATTGAGGTATGAGCAGAACCCGGACTCATAACCTGTTGATTCTACAGATGTAGGATTCAGGATATATCTTGGGTATTGGATCGATTGATTGACTGGAAGCCGTCAGGGGGCTAGAGAGAGAGAGAGAGAGAGAGAAAATCCATTCGGCTTTTGGGGCTAGAGAGGGTGTTTTGGCCAGTGCACGGAAGAGTGGTTCTTCCGTGCCGGTCACGTGCCGTAGCCTTCAACTCAACACCAAGATGACGGAAGCCCGATGATCCAATCCAAGATCAATCCGGGGTCCAAGTCAATGATGTGTGGAGCCCAATGATTGGGCGAGGTAGAATGCTCATCCAGAGTCCGAGCCATGAGATGATAACGCTGTCATGAGATGTGAGGGGTCCTAAGGTAGGACCTGGACCCCGTAACACCAAGTCAAGTGGTCGCCAGGGCACATGGGCATCGAAGGCAACGAAGCAGCCGACCGACTCGCTGACGAGGGAGCACGACACGGAGGCCGCTTTTCTGGCCCCCAGTCTGCCCCCACGATCAGCGGGATTAAGTCGGTATATCGAGAACTCCGCCTAGAAGCGCGTCTCCACTGGTGGTATAAAGCCTCTGAGAAGCTCTCCACTTGGTACAGGCGGTGGGACGACACCTACGAGGTGAAGCCTCTCCCAGTGCTTGATTTACGGCGGCCCCTCCTCCATAAGTGGCTTGCGCTACGGTCTTCCCACGGAGACTTCGACTGGTACCATCGTCGCTTTAACCACGATGACGCCAAGCTCACCTGCTCCTGCGGCAGGACCAAGACCCCAAAGCATCTGGCCCTCTGCCGGCACTCGAAGGCGCGGTTCAACAGGTGGCCGTCCAGGCCGCCGACGCAGCCCACGGACACGCAGGGGGCCGTCGATTACCTGCGCTCCCTGAGCCCACAGGAGTTTGCCCAGCTCCTTGAGCTGACGAAATTCTACGCCAGGATCTGCACCCGGTAGGAAAGGGATGCTGCCAACGCGGCCCTCCGCCACTGGGCGCAAGCCAGGGTAGAACCCACTCGCTTTCCGCCCCCTCTCCCCCTCACCCCATCCCTAACACTCACGAACTGGCCCACGGGCCGCGAACCAGCGGGCGACACCCCGTAAACAACTACAAGCCGGTACCTAACGGCGACGACACAGCACCGAGCGTGCGCAAAAACCCTGCATCCATCCCACAGGTCGGGGAAGGACAGGCAGCTGACGGGGCCTCTCCCCACATCTTTCTTAAGAACGAGTTGCTCTCTATGGACGCACTAGGTTATCTGTACATAATACCATAGCTTAGCACGTCCCCATACCCCATGGGAGGTCACGGAGATGGGCCAGGACGTTAAATATAACAACAACAACAACAACAACAAATCAATAAAAGGATCCCGCAGCGTAGCCGATCCGAACACTTGCTAGCTATCTCCGACCCCGAAGAATCGCAATGGCCGATTCAAGTAGTCTATCAACCCAAGCCTGCGATGCCTGTCGCGTGTCCAAGCTTCCATGGTTGTGACAAGTCCCGGCCTCGGTGTATGCGGTGCGTTCGGATGGGTCAGCCATGCAGTTATTCGCAGCAGAGAACAGTTCGCCACCGTAGGCTAGAGGTGGCTAGGAAGACACGCAACTTGCCGAAGCCTGTTGAAGAACAGCCGACCAGTCATCCTATGAGCGTTGGCTTACCAACACCACAGGTACAATCTAAAGCCATCAAAGCTGGTTTCCGTGGCTAACTATACAGAGGCGAAATCGTGTACCAAATGCCTGCCTCCGATGCCGGCAACCAAAAGTCAAGTGTGACCGTCAATAGCCGTGTAGTCGCTGCCTCAGAGCTAATAGAGGACAAGAGTGTCGCTATGTATGTGACTCTCACTCGATGGACCTAGCGAGCGAGACGAAACTCGTTCCTCTATACAAACAAGCCTATCACAGTGGGTTTCATTGGTCTGTTCTCGTCGAGAACGTATGTTTGTCCAGATTCTAATCACCACCACCTGCTGATTACTGTTCCTAGATCGAGAATCTGTTGAAACATCATCGCTGGGTTGGCATTCACCACCAACATGTTGAACAAGAGCAGTTCTTCTCTTCAAGGGAGAACTTCTTCAGCAGCAGCGGTCCCTTGTATAATGCCACTTGACGAACCCTGCTGTCTTATATCCCTCCTCGTGATATTGCAGACCACTTTATCAAGCATTACCTTGAAATCATCGAACCATCCCATCAAATTCTGCATCAACCATCCTTTAGAGATGAACTCGGCGCCTTCTGGGACAGGCCAAGCGCTATAGATGACGGATGGCTTGCACTATTCTTCGCCATACTCGCTCTAGGCTGTCAGTTACATAACCCGCCTCAGCCAGCTGGGCAAGACACCGGCTTCATGGCCCTCCCATCTCGTTTGTTCAATGCAGCACAGGCTTTCTTGCAGCGCACACCTTCATGATCCGACCAGATGTGACGAGTATCCGGACCCTCTGCCTGTTTGTCATCTTTAAGCAAACAAGAGGCGCGGTTTGTATAGAGTCCACGGCACTATGGCCCGTAACAGCCCTTATTGTCCGGCTTGCCATCACTATTGGATTACACTTGACCCCTTCAGCCCAATATGCGCCGACATGTGCAGAAAGTACCAGCTGCCGCAACAAGCCTGGGCAGCAGTTATTCTTCTTGACCTGCGACAGACGTTGCAGCCGGTATGCCGGTGATTCCGCCATCTGGCGACCTGCTCACAGAGCCAATATTGGGCACTGGACCTGACCTTTCTGGTGCAACAGAGCATAAAGACTTCCTCTTCCCTTTAATAATATATGACTATCCCCCCAGATCTTCAAAATCCTTGAGTTGGCCACCTCGCCCCAGATTTCCTTATCATACAGCCTCGTCATCAAGTACGATAGCCAGATCAAGGCACTGCTCAATCACTTCCATAACTCCTTCCTTTCCACCCGCTCCGAGATCTCACACACTGATCCCTTCCAATGGGTCATGACCAACGTTTTCATCCGCCGCATCCTCCTAGCCCTCCACAGCCAACTCTACCAGGAACCCCACGGCTTAACCCGCTACCCAGTCTCCTACTGGTCCTCCCTCGAATGCAGCCTCTCCATCCTCTCCATCCAGCGCGACCTCTGGGATACGAATACAGATAGGAATACCTCATCACTGTCTATATCCGAAGATTCGCCACCAGGCCGCACTGCCTTCGTCGCCCGGCTGTTCCAGCAAGATTTCTTCCTCGCGGCCATCACGGTTTGCTTTCACCTCGTGCAGACGCAATCCCCCTTGGACTCCCCGGAGAATAGTGAGAAGTGTCAGATCCGGGCGCGCAGAACGATTTTGGAGTTGCTTGGGTCTTGTAGGGATATTTGGGAGCGAGAGCGGGATGTTTCTGTTTGTCATGGGACGGCGTTTGGAATGATTGACTCATTGCTGCGGATTGTGGAAAAGGAAAAGGAGGGCGAGAGATGGGGAGATGGAGGCGAGGATCCCACTGCCGGTTAAGATGGGCTCGTGTATCTTTCTGGCGATGGGTGTGGTATGTTTTGTCTTGGGCCATGCAGGGAAGCCGCAGGTTGGTATTCAGTCTTTACGAACCTACACAGTACACAAAGCACGAGGCTATGTCTACTTCTTTCACATCCAATTTAGTTAGGACCTGTATCCAACGGACTAATACTAGCCTACGTCCGTCGCCTGATCTGATGAAACATGTGTAGTTGCAAGCATATATGAAGCGCAACTGCACCTCAATCTCCCGTCGGAGCACTGATTACCTCCCACTTCCATATGGATCCCGTCGTTTCTCTCGGGGGAGGTTCGTTTATAGGTACGCAGTCGGATTTACGTTACTCATTGAGTCCTTGAAGCAAGCTACACACACAATAGAGTAGAGAATACGTCCTTTTCATTCCCATCACTCGGCGTTGCATGTGTCAAAAGTTAAAGGGCACATAAAATAGCCCATGCAAAATCCCATATCTACATTGCTGAATAGGCAGACACGCCAGCCCTTAGAAAGTGAGAGATGCAAGAAAATCTGAAAGATACCCATTGAACGCCGTTTCCCATGACTTTTCATCCGAAAGCAAACCAGACTCCCAGATCAAAGTTCATCTTCGTACTTGTAGTTGATGCGACGGCCGCCCACACCACGGTCCTGTCGACTATCGCGACGCCGACCAGACTTCGTCTTCTCACGGTGTTGTTTTTCGCGCTCAAGACGCTCCTTATTGCGCGCTTCACGCTCAAGGGTGTAAGGGTCTTTCTCCGCCTCGGTGCTCCTGACGCCGTTCGTGTCACGGCTACGGTCCTCATCGCCGTGTTTCGCACGACGGGCTTGGGGATGCTCGCTGCCGTTAGCAGACGGGGACCGATCGCGGCGCGAGCGCTTGCGGTCACCGCCCCGGTCACGTCCATGCTCCCTGAGACGGTCCCGATCGCGCTCTGAACCGCGGTCTTTGTCGCGTTCGCCGTCACGGCGACGGTCACGGTCGGATTCGCGGTTTCTGTCACGGCGGTCTCGATCACGGTCACGATCTCGGCGTCGGCTGTCGTGGTCATGGTCTCGTGATTTGTCGTCTTCGCGCCGGCTAGCTCGCTCCTTCGAGCGGTAGCGGCTGCTGATTCGGCTTGCTAGGTCGCGCGCCTCGGGGGCTTCGGAAGACGCTTTGGTCCTACCGTTCGATCGATCTTTGGGACGGATTTCTTCGTTCCGAGTTGTACTGCGGCTACGACTGCGATGGCGACGGGAACGCTGGGAGCGGTGACCGCTCCTTTGGTCTCGCTCTCGATCACTTTCGTGATGTCTACGCCGTGACGACCGACGAGAGGATGCGCGGGATGGAGATCGAGTGCGGGCGTCAGACTGTAGTTCATCAACCCGGTCCTTGCGCTTGATGTCTGTTTCGCGCCGACTGTCACGGTCATCTTCAGGGCCATGAACAGATGGTGAGCGGGCTTGAGGAGCTCCATTCTGGGATGGAGATCGAGATGGAGGTTGCGCACGACTGGACAAGGCGGCGGATGTGGCTCTTGCGTGAGCTTGCTCAGTGGGCTCACTACTGGACATTAGTATGCTGTATCGCCAAGACTGGAAATAAGATGCAAAAAAGGAAAGTCTTACCCAGCACTACTGGCCCGGCCGTGGATCTGGAAGTTGCGCTGGCGCAGGACACTGGTGTTTGGTAGTCCCTGCCGCATGGCACGCGGGGCAGCTGGCGCGCCTTCCACGCCAGGCCCCCGTTGTTCAAATCCGCCGAATCGGGATTGTCCATACCCATTACTCATGGGGTTATATCCAGGTTCAGGCGGTACGTTGCTATCAAGACTCTCAATGGTGGGAATTCCCTGCGGTTGCTCTGTATCGCCTTTTGAAATGTCCTCTGGATTACCCGACACGACGGCACCGCCTTCACCTGTGTCTGGGGCAGTCTCATTTGGTGGAACATTACCTTGAGCATCAACTGCAGTACCGTCAGGAGCGCCAGCCACACCGGCTGGGGGTTGGTGGGCATACGCCGGATTAGCTCCCTGGCGGTAATGACCTTGCATAGGCCCATAGCCGCCTCGACCGGAGCCGTAAAACTGGCCACGGCCTCGGCCCCGATATCCACCTCGACCGTACCCTCCGTGGTAACCTGACTGATAGCCGGAGTGAGAAGGGTAAGCAGACATATTAGACCCAACTGCTCCTCCATAAGGAGGACCGCCATTTGCAAAAGCATTTGGATTGAATTTATTCTGGCCGCCTTGCCACATAACGTTGTTTTGCTGGGAAGCATCCCATCCTAAGGATCCATACATGCTCCCGTCGTAGTTCATCCCATTGTTCATGCCCATACCAGCCATGTTCATCCCGTAGTCACCGATCATACCCTGATTTGCCATCGGGCCCATTCCCATAGGCATGCCTGCGTAGGATTGTTAGTAAGAGTGAAAGAGGAAGTTGAATAACATAAAACATACCCATTGTATTCGGGTAATTGAACATGCCGGCCATGTAAGGATTCATGCCATTTCCGTTCCAGCCCATCACGGGCATGTTGCCGGCCATATTCGGGGCCATAGGATTGTTTCCGAATTGATCAGGAAACTCCTGAGCGAATGGAGCAGGTCCAGCGCTAACCGTAGAGTCGTTTGCCACGGCGTCTTCGGGCGCGGGCTCGAGGGCCGGGCCTGTGCCCTGGAGTGGATCAGCTCCGGTGTCATTCTATGTATACGGTCAGCAAAGAACATATTTAGTGTAGCAAGTAGCAGAATGCAGAATGCACTTACCAGAGCAGGCTGATCAACTGAGTCTGGCACGGCTCCCACTTGGTCGCTTTCTGCAGCCGTATCCCCAGCCGATATATCTTGTCCCACCCCTTCAGGCCCTGGCTTCGCAGCGAGAGGTGCCTCGGTCTCCTGAGTTGACTCTGCTGCGGGCCCATTCTGATCGCGCGCAGTATCCGGCACAGGCGCCTTTGTATCAGCGGGCGTGGTATCCGATGGCGCTGGTGTCGCTGAAGGTGCTGCGGACTGGCGGTCCTTCTCCCGCTTCTTCTCCTCGGTGCGGAGGAAGGCCTTGAGAGTAGTCCGGAGAGCTTTGTTGGGTTTGCAGAGGTCTGGGGAGACGGGTGTATGTGTGCAGACGGGACATGTCTCGGACAGGGAAGCTTGGCCTAGAGCAGAAAGCCAGGTTAGCTAACACTTGGATCGTAGGCGCAAAAAGTTCGTTTGGGACATACATGTCTCGCAAATGGATTGGTCGCAGCAAGGAAGTCGGAAGGCATTCACTGCTAGGTTATTGCACATCGCACAGCGCAGCTTGAAGGGTATATCCTCCTGAGCCAAGGTGCTAGAAAAAGATCAGTATCCCCGACATTGCGAAATTCGGGATCAATTTGCGGATACACACCTGGCGATGTCCATGAGACCGGGCGGATCGGCCGCCGCCATGGCTAAAGAAGGCTGGAAATAGTAGAAATCCCTTATTAGGCTGAGGGCTGCGATGGCATAGCTCCGGCGCTTAAAAGCGTACTGTGTACGGAGTAGAGGTCGATGCTTGAATTTGGTCGGAGAAACTATTTCGCCGGAGTTCCAGGGTCAGTCCGGAGCAAAGGGAACAAACAATAAGTGGATGACGTATGGACAATCAAACAAGGGACATTGTAGATGGATGAGACCCTCAGATTAGATCAAGTTATTTTAAACGTTCATTGAAGAAACAGCGATACCATATGGTTTCATCTGCTTCAACTCGCGTTGGTTCTATCGTCATCGGGTGTTTCTACGGGTGCCTAGGGGGCGGGAGTGAGATCACCTACGAAGAGTAATTCACTACATCTGCGTAGGCAGAGAAGATGGGGGTGAAAGAGAGATTAAAGACAAGATAGAAGATATAGATGGCCCATGTCAAGCAAAAACCGAAAGGAAAGAAAATTACCAAGTGATGCAAATAACAAGGAGAGTGACCGGATGGAAAGGGCAAAAAATGTTAAAATGTTGGTTTCCGTAAGGGTACCAAAAATGGAATTAAAAAAAAAAACAGTGAAAAAAACCCCGACGGAATTTAAAAAGGACGGCGGCGCCCGAGTCGTCGGCTTGGATTCTCCTCTCCAGGGAGCTTGGGCCACCACCTTTTTTTTCGTGATTCCACTTATATAATTTTTTTTTTTTTTTTTCTTTTTCTTTTTCCTTTTTGAATCATGACAGAGGATAACTATCGACCTCGCTCTCCTGATTTCTCTCTTCCTCCTCCTCAACAACCTCACATCCTTGCGAGTCCGGTCACCTCGTATACTTCGCCATTCTTCAATTCGTACCAACAATACCAACGCCCGAATCCCGGTCGCGTGTCTCAGCAGTACGTCCCACCATATCAACCAGACTCGGATATGGCACGCCGCTCAAGCCGACTCGCTCAATCTGAACATATTCCTGCCCCTGAGCCTATGCCCGAAGCCATTCAACCAATGCCAGAGCCAATTGCTATGGCGCCAGTTGCAATCAAACCAGAGATACACCAAGAAATGCAAGAGTTGCCGCCGGCACCCACTAGTGCGGGGATTGAAGTAAAGACCAAGTTTCCCGTGGCACGTATCAAGCGCATTATGCAGGCCGATGAGGATGTCGGCAAGGTCGCTCAAGTGACACCAATTGCTGTCTGTACGTATTGACTTTCTTTGTTTACGCCCGCTTTCAGGCGTATCCCCACCAATGCCTTGCAAGATATGCTGACCGCATTCCTACCTATAGCCAAGGCCCTCGAGCTCTTCATGATATCTCTCGTTACAAAGGCGGCGCAGGAAGCCAGAGACCGTAATTCAAAACGCGTCACGGCCTCGCATCTGAAACAGGCCGTTGCCAAGGATGAAGTACTTGACTTCTTGGCAGACATCATCGCAAAGGTCCCTGACCAACCCGCTGGTCGGAAACACGAAGATGATGGGAGCGACCAGAATGAGGGTCGCCGGAAGCGCGGCGGGCGGCGGCCAAAGGATGAGAGTGATTGAGGTCGACCCATAAACGATTTGACGACGTGTTAGATGGGATTGGTATCGGGCGCATAGAAATTCTGGGCTTTGGTTTTCAGGCGTTTAAATAGTGGGAGGCAGATCTTGGAGCGCATTTGTGAATATTTTGGAATTTCCCGGGCTCGAGTCCCTCGAGACCTAGAGGCGCATGGTCCGCTGATTAATATACTCGGCCTACCAGGGGGGCAATTTACCTTGTCAAAGATTGGACGTGTAGATTGTAAATATTTTATAAGATTAGATTGTCTTTTAGAAAAATTGGGACGGGGACAGTCCGTAGTTGTACATCGTGACATAGAACGCGGCGATCAACGCGATAAACACCGTCTCCACTCACCCTCAACCCCGTTACCCTCGCTCCGTGATATCATGCTGTCCTCGCAGAATGGACTTTGTATGTACTCTTTGCCCCTTTTTAGATCTCTACTGATATACTCCAGTGGTCTCGTCTTATCGGCGGTTCGCGCGCACCATCGAAACCCCCCAAGGCCACCTCGCCCACGGAACGGCTGACTGCCTTCAAGCGCGCCTGCAATGCACTCCAGGTACCGACCATGCCCGCCCCCACGAGGTCATTTAGCTAATTCATTTGCCAGCAAATATGGCGTTCGACAAATACCCCATCAGGCGAGCAATCGGTAATCCACGCCCGGACATACATTGAAAGACTCAACTCGATCTTGAGCGAGGAAGCTCGCGGGCCCGCACCGCACCCCTGTGTCGCCTACGCCGCGTCTTCCCAGGTCTTTGTCACAGTGACCAAGCTCGCTCTCTCATATTACGATGAAGGACTTCTCCGCTCGGCGACCATTTTCTTTAATACCTTGATCGACGCGGAGGTGGATGGAGTCGTGGATAACCGATTGTTCGCTCGCGCGTTGGTGGATCTGGTTCGTCGCGCCGAGAAGAAGTCGACTGAGGTCGAGGGTCGACTCGTCGAATTGCTCTTTGGGATTGCGAACAACATTCGTCTTCAGCCTGTTATCTTGCCTGCTTGGTTCGTGCCTCGGGGAACACCCGTCGCCCAGGACAGTGACTCTCAAGCGCCGAGTGGGACGGAATATGCAGGAGCTACGAGGAAGGACGAATTCCCTCTGTTCTATTTGCTGGTAGATTATGTTCATCATGATGGACGTGCTGGCGACTTTGCACGTACGGGGTTGCTCTACCTCATTGAAACCGCATCGCGGTCTAAGAATCTAGAGAAGTGGCTTATTGAGAGCGATTTGGCCACACTAATGGCCACGGGATTGGGCGCGCTCTACAGCCAACTGGGAAAGTGAGTACTAATCTTCTTCGATTTCGAAACTCCGAACTCATCACACCCAGCTTGGAATTTACTCCGACCGATGAGAACGTGCCTCACATTATCGTTTTGTCCGACCATGCCAAACAAGAGACCGCTTTGCAGCCAAAGTTAGGCCAGGCAATGGATGCGTTCATGTCATATCTGTTGTTTTGGCAGGACACGATCGACCATTGCAAATCCGCTGAAGTGAACGACACCTTGCTGGACCACTTTCAGGTGCTGTTTCTGGAGCAGCTTTTGTGAGTATACCTTCGCACATCTCACATGGATTCATCATTGACTTTCCTAGGTACCCATCTCTATTAGAATCATCAGATGTCGCCGGTGGCTCAACGGCGGCCGTGCTGACGTATATGTGTCGCATCCTCGATTCGATCGAGCAAGGAGAATTGGTTCATCGGATCTTACATTTCTTATTGGCATCAGCTCCTGAACCGGAAGAGCAAATGGATATGTCTGCGAGCCGACGCAAATCGCTCAATGTGCTGGCTGCGTTGGCCTCCGAGGCGGCTAAGCCATCACCATCCTTATTCAACCTTCGCGATCTGGCTCTACTGGGACTCCAGTCGTCGAACCGCCAAACTGTGTTGGCTACATTACGCCTGCTAGCTACCGTTCTCCAGAGACATCATCCATTTGCACGAGCTCTCATCCATACAATTCCCACTCAACCTGCTCAGCAGCGTCCTGTTGGCGCCTTGAATGCCGAGCTAGAGCAGCTTTTGGCCATGGCAACATCGTTGGTCGATGACCCTACTCTGAATGAGTCATATGACAACTATGTTGCCGATGCGACATGCGTACTGGAATCCCGTCTTTGTTTGCCCGTTTCCTCAATGGATGAAGAAGATGAGACCCTACACCTACCACTACAGCTCCGGCAAGATGACCCATTAGTGCAGGCACTCTTCGGATGCCTCGATACCTTTTTTACCAACAGTGTTATCGTCAATCTGGCATTGACAGGCGTGTTTATGAGTCTGGCATCTTCACATCTATTCTCTTTGGACGGATGGTTGTTGGTTGATCCCAACCATTACGACCCCCCGTCCTCTGAAGAGAACGAGGATGAGATTGATTATAGAAGTAGGGCCTACCAGGCCCCAAATTGGCCTGCTACAGCTGCTCCCACCTTGACCTTGACACTCCAACGACTTGTCGACCAGGTCCGGCAGTGGCAACGAGAGATTCCAGACTTCGAGGTACTGGTCGCTGCCCGAAGAGAACTATTGCATCAAGAAAATTCCCCACGGACCCCGGACCGCTCACGGGAGCCTTCGGAGCCTCCAGTGCCCTCAAGAAGTCGCTCACGGCCGTCATATCCTGGTTCACCGGATCCCTCCACCCCAGCTTCCCGTGGCCGCTCTTCATACCAGGTCAATTCACCCTCGGTGTCTTCCACCCGTGGTCGGGATAGTTTATCTATTCCCCCCGATTCGCGTGGATCCTCAAATGCCCGGACTGTGGCTGCTGAGGCGCTTCGCCAGCGCCTTGCCACTCCGTTCCCGCCAGCATCCGCGGATCCACCCTCAACTGGAGAGGGCTCGAACACAGAAGACGCCAAGGATGACGATGCTCCATTTGCAACCCTGGGTCATGTATTAACGAACGTGGTGATCCTTTATGAGTTCCTCTTAGAGCTGTCGGCGGTGGTACAGGTTCGAGGAAGCTTATTCGAGGAGGCAGGGTATGACTGTAATTAAAGATGTTGTCTTTTGTACATAAACAGAGTATATAAAGAGCCATTAGTATACTTGATTTCCTCTTAACATGAAGTTCTGAACAATCTATGAAAAAACATTCCAAGGGATGTCATGCAACACTAGTGAATAAAAAGACTAGCCCGCGCCAATAACCCCTGGACAAAGAACAATAGCCCGCCAAGACATCGTGTCGGCTCCGCTCGCGACGATTGGCAACTTGGCCCTCCAGACCACGTAAGTCAGACTTAATACTCTCCTTTCTTTTACAATTTCCACAATGAATTGACATTACCTTCATTTATATCCCCCCTATCGGGTTTCCCCTCTATCCTCTATATACTCCGAATTGACGGTATGACACGTGATGGCCTCGGTACGCCATGAGTCCCTCGACCGCGAGGACCGCGAGGATGTCCCATTCCTCGACTCCTCCGACCCTAATGGAGCCGGCCAAACCCACCGGCATGTCCCCAAGCCCAGTATAGGCAGCCGCCCAGAGGCCAATGTTTCGGCCGACGCCATCAGCTTCCGCCTGAAGGTCATCTTGTTTTCCATGATCCTCGCCGTGGAGGTCGGCTTTGCGTTCCTGGACGGCCCCATGGTGCGAATCATGGAGTCTATTGCTTGTCGCCAATATTTTGCGGTTATCGATCCGACTCAGATTGGCGCGGACGGACAAGTTCCCGAGGCTATGTGCAAGATCGGCGAGGTGCAAGCTGAACTGGCCGCCGTCAAAGGGTACCACATGTTCTTTGATGGAACACTGAGTAGGCTAAGCTGAATCCGCAGGGTAGTTTCTGTTTTTCTGACTGTTTTGCAGGCGCTCTTTTGGCGATTCCATATGGTCTGCTGGCGGACCGTCATGGGCGCAAATCTACACTCGCTTTGTCTCTGCCCGGATTCGGGTTGAATGCGCTGTTGACATTGGTAATACTGTGGTTTTCGGATTTCTTTCCCTTGCGCGCGCTCTGGTTTACTGCCTTGACTTGGTTGCTTGGGGGAGGTCCTGTGGTGTCGTTTGCGATCATCTGGACTATGATGGCCGATGTAACCAACGAAGCAGAAAGGTAAGCTACTTACCTGAAATCTGCATTGGGTCGGAAAACTTATCAGCACTAACCAATTGCACAGAGCGGGCATCTTCTTTCAATTTGCCATCGTATCTATGGGCGCTGATTTCGTGACGAGTGCTTTCAGTTCCTATCTGATGACCCTGAACCCCTGGGTACCATTGGTGATCGGATTCATAATTATAATGGCTGGCATGATGCTCATATTGCTGCTACCAGAAACGAAGCATGCACTACCATCTCGGCAAGAAGGACCAACTCATGTCGAATTGTCAGACCTGACCAATGACACTGAACCCACTCATCTGCACAAACAGAACGAAGCCGATATAAATGGTGATTTCGAGGATAAGCCTCCGTCATGGAGTATTCCGTCGTACTCCCACCGATCCCTCCGGGCCAAATTCCGCGCCAACTACCGCTTCTATCTTAAGCCCTACCTATTCATCCTTGGCCGAAAACCCGTGCTCCTTCTCCTCTCTGCATTCCTGGTCTATCGCCTGAGCCGTGGCTCATCCTGGTTCTTAACACAATATATATCAACACGTTACGCATGGACACTGGCACAGTCCAACTTCCTGGTGGCTTGTCGCCCACTTGTGTCGATCCCGCTCTTCCTGTTTGGCCTACCGTACCTGAAGAAGCGAGTTCTGAACCCCCGACTTTCATCAACCGAGAAGGACCTTTGGCTCGCGCGGCGCAGTATATTCTGCCTTACGTTAGGCACGCTTGGAATCGGTCTTTCCCCTTCCGTCGCAACCCTAATCCCAAGCATGATCGTTCAGTGCTTAGGTTCTGGCTTCGTCTTCCTTACTCGTTCGTTGATCACCACCCTGGTCAAACGCGACGAGACCGCTCGTTTGTTCACTGCGATTGAGATCATCCAGTCTGTGGGAAATGTGGTTGCGAGTTTGTCCATCACGACTGTGTTCCAGATCGGGTTGCGTCTTGGTGGATTTTGGATCGGCCTGGCTTGGATGTTGACCAGTACGCTGTTCTGTCTGGTTGGCATTTCTATTTGGTCTTTTAGACTGCCTCCTAGTCCGACACCAGCGGTTGTGGTGGAGGATTATGACGAGGATGGTAGGGCGTGATTTTAACCTCGATTCTGTATATTATTCATAGATTCTTGGGCATTTAGAGCGCCGTGTGTTCTACTTACTGCCCGTCCTTGTGTATATTAGATATGTCAACAGTCACACTATGCTACTCTTCATAGATCCATAAAATCCTCATACGCAGCAGCGTAAACAGCATGTAGCCTTGACGCCTCAGGCCAAAATCACGTGCCAGGTTCCTTCGCATGTGAAGATCTACAGCTGTCGACTCTCAAGTTGAACATCAGCACTCCGACTTTACCCCGACCTCGAGTCGCAAAGTGTGCTGTTCACACCCCAACAGCAAGAAACGTGGTTCGCGCATGGCGTTTTTACGTTTCAGTCCCCACAACAGCTCATTCTGCCCCAGCCATCAGTTACGATATAAAGATGGAGCGATACTCTCAGTTCCGTGATCGAGGTACATTGTCCGCCGCTGATAAATCCAACCCCTCCAAGCTCACGGATACTAATATATCACAGGCTCGGGCATCGCGCCCTTCCTTCCAATCCCCGCCGAACCTCTCGGCCTTCAAGCCCCTCTCCGTATCTTCTTGTTTTGTTTCCGCCTCCCGCTCTTGATCTTTGTCAGTCTTAGCTACTTCCTGATCCTACAATGGCTGCCCATCGGTTCGCTGGGCAAAAAAGCAGCTCTATGGTGTATCCTCGGAGTCCCCAGCATCTGGTGGGTTGACCTCCAAGTGGACGGAGTGCGCAAAGGGTTCGTACAGCCCTATATTTCCAATAAACCCCATCCCACTGATCTAACAGCTCGGTGCAGGTCTTTAAAACAGCAACAAGCACGCCTTCCACAACCCGGCTCAGTCATCGCCTCATCCTTCACCTCACCCATCGATGCTATATACCTGGCCGCCATCTTCGACCCGATCTTTACCGCCTCCTACCCCAACACCCGCCAGGTCGAGCGCATCTCCCTATTCCAGGCTATTCTGCGCGCCTTCGCCGTCCCATCCACACAGCCAGCTCCTAATTCCCGGATGGTGGATGTCTCGACCCTGGTCGAGCAGTATCCCAACAGACCGATTGTCCTGTTCCCTGAGTGCACGACCACCAACGGCCGCGGAATCCTGACACTGAGCAAATCACTCCTCGGCGTATCTCCCCAAACCAAGATCTACCCTGTCAGTCTGCGCTATACCCCTATGGATATCGTGACCCCGCTCCCAGGGAGTTACTTGAGCTTGCTGTGGACGCTGCTTAGCAAGCCGACTCATTGCATTCGGGTGCGCATCGCGGAGTGTGTCACAAGCAGCCAGGCCGTGCTGGATACATCTCCTGCTCGATCGAACAAATCGACTTACACTACCAATTACCTGGACACCTTGGATCAAGAGCAGGTCTCGGCAAGCGAGAAGGCACTGCTGGACAGCGTGGCCGAATCGTTGGCCCGTTTGGGTCGGGTCAAGCGGGTTGGACTGGGAGTGAAAGAGAAGCAGGAGTTCTCTCGTGCGTGGAGTCAGAGTCGTCGGACATGGTGATGGATATAAATATTTTTTCTTTCGGTATTCTAGAATTTTTAACCAGAGCACATTGTTCTGTGTCTCCTCTTTCTCGCCGATATTGTAGCTGTCTGACATCCATAATCTCCTTCAAGAATTCCCCTTCTGCGCCGCCAACCACTCCTCACTCTGCCGAGAAGTCCATTCCCACCGCAACGCCCACATCTCCCGATACAACTTCTCCGAGCACTCCGTGCACATTCCGGCCTTCTCCTGCAGCCGGTCTTCGGGTATACCGATAATGCCGATATTGATTACCCGTAGGATCTCCCTTGTACAGCGCTGTCGTCTGTTGTATGGGATGCCGAACTCTTTGCAGCGGTTTATGCGTCCGAAGTGGATGCAGTCGCACATCGTCCAGCGGATGTAGGTCTGTATGCACATTTTAGCGGTCTTGGTGCTGTTGTTCTTGGGTCAGTGTTAGTTGGTAGTGGGATTTGGGGATAGGGGACTAGTTATAGGGATTAGGTGGGCTGCGATGTTGTGGAGGTTATATACTGGTGTCTTTATGGCTATGGCAGTAAGGACCAAGCGGAGAAGATGCAAAGGATCTGTTGGGTCTAATGAAGTTCGCCTTTGGTCTATATCTTTGTCTCTTTGGTGAGTCCAAGCTGCATTGAGTTCGTCTCTTTGACCACTAAGACATGACTTCTGACTCAGGGAATACAATGGATTGTTTCGAAAGACGGCAGTCACAGAGCCGCGGTGAATAGCATAATGGAATTGGGTATTCGAAGACTGGCTAATAACATGAAAACACTTTGTACGCAAAACTATGACATGGTCATTTGCCCGAAGCGGCTCTGGCCAGAGCATCGATGCGATGAGCATATAGATCCATAAAATGCATGACAGGATCACCGAATACCACACCTCGCAGCTGAGGCTCTGTGATACCGCAAGCATCCACATTTTCCCATGGCGGCAGGGCAGGATGACCACCCTGATTAGGTGGTGCAACAATCACGGGCCGACCACTGAGTTGATCTCGCGGACGCAGAAGAATAAGCCGGCCCGCGAGTGACAGATGAGACGAGGGAGTTCTCCAATACCTAGGAGCGGATTTACGTTTCCGATCGTACAAGGTGAGTAACGACCCCGGTGCTGGTGAGACATACAAGTCGAGCAATGACAGGAAATAGCCCTTGTCAGCACGCGATACCGGGTCACCCTCGTTGATGAATGCAAAGAATACAGATTTTGATTTCTGAGCCGTGGGAGAGGCCTGTAGCGGACGAAGAGAGATGGGAGGCGCACCAAATGTCACACAGTGGATGTGTTTGAAGCAACCGCGAAGATGCGTAAGTTCAGATTGTACGGCTGGCGACTCGGAAAGGAGATGTAGGTATAGCAGGCTGGCGACGGCACCTCCTGCTGAGTGGCCAGTGAAGACTAGAGAATAGGACATTCGACTGGGATCTTCTTCGAGAAGACTGCGTAGCCGGGCTGCAACGGCTGCGACCATCTTGCGGGCTACAGATAGGAAGCCGGAGTGGCAGCTGTTGGATGGATCGTCTAAAAACCCGGCGGGGGAGGTCGGTGCGGTCTTCACGTTCACGGCCCAGTCTAAGAAACTCTGCGTACCTCGGATGGCGAAGACGATCGTGTTCATGTCGTCGATTGGTAGCGATTTGACCACCATGGCTTTGGTGCCTTGTCGCCAATCAGAGTCCACGTATGAATGTCGTTCGTGTCCTGATGGTTTGTCGTATACTCGACGCGAGTACTTGGCGGCAAGTTGGAGGAGGGGGTATGTTGGAGGATAGCTGCGGGCGAGATCAGCGAGCCGAACAACATTCACGTCGAGTGCAGAAGGGCTTACAATCTCAGCGGCGGTAGATGAGGCGGTAACCGCGAATTGGCGTAGAGGTACACCTTGGAGAAATAATCCACGGACTTGGTCGGTTTCTTCCCTGACCGGCGGTCTTTCTTCTCATCCGACTTGGATGGAACAGTACATGCAGCGACTTGATGCCCGGTTAGTATCATTCAAACAGACGATCTGATCTGTGCCACTCACTGAGTTCACTTTCTCTTCCACAGAAGGAACCAAGGTCAATCGAGGTGATGACTTGATCTAACAACCGCGACGTAGCCTCATTGACGTTGGCACCACCGCCCAGACTCTGGTTTACCAGTTTCTGGAGGTCTAGAATGGTGGCATTGGTCTTTTCGACTGTATGCGACACCAAATGGGTCATCGACTGGTTTAAATTCGTACATGACTTCCACTTCGAAGGCTTTGGTGCTGGACCCGAGGGGTATAGTGACAGACTGCTTGCCGCGGGACCTGGATACGAATATGGCGATTGAGGTGCTGGCTGGGGCGGTAGGTGAGCCATAGACACAGCTACATTGTGAGGATAGGCAAATGCCGGCGCAGTATGAAATGTATTGACTGAGCATGCTCCGGCTGGTAAAGCATATGGTGGACGGCCATGGTTGTTTGGTATCCTCGATGCACTCTCTGGCCGATTCGGACGTGGTGGTTTCGGTGGGGGAGTTGGAGAAGACGGTCTTCTCGAGCGGCTTGAGCGGCCAAAGGCCATTGTGTAACACCCCGAGCTCAGTTTGTCAGAGTGCCTGAATGTAATATGGCTTTGCCATAGCTTGTACTCCTAACTTGAGAGTTGAGATTGCAAAACCCTCAGTCCTTGTAAGCTGATGCGCAAAACTGCAAAGATGCAGAAATTATGCAGGTTCATCCCGTCAAACATGCTGATTTGTAGGACTCGCCCCCGTCATGCGGGTTTGCGATCGACCCAACTCCGCCCCCCGTCCATAGGCTCCGGCATCAGCACTGCCTCGTCTAGGGCGCTTTCACGACGAATAGGATTCGAATGATATTGTTCGCATGTGAAAGCTCCTGCATATGCAGATGGCGAGAGTTGCGTTTTGACGTCATGCGATTGGACAGGGCTGTCGATCAACTGGCCAATGATATCACTGTGTGCACCGTGTACATTCATCCAGATATGAACAAGATAAAAAATAACCCATCAATGATCCATCTGCCTCGTCCTTGCGTTAGGTACACACATCTCAACCTTCCTTTTCTTATGAACCGTTTCTCAGTTCCATCCACTTACAACCACGCACTACTTCATCAATATGTCCGACCTATCGATCCCGCTCATTCCGACGCCGATGCGGAAAAATCTCCCAATGATTCGGATGCGCACGCCCAACAAACTCTGATTTATTTATCTGCGTATCAGCCGGTCGTCGATGCATCGGCGTTAACGCGGTAATGGTGGCAACGCTGTTGGCGTTAATAGGGGTATTGCCGCCGAAGCATCAACGACCGGCTGATGCGTAGGCCTTGTCGCGTGTGTATGGAAGCGCTGGGGGATTTCTCCGGATCACCGATGGAATGAGCCTTGCGATCGATCGATCGATGGGGTCAGACCTACGCAGTATTGACGAAGAAGTGCGTGATTGTAAGTGGATCGGACGTCGGGTTACGAAGATGGGGTGATGGAAGAAGGAAGGATGAAAGCGTGGAAGGAAAAAGATCTGTGTTTTATGTGCACGCATCCAACCCTAAATCGGAAGGCGCGACACTTTTACTTTTCCTTGAAGACGAAGACCTACAGCTACTTATCACAGGATCATATGACATGAATCAACCTTCACCTCTCTATCATCAATCCGCTTCAAGCAAATGATATCCGGCACATCACTGCACTGTATGGAGCAACTGTCACGATCAAAAACGAGATAAAACTTGTTGTATCATTTAACTAGAATACTAAAGCTGGAGAAATAAACTTAGACCGTAACGTAGATAGGAAACATGGCCTTCGAGATTGGAAGTCAAACTGCCAGGAGATCAAGGTGATCCCGCAGTGGGGGACGGCGCTGTCGGCCCCATGCCTTCGGTAACCGGGGGGCCTATAAAGACAGCTGCCCCGATAGGCCTGGAAGCCTTGGGCGGAAGGCGGCTTGGCTTGGGCGCAAGCTGCGCAAACGCATCCCGGCTGATGCCGGCGTACGCCCTATCCATGGATGCTGGGTGATTGGTGATCTCCGTTTCGGTGATAGAGGGGGGGTCTGCAGTGGGTAGTGTGCTTATGGATCCTTCGCCATTGCGTCCCAGAAATCCAGGGGGCCAGGATGCCCTTCCATCGACCTACGGCTGTCTCAGTCTGACCGCTTTGGAGGAGATCGTGGTGGAGCTTTAGATCGGCGCAAAGGTTGGCGATTATGTCCTGTTGACCTGGATCTTGCTCAATGCACGCAGCAACATCCAAGTCGGACCACGATTATCTCAGCAACAGCCACACAGCAGACAGACTCTCCTGCCTAGCTCTCGCAACTCAAAGCTGAAGTTGCCGGAGACTGCCCGGCGGGCAATGTAGTTGCACTCAAGCAAATAGTCCACCTAGAAGACTCCAGATGCGCAGGGTAACACACTTCGACGGTGTTAGGTGGAGTCACCCAGTACGGCTTCCCGCGAATTTATGCATCGGGATTTGAGCAACCTTGTTCATATTGACAGGAGCTTCGGGAACGCACTTTCCCCATTCATGTCACCGAGAGACTCTTTAGCGGAGCTTCCAACCTGAGTACCCTCATCTACCAACGTGGATGGAAGCACGACATGACGCATTTCATAAGCATTTGGAGCCTCCAGCCTGAGTACCCTCATCTACCAACGTGGATGGAAGAACGACATGACCCATTTCGTAAGCATTCGGGGCCTCAGGTTGGCGCTTCGCCCTCTGGATGGGACCTTGAATTTCGACCACGCCGACAACCGCGACCAGGCGATAGAGAAACCATAGATTGATGGGTTGAACCAACAATGTCTCCTGGCTGTTCCGTCCAGATTGATTGAAGGATAATTCAAGGCAATTTGGAGCCGAAAGGGAGTAGATCCGTCGACTCGCCTCGTCACTAAAATATCTAGCACAGTTAGAGAAACGATCTCCGCGACCATGGCTATTGTGCTCCGGGGTGGTGGGGGGGCTTACCCAGGCGGCGGTAGGCTAGTAGCCTACATAGTAGGTGGGGAAAACGAGAGTGGTCTCGCTTTGGCAGCGTCGGTGCCCACTCAGTCCGTTCGAGTCATTTGTGGGACCAGACACGAGCACGGGTAAAGCCCACATTTTGGGGGAGACTCGCCAACATGGGGCCGCGCAGAGACGGCGGCGTGTGCAGACTGCAGCGTGTCAGTCTTATTGCCGGAACCAACGTCGACGCGGATGGTGTCGACGCGTGGATGGCCCGGCTCGTTCTGGGGGGCCTTGGACGTGCGAGTTAGAGGTACTGCGAGATTTGTCGGGAGAAATGTCGGTGTGAAAAGGACTGATCGAGTTCGACATATTTATGTCGAAGTGAGTGGTTTTACCTGTTTACGGTGCGTCGGGATACGAGTCTGAGCTGCCTGGAAAGGAAGGAACCGTGGCGATAACAAGATTTCTCTGTTATGCGCACGCATCCAACCCTAAACGGAAGGCGCGACTCACTTGCACTTTCCCTCAAAGACGAAGACCTACAGCTTTTTACCACGGGATCATATGACATGAATCCAATGCCTTTACTGTGTAGTTCTATGATGGCTAGGTAACCAAACCATGGATCCATATCCAGGCTCCAGCAAACATCCGCATCAATGCACTTTGTATGAACAGCCACAAAGAAGTCGGACACCTTCAACAATATGCTGCATATGGGTGCCTACCTACACTGCCTAGCAGGAGATGTAGAGAATTTGACATGACCCTTTGTGCGCTATATTCTGAGGAAGTGCTCAGGGAATTAAGCATTAAGAGCCAGAATATAATGGCAGCAACGAACCCACCCAGATACGCTATTTCATCTCTTTGTTGAAGTTTGATCAAAGAACACAAAGAAATGGAGTTAAGAAGACTGTCTACATGTGCCATTGTCGCGGTCAGATGGCTATATTCTCGACAAGGACATATCATCATACGCACTTAATTTAACTGAAATGGGTTGATTGGATGGAGTACCTACATACATGTAGCTAGACTACATCAATCCCCTTCAAAAATATCCTAGCTGATTAAAACCTTGGAAGAAACACTCAACCGCGCAGTGCGCTAACAGTATCGAAGCTCAAGAAAGTTGAAAAAGAACCGTGAAAAAGACACTTAAATGCCAGTGTGCAAGCAAGCAAGCGCGTCCACCTCGTACTTGCATTTGAGGCAAGCTTTGAAATGGCAAGTTTGGCAAGTTAGTGTGAACAGAGGCATCCAAGCCTCACAGGCCTCGCACATCGGGCGACAGAACTCTTTCTTCCAGATGCCAGTGTGGGGGCACACACGCCGATCGAGTCGAACCGCCGGAATAGGTCGGGCACCCGGAATTGAAAGGCGGATATCGTTGAGCCAGCCAGAGTACATCTCTAGCATAATTCCGTTGAGCTCACTCTCGTAGTCCTTCATGGTGTAGCGTCCAAGTGGATCGGCGAGCTTCTGATTGAAGTAAGGGACCAGAGGACGGATCGACTCGCGGTCCACGTTCAGAGAGATATTCGGATACAGAACAGCAGCTCTCACATCCTTGACAATAGAGCTGATGTTCTCGCAGGCAGCCCGGAACGCCTCGGGACTGTTTCCGAGAGGATTAGTGGCCGAGAAGGTTGTTGGAGGAACATCCGAGTGAGCCGAGCTCCTGCTCGAAGTACTGCTGGTAGGGGAGCTGCCTGAAGAGCTGTGGCCACCCCAGTTGCGGCCGGTTGGAAAGTCATGGCGCTCAGATGAGACATTGCTAGCTGGGGAATACTCGCCAGCTGAGTAGTAGCTTGTAGAGTTGGTAGAGCTCCGAGGAGGGGACGGGGCACCGCGAGCAGTAGAATAATGCATGCGGTTATTACCAGGATACCAGCTGCTTCCAGGAACGTAGGCAAAGTCGTCAGACATGTCGGATGGATTGAAGGTACTCGACGCCTCTTCACGGCGGTGATCTCCACCGCGACGGGCATTTTTGGCATTGTTGGCTTCAATCTCGTCAATGCCATTGCTTACGACCCGACTCACAAGATCTTCAAACAAGGGATCAGGTCTATCCACCATCTTGTTAATGATATGGATATCGCGCATCATGCGAGTCCGGACGTCTTCATTGTGGCGAGCACGCATCTTCTCCTTGCGAAGCTCTTCCCGAGCCTTTTCAACTTCTTCATCAAAGCCAGCCCATTCCCTCGCCCACTGCTCATTCTCGGCTTTGTATTGCGCACGCTTGGCCTTGGATTCGGCCGAATTAGGGTCCATGTGACAGCTGGCCCCGTAGGTGCGCAAGTACGATTCAAACTGCGTGAAATTGTTGTTGCTGTCCCTGTAGTTGGTCCATTGGTGATCAGATTGGCGCTCAGAGCGCCACTCTCTCTTTCCCCGCCGTGTATCATTACGTCCCGCACTGGTCCAGTGGGAAGCCGTATGTTCTTCAGCAGCGCTAGCTCTCGCTCTCTTGCTTTGTACGTTCAGCTGGGCATCAAGCCGGTCCCGGCTCTGGGGGTCACGAAGAATCTCGACAGCCTCCTTAAGCTGTTGACAATGGCTTGTTAGCTATGCCAATTTAACCGAGAAATATCTCATTCCGCTGGAGACATACCTCTCGGAACTGCTCATTCGCTGCCTCGGTGTTTCCAGCATGGTCAGGATGGGCTTTCAGGGCCAAACGCTTGTAGGCAGCGTTGATTTCCTGAGTGCTAGCATCGCGTGGAACAGCCAGGATAGCGTAGGCGTCGATGGTTACTTTGAGAGTAGACATTTCGCCGTGACGAAAGTCCTATAATGGATGTCAGTGTTTCGTGTATGTGCATGTGCGTATTGGATCAATATGAATGTCGAAGTGAAAGAAGAGAGAGCGATGTCATGGAAGAAGACAAGTATGTAATGGGCACTCGGAATAGGTATCTTCACAAACAAGGAAGGTGTCGGACCGAACATTGTTGAGGTGACTACTACTTACCAGACTAACGATGTGAACTGATGTTTAAGAAAAGGTGGTCGAGAAGACCAAGTAAAGCAGACTGAAGATGATAAGACAATAAGAAAAAATAGTTGAGAAAGAAAAGGAAGAGAGAGCTCGAGGGGGAGAAGAAAGGGAGATTTATAGAAGAAGAAATTTATAGAGCGAAGGGAATCTTCGTTTCGAGGATGTTGATGAATACCTTTTACTCAAATGGGACAATGCTGTTGACAATAGATGCTATTGTATGTACATCTACATGATAGGTACAGGTGTATAGCATGCTACATCAGTGCTGTTCGAAGTCTCAGAAGGTACCCGAAATGACAAACGAAGAGAACGAAGAGGTTGGGGAGAACAAAGAATCTATCAAATAACTCAACAAAGGAAGTTTATACCGCCACCCAGCCACATCGAAACAAAGACATATATACTATGGATCCGAGTCACAAGATAGTTACAATATCGTCGAGCCTGGCTGGTCTGTTATTCGACAACTGAGAGGAAGCCTCAGAGGAAGGTGTCCCCTGACTCCCTCACTCTATCCATGGTACTCTCGAGCGGGTCCAAAAACCTCATGAAACCTTGACTCTACATTCCATACGTGTTCAGTTTACAGTAGGAAGGGCCTGCAGTCGTGATATGCATTTCTACAACGGCAGTACACAACCAATTGTCTGATTACAGAGTTGGAGGCGGCCGATTACATCTCTCGTATTTGTTGCGTAAACATAGTGTATCGATAAGTCGTATATGCTTTTCTCAGTTCAGTTTGGAAGTATTCAAAAGATCAATAAGTATTACACTCTAATCGCCCAGGGGGTAACAGTGCAGAATCTGGCCATCTAGCGTTGTATCATGGTTAGTCGGGCTGAATCATTGGCAATCACAGGGGCAACACATACAATAGTAAGAGGAATCATGGCTAGCCAAGAACACAAAGCTGGTGGCAATTTCACTGGCTTGACCGGGACGACCAAGGGGCTTGCCCGACCCTAGATCAACCATGCCTTCAGCAGGCTTTGTATCAACCTGGATGGGAGTGTAGACGACGCCGGGGCTGTTTGGAATTAAGTTCGTCAGCATTTTAAACCTAGTAGAAATCGTACACGCGGGCATCACTTACGCAACGGCATTAACCCGGATACCCTTTGGCATGAGCTGCTGCGCTAGAGCTCTCGTGAAGCCGACAATTGCGCCCTTGGTGGCGGCATAATCCACCATACCGGCTGTACCGCGGAATGCGACTACGGAGGTGTTGTTGATGATCCTGGCAGACAGGTTAGCAGTTGAAGCCTTTCACCGAAACAATGAAGAGACATACGAATCCCCCTTGGACATATGCGGCAGGGCAAATTTCGTGATTGCGAACATCTGGAGAATGTTCGAATGGAAGGTCTCTTCGACTTTGTCGAGGTCGATATCGACGAAATCCTTGCAGGTGTATTGTTTCGAGGCGTTGTTAACGAGCACATTGAGTGTTTTATACCTGTTGCGCCGCCATATGGTTAGTCTCTTGATGGGCAGAAATTCCACCCGCACTTACTGCTTGATGTGTTCCTCGACAGCCTTTTGACAGAAGTCACGCTGTCTTAGATCTCCAGGAACAAGTAGACATGATCTCTTCTCGGCCTCTACCAACTTCTTTGTCTGGTCTGCATCCTTCTGTTCTTGTGGTAGGTAAACGATAGTGATGTCGGCACCTTCTCTGGCCATCAGCACTGCGACTGAACGACCAATACCGGAGCTTTGAAGGTTAGCGAGAACATCATCGAAAAGATGCGCGCGATGCCATCATGATCCACTACTTACTCGCCACCAGTGATAAGGACCTTCTTATTCTTGAGCTTGCCTGCGCCAACATATTCAACAAGCCCTTCGCTTCCCTGCAGTCTACTGACTTCGCTGGGTGGTTGCATCTCTGATTCAAGGCTATAGCGGAGAATGGTTAGATCGAGATGTTTTCTGATCTAGCAATTGGATCCCTCTTACCCGGGCCATTGTTGAGACTGTGCTGCCTTGGGCGGCTGGAATTGTTTATCTTGCGACGACATTTTGGAAAGGGTACAATTGGATATCACTCGGTTGCGGGTATGGATGGAAATTCTTTCTGACTGCAGAACCTCAGCGTACTTTATACGATTCAATTGTTTCCATGAGCCATATCGTCATTCGTGCGTCAATCATTTCCTGAACATGCTATCATTTTGACTCGAGCTTGTTTAGCGCATGGCCAGACCCGACGTAGATCTGAATGACATCATAATCCACCCGGCATCTTGGCACTGTTCACAGCTTATTTCCATATGCGGGTTAGATCGATAACGGCAGGCATAAACCGCCGTATCATAGCCTCCTAGGATATTACCGACTATGTCGCTTATCGATATATCCCACTCTCCGTATATTAAAAAGGACCTCAATGCCACGAGACGCCGAACATTTCCACAGTTCATACTGGTCCCCCTAACAATGCATCATGAACAGGACGTCCGTGCTTTCCGAACTGCATACTACTAGTGCCCGTCTGTATTCCTGCAAATCCATCCAATTGAAACTGCTGGAGCAACAGCTCAGTTCAGGGTGAGTACGGGTGAGAGATGACTGATGCACTACACACGGCCAAGTCCAAAAGAAAGGCGCAAGACGTGATATCAGTAACAGTGCGGGTGAGCGAGACGCTTAGAAAATGGGTGCGTTGAGAGTGGCCCATTCAGGTAGCCCTCAACTCAGCATGTCATCATTAAGTGTAGTTACTAGCAAGACGTCGAATCAGCAGTTAAGAAATAGCCCTTCAGCCACCCTGTCGAGTGGTATCTGAAAAAGACTTATTGTCAATTGAATGGCACTTGATAGTCGTCATGCGTCGTGAATAAGAATAATGATAAAAGAGAGGACAAGTGCGGAAGGTATATAAGTCCGAAAGGACAGGTTAAGAGAAGAGAAAGAAAGGGTTTAGGGGGTAAAAGGTCAAAAAGAATCAAAACATACGAGGGAATGATGCGCATAAAAAACCGGCTCTATGGCACTTCTTTGTCCCCTCGTTTTAGACCACCGGGCACATCGATGGCATCGCGCACCCATTGCATGGCGGCAATCTCATCAAGGGTCTTGCGTTTCGTGTTGCGCTTCAGAAGTCCTTCCACGCAATCGCGGGCCCCCTCGAGGTCTTTGCCCTTTTCATGATCCCATTCCTCATCCTCATCGGCATATCTATACCAAGCCCACTCGCAACGTGCGATACGATGCGGGGTGCGGGCACGAAGCTTGGCTGGATCTCCGCGAGTGCCGGGCAGAACATCGAAGGGTAGACGGTTCTCCATTATGGCATAAAGCAAGACACCGAGAGCCCAGGCATCAGTAGCACGCCCGTCGTAGGCCTGACCCATCAGAATCTCAGGAGCCGCGTAGTCTTCGCTACCACAGCGAGTTTGCAAAAGTGGGCTCTCGGGCGGTTCCGGTATACGTCGCGACAAACCGAGGTCGCTGAGTGTGACAACGGCGCGGTCGTGGGTGCGCCAATCCTTTATATCATCCATGACATGAGCGGGCATGGTAAGCAAAACATCTGAAGGAGCGATCAGTTTGGCAACTGCAAGAGTTTCGAAAATAAAGCCAAAGCAGACTTACTCTCCAACTTGATGTCCCGGTGAACGATGTAATGCGCATGCAAATAGCGTACGGCATCAACTAACTCCGTAAATATACGCCTGATCAACCCCGGGCACATATGATGAGCCCCTGATGTAGCAAACTCGAACAAATCACCCCCAGGACAGTAGTCCAGAACCAACAATGAACGCTTCTCATCACTGCCAAATGCTTTCAGTTGAACCAACGACGGATGATTGATAGACTTCAAGATTTCCACTTCACGCTTGAGTGATACCTCCAATCGGCTCTCATCCGCGCCTCCAGCGGGACCATGTTCAATGATCTTGACGGCAACCAACTTCTGATTGTTCACGAACCCATGGAATTCGCTGGCATCATTCCCGCCCGGCGACAAAGGCATCTCGGGGATAGCCTCCACACGTGCCGCGAGACTGACCTGACTGAACGTGCCCTGGCCCAGTGTCCGGATCTTTTGGTAGATCCTAGCTTGCTCCGTGCGGACAGACCGGACAGAATATAACTCCTGAGGCGTCGTGAGGGGGGCGGGATGACGAATGACGGGCTCATTATCAGTATACCCACTACCACTGCTGCGGGGCGGGCTGGGAGGGCGTATGGTCGGCAATGTGATACCCCGATGGACCGCCAAATACTGCTCGCGATGGAGCCCGTTGGACTTCGAATCTGTGCTCGATGAGGATACAATGCCAAGCCCGGCATTGCCAGATACCGCGATCGGACGGGGAGGGACGGAGACGCGGCCAGCAGGCACGTAGTCACTTAGACTGCGATTCCGAGAATGAGAATGTTTTGAAGGCGAGTCGCGACGATATCGGTTGGGCACGGGTGACTCTTCTCCATGGCTATCAATACCCGTGTATGGTTTGGCGCGCGAACGGGACGCGACTGGGGGCTCCAGCATTTGTGACGAGTCACTCAACCGAAGGCTTGATCCGTTTCGCGACATCGACGAGGAACGCGATACCGATGGCAAATTGTGATTGCGCCACGGCGAGGCACCTCCAATTGGCGATGGTAATGGGGTGATGTCACCCATCGCGGTCAATTGGGGCGAGGACATAATTGAAGCCGGGGATAACGAGCCTGCACTGGATATAGGTGGTGCGATGAGGGCACGAAGACTCGGGGTACGACGCGGATAACTTCCAGACAGACTGGTGGAAGCATGAGAATCAAAATCTCGCGGGCTGGAAGGACGGATGCTGGGTAGGTCGGTGCGAATTTGCAGAGACGGCAATAGCGACACAGAACTAGGTTGGGAAGGCATTGAGTCGTCTACCGAAAGAGGCGCATTGACCTCCTCTTTCTTTGTATGTTCCGGGTCGCTTGCATCTTGTGTCATTGTTGACATTGTCGGTGGACCGGACTCGGCTGTCATTGAGAATAGAGAAGATGTTGGGATGAAGATGACTCGGCCGCAAGCGGAAGGTCGGGAGTGGTGAGTTCTACCCCGGGGTGTGTGGGGGGCGGTTGTCAGAGTCACAGGATAATATTGGCAAATAAGAAGCCCCAACTTATCCTCCAGACCCAAAATGGCCTTAGCGTGGAAGACCCGTTCACCAATCTATGTGAAGATGGGACTGCATATGAGGCGATGGGCTCGGCCGAATAGCAAGGGTGAAGTGGAAGAAAGGGGGAGGAACGAAGTACCAGGGTGAACAATTCACCTCAAAAGCGCGAACGGCAAAGATAAAATATAAGCGCCATGGCTGGGGGCGATGCAAAAAGGGAAAAAACCAGGATCACTGGATATTCGGGGTACTGGGCAGTGGGAGAGCTAGTCAGCTGATGATCCCCATATGGTTAGCGCCCATGTGTTCCCCGCAGTGTTTACATACTTGAGTATACTCCGTAACATCGTTGAATATGGAGATGTCTAGGGGTTTAAGTATGCTTCGAATTGTCTAAATCATCGAAGTATTGTGGAGGTACGGAGTACTCCGATGGTCAATCTAGATAATTTATGTTACCCAGAATCTATCTCATATGCTGTGTTCATGTTGTGCTTCCCATTTCGTTTGCTGCCAGTGTAGTTCCCAAAGGGGAAGGTGATAGGAATATCATCTGCAATTTTTGTGGGGGCCTCAGGCTTCATGTTCAAAATTTGATGTTACAAGATCCTGTCCAACAACGAAGCATCTTTCTACGGTTGTTACGCTGCGAAAACTATCCTCCACATGTTTCACTTATCATTAACTCTTGCCCTCGGCATTCGGGAATGATACACAGGTGGCTGGGGCTTGGAAGTGCAGTTCCCTGCCACCGTAGCCACCGTCTTACCTGCAGCCACACAGGGGCCAACCGCATCCTGTGCGCCATACTATATTGATATCGATTCCTAATTTTAGCCCACATGGAGGCTATCGCGGTGGCGGCCTTGGCCTCTAACCCAAAATCAAAGCGTACTGTAGCGTGAATCCGGGCTTGGCATGATCGACTGTATGACGACACTGATTCATTTTGAGCTTTCGCACACCTGGGCTGCATCTTCCATTCGACTTGTCAATTACGAACTGGAAACAAGCATAATATGCCACCATTGCCAAAGTTCCGGCCCCAGGCCCCGATCCGTCCCGTTGAATCCCCTTCTCCCGGTTAATCAACTGCCCCGTCACATCAACCCCTCTTCAAATGACCCCTCCATATCGCCGACCTTGACCAACATGGGTAGGGTTCCGCACCTAGTCAACCCATGCCGGGGCCATTGGATAATGGAGGTCTCTCCAACACTATCCGCATCAGATGCCTAAGACATGCACTGGATATTCATCTAGGCTTCGGAGTGCCGGGGGTGGTGGTTGCCTACAGCCCTTGGGCCTGAACTTTAATGCTTACCAGGTGACCATCTAACAATTGAAATAGGCGGCTTCTGGCCGCCCTGTCTCATACATGATCACTGTACTGCGCATTTCGTACATCTTACAGATGTGTCTTTACGGGCTGAACCAAGCGTCCGGTTCAAGTATTCGCACATACCCCGCGGATCAGGCAGCCGCATACTGTGTACGATCCGACCGCAGCGCGGCTATTTGTAAACATGGGCTTGAGAGCCGGAGAACACTGACCATATCGATATCAACGGGCTTTGGATATTTCGCAGGAATCTCCACTCTGGGCACTGGAAGCAGCGAAAACTTCGAAATTGATGGTTTGATGATAACATTACAAAATCGAATGTCCCGGTCATAGTTACTGTACGTGTGGCGGACGTGTTTCACCCATTGAGTCAGGAAATCGAGTCACAAACCTCGTATGCCGCTCTTGAGTACAGTCTATTGTTATGCAGGCTACCATCGAGGGATCCTGCCGCCTGGTTTGTTGTCACCAGCTCGGTCTTTGCCAAACGGGCTTCAGTGAATACACCGGCGTTACTCTTCACAACGCCACGAAGAGTCTCCTGGCTTGTTCTTTCTTTCTACTCGAAGGACTTACAGAAGCCTGTATGGATACCTCCCACCGCCAGTATACACGCTCAGCCTAGTCTGCGATGTTCTTTGCTCCTTTGAGCATACCAGCTTGCCTATGTGCATGACAGGTAAAGCCCCATCATTCGGCATGGGACTTCTAATTAATCCCTCGCAAGTAACTGTGACAGTGCCGAACTCGAGATAGGATCATCATCGCTACTATGAATGCAAGTCCCGAGGTCTACAACAGAGCATGAGGTCAAGGAATCGATGGAATCTTCGTCGCTCGTAGCACTCAAGGGCTTTATTGTAACACTTTGTAGGTCTAGTTTTGAATCCCGCGTAAGCTACTGCCGGGTGAGAGCTACCTTTTTATCAACTCGGACTTCATTTCTACAGAGAGATTATCTGATGAAATTGAGAAGTGGAACTGGAAGCCCAGTGTAGCATTCAATTTCCTGGGTGGAACACTGAATTCTGCCCAGGTGGCCTGGGGCAATTAAACGTAGGCAAAATAAGAAGCGACTTGGTTGTTTTTTTTTCAAATTCAATGTATGTCAAGCTTAGCGATCTACGAGATAGTAATCTTCTGTCTTGCTTCCATGTACTTTTGTCGGACAGTATCCCCAGAATCCACCGACCGGGTACTTGGGCTGTGACGAATGACGATCCTAGTCTCTCAGCCCATTAAAGCTTGGCGCTCCTTCCCTATTTGGGCCATCCTTGGGCATTCTTCTACGAGTCAGCCGAACAACTTTCTTCCATCTTCCATCCCACCATGGCATCAATCCCAAATTTCGATGACCTTCCTCCGGTCGAGGGCATGCCACAAGGCTGTGCCTGGGGTATTTTCGACAAAGATGGAAAAAAGGATGTTCTGGGAACGCTCAATTTACTTACCCCGGAAGTCGTCAAAGATGCTGCTATGGAGGTTCGCCAAGGCCTATCCATTTCACTGAAGTAAGTGCCCTTCCAATGCACTTCAAGATTTGATTGCTAATTCTGCTAGCTGGCCCATCGGAAGCATCAAAATACCAAGTTTCTTTCGAAAAAGCCTCTGCCATAATGTCATGAAACTGGAAGACCCAGCATCTGGCTGCCACTTTGGCTTTGATGACGAGGTTATTTCTCTGTCTGGTCCTTAACGCTCCTAGCTAATTCAGTCTCAGATCGAGTTCAATACCCAAGCCAGCAGCCAGTGGGATAGTTTCAGTACGTCCAACGGAGTCTTACATTTGAAGCCAAAACTGACCAGGTCTACAGCTCATTTCATGCACCTCCCAACTGGCCTCGCTTACAACGGAGCGAAGCCAACAATTGGAGCATTTCAATCTCCGGAAGATGCTCGAGATCTCCCAACATTAGACCGTGAGAGAAGCCCAAACAATCTGAAGAAAAAGCAAACCCACCAATCCCGAAAAGGCTAACGCAGAGTTCAGATTGGCACCAACGCGGCTGTGTCACAGGCCGAGGCGTACTCCTTGACTTCAAAAGTTACGCCGAAGCTCACCACCAGACATATGACCAGTTCTCCGGTTACCGTATCGGGACATTTGAGCTGGAAGATGTGGCTGAATGGCAAGGGGTGAGCTTCCGGCCCGGGGATATCCTCCTAATCCGATTCGGCGTTACTGAGACCTTAGGTCGGATGACGGGCGTGGAGCAGGGCGCTGCGATGAGCACCCGTAGCATGTGTGGGCTGGAAGGGACTAAAGAAATGGCGCGCTGGCTTTGGAATCAGCATTTCGCTGCGGTGGTTAGCGATAACATGGCTGTCGAGGCCATGCCGCCAGTTATCGACGGTGTCGAGCAGCCTAGCCACGAGCTCGTGCTGCACCAATGGTGTCTGAGTCTGCTTGGTATTCCTCTTGGTGAGCTGTGGGATTTGAAGGCGTTGGCAGATGCTTGCAAGGCTAGTAAGCAGTATTCTTTTCTGCTTACCTCCTCGCCCCTGAATTTCCCCGGTGCCGTCGGGAGCCCACCCAATGCACTAGCCATCCTGTGAGGGACCATCGACGGCCTAGGAGGTATTGGGCCATTGGCCAGGTGTCCACTTGAGACTCGATGCCCGAAGATACCTACATTTATTAAAGAGTATCGTTTGCGGAGTATGGTTGACTGGATAATGATAGGTAGACTGGGAGGTACCAATGGCTTCCCGGCGTCCAATCAAAATGGCAACTTCAAACCGAAGACTACATGTAGCTTCTAAACCTTATCCCATCGCCATCAGAGTACTGTACAGTACACCATACTGTGTACGGGAAGCGTCACTTCCAAGGTTAGAAGATCTCCCAGTATCCACTTTGGCTCCACATGGCGTCCTTAGCGTCCGCTTCTATGGGGCATCAATCCAGCCGAGGCGTAGAGTACTCAGTATGTACATACTACATACTGTGTAATGTGAAACTGGCTCCCACCACCTTTCTTGCCGACTGTGGTTCAATGGGATCCTCACTGAAGATTGACTTCCGCGTCGATATGCGAACAGGTATCTACATTGGCAGGTCGTACTATTTTTCCACTTCTATGTCAAAAGTCCACCAACTTCAATAATTCTAAAGTCTCAATGCCGAGGTGCCGATATCCGGACAGATCTCTCAAATCCTGCCTTTCTGTTCAGTGTTCGATAGATTTCGTCCCCGGCTGTAGTCCGCCTTGTGTCGACCAAGCCCATGGACCTGCCATGGACGAAACCTCTCATTGTTCACCATCGGCGGACTATTAAATGCGCTTGGTATTCCAACTAGTTCATGCTACACGGAGTCGACATTTTCCCCCTTATCCCATGATATGGCCCGACTACGTAGAGTCGAAGCTTTGAGCCTTCCCCGGGAAGGGTGATGCACTTGATATAATTGGTAGCAGGTGTTACACAATGATGCATAATGACATTATTCTAGTGACAGCCCGGACGACCATGCAGGATCTCAAGAGGGACTATGACCTAATGCTATATCTTGCTTCGTTCCGATCGGCAGCTTCATATGCCGTTAAGTCTGTGCCCGTCGTCCCACCGAACCTAACCAACTTTTGCCATGGAGGGAATTGATGGTCTCGAGTATCTGCTGACCCATTACTTCGATGAATATCCAGCTGCCAACATATCATCGACGGGTAGTAATCGGACTGTTTCCAGCCGCCTACGACTCAGGAGGAACTGCTGTTCGGCAGAATTGAGAGACCATTGGCGAGTTTATGATTTGTCCCGGCGGGCATTAGCCATTCTCCATGAAGCAACATGAGGTGTTGGTATTTGGTGCGGTTGAACGGAGGAGGAACGCCGGACGTCCAGGTGATTTGGGGTACCTCGTCATCCATGGATCCAAGACCTACCCTCGCAGGGTTTCTTTTTCTGTGGCATCTGGAATAACTTGGGCTTGCCAATTATTATCGTGTTTGAAGCAAATATGAAAAAGAGCGGGTCATGAATGAGGTATCAGCCATTGAGCACGGGTGGGAGGTAGGAGAAATTGTCTATTGAAGTCACTAGCAGCATTAAGACACGTTACTGACAGACACTTGCAAAAGTACCGTCAATAAACCGCAGGTATGCAAGAGACTTTTCTATGTACAAGGAAGAAATACAAAGTACAAACCCAGTTACACATCCCAATCCCAACCCACGCATAAATGCGAAACATGATGCTTGAGCGCCGGAGTGAAGAGATCCAGGTGGAATAAAAAATAGTTGTAATACATCGCAGGTGAAAAGACAGAGCAAGGCGGCTAATCGTCAACCGCCATTGTCATTGAAGGATGGCGTATAGGGTATGGAGAATCGGATAACCGAGGCGTAGAGTAATGTGAAACTGGCCATGCTAGGAATCTAGAAGAAAGCCTTTCGCGTCACCTGCAGAGTCTGAGTTAGCAATTGTCACACAGCATACCACGGGAATGTACATACAGCCCAGCCACCTGCAATGGAAGCCACAATGCCGCCAGAGATCATCATGGGCTTGAGTCCACGTGTGCTCTTGAACAGCATGCCACTCAATGCGCCAGCCACGATGCTGTTGGACGCATCGTGCTTGCCACGCGCGTATCCGATAGCGGAATTGAATCCGTTGTAAACCATAGCCACAACACCAGCCGAGTTTCCAAGGAACGGACCGCGACGGGTAACCGAGTTAAGTACAGTGTTCAGACGGATCTTTGGTGCGGCCGATGGTGGCGTCTTTTTCATTCCTTCTACGAATCCCCATGCGCCTCCAAGGCAGAGTGCAGTGAGATAGGTAGTGCCGGCGCCATAACAAAGGTCATCTGACCATCCACGGGATGGCAACACTGATCGGGAGCCCGGGAGTTCGTCAAGGGCGGAGTCTTCGAGGGAGAGGTAGTCGAGAGTTTCCTGGTTCAGACCAGCCAGGGGATGAAGGCGAGTGGGATCGGGGATAGCGACTTCGGAGAGGAAGGATGTAGCATCTTGCGCGGATGAAGGGTCGAAGGCATCGGGGCCTTGCTTTTGCTTGCGGCCGCCGAGGGAGTCCCAGATCGACATTGTGAAAAGGAGTAAGGAAAGGGTAGAAGATAGAAGAGATAAAATTACAGTAACCCAAGGAGGAGGGAAAGGGCGGATGACTGGAGAAGAAGTGATGACCCTGTGTTCGCAGCTCCACTGGCATCGGAACAGCAAAAACTTCGGTCCCGTGACTTTCAGGGATCCTCGGAATATTGTATGACCGGATCATATACGCTATTCCCGATACGGTGATCCACTCTTATCGGCGCCTGAGGCATCGCGGGGAGCATGAAAATTAATCGTCGGGGAATTCTTGCTTGCAGACCGTTATCCAAGATCATTCGGCGTGATTGATTGAGGCTATGGCAGTTGATGTTCCATGCCAGGCCCAAGGATCTGTATCAAACGAAATGGAAGGCCTTGCGCAGAGCATACAATTGCTGTCGGAGAAAACCCTCCGAGATATCGCCAAAGGTCCATTGGTGAAATTCACACTGACATGCCAAGAGTTTGAGTAAGTGCAGTATATCTTCAAAGCCATACGGATTTGATCTAATAAGCTCGCTTGACAGGAAGGTGACTCGGGTATGGCAGTCATTGATAGAGACGCTATCGAGAGCATCCATCTCGCCATCTCATTCTGCAGAGGCATGCAATGCGGCCTCTGCTTTTATTGATGCTGCTGTCAAGTCGCAATGTGATGCGACCAAGCAGTTGATTCTGTCACAAGAAGCATGGCTGTCAATATTTGAGGTTTGTCTGCATCGATATGAAGATGCCAAGCCAAAGCCCATTAAGAAACTCTTGCTTTCAATCATTACCATCCTAGCCAAAAACCACCAAGGCGCAACCAGAACAGCCTTGCAGACTGCGGTCATTGAAGCCTTAATACCTAGTATTGTACTTGGTGAGCCCCAATCACAACTAAAGGCGTCACTGGTATTCCTCGAATCTTTCATCAGGAAGGATGCTATACTACCCGGCGAGTTTATCTCATCGATGCGTCAATGGCTCTTGGAAAACCACGCAAAGTGGTCAACAAGTTTTGCCAACGATCATGAAGACTTGTCCCCAGGCGGTTCAGATCCCACTGTTGACGTGGCATCTGGCAATCTGTCCAACGAACTAGCAGTCAGGATCTTTGTTCTCGGGCTTTTGATCCAAACCAACAACAGAACGATGGCTGTGGCGGCTGGCAACGTACTGTCAATCTTGCTTCAGAAGTTGAAACCTGAGACATCCCCTGATGAACTGTCAGCGATATGGGTAACTCCAGTAAGACGCATGGTTCTGCAAAACATGGAAACTTTGGAAGATCTCTCCAATCGACTCCTGCAACCTCTGTTCGCTGTTGATCCCCACGGATTCAAGATCTTCCTCAACACGCTTCCAGTCAAGAGCCTTCTCAAAGGTGACATGACCGATGCCCCCGAAGCTGAGTATATGGTTCTTTTCGCTGCGTTGCAAATTGGCAAGAAGATCAACTTGGTTCACGAAGATTGTGAGTTGTTGTGACGACCCAGATCCGTCGGCAGTTTGCTAACTTCCGCAGATATCTTCAATTTCGGCAAAGCTAAGCTCGATAAGAATGAGGTTCTGATCATAAAAAGCGACGTGATTGGCAATTTCCTCTTGCATAGTGAAGCCAATATCCGCATCGCGGCTCTTTCGCTGTTGATCACGGCATTTTCCACAATCAAGCCATTCACAGTGGGGGCAACAAAGGCTATCCTTCGTGGTCTTCCATCTATGCATGCTGAATCTGATGCACACACTCGAGGAGAGATTTTGAGCTTGACACGCAAATTCCTTGTTCGTCTCAAGGGTGGAGTCGTGAAGGACGAAGACGCTACTTCAACAACCAAAGAGACCCCGAACAAGCCAGGCTCGGGTCACAGCAGGAACGAGACTGAGACCAAAGACTTTTTGAGTGCTTACTTGAAGATGTTGGGGCACGACTTGCGTCTGGCAGCCTCATACCCTCGCCATATCACCGCTCTCAAGGCCTTGAAGCTTCTGTTAGACTCTGGTCTCGACCCACGGATAGACTTCAAGCTTCAAAAATCAGAGGCAGAGAATTATTGGAAAGTTCAGGTTGAAGTCTTCGATACTCAACTACTGCGTTTGTTGATCGATCTCCTGCTCGATCCATTCGAGGAAGTCAGACACACTTCGCTCTCAATCTTGAGCATGTGTCCTAGAGAGGTACTACTCAATGGTTTGGAGAATAACACTGATGACCAGTCGGCCGTTGGCATGCGGTTGACGGATGCAATTGTTCGAGCTGAAAATCTAGCAAGCAGCACGAGTAGAGCTGACCATGCTGACACCGTTGCTCGTCTTTATCACATCATCTTTTGCGCAGCGCTGCCAGCCCGTTCGGGTCAACAGGCCCCCAATTGGTGGACAACCAAGGCTTCGGTAGTCGACACAATCTTGCACAAGCTCGAGGAACGTCTACTAAATTCAAAGAGCCTTTTCAACTCTGTTACGCGCGAGGCACCACTTCATGGATATACGTCCGGTCTCAGGTATGCAGATTTTGCCCTCATGCGCGAGACTATACTGATTAAAAATGTAGATACATTGTGCTTATGCCAAATTTCCACTCTTTGATATCCGAAGGATCGGACTCTGCCGCCTGGAGGTCTGTGCATGATCGCATCGTTGCCATTTGCGATAAGATCTGGAAGGAAGCAAAGCCCTTGCTGTGCATTGACTCACCTGAAGGTCACTCTGACGAGCCCACAGAAGATCTGAATGTGGGTCCCAAGGATGCTCTGTCTTATTCCTGGAGATCACTTCGCGAATCAAGGTATGTCGAAACCTTTCGTTCACATTAAGGCACGTTTGCTGATCAAAGCAGTCTTCTACTCCATGCGACCCTGTTGAATACCAGCTACGGACCGAGCGGGAACGACGGACTCACCCGAGCCGACTTTGCAAATATTGGAGGCGCAAGCTTCACACAGTTGGCTGAACTTCGCCACCGCGGTGCGTTCACCAACGTTTCACAGACGTTTGCCACATGTTGTCAACGATGCAGTTCCTCGAAGGACCCATCAATCCGGGAACTTCCTAGGACTTGGTACCTGGAAGCCAAGTCAACTATATTTGAGTCAGCATCCCAACTTACACGTCGCTCCGCTGGCATACCTGCAATGGTGACTGGCATTGTTGGCTCTGATCCTGGAACACCTTTTTTCACCGACGCCATAAATGAACTCCACGAAATCTCTTACCTTCCTGTACAGTACGACAAAGAAAGACAATATCTGGAGCTACCCCAGGTTCATGCCATGAACTGCCTGAAGGATATTTTCACGAACGCGAAACTCGGCCCCCATACCGAGCCCTTTATCATGAAGGCTTTGACGCTATCTGCCGAGCGCCTTGGGTCACCAATTTGGGCCCTTCGAAATTCAGGATTGATGTTGTTCCGTGCCCTGCTTACAAAAATGTGTCGTGTCATTCCCGGCGCTGGGCCCGGCTTTGGAGGAAACTCGGGATCGGAACCGGGATCCAGAATCACATTCGCCAAATATCCCGGTCTGCTTGAGCTACTTTCTGGTCTGCTCGCAAAGACAGAGGGCGAAGCAGCGGAGGGTACAGATATTATTACCGAGCGCGTCTTCCCTGCTCTGGAACTAGTTGGCGACAAGCTTCCCAGCCTGGACGATTCTACTGATGAGATGCTGCGTGAGTTGGTGCTTCAACACCTGAGTAGCCCTGTCTGGGGCGTTAGGGAGCATGCGGCCCGTGTATACGCCTCTCTACTCACCAGGCAAACTATACCTGAAGCTTTGCAGAAACTCGTTCTGCTCCCTTCCAGGACTACCGAGAACTACGTCCATGGTGTTGCTTTATGCGTGCGATATGCTCTTCGCCGGTATTCCTTTACGACTGATGAATTTTGGACTTGTGAGTGTTATATGGACGGCTTCCGATTTATACCTGAACTTACAAATTGGCAGCAAACCTTGATCACCTTTTTGCGAGCCTGCGTCTTATACTAGACGTCTTGTTCCGAGTTGGCAAATCGCCATCTGTGGCATCTGAGTTGGTTGAGATTATAAATGGCACTCTGGAACGAGCCATCCAAGCACAGAGCGAAGGTAAGCACACAGAAACCTGAACAGAGCTTTGGACTAACAATATGTAGACAAAGTTATTTCCTTCGTTAATGAGATGTTTGAAGCACACGACCTCGATGGTATCTTATCATTTGTTTTTGATGCATCTCAAGCAGGCTGGAATCTCTCAAGCATCAGTCGCGCCTCTGCCCTACTTAGAAGAGCTCTTGCTTGGTGCAAGATACTGAAAATGCTCGCATCCCAGCAGTTGGAACAGCTCTCAGCCTTTTACCTTGGAGTAGCCCAATTCGATGCTGATGTCGCTCGTTGGATCTCCGAGCAGCTCCACGACATACTCGGTGAAAGTCAGAAGTATAGACAGCCGTTGGCTGAGCTATATGCATCGATGGTTTTGGGAGATTGTCGACCTGATGTGAAGACTATGGCTGCATCCAATCTCGCATCTATCCTGGAGGTCTTGATACCATCACAATTCGATATTGTGTTAGGCATGGATCTTCCATGGGAGGCCATCTCAGATAGCTTCCAGCCCCAGACAGATATCACGACCTGGAATCGAGAGGCAACTGATGCTGAGCTCCGACTTGGAGGCTGTCTGTTGGCTATCCGCTTCTCTGCTAAGGAATCTTCGTCCTCATTCGAAGGCGATATCCACACTTGGACTATCAAGCTGCGCTCAGCTTTGAGCGAAGAAACAGTGAGTTCTAAGGCACTTGTACTTGTTAATCCTGTGACTGGCTAATGTGTTTGACATTCAGGAATTCACTACCCGGTTCGCCGCAGCCGTATCCGTCGGTAGCTTCTCACGGACTCTTCGACCCTCGGGTGCCCAGCCACGCACGGACACGGTGCTGCTAGATGTATATCTCGCTCTTTATGATATGCTCAATGATGACGATGATGAGATTCGTGACATTGCTGCCTCAACCGCCTCTTGGGTATTGTCACACTCCTCTGTCTCGCCGGATGCCGATGTGGCCCTGGCACCTCTCAATGCAGGTGCCCTTCTTGCCGACTTTGTCATCGATAATTACTTCGAATCTGCCCTTCTCGGGCACCGCGTGCTTAAGTATTTGACCGGCCAAGAATCAAGGATCAGTGACTCTGACGAACGAAGCCGCCTCATCTCTGTGTCAGACCAAATCACAGAGCATAGGCAGGAAAGCACTGTCCTCTTCGTGGAGGAGAAACAGAATCTCTTCATTGATGATGTACGCGAAGTCGAACTTTGGTCTCGGGCTCTGTTGCGTCTAGCTCCCTCTATGCACACTCAGATCCCCATTCGCGAGATGGCCTCCTGGGCCTTCGATGGATTATCATATATCTGTTCTTTGGTCGGTTCTGGGGCGGAATCAGATGGACTCATTGGCTGGGTCTCGAAACCCGAGATATTCACCCTCGGTTTCCGTGTTATTGTCATCTCATCTGCTCTGGGATCGAGGAACCTCCCAGCACCAGAGAGCCTTCCCATAGAGCCGGAGGTTTTCCGGGAATTGTTACAATCTCTTCTGACTGCTGGTAGGCTATCAGCTGTTCATGGGGATTGGCTGTCGAGAATACAGACAGCATTGGAAAAGTGAGATCTCTACGGGTGTTATACAAGATAAGTAGCAAGTGTATGTAGCCAAATAGACTCCAATGTACTTTCCTCTTTTGGCAACTTTCGCCATTTGCATCGCTCCTTCCTCTTCTTACACGCTCTTGCCTTTTTGCTTTTGGTGTGTTGTTTCTTTTTCGTCATCTCTTCCTTCCTTCCTTCCTTCCTTCCTTCTTCCTTCTTCATCCTCTCTCCTTCCTTTTGTGTTCTTCTTTTATCCTTCAGCCATCACGTTCCACGTGTTGTCGTTCATTCCACGTCATTACACATCTCATCGTTGACGTTCGAGTCCAACAGTCCTCATACTCCACCTTCGTTTGAACTCCATATCGTCTTGACTTGGCTCAACGTGATTCACCCATATCTCCAATCCCTCCAGTGCTCACTCTCATTGATTCTGCACAACCCGCAATCCCGATCCATCAACTCGAGCCACTGCGTTCCTACGCTTGTCCCACCATGAAGAACAACATCCTTATCGCGGTTCTCCTGATGGTTTCCCTTGCTGTTCCTCTCGGTGGGTGGCTCTATTGGATTTGGTATCGATCACATCTGAGTAAGGTGCATCAACAAACCCAAATCTTTCTCAGAAGGGACCATGACCGTGAGGAAGCCAACTACGAGCCGAGGAATGGACACCAATATCCTATCTCTGGAACCTCTTTCACTGCCCGGGGATGGGTCCGTCACAAGGAGCCGGTAATATCCTATCCGATGCGTGCGTATGTTCACCCTCGGCATTCCAAACATAGGAAGTACCAAGGCTCTGACGAACACTGTCAAGCCTGAACCCTAGCTTCATGAGCCAACATTACCCGCGAACACGGCCCTGCCAGCCCAGATTCAGGGTGACCCAGGAATATACGCCTCTACACCCAGAACCAAGCCAGCCAAATCCTGAGATGCCTAGGACGGCAAACCAGCAGCCGAACCCCGAATCGAAACGGCAGCGACGGAAGCAACGTGCAATACAGAAAAGGCGGATGCAAATGGAGAAGATTGAGCAGAATGAAAACAATCAACAAAACGTGCAGAGTGAGAACCAGCAGTGGAATAGCAACAATACCAAAAAAGGGAAAGAACAGAAGAACAAGAAAGAGAATAAGAATGATGAAGGCCAGGAGCACCAGCCCAACTCTCAACCGTGGCCAGACGAACGACACCCTGGTGGCGGGATAACAGGACAATGGCACGGCCAACACCACAGTCACGCTAATGACTGTAATGAGGAACCAAATCCATGGCTGAAGGAAGATCGTTACAAGAGAGCCTCCCCTGAGCATGAGGCCAGTGATCAGGGCTGGGGTGATGAACCAAACCTACGGCCGAAGAAGAATCGTAACAAAAGAGCCAACTCCCTCAACGCGTCCTCGCGGCGAGTGGGGTGGGAGTCACCGTGGGATCGATCAAGTCCAGCCCCAAGCCTCGCTGAAAGTTCGGGGCTACTATGGGGCAAAGGGAGCAACTGTGATAAATCACCGGATCAAGCAGGGAGAGCACAGTCAGACGCCGGGTCTACTTATGGTCTTGCTGCTATGGGAGCCTGGGACGACGGTGAAGACAAACAGCACGGCTGGGGCAGCTCGTCTAGGGATCCAGATGAGAAGTGGTACGAGCCAAAGTGGAAGGAGAATGCCAAGTGGGAGACAGACGGATCCTTGAGGCAGCAGGTGGCGGAAGCCATGGGGACTTCTCGCGCCCGAGAAAATCATGGCAGTCCGGAACGCGGCTACCGTGGACGAAGCCCCGCATACAGGACCTCGCCTGTAGGCCGCGGCGACTACGATACAGGCTGGGGAGATAACAACGATACAGCCCGGAAAGAGGATCCACAGTGGTGGTGAATTCAGAGAATGATTCTGCTGACATGAGGTATTTGTTAAAGTATCTACTCGAACACCGGGTTCATCTATGCAGACTTATACAGCCTAGTATTGGAATTTATTGTACCGTCGTGTTTTCTTAATGAAATGCCATGCAATTTTAAACTCTATTCCAATGAGACAGTTGCCCAGGTACGGTCTTGCATCAGATATGAAAAGAAAAGAAAATTAAGATCAAGGCTGAGGGAGAATCGAGGGAATCATATCGACGAGGTATGAGGGTTGTCGGTGGTGGAGAAATCATGATTGATGATGATACTTAGCTCAAACCTTCAAATTGAGTTGGAACCTGTCTGAAGGTATTGGAAGATTATGTGCATTCGCGACTATCTATATTAGCAACACACTAATCGCATCATCCATAGACAGACAAGCATAACCCAAGGCACAGATAAATGTATACTCCAAGGCCCGTACGCCACAAAATGCATAGACAAAACTCCAACAGAACAAGGAACACTTATAAGCAATGAGGTGCGAATGACCTCAAAAACGAAAACAAAGAAACGGTCTATCAAATATCGACAGACGACAGCGCGCATATATGCAAACTTCAAGATCTATAAAGGTCGGATGAAGTCGAAGAAATGGTAGGAATGAGACACGCGAGAATTGCGATCAAGCCTGAGCGACAGGCCATCCATCGACATATTTCAGAGGATTGAAGCCAAGTAGAGCATCCTATAGGGAACGTATTAGGTCGGATCAAATTCGCGGATACAGTGAAAGGGATAATCCACAAGCGTGCTCAGGAGTGGTGTGGATGCTTACCTGGAATGCGATGCCAACGGTCTTGTTCACTGTGATGAGGTCAGTATTGATTTGAAGAATAATTTGGGGGATACAGGAACTCACGATAGTGGTAGTAAAGCACGTCGGTATCGCCGTCGCGGAGGACACCTTGCCCGCCGGGAGCGTAGGTATCTCCATTGGAGCCATAGACGAGTTCACCGCCGCCTTTGACGAGGTCTGTGCCTGATTTATCGGTGAATGGGCCGCGGGGACTATTGGATCTTCCGACGCGAATGGAATATCTGTTTTCGTATGAGTTGAGATCAAATGTATTATCAGGTGGAAACAGGCACTTGTGCTTACTCTTGACCGGCAGGCGGTAGGTTGTCTTCCTTTAGGTTGCAGCAGAACCCATGGCTATACCAAAGATAATACCAACCGGCATTATACGAGATGAAAGCGCCTTCGATGGCGTGGGGACCGGTCGGGTCGCCGCAGATGGTGTTTGCCAATCTGTTCGGCATGCCGAGAGATTTCGGCTCCCACGCCAACTGGCGAGCGTCGGGATCGGTAGTGCTTCTTGGCGAGAGGAGGTCTTTGCCGAGCGGGATTTGGAAAATTCCGTTCCAGTAGCTTCCATATGTCAAAAGGGCGTCTCCTTCGGGTGTGATCAATGTACTGGGGTCAATGGCATTTGACACGGTGTATGGGTGGATATCCGATCCATTTCCCGTGCCGGTTTGGATGACGATCCCGTGATCGTGCCAGTTGCCCGGGCCGGGAGAGTTGGAAGTAGCCACGCCAATGGCACTGTCGCGACAACCGGCTTTGCTAACACTGTAATAGCAATAGTATGTACCGTCGACGGTGATCACGGTCGGGGCCCAGGGTGCAGCACGATCACCCTTCGGGATCACACTGTTGGCATCGAGAAGAGTACCGACACGTTTCCATGGACCAGCCATACTGGGAGCCGTGTGGATGAAGATGTGTTCGCCGACATGGTAAAGATAATATTCATCTCCTACGCGCAGGATTGTAGGATCGTGCGTAGTTTGATGTGTCTGCCGAGAAGGAGGGAAATGGCTCACAGCCTGGTCATTTCCGAGATCTTGCAGCTTTCGACCATTTGCGAATGCTTGATCTCTTTGATTTATACTCAAGCCGAGACAAACGGAGATGAAACACAATAAGCCGAGGAGAGCAAGCATCTTGATCCAGCGTCGAGGGATTTGTTGCCAGAAAGGTCGAAGAAGCCACGGTCGAGTGTCGTGCCCAGAAGGCGGCACCCCCGACCATGATAAGTGAGCGGCCCTGACGATCATCCTTGCAATGGATCCAGGTACTCATCGTTTTCGGTGGACGCACGGCGTTGCCACCCTCCGACAGGGTGGAGTTGGTGATGCGGAACACGCCGAGGGGCAAGAGGGATGCAGCTTGGTCCACTGCTTATCACCCAGAGAGATACATCATTGGATATGCCTGCAAGGTACGGAATGCCAGGGAATCGTTCCTTGTATTGCGAGAGATACACGGTAACACAGAGTGTTGGTCTTGGGCGCAATGGAAACGACAAGGATGGCACGAGGATCAATGAATGTCACCAATTGTCAGACTTCCTAGCAATTAGGCAGATAGATACTGCATAGAACCCTGCGAGCTGTAAGTTGGCTCTAACTTTGACATCAAGCAAGGAGTGTCTGTGGTGTTGAGGTTGATCGGTTGCAGTTCCTGGCGATCTATCCACTTTTCCCCTTCGGCACGGATCGGCCGGTGGGTCAGTCTTCGAAGAATGCGGTTGGCTTCCGTGTTCAAAATATAGCGACTCGGCGACTCCTATCAAGGCTGATGGGAACGGGTTTGACGTGTTTGACACATTTTGGTGTCCTCAGGCTTTCTTGTTCTTGACATTCCCCTGAGACATTGGCAAGGCCCCTAGGGCAGAGGTCTTACTATGCCTGTAACCCTCTAGGGCTGACCAATTTTGCTCTCTAGGGCTTCTACTTTCTATTTTCAATGGCCTAGACTCGTCTAGGGGTAAAATTGAAGATGTCAGGGTTGGGATGTTCAGCTAAGTAACAAGTCAAAGAAACAGTAAAAAGATATCCCGCTTAACGCCAGCGCCGAGCTCAATCAGGCTCAAGCCTGTGCAAAAAAAAAAAAAAACATCAGGATAAGAATATAATCTACCGAGCCACGATCTTATCCACTTCATCCTTGGCTTCGGTCCATGTCTCCAGATTCTTCCGCGCCCAGTCCAAGTGGCAACGAGCATATGCGATCTAAATACCTCCAATTAGCCTGGAAATGAGAGAAATCCATGTGGGGCCGCATACCATGTACCGCCGCAGATCAGCTTCTTTGTCCTTCTGGAAGCGTTTGAGATCCTGAAGAACACCTGCACTGGCATCTTTGACGTCCTTCTCGGAAACGTCTAATGCTTGCTCCAACTAAGCATCGTGATTAGTTCTGGGAACATCTGAAACTTCGACTCCACGGTCTACATACCTGAATCAAGCTTTCTTTTGTCTTTCCAATCTGGTCCCGACGCGTGCGTTCCGGGTCCACATCCGCAAAACCGTGAATAGCATGGCTGATGCGACCGAATATCTTATTCGTGACGAAGTTCCCGCTTGCCGACTTCCGATGAGCCGGAGAAGCTGGTGTCAACGGGTCGGCCCTCTTGGATCCTCCGACGTACGACGAAGGCGAGGGGCTGACAGGGTTGTCATGAGTAGGTGGGAAGTCCGAGTCACCAGAGGCTCCGTGACCGCCACTTTCGCTGCTAACGGCTGATGAGGTTGACAGAGACCGCGGCTTCGTGCCGCCAGTTTGGGAGCCGGTACGGTTGAGATACTGCTCGATGCGCCTGGCTTCGATTTCACTGCGCTCAAGGGAGTCTAACAGTGTCTTTTTCTTCGACAACTCGTCGCGAGTCATTTCTTGTTGTACTCGTTTGAGCACTCTGTATCGGAGAACTCCGCGAACCACACTAGCAAACTGGGCACTCTCTCGCATGGGCTCTGCAAAGCTTGCGCTCAAGGCTGAGGATAATTCTTCGGTCTCGATATAAGAGGTATCCGCAGCCTGGCCAATCCGCTCAATAGCAGCAGCCACCGTGGGTGATTGCTCAGATAGAGAAAACCCGTTGTAACGCGCACCCAACTCCATGAGATCCGCTGATAATGAAGACAAATGCGAAAGAGTCCGTCGGTTGACTTTCTCAATATTTCCCTGTAATAGTAGCTCTAGCTCCCGGGTAGACGCTTCGAAGTTATTGAAATAAGGATCCAATTCTTGCTCACTGAGTTTGCGCGACTCGGGAGGGAACCGCCCAAGGACATCCGGTCCTGGGAATGAGGGTTGTTCTGTCTCGCTCGGCGACGTGGGTGATGCCGCAGCTCCAGTAGATGTGGTCACCCCACTAGTGGGCTTGAGCTTTGCCGACGCAGATGGAATCGGGAGCCAGCCATGAGCTGGGGTGGGGTTGGCGGGATCGAGAGGGGGCGCTTTAAGGTTATTCTTTGGGACGGATGCTGCGGGGTGGGAGCTCAAGACCTCACTCTAAGCTAGTGTTAGTTGTTGAAATCAGAAATCAACACAGTCTAACTTGAACTCACCCAGCTCACGTTCGGATCTAGGAATCTCCACCACACTCCGTCCTCGCGCACCTCCTTCATGCGCCTACACCGATTAAGGAACACACTGAGCATACGTTTTCGAAGATCGATAATGGCAGCGTCATCTTTGGCCCGCGTGGGCTTGGCTGCATAGTCCGCCATGCTGTGCTTCTCGGGAATTGGCGGAATGACCAAGGTGGGATGCAGGTTGACCAGGGTTTGACGCAATGATGCGAATTCGGAATACCGACGGCGTACTTCCAGATCCTATCATCACTCAGTATTGCACAGTTCTCTGCCGGACACCATACTCATACCGCAGTCCGGATAGTGTATACTATGAAGCTTCCGCCGCCTTCATGGTTCTTCCCAGCATCAGTAATTAGGATTGGCATCTCTGGGTTCTCATAGAGTATCTGCTCAATGCGGCTGTCATAGACGCTCTTCCGAGGATATTGCCGACTGGCGGCACCATACACGGCCTCGTCCTCGGGATCGCTGAGATCCTCGGGGTTGGTGATATAATCCGGAGGGCCACTAGTGGAACCGCGGCTGGATGGGGGGTGGAATCCTGTTCGTACATGGCTAGCTGATGTGAGAGGATGGTTCAAAAGGCAGAAGCGTTAAAGTGAGAATCGCGCGGAATACTCACGAGGGGAGAGTGCGGCTGAATGTAGGGAGTCGGACAGGCCGGACTGGTGCTGATCAAAGGCCCCGTAGGGATTGTTATCTTCGTCGTTCCACATGATGAAGGATAACAGCTCGACAAAGCCAACTTTCCAGCGCCGGAAACTGAGCTGGAGAAGCTGTGCCTGGGGATCTGCGGGGGGGAAGTCGTGGTGTGGCTGGTGCAAGGCGGTGTTACCGATTACGTCATGTAAGGGGCTTGGCCGCTCTTAGTAACTAGTACTTGTCCCACGCTCCTCTCTCCCACGCCGAGACCTCGATGCGCCGCCGCGGAGAGGCCACGCACTTCTATCAAGATGTCCCAAGGCTCATTCCGACGTTAGTATACATTCACTCTGACCATAGCATCAGGACTCAGGTCAAAGATTCAAAGTCTTGTTTCTGGTCGTCTACACCTTGCTACGTGACAGACATAGTCTTCTTCCAATGAGATTTTGAGTCATGGAGATAGAAATTGACATCCATTGCTAACTGGGTCAAGGAAAGTACATTCTCTGAAGCCAGCTCACTGCTAGCTTGAAAGTGAGGCGGACATGATACATCAGAGGACTTCGTGCTCACAGCGGAAAAAATAACAAGACACTCAAAAACTATCATGATGTATGTGATGGGGGATGGGGAATCTTCCATTAGAATTCTCGCTTGAGATCATAGGTGCAAAATACGGGCATGACGAGGATATCAAGGACCGGACCAGGAAGGAGTTGATTACCTCAGAGTCTCAAATGCTACAACGGGCTTGGATTCTCTTCGCCCCCCTCCCCCCCCCCATTCTAAGTACTGTGGCGCAGTACTTAGCTGCTGGACTCCTTTTCCGTTCGTTCCCCGGTTTGTCTTGTCTGATGAGCGGTACGCATGGCGAAAAATTCTGGATCCATGCCCCCGAATGAGCTCATGGAGCGAAAGAGAGCAGGGCGAGACACTGCGGTTCTCGGCGTGGGCGAGTTTGGAACTGAGAGCGAGTAAATGCGTCGGCTCGACTCCTCACTGAAATATTCAGTGCCATTTTCGCAGTCGGAGAAACGATCTCCGCAACCATGGTCATCATGCTCCGGGTCGGGAGGCTGGCGCAGCTCGTCGTGGGCGGGGAACACGAGAGTGGTCTCGCTCTCGAGGCGTTGGTGCTCACTTGGTCCGTTGGAGTCGTCTCCGGGACCAGACACGAGCTCAGGTCCCGCGGTACGGGCAAAGTCCACGTTGTGGGAGAGACTTGTCAAAGTGGACCCGCGCAGAGACGGCGGTGTGGGCGGATTGTCAGTCCCAATCTCGGGACCAATGTCAAGCGAGCTGATCTCGCTTTCACCTAAGGCGCCAGGTTGCGGATGGACTGAGGGGGGCCCGGTGGGATCAGGCTCTTTAATCGGACAGGGGCTCGGAGGTGTGATATTATTTTCAGCATAGTATCTCCTCCGAAATGACACGGATTCTTCGTGGCCAAACTCGCAGAAGATCACGACACACGCAGACTCAAGCCACAGAAGCTCGAGGTCCCTCGCGGTGATATGACGGGTGTCGGTGTCGGTGTCCGCGTCGGCGTTGGCATCGTTGGCGTTCGCGGCACTGGTGCTGCTGACGTCGGTGAGGCTGGCGTTGATTGGGTTGTTGGCAACGACGTCGCGGTTGGCGTTGCCAACGCTGCCAGTGACGACGCGGTGGGTGTCGACGCGTGGGCTCCCCGACCGGTTTTCAGGGCTTTCGATGCGCGAAGCGGAAGTACTGGGAGATTTCTCCCGAGCAATGTCGGCATAACACTTGGGACTGATACAGTCAGACATATCGATGACGTAGTTCGTGGCTTCACGTGTTTATGGTGCGTGGAGATACGAGATTGAGGAGCTCGGAAAGGATTAATCCGTCGCAATAACAAGATTTCTCTGTTATGTGTACGCACCCAACCCTAAACGGAAGGCGCGACACCTACACTTTCCCTCGAAGACGAAGACCTACAGCTTTTTACCACGGGATCATAGGATCATCTGACATCAATCCAAGGCCTTGAGTTCTTCAGTTGCTAAGTAACTAAACCATCCATATCCAACAAATATCCGCATCAATGCACTTTGTATGAACAGCCACAAAGAAGTCAGACACCTTCAACGATATGCTGCATATGGGTTCCTAGCTGGAGATGTGGAGAATCTGACATGGCTCTTTACGCTATATTCTCAGAGGAAAGGTAGAGGCAGGGGACCTGAGGAGGTGTCTAACACCCTTCTGTTATGTGCGAAGTAGGATGATCGTGGCCTAGGTTACCCTTACATGGACGTCAGTTTGATAATAATAATAACTTTCATTCACTTCATGATTGATAAGGATATTAACAAGTGAACAAAAAAAGACAGTTTTTTTTGGCCCCCAGCCTACTCCGACTCCTCAACATGGAGTTCAACAACAGGGAGTTCATCGGAGGATTCATCCTCCTCCCGCCCAGGAGTGAGCTCATGCTGAACGTCCACGGGCTCAGCCGACGAACGTTGGCTACCCAAATCGTCATTGGTGGTCTCCAAATCGTCATTGGTGGTCTCCAAATCTTCTGTCTCATCGTTGTCATCGTCATCCTCTTCGGAGCTCTCAGAACTCTCCTCCGAGGAAGAGTACAGATCGTTGCCGAGGGAATCCTGCCCTCGGCTCACTCGCGGAGTCTGTTCTGCTCCGGTCTGGCTACTATCGGATGACGGTGACAGGGAACGCCGGGGGCTGCTGGGGCCGGCGGAACTCTCCGCGCTGCTGGAGCCAGCAGAACTCTCACCATCGCTTTCGGGGCTTTTTTGGTAAGATTGGACCAGCGCGCGCAGTTCTGAGCTACCAAGTGGACGATCGGACCGACGACGGTAAAAGAGCAGATAGGCACTCTCGTCGACGAGCCTATCCTCTCTTACATGACGGATACTGCTGTCTGAGGTAGGAGTTAGTATTGAACTGGCTGGTCGGAGACACGGGGATTGGAGAACGAACCATCAGCCACAAGCCACTTGCCCGAGATGAAGTCCTTAATGTAGGCTGTGTAATGGCCACCATGCAGAGAACCATGGTGGCGGTCGATGGCAATCAGATCGTAAACAGCAGTCTTTCCGTCGTTAGGTCCTACGACCCGATTGCTCAAATCCAGTCCTTCGAGAGGGAAATCGACTAGTGTTCTGATCTTGTTGGTGCTCCCGGTTGCGGAAGCGCTGAAGCGTTTGAGTTGGAAGATTAGCATGTCTGGCGTTTTCCACAGCTCCAACTTTTTGGTCACGGATACGTGCTTCTTGCACCGAGGACAATACCAGCTGTCCCCTGCACTAAGGACTTCTTCTTTGCTGAAGTAGTCCAGGCATTGGTCAAGAGAGACTGGCCCCTTGAGCTGCCATTGTTTTCTAACGCGAGTGAGGTCGAGGTTTGGTGAGTCCTTGTGAGTAGTAAGGCGACCTCGGACCTCCGAGGGGTCATGTGCCCGGCCGCCGAAAAGGGCATCAACGGCATCGGGGGTCCAGTCAAGCAAGACGGCGTCACCTTGGCGAAGAAGCGGCATGCTGGAACCGGATTCCGAGTCATCCGTATCGTCGCCACCACTGTTGGCATCTGCCGACGCGTTGGACGAATTGTCGGATCCCTGGCGGATGTTAGCAAGCGGAAATGAAGGAAATCGAAGATGAACCACACATACCTTCCTAGAAGCCGGTGGAGAGGTCATCCGAGAGGTAAGGGGGGTGTAGTCTTTCGTACGATCTATGTCACGTCCATCAGGAATATGAGCGGTGGTGCTCATAACCTTCAAGACGAAGAGTGCCAACAGGTTGGCAGAGATCTTGCCAGACAGAGGATGCTGGGATGTGTTTTCCTCGACAGGCTTAGGATTTTCGCTGCTCTGCACGGAAACATTGACAATGTCTTCGCCTTCAACAGACGATGTTTTGATACAGGAATCTGCGGAGCGCACATCATCCTCGTTAGTCACAACCGTCTCCGAGTCGTCAGATGCGCTCTCCTCGACATCATAGATATCAAGAGTGGTCATGTTATTGACCTGACCCAGAATCTTGTGGTAAATCTTCTCAAGACTCCGGGATTCTTCGGCAGTGAGACGGATTAGAGACGGCGCGCCGAAAAGCTTACGAGGTCTTTTGTCGTCCTGCGGAACAAGCCTGCGGTGGAATATCGGCACAATTATTCCATCCTCTTTAGCAGAGGTTGAGTCAGCGGATTGTGTGGACGCCGGAAGAGGGCCCAAATCAAAGAACACAACGACATCACTCGAACTAATGTGAAGGCTGGACCAACTAGCATTATCCGTGGTGAGATGGCGCCAGAAAGAGTGATCATGAGTCTCCGCCGCGAAAATTCTTTCCCCCTCAATACCCATCTTCGTGGCGACAAAATCCTTCCAGGCCTTCAATGTGTCATGAACATTGAGGCGTACGTTCAATTTCACGGGTGGCCCATCGAGGGGCGAGAAGATGATTGATTGATCACGGAAATCCGCACCGTCTGAAACCGGCACAGACACCATCGTGAAAGGGTCCATAATGATGCTGGTCTTTTCACAACTGTGACAAACCAACGTTGACTTGTACATGCCGGCAAACAGGTCTGTGATAACAGAGGCGTTGCGGGACTCGTAGAGATCCCAACATGTCTGGCCGAATGCTTCAAGGGCCTTGCGATCGTTGATCATTTCATCCGTTGAATCTGGGACGGTAGTAGTCGGCTTCTTGCCAACAATACGGCTAAGATCCTCGGACAGTGCGTCCAGGAGGAACATGACAAATTCTTGGCTGTCTTGCTGGCCGTAACCACGGAAATCTCGACGGTAAACACCAAGGGCTCCCTTGAACGCTTTTGGGTTGGCAGCCCCGTTTGGTTGGAACATCTCCTTGAGAAGTTCGGCGTACTGTTTCGCCATGACACCATCGCACGAGAGCACATTGTCTGGGTTTAGGTGTCGTTTGTATTGATTACCTGCAAATTTCAGTTAGCGCCGAAAGACCTCGCACCCAACCAGCATGACAAATACATACTGAGGAAGTAGTAAGACAATTCCTCCACGCTCCGAACACACTGCAAGGCCGAATTCATGTAACACGTGTTACCTAAATTATTCAGTCCCGCAACAACCTTTCCGTTTTTCCGACCTCGAGTAATGATTGACCTAACTGGATCGGGTTCCGACTCAGGGGTGCCGCTGGAATTTGAGGCCTTGGTCGCAGCCTTAGCGGCAGGGAGTTCGGGAGAAGGGTGTTTGCGAACAGCGGCTTTGGGGGCGATGTCACTGTCCGGCTGCACGACCGGAATACCCAGGCTCTTGAGGGTTTTGGCAGAAACCTCAGATATCCATTCCCCACCTTTGGGGCCGCCCACCTGCTCCTCAAGAATGAGATACCTGGCAGCTTCCAGGCCCGCGATACCCAGGGTCATATGACCATTGTAGTTGGCATTATTCGTTTGATCTTTGATGTGTCCTAGCGACACACGGTGAGTACCTTCCGTGAGCTCGAGGAAGGTGTTCAAGTCGAAAAGCAATTTATCGGTTGGATTGGGGGTAAGAGCGAAGGGAGGGGCTGGCGACTGAGTGCGGGAGACAGCGGGACTAGTTGAGGCGGATGCCTTTGTGCTGCTTGGGAGTTGGAGGATGTTCCAAACTCGAACCTTGGTGGACATATCGATGCCAGCCTGTTCTTTGGCATCCTTCAGCCATTTCTGGAAGTTCGCGTAGCGGCTCGTTAATATTCTCACCGCCGACTTGTTGCGCTCTCTAAGAACACTCGGTGTGGTGCCTGCCGCGGGGTTGAATAATTTGAAAATTGTGTGAACAGGTGGATAGATCTCGTATTCCACTTTTTCAGCTTCGCCAGCTGGGTTGACGTTGCGGGCATACCTGATGATTACTGGCGAGTTTTCATCAATGCCATACCACTGCTTGATGAGTTCCCAACCCTCCTGTGGAATAATCCTGAAGTCAACAGAATCTTGCAAATCAGGTTGCAGCGGCACAAATCTTTCGCCACATTCATCTTTTAAGGCAGGGAGGGCTTGGTCGGTGTCGAGCATGATGTTCAGGTTACTGACAGGACCAATGTCAGCCTCCAAAGATGCTTTGAGTGCGTGATCTGCAGGAGACGTAGTGCGAGCAAGCACTTGCTTCAGCCATAACATGGACACCACATAACCCTTTTGTCCTTTCTCCAAGGGCGCTTTCATCAGCGCATTCACCTGCGCAACCTGCTCATGCACGGTTGGGATTTCATCGTGTTTGGGTGATCCCGGTGCAGACTCCTCATTGGCCGAAGGCGAATAGTCATCTGCGCCATCACTGCCATAAATACGGTATGCTTGATGTTTGTGGTGTGCGCGGGAAGTGACACCGTTGCGCAGGCTGCTAGTGAAGGCAGTTGTGCTCACCCCACCTTCGGGATCCGAATCCACGATCTCCGACACTGGGCGCTTTTCACCTGGCGAAGGAGAGCGACCATCCTTCGGAGGTGTGCCCGCTTGAGCGTCGGAGGGCATATCGGAGGTCGCGATTGCGGGGATCAGGTAGCGGCCAGGCGGACTTCCGGACTGAAACCGCAGATGCGCAGGAACGTACGATGGTGGGGAAAGCGACAAACTCTTTGAGCGACGAGACGATGAGGAACCGTGGCGTGAAAACGGTGGTTCAGAGCGGCCCTGACGTCGAGCCCGACGGCCAGGGCTGATGCAGGGTTCGGGCGAGATCTTTCGGCGCTTTGGAGACGACGTCGTGACGATGAGCTGCGCACCTCGTGCAGCAGCTCGGGGCAACCGGGAAAAAAAGAAGGAAATGGGATCAGAACAAACACCCTTTACTTCCTTTCGATGGAAGTAAAAGGAATGTGTGATCGGAATTTGACTGGCAGAAAATCCAAGTTAGGAATTTTTTTCTTTTTTCCGAGCGGAACGGAACCCTATCCACATAGGCACATACATTACTCGGCGAACCAGCACCAGAGAAGACAGCAGCGAATTGAGAGACGAGAACGAAGTATCAACTTTGAAGATTGATAGTTTGAACTTATCAAGCTTGAAGCAGTATCGAAAGTGTTATGGAGAAGAAGAAGTGTGAACATTGGAGGAATGCAGCACGGTTATATACTCCAGAAGTAGGGCTATTCGTGGGATTTCGCGCAGTGAGCGCCATTCGTGAATGGGACTGATTGATTGACAATAGCTATTGTCTTTGTATTGGCATCTCAATGGAGATCCCAGCTGTACTGTTGGTGGGATGGTGTTTATTCTCATTGTCGTTTGTCGTTCTATTCTAGCCATCCCATAACCACCTATGCCGTTGCATGAGGGAAAATCAATTCATGAAAGTCCATAATCAACCAAGCAACTCTAGTTTCATTGAGCCTTATTGATGAGAACAATCAATTGATGCACGAGTGAAAATGTGGTCTTCGCGTGGTTGAACTGACTGTTTCATATGACCGAGACAGCTAGATTAGTCTGAATAAATTGAGATGGGTAATAGAGCCCTATTCAGAAAAGCAATTGATTATTGTAAGCTAGAACATTATAGCTCATTGCTAGAATTTGCCGCTTCTCCAGACTAGCTGGGCTAGATGCAATGACAAGTCAGTTGACAGTCCACGGCCTCGACGTGAACATTGACAGACTATAGGGTTTTGCAGGAGGTGTGAGAAGATGGGATGATATTATAGACGAGGGAAGTTACGTTTGGATGGTAAACTAGAAAGTAGCATAGAACGGGTTGACCAATGAGAGTGTTTCAGTTTGATCAAGGCGCGCCCTGATAAAACGTAAGTAGGAGGAGAGTGCCCGCCTCCGTTGCGGTCAGTCATCTTGACGATGATAAGCACAGTAGACGGGGAGCTATGAGGGCTCAAACCCTTTTGAAGAAACTACCGGAAGGTGTGTGTGCGGAGTCGATGCACGCACACCGGACATTACATGTAGCATATAGGTTGCCTTCGGGCCCCTGTTTATGTGCATAAGGGTTGAAGTCATATGCTTAATCCTCCCCAGTTTGAGTCGACTCCGGCAATAACATCAGTTGGCTGAATGGTCTGGTAAACCCCGAGTGCGGGTTCTGACAGAAGCTACAGGAGAGAATGGCTTCATTAGATAACACAATTCATTGTAAAAATTCCGTGTCTCATTGCAAGAATGGACTGCCTCTCCAGAGATGCTGGGCTAGATACCATTATATGAGAAGAGAAAGTCATAACTTAAGACTAAAAGAGAAAAAGAAAGTAATCAGACATTGCCATTTTAGTTCGAGATCTCAGTACTATGAATTACTGTAGCAGAGTGTAATAAGCTGGGAGATACCCTGCAGCCCTTGATGTGCCAACTCCCAGTCTGGGTTGCCGCTTGTATGAAAGCCAGCAGGTAGGATTCGGGGATTGACTTGGGAGTTGGGACCCAAGTCAGAGGACGTGAGGGAGACCATGTCAAGGGCCAGCAACGACAAAATGAAAAGGATGACAATGAGATAGAAAACGAACTTAAAATGTGTACAAGGGATTGGGGGCGAACTACGTAGGAAAGCAGTATGTTGTGCTGGAGCACGATTATGTGAAGATAGACAATGTTGATTCATTCTTGCTGCCTTTGTATTCTGTCTCTTAATGTGTCCGCTTTGACTTTCTTAGATGGAATAGCTAGCGCAACGAGTTTTGCCCGATGCTCTACATCTGCTAGGCATAAGCAGCATATTGCTGTCTGTCTTCTTTGTGACTGTTACTCCATACAATGTGCATTGTGCAGTGATGTGCTGGATAGTTATTTGAATCCATGGCTATTGATAGTTTAAGGTTTAATTGTTCAGAAACTAGAGAAATCAAGGTTAACTCGTGTCTTCATTCCGTGGTAAGTAGCTGTAGGTCTTCCTCTTCGAGGAAAGTGCAAGTGTCGCGCCTTCCTATTTAGGGTTGGATGCGTGCACGTAGGAGAAAAGTCTTTTTCCTTAAACGCTTTCATCCTTTTCTTCTTTTCTATCACCCAACTTCGTGACCCATAGTGACCCAACGCACCCATCCTCTATGGACTTCTGCGGAGGGTGCAACCTATGATCTGTAACCCCACTGGCGCAGTTCTGCCACTAACTACACAGCTGGAGTACAGTAGGTAGCCGTGTAGAGCTTCGTAAAAAGACACTACCTACGTCATGATGACTGTCAAGTAGGAGAGGATTTTCGTTCATTCAAATTCATTAAAGATCCTATGAAAACAGAGAGGTACTTTAGGTATAGGTACAAAGACAGACCACTGCGTAGAAGTAAAATCCAGCGGCGCCTGTAATGCAGTTAGTTGGAACCTGTTCCAAGTCCAACATATATTTGTAACACCACCACTGTTTCCGAATGCGCCAGGGTATCCATCCATCGACCGAAGATGCAAATAGGTATGTAAAGTAAAGGGCGCCCGCAATCAAACGCCGTATTGCACAATCATGAAGAGCAAAAGAAAAAAAAAGAATCATGGTCGAACAATGCGTATTTGGCATGCACGAGAAAAGAGGGAAAGGAGGGAGGGAACAAAGATACTGACCACACTAGGCCCGGAAATCGTACATGCGGACTTGGTAGTCATCACCGCCTGTGATGAAGCGGCTGTCGCTAAGGCCAATGCAGTTGACGGCTGCACTGTGACCTTCGTAGGTGTCCTGGCAGGTGGGCACGCGGGGGTCCCAGATCTTGACCATGCGATCCATGCCAGCGGAGGCGATTCGCAAGGTATCCGCAGAAAGACCCCAGATGCCTTCCAGATGCCCAAAGAATGTACGAAGACATCTTCCAGTGCTCGTTTCCCACAATCGGATAGTGGCATCCACGCCACTGGTGATGATGTAGCGCGGAGGTTCCATGCGGCCTTCGTCCTCGTCGAAAGAGGGGCCGAATGCTGAGGGCTGAAGAGAGAGACTCTTCGCCTCCAGAAGTGGAGATAGTGTGCTTAGAATATTGTCCCCGTTTTGGGAAGAAGTGCTGACGTGATCATTCTCACAGTCGGCGAGGTGATTCTCGAGTTCAATCTCCCGAGGCAAAGGCACAACTTGCTGGACGGCTCCAATGTGGTTGTGGAAGACGCGAATGCAAGTCTTTGTATCCAGATCCCACAAGCGAGCGGCACCATCGTCGCAAGCAGTCAGGACTGTCCGCGAGATCGAGTCGATTTTGACAGCGTTGACCCCCTGTGGATGAGGAAGAACGAAGGTGGACTTGTCCTTGAAGTTCCAAATCTTGACAGTGCGATCGACGGATGCAGACGCGAGGAGAGTACAATCAAAGTGTAAAGCAATTACTGCTTCGGCGTGACCATTGTACTTGGAGATACATTCCCCTGTGCGCCAGTTCCAAACTCTAATGCTGCGATCCAGACTGCCAGTGATTAGCTTCGTGTCATCAAACTGAAGACACCGCACTCCAGCTTGGTGACCTTTGAGAGTCCGCAGCTCTTCACCGGTGTCTGTATCCCAAATCTTAACAGTAGCATCATATGAGCCAGTCATCAGGATATTGTCCTCAAACTGGAGGCACATGACGCTGTCTCTGTGTCCTTTGAACACTTTGACAGAGCACCGTTTGTGCTTCCAATTCATACCGACAACGAATCGATCACGGTAGACCTCTTTCCAGGGACGATAGCGGGTCTTGAAGTAACCTTCGTCGTCTTCAGGTGATTGAGGTGATGTACAATGGCGCTTTGCCAGGGCGAAGGCTTTGTCGTCGGATCCCATCTTGCGCTTGTTATTCGCTGCAGGTTCAACGGTGGAGCAGGATTCAACGATAGTGGCTTCACTGGATCCAACGGCAGGCTCGTTATTTCCCCAGTTAGTCGCGCGCAACTCAATCTCGCGCTTGGCTTCGCGCAAGCGCTTGCGGTCTAAAAGAGGGAGACCCCATCCACACTTGTTGCACTTTCGGCGAATATGCTGCTCGCACATCCGGTGCCAGACCACATCATCATCAGCGAGAGCTCTCCATCGAGGAGAAACTTGAGCTGCGCGACACAATGAAGCCGTGTCGAGATAGCGAAGGATTTTGAATGATAGCTCTGGAGGGAGGGCAGCGAGGAAGTCAATTCGGATGAGTTCACGGACACTGGCAGAGATGTAGGAGAGTTGGGGAAAGCAGCACTGCGCCAAAATTCCCTGGAGCATGAGAGTTCGTTGTTTTGCCGGGGCCGCAGAGAAGAGAGACCACACATGGGCGATCCCCTGTTGATCACTTTGAGGGAGGATGTTCAGCTCGGACTGCAGCTGGGTCATAGATTGTTCATCGGCTTGGCGTCTACCGCACTTTTTGTCAGGCTGGTGACGGTAGCAGTAACTGGCATTCGCCGGGCGCTGCTCGGATGGACTCAGAATCTGCGAGCGCAAAGGCGCATACTGTCGCGGCTGATATTTTTCGAGAAATGGTGCCACATTTTGCCTCGCAAGTTCTTCCAGAGTTTGTGTCGGAAGTCGGCTGTCCTGGCGCGGCAGAGGGCGGTTTGAGTCGGCATTGGCACCGACCTCCGCACTTGCCACAACCACACCCTGCTGGGTATATGGGGATCCTGGTTTATCAGTCATGATGACTGATTCTATTTGACGTTGCGCAATGTGGAGGAGGGGAGGAAGGATGTCGCTCGGCGGAGTGACAATCACGTCTGTCTTTCCACTGCGATGGGGGCCAGTCGGCTCGTAACTGTCGTTCTCGGCGTAGGCTCGGTATATGAAAGGGAACAGAACAAGCAAGGTGTCAAAATGTTGATCGCAATGAGGAAGGAGCCTGAGAAGATAGGCCAGAATCGGAAAGTCGAGAGGAGGGGCGACGGTTATCAAACGCTGTAGATCTGAGTACCCTCAGAGAAAGATTATGCAACGGGATCAAGTGAGGATATAGAATGACATCAAGGATGAAGAAGAAGGTACGGATGAGGCTGATGAGTCGTTTTTTTTATAGAGAGGAATACCGATTGAAAAGAATTGCACAATCCGTATGTGTCGCAGATATCGCCATCGATGATTGGGGGTCCATTGCGCAACTGCGACAGAGCGGCGAATTCGTGATCCGGGCGGTGAGGCACGTGACTGACCCGCATGGCGCCATCTCCGCCCTCTCGCACATCACCCAGACCCTTTCCTGCGCTTCCTACAGGCTAATTCGCCCTTGTCGAATCTCACTGGAGTCAAATTGGGGAGTTTATAACTTTCTGATGGATCGAGTTCTGTTCAACAGCTCCTCACACCGCCACTTAATCTAACAGCTCCACTACCCCCAGCTTGTTACCACAATCAGGGCGATAAACTCCAGTGAACGGCTCACCGGGTTTAACCCAAGCTCTCGACCGAGAACGGCTCCATAATCAGTAGTGAGAGTACTGATAAGAGCCATTCTCCAACTACTCTTTCTGCCGCAAATCATTTCTCTCTTGGGGCTCGTGCTTCTACTTGATCTACCTTGCGGAGCGCAGCTCAACCTTATCTTTGCCAGCTCTTCACAACCTCACTTTTGTTCACGATGCCGATAATCTGGATTAGCCAAAACTAGGGCCTATACTGAAGTGTTCTGGAGCTTTGCCAAGTGAAAGTGGTGTGATCACCCCTTTCCTCGTAGGAATCTCACGTTCAACTCGACCTGAAAATAAAACCATCCCTTTGTCAGCTTCTGATCCTTCTTATCTCACTCCGGGTGCTCATTAACAGGCTTCATTGCATTTGAGGATGGCGTCATCCCAGTCCTCTCTGTCGTCTATTCGCCCTCAGACCGGGCCAGACTCCGGGGACCAGAAGTCATTGCCCCAGGTTGACACTTTGATATCATATTTGCTGGGAGCCAAACGCTCGCTGACATCTATCAACCATGTCTGGCGAGCTAACGAAATAGTTACTGCGTCACACTCCGCCCTGGAGCAGAGTGTCGTCGTGTGCTCGCGGACAGGCTTCTTACGGCGAGGTTTGAGTGGCCAGCTGCGGCTTTTATATGACATCCGTACCGAGGTCGAACAAATATCATACCGAGGTCGTGATGGGTTCTCAGTGGCCCTCAAAAAGCTGGATGATGCTGATGCTCGGCTCAAGACCACGTTAGATCTGCTGCGTGGGACAATCGTTCACGGTTCATTCAGACCCGGTGATGAAGAGCAGAAGACGTTGCATGACTTTGTTGACGAGCGGGGCGTTGAGGAGCTCCACGCCTCTTTGAAAGCGTCTATCGACCGCACTAACGCGGCGAGAGCCGAATTGGACACGTCAAACCGTGAATTTGATGACGAACTGCAAGCTACCAGACAGTCGCTTCGTCACTACCACACCGCCACGAAGTTGGCGTCATCCCGGGTGTCGATCACATCTTCCTCGTCTTCTACATCAGATTCCGGACTTTTCGCCCTGTCGTCCATGCCGGGTCAGATCCAATCACTAGAGGCACATGCTCAAGAGATGGCTGTTTTGCTAGAGGCTCTTGTGAGACATTTCGATCTATGTGTTACCGCGGTGAAGCACACAGATGGTGGAGGCGCAGTTGCGCGGTCTATCACCGGTGATATGCCCACCGGGGTAGATGGGAGCAATGATGGGATGCCAAATATCGGAGCAGAGATCAACGCCAATTTGAACGCCCCGCTTGACCCAATGACAGACGCGGAATACCAGGAGATGGTGGCTGTTCTTATCAAGGATGCCCCAGAAGCGGATGATGTGGTCATGGAAATTCAAGATCGGATCAATGAGATGGAATCCATCTTCGAACAGGTGCAGGCCCAACGAGATACGCTGCTGTTCATCTCCAAGGCTACTATAGAAGTTCACACCCACCTATCATCACTCGCCTCAACCCGTCTACCCCGTTACATTTCCCAGGCACATAATTTCACCCGTGTTTGGCACGAGGAGAATGACCGCATCCAGTCTGGCCTTGCAGAACTCTCTGATCTTCACTCCCTATACGACGGTTTCCTCAATGCTTATGATAGCCTCATTCTCGAGGTAGCACGTCGGCGTCATGTCCGCCAACGCGTGGAGAAAGTACTTCGAGACACCCGGCAGAAACTAGATCAGCTTCATGATGAAGATGCTGCTGCTCGTGAAACATTCCGTGTCGAGCAAGGCGACTTCCTCCCTTCTGACATATGGCCTGGTGTTGGCCTAGCGCCAATGCAGGTGCAATTCTCCCGCCTCCCAGGGGGTCACCTAGATGGTAATCCTGACAATGCAGCGGAGGAACCCGATTCGCACGAGTACACACGGCTTGCCAAGGCGGGTGTCTCAGACAATAGTGCCAAAGGAGAACATATTCCCGACCTACCAAGGGACCTCATTGAGCAAGCTTACGCAAGGGTCAAAGCACGAAACAAGGCTGCCTCCGGAATTCACCCGGCTTGATACCTCCTGTGCACGTGTCAGAGGCTGGCATTTCTTCATTTTCTCCTATACCCTTGATTCGCCATACTTATCCCAGCGTTCCTGGCGTTCTGATTGGCCTCTTCGTCCTCATATTCTCGTGCCATTTGTAATTATGATGCAAATTGGATCTGAGGCCTTTGAAGGGCCGCCTTTCACTAACATATTGGTCCGTGGCGTGCAACCTAAATGATGAAAACCCAATAGGTCTGACCTTCTGTCATACTCATCTCATAACTCCCCAGCTTGGTGCCGGCCTCCAGATGCATACTCTCACTCACTCGGCGACGTACGCACTGTTGGCTGCCTTTGTGGGGGATTCGTGGGGTGAGGACGGATTGGGGTGATTTCCAAAGAGAGCTCTGATAGGTTCCATGTTATACCAATATTGACTGTTGAAATAAGTTCCATGTGAACACCTCTAGGTATGAACATATAGAAGTCTATCTAAATGGAAGAATTGCTACATGGATCTACCTAGTAGGCGGTCCGCATTGCATCGCATATATTCATTCGCTGTATTTTCCCATTTTATCAAGTATGGACCAAGGTATCATATGCCCAATGCTCCTTCCGTACATGCAGCTATATAGACAGGACAATGTCTGCCGGGTGAAGCCTTTCCTATCTAGGCTGCCGCCGCTTTTCGAGGGCGCTCATGCTCAGGATCACTGAGTAGATATCAGTGTGGACCACACAGATGGTTTTTCGGCTGAAAGGACCTTGAGCCATAGTGCCATTTTTCTTTGTTGAGCGAGCTTGTGATCTTGCGACCAGCAACGACAGGGAAGGCACGTAGTTGGGAAGGAACAGGGCCGTTGAGAAGAACATAAAAGAGTTCTCAACCCGTGCACATGCAAAGAAAGATAAGGCCAAAAAGATAGACGAGCTCATCTCTTCTTTCTCGCAGATGTAGAAATAAGTTTCTTCTTCAGATGCTTCGGCATCTTGTTCGCCCGCTTCTCACGCTTCTCTTCCTTCACCTTTGCCTTGTGGTCGCGTTTGGAGTCCTTGTCTTCGAAACGCTTTCCGCGTGGCGGCTTGGGCGCGAATGGATCTATCTCTTCTTCATCCGAATCAGATCCTGAGACTGAGACACCGCCGCTTGCATCGGACTCAGAGTCCTCCTCAACATCGGTGGGCTTCTTTTTGCTAGCCAGCAGATCTCCGTAGACCAGATCGGCACCTTCGCCATCGCGAATGCGTTCGACATCACGCTCGACATCGTACACTTGCTCTAGTGTCTGGGGAATATATTGTTGACGGAACACAGCAGTGTCGGCATCCTCTGCCTCGTGCTGCTCATCGTTACCCTCCTCGCGGGCAACGAGGAGCTTCTCAATTGCGTTGGTCATCTCCTCGTTTCCAGCCGTGACATCAGTCGGCCCTTCGGGGGAGATGATAAATTGGTACACAGTTCGCTCGGAGAGAACCGTTACGTTCTTTCGGCGGAAGAAGTCGCTGACGTTCTTGATATCCATGCGCAAGAATTCCAGACTGCGCGGGTGGTCGTGCTCAACACTTTGACTGACATCGATGATATAGAGACGTTCCTTGTGGTACAAGATGTTGTACTCGCTAAGATCGGCGTGCACCAGACGACAGGTCTGGTACATAACACGCATGTAGCCCAGCAATTCCATATACAGAGCACGCCAGCGAGTCTCGGGTTCAGGGATATTGAATTCCACATCCTTGAGGCGCGGTGCGCCCAGACCCTTAGAGCTACCGATGAATCCCATGACGAGAACGTGCAGACGAAGGAAGATCGGCTCCGGGCAGGGAATGCCGGAAGCATAAATTCGTCGCAGGTTTCGCATCTCCTTCTCGGCCCAGAGTTTGACCATGGCGCGGTTGTTACTCTTGTTGTATCCTTGACGGAAACGGAACTCTCCAGTCACGTACTTATCGCGATCCTTGAACACCAGGATACTAGTCTTGTAAACCTTGATCGCACGGTGCAGCGGGGCAGCCTCCTCATCATCTTGCGAGATAGACATGGCATGGTAGACGTTGGCTTCCTTTCCGGTCGACAGACATCCGTGAATCTCAGATACAAGGCCTCTGTTGATCATCTGTAGAAGAAGCATTCGCGTACGGGGATCCAGCACTTGTTCCGACGTGGCTCGGTCTGCCTTATCTCCACCCTTGCCGCTGTGGCCTGAAATGCCAGCCTGCTGATCGTCCAACTTGATCTTCGCAGCATGACGAGTGAGAGACTTGACCTGGTCATCGATGGACGCAGATGTATTCACGGTAGGCTTCTGGGTGTTCGTTTTGGGGTAGGTCCATCTCGGCGCATTGGAATCGGCAGCGAGGTCGTTGATTCGGCGTTGGCGGTTGTAGGCTTTGGTAAGATCACTGTTATCGGATGAAAGAATGTCTTCGCGATCCAATTCTTCGTCGAAAATGTCGTCGTAGTACTCCTCGTCCTCATCCTCTTCCTGGTCATCGGGCAGATATTGCCCCGCCTCAGCGGAGTCTGCATTATCGGTGTTCACGTAGCCTTCGTTGGGCACGTAAGTGTGCGACGGCGCGATGCCATCGGCGATGCCAGGTGTCTGGATGATATCCCTGTTTGAAGCCATTTTGGAACTTCAATGTTGAGAAAATGAAGATATGAATGCGTTCGCCGTCCTCAAGGAATCTTTTTTTTTCTGTGACCCAAAAATAGGGTCACCGCCCGGCAGAACCCCGCGCCCAACGAGACGCGCTGATTTCGTTCCTCGCGTAGTCAATCACGGTTTCGCAACACACCCACGATACCCCTCGGCTATTATTTGTTCATTACTGGAGAGATCTACTTGCTTTCATCCTTGTGGCATATTATACGTCTCTCTCATCTTGCGCCAGGCGCGTTGTGCCGCGGTGCTCTAATTGATTCTCGCGTCGCGCGTGTGTTCTCAAGATGTATGTCAAGCAGATCATTATCCAAGGCTTCAAGAGGTATACCACATCACTATTCTCGATTACTCCGGGTTGAACACAAAGCTGACGCCGGATGCAATATAGCTACAAGGACCAAACGGTCATTGAGCCATTTTCCCCTAAACACAACGTTATTGTTGGCCGCAATGGTTCCGGCAAGAGTAACTTCTTTGCGGCCATCCGCTTCGTTCTTAGCGATGCATATACCCACCTCGGAAGGGAGGAGCGACAAGCCCTCTTGCACGTACGTGTTTTGACATTGCTCTGATGTACAGATTCATTGACGCAACGTAGGAAGGTTCCGGTTCAGCTGTGATGTCCGCCTACGTGGAGATTATCTTCGACAACTCCGACGATCGATTCCCTACCGGCAAACCTGAGGTCGTCCTCCGTCGTACTATCGGCATCAAGAAGGACGAATACACCCTCGATCGCAAAAATGCCACCAAGAACGATGTTATGAACTTGCTCGAGTCGGCCGGTTTCTCTCGATCCAATCCTTACTATATTGTCCCGCAAGGTCGAGTCACTGCTTTGACTAATATGAAGGATTCGGAGCGTCTGGTCCTACTCAAGGAAGTTGCCGGTACCCAGGTCTACGAAGCTCGTCGATCGGAGTCTCTGAAAATCATGAACGAGACCAATAGCAAACGCGCGAAGATCGATGAACTCCTGGACTACATCAATGAACGACTTGCCGAACTTGAGGAAGAAAAGGACGAGCTTCGAAGCTTCCAAGAGAAAGACAAGGAACGCCGCTGTTTAGAATACACCATCTACTCACTCGAACAACAGGAAATCGGCAAGGTTCTCAATGAGATCGAAGAGCGGCGACAGAATGGAGTTGAGGATGCCGACAACAATCGTGATCAGTTTGTTGAAGGCGAGAAAGCCATGGCCCAGATTGATGCTGAGATCGCGGAATGCCGACAACAAATTGAGTTCCTAAAGGTTGACAAGGCCCAACTAGAGGATGAGCGCCGTGAAGCATCCAAAACTCTGGCTCAGTACGAATTGCAGGCCAAGTCTCTTTCCGACAATCAGGCTGCCGCTCAGGCACTGAAGTCACGATACGACGCCGACCTCAGCTCTGTTCAAACCGCTATTGCCGAGCGCGAGGCTGAATACCAGGAGATCCTCCCGCGCTTCAATGCCTTGAAGGATCAGGAAGATACTGCCAAGTCGCAATTGATGGATGCCGAGACATCGCGTCAGCGTCTGTATGCAAAGCAGGGCCGGAACTCAAGGTTCAAAAACCAGTCCGAACGAGACAAGTGGCTCAACCTGGAAGTCCGCGAAAGCCAAAGCTCTATCAAAACGGTGCAGAGTGTGATCTCCCAGACCCAGGACGACATCAAGGACCTGGAAGCCGAGATTGCTGCTTTGGAGCCGGAGACTGAACGCTTGCGCCAACAGATCGATGGACGAGGCGATACAATGCACTCGGTAGATCAACTAGTTCAAGATGCTAAGGATGAACGGGATCGTTTAATGGACCAGAGAAAGTCAGTTTTTCTTCGAATCCCTATGTTCAAGACCAGACACTAATATGTTCACAGGGAACTCTGGAGAGAGGAGGCAAAGCTCGACTCGGTGCTTTCCAATGCATCCCAGGAGGTGGACCGTGCGGAGCGCAACCTCTCACACATGATGGATAACAACACCAGTCGCGGAATTGCTGCAGTGCGCCGAATTGTGCGCCAGCATAACCTTGAAGGGGTTTATGGTACTTTGGCTGAACTTTTCGATGTCAGCGACAGGTATCGTACCGCTGTCGAAGTAACCGCTGGCCAGAGTCTCTTCCACTACGTTGTCGACACCGATGAAACTGCAACAACTGTTCTCGAGTACCTGCAGAAGGAGAAGGCTGGCCGTGTGACTTTCATGCCTCTAAACCGTCTTCGCACTAGGCCGATGGTCATGCCCCGTGCTAGTGACACAATCCCCATGATCGATAAGTTGCAGTACGACCCAGCATATGAGAGAGCCTTCCAGCACGTGTTCGGCAAAACCATCATTTGCCCTAACCTGCAAGTTGCCTCGCAATACGCTCGCAGTCACGGTGTCAATGCTATCACTCCCGAGGGTGATCGGTCAGACAAGCGTGGTGCTCTTACCGGTGGTTACCATGACTCCCGTCAGTCACGACTGGAAGCCGTCAAGGGTCTAGGAAAGTGGCGAGATGAGTACGAAATTAAGAAAAACCGGGGCACAGAAATTCGAAAAGAGTTGGAAGCACTTGACCAACTGATCACAAAGGCCGTCGGTGAACTGCAAAAGCTCGAGCAACAGAGGCATCAGGTTCAGAACAGCAGTGGGCCTCTGCGACAGGAGTTGAGAGCCAAGCGTGATCTTCTCCAACAAAAGAACGACAACCTCGAAGCCAAGCGACGCGCTCTGCGGAATGTGGAGTCTAATCTTGCGGCATTGAATGATCAGGTCAATGCTTTCCAGGCCGAATTATCATCGCCTTTCCAGAAAGCCCTCACCACGGAAGAGGAAGCTCAATTGGAGACCTTGAGCAGCACAGTGCAAGACCTGCGCCGCCAGTACCAAGAGCTTTCGAGTCAGCGCAGCGAGCTGGAGGCACGCAAATCGGTGCTGGAAGTTGAGCTTCGAGAGAACCTCAACCCTCGCCTTGATCAACTCCTGAACCGGGACCTTGACATTGCCGATGAGGAAGTCCAGGGCAACCTGAAGGAGACACAGCGTGAGGTGAAACGCATTAGTCAGGCTTTGGAGAAGCTGAATGCACGGCTGAAGGAGGTTGACGTTTCGATTGAGGAAGGTAATGCTCGGGTTTTGGGATTGCAACAGCGTAACGCGGAGACCCGGCGGGAGATCGAAGAGCTCGCTCGATCTATCGAGAAGCACCAACGCCGTATGGAGAAGAGCATGCAAAAGAAGGCCGCACTAACCAAGCAGGGTGCTGAATGTGCAGCCAACATTCGCGCCCTCGGAGTCCTTCCGGACGAAGCGTTCACCAAATACCAAAACACCGACTCCAACACTGTTGTCAAAAAGCTGCACAAGACAAACGAGGCTCTCAAGAAGTATTCTCATGTCAACAAGAAAGCTTTCGAACAGTACAACAGTTTCACCAAGCAACGTGAGACTCTGACAACCCGTCGGTCCGAGCTGGATGCGTCGCAAAAGTCCATCGATGACCTCATCGCTGTTCTCGATCAACGCAAAGATGAAGCCATTGAGCGGACATTCAAGCAGGTCTCTAAAGAGTTCCACAACGTCTTCGAAAAGCTTGTTCCAGCCGGTCGCGGTCGTCTTATCATTCAGCGAAAGACCGACCGTGCTGCCCGGACCGATGACGACGTTGACTCCGACGACGAGCAAGCTCGGCAAAGTGTCGAGAATTACGTCGGCGTTGGCATCAGCGTGAGCTTTAATAGCAAGCACGATGACCAGCAGCGTATTCAACAGCTGAGTGGTGGACAAAAGAGTAAGCATTCTAGCCTAGATCCGTGTATCATGTCATGCTAACCATCCTACGATAGGTCTTTGTGCCCTCGCACTCGTCTTCGCCATCCAGGCTTGTGATCCTGCGCCTTTCTACTTGTTCGATGAGATCGATGCCAATCTGGATGCGCAGTATCGTACCGCTGTTGCACAGATGCTCAAGTCTATCTCCGACTCGACCAACGGACAGTTCATCTGCACTACCTTCCGACCTGAGATGTTGCATGTGGCCGAGAAGTGCTACGGTGTAAGCTTCCGGCAGAAGGCCAGTACCATCGATGTCGTTTCAAGAGAAGAGGCTCTGAAGTTCGTGGAAGAGCAGAAGACGTAGTTGCGTTGCTCGTGTGTGCTCTCTTTTGTATATTGTATTCAATCTTCCCTCTATGGAGAGGCTGGCTGGCGTGTTCTGATACCTAACTTCTTCTTTATGCTATTTTATCTATCATGATCTTTGTAACGTAAACCTGTGTACCTCCTCGACGTAGAATTGTCCGGGCTGCTACGTTGCCTGGCTCTTCCAAGCTACGCACGGATCAAGATTGAGTATGGGTCCAGAGCACATGGTGGCCACGAGCCACGAGCCACGAGCTGAAAGCGGAGTTTTGGTGGGGGTGGGGATAATCGTACCAAGCGCACCAACACATCTCCCGGTTTCCAAAAGACGGATTGCAGCATTTGATGTATCTGACTATAAAGATTAAAGACCGGGACTCTATATAACGCTACGACTTGATCTCATGCAATGTTGGATGCCGCTAAAAATAGAAACCTGACGAAAGAGGCAAAGCCGTCCGGCCAACTGGTGGGCATAAGCCATAACCTAATGTTCGGACGACCACTCGAAGAGAATATCCTCAGGAACATCGCGGACCAAGATATGGACATGTTCCAAAGCCCTCACACTCTGCAACCCAACCCAATTCTTGAACCACAGCACATGGGAGGCAGGATCCGGAAATCTGTGAGGATCCTGGGCCAGCCTATCCACGAAAGTCCTTCGAACAAACTCATTGATCATTTCGCGCGATTCCTCAGTCAAATGGCCTTCCCCAGATTTCACGGGAATCGGCGTACGCAACCACACGATGAGATGTGAAATGCCCGGGGTAAGACCGTATGGCCAGTCATTGCGGAGGATCTTGTAGTCTTCCGGGTCGGCAAAGGGACGCGGGTTCTTGAAAGCCGCCATAGGCCCGCTTTGCTTGTCCAACGCCGAGCTAGTTCCGCTCTGCGGTAAATCCCACCGTAATCGCCGCTGGCAAATGTAATTCATGATCGAGCCATATTGGGCTTTGGTCTCTTGTGTCCAGGCCAGGTATCGGCGCAGATCGGAGGGCTTCCGTTTGAGTGCCCCGAGATCGTTTCGTGCTATTATGAACGTATGGGATGAGATGGGGCCTTGTTACCGGATGGGAGTTATGGTGTCAATAAGACTCACCGATGATGCTTTTCAGTTCTTCCCAGTCATGGTGGACGAACTCCTCGTCGGTCATGGCCAGGAGTTTACGGTCCAGGTCGGTTAAATTGAAGGCAGGGATTGTAGGTATTTCAGTCGTTTTAGTCGTTTTAGTCATTTTGTAATGAATTTCTATTCTTTTACCCTAAAAAGGGAATAGCCAGACAAGTTCAAGACGTTCAAATGAAGAGTAAACATGCGATAACACGAAAAGTCGGGGAAATCGGCCCCAAAGTGGGTGTTTCCATTGGGCGGAACGCCCGAGGCCCGTCCCCTCTTCTTTTTTATCTCGCTCTTCTCTTCTTTCTTTCCTTTCCTTACACTCGACCTTTCTCGTTCAATTATAGTCCTGTCATCATGAGGTGAGTTGACGTTCTTCCCCAACTCTCCGATCTCGGCCAATGGCTAACCCTTTCCAAGTCTCGCCAACATCGGCAAGGCCCTCGTGCCCTCGGCCCTGCTCATCGCAGGTGTCTACGCTGTCAAGCCTGAATTTGTCCCCTATGCGATCGCCGTTGCTGGTCTTCTGGCCGGTTACTTGGCCCTCAACAACAGTGCGTGAAATCTTTGTCTGCGTGGCGATAGAGCCCGAAGAACTGAACTGACCCCGTGTTTGATCGCAGAGCCTCGCAAAGTGTTGAACCCTACCGAGTTCCAGAACTTCGTCCTCAAGGAGAAGAACGAGATCTCCCACAATGTCGCCATCTACCGTTTTGCCCTCCCCCGTCCCACCGATATCCTCGGCCTCCCCATCGGTCAGCACATCTCTCTCGCCGCTACCATTGAGGGTCAGCCCAAGGAGGTTGTCCGCTCTTACACTCCCATTTCCTCCGACAACGAGGCTGGCTACTTCGATCTGCTCGTCAAGGCTTACCCCCAGGGTAACATCTCCAAGTACCTGACCACCCTGAAGATTGGCGACAAATTGAAGGTCCGCGGGCCCAAGGGCGCCATGGTCTACACCCCCAACATGTGTCGCCACATCGGTATGATCGCCGGTGGCACTGGTATCACCCCCATGCTGCAGGTTATCAAGGCCATCATCCGTAACCGTCCCCGCAACGGTGGCAACGACACCACCAAGGTCGACCTGATCTTCGCCAACGTCAACCCTGAGGACATCCTGCTCCGTGATCAGCTCGAGCAGTTGGAAAAGGAGGATGACGGATTCCGCGTCTACTACGTTCTCAACAACCCCCCTGCGGGCTGGACCGGCGGTGTCGGCTTCGTCACCCCCGACATGATCAAGGTATGTTTTTTCACGTTCCTGGCTGTGGTACCTCGGTATTAATTAGAGTTTTCCTACAGGAGCGCCTCCCCGCACCCGCTGCCGATGTCAAGATCCTCCTGTGTGGCCCTCCTCCCATGATCAGCGCTATGAAGAAAGCCACCGAGTCTCTCGGATTCACCAAGGCGCGTCCTGTCAGCAAGCTCGAGGACCAGGTCTTCTGCTTCTAAGGGATTTGTTACGAATGAAAAGTGTGGTTTTCGCACGGGCCTCCGCTATGTTTCCGTGTAGTTTTGCTCATGGAGAATTGCCTTGTCTCGGTCGGAAGCGTTTATATTTTGGTGTATAACTTATTATTGGCCTGGTTAGATATGTCTATAGACAACAGCCTATGTCAAAGGATTTAAAGACGTTCCTCGGGGCTTGCACGCGTGATATCTCTGTTTGGATCTAATTAATACCCTTTTCGAAGAACAATGAACAATGTTAGATAGACTACGCATACCTATTCCATTGAATCACCCACAGCACTGAGTTCGTGGACCATTTTCGGCTTCCCAATTAGCAACCTGACTCCTTAGCAGAGAGGAAAGAGCACCACATTGCTTTGCATAGATTGAACAATAAGCAATACACAACAGAAGGATAACTACCGAACTCAATGCACTTCAATCATCTCCGAAATCATAGCGAGAAAGTTCGCACGATATTCCCTCGCCGTCGTAGTAATAGTCATAGGGCCTTGTCTTCCAACAACATTGAAAGTCTGTACAGCACCAGAAAGCACCTGCGGCTGGAGTTTGTGTCGAGCCCAGAAGAAATCGAGTACCGCGACACGATACTTCCACTTACCATCAGCAGAGGGCATCCCTGCTCGCCAAGGGCTTGACCTCCCGCGAATCGCAGGCTTTGAAGAGGCCGGTATTCGTACGAGAAACAGCGAATAGTCAACCACATTCGCCTCCCGTAGGAACTTTGTATCTTCTTGGATCATTTGCCAGAATGCCTCATAGTCTGCACGCCGGAGATGGAGTTTGTCGTTAAAGCTATCTGCCAGCCTGTCGAGGGTGCCCTCGCTCACTAGTGCATCGGGAATCAGATCTCGTTCGGGAACAAAGTAATCAATCGGTTTCAAGTCGTATGTCTCCCATTGTTGAGCAGCCGGATCATCGTCTCTGCCGCAGAGAGTGTTCTCCATGACGATGTGATGAGCTGGAGTCCAGCCTAAAAGTGTTCCAAGAGTGGTGTAAGGAGCTATCAGGTAGTCCGTTATCCAGACTAGTAATGAGTCTGGGTGCTGAGACATGTACTCGAAGTAGGGCTCAAGAAGGTCATGTTCGAAAAACGAATATTCGAAGTGCCGTGGTAGACTTTTGACGAGCAAATGACCATCCAGAGTTGTGAAGAATGTCTATCAACTGTTAGGGCGTGGTCGTAGAGTTACTGTTTTCCATCATATTGCTTACCGAGCCTGAGTAACCTAGGTCGCCCACCGGTTTCAAAGGTGACTTGCCCCTCGTTGTATGAAAGCTCCCTTGATACTGGTCGGGGTCAAATTTCCACACATCCCGGCGGAGTCGATCAAAAAGCTCCTTCTCATGACGAGTAAGCTTGATGCGGCGTACTGAGAAGAAAGCCAGAAGCCTTCCGAAGAAAGACTTTCTGAAGCGGTCCAAGTCGCGCGTCAACGCAGACTGAATGGATTTGGTAAGGGCCAATTCCCGTTTACTTTCTCCCATTGCATGTACTGACAGACAGTAACAGTACTGTGTAGTTAGTAAGTGTTGAATTCCAAGTATGCGAAGAGAATAAACAAAGGAGCTACGCACTTGAATCTTGATATCAATTCAGGAATAAGGTTGGGAGGGATGACGTCACATAGGATATGGTGAGTTACAATTGGCCCGTTAGTTATGCGGCACATGACAGGCATCTGATCTTGGCAATCTCGGGAGAACTCACATACTGAGTAGAAGGAGATCGGCTCTAAGAGCGCATTTCTGCCTTGCTATACGGGATTGAATTATTGTCAACAGGCTATATAACTGACTTACTGTGTAGATTCTAGATCATGTGATTCATGTCCGTTGCGGAACTATAAAAAGCAGTGTTTCGTTATCACCTAGGATTATTGTAATAAAATTATTCGCCATTTTACCCCATGAATAAAGGAATACAGAAAGTATTGAGACCTAGAATCGTTTCAATAATCCTCAAACAATAAGAAGGATTAACTATTCCCATAACTATGGTTCATAGATCTGGTAATCTGATATAGCCACGTGACTCACCGCTGACCCACCGCCTTCTGAGTCAGAGCAGCACCATAAGAAAATGAAAATGAAAAGGGCAAAAAAAGAGACCGAGCGATTTCCCCCTCTTTATGGGTCATTGTCTAAGCGGGGCCCGGCGGTTCACAGCCTTTTTTTCTCCGTTGCGTTGCCCCTCTAAACCTTCGGTCTCTTTGTCTTTGATACCTCGCGCCTCCTTTAGTAAATCGCGATCACTTTCCTCAATCATGGCGTCCGCGGCTTCCCTCCCCGCCTCTGTTGAGGCCCTCACCCTCCAATCCACGGCACAGACGTCTCAGTTCACCGGCTGCTTCCCGACACTGAACCCAATGGACATCTACCGTGAGCATATCGCGGTGGAGCTGGGCAAGGCCGCTGGCATTGATGCTCAGAAGATCTATTCGCGCATTGCATGGACCAAGACTTTGGACCAGGGTGATCTTTCATTGCCGGTACGTGGCGGCGCATACCAAGCTACGCACTTCGCATATTGCACTCGATGATAACGACCTGAAAACTAACAATGCCTGGTGGGTGTGATTAGGTTGCCTCTCTTCAGATCAAACAGAACCCGATCGAGCTTGCTAAAGAGCTTGCCTCCAAGTTCCCCGAGTCCAACCTCATTCAGCCCCCGGTTGCGCTTGGTCCTCATCTCCAATTCTTCTGCAAGCGCCAGCCATTGACCAGCACCGTTCTTGGTCGTATCCTGAAGGAGAAGGCTGCCTATGGAACGAATGGCAACCAGGGTCAAAAGGACCCGTCCGACCCCTCAAAGGGCCAGAAGAAAATCATCATCGAGTTCTCGTCGCCCAACATCGCCAAGCCCTTCCACGCTGGTCACCTGCGCAGTACTATCATCGGTGGTTTCCTCGCAAACATCTACACAGTCATGGGGTGGAATGTGATTAAGATGAACTACCTGGGTGACTGGGGTAAGCAGTACGGTCTACTGGCCAACGGCTTCAAATACTTCGGTAACGAGGAGGCTCTTGTCAAGGACCCTATCAACCATCTGTTCGATGTCTACGTCAAGGTCAACCGTCTGGTCAGCGAGCAGGAGGGACCGATCAAGGAGCTGAAGGAGCAGATCAAGGCGAAGAAGGAGAAGAGCGAGGACGTTACTGATCTGGAGGCACAGCTTGCCAAGCTTGTGGATGTGAGCGAGGACGAGAAGGCCCGTCGCTACTTCAAGAGCATGGAGGACAGTGACCCCGAGGCTCTTGCTCTCTGGCGCAAGTTCCGTGATCTCAGCATTGAGAAGTACAAGCAAACTTATGCCCGTCTCAACATCGACTTCGATGTCTACTCCGGCGAGTCTCAAATCAAGTCTGAGAGCATGAGTGAGGCCTACAAGCTTATGGAGAAGGCTGGTGTTTCCGAGCAGTCCGAGGGTGCTGTGATTGTGGACTTCACCAAGCACGGTGCCAAGAAGCTTGGCAAGGCTATCATTGTCCGCAAGGATGGCACTCCTCTTTACCTGACCCGCGATATCGGTGCCATCACTGAGCGTGATCAGGAATACCACTTCGATAAGATGATCTACGTCGTTGCTGCCCAGCAGGATCTCCACCTTGCTCAGCTCTTCAAGGTTACCGAACTTATGGGCCACAAGGACCTGGCTTCCCGCTGCCAGCACATCAACTTCGGTATGGTCCGTGGTATGAGCACCCGTAAGGGCACCGTCAAGTTCTTGGATGACATCTTGCGTGATGTTGGTGACAAGATGCACGAGGTCATGAAGAAGAACGAGGTGAAGTACGCTCAGGTCGAGGATCCTGAGAAGACTGCCGACATTCTGGGTATCACCTCCGTTATGGTGCAAGACATGACTGGCAAGCGGTATGTGGCGACTATTTCTTTTCCTCGTGTAGTTTTGTTGGACCTTTACTAATATGTTCACTTCCAGTGTTAACGGCTATGACTTCAACCTTGATGCCATGACATCCTTCGAGGGTGACACCGGCCCATACCTGCAGTACGCTCACGCTCGTCTGTGCTCGATGGCTCGCAAGTCCGAGTTGGATGTCAACGAGTTGGTCAACGCCAACTTCGATCTCTTGACCGAGCAGCATGCGCTTGACCTTGTCCGTCTGTTGGCCCAGTGGCCCGATGTACTCTTGCAAACCGCCAAGACTCTCGAGCCGATCACCGTCCTCAGCTACCTGTTCCGCATGACACATATGCTGAGCTCTAGCTACGATGTGCTCAAGGTTATTGGCAGCGAGCCCGATGTCAAGCAGGCGCGTATGGCTCTCTATGCCGCGGCTCGCCAGGTCCTGAACAACGGCATGCGGGTTCTCGGCCTCAGCCCCGTTGAGCGGTTAGTACTTCTCCTTATCCCCAAAAATATGCACGCACTAACCGGATGCCTCTAGTATGTAAATACGGTTCATGTTCTTTAGTTTCTTCACCTTCCGGTGTGGTGCTGTCCGTTCGGACTTATTCTTCAAAGACCACATCTGTAGTGTCTCTGGTATACCTTGATTTTATTTTAGTTGCATTCGGCGCCAAGAGCGGGACAAATAAAATGGGTTTAAGATTTTTCTATCACTATCACCGGGCTTGTTTTCCTCAGCTTGCAGGTTTCTTCTCTTTTTCTTCCTTTTTTTGCCTTTTTCTCGTTGCTTTTCCGAAGAATGCCATAGCTGAAAAATGGGACAAGCCGAGAGAATCGGGGTTTGCCTTGACGTGTATCCACATACCTTCACGGGGAACCAGGACAGGCACTGTGGTTCTAAGCCACCCATTCTGGGTTGATCTTCAATCGCCGATTGAACATGTCTATCTATCAAGACTCGTCCGATGCGTGGCGGCGACCTCGGGACCGGGGACCATGGGGGGACCATATTTTCTGACGTCAGCCCGGGCCCAATTACAACTTTCTGTCCTCGATAAGGTCGAAAGCCCTAACTTTAAAAGGTTCCCGGCGGCATCTATCATTGTCGGGGACCTCGGACTGATATTCCGAACAGATGTAGGTGGTGGTCACCGTGACTTGTCGATCCCGGCCAGGGGTAAGTAATCGCCGTAGGTCCATCACAGATGGTCACCGTGCAGAGTCTGAAGATGGATGTGTAAGCTCCGTAGGTCTGGTCTAATGCAGACCCTTCTCGAACGGGGATACGTGGTCCCCGTGCATAGAGTATGGATTTGATTGAAATTATAAAACCTGAGCCCGCGAACATGGACCTGGGTCGACTGGATTCCAATTCTCTCGTATTCATCATTCGTCTACATTATCTTGCATCATGAGCGTCCCTTCAACCTCGGACGTATCCAGGACCCTGGACCTGGAACGTAATGACAGCGGTCAGTTTCTGAGGAACCACACGGTTCAGAACTTCTCATGGCAGGGCTTGACGGTTACTGTCAAGGATCGTGAGACGAAAAAGCAACGAGATTTGCTCAATGGCATCAGCGGCGATGTGCAAGGTGGTGAGTTATCCCTGTCCTTAGTCTATATCAAGTGTTTGTTATTCATGCTCGGTATACAGGGGAGCTCGTTGCTCTGATGGGTCCTTCGGGCTGTGGCAAGACGACACTTCTTAACGTGCTCGCTCGACGCGCTGTATCATCTGGGGCGAAGGTTTATGGGGAGACCTACGTGAATGATACACAGATCGACTCGCGGACCTTCCAGCAGGTGACCTCCTATGTGGAGCAGGAAGATGCATTGATAGGCTCTTTGACGGTGCAGGAGACGTTGAAGTTCGCCGCGGACCTCTCGTTACCCAGGTATGTCATGTTACAATCAGAGCCGCAACCACCACCCGATACTGACTATTGCCCTTTTCAAACAGTACGGTATCGAAACGTGAGCGCATGGATCGAATCCGCACACTTCTGGAGGCATTCGGTATTCAGAAACAGGCGAACACCCTGGTTGGCACCCCCATTCGCAAGGGTATTAGTGGTGGCCAGAAACGGCGAGTGAGTGTTGCTAGTCAGCTCATCACCAATCCGAGTATTCTGTTTCTGGATGAGCCTACCAGTGGTCTGGACTCAACTGCTAGTTACGAGGTGATCTCATATGTGAAGGAGCTTGCACAAGCCAATAACGTACGTCCATGTCTGCATGATATTATACGCTGATCCTAACCATCTTCATAACAGCTCATCATTATTGCGAGCATCCACCAACCGTCGACGACGACATTCCAGCTCTTTGATAAGCTACTTCTTCTTTCGGCTGGACAGACATGCTATTTCGGACCAATCCCAGCTGTGGAGGGCTACTTCGGTGGCATCGGTTATCCCATCGCGGCGAACACCAACCCGGCTGAGTTCCTCTTGGATATAGTCAGTTCTGATTTCAACCATTCGAAGGAGTTGGCTGTCGACCGAGTCAGTGCCATTCAGTCTGCCTGGGAAGACTCAGGTGAGGCAAACGCGGTGTCGAGACAAGTATCTGAGCGAGTCAGCTCGGCGGAGAAACCAGCGAAAAAGGACTCTATGGGCCAAAGGGCTCGAGCCAGTACCCTTGCGGTTACCTCGGCTCTGCTGCACCGCTCATTCATCAAGTCCTACCGCGATGTCGTCGCCTATGGAATCCGGATCGTGATGTATCTTGGTAAGATTCACCGTGCATTCTTGAAAGTTCGCAGGCGCTAATATGTCACAGGCCTGGCTATCATGATGGGTACAGTGTGGCTACGTCTACATCCATCGCAGGAATACATCCAGCCGTTTATCAACGCTATCGTGAGTGAAACCTATATTCCAGATTCACTGAATACCAAAACTGACATGCATATAGTTCTTTGGGTCTGCTTTCATGTCCTTCATGGCAGTAGCATACGTACCCGCGTTCCTAGAAGACCGCGCAACCTTCACGAAAGAGCGAGCCAACGGTCTCTATGGTGCGACCCCATTCATAGTCTCGAACTTCCTCATTGGACTTCCCTTCCTATGTACGTACACACTCCTCCCCACTCACATGTCCACCCTCTAACCGATCCAAGTCGCGATATCCCTCCTCTTCTCTATCGTGTCATACTGGCTCTCGAATTTCCAACCGACAGCAGAGGCCTTCTTCACATGGATGATGTGGCTATTCCTTGACCTCGTGTGCGCCGAGTCCCTAGTCGTCCTCGTGACATCGATATTCCCAAACTTCGTCATCTCCTTGGCGATTGTCGCATTCGCGAATGGACTCTGGATGAGCGTCGGAGGGTTTTTGGTCCCCCCGACTATCCTCAATCCGTTCTGGAAATATGTGTTCCACTACATCAATTACCAGGTATGGCTGACCCACCTCGATCACAAGTTTTTCTTTTTGTCAGACTGATGGCTAACGGATTCGGTTGTTGGTACAGGCTTATGTCTTCCAGGGTATGATGGTGAACGAATTTGCTCAGCGGAATTACTCTTGCGGTACCGGCTGTCATTGCATGTATGATACTGAGTTGGCGGATCAGTGTCTTATCAAGGGAACTGGGGTGCTGGAGTTGTATGGATATCCCACTGGTCGGACGGGCAAATGGGTTGGTATTCTGGTGGGCATCATTGCGGTGTATCGACTCTTGGGATGGATTGCTCTCTATGTGCGCAAGACTTAGCAGGCTGAAGGGCTGCTATAGCATTGGAGAGACTTCCCTGAGTATAATGGGCATGGATTGGAGTGGGGGCACACATGCTAGTAAAACTTTTGTACATCAGATTGGCTAGAAATAAACAGATAGACGGAACTAGAAAGTATTTCCTTGGAAGGCTGCAATTGTCATATCAGAAAGTCTTATCCGTGAGAACAGCGACAATGCGCCTGATACTCTGACCAGACGCTATAACTAAACCTAAGCCTAGCAAGGTTAGCATTCCAGTAGGTAACATGCCAGTCTCGAAAGGCCAATCACAGGAATACTTGGCTATATGGATATTGTCTGTTGTACCACCCCAGACGATTCGAATTACTCACCTCATGTCCCGAGGTCGTGGTCTAGCTAGGCATATGGCGACAGCGACCTCCCAAGAAAACGTCTATTTACAGGATACAACTACCTAGCAAAGCATAGCTCATAGCTAGCCAAATCGGGAAATAGGATCAACATGCAGGTCATGTACACAGAATGTATACGAAACTTCCATAATGTTTCCGACGCTTCTCTTCCCGCTATACCCACTCAAAGCTCCATCAGTGGCCTCTTCATCCGAATATGCAATAATGCAATAGGTTCGGGCTGATTTCTCTCCATTCATGACTGTCGCCGTAGCATTTATCGGCAATCACCAAAGAGCGGTGAACAGCTCTTCCTTAAAGAGCCGATCTCATCTTGTAGAGCGACGCAAGGGGGCAGGTCTTTGACCTTTATTTAGTCTCCCATTATCCCGAGGGAGGGGAATCAATGAATCAAGGACATTGAATCTTGTCATGAGAGCGTGCTCGTGTAAACTGGATATGCGAGCAAAGCTTATTGGAAGTGGATTTGCCATGCGACAATTGAAATATGGCCCGATGCGTACAGCATATTCTAGTACTCCTAGACTGGATGCTAAGGTTTATGATCGTGCCCGTCAAATGTATACATTAGTGCGTTGTACATCTTGAACACGGCACAATTACTGGAGCTACTGGAGCCGCATGGAGATCCTTAGTTACATTTGGAGCGGAGCCTTTTTCCTAAATGTGATATTCTTCAGCCTCTTTGAGAAATATCCACTACGGCCCGTGCTACTATTTTGATCGGCTTAGGATATCAAATGGTCGGGATATTTGGTTATCATAGACTAAATTGCACAGCTGAAGTCAACGGTTGTTCTAGTGTCAGCCTTGGTTCTGATACTATCCCCGCACGTGCTAAAAGACAATCCAACACACTTCTGGATTTTAGGACGCAAGGGATGTGAAGGATTCCACACTGGTAGGTGATAGACCGTCCGTGCTGCAAGTCATACCGATCTAACCAGTGCTTCCCGATAGAAGGTTCCGGCTATATAGTTCACCACCAGTGAAAACAATACTTAGCCCATGTATAAGAATACTTATAAACTTGTACAGATACATCGTCTGTAAACGTCTGTAAATCAATTGCACATTCTGCTCCCAGGTTTCTCACCAGTATGAGTCACGGTCGAAAGATGTGCTGCACGCGGAGAAGGGAAAGGCCCAAAGATAGCCTGCCACATGGACGAGGGGTCTCTGACGACGAATGCCATGCAGTGCTCAGTCCCTCTTTTGCCTCTAGTGCCGTTTGACGTCTGCGGTATTCACGGCAAAGTAAAGCTGCCTCACTCCACAGTGGCAATTCTGCTAGACTTGCTCGTTCCTACATACAGATGTCTGCCTACATAGTAGATGAAAAGAGCAGGAGTCACTTTCGCAGTGTTGAGTTGTAGCCTGTTTACAGGCTGTCATCCCCACCGACTTTTTGTGTGTACCAGATACATTGTCATTGTATTTGAGGCCCTGCCTGCATTGACCAACGTATAGAATAGGGTAATAGGAACACACAGCAGTTCAAGGAAAAGAGGAAGTAGAATTGCCCCTTGGGAAAGAAATAACCGAATTTTGCCAGAGGGAGGCATCCTTTTTCAATTAACAAGGAAGACCCTTCACGGTGGAGGCGATCATTGGGCCGCAAACATGGTTGGGCGTTACCAACTCAAAGGTATTAGGGAGAAATAGGAATGCGACATAGGTAACCAGCACAAAAACCAATTCAGACACGGGATAGAAAAAGAAAACTACAAACAGAAAAGAAGTCAAAGTAAATCCAAAGTAGGATGTAACACAACAACAGTACACAGTAAAATAAGAATAAGAGCAGAGAGACCAACCATGGATCCCAGTAGCCAAAACCAAGGATTTCCCCTCCAGCGGGTCCCGAGCTTAAAAGGAAGTATGTACACAGAAAAAGCAGAGAGATACATACAATCGAAGTATTCCCAGGTACCATACATAATTCTAAAGAGACTAAATCGATAAACGGATGACGCTATCCCCCACTTTGTTCTTTTTTTTTTTTCTACCCTTTTACGTTGGGTACCGAGAGCCTCTTCGTGAGACCTATGATTTTTCCTTTTCCCTAGGTTTTTTTTATTTCTTTTTTGCTAACCTTCGGGTGTTTACTCTTTCTCTTCCTCTCTTCCTCTCTCTCTCTTTCTTTCTCTAGATCCCTCTTTCTTAGAGCTTCTCTCTACCTTCCTCCCATTCTCTGTCGAGATTCCATATCTCAGAACGACCCCTCACTTCTTTTTTTTATCGCTGCCCATCGACTCCACTCTCCCCACTGGGTTCTAAGACCGTCAGGCAGAGGACCTTAAATTCTCAACCCAACCTCTGCACCTGCAGTGCGCTCCACCATTCATCGTCTGCCAGAGAGGCCATTTTCGACTTTTTTTTCCATCTCTTTCTTTGACCCAACGCTTCCGCCCGACTCTTAGCCTGACATTCCCACCAATTTCGATGGAGACATTGCGATCTGAAAAGTACCATCTTGCTCTATCCGCTTGACAGAACCGGTTGTCCGTTGCCTGCCATCGCCCGCTGCGATCGGCAGGTCCGCTTACTTGTCTGAGTGGCCCGCTTGGGTTGGGCACTGGGGAGAAGAAAAGAGAAGCCCGTTCCGAACAGATCCAGAACAGGGTTGAGAGGGGCAAGAATAATATCTATTCTGACTCATTGTCAAAGAGGACCATTAGCTTCCTGTAAGTCCACCATCTTCTGGAGCCCTGTGGGAGCCACCCACGTCGCCCTTGTCGGAAGGGGACCAACCCTGATTTTTTATTTTTTTACGTTAGACACCCGATCGCCTTGCAGCCCACATAATGGCCAGTAAGGGCCCCCGGCCTGCCTGCGTCGAGGATTACGACGAAGAACGCAACGCTGCTCTACCCGCCACTAGGCTGTCTGCCAATATTGCTGCCAATTCAGCTGCCAAAATATCCTCCAGGTTGGAAAGATTCCAGGAGCCGCTGATCGACGGCGCCAGTGACTCAGGTTATTCTAGTCGCACCGCCGCTACGCTTGACAGCACCCAATCTGCTCCTTCAGGCGGAAGGAGCCCACCGATCCCTCTTAAGCTGGACACCCCCAGACGTTCCGACCTCACCAGGAAAAGTTCGACCAGAGAACGAAAGGACAAAGAACGATCTAGACTGCCGGAGGAGACGATGGTTGGTGCCTATCCGGGCGCTGCCCATCATGCTCATGTGCCCCGGTCGTCGTCCAAGTCTCATCGACGAGAACCTTCCCGCACCCACCAATATCACGACAACTACTACGACTACGCCACCACTCAATACCATTCATCCACCCCGGTTGATCATCGACAAAGTGACTATTCCTACTATCCACCGTCACGACCCCCCGTCCCAGAATACTCCTCGTCCCCGCACACTGCTCGATATCCCGGCGGCGCCATAGAGAGCATCCACGTCAGTCATTCTGGTCGACCGAGTCGCTCCCACTCCTATCACAATTACCACTCAAACGGACGCCCCATGAGCTTTCACGGGATGCCACATGGAATGGGCTCTCCAATGCTGCCCCCGATGTACCAGCCGCATGAATATGGCCCTCCACCCGCCAACTCGGCATACATGCAGCAGTATTCCTCGTCGCCATATGGAGCCTCCTCCTACTACGCACCATCAGTCTCGGATTACCCTCCCTCGGATTATCCACGAGAGCGATCCCAGTCCCGGGAACCATCGTCACGCCGTCGGTCTTCCTCGATCTACGGGCCCCCACCACCTCCACCGATGGACTCCGGAGATTATTTCCCATGGCATGAGGATGAGCCGCCTCTGGAACGTTATTCTTCGCGGGATACCCACGAGCGACCTCCCCCAAGGCACCAGGAATACGATGAGGACTATTATCGTATGCCACCCCCGGGAGCCAAGCCCAGGCCCAAGCCCAGAACTGCCCCGCAGATTCACCAGGCAACGCGGCCAGAGCGGCCAGACCCACCACGCAAAGTGCATACAACCGCCGGTATAATTCACTCGCAGCGTCGTCCATCCAGAGGGATGGACCGAGGCATGGACAGAGATGCAGACCGCATGGATATGTCCGAGCTTGCGGGGGCCTTGCCGGTAGTTCAGGATCGGGCACATCGTCGCCTGTCAAGGGACGCCCCACAGCTGGAGAGAACCCACAGCCTACGAGATCACCGACGATCTACGTCTTACCAGGACGATCGACGGTCTGCTCAGGTGGCCGTGGCGAGCTCGCGGCGGCGGAAGCCAACCGAATACTATTACGATGAACCATCCAACGCCGGCGTGGACCTTGAAGACCGCGAACGCGAGGCTGAAGACTACCAGGCAGCTCGCTCTGGCCGAGCATCAGCTACTGCACTGCCTCTTTCTGCAGAGGCCTTGCTCCCTACTAAAGCGTCTCACCGCAACGGGAGCGAGAGCAGCAGCCAGAAAAGCCGGAGCAGCCATGGCAGTGGCACAGGCTCGCGGAAGGAAGACGACAAGAACATGACCCTTACGTTGAACGGATTTCAAATTGGATTTACACAAGAAGCAGTCGCTGGAAAGTCTATTAACATTCGGTCTGGGCAGACTGGGGCTGTACGATTGAACATCGGCGGCCCGCGGCCTCCCAAGCAGTATGTGAACGGCACCGGTTCTGATTATACGGGTGGCTCCAGCCGCCGGGAGCTTGAAGATGTGCGGCGTCCTCGGGAGGACAGGCGGTCGGAGCGATCTATTCGCCGAAACAGCCAGTCAGCCTACGGAGGTACCCGCTACCATTGATCTTGCTTTCCCACCTCGTTAGATCTTGTGCTTATTTTCGGTTTCTTTCCGTTTTTCATTTTGGTTACGTATATCTGTTGTGATTCTATTCTGTGTCTGCATAGCCATTTGTGCTGGGCCTGGTTCGTTTGTCAAAAGTTTCGATTGCTTTGGTGGTCTCTTCAGGATCGGGTTGTGGCCGGAACCCAAAAGAAAAGATGGTATTTTTACCTAAAGTGAGAAACCGTTGGGCGACTTTGGAACAGGCTGGACTTTGTCGTGAAGTCTAGATCCGCCTTATTGCCCACGGGTCTTGCTTAACTGGGAGGACTTTTTGTGTGTGATTTCAATTGCAACTGCTGTTTCGATTTTCTTTTATATTTTTTGTGTGCTTGGGCAAAACGGTCGGGCACGACGCCCTATTGATCTGTCTGTTATGGCGATATGATTGTACGATTCTGATGACCTGGAATGACAAGTCTGATGTGCTTTACTTTCTGATGTCTCCCTTTTTGTCAGCGTTTCATGTATAGCCTTTCTTGTCATTGGGCCTGTGTCTTTCTCCCGGTTACTTTGTTCGCGATTCCGAGTGGCGGAGAGAGATTATACCCATGTCTGTTTACTTGTCATGTCTCAACGGGTCATCTTTTTCTTTGGCCATATCTACTACGACTTTACGTGTTTTGTTGGTCTCTGGTTGTCCCTCATGGACTGTGCCTCGTAGGATATCTTGGCTTTGTATTGTTCCCATTCAACCTGGCAATTTGGTTGCTTTTTTATTTCTGCTTCCGCATTCATTGGTCTTGATACTTGCTTCCTCTCTGCTTTTGCTGATTGTTGGTTTTGATACCCCGCAAGCTGTCTGGGCGTGATCACAGATTTTGACTGTGAAGGACTGCTGATTAGAGCTTATCTTGAGCGGGAGGCTTTTGTTAACTTCAAATCTTGAAATAATTGATACACTAAGAACCTCAATCTCTGATGCGCCATGCTTTCAGCTGTAGATATGTTGACGTTGATTTCAAGTTGTAACAAAACTCTTTTTATAACTAGATCGACCCACGGATCCACGGGTGGCCCCGGGCCAGTGTGGGGGTTGATGTAAGCGGGTTGCCCGTGACAACGATCAGCGTAAACACAGTTCCCAGCCTCTCTTCCAACCTCCTCAATTTCGTACAGGGAATTACGTCTGATCATAACTTGGTGGGTGATTTCCCATCTCTTTATTCTTCATATTTTATTAACACCCATCTAGACTCTGTGCTGCCCCATCTTCCACGTTTTCTACCCACATTCCACGACCACATTCCATCGTGTCAAAGGGCGATCTCTATCTAGATCTGGTGCGGATTACTTGCTTTAATGTGAGTTCACGACTCTGAATTCCCAACGTTGATGGCATCCGATGTACTAATTTTCAACTAGTGAGTCTCGTCTTGAGCCGCGTGCTCTTGACCACTCTAATCTCATCATGCCTCCAGTCTGGCCGACCGATGCTTCACCCGACGTTCCAGCATCCGCAGCTGCTGGGCTTTATGTTCGGGATGCTGGCATTGACGATACCGCAGACACAACGCCTTCCGTGAATCTCATAACCCGCACCCTCTTGCCCCGCGCAGAGACCACAACAAAATCCCATAAACCAACCTATGGCCAAGGCACGGTCGATCCACACAGCATCAAGATGCAAGGCCTGATGGCCTTGTTCGCCATCATCGGACTAGTTTTTGTGTTGGGAGGAATCTGGTTCTTCTTTTGGGCCAAGAACGGCGGGTTCGTCTGGCGCAAGGGCGACTGGGATGACTACAAATCCACAGTTCTACGACGAAAAGGACCCGATGGTCGGACTCTGAGTAACGCCACCAAGAGTACTCGACTTGGTGGCGGAAGTGTCGTTGGCAAAGGCTACACAGACGACGGGTACTCGTACACAGATGGAACCTACACCGAAACAGCGACGACCGTTACCAACGAAAAACCACGACGCAAGCGGTTCAGAGAAACCGCCAAAGAAAAGCTCCTACAACGCAACAAGCACGCGCAATGGGAAGGCGCAGACGATGCCGATGTGCGCGCCTACCGGGAAGAGAAGCCTGCTCGCATTGGCGGTATGAACCGCGAAGCCGACGGAACTTACCACGGCAGCGACTACGACACTTCCGCGCCACCTACCACCTATTACCAGAGTGAGATGAGTCAATCGCAGGACTTTGCCTACGAGCAGCCACGTCATCAGCCGCGTCGCGATCCCTCTGGGTTTTCATTCACTGAAGGCAGCGAGGATGTCATCAGCCAAGTCACCGGAGAGCCAAGAATTCGTGATCCATCCACTCGTCGCCACAACCGCCGTCGTGAGCGTGGTGCCCATGCTCCGCCATCCGCCCCGTCGTCGCGTACTAGCAGCCCCCGCAAGCACCGTGAGCGCCGCGTGCCTCCCGGCCACTTCACGGAGCCGCTGGATCTCTCGTCTGTGGGCTCTCGTGCTGAGTACCAGTACTCTAATGTTGACACTGAGGACTCTGGTACCAAGAGTTACAAGCACCCGATTCCGGGCTTGACGAAGGGATACCGCCGCGACGGACGAAGAAGCCGCCGTGATAGTCTGAGTGATAGTGAGGGCGAGACAGAGTACTCCTGAGTTATGACTGCGTTTTGGACCCCTGACGTATCATATGTCCAACTTGATGTTTGGGATCTGGTTTTGAATGTTGAATGTGTTTTTATTTCTTTTTGGGAAATGGGATCAGCGATACTTTCTGGCTTTCTGCCGATAGGCTTACGGGTATGAATATGGGAACTTGTTTGGATCATGTAAATAATGAACAGAATTATGATGTGAATTGACTGAATTTCGAAGCAAGGCGGATCGTTCAAGTCAATGAGTTGGAGCTGCGCTAATGAGTTACTTTGTGATTTGATATTGGCCTGTAGCCTTTCCAGACGCGTGTTGGAATTATAATCCTGCTGCGCCAATTCGTTTTCCTGTCCGTTATTCTTGTTCTCAAGGGCGAAATAGGACACAGTGACATGTTGGAGCTTGTCGATGGTGCGATTGACGGCTGCGAGAATGTCCTGCGCGTAGGTTGTCGATAGTTAGGAGATTCTAGTTGCTCCGCAATGCAGTCCGTAAATAGTCTCCCTCGCACCCGTCTTTGCCGTACCACGTGCCGCACCATGTGCCGCATCTCTCGGATCCGATAGCGATTTGCTGAGGCATAGGGCTCCCCCTTAGAAGTTACGCCACCTTGGCATTGATCACGGGGATTGGCTCAGGGGGCGGCGCAGGAGTGTGAGGCCGACTGGTTGGTTTATTAGCGGGGCAGACTTGGGAGAGTCAACAGGTAAGGGTGCTACATGAATCGGGTGAATGTGATAGTTGATAACCCTCCCAACTCAATGGGTTTCGTGGGGGCCACTGCTCGCTTCCCGTGACATGTTTATCCTTCCCTATTATCTGTTATCTCAGGTCTAGCAGAGCCAAAAGTTGGGCGCTGTGTATATTGCTTTTGGGAATGCACCCTCTGAAGAAAGTGGGGGTCGTGGTCGTGTTGCAGAGTCTCGGATGTTGCGCAGCTCAATGTTCTTCCATCACATTGTGTCTCATCCTGCCATGGGTTTGGAGATGGAGCAGCGCATGAACTTATGCAACAGTTGGGAAGGCAGACTTCAATTCTGTTGTTGGTCAAGGAATCTGGGGTGATTGGCGGCTACATCAGTGATATCGTGACGAGCTTCGATGATAATGCAGATTGATATAGCCAACTGCCCCGCGATGGGGTGAGTCCGTGTGACCCCTGGCCAGAGATGTCACTATATGAGTCTTGCAGTATAGTCGTCTATCACATCTCGCACGAACGGACGCAGGTACCAACATACAGAAGTGTTGGTAAGCAGGACCCTGTCAGGTACGTGATCAAAGTTGAATCTCCAGGGCAATGCCGTTGATAACCGGACACTTTCGAAGTAAAACGAGGGGGCATTGTCCCTTCGTAAACTGACCCTTCTTCCAAGGGTGTTGTGAGAGAAAGATATCACAGACTCGATGCTCAAATCCATCCAATGGCCATTTCTCCGCTATCTCCTCTGTGAATTAGCGCCTGCGCTTGTGTCAAATTTGTGGTTTGGTTGGTCACCCACAGACGCATGAAATGCAGCTGTACGCCCATTGTAATCCATGTAGATCACGCACGGGCAGATTTTGTTCACATCAAACTGGGGATCTATTGGAATCCTCCGATGACCGGCAGATCATGTGCTAGTTGCAAAACCTCTCTCCCGCGACTCCGGCGAGTAGGCGCTTGACATAAACCAACTTCATTCATGGATACGCGCCATGCATATCGAGCTCGGAGCAACATGTGGCAATTGACGGACCGAGCCGCGAGACATAACTGTTGGTTCCTGAACCGGATTGCAATCCGATAAAGTCTTTATAGAGCCCTCCCCCAAGGCCTTGACTGTGTCAATCTGATCTCTCCTGGTTTATCTTGAATAACAGATATGTAACAGTCATGGCTCTGACACTCCAGGAATTCAACCTTGAATACAACAGATGGATCCGGTCTCTGAATGATTCCTCTGGTGAGTAATCACAGCCCTATATCAAGGAGGATACCCTATAGCTGACTCGGATCGAAGGGAATCTCTATTATACATGGGACCAGTCAGGTGGCTCATGGACCGCTGCGACCACAGTTCAAGGTTCGAGGTAATTGGATCCACTCTTTAATTGTGAGAATGTTCGGGGATCTAATGTGTTTGACTATAGCATCCCGGTGCGCCAAAGCCCCTCGACACCCACATCCTCTAAGCCCAACGATGCATACGGACATCGGGCCCCATTTCCCGGGGTAGGCCGCCATGCAAGTCGACCAGACGCACAGCGGCCTGGCCGGCAGGGTCACAGCACTGGGTATCCCAAGGATCAAAGGGAAAGCAATTCCCGATTGCCAGATGCTGGGCACCAGAAGCTCGCCAATGTTCATCGTGTGGATAGTGGTATCTACCTCCAAGAGCGAACAGGGCGCAAAGCAGGTCGCGCCAGCGTATCCGAGGGTAGCGATACCACATCCTCGTCCAGAAGTGAGTCAAGTGATGCGTCCATGTCGCAGATCAGCATCGAGAGTCTTGCGGATCAGCCAGCCTCGGCAATGGTGCTAGCCCACAAGGCTAGCAGTTCTAGTCATCGAAATGACCCCATTCCCGGTGATCTACGTCAGAGGTATGAGATGAAGGTGGTGAGTACTAGCCTTTTGTCCATTATATTGGTTAGTTGACTGACTTGAAACTAGCAAAAATCGTCATTGGAGCCATCATACGTGATCACTGGCAGTGGTTGCAATCGTGAGACGCTGGATCCTCGTAAGTAATAGACGAAAACATTTTCACTGCATGGTTGGCACAATGTACTGATCAATTAATTCCTCCAATCAGGGTATACGAGACAAGCCAGCAAGTATTTCAAAGTCGGCAAGGTATGCTCACATCTCCAAGCGTCTCAGTTCCCAGAAACAATATTAATGACCGATATTACATAGGTCTTCGCAATGCTCTGGCATGAAAATGCCGGCTCAAATGGAACCATTCTCAGCGAGAAAGCCCAAGCAAGTCCATTCACCAAGGGCAAGTTCCAAGAGCCCATATACAGTAGCATCCGCCGCATGATAGTCGTGAAAGAGCAGAGAGGCTGCTGTTGGTGTGTGTACGTGTCCGAATCCAGTTGACCTCGCTTGTGTCAATAAGATACTGATCCCTTTTTAGACCAGTCCTTACCTACGGCGGACAAGGTGTCGCTAAAGCCGGCATCGACCGCAACAAGCATGCTATTATTCATATGCGAGGCGATAAGCCCCGGGTTCAGCGGGGTGAGCCCCGGATGGTGAAAGAGCCCTTGGAGGTTGTACCGGCCAAGTTCGACTCGAAGCTGGATTGTATGTCTCGGGTTAACTTCGGCAAGATCTATACTGTCGAGCACAACGTCAAAGTCTTTCCTGTAGGCAAGATCTCGGAAGCATCAAGACTGAGATTCCTTGAATATGCTCGAAGTGAGTTTTTGTGATTTAGTGCGACTCAACGAGGTTCTTGTATACACTTCCATGTTAATTTATTCAATTCAAATTATCAGAATATCCACATATCAGTCCCAAGACTAGACAAGAGGTTTCCGTAGCAAGCATGGACTGCATGGCAGCCATTGAATGAAGTGAAGCTTGATTGTAGACTGTAGTTCATAATATTGGTCGCCTGAGGCATCCATAATTACTGTCAACCTGAAATCTTTCAAACTCACCGCCCGGGACAATCTCACCGCCCGACAAAATTTCCCAAAAAAGTTTCAACTTCCCAAGACTCGATCAAGCAAACGTCTTATCACAATCACAATGAAACGCAAGTTGGACGCAAACGATGTCCCATCCCCCGAGGCCCCTGCCGCTGAGGAGGGAGAACTTGACTTTGAAGCTCTTAATCTCGACCCCCGATTGCGCCAAGCTCTGATCAAGGAAAAGTTCACCAAGCCCACTCTTGTACAGTCAAAGGCAATCCCACTTGCGCTGGAAGGAAAGGATATTCTCGGTGAGTGAGGGACATTCATACAGATTCTCAGAAATCAATCGCTAACAGAATCAGCCCGTGCGAAAACTGGTTCTGGAAAAACCGCCGCCTATGTCCTCCCAATACTGCAAGCCATCCTCCAACAGAAGGCTGTACGTGCCCTCTTGCAATTATTATTCCGATCTGATGAGGATGAAGCTAATCCCAAACAGACCGACCCCTCTTCAAAAGCCACAACTGCTCTTATCCTTGTCCCCACGCGCGAGCTTGCAGAACAGGTTCAAAAAGTCATCACGTCTTTCGCCAGTTTCTGCGGAAAGGATATTCGATCCATCAACTTGACACAGAAGGTGTCCGATGAAGTTCAGCGCTCAATGCTGGCTGATTTCCCGGATATTGTTGTGTCGACCCCCACCCGAGTTTACAGCAATGTCAACAACTCCGCTTTGACATTGGACAAAATCACCCACTTGGTTATCGACGAAGCAGACCTGGTGTTGTCATACGGATACGATGAAGAAATCAATGCGCTTGCCAAGGCCATCCCGCGAGGAGCGCAGACATTCTTGATGAGTGCTACACTCACTTCTGAGGTGGACACATTGAAGGATTTGTACTGCCGGAACCCTGTGATCCTGAAGCTGGAGGAGAAGGAAGAGAAAGGTGCCGGCGTTAGCCAGTTCATCGTTCGGTAAGACACTCTGCCGCGCTTCGCTCTAGCAATTGCTAACTCAAGCCTAACAGATGCGCCGAAGACGAGAAATTCCTTCTTACTTACGTCATCTTCAAATTACAACTTATCAAGGGCAAGGTCATTATTTTCGTGGCCGATGTGGACCGATGCTACCGTGTCAAGCTCTTCCTCGAACAGTTCGGCTTGAAGAGCTGTGTCCTCAACTCAGAACTGCCTATCAATTCACGAATCCACGTGGTCGAAGAGTTCAACAAGGGCGTTTACGATATCATTGTCGCAGCCGACGAGCAAGAAGTACTCGGTGTGTCTAAGAAGAAGACACGCGAGGCCAAGGAAGCAGAGGAAGAAGCCAAGGAAGAGATGGGAAGCAGCGAGGACGAGGAGGCAGTTGCCGAAGAAGGAAAGGAAAAGAAGCAACCACAGAAGCGCCGCAAGATGACCAGCAAAGAGAAGGACTACAGTATTGCCCGCGGCATCGATTTCCAAAACGTCGCCTGCGTCCTCAACTTCGACCTCCCCACCAGCTCCAAATCCTACACCCACCGCATCGGACGTACCGGCCGCGCCGGCAAAGCAGGAATGGCTCTCTCCTTCGTCATCCCCGCCGATCAACACGGCAAGCATCGCCCCACCTCCATCCCCAGCACAAAGCACGACGAAACCGTTCTCGCCAAGATCATCAAGCGCCAAACCAAACTCGGCCACGAAGTCAAGCCTTACCACTTTGAGATGAAACAAGTCGACGCCTTCCGCTACCGTATGACCGATGCCCTGCGCTCGGTGACCAGACTCGCAGTGCAAGAAGCACGTGGACGTGAGATCCGCCAGGAACTGATCAAGAGCGAGAAACTCAAGCGCCATTTCGAGGAGAATCCCGAAGAGTTGCGCCAGTTGCGCCATGACGGCGAGCTGCGTGCTGCGCGTGTCCAGGCGCATCTCAAGCATGTTCCTGATTACTTGATGCCCACCAAGGGGCGTAAGGGTATCTCGAAGGAGAATGTCGGGTACGTTGGGTTCTCGAAGTCGAAGCAGAATCGCATTCGCAAGGCCAGAGATCGCAACCGTGCTCGTGGGAAGACTGGTGGAAAGGTTGATCCCCTGAAGACGTTTAATCGGTCGAAAAAATAGGTACATAGTCTAAATTCTGCGGGCGTTTTGGTCCGGATACCATTGTACAGTCATATATGAATCAAAATAGTTTCAATTTGCATTTTCTGGTCTATGTCTACTTGTATGTATTGTTTGTAAACCAGGCACCCACCTGTTGCCTGGTATATGGGTGCATAACCTCACGGGTAGACCGAGAATGCTGGACCACCAGGAGGCACAACTATCTCAGGTTCAACCTGTTCTAGTCCTAGTCCGAAATCAAACTCAAGCCATTTCTTTCCGCTTCTTATTTGCCGAATATGCCTCGATACATCTCGAGCAATTTGAAGGTGACGTGCATGAAGAGAAGAACCCGTCTCTGGCTCCGACACATGAAACGGATCGTTCGGTTCTGTCAAATCGAAAAACCCAGGGCCAATCCCGAGCCATTCAACATCTCTCCATGACCCATTCCACTCTGGGCCAACAGTTTCAGGGCGGTACGGCGTGCCATCTGGATCTTTCCCAACCCATTTCAAAGCCGGTAGCCAGTCGCCGCAGCCCTCAAGATCTAACCATTTCAGGCAGTATGTCGAGCGAGACAGCTGGCGAAGGGTACTTGCAGCCTCGGCCCAATTGTTATCAAAGGCATCTGAGGTCAGGAGAGGCTTTACCGGGTCGCGAATGCGGGTGCGGACAGCGCTTGGATTCCGAGTTGGCATAGGCCAGTGTGCAAGTGAGAGATGGGTAAGTGTTGGTAGGTGTACCAGGAGATTGAGTAGAGCGGACCAGCTGGCGGCACTAGGCTTGGGGTGTGCTAGAGATAAGGCACGCAGCTCGGGGAACCGCAGGGTCTGGGTGACAGCCCTAGGTATTGAGGGACTCGAGATATCACCAGGCATGCCTTCCTCATCCATGTCACGTACTTCTTCATCCCATGAGGCTGGGACGTCCTCCTGTATCTCATGGCTTGAAACACCCACGGCTGGGCTTGTGTGGAGGGTCAATTCGTGTGAGAGCTGTCTAAGGCCTATCCAGTTCCCCAGAGCATTTCCCAGGTCTAATTGACGAATTCTAAAATCGCCATTGACGCCCCTCGACTCGTCAAAGTCTGGGTTGTCCCTGGCCAGCTGGTCCTCATCCCGTTGGGTCAGGAATATCGGCTTTAGTCCTTTCATATGACCCGCTAGAGACGAGTTTCTTGAGTAAACGGCTATGTAACTCATCAACAGCTCCTTTATGTGATTTGGAAGTTGAGACAGGAACGGGCCGTCATATTCAACATGCCAGCACCAATTCAAAGCCATCGATTTCAGCAAAATGTGCACCAGACTCTTCCGGCCCGGGAACATAGGCCTCTGAAGCCGATTCAGCCGGTGAATACTCTCTTCCGAGGTCCCCGGTGTCCGCCCACACAAGTCTTGCTCTGATGCCGCATCGTTGCTCCGGGTGAGCCAGCTCGCCGGCGGCGGAGGACCAACAGTTGGTCGAGACGGGCGAACACCGAATACAGTGCGACGAACGCCGGGGCGAGGTCGCGGTGGTCGAGTTTCGGGGAGCTCGAGTAGCCCTCTAAGCGACGGATGAACAGATCGTGGAATGACAAACGAACGCTGAGCGCTCTGAGATCTCGGAGGATCATCCGAGGATGGACTGGGGATTTGCGTACGGCGAAGGTGACTGATCAGGTCGTTAACTGATGCTGTCGTTGACGCGGAGCCGGTGCCCCGGACTCCAGACCCGCCATGCTGGCGAGACACAGATGGCGCGAGACTGTGATGTGCGGGGCTTTCTGGCTTTGCGTGAAACCGCTGGTGCTTTTTGGGCATCTGCGGCCGAAGTGCGGAATTGAAGGAATGAGTTGAAAGCCCCGCGTTATGACGCTTATCGCTCTAGATTTGATGATAAACACAGTTTACCGCCTTGGTACTGCTGGGTTATTGTCACCGCCTCAATGCATGCTTTAAAGTCTTTTTTTGTTTACTCCGTACGTTTCCTCTTTTCATTCTCTGTAGGATACTCAGACCTTAACTCGCCCTCACTCGCATTTCTGAAATACCGGATGTCAAATACACATTTGATTTCGACGTTCTACCGGTCGACTTTCGTTCTCTACGCTCCAAGAATGCTAAACGCAGCAATGCGGATCTCAAATTCGGATTTGCCCACAAAGGAACCAATTTGCGCGTAACGTAACTACAAGTACTGCTGTTCCCAAGATGCGATGGGTACCAGTTGGTTCCTTTGTGTGTGAATCTGAATTTTCCTTCCAGACTTCCCCAGTGAGTCCTCGCGTTGCTGCGTTTAGCTCCGATCGAGTCACCCACGGTGTACTTGAAATGAACGAACTTGTGGTTTGTTGATAGCGGAATGTATTCAAGTTGAATTTAATGATTGGTTGATAGTGACCACAGCCCATTTGTGGTGCTAATACTTACTCAAAGGAGTAGACAAGCAACACAGACATAGGAACGTAGGTTCATGCTCATAGCTCACTGTTGCTCATAATCAAGTCTATGCAATACAATACTGTACAATCTATTTACATTTTTGAATGGCTTAGATATCCCGCACCCAGGAATCGTCCTTCATATGGCCCTCGCGCTTGGCGCCCTCTTCCAGCCAAGTCTCAACGAGGCCTTCCTTGGGATCCTCGTCAGGCAATCCACGCGACCGGCGAACATCCAAGACAAGGTTCCTGATCTTCAAAGTGACCTCCTTGCGCAGCTCGACGGCTTCTTTATCATTCAACAACTCATCACTGAGCACACCGACGGGCAGATCTCGGGAACTAGGATCGCTCTTTTCGATGCGCGCCTTCAGCTTCTGCCACCGGGAGCGCATGTCGCCAAATACAGCATCAGACTCCACCTTTGAACCAAAGGTGACGCTGATCCGTTTGCCAGGCCTGGGAAGGAAACGCGGGAATTCCCGACTCTCATGCATGACATCGTCGAGGCCCTCAATCCACATTGGAACCACATCCGGGCACTCTTTGGGTTCTAAGATGAGCCGCGCAATTCCCCACTTGAAATAGCGCATGGTCTTGCGTGGTGATTGGTGGATCTTGCCTTCGGGGAAGATATGCACCCAGGAATGCGAGTTGCAGGAGTATGCCGAAGGTGCTAAGTGCGCATCGTGACCGTTGGTTGTGTACGCGACTTCGAGGTCCGAGAAAGGATCGACGCAGACGTTCTGCAGGCTCCAACGCTGCATTTCTGGTAGGGCGCGGTGGTGGTCAACGGGGAACGGACCCTTCGATAACAAGCGAACAGCCTCGGTCATAGCGGGCTGGGCTAAGCCACCAAAGATAGAATGCGCGGAACGGTGAGTGGGTAGGACTTGTCCCATGGCGAAGAACAGAGATAGTGGTCTGTGATTATTTCCGGTGAGTAACCCGATCAATGGAAGCTTCAAGCGTGGCTTGTAGATACCTCGTCTGATAGCAAATATCATGGCTTCCAAATGACCACCGTTTGTTCCAGAATCGCATAGGCAGTATTCCCCATATTATTGGGTCGTCCATTCTAGTATCCCGAGGCAATGTCAGCCACCACGTCTGTAGTATAGGTTGTCGCGATCTGGAAGTTTTAGAGACACGTACACGCTGATATGGTTGGAAACTATCCAAAACAAAGATCTTAGCAATTGGTCTGTCTGGTACTGTACTTCGTCATGGCATACCTGTAATCAATCCTCGCGTCCGTCGGGAAACGTCACGGCGAGAGTCCAACAGTTCCGTGAACGCTTCCTTTCCATGGCACTCTGCATGAGACAGAGCCGAAAGAAAACCGCGACACAAGCCTGCCACTCCCCATATCGTAACGTTGGAGAGAGCCCTCCAAGGGAGGGACGGGGATTCCGCTGTTACGCTCGAATCCATGATGGGTTAGGTAAGAGTGCTATGCGCAATCCATGAACAGGAAGGAGCTTTGCACAAGCTAGTAAAAGCTTGGGAAAGTGACTGTTCACCAAGAACCAGGTGCAATTGACTCAAATGAAGTTTTTGAAGATTGTCAATTTGTCGCGTCCTTGGGAATCGTGGTTCTCGGAATCACATGATTTTGGTTGGGGTTAAACCAGATAGACCAAATCAGCACTCTAGCGAATCAGCATTTGTTGAAATGAGTATTGAATACTCAATATATGCAACTGACTTCCATACTTCGGTCACTTACCTCAGAAGCCCTAATATCTTAAGTTATTCGGCCATAAGACCGAACATTTCGTCTGTTGCTTTTCTATATCCCGCGCACGGACCAACTACACTCCCGACTCCGAGCATGATTTTCTCCCCGGCTACACCCTGACAGCAACACCAACCAGCAATGTTCAAATCAACCCAAGCACTATTCGGCGGTCTTCTCTGGTGCGTATCTTGCTGCCAACTAATACACTGTATTCTCCGAACATTCAACTGACAATTCCTCCGAATAACAGGAAGACCCCGTGGCGCCTCTCCTCCCCCCCAGAAGGCCCGACAGCGCAAGCGCCTGCGCTCCGTGGATCGGGTCGTCGACACTGTCAGCGCCGCTCTCGAGCGCAATGGCCAGACATCCAAGGCCGTGAACCGGTGGTTTGCGGAGATGCCGCGCGAGGAGGAAATGCTGCCCAAGGACAAGTACACTCTGTTCGATAAGAAGGAGAAGAGCTACCGGAAGAGCATTCACAGTATGTTTCCAGTCCTGCTTGGTCAATTTACGATGATACCGTTTGTCATCACTGCATCTGGTCAGGTGAACTAACCGCTTCTTTTCACTTTCAGAGCTGCCCAAGTGGACTCGTGTCAGCCAACGTGTCAACCCTCCCGGTTTCTAGGCGGATTTTTTTCTCCCCTGCGCATGTACTATACATCCGAATCTCGACTCCAGCGGGGGAGTTGTCGGAGCGAAAAACAACATATGGACTACCGGAGTTTTGGCTTTTTGGAATTGCAGCGCGGCTATCTGAAGATGATGATGGCTTACAATTTTCCATTATTACCCCAGCGCTTAGATCAGGCTTTCAATTGAATGCATTTTGACTATACTCCTTCATGCTCTTGCCGGGGTATGTGGAATGTACTAATGATATGTAGGACGAATATTGTGGTAATGAGCGTATGACACAAGAAGTGATGAGATCTCGGTGATCTTTTGAATGAGTGCGAAGACATTGTTGGGTTATAGGAAGGAGCGCGAAGGGAACAACGAGAGGAACAAGGGAATGGTGTTCAGAGGAATGATCGGTTGAATAGAATTCATGAGACAAGGGGGTTCGAGACTTTTCTTTTTTTGGCATCATGGTTTGGGATCAACTTCCCCGAAGCAGTACGACAGCATCTGTTGACTCGAGACGCCACTTCCTTCAGCTTGCCCCGATTGACCCGGCCTTCGTGGAGGGCTTTTTGAACACGGTACCCTCGATGGACATGCTGCCAATCCTCAAGCGTTTCTTGCCAGCCCGCACCTCCTTCGTACCAGGCGTTCTTCTGTGCAGTGGACATCTCAAATCCTTGAGGTGGTTTTGGCAAAGCCCAGCAGCCAGGGTCAATGTGACCATCAGGTGGTTCCTCAGCCGACTCATCATACAGTGTAACGGTGCGGATCGCATCTCGCACCCCAGATATCTTTCTCTGCTTGTTCACTGCGGCCCGCCAGGAGTCGATGCGAGGTCTCTGCGCTCGTTTGCGTCTGGCAACTGGATACTTTGGTCTAGGACTCCAATCAGGCGATGGATAAGGAACGTTGAATCGGGGATCTCCCCACTTGCGGCGTGCATCGTTAGAAACCCTGGATACGGGATCAATTACGAGCCATGTCTCTTTGTTCAGCCAGTGGTTGGCAAGCAAGGCGAAATGATATGGCTTTTGTCCAGGAGTCATTTCGTTAAAAAGCCACACCAATTTGCGATCAAGCCTTTCCAGCATTCTGAGCTCCCAATCACTCAAGTCATCCGCGGAATTCCTGCCTTTCAGCTTCCTTTTCTCTGCGGAAGAGCGAGTAACGTCCGTTCGTGGCCTTTTTCCATGGCGAGAGGAGGCTGAAAGATTGGGGCCGTATGTGGATCGCCATTCATCATACAACGCTGGCCTTGTCTTTGGGATTGTGTCTTTTCCCTGGTAATGACCCCTCGCTGGGGCTGAATACCATTGGATCGTCCTGCTATATATGTGTTGTTCATTTGATAACAGAACCTGATTCCCAACGATGAGTCTGGATTTGAAAGATGTTCTGTCCTCAGAGATCCGCAAACAAATTTCAGTGCTGTTTCTCTGCCGCCGCGAATCGCCACGAAGAGAAGAGCCCGGGTCAGAAATATAGCTGGCCAACAAGTCGGTCATTGGCGTCCCAGGAGGCCCGGAAGAATCACCGATGTTGTCACAGAGCGCTCGGTCTCGCTCGATCTGCATCCTTGCTGACCATCCACGGTATCTACGTCCATGACCATATCGATGAAGTTGTTTTGACTCCTTGATCCGAATTGAGCGGCTGGGCTTTGCTATCTCACACTGAGATCTCGCAAATCGCAGAACAGATTGGATTTGGCATGGAATTGGTTGGCCTCTCTCACTATACGACCACGGGATCGATTTTCGTAGTTGGTAGGACTGGTTTTGTCGAGTTGGCAAGGATTGAACATACGTGAACGGCATCGGTTCGCGCGTGGTGGGCCTTGCTGCATTCCCGCGAGAATTGAACAGAGGTATATGGTTAGAGCTGCTGTTATGTGGCTGTAACGGGTCCCTGAATATTTCTTCTAGAATCGAACGAGTGATGACCGGCTTATTTATGATAGTGGGTGGCCGGGGCCCGACTGTCCCCGTCGTATTAGGTCTCGTCCTGTCAGGTGACTCTTGGTGCTGGACGATATCCGGTACATGAATAGGTTCAGGCGCTGACATGCTGTCTTCCAGTGCTCCATGACACCTCACTCGAGAACAAGGATTCCAAATGTCATCGGCAGTCGGATAATCATCATAGCTCTTGAAGCACTCTGGCAACCAACGTAGTATTCCTTTCGGCCGCCGGCGGCGCTTTTGTTTCTCCACGTCGCCCGGATCCCACCATATCCAACTATAGTCATCTTGTGCAGAGTGCCACGGCAATAACTCTCGGACTCGAACCAAGAAATCACGGATTACTCTCTTGTTTCTCTCGTGCGTGGCTCGGGTGACCCAGCCATACCATGTGCGTGCGTATCGGATGCGAGTGTCTTTGCCGACTCTCAGCACCTTGGCTCGATTGAATCGTCTGATGAACCCGCCGATCTTCCAGAACAAGACTCCAAGTATAAATATAATGACCGTTCCGGCTAGGAGCTCGCCAAATACTTTTGGGTCAATCGACTTGTCGACTTTGACTGGTGTGTTCGGTGGTCGTTTCGGGTGATGAGGGACGCCTGGTGCGAGGGAGTGATATTGTCGAGTAGTCACTGGCGCCATCAAGTGGAAGCCTGAATATACTCGCCAGAGTTAAAAATGAATGGCATATCGTGTCGTCTGTACTCTCGTCTTGTGGCGTGCAAGCGAAGAGTTGGAAGCCGGAGAAACAAGGAAGTAGCAGGTTACGATCGAGGCTTCCCTGCCATTCATTGCTTTGATATCATCTGTTTACATCATTTTGCCTACAAGTTACTTGAATCTGCCAATGTGTCTATCAAGGTGGATTTGCCAATCCAATTGTGGCGACAAGTCACTATATAGCCCTCGTGGTTCTGCAATTCTTCGGGTTCCATAACTCTAGTAGGTAGACTCAATAACAGACTCTCCTCGGTCTTACTGGGAATCATGAATGAGAAGGAAGCTTCCAGGTAAAGAAGGAAAGGAGAAAACAGCGAAGGAAGGTGGATCTAGATCTCGAGGGGCGAACGGAGAAGGAAGGTCAGAAGACTTAGAACGTCAATCTGGCCATTATCTGGGCAGATGACCTATGCCTCTATCCCGCTGTTGCCAGATGCAATTAGAAGCCCTGGAGAAGTCTAGATGCCTTATCCCGTCTCTGGTGGCAAAACATCTTGGGAACCAGACTGCAAACCCCCAATGCTGATGGCTTTGATATCAGAGAATGAGATTGAAAATGACATGTCGAACTCGTCAGTCGCAATAATCCGATTCCAAATCTTCACATGTCGGTGTCGGATGATAATTCAAGCTCCGAGCCAATTGGAAAAATCAAGCTGAATGGATCAGCGGTGTTCGTGCCAGGGTACTGGTACTGGGTACTCTCGATCGGAAGTCACTTACCCGATTAGGAAACAAACAGATCCACAGCCACACCGCAGCCACTCCTTGCAGATCTAGCATAAAGGAGCCACACGCCAAGCCACCTGCGGCTGACACAGTGGCTGTGCACTATTGACTTTGGGAAACCCAAAACAAGGTCGTGACTTCCTTTTGCATTTTGTTGGGCTCCGAATCTGCATATTCAGACTCTATGCTGGATACATCATTCTATCATACTATCGTCATGATGATCTTTCTCCTCTGGTCAGGCTCGACCGCAGATGCCTGGTTCGCAGATTTCGCAGATACGACACCTCCTATCACTTGAGATGCCACATGGTTCTGTGGGTGCTTGCAGGAGTTCCGTGATCGACTAACGAAAAATATCCACAGCTCTCCAAAATCAACCAATCTCGCGTTTTTCCGCATCTTCTGACATTCCCTCGCATTTTTTAATATTTCGGCCGAAGTGGCGTGAGCACAGACCGATCTGAGTTCCAAGGTTATTGATGAGATCGGCGGGACGATCGCCCAGCCTTAAACAAGATGCAATCGGGTCACACAGGATCTTGGTCGAAAGTCGAAGCTTACTCTCCTTTTGGAGTCCATCCCGGATCTGAATCTTACCGAACACGCGCACCTGGGATCTCCGCTAGGATCCTGCTTAAACTGGGTCGAGTCTCGACTCCTGACCTGGTGAGGCTGAACCTGCAGGCTGTCAAGATGTGGCTAGTGAGTCTCACTCTTTACTCCAGCGCCGGCTTTTAGGGGCCCACTGGCCCTTGAGTGCCCATTGGGCCCCATTACGACAAGAACTTCTGAAAAGTTCAATATCTCTCGAAAGGGGAAGGAACCTTGTTGTTTGCAATGGGGCTTCGGAATCCTGATTCCTTTAAATAATGGGGCTTCGGGGTTTGCAGTCGAAGATCCCGGCCCGGTGTTCCAGTGACTTGATGCCCACTCAACTCCTATGTAGAGCGCCACACTTCACCGTTAGGGTGTGGCTTACAGCTCCTGTGTGAAGGGGTGAGACCATGCAAAAGAGACATTGCGGTCTGCTCTTATCCCTTAACCCGACTCGGAGATCATGTCTCAATTTGGTTTAGTTGAAATGGGCACCTCGATCTACTGCATAGCAAATCTACCATAGCCGTGATGAGATACTTGCATACTAGTGCACGCCACAGCCAAAAGGAAGGGTCGGCCAGAATACCAGTTGCCAAATGACAAAAATTGAGGACTCGATACGGAGTAGTTACCTCGCAATGATGGGCTGGTTTCACTGCTTGATCCGTGCACGGAACTATTGAAATGAAAGGATGACACTCAAAATCATGACCCCATAGCCTTGCGAGTCCGGTATCCCCACTTATATCGATCCCAGCCCCGCACATGAACGGTATTCATGCATGCCAAGCCGTTTCCCTGTCACATTTGTCAGGTCTTCCTAGGGGCCCTCGTGGCGATCTGAGTTGGCGCGAAGAGGGACCAAGTCAGAAGCTTTACTTGTAGGAAAGTGGGACGGACCCATGTCGTAAAGGAACACTGGGGTCGATCCCAACGCTAACTCCAGATCTCCTGCAAAAGCATAGTCGATCTCACAGATCGCTTACCTGCTCTCGACACTGTTTTGCCAGGACGCGTACCCATCGATCATTCCCAAACAGGCTTGAAGCATTGAGCTATTCAATGATCTGCCCCACTGTGCGGTTCTCTCTACCAGAACGTGCTGCGGCAAGGATCATTCACCATACCGAGGGATAGTTCTATCTACTGAGCTCACAAATGTAGTTCTGGAGGATATTGTGGTTGCCTTGGCCGTCCCGGGTTCCTGATCACAGATCATCGCTGGAGCTAATCTCGTACTTCTGGACTGTGGCGATAGACCCGGACCCCATCCATGGGCCACGGCCTAGTTGGGTTATGGATCAAACGTTTGTTGGTTCTCGGCGCGTGTCGCGAGGTATATGAAGCTCTGGCTACAGCCATGTTGACTCTTGGTCCAGTCTCCATCATTCTCAGACAACATCCTGATCTTCACCGATTCACCGGGCTCCCTATCTTTTGTTTCTTATCTTTCGAGGTCTTATTCAATTGCATTCTCAATCAACCTCGTCCATTACTTACCAGTCCAAGTCCTCGAGTGGTGAAACCCTTGAATTACAAACCGTTCCAGCCCGACTCTACCATCCCAAAGCACCAAACTGTCAACCAGCAAAGAAGATGGCTAGCCCCGAGTTCACACTGTCCTTCGATATCACACCTCCAACGGCCGCCCAACCCAACGTCCCTTTCACACTCCCAGTAATCATCGCCGTGAATCCAATCGGGGCACCCGCTCAGAATGTGCAGCACCTCGTCGTCAGCGCCTCCCTCCGCAACGAATCCGGTACGGCAGCCGCTGTCGGTCTCGGAGGCAGTCTCACTGCAAGCGTGCGCAGTCGAGCCGGAAATGCAATGAGTGGATACGCAAAACTCAGTCCGCTCACCATCTCGCAGCCAGGAAAGTACCGTCTGCGAGTGATGCTCAGCGCAGCCTCGGTAAATGGCGTCGTCACCAAGGAGTTTGTGGATTCGGCGGTTATCGATGTGCACGCCGGTGCAACTGCCCAACGGCCAAGTGGGTCAAACCCTTTTTCTTTTCCCTCTTTTCTGTCCATCTGATTCTGCGCGCATTTACCCGTTTGGTTCTGCCCCTCTTTTATTGTCTGGTTCTCTTCTTCTTAGCTTCATGCCCAGGCGCTCGCTGTCCCGTTTCGGACTACGCTGACAGTCCAAATCTCTAGGTCCCACCCAAGTAGCTCGACTCCAGCAGCTAACGGCTGAGAATCTCGATATCTCTGTAGCCGATATTGCGACTTGGCAGCGTGCATGATCGATAGATGAACAGTATTCTTTGTGCTTATCTTCCTTTTTTTTTTTTTCTCCTAGGGGCTCTCCGGCGTTGTTGTCGGGCATTTTGTTGGCTTGGGTATACGAGAAGAAAAGTGGAGGTTAGCGAGGTTTCCTTGGAGAAATGCAATCTAATGCGGAGTACAACCGGATTCCTTTTCCGCTACTCCGTACATGTCCACTTTTCTCTTCTCCATTCCATATTTTTCGCTAACTAGCAACCGGGGAAACGTTTACCCTAACCAGTTGATCGAGGCCCAGAAATTGTACGTACGATGGATCGATCTGATCGGGGGCAAGGAAATTATCGGACAATAAAAGTCCATCTTGAGTCAGTAAGGTTATTTCAGGCTTTGACGGCTTAAACGACTTGCCATGCTTCTATCAGAGGGAAGTCGTGAAGATTACGTTGCATATCGCGACTCTCTTTACCCAAATGAGAAACCGCAAGTCTTCAGAGTTCAGGCACCAGACCCACATACCCAGTCTTTGAGCAAAGCAATTAGCACACAAATATCGTCGATCATCTAGAGAATGACACGCCTTTCTTTGGTCCAACGGCTATTCCAATATATTTCCATTGGACCATTTGGTCCTGCTAGAGCAGGCTCCATATAGGTTTACGTACTTCTAGTGCTGCGTAGAAGATCGACCTAGCAAGAAGTCATTATGATTGTTTTCCCGAATACACCCGACAGTATGGGCAGTGGTTACTCTATACATGAGACCCTGAGGTATGAAGTTATGACCGGATGTAGAGCTATAACTAAGTATTGAGTACTTACGTGCAGTATGTACAACGCTCTCAAATCGAGGTATGCAGTACTTGCACTCAAAGTGCTACAAATCCTCACCGATCATTAAAAGCTTGGGGTACTTCAGAAAACATAATATCAGAGCCCATTTTGCTACTAAATTGCCCAAATCATAGATTCAAGTACAAAGGTCCATCATTGGTCAGACCCGTCAAGCTGTCATGGGACATGCGGGCCGTCCTCTGTGACCAGCTAAGTCAGTTTAATAGATCACCTGCATTTTCCCCCCGCTTGTAGATCATCTAGTGCAGAATGATATCTTAAAAGGAATCACTTGCTCTCATCATTGGTGTGGACCGCAGCTCAGCACAGGGGCACTAGCACCAGATTTCTTCCTGTGTCTTATCATCTCTCGGCTATGTTTCCTCCTTGATCTACTAATCAACCAAACAGCGAATCACACCTCCCAGCTCCCTGACTTGCAAAAATTTACATACCTTGGTCATCTCCTTCTGCAAATGAGGGTTCATCCGAGCAGTCACCCGGGCAAGGTGTCTGGCAATGCATAGCCCAGCCTTGCCCGTACTAAGAGGCTTTATAAAGCCATTTCCCGCGAGTCATTCCGATCCTATTTCTAACCTGAACAGCGGATATTGACATCATCTCCAACCCCTACGTGCACATCATGGAGACAGGATAAAAGCCTTTACCCATATCGTTTCCTCCAATAAATACAAACCTCGCGCCTTCCATCGCTTAGACAGCTAAGCCAAGAAATGCCACAACAACGCCACCACAGAAGACACCACACATGGCCGCACTGCGGCTCAGAATTGTGCATGCGTCAGCCACACAACCTAGATATCCACGTCTCAAAGCCAGACGCCGGTCCCGCGCGCTACATCGCGCCGTCCTTCCAGACAGCTGCAAGCGTCAGACAAAACGAGCTACTCTGCGACGACATGGGGATGCCAGAACTAACCCGACAACCGAAGAGGGTATCTCGGCTTTGGTTTCGGTCGAATAAGGCGCGAACCGGAACCGACCAGATTGCTCTGTCGGGGTCGACGGGGCAGACTAGGATTGCTTATTGGGGTGTGTTGCGGCGGTTGACACGTCGGCCGCCTATGATTAAGTCGAGGTCTCTGGTTGGTGTGCCTTCGGTTACGGGGTCAGGTCGGAATTATGTGGCTACTGGCAGTGGTTGGGTGATGTTGCAGGGAATAAAACAGGACTTTGTTGGGGGGTCTGGTGGAGATAGACTAGCTGGGGAGGTTGTTGATGCCGCGAGGATTCCGAGCGTTCTGAGCGAGAGACGGCATCGGAGGCGTCATTCTGAGCAGCCGCGGGCGTGGAGGGAACCGAGTGCTGCGCTTTGGACGGTGAAGGAACATGAGGAGTGATTGCTCTTTTATTATTTGTTTCATGGTTGGTTGGTTTGGGTTTGCGTCTGGCTTTATATTTGGCTTGATATGAGTGATTTCGAAAAGCCGGAGCGTCTTTCCTTTTGCGCTTTGGTGACAAGCTACAAATCAAATTATACACTGGTCCGATGATGGTCACAGCATGGATATCACGCTCGTTGGGTAGATGCAGAAAAGGTATAGAGTCCAAGTTCGTAGTCCGTAGACTTCGGCTAGGTAGGATGTGGACATCGTGACCGTGGAGATGGAAGCGGTGGCAGGCATTAGTCACACCCAGGTCTTAGAGGATGATCCAGTACGTCCACTGATATAATCTCGTCAGTACGAACCAAGGTAAACGGGCATTTCTCTCCGGCTTGTACTCTCGTCTGCGGGAATGTGGTTGACGTTATAGTCGGTTCATTGCGGTAAATAAGAGCATCCGTCGGTTGCTACCATATCAGTGTCAACGCCTTGGTATATAGCCTAGTGAAGACCAGATATTCCTCATAGAACTATTCAATGTTGGAGTTCTCCCAGATACATGAGTATTTGACTGCCAAATGGACGGTTGAGCTTCAGTTGAGCTTGTCAATGAGATGAGAGACATTGAAGATCAGCCACTCATTTGGCAGCAAATCCTGATGTATCTTGCGGAGGGGGTGTATCAGGAATAAAAGGATGGACATGGTATCGAATCGTATACAATACCCTAAAATACCCATGGGGATTACCCCGGCTTGCACTTCTTGACGAAGCCAGTGATTGTGAATGTCAACGTGTCGTAGCTTAGTGCGTAGTTGTGGTAATTGTTTAGTAACAAGGCCGATGGTCTGCTTGTTGTCAAACTGCAGGGAGACAGGATGACCAGTATTGATATCGATTGTTTCGAAAAGTCACCTCCGCATGAAAAGGGACCTGCCAGCTTCAGACAAGGCCAGCAACTCAGCTTCGGTAGTATAATATTGGTCGTGATCGTTTCCTGCTTTGAGGCATTCCAACCATTGCGGGAACTCGCTGCAGACCATGGATCTACGTTGTTCGCGATCCTCGGTCCTGGACACGCTCCATGCGCCTGTCAAGTCATGGGAGATTAAGAGATCACGTTCGAAGCAGCGCGCCGGTCACCGAGTCAACCGTCGAAAGTACGTCGAAGGATGTCCTGCGACATTCCCATGCTGGTTGTCTTCGGGGTTCTGAGAGGAAGAATGAAAGACAGGATGACATATAGGAGAATATTCGCAATACATTACCCTGTCGACGGGATATTGAGACTGTCAATCGGAGTCAATTTCGTCGGGAAGAGACTCACCGCAGGCGACCGGGAAAGCTCGACCATGGATGTCGAGGGAGGAGAAAAAACCAAGCAAGCACCAGATCGAATTGAGGGTAGGAAAATCCGGACGTAGGCGTAGCCGCGTAGCAGCATTGTAAGTCGGATGAACAAGTTCAGTGGTTTGCAATTGAATCATGGCGTAGTTTTAGGGTCGAGTACAAGTCAGAAGATGTTGGTATCACCAGCTAGGTTCTGTGTACACAGTTAAGTGGACAGGGTTTGCGCTTCCAAAGCAAACGTCAATTGATTCAGGCCAAGGTAGCTGTGGATGAAATGGATCGAAATGAAATGGATCGAGGATATCAGTGTGTGGTAGTTGCGTGTTGTGACGGTATCTTTGAGACACGGAGGATTTCCAAAAGATCTACAGTTGAACCCGCAACGAAGATCTGCGTCCACCACGCGAACGAGACGTTAACGGGAAACAGCTTGCAGTACGTCACAGCACGCAACTACCATGCACTGATCTCCTCGATCCATTTCATCCATTTCATCGACATTTACTGTCAGACTCGGATATTTTGTGATGGAGGAAAGAGTCCTGCTGAGTCGCCTGAAACCAGTGATAAGACACACACTCGGCGGCAATCAGCAAAGAGAGAAATTCGGGGGGATGTCGAAGTTCTGCTACACAAGAAGAAGAATATATGAGACGAAAGAGATTGATTCAATTGTCTGGAGAAATAGATGGTAGAGAGTAGAGACTGTATATTCTAAGAGAAGAAGGGAAAGAGGGGGAAACGGGGTAGTTAATGGACGCGTAATGCCGCTACGCCATAGGCTCATAGCCAATCGAGTGCCCTGTGGGATAGGACGATTCGACACATCACATTTTAAGCGTTTTGTTTGCACAAGCCCTCAACCCATTCCTGATCGGAACTGGCGTGCCGTGAGTGCAGCGTGTACAGCTTGCTTCCAGCCGTGTATCCTTGGCTGACGGATTTGTGGGGGCCAAGTGACTCACTGAGACATGTGTGCCGAGACCCTCGGTTAGCACGGAATTCTAGAAGGACGCTAGAAAGCTATTTGAACGTGTTTGATTGGCGAAGAGAAATGAACGGGGAGCACACGTAGGGCTGGTCTCACAAGAATGCGTATTCCGCTGTCTTATTGTCCTGGCCCCGCGGACATTGGCCAACTAGAGTGACCCACTTGGGCGTGCGAGTGGAGTCATATTCCACGAAGGGACTCAATGTACTCCGTACTCCGTATGTATTTGGCGTTGGAGAGTTGGATGTGTTGTTCTGGAATGACCGGATATCTGAATGACTGTGTACGCAGTACTGCGTATATGCACATTCGGGCCGATGGAATGGCCCAGGTGTCGACGTGTCAGTTCGAGTATGGGAGATGGGAACACACAGACGTCGAGACGTTGCGGTGAATCTGCGGGGTCCAAAACGCGGGACGAGGAGGCTCCAAGATAAACATTGTCTCTGATTGGCTGGAGGCCGGGCGATAGGGCACTTCCGCGCTCCAAACCAGGGAATCTCACCGACACACCCATGAATCACGCTAAACCTTAACAGTGGAACCTTCGGGCTCGTTTTGTTGATTCCCGTTGGTTGACAGTCATGTGTCATGAGTTTGATTGGGGGTGCCTTCACTAGGCTACTCCTTTCGCATGTCTTTGTCCGTGTTCGACTGCATCATAGCTGCTTCCTCCTGCCTTCTGATTGGTTTGCCCTACGGGCCCTAGGACGATCACAGGAGATGGGAGGCTACCTGTCGAGTGCAATGTCTGGAACATAAATAACCCCGTTCCTCAGGCTCTTTGTTTTCGCTTTTTATCTTCAACTCATATCTATCCTAGTGATGCACAGTCAATCCAACGACTACCCTAAAAGATCTTTCTCCCAAACATCAACTACCTCCATTACTTCTCGCATTACGCAGTGCTCCCAGGAGAAGAAACACTCTAAACTTTCAAAGCTTTTCCGATCCAAGTCTCCTGCTCCAATCGACATCCCACGACCCTACCAGGACACAATGTCGCAGCCTCGAGATATCCCACGGAGCAATCCCGACGCTTCATACTTCCCGGACCAAAGCTACACCTCAACCAGCCCCACCCAAATGTCTCCAAGCATGTCCTCGCCGCAATCCCCCAAGCAGGACCACATTAAGCGTGCTCCCACTCCGACCCGCAGTAACAGCGGTGACTACAAGCGCTACAGTGGTACCGTCAACCACTATGGACGCCATTCGAATGACTGGCTATTCGGCGGTTTCAGTGTTCGCGATACTGTCCGTGGCAGCCTCGACAGGCTCCGCAACCAGGATAAGGAGAGCTGAATACCTGCTCCTCTGCCATCTCGAATACCACCAAATTTTGGAACTCCTTTGCGGTCGACTCTGGCCTGTTCACGGCATAACTACATCTCATATGATGCCGCCCATTCCAGCCCTTCGGCGAGAATCAGAAATTCGATTCGCCACGGTTGAAGCTTTTTTGCTTCAAGGCTCTGGTCTGCCCGGTGCGGGCTTCATCGCAGGAATGTTTCGATGCAGTTCTTTGACATAACTATATGTGGATTCCCAGTTGTCTTTGATCTACCTCATCTTCAACTTGACTCCTGACTCTTTGGCCTCCCTGTACGTGATCGCCGAACTTGAGATCTCGCCGGTCGCTTATCATACGCCTTCGGGATCTTGAATGCTTCGTTAGTTCCTATATTTTGAAATGTGTTGAATGTTCCTGTCTCTTTCTATGGATAAGCGCGGTTTTATTTCCAACTCGTTCATGTGCGAACGGACCTTGGGAATAGCCTCAGCTACTAGTTGTGAATTCATATCTTTACCAATAAATTATTTGTATCAGAGGCGACTCCATCAGTACAGATAAGCCTTACATATTATATTCTTCATCTTAGGTCGAGCACCGATTCATAAATTTGTAGTGTCGTTAAAAGTTGGCTTATATTGTCAGAAATGGCCACATAGTCCATCAACCAGCCAAGTGGCCGAGCAGTAACTCAGCCATCTTATCTTCCTTGGTCTAGTGGTGATGATTTCCGCTTGTCATTAAAACCGATAAGCGCGGGAGACCGGGGTTCGATTCCCCGAGGGAGAGATTTCTTTTTGCTTTTTGCCGATATTTTCTGGCAGTTTTTACTCAGCGCAGCGTATAATTTTTTATTTTCCAACGGTCTCGATGCATTCATAGATTTCTATTCACATCTGTATTAACTGTTATGCCGACTATTAGGTGGGTTCTGTCTGTTGAGGCGTTCCAACCTAAAGATAAACTCAAGTTCGGAGATATATATCGGTCCGAAGTTGAGAGTTGCGGATGCAACTTTTCATCCCATGGTGTGTGTCCATCGAAACATCCAATGTTAAGACATCAGGAAATCTGCAATCATCCTTCAGCCCGGGCCTTCAATAAAACACGCTTCAAAATCTATCAACATGTGGTATCGAATCCAGGCAGAACTGCCCCATTCGTCATGGTGCGAGGATGTGGCTTGTGCCTTGGCCACGGGAGCCTAGATCGGGGCTAAAGCTAGGCGATATTTAAGACATCGCGCCGGCCCAGTTTGACCCCCGACAGTTCTTCGGCCATCATGGACTTCTTTGCTTCTCTCCGTGGTACAATGCCTGGGGTATTTGGGGACGACGATGAATCCCGGGATGGATCACCTCTTCCACCGATCCACACCGCAGTTGATGCAGAAGATGTGGATCAGGTACGCCAATTGGCTGCCACGACAGGCCCCGAAGATATGACAGCGGCTCTGTGTCGAGCCTGTCAATCAGGCAAAAGTAAAATCGTTGAGGCTCTTCTCGGGACCGGGCGATGCGATGTCAACGCGACAACGGACGGGAATACGCCATTATTTGTGGCCGCATCAAAGGCCGAGTTGGAAATTGTCAAAATTCTGCTTCAGAATGGTGCAGACGTCACGATCAGGTCCAAAAATAGACGAGACAAACTCCCAGCATTCACACCTCTCCATGGAGTGGTAGACAGCCTGCGCCCATATCAGAAGCTCGATGACCTGCCTCGCTACGAAGAGTTAATGCAGTTGCTGCTAGATGCTGGGTGTGATATCAATGCACGAGACGCCCACGGGAATACTGCGCTTCTGCTCGCCGCACACAACGAAGTCCCTCTGATATCCTTCCTATTGCAACATGGAGCAGACCCGAACATCGCAGAAGACCGGGGAGGCACGGCTGCGCATTTCTTCCACCATCCTCTAGACCATCCAGAGTGGTTTCAAGCGCTCATGGAGCATGGCGCCCGCCTGGACATTGTTCGCCGCGAAGATGGCCATACTCCCTTACATGCTTTTGCGTCCAAATGCCAATTGGGCGATCTTTCGTTGTTCCGTCCATTTGTCTCGGATTGGTCGATGACCGATGGCAAAGGAAACACACTGCTTCATGTTGCAGTCTCGAAGTTCCGTCTCGAGGACAAGACTGTTGCGGAACTGTTGAAGCTCGGAGTGGACCCGAACCATAGGAATCACGAAGGACGACAGGCTATTCACATGGTTCAGGCATCCAGAGAGGCCCTGCCGAAAATTTTGGACATTCTATGCGCAGCTGGTGCAGACATTGAGGCTAAAGACTCTCGTGGAGGCACGCTTCTCACGAACACCATGCGTGGACACCTGGACTGGAATGGTCGCGAGCTCATTCAATGCCTAATCAGTCGCGGAGCCGACATCAACGCACAGGACTACAAGGGCAATGGCGCATTGTCATATCTGGTTGAGCCATATACATTCCGTCCTGAGAACTTGGAGTTCTTACTTTCCCTTGGAGCGGACCCGAATCTCGCCAATCACGAAGGGGACACATTCCTGCATCGTATTGCAGCGAACTTTGCTACCATCAGCGAAGACACGGTTCTCTTGTCCATGTTACAGCTGATCACATTGGGAGTCTCTCCGACGCTTCCCAACTTCCGAGGTCGTACACCTTTGCATATGCTGTGCAGTCAGTCGTCGGATAATTTATTCGCAGCTCTCGCAGAGGGAGGCAAATGTGCTATCGACCTTCTTTTGGACGCGGGGCTTGATATATCTCTCAACGCGAGTGATTACCAGGGAATACGTCCCATACATCTTGCTGCCACAGTATCGGAGCTCCTGACCGGCAAGCTGATCGCCCGCGGGGCCGATATCACCACTTGCACAAAGGATGGCCGTAACCTGCTGCATATTGCGTCAACCGCGCGACAAAGCAACGTGGTCGGGCTGTTGTTAGACCACTACGACTCCGACAACCTGAGTTCAACGATCAATGCTACCTCGACAGATGGCAGAACGCCATTGCATATCGCCTGCCGCTCCGGACAACTGGAGACAGTGAAGCTCCTCCTCGCACATGGCGCAGATGTCAGCATTGAGGACAAGCATAATCGGACTCCTCTAGATGCATGTGCCGACTCTATCACGGAAGATCAGCTCTGGGAAGCTGCGGACGATCAAGAAAACATGATGAACACATATTCTGCGGCCGGAATTTTAGGAGATGATGATCGCCGGCCAAAAATGCCCACGGCAGGCAACAAAAGGAGGCGCGGGAATCCCAAAAGCTTGGGCTGGAAAGGAGAAATCACGTCCGAAAGTGCGACTATTGGAGTGGGACGAATAGTGCGATCAATGGCGTCTCATGGAGCTCTCGCATTCAAAGAGGGTTTTGGCGTGGGCCCCATGTACCATGCAGTTTCCAAGGGGAATGAGGAAATGGCTGTGGAGATGGACAGATCATTAAGAGAGATGAATATGGGTACGAATGATATTCTCTCACTTGAGACACAATGTCTTCTGCTGCGCTCTCAGCACCTTCCGGGTCTTTTTGAGAAAGAGTTCAAGAAGTACGTCTCTGAGACCAATGTGCTCCCAATGATACTGCGTGGCTACCACCACGAAGTTGCAGAAGTTCTGGAAAAGAGCTATGCTCTCATTGAGGACAAATCCTCCATGCCAGCGATCATGACGTCTCTTGGGCGATGGGGATTCTCGGAGCTCTTTGCTCGAATTGGCAGTTTGATGCCTGGAAACTGGATAAACGACACCACCAACCATCGACGTGGCAAGCTGACGCCATATCTTTTGACAGCTGGTCAGCGAGACCTGCCCAACCTAGATGTCATCCAGGTTATGGTCGAACTTTTTGGTGCGGATGTCAACATAAGATTCGAACCGGATATGGTCGACAAACCCAGGGTTTACTACCAGTCAAAGATGGCATTAGCACGGCATTACAAGCCGGGTGACACAATCCTTCACCAGCTGGCTCATGGTACACACTGGTGGTATGAGCCAGCCATTCGGTACCTTCTACAACATGGGGCCGATCCAAATGCACGCAATGTCACAGGAAAGACACCCTTATGCAATGCAGTCTCACGGGGAGAGCTAGGCGGCCACCGCCAGCTTGAAATTACCCAAATATTGCTTGAGGCCGGTGCTGATCCCAATATCACCGCGACATGTGGCTATACCCCGCTGGCCATGTCGGCACATGATACCAAACTATTCGAACTACTGATTGAGTATGGTGCGTATCCAAATCAGGACCACCCCATGGAACTGTTCCAAGCCTTGTCAAGCTTCAACATCGACGTGGTCTCCGCTCTCCTCGAGATGGACCTGGACTGCAACACCACGGTTCTATCCAATGAACAGGAGCATTGGCACACACAACGTGTCCAAAAGATCGTGTGGGACGCCACAGCCGTCCTGCGTCCTATCCACTATATCTCAATGCTGCCTTTCAACGAAGCCAACAGCCGTGACCATGCCTGCAGAATGATCAAGTTCCTGATGGAACGTGGGGCTGATGCATTTTTGCCTTGCCATGAGAACCAACTTATTCTACACGAGATCTTCGCCGGCGGAGGCATCATTCAACCCTGGCTAGAGCTAGCTGATCTCGATCTTGAACGACGCGACCCTTCAGGTAGAACGCTGCTGCTGGCAGCGGCGAGCTGTAACATTGGGACAGACTCGTATGCCTGCACAGTGCCGGCATATCCACTTCGTGGTGGAAAGATTGGGCCGGCACTGTGGAAGGAAGATGACCCTACACGTGCTATGACCCTGTACGAGCGCGGTGCAGATCTGCGTGCTGTAGATAACGAGGGAAACAACGTACTGCATTACCTGGCGGATGTTCAAGCCTCCCACAGTATGTCTGGATCGTTTGAAATTCAGGAAACGATGTCACTTTTCTTGGAAAAAGCCCCCGAGCTGGTACACCAAACCAATGTACATGGACAAAAGCCTTGGTCGATCGCGGCGGAGAAGAACTTCGTTGAGTACATGAAGATCTTGCAGACCGAAGACGTGGGAGCTGAATAGTGCGGTTGGCTTCATGCTTGTTTTACTTAGTATTATGAAAATATGAGACTGTTCAAAGTCCAAACTGCTGTGGATGTAGCTGGTAATCTCAGCCTGCTCATGAATAAGTGGTAATAAGTGGACAGATTTACATTTACAGAGTAGTCTCGTTAGTGTGTGACCGGACGTAGGAACTGTCGTTATCCGTCAGAATCGTCATGTACTGTGTAGTTAAGACATAAAGCATTGATGTTATTCTACACAGTACTCCGTACCTTTCTACTCGTATTCGTATTTAGCCTCTACACGTGGCCTGTTTGTGCCTGTTTTGTGCCTGATCGGCTTAATTTTCAAGCTTAAAAATAGCCAAGGAATTACGTCATCTACCCCACACTCTCGGGTTGCTCGACGTCCACTGGTAAGCAATACCAAGCTTCTCTCATCAGCGTGGTTATATCAAGAATAACCACAGAAGATGAGCCATGGATCAGAAATGCCGGGGGAGTTTAATGATGAGGAACATGATACAGCCCAGGACCCCGAGGAGACCGGGCCTTTGCAGACACTGAGTCCGAGACGGCCGCCAGGCACGCAATGGAAGGCATCGTCGCGGGTAGTAGATGAGACCCTTGCGCAGGGCCTGTCAAACGAGGATCTGTTTATGCTGATCCGGCGATTTAATAAGGTTAGGCTGGCCCCATTGCTCAGGTATATCGAGAACAATCGCTGACATGTGACTAGCAAATCTACCATGTGAAAGCGGTTCATGATACCGCTTCCTTGAATCTAGATCTCAACCGCACGGAAAATGAGCAGTTTCCACCGGAGAAGATGCGCATGACGCTTGAGAGGTTTTATATCTCTGTTGTCGTCGGCGTGACTGAGCTTTTCCGCCATATTACTCGACTGCGATCATGGAAGGAGCCGACTCGGACTACGATTTTCTGCGCAGTATGTATCTGCCACAGCCATGAGAATCTTATTCTAGATGTCAATATGTTAATACTCTGCAGGGCTATTTTGTTGCTTGGGCTGTGGACCTCTTAGTCCCAACTATATTGGGTCTTGTCGTAGCCCTGATAATGGTCCCGCCTGTTCGAGTACTACTATTCCCCGGTCTTGCAAAGACAAAAGATCCAAATGCAAGCAATGTTACAGGGGCACAGACTGAATCCGAAGATAGCCTGACGGGTGCCCCTGAGAATCACAAGGGCGAAGCCGCTGAACAAGAGGCCAAGAATCTCGTTGACAGCTTTGCCGCCGTGGCCATGGAGAGCGCGGCGGCTAAGTATGGTCAAACTGTGACTGAAGAAGGTCCCGACAGACATGCCATTACCGATGGCATACAGGCCGCGGAGACCGCCGCGGAAACCCCAACCGGCGATGCACCCGAGGACAAGACCAAGAAGCCTATGAAAAAGAAGGTTGCACATGCAACGGATAGCGTTTTGCGCATTTTGAGCGATATCACTGATATTTATGAGAAGTTCGCCAAGTGAGTGTATTTACAATCCTCGTGGAAGCATTGCTAACGATGGGATAGCATCCTTTCCCCAACTCCGCCATTCTTTCTGGTTACGTCTAGACTGCGCCTCGCAAGCATTTTCACAGTGATATCTCTCGTGACACCATTCATCTCTAGTTACTTGATCATCAAGCTCGTCGGATTCGCGGTCGGACTCGGATTCTTCGGCGATCCCATCTTCACCTTCACCTTAGATCTGCTGAACAACAAAGTACCAAACTGGAAAGACCATCTCGACTTACAGAAGTACGAAAAGCTCCCATCCTCCCCCATGTATGGTTTTCTCGCTCGCCCTCTTACCCATGATATAGGACCCTACTAGCTGGCGTTCCCAACAACGCGCAGCTAACGTTGACACTCCTCCGAATCGGCGAGATCAACTCCTCACCACTACCACCCGCCCCATCGCCCTCCGACGACGGGCCGTTATGGCCAATCCGCCGCAAAAAGACCCAGACAGGGAGCTCGACAGACCTCAGTGTACAGGGTTCCTCGGATCTCAAATCAACAAACTCCGACGGTACCCCGTTGGAACCAAACCCCCCGAAGAAGAAATTTATCTTCAAGTTCCTCAAGTTCTTCCGCCGCACAATTGCAACAGCAATCAAAGGCCACATCGCCTTCGACCGCGCAATGGCAATCGCCGGTTCAGCACATACCAAGAACCTGATCGGAATGCTGCAGCAGCGACACTTTGCGGCAACGCCGTTTGGGCCTTTGAAATTCGATGCAAAGTTTGAGCGTAAGAGAGGCGCGGCCGTTATCGATTCGTCGAAGGAGCCTCCTATCTTGTACTTTACTACGTATCAGTCCAGTGGATTGGATGATCTTCGGCTCGAGAGTCGGAAGAAGGGCTCTGTGCTTTTCCAGATCCCTGTTACTGAGATCAAGGAGCTGAAGAAGACGGAGGGACTTGGTTGGAAGGGGAAGTTGATTGTTGAGTTGACGGCTGGGAGTAAGGAGGCGGCTGATGGGTTGGTTGTTCGTGGTGATGAGCCGGAACAGTTTTATCATCTTACTGGGATGAGGTCCCGGAATCAGTTGTTCAATCGGTTGGTTGCTATGGATGCGCAGTTTTGGGAGAGTCGGTGATTTGCGATACTACTTGAGCAGTGTTGAAGAGGAGGTATATCATCGATATCTTGATAGCACACAAGTACACATCAACATGCGTGATAAGCCTATATACGGTGGACAGTATGGAATCAATTCATTCATAGCGGCATGATGGCTCGAGTGCGAATCATCAGAGTCGTGCACGAGAGAGGAGGGTGTGTATTATGTACCGATGACTCAAAAAAGAAGATGTAAGCCTACTACATGAATTTCGGCAACGGCTGCCCTCGCAATACGACCAAAAATTCTTCACGATCTATAGTCTGTTAGTATCACGACCACCAAATCATTACAGACAATGGCTGACCTTTACTCTCTTGAAACGAGATCGAGATAGCCCCTTCCTTGTTTTTGACATTCACATTCTTCGGGCTTCTAGCCAGAATAGTCATCATATCAAGCGTCATCCCCCGAAGATACGGTAGACGCGGAAGAGTGACACGAGTATCCTCCTTTGAAGAGTCAATGAACTCCGACGGAATAGCCATGGTAAGCCACCTATCCGGGACCGTGTCATCCCACCGTGCGGCAAGCTGGAAGGTCGAACCACGACGCCATAGTTGGATCTCGGCGGTGCCTTTGCGGGATTTCTGAAGACCGAGCAGCGAGTTGCCCTTTGTGGACAGAGATTGGATACGTCGGGAGTAGAGGAGTTCATACAGGGGCGAGAGAGAGCCGAGGAAGGAACGGGCTGTAGCGTCGTTGCTGAATTCGATAGTAGTCTGGCTGGTCTTTTTTTCACAGTGCGAGAATGTGACGGCTGTCTCTGGGTGGTAGAGCTGGTCAACGTGGGTTGAGATATAGTCTGTGTAGTAGATGCGCGGGAATTGAATGCTCCTTGAAGAGTGGTCATATGTATAGTCGGCATCGCGGTAGATGAAAAACAATTCTGAATATCGCCATGATGTTCGGTTGCGGAATACCATTATAGCCTTGTATCGCTTGTGCTCGGTGCCGGAATCTATGACATCGTAGACGAGACCTGACGTACTGGGCTGTGACCAGGAGAAGTCCGGAGGGAAGCTCAATTTCAATATGGCTTTTTCAAAATCCTTTGCTCCTTGAGATGTGCGGAATTGTATACCGGTACCGATATTTGGAGCAGTGTCATCATAGATGTAAGAGTGCAAGGTGTTATAGTTGCCATCTGTCTTGTCAGAGCGCGCTTGGCACGTGTCGGACCATTGCAGTAGCACCTGGCGGGACTTATCCCCCCGGTTGACCTGGACTCCACTGAGAGGCATGAAGAATTCCATAGTTCCCGGTATCTTCTCCGCGGCGGAGGAGGTGATGACCAGGCGTCGGATAGATCGCCAAGCCTCACCGAAAGAGCGTTCCAGTATGCGCACCTCGCAGGATCTGACCATGACAGGCGGGTTTAGTGGTTTCATGGTTGGCGTGTTCAGTTGCTCGAAAAAATCCACCGAGCTTTTGAAAACGACGCTTTCGCTAAACTCTGCTGTATCGACCGGCTCCCTTTGCCACACGGCACCGAAGTAAGCTTCAGGAATGTTGATGAATTGCGCAAGATCTGCTTCAAATTGGAACGAGATCGAAACGCTCACGTCCTGGAACTTGAATGGAACGGGCTCTGAAATTCGGGCGCCAGAAAAGCCAGTCAGATTCGCATTTGATAGCTGCATGAGAGGCGGGAGATCATCTTGTGTGACTATCATCTGTCAGTGTCATGGAACAGCATGTCGGTATCATCACGTACAGTTTCGTTCAAGGCAGAGTGTACCACTTTGGTTACAGAGAACGATCTTCGGCTCGCTTTCGCGTTCCCGCGTTGCTAGTAATAGCATGTACGGAGCAGCCTTGGAGCGCATGCGAGATTTTTTACCTCCTATGCCGGCGTTGACAAATGTACGATAGAGCACCTTTTCCTGTTCGCTCCCTGCATCCTCTTGGTCGACGGCAATCCAGCGTAAATTATCGAGATCAAGGTCATCGATGCCGCTATCCAGACTTTCTTCTGGCTGCATGGGCTCCCAAATAGCAAGGGTTTGAGCGATCAGGGTCGAAGAATCGGGGATGTCGACAGAAGTGTATTGGGAGAGCTCCTCGTTGACACTCTAGATAGAATGAGTGAGAGAATGATGGATGGGAATGAAAAGACCAACCTCAGAAAGTTCTACTATTGACTTGTGCTCTTCATCAACCAGAAAAGCAATGGAGGCTTCGTGCTTCAGAACAACTTCATATAGAATATACGAAGCTTTGAGGAGGTCAACATAGGCTTGATGGCCACTTGACATCGATTCCATCGAGGGACTGAGACTGCCACGGGCACTAACGTAGTTGTGTCTGTTGCAATTTGCCAGAGTCGCGCGGGCCTTTGATTTATCATCAGTAATTATCAACCTGCATTTCCGGGGGATATCACCTTTAATAACCACCAAGTCGCCACTCGAAGCCAGTCTCTTGTGACCAATCTCCTTATTTGCAATTCATCATTCACCGATGCCTCAAATGCTTTCAGTATCTCGGCGGCTGGTTTATGCAATCGGTTCTGTGGCTCAAACCGGATTGGCCTCGAGATCTGCTCCTGGAGCCGGACATCACGCAAATGGTGCATGGCGGATGTCATAGCTTCCATCACGTTTGGATGACCACAGCCGGTATCAGAGTAGGCTCTTGAGTGGGTCATGACTTCCTTCCCCTCCATATCAGAGTCATTTGCCAATATTCCACCATCGAATGTCCGACCGTCGATTGAGCCGCCAAAGAGAAGCTGCTCACTGCGCATTCTAGAATGATTGTATCCACTCTTTACAGGCAAGGATGGCGAGGCATTCAAGGACAGCCATGAAGTTGGCGAGGACCCGTCAAAGACTGACACATCAGATTCTGGTATCACCGATTCAGCGGCTGTGGACGTGTGTTTGGCTTCGCTACCGCTGCCCACGGAGTCTCTGTTACTGGGAAGCTCCGATATTCCGGTGCGAACTTCCTGGATTATATCAATCTCGCAGTCTTCCTCGTTGTTGGCAGGTAGCTCCACGACATTAGGGCTCATCGGCGACACGACGGAGTCTGTTTCCCGAACAGGCGATGCTTCTGTACTGAGAACAATCTGCTCATCCTCTTTCATCGCCTTATCCATTGCCTTCTCTATACGAGCAAGGGAGGCACTAAAAGGACCAGTCAGAACGTGTGGTTTAACTTGCGACAAGTGAGGAATACTGACTTCCCAATCGTGCTCATACACAGGCTCAGATTGCAGTTGTGCACCATGACCTTGGATCTGATATCCTCAATGTGGGTCCGCTGTGTCACCCATCTGATCTTTTGCCATAGGCCCTTTCCATCGCCCATTTCGGATCCTTTGAACCGGACAAGGATGTCTCTCAGTCGTTGCAATGTTGCAAAACAAGCACTGAGTGATCTTTGGAGGGTCTGTCTTCGGCCTTCGTCCATGTCCTCGAAGAATGATGTATTAGCGTTCATCTTGTCGGCTAAGGCCCGCAAAGTGCCTTGCAACAGGCCCAGCTCAGCGACTAGCTTCTTGAACCCACTAGGAGCGCCCCTAGCCATAAGTTGGCATTGGCTATGTATGTCCCATGTCACCTTGGTGAGGGCCGGGACATCCACCATCCCCAAGCTTGAAGGCATGTTCAACAACAGGATCAACTCGAGAAACTTGAGTGAAACTGGAAAGTATGATCAAAATAGTCAGGGAAAGAAAGCCTCCCCAGTAGTAATAACGAAGTCTGGTAGAGCAGAATGCCTTTCAGACGGTCCACACAGGGGACGGCATTAATATAACAAAGCATTGCTTGAGCAACCAACAACAACCGACGATCAGTTCATTCGCAAGGCCAGGGAGCCATGTAAAAGACAGCCTCTAAGGTATTTTGCCCAGAAAGCTCAGCCAATGCCAGGCTGGCGTGGAATCGACCATTGAATAGACATGCCCAACCGCCTTTGGTCATTTCTCGAGTCAGCCAATGACACAGCATGCACACAGAGTGGCTGTGAAGCTATTGGCTGAACCCTAGCAAGAATAGAAATGACCGTGAGTGGAGAATGTATATAGACAGGCGTCTTCAGGCCTATCTTTGTTTGAATATCACTAGGCTGTGTGTGCTACAGCAAACAAAGAACTTCGTTTTAAGGAGTGGCGTTTGAGGAGTAGGAGGGACATCCGACTGGGGCACATCGTAACAAACAAGAGCCGAATCAATCATAGCAACGATATTGATAATATTCGCCTCTCCGAAGTGCGGTCAGGTTGTGGACCCGGTGTAGTGTCGTAGACTCGTAGCCCAATTATCCCCCGCATTCCGCGGTCAGGGTAGATTAGGGAGGCTGAGGTACCTGATTTGAAGCACCGAGCGTTGTATATGTCATGGGCTGCAAGGGCGTGACACAGCTTGTGTTAAGGGAGACAAAGGAGAGCTCCTGAAGTAATTATAGAAGTGCAATCGGACTGCATGAAGCTGTTCATCACATATCGCGGACCCACTGGGACCCACTTTGTGCCTGAGGCAGGCAATAATATTGATTGCCCCCAAATTCCTTTTCCCCTGTCAAACAGCTTCATCAAACAGCTCATCCAGCTGTGAATCAGAGCTGCAAAGCCTGAGGCACATATAAAAACCATCAATCCTACTAGGCCGAGACAGCTTCAAGCTTGTCTACTCTCACATCCCGCCACACTCGACCTCCATCTCATATCCACCATGTCGTCCACCGCGTCCTTCACACTGGATGCTCCAACAGTCCTCTGCATCGCAATCTCTCTCTCCTTCATGCCAATTGCCTACGCTCTGAGCAAGGCACTTATTCCAGCACACAAGACACGTGACCGTATCCTCTTCTTCTGGCACGCCTACGATGCTCTCACCCACCTCTTCATGGAAGGCTCCTTCCTCTACGAGTGCTTCTTCAGCTACGCCGCCGTCGCAGCCGGCATCAATGCCCCAGAGCCATACTTCCTCAACGATCCGACTCGTGTCTATGGCGCTGCCTACGGAACTAGGCCCACCTCGCGCCTGTGGCAGGAATACGCAAAGGCGGACCGCCGCTGGGGTGGGTCCGATTTGACTGTCATCTCGCTGGAGTTGTTGACTGTTTTCCTCGGTGGCCCAGCTGCCATTTACATCTGTTATCTACTGTGCCGTTCCTCCAATGAGAAGATCAGTGCCAAGTCCCGTGGTGGTTTCAAGGCGACTCTGTGGTTTGCTGCAACTGCGCTCGCCACGGCGGAATTATATGGCGGATTCATGACCTTCGCGCCCGAGTGGCTGTCTGGTAGCTCATCGCTGGCTACCGAGGATCCAGTCTACCTCTGGCTCTACTTGTTCTTCTTCAACACCCTCTGGGTCTTTATCCCTCTGTGGGTCTTGTCGGAGGCGTTTAAGGAGCTGCGTGGTGCCTTTGTGGCAGCGGAGACCCGCAATGAGCGCAAGAACCAGTGATTTTCTGTATATCTGGGAAACTTTTGAGATTTGGTGTTTTTGGACCTATTCAGATGAATTTATGTTGACATATGTGGACACTGCGGTGCATTTGAGAAACCTCAATAGTTCCCTGCATATTTGAGATATCTGTTATCATGATGATTGGAATCCTCTTATTACAACGTTGGAAATTGAAGCGAGTAATAGAAGAAACCGGAAATTTCCTTCCCGGAGCACGGCTGAGTTCATCGTAGATGGGTTCCGACGAGGTAGTGAATGGTTGGTCTTCGAGCTGAAGAGGACGCTGATGAGTGTTGTGTAGAGAGCTTCGCGGGAAACCTTGTGACTCCTGTGACACGTCGCCTTCTGACCGTCTCAACTTCTCTCCAAAACAATCAGGACATCGTCAACATCGAACATGCAGGTGGACTCGTAACACAACGTCATGAGCCGGCGCCAACGTCAACTTTTAGGCGTATGCCTCGGAGTTTTCCTGTTGCTTCTGCTCTTCCGATACCATCACACACCAAAAGCCCTTCCACCCACCTCGTCCTTGGCCCATAAATCCGGAGTCCAGGATGCCACACATGCCAATCTGATGGGTAAAATCTACCCGAATACTCGGTGGAGAAACCTGGCTGTCCGGTATCCAGTCACCGAATCCCAGAATTTACGCGCGCTACCCCAGACGCTACCTAAGGTCCAGTCGGCAAGCTCCAAGGTATTCCAGTCCACACTGGGGCGCCAAGCCAGCAGACAATCAGCTGTCAAAGAAGCATTCGGACGATGTTGGAAGTCATACCAGTCGCTAGCTTGGGCGGCGGATGAGCTTGCACCTATCAGTGGCACTCGCAGAAATGAACTTGGCGGGTGGGGCGCTACACTGGTTGACAATCTTGACACCTTGTGGATTATGGGGATGCACGATGAATTCAAGAAGGCCGTGGCTGCGGTTGCACGTATCAAATTTCACAAACCCAAGTCGCCCGTGATCAATACGCATAAAGTCAATATCCAGTTACTTGGAGGCCTTGTGGCAGCATTCGATCTTAGTGCTGACCCGATACTGCTGGGAAAGGCTATTGAACTAGGGGATATGCTTTACGCTGCCTTCGATACACCCAATAGGATGCCCATCATCCATTGGGACCCACACAGGGCTCTTCGCCGTGAAGAGCAGCTTGCAGAGGAGAGTGTTCTCAGCGGAGAGCTGGGTTCTTTCATTTTGGAGTTCACAAGGCTATCCCAAATCACTGGTGATCCGAAATACTTCGACGCGGCCCAACGAGTCATGGATGTATTCTACAGGCAACAGAAAGCCACCCAGCTTGCAGGTCTGTGGCCTGTACGGGTGAACGCTAGGGCAGAGCTTTTTGACGGCGATGTCTTTTCATTGGGCGCCGAAGCCAACTCTTTGTACAAGTCATTACCTGGAGCGCACGCATTGCTAGGTGGTCAGACGTCTATGTATCACAAGATGTATGAGAATGTCACGCTCGCAGCTGCAGGTCACAATGTCTTTCGACCAATGAATCCCGAGGGCAGAAGAGTTCTCCTCACTGGTACTGTGCGAACCACCAAGAGAGAAAAAGAGATGCCGCGGACATGGCTGGAGCCGCAGATGCATTACGGATCTTGCTTTGTGGGTGGAATGTTTGCCCTGGGAGGTGCACTACTCAACATTCCCATCCACCGAGACATTGCACATAGGTTGGTCGACGGCTGCATCTGGGCACACCAAGTGTCGCCGATGGGGATCATGCCCGAAGCCTTTAGTGCGGTTCCGTGTGCTTCGGAGGCAGAATGTCCATGGACCGAGCGCCTCTGGAAGCAAGAAGTCTGGAAAAATGCATACAGTCTCGAGCCGGAACGTAAGCCGTATCTCAGCGTCGACGCTTTTATCAAGGACCATAACCTGCCCAAGGGCTTTACTGGCATACGAGATACTGTATACAACCTACGGTCGGAAGCAATCGAGGGCATGTTTTTCCTATACCGCATTACTGGCCGTGAAGATCTACTGGATACAGCCTGGGACATTTTTCAGGCAATGCAAAATGCCACGCAGACGCAGAATGGCAATGCAGCCATCACGGATGTTATGGTTGAAGGCAGCCAGCCGGTTCTTGAAGACTCGATGGATAGCGTTTGGATGTCACAGACGCTCAAATATTTTTATCTCATGTTCAGCTCTCCCGAACTAATCAGTCTGGATGAGTTTGTCTTCAATGCTGGAGGACATCCGTTGCGATGGCCAAAGGCAAAATGATATGCCCATATCGGGAAGCCTTGAGTACCGCTCTCGATTTTCTATCTTTTCTGATACATGAACGCGTTTGGGCTGCGTGGCACGATCGTTCATGGCTGTATTGTATGAGATTTATGGTATCACAGAAAGGCGTTATGGTTAGCCAAAGTGTTCCGGGAGTCGAGGTATTGACATTATTTCAGAAGGGATCGATCCAAATAGCTCAAACCATCTCTGCCCCTTCAAGAAGGTCCTTGGAAATCCATATGTATCATCACACAGTCACTGCCGAGAGACAGGATGATGATTCGATAAATGCCTGGAGCTGAAAAGCTTCCATTGGGAACTCCAGAAGTCCTCAGCAAAGCCTTCATTCCACTTGTCTATCTTGCAACCTCCCTTTATCTGACTGGCTTGTTGCGTTCTTCGTGAAGAACCATCTATCTCACAGTTAACTAGTGAGGAGGGGAACGCTCCAAGGCTGTGTGCCTCAGAGCACACGGCTCCGCCGGCTCGAATCAGCAGATACCACCTAGCACATCATCAGACCAAAGGAGCTGAGAGGAGGAGATCTACGGTGGAACTGTAGAGTGCTCTGAATAATATCGTATGCGTCTTCGTATATACATTGGCTTGAATGAGCGGAGAAGATGGCAGATAGTGAGGAATATGTGGACACAAATCAAGTTACCACCCCCGCATGTTTCATCGAATAGGTTGGATTATACACGTACGGACCAAGTCTCCTATGTCACGGTCCACGACAGTCACCACCTGCATCGAGCAACCGCCTCGTAGCTTCCCCATCTAGATAGAGCGCAACATCCATACCACCATCTCCAATCGCGCTATCCATAACCTGAACACACCCATCCATCTTAGGCATAACAGCATGGGTATACCGCGGCTTAGCCCCGCCCACAAAGTCAACCTCATGCAGCCGCAACCGCAACCACGAGGTGACAATCGTATGCTGTGATCCCAAGAACGCCTGCCACAGCCGCTGCGGCGATACCTCATGCGCAGCATCATGCAGCATCGCACCCACAGCATCTGCCGTGAACCCACTCATCGTCTCGCGGATCCGACTGGCTGTCTCGCCGAGCGTTTGCTTACATGTCAAGGCAGCGGGGCCGCCCACGTGAGTTAGAAACAGTGGTGATCCGATAAAGGTATCCGGAAGAGTGGGAGATACACGCTGTCGTGCCCCGAGACTCAGGTCGAGGTACACAGGGTCAGAGGAATCTGTAAGTCCGCGTGCTCGCGTGATCGATATCCACATGTGCGCCAGTAGAGCGTCCAGTCGGGAGATGTCACGTCGACACCCCGGACTTTCGAGGGCATGGGCTTGGAACTGGCGAAGCTCTGTACCGGTGAAGTGAAGTAGCGTGTGGCTGACCGGTCGGGAGAGATCCCATGAAAGCCAGGGTGCTGGCTCTGACGGGGCAACGCGCGTTTGCTCGAGAATTTCGGGTGGTGGTTTGGAGTTCTCTGTAGTGGGTATGCAAAATGCAGGGTAACCCTCGACGGCAGTATCCCACCAGCTATATCGATGTAAAGGTAATTTGTGCGCGGCTTGGACGATGGCTTGGTCGGGCTCGGGACCGTCTATGTCACCAGCAGCGCAGCTGTCCAGCAACGCGGGATCGAACACTGGTTCGCCCAGCAGTGGGGTTCCGGACTCATGACCAAATTGCTTTTTGCTGTTGTATGCCCATAGATGCACGAATACCATCAACGATTGCGCGTCCGCTAGACAGTGCGCAAGCTTGATTCCGATGGCGTAGCCCCCGCCCCGAAGAAGTGTTATTTGGACCTGCATACCCGGCAGACCAGCATAGTCGCGCAGATTCTCAAGTGCCAATGGGTTGGGCGATATAAAAGATTGCTGATTGAAGTCATCGCCTACCCACGCTCTGGGCTGGGAACCAGCGGTAGATGAAGCCCGCTCTTCGGCTGTGGGGATGATTTCATCTGCTCGGAGATGATGTTCGACCACTCTCCATTCCACACCGGGGTCGTTGTCGGTTCCGTATACAACCACTGGGCGATTGAACCGTTCGGTGTGATTTCCTTTGGGATTGACTGGTGCCCATTGCAGTTGGCCTGCCCAATGAGGAAATTTTGATAGAGTCTCAGCGAAGGAACTCTGCAAATGCTCGAGCAGGATCTTCTGGCCCAGGTGTGCAGGCTTCTGGTCAAAGAACCAAATTGCTCCTGTTGGCGTGAACCGTGCAACTGTGGCATCAAGGATGGACAGGGGTGTTGATGTGGGGGTAGAGGGTTGAGCTGGTTGCAGCCTTGTACTTGTAGAATCGATAGTGGCCATCTTCCAATGTTGGCAATGTATATATGTATATTAATTTTCTGTAAGTCTTACTAGACACGTCCTGCTGCTTTTATCCTTTTGAGATTCTCATGAGTCAATGTGTGTCATCGTGGATCATCGTGGGTCATCGTGGGTCAGCCGCGCGCCAAGTCCAGCTAGAAATCAGATGCGGTAATGCTGAGTTTGTCGGACTTTGCTGGAAGTAGAATGAAGTTGGCAAAGCAATGAACGCATCTAAAAAGGCCGAAATGAGGTTGAGATTAGATGCCTCATGGTACTCCGTACAGCTAGCCCTGTAGATAATAGGTTTATGTTCGAGTCGAGGTTGCCCCGAAGACACAACGAAGATACGCGCCAAGGGGGGTGACCGGAATAACCCTATTCCGGGACGAGGTTGCCAAGGAGACTTTGGAAGGTTATCCACTCATCGCCCAGGGCTATCGGCCCCCGCAGCCCCGCAAACGTGACGCGCTTCAACTTCGCGCTAGTACTAGACTACTAGACTACTAGTACTGTGTACTGTGTAGTACTATCTCATGATCTGCAGTCCTCCCATGGTCCTGTCTGCGACTTCAGACCGCCTTCGCGCTCTTCGCATCTCAATATTTTGGGAGTTTGATCACTCTTCCAAACACAACTCTCTCACTTTTCCCCTCCTGTTCCACTGCAGTAGGCTCTCGCCACAATGCCTACCCAACAGCGTACACAGTAAGTTGTTCATCACGTTCACACTGATCAAAGTACCATCACCCCAAGCCAAAGCCTTGTTTTGGTCGTCTACATCTACCCACGTGACGGAAATGCTGATGGGCTTTTGAATCATCGAAATAGACTTCCATTGCCGACTGACTGCCTGCGAGAACGACCATGATGCGAATAAGGAACTTCCATTCGAAGTCCCATTTGAGACCGATAGGTGAACGAAACGCGCATGACTCGGGTATCAAGGACGGACCAGGAACGGCCTAACTCCTTCAGAGTCTCAAATTCAGCAATGGGCTTCGTGATCTCACTTCTTTCCCCAGCCTAAGTACCGTGTCGCAGTACTTGGTTGCTGGACTCCCTGTCCTGGGTTTGGTCAGTACGCTCAAAGTCCGCGGCATCCTGTGCGTTTTCCTCGGCTTGTTCCGCGATTTGTCTGGCCCAATCAGCGGTACGCATAGCAAAGAATTCCGGATACATCCCCTCGAATGAGCTCATGGACCGAAGGAGAGCAGGCGAGAGACTGGGGTTGTCGGCCTCGGTGAGTGAGGAACTGAAAGGGAGTCAATGCGGCAACTGGCCTGATCAGTGAAGTATTCCGTGCCACTTGCGCAGCCAGAGAAACGATATCCGTGGCCATGGTCATCGTGCTCCGGGGCGGGGGACTGTTGCAGCTCGTTGTGGGTGGGAAGCACGAGATGGTTCTTTGGCGGCGTTGGCGCTGACTCAAGTGGAAGTCATTGACAACTGAGCCACTCGCGGAGATGATAGAAAGGCCTCGAGATCCTGGCGCGGCGTGGGTGCTCACTCGGTCCGTTGGAGTCGTTTCCGGGACCAGGCACGAGCCCGGGACCAGCGGTACGGGTAGACCCCACATTTTCGTCTATCGCCTATGAGCAATGTGGCAAGGGCGCGTCGCGGTTTGATAGATATTGTGGGGATCGATTGTAGTCGGATGAGTGGCAGCAAGGCCAGGTGGCGCTGCAGGGACCACATGCTGCGGGCCCACCGACCTAGAAGGAGAAACACCGCAAGAAACAGGAGCAGTTGCCAGGGGAGGCGACGTATGCTGCGGGCCGATCGGAGGAGCAGACGGAAGAGGGGGACGCAGATCATGAGTAGGTTCTGCCGGTGGTGGAGATGGTGCCAATGAGTGAGGGCTCAACGGGCCAGGCGTCCATAGACGAGGGACCATTGCGTTAAAGTCAAGTGCACAAGTATCGATTTGGGGAAGCTCAACCTTGGGAGCCCTGACTTGAGGGGCTCTGATGGGTGAAGCATCAACTTGAGCAGTTCTGGTCTGCTGGGTCAAAATGGGATACTGACCAGCACCACGATGGACTGAGGTGGGAACGGTGGGACCTGGCTCTCCAATCGGACTGGAGCTTGGGGGCGGCAAGTCATTCAGGAGTTGGTGGGCCATCCGATGTGTCGCCGGAGGTGCGGGGCCCAATACGCGGAAGATTTCGAGACGCCAAGCTTCGAGCGTCAAAACTCGAGCTCATTCACGTTGATATCAGGGTTGCGGACGTCGGTTTTGCGGAAGTCGATGTGGACGTTGTTAGTGCCAAAGACATTGCTGGCGACGATGACGTTGGCGTTAACCGGGTTATTGGCGACGACGTCGCTGGCAGCGACAACGATGCTGGCGTTAACTGGGTTATTGGTGACGATGTGCTGGCATTGGGACCGATAGGCCGGACATATTGGCGGAATAGTGCGTGGCATACTTTCTGTGTGCGTCGGGCTTCGATGTCGCATGACTTCACTCTATGAGCTGGTATGGGGACGAGCATAGGCAATACGTCTAAAGACAGGACCGAGCGGTCTACGCAAACAGTCCCGTGCACCAGATATTTCAAACGTTTTGTTTACTTGTCTTTCCTTCACCCTCTTTGCCTCACATTTCCTCATCGTTGCTCAACTCGCAATCTCGCAGCTCTTCAGTCCCTTGACATTTAACCTGGTCAACCAGCAATCCTTGAAGACCTTTCCAAACAACACCATGTCTCAAACCCACGGGGAAGATTCTCATCCAGAGGAGCTGGTGCAAAACATGCCGGCACGCCGGAATTCCTCCCGATTATTCCCCCGTGGTCTTCGGACCCTACCTCCTCCATTCGTACCCCACTCGCAGCGCCATCTGGTTCATCCGCCTGGTCTGGCCCCTTCTCGAATTCCATCTGCATCAATGGACTCCCAATGCGTTGTGCAACCTCAATCTCAAACGCCTGGGCTTTATCATGGCTATCAATATCTCGATACCCAGCCAATCGGCCCTACTCCATTGGTGTACTCGTCGTCTCCGCACCTCGCGCCACGACAGCTAGGATATGCTGCCTATGGCACTGACATTGGCGCCTCTCAGCATGGCACCTCGCAATATGGAGCCACTCAGTATGGGGCTACTCAGTATGGTGCTGGTCAGTATCCCATTTTGACCCAGCAGACCAGAACTGCTCAAGTTGATGCTCCACCCATCAGAGCCCCTCAAGCCAGAGCTCCCAAGGTTGAGCTTTCCCAAATCGGTACTTGTGAACTTGACTTTAACGCAATGGTCCCTCGTCTATGGACGCCCGACCCGGAGAGCCCTGACTCATTGGCACCATCTCCACCACCAGCAAAACCTACTCATGATCTGCGTCCCCCTCTTCCGTCTGCTCCCCCGATCGGCCCGCAGTATACGTCCCCTCCCCTGCCAACTGTCCCTGTTCCTTGCGGTGTTTCTCCTTCTTGGTCGGTTGGCCCGCAGCATGTGGTCCCTGCAGCGCCCCCTGGCCTTGCTGCCACTCATCCGACTACAATTGACCCCCACAATATCTATCAAACCGCGACGCGCCCTTGTCACATCGCTCATAGGCGATACACGGATTGGACTCGGGTTGCCTACGGCGCTTCGATATTGCCGGAGACATTCTTGACTAGGTGGCATGAAGCTCTCGGAGAGGTGCGTTTGGTATTTGGATATTCAACTCTCCCGGACATCATTGTCTTCAACCAATTCCTCTCTGCCGTCTCCGCCAACCCTGCAGCTCGCGAGTGGGTAGCTTCCCTTCATGTTCCCATGGACAGACCCTTGGCAGCTTCTGTTATGGAAGAGACATACAGGGATTTTCTTAAACACGAGGCTCGTCGACTCGGCCACCCTCCATCGACATGGGATCCTCAACCTGCGAAGACCAAGGCACCACCCGCTGAGGGGGGACTCAAGTATTACTGCCCTATTCACCACATTCTGACCAAGCATTCTATGGAGGATTGTCCGCTCCTTCCACGAAATTCCAGCGCAAAGCAGACTGAAAGAATGGATAAAAGCAAGAAGGATGGAAGAAAGAAGGGTGGAAGTCATCAGAAGGACAGGAAGAAGAGATGAAAACCCAGACATGAGAGGCATCCTTTTCCACGAGGGTCATCTTCTTTGCTGAGCATTGGCCCTCGCATGTATGATATTTTCCCCACCAATTCACCACTCACTTGATAACTTTGAATGCATGAATAGTCTGAAAGTTAACTAGTATGACTTATGCGCGCACAGTAGCTGTAGTACTCATAAGGATTGAATGACTCGAGCTCAAGTTTGTACCTCCTACTTTTCGGAGGATAAGCGCAGTCAAGATTCAAGGCACTTACCAGTGGCCCCGGCAGTGGGGCAACCTTAAGGATCAAAAACCAGCAAGCTCCATCAGTGATTTGCTATTGTCCGATCTATTTTAACCATCATCTAACTAGAGCCTCAGGGGGTTAGGTAAATGGAAATGGGAGGCCTTGTTTCACTGCGCCAGGAATTACGCAGTACTCTATCTTGAAGATTGTATTGGACTTTCAATGTTGGCAGACAGCCAGTCTAGATGGTCCGAGCCATCATACCACCCAAGACATAGGCCTTCGAATATCGGCAAAAAGGCAACCTGTTTGGGCAGGTTTGAGATCAAATCTGACTACCGAGAGGGAATCATGACCGAGGTTCCAAGGGTCGAGGTTCCCAAGGGTCAAAGTGAGACCTCCGGAGCCAGTCAGCTTGCTTATCGAAGGTTTGATCTGCAAGGCGACCCCACAATAATTGGCCTGATCTACACCGTACCTTACCCGATCTTCATTAGCGTCAGGCGGCTATCCGTGGCTTAGCATTAATTCTAATCCTGTATCTGAGACTTGTACAGCCTGGACCACTCATACTGCTTCGATGATTGTAGATCCAAGGGCTCGCTGCTAGGGCTAAAGGTGCAGATGGTCCATCCAAACATTGAGAACATAAATACCATGGACCCATCGCACTCTTAACAACTTTCTATCGACATCAAACTATTTTAGATTATTTTGCATTTCACTACCCTACAACCTGTTCCCCTTCTAAAAACCTCCTCCTTACCCATAAAGATATTTTGACAACAATCAAAATGAAGTTCCTCATCTCCATCGCCCTCTTCATCGTCTCTGCATTTGCCCAGCGTGCCATGATCGGACTCCCCACCGCAGGCCAAAAAATCCACTCCGGCAAGGACGTCGTCGTTCAAGTCCAACGTCCCGTAAGTTCCAGTCAACCTGCAGACATGGCCTATGTCAATCATCACCGCGCTTCGTTAAACTAACCCAATATCCAGAACTCCCTAACCCCTTCCAAGGAAATGGGCGTCGCAATCGGTATTACCTCATGTGCTTCCTCGCCGTGCAGAGACGCAGATGAGGTCCTCGGAACAATCCTTTACAGTGGCCCTTTCAAGCCCGTGTACCATGAGAGCAGCCAGCCCCCTTATGAGAACTTCACTGTCAGGGTGCCGTCGTCGGCTGCTGCCGGCAAGAGTCAGATCAATGTTGCTCATGCGGCTCTGGTTGGTGTAAGTAGATCCACAACGGTTGTGTGAGGTGCAGTTGCTAACAATTGGATTTCAGGCTGGTCCTTTTGCATTTTTGGAATCTCTCAACCAGACTGTCTTCGTTGTCTAGATGTGGGTCTCCGCTCTGGGTTGGAAGTTGGTCTCGAGATGACTTCGTATATTTGCTTTTTTTATTCTCTCTGTACATGACTTTTTTTCTGTTTGTGAATTTTTGGGTGCGACTGTGACTCTGATTAAAGGTGATTTTGTTGATGAACATTTGAAACTTGTACACAGTTGCTGGGCTCTTGGAGTTCGCCAGTTGGTTAGAATTCGCCAGTTGGCACGGCCTATGTGCCATCGAATGGTGATCTTGATAGAGCTAACTAGTTGTTCATGCCTCTCCAAAATCGAAGTTGCCATAAAAATGATAGTATTCACGTACAGCATCTAAAAATAGCAATTCATAAGCGCCGAGCTAGCGCTTGTTGGTGGCTCTACACTCGCATTCGAGGGTGGAAGGTGATCACCTGACTGTCGATCTCCCGGCTGTGATCATTTAGCTCCACCCCTTAAGGTCCTGATACCCGCTCCCCAACCCTATTCCGAACGTAAAGCACAACAACTGGCCCTCGTCTCGGAGTCGGAAATGTTGGCGTCTTTTCTTCGGTCCTTGCCCCGGCTTGGACGAAGATGGACACCTCTCAACTTCACCAATCAGAATTTCATCAAGATATCAACAAGCCAAGCAATCGAGGAGGAAACCATTCCGGGCTATATTGCGGGCCGGTATTATCCTACTCGAATCGGAGAAATACTCAAGGACCGGTACCAAGTTGTGGGAAAACTGGGATTTGGAGCCAGTTCAACCGTTTGGCTCGCACGCGACATGGAGTAAGAGGACACCACTGGCATCCTCACATTTCCATTTACTTCTCACAGCTCCTTCGCTAACTAAAAATACAGCTATCGTCGCTATGTTGCTCTCAAGATTTTCACCAAGTCCACATCGATGGGGCAGCAACTAGACGACGAGTTGAAGATATACAAACGTATCGAAGGGGCTCCCAAGAGACATCCAGGTCGCAAATATGTCAGATCTTTACTGGACTCCTTTGACGTCAGCGGGCCTGAAGACACACATCGATGTCTCGTGCATCCTCCACTGTGGGAGAGTATGTTGGCTTTTCTACACCGCAACCCAGTACAGAGATTACCTACAGTAATACTGGCAGTGACACTTCATCGTCTATTTCTTGCACTAGACTATCTGCATACAGAATGCAAGATCATCCATACTGGTGCGGTTCCCCTCTTCCTGGTGTTGAGCTCGATCATTTGCTTATCAATATATCAGATATCAAAGCAGATAACCTTATGTTCAGCATTGATGATGATTCCGTTTTCAGTGATTTTGAAGATAGCGAGCTCCAAAGCCCCTGTCCTAGGAAGGAGTTAGATGGAAGAACAATATATACCTCCCGCGATCTCAGAGTGCCTAAAAACGTAGGTGCGCCTATCCTCTGCGATTTTGGCTCGGCTGTGGTGGGTGACGAAGAGCACTCGGAAGACGTTCAGCCGGATATTTATCGAGCACCGGAAGTGATCTTACAAGTTCCATGGTCATATAGCGTGGATATATGGAATGTGGGATGTGTGGTAAGAAAGCCGATACTTCTGATACAAAAGGTGCCTAGACTTACCTTGTCAGATTTGGAACCTTTACGAAGGAGGGTCGCTGTTTAGCGGCCAGGACCCAGAGTTTCAGACCTATAGAAGTCGGGCTCATCTCGCCGAAATGATACGCCTACTCGGTCCGCCACCGCCAACCTTACTTGCCAGGGGGGTTCATACCCAGAAGTTCTTTTCACAGAAAGGTACTTCATCTATCTACCATTTTGCTATTCATAGGAAGTGTCAATTATTGACGATTTCTGCTATTCTAGGCGATTTGCTCGCCGGAGAATTAGTAGGAGAACACATCCCGCTCGAGCAAAGAGAGACTAGTCTCGAGGGAGAGGACAAAGAGATGTTTCTCCGTCTAGTGCGAAAAATGCTACAATGGGAGCCGGAAAAGCGAAGCTCTGCTAAGGAACTCGAACAGGACGAGTGGATACGGATATAAGCAGAGTTAGATAAATAACTGCCCTTCAGATTGCACCACCATCACAAGCAAACCCTAGGACGTGTCAATCCGCATCACGTCTCCAGTGAACATTTCTTTGTTACCCAAAGCCGAGGAATTGGGAAGGGGTCGGGTTGTGGCGGGTTGGCTTTCTTTGTCTTGCGGGCAACTATATCCCCGCCACTCATCTTCAGACTATCCATCGGAAACCGGCTCTAGCCTCTGATCAAATAATGATTGGTTAATCCTGTCCAGGTCTTATTGATATCCGACCGGACTGTCTATAGAGGTCATCTCCTCGTCGACTCTTTGTCTCAACACGGACGTGAATAAGACTGCAATCCCGTTCCTCAATAAGCATCATGCCACCGACACATCTTTTCAGGGGAGGAGATTTCCCTCTCCTCCTCCATCTCACAGAATCACCTCCCATCGTCACTCGTTAGTTCTGTCAGAATGGACAAACCTTTCACCCGCGACTACGAGCCCGTCTCGGGGGTAGATGCTGACGGCGACAGCGACACCACAGTCACGAACCGACCCCCTCGTCAGGGAATCCAGCAATTCCTCAAGAGGAACCTAGCAGCAATCACCATCACCGGCCTCCTCACAGTGGTGATGCTCCTAGTCCTCGCCGTGATCGCAGCCCTCACCGTGGAACCCTTCCGCCAAGTCCTAGTCATGAAAGACTCATCATCTTCATCGCTGGCCTATCCCGCGTCAATGAAGGGCCAGCGACAGTGTCTACCACCCGCTCCACGCGTAAGGTACTCATGCGGGAACTCGACCGAAGAGGCCAGAAAGCTCGGGTGCGCCTACGACCCTCTTGCCGGCTGCTGGCTGCACAAACAATGCCCGAATGACTACACGCACGAATTCGCGCATTTCAACAACGGCAAGCCGTTCGTCTATTACTATGATGAGGCGGCTACGCGTCAGATGAAGGATTATACTGAAGTCGGCGATAACCCTGGCCATTATTGGACTGCTACCCGTGAGCACTTGGTTCATTGTCTGTATCTTTTGCGGAGAGGTCATGATGTTCATATGCGTGGTGATCGTCTGGATAATATGCTTGGGGATCTGGAGCATGTTGATCATTGTACCAATATGCTCGCTGACTGGCTAAGGAGACCGGATCCAGCTTTGGATGCTCTGGGCACTCAGGGGTTCACTCATTGTTTCATGAATTGTGCTTGATTGGATGTATAGTCAGTTGTTTTCTTGGAAGGGAAGAGGAAGGGGGTGTCCTCACGGCGGGAAGGCTCTCTCTTATATTTTTGTTACTCCATTTCGATCCAGATGGACCAAGCGTGTTTGATATCTCCATCAATCCGCTGTCCTCCGGCTCTAACCTGTTAGGCTGTTGACAAGTGTTGTCCAAGTCTGCCAGAGAAATTATAGCTTCAAAATATAACAGTTCCATTGTGGTGATACGAGGATATTGCGTTAATGCTCAGGCTTTTTAGAACAGGCTACCTAGAAAAGAGGTCGAATGCATAGATCCTGTGCACGATATCATGTCAATTGATCTGCACTACTCAACACAGGGATATTCTTCTACCTAGTAGGCGATACATATACCAACCAAGTCTAAACCCTTCCAAACAATCAACAATGACGCAGAATGACTCAAATTTCCCCACAATTTAAGACTCGATCTCGATGAAAGTATAAGTTAGGTTCCTTATCTCCGCCGAGCTCCGAGCTCCAACTACCGGACCACCAAGTCACGAAAACCATCCTTACCATTACAATTCTTCCAAACCCCCATATTCCCACACGAATACGGAATACCCGCAATCCAAGTAGAATGCCACCCAAACGCATCGCCATCGTAACCAGCAGCACCCGGCGCCCACGCCTCAACCCAACAATAACCCAATACGTCTATGACGTCCTCACCACCGACCCAACCCTACCAACAACCCCGCTCGAAACGCCCGACACAAACCCGCGACACATAGTCTTCGAAATACTCGACCTAGCAAAACAATCACTCCCCCTGTACGACGAAAGCGTCATCCCCGCCAGCCTACCCGCAACCGACCCAACGCCGCACTACAGCAAAGCGCACACGCGCGCCTGGTCAGAGCTTGTGCGCCAGTACGACGCATTCATCTTTGTCACGCCGCAGTATAACTGGAGTATTCCCGCGAGTCTGAAGAATGCACTGGATTATCTGTTTCATGAGTGGAAGGGGAAGCCGGCGGGGATTGTCTCTTATGGGGGGAGGGGGGGGGGAAGGCGGCGGAACATCTGAGGGGGGTTTTGACGGGGCTTCGGATGAGGGTTGTTGGTACGGCGCCTGCGTTGCCGGTTAAATTTACGGGGTTGCCGGTTGGGGGTTTGTCGGAGGAGGAGGAGAAGGTGCCGTTGGATGAGAGGGATTTTGTTGGGTGGGGGGAGGCGGGGATTGAGGGGATGATGAGGAATTTGGGGATGGAGTTGGTTTGTGAGTTGGATAAGGTGTGAAGCTTTCTGTGTAAGATACTGGGACTACCGTGTACATAACCACACTGGATGGAATATGGTGTCTGATTTTTCCGCTCATGGATGATGGAGCTCTGATACAGAATCTCCTGTGTAATAGCTATCAGTGTGCGGGGAATGAGGGGGAGAGTCGTAGCTTCCTAAATTGGGCATCTGATCAATGGCTTAGGGCTTGGAAGTTGGAAGTCCAAAGAGTTAGGGAAAGAACGATCATGTGGAAGGCACAAGGCATTATATGAGGTCATAAGATTGAATATGATTTTATTCATGCCTACATCTAACTGTTGGACCACGTGGTACCAGGACCCCAGGTCCTAGAACGGATGAATAGATCGCGACACAAGTAGTACATACGGGGGTAGCTCCGCTGTTCTTCCTCCCTCTTTCTCCTCCGAGGCAGTCAGTTTGGACAGCGTATTGCCAGAGCTTCCATCTCCAAGGCTTATTCTGCTCCCTGGAAGCCAGATGCGGCTGCCGTAGCACAAATGCAAATCCGTAGATTCCCTTCCGCGACTTGTGGGATTGCGGTTGCAATAGACCTCCCCACGATTGGATATTCGGGTAATTTTTAACTGGCGTCTAGTTCTCAAGAGTGATCTTGACCTTTTTCTCTGGGGGAGGGATGACTTGGTCCTCAGACGCGCCCTTGAGGCCCGGAAGTTCTGCCACAGCCTCCTTGATGATCTCAAGGGACTTTTGAATCTCCTCCTCGGTGATAACGAGCGGAGGGGCAAGACGGATAATGTTTTGATGAGTGGGTTTGGCCTGGTAAAGTAAGTCAGTGATCCGTGAAACAAAGTCGACGAGCAGGGCTCTCGGAAACATACCAGCAATCCCTTCTCCTTCATCAACATGCACAAATCCCAAGCAGTGTGTCCATTTGTCTTGGACTCGTCGATGACAATAGCATTGAGCAGGCCCTTTCCACGCACCGTCTGGATGAGCGGGCTCTTAATAGCCAACAGCCCATCCCGGAAGATGTGACCGAGCTCCTCCGCACGTTCGACCATATTCTCCTCCTGCACGACTTCGAGAGCGCGAATGGCAACCGCACAGCCAAGTGGGTTTCCACCGTATGTCGAGCCATGGGTACCAGGCTCGATCGTGAGCATGACGTCCTTGCTTCCCAGCACACATGAGACCGGGTACATACCGCCCGAAATGGCCTTACCGAGCAAGACCAAGTCAGGCTTGATTCCGCTCCACTCGTGGCAGAGCAGTTTGCCGGTGCGTGCAATACCAGTCTGGATCTCGTCGCAGATCAGCAGCACATTGTGCTTGTCGCAGAGTGCCCGGGCTTCCTGCAGGTACTCCGGGTCTGGGACCACGATACCTGCCTCGCCCTGGATGGGTTCGACGAGGAAAGCGGCCAGGTTCGGGCCGGCAGCCTCGAATGCCTCGCGTAGAGCAACCTTATCGTTGTATGCAATGGGCTTCTCGGTCCCCGGGATCGTGCATCCGATACCGGGCAGATAAGGTCCGTAGTGTTCGCGTGACTCGGGGTCGGAAGATAGGGAGATGGCGGCGAACTAATGCAAGGGGTTAGCCACTAATGTACCTCCATGTGGTGTTACAGGGGGGTCACGGGGAGGGGAAGTAGGGGGGTCACAATCACTTACCGTACGTCCATGGAAGTTATTCTCTGCGCTCAAAACGATGGCTTTATTTTCCGGGATACCCTTCACTTTGTATCCCCACTTGCGGGCAATCTTGATACCGGTCTCCACAGCCTCGGCGCCGGTGTTCATGGGCAGAACCATATCAAAGCCAAAGTACTCGGTCACGAACTTAGCAAAGCGAGGGAAAACATCGTTGTAAAATGCGCGGGAGCTCAGAGTCACCCGCGAAGCTTGGTCTACCAGTGCGGCTACCAATTTGGGGTGGCAGTGGCCTTGGTTCACGGCGGAGTAGGCGGAGAGGAAGTCAAGATAGTGACGGCCTTCGGGATCCCAGACCGAAGTGCCTTGAGCCCGGGCAAAGACAACAGGAAGGGGGTGATAGTTATGGGCAGCATACTGCTTCTCAGAGTCCATAGCCTCTGCCGAAGAGGCAGCGTGATAGGGGGAGAAAGACCCGTTAGTCGCCATGGTGGAATGCGGGGAGCACTAGTTCAAGGAAATTGGGGAAGAAGCGGGATCGACAACCGGGGGGAACTTAGGAAGTGAGAAGATGTATTTTGGAATTGAGGAAGAAGTTTAGAGAAAAAAGTTCTAAGAAGAAAGAAGAAAGAATGAAGAGCATCTTATAAGTAAGGAGGAAAAGAGAAAAGTTTCCAGCTATGCCGTTAAGTGTTAGACCCAATCACCCTCTTGTCCGCTAAGTACAGGTCGTGCCGATGTTGTTCCCTATACGCAGGATTAACCTGCACGTCCCCATTCACTTAGATATCCACTCGCTTTGATTCGTTCCTTCGTGAGGCTGTCTAGGGTTATGCCATTTAAAAGAATTGAACTATTGGTCTAATTCAGATCATCTCAAGGGTCGTGTACAAAGGAGAGGGTAGAAATCCAACGTCATAGTTCGGTTATTGAAGGACGTGAATTAATATGCACTGGCCACTGTCTATAACAGGATAAAGTCTCTTCCCCGGGCCTTCCTCTACTGTAGGCTGCCGCCGCTTTATGATGCTCATGCTGCTTTATGAGCTCATGCTCCGTCCCATCACGTGATCACTCGGTTGTGTTAAATGTGTTATCCGCACACTTGTTGTGTTAAAAGGCGGGGCCCCTTAACTTACCAAGTACCAACCAACTCGACAATTTTGTTCAGGTACGCCTTCTGTTGGAACTGGCAACAAGGAGTCATGTGACGGACAATATCAATATTCTGCCATTACTTTTCAATATCTCTCTGCAACGTCTCGAGAACACGTGTGCGAATCTCCATATATCACCTAGTGACTGCACCGCCGGAAGAGAAAAATGCCAGGTCGGCCGCTTACCGGACACGAAGCCATCTGAGGCAATATACGAGCAGAACGAAGTGGTCACTGCCCTGCACAAGATCCCAAGGGTATGGCGCTTCCACCACATAGAATGTAAATGCAGGCCCAGCAAGGATGAAACGTGAGGATTATCAGGGCAGTATGTTTATGATCTGTCATTGTCGCATCGGCCTTTGCTCCTCGACATGCAAGATGTTTCCAGTCTTGCTATGACAGATCATGAAGATACTGCCTTGATAGTCCTCCGTTTTCATTCTTGCTCGGCCTGCATTTACGTTCCATGGGGGTGAAGCGCCATCCGCTCTATCTTCTCTATGGCTTATGGGTTTTCTGACAAGGAACGTCGGGAGAGATTACGGACATTCTTTATAGTATCATTAATGCCGGCTTGTGTATATACAAGGAGATCGAAGTAGCCGAAACAGTTTCGATGACTGAATGTCCGGCCAAGTCTCACTAAGTATGGAGCTATGCCACGTGCAGAAAAGCGGCATGGGGTGAACACTAAAACGGAAGATAGCTAGGTCAGACATGATGTCAAGATGCAAGTATAGACAAGTACGCAGTTAAGACTTACTTGTAACTCAAGAGAATCTGATTTATACCCTCAGCAAGTAAATCAAATAAATCCTTCTACTTGAATGAGATAAAAACACATGACTCGAGGTCGAAATAGCTCAAACCCCTTCGCGTCGGAGTTGGGAGATCCTCTTCCGCGCCCTCTCCTTTGTTCATGGTATGCGCCCACCCTTACAAGCTCAGTCTTTATGAGCCCTCGAGCGCAATGTACGAGGGAATGAAAAAGGACCTGCAACTATCTCAGCCTTGATCATGTCTACTCCTAGTACTCCTAGTTCACCACGTCGCCGCGCGCCTCAATACGACCCCCCACCAACTCGAAAGGTCCTCCTCTACCTCATCGCCTTTCGTCTGGTCAACGCTTTCGTCCTTCGGACCTTTTTCCAACCCGATGAATACTTCCAGTCACTGGAACCAGCTTGGCAGACCGCGTTCGGTCAGGACCAAGGGGCCTGGGTGACATGGGTGAGTGAATGCGATCGCGTGCGACACATATCTTAGTCTAACCTCACGTTGCTTCTAGGAATGGCGACACCAACTACGATCCTCTCTACATCCTCTCTTCTTCGCCGCTCTTTATAAAGCCGCTGATTTCTTCGCCTCCGCTCTCGACGTCTCCCCCGCCGCGCGCGCCGAGCTTCTGATTGCCGCTCCGAAGATAGCGCAAGCCGTTGTGGCGGCAATCGGCGATTTCTACACTTGGAAGCTCGCTATTCGCGTCTATGGAAACGATTCCCGTGGATCATGGGCAACGGTATGTGGTTCTGTGCTGTGGATCATGTTTGCCCTTGAGTGGGTGGGAAAGAGCTCGTGTTAATTGTTCAACAGCTGGCCGCGACAGTCCTGAATCCTTGGCAATGGTTCTGCTCGACTAGGACGCTGTCAAACTGTGCGGAGACGACGATTACCATTGTTGCCCTAGAGCTATGGCCATGGAAATGGTCGGTAGCCTCTACAACCGACGGTAGCCGTGACAAGGGCACTGGCAGTCAAAAGAGAGGCACGGATTCTGATCGGAGGGTGGTATCTCGGTATGACTGGATCCCAAGTTGATGGTAGCAGTCGCTGACGCTTTATTGCAGCCTTCATCGATGTCTGCCGCTGGCGGCGCTCGCGTGCATCTTGCGGCCGACTAATCTCCTCATTTGGATAACTTTGGCCAGTTTTGCTTGGCTTCGGACTTCTTGGGCCCAGCGCAGAGTCCTAATTGGTGACGCTGTGGTTTGCGGGTAAGTCGTATTTATTTCACAGTAAAGGACCAGCTGACTTTTTGGTCTGGCAGGTCGGCAGTCCTCGCAGTATCTTCCATCGCGGACCGTCTGTTCTATGGATTCTGGACGTTCCCGCCGCTCAGGTTCTTGTACTTCAATATCGCGCAGTCACTGGCTGTCTTCTATGGCAGTAATGACTGGCACTACTACATCTCACAGGGCTATCCGCTCTTACTCACCACGCTGTTGCCTTTTGCAGTTTGGGGCTTATACCGAACCTTGACTACGCACTCCCAGGTGGGTGACAGAGTACAGGTGGCAATCCGAGTGCAATTGGCGACAGTCTGCCTCGTAATGCCATTAGTCCTCTCTTTGATCTCACACAAGGAGGTGCGCTTCATTTACCCACTGTTGCCCTCTCTGCACATCCTAGCCGCGCCGCCTTTGGTGCAATATTTCTACCCAGCCTTCAATCCGCTGGCATACCCACGTGAAACCCCGCGCAGATTGATTCTCATTTTTGCCGTGCTCGTGAACGTGTTTATTGCGGTGTACACCACTGTCTACCATGCATCAGGACCCCTTAGTGTTCTCTCCTACCTCCGCGTTCAACACAACGTCCACTCGGCACCAACAAACAAAGCATCAAACACAGTCTCCGAGACCGGCATCACTGCAGGCTTCTTGATGCCTTGCCACAGTACTCCCTGGCGTTCCCACCTAGTCTACCCATCAATAAACGCCTGGGCCCTCTCCTGCGAGCCACCAATCGACCTCAACGCAACCCAAAAAGCCCTATACCTCGACGAAGCCGACCAATTCTACAACGACCCATCCCAATTCCTGCACCAGAACATGGCCGGTGGACTACGCCATCTTCCCCGAAGACCCAGCTACTCCACCCCCGCCTACTCCCACTTATCCAAGCCCCCCAACCAACCCGCCCAACACGAATGGCCCGACTACCTCATCTTCTTCGCCCAACTCGAACCAACCCTCCGTCCCCTCCTCCGCGGCTCCTCCTACGGCGAATGCTGGCGCACCTTCAACACTGCCTGGCACGACGACTGGCGCCGTCGCGGCGACATCGTAGTCTGGTGTCTCGACACCTCCGAGCAAGACTCCTGGCGCTCTGAGACCCAGCGCCGAGTGCAGCAATCTCGCGACAGGCAATTTGATCGGATTGTCGAATCCTTCAAGAAAGAGGCTCACGTCCCCACGCGCGGATGGAACGCCCTCGTCTCTTCTATGCCTTGGTCTTCGACTCCTTCGACCTCGACGCTGCAGTCGTGGCAACGCTCGGTGCAGTCGTTTTTCGCCCCGGCACCGAAATCGTCCATTTACTGGCCTTGGCGGCGCCGCTCGCGTTGGGAGAATTTCCTGGCTAGGCTGTCGCCGAGGAAAACAAGTTGGGTCCCTTCTTGGGTTGGGGATTGGGTTCCTGGGTGGTTGCAGGGTCGTAAGAGGCGGCCTACGGAAGCGGAGCTTTGGTCTTGATACATTGCGGTTATCTCGATGTTTTTTTGATTGATTGATTCTCACCTTCCCTTCTTCACACGTTCTTTCTCCCAGTTCCTTCCATCTTGTCCCTATCTTCTTGGATACACTGCCGTTTCACATTTTCTTACTGCTTATACCACTTCGTCATCTGTCTGGAATTATCTGTGATGCATTTAGAAGCTCTGATGTAATAATAATCGAAGGTTATGTACCATTTTGACTCGCTAATACACCAAAGAGTTCATTTGTATACAGGAACGATCAACAGAACAAACTGTACAGTGATATAATAGCAAGGAAAGAGATATCTAGACAATGAGGTCAGATAACTCCATGCATGCACGTAAGTGACACCAAGCTTCACATCTTCGCCTAGGTTCTATATCCATGGCAGTAGGTAGAAGCCAAAAAGACAACCTAGATAATAGAACAATGCAAAGTCCTGTCCATAATCACATTGCTGTGTCTATCTATTTCCAAAAGTCCAAAAAAAAATCACCCGAAAAAACCAAGTCCCATGAATATACTTCAACCATGCCTGGCACTCAAACTAGCAAATGCATCAGGGCTATGCCGCCCATTCTGAAGCCCGCCGACATCGATACTCGGCTGACTCATATGCGGTCTCGGGTACGAGTTTGTAGGAGGCGGGCCCGAGAACGGAGACTTCCCTCCCGCAAAAGGGGAGCTGTTGGCTCCTGCAAATGGGAGGTTGTTCGCTCCTGTGAACGGAGGACTGCTCATTCCGGAAAATGGAGAACTGTTGTTCGTTGCAGTAGTTGGAGCGGGTCCAGTCGGTTGGCTGTTTGTAATGCCTAGTCCTGAGGATTGTTGCTGTTGGTACGGGCTGATGCCTGCTTGCGCGGCAAGACCGGAGCCGCTGCCTGTTGGGGCGGTGTTGGTTCCTGTTGAGGGTGTGCCGAAGAATGGGTTGTTGGATGTTGTGGGCTGGGCGGCGGTTTGCTGTGGTTGCGGTTGGAAAGGTTGCTGGTTCTGGGTTTGGGTTTGGAAGTTTGCTTGCTGAGGCTGGCTCTGCTGTTGGAAGTTTGGAGCTTGTTGAGGCTGAGATATGGTTTGGTATGGGTTATTTGTTTGGGAATAAGGGTTCATCGCAGGGGGCTGGGGTTGTTGAGGGTGTTCGGGGATGGTTGGGATATTAGACTGTGCAGATCCCATATTGTACAATGAAAGAATGCTTTTTTTATCCATGCCCGTGGGCTGATGAGTGAGTGGCTGCTGCGGTTGCAGGTGGGAATGGAATTGGCTGGAGTAGCCGCCTGTGTTCTGGGGGGCGTTCTGTGTCGATCCCTGGTTGTAGGGATTATAAGATCCAAGACCGTTGGCTGACTGTTGTTGCTGCTGCTGTTGCTGCTGGCCTTGATACGAAGGAGCGGACGCAAATGGCGAGGTACCGAATGGTGAGGCGGATGACATGACCGGCATGGTATCCGCGCGTTGAGGCATAGAGGGAGTCATTTGCTGTTGTTGCGGCTGCATGGACTGGTTTTGTGGCACACTGGTAAAGAAGGGATTCGTCTGCGGCGCACTCGGGTTGGGATATGTCTGACCAGCATAGCCACCCTGTGGCTGCGGCGCTGCCTGGTCGAAGGGATTGTAACTGTTGTCCAATGGCTGAGGCGACGAAACAAAGGGAGTTGGTGAGAATGTCGACGTAGGTGGGGGCGTATAGGGCTGTTGATATGCAGACTGTTGAATGGAGCGTGCCTGGTTGGGATATCCACCAGTAGAGTGAGGGAACAACGGCTGGGAAACCTGCAGGTTCTGGAACGATGATTCCAAAGGCTGTGCGGATGCCGGCGTCGGGTTTGGTCGATCGAATGGATTGTACGAGGCGTTCTGCGGCTGCTGTGTTTGCGATTGCTGTGGGATGGGATTTGATACTGCCCGGTCAAATGGATTGTTGGAGACCTCGGGGAATGTGTTGTCGGTCTTCACAGGGAATGGGTTCTTGGGCGTCTCGGGTTTCGGGGTCACTGCGGGTGCAGCTGTGCTTGTCCCGGCTGGGGTCCTAGATCTCGACACAGGGTTGCTCCCTTCTCCCAATCTGACCAATGTTTCAACTGCTCGGTCCAAATCCTCGTGAAGTCCCTTCAGAACCATTTCATTTCGGCGGTCATTGGTGAAACCCATGTCCTGCAAGGCCGCCATTTTCGCTTCGAAAGAATTCGTTGTCACATCGGCGACAGGCGCACCAAGACCCGTCGTTCTCCTAGTTGGCAGTGGCGGTGGTGACCAGGTTCCCTTGTCCGAGGCTGGTGAAGGCGCCTTGGACTTGCCACCAAATCGACGAAGGTTCGAGGTGGAGGATGAAGATCGCAGACCGAACTTGAAGAACTTGCCAGACTTTGGCGGGAGCGGGGGAGGAGATCCCTCAGGTGAGATGTTAATGTCACTCTTCCTTGACTCCGGGGGTGACATGGGCCTAGGGTTGGAGTAGTTTGAATAACTCGAATCCTCCCTGCTCGGGGGCTTTGGCTTTCCACTTTCCAATGAGCGGTGTTGATACTTCTGGCGTATGAAACGTTCCATACACGCATCGGCCTCGTCAACGTCGGTGGGAATTGCCGGCTTGATTCCCCGGGGGTTGTTCATCTTGTTCATTAAAATGTTGCCGTGCGATTTCATGTTCTATATGAAAGCCCACCTTGTCAGTTCGCTGCTGGTATAGGGAGTCTATTCACACGTACATCAACCTGCTCCGATGTCCACGTATCCATAGTCAAGGACTTGACCTTGGAAATATGTGTGCCCAGCTTTCGGTGTAGTGCGGCGCAACGCATGCAAAGGAAGATGCCCATCTGTCGGAGACGAGCAGTCAGTTTTTGGATCCGATCGAAGGCGAAATAAGGGGAGGACGTACGTTCCAGCTTGCCCATCCTATAATCACATCAAGATTAGTGGTTGCGATCAATTGTGGAGGTCTCTGGAGACGAACCTGGGGTCAAGGCATCGCAATCGGCACAACGGTCATTGCCAGGAACGGTGCGGATCAGCTCCGCCAGTGTCTTCTCATTCCGCGCCTGCTGGCGCTTGCTAATGCCAGTAGGCATGATGCAAATGTAATTACAAGAAAAGAATGTATACAAAAAAAGGAGTGGAAATATAAAGAGAGAATGAGTGAAATAGGGGAAGAATCCAAGTTTCCGGGGGGGCGGAGAAGTTCAGGTTGACGGGTTGACGTCCGAGGGGCAGATCATGCCGAATGGGAAATCTGATGTGGCGTAGAGTATGAATATACTAAGTACGATCTATTTGGGAGATTAAAAGCAATCGTTCGTCGAGTGAAGGTGAAGACAGCTTTCCTCATGCTGTGTCTTCCCCGTTCCTGAGTGATTCGATAGGTAGCTCCATGTTGAGTGGTCCGCAACCGTCTTCTAGAATGCGTCTAGAAGACACAGGCGCTTGTACTGTTCTTACAATGCTTTAGAGAGACAATAGCAAGTTGTTTGATAGTGATATATTGATGTAGTTATTGAATGGAAATAGTAGGCATGTCCGGACACCATTGACTCGCATCTACCAATGCGCCTAGAGGCCGAAAGCCTTTCGGAGCCGTCGAGAAGTCATCATGATAGCCAGGAATATCTTCTAGTACGCCAATATGACCAACCATCCTATGAATGAGGAATTGGCGGTTGATTATGCGTTCGGAAAAGTGTAAAGAAGAAAAATCTCCAAATGCGTGAAATTTTCGGATACAAAAGGACATGGTCATGTGACCACACTAGTGCCAACTCACGTGCCCTGCAGCAGAAGATAAAAACCTTTCACTTCCCACTTTCTTTTTCCTTCATAATCCTCGAGTGTTGGAACTTCGAGCATCCAATCCTTTAATGTCGGGGATTGTCGATGACTTGTAACCAACAGTCAGATTTTAGAAGCAAACTTGCAAACCACATAACCCGCGAGGTGCCTAATCATGGCATCGACGTCTCTTGGGTGATTTTTTAATCGTTCGTTCGTGGAATATCAAAACCAAACAGTTTTTAGCAGAGCTGCGTCTACTCCACCCTGGTGTTCACATCTATTGAACTGCAGGACTTTTTTACGACGGACATCCAATAAACCAATTTTATTTCTCTCAATTCTCTTGCTTCAAACACTTTTCCAAGTCTCGTCCATGGTAGTTTCTGGTCCATTGTCAGGCTACACGTCTTATGTCGTAGGAGAAGATGCGGCCTCAAGATGAAGGCCTAGTTAACTGTTGAGAAAATTGCAGGGCTTCCATGAAAGTTCTTATCACATTTCAGGTATGCCCTGCATGTAGATACAACGCAGCATCGATTACAGATTGACAACCGTAGCCTTAAGATTTAAGAAGTACTCCGTGGTATCTATCTCATTGTTGTCTCATTGGAGATCGAAATTCTAAACCATGGATATTTGAACCAATCCCAGTGAATCAGACATAAGAGTCCCAAACTCGCAGTATCAATCGCTTATCTGGCTTTTGATTACAGATCTAGAGATCTAGCCCAGACATGTGTGTCCCATATCCCCAGTGTTGAATTGCCGCTATCAGACCTTAAGAGCCAGACTGGTCGGCCTTGTCAGCAGCCCTGCGCCGAGCCGGAGAGTGGGTCATCACTGACCAAACAGGGCTTAGCTGTTATTAATTCTTCCCCGAGGACTTCAAATTTACGCCGGGAAACACAAGAATAGAGGGCGTTGAACTATATTTTCAGGTCAATTAAAAGTAAGAAGACCGCTTGAGGTAACCCTTTATGACTGCGACAATTCCAAGTATTCTATAAGGCAGACCACGGAGAAATGAAAGTCTGGGGATCTGACAGATTGGATGGTGTAGTGTACCAATATGCGGACATGGCTCGAAAACGCCGAGGTAATTGGCATATGCGCCCCCCCTTGATTGGCCATGATTCCATCTGCTTCTGTACGATGTACCGAAAGTATTGGCCCCAGGGTTGTCCGGGCAAAGTACAAATGCCCCCCGGTTTTTCCCTTTCCTCCCCAGCTGTACCTGTACCTTGACCTCTACATTCCTTCTTTCCCTTCGTACACCCCCCGTTAGACACTTGTACATTCTCTCACAATGGCTTCCGTTGCCCGAAATGCGTCTCGCGCCTTCCTGCGCTCGACTCCGGTCACCTCCTCTCTCCGTCCTGCTGCGCGCAGCACCCGTTTCGCCATCCCCGCCAACGGTCTCCGTGCTTCTTCTCGCCGCGGATATGCTTCAGAGGCTGGCTCTGAGAAGTCCGGCTCTTCCTTTGCCATCTGGGCTCTCGGTCTCGGTGCCCTCGGTGCTGGCGGCGCGTACTTGTACCTGAACAGCGAATCGACCCCCAAGGGCCCTTTCGTCCCCACCCAGGCCGACTACCAGAAGGTGTACGACGCTGTTGCTAAGCGTCTGGCAGACGAGACCGACTATGATGACGGCAGCTATGGTCCCGTAAGTGCAATTGTTCTGTTCAATGTTATGATCAATCGCTGAGACGTTCTCTTTCAATAGGTCCTCGTTCGTCTCGCATGGCACGCCAGCGGTACCTATGACAAGGAGACCGGCACTGGTGGCAGCAACGGTGCCACCATGAGATTCGCCCCCGAGTCCGACCACGGCGCCAACGCTGGTCTCAAGACTGCCCGCGACTTCCTCGAGCCCATCAAGGAACAGTTCCCCTGGATCACCTACTCCGATCTGTGGACTCTCGCTGGTGCCTGTGCCATCCAGGAGCTGGGTGGACCCACCATTCCCTGGAGACCCGGCCGTGCTGACAAGGAGGTCGCCGCCTGCACTCCCGACGGCCGTCTCCCCGATGCCGCCAAGGATCACCGTCACATCCGCGACATCTTCTCCCGCATGGGCTTTGATGACCGTGAGATGGTTGCCCTGATTGGCGCCCACGCCCTCGGCCGCTGCCACACTGACCGCTCCGGTTTCGACGGTCCCTGGAACTTCAGCCCCACTGTGTTCAGCAACGAGTTCTTCCGTCTGCTTATTGAGGAGAAGTGGACCCAGAAGAAGTGGAACGGCCCTGTTCAGTTCACTGACAAGACCACTTCCACTCTCATGATGTTGCCCACTGATATGGCTCTGATCAAGGACAAGGCCTTCAAGAAGCACGTCGAGCGCTATGGCAAGGACAGCGAGGTCTTCTTCAAGGAGTTCTCTGATGTCTTTGTCAAGCTCCTTGAGCTCGGTGTGCCTTTCCAGACCGAGGAACGCTTCGTCTTCAAGGCTTCTGAGTAAGGATATTGCTCAAAAGCTGCTTTGTATTCGTGTCTTTCATTTCGTATAGCTGTCTTGATATCCGAGTCATTACTCACTGAGATTCCTTTTTGTTTTTAAATGAGACATTAGATTTCCTTCCATATTCTCGTGCACGTGTAGCTCTTGCTGTAATTGCATCATGTACACAGTAAACATCGCCTCGGGTTGGAAGTCATGGAACCGTCGGGACCCTGAGTTGGTTCGACAAAGCTGATCGGGTGGCTTCAGGATAAACAAGTCTCATAGCGCATGATAGACGAGATGTGTATGATCAGAGTATGAAAAAGACAATGAGAGCGGAGAATAGAAGCACGGGTTTAACCAAATCTCTCTTATCAGAGTTATCAACATGGGTCCGGAAGGCTCCCACTCAAAAGTGGCGCGCGAGGGCGACCCGCCATTTTAAGTGATCGCGAACTTCCCACAAGGTTCACCCAACCCCGTTTTCTGGCTACCCCGTACCCCCAGACCTCGGATCCTCACGCTTATTTCTTGGGACGCGCGCGGTTGGACCTCTTTGTAACCTTCGGGGCGTTACCACTGCAACTTGGCGCGTACGTCCGAGTGACCGACTGGCCGGTCGAAAACTCGAGTCACCGAAAACAGCGCAACCAACCAGACACCGCCGACAGGACAGGAGGGGGGGAATCGTACATCGACATGACGAGGACGGCTTGCAGTGTTGATTTCTATGAAATCCTGTCGCTGCCCTTCACTGGGTCTTCGTCAACGGTCCTCTCGAAGCAGCAGATCAAGCTTTCCTACCATAAAGCATTGCTCAAACACCACCCTGACAAGGCGGGTGCCGTCGCACGGGAGACTGGGTTAAACGGACCGACTACCTCTACATCTACTCCGAATTCTTTCCTTGCCAGATCGGACGACACCTCGCGACAACCGTATACCATCGACCAGATCACCACCGCCTACAAAACCCTGTCCGACCCTGTCCTTCGCGCTGAATATGACCGCTCTCTTCGCTTAGACAGGCTCAAGGTTGCAGAGCGGGAGAAAACCGGCGATGTTTTCCATACTGGGCTAGAGGTTGTGGATTTGGAGGATCTTGCCTGTGAAGAGGCGGAAGCCGGCGATTGCTGGTACCGCGGGTGTCGGTGTGGTGACGAGCGGGGATTTCTGGTCAATGAGGAGGATCTGGAGAGAGAGGCTGAGCATGGCGAGATTATCATCGGATGTCGTGGGTGCAGTCTCTGGTTGAAGGTTTTGTTTGCCGTGGATGCCGGCGAGGGTTGAAGAGATGGCTTACTGAGTCGTCTTTACTTCCTTGGAGATCATTCTCCCTCGGCTTGATTTCCTCGTCCAGCTGTACAGCGTTTATGTGTTGTCGCTGTGCAATGACACCCCCGCGCCGCCATGTCTGGCTGGATTGGTCTGCTTAGGCGCGCCAACGGTGCGCAAGGCTCATTCAATGTCTTTGTCGCTTGACTGTGCTTGTCCCGAGCTCGGTCTCAGCATTGCATGCTGTGTCGCCATCACTCGATTGTGGACTGTGCATGTCAACACTGTCAGATCTTGCGACGCAGTCAAACCAAGACCCAATACCACGGAGTGTTGCCGCTCTGGGTACCGTCTCCCTCTCGGTGTATCACGATACAGACATTCCACGGTAATTTTGATTCTGGTCTCTTGCCAACCTGTCCGGAATTGCTTCTCCTTGTACATAGAAATTAGAATGCAGAGACAGATGGCTGTCCCGTGTAGCTACTTGGCCCACTATCTCTTACATTAAGTTGACGACTTGGATACATGAAGACTTGAGAAGATTAAATGCACCTACCTGATAGAATGGACTCAGATCCATCGTCATACCTGAGGTCAGAGCTTCGCCATGGCAATCGGGCAGCAGGTGGGACCTAATCTAGCGGGATATATATCGATCGCACTGGAGACCTCCACTACAATGATGCCATGGAATAGCGGCTGTTGAGACATTCAGTTCCATACATCGGAACAAATATTAAACTGCCGAGGAACGTAAAAATGTTGCCAAAACCGAACAAAGAACCAATTACATAGCAGTGGTGCATTCTATGCGTTCTATCTAGCGTGTTTGATATGGTTGCTTATCCGGAGGGGCTGATGACATATTCGGAGGTAGCAAAACACAACCTCACATATTTTGCTCCTCTTCTACCCTCGTCCCCTCTCCCCCTCCCAACCTCATCATGTCTGTCGTTGAGATCTCATCAAAGGAGCAATTCTCCTCTCTCCTCACCTCCTCTCGTCTTGTTGTCGCCGACTGTAAGTACCTGCCGCCGCGGCGCGAATCTGCCCCGCCGGGACCCTGTCTTCCCCTCCGAAGCACCAGAGCTATCGCTGACCTTTGCTGGGTATCTGAATAGTTTACGCCGACTGGTGTGGACCATGCAAAGCTATCGCACCTGCGTATAACGCGCTGGCGACCCAGCTCTCCCGCCCGAACCAAATCACGTTCACCAAGATCAATGTCGACAACCAAAAAGACCTCGCGCAAGCTTACGGCGTTACAGCGTACGTCCATCGATCCAAATTTTTGAGAACTAGCCCAGACCACACCTCCGGTCCCCCATACTCGTCTACACTACCCGTTAACTAACGACTGCCTCTAGAATGCCGACCTTCATCGTCTTCAAGAATGGCCGCGTGAACCAAAGCGTCAAGGGCGCCAACCCCGCACAGCTGAACCAGGTCGTGCAGAAGCTCGCCTCCGAAGCAAGCCAATCCGACGACGCAGCAGGGTCCGGCGAAGCAAGCGGCTCCGGCGAGTACTGGATCGGCGGTACAGTGGCCAAGGGCTACAGCGACGTCACAGACCAAGTTGACTTCAAGATGATGGAGCTGCTGAACCGGGACACGGCTACCGCGGAGCCTCGTACTCTTTTCAGCGCTCCGAAGCCTTCCGCACTATCAGGCAAGGGCAAGGAAAAGGCCGCGGGCCAGGCTGACTGGGTTGAGAGCGACACCGACGAGCAGCTGATGCTGTACATCCCATTCAACTCGATGCTGAAGGTTCATTCCATTCAAATTACCTCCTTGCCTCCTTCGGATGCGGACGCCGACGATGACGAGACACCCATGCGGCCTCGCAACTTGCACCTGTATAAGAATACTTCTCATGTGCTTGGTTTCGACGAGGCGGATGGTATCCCTCCCGTGCAGAAGGTGGAAATCAAGCCTGGTGACTGGGACGCAAAAACTGGGACCGCGACTGTCAATCTGCGTTTTGTCAATTTCCAGAACGTGACTTCGCTGGTCTTGTTCTTTGTTGATGGGGACGGGGACAGCGAGAAGTTGCGCGTTGACCGCGTTCGCATTATTGGCGAGGCGGGCCCGAACCGATCCATGGGCGTGTTGGAGAAGATTGGCGACGAGCCTGGCGAGTAAACAGCATAGATACTGGAGAAAATAAGCCTTGGGAGATACTACTTTCAAATGGCCTGATGATCAAAGATTTTTGTCAGAGCGTGGATACTGGCATATTGTGTTGCTTAATGCTACAATACTCAATGATAACCAAGAAGTTTTCAAGTGTCCATAGATTTCAATTTGTGTCTAGACTAAATAACCATAGTGGTATAAAATAGTATGTTTGATCCCAAACCAAAAGGTCTCATCCTTGAGTTATCAGAAAGACCCATAAAGTAAGAATCAATGTGCAATTCCCTTCGTCTGTGGCGCAACTGACACCTGGGGTACATCACTGAAAGCCAGACTAATGGCCGTAGATGTCCAGGCAACACGGGTTATCGAGTTGCGCCGCCGCACGAAGAAGAAAAGAAAAAAGAGGAAAGGTGCTGGAAGAGATTTCCTTTTTATGCTGTCTATCGGTCTTTCCTTTTTCCGAACAGAAAGAATCCGGCGCACAGAGAAACTTTTCCGATTCCAGAAAAAGTTATGTAAGCGAGCTTTTTTTTTTTTTCCAACTGCATGACCTTTTCTCCTCTCCTTCCTTTTCTTTTTTTCCTTCCATATTATGGTCGATGATGATAAATATGGATTCTATGATAGGAAGAGGATGACTCCTTATGGAGATTGATCTCACTTACACCATTCCTGAGGCCAATGTTGTTTATTTCTGCTTTGTTCTGGGTTGGCTGGGCCTGCAAAAGCAGGGCGAGCTCTGGCTATTACCAACGGGATGAGATTTTGAAGTTTCTTGCATCCAAGTTCTCGAGCAGATTTGTTATTGTGGTCGGGGAAGGCATATTGATCGCGCTTTGCGTATGCGGTGTCAAACTGTGCATCCATTGGACGTAGCTGGTCCACGAACTCTTCGTTGGAGAAACAAGGGGCCAAGGCCGACTGAAGCACTGCCATGCTGAACCACACCAACATCAGATGATGTCGAAGATTGTGAGGCAAGAATTGTCGATTGAATCCGAACACTAGGGTCCGGCGGAGCTGTGATGGATGGCACCACTTCCGCCCTGATAGCCGCACCGGCTGGTCGTTGGATGCTCATTTGGCCGTCTCGTGGCCCATCATTAGTTGTATGGCCACGAAGCTTCCCACCTGCAACCCGTAGATAGAGCTGAAGGAGCTCTTCGCACGCATGTATTTGCGTAATCAAATCTGGCTGGAGCCGTCGATGTTTCTCAGACACTGTAAAACCCACTTCACGAAATATCCTTGATCACGAGAAATTATTGAAACATCGCCAAGTACGCGTGCGCCTTGTCAAGACCCAAGCTCGGGCTCCACGGTGAACATAAGACAATTGTTATGTGTGGGCATGAGAGGTTTTGGGCAGCAAGAACGGTGGTAGACGGCAGTTTCAACGGCATTGGCCTGGCCTAACACGCACATCGTACGATGCAGCTCGTTGTCTCTTAAGGTCCTCCATGGACTGATGTCTTGGAACAGTTGTTCCGTTGCAGAGACTTCGACCCGCTCCAGCCAAGCCCAAGACAAGCAAGCACCGTCTGATGCGGGTTGCACCGACGGCATCTGCAGCCAGACGGTGTATCCGTATCCACCGGTGAAGTGGCATCCTAGACTGGAAAGAGGCAGGCTAAGTCCAGCTGGCCAGACCAAGGTCCATGACACTCAAGCCAGGACAAGCCGAGACATCAGTACGAGCTGAATTTTATCGGTTTCCGCGAAGACATATGTATGTTGTAGTCCTCAATTGAACGATGCTATCGCCAGGTTTCATCCCAGTTCAGTCGGTGGTTTCAGTCTCCGAAGTCAAACCATGGTACGAAACCGAGCCCCTCCAGCCACCGCGATATCGCTCCCCAGACCCATATCCCCGAATCTGTCACCATCAACGGAAGGAAAGCAAATCTGAAATTTTCGTTACGTACAGACTAACCGCGCGGGTCGATCTCAGATTGAAGCGGGCTGGGTTGAACGTTGGTAGAGCCACTTCCTTGGTTTTTAGCTGCGGGCTGGCAGACGCTATCTTATGAGAAGATGGAGCCGTCCGTCGATCCTGATAGCCCCGGGGCCCCCGGGTAATATTTTGTGTTAGGCGCTATGCTTGTCGGGGACTCGGGGTGTAGGCTATGGGAATTGGCGCGGTTGCTGGGGACTGGGGAGGTTCTGGCGAAGTCGCGGTGGGGATCGATTTTCATGGATTCCCTCTGTGCGCGGTTCTTCCTGGAGAAGGTTTGCACATCCGAATACAATTTGCATGCAAGGTACGGAATTTATTTTCCCTACGGGGCAAGACCCTAATACATAATCGCCAGGCTCGTCAGATACTAACTAATGGATTCGTTGCCACTGGGGATGATCTTTACAACTTACGATGAATGTCGTACAATACACAGTATGGAGATAACAATGAACTTCGGGAGCATTCCGCCATATCGATTTCCAATGACATCAGAACTTAAACCATCTAAGGTTGTATCAGATAAAGACTTTGGGAACCACAGTCCACAGCATTCTGGAGAGTCTTTGGACGGCAGACTCCATTCGTACCACAGATTCATATCCGAACAGATACGAAGTCGGAGGATCTTCCAATATCTCTCGCGACCCACTTTATCTCCCAGGAACAGACTGATAATTGGACGGCGTCCAGTGTTGGAGGAATGGTCCCCGAGCCAAGGAATCGGGTAGCCCAAGTCGAAGTTGGGGTTTAGTGCGATGGAATTTGAACTTAAACATCCACAGGAATGAAAGAGAACGGCACTGAGAAGCACTTAGCTCTCTGGTTGGTGAGAGGAACGAATTCGTCGGCCCTAATGTATCTCGATTCCACGACGGGCTGATTAGTGCATCTCCGCATTTTCCAATGCTTCCACAAACAACACGCTATCTTGTATTATTTTTTTCTCGCAGGATCGTGGAGCCTTCATTTGTTCTGATTTGCTCTAATTTGCGGGCTCACCGGAGGCCGATCCATTCCGTCGGTGGATTCGAGTGGGGATGGTGTTCACGCACTATGCCTGAATGGCGTTCAATGATACAGTAGTTCGAGCTTGAACAGCAAACTTCCGCTGAAGATTGCGGCACGGGGAGAACTGAGAACGTGCATCGAGAAAGTTCCATTGGTTATGTTAGTTTTGCGTTGTCTGGATCTGGGATAGTGGGAGGCGAGAGAATGGGGAATTGAAGCCCGAGATGATAACGAGTGGAGTCTCGTCCGATGGGCGGCAGTCTGCAGATCTTGCCTGAAGTGAACTGCTGCTCACGTTCTTTCAAGCCAGGTTGGTCCTCTGGCTCGCTTCGAAGGTTAGTTCGCGTCTATTGCGATCGCTTATCGGTTGGAATTTCGGGTGTTCCAGGTAGGTAAACGGAGGTATTGCAATTGCGTCGATGGGCTCATCGGAACGTTAACCACCAGCTCCATGGCAACTATCTCGATTTGTGTAGTTCAACTCTGGAGAGGTAGTGATACATAGTACTGTTGATCAATTGAAGGTTAATGGACGATCAGGAACTAAATACATACTTGGTCTAGTGTTCTCGGGAGTTGTAGCCAGTGAATGAGCTCCAGGATTGTGATTTTCTGGAGTCCGGAGTATTGGGGATACCGAGGGAACTTATCTGAATCACGTGCGTAGTACACAGTATGCTAAGTCGAGGCTAGTGGCGAATTGACTTTCTGTACGGAGTATTCACCGTATTCACCGGTTCCTATTGGAGACATGTTGGTACCTACGAAGTGCAATAATTGACTATACGGGGAGTAATTTAGCTACCGAGTACGGAGTAGTTAGCAGTTACAGAGATAGCGCAATATGAGAAAGTGGTACAGTACAATATGGAGCCGTACTGATACCCAGAACCAGTAAAATTGATGATTTACCTCGATATCTTTCGGATGATGCTGTGAAACTGAGTTAGAACGAGATTTCCCCCGCATTTCGCTTTCTGACCCGTGGAAAAGCGAATGTAACCTGATTGGGCCGAGACATGTGCGCCGAGGACCTTTGGGATTGAGATTAAATTTGCTTGACTGGATGTTCGGACCAAGACGCCGTTTGAGGGAACGTGTTGTAGAAGTAGGCGTCCTGTGCGCAAAACCAACAGAGAGGTGGTGGCAGTGTGTTTCTAATGTCCGAGCGTCTTAGATCTGTTTCGCTGTCGCGGATAGCCCTAGTCTGTATCATCTCTAGTATGGCAACGGTCGCATGAGACAACCGAACTGAGACCATGTTCGAGATATGAAACTTGACGTTCGATCTGACAGGATCCGTCTACAACCTTCGAACTTTACTCGACAATGCCACTTTACTATCGTAGAGACGTTCACACAAAAGTGATCGCTGTACTGCATATTCCTTGTGGACCCCCACGCATCCCATTCTCCCGCCCATGTTACCTATATCCCTAACAGGCCATCTTGAGGCCAGTGCCCTCCCAATCCAAGCAAGTCCACAGCGAAAGAAAACAAAAAGGGCAACACCAAAAAGTGCCCGAAAGTATGAGCTCCGCAAAGCCTGTAACCATTGACAATAATCCCACGTTCCCAAAAAGGCAGTTGTGGGGTCCAGAGTCCCATCTCGAAACTCGAAGCTCGGTAAGGGGAAAAAAAGAACGAATAAAAGTCCCACGCCAAGACCTGGCGCAAGACTAGTGCCAATCGCAGACTCCAAAATGGCAAAAACGCGTGTTCTGTGCCCCAGTCTGCCCCAGATACAGGTGAACTGGAGGGTGTTTCAGAATTAGCCTTGTCAACGTGCGGAAGGGCCCGATAGAGGCAAATTACGAATCTAACCCAAATCCCGGAGTTGCGCATCGCACCATTTCCTTTTGGAAATTAGAGCTCTCTAGTCACTCTGGTACTAGAGGTATGCTCCCCCACAAGTCTATTCCAGTGTTGGTTTGGGGGATTGGAGATCTGCGTGTATGTCAATACGCAATAAGGTTGCCGTCGAGATGCTTTTCCGTTAGGTTCTTTTTAGCGGCTTGAGCTTCAGAGCTAAGTA